CGGCAGCCGGCTGGGTGACAGCGGTGACTGAGTCTGCGGCATTGTCCGCGTTGTGTGGCGACGCGCCGACGGCTACTCAGCTCTCCTCGTCATCGCCGTCCCCGCGCGTGGCCTGTCATGCGAAAAGGGATCATACCTCGGTCTAGCGGCCACGGAATACGCGCATGGCCAACATGTCAACATCGGGGGGGTAACAGAGTGCGTCATGTGTGCGGGCATGGCTGGATAGTTCCGAGCCAGCTTCGCAGCGCCGGGATCATGTATGAGGGTGACGAGTTGCAGGGCGCCGGGCCCGCCCTGTCAGCAGGTTGGCCAGTATGGTCTGCAAACTGCACGTGGCGACGCACGAGGTCAGCCAGGCCCGCCGGCGTGGCAGGGCCAAAATGCGGGCTCGGGTGCGTCCGGCAGGCGGCGCGGTGGATCGCCAGGACCTGTCGCATGCAGTAACCTCGATGCGTACGCATGTAGCGCATCATGGCCGACATCTTGGCTACGTAGCTGTCGCGGTCAGTCACCTCGCTGGACACGCGGATGTGTTCGGTGCGGACGATGTTGTAAAGGTGTCGTCGCAGCAGCGCACACGAAGCGTGGGGGTACTGTATGAGGTGAATGTTCTCAGGAAACAGACCGCGTTTGTCATAGTGCGAGATCAGGAGGAAGCCCTGATATTCGGGATGCGGACGCACGCGGAGGTCTAGGAAGGAGACACCGTCGAGCGGGTTCGCTGGGGCGTCAAATTCGACCTCAAGACAGGGGGGGTACATGTTATGTATACCAGAGATGAGATCTACGATCGACGACGGGGTTTCGGGGGGCGGGGTGGGGGGGCGGGGGTGGGTGTTGAAGTAGCGGTACAGTGCGTTCGCGAGAGAGAAATTGTCGTCGATGTAGCGCCTGGAATAACGGAAAGACCCCAAGACCTTCAGCCAAGCGACGTCGCCAGTGCTCAACCAGCGGTCGCGAAACTGGCAGAGGAACGCGAGCTCATGCCGGAACATGTAGCAGTTCGCGAGGTGGGGGGAGGCCGAGAGCCCCATGGGCACACCGCAGGTCTGGTGATATACGACGCCCCCGAACCCCACGTAGGCGCGTTTGACGAGGATGTGCACGAGACCATGAAGTTGCTCGATGCTCGGTGCCCATTTCCCAACCATGCCGTCCGCGTCCGGCAGCTGCGCCACCCACCACCACGTCTCCCTCGCGTCAAACGCGGGTTGCAAGTCGATCAGGAGGTGTTGCCCTGGATGCAGTGCAAAAACAGCGTCGATGTGTTCGATGACGCAGTCGATGAGGCCGGTCCCGTGGTCCGCGCTCGTCTCGTGCCGGATGTGCGTGTAGAGCCGCTTGATGTCGGCGCCCAGCAGCAGAGGTGGTTGTTGAGCATGTATCGCTGAGCGTGGTGGGTTGTCATGTAGATACGCGGTCACCATGTCACGCATGCCGCGGCTGGAGTCCACCAAGAAGGGCGCGAAGCTGCTGCAGAGGTCCTCCGGGACGCCGTCGAAGATGGAGCTCCAGACCTCCACGAGGGTGGCGTGGCACATGAGCGCGCCGAGGGCCTTCGTCAGCAGCTGCGCTGCGGGGCGCGTGATGTCGCTCGAGCAGTCCGAGATGTACCGCACGTCCACCTTGGCCTTGTGAAGCTTCATCGTCCCGTAGTAGTGCGGTAGACCACCGCACTCGCGTTCGGTGCGTATTCCTGGTAGCTGCAGGTTGTCCAACATAGCCTCCGTCGTGTTAGCGACGTTCACCACGTGCCTGGCATGCGTGATGTTGGCATTTGCCGGCTCGTTGACAGCGAAAGCGTCGTTGCTGTGCAGGTCGTGCAGGAGGACCTCGATGTAGGCGCGCCGACACACGAAAACCAAATTCCCGGCGTTCTTGTCCATGGTCGTGATGGTGAGGCGTGTCGCGTCTCGCCGCAGAGCCACGCGATCGTCGGGCTGAATGTCCGCCAGCGGCGGGGGCCATGGAAGGCGGAACCCGGGTTGAAGAGCGGGTTGGAGTGCCGTTTGCGTAGCAGCAAGTATAGCATCAATGTACGGCATGCACGCTGCCGCGTCCATGTCGGCGGCCTTGCTGACGCGTTTCGTCCACCCGAGCAGCGGCTTCTGGTAGGCTTCAACGATGCTAGCTACGGTCGCGCTCGTGGCTTGGTGCAGCTCCGGGACGTGTCGGTGCTTGGCACCGCCGACGGCGAACAAACGGCGGTACGCGGTGCTCTGGATGCCCGCCGCAGCAGGGTCCAGCGTGCAGAGGTGCCGCACAGGCTCGCCGTCGATCTGCCAGTAGGGGTCCTCGAGCGTGAAGTGGCGTCGTAGGTCCGGTCCTTGGTGTTGCGCACAGTCGCACTGCGTCGCCATGATGTCGTACAGGCGACTGCGTGCAAACTTGGCAACTCCGCTGTGCGTGCACACCGAGCGCGACAGCGGTGGAAACCTGACCGAATAGCGCGGGGCCACCAGAAACAAGCCATCCATACCTTCGCGGATACGCTCAGGTAAGAGGTTGAGAAAGTCATCATTATTGACGAGGGTTTCGAGGGGGGCGAGGCTAGCCAGGGGGGTAGGGAAGTCGTGGATCATGAGGGTACGGCTCCCGAGGTCGATGTCTGCGACGGGAGGGTAGTGGTGGTTGATGGCGGCCTGCAAAACGGTGCGGGCACTGTCCAACATCTGCTGTGTGTAAAAGGGCTCGTCGAGACCCAGGTTAAGCGCATCGGGATGCATGTGCGACACGCAGTGATGGAGGGAGAAGAGGTATTTTCCGATGTTCGCTGCCGTGCAATGGTTCACCGCGCGTCTCCAATGATCGTGCTCTGTGTCGCCGGCGCGGCGGAACAAAACAACGTCAAGAAGGAGGCGAGTCTGGTAGATATACTCGCGTGTACCGAGGCGCGGAGACATGCCTGCGATAGCGGGGGGCAGGGACAACGCTGGTGCCGTAGTTGTGAGGCAGTTGTCAGCGTCGAGGTGGATGGTACGTTGATGCGTGGAGGAGATGGCAAACGTTGGCTGGAAGAGGGTCGCCAGCGCTGGGAGCCCACTCGGGCCGGGCGGGCCGGGGAAGTCGTTGTGGGGGATCGCTACGGGGTGGGGGTCAGCGGCGATTTGGAACGCCAGGGGGGATAGAGGCCATGGGGCAGCATCAGAGTGGCCAGCTCCGTAGCCGAAATTCCACATGCCCTTGCAGTAATTGAGGCCGCCGGGGTGTGTGGAGCCCAGACAGCGTATCATGGTCTGCTCCCAGGCCAGGGAGTAGGTGCGGAACTTGTGGAACCAGGCCTTCAAAGCGTCCGGGCTAGTCGCCGGCGGGATGGGCACCTGGCGTGCGAAATTGATGCGAAAGAGGGGCACGATGGTGAAGTCGCGCCACGGGACATGGCCGTTCGGCGACTGCGCCCACACTCGTCGCATAAACTCGTAAAGCGGGGTGTGCACGGCGTTCGGATGGTGCGTGAATGCTGCATCAAAGTGCTCCTGCAGTCGTTCGATCGCTGTGCGGTATGTCTCCCCGACATAGTAAAAGAAGGGGTATTTCCGGCACAAGAGGACATAGACAACCCCGCGCGCCGCAAGCGGGGGGTTTGCCGTGACCGATGGTAGCGCGGCGAGGTCCGAGAGCGCCGGCGGGGGCGGTGGGAAAGGAGCGCTCGGTGGGGGGCACGGGTGCGGGTATGCGGGCGCCCGTTCGTCGCGGGGCACGTAGTCCCAGTAGGGTCGAGGGGCTAGTGCGGAGGCGGGGTGGGAGGGTGTGTGGTGGGGGCTAGGAGGGGGCCAGGCACGGGGAGATGCCTGCGGAGCAATAGCGGCCGCGATGCGGCGTGCGTGCGTGATGCTGGGTCGAAAGTTCGGGTCGTGGTCATTTAGATTTGCGACATGGTGGAACAGGGTGCCATTCGAAAGGTGGCCACGCAGCGTGCGCGCCTCGGCGGTGCCGGCCTGGTCGCTGAGACGCAACGCTGCTTGGAGCCGTTTCCTCCGTCGGCGACCGATTGGAGTGCGCATGGTGAGAGGTTTTGGGGGTGAAAAGAGGGTGGTGTGCGGAACTAGACCGAGGATGCAGTAATCAAGCCACGACGGGAGGGCGACGATGACGGGGAGAGCTCTACCTAAGTTGCGCGTTCCTAGCACGCCGGGCGGTGAGCCACGGACGTGAGACGGCGGAGTCAGTTAGCCGGAGGCAGGCTCGTCTACGCCGACGGTTGAAGGCCGGAGTAGGGAGGTAGCTCTCAGCTGGCACTGCGCCAAAGCCCCATGTTCGAGGCCCGGCGCAGCACAACACGACACACAGAGTAGTAATTGACCACCCGCGCACGAAACGAAATGCGGGTGTGCTATCGTCCTGATCAAGGCGGCAGCGTGCTAGGAGTACTCGCGCGAAATGCCATGTGAGCGTGCCATCATGTGCCAAGGGAAGGCTCTGACCTGCAATCAGTTAGAGTGAGTGGCGGGCGTCGTCAGCAACAACGCGGCGAGCCGCGCGAGTACTGGACGACGCCCGCCAGCCGACGCGCCGAAGTGCTGGTCCACGTCCTAGGCTGCTTGTACCAGGGGGTGTCGGCAGCCGGCTGGGTGACAGCGGTGACTGAGTCTGCGGCATTGTCCGCGTTGTGTGGCGACGCGCCGACGGCTACTCAGCTCTCCTCGTCATCGCCGTCCCCCGCGCGTGGCCTGTCATGCGAAAAACGTGCCCACGCACTGGGGTAGTTGTGTTGCCATTACAGGCCGGGAGGGTCTGCGGCGCTGATCCGCAACGGCACAAAGCCCCTCCCCGCAGATATCGACCCGAGTGGGCCAAGCGGCGACGCGTGTGCGTCCCCGCCCTGTTGTCGACTCTCGGCAGCCTCGCCCCGAGTCAGTCCTCGCGGCCCCCGGGCCCGACTCGCCCGGCTGCGCGCTCACCAATGCATCCCGCACCTACTCCGCCTCCTCCCCGCGCAGCCCCAACCAGCCGCGCACCCAAAACCGCACCTCGTGTGCGCTACGCTAACAGCGCGCTTAGAGCGTGGGCACGCGGTCCTCGCCCTTGCCGATCACCGTCAGCAGGTTGTAGCCGAAGGGGTCCGCGACGTGCTTCGACCAGTTGGCGTACGGGCCCTCGCCCGTCACCGCAGCCTGCACGGCAAAGCCCAGCACCGACACCATCGCCAGGCGGCCGTTCTTGATCTCCTTGACCTTGAGCTCCGCGAACACCTCCGGGTCGTCCGCGAGGCCCAGGGGGTCGAACGGACCGCCGGGGTTCAGCGAGTCCAGGCCGTCGAACACGTCCGAGTCGAACTTGCCCACGCCGGGCGCGTAGCCGGCCGGGCCGGTGCCGTCGCGGCGGAACTTCTCGACCGCGCCCATCAGCACGACCTCGATCACGATGACCGCGACGAGGGGCAGGGGGTTGTGCACGATGCCCCACGGCACCGCGAACCAGTCGAGCGTGCCGCCGTTGAGCATCTTCGCCCCCGTCTCGAACCAGGTGCCGCCCGTGATCTCCGCGCCGTTGGCCTCGAGGCCCTCCGGGATGATCATGCCCGCCGCGGCGAGCATGGCCCAGCGCGCGTGGATGAGCTCGGCCTCCCGGTACTTGCGCACGCCCTCGGCGTCCTTGCCCAGGCCGAGAGGGTCGTAGCCGTAGTCGCCGGCGAGCTCGCCGGTGAGGTAGGCCGGGACGTCCTCGCGGTCGAGGAGGCCCGAGGGCAGGAAGAGGGCGCGGTCAGGGCCTGCGGGAGCGGCGTGGAGGGGCGGGAGAGAGGTGAGGCGTGGTGCGGTGTTGCGGGGCGATGCGGGGTTGATTGGGGCGGCGATGGCATGCATGGAAAGAGAGGAAAGGGGTGGGATTGGCGTGGGGAGGTCGAGAGGGGTGTGCGGGGGCGTAGAAGACGCGCGAAGGGGTCGAGGGATGCGGATCCACGCCGATCGCGGTGGGGCCGATTGCGATGCCGCTCGCGGCCGCAGGCACGCGTTGGAACTCGAGGCGCGCGCCGCGGCCCGCGCGAGCCGCAATGCCGGCCGACGCGACGCGCCGGCGGCACGATTCACTCGACAACCTAGAGGCATGGTCGCGGGCGCTGGGGCCGCGGGCCGCCGGCCGCGCGCGCGCGCAGGGGCCGGGCGGGACGCAGAGGACTCACCGTACCACTTGTCCAGGTCGGTGTCGGCACCACCTTCGCCGCCGAGCCACCCCTTGGTGCTGCGGGGCCCGCCAGCGGCAGCGCGCACCTGGCGGGGAGCCTGCGTAGGGCGTGGATTGGGCGGCTTGCTGGCGTGAGAGGGAGAGACAGGACAGGGAGCGCGGGTTGTCTGGCCGCGCGGGCGGCTCGAGGCATTCGCCCAGTGGCTATCTCAGTGGGATGCACCGACTCGATGGACGGCCGATCTGGGCGCCGTGCGGTCCGGAAACGATCGGGGATGCGCGGCGACGGTGTCTGTGGATATCTTGCGCGCGGCGTGGCTGGATATCTGGCGCGTTCTCGCGCGAGGGGCGCGTCCGAGGGCCTCGGACGATCGAGGTCGCGAGTGCTCGACCAGGGGCGCCGCGGCGCGCCGTGATTGCGGTTAGCGCGTCTCGTGAAGTGGTGGGCGTCGGTCGAACGTTGCCGCGCAAAACACAACGGCGCAGACGGCGCAGGGCGCGGTCGAGGGGCGGAGCAGCTTGCCTGGGCGGCCTTGGCGCCGAGGACGGCCTGACCGAACTGCTTGGTAGCGATCATGGCTGCTTAAGTCGAGTCGAGGGTTTGTGCGTTGCGGAATGCTGTGTGCAGGCGCCCGCCGGCTCCCTTCACCGCACGCTCGACTGCCGGGGGATGTCTCCAGCAGATCTCAGGCGATACGCGACGTGGTGCCGCGAAAACACGCGCCCGCGCAACGCCGACGCAGCACTGCCCCTCGCGACGCAAGCACCGCCGCCACCGCACGCCGCGATCCCTCGCACCGCAAAGCGCACGCCGGCCCTGTTGCCCACGCGGCCTAGGTTCACGGCGCGCCACAGTCGGACGCGCCCCGGCGCCGGCCCCCGGCGGCCGCGCCCGACCGCGCGCTGCGGCGACATCCTGCCGAGACGACGGCAGCTCCCCTGCGCCGCAGTATCGCCCCTCCTGGGCGTCTGATCGCTCCCCGCCATGGGGGGTTTCCCCTCGAAACCCGCAGCTTCTGCCGGCGGAGCGACCGACCTCGATCGCGCGGCAGCTCCCCCCGCGCACACCGATGCGCTGCGCGCCGAGGGACGCGCCGGTGCGCCGCCTGACGAGCGCTGGACGGCGCCGAGCCACTTGGCGGGTGACGAAGGAGCGCCGCTGGCTGGCGCTGCCGCGCCGGCGGGTACCGCGAGGGGCTCGTTCGGCATCACGGTGCGCGACGACGTCGACCCGGTGACGGTGTTGCGGCAGAAGCGGGCGGAGACGGCCTGGGGGCGGTTGGGCGAAGCGACGTCGGACTTGTTCCGCCCCGTCGATCCGAACATCGGCGCGCCGCCGGAACCGATGCCGGGCGTGACGCGCTGGCTCCAGGTGCGTCTGCCGCGGCGCACGCACCCGGCCCACCGGCCCTTGCGTGCCCGCCAGGATCGCGACGCCGTGCGGGGCGTCGCGACGTGCGCGGCCGACACCGCGAGCGCCCGGCGTCGTCGCGCGCGCCATCGTGCAGGCGGTGGGGTGGTCGATCGTGGTCGGGTGGACCGCGGGCTTCTACATGGAGCGGTTCAAGATTCACCGGGAACCAAAACCCCCCCCCCCCTACGGGTGGGACACGATGAGCGCGAAGGAGAAGGGCAAGGCGCACGTACGTCACCTGCGCATCCGTCTCGGCCGCGGCTCGGACCATTCCCGCACGCGGATCCGCCCGACAGGGCGTTTTTTTCTTTCCACTCCCCCCCTCACCCGTCCTCGGCCGCTTCGCGACGCTCGCAGCACGAGCTGTTCAAGCAGCGCACGTCGCGCATGTTCACGGCGGGCACGGTGTCGGCGGCGCGCTGGTCGCTCCTCGCGGCCACTCTGTTCGGGGTCGAGAGCGCCGCGAAGGTGGCACGCGCCGTGGACGACCCGTGGAACCAGGCGCTCGGCGGGGCCGCGACGGGCGTCGCGGCGGCGGGCATCATGCCGACGCTGTCGCCCGCCGGGAAGCTCAGGGCGCTGGCGGTGCTGCCTGCCGCGCTGGGAGCTACTGGACTCGCAGGGGGGTACTTGTACCACTGGGTGGAGGGCATAAAACCAGCAGAGAGCGAGGGGGAGTCCGCGCAGGGATGACGGCAAGTTCGCGTCGCTGCCAGGCGGGCGGACGGGGTCCGCGGCTGCGCTGAGACGGGTTAAATATGTAAGTGAATCTCGTGAGTCACTCTGGGGGCTGTTTGTGTCGGGAACGGGGAAGCCAGGGTGTTTGAGCATGGGCGGAGTCCCTTACGAGGATGGAGCGGATCGCGCGGGCCGTGTTCGAGCATGCCTTTGTGGAAGCATTGTGCCCGGTGCGGCGCTTTCGCTGTGTGAGGTTGTCGTGGCACGTGACGACGCCGCGGCCTGGCCGCAACGTTCGCGGACCAGCCGCGGCGGCCACGTGCGTGCCGCGAGGTGCGGGCGCGGACCGCGACCACGCGGTGGACGAGGGGAGGGGGGGACTCGTACACTGTGTCAGGAAGCTCGGCACCAGGCCGCGAGGCTGCGTCGCTGGCGTCGACAGCTGGGCTTGCTCGAAGGCGCGGCCAGTAGTCGATTCAGTCCGCGAGCGCGTTTGGCGGCAGGTGGCGCGGAACGTTGGGATTCAGCGCGCGAGCATCTGGCTCGAAACTTCTGTCCGTCGTGGCAAGTCGTTCCGCCGTCGAGTCTATCCGTTGCGCAACCGAGCAGTAGGAACTAGTCAATTCGCGACGTTTCTCCGCGGCGAATTCCTCGCAGAGGGGCTCCGCGAGCGGCACTGGGGGCCGCATTGATAGCCTAGCAAAACACCTCGTCGCTGCCCGCGCGGCCGCGCGTCGCCCGGTCCAGCCGGCCGCCAACGCACCAGCGTATCCGGGCGGTACAGGATGTCGAACTGCGAAATCGTCGACCTGCCCGTCCTGGTGCGAATCCCTCGCCCGGTGCACATCATATAGGCTCTCCGTGCATCTCTCCGTGCTGCTGCCACGTCAGGCCAAGAATGAACGCTGACGCGGGCCACCTCGCGTCCAACGTATCTAAAGCGCGAGTTCGTCAGCCGAAACACGCAAAGGACGCCTCGACGTCGACGTGCTGGGCCCGCTGGCTGTCCTCTGCTGTGCTGGCGCGCTCAGGCCGTCGCGTTCGCGCGAGACTCGCAGGAGATGGGCCCGCACCAGGTCAGAGAATCGCTGAGGTGTATCCTGCACAGCGTGCTGCTGAGCCGGGCGCTGGGGGTGGTGCGGCCGGAGGAGACGGACAGCGAGGTGTTGCAGCTGTCCTACGTGCGCTGCGGGGACCCCGAGATACACAAGGCCGTCGAGAAGACCGTAGCACAGCTAGAGGAGTGGCTCGGCCGGCAGCCGGAAGGTCCGTTGCGCGCCGAACCGTGCCCGTGGCACCTGCTCTCCAGCGCTCTGCCTGGGTGGTTGAGCGCTCGCCTCGTCCCAATGCGTAACATCCGCAGCTCACGCGGCCGCTCCCGCACACTGCACGCCCGTTCTGCGCCAACCGCTCGCCGCACGCGACACGAGACGCCCGGAAAAGGGCACCGCGACGCGCCGAAAGCCCCTGCGGGCCACCGCATATCTTCCAGATAGGCGAACATCCACGCAAAGTCCTCGACTGCTGCAGGGGGCCTGCACACGGCGCAGCTCAACTTCTTCGAGCCCCGCGTCCGGAAGGACTCCGGCCGTTCGCAGCAGCAGGCCCAGCCGCGCTCGGAGCAGGACCAGGCCGCTACGCCGTCACCCGCGAGCCGCAAATCGTGGCTTTCTAGCGGGTCGTCCTGGCTGGGGTCCCTGACGCAAGGTGCGCGGCAGCTCGCCCCCCCGACGCTGCGCCGGGGCAAGCTTGCATATTTCCCCACGATTCGCGCGTTCGGCTGCCGTCCACGTCCGGCCGACGCCGGGACGCGGAGGGGCCGAAAGGTCGTTGACGAGTTGTATCCATCGTCCGCGATGGACGCGCAGCGGCGGGTTTGTTGCCGCGACAGACCGCCTGGCATGCACGAAATCTCACGGTTCGGACGACGTATTCACGTATTGCGTCACGACCGCCAGTGCGCGGCGAGCAGACGTACACGTTACGCCCGCGGCGCAATCGCGTCATGCCTGCCCACGCCGGCCCCGACCCCTTCTCGCTCGCAGCCGTGCCCAAGTCCATCGCGTCGAGCATGTCCGGCACGATCTCCGAGCTCCGCGCGCTGTCGTCGTCCTCGTCGAAAGTCGTCTGGGAGCGATGGCGCATGCACCTGTGCGTGCTCCCGCCCCCCGTCGTCAACGCCGCCGGCAGCGGCCACCCGGTCTCGCGCAGCAACTCCGTGCACCTCACCGTCGGAGACGCCGAGGCGGAGGCCGCGCGCCGCCGCGACGCACTGACCGAGCGCCTGCTGGAGGCTATGCGCGCCATCGCTGCGCACTCGGGGGCGCGCCGGGACCACCTGCCGCCCGTGCTCGACGCTACAGCGACTGTGCCGTTCCGGTGGGAGCTCGTCTTGCCGCCGCAGGCGTCCGCGATCCCGGGGTTGGACGCCGTCAAGCGCATGCTGACGCACACCTCCCCCCCGCCCGTGGCGATCTAGCCCGCCCGGGGCGCGGCGGTGCGGGCGAGCGGTCGGACGGTGCGAGGGGTGCGGCTGCGCAATGCATGCTGGCAGTCTGCTACGCACGCGTGATGTGCAGTCGTGGCCCATAGTTGGGGCGCTGTGTATTGAACATGCAGCGTCAAGCCACCGTTGCCGCAGCTCAACGACGTTCTGCGGCAGGTCGTGGAGGTACCTGATGGCGTCCGGCCCCACGAGGTGCGGCCATTAGGTACCTCCACGACCTGCCGCAGAACGTCGTTGAGCTGCGGCAACGGTGGCTTGACGAGTTCACGCATTCGCGTCGAACTCCTCGGCAGGTGTGACAAACGTGTCACACCTGCGCAGCACGAGCGGGCCTGGCCATGGACTCGTCTGGGCAGCTCACGCTGCCACTTCCGCCAGCTGCCGATGCGCCCCTGCCTTCCACGGCAACTGTTGGACAGCGCCGCCGCTTCGCTCTCAACCGCCGGCTGCGCCAGCACCTCGAAGACCTGTACGGCGCTGCAACACTCGACTCGGAAGCCGCTGCCAACGCTGCAGTGCGTTATCTTCTGAACCTGCCGAATCAGCGAGGCATGGCGATCTTTGCTCGTGGCATCGAGGATCTGCTCCAGGCTGACTCTGTCACAGCTGCCGAACCTGTTGCTACCATAACGGTGGGGGGTTTGCATGACTCGCCACCTAGTCGAATGATCTTTTCAGGTCCCGAAGCCTTATGGCTGACGACGCGAAGAATGTGACACCTCACCTCACCTCACCGGAGGTCACGATAACCAAGGAAAGTGTGAGCCGTTTGATCGCGCGCTGGTCGCTAGTACAGGAGGGTCGCGTCATGCGGACGCTGAGGGGCTGATGGCGCTCTGTCGTCGACACCATCGCTCGCGAGCTTCCGATTGCATCGTCGCCAGGGCGCCCACTGGCAACCGGGAACCGCGGTCAGTGCACCAGAGCAGCGCACATGCGTCACATCACGTAGGGCAGGTGCTGTTCCGGCCCCGTCAGCGCGCTCCAGTCCCGCATCACACACTCCCCCCCCTTTCAGTTCCCAGCGCCCCGCGCCGCCTCGGGCGCGTGCCCCGAGCTGTCCGTCGCCAGCACCGCAATGTCCGACGTCAGCGTCGTCGGCACGCTCCCCTGCGGCCGCTCCGGCGCCGCCTCACCCTCCCCCGCCGCCCCAGGCCCGTTCGCGCCCTCGCTTGCCCCCGCGTCGGGCTTGCACTGCCGCTTCTGCAGCCCCCCGCCGCTGCCGCCCTCCGCGACCTGCTCCCCGCTCTCCACCGCCCCGCTCGCCGTCCCCGCCATCCCCGACGCCGCGTCGTCGAAGTTGCGCTTCTTGCCGCCCGCGCTCGGCTCCTTGTCCTCCACCGGTTCCGCGGCCGCGCTCCCGGCCTGCCGCAGGACCCACTGCGGGATCTCGGAGCGCGGCTTCCCCGCGACCACGACCTCCATGGACCCGTGCTGGCAGTGGTCCCAGTTGTATAAAAAGTTCAAGAAGTTCTGCACCGGCCAATTGAGGTCCACGCGCTTGTTGACGCTCTTCGCGACGCCCACGTAGTAGTACACGCGCCGCCACGTCGGCCGCACGCTCAGCTCCGCCGCCTGCGCGTGCTGCGCCGCCTCCTCCGCCGACAACCCCTCCGGCGGCGGGGGGGTCTCCGGGCCGTCGTCCGGCCCGGGGTAGAACTCCCCCGTCCACAGCCGCACCGTCATGATCTCTTGCAGCGCCTCCACGAGCCGCCGGACGTTCGCGCAGGCGTACCCCGACCACATTTTGAACAGGTCGTCGTTCTCCGCCCGGATCTGCACTTCCAGGAACTTCTTGTAGCTCTGGAAGAAGTCCGCGGGCTCCACGAGGCTGGCCCAGTTGGGCCGCAGCGCGCCCGGCTGCAGGATGCCCTGGCACAGCGCGTGCCCGCGCGCGAACTCAGCGCGCATTGTCTCCAGGCTGGACTGGTTGGCGCTGTGGGTGGAGTTCATCGCTGGGTACGTCGGCGTGATGATCGGCATCAGGTGCTGCGCGTCGATGTAGTTCAGGTCCGGGTTCCACACCTGCACAACCACGCCACGTACACAGCGACGGTTGGCTGCAAGGGCGCAGCGTAGGGGCGTGACGCCGCCCGCGGCCCGCAGCTACGTCTCCTGTGCGCAGCTGCAGCGGTGTGTGGGCGGGGCGCCGCACCTTGTGGCCCAGCTGCGTGTCGTAGTCGATCGGCCCGAGCCTGACTGGCGTGGTCCACTGCCACTGAGAGTAAATGAAGAAGAATCGCGACACGATGTGCGACGCCGCGGCCTTCGGGTACAGCTGGCACACGTACGCCGTCATGATCGCCAGGTTGATGCCGCCCAGGTAGCCCATCTTGTTGCCGTAGATGCCGCGCTGCTCGCACCACAGCTTGAGGTACTTTAGCGCCGTCTTGAACGCCTCCGCGTCCGGCGCCAGCGACAGGATCTTGTCGTTGTCTCGCGTGCCCGCCATGGACCGCACCGACTGGAAGTCGACCCCGCGGAGCAAATCGTTGTTGGAAATGTCGGTGTCCGGCGCCAGTCGGTGCAGCTGCAGGGGGGGGATTGGCGGAAACGGACCCGTCGGCGCCGTACGTGGCGAAGCTGCACCGCGGAGGCAGCTAGCTGCGGCGGGCAGGGGCGGCGAAAGGCCGGGAGCGGCGGGCTGCAGGCGCTGCAGCACGGGCGCGTGTCGATGCCTGCGAGGCCGCAGCTGGGCGCAGTGCGCGTCACGCTGCGTGGTGCTGCCAGTGCAAGGCCAGCTGCGGGGCGCGCACCTGTAGCTGCGCGTAGAGGATGTCCAGTTCGACGCCGTCCAGTTCTAACTTGATTACTGGCACGAACGCGCCCGGCACCGCTTGCAGCCCCGTGACGTCCGGGTGCTGCCGCAGCCGCTCCTCGAAGCACAGCGGCCCGGATCCGAAGAAATGCAGCTCCCTCGAGCATTGCTGCGCACACAGTCCACCGCGTAGCATAAGCGTTGGCAGCGCGCGTTTCGGGCGCCGCAGCGGCTCCAGACGCCGCAGCCCGACGCGCACGGCGCGCATCCACGCCACACGGACGTCTCAACGTCTCCACTGCGCGGCCTGGTCGCGCGAGCAGCGAAGAAAGCGTGCGCAAGTGCACTGCGCACTGTATGTATGTATGCAGCTGCGCAGCGCTCGCACCTGCGGCCCCACGCACAGCACGTCGATGTCCGCCCCGGGCTTGTGCACGCCCAGCCGGTACGACCCGTATGTGCGGATCAGCGCGTGCTGCGCAGCTATGGCATCCTTGTCGAACCCGGCGTCGGCAGACACCGCGCGCACCTGCACGAGCGCCGTCACGGGCCGCGGCCTCGTCTCGCGAAGCGGTGGCGCGTGGCAGGTGTGGCGCGAAGTGCGCCGTGTTGAGGTGCGAGGCGAGGAGGGAGGGTCGGGCGCGCACCCACTCCGTGGCGAGCGCCTGCAGCTTCCCCAGCACCTGCTCGCGCTTGATGCGGGCATCTAGATCCTCGTTCAGGCCCCGCTCCTCCAGAAACTGCGTGCGCGCGTCGGGGGCCGGCGCGACGGTGGTGAGCTGCAACGCCACCTCGATGCTGACCACGCGCTGGCGAGACCCCCCCGTATTGAGCGGCCCGGCGGACAGCGTCCGGATCGATACCAACAAGCGCTGCGTCGACGCGTTCCTGACGAGAGCGGCGCACAACGCCACGCGGAGGGCCGTGTTGCACCCTGCTGTGCCGACCCGCTAGGGCCCCGCTCACGCATTCCTCGCCGGTTCCCGCGACCGCACACATGCAGATGATCCACGCAACTCGTCTCGCGCGGGTTCAGGACGCGGGATGTCCGCAAACACCCACGCTCGCCCGTCCCGCCTCGAACGCCGTGGGCAAACGCCCGGGGGTGCGCAGAAGGCCCCGTCGCGCGCCCGCACCTGACAGAGCGCCTCCGTCTGCTTCAGCTGCTCGGCCGTCGGCGGCGCCACGCTGAGTGGCTCGTTCATCACGCGTCACCGGCGCGCAGCGCGCCCGCCTGCGCCTCAACCTCGCCCCGCTCCCTGGAGGGTCGCCGGCAGTCTCGTCCGATGGCGAGGAGCGCGTACGAGCTCGGTGAGTACTCGTTCCGGCCAGCGATGCACGGCACGCGCCCGTCGCGGCGCGGCGAGCGGGGAAAGCGACCACACAAGTGCGCTGGGAGGAAACCGCCACGTTCCAATCGCTCTGGCTGAAACTCAGCCCCCGCCCCGGCGCGTGGTGCCTCCTAAGCGGTGCGTTCGTGCCGGGCAGCTCGGCGTCGTCGAGGCAACGAAGACACAAGCTGCAGCGGCCTGTCCGTCTGGCTCGGCGCTTTTCATACCTCCTGGGCTCGCGTTCCGGCACGTGCGTTGCGCCGTTGCGCAACCACCGAGCTGCACTTCCGCCCCGCTTTCATCAGAGTGCCGTACTTTGCGCCAAACGTCGCCACAGCCGCAGGACACTCCCATTGAACATAGAAATCTACGTCTCTACTGCCGACAGGGCGTCTGCACCGCTGAACTTCCGGCGGGAGGGCCCTACGCGGCAGGAACATGACGGCCGGGGGCGCGGGGGAGGCGGGGCCTTCATCGGCCCCGACGGCGAGGGGTGCTAGGACAGCGGGGCCCCCAGAGGACCCGGCGCTGTTCGTGCGGTCGCTAGCCGAGCCGGACCACCACCGCCCAACGGTCCCTGACGACTTCACGGCGTACAAGCTCCAGGTCTCCGGCGCGTGCACCGACGACGAAGGTGCGTGGCGGCCCAACACCAGCGCGGGCAGGACCGACAGCTCGCCGCGCACCGCGCGTTTCCGCTATCCTGAATCGAACCACATCAACTGTCTTTCAGTATCAGCGAGGAGGCCGCGTTCGTCGAAACACGCGTCCTGGGCGCGGCGTACCTTGTTCCTGTGCAGGCCTCATCCGCTTGGTGTCGTTAGGGGCGCAGAAGTTCATCACCGACATCCTGGACGACGCCTTCCAGCACGGCCGGCGAAAGACGCAGATCGAGCCGCCCGCGGCCAAGCGGAGAAAGGACGCGGACGGCACCGCCACGGCCAACGTCCTCACCACCGACGTGCGCACCCGCAGCCGCCGGGCTGCCGACCGCAGCGGCACGCAGCTCCGGCGCACGCAGCCTGGCTGGGATAACGGCAGCGCCCGCGCCTCCTCGCCGCTCTTGCGGGCGCGCGTTCCGACCGCGCGGTGCAGCGACACACGCACACGCATGCTCCCTCTCTCTCAGCGCCGTCGCGGAAGCAGAGGCGAACGAGCGTCGCTCTGACTCGCTGCCTGGCGCACAAGCCGCGGGCCGGACGTTGTGTCGTGCGCTGTCACGGTCACCAGGGCCGTGCGGTGCGGATCGTGATCGTGACCGTACGCCGCACGTAGGACTGCTGGACCCGCGCGGCTCGTAGCGCCGCGGCAGCGCGCCGGAGTGGTGGTTGTTCGCTTTCCGCATCCTCGGCGACGCCGGTCGCGAGCGTGCGACCAGTTGCGGCACGTTCTCAACCCGAAAGAAGAAGGAGAAGGAAAGAACATCATCAGTTGTGTTTTCTTGTCTTGTTGTGTCGCAGGATCTGTCCAAGGCTCTCAAGGACCGCGGGATCGACCTCGGGCAGCCGCCGTACCTGCTGCAGAACGACCTCATGGTGCGGCCGCGCGGGGGCAGCGCGTTCGCGTCAAAGTACTAGTACAAGCGCGCGGCTGTGAGACCTGAAATCTCGAGTGCCAGCATGCCGCTGCGAAGTCCGCAGTGCTGCCCGCAGCGCCGGGACGAATCCAGCCGACATCGCAGCGGGCGACCTGTCGATGTATATGTATATACATAACACTAAAATAACATAACATAACATAATCTATGACGAGAGGCGTTTCAGCCCACACGTGAACTCTCTCCGCCAGCTCCGTGTGCGCTGAGGGGCGGGGCCGCACGGCGCGCTCTGTCGGCGTGGCCAAAGCCGCATGAGGACACCCCCGGGGGGCAATTGAATGCCGCGCCGAGGTATAAAACACGGCGTGCTGCGCCCGGTGGCGGGCTAGTGAGCGCGGCGGCTCGCCGGGCGCTAGAACTGCGGTCTGGTGACAGTGTGGGCGCTCCAGAGAGGCTTGAGCGGCAGATTGTGTGCGGAAACCGCGCACAGCGTTTGGTTGCGTGCAACGCCAGGGTGGGCGCGGCCCGGGATTCGCGTGAGCGGCCGGAACGGACGCATTACCGGTCCACTGGCGTCCTACTCCATCGTGTGTGCGATTCAAGGCGCTCGTTCGCCGCTCCGCTGCGTCGGGAGAGCGCACAGAGGCCTCGCGCAGCGCCCCGCGTGTCGCGAGCTTGCCCGCGGCACGTCGAGATATCAGGTGGCTAGGTTCCGCGAGAGCTGAGACGCGACAGGCGCAAGCATGGGGCGGAACTCGGAGTGCGTCAAGGTGGGCGTCCTGAGCTCCCGGAGACGTTGCCTCTCTGCATGCTGCGCCTTGCACGAGCCACACACGCCGCAGCGCCGCTCCGACGGCCGAGCTGCCACCGTGCCCCGCAACGACGCGTGGCGGCGGGCGAGCCGCGGTCATCGTCGTGCTCTGCGCCGCGCCAGAGGCGACAGACCCAGCCTGTTTGGCGAGCTGGCTTCACGCAGTCGCGCGTGCGCGGCGCACACTCATCTTCGAGCCCGCTGGACGGCGGCGGCCGCTTTCGAGCCCCGTTGTCCAGCGCGTAGCGCTGCTCATGCTTATTCACGGCCGCCCTGTCGCTGCCCGGCCGCGCCCTGCTGCGAGCTCAAGTCACGCTCGGCAGCCGGCGGAGCGCGCAACGCATCTCCCCCCGCGCCCGCCCCGCCGTGCAGGTCGTCGTCAGGTGCAGGCCCTTGAGCCAGAACGAGGTCAAGGATGGGCGGAAGCGCACCCTGGAAATGGACCAGGCAGCGGGCCAGGTGTGCCTGCCGCGCTCCCGCGCCCGCACCCAGCCTTTTCACCGCGAAACTCGCCACGAGCCCCCACCTCCACACCTCCAACGCCCGCACCCTGCTCCAGCCCCTACAGCCTCAACCGCAAAACTCCCCCCGGCCCCACGTCGGCGGCGCAGGTCATCATTCGCAACCCGAAGGCCCCCCCGGACCAGCCCCCGATGATGTTCACGTTCGACCAGGTGTACGACTGGACGAGCACGCAGCGCGACGTGTACGACATTTCTGCGGCCCCGATCATCGACGCTGTGCTCCAGGGGTACAACGGCACGATCTTTGCGTACGGTCAGACTGGGTCAGGGAAGACGCACACGATGCAGGGCGTGCCGGAGGACCCGGACCTGCGCGGCGTGATCCCGACGGCGTTCAACCACGTGTTCTCGTCCATCGCGCGCAACCAGGAGAAGACCCACATGGTGCGTGCGTCGATGCTGGAAATCTACAATGAGGAGATCCGGGACCTGCTCGGGCGCGACCAGAGCAAGAAGCTCGACATGCGCGAGAGCGTGGAGAAGGGCGTGTACATCGACGGGCTGACGTCGTTCACGGTGTCGTGCGTCGCGGAGCTGATGGTGCGGTACCCGCGGCGCCGCGCACGCGCCTGGCTGTGCTGTGGATGCGTCGAGCTCGATGCGTGCTGGCGGCGCCTGCGCCTTGACTCCCCCCCTGGAAGCATGACTCCCCCCCTGGCGTTGCAGACGGTGCTGAACGTGGGTTCGAAGAACCGCACGGTGGGCGCGACGAAGATGAACCAGGACTCGTCGCGCAGTCACTCGATCTTCACGCTGACGGTCGAGCAGGCGGACAAGGAGGCTGGCGAGGACGGCGGGCACGTGCGCGTGGGGAAGCTCAATCTGGTCGACCTGGCCGGGAGCGAGCGGCAGAGCAAGACGGGCGCGACGGGGCAGCGGCTGAAGGAGGCCACGAAGATCAACCTCTCGCTGTCGGCGCTGGGCAACGTGATCAGCGCGCTGGTCGACGGCAAGAGCACGCACGTGCCGTACCGCGACTCCAAGCTGACGCGCATGCTGCAGGACAGCCTCGGGGGGAACACGAAAACGGTCATGGTGGCGAACTGCGGCCCCGCGGACTACAACTACGACGAGACGATGTCGACCCTGCGCTACGCCAACCGCGCCAAGAACATCCAGAACAAGCCGAAGATCAACGAGGATCCGAAGGACGCGATGATCCGGGAGTACCAGGAGAAGGTCGCGGAGCTCAAGGCGAAGCTCGCGCAGCGCAAGGGGGCGGTGCGTGCCCAAGCTGCTCACGTGCCCTGGCTGTGCTGGCGCGCCGTGTTGTGCGGGCGCGTTGCGGGCGCGGCGCGCTGTTGTTGTTGTTGCTTGCTGTGGCGGATCGGTGTGTTTGTGCGCGGGGTCGCTGAAGTGCGGGGACGGCGCGAAACCGTTGAGACGGACACAAGTTGAGACGCCCGCCCGGTGCATGGTTTCGCTTCGTGTCGCGCAGGCGCAGCCGCCGCAGATCGTCAAGAAGGTGGTCGAGGTTGAGGCTGGGGCGGAGAAGATCGCGGCGGTGCGGGAGCAGATGATGGCGGAGCTCGCCCAGCGCATGGAGCAGGAGCGCGACCAGGAGGCACTGAAAGCAGCCAAGAAGCAGGCCGAGGAGAAGGCGCGCAAGGCGCTCGAGGAGATGATGAAGGACGCGCAGAAGTCCGAGGAGGAGAAGAAGGCCATCCAGGCGCGCCCCCGCCCCGCGCACCCCGCAACAGCCCACTCGCGGCGCGCTCGCTGCGTCCCACCGCTCCGGCGCTGCGTTCCGGCTGGTGCAGAGCGCGCTGGCGCAGCAGCACGCGGAGCTCGAGGAGTACGCGGCGAAGCTGGAGGCGGAGCGGCGCGCGCAGGAGGCGCTAGAGAAGGAGCTGAACGACGTGCAGTCCAAAGTGCTCGACGGCGGCGAGAACCTGTTCGAGAAGATCGAGGGGCTCGAGGAGGTGGAGCGGGAGCACGAGCGCGAGCTGGAGGTCCAGCGGCGGCAGGCGCAGGAGCAGGAGCGGCGGCTGCGCGACTTGAAAGAGGAGGCCATGTTGGAGACAGACCAGTTCCACGACGTGCGGGAGGAGATCGAGACGGTGCGGGCCAGGCTGGCGGAGGTCGAGGGGCAGCAGGTGCAGCGGAAGGCGGAGATGGAGGAGGTCCTGCACGCGCAGCAGCTCGAACGGGAGGACCTGATGGCGCAGGTGCGGGGTTGTATTGCATTGTGGGTTGCCGCGCGCGTGAGGTGGTCCTGGAGCAGTGGGCGAGGATGGGGCAGGTCGGCGTTGCGTCGCTGCGTGGCCGCGGCGTCCATCGCGGTGGCAGCGGCGTGTTTGCGCTTTGATGATGGGGTCCGGTGCGTGGCTGATGGGCAGTTCGGCAGCGCAGTCGGAATTGTAGTTTTGTTTCGCGGTGGCGCGCAGGTGCGGGAGCTGGAGCAGATCACGCGGTTGAAGGACCTCGTGATCTCGTGGTTCATTCCCCCGGAGTGGCTGGCCGTGATCAAGGAGCGGTGCTACGAGGACCCCACCACCGAGGACTGGATCGTCGACGACGGCCACCTCTGCGGCAACCGCGTCCGCAACAACGTGCGCCACACGACCTCCCCGCATCGCACGCGTGCGCACAACGCACAATGCACACGTCTGCAGCCACACAGAACGCCTCCACGCTCCGCACGAGCTCGATTTCGACCTGGACGTTGCGGCCTCTGCGTTGCTGCGTGCAGGAGATCGAGGACAGCGAGGGCACCGACCCGAACACCACCGACGACCTGTCGTCAGTGTATTTGTCATACCGCCAGCTCAAGGAAGCAGACGACGGCGGGGGCAAGACGAGGAAGCGCTCGTCGGCGAACAAGGCCGCCCGCGCCGCCGCCGCAGCCGCGCGCCCGGGGTCGGCGCGCCCGAAGGCTGCGTCGGGGGCGTCGAAGACCACCCTGTCGGTGGGGCCTGCGTCGGGTCGCGGGTCGCGGCGGACGTCGACGAGCGGCATCGGGGGGCCGCTCGCGCCGGAGTCGTCGCAGATGGGCGTCGGCGGGAGGTCGTCGCGCGAGGCGGGCGGCAGCGCGGGGCGGGAAGCGGCGCCTCGTGCGCGAGGGTTGGTGAAGCGGTGATGATGATGCACCGGGGGGGGTTAGGGGTTGGGGGGGGACGTGTTGCGTTCGAGGCGGTGTGGGGTGGCTGCGATCATCGGTCGCGAAGGCTTGTGAGCCAGCCGAGTCTGTCGCATCAACCGGATTCCGATCGAGCCATGAAACTTTCCTTATTTTATATGCTTCATTGATTGATTGCTCAGAGCAAGAGTGTGTTGGCATCGACCGGCACGCCCGGTGGGACCCTCCCGCGTTGAAGGGCGCACGCCGCATTGATTCGTTTCGGCGCGGGCGCCTGGACTCGTGTCAATCCATGCGACGACTTTGCTCTTTGGCCAAGGTGGCAAGCTAAAATCCAAGTGCGATAACTGCCTCGTCAAGTTGCGCTGCAGGGCACGACTGGTCACACGCGGAGCCGCCGCTCTATCCGCCTGCGTCGCCCGCTCCTTCTTGTTTTTTAACTTGCGTTCATAAGGTAAGATGAGACTTGTGTTCATGTCTGTCGTTCACTCCAAGGGGCAGCGAGAGCTTCCGCCCGCGCGTTACTCCGCGGCCGGCCGGCTCCGCGTCGACCGCGTCGTCGGCGCGCGCAGCCGCGAGCTCCCCGGCCGCGGCAGCCCTGACCGGGGCTTCCCAGGAGTAAACAACTCCCGGGGGGTCTTCGGCGCTGACTCAGCCGGAGCCGCGTTGCCGCTCCGCTCGACCAGCGGCCGGCCGCGCGGCGTCTGCGGGCCGTCAGCGCCCTCGGACGACGCGAGCGAGTTCGTCCGCACCGGAGAAGACACCCCCCCTGACTCGCGGTCCGTCCCAGACCCCTCCCCCTCCATCTCGACATCCTCCGACGTCGGCGACGGCTCTGAACCCTCCTCGCCGTCGCTCAGGAAGCCTGTGAAGACCTCCAGCCCCGCGTCGATCCTCGACTTCTTCAGCTGACCGACCGCGCCCTCAATGTCGGCGCGCAACGCCTCAGCATCGGCCACGGCCGGCACGGCGACGCGGCGCTTCTTCGGCGTCTCGCCCGTCGGAACGTCACTGCGGTACTCGACCTCGAGCTTCGTGCGCACGTGCCCGCCGAGGCCCTCCAGGCCCGCGCCCTGCTCGGCGCCGTACGCCTCCACCGCAGCCCTGCCGCCCTCCGCCGTGGCGGTGATCTCCCCGGCCTCGCGCGTGGCCGCCTCAGCCCCGCGGCGCGCCTCCTCGTGCATCCCGCCGACCGCCGCGGCGCCCGCCTCGGCGCCCGACGCCAGCTCCGACACCCCCGCCGCGACCGCCGCCTCGACGCGCGCCTGCGCCGCGTTCGCGCGCTCCACCAGCGCGTCCGTGTGCTCCTCCAGCTGCGCGCGCGCAGCCTCGCCCGCAGCGCGCATGCCGTCGGCCACGCCCTCCGCGTCCCCGCTCGCAGCACCAATTCCCTCCTCGATGCTTCCCAGCGTCGCCCGTGCCTTCGCCGCCGCCTCCGCGACCTCCTCTCCGGCCTTCACGCCCACGCCGCGAGCCAGCCCGGCGCCCTCGCGCGCCGCAGCGGCCACGGCGTCCATGTCAGACTGCAGCGAGACTCCCCCCGCGCCGACGTCCTCCGCCACCTTCGCCGTCACCGCCGTCACGCTCTCGACGGACGCGCCGACGAAGTCGCCGACCACGGCCGCCATCCGCTTCACCATCTCCTCCTTCTCCCGCTCCGCACGCGCCCGGAACTCCGCAGCCACGGCGCGCAGGCACTCCTGCTGCGCCGCGACACGCGCGGCACCGTCCGCCCTCGCCCTCGCGCTCGCGTCGCTCACGCCCTTCATCGCCGCCTCCGCGCTCGCGACCAGCCGCTCCATGTGCGCGCGGAGCTCCTCCGCGGCCGCCGTCTGCGCGTCGGCCACGGCCCTGACGCGCCCGCGCTCGCCGCTCAACGCAGCGCGGACCTCCGCGATGCCGTCCGCGCACGCGCGCTCCGCGTCCGCCAGCGCCTTCACCACGGCGTCGCGGTGGCGCTCCTGGCTCGCCGCCGCGTCGGACAGCGCCGACCGCGCGCCGTCCGCGAGCCCAGACAGAGACGCCGCGCCGGCGTCGCGCAGGCCCGCCAGCGTCCCGGAGAGCGCCTCCAGCGACGCCTGCGAGCTCTGCAGCTCTGCCCTGCGCCGCTCGAGCGCCGCAGCTGCGCCGCTCGCCACGGCACCGTGCGCCGCGCGCTGCGCCTCAACAGCGCGGCCCAGCGCCGCCGCCATGCCCCCGACGGCCCGCTGCGCCTCCGCCGCCAGCGCCCCGACCGTCGCAGCGTTGTCCCGCTCGACACCGGCCTTGCGCTCGATCTTCGCGTGCGCGGCGCCGAGCTCCGCCGCTGTGCGCTCCAGCTCATGCGTCAGACCCACCGCGTGCGCCGCCAGCGCCGCCTCCGCCTCGCGCTGCACCGCGATCACGTGCTCCTGCTCCTCGATCTTCAGCTGCGCCTGCTTCAGGTTCGCCGCCGTCCTCTCCAGCGCCGCCACCGCCGCCGCGTGCTTCGCCCGCAGCGCCCCGTGCGCGGCCCGCTCCGCCGCCAGCGCGCCCTCCGCGGCCCGCGCCGCCTCAGCCTGCACACCGAGCGCCTCCTGCGCGGCCGCGAGGTCCCGCTCCTGCGTCGCGATGCGCTCCTCCATCGCCGTGTACTGGTCCGTAGGCAAATACACCCCCTCCTTCTCCCGCGCCGAGTACAGCTGCGCCTTGAGCTTGTCGATCTCGCCGGCGTAGTCCTTGAGCAGCGCGGTCTTCGAGATCTTCTGGTTGATCTCCGGCCGGTTGCGGATGTTCTTCGCCCGGTGCGCGTAGTCGAGCGTGTTGACCGTCTCGTCCAGGCACGTCACCGTCGGCGCGATCGTCGCCACGATGCACGTCTTCGCGCGGCCCCCGAGGCTCTCGCGCAGCAGCCGCGTGAGCTTCGAGTCGCGGTACGGCACGTACGGCTGCCGCTCCGTCAGGGCCGTGATCACGCGGCCCAGGCACAGCAGAGACTGGTTAATGCTGCCGGCCTCGCGCGCCCGCTGGTCCTTCGCGCCGGACTTCGAGATGTTCTCGCTCCCCGCGAGGTCCACGAGGTTCAGCTTGCCCACCTTGATGATCTCCTCGCCCTCGGGCGTGCTCTCCTTCATGTGAATGGTAATAGTGAACACCGAGTGCGAGCGCGACGACTGCTTGTTCAGCAGCGTCGCGCCCTTCGTCCGCCGGTAGCTCCCGCGGTCCAGCACCGCGTGGATCTCCCCCGGCGTGCTCACGATGATTTCCTCCAGCCCGCCGACGTGCACCACGTTGCTCGCGTCCTCCATGAGACGCAGCCGCCGGCCCGCGTCGTCCTCGCCCGCCGCGAGGAGGTCCGTGATCTCCTCGTTGTACAGCTCGAGGTACGAGACCTGCAGCGCGGACCGGAGGGGGGGGGGGAGTTCCAAGCCAGTGCGCGCTGCGCAGTCGCTGTGGCGTGGGGTCGCTCGGGCGGCGCGTGGGAGGGGGCGGGGGCGTGCCTTGACGGTGTACTCGGAGCCCATGCCTTCGAGGGTTTGGAACACGAGGTTGATCGCGCGGGGAATGACGCCGGCGCCAGCCGGGAGGTGGGCCGACCCGCTCCCTTCGCCGCGGAAGTCGCCCTCCATCGTGTACGTCTTGCCTGCGGACACGAGGCAGCGGCGTCGGTCGCGCGGCGCGGCGGTGTCTGCCACGCGAGTAGCGCTGCCACCTGGCATGACGTTGCCTGGCGACGGGCCGCGGGGAGGGCGGGCCGGTCGCGAGGCCTGGCTCCGCTGGAGCACAGGGACGCGGAAGGCGGGGCTAGGGGGGCGCAGGGAGGGCGTGTGGGGCGCGGGCGGGCGGCGGTAGGGGGCCGCGAGATGGCCTTGTTGCGCGATGCGAAGGCGCGGGCTGTGGCGGACCTGTGCCGGTCTGTCCGTACGCGAAGATGGTGCAATTGAAGCCCTCGAGGACCTCCTGGACGATGGGCGCGATGGACGTGTGGAAGATGTCCTCCTGGCCGGAAGACGGGCCGAAAACCTGCGCGTGATGGGCGGGACGTGGAGGCCGTCGCGTGGCGCGCGGGGGGCGTTTCCGGGCAGGTCAGCCACCGCCGGCGAGCCTCAAGCAACTGATCATCCCAGCGCGCCGAAATGTGGACGAAATATCGCGGGTCCGGGGCCGCGAGAGGGACCGCGCGCTCCGGGCTGCTCACAACACCCGGAGGGCCCGCGGACCGCCGCGCTGCGGGCCTGTCGAGCCCGAGCGTCCGAGAATCACGTATGTTCAGAATGTTTCGCGTCGATCTCGACGAAAAACACACGCTGCGCGGCCCTGCGCGCGAGGCACGCGGGCCTGGAGTGCCACGGCACCGAGCTGGCCTCACCTTGTCGAAGCGGAAGGTCTTCTCAACCCGCTTTCCGGCCATCGACTGCCACACCGTGACCTCCTTGCGGTCATCGTTGCAGTCGATCACCTTCTGAGCGCGCGACGCCACCTCATTCTCGTTCACCGGCCTGCACACTCACACACATACACAGCCCGCTCACGCGCCGTACCGCAACTCCCGCGGCGCGCCCCCGGCGCGATCGCTCGCGCAGAGCACGCTCTCGCAGGCTACCCGCGCGCGCACCTGCACCGCAGAATGACCTGGACGTTGACGCCGTCCCCGCCCCCAGCGTCGGCGCCCGCCCTCCCGCGCGCTGTGGACGGTCTGCTGGACATGTTCGACGAGCGCGCTCTCACGGCCGCGAGCGGAAGAGTGGCGCGGAGCGGCGCGGGCGCGCCCCGAGGTGCCGCGGACGCGCACCGCGCTCAGGATCCCTCATGACAGATGTCGTCGGTGACTGTCATGAACGTATGTGGGTGGGGCGCGCTCTGAGGGCCCGCGCGGGCCCTGCGCGCGGGCAGACTGGGGGCTTGGGAGTTGGATAGATACGTGAGAGGCGATTTCGACGTTCGAGCGCGAGGGGCAGCCGAGTTTTCGAGGGAAACGTGGCCCTGAGGAGTGCTGTCGCTGCCTCGCGCGCCCGGGAGGCGCCAGGATCCCGTTGGGAGGAGGGCAGAGGCTGGTTCGTGAGGAGTAGGGTTCAGCGCGGGCGGGAACCATGGACGGGCCGTACGCGGAGGCCGTGGGCGACGCGTTGAGGGTCGGTGGAAGGGTGTTTCGGGAGCAGCTGAGTCAGGCGGCGGACGTGTACGCGTCCGCGCCGCAGCAGCTGCTGCTGGTCGCACACTGCGCCGCGTGCGCGGTGATTTTCGCCTCCCTGAAGCGGCAGTGGCTGCTGTGCTACTGGGTGAGTGCCCATGAGCTACACGGGCAGCCACGCCCGGACCCGTCGAATGCGGCTGAACTACGAACCGGGAGCGAGTCCGAGCACTCGATGCCATCCCGTGCCCCACCGCAACATCCGCCGGGCCGCCCGTGGGGAACAGCAACGCCCTCCTGCGCCTTTGCTGATTGGCCGCGGCTCCCGGCGCGAGTCACGCGCCATCGCGACGCAACGCGCGCCCGCTGAAGCCCCACACCTGTGCGCAGATCGGATTCTTCGGCGCGTTCGGCGGAGGGCACCTTTCGGCGCTGCTTCTGTCCTCGATCAGCACCAAGGTGGTTCCGCTGGCGCTCTTCGCCAGCAACCAGCTGTTCGTCACATGGACGCTGACGTGGCTTCTCGTCACGTACACACCCCTGTACTCCATCGTCTCCAAGTACGCAGCGTCCCGCGCCGCCGTGCGCCTCTTCTGCGCAGCCCTGTCGCTCGCCCGCCCGCCTCTTGCGACGCACGTTCCGCGAAAACCGCCGCGCCTCGTGCATGGAGCTCGCATCCTGAACAGGCACGGGCCTTCGCGGCGCGCGTTCCCACCGCACAGCCCACGCATTGCTGCCTGCAGGCCTACAGTAAAAACCCTCGCGATGGCGGGCCTGCACATGCTGCGCGTCGGCACGATCATCACGCGCGTCGACATCGCCGCTGCGGAGTTCCCGGGCGTCATCGCGGCCCCAGTGGTGATCGGAACCCTCGGGGGTTGCGGGGGAAAGATCTTCACCGATTTCCTGCTCCTCGTCTTCACAGGTGCGCCGCAGCGCGCCGGCGCCACGCACGCCGCATCCCGCGCCGCACAGCCGCGCCGTCACGCCCGGCCCGCTGCGCGCCAGCTCGAAAGCCAGAAGAGAGACAACGATTCCTTAATAATTAAATATGCGTGCATCGATATGATATGATACTCAAGGCAGCGAGTCGTTTTGGTCGCTGTGCAGGCCGGCTCGAGGGGCTGCCGGAGCTGTGCTGCCCCGGCGTGGCGTTCCACTCGGCGAGCGCGATCACGCTCATGCACTACCTCGGGGTGCACGTCACAGCGTTCCTCGACAGCGCGCAGAGCAAGGCGCTGATCACCACCGTCGTCGTCGCGCACATCCTCGCGGAGGCGAGCCTCGGCATCAAGGTGCGCGGCGCGCGCCTGCCTGGCCACCGGCACTGCTGTCAGCCATGAGCGAACACACCCCCCTGCTTTGCTGGTGTCGTCCGCGCGTGACGGCGCCGCCGGTGCTGCGGTGTCTTGCAGACGCACTGGACGGCGCCGATGACGGCGGCGTTCTACGCGCTGATGCCGTTCGAGCGGAATGTGCAGCCAAAGGGGGCGCACGCGTCGTCGCCGGTGATGGCGCGACTGAACTCCAGGACGCCGCGGGTCGCGACGCCGCGGCGGGGCAGCGCCGCGAACGGGAGCGTGGCGCCCATGCGGCGGCTGTCGACGAAGGAGGAGGAGCCAGGCAGGGGGAAGAAAACCAATTGAGAAGTCTTGATTGGCGAACTGACAGCGCGGAAGGGCGCTGGCTGGCTGGCGACATGGCTCGGCAGCCGCGGGACCCATGTCTCCTCGAACGCGAGCGAAACCGGGGCCGTCAGTGACGGCCCTCGCACCGCTACGTGCACGTACAATGCCTTGCATCACTCCCCCCGCTATCCAAAACTCCCCCAACACCCCCCTAACCAGTCATCGATAGCAGACGCAACGTGGGCTGGCCCCGCGGCCTCGATAGCACGGTCTGCACGCCTGTACAGGCAATGCAAGCAGTGGAGCGCAGGCGCTGTGACGAGTGAACGACCTCAACCTCTTTCGCGGACTGGAAACGATCCTCTGTGGCGCTGCCTCGGCCCAGGGACCCACCAGCCCCACGCCGCCACGGCAACCCAGTGCTTGACAGTCAATTGATATGCTTTCTATCGTTCATTATGAACAACCATAATGGTTGAACCCTTCCAGCCTCATGCTCAGCCATTGACGTGGTCAGCGACTACATACATACACACACACATGCAGCGCCGCGCGACGTCACATCATTCAATCATTTGACCGCTCAGACTCGCCCTGAGCGGTCACGTCACCGCATGGTCAACCTGTCCCGCAGCTGGTCGATCATCGCCCCCACACGCCCCTCCCCAACCGCGCCCCGCAGCCGCGACAGCAGCTCCGAGTCCTTCGCCTGCGCCGCCAAGTGCGCCGCGGCCTCATACTTCCCCAGCGCCGTCAGATACTGCGCCTTATCCGCAACTGACGTCAGGCGCCCAATCAGCCTCGTCGCCACATCCTCCGGCATCCCCCGCCCCATCGCCAGGTCGAGCACGCGCCCCGGCTGCAGGTGCGGCGACCGCCGGTCCCCAGCGAGCGACTCGAGCCGCGGCCATGCCCCCGCGCCCGCCAGCGCCCGCACCTGCATCGCCGCGAACGCTGCGTCCGACACCCTGAACTCGCTCCGCAGCGCCGACGCCTGCTTCACGTTCCCGTTCGCCAGCAGCGCCTCGATCGTCGCCGCCACGGGCTTCCCGACGAACTGTCCGGAACGCCCTAGTTCGCGCTCGAGGGCGCCCTGCGCCGCGTGGAGCCTCGCGGCCTCGTGGCACGCGCGCGAGAGCAGCCCCGCGTCCTTGTCCTCGCGCTCGCGGCCCGCCCACAGCCCCGCGGCGCGCTCCAGGAGCTCCTCGGGGCTCTGGGTGGCGCCGGCGGGCGGGGGCGGGCAGGGGGGTTTGGGCGCGGTGGACGCGGCGGCCTGGGCGTGCATCGCGTCGCCGACGAGGACGGCGGCGAGGTCCTGGGAGCGGCCGATGGCGAGCGGGACCTGGCGCAGGAGGGCGGGGTCGGCCTGACGGCAGTGCGCGTAAAACACCTCCCGCGCCTGCGGGCGGCCCTCGAGCAGCTTGAGCACGTCGTCGAGGGAACTCATCCTGCAGGAAGGGAAATTGAAGTCCCCGGTGGGCTGCAAAAACCTTCGCACGTCCACTTGTGCGGCGAACGCGACGATGCGGCCCGTGTGGAAGTGACAAGAAAATGCATGTTGCATTTACTTATTTTTTCGCCGCACGCACCTGGCTGTCCGCAGCAGAACCCACAGGGCGAGGTCCGCCTCGTGGCACTGCATCGCGCGGTCCAGCGCCTGCGCGGCCTCCCCCATAGACAGCAGAAGCCCCACCTGTTCCCGCACCACAGGCTCACGCTCCAACAGCGTCGCGGCCAGCCGCCGCCGCCCCAGCCCCGCAGCGTGCACGGCCGCGCGCGAGAAGTGCGCGCCGGGCACCGACGACAGCACGGGCAGCACCGCCGCCAGCAGCTCCTGGTCTGACATAGCGTCGCCGGCGGTGATCCGCGCGATCGCCCAGTGCGTCGCGACGGGCGAGAGGTCGCGGCCGAGGAACTCGCACGCCCGGAGCGCCAACAAATGGTGGTGCTGCAGCACCAGCCTGCGACACAGCCGGTCCATGGTCAGCGCGTCCGCCTGCGCGGCCGTCAGCGCCATGCCCACCTCAGACGCGCGCACCGCGTTGAGCACGCGCAGCCGCCGGATCGACGACCCCATCAGCTCCGCGGCGACCCCCACGGGCCCGAGCGCCTTGCCGTACGCCGCGGCGCGCAGCAGGAAGCGTTGCCGGCCCTGGTGGAAGTCCGCGAGAGCAGCGCGGACGCAGCACTCGACGGCGCGGGGGAGTTTCGGGCCGAGCATGCGGACCATGGTGTCCGCCGCGGGGTCGTGGTCGTCGTACATCGCGCGGGCGTCGTTCAGGATCGCGCCCGGTTCCGTGGACCCGATGCCCCACACGTCGACCTGCGCCTGTGGAACGCGCGAGACCAGCGAGTGCTCGCGCGGGGCCAGGACGCGGAGGCCGTCGACCTGCGGAGAGAGACCGTGAGCGGGGAGGCGGCTGTTTGGCGCCGGCGACGCAGCGCTGCGGCGGGGGTGTTTGAGTTGCGCGGCGATATGGGGGGGAGTATTCCGGGGCGTGCGGAAGGCGCCCGGGCCGCTGCTGCGTGTGGGTATTGCAGGGGGGCTCACCTCCGGGGAGAGCACGACCGGCCCGTCGAACGAGAGTTCCAGCACGCCCCCGAACGGGCCCAAAAGCCACCGTCCCCCCCCCCTCGCGCCGCCCAAGGCCAGCGCGTCGGGCCCGCACCACGTCATCACCGCGCCGCGCGGGACCCCCGCGGGCTCCTTCAGCGTCGCTACCGGCGCCTGCAGGTCCGGCTGCAGCACCAGAACGTCCCCGTTGGCACACCGCGCCGCGACGAGCCCGCTCAGCGGCGCGATCGCGAGGCCCCAGATGCCCGGCGTAGCGCACGCCGCGGGCTCGCAGGACTGCGCGTCCACGACGAGGATCGCGTCGCCCACGCCGAGCAGTACCTCGAGATCGCCTTCGACGTCGCGGCGCGTCGCCAGGCACGTGGGGACGCCCGGGGCGTCGGCGCCGTTCCCCGCGCGGGCCGCGGGGAGCGCGAGGGGGAATCTCGCGGGCCGAGGCTCCTCGAAGCTCGCGACGGCGTACAGGAGCCCCGAGGGGGTGGTGGCGGCGATGCCGACTTCGCTGACGTGGCAGAGGGACACCCCGTCGGACATGACGTCGAGCCCGAGCGTGAAGTGCTTGGCGGCCTCCGTGCACAGCGGGTCGTACACGCGCACGGCGCCGGAGGCGTCCACGACCGCGACTGTGTCAAGCGGAGTCCAGCCAATGCCACAAGCCTGCATTCGCACCATTGCCCAAAACAAACACTCAGAGCCGCGCCGAGCGGCCAGGCTGTGAGCGTCGCTCACTGCTGAGCCGAGACGCTGCGCCCTCCGGGCGCGCACGGCACGAGGACCGTGGTCGGTGCGTTGTTGCTGCGCGGTGTGTTGAGGTGTCGCTGCGAGCGTGGGCGGGCCCGGACGTGCCGCGCGGGGTCGCTCACCGGTTCGCCGTCCCAGGGGTAGGTTCCGAGCGGCTTGCCGGAGCCCGTGAAGGTGCGCAGGGCGGACTTGGCGCCCGCAGCGTCCACGCGGACCGTTTTGGTCTCGTCGCGCACGGACGCGATGCAGCCGCCGTTTGGGGCCATGGCGACGAAGTGGCCTGCGGGGGAGGCGGTGGGCGATTGAGGTCGTCGCCGGCGCGGATGTGGACATGAGCGAAGTGCGGAGTTGCAAAGGCTGGTGGCGCGCGCTGAGGGAGCGAACGCACCTGTGATGGGGTCGTCCTTCCCCCATGACATGTCATACATGTGTTGACATGTGTAGAAGGAGTCCCCGCACGGCTGCCAGTCCCCCGCTGCGTGAGAGAGAGGCAGGAGGTGGTCTTGCTGGCGCGAGTGCTGCTGTTCGCCCTCGCACCGCCGGACGGCTGCAGGACTCAGCTGATGTGGGGACAGTGGCGGCGCGCACGGCGCCGTCATATGCGGCGTCGATCGACGCGGCCGCGCCCAAGACGTTGCGCGGGCCAGCGGGTCGCACCTGGCGTTGTGCGGGACGGAGCAACCATGTCTCCGCGTCGGCCTACGATCTACAACTTCATGCTTGTCCCAGCAACGGATTCCGAACCGTCCCTCCCCGCAAGCTGTCCACGCAAGGCCGTCCCAGTGGTTGCTTCCGAACTCAATCACGGCCGGATAAAGACGAGATACAATAGAAGCGGGACGCAGCGCTCTGCGTGAGGCACGTGCCCGTAGCCCCTTGTCCACCGCCTCGGGCCGCGGCCTGAGGGCTCCTCGGGCCGAGTCGGCTGATGTCTGGTACGGTCGCCGCCAGACGGACCAGCTCCGTGTACTTGACACGGCTGCGTTCCGCGACCCAATCAGTCTCACAGCTCGGCCTCGACGCGGACCACCCGTGCGCAGCGCTGCGACGTGTCGGGAAACCCGAGCGCGCAACTGAGCGCCGAAATCACAGGTGCACTGCATTGCACGTCGGGCGCCCGCGGGCCGTTCGCCGCGCCCCTGCGACGGGCGCGAGGCTGCCGCGCGGCCGGGATGTCGAACGTCCCAACGCCTCAGATGTACTCGAAGTTCGCCTTCGAAGTGGGCGGGAAGGTGCGCGAACGCCTCGTTTCCCCTGCGCTCCTTCCGAGCCACAGAGACGCCGTTTGCCCGGACCATTGCGCCTGAACGGCATCGCTGCAGATCACACCAGCGATCCGCGTGATTTGCAAGCCCATACGCGATCAGCCGGAGCGCGTCCGCTTCGCACCGCCGTGCTGGATGCCTGCACCGCTTCACTGCTGTCACGCTGCGATGCCGCTCCCAGGTGCAAGGGGTGAGCTTTCGCGCGTACACCAAGTCGCACGCGAAGCGGCTAGGGCTGGTCGGCTGGGTCATGAACACGGTACGCAGGACCCAGACGCCCCCCCTCTTGTGACGCCGGCGCGCACCTGCCCGGCCGCGCTGCCCAGCGGCCGAGCGAGCAGGCACATGGCGGCCGACGCTCGCGTCCCCGGTCGCGCCCGCAGACGCAAGGGACGGTCGTGGGGGAGTGTCAGGGGGAGGGGGACAGTTGCAAAAGTATGAAGAATTGGCTCGAGACCCAGGGGAGTCCGGCGTCGCGCATCGCGTGGTGCAAGTTCAAGAACGAGACGGACCTGCTGCCGAAGCTGCAGTACGTGGAGTTCAAGATCAGGAAGTGACGCGATTCGCGCAAAACACAACAATAATAATAATGTAATGTTTTTTTTTTTACCAGAGGCCGTCGGGGCGCGGAGACGGCCGCAGCGGCGCCGCGAGGCCGCGCAGCTAGGCTCGCAGTCTCACATGTCGTAGTGCTGGCACTTGTCGAAGTCGGTGAGCACGTGCCACGCGCTGTCCTCCGCCAGCAGCCTGTCGCGCGACATCACCGTCATCGCCCCGTCCGACCCCTGCAGCACCTTGATCTCGTCGTCCAAGTACACGATGTCGTAGCTGGGCTTCCTCCCTGCACAATTCGTTACGCAGCACGCGCACCCTGAGCCTCCGCAGCGCGCAACATGCAACAGCCACAGCAAGCGGGACGGTGCGCTCCGGCGGTGCGACGCGCCGCAAGCGCACGAGCGCGGCAAGCTCAGCTGCGCGCGTACCGTCCGCGGCGCACCACGCCCCCATGCACCAACCATCCTTGGTCTTAGGCACGACGTACTCAATGTTGCCGGAAGGCTGCAGCGCGCCCGCGTTCGCGGCGAACACCTCGCGCCACTTCGTCATGTCGACGTCGCGCGGCGGCTTGACCGTCACCTGCGTCCGCGGCGGTTGGGGGGGTGTAACGCGGTGCTTAGGCCCCCAAGAGAGCATAGGGGGGTGTTTCCGGGTCGGCGCGTCCCCGCGGGCGGCTTGCCTTGCTGTAGTTGATGTGCATGTGCGTGCCGCTCTCGGCGACGAAGTGCCCCTCGACGACGATCTTGAACACGGCGTCCAGCGGGGCGCCGTTGAAGGTGTCGGTCTTCACCAAAATGTCGAGCGTCAGGCCGTCGTCCCAGCCGGAGAGCGGCCCGTGGACCTGCGTGAGAGGAAAGCGATCGCCTGGGGGCGTCAGGGCCGCGATTCAACTTGAGACGGCGCAGGGCCGGCCTAGGGGACCAGGCGGCGGTTGCGTGAGCTCTTCGTGCGCGTGGGCCGGACACCAGAAGGTACAAGCCGGCCCCGGGCCACGGCAGCGGCATGAGGAAGGTATGTGCGGGCCGTGCGTGGCGGGAGGGCTGCGAACGGCGCTGCAGCGGGGTGCGTGCGCGGGGGGCGATGGGTGGTCTCATCCGGGGCCGTGGGGGCGCGAACGGGCGGGATGGGCGCTGGGCGTGCCTGAGCCACATCCTGCACGATCAGCGGGAGGTCGTGCGGCGCCGCCATGCCGAACGTGCAGTCCTGGAGCGTGATGGTCGCCCCCCTGGTGAGATACTCGAGCTGGCTTCCGAGGATGTGCCAGACCCCGTTGACCTTGAACATGCCGAGCATCAGCGGGTCCTTCACGTTGCTCTGCCCCGTGAGCTTCCGGGCCTGCACGGAGGCTCGCACGCGCCGTGGTCAGCCGCTACCAGCTACCAGCCCACACGCAGCTAGGCGCCCGCCACGCGCCTCAAAAGCCACTTTCCGCAACTTCTCGGACCACGAGACAACGCTTCCAACTCTAAACCCCCAAAGGCGCCATTCCACAGCCCGTATCGGCCGCTGAGGAGCCCCGCAGAGCGAAGAGAAGGCCATTGGGCGGTTGCACAGCAGGTGGCACAACCGCCCTGCTCGGACTCGCAGCGTGCGGGCCGAGCCGCGAGGCAGCGCGGCGCGGCGGTCCGGGCGAGGTGACCCACCAGGTCCGCGCTCCTGTCGTCCATCGGGACGCCGTGTTCAGTGAGCTCCGCCAGGTGCTGTTTCAGCTCTTCTTTGCTGGCGCCGGCGTAGCGCGCCTTGATGCACGGGCGCGCCGCGGTCCTCACGACGGACTGCGGGGTCCTCGCCGGGGCGGCGGGGCACGCGCGGATCGAACCAAGCGACGCAAACATGCTGCGGAGCCGTTGAAGCCTGTTGGTATTAGGTTACGGGCTTGCAAGTCGTATGGGCGAAAGGCGCGCTCGAGGACGTGGCTGTGGCGAGAGTGACGGAGTGGGAACGCGTTGTGGCTCGGACGGCCCGGACGGAGCGCCCTCGGCGCCGTTGCGGGCGGCCAACTGCGCCCTCCAGGTCGGGCTGGCACGGGGGGAGGGTGATGCTCCTACCTCTGTCAGCTACGCGCGAGGGCGCTGTTGCGCGACGACCGCGCGCAGCAGGACGTGTTCTGGCAGTGCGGCAGTCGGGACCGCGACGTTGTGGCCGTATTACCGGGAAACGCAAAGAGTTCTCAATTCTCCTCCTTCAGCGCGCGCGTGCCTCCGCCGCGCACGCCGGCGCCCGCACGCGACTTCCAGACGCGCACGAGGACGCTCCGGACGATATTCTTCTCTGCCACGCACATATCGAGGCTTCGAACCCCAGTGAGGAGCGGTCGAGGCTGTGTTTGCACATTGCTCACCACGGAAGCCGCGCGGATGCGCCCGATACGCGTCCAGACGCGGCTGGCGGGCAAGGAGAGGAGCCTGGGTACTGATTAGCGCAGCTGCCGTGAAGGGACGGGCCGCAAGGGCAACTAGCCAGGGTCGCGGGGCGTGCGACTCTCCTGCTGCGCGGGTGCACCACGCGCAGCGCCACGCCCGCGGGCGCGATGTCCTCGGCGCGCGACCGCCTCGCGAGCATTCGCGCTCGGCTCGAAACCAAGACCCCGGCGGCCGCGCCGTCCGCCCAGCAGGCCCCGGGGCAGCCCCAGCACCCCCCCTCGGTTTCTCCACCCCCCGCAGCAGCCCCCGCGGCCCGCCCGGCCCAGCCACCGGCTGCGCGACAACAGCACGCGCCGCACCCGGGCCACGTCGCCTCCGCGCCGCGCGGCGCACCGCCGGCGGGGCAGCATCACACAAACCATGCCAGCGGGAACGGCCACAGGCCGCCTTCGGGTCCTCCGGCGCGGCCAGGGGGGCTCGCTGCGGGCGCGCTGTCGCGGCTGGGAGCTGGGCCGGCCGTGCCGTTCAGCGCGGGGCCGCAGCGGCCGGCGGCACAGAGCGCGCTGACGCCGGTGCCTTCAAACAGCGGGGGTGGCGGTCTGCCTGACGTGCCGGCTCCTGAGGCGCATGTGCGGGGGAACGGGGACGCGAAGAGGCCGGGGGAGGACGCGGAGGAGCTGAGGAGGAGGGTGGCGGCGCTGGAGGAGGAGAACAAGAGGTGGGCTTTTGTTCATTCGTGAAATCGTGATGTTGGGCGGCGCTTTGAGTGCTGGTCTTCCTGGCCCAGGTTACCGAGCAGTGCCGCGGGGACGCCGTGCGTGCAGGCTGCGGGAGGGCGCGCGGGTCGAGTCAGCGGGGGGTGTTGATGGCGGTGTGGAGGTCGAACAGCTGCGTCAGGAGGTCGCGGAGCTGACGTTGGCGCTGGAGCGGGCCGAGAACGATAAGGCGAAGCATCAGCGAGCCCTCAAGGCGCTCAAGGTCCGTCTGTCTGCCCACGCGCGCGCCGCTCCTGCCGGCCCACCACGCGCAACACCTAGCACGCAGGAACGCGCGGGCCCTCGCCCTGAGCAGACGCATCGCTCGCGCCGCCTCTCGCGCAAATCTCGCCGCGTACCGTCGCACCGCAGCGCGCCCGACATCGAACCAATACCCCCCCCGCCTCATGTCGACACCGCAGGAGCGGATGCTCGACCTGGAGCAGGACGAGGACCGCGTCGTGGACGAGCGCGTCGCGCACGGGATCGAGGACGCTCTGCGCGCGCACCGCGACGCCTCCGCGGCCGAGCAAGCCTCCCTCTCCGCGCAAGTCGCGGCAGCAACGCAGCGCTGCGAGGCCCTGGCCGCTGAGCTCGCGGCGGCGACGGCGAACGTCGCGGTGCTGCGCGCAGCCCTCGAGGAGCGCGAGTCCGAGGTCGCGAACCTCCAAGCCGCGCTCGGCGCGCTCACGGCGTCGAGCGACGCCAGCGAGGGGTTGCGCAGCGAGCTGTGGGAGGCGCGGACGGGGCGTGAGGCGGCGGAGGCGCGGTGCCGGGAGCTCGAGGAGGAGCTGCGGGTGGCGCGGGGGGCCGTGGCGGACGGCGCTGCGGCGCGCGAGGCCGCGGAGCGGGACGCGGAGGCGGCGCGGAGTAGCGCGCTGGCGGCGCGGCGCGAGGCGGCAGTGGCGCAGCGGGCGCTGCAGGAGGCGCTGCGGCGGCTGACGGCGGTGAGTGAGGGCCAGGGGGACACGGTGGACCGGGCGCTGGTGCGGCAGCTGGTCGTGACGCACTTCAAGCGGATGGCAGGGGGGGACTCTCATGCGTTCGACGTGCTGGCGTCGCTGCTGGGTCTGACTGAGGCGGACCGCGCGGCGTGCGGGGTTGCGGCGACGCGCGGGGGCGTGTTCGGGCGCGTGACGTCGGTCGCGATGGCGCCGGTGTCGCTGGTGAAGGCGGTCGGCAATGCGGCGGCCGCCGCCAAGGATGAGGAGTCAGGCCAGGCGGTGGGGGACATCTGGGTGGACTTTTTGATGAAGGCGGCGATGGACGACGCCGCAGAGAGCGAGGCGGCCGACCGGGAGCGCGCGGGGCCGCCGCGCTGAATAACCGCGCTGCCATGCAGCTCAACAGTCTCTGTAACGTGTCTGTCGTCACTGCGCCGCACTCACTGCCCATCTGATCCGCCGTCGCTGTCCTCGGCCTTGGCCTTGCTTTTCCGCTTCTTTTTCTTCGGCTCTGGCGGCTCCTGGTCCGCGAGCGCCAGGATGAAGTCCCACACCCGCTGCTCGACCGGCATCACGGACAGGCGCGACATGCGCAGGAGCGCGAAGTCCGACAGGACGTCCTGGCCCTCGCCTGGCGCCGCTGCGATCTCCTTCAGCTCCTTGAGCCCTGCGGCAGCGCGCACGGCAGCAGCGAGCGCGTGTCAAAAAGAAGAACAGCCCTGAGGTGCCGACAGCACCGTTGGAAGCGACCCACTGGAGAACGTCTCGGGTACCAGCTGCATGCTGCAGCGACACTGCGCTTCAGGCGCGCTCTGCTACGGTCCGCTCACCTACGGTCCGAGGGAGCCGGCTGACAAACTTGACGTCCACGGAGTCCCAGCGAGGCTGTTCTTGCGTGCTCTTCGGGTCGTAGTACTTGCTGCTCGCGTCGAACTGCGAAGGGTCCGGGTAAGCGTCCCGCGTGACCTCCGCGACGCCCACCACGCCGACGTCCTTGCAGCTGGAGTGGTAAAACAGCACCTGATCGCCCACGGACATGGCACGCAAGTGCTTTCTGGCGATCGGGTTCCGCACGCCGTCCCAGCACTCTGCGAGGGCGGTGGCATGGAGTGTTGATGTCGTGCAGTGTGCGAGGAGCTTGCCAACTCTCCGGACATGCAGCGAGGACTCCCAGTGTGGTCTTCTAGGAAGCACTGCTGCTCTGCGTCCTGTGTTGATGAACGTGTCTCTTTGGGAGCGTGCCTGTTTCCTTGTTCGCGAGGTCGTCTAGGGAGAAGTCGTCGGGCTCAGACTTGATGAGGAAGAGCCCCGAAGACGCGGACTTGGTCTCCGCTGCATTAGAGGCCCGCGCGCGCTTTGGCGCCATTTGCGCGACTCGCGGTACTAGTGAATGGAAGAGAGAAGAGTACTGATGTGTCTCGCGATGATTGAGAGGCGATAAATGCGTCACGCGTTGCTTGTGCGCAGAAAGAGGTGCCTTCAGGACACAGCCTAGCCCGGCGGACGCAGCCGCCCGTATCATCCGCTAGGGGAACGGCGCCCCGAGCGAGACTTTGTGAACGACAATCCAACAGCTGAATAGATCGACGAAGATCGAGGAGGAAGGAGGTGCGCGTGGCGCTACAAATGCCCGGCGTCGTGTTCACTGCGATGCAACGGACTTCAACGATTCCCAAGTGGTGTTCTGCCCCCCTGCGATCGCAACCTGGCACAGCAGACCCTCGTGACGGGCCGAAAACGGCGCGTCGTTTCGCGCGCCATCTGGAGTCAACAAGGGGGGGAGTCTCTGTCAGGCTGACAGCGCGTGCTACGTCGTCGGTGGCCGGCAGCGCCGCGGCGCCGCCGCGCCAACGACATCCGTACAAGCCCCACGCGGCGGGAGACCTCAAGTCGTGTGCGCGAACACGCCCCGGCGATACGCGCGTCGTCCCATGTCGGCGAACGCCGGGACTAGTGCTGGCCGACCAGCGCACGCAGAAGCACGTCAGGGGCGCGCTGCTGGCGGCGGCCGTGCGACTTGGCGTCGCTGTTTTGTAGGCGCTCGCTTTCGATCACCAATGGACCGTGTTTCTGCATATTATGAATCAATGATTCGTCAGGCGGCCGCTCGCTGTCGCATCCGCTCGCGCATCACGTGTGCGTCGAGCGCAGTGAGTGGCGCTCGATGTTTCAGCGGGCGTAGAGTCGGAGGCACCGGCACGTGTGCTCAACTGCAACAGAAGTGCTTGATGTCTGGTGAGGGAGAGCGCGGCGGGACACGCTGGGGCCACCACGGCGCCGGTGTCTCACACGGAACCAGCATCCTTGCTGCGAAAGCTCCCGTGCCAGCTGCGATGCAAGCAGCTCAAGGGCCGCTCACAGCCCTCGAGCGCGAACGTCTGCGCCAGCGGCGCGACGGTCCTACGGAGGCGGCAGGTTCGGAGCCGCGCAGCACCGGCCAGTCAGTCAGTCAGTCAGGTCTCACAGTCCGCATTCCGCGGAGGCGCCACTCCTGCGGCCACGCGGCAGGGCAGGTTTCGGGCCCGCCTGGGCGCGCACGCGACGTCAGCCCGGGCGATGATCGCGAGGAGGAGGGCGCCGTGGAGCGCTGGCCGGTCGCGACGCTCACGAAGTCTGCGTGGGCAAGCCACGGCTTCAAACAGCACAAGGAGCCGTCGTTCGGCGAGCTGGACATCAGGCAGTCGCCACGGGTCGACGAGGAGGCGCGATGCGAGAACACGTCGTGCCGGTTCGGGTGCGGCGCGGCCCGCGCAAGGCGTTCTCGCATCGCGCCTCCTCGTCGACCCGTGGCGACTGCCTGATGTCCAGCTCGCCGAACGACGGCTCCTTGTGCTGCTTGAAGCCGTGGCTTTCCCACCCAGACTTCGTGAGCGTCGCGACCGACCAGCGCTCCACCGCGCCCTCCTCCTCGCCCGGGTTGACGTCGCGTGCGCGCCCAGGCGGGCCCGAAACCTGCGCTGCCGCGTGGCCGGTGCTGCACGGCTCCGAACCCGCCGCCTCCGTAGGACCGTCGCGCCGCTGACGCAGACGTTCGCGCTCGAGGGCTGTGAGCGGCCTCCAGACGACGGCGGTCACGGCGACGGTGATGGCGGCGGCGCCGACCGCGCAGGCGACGGCGGCGTGTTTGAATCAAACACGTATGCCAATAATTGGCATACCAGCTGGCAGAACCAGCCCCGTCCCGCGAAAGTCCCGCCGACGCAGACGCAGCGCGACGCTCAGCTCCAGCGTGTCCTCCAGATCGCGCGCATTGAATACGTCGAGCTCCTCGAGCGCGTGCATGCCTATCGGCAGCCACGCTACGTTGCTCTCTGCGGCCCTCAGCCATCGAAGCCGTGCAGTGCACGACGCAGGCAGAAAAGACTCGCCATCCAGCTGCTGGCAAAAGCTGACGTCAAGCCTCTCCAGCGCCGTGAGCCCCGCCGGCAGCCTCCACAACGTCTTGCACTTGCTGACATTCAGCCCCACCAGCCTCGCGGCGATCGACCCCGGAATGAGATCCTCCGTGAAATTCCCCGGGAATCCGTCCAAGGCCAGCTCCTGAAGCGCCGTCAGCTCCTCCGGAAGCCTGTGCAGCGCGGCGCTGTTGACGCACAGCACGCGCACTGTGGCCGCATTGCGCAAGGAGCTGACGTCCAGCGACTCGCAGTACCTCACGTCGAGATACTCCAGAGCCGTCAGACCCTCCGGCACGGCCCGTATTCCGGAGCCCCATGCGATCAGCACGCGCAGCTCCGCAGCGCCACTTGGCGCAACCTCTAGCTGTAAGCATCCGGCCATATTCAGCTCTCGCAGCGCCTGCATTCCCGCCGGTAGTCTTCGGAGTCTGCTGAAGGAGGCATTCAGCACCTGCAGCCCCAAGGCAGATGACGCCGGGAGGCACAGCTCGTCCAGATTCCTGCAGTTCGTCAACTCGAACTCTTCGAGCGCCGTCATGCCCTCGGGGATCCTCCGCACCATGGAGCCTCGCGCAAGGAGCACTCGTACTTTCGCTGCGCTCGACGCCGGCAGGAACGTGTCGTCCTCGAGGAAATGGCACTCGCTGACGTCGAGGACCTCAAGCGACGTCAAGCCCTCAGGCACGCGCCTCAGCCTCGTGCAGCTCACCCTGAGCTCCCTGATGCCCGCCGCTACGCCCGCAGGCAGCCAATCCCGCCCCCACAGGCCCACAAAGTCCAGCCGGAACATCGTAACGTCAATGCACTGCAGGCCCGTCATGTCCGCCGTCACCACCGGGGCCGACTTCAGGCCGCGCTGGATCGGCTCCGCGAAGTACGTCCGTCCCGTGACGCGCCGACGTCCCGCCTCGACGCACGCCACCTCGGACGGCGCGCCCATGTCGTGCGCGGCCGCGTAGCGAAACAGCATCCACGGGCCGCGATGCGTCGTCGTCCACCCGACCAGCGAGCTCGCTCCCTCCGACACCTTCCCTTCCAGCCGCCGCCCCACCATCTGCCCCACGGCGCCCCCCCGAGTCACTTCGCCCGACCACCACCTCGCGCCGTCGCAGCTCTCCAGCACCGCGGCCATCATCGCCGACGACGTCGCCGCCAGCGCCGCGCGTGCCTCCACAGGCAGCCCACGGATGATGCTGGCCAGGGGGCCGTCCCGCCCGCACTGAATGTCCCCTAGGTCCAGGTGCCGGGGCGTTGCGCGCTTCGAACGCCCAGAGTCGACCGTGCCGCCGCGCCGACGCCGTGCCATCGCGTTACAGCAGGGTCGATCCGCCGCCTCGCGCTCGTGCCGCCCCTCCTGCGCGCCTACGGAGACATCATGATAGCTTGAGGCCGGCCAGCACGCACGTCCTGCTGCGACAACGAGGCGCTGGCGACGTCTCTGTGCTCTCCTGATACTAGATGGTTCAGCATGTGGCGCAACATCAGGCTTAGTTGCGGGATTCGCACGGTCGGCGCGGACAACAATGCGCTGCACTTCGTGGCCATCTGTCGAGCCTGAGGGCGCGTTCCGGACACGCGTGTGCAGCGCTGCAATGCCATCAACGACGTACCTGCGCACGCTCAAATCAGAGTGACCGCTGCCTCACGGAGGAGACCGCTATCTTCTTCCTCTGCTCCCTCCCTTCCTTGTGCTGGCCGACGCGCCAGCGTTGCCGGAAGCGCGCTCGCACGGTCGTCGCAGTGACACCGCAGCCTCCGGAACACATGCCGCCGGCGCGGCATCGCGCCCATGTCGGCTCACTCACTCGAGGGCACTCCCCCTGACAGCAGGGCGCGCCACGTCGCGCACCGAGCGATACGTGCGGGCGGAAGCGCACCGCGCCGGCTGCGCAAGATCACTGTGGCAGGGTCCTCGCCCCCCGACTCCCTGCGCCCTTCAGATAGCCGTGCAACCTTCTCTTCGATGCGACTCCGGCACGCACCCAGCAGGCAGCCTAGGCCCCGCCGTGACCACCTCCGCCCGCGACGCTCCGCACGTGGGCCTCCACCGCCTCGGCAGCGGCGTCTGTCAGCCAGCCGCGCGCCGGGTGCACTGCGCCGCGCACTCCGGCGCGCACCGCGCCCTGCAGCTCCGGGTCCCGCAGGTCGGCGACCTGCACCACGTATTCCGGCGTCGGCTCCACCTGCGAGCGCACGCGAAGGATGGCGACGACGAAAGTGGGAGGGATGGGGATCTTGCACCCAAAAAGCACTGAAGAGCAACACGCGGAAAAAAACACTTTGAACGAAGTTATACTGTCCGGAAGCGCGCGCTGGCGTCGGAGCAGGATGCAGCACGCGAGCACCGCCGAGCGTCACGCAGCACGCACGCATGCAACTCCAATACTCCCCCCCACCCCACCTGAGTCAGCACGTCGAGGCCCAACTCCTCCCACAGCCCGTCGCCGCCCTCCGCGTCCAGATCCCCCTGCAGCCGTATCGCGACTCTCTGCCACCACCGCGCCTCCGGATCCCCGCGCGGATCGTACCCGCGCCGCACCCACAGACCCTCCCACGGCCCACCGCCAAAGCGGTAGCACCGACTCCCCAGCGCCTCCGCCACCGCCTCCCACTCCACGTCCGCCTCGCTCTCCCGCACGTGCGCCCGCAGCCCCGCCACCGACCACACCGGCCGCTCCGCGAACGCCGCCTCCCCCGCCGCCACCGCCTCCAACCCCGCATCGTCAACACCCCCCTCGCCCCCGTGCACCCCCGCGTCGTCGTTCGCCGGCGGCACAGCGTCGATATCAGGGTCCACGACAACCAGGTACCCGTCCTCGTCCCCTTCGTCGCTCTCCGCGCCCGCAGCACCACCGGACGCCGCCGCACCCGCCGCGGGCTCCTCCGCCTCGGCCGTGCGCGCAGCCGCCGCCGCGACGATCCCCTGCGCGGCCGCGGTCGCCGCCGCGGCCGCCTGCGCCGTCGATCCGGCCGCGCGCACCCCGCGCAGTTTCCCCGCCGCCAGTGCGCGCTGCTCCTCGCGCGCAACTTCGCGGAAGAAGTCCGACGAGGGCTCGACGCGCGCGAACACGGGCGGCACGGCCATCAGCGGGACGGGCCCCGCGGTCGCGAAGGGGTCTTTGGGGTCCGCGCGGGACGGCAGGCCGGCGAGGACCGCGTCGTTGCACAGGGGGGGTCTGTGGGGGGTCCCCGGGGGGAGGTTCGGGAGGCCGTACTGGAAGTCCGCGATGCCGGTGTAGCGGACGACGTGGGCGATGCGCCCGGCGAGCGACGCGGCCGGGCGCGTGCCGGGGGGCGCGTTTGCGGGGACGGACAGGCGGAGGAGAAAGGAGCACGTGGGCTGCTTGTCGCCCACGAGTGGGTGCGAGAACGGGTCGTCCGGCCTGCGGGGGTGGTTGCGAGGGCGCGGCGCGGCGGGGCGCGTCAGCGGCTCTTGTTACGCGGGGTCGGAGGCGGGAGCAACCAATGTGCAGGTGACGGGCCTAGGACGCGCGGTATGACGAGTCAGCGGCGCGTTGTTCTGCGGGTCTGTGATGAAAATGTATGGTTGGAAGCGTTTATGTGAAGACGATTTCGTTTGAGCCGCGGTCAGAGGGTCACGACCTCTGCGAGCGTTTGCTCTGGCAGAGCAGGTAGGCGGGAGGGGCCTCGCCTGAAAATGAACGGCAGCTCGTCGCAGCTGTCGTTCGTGAGGGCATAGTGCACCCTCTCGGCCCCACCCAGCATCCTCATGACGTTCCCGGGGTTGTCCACGTACCCAGGTATCTCCACGCCAAGCATGCCCGGCTCACTGCCCAGTCTCCCTTCTATTTCAGGAGCCTTCGGGCCAGGCGGCACCGCATCATCTGTCTCCATCGCGTCCCCGCCCCTCAGGACGCGTCGCGGCGAGCGCACCGCGCGCGCCGGGAGAGCCCACGCAACCCCTGCTCTGTGCGTGGCGCTGCGTGACTTATCGACCGAGCCGGCACATAGCAACGAACGTATGCAAGCGAGAGAGGAGGGGCGCGGCGGACGCGCGTGGTGAAAAGGCCCTGGGGCGATGGGACGGCGCCTCCGGGGTGTGCCGCACGCGCTCGAGAGCGTCAGGGGCACAACGGCCGCGTCGTGCGGCCGAGTGCGGCATTCTCGTGCCGCCGCCCCTGCGCGAACGGTACAGGCCAGCACGTCGCAGCGTCGAGGGGCCGAGCAGCGATCGTAGAGCGCTCGCACGCAGCGGACAAGCTGAGCAATGGTGCAGTCCGCCGCGTGCCCGATGGCGCTGAAGCGCACGGCTGCGGCCGCGCCTGCCGGCGTCTTGGGGCGTAGACGCGCCGTTGCACGGCCGGCGCGCGCCACGGCGGAAGGGGTACGTTCCTGCCGCCGTAGCCTGTGCCCCATGAAGCCACGCACGCGCGCGCTGCGCGGCTGTGCACGCAACTGGCTCCGCTGCCTATCCCGCCCCACCACATCATCTAGAAGCCGCTCCGTGTCTCGTTTTCCAGCTCGCTCCATCCCGTGGCGGCGCGCTTGAAGCCGTGGCTTGTCCTGGACGCTCAACGTGGCCTAGCGTCATCGACACGCCCTTGCTGCCCCGCGCAGTTGGTACAGCCGTCGACTGTCGAGCTGGGAGCGCGTCTGCGGGAGGATTTCCCCATTCTCCACCAGGAGGTGAACGGGAAGCCGCTCGTGTACCTGGACAACGCAGCCACGAGCCAGAAGCCCACGCAGGTGTTCGAGGCCATGAGCGAGTACTACAAGACCGACAACAGCAACGTTCACAGGTCCGCCCACACCCCCACCACACAAACAACCTCCCCCCGCGGCCCGGCGCGCGTCATTCGCCCACCCTGTCTCCGACGCCAACCATCCGCTCGCGCTGCCCGCCCGGCGCAAACGAACAGCGCGGCCCGCCGCCACCGAGCCGAGTACGACCCCGACGCCCGCGTACGTCGCACTGCAGGGGTGTGCACGCCCTGGCGGCGCGCGCGACGGCCTCGTACGAGGGCGCGCGGGCCAAGGTTGCGGCCTTCGTCAACGCGCCGACGGACCGCGAAATCGTGTTCACGCGCGGCGCGACGGAGGCCATCAACCTCGTCGCCAACACCTGGGGCGCGGCGCACCTCGGGCCCGGCGACGAGGTCGTTCTGACGGTCATGGAGCACCACAGCAACCTAGTGCCGTGGCAGCTCCTCGCGCAGCGCACGGGCTGCGTGCTCAAGTTCTGCCGCATCACCGAGACGCAGGAGCTCGACATGGACCACATGCGCGAGCTCATCGTGCCAGGAAAGACCAAGCTCGTCGCGTGTGTCCACGTCTCCAACATGCTGGGCTGCGTCAACCCCGTGGAGGACATCGCGGACATGGCGCACGAGGCGGGCGCGAAGCTGCTGGTCGACGCGTGCCAGTCGGTGCCGCACATGCCCGTCGACGTGCAGGCGCTCCGCGCAGACTGGCTGGTTGCGTCTGCGCACAAAATGTGCGGGCCGACGGGCATCGGGTTCCTCTGGGGGTCGACGGAGACGCTCGAGGTGCGCGCGCGAGTACCACCGAGGCGCCGCGGGCGCCGCAAGCGGCCTCCGGGGCCGCCCGGGCGAGCGCGGTGCTTTGGCGCGTTTTGCTGTTGGTTGCAGTGACGGGCAGGGTGTCGAGAGTTGACGGTGGCCCGCTTGCTCCGCCCGTGCTCGCGCAGTCGATGCCGCCGTGGCAGGGCGGCGGCGAGATGATTCAGGACGTCTTCCTGGACCACTCGACCTTCTCTGCGCCGCCAGCGCGGTTCGAGGCCGGGACGCCGGCGATCGCCGAGGCGATCGGGTTCGGCGCGGCGTGCGACTACATGACGAAGCTCGACATGGCCCGCGTGCACGACTTCGAGCAGGAGATCGGCGCGTACCTGTACGAGCGCCTGTCGGGCGTGGAGGGCGTGACCATCTACGGACCCCCCCCCGACGCCCCGCGCGGGCGCGCCTCGCTGTGCTCGTTCAACGTCGAGGGCCTGCACGCCACGGACGTCAGCACGCTGCTCGACGCGTCCGGCCTGGCGGTGCGGAGCGGGCACCACTGCACGCAGCCCTTGCATCGGGAGCTGGGTGTGCCGGCGTCGGCGCGGGCGTCGCTGTACGTGTACAACACGCGCGAGGAGGTCGACATGTTCGTGGACGGGCTCAAGGAGGCCGTGAGCTTCTTCCGCGAGCTTGGCATGTAGCTGTGGGGGTTATCACTGCCTGTGAGGGTTGGCTGAGGAGCGGAGCGTGTGCTTGGCGCGTGACGCGTCGGAGGTGTTGTGAGTGCGGTCCGTGCGGTGTGCGCGGTGCTCGAGCGCCGCTGCGGCATCGTCACGCCGCTGCGGGGCCACCGCGGCGCGCGTCATGCAGACCTCGTCCGACCGAGTCAGGGCCGGTGGACACTCGTATCCGCGAGCGCGCACTTCTCCCGGGACGTTTCTTGGCGCGCGGGCGGTGGGAGCGACCGCTCGTTGTCGCAGTCAGCACCGCAAGTCCTCGTTGGAACAAGTTAGGTACAGAGACTGCCGTGGCTGCTCAGCGCCAGGTACCGTGGCTTCAGACTGTTTTCGTCCTCTCCGTACGCCGTGTGCGTTCGCTCGGACGATCCAACAACGCCCCACACGCCCCATGCGACCTTCGACGCGCGCACATGGCTCGCTGCCTTGCCGCCCACAGCTCGGAACTGCCGAGGGATGCCTCCCAGTTTTCTCTCGATTTCTGGATGTCAAGAGCTTGAAAATTCACGTTCTGTGAGTCGCGGTGTGTCACTTGGCCCATCTTGAGCGCGCCCCCCGACCACAGCGGTTCCTACTACTGACGGGACCTCTCTGGCCCCGCACCGTGGACGGAGGGACACCGACCGACGCACATTGCACGCCGATGGCGCCTGACACACTCATGCTACACGTTCTACCATCCTCACCTGCGGGGGACTTCCCCTCATGCCGCGTCCGCCAGGTATGGCTGCTGCGGAGCAGTGGGTCGGGGAGCCAGCGCCAGCTCGGCCCATGTACACCTTCCACTTCCCTCCGGCCTACATTCGCGAGGAGGTGGGTCGCCCCACCGCCGCTCGTTGCGCGAGAGAGCCTCCTCGTGTCGCGCCCCGCCGTATGTGGTAGCACTCCAAAGATAGAGCGCACGGGCTGCGCGCGGGGCGTTTCGGACCCTGGAAGTGTGTCGGGGCGCATGTCGTGCACGTAGTGCCGCATCGCCGGGCCTGAGCGCGTCAGATTCTCCGCGATTGCGTCGCGGGGCGCCCTACGGCTCCAGTGTGCGAGGTGGAGGGACGCCCCGGGCGTGGATCGAGGGTTTGAGAGCGCTGATGCGCGCGCGACGCGCCTTTTATTTCCAAAAAAGTCACCCAACTCGTGAATTGCGCGCTCGTGGCGCGCGAAAGCGCCAGCACGGCGCTGGCCACACACAAGCCAGCAGCTCCCTCTCCACTGACATGCCAACTTCACGTGTCACGTTGCTCCCGAGGGCTCGGATTCGCTCCGCCACGGGCCGCGACGCAGCGGCGCGACACCGCTCGCCCCTCGCGTGGTGTCCGCGTCGTCCGCGTCGCACCGACCCCCTCCCGCCGCCGACCGTGATGCAGCTCGTCGTGCCGTACTTGGAACGCCACCTGGGGGAGATTCGCCGCGAAGCGATCGAGAAGCTGCAGCGGTCCGGGCTCGGCCACAACCCCGGCGACAACGTGGTGATCTTCGTCAACCGCTCCCACCGCGACATCCGCGTCCGCGTTCACAACGCGCATCACGGCGAGACGCCCGCAATCGCGGACACGGTCGGGCCGAGCTTCGGCGCGCTGGCGTTCGTCGACTCCACGTGCATCAACGGCTTCCGCGCCGGGAAGGGCGAGGGCGCGCGCCTCAGGTCGAACACGGAGCTGCAGGTTGTATATTTGAAACACGAAGGAGCGTTCAAGGAGCTGTGGCCGGAGCCAAAGACGCTGCGGGCGTGCCGGTCGTGGGAGGAGATCTCCGGGCACACGCCCCCGACGACGATGCACAGCCCGGCCGGGTCCGCGGTCGAGCCGCTGGACCTGTCTCAGACGAGTGAAAAGAAGCTGCTCACGTCTGTCTGGAAAATACTCTCCACGAGCGACCCGGCCGAGCTGACGCCCGTCGCTGCGTCGCGCGGGCGCGAGCGCGGCGACAAGGGGTTCGACGCCCCCGTCGGGGTGCGCCGTGGGCTTCTGCATTAGCAGGTGTGCGTGGGGCCCAGGGAGCTGCGCAAACGAGGACGGTGCGAAAGCGCCCCGTCTGGAAGCGAGGAGAACATCCCGCTCGCGCCATGTGGCAAACGCAAGTATGCTCGCGTCCCGAACAGACCGGAGACTGCGCAAACGGAAGGGCTCGGCCAAATCTGTCGAGTCCTGAAATACCTTCCACAAATTTACTCAAATTCTACGCACAATTACTATTCAATACCGCTGTGAGCCCGCGAGCGACCGATTCGCCCCGTCACGACCAGCCCAGGGTCCGCATGCTACAGACGTGCGCAGTTCGCAGTGGCACCGCCCGCAGCGTCCAGTCACACTCCGCTCTCACTGGAGCACCGGCATCATGGCGCGCGAGCTGCCGTTCGCCTCGGGCCCCGCCGGGACGGCCGCGTCCTCGCCCTCGGCCGGCGGACCCATCGCCGCCAGCGCGTCTGCCAAAATCGTCTTCTCGAGCCGCACGAGCCGCGCCGCGACCTTCTGCTTCGGCGTCGCGCGCTTGTCCTGCTCCAGCGCGAGGTCCGCCTCCACCGTCGACGGGTACTTCTCCAGCCGCCGCGTGAGACACCGCCGCAGCTGCGCCCGCGCCCTGGCCTCGATAGCGGGGGCTGCGGGGACGTCCGGCGCGCCCGGGGCGTACTTCCACTTCCGGATGTCGTCGGCGGAGTCCATGTGCGCCAGCCGGAGCAGCGGCAGGAGGCCGTCCGGGAGCGCCGCCCCGCGCTTCAGGTTGAAGGCTTGACTGGTGGCGAGCTTGGTGTTCGACAGCGCGCGCTTCTTCTCCGAGTACAGCGGGTCGTCGGTCAGCAGCGTCATGCTCAGCTGCACTCGCCAGACACGACGCGACGCAAGGTCACCCGGCGAGCGGGGCAGCTGCAGCAGTCGCAAAGCAGCGCGAGGTGCTGCAGGCGCGGATCGGACGCACCGTGAGCCTGTCGTAGGGGTTGTCTTCGTCGACGATGCCGTAGTTGAGCAGGAGCTTCTGGTTGGGCTGCGGCCCGCACCAGCAGTACACTGGGTCGCCCGGCGCGTAGTCCCTGTCCGCTGCGAGGACGACGGCGTCCGCCTTCTCGTCGTAGGTGAAGTACGTCTTGCAGTTCGGCGACCACGTGAGGTTCGGGGCCGCGAGGGGGATGAGCGCGAAGCGGCGCGCGATCGGCGCGCCCTGCAGGTGCACGGTCGACTCCTGGATGGCCGCGAAGGCCTGCTTGAAGACCTCGAAGGGGAAGCACTCCGTCGGGGCGTCGAATGGGTACCTGCGAGGCACACACGGACGGCGCGACGCCCAGTGCGAGTGAGTGTGAGGGTTTGACACCAACACCGCGTGTCAGCCACCCACTCGAGACGCGACGAGGCGTCGCGCAGAGGAGGAAAAAGCGGCGCGTCAGACACGCGCTGCGCGAGGAGTCGCTCGAGTCCGAGCGCGGAGGCGACCGCGCCACGACAGCGCGCGCAGCATGTGGAGGACGCGATGCGGCGCGTTTCAAGCGCTGTGTCCACGGCCGCGCACGGCGTTGCCACTGCTAGGCGCGGCCAGAGCGCCCGGAGGCCCAGGCCTCGAGGCCGCGGCGCTCTTTGACCTGCCGCGACACACCCGCACTGCGGGCGTGACGACGATGGCTGGGAGGCCCGGCGGACTGCGAGCCGTCGCGGCCACGCGCGCAGTTTGGGTGTGTCACGTCAGGTCAGAAGAGTTTTCCCGCCACGGCCTCGCAGCGGGCCAGGTTGCAGTGCGCTCCGTGTGGCTGCGTGCGTCCGCGGGCCACAGGGCGCTTCTCACCTGTCGAAGAGACTCGGAGCCATGTACCAGATGGTGTCGAGCTCCTCGTACTCCTTCTTCATCGCCTCGAGCCGCGCGCGCACCTCCTGCACCAGCGGGCTGCCCTGCAGCAGCAGCTCGACCTCCTCGTCGTCCCAGAGAAGGGGAGACTCGACCTGCTGCTGCGAACGCGCGCCCATGCGGTCCAGCTCCCGGATGTAGTCGTACAAGTCCGAGTCCTCGCGTTTCTTCTTCTCATAGCACAGAAAGAGCGTCAGAACGGACAGCTCCGAGATCTTGTCCGTCGTGAGAAGCTCTGCGCGGGACGCGAGGCGCAGGCGAACGCGTGTGCTCGGGCGGCGGCGTGCGTCGGGGCGTCGGGAACGTCGCGGCAGTGCCCAGTGGCGGTGCCGAGGGCGTGGGCGCTTCGGCGCCGCACCTGCGAGGTTCTCGTCTTCGAAGATGCGGTCGAGAGTGATGACCATGCGCATGGGCACCTCGAGGAGCGTGTCGCCGGCCTTGAGCTCCCGCGAAGCCACTGCGAGCACGGGCGCGAGGTGGTTGGGCGGGGATCGCGCGTACAGCCGCTGCGGACCCCATCAACGGGCCGCAAGCACCCAAACATCATCCATGCATCCCATAGCTCCGCTGGACGACGACGCGCACGCGCTCAGTTCGTGCTCGGCCCGCTACGGCGCAAATGGACAGAGGGCAACAGATGGACTCCCGCTCCCTCTCCGGGTGCGCGGCGCAATCGCTCACCGGTGACGTCAATCTCCCGGCCGTCGCTCTGCTTTGTCCGCAGCTCCACACCCTGCGCCGCGAGCCCCTGCTCCTTGAGCCACGCCGTGAGGTTGCCGGGCGTGTCAGAACTGTCGCGCCACGGCTCCCGCCTGAGTCCCCGCGCGCGCACGTCGCGGCCCCGAACCACGCATCGCCGCAGCGCGGTCCTGGCCGGTCGTGCGCGGACTTCGACCGGAACGCGAACGCCCTGCAGCGCGTTCATATCTGCCGTCCAGCCAGCGTATCTCCCGCGGTGTGCGCCCGCGGCGTTGTCTAAGCCGCGCTCCGTGGCCCTGGTGCACGCAAACACACGTCGCGCCGCCGGAGCGGTCCGTTTGCGCGCGCTTCCGTCGCAGCCGGCCCCGCTAGCTGTCCGCAGGAGCACAGCGCAGCTGTGTCCGTGCTGGGGATGCCGGGCTCCACGGTCGTGACGCACCGCCAGCGTCCCTCCGTCAGCGCAGTGCGCGGGGCCGCCGGGGCGCTCCGCGATGGCTCCGCGGCACCGAATGCCGTCGGCGGCGTTGCCGTCCACACCCCCCCCCACCACGCCCCCGCGCGCCGGCCGCAGGCGGGCGCCCGGGACGGAGCCTGGACCGCGGGCGTCGGCGTGGTCGCGCTGGCGTCGGACGCCGGCTCGTTTCGGGCGGCAGCTACCCGATATGTCACCTGGGAATTGTTGTCGCGCGCTAGCGCGGTGCGCGGGACCATGCGGCGAGCCTAGCCTGCCCGAGCTGATCGATCGTGACTGGTTGGTGTTCGCGGGCGATACGTGGCGCTGCATCGGGGAGCGACGACGTGGCGAGGCGGCGTTGACACCCCCCTAGGCAGACACGCAGCGAGCTCAGGTCCCTGGGGGGCTCAGACGCGCCCCGCGCATGTAGGCCTCGCATGGCTCGACATCACCAAACCGTCTTCGATCGATCTGGACGTTGTTCGCCTGGAAGTAAAGCACGACGACGGAACGCGGACCGTCCCTTGCTTGAAAACCGTGCTTGAGCCCCGCAGTGCCCGTTTCCGGACCCCAAGCGTACCCGGTGCGCTGCCTCGACCTCACGGACACCCATACGAGGCTGGAACCTCGCTGTCTTGCCCTGGATGCTCGACACGAGGCGGGTTCTCGCCCAACAGAATTCCCAAACCCGAGGCGCCGCATTTCCGCAGGCCGACATGTCCCGGAAGATCGAGGTCAGAAGTACCGACACACAGGTGCCAGGGCGCTTCTTCCAGCACAGGATGGCCGCTGGTTCCTACTTCCTGGGCAACCCCTTGCTGTGCCTCGAGGAGGCTGTCATCGACGGTTGTGCGGGCCCCGACTGGCTGCGGAAGCTGCCGCAGAGCGGGGTCTTCGAGGTCGAGAACGTTGAGACCGCCGAGCGCGCCCACCTCGCCCTGAAGGACACCAGCATGGCCGGGGGGCTGGCGGTGCTTTCGAGCAACAAGGGCGATCACTTCGACAACAAGACGCGCCTCTTCGCGGCCGTGCCCGAGATCGCCTGGTGCTGCGACATGCGGGCCGCAGTCTCGAACGAGCCCAACCTCGGAAAAGTCATCGAGACCCACGGGGCGTGGACCTTTAGGGTACGTGCGCGCGCGCCCTGTTCACATGCGCCGTGCTCGCAAGCGGCGCCCTCTTCGCTGCCCTGACCACGTCAAAACTTGCGCAGACGCTCTCAGCGGTCCCACGTCGCTCACGCCCCGTGCAACGCTCGGCCCGCGACGTGCCCTTATCATCACGTTGCGTGCTATGTGTCTGATCGCAATCGCAGTGCCACGGCGAGGAGACGATCGAGCTGCTGTGGGGCCTCGGAAACGAGCTGACGATCGACCTCCGGGCGCGGCTGGACACCGCGAGTGAGCGCGGGACGTCCGAGGGCAACCCGGTCGCGCAAGCGAACAATGAGAAGGCGCCCAGCCAGCCACAGGTGCTCCCGGGCGGCAGCCACTCGACGGGGTCGTCGCCCGGGGACACCGCCGACGAGGACCTGCGCGCCCACGGCACGAGCGACCTCGACGACAAGCCGGGCGAGGGCGAGCACGTCTCTGACAGGTGTGCGTTGTGCCCGACGACGACCACCACCACATGACACGTCATCACCTCGCGGGCGATCGCGCGCGCCCGTACTCTTCGCTCCGCTCGCCTCGAAGTATTCACCTCTCTGGAAACGCTCGATCACGTTGGTTGCGCGGTCGCGCGGCGCCGTTTCGCGATCAAGGAGTGACTGGCGTGCAACGTTGATGACCGTCTCAAATCATCGCGCCCGCGCGCTCGAGGCACGCAGGGCCCACGGCATGGAGGCGGCTGGGCACGAGGAGGCTCCCGAGCACCTCGACGCCGCCCACGACGACACCAAGGCCCCCGTGGTGCCGCGCGCCAAGCGCTCCGCGCGCGCGCCGCGGAAGGCCAAGTCCGCCGCGAACACGCGCATCCTCGGCGTCAAGAAGACCCAGCCCGCTCAGAAGCGCGCGGCGAAGAAGCCCGCGGCCAAGCCGAAGAGGGGTCGTCCGCCGAAGGCGAAGGAGGCGTCCCCAGAGGGGGCTGCGCCGCGCAGCACGGGCAAGCGCGGAGCCGCGGCGCCCGCGAAGGCGTCGAGGAAGACCGCGAAGGCCTCGACGGCGAAGGTGAAGCCAGCGGCCGCGGCAGCCGAGCCGTCGGGCGCGAAGAAGAAGAAGGACACCCCCGGGGGGTTGGCGGCCAAGAGGTCCAAGCCGGCGTCGAAGACGAAGCGGGTGACGGTGGAGAAGAAGAGCGCGGCGCTGAAGACGCGCGGCGGGGTCACGAAGCCGGCCCCGGCGAAGAAGGCAGCGGCGAAGTCTGCGCCCGCGGCAAAGGGGCGCGCGAAGAAGCCCGCGGCGAAGGCGACGCGGAAGTCGGGGCGCGGGCACGCGTGAGCGGCTGCGTGGGTGGGCTGGGGGAGGTCTCGCCGGGAGTGCGGAGCGCTGCACGGGGGGGGGTCGACTTTATACCCCGGTGCTGACGGTGCTGGGCGTGGGGCTGTCCGGCGCCTGGCGGTCCGGCGCCATGGCGCTGAGTCGGGCGAGAAAGTGCATGCAAGATCAGAGGGGCGTGGGTGTGGTTGCGGCGCCGCTGGAAACGCCAGCACTGTTGCACGTCACAAGGCATGCCGCGGCGACGCGTGTGAACGCCGCCTCCTCACCCTGACGATACCCTTCGTCTCGATATTGAACGTGCGAGCCAGCGGATACTCAAAGCACATGCGCGCTTGACCGACCCCGCACCAGTACCTGATTCCATGCAAGAACACACCTCAACACACACCCCCCCTGCAGTCCGCACCCTCGAACCAACGCCCACGTCGCCCGCTCCTCCTCACGCCCCTGCTCCGGCCCTCCTGCGCGCCGGCTGCGGCCCGCCGACGCACCGCCTCAGAGCTCGTGGATGGCCCGCACGTCACTCACCGCCTTCCTCCATCGCGTCTCCGGCTCCTCGTACAGCGCGTCCGACCCCGGATCGTCCGGCTCTTCGCCGCCCAGGAGCGCCGCGAACGACCCCGACACCGACCCGGCGAGCGCCTCGAGGTTATACCCCCCCTCGAGGAGGAACACAACACGCCCCCCGCACAGCCGCTCGGCGAGCGCGCGGATCTGCTTCGTGAGGTAGTGGTACGTGCCGTGCGTGAACTGCAGCCCCGCGAGCGGGTCGTTCCAGTGGGCGTCGTACCCCGCGCTGACGAGGATGATGTCAGGTTTGAACCGCTCCGCCGCCGGGCCCACGATCTGGTCGAAGGCCGTCCGCGCGGCCACGTTGCCGGAGAGGCCCGGGAGGAGGAGGTTGATCGTCGCGCCCTCCGCGCCCTCGTCGCCCACCTCGCCGTGCTTCCCGGTGCCGGGAAACTGGTTTTCCTGGTGGTGCGACACAAACAGCACGTCAGGGTCGTCGTAGAACACGTCCTGCGGTCAGGGGGGGGCGCGGCGCGGTGCCGGGGCGTGGGCGACGCTGTGGTACGTGGGAGGCCTGGCTGGCGCGTGTGAGCGGGCGCAGCGCGAGAGATATTGAACGGTGACTGTGAAAAAGCGAGGAGCGGGCGTGCCTGCGTGCCGTTGCCGTGGTGCACGTCGAAGTCGTAGATCATCACGCGCTGCAGCCCGTGCGCCTGCTGCGCGTGCCGCGCCGCCACCGCGATCGTCGACAGCAGGCAGAAGCCCATCGCCTCGATCGGCACCGCGTGGTGGCCCGGCGGCCGCACGAGCCCGAACCCGGACGCCACGCGCCCCGCCTCGAGGCCCGCCTTCGACTGCGCGACGACGGCGTCCACGAGCGCGCAGGCGCCGCCCGCGGACCGCATCGCCCCCGCGAAGGATGCTTTCGTCATATACGTGTCTCCGCTGATCAGACCCGGCGTGCCCTTGCCGGTCGACTCCAGCCACTGAAGGTACCGTTGCGGGTGGACCTGCGGGGCGGAGCGGGGCGCTGACGTCGGCGCGAGGGCGCACAAACAGGTGGTTGCGCGGTTGGGGCGGCGCGGGCGCGCGCGGACCTGAGCGAGCTGCTCGATGGTGGCGGGCGTCCACTCGGCGATGCGCTGGACCTCGCCCGGGCGGCCGGACTCGTCGAGACCGCGCGCCGCGAGGCCGTCGAGGATAGCCGGGACGCGTGCTGCGCACTCGGGGTGGCCGGGCCAGTCGTGGTCCGCGTTCGCGTTGTGGAGGTAGATGATTTGCGGAGCGGCATCCGGCTCCGCAGCGACGCGCGTGGGAGCACGGCCACGCCTCGTGCTCCATGCAAGCGAGCTGTGCGTCGTGCGCGTCGCCGCAGGGGGGATCCCTGCAGTTCGGCACCGAGATGCATGCTCGCGAACTGAACGGTGCCGTACGTAGAGGATTGCGTGTCGTTGTGCCGTTGCGAGCAGGGAGGAGTGCTGAGCAAGCTGTGGCACAAAAGGCCCGGCTCGCACAGGTCTGCGCGGCGAAGCCGACGTTCATGGCCGCACCTGTCGGCTTCGAGCCGCAGTGAAGCACGCAGCCGGCGTTCCCGACCAGGCATGCGCGCGTCGCGCGGCAGGCCGTCTGAACAGACATGGTTGCAATTCGCCGACCTCTCCCGAACACAACGCGCGTCCCCCGCTCGACGCGATCTGCCAGACACGCGACAACAGCTCGGTCACAGCACGTGCGCCCGAGAAGTGGCCGCGTCACGACCTCGCCGCCCTCGAAATCGACCCGCTTGCTGCGTGGTGCGACCGACACGGCAACCACCCCCCTCCTCGGGACTAGCTCGACTTTTTGGCCTCCGCGCCCCGCGCCGTAGCCTGCTCCGTCGGCGACGACGCCGCGTCGTACTGTTTCCGCAGCTCCTTCGCGCGCGCCCGCACGTTCTCGATCGTTGTGTCCCACGCCTTCATTTCCGCCTCCGACGCCCCCAGCATCCGCGACGCAAGATACAACACCGGCACCAGCACGCCTGCAACGCGCCCTCGCCCGGCGCGCGTCAGCACAGCATCGCACGCGCGGCGCGGCGGCCGTCACGCGAAACAAGCATCGCGGTGCACAACTGCGCTGTTGCGGGCTGCGCGGGCGGCGCACCGAAGAACAGGAAGCCCCCGACGAGGCCGGCGGCGATGAGCTCGAGGACGTGCTCTTGGCGCGCGTACTTCGCGCCCCAGCTCTTCGTGAGGAGGAAATCCCGGATGTTGCCCTTCAGCGTGATGGCGCCCGCCGACAGCGCCGCCTGCCCCCACGCGTAGTCCCGGCTCAGGCGCTTGCGGAAGGCGCCCCACATGCCCTCGACCTCCGTCGCCCGCTTGCCGAGCATTCCGCGCCACGACGCGCGCACGAGATACTGCGCAGCGGCGGAACGCGAGTCGAGGATTCTCGAGTGCCGGCGCGACGGCGCGTCGGGGGGGGCTGCGCGTGGCGGAGGGGCGCGGGCGGCTCGTGCGGGTCGAGTGAGGCACCTTGGCGTCCTCCCAGGTCCGGTGAACCTTGGTGCCGTGGAGCTTGGTCAGGGTCCAGAACGAGAGGTCGCTCAGGGACTTCGTTTTCTTGTTCAGACGCTCGATTTGCTTCTCGTATGCCTTGTTCTGCGCGGCGACGGGGTCGCGCGGACGACGATGGCGGTCGCAGACGCACGCAGGGAGCAAGGAGGGCAGCTGTGCTGTGGGCTGTGCGGGCGGAGGGGGCAGGCGACCGGCGCACCATCTTCGAGAGGTACTCGCGCTGCTCCTCGGACCGCTCGTATCGCTTCTCGCACTCCGCAAGGTCCGCTGCGAGACCCTGGACCCGCTCCTCCAGCTTGACGACCGATGCCTGCTCGCTCGCGCACGCATGCGCCCTCGCGTCGACGCACACAGGCGCAGTCAGGACCAGCGCTGCGCAGCACAGCGCGAACGCGCCGAACGCGCCCCGCAGGACGGAGCCACGCCGCGCCATACTGCCACCCGCGCTGAACCGGCGGGACCCGCGCGCGGCGCCCCCTCCCCGGATAGGACGCGGCTCCTCGCGGCAATACACCCACTGCGAGCTCCGCCACCGCCTCTAGCACTGCCGGCCCCGGGAAAAGGCAGGGTTCGAGCGAAACAGCGCGGGACAACGGACTCCTGGTTTGTGCCTGAACTGCCGCTCCGACCCCGACCTTTACGCATGCACGGTATGCCCCAGCCATGCAGTGCGCGCCGGTCTTGCAGGCGCGGGCAGGCAGGGCGGGGGGGAGTCGTGCAGGAGCGTTGCGCCACCAGTACCCCTGCATGACTACTAGACGGGTGCCCCGCGGTTTCCTGCTCCGGGAACAAGCTGTCCGCGCGGACGCGGCACCCGCACAACGTATGTAGCAGGACTTAGACACGTATCTCGACGCCTGGAGAGCTGCACCGTGCGTCATTCCGCCTCTCTCGGCCTGATTCGCTTCTGCGTGCTTGTCGTCGCACTGCACGCGCACCTAGGGCCAGCGGCTAGTATGTGGGATGTAGACTGGAAGTCGCTCGCCATCGGCGCGGCCGCGGTTGTGTCGGCGAAGGTTGCTTACGAAGTTGCAGTAGCTGCAGCAAAGAACCGTTGCCCGACGGACAGCTCTCCACGGGGGCTGCGCGTCGTGCTCACGGGAGGGAGCCTTGGCCTCGGACGGGCCCTCGCGAAGGAGTTCTTGTCCATGGTGCGCAGCGACGCGCTGCGGGGCCTCATCACAGCGCCGCCCTCCCCTCCTTCCTGCCGCGAGTTCACGCTCCGGCGACGTGTCCTCCGCAGGGCGACTCCGTGGTGATCATGTCACGAGACCCCGGCGCTGGCCGCGGGGCCGCTGTCGACCTCGCGAACGCGGGAAGCGCGGGCGCAGGCCAGGGGGCGCGCGTCTCGTGGGTGCAGTGCGACGTGAGGGACGCGCAGCAGGTCGACGCCGCGGCGCAGGAGGCGGCGAAGAAGCTCGGCGGCATCGACATCTGGATCAACAACGCGGGCGTCTCGATGGCGCCCAAGAGCCCTCTGAGCACGTCCGACCCAGAGAAGCTCGCCGCCGTGGTCGAGACGAACCTCCTCGGCGCGATGTACGGCGCGCGGTCCGCGGCGCGGATCATGGCCGCGCAGCCAGCGGACCGGCGGTGCGCGGCCCACGGGCTCGCCGTTGCTGTTGCTGCTCAGCTTGCGTCGCGCGCCGTGCGCGACGGGGCCTCCCCGCGAGACCGCGCGCGCTCTCTGCGTTGGCGCGCGCGTGACGTGGCAGCGAGCGGCGGCCCTGCAGGTACAAGATCATCTTCATGGACGGCGCGGGCGCGGACGGGTCGGCGACGCCGAACAACGCGGCGTACGGCGCCAGCAAGCACGGCCTCGTGCAGCTCGTGCGCAGCGCAGGAAAGGAGCTCTCGGGCCGCGCGCGGAAGGCCCCGGGCCAAGAGAACGAGGCGCGACCGCACCCACCCGCACGTGTCCATGCGCCAGACCCACGCCGCTTGCGAACGCTGCTCGACGCGGCGAGCAGCGGGTGCGTGCCGCTGACCTTTCGATCGTCGAGGCGCGGTCGCGATCGGGACGCGGAGGCCGCCGTGCGCGCCCCCTGCAGGTTGCGGGCAACGTGGAGGCGCACCTGTTTTCCCCCGGGATGGTTCTGACGGACCTGCTGCTGTCAGGCGCGGACCTGTCCTCGCCGATGACGGCCCGGGCGCTCAACCTGCTCGCGGAGCCCGCGGACGTCGTGGCGCGCTGGATGGCGCCGCGCATCCGTGGCGTCCGTGGCAGCTCTCCGCGCCACGTGAGGTACCTGACGCCGCTGGGCGTCCTGGGGCGGTTCGCGACCTTCTGGCGGTACAGCGACCGGTGGATCGCCAAGGGGAAGCTGAAGCGCGTCTGACGGCAACACGAGAAGTACATGATTGATGTTATGTTATGATATGATAATGTAAAGCACACGAGATTGAATGTGACGCGCCGCGTGGCCTGACGTGGGCGCTGGCCGGAGCGCGAGGTGTGTTGTCCGTCTGCAGAGATGCGGGAGCGCTGAGGTCCCAGCGAAGGCACTGGCCTCCCGCACTGCTGCTGTTCATGGTGCAGGCCGGTGTTGGCGTGGGGTCTCGCATGCGGCCGCCCTCGCGCAGGCCAGGCGATGACACCTCGGCCGTGCGCGGAAGTTCTTGACGCGCGTTATACCAGCCTCTTCAACTGCACAAGGACACACCTGCACCTGAGCACACAACATGCATTGTACGTTCATGGCGGCGCCCACAGAGCGCCGGTACGGTCTGCGCAGCTCCGTCGTGGCCTGGGCATATCGGCTCCGGCACCGGCCACGGCGAGCAGGTCACGTTCCGCCACGAAAGCTTCCGTGTTGTACCTGGTGACCTAGATCTCGGCCCATGAGAGGCCGGCAGGAAGCCGTTCTCCGCCAGTTCTCTCGTCCCCAGGCTAGTCTGCGAGGTAGTTGTTCCGTTGCTTGCGTTTCGTGAGACTCCGCCCATCATGTCGGTCCCAGCCGGTGTCAGCAAGCCAGCTTCGGCGACGGTAGCGCCTGCCCGCACGCAGCGCCGCGCGGTCGCGTGCCAAGCGGGTCCCTCGCGCCGCGATGCCCTCCTCGCGGGCGCCAGCCTGACCGCGCTCCTGTCCATGGAGAAGCCGGCCTTCGCAGGTGCGCAGCGACCTGGCCAACCAGCGAGCACCGACCCGGTCGCCCGGCGGCCCCGCACGCGCTCTCCGTCGCTCCCGATCCGCGCACGGCGCATTTCTTATTTGATTATAGCGACGCTCGGCGACATCTGAGCCTGCCGAGCGCCCAGCGCGCCGGCGCGGCGAACAGATGGCTTCCTGCCACTGATGTCGTCGTCCAGGCCTCGCAGCGCGCGCGGGTCTTCGTTCGCCCCACCCCGTGCGCGCCCCGCGTTCTTCACCAGCAGAGGGCGCCCTGACAGACCCGTCCCGGTGTCGTACGCCTCCACTATGCACGGCAGCGCCTCTGTTGCTGCCTACAGTGCCTCGCCAACCTCCCGTGGCCTCTCGCTCCCCGCAAGGCCACCCCCCGACCGATTTCCCACACCCCGCTGCTCACCACCTCTCTCCCACCCATTTCACATTGAGATCGGCTCAGCACCGGCACATCCACGCCCACAACGCGGCGCGTCTTCGCGCCTTGCCCGCCCACCGCGCCCGCGCCCCACGCAGCGCGGGGACCTCGCGCCCCCGCCCCCCGCCGCCCGCTGGCTCCCCAAACCACCGCGCGCGCCACCGAGGCCGCCCGCTCCGCGTCCACGCCCCTCAACGCCCCGCCCCACCTCCCGTGCCTGCGCAGCAATCGACAAGTCAGTCGGCACGTACCTGCCGGCCGCGGGCATCGACGACTTCGTGCGTTTCGTGCCCTCGAAGAGCAAGACCCCGGCGCTGCGCGCGGGCATCATCAACGCGGACCAGCCGTACCAGTTCGCGCTCCCCCCGACGTGGGGCGAGTCGCGCATCTCCAACACGCAGTCCGGGAACTACTGCCAGCCGCGCTGCGACGAGCCGTGGGTCGAGGTGAAGTTCGAGAGCGCCGCGGACGGCCTCCTCGAGCTCATCGTGTGCCCGCTGCGCAAGCTCACCCCCGCGGCGCGTGCGACGATCGAGGAGATCGGGGACCCGGACTACTTCGCGCCGCGCATCGGGCCGTACCTCACGGGCGACTACTACGACCCCGACACGCTCGTGGAGCAGAAGGTCGTCAAGCAGGACGGTCTGACGTACTACTTTTACGAGCTGTACGCGCCCGAGGCGATCTCGGGGAAGCCGCACATTCTGGCGTTCACGACGGTCAAGGACGAGGGGTGCCTGATCTTCAAGCTGACCGCGTCGGAGAAGCAGTGGAAGGCCGCGGAGCCCAAGCTGCGGAAGATGGGGGAGTCGTTCCGCGCGTGACGACCGCGCGCGGCTGACTCTGCGCACGTTGTAATGAACGATCAGACTGACGAACGTGTTGCCAGACCGGAGGTCGCGTTGACCGGGAAAGCGGTGGCGGAGAGCAACGACGCGGTGGAGCCCCCGCGGGGCTTCAAGACAGAACGAACGAACGGCGCGGGCGCGGAGGAAGGAGTCGAGCGTCCTGAACAGTGCGGCGCCGTGTACCACGGGGCACTCGCGCGTGGTCGGGCGGGCAACGCCCAGCGCCCTGCGAATGCACCTCACATCCCCAGCCGGTGCGTGCCGAGCCTGTGCTCGTCGCCTGGCGCTGCTACGGCTGCGGCGAGTTGCCGTTCAACGAGTCCCCGCCCCCGTCCCCGTCCTGCGACACCCGCGCCTGACTCGCCTCCCTGCCCCACCCCGCGTACCTCTCCACGCGCAGCAGCGGCGCGAGCAGCTCCCGCAGCGCCCCGCGCACCAGCCGCCCGTGGTCCGCGATCTTGCCCACCGCCGCCGCCGCCTCGCCCTTGCCCCCGAACGCCAACACCCAGTGCCCGTCGGCCAGGAAGTCCCGCCGCAGCTTCACGTGGCCCGACGGCGACGACAGCGCGTGGTTCAGCGCGCGCGCCACGTGCCGCAGCGGCGGCCGCACGCCCAGGTGCAGCCAGCTGGGATGTCCGCGGTCCACCTCGGCGCGGCACCCAAGCACGGGCGCAGTGCACAGGATGCGCCCGCAGTCCGCGCGGCTCTGCGACGGCGCCGCGAGCACCGTCAGCGGCGCGTCGACCAGCGCCATCCCCGGCTGCACGGCGAGCCCCGCCGTGAACAAGAGCACGCCCTGCTCCACGCTAGGCTCGAACGAGACCTTGCACTTCAGTGGAGAGAGGTTCGCGAGCGGAACCTCCACGCCCTCGCGCAGGTCCGGCCGCGGGACCGACGGCGTGCCCGCGAGCGGGGCCTCGAGGCGCACGCGCCCCCAGCTGAGCAGCTGGTGGACCTGCGCCAGCGTGACGAGGGCCTGCACGCGCTGCGTGCACCGCTCGACGAGCCCCGCCTGCTGGTCCGTGCCGTTCCGGCTCGCGTTCCGCCCCGCCGACCCGCTGCGCCGGCTCCCTCGTCGACTCCCCTCCTTCCCGCTTGCCCCCCCCCCCGCGCCCGACACCGGGAGGAGGAGGCTCTCGGACGTGCCCGGGAGCGCCGGCGAGACGACGCGCAGCCGGCACGGCCGCCACGTCAGGTGCACCATCAGCGGCACCGCGTCGCCGTAGAGCCCCTCCTCCACCTCGCGCCCCACGTCGTCGGCAGCGCGCGGCACGGCCTCGTCGAGCCAGGCGCGCTGCTCGTCGCCCATCTTCGACCGCCCGCGCCCGCCCTTGCTCGCCGTGAGCAGCTGCCGCAGCAGCCACCCCACGAGCGCCAGCTGGTGGCAGGGCAAGTCCCCCCCGAGGAGTTTGAATAAGTCCCCCACGATCGACTCCCCCGGGGATGTCCCGCTGAGCTTCGTGCGCGGCTTGCGCGCGCCGTCCGCGGGCTTCTCGCCCTCGTCCCCGCTCGACGCCGCGTCCGCCGCGCCGCCGTCGACACCCCCCCCCTGACCGGACTTTTGCGACGACACGTCGAGGTGCATGTGCACGACCGCGCCGAGCAGCGCGTCGACGTCCATGCTCTGCCGCGGCATCGGCCCCACGTCGTCGCCGCCCTCGCCCTCCCCGGAGTACTCGCTCCGCCCGTACGACCCCTCGCGACCCCCCTCCCCCGACACGCGGCTGCCCTGACTCGGCTCGCTCGGCACGAGCGACCGCGCGCCGTGCGACCGGTTCTGCAGCATGTGGATGAGGTCCCGCGTCTTCTTCATGCGCTGCGGCAGCAGCCGCGCGGTGTCGAGGAGATCCGTGTCCACCTGGGTGTTGCGCAGCAAGGCCACGAGCACCCGTGTCGCGCCCGCGGAGTGCAAGCGGTTGCCGCTCCCGAGCGCGTCGAGGAGCGCGCGGTAGCACTCGAAGGGCTTGTGCGCCGCCTGCTGGTCCGCGGTCCCCCGGGGGGGGTATAAGTCGAGCGCGTTGTGTCGGTTGAGCAGGAGGTACGTGATGGTGTGGTGCCCGAGGAGGAGCGAGCAAGCGAGCGCGTTGAGGAGGCCTGGGTCCGTGAGGGACTGCAGGAGCCGCTCGAGGACGTACATCGCCGTCGCGGGCCGCACCGCGGGCACGTCCCCGCGCCGCCACGTCGTGCTTCCCGCGGGCGGCTCCGCGCCGTCCTGCTCGCGCGCGAGCAGCGGCCAGAACAGCACCGGCCCGGCAAGCTCCCGCCACAGCGCCGCGCGCAGCGCCCGCCCGACCTCCTCGGTCGCCTGACTCAGCACGTCGTTGCAATACACCACCACGTCCTCGAGCTCCGCCAGGAGGTCGTCGACGCGGCCCTCGCGCTCCGCGCCGCGCGCCGCGGCCGCCGCCAGCGCGCCGTCGAGCGCCACGGCCTGCCCGGCGAGGTACGCCGCGAGCTGGGGGAAAAACTCCCCCGCCGCGTGTCGGGCCACGAAGCGCGACAGACCGTCGTCGCGGAGGCGGAAGACCTGGAGCGTGAGCGTGCGGACCGCGGCGCGGACCATGGACTCGGGGTGGTCGAAGAGCGCCGAGCCGCGCGAGTACAGCGGGAAGCGCCGGGCGTCCTCCGTGTCGGTGGCGCTTGCGCCGCCGCCGGGCGGGAAGATGGCCGGCGCGTGGGGTTTGCGGGCGGCGTGCGGGGAGTGCGGCGAGGCGCCGCTGTTGAAGAAGAACTGCGCGGCGGGGAGCGGGGGTCGCGGTGGGTCGGAGGGGCGGGCGGGCGGGGGGTGGCAGCCTTGCTTGAGCGGCTGTCGGGGCGTGCCTGGACGGTGTTCTCGGTGAGCTTCAGGGAGATCGTCTTGAGGAGGGATATGTAGAATCCGAGGAGCTCCTCATCCTGGAAGTCGAACGTCAGCCTGCGCGGCGGGGGGGGGAGTTTCAGAAACGTGATGTGTGTGCGAGTGGGGGAGTGGTTGGGGCGCGTGGTGTGCGAGGGGGAGTCGCGGGGGGCGGGTATCGTCGCGGTGGAGTGCGGGAGCGTGATAGGGGGTATGTGCGCACCCGATGATATGGTTTAAGTGGTTGTTTGAGAACAGGAAGAACAAGGAGTGTTCGCTGCGGATGTTCTGGATCATGATGGCCAGCGTCTGCAGCACCTGCTTGACCAGGTTGTTGTGCCGCTGGTTCGACCTCTGCAGGGCAGGCGGCGGCGACGCGGGCGGTCAGATCGCTCCCTCCCAAGTCGATGCAGCCAGAAAACTCGCCGGGCCGGGTTCCGGCCGCCAACTGATCGTCTAGGTCGCCGCGTATGAAGACCAGGGCACACGACGCTGTTTGCGCGGTGCGCGGCGGGCGTTCCGACCGGGGCGACGCCACAGCGCGGCCTGGGGAGGCGCGGGCAGGACCGACTCGCTACAGCGCGAACGGGCCTAGTACGGGCCGTCGTGCGCGTAGGGCGCTGCGTACCTGTGAGAGGATGGAGTGGAAGTGCGCCAGCATATTGTGCTCGAGGAAGTAGTCGAAGAGAGCGGCGTTGTGTTGGTCTCCCCAGATCATGAGCTCCGCGGTGCTCCTGAGCGTCTCGACCAGGACGTCCTGGTTCGCCTCCGTGACTGTCGGGTTCTTCATCAGCACCTGCGCGGTCAAACATGGGAAGAAATCCCCGAGAAACGGTCGGTTCGCGGGCGAACTGACGTGCAGACAAGCCCGAGGCCACGCTGACGCGCTCAGCGAGCCTGGCGCGCGAACTCGCACACGCATCGTGAGACCACGTGGCTCCTGTGCTGCGGGCGGGCTCCAGTCCGGAGTACAGGCACTTGCGGCAGCGCCAGGACACGAAACCGTGAGCGCTGCGGAGCACTCGCGCCCCGCAACGGCGAGCGCGGTGGACCTCTGCCCGCCCAACGTCCGCGGCGACCGCACGTTGGAGACTGCGCCCAGCACAGGGAGTCCGCACGAGGCGAGAACACCGATGCTGGACGCCGCGAGACGCGACAAGGCCACCGGAGCACCATAGCTTCCCGCCCCGCCGGGACACGTGCGCGCGGGACCGGCCTCGACCGCCGGCGCGGCGTCGGTGTGGTGAGCACGCGCGGCGCCGAACCTCGACCGAGCCCGCCCTGCCAGCACGCGACGCACCTGGTGCAGCCTCTGGAGCTCCTCCAGCGAGAAGCGGTTGCCCTTCCCCTGCGCCGAGCCGAACAGAGACGTCCACCACGAAGACATCCTGCCTGTCTATGACGGTGCGCGGCCACAGGAAGGGCGCGGCGGCCCCGCCGGGCGCTCTCACACGGCCCTGCTCGCAGCGCCCGGTGTTCCTGAGCCACCGCGACGCGGCGCTGGCTCCGGGTGGACCCCGGCTCTGCCGACTACGATGTGGCGACTACGTGCGTCCAACACGCCGGTGTTCTGTGCCGCGGTGCGCGCTCAGAGGCGCAACAAGCTGCGGGCTCAGTAGACCCCCCGCGGTGTCTGTGCGGTCGCGAAGACAGGCGTACGAAGTGAAGTTGCGTGTACCGTGTCGTTCGTCGTCAGGTTGAGCGTATCGAAGCTCGCTGGAGCGCGAGTGGGGTGTTCTGGGGCGCTGCGCGGGCTTCAAGTTTCCCGAAGGTGGGAGGGCTTGACACGAGGTCGCGTGGGCCGCTACCGACGTGGCCCTGCGTGAAATGCGACGTCGGCGCAAAGATCGATTTATCATCGTTGTAGTGCGGCGCGACGGCGGCCTCGCCGCGCCGTGAACGGCTGCAAACGGCCACTTGCGGCGCTGGAACTGAAAAGATGTCGTTGCAAGGAAATGCCGTCTGCTCCGCGCTTCGCAGGCACGCGCGGTCCGGCCTATCCGCAGTGCAGCGATGGTCGGGCGGCGCAAGAAGACCGGGCAGGCGGCCACGGCGCGTTTTGACGGATATTTCAAGAGGACCCTCGTCGACGCACTGACGCACACGGAGCTCGTGCTGTACTTCTGCGTCGAGACAAGCTCTCGAGCGTCGGTGCTCTTCGCGATGGTGAGCGCGCTCTTCCCCCGGACAGCGCGGACGGAGCCAACCTCTTCTGCAGACAACCGCCGTCTCTGCCGAAGCGCGAGCACACCGCGGAGACGCTTCGTCGCTGCATGGTCAAAGCTCCTTCCGATTACGCTTGCGCGACCACAACCTCGCGTCGCGTCCGCGCGCGTGCGTCGCAGCACGGTCCCCTCGTCAAACCCACCGCACATGGTCCCGTACGGCCGCGACACAGCTTCCTGCGCGTCGATTTCACCGTAGTCAGCACTATTCTCCCTGCAGGAGCGCCGCAAGAAGCGCGACCCGCCTCATTCGGGCATCTTCGTGTCGTACGAGCTGGTGCCCGGGAACCAGGCCGGCAACAAGGCGCCCCTGACGTGGCCGACGGAGGCGGCGCTGCTCGCCTTCCTCGCGACACAAGGCGCGGCGCGGGAGCTCACCGCGCACGAGCGCCAAGGCCTCGTCCTCCCGAGGCACGTCCCGGCCCGTGAGATCAAACGTCGTCGATGTCTATGATACGTGCGATGCGTGTCCGCGTGTGTGCGTGTCCGCGAAACGCGGAGCACGCGCGTGATTGCGGACGCAGGTACGACGTGCACAGCATCATCAGGCAGCCGGCGGCGCTGCGGTCGCGCTGGCTGCCCCCGCTGCCGACGATCCCCGTCCGGGGGGACTTCCGGGCGTTCCGCGTGGACCGGGGCAAGTTCTCCGACGGACGGAACTACCGCCGCTTCTGGCTGGTCGACGAGTCCAAGGGCGGCGTGGAGCTGCTCGCCGTTGTCGGACAGGTGCGGCACGACTCATATCATTTACATTTATATCAAAGTGTCGCATTCTAGACGTCAGATCATGACGACCTCGAGCGGGCTGATCGAAGGAAGTGGTTGCGTTCGTGGCACAGAGGAACAGGAGAGCCAGAGACTCTGCTTTTGTTGCGAATGTCGCGCAGGACGGGCCGAAGAAGAACAGGGTGTACTGCTACAAAGCGCAGCCCGAGTTCGGCGGCTGGACGTTCGACAACGGGACCTCCGTGGAGATCTGGCTCGGGGCTCTCGTCGGCCTCCCAGAGATCTTCGCCCTGCCCGCGCCCAGCCCCGAGGTAGCGCCGGGGGCGGCAGGGGAGGAGCACGACTGGTCGCAGGAGCGCGCCGCGGACGACGAGCCGCCGGCGAAGCGTCAGGCGCTTGATGCGGACGTAGGCGCGCCCGGCGCATCGCCGACGGTCGAGCGCGTGGCGCAGTTGCAGGTAGGCTTGGTGCGGCGAGCAGACGGCGTCGCGACGCGCCTCGGCCTGACCACAGCTGCGGCAGTCCTGCGAGCTCGCTGTCGGGGCTGCCTGGTAGAGCTGACACAGGGCGAGCGACGTGCGTTGCAGCACGGTCGAGCGCGACTCCCCCCCTGAGCAGACTACGCAGTCTGTCAAACACACCTGCATGTCGTCTGCGATGCAGGCGGTTGCGCAGGCAGAGGAGGAGCACGGCGCGCCGGAACCTCCTCAGGAGGCGCACGACGAGCTGCACGAGCAGGGCCTGTCAGCGCTGACGCCGCAGCAGCTCGTGCACTGGGCGACAGGGACTCACTCCGACGACGTTGTCGAGCGCATGATGGCGTGGGCCAAGAAGCTGCAGGAGATGGCCGCGCTGCAGGTGCGTCGTGCACCGCTGTCAGCCAGCTCGCGCACGGCGTTGAACACACGTTGCGGATGCGAGCGGCTCGGTGTTGTCGTTGTATGCTTCTGGGAAAGATGCTGACAGACGCAGCGGCAGCGACCGACCCGCGCACGGACGCGAGCACGCCGCCGCGTGCAGCGCATCGCTCGTGCTGCAGCACCCGCCCCGATGACGGATTCCCGCACACGGCCTTCTGCTCCGTCCTTGATACTGATGATCAACCACTTGCTGTCGTCTTTCTCGGTCGCAGGTGCCCGGCTGTACTCTCCCGGCGCCCGAGGGATCCGCCCCCTCCTCGCCCCGGGCACGCCCCGCGGGACCGTCGTCGCAGGACTCCCCCGGCGCGCTCTCCGGCAGCGAGTTCCGGTCCGCTCAGCGTCTCTTCGAGCAGGGCGTGCTCATCCTGGAGGCGCTGCGGCGGCTGGAGGTGCACGAGCCGTGCCTGACGCTCCACGAGGCGTCCCGCATCTCAGTGCCGGTGTCGTGGCTGCAGCGACACCCGGGGCAGCAGGCGCGGCACCTTGCGTGCCAGCTCAGCGAGCGATGGCGCGCCGTGGCCATGGCTGCCGTCGCCGCGTACAACCACGGCATGGCGGTCCCAGCGGCACAGCCGCTCATCGGCCCCGTGCCGCAGGGAGCCCTCGGCGCCCCAGCATCGCCCGTCAGTCTCGCGGCGGCGGGGTCCGCGCCGCCCAGAGCCGCAGCCCCGAAAGGCGAGAGCGTGAGGGCCGGGCGTGGCTCGCGGGCGCCGCAGCGCGCCGGGGGCTCTGTGGATGGCGAGCGTGGCCCCAACGAGCCGGCGAGCGGCGGCTCGCCGACCGTGCGCGTCGTCGACGTCGACGCGATTCCTCCTGCCGCCAACGGCACCCCGAGCCCGTTCGAGACCTCCGTGCGGGTCGCAGGGCAGCGGCCCATGGCGCACGTCGCCGGAGGGACGGCGTGCGGCGTCGGTCCTCGGGCGGCCCGCGACGGGCCGCCGCCGGCCGGGCCTGGTCCGCTGCAGTATGAGCAGCGTCGGTCGCTGTCAGACCCGACGGAGTCGCTCCTGGGGCCGGCGACGCTGGCGCGGCTTCATGTCGCGAGCCGCTCCGTGCCGTCGTCGCCGGCGCACGAGTTTCAGCGCTCGCCGCGGGCAGAGCCCAAGCCGGTGCCGCGGCAAGACATGGTTCCTCAGTTGCCATCGACGCCGACGTCTCAGAGTCTGTCGTTCCGGGCGTGGGAGCCGTACGGCGGAGCTCCTCCAACGCTCCCACTCGACAGGTACCGCGCTGACGCGCGCGGCGACGGGCCCGCAGCGCACGGCCATGAGGAAGCGCACGGCGACGCGCAACATGGCGAGGCGGCCAAGTGCGCCGGCACGCCCACGAGTGGCCGCGCACGCGCTCGGGCCGGCCACCCTCGCCGAGCGTTGCCGTGAGGCTCCGGTGCGATGCGAGTGTGGGCCAACGCATGCATGAGAACATCCAACCCTTTGCGGGCCCTTGAGTCCCAATCAATGTCTATGGAACGCGTATGATTGTGGCTCAGGCGAGCGCGGTCGCATCCGTGTGAGCGAAGGAGGCAGAGGAATACAGCCCTCTGAGTATGGGATGCCTGTAGGTCAGCCAACAGTCCGGTCAGCAAATGCGAAACGAGAGCGCCTCGTCCGCTGCTCGATGTTTGTTGTTCGGGCTGCGAGCGCGTCACATCACGGTCGCGACCTCTCACCCGCTGGCGCCTGCGCGTTCTCCGGGGCCTGCGCGGCGTCGTTGTCTTGCGTCACCACGGCCTCGTCCTCGGCCGCACGCAACGTCTCCTCCATCAGCGCCAGCTGCTGCGCCACATGCGCGGGTACCGCAGCGCCCTCGGAGTTCATCACTTTCCGCGTCACCTGCGGCACAAGCAGGGAAGGAGCCCTTGAGTCATCTGGCAAGTATTCCAACGCACGTGAGCAACACAGAGATATAATAACACGCCGGAGAGAAAATGCGCCGTGCGCGTGCGGGCAGCGTGTGCTCGTGCCTGGATGTGCATGTGCGCCAACACGGGGATCGTCGTGCCGCCGAACGCGACGTCGATCCTCCGCCACGGCAGCTGCTGCAGTCGGTGCAGCGCGCGCCGGCGCATTATCGACACGGAACACCCCCGGGGGGGTACCAGCTCCATGCCGTCTGACGGGTCCTCCACCGTGTCTGTGCGCTCCAGCACCGAACCGCTCCGACCCTCCTCCGTCTCCTCCGCGTCCGGCCGCAGCTGAAACCCCCCCCCTCCGGCACCTCTGGATACCTAGACCCCCTCATGGCGATGCGCACCGCCTCCGCGCTGTTGGGGGCAGCCCGTCGCGCAGCCTCCGCTGCTGCCCGGGCCTCCCTGCGCGACAGCTCGCCGTCCCATGCGCACGGCAGCGGGTCTGCGTGGACCACGCCGCGCGCCTCGCGCAGGCGCTCGGGGTCGTACGCGGGGAGGGCGTTGCTGGCGCGCAGGGACGAGTTCGGCCAGGACACCAGGTGGTCGAGGTCGACGTTCGCGTAGCACGTGCGTGACTTGAACGCCTGCACAGCCAGGACACGCGCGCCGCACTTCAGGGGGCCGCCGCGCAGAACAAGCCAGCGCAGGCTGGTTGTAGCGCAAGAAAGCCACGCAGGAGCTCGCTGTGCATGCACTGTCTCAGCAAGCGCGCAACGGCTCGCGTGTCCGTGGCTCGCGTGTCCGTGGTTCGTTTGAGCTTTCCGTTTGAAGTGTATAAATTCAATCATGGTTTGGTGATAATGTGGGTCACCTTGAGTGCGGAAATGAAGTACTCACGCCGCTCCGGGACGTCGAACGCCATGCGATACACCAGCGGCATGTCCGCGAGCGTCACCGTCGACCCGTCCGGCTCCGCACCGAGCCGCTCCATGCCTGGCGGCGGTTTCGGCGCGCCCGCCCCCCTGCTGCCGTTGGTCGCGCCGGGCGGCTCCGGGCCGGCGCCCGCGACCTCCCTCGCGCTGCGGCCGTTGCCCTGCGCCGCGCCGTCGTCGCCAGCGCACGCGTTCGCGGCCGCGCGGGACATCTCCAGCTCGGGGGGGAGTCCCGTAGACCACCCCCCGAGCTTCGCGCGGTACTGCATCGCAGCGGCCAGCGCGCCCGGCTCGTTCTGGCGCGCGCGGTCCGCGGCGTCGCCGTCCTCGAGGAACAGCTGCGCGCCCGTGCGGCCCAGCGCGAGCGTCGTCACCGGCGCCGCGTTGTCTCGAAGGAACCTCGTGAGGTCCCACGGGCGGAGCTTGCCGATCTGGGGACCCTTCGGAAGCACCTCGGACCAGTCGATGAACGGCACGCTGCGCGCGAGACGGCACATGGAGGGCGTGTTTCAATTTGTGTTGCCAGCGCAGCGTTGCGTGCTACGACGCGAGAGACAAGCAATGGCATCGAACTGTGCTGCCCAGGCGTCGCGGTGTAAACGAAATTCGGTGGCTTGCTGTCCCCGCGACGCCTACGTATGAGATGGGCGCAGCTCGCCCCTCACCTGTTCTCTCCCTCCTCGCCCGCGACGCCCAGGTGCGGCGTCGCCATCGAAACGTAATGCATGGGCTTGAGGCCCGCGATCAGGCCCGTCTGCGGGTCGTACAGCTTGCCGGCGGCGTACCGCGCGATCAACCCCCCCATGGAGTGCCCAATCAGAGAAATCTTCTTGAGGGTTGGGTTTCTTTCTACCTCGAACCGAATCTCGCGCGCCAGGCGCTCGCCGCACACGTCGATCCCGTCGAACGTCCGCAGCAGCGCGTTCTCCTGCACCGCAACGCCACCCCCGGGCGCGAGTCACGGCATGTTGCACACACGGTGCAGGCGCGCCGGGCCACAGCGATCCCGACGAGCAGGTCGCCGGGACAGCGACGGTGTGTCAGACAGGCGGCGCGGGTGCGTCCGCGCAGGAGCGAGGGCACAAGTGCGGACCTGCGACTTGTGCAGTACACAGTGCGCAAACGGCTGCTTGTCCTTCATGCTGCGCATCACCGAGTCCACCATGAAGTCCCAGTTCGCCGGGGAGCCGAAGAGGCCGTTCGCGAAGACGATCAGGTGTCGTGGCTGCGTGCCTCCGTCCACGTACACGTCCGACTGCAAGTGTGCGGAACGGTGCGCGCGCTGGGTTGCTGAGGTCGCTGTGCCGACGAGCGAGAGCCGTATCTGGAAGCGCTCAGGTGCTTCCTCGTTCGCGGGGAAAGCGCAGTATGTCGGATTTTGGCCGTGTGATGGGTTCGCGAGGAGGGCGCGGGGCGGGATGAACGAGACAGGACGCGAAAACGGAGCTGTGCATGGTGTACACGAAGTACGCTGTGGCAGGTGCACCACGGACTGGTGGGGTCGGCGACCGGTGCGCAAGCTCTGCGATTACGCAACCGACGCAACGTCCGAGCAGCAGGAGTGCCTCCCAGTCGCAGGACAGGCCGTTGTTCGTCGAGTTGTCCACGTTCCCGCGCCCTCCACTTATAGAGGTCACCGTTGGCCAGGCACGCGCCCGTGCGGTGCAGGCACCAGGCAGACACGGCCTTCCAGAGCGTTTGCACACCTGCAGCGACTCCCGCGCCTCTTCGCGGAGGGTGTCCCTGCTCGCGTTAATCCCCATCGGGAAACCGTCCCAGCCGTTCGATGACGCAGTGTTCGGGGCCTCCCAGTCGCTCAGGGAGGCGTCCTCCTCGTTGCCACGCCCGCGAGCGCAGGTCCCAACCGCGCCGCGTCGCACGCGCCCGTCTCTAGCCTCTCGCGGAGCGCGGCGCGGCGCGCTTCGTTGACAGAGTGCGTGTGGGCGCTGAGCACGCTGCGACGCGCAGCAGAGGGCTTGCGTGAGCGCCCCAACCGTGCCCAGCATAGCCTCTGCTGACTTCTGGCACGCTTCCGCGGTGCCCTTTCCTGTGCTTTGCCGCCCGCGAGCTCCCTGGCCAAGACGCGCGTCTACGAGACTGCAGCTGCCCCGCGCAGGCACGGACCATTATGTCCGACGTCCTACCTTGGATGTCCCCCGGGAGGTGTGTCAGGACATGTCGTGCGGCACGGCGGCCTGCTGGCCTTTGCCTGGCTGCAGTGCGGGCGCGCAGCAGTCACGCCGACCGCACCTGCATCCCGGAACGCTCCGGGGCATCGAGATTGGAAGAAATGTTGCGACACACGTAGGTCTTTCCTCGATAGTTTGTTGCGTGCCTGATACGAGGAGGCATCAGACACGGGCGCGCGCCGCGCGGACCACCGGGCACTAGCGGCTCGCTCCAGCGGGGCGCCAGTGGGACAGTGCGGCCGGTCTGAGGCGCGCTGATATATGACCTGGAATCTAAAAAGTGATGGAAGAGGCCCTGGCACTCCTGCGGGGCGTCTGCGCGCAGGCCGGGGTCAGAGAGCGTATCATCAACGACGCGGTGCGCGCCCGAACGCACTTGGTGGAGTCCGCACCCGCAGCTGCTTCGAGTTGGCTTGCGGTGTATGAGGCAGCCGAATGCGTCACATCCTGTCACAGCCGGCGCGCGCGTGCCGTCGACGCGCTGCAGGGAGTTGCGAAGATTGATCCGGACGAGCCGCACGAAGTCAAACCGCGGACCTGGGGCTTCGCGCGCACCCAGCTGCCCGCGGAGGATGCTTCAGCTCCGCGCGACGACGGCGCTCGGGCCGACGCGGACGCCGCGGGGCCGTCCGGCGCGCCGTCGACCTACATCGAGGAGCTACGCAAGGACCGCATGTTCAATTGCCCGGACAGCACGGAGGCGCTGGCGGAGGAGCTGTGGGTCGACGACGCCCTGCGCGGGCTGGCCGGGAGCGTCGCTGGCGGGGCGGGCTGGCAGGACCCGTCGGCGATCGACAGGATGGAGGACTTCCGGAAGGCGCTGCGCGTGAGAATCAAGGCCACGTGGGCGCAGGAAGCCCTGGCACGGGGCAGGGCCTACATGACTATAGAGAGGGACCCCGGACGGGCGCTGACGTGCTTTCAGCGGGCGCTCGAGCTGCTGCCGACATGCACGGAGGCGTTCGTCGAGACCGCGCGGACGTACATCGAGATGGGATGCCACGAGCGTGCGCTTTCGCCTCTCCAAGTGAGTGTGTGTGTTGCCACCAGCTACACCAAGAGCTGCTCTGGTGGCGCCTCGCTTCCGACGGCTCCGTCCCGACGCGCAGACCGCTGTGCTTGCGGGGCGCAACGCCGGCGCCGATTCTCATCCCGCGCAACTGGACACGTCATGACTGTCGCTGTTGTGTGGTGCCGCCCGTCGCAGGTCGCGCTGGAACTCAAGCCCGACAACCCCATCGCGCTGCGCCTCATGGAGCGCGTGAAGACCCGGATGAGGGAGCTCGGGCGCCCGATCGGTCCAAAAGACCCGGGGGGGTCTCTCATCACTTTCGCACCCGTCGGGGCCGCAGCAGCTTCACGGGACGCGCCACGCGGCCAGCCAGATACCGGCGATGACGCAAGGGTCAACGACGGGGGAGCCAGGACACGCGCGGAGGGGGAGTCCCCGGGGGAGTCCCGCGGTAGAAGCAGGAAGCATGACAGCAGGTCGCGGTCGCGCGAGAGGTCGCGGCGGCATCGCCGCGGCCGGAGATCGCGGCGATCGAGATCCCGGTCGCGATCTCGGTCGCGCTCACGACGGAGACGGCGGGACGACGGAAACGATCGGCGGCGACACCGGGAGCGGGGGGCGCGGTCCAGGAGCCGCTCGTCGTCTCCGCGGTCGAGCAGGGAGCGGCGCTGACGACGCGGTACGAGGTAGCTTCGCGTCGCCGGCGACTCTTGTTGTTGCGCGAAGGCGCGACGGAGCGGGTTCGGACGCATGTGAGATAAATCAAAGTCGTAGTCAGGCAGCGCCGGCGACGTCGCGCGGGGGCCAGCGCGACCGCCCGACGCCTCGAGCGTGAGACCTCTCTGCAGCCCGAGGAGCGCTCAGGCGACAGTCCCTGCTCCGGCCGGGGGTATGAATGCTCTCATGCGTGCGGGGGGGTACTCCACCGCTGTCATTGCTCTCGGCCGCCCTACCTTGGCCATCTTCCTGCGACCGACAGTGCGCTCGTTTACTCGGTGAAATTTATTCAAGTCGACTGACCCAGGGATGGTCAGTTGCGCTGGTGGGTGATTGGGGCGCGTCCGTGGCGCGCGCGACACATCCGACGACGCCGTCGACGTCCCTGCTCGCGAGCCTTGCAGTCATGGCGGACCTCACCGGGCGCAGGTACATCCAGGAGCTCGTTGAGCGCGCGGGCGCGGGCACCTACCGCGACGAGGTGGAGCGGGCGTGCCGCGCACTGGGCGTAGCGAACCACCGAGCCGCGCTCGCCGCGAGTGAGAGCGACTTCAAGGACTACTGGAGGGACGCGGGCCGGGCCGTGCCGCCGTCGGTGCCCCGCGCTATCATCGCTGCCGTCCAGAGCATGGAGCAGGAAGCCGAACAGGCACGTGCGGCGCAGGCGGGGGCGGCGCACCAGAGCAGCACCGCGGACAGGACACACTGCGAGACGCTGGACAAGCTCCGAGCAGCTCTGGCGGACCCTGCGGTCCTGGTGCGCCCCGCAACTCGCTCTTGTGCTCGGAAGCCGGGAAGCCACGGTGCACGGGGCGGCGTCGGTGGGATCCTAAGCGTTGTTTGCCACGCGACGACGGAGAGTCGAGGACACATTCTGCAGTTTCGCACTGTTGCCGCCGCCCGTTGCGCCAGCTGGCGTCATATCCAGCGCCCCAGATGCACACAAATTGTGGTCGCGCTTGGCGTGACGCGTCGCGTACAGCGCGCACGAGGCACCGCCGCAACGCCGCGCCCACATACCGACGCTGCGTGCGCGTCCTGCGCCCGCCAAGCCGTGCAGCGCCATCTGCGCTCTGGAGTACCTGCTGTGTGCTGACGATCATGTTGTGCGGCATCGCGGGGGTGCACGTGCAGGACATCGATCTTGGAGGCCGCACGATCACCTCCGACGTCCCCGTCTCGCTCACCATCGCGCGTGCCGGCCTGGCGCTGCGCAACGGGACGCTGGAGGGCATTCGCCTGCACGCGACTGTGGACGCACGTGGCCTGCTGCTGGACACGCTGACGGTCCAGAAGTACACAGCCCCGAGCTGCGGGGATGGTGAGCGCGCGTCGAGCACCCTGCACCTCCGCGGATACGTCGCGGTGCTGCACAGCTGCCGCAGCGATACAAGTCCACATCTCTCACTCGCCCGCTCGCTCCCACGGCACTTGCAGGTCGACAGGGCATGGTGCAGATATCCGGCGCATGCGGCGTCGTGCTGCGCAGCTGCAAGCTCAACGAGTCCCATGCCGGCACGCCCGGGCTGCGGGTGGAACAAAGTGCCAAGGTATGAATCGTGCCGCCAACACACCGCAGCCCGCCAGGTCCGTCGCGTGGGTATGATACCCGCTGTCGTGACACGTCCGATAGCGAGTCCACGCGCATGCGCAGGTGGAGGTGGAGGGCGGGGAGTGCTGCCGCAATGATGACTGCGGCATGGAAGCGTACGACGAGGGCACGATGGTGACGGTGCGGGGCGTGAGGTGCAGCGACAACAAAGGCCACGGCATAGTCGGGCATGATTGTGCGAGGGTGGAGGTGGAGGGCGGGGAGTGCTGCCGCAACAACAAGTGCGGCGTGGTTGCGATGGACGAGGGCACGGCGGTGACGGTGCGGGGCGCGACGTGCAGCGACAACGAACACCACGGGATACAGGGAAGCCATGGTGCGCAGGTGGAGGTGGAGGGCGGGGAGTGCCGCCGCAACAACAAGTGCGGCGTGTCTGTGGCGGACGAGGGCACTGTGGTGACGGTGCGGCGTATAACGTGCAGCGAGAACAAACTCCATGGGATACAGGGGAGTGGTGGTGCGAGGGTGGAGGTGGAGGGCGGGGAGTGCCGCCGCAACGAATGGTGCGGCGTGGCTGCGGCACACAAAGGCACGGTGACGGTGTGGGACGCGACGTGCAGCGATAATGAAGCGAACGGGATATATGCGGAGAGTGGTGCGAGGGTGGAGGTGGAGGGCGGGGAGTGCTGCTGCAACGATGACTGCGGCGTGGCCGCGATGGACGAGGGCACGGCGGTGTCGGTGCGGGGCGTGACGTGCAGCGACAACAAAGGCCACGGCATAGTCGGGCATGATTGTGCGAGGGTGGAGGTGGAGGGCGGGGAGTGCTGCCGCAACGACGACTGCGGCGTGGTTGCGCAGGACGAGGGCACGGCGGTGACAGTGCGGGGCGATAACGTGCAAGCGAGAACAAACACCACGGGATACAGGTCAATCGTGGTGCGAGGGTGGAGGTGGAGGGCGGGAGTGCTGCCGCAACGATCGCTGCGGCGTGGCCGCGATGGACGAGGGCACGGTGGCGACGGTGCGGGACGCGACGTGCAGCGAGAACAAACTCCATGGGATACAGGGGAGTGGTGGTGCGAGGGTGGAGGTGGAGGGCGGGGAGTGCCGCCGCAACGAATGGTGCGGCGTGGCTGCGGCACACAAAGGCACGGTGACGGTGTGGGACGCGACGTGCAGCGATAATGAAGCGAACGGGATATATGCGGAGAGTGGTGCGAGGGTGGAGGTGGAGGGCGGGGAGTGCTGCTGCAACGATGACTGCGGCGTGGCCGCGATGGACGAGGGCACGGCGGTGTCGGTGCGGGGCGTGACGTGCAGCGACAACAAAGGCCACGGCATAGTCGGGCATGATTGTGCGAGGGTGGAGGTGGAGGGCGGGGAGTGCTGCCGCAACGACGACTGCGGCGTGGTTGCGCAGGACGAGGGCACGGCGGTGACAGTGCGGGGCGCGACGTGCAACGACAACCAATGCAACGGGATACATGCGGAGAGTGGTGCGAGGGTGGAGGTGGAGGGCGGGGAGTGCTGCCGCAACGAGTCGTGCGGCATTGTTGCAAAGGAGGGCACGGTGGTGACGTGCGGGCGCGACGTGCAACGACAATAACGCCACGGGATACAGGGCGATGTTTGTGCGAGGGTGGAGGTGGAGGGCGGGGAGTGCTGCCGCAACGATGACTGCGGCGTGGCCGCGATGGACGAGGGCACGGCGGTGACGGTGCGGGACGCGACGTGCAGCGACAACAAAGGCCACGGCATAGTCGGGCAGAGTCGCGCGAGGGTGGGGGTGGAGGGCGGGGAGTGCTGCCGCAACGATGACTGCGGCGTGGTTGCGAAGGACGAGGGCACGGCGGTGACAGTGCGGGGCGCGACGTGCAGCGAGAACAAAGGCAGCGGGATACAGGGAAGCCGTGGTGCGAGGGTGGGGGTGGAGGGCGGGGAGTGCTGCCGCAACGACAAGTGCGGCGTGGCTGCGGCGGACGAGGGCACGGTGGTGACGGTGCGGGACGCGACGTGCAGCGACAACCAATGCAACGGGATACAGGGGAGTGGTGGTGCGAGGGCGGAGGTGGAGGCGGGGTGCTGCGGAACGGTGACTGCGGCGTGGTGGCGGGGGCGAAGGCACGGTGGTGACGGTGCGGGACGCGACGTGCAGCGATAACAAAGGCAACGGGATACATGCAGAACTTGCGGCGAGGGTGGAGGTGGAGGGCGGGGAGTGCTGCTGCAACGATGACTGCGGCGTGGCCGCGATGGACGAGGGCACGGCGGTGTCGGTGCGGGGCGTGACGTGCAGCGACAACAAAGGCCACGGCATAGTCGGGCATGATTGTGCGAGGGTGGAGGTGGAGGGCGGGGAGTGCTGCCGCAACGGTGACTGCGGCGTGGTTGCGATGGACGAGGGCACGGTGGCGACGGTGCGGAGCGCGAGATGCAACGACAACCAATGCTACGGGATAGCCGTGGATCTTGCTGCGAGGGCGGAGGTGGAGGGAGGGGAGTGCTGCCGCAACGAATGGTCCGGTGTGGTTGCGAAGGACGAGGGCACGGTGGTGACGGTGCGGGACGCGACGGTCAACGACAACAAAGGCCACGGGATACAGGGCTGTCTTGCGGCGAGGGCGGTGGTGGAGGGAGGGGAGTGCTGCCGCAATAATGGGTGCGGCGTGCTTGCGGCGGACGAAGGCACGGTGGTGACGGTGCGGGGCGCGACGTGCAGCGACAACGGAGGTCACGGGACATGGGAGATGCAGGGTGCGAGGGTGGAGGTGGAGGGCGGGGAGTTTCTTCGCAATGGACCTGACCATGATGACGTCGATACCTCATACATGCCATTGAGTACCAGTGACAGTTTCGAGGAGACTGTTGGACTCTGAGGACGGAGGCCCCCGGACCTTCAACCCAGCGAGCACCGGCATGGCCCCCCGGAGGGTTGCGAATCGATGGTGCGCCGGCAACGGTGATTTTGGTTCACAAGGCATCATATGGCGATGCAAAAATTCCGTTCACGCATGTGAACGCCTCTCTCATGCTCCGCGCACGTCGAAAGATCCGCTTCTCTGCAGCGGGCTGTGGCGTTGTATGTTGCCAGCCTTGGATCGACGTGTCAGCAAAATGCAAAGACAGCGCGCGCGTTCGCCCCCCAGGGACTGCGAGCTGCGCCCGCGCGTCCGCCCAGCGCCGCTGCGCGATGCGCGGGAGGTCAATCCCATTGGGTTGACGCGCGCTGTCCCACAGGGACGGACGTAGGCCACACCAGGGATGTGGTGGCATCCTGGTCGAGCACAGAAGGGGCCTGGCTCGATCCACCGTAGCGCCACACATCCTCGTCATCAGACCACCGTCGGTCCGATCTACACCACCACAGCAGCGATGATGGCGCACAGCGACAGCAGCACACACGCGCGCGCAGTGGCAGCCGTGTTGGGGATGCCGGCGCCGTCGCCGATGGTGGGGCTGCGCACGACGGTGACCGTGGCCCCGAACACACCCCTCCGCTCCATTTCCGTGATGACGTCGGTGCTCAGGAGCCCCGAGGACGTCTGCGCTTCCATCGTTCTAGACACCCGGGTCGCCTCGCCCTGGCTAGCCGCGTTGATGGACACGACCGTGCGGTAGCTCCTCGTCGCGAGCAGCGCCCGCCGCACAGGGGTCATCTCGACCGACACGGCTGACTCAGGCACGCCGGCCTTGTCAGACGCTGTCGCAACAATGGCGGACCGCGCCTGCTCCAGCTGCTGCTCCTCCACGGCGACCGTGAGCTCGAACGAGACGCGGAACGCGGACACCGGCGCGGTCGTCACGGGCGCGGCGGTCGGGACGGCGGCTGGAAGCCCCGCCTGGGTGGGCAGGGGTGCCGTTGTTGGGCATGCCTCGTACTCGGTGCAGGCCGGGGCGATGAGGAACTTGATGGTGCCGTCCGGGCACTGTCGGAACATCCAGGCCGGGCACACGGCCGAGGGGTCGTTGGTGCACACGGCAAGGCCGCCTGGGTTGGGGCAGGATGACGCGGTGATGATGGCGGGCGACCCCGCCGCCCCCGGCGCGATCTTCCGCAGGTAGTGCGGCTTGTACGTCGCCGCCCCCTCTAGCGCCCCCGGCTGCAGCGCCCACAAAAAGTCCCGCATCACCCGGTTCGGGTGCGGCAGCGCACTCTCAAACCAGTCCAGCCCGTTCCCCTCCGACACCGTCGCGTCCAGCCGGTACACCGCGCCCCCCGCCTGCAAGAAGCGCAGCGACGACACCAACGCCCCGTCCGTCGTCGCGTTCAGCCGGTACGCCACGCCGAAGTCGTAGTTCACCGTGTCCGACACCCCAAACGTCGCCGCCGCCACCCCGTACCCCGAGTACGCCTCGTCCACCACCACGTCCACGTCCTTGATCGCCGCCAGCAGCGCGTGCGCCGCCTCACGCGCGCCCCCGTAGTCCGACGCCTTGAACAGCACCTGCTGCAGCCCCGCGTCGTCCGTCGCGTTCGTCGCCGCCGCCAGCACCGCGTCCTTCGACACCGCCGCCCCGCCCGCGTCCGTGATGTGGTCCATCTTAAACGCCGCGTACGACAGGTAGTACGTGTCGCCGAAGAACGGACCCGTGTAGCCCACCCAGGCGACGGTCTTCTTCGACCCGGCCGCCGCCGCCGCCGCCTCGGCGTCCCGCTTGTGCTCGGCGTACTCGGAGGCGACCTTGTCGAAGTGCACGTTCGCGTCGCGCTCCTTGTTGAAGAACGCGGCGATGAACTTGATCCACTCCATGCGGTTCAGCGTGCCCGGGTCCTTCGAACCAGTGAACGCCACATGCTTCGCGTCGGTGCCGGGGTAGTCCGCCATGAAGGCGTCCGTCGCGTCGACCTGCCGGGCCTTGACCTCGGCGTCCGACGACAGCGCGAGCGGCAGCGCCCGGGACCCGCACGAGCCCTGCTCGTGGCGCTGCAGCGCGTCTTGGAAGCAGGCCGACGTGGTCCACGAGGCGAAGTGGAAGATGCGGTCGTCGAGGCCGAGGACGTCCAGGAAGCTCAGGGACACGGTCGACTCCGTGGAGACCTTGCTCAGGGGGATCCGGAACACCTTCTGGACCAGTGTCTTGTTGTACGTGGCCTGCGCGTCCGACAGGTGCGTCTGGAGCTCTGTCTGCGACGGCTCCTTCGTTCCGCACTGCCACAGGACGTACTGCTCGCCCGACTCGATCTGCGTGACCACCTTGTAGTAAGAGTGGTAGCTGATGGCAAACTGGTCCGCAAACTGGACCGTCTGCGCGGACGACACGATCTCGGAGCCCGACCCCGAGGCCTGCGAGCCGTCCGGGAAGTAGTTCGTCGTCGGCCGGAACACCGAGACGCACTCGACTGAGCACTGCCCGTAGTACAGGCACTCCTCCCCCTCGCGCCACACGCGGGTGCCGTCGGGGCACGTGCGGAAGTCCCACGTGGCGCACAGGACCGAGGGCTGCACGCCCGAGCAGACCGGGAGCCCGCCCGTCGGGCAGTCGGAGCTGCGCATGATGGTGGGCGACCCCGCCGCCCCCGGCGCGATCTTCCGCAGGTAGTGCGGCTTGTACGTCGCCGCCCCCTCCAGCGCCCCCGGCTGCAGCGCCCACAAAAAGTCCCGCATCACCCGGTTCGGGTGCGGCAGCGCACTCTCAAACCAGTCCAGCCCGTTCCCCTCCGACACCGTCGCGTCCAGCCGGTACACCGCGCCCCCCGCCTGCAAGAAGCGCAGCGACGACACCAACGCCCCGTCCGTCGTCGCGTTCAGCCGGTACGCCACGCCGAAGTCGTAGTTCACCGTGTCCGACACCCCAAACGTCGCCGCCGCCACCCCGTACCCCGAGTACGCCTCGTCCACCACCACGTCCACGTCCTTGATCGCCGCCAGCAGCGCGTGCGCCGCCTCACGCGCGCCCCCGTAGTCCGACGCCTTGAACAGCACCTGCTGCAGCCCCGCGTCGTCCGTCGCGTTCGTCGCCGCCGCCAGCACCGCGTCCTTCGACACCGCCGCCCCGCCCGCGTCCGTGATGTGGTCCATCTTAAACGCCGCGTACGACAGGTAGTACGTGTCGCCGAAGAACGGACCCGTGTAGCCCACCCAGGCGACGGTCTTCTTCGACCCGGCCGCCGCCGCAGACGCCGCCTGACTGACGTGGACCTCGTACTCACCCCTGACGCGGTTGAAGTGCGACACCGCGGACCGCTCCTGGTTGAAGAACGTCGCCACGAACTTGATCCACTCCATGCGGTTCAGCGACCCAGGGTCCTGCGAGCCGCTGAACACCACGGCCTTGGCGTTCGACGCGTCCGCCACGTCCGTGAAAATCGCCGACACGTTGCCCACTTGCGCCGCACGCAGGTCCGGCGACGAGAAGGACGACCCCAGCGCAACGGCGTTGCCCCCCGCAGTGCACGAGTCGCTGCTGACGGCAGCCTGGAGGCACGGCGAGGCCGCCCAGGACGGGATGTGCCAGAGGCGGTCCCACACGCCGAGGATCTCGAGGAAGGTGAGGGAGACAGTCGACTCGGCAGCGACGCGCTTCAGGGGAATCTGAAACACCTTCTGCGGACACAGGGGGCGCGCGCGGGACCAGTGAGGTGCCCTGGGGGCCACGGTGCTGCGGGGACCGCCTGCGGCGCGCTGGGCGCCCCGGTGTGTCGGCGCTGTGTGGGCGCAGCTTGGCTTGGGTCTTAGGTAAGGTGTGTGTCTTGTGGGTGCGTTGTCGGGCGCGGGTTGTGTTGCAGGCGGCGGGCCTGGCTTGCCTGGGTTTGGATCCCGAAGGTGGTATTCGCCTGGGTCAGCGCGGTGGTGAGTTCGCCCGACGGCGGGACTTGGGAGCCGCACTGCCACAGGATGTACTGCTCCTTGGCCTCAATGTTGTTCACGACCTTGTAGTAGTTCTTGTACTGCACCTGGAACTGATTGGCGAACGTCACCTGCGCACACACCCGCAAAACACCCACGCGTTACTCCAAACGGGGCGCTCAGGGTGCTCTCCTGATGCCCGCTGCGTTTGTGGCGCGAGCCTTCATTGCCCCGGACGTCCGTGATCGGGGCCAACTGAAACGGACACGCTCCATGCACGTGTAGTGACCAGACGCGCTGTGGGGGTCGGTCAGGACGTGGTGTCGACACCACGCCCAGCCGGCAGCGGCGCAGCAGGGCATCTTGCGCGGGCGCCGTGGGGGCAAAGCGAAGCCACGAGCTCTGATCCACGTGCGAACGAGCGGTCCACCACGAGTGCGCTGGCGCGGCGGAGATCTGAATCGGCGCGCCTGGCACTGCCGGCGGTGCGTGGGGGCAGCACCACCGCTCACAGCCCCGCCGCGGCGTGTAGCGGGGGCGCGCACCGTCGCTTCCTCGCTCATCCAGTTGTCGTCGGCGGCAGTCGTCCTGGTGCCCGCGGGAAACAGGTCGACATCAGGGTCGAACTGTCCCGCCGGGATGCACTCGTCTGCGCCATGGGCGGCTGGCGCGAGCGCGCCCAGCAGCGCGCACACCAGCGCCAACAAAGCCGGGAAACGGAACGACATATTCCGAACTGCACGAGGCGCCCCGCCAACCGCGCCCCGTCCGCCCCTCGCGCCGCCGGCGCCGTTCGGGCCTGACGAGGGGTCCGTTTCCAACTCCCTCGACATCTCCGCCAGCCTTTCGCGGCGCGCCGCACGACGCCGCGGGTACAACGGGGCCGGCCCTCGCTCCCGCGCAGCCAGTCACGCTCCGATCGCCACGCCAGTGAGGTTCGTTCGAAGCTGCAGCGCTGCGAGCCGCACGCAAAGAGCGTGTCCCAGTATTGCAACTTGCCTGCGATTCGCGTCGATATGGACATCGAGGCCGGCCTGGGGGCAGGCGGACCCGTGCGTCGGGCCGACACGCACATCACGGCGCAGGACGCCCGTCACCGTCGCGTGAGGTGCGCAGAGGCACAGCGCCGCAACGGCGCCCTGCTAGCTGCTTGCTTGGCTCGCAGAGTCGCCGTCGAGGCAGCGAAGCACGCGAAAATCTTCGGTGTGGCCGACCGGAGGCACGCGTGAGCGGGCTCGATCGCTTCCGGTGCGCACGCAGGCGCGCACGCACGTCGCTCGACCCTGTGCGCGAGGGGGAGATCCTGGCGTGCATGCTGCCCAGGTTCCCGCGCCGGTACCCTCCTGCCACACTCGTGAAGCACAGCCACACAGTCAGCTGCACGATGAGCGCGGCGGACGGCCGCACGTCGTCTCCGAACGCGTGGGGCGTGCCCCGCAGCGTGCCAGACAAGCCAACGCGTTCCAGCGATGATTTCGCGGGGCTGAAGCGGGCGGAGCAGCCGAATGTCTTCGGAACTTTGTGGATGGTGCGCTGCGGGCGTGCTACCAGGGCGCCGCTCGCTGTGGGTCTCCGAGTCGCAGTCGCAGTGCTGTCGCTGTTGGGCATGTCCTTGATCGGGCTGCGGGCGCAGACGTACTTGGCAAGGGATCAGGAGGGCGCGGCGGAACTGTCGCTTTCTATGCTGTCGTTCTCCGACCTTGGATGGTCGAGCGCGAGGGGCCAGCAAAGTCGGAAGCTCGCGTTGCTCGATGAACGTCACAGCGAGGGGCTGGTGGCGCGGCTGGTGGAGTGGAAGCCGACCGGAGCGTCCTTCGACTCTCTTGCGCCGCGCTGGTCGCGCCGGCTTGAAGACAACGTCGGCGACGGTTCGTCACTCGAGCATGCAGTGACCGCCTCGCCATCCGAGATCTTCACCGCCCCGGACGTCGACGGCTCTGCGGCACCGTCGCACCCTTCGGTCCTCGGCCCGTACCGTCCTGGGAGCGGGCCTTCGTGGGCGCGCAACGCGCCCGTCGGCGGCGATGATGTCGGTCACGCCCAGGAGGTGTTTTGGGTCACCGACGAGTTCCACGGGGCACCGGAGTACTTTCCCTCGATCGACAACGACGCCGGGGGGGCTGCGGCCGGCGACGACTCCCCGACGCACGCAACTCAGGGTCCCGGGGACCTGCACGGAGACATCAGTGCCAACACGCGGACAGCGCCGATTTCGTCGAGCACAGGAAGCGCCACGAGCGCAGCCGCCAACGAGCGTCGCAGTCACCACGCGTCGTGGCACTCGGCCCTGTACCCGCACGCAAGCAGCTGGAGCGGCCTGGCCGGCCATCTAGGCCACCACCACCACTTCGCGGGCCTGTTCGGCGTGCACACGCGAGGCCCGGCTCCAGAGGACACGCCGTGATCCGCTCAGACCGGCCACCGCTCACGCTGCTCGCACAGACCAGCCACACCGTCAACAAGCGCAGCCACAGGACCCCCTCCGTCCGAGCAGCCCCACCGCGACGCAACCGGTGCAGCGCGCAACCTGTAATGAACAATCAGTCTGACGACACGTGTCAGACCCACGATACCCCCACCGCCACGTCCCTGACGCCACCACACACCCCCCAACCAGACAACGCTCACACGCACCTCTGTGCGCATCAGGAGCACCCCGCTACTTGTCCTTCTTCCCGGCCCCGTCCGCCGCGCCCCCGACCACCACCTCCTCCCCGCCGGGCCCCCGCGCCCCCTCGAGCACCTCCTTCGCCCGCTGCACCTCCGCGTCCCGCTCCTTCCTGCTCCGCTCCGCCGCCTCGCGCTCGCGGATGCGCTGCACCTGCTGCGCGCGCTGCGCCATCCGCATCCGCCGCGACCGCAGCCCGGGCGACCGGAACGTCACCGCGACGAGGTACCCGAGGAGGTACGTCCCCCACAGCGGCTTGACGCCGGCCTGGAAGCACGCCAGCATCATCATGCCGGCGCCGAGGACGCTCAGGATCGAGCTGTGCATCACCGCGAAGAGCGACGCCGCGGCGAAGAACCAGCAGCCCGCCACGAACAGCTGCGAGCGCGCGTCGTCGCCGAAGGTGCTGCTCACCGCAGTGACGACGTCCTTGGCCCGGTACAGGGGGCGCAGCGAGGTGAGGATGTCGTCGGCCCAGACGTCGCTGCGCTGGCACGCGCGCTTCTGCTTGAACACGCCGCACCGCAGCCGCCGCGCCGCGTTGTGCGCCGCTGCCGTGGGCGTGAGCGCCGCCACCGCCATCCATGGCTCGATCATCTTGCGGTCTAACGAGTACGCCGTGCACACCTGCGAGCATCCGCACGGAGCACGCAGGGCGCCGTGAGGACGAGCCGCGCCCGTTTGAGTCCCCGAGCCGCGGCAACGTGGTGCTGCGGCACTGTGCAAAGTGGGGGGGTTCGCGGACCTGGACGGGGCTGACGGCGACGGTGCCGAGCTTTGGATGGTTGAGAGGCACCATTGGGACGCCTAGAACGAGGAGGCCGACGACGAGGACGCGCATGACCTTGCGAAACGTCTCGTCTTGCTGCTGAGCAGCGGCCGCGAGTGCCGCCGGCGCTGAGGTGCTCATTCTCGGTTGCTACGGACCCGACGCCAGCGCCTATGTATACACGAAGCTTGACTGAGTGCCCAACGAGCCCGCAGGCGCGCAGAAGGGAGCTGCGCAGCAAAGGGGCTCTTGGCGGGCAAATGGAATGCGGCCCAGCCACGCGGCCTGGGGGCGGACCCGACGTCGTGGCCCGCGAGCGTTTCGCCACAGCTCGCCGCAACACCGTTGCCCCCGCAGTTCGTCGCATCGTTGTCTCGGGAAGGCACGGGCGCGTCGAGTGCTTCCAACAGACTGACCTGAGGCGGCCGCAGGGACCGTGCAGAGCTTTCCGCCACAATTTACGTATGGTGTGCCCCGTGTCCACGCACTTGAGCCGTGTTTCGCCCAGCTGAGCGACGAGGCGCAGCGCACGTCGCGACCACCACCACGCGCCTTCAACTCGACAGGGTGCGGCTCTGAGGGGATCAAGCCACCGAAAAATGCCCGACCGTCAGCGCTGTACCGCCGCCGCTCCGCGAGCCGTGCCCCATTTCCTCGGCGGGGGCCCCGCCGCTCCCCGGGGCCTTCTCCACCGCGCCAGTCTCAGACTCTTCACAGCCCCCACGCGCCCACAAAGGTCCAAGCCGGGCACAAGTCCAGTCTCGCTCGCCCTCAAGCAGCACTCGTCGTGGAGAGCGACTCAGCGGCTCGCCATCGCCCCGGAGCGCGGCGTTTTCCGCACCCAGAACTGCGCCGCAGGGCCCCACCCGCAGTCTCGGCACAGGGGGACGGAAGGGCGCCTCGTGCGGCCTGCTCAGCGTCCCCGCTCGACCTCACCAGAGACGGCCATGCTGAGCGCGCAGCAGCGCTGCGCAGCCCCAGCTGCGGAGTGCACCCAGCGCAGCTCTTCCAGGCCCATGCTCCGTCGCGTTGCGCGCCGCGCCCTCCCGGCGTCCTTCGGCGCGACGCCCTCGCCGTTCCTGACACGCGCGGCCTCCGCTGAGGCCCCTGCGTCGGCGCCCCAGGACGGAGCAAGCGCGAAGCCTCCCCGCAGGTTGTCTACTCGCCCGCAACTCCGCGACACGCCATCCTCGTCCGAGCCGAGCGCCCGCACCGTGTTTCTGAGTCTCTCCCCTCGACATCGACCGCACCGCGACGCCGCTGGGGCGCGCGGGCAGACCTGGGGCCGGTTCCTGCCCGCCCGGGTCTCGGTGCCACGAGCTGGTGGTGGCGCGATTTCTGCGCGCGTCACCGCTCGGCGGCGGTCCCGCTTGTGCGCGATGGACCACACTATGCATGAGCTGGGCTCTGTGGCGAGCTGAGCGCGGGGCCTTTTGTGCGTGCGTCGCGCGTGCAGGAAGAGGGTCCTGAGTGGGGTGCAGCCGACGGGGAACATGCACCTGGGGAACTACTTCGGGGCGGTGCGGAACTGGGTGGACCTGACGGAGGAGTACGACGCGCTCTTCTGCGTCGTCGACATGCACGCCATCACGGTGCGCCCCCACAGCGTCTCGCAAGCGCTTCACGCGCTCTCATCGCGTCCCGGCGCTTGGGGACCGCGATCGCGATCGCCCAGCATCACAATCACTCGGTGGCTGTCTCGGCCGCGATCTTTCCGTGTCACTGCGCGCGCTGCCGTCGTCGCCTGCCGCCCGACCCCCGCATAGCGCGCCTTGCTCTCGCTGCAGGTGCCGCACGACCCGAAGGAGCTCCGGGACTCGGTCCGCACCACTGCGGGCCTGTACATAGCTAGCGGCATCGACCCCGAGAAGTCGTCGATCTTCGTCCAGGTCCGCGCCCCGCCACCGACGCCCGCTGCCAGCACCGCAGCCGCCGCGCCGCAGCCCGCGAACACGCGGGCGCGTCCTCCCTGTCCGCAGTCGCACGTCAGCGCGCACGCGGAGCTCGCGTGGATCCTGAACTGCACGACCCCGATCGGGTGGGTCGAGCGCATGATTCAGTTCAAGGAAAAGGCGCGCCGGCAAGGCCAGGACGTCTCGCTCGGCCTCCTCTCCTACCCCGTGCTCATGGCCGCGGACATCCTCCTGTACCAGGCCGACCTCGTCCCCGTCGGCGAGGACCAGAAGCAGCACCTCGAGCTGGCGCGCGACATTGCCGAGCGGTTCAACCACCTGTACGGCGGCAAGAAGTGGAAGAAGCTCGGCGGGCGCGGCGGGCGCGTGTTCACGGTGCCGGAGCCGCTCATTCCGCCCGAGGGCGCGCGCATCATGTCGCTCCAGGACGGCACCTCGAAAATGAGCAAGAGCGCCGAGAACGAAAAGAGCCGAATCAACCTCCTCGACCCCCCGGACGTGATCACGAAGAAAATCAAGGTGCGCGCGCCGCCGCTCGCGCAAGCGCCGCCGCCGCTCCGCAGCCCGCCCCCCCCCGCCGCGCGCCCGGGCCCGTGACGTGGATGTTTGTCGTGTGCGCGTGCGCGTGCAGTCGGCGAAGACGGACCTGATCGACGGGTGCGAGTTTGACAACCCGGAGCGACCGGAGTCGACGAACCTCTTGACGCTGTACGCGCTGGCCACGGGGAAGTCGCGCGAGGAGGTGCTGGCGGAGTGCGGGGCCATGCGCTGGGGCCAGTTCAAGCCGACGCTCGCGGACGCGCTCGTCGCGCACCTCGAGCCCATCCAGAAGAAGTACGCCGAGGTGCGCGAGGACCCCGCGTACCTCGACGAGGTCCTCCGGCGCGGCGAGGAGGCGGCCAACGAGACGGCGTCGCGCACCATGTACAACGCGTACCAGGCCATGGGCTTCGAGCCCCGCCGGCGCACGTAGGCGCGGAGCAGGGGCGGGCGCGGTGAAGTGTGACGCGGCGACGCGACGGGCGGGTCACCAGCGCGGCTCCCTAGCGCCGGTGTTGTCGCTGCACCGTGCGCACGGGGACGCGGCGGGGCGTCCGGTCGTGCGCGCGCGCGCTGGCGGGAGGCGCTGCAGCGTCTAGCTCCGAGCGCTCTCGTGCTCTGCTGGTTTTTTGGCTCGAAAAGGTGTTGCATTTGCTCGTACGTGACATGTGTGGTGCAGCTTCGAGCTCTGGTGCTGCACACACGCAACGGGAGCTCACAGGAACTTGACGCCGGTCCACTGCTCCGTCATGTTCCACAGCTTCTTCGCGTTCTCGTTCCGCTGGGACACGGGGTGTGTTGCGTTGAGCGTCGGCCTGCCCCACACTACGCTCCACGGGCCGAAGTAGTCGTTCGCCTTCGCGCCGGGATCCGTCGCGGCCCTGAGCTGCGCGAGCGCGCCCGTCACGACGTGCTGTCCGAGCAGCATTGTCCCAATTCGCTCCGCGAAGTTTTTCTGCAGATTCGTCGCCGTCCAGCCCGGGTGGGCCGCGGTCGAAACGACCTTGGACTTCTTGCCGGACAGGCGGTTGTTCAGCTCGCGCGTGAAGAGCACGTTGGCCATCTTCGTCTCGCAATACACCTCCCAGGGGTTGTACGCTTTCCGGCCGTCATACGAGGGCGCGAAACCAGGGCCCACGCGCACGCCCCCGGCCTTCGCAGAGGCTCCAGAGATGATCCGGTGCGCCATCGAGCTGTGGTTGACGATGCGGACCTGCGGATCGGCCTTGGTCGCGGCCTCGAGCTGCGGCAGGAGGTGGCGAGTGAGCAAAAAGTGGCCGATGTGGTTCGTGGCCATCTGAGTCTCCCAGCCGCGCGAGTTGACGGTGCGGGTCGGGATGTTCATGACGCCCGCGTTGTTGATGAGCAGGTTGAGCTTCTTGTGCTTGGACCTGCAGCGCGCGACGTACGCAGCGTACCCGGTCACGTGCGGCGATCCCGGCGTCGTAGCGACTCGGACCCCCGACTGGCTCTGAGCGGGGGGGTACAGGCGGGACACACGTGGGGCGAAGCGCGCGCGTGGATTGTGGGCCTGCGATGAGGGGATGTGGGCAGGGGGCAACGGGCTCTCTCGGGGTAGGACGCACTTGAATTGGGCCGCGAACTTGTCGATATCTTCAGGTTCGCTCAGGTCCAGCAGCATGTACGACACCGAGCCCTTGCCCGACCCCCCGCTGCCGCTCTTCTGTACGTGCTCGACGGCCTTCAGGGCCTTGTCCTTCGAGCGAGACGTGATGATGACGTTCGCGCCCTTCTTGTACAGAACACGTGCGGTCTCCAGGCCCTGCGAGTCCGAGGATCGTTGCGCCGGACTCTGAGCGGCCGTGCGCGCGGGCAACGAACTTGCAGGGGGAGGAGCGAGTGGCACGGCCTGCCCTCCGCTGCGTCGAAAGGTTTCTTTGGTGAAATGAAATGAGTCGTCATGCGACTTGGAACTCACGTCGACGGAAGACAGGACAGGCCCAAGGATACTCCATGGCAGCGCATGGTTGGGCGCACAAGGGGGGGCCGCAGCGCGCACCAGGCCGGAGTTGCCGCCCGTGACGAGCACCGTCCGGCCCTCCTGCGACGGAATATCTGGCTCGGCCCATCCCCCGAACAGATCGAAGAGCCCCATGACGGGCCGTCTGCTGCGGCTGCGCAGCTACGCACACAGAGGCGATCCGACGCCAACGTCCCGGAGCACTTGCCTCGCCCGAACGCCAAACAAAGCAGCTCTTCCCTCCGCCGGCCCTGGCGCCGCGAGGCAATGCACGCCGGGCGCCCGATCGACGCAGTCGGGCTTACAACACCCCCCTGACGTCAGGCCTACTGCTCCCGTATCCACTCGTCGATCGCCATCCCCGTGTGCCGCGCGCCGCCCTGCTGCAGCACCACCACCTCGTCGCCCTCCTCGAGCTCCGCCACCGACACCGCGCGCCCCTTGGGTGACCCCGCAGGCGCCACCAGCCGCACCGTCTCCGCGTTCTGCAAGATCGCAGACGACCGCTCGCCGTCCGGCGTCTCCACCTCCACCAGCACCTGCACCCGCACGCAGCGCCACAGCCTCGTCGGGACGCCACACCACCACCACCACAACCACCACGTGTTCATTTCCAAGCGAGGGCCGCGACGCAAAGAAACCAGCCGTGGACGCCGCACGCACGACGCAAGGGCGTCGGTTGGGCCCGCGCACCATCGGCCGCTGCTCGATCTTCACGCGCCCGACCACCGCCGAGCGCTGGTTGCCCTCGCCGTCAGCTACCAGAACCTCCGAGCCGCTGGCCAGCTCCGACAGGTACGCCGTCTTGCCCCCCTTGGCCGCCGTGTACGAGTGCACGGGGCCCGCGTTCACCCGGAACGGCCGGCTCGCGATGTAGGACGACTCCAGGCACTCGGAGTGCACGAGCATGAGGCACCGGGAGAACGACCCGACCAGCATGCCCCAGCCGGGCGGGAGGAGGCTCGTGAGGTCGACGCACGCGCGGTCGCCCATGCCCGCCGGCGCGACCCGCACCACGCGCCCGCGGGACAGGGCGAGGCGCTCGGAGCTGCCGCCGCGCGCCGCGAGGTAGCTCGCGAGCTCCCGCACCTCCGCTGGGTCCTCCGTGCGCAGCACGACGCCCGCCGTCCCGACCTGCAGCGCGCCGCGGGTGCGAGGGCGGTGGTGTCTCTCGCTGTAAACGCACGTGGGACACCGCACCTGTTGTGCTGTCGGCGCGGGTGCAGTGGGAGACGGGGGCGATGCGTGCGGCTACGGTGGTGTGCGAGACAAGCACAGAGGCCGCCGGCGGTGCTGCGCGCGCGGCCTGCGCGCGATCACGGAGGGAGGGGACGCGTGCGGGCGTTGGGCGTGCCTGGAGAGCTTCGAGCATGGTGCGCGCGGAGGCCGCGTCGGGGGTCGCGGCGAGCAGCGTGCACGCGTCGGCCACGGGCTGCGCCGCCGCGACCAGGTTCTCCGCCGGAATGATCTGCCAGTCCGCAGCGTCCATGATCACCGTGCCCGTGAGCTGCGCGCTCTCGACGCGATCCTGCAGGTCCTTCAGGTCGTCGCCGGAGCTGATCGGGAAGAACCGCCCCGCCGGCTGCCCCTTGTCGTCGGTGACGTTGCGCCCCGACAGCAGCATCTTCTGCATCTTGCCGAGCGACTTGGCCATGTCCGCGAACTCCGAATCGACGCGCGCCAGGTCGAAGAGGAACGTGTCGATCCCTGCACGCGGAATCCGCGGGTTCGCGTCCCGAAACGGCGATGCGCAGCGGCGGGCGCCACCAGCGCAGGCTCAACACAAGTGCGCACCGGCCTCGAGCCCCGCGGTGATGACGTCCTTGCTCGTGGTCTGGATCCAACATATCTTGTCATCCGCCAGCGCGCGGAGCCCGCGTCCTCTACAACGTCCTGCCGAGCGCGTGAGCGGCCGGCGAGGGGCTGGGCGCGCAGCTGCGCGCCCTCGCGTCGGCAGCTTCGTGCGCGCACGACAGTGCGCAAGGCTTCCCGTGCCGCTCATCGTCGCGGATCTCCGCTGCATGGCGAACTGCGGGCGGTACGGAGCCACCTGAGCGTGGGCGCAGCACGCCATTGGACTCGCTGGTCGTGTCCCGACGCAGCACAGCGCTGCAAGAAGCGATTCCTAGAACCGACGGGCGCCTCGCGTACTCAGAATGCGCGAGCGCGCCGAGCGAAGCAGCCCGGAGCCCACGGGGGGTGCGTCAGCCGGGCACGCACAAGCCCGCGGGGCGTGCTGATGTCGGTCCTGCGGCGTCCTCGCCGCGCGGACGTTGCCTCCGCGCTCCGGCCTGCGGCGCATTCGGAGTCGCGTGGACTCAGAGACGCCTCAGGCTGGGCCGTGCTGCCCGACACAATCGCGCATTTGCCAACACAGACCTCCATACGTGCACTTTTCACGGGCTCGAGGCCTTCGAGGCCCGGCAGAGAGCCCCTCGGGCAGTCAGGACGTCGTTCTAGCCCGTAACATCGTTGGGCGGCCATGGCGGACGACGAGGGCAACGCTCCGAAGGAGCAGAAGCAGAAGAAGTTCACCGTGGGCTCTGCCAAGATCATTACGTCGCATATGATGCCTGGTGAGCGGCCCGGGCCGGCCCGTGGCGCCCGCACGCATCCTACGTTCTGCGTGCAGGCCCGACCGATGCGGGCGACGCATGCGCGCGCTCGTCGCCCACATGCGGCGCGGAGCAAAAATGGACGCGCGCCCTCTCCTCGGCGCTGTTCTTCCGGCAGACGCCGCCCGTGCGAGCGCGGAGCCGCATGCGCCCGCCCCTTGACCATACGCACGTATCGAGCCGCTCCACGGCCCCGTATGTCGCCGCGCGCGACGACGCGGCGGCCGCTGGTGGCCGCGTGCTGGCCTGCTCGCCCCGCTGACGCGCGGCGCTCGGCGCCACGCCACGCAGAGCACGAGGAGGCGGCGCTAGAGGTGGCAATCGAGGCTGCGGAGACGCACAACCTCATGAAGGACATCGCGAAGTACATCAAGGAGGAGATGGACCACCGCTTCCCAGCACAGTCCGCCACCGAGGGGCTCTTCCACGTCCTGGCGGGACAGCATTTCGCATGTGCGTGCCCGTGATCCGGAGCGCCCGGCGCCGCGCGCTGGCGCCGTGGGGCCGCGCGGTCGCCGCGGAGGGCGCGCCTGCAGCTCGCTGCGCATGCGCTGCATGTGTGCGCTTCCCGGCGCCGGACTGCGCGCGAGTCGCTTGGAGCGAGCCTCCTCTGATAGAATACGTGTACTGACACGCACTACCGCATTGGAAAGCGCGGAACGCGCCCGCAACGCAGCGCAGTTGCGCAGAGAGCCTCACAGCTTGTGCGCCACCGCCTTCCCTCGCGCCTGCAGGTTGTATCACGCACGAGGTCCGGTTCTACATCCACCTCCAGATCGACAGGGCGCACGTGGTCATCTTCAAGAACAAGGACACGCCCGTGAGCCTACGCGACCTCCCGGACCACCACCCCGGCGACGAATGAGGGCCTCCCCGGCCGCAGCTGTGACCGCCCCGCTGTCGACCACCCCGCGCAGCACGAACAGCGCCCTCTGCGCAGCCGGCCGCACGCCCCCAACTGGCTCCCCGCGTCGCGCCCCCCCCCACCGCACACTGAAAAACTCCCCCCCTCTCCCACCACGACGCCGCACAAACCCATGCAAAGTAGTAATTGACCACCCGCGCACGAAAACCCATGCCGGTTTCCGTCTCGAGAGTCTCACAGCAGCCGCGCCTAGCCCGCGGCGGGCGCGCCGACGCCCGCCCCGGCCCCGCGCGCGCCCCCAGCTCAGATGTCGAGCACGAGGCGGCGGGGGTCCTCGATGACGTCCTTGACGCGCTTGAGGAAGGTCACCGCCTCCCTCCCGTCGATGAGGCGGTGGTCGTACGTGAGCGCGACGTACATCATCGGCCGGATCTCGATCTGGTCGTCCACGACGACGGCGCGCTTGTTGATGGTGTGCATCCCGAGGATCGCGCTCTGCGGGGGGTTGATGATCGGCGTGGACAGCAGCGACCCGAACACGCCGCCGTTCGAGATCGTGAAGGTCCCGCCGGACATCTCGTCGATGCTGATGGTCCCGTCGCGCGCCTTCTTCCCGAGCTCGTTGATCGTCTTCTCGATGTCCGCGAGGCTCATGCGGTCCGCGTCGCGCAGCACGGGCACGACGAGCCCGCGCGGCGTGGACACCGCGACCGACACGTCCACGTAGTTGCGGTACACGATCTCGCTGCCGTCGATGACGGCGTTGACCGCGGGAACGGCCCTCGTGGCCTCCGCGCACGCCTTGACGAAGGCCGACATCACGCCGAGCTTGACGCCGTGCTTCTCGAGGAACGCCTCCTTGTACTGCGTGCGCATCGCCATGATCGCCGACATGTCGACCTCGTTGAACGTCGTCAGCATCGCGTACGTGTTCTGCGAGTTCTTCAGCCGCTCCGCCGTGCGCGCGCGCATCCGGGTCATCTTCACGCGCTCCTCGCTCCGCTGCTCGCCCGACGGCGCCGCCGGGGCCATCGGCGGCGGCGGCGGCGGCGGCGGTGCCGCAGCGGGCTCCGGCTCCTTCTTCTCCTTCTTCGGCTTCTTCGGCTTCGCGTCCTCCTTCTTCGGCTCCGGCTCCGGCTCGGGCTCGGGCTCCGGCGCCGACTCGGGCTCCGGCGCGGACGCCGACCCGCCCTCGACGCCGGTCTCGATGTTGGCCACCACCTGCCCGACGGTCACCGAGTCGCCCTCCTCGACGAGGATCTCGCAGATCTTCGCGGGCTCCTTGCCCGTGTACTTGACGTCGATCGTGACCTGCGCGGGCCAAGCACACACCCGGCCGTGAGCCGCGCGATCCCTACGCTCTCTCTCGGGGGGCCCTGGGCCGCGCTCGGCGGGAACGACGCGCCCAGCACGGCCCCCGCAGCCGCGCGGCTGTCCGCGAGGTGCCGGCAGGTGTTTCGCGGGGGCCGGGGTGCGGCCGGGGGCGCGGGCGCACCTTGTCCGTTTCAATCTGCGCAATGACGTCGTCCTCGTTGACCACGTCGTCGACGCTGACCAGGATGGCCGCCACGCCGCCCTCCGTGATCGACTCCCCCATGGACGGCACCTGCGGGGCGGGGGCGGGGCGGGCACGCGGAGCTGTCGGCGGGGAGCTGCACGACAGAAGCCTTGGTCGGCGCTGCGTCAGTCACGGCCGCGGACCCGTGCGTCTCGCGACGGCGCTGGGTGGAGGTGGATGGTACGGGTCTGTGGACCGCGGGTCCCGCCACGGTATACCGCGTGTGGGCGCGGGGCAGCGACGATAGCAGCTGCGGGATGCACGGGAGGCTGGAGCGGCTGCGAGGACACGCGCGTGGCACGCGCCGCGCGCGGGGTGCAACGAGGCTCACCTCGATGGTCGCGGTGTCGAGCGCGAAGGCCGAGGCCCTGAACCCGCGCGAGTGCTGCAGCGCAGCTGGAGCAACCACTCCGGCGTCCACCACGCGGTGCGGCACCGTTCCGGCCGCGCGGAGCAGCCCGCGTCCGAGGGAGATCTGCAAGGTGCCGGGAGGAGCTGGAACGCCCATCAGCCGCCGTGGGCCCGCGGGCACGGCCCAGGGACACCGCCTGCCTTGCACGCGCGCGTGGGCGCAGAGCGGCCGCTTCGACGGGGCAAGCGCGGCGCCGCTGACATGTCGGGGACACTGGTATCTGGGGCTCCGTGCGACGAGGGGCGCTGCGCCGTGGGGCGCCAGGCGGGGCGTTGAGCCCAGGGCAGTTGTTGCAAGGTAGCGGGTGCGCGACTCACGCTTGGGGCGGAACCGAACGCCCTCGCGGCGCCGCCCTCTGCGCCTAGCGTGGCGAGCAGGCGGCCCGCGCGCCCCGCAGCTGCCGCAGCCCTCCTCATTGTGCCGCTCGACGCCCGCCCCTGGAGAAAATGCGCACAAGGACTCGCTCGCGAACCCAGGACCTCGCGCAACCCACGCGCCGTCCTTTTCGATTTCCCAGCTATCGACCTGCACGGCTGCGCCCCTCGCTGCGGCCCCAAGTAGGCGGCATTTGCGAGTTCCCTCCAAGCAGCTGCAGTCGGGCAGCGGCTCGCGCGCGCGCATGGCCCATATCCACGGACACGTGACCCTGGGCCGCGAATGTCGACGTAGGCCGCCATCATGTACCACGCCTGGTTGCCCCTTGAGGCGCGACACGGTGCCCCGATGCTACAGGTGCAATTGCCTCTCCGCACGCCATGTCAGCACCGGAACGGCACGCCCACCCTTGCGCGTCACACGCCCACGTCCTGCTCTGCCACGCCTGGCCTGCGCGCCACATGCGAGCGCTGCGAGCCCTGCCCGTCCAAGTCGCAGTCGACGCCCGCCCACATCCATGTGCGTCTCCACGCGGCAGCCCCTCGTCCGACCGGCTGCCGTCCCCGCGGCACGCACGCTCACCGCCAGCGCAGCTCGACGTTCTTCTTCGCGTTGACGATCTCCGGGTGGTTCAGCGTGTTCTCCGGCGCACCAAACAGCGCGTTGTCCACCGCCTCGACCCCGAGCATCATCGAATGGTCCTGCGCACGCCGAGCCAAGTGAACCAACGCGTCAACGAAAACGCCGTGAAGCCAGCCATGTCTGACCCAGACCACGATGTCCCGCATGTAGCTGTTCATTTATTATTATTGTTGCCCGCGCACCTGATTCGCGACCTCGTACTTCCAGCTGCCGAAGCGCCCGCGGCTCCAGATGTCCTTGGCGCGCAGGGCCGGCAGCGCAGCCGCGAGGCTGCTGTCGCGGTCGAGAGTCGGCGTCGGGTACCCGCGCTCGATGCGGCGGTGAAAGATGGACACGACTTCCGCCGCCGGCGTCACCAGGTCGGTCTCGATCGCCCCCTGCGCGCATCAACGCACGGATATTGTCAGGATGGCGCCGCATGCGAGCTGCGGGCTCCAGTTCAGCGCGCCAGGTGTGTCTGACGGGTGCCGCACCAGCATCGTGTCCAGCACTACCCGCGGCCAGGTCATGCCGGCGATCGCCGTGGCGCTGCTGTCCACGTTCTTGTACGTGCGAGACTCCGAGACCTGCACGTGTGCGAGATATGGAGCGACGCACCGTGACAACCCCCCTTTGACAAGCAAAATTCACCCAGGCTAGGTTGTGTTGACCACGGGGGCGAAATGGGGCCTGAAAGGATCGCCACCGGACCACTGCGATCGCTGGCTGGAGTTGCGATGCTCACCTCGAACATCAGGCTCCAGTACGGCCCCGGGCGCTCTTCCTCGCTGTCAGGCTCCGCGCCGTCGGCCATGCACAGCGTCGGGAGCCGCGTGTCCGCTCCGGGGCAGTTCTCCGCGGCGTAGTTGCTGAACACAGTGCAACGGTAGTACGGGCAGTTGTCTTCCGGGAAGTACAGCCAGCACTTTTGTCCGTGCGGGCACGGACCCCGCAGGCCCAGCCCCACGACGTGCGTCGAGGAGAAGTGCAGGCCGGCGGCGAGGCGGGCCTCGCGGACGAGCCCGCAGAGCACGTCGAGCGGAAGCGTGCTGATGAGCTTGTTGTAGCTCGCCGTGGCGCCGCTCTCGAACGTCAGCGTCTTTGTGTCGGGGTCGATAGACGTGACCTTGCAGCCGAACCGAAGCTTGTCCTGGGGAAGCAGGCCGGCCACCTGCGTGAGACCGTGGGGGAGACACACAGCTCGCAGCGGCGATCACCGCTACGTGCGCGTCACCTCGGTCAGCAGTGCGTTGAATAGAAAGAAACTGTCCCGGTTACGAGGCCGCGTTGCACCGACCTGAGACCAGATGTGCCCCGTGCCGCCGCGTTTCGGGAACCGGAACGTCGCGTTGGGCCCCCACGCGGGGTCGTCCTTGCGCTGGAGCACATTCTCGAGCGCGCGCTGCACGTCGACGCCCGCCACGCGCTCGCCGAGCCAGTCGCACTGCATGGCGCTCGTGGGGACGGCCCACACCTGCGACCGTTCCGAGGGAGCCAGGTTCGCGCGGGACGTCAGGGTGCGCATGAGCGCAGCTTGAGTGCCCCCCGCACCTTGAAGTTGTAGGGCCGCATGAAGAGGTCGGCGATCCCGCGTCCCATGTACCGGCAGATCCAGTCGTCGAAACTCCGCGGCTTCGACCTCTCGACGGCGCAGGCGACCTTGGCCTCCACGAGTCCTTGCAGGCAAGATACCTGCGACTGCCGGACAGTCAGTCAGTCAGACAGCAACAACAAGGCGGGAGGCGATGGTCGGCCGAGGACGGGACCCGGGCGAGGACGGCTGGCTGTAGGGCCTCGAGGCGGCGCCGGGAAAGGAGGTGTTGGAAGCGCATCCCGACCATCAAAGTAATGAGACTTAGTCCTTGTTATAGATCGGGATCGCGGCTCGTGTTTGCGGTGATCGTACCTGATCTTCGGTATCCAGCGACCCGAGATTGTTCTGAAATGGATATGGGACCCAGCGGCCTTTCAGGCGAATATACGAGACCCTCTGCACGCAGTTTAAGTCGAGTGGGCTCAGCGGGACACCGTGCGCGGCTGGAGAGCAGGAGCGCGCGCACAGACGCGCAGGGTCGCCAACCTGGAGGTGATTCCAGTTCTCTTCGCCGACGGCCTTGTCCAGCAGGTCGTCGAAGTACGCGTAGTGCGAGAAGATGACGTGGCCTCCCATATCGAACAGAAAGCCCTGCGGGGTCGCGTCGGTGCACGCCAGGCCACCCGCGCGCTCGTCCTGCACGGCACGGCCGAGTGCAACGAGATCGGACCCGGCTTGGCTCCCGAACATCCAGGCTTGGTTGTTGACGAGAGACGAACCTGTTCGAAGAGAACCCAGTCGTCATGTTGGTGCTGCTGCAGCCTCGTCGCCGCGCCAAGGCCTGTCGGGCCCGCGCCCAGAACGACGAACTCGAAGTGCTCTGTCATTCGTGAAGGCCTGCAGCGCCCCGTGTCTCGTGCAGGGCCTCGATCCGCCGTGTGGGGTCACGCGTGGCGGTCACACGGGGGGCAGCGGCGATGAGTGCTTGGCACTTCGCGGTGACCGCGCAGCGAGATCCGAGACTCACTGTGGTGGACGTGCGCCAGCAGGCCTTGGCGGCACGTGCCGATGGTCGACATCGTAGACACAAAGTAGGTAAAACAACCCCGCCACATGCGCAAGTCCGAGGCACAGCTCGAGCGGCCGCACCGACAGCCTGGCGGCCCGCGCCTACGTAGCACTGCAAGTTCACATCAGCTGTAGTTGGAATCATGCGATCGCGCTCCTCCGGACGACAAAAGGAGGCGTGCAGCTTCATGCATCATGGGTGGTTGCAACTGCGCGTCACGACGAGACGGCCGCCATGCAAGCGTCCGCTTCGGCGACGACCGGGTCTGATGATTCTAGCGTAGCTTTGATGCCCGCGACGGCGCGCTCCGCCAGGGCCTTGCCGCCTGCAACGTCGCCCGACGCAGCCATGGCCTGACCGAGCAGCATGTCCACGCGCATGACGCGCCAGTGGCCCTCGCCGTGGTACGCGTTGACGTAGATGTCGCGAGCCTCCCTGAGCAGGTCCCTCGCCTCGTCGTTTCGACCCTGCAAGCACAAAAGCAACGACCAACATGTTCCTCAATCCGTCTCGGTGCGCCCGTTTGAGGACGCAGTGCAGCAGCTTGCAACTCATGACAGCGTGCGGTCACGTGCGAGTCGCACCAGCTGCAGCATCGCCTGTGCCATCGCCCGCATGCCCCTCCCGACCAGCTCGTGCTGTTTGCCAAGCGAGGCCACCCAGGCGTCTCGGGCCTGCTCGTACGCCCCCAGAGCGTCGTCATACCGCTTCTGGCGCATGTACAGGTCTCCGAAACCCTCCGCAACGTCGCCGAGCTCGCGATGCTGGTCGCCAAAGGCGGCACGCACGATTTCCCGCGCCTGCTTGAGCGCCTCGCTCGCGGCGTCCTCGTCGCCATTCTTGCACCGCACAGAGCCGATCTTGCGCAGGACGCGGCCGCAAGACGGGTGCCATGCGCCCCGCACCTGGCGGAACACCGCAATGACCTCCATGTAGCAAGTGAGGGCGCCCTCGAAGTTCCCCTTCGCGGCCTTGACGTCGCCCTCGAGCTCCTGCAGCACGCGAGCGATTCGACACGATGTGGGCCGCGCGTGGGCGTCTCGACACGCAAGCAGAACACGTGGTTTGCAACATGAGATCCTGCGAGCCTGACGCGCAAGACGACGTACCATGGCCTCCGCCACGAACGGGTGTTCGCTCCCGAGCGCCGCCCGCAGCAGCTTGATGCCCTCGTCGAAGCACGCCTGCGCCTCGTCGAACTTCCCAAGCCGCGCGCACACGTCCGCGTACATCGCCGTGGCCCGCCCCACCCGCCAGTGCTCAGCCCCCAGGGCCGCTGCGTACGTGTCCTTCGCGCGCGCGAAGAACGAGAGCCCCTCCTTGTACGCCCCGCCCTCCGTGGCCGCCTGCCCCAGCCCCCGCAGCGCCCGCCCCACGCTCTCGTGCGTGTCCCCGTACGCAGCCTGCCGCACCTCCAGCGCGCGCTCGAATCGCGCCCGCGCGCCCGTCTGGTCGTCCGTCGCAAGACACACGTTCCCGAACGCCTCGTGCAGCTCACCCATCTCCGGGTGCGCCTCCCCCAGCATCACGCGCACCGACGTCTCGGCCTCGTTCAAGAGCGTCGTGGCCTCAGCGTACTCGCCCTTCCGACAGAGGATCTCCGCGGTCAGGCGCTTCATGCGCGCCACGGACGGGTGCTGTGGTCCGCGCACCGCTGCGAAGATCTCCCGCGCGGCCCCGAACGCCGCCACGGCCTTGTCGAAGTCCGCGCCGCTCGCAAATATCTCCCCCTCGATGGCCAGCGCCTCCCCGAGGAACGGATGCGTCGCGCCGAGCGCCTCGCGCAGCTTCCGCACCCCCTGCACGCACTTGGACTCGGCCTCCTGCCTGCGACCCAGGCGGTCGTTGGCCAGCGCCTCGTACGCCTGCAGCCGTCCGACGCGCCAGTGCGACTCCCCCAGGCTGTTCGTGAACACCTCCTCCGCGTCCTTGAAGCACTGCAGCGCGTCTTCGTACTTGCCGTCGTCCATGAATGCCTGCCCGAGGGCGCGGCTCGACACCCCGACGGAGGAGTGGGAGTCGCCGAGCAGCTCCTTGCGCAGCACGAGCGACTGCGAGTACCAGTCCACGGCGGCGCCGGTCTGCCCTTGCTCCCGCGCCAGGTTGCCACGGCTCTCCGCCAGCGAGGCCCAGAACGGATGGCGCTTCTCGAGGATCGTGCCGGCGCTGTCGCTGGCCTCCTCGAGGGTCTCCTCGGCCTGCGCGTACAGGCCCCGCCGGATCAGCACGTTCGCCAGCTCCAGGCGGAGGGCGTTGACGCTGGGGTGGGCGCGGCCGCGCTTCTCCCCAAACACCGAAATCACGAAGCGGTAGAGCTCCGAGGCCTCGCCGAACTCGGCCTTGTCGAGATGCAGGTCCCCGATGCCTTTGATGCACTCCGCCGTGATGGGGTGGCGCTCGCCCAGCGACGCAGTGAGTGCGCTGTGCGCCGCGTCGTACTCCGCGCGCGCCGCGTCCGTCTGGCCGAGCTCGCGGCGGCAGTCGCCGGCGCGGACACGCACGCGGGCCACACGCCAGTGCTCCTTGCCGAGGGACTGTTCGAAGATGCTCCGCGCGCGCTCGAGTTCGTGAATGGCCCTAGCGTAGAAGCCCTGCGCGGCCGACACCTCGCCCAGCGCGCGCCAGGTCCGCGCGACGGCGGGGTGCTCCGCGCCGAATGTGTTCTCGAAGACGGCTCGGGCTTGCGTATACAGCTGCTCCGCCTCCCCGAACCTCCCCAGAGCCATGGCGATCTCACCCTTCGACTCCAGCACGTCGCCCACGTCCGGGTGCTGGTCCCCGACCACCTCCACCAGCGTCGACAGCGCCGTCTCGGCGTGCTCGCTCGCCTGCGCGTACTCCGCGCGCCGCCTGTAGATCTCAGACATCGGAAGGTTGACCCATGCCGTTTGCGGATGCCGCTTTCCGAGCGACTTCGCGAAGATCTTCGCGGCCTTCTGGAAGCACGACAGCGCCTCGTCGAAGTCCGCCCGCCCCAGCGCTGCCTGCCCGAGCCCCTGCACTGCCTCGCCGCACTGCGGGTGGTTTGGACCCAGCTCTTCCTGGAGGTGAGTCAGGGCCTCCTTGTACATCTCCTCGGCTGCAGACAGCTCGCCCAGCAGCACCTTGACGTCCGCGATGCGCTTCTGTGTTGAAGCCACCAGCGGGTGCCCCTCGTGGAAGAAGGCCTTGCAGATATTCAGAGCCTCGTTATACTTCGCAACTGCCTCCTTGTACTGGCCCTGCGACGCCTTCACGGCGCCCACCGCCGTCAGCGACTTGGCCACGGACGGGTGCTCGCCGCCGCGCGCCTCCTGCTCCAGCGCCACCGCGTCGCTGTACAGCTTGAGCGCCTCACCGAAGTGACCAGTCTTCTCATGGACGTTGGCCAAAAGGGTCGCCGAGAGCGCTGCGTCGCGGGCGGCGAGCATCGCCTCGTCGCTGGGCGCCTCCTTTTGCACGGCCGACCTCGCCTGCTGCATCGCGTCGAACACCCCCTGCAGCTCGCCCAGCGCCTCCCTGTACTGCCCCATGATGGTCAGCACCGCCCCGATCTTGGCCACGCACAGCTGCCGGAGCCGGGTCTTGTCCCGCAGCAGGTCCGACTCCAGCAGCGCCCGCGACTGCCGGTAGCACTCCAGCGCCTCGCTGTACCGCGCCTGCTTCTGGTGCACCATGCCCTCGTACTCCAGCTTCGCCGCCTGCAGCTCCGCCGTCCGCTCCGGCGCGGGCGCGGGGCTGGGCGGGAAGTCCACCAGCGTCTGCGCGACCTTGAGCAGGCTGTTGTGGTCGTCGATCGTCAGACGGGCGTCCAGCATCTGGTCCATGCGCAGGATGTCAATGGCCGTTTCCAGCGTGTCGTCGCCGCACATGCCGCTCGGCCCCTCCGAGAACAGCACGTGGAAGTTCGCCCGCTCCCGGTCGAAGAACTGCAGCCCCATCTCCACCTTGGCCGAGTCGAACAGCTTGTAGGACCGCCGCAGCTCCGACATGTAATGCTTGCGGAACTGCGGACCCTCGTCGTGTTCGAAGTGCCCGAGGCGCTTGCTCGACCGCACGACGGTGCCCCGCTCCGTCGAGTTGTACCACGTCCGGATCTCCCCCTGCAGCTTGTACCGCCCCGCCTCGCACATCTTGATGATGTTAAACTCCATCAGCTCGTCCAGCATGTCCACCGTCGCGCCGCACACCGCCTCCGCCGCGACCTCGTCGAACGTGCTCGGAAACACCAGCATCCGCAGGCACGTCTCCTGGAGCACCGGGCTCATGTCCGCGATAGAGTTGAGCACCCAGTTGCTCCCGTCCTCGCTCTGCGCGATCACGCGCTCCACGACCACGTCCGGCGGCTTCCCGCGCTGCAGCCCGCTCCCGATCATCTGCACCTGCAGCGGCTTCAGCGTGCTCCCGCTCTTCTTCAGCGCCTTCTTCAGCTCGCCGCGGATCTTCATCTGGCTCTCCTCGCTGCGCACGAAGCTCATCACCCACTTCGTGATCTCGGTCTGCGTCATCTCCTCGACCGGCATGACAGCCGTCGGCGGGCCCGTGCCGGGCGCGAGGTAGTCGTCGCGGATCGCCTCCGACACCTCCACGCGCGATGTCGACAGTATCCGCAGCCCGACCTTGAGCTCTTCCGAGTTGAGCAGCGACGACACCGCGTCGACGAAGTCCTCCTCGTCCTCCTCCAGCACGTTCTCGATGTTGTCCAGGATCACCATCATCTTCGGCGGCGACAGCTTCTCGATCTTCTTCGGCAGCTCCTGCACCAGGTGGTCGATGTCGTTGACCGCGATGTCCAGCTGCGCGCCGATCTCGTACACCGCCGCTTCCGACGTCGTCTTGCCCGTCAGGTCGACGAAGAACACCCCCCCGCACTGCCGCTGCTGCACCACTTCGTGCCCGACGCCCATCGCAAGCGTGGTCTTGCCCAGCCCCACGTCGCCGACGATTTGCAACCAGCGCACAGAGTCGTGCCCCTCGAACAGCTGCTTCCGTGCGCGCTGCTGGCTGCGCTCGCGCGCGAAGAAGTTCCGCGGCAGGTCCGGGAGGTTGTTTTTCACGAAGCCCGGCGACGTCATGAACTCCAACGACTCGCGCAGGGACTTGTCGGCCGGGAACGCGATGTTCAGCTCCAACGCGTTGACGCTGCCGTCCCCGTCCACGTCGAGCACCCGCCGGATGTTCTGCTCGTTGGCCTTGAGCCAGCCCTCGATGTCGTAGAAGCGCTGCGTGAAGCCGAGGAAGAATATGTCCCACGTGACCTCCGTGGAGCGGAAGTTCATGCGCCAGAAGACCCGGATGTCCTCGTGGTAGATGAGCCTGTGCGGGCCCTCGTCCTGCATCGGAGCGTCGCAAGCGTCGGGTCGGTGCAGGGGCAGTGGCAGCCAGGTGAGATCGCGTGAGCAGGAGCGTCCCGACACAGTCCCCACTCGATCCGTGGCTCACCATCAGCGCCTTGATCTCGTCCATCTCGCCCTTGAGCACCTGGTCCGAGATGCTCATCTTCGCACTCAGCTGCTTCATCTTCTCCGGGTCCCCCATCACCGCGTCCAGCCCCCCCATTGAGTCGCACAGCTCCTTGATCTCCTTGCTCTCCGACACGAACATGCTGCCCGACGACAGCTCCGCCATCATCTGGTCCATCTTCTCGTTGATGGCGGTGACGTTCTTGGTGGTCGTGGCGACGCAGGCCTTGGCGAAGTAGTCCATCTTGTCGGCGAGCTGCTTGGCAAGCCTCTCGAACTGCTTGTCGTCCGCCAGGCTCTTGGTCAGCTTCTTCAGGAACCCAGAGCGCATGAACTTTGCCACGTGGTCGTGGCACTGCACGCATGGGGAGCGGCCGCGGCCGGCATGTTAGCTTCGAGCGCGTGATATACGCCCGCCGTGTCTAGACACCACGACGCGACAGACGACCTCTGACGTGCAGGTGCGTGCTACAACGAGTTGCGGCACTTGCGCACCTTCTTGATGTGGTCGACCAGCTCCCCGATCTGCTTCTCGAACTTGTGCAGGCTGTCTTTCGCCTCCATCACCACCACCACCATGTCCTCGATCATCTTCTGCAGCTTCTGGCAGTTCCTCCGCTGCGCCATGACGCCGTTGATCACCTTGAAGATCATCTTCACCGCGATGCCCAGCGGCGCGATGAACGGCACGGTGCTCGCGATCTCCGACAGGCCGTCCAGAGCCTTGTACGCCGCCGCGCCGATCTGCTTGATCGCCTCTCCGGCCTCGCCATCGAAGAACTCCATTGCTTTCTCCGCGATGCCGCCCACCGCCGCAGCCTTGGCGGCCACGTTCCCCGCCAACTCCGCCAGGCCCTCGTCCATCCCCTCGAGCTGCGGAGCCTCGGTAGAGAATCGAGTTTCGACTGGTCACGTGCGCGCGCAGGAGTCGGCGCTGTGAGCGCAGTTGCAGGCAACGGCGCCGTGATAGGCCATGTTCTTGCATGGAAGCTTGTGCGTCCCCGTGTCATTCTCACCTTGCCCAGGGCCTTCATCATCCCGGCGTTCTTTTCGACGATCTCCTCTTGCCCTGTGAGGGCTGTGATGTTGTGCGTCTTCTTCGGGTCCTCGCCGGCAGCGAACGACACCCCCCTCGGCCGCAACTCCGTGCCAGCTGGCATCGAACGGGCCGCCGTCAACGCATCGTCGTCAACTGCAGGTGGCCGTAGACGATCCGCGTGTCGAGCGTCATCGTGCATGGCATTGGCAGAAACGTTGTTCCCGTCACGCGAGTACACACCGGCGACCACGCGGTACGCGGCCGTGCTGACGCGAGCATGCACGCGGCCCACGGGCGACTGCAGCGGCTGTCGCACGTGAGTCTACGTCAGCCGGCACGCATAGACAACAGCAGCAATCAATGTGGGCCCCAGGCGACATGCTCGAACGGCTACGACACCACTCTGGCACTCACCGCACGCCCCGGCGACCGTTCTCCTCGCAGCCTTCGGTCCGGAAACGCTGACGCCCGCCACGCTGAAGCGAGGGAGCTCGCCGGGTCCAGCAGACATCGCCTGCAGCAGTGGCGGGCAGCGCGCGATGCTGTGAGTTGACGTGTCGCTTCCGTGCACGATCGGGGCTGGCCACCACGTGCCATCGCCGTTCTGGGTGGATCGGCAAGATGGCGTGGCATCCGCCGCGGTGTTGCATGGGCGCCGGGGTTGCGCGTCTCCTTCCGCGCGACTCCCGGGCAGAACAATACAGACCACTCAGGATCTAAGGAACGAGATGTGCGACTCAAGGGCCTCAGAAACAGGCAGTGGGCGTCCCCGCGCCGGCCCAAGACAGGGTCAACTGCCACTGGCAGCTCGTGCGCAGCACTGTCGACGCTGTAGTGCGCTTCGATGGCTGTGGTCACCCCACCTGAACGAGAGCGAATCCTTGCACGGGATAGCCTTGCTCCTCGAGGGCGTCCGAAACTTCAGCCCACAGTCTTATAGCCCACATGGGGTTCAGTCCAGGAACCGCACTTATGGACTCCCGAGTCAGCTGAGTGAGTGCGTGGCCGTTCAGAGCCATGAAGGAATCTCTGAACCTGCAAGAAATCACCGTACGTCCCCTCATGGTCAGTGGCGGGAAGTCACCTGCAAGGGAACAGCATTTGGCCACCCGCGCACCCATGCGCGGCGAAACAAGACGCCGTGCGGTAGACAGGTAGCCTGTATGATGGTCTGCATGGTCCCGCAATCAACGTGGGAGCTTCGGTCTGGTTCAGCACGCCTGGCCCCCCCCAGCACGCTCTTCCTCGGCCCGCACCTGTCGTATGGGATGCCCGCGACGTGCTGTATGAAGTCGCGGACCTCCTCCGTGCTCCAGTCTGCGATGGGCTTGCCCATGAGCCTCCCGCGCGTCTCCGGCTGTGGCTCAAGCAGCGCGGTGCCGCGCCCGGCGGGCACAGACGCGCCGCAGCCCATCCTTGCCGGCGCAGGCTCAAGCGCGCGGCATCGCAGCGTATCGCCCTCACGAGTGATGTGGTCTGCGCGAGGTGCGCGCAGGCGAGGAGGCTCGAGACGTCGCGCATTCGCGAGGAGCCGGACCCTTGCACTTCTACACCCCCCTCCGTCATGACTCATACAAAGTCGATCAAACAGCGCGGTGGGCGTCCTCCGATGCCATCAGGTACTCTGCTGAAGCGGACGCCCGCCCGGACCGGACAAAACAGCGGCTGGGAGGTGCCCTGAGGCACATGTTGTACACTCACACCACGATCGCCCTCGCTGTGGCTGGTGGACCTTGAAACATCGGAATCATTACCGCACAGCGCCCCCGCCGCTGCGGACGTGCCGCGGACGCGAAGGCGTCTGCGCAACATCGCGTTCGGGACCCCACGCGGCATGCATGTTGCGCCCGGCGTGCGTCACCCGGCGAAGTACGTGCCTGCTCAGCGCGCCTCACCCCACCGCCTCCAGGCACGCACGGGCCTCCGCCACCACCGGGTGCTTCTGGCCCAGCGCCCTCTCGAGCCCCTCGACCGCCTTCTGCACCTTGCTCTGCCCTGCCGCCGCGTCCCCGGCAGCGACCAGGGCGCGCCCCAGCCACACGTCCACGCGCATCACGCGCCAGTGCTCCTCGCCCTGGTACACGCGCACGTAGATGCTGCGTGCCCTGTCGAGCAGATTCTTCGCCTCCGCACCGCGGCCCAGCTCAATCATCGCCTGCGCCACCGCGCGCATCCCGCGCCCCGTGAGCTCGTGCTCGTCGCCGAGCGCCGCCCGCCACACATCAAGAGCGCCCTGATACGCGTCGAGCGCCTCGTCATGGCGCTTCAAGCTGTACAGGATGTTGCCCATTGCGTCTTTCACGTCGCCGAGCTCGCGATGCCCCTCAGCATATGCCTCGGCCAGGATCTCCTCGGCCTTGGTCACGCGATCGAGGGCTTCCTCGACCTTGCCCTGCGTCGACAGGGCAGCGCCGATCTTGCGTAGCACGCGCCCACACGACGGGTGCCGCTCGCCTCGCACGGTGCTGAACACGTCCAGAGCCTTGGACAGCAGCGCGACGGCCTCGTCGAAGCGGCCCTGGGCGGCCAACAGATCGCCGCGCATCTCCTGCGCGGGAATATCGAACGTCAACCATCATGAGTCTTGCAAGCATGGTCATTGTTATGCCCGACCAGCGCAGAGCACAGTAGCAGCACCGTGTCCCGCTGCTCACCACTCCTTCTGCTGCGTAGGGATGTCCTTCGCCCAGCGACGCCTCCATCAGCTTCACTCCCCCCTCAAGGCTCGTTGCTGCATCGTCAAAGCGTCCCAGCCGCGTGCACACGTCGCCGTACAGCGCCATCGCTCGGCCCACGCGCCAGTGGCTCTCGTCGAGCGCCTGCATGTACGTCTGCTTGGCAGCAGTGAAGAACCTCGCCGCCTCCTCATACTGCCCTGCATCAGCGGCCGCCTGCCCCAGCGCACGCTGCGCACGGCCCACGCTCTCGTGCGCCTCCCCGAACGCCGCCGTCCGCACCCGCAGCGCCCTCTCAAACTGCTCCCGCGCCCCCGCCGTGTCGCCCGTCGCCAGCAGCAGGCTGCCAAACGCCTCATGCACCTCGCCCATCTCCGGATGTCGGTCCCCGAGGGACGCGGACAAGGCGATCTCCGCCTCCATCAGCAGACGCTTCGCCCCCTTGTACGCGCCGCGCCGCGTCTCGATCTCCGCCGTCATGCGCATCATCTTCGCCACCGACGGGTGCTTCGCGCCCCGCACCCTCTCGAAGATCTCGCGCGCGCCGCTGAACGACGCAACGGCCCTGTCAAACTCCGCGCTCCCCGCATACACGTCGCCCTGGATCGCCAGCGCCTCGCCCACGAACGGATGCTCCGCTCCCAGCGCACCCCGCAGCTTCGCCACGCCCACCTCTGCAGCCGCCTGCGCCTCCGCACGCTTGCCCAGCCGCTCGTACGACTGCGCCTCGTACGCGTGCAGCCGCCCCACGCGCCAGTGCTCCTCCCCAAACGCCTCCGTCAGCGCCGCCTTCGCCTTTCGGAAGCAATCGAGCGCCTCCTTGTACTGCCCGCTCTCCATGTACGACTGACCAAGCGCACGCTGCGCCCGGCCCACGCTCTCGTGCGCCTCCCCGAACGCCGCCGTCCGCACCCGCAGCGCCCTCTCAAACTGCTCCCGCGCCCCCGCCGTGTCGCCCGTCGCCAGCAGCAGGCTGCCAAACGCCTCGTGCACCTCGCCCATCTCCGGGTGCATCTGCCCCAGCGACTCCGCCAGGATGCCCTCCGCGCCCTTGATCAGCGCCGTCGCTGCCTCGTACGCGCCGCGCCGCGTCTCGATCTCCGCCGTCATGCGCATCATCTTCGCCACCGACGGGTGCTTCGCGCCCCGCACCCTCTCGAAGATCTCGCGCGCGCCGCTGAACGACGCAACCGCCCTGTCAAACTCCGCGCTCCCCGCATACACGTCGCCCTGGATCGCCAGCGCCTCGCCCACGAACGGATGCGACTTGCTCAGAGCCGCCTGCAGCTTGTCCACAGCCATGCGCACCGCTTCTGCCGCCTCCGCACGCTTGCCCAGCCGCTCGTACGACTGCGCCTCGTACGCGTGCAGCCGCCCCACGCGCCAGTGCTCCGCCCCGAGCGTCGCGCTCAGCACCTCGCGCGCGCTGCGGAAGCACTCCAGTGCGTCGAGGTACCTTCCATCCTCCATGCACGCCTGCCCGAGGGCCCGGAACGCGATGCCGACGGACGTGTGCTTCTCGCCGAGCAGCCGCTTGCGCATCTCCAGCGACTCCGTGTAGAAGTCGGCAGCGTCCTTCAGCAGCCCCTGGGCCAGCGACAGGTTGCCTTGGCTCTCTTTGAACGCGCCCCAGAACGGGTGCTCGCCGTACGCAAACTTCACCAGCGCGCTCTGCTCCGCCGTCTCCAGCATGGCCTCCGAGTCCACGTACATGCCCCGCCGCGTCAGCACGTTGGCCAGCTCCAGGCGAATAGCGTTCACGCTGGGATGGTCCGGACCGCGCACGCTAGCGAAGATCTTCATCGCCTGCGTGTACTTGTCCGTCGCGTCCGCAAACTCCGCCCGATGCAGGTGCAGGTCGCCCAGCCCCTTGATGCACTCCGCCGTCATCGGGTGCTTGTCGCCCAGGGAGGCCTTCAAATTACCCATGGCTGCCTCGTACTCGCCCTGCGCGCCCGCGGTGTCGCCCAGCTCGAGCATGCAGTCGCCCGTCCTGACACGCGCGCGCGCAAGGCGCCAGTGGGTCGCGCCCAGCGTCTCCGAGAATATGTCCTGTGCCTTCTGCAGCTCCTCGATTGCCGTTTTGTAGTTGCCTTCCAAAGCCGACACCTCGCCCCGCGCGCGCCAGGTCCGCCCCACTGCGGGATGCTTCTCGCCGAACGTCGCCACGAACACCTTCTGTGCCCGACAGTACATGTCATACGCCTCCCCGAACCTCCCCAGAGCCATGGCGATCTCACCCTTCGACTCCAGCACGTCGCCCACGTCCGGGTGCTGGTCCCCGACCACCTCCACCAGCGTCGACAGCGCCGTCTCGGCGTGCTCGCTCGCCTGCGCGTACTCCGCGCGCCGCCTGTAGATCTCAGACATCGGAAGGTTGACCCACGCCGTTTGCGGGTGATGACTGCCGAGCGACTTGTCGAAGATCTTCGCGGCCTTCTGGAAGCACGACAGCGCCTCGTCGAAGTCCGCCCGCCCCAGCGCTGCCTGCCCGAGCCCCTGCAGCGTCTCGCCGCACTGCGGGTGGTTCGGACCCAGCTCTGCTTTGAGAGATGCCAGCACCTCCTTGTACATCTCCTCGGCGGTGTCGAGATCGCCCAGCAGCACCTTGACGTCAGCGATGCGCCTCTGCGTCGCCGCCACCAGCGGGTGCCCCTCGTCGAAGAAGGCCTTGCAGATATTCAGAGCCTCTGTGTACTTCGCAACTGCCTCCTTGTACTGGCCCTGCGACGCCTTGACGGCGCCGACCGCCGTCAGCGTCTTGGCCACGGACGGGTGCTCGCCGCCGCGCGCCTCCTGCTCGAGCTCCACCGCGTCGCTGTACAGCTTGAGCGCCTCACCAAAGCGCCCGCTCTTCTCGTGGACGTTCGCCAGCAGCGCGGCTGCCAGGGCCGCGTCGCGAGCGGCGACCATGGCCTCGTCGCTCTTAGCCCCCGCCGACGCCTCGGCGTCGTCGTGCATCTTGCTCAGCGCGTCGAACACCCCCTGCAGCTCGCCCAGCGCCTCCCTGTACTGGCCCATGATGGTCAGCACCGCCCCGATCTTGGCCACGCACAGCTGCCGGAGCCGGGTCTTGTCCCGCAGCAGGTCCGACTCCAGCAGCGCCCGCGACTGCCGGTAGCACTCCAGCGCCTCGCTGTACCGCGCCTGCTTCTGGTGCACCATGCCCTCGTACTCCAGCTTCGCCGCCTGCAGCTCCGCCGTCCGCTCCGGCGCGGGCGCGGGGCTGGGCGGGAAGTCCACCAGCGTCTGCGCGACCTTGAGCAGGCTGTTGTGGTCGTCGATCGTCAGACGGGCGTCCAGCATCTGGTCCATGCGCAGGATGTCGATGGCCGTTTGCAGGGTGTTGTCGCCGCACATGCCGGCCGGGCCGTCCGAGTAGAGCAGCTGAAAGTTCGCGTGCTCCTTGTCGAACACCATCAGCCCGATGTCCGCCTTCGCCGAGTCGTACATGTGATACGCCCGCCACAGCTCCGACATGTAATGCTTGCGGAACGCAGAGCCGTCGTGCTGCACGCCGCTCAAGTCGCGCGCGGATCGCCTGGCCTGGCCGGACTTGGTCTCGTTGAACCAGTTCGTGATCTCCGCCTCCATCTTGTACCGCCCCGCCTCGCATTTCTTGATAATGTTCAGTGACAACAACTCATCGAGGATGTCCGGCGACGCCCCGCACACCGCCTCCGCCGCGACCTCGTCGAACGTGCTCGGAAACACCAGCATCCGCAGGCACATCGCCCGCATGTCCTCGCTCATGTCCTCGATTGAGTTGCTCACCCAGTCGCCGCCCGACAGCACGCGCTCCACGACCACGTCCGGCGGCTTCCCGCGCTGCAGCCCGCTCCCGATCATCTGCACCTGCAGCGGCTTCAGCGTGCTCCCGCTCTTCTTCAGCGCCTTCTTCAGCTCGCCGCGGATCTTCATCTGGCTCTCCTCGCTGCGCACGAAGGTCATCACCCACTTCGTGATCTCGGTCTGCGTCATCTCCTCGACCGGCATGACAGCCGACGGCGGGCCCGTGCCGGGCGCGAGGTAGTCGTCGCGGATCGCCTCCGACACCTCCACGCGCGACGTCGAGACTACGCGCAGAGACTGCTGCAGGCCGTCAGAGTTCAGCAGGGCCGTCAGAGCGTCGACGAAGTCCTCCTCGTCCTCCTCCAGGACGTCCTCGATGTTGTCCAGGATCACCATCATCTTCGGCGGCGACAGCTTTTCGATCTTCTTCGGCAATTCCTGCACCAGGTGGTCGATGTCGTTGACCGCGATGTCCAGCTGCGCGCCGATCTCGTACACCGCCGCCTCCGACGTCGTCTTGCCCGTCAGGTCGACGAAGAACACCCCCCCGCACTGCCGCTGCTGCACCACCTCGTGCCCGACGCCCATCGCAAGCGTGGTCTTGCCCAGCCCCACGTCGCCGACGATTTGCAGCCACGACACACTGTCCTGGCCGTTTTCGAAGACCTGCTTGATTGCGCGCTGCTGGCTGCGCTCGCGCGCGAAGAAGTTCCGCGGCAGGTCCGGGAGGTTGTTTTTCACGAAGCCCGGCGACGTCAAGAACTCCAACGCTTCGCGGAGGGACCTGTCCGCTGGGAACGCGATGTTGACTTCGAGAGCGGTGATGACACCGTCGCCGTTGACGTCGAGCACCCGACGCATGCTCTTTTCGTTCTCGGCTAGCCAGCCTTGCATGTCGTGGAAGCGCTGGGTGAAGCCGAGGAAGAATATGTCCCAAGCGACCTCCGTGGAGCGGAAGTTCATGCGCCAGAAGACCCGGATGTCCTCGTGGTAGATGAGCTTGTGCGGGCCCTCGTCCTGCACGACCAAATACAGCGCGCCGCACTTGAGCACACACAAGGGCGCCGTTATAGGGTGGAGTGACACCTGCCTCGGCGGTGCCGTGCGGTCTTCGGCTCTGTAAACGTCCAGTCCCGTCCACACGGGCTGGAGAAGGCAACACAACTTGCTGCATATAAGGCTCTCGATCCTTACCATCAGCGCCTTGATCTCGTCCATCTCGCCCTTCAGCAGCTGGTCCGAGATGCTCATCTTCGCGCTCAGCTGCTTCATCTTCTCCGGGTCCCCCATCACCGCGTCCAGCCCCCCCATCGAGTCGCACAGCTCCTTGATCTCCTTGCTCTCCGACACGAACATGCTGCCCGACGACAGCTCCGCCATCATCTTGTCCATCTTCTCGTTGATGGCGGTGACGTTCTTGGTGGTCGTGGCGACGCAGGCCTTGGCGAAGTACTCCATCTTGTCCGCGAGCTGCTGCCCGAGCCGCTCAAAGGTTTTGTCGTCCGCGATGCCCTTGGCCAGCTTCTTGAGGAACCCAGCGCGCGCAAACTTCGCGCAATAATCGTGGCACTGCACCGCAGGTCGCAACAAGCGAACAAGTTCGGATCCGCGCCATAGCGCGAAACGGGCACCACGGAGAAGTCCACTGGGCGCGCACCTTCTTGATAAGGTCGACCAGCTCCCCAACCTGCTTCTCGAACTTGTGCAGGCTGTCCTTCGCCTCCATCACCACCACCACCATGTCCTCGACCATCTTCTGCAGCTTCTGGCAGTTCCGTTTCTGCGCCATCACGTTGTTGCAGATCTTGAAGATCATCTTCACCGCGATGCCCAGCGGCGCGATGAACGGCACGGTGCTCGCGAGCTCCGACAGGCCGTCGAGCGCCTTGTACGCCGCCTCGCCAACGGTCTTGAGCGCCTGCCCAGCGTCGCTGTCGAGGAACTCCGCTGCCGTGTCTATCATCCCGGCCACCTTCCCGGCCTTCTGCGCGACTTTGCCTGCAACGCCTTGGAGCTTCTCGACCTGCAGACCCAGGTGCCGGGGCCGCAGTCTGGTCCACCAACACCACGCGCGCGTGCATCGCAGACGAAACAAGCGTACGTGGCCGCCTCGGGCGCACGCGCCACAGGCGCCGATAGGCGGCCACAGGCACCCGAGTGGTCGCCTCGCGCGCGCCGCCGAGCGAAGTCGGTGCCTGCGGCGGCGGCGTGGCGCTTCTCACCTTAGCTACCGCTTTCATACCCAGACCCTCCTTGTGTTCGATGGCCGCCTGTCCCGTCAACGCCGTGATCGTGTGCGTCTCGGACGCGGGTAGCTCGCGCTGCTCGGTCGTCGCGATCCTCGCAGGCGGCGGTGGAGCACCAGGCGCTGCTTCCGCCGGCTGTCGCTGCACAGGAGCAGGCGCCTCCACCGGGCAAAACGTCTCGGACTGTTCCCCGGTGCTCTGCTCCATCTTGCCAACTGCGCACAGCGAGCGAGGACGCCTGGTTCAGTGGCCTGAACGGTGAGGACGCTTGCGTCGAGATGCAGTGTCGGAAAAAGAACCATAACGGAGGAGGGGTGAGACGATTCCTCCACCTCGGCATGCACGGATGCCAGGGAGAGGGTCGGGTCACGGGTGTGCACCTGCGCCGGTCGTTTGGGACCCTCTGAGCGCCCGCACTGCTGGATGCGATGGCAGGCTGAACCGGGCCGATCCCCCGGTTCCGACGGACATCACCTGCGCCGTATTGCGAGCGGAACGGCACGTCAGCTCCATATGTAGTCGAGACGTGTGGCAGCGCTCGTCGGGGCCGAGCACGGGGGCGGCGACAGGGGGGCAACTTTCGCGGTGAGAGGTGCACGGGCGTGCTGCCACGCCCGCAGCCCTGGGCGCGTGCGCGGTGCACGACGGACGACGTAAGCTGCAAGGAATGTTCACGCCGCAGACCCGTTGCCAAATGCCCTCGCCACGCCACTCTTTGCGCCTGGTCATCAACGAAACGTTTCGGCTCGAGGAAGCTCTGACAGGCGCGATTCCCGCACCTGAGCCATCGCATACGCAAGTTCTTGCCCCTGGCTCTGTAGCGGATACCCTTGCTGGTCCAACGCACGCGCTATTTCCGTCCAGAGCTTCACCGCCCAGATGGGGTCCATGCCAGGGATTGCGGCGACGCTTTCCCGGGTCAGGTGCACCATTGTTGGGCCGTCAAGCACAACTAGTGATGCTTGATACCTGCGACACACACAAAAATCCCAACATCACGCTCGTTTCGGTGGAGTTCGCTCGACCTGCATCGGAGAGGAGCTTGCCTCGGCTGCGGCCCACTCCTGGGCGGTGACTGCTGCTCCTGTAGCATCTGTTGCACTCCTTGAGTACAAGACTACGACATCATGCGACCGAATCAGGATCATCACGCGCGAGCGCGACGCACCGCTTGTATGGAATGCCTGCGACTCCCTCGACGAATTCGCGCACGTCGGAGGTCGTCCATTCCACGATTGCCTTACTCATGAGCTTCCCTCGTACATCTTCGTCATTTGCTCGAGTTTCTGGCACCCCAACGTCCCCCGTGCTGCCTCCCACGGGCACGGACGCGCCGCACCCCATGTTACACTGGATTGGCAGCCCCGCGCGCTAGAACGATGGACTCGTCGACCGTCTGCGCGCGCAAAGATGCCAAAGCATGGCCGGATACTGCGCGACGTGCGGGAGGCGCCTATGTCGCTGCCCCCGCGGCCCTGGTTGGACACGAGTCGCAGCTGAGTCGCAGAGTCGCGAGGGCGCGAAGTGCGGGCGTGCTCGCGTCGCGCTCGCAGATACGCGCGGAATGCGACACAAGGGTGTTCACCGCGACTCGTGTGCCCCGGTGGCGAGGCTCATCTCCCAGCTCTGCGGCACCCCCCCCCGACAGCACGAACCTCGCAGCTCCCGACCGCAGGCGCTCGCGCGCGAAGAGCGACGGGATCCGCCGCAGCGCTGCTCGGTCCCTCGTCGGTTCTCGCCAGCGTCACACAGTGAAGATGTAGGCGAACAGCAGCTTGTTGTCGAGCTCGTCGCGCACGCAACACGTCAGACTGTGGTCCGCACCAGGCCCCCCTCGGCCCGGCCCGGCCATGAGCACGGGCGGCTCCCTCGGCGCGAACCGCCGGTCCGCTCGCGGGCACAGCAGGCGCGCGGCCACGCGCTTGTCCTGCGAGAGCAACACGATCTGCTCTCCGTCGGCGGAGAAGATCCACGCCCCGAGGTCGCCCGCGCCGTACACCGCCCCGACCTTGAACCCCATCGACACCTGCAGCGGCAGGGCTCGCAACGCCGTCGCTGTCGCACACAACACAGCAACGCCACCAAACGCCAGACAAAACGCGACCCGGGCGCGGGCACTCACCTTCGCCACCTTTGAGAGCCCGTTCCAGTTCACGTCGACGCTGTACATGTTCCCGGTCTTGTCCGCGAACAAGATCCCCATCCCCGGCACCGTCGCGACGGACACCACTGCGTCGATGACGGGCCCGATGCTGGCGTCCCGCCCGAGCATGGCCAGCGACATGTGGTCCACGGTCCCGTCGTCCCCGCACAGCCACATCCCCCCGCGCGACAGGTCGACGTGCACGTGCGAGAGCGGGCACGACGTGTGCCACACCCAGTTGCGCGGCACCGGGTCTGCCACCGCGTCGCCCTCCTCCGCCTCCCCCTCCGCTGGCTGCGCCTTCTCGCCCTTCGCCTTCCCCTTCGCATCCTTCTCCTTGTCCCGGTCCTTCTCCCCCTTCTTCTCGCCCCCCTTCTTGTCGGCGTCGGGCGTGGGCGGCGCCTGCGGGACCTCCAGCGGGGCGTCGAAGAGCACCACGTCGTTCCCGTGCCGCTCCCACGCCAGCACCACCGGCGGGTGCACCGGCGGACACATCCAGTCCACGCGCCCCATGCCCTCCGCCACCGCGATCGTCCACGTCGCCGCCACCGACACTGCGACTCTCACCGGCGGCACCTCCCTGCCGCCGGCGGGGTTCTCCATCCGCGTCGGCGACCCCCTGCCCCCCGCACTCGACGTCGGGTTGCCGTCTTGGTACATCGGCACGACGCGGAGCACCGTCACCCGCCCGTCCCGCCCGCACAGCGCAGCCCCCGTGGGGTCGCCCGGGTACCGCGACCGCAGCGGGCACGCCGACGCCCACACGGGGCTCTCGAGGGGCTGCTCCATCGTGCACACCGACCCCTCCAGCACCACGAGCTCCATCCGAACCGTCTCCTCCTCCGGCGTACCGAACCGGACGCGGCCCCCGCCTCCCGCACCCGCCCCCTGTCCTGCCGACCCGGGCTTTTCCCCGCGCCTCGGGCTTCCGACGACGCGCTCGGTGATGCGCAGCACCACCGCGGACGTCCCGCACACCGCGAGCGCCAGCAGCGGCCCGCCCTCCCACGTGCGCAGCTGCACCAGTGCGTGCACGGGCCCCGCATCGTTCGGGAGCGCCACGGGCGCGTCCTTCGCGATCTGCAGGCCCACGCCCACGAACTCAGCCTCCACGGGGTCGAAGCCTGCGAGGTCCGGCAGGAGCCCCGCGTGGACGAGCTGGACGGACCCGTCGGACAGTCCCACGAGCATGGCAGCGTCAGACATCTGACAGTAGCACGTGGGCTGCGGAGTCTCCTCCGACACGGGCTCCGCGCGCTGCCACACGGTGCTCATGCCACCTGCGTCGACGGGGACGGTTCCGGCGGTTCCGGCGGCGCGAGGGTTGGCAGTTGTGTGGTGGTGTGTGGTGGCTGCCACGTGGGGTCGTTGGCGGGGTGGGGGGCGTGGGGCGTGCTGTGGGGCGTGGGCTCGGGGTGCTTACGCGGCAGGGACGGAGAGAGCTGCATCCGCGGTCCGACGGTGCTGAGTTGCGCCCCCGCCTTGGGCCGGATGACTCGCATTGCGCGCTCATCCTTCTCCTTCAGGTGGATGACCGTGTCTATGATCTCGTCGATGATCTTACCGATCTTGCGGTACGGCTGCGCCTCCTTTCCCTGCGCGAGACCGGCCAGGCGAACGGGTTGAATGCACTTCAGCTTTCGTGGGCCGCGCGGCCCCGGGACGGGCTTCCCCGGCCTCCCGCGTGGCCCGCGCCCTGTCCGTGTCGGCAGCGACCCAAGCAGATGGCCGTGGGTCGCCGAAGCGCGGCGTGCGGTGGCTGGCTGCGGCCGCGGTGCGGCGCATGTACTCGTTTGAGCCTTTGCGCACCTGAGAGAGGTCTGTGGTGTCTGCGGGCGCGAGCTTGGTCATCCTGCCCCTCCTTGACCCTCCCTGCGTCCGTGGGACGTATCAGCTGTGCAGCACCGACTGCACTGAGCCTCCCAGCGCCGGTTCAGAGACTCAAGTTTGCTCCCGTGGGCCTGCCAGGACCTCTTTCATGGCTGACTACGTCTCCAGCGATTCTTTCCAATCTCATGGACGTGGAGGCCGAGACCAGAAGCAAACGAAGCCCGGACGACGAAGCACCAGCGCCGTGTAACATGTTGGACCTCCGCAGGTACAACTGTGCTTTGCCGGGGGGACTCAGGCCCGAGACGAGTGTTTCCGACGTCGGGCCGTTCGCTCACTCCTTCACACTGTCCGGTGACAGCGAAGACGCGAGAGTAGAAGCGTCCGAGCCCCCGAATTCGCCGTCTCCCACAGCATCCTCCTTGGAGTGTTGAGCAACAGCGCCGAGGTACTGGCAAGGCATCAGGGTGATCCATGGACTCTCCAAGTGTGTTCCGAAAGGACGCGCTGGCCGGGCGCGTCGCATTGCTGTCAGGAGGCTCGTCAGGCATCGGCTATGAGATTACCCGGCAACTTGGGATGCACGGCTGCACGTGCGCCGTAATGGGCCGTCGACAGACCGCGCTGGACGGCTGCCAGGAGGAACTCGCGCAGGAGGGCATCAAAGTCATCACCGTCCAGGTCTGCTCCCGCCTCACCCGGTCAGAACAAGCCTCGCCCGTCTCGCACGACGAGAGCGAGCCGCCGCTGCCCTCCGTCCCCGCAAGGCGCGCGATATACGATACAGTGCCGAGTGAACAGACGTCTGGCGCCGGCGCTCCGCGTCACGCGTGATCGCGCTGCTCGCGACGGGCACAGCTCTCACTGCGCCGCCACGGCATCGCACGTGCTCCCAGGGCGACGTCCGCAAGTACGACGACTGCGCGCGGGCGGTGGCGGTCACGGCGCAGGAGCTAGGCAGGATCGACATCCTCGTCAACTGCGCCGCGGGCAACTTCCTGGCCCCCGCAGAGACACTCTCTTCCAACGGGTTCCGTACCGTGCTCGAAATAGACACCCTCGGGACGTTCAACCTCTCGCGGGCCGCGTTCAGGCACGCCCCCGCCCTCGCCCGCTCGCAACGTCCGGGTCCTGCCCGCCTCGTGCCCGTGTAGACCTCCGATGTGTGCGACGTGCGGCTGCAGCGAGCTGAAGCGAGCGAGGGGCTGCATCGTGAACATCAGCATGACGCTGCACTACGGCGCGACGTGGTTCCAGACGCACGCGTGCGCCGCGAAGGCCGGCGTCGACGCTATGACGCGCGGGCTAGCGCTGGAGTGGGGCCGCCATGGAATTCGCGTCAACGGGATCGCTCCGGGCCCGATCGAGGGCACCGCGGGGATGGCGAAGCTGCAGCCCAAGGAGCCCAAGGCTGGGGCGCTGAATTCCATCCCCGTCGGCCGTATGGGCAAGAAGCAGGACATTGGTCTAGCGGCGGTGTTTCTGTGTTCGAGCGCCGCTGCGTTCGTTTCGGGGGACACGCTGGTGGTGGACGGAGCGAACTGGCTGTGGAAGGAGCCGCTGGTCGACCCGGACAGCGTCAGCGAGCTCAGCAGGAAGGTGGAGGGCGGCTCTCGCGCTGTCGGCGTCGCGGCGGGCCCTCGCAGCCGCATGTAGAGCGCTGGACGCGCCTGGCGCGCGATGTGAGGCCGGCGAGTAGCATGTCCGCTTCACACTCTGACGGCGCCGACCCGCTTCGGGGGTGTTTTGTTCTCAATAGGAAAGCAACAGGGGGGGTCTTTTCGGCCAGGGCTCCGCGAGGCGGTCCTTGTCCGTGGCGACGCGGCCCTCCCGCGCGGCCGCCTCCTGGTTCTGCACCAGCTTGAACAGCCCCGTTCCCGTGGGCATCGGGATCCCCATGATGATGGCCTCGGACACCCCGTCGACTTGGTCGGTCAGACCGTGGAGTGCGGCGTCGAACAGGTGGTCCGTGGTCTTCTCGAAGCTGGCCAGCATGAGCACGGACTCCTTCATCTTCGCGATGCCGAACCGCGTGATGCCGAGCACCGACCCGCGCGCCGTCATGCAGTCGGCCAGCAGCGCCACGTGCCGCGAGTCCACGGCCATGCCGTACGCGCCCATGACGTGCTCGATCTGCTCGATGATCTTCCTGCGCGCGGCCTCGATGCCCAGGACCTCCTCCGTCTCCGTCACGTGGTTCGTCGTCGACCGCTGGCCCATCACGCCCACGGTGCTCATCACCGAACTCAGGTCCGTGCCCTCCGCCAGCAGCTTGAACCGCGGCCGCCCGTCCGCGCCGTTCTGCGTGAGTCACGCAGCGCAGCAACGTGAGGCCTTTGCGCCTCCGAACTGGCGCCCCAACCACGGGCAGGGACAAAACAAAACAATAGCTTGTGTCATCACTCATCAATCGATCGCTGCGCCGGGGCGAGGGCAGTGGTTCGGGCGTGGGGCGCACCTCGCGGTGGATGACGGCGCGCGCGATCGTGGGGATCCCCGCCACGATGATCTGCGGCAGCGCAGTCTTGAGGTCGTTGAGGTGTTTGGAGACCAACACCCCGTCAGACTCCCCCGCCTTGTCGCCAGTCGACGTGTCCCCGGGGTACACGTGCAGCGCCATCGGTCCCACGATGCGCACCATCTCTGGCTTGAGCTTGAGCTTGCTGGCCAGGATCGCAGCGCGCACCGTCAGCGAGGACACCGACAGGCGCAGGCGGGCCACGGTCACCTCGCACAGCTCGATCAAGAGGTGCGCGTCGTTGGTGCCCGCGATGACGCGCATCGTGCGCGCGACCTGCCCGAGGAGCGTCCGTTCGAGGCGGCTCTGCACCGCGCGCGCCGCCGACTCCTGGTCGTTGACGGCGAGGTGCGCTTCGATGATGGGCGTGGAGATCTTGCGCGCGGCGTTGATGACCTCCTTGATGCGCGGGACGCCGAGCGTCACGTTCATGCTCGCCACGCCCGCGAAGTGGAAGGTCTTGAGCGTCATCTGGGTGCCGGGCTCGCCGATCGACTGCGCGCCGTACGCCCCCACCGTTGAGCCCGGATCCGCCTCCTTCACCCGGTACTTCCGCACCGCCTCCGCCAAGAACCTGTCCATGATTGCCTCTGCAGGCACAGCAGCACACAGCACGCGCGTCGTGAGCTCGCGCGCCGCACGACCGTCGCACGCGTCCCGCGCGAGGGCCGCGGCTGCAGCTCGCGTACAGTCCGCCCGCAGCGGCCAGGGCGCACCGTTGATGGGCACGATGCGCGATACGAGATTCTCCAGCTTTGCATCGCCGCGCTTCGAACCCTTCACGGGCAGCCCCAGCCCCTCGCGCGCCTCGACCAGCCGGTCGACCTCCTTGCGCAAAAAGTCGGACACGCTGTCCGTGAAGCTCAGACTAAAGTCGCGCTCCTCCAGGAACTTCCGCGACGCCTCGTCCAGGGGCTTCTGCGCACGGCTGGCCCACACCGCGCCGGCCTCCCTGCCGTCCCCCGGCTCGCCGCCGTCCTCGCCCAGCTGCTGCCGGACGCGCGCCCGCAGCACGTCGTCCTCACGGAGCGACCACCGCGCGAGCCCGGCCTTGACAGCGGCCTCGAGCTCGTCAGGCATCATCGAGCACGCGTCGTCTGGGAGCGGCACGAGGGCGCGCGCGCGGGCCATGACGCGCGGCAGGTCGACGGGCTCGCCGTCGGCGCCCTCCATGTACACCGGGTCGAGCCCGTCGTCGCCGTACGTGAACTGCACAATCGTCCTGTGTGCGGACCGCACCGTGCCGTCGTAGTGCACGTAGAGGTCCTCCAGGGCCTTCATGAGTCTCCGAGACATGTATCCTGTCTCCGCGGTCTGCGTGAGAGGAGAGGAGGAGGCTGTGGGGCGCCGGTGCGGGGCTGCAGCGGGATGGGGGGGTGGGAGATGCGAGGGTTGGGATCGCTGCCCAGTGGCGAGGTGAGATCGACCGGGTGTCCGGCGACCGCACCTTCACCGCAGTATCGACGAGACCTGCAGGTTGCGTAAACGAGAAAAGGATCGTCGTCGGAACGCGGCGTTTCGCTGCCCGAAGCCACAACGCGCGTCGAAGGGCTGCTTTCGCGCGGGAGGCGCGACGCATGCATCGAGCGTGCGAACAAACCCAGCATGCGATCAACGACCCATGCAGAAGCAGCACGCGTTGGTCGCGGGCCCCGCACCTTCGCGCCCGGCCATGGTGTGGAAGAAGAACTCCGTTGGCGTCAGACCCGAGTAAAACGAGTTCGCGACGAAGCCCTTCCCGCCCGGCGTGCGGCACCCGCGCGGGAAGTGCGGCAGCGACCGCTGCGAGAACCCGTCCGGCGCCCGCTTCCCGTTCACCGCCTGCTGCCCGACCATGACCACCATCTGCGCGATGTTGCTCGGGCTGCCCTTGCTGCCGCATTGCGACATGATGAGCGGGGAGTTGTTCGCGCCGAGGTTGTTCATGCAGAACCGCCCGCCCTCGTCGCGCAGCGAGTTCAGCACGCCCATCACGTGCGTCTCGAGGCTTTGGTCCAAGTCGCACCCGGCCACCAGCGGCAGCGAGCCCTTGTGGAAGCCCCCGATGTACTCGTCGCACTTGGCGTACCCCGCGGCGAGGATCGCCTCCCTCTCGCGCGCCACCTCTGGCGACGGCATGACGTCGCCGATGCCGATGGAGAACCCAATGTCGCCCATGAGCCGCGCAGACAGCTTCGCGAGCCGCGACATGCACATCGCCGCGACCTGCGGCGAGTAGTCGTTGTTCAGCACCGCGAACAGCCCGTTCTTGTTCCCGCCGCCCAGCGTCATCTTGCCCAGCCGCCCGCACAGCAGCTCTGAGTTGCGCACCAGCACGAACCCCTCGTTCGGGCACAGCGGGCCGCGCCCCCGCACGTACACCTTCTCCATGGTCTCGCACGTCACGAAGACGCGTGCGCGCGCGGACGGCCGCAGCAGCACCGAGATTACCTGCTTCCCTGTCCACAGCTCCACGGGCTTGATCAGCGCGGGCGCGGGGACGTCGACCGGCTCCGACGCGTCGCCGAGGTAGGCGCACAGCTGCATGAACTCCGCGCGCGTGAGGAAGAGCTCCTTGCGCGTGAGGAGGAACGCCGCGGTCAAGAAGTCCTGCGTGGCGCCCACCAGCAGGTCGCCGTTCTTGGGAACGGCGAGGTTGTGCAGCACGCCCATGAGGACGATCGCCTCCGCGCGCGCCTCCTCCGTCTGCGGCACGTGGATGTTCATCTCGTCACCTGCGCGGCGGGGGCGGACGCACGTCGGTCAGCGTCGGCCAGTCAGACAGCATTGCGGGCAAACGCGCGACGGGTCGCTCGCGGTCCGGTGGCGCTGGCGGGAAGCGCGCTGTGCTCTCACCGTCGAAGTCGGCGTTGAACGGCGCGCAGACGCACTCGTTGAACCGCAGGGTCCGGAAGTTCTGCACGCGCGCACGGAAGGCCATGATCGACACGCGGTGCAGCGACGGCTGCCGATTGAAGAGAATGACGTCTCCGTCCTGCAGGTGCCGCTCCACGATGTCGCCGACCTTGAGCCGGCTCGCCACCTGCCGCCGGTCGCCGTACGCCAGGTACGCCGTGCCCTCCCCGGGATGTATCACGAACCGCGCGCCGGGGTGCTTCTCCGGCCCGTTCACCACCAGCGCGCGCAGCCGCTCGATGTTCTGCGTCGTCACGCGCTCGGGGTACGTGAGCGTCGTGGCCATGTGCATCGGCACCACCACCTGGTCGATGCCCACGTTCGGGTCCGGCGAGATGACCGTGCGGCCGGTGAAGTCCGCGCGCTTCCCGGAGAGGTTCCCGCGGAACCGCCCCTGCTTCCCCTTGAGCCGCTGCACGAACCCGCGCTTCACTTTGTCCGTCGAGTAGATGGAGGAGAACCCCGGGAGGTCCGCGTTGATGATGAGCGCGCACTCGATCTGCAGGAGGTCCCAGCGCTCCATGATGGATCCGATCTTGTTGCCGCGGATGAGGTCGCGCAGCTCCGCGTTGAGCGTCGCCACCTGCGACAGCTTCACGGTGATGTCGTCCTCGTTGCTCCCCGCGCCGCCCTCCATCTCCACGCTCGGGCGGATCGACACCGGCGGCACCGCGACGTTGGACAGAAGGAGGTTCTCCGGGCGCCCCGCGAGGCACAGCAGCCGGCAGTCGCTCTGGGGCACGCGGCTGAAGAGCTCCAGCGCCTTGAGCGGGTCCAGCAGCTCCGGGGCGGTGCGGAGGTGCGGCGCGAACTCCTGGTTGGCCTGCAGGACGTCGTGGAACTTCGCGCGGCGCTCCGCGAGGCCCTCGTGCTCCTTGCGCGCGTCGACCTTGTCGCCGTACTTGAGGTGGACCAGCTTTAAGAACCCGGGGGTCTTTTTCACGGGACCGTTGGGCTCGCCGCACCACGGGCACGCGCGGACCTTCTTGCACTTCTCGATGACCTGCTTGTACAGCGCCGCGCGCTGCAGGCGGTCCAGCCCCGGGCGCCGCGCGCGCCGCAGGAACTTCTGCCGCACGGCGTCCTCGAGGAGGACGCGCGCGCACGACTTGCAGATGGACTGCAGGGTCTCGTGCGTGGCCTTGAAGTAGCCGATGTGGAACACGGGGAGCTCCAGGCGGATGTACCCGAAGTGGCCCACGCACGCCTCGAACCTGCACGCGCAGGGAGGTGTCGTGGTGGGGGTGTTGGGGGTGTTTTGGATTGCGTGGGGCGACGTGACGCGCAAGGCGACGGCTCTGCGTCGCCACCGCGCCGTGGTGGCGACGTTCGGCGCGCTGGCTGCGCGTGCAGGGCGGGGCTGAGTTAACGGCAGTGTTGAGTCATACCTGCCCTCGCAGGTCTGACATGGAGGGCCGCGCTTGTTGCTCACGCCGAGTCGGCGGTCGAGGACGCCGTCCTGCTGCGGTGCGCGTTCTGGGAGCCGCGTGTACAGCTGCGGCGCGTGCACCTGCAGGGCCGCGGCGGAAGCGACCTCCGCCGGCGACATGACGCCGAACGTGAGGCTCTTGATCCTCCTGCACGATGTCATCCAGTAATCGAGGACGGAAGTCAGACGGCCGTGGACCGCTGGCCGCCGTGCAGCCACCGCGAGCACGGAGACTGTTGCAAAGCAGTACTGAAGCCGGCCCAGCGTCGCATCTGGATGAAAGCAGTGGTGGTTCGGCCCGCGAGTGCGATGTCGCTTCAGAACACTCCAGAACGCTGGGCCGTCTGCCGGCGTTGAGGCGGCGTCCCCGGGGATGCGGGTGCTCGGTCTCTGAAGATGATTAGCTTTCAAGTGCAGCTCATGAGGGCATGCCGGCTCACCTGGGACGGTTCGGCTCCTTGAAGAGCTCCTTCGTGCATTTGAGGGAGCTCTCGGCATCGGGGTTGGACTGGATGCCCGCCTGCTTGGGCGCGTAGGCTGCCATGGTCCCAGCACCCCCTAGCACTGCGGCTGCGCCGTGATTCCCTACGTTGCCCCGCACAACTGGCAATCTACTGCTATGTCGAGCTTCAGGCCGCGCTAGCTGCGCATTGCGTGGTGAGGCCCTGCGGGAGACGAGGAGTGCAGCAAGTTTTCACCTCGGCGCCCGGGCTGGCAACAGCGAGGTCCAAGGGCTGCGCCGCCAGCATCAGCGGAATGAAGGGCGCTTTTTAGACCAGGGATCGCGGAGAACGCGTGAATGTCTGGGCGGCTCTCACCTGGGCGCTGCCTGCTAGCTGTGCACCAAGTCGGCCGCGCACGCCGGCGTGGCGCCCGGCCCGAGACAGCGATACTAAGCTTCGCTTCAGGACGCGTGTACACCTCGTGTCGCGAGTGCCGCCGGTCACAGTGCGCGACCTGGGCCGACGCTTGCGGCGAGCAGTCAGCGGCACCGTGTTCAGCTGCTGAGGTGGTGATACGACGTGGCGTGCCTGACGCAGGCGCTGCAGCCACCAGAGTGCGCGCACGCGTGCGAGCTGGCAGCAGTCAACGGGGCCGCGGTCATCGGGGGAGTATGCGAGTCAGACCCAAATGGTAAGAACAATCAACTGCCGCTGATCGCGTGTTGAGTCCTGGCCGCCCCGCGGCACAGGCAGGCACCAGCTTGTGCTCGTCCAGCTGACGAGCCTCGTTGCGTGACGTTCACAGCGTTGCAAAGGGTCTCGGGCACACACGTTGAGATTGACACCCGGAGTGGCCGGCCTGCACTGAATCAGTGCCTCTGACGGCAGAAATGCAGTTTCGCGGCCTGAACTCCATCTAAAGTCACGCCTAGACGACACGTCACGCATCCCAGATCCACCGTTCGCTGCCGCCAGCGCCCCAAGCACCAGGAGGGAGAGTGCAGGGCGGCTGGAATGACTTGACGGGGCGAACGGTCGAGCATATAGCGTTGCAATGAAAGAACTACTACACGTCCGTCAATATGTTGGCATCTCAGCGCGCAACGGACGCACGTCCGCGCCACCTGCGCGTCGAAGCAGGGTGGCACTGGCGGTGCTCAGGGACGCGAATGGCCAGGCCGCGTCGGTGTTCGGGATATCTCAGGAGGACGCTCAGAAGCGCAGCCCTGTGGAGTGGGACGAGGAGGCGGAGGGGTTCTGGCGGGCGTCGGGCCGGAGGATGACGGAGGTGCGGCGGCTGTTTTCAACGAGCACGAACCGCATCTGGGCGGACGGAGAGGCGCTGTCGCAGCGGGAACAGGTGCGTCACGTCCCGCACTCTCAGGGCCACCAGCGCTGCGCCTCACGTCCGGCTCGCCGCTTCTTGCAATAAGTCGAGTGCATTTTTACATGTGTACATATGATTTGTCAGGCAATCAAGATCGTCTTTGGTTCTCCGCGCGACGGAACGCCGCTCGATCGCGCGCAGGAGTGGCTGAGCGAGCTGCCGTGGATGACGGAGTCGGACCTGCGCGCCATGGTTCGGAAGAGCCCGCGACTCATTACGCACACAGCACGGAGCCTGGCGGCCAAGATGGAGGCCCTGGAGCGCTACCTGCCGGCGGTCCAGTGCCAGAAGCTCGTCAAGCGAGACCCACGGCCGCTCACACGGAGCGAGGCGAGCCTCAAGCGGCAGGTGAGAGTGTTGGCTGCAGCAATGGCAAAACTCTGATCCCGCGCCTAGGAGACGGTCGCATCGTGGCACGCGTGATCCGCAGCGGCGTCCATCGACGTTCAACCCGCCCTCGACGAGTTCGCGCAGGTGGCGGTTCTGCGGGAAGCGCTGGGCGCGGGAGACCCCCCCGGGGGCGACGCAGTCCTTGCCAAGGCGTTACGCGCCACCAGCACTCTTCTGCAGTACCCTGTCGCGCAAATCACGCTCCGTCGAGATGAGGTCGTCCAGGCCGCCGAAATGCTGCTGCTCGAGGGTCGCAAGGGTGCGGAGCACGCGGGGGCCCCCGCCGCGGCCACGCCCCCCGACATCGGGCGGAGCGCCCAGGCGTGCGACCCGCGGGTCCCTGCCGGGCAAGTCAACACCTTCCTGCCGCGGCGCCGCCGCAGGAGCGCACTACCGGAGGACGACGCGGCGGCCATCGAGGCGACGGCAACACGACTGGTGCAAAAGGCCCCCTCGCTGCTGACGCAGTCCGCCGGCGCCGTGAAACGGCGCATCGATGACCTCATGCGTCTCATGGCGCCGCGCGTGGGCCGCGCGTGCGTGGCTCGGATCATCGTCGCGGAGCCGGGGCTGCTGTGCTCGCAACACATTTGGAAGGGCACGGCGCCGAAGTGGCTGCTGCTGGTCGAGGCCTGCGACCGCGTCGAGGCGTGGAGCGCGTGGCTCGACACGTCGCCGGCGTCGAGCATTGCGCGCATCGTCTGCCTGAAGCGTGAGAACGTGGCGCAGCTGATGGCGCTGGCGGACCTGGCCGCGGAGTTTGAGACCGCGGAGAGGCGGTCGCGCGAGGGGGACATCATCGCGGACGCGTGGCGCAAGGATGAGGGGGACGCGGAGCTGCGGCAGGTGCAGGAGGCGGCGGCGAATCTCCTGCGGTACGTGCCGACGACGTTGCTGCAGCGCAGGAGCGTGGAGGGCCCGGGGGGACTCTTGGAGGGGCTCGGGGTACAGGCCGAGGTGTTTCGGGAAGTTGTGCTGGAGCGGGCGGCGCTGTATGTGGAGGACTACGACGGCCTGGGTGGCGTTTGAGGCCCATGTGGGCCGCCGCAGTTGTTCGCGCGATGTTGCTGTGTGAGGCGCCAGCCGCGTCGAATCCCTGGCGGTCGTGGTGAGCCTTCGCGAGAGCCGCCGTGGCACAGATCGCGGCCGTCCCGCTGCGGAAGTCGGGTACCGCTGAGTCAGGTGTCTCCGAAACCCCCCCCTCCTGTCTTCAAAGCAGGGGAAACGTGCCGCTCGTTGGGAGCGCTCTGTTCGGCTCACCGGCACTCGGCATTGTGTCCGCAAGACCTACTCGACGGGCTACCGGGCGCGTCCTCGTCGTCGCCTTAGCGCAACACGCGGCCTCGCGATCACACAAGGTGTCTACGCATCGACACGACCGCCCTGCGGGTCTGCGTAGGCACTTCTCCTCATCGGAGAGCCCTGTCGGGCACAGTTGGCTTTCGAGCCGCTGGTAGGGGGGCGCGATGGCGGACACGGTGCGCTACATCATGGAGGAGATGACTCCGGAGCTCGAGGACCTGGTCAAGCGGCGCTTCTTCACCACGGAGGAGGTCAAGAGCATCGCGCGGAAGCGGATGGACTTCGAGTACAACCTCAAGAGGCGGGCGGCGTTGCGGGAGGACTTCGTGCGGTGCGTGGCGCCGCGCGCGGGCGCGCCGGCTCTCACGCGGCTGCGCAGTCCGCTCTGCTCGCGCAGGGCCGCCTGGGCGGTGCGGCGCGTTCACAGTGACCGAACGCATTCAACTGTGCTCTCTGCGTCCATTCAGGTACATCGACCACGAGAGGAAGCTGGAGGAGCTGCGGAAGCTGCGCAGGAAGCAGCGCAGTCTGGGCGGCAAGAAGACGCTCGCGGACTTCGCGATTCCGCGGCGGATACACTTCATATACCAGCGGGCGCTGCGGAAGTTCCGGGGCGACCTCTCTCTGTGGAAGCGCTGGTTCGACTACTGCAAGGCAACAAGTGCGTGCTGGCTGTTTCCCGCAGCTCTCCCCGGCCGCACCTCGCCATCACACGCCACGCGCGATTCCCGGTCCTTCGCCAAACGATGACATTGCACCTCGTCCTCGGTTCGCGGCCGCAGAGGCGACCAAGCAGATGTCCAAGGCGCTGACGATGGCTCTGAAGCTGCACCCCAACGTCGCGGGCCTGTGGACGTACGCTGCCGCCTGGGAGTTCGAGCACGCGAACAACCCCATGGCGGCACGCACACTCATGCAGCGCGGGCTCCGAAACCTGCCCAGGAACGAGGTGCGCTCCCACACCCGAACCTGCAGCTCGCAACACAACAACACGACAGTTGCAAATCCCCAACTGCTGTTCACTCGCTCCCGAGCTCCCACGCACGACTTCACGGCTGCGCACCTTCCTCTCACCTGCATTTATTCCTGCTGTTCGTTCCAGGATTTGTGGGTGGAGTACTTCCGTTTCGAGCTCTTGTACGCACACAAACTCAGGGAGCGCAGGCGCCTCCTGGGCATCACCGACGACGCGGACGCAAAGGGCCCAGAGTCCCAGGCGGCCACGGACAAGGTCCTGTCGGGCGGCGTGGCGCTCATCGTCGCGCGCAACGCGGTGGCGGCCCTGCCTACCTCGGTGGCGCTCCGGAGGCGCATGCTCGACGTGCTGACGCCGTTCGAGCTCCCAACCGCTGAGGTCGAGGAGAGCATCTACGCATCGCTGGAGCGCGAGGATCTGAAGGAGAATGTTGAGGCAAGGGCGCTGCTGGTACGTCACACCTCAACTCGTCGCATTCCACTTTCACTGCCCTGACGAGGTTCCGGTGCACCGAGCGATCGAACCGCTGACTGGACTGGAATGGTACGCCATCGGTGTGCCAAGCCCACCTGCGCGCGCCCGCCGTGCAGGCACGTCGCGCGATGGAGGCGGAGTCGGCGCGCAGGGGGGACTTGGGGGAGTCCTTCGACGCGGCGTGCGCCGCCTTCGACGAGACCGTGGCGTCCCTGGAGTTTGCGTCGCGCGACGTCAAGAGGGGCATGTACAGCGAGTACGCCGCCTTCATCTGCGAGGTCCTCTCGATGGCCCTCGCGCAGCAGCAACACGGGGGCGCGGACCTGGCGGCCGCGGCCGCGGTGCGGGTCCTGGCGTGCTGTCGCGCCGCGGCCGACGCGGAGCTCCTCACGGGCGAAATGGCGCGGGCGTGGGTGGCGGTCGCGCTGCGCATGGGACGCGTCGACGTTGCACTCGACGCCGCCGCAGCCAGCTGCTCCGCGCTCCCGAACGCGCCGGAGCCGGCGAGCTTGCATATGGCTGTCCAGGGTCTCGCAGCTCTGGCGCAGCGCCGCGCCGACGGCGCGGCGAACGGCGCAGGAAGCGGCAGCGATGACGAGGCCGCACTGCGGGAGACGGGGGCGTCGCGCGCGGTCGAGGGCGCTGCGAAGAGCGTCTGCCCCCGCGCGCACCCGGAGGTCTGGATCCAGGCGTTCGTGCTCTGTTTGGACCTCGGGCTCCCGACGGGCGCGCTCCTACGGCACCTGGTACGGCACGTGGCGGACGGGGCCGCCGGGCCGCTGCGTGGGGGCCTCGGGGCGGTCGCGGCTGCTGCTCTGGACGTTGCGGACGCAACGGGTGGCGCTCAGGCGGTCGAGGAGCTGCAGAAGCGGTTCGTGGGCCTGCCGTCGCCCGGGGGGGACTGGCACTGGGCGTGCATACGACAGGCCGAGCAGCGAGCCGCGGCCGACATGGGGAGCCCGCAGCAGAAGGCGTCGCTCGCGCGTCTGAGGTGCGCTTTTGACCGCAATTCATGCACGTGCCAACTACTTCAAAAGCTAGTGCATGCATCTAAAGCTTGGTTGATTGCTGTGTTGCTTGCAGGAGGACGTTCGAGGCTGCACTCGACGCGCACGGAGGCGAGGACGACGCGATGTGGCTCGCGCTGTACCGGCACTGCCAGAAGCACGCGCCGGCTGACTCAGGGCACGTGCACTGGCGCGCGGTGCGGGCGCTGCACGCGGAGGCCGCCGAGAGGTTCGTCGAGGCGGCCAGCCGGCCGGAAGTCTGACAGAGCTGGTGCACGCAGGCGACCTGTGATGCGCGCGCAGAAGCTCTTTCTTGATTGTTTGTTTGCTGGTGCGTGTGTGTTCATGCTCAAAATCAAGCGCAGAAGGTCGGCCAAGGCGCGAACCACGGCCTCGAGGCCCCGGAGCTGCTGAGCATCTCCACGAGCGACGCATCGGTGAGCTGGTTGCTCCCCAGCATGATGGTGCGCAGCTCCTGCGAAAAATCAGCAGTTGTTCATTCCTGACATCAAGTGCATCAGTGGGTTGACGCGATTCGAACAAGACTCAGCGGGGATTACTTCGCCAGTACCGCCATGCTACTGCGCGCGGTCGCAACCCGAGAGCCCTCGCCAGCCCGGCTGTCCGATGTGTGTTCCGTCGCACACTTCGTGGGCGTGCAGTGCTGCCGGCGGTCGCGCGACGTGGCGCCGGCGCACGCGATACGGCCGCCGTGGACACTCAATGACCTTGGCCGCGTGCTTGCCGCTGGGCGATCGCGAACTGCTGTGTGTGGAGAACCTGCTTCGGCAGCGGGTAGGAATTGACCGTGCCACTCTCCCATCCCCTGATTTCCAAGTGCCGTAGAGTCGTGTTGCCGACCAACGAGGCTGCCAAGCTCTCGAGACTCTGCTCCTTGACATCGAAATACTCAGGCAGTAAAACCAGGGACACCAGGGAGCAGTTCCGCCGCAGCGCCCGCGCGATGGCTGCGAGCCCGCCGTCGCCTGCGCGGCCGCATAGGATACGCAGCCTCCGCAGCTTGCTCACCGGCTGCTCCTCCAGTGCAGCTGCAATGCGCTTGACGCTATCGTCGGTGAGGTTGTCCGAATCTATTTCCAGGGTGTGCAGCTGGCGGCCTTCGTGACGATCCCCGCCGTACAGCGCGTCCATCAGCCGAACAACGAACTCGTCCGGCGGGCCTTTCTCTACTTGTGAGCAAAGGCGCAACACCTGCAGCGTCCTGTTCGTGCCCACGCTCTCCACCAAAGCCTCGCGGCAGCTTGCGTCCTCCTCGCCAAGGTAGCCCAGGTGCAGCTCCACCAGCGACGTGTTGTGGCTGAGCAGGTCGCCCAGAGCTTCGAAGCATCCCTCATCGAGATCGAACGTAAGCGCCAGCTTCTGCAAAGTCGTGGTGTTGTGCAGCGCCCCTATCACCGCAGACCGGTCGAAGCTGTCCATGAAGCCCAGCGACCATACCTCCAGCTCACGCAGGGCGGCGTTGCTCATCGCTGACGCAGCGGCGGCCGTCAGATCCCTGCCCAGCACTGCATCTGGGCACGGCGGACAGTACAAGACGAGTGTCTCCACCTTGCTGCGCTCCAGGGCCGAGAAGAACGCAAGCGCTGTCTCCCGATCCAGCACTGGCTGCCCATTATAAAACTTCAGCTGCCGCAGCTTCTCGCAGCCGGCAAGCAGCTGCGTGATCCGCCCCCAGACGGCAAGATCAAGATGTCCGCTCAGTGCGTAAATCTCCAGCGAAATCAGGCTCGTGGCCTCCCACCAGCGCAGCGGCTCCCGCACGTCCATACGCAGCACCTCCAGACCTGCCGGCAGGGCTCGTGGCCGCATCCCCGCGAAGTCAGGGTGGGTAGAGTACCCACCCTCCAGTTTGAGGGTGCGCAGGTTCGTGGCCTGCTCCAGAGCGTCGAAGAACGACTCCCAGTCCCCCGCGCAGCGCCGTTTGTGATCGTCCGACGTGTACGACAGTTCGAGCTGCGTCAGGCAGCTGTGCTGTTCTATCAGGCACTGTGCCCAGCTGATGGGAATGTACGAGAGCTTCACGTGCTGCAGGGCCGACAGGCCGCGCAGGGCTCCGCGTATCACCCCGGCGCGCTCGTCCAGCGGAAACATGTTGTCCTGCACCATCTCCAGGGACCGCAGGCTGCCCTTCACTGCTGGCGTGTCCAACACCTCCGCCACCGCGCGCGCCTCCTCCGTGAGCGTATGTCCGGTATCCAGGAGAGGCATCCTCAGCCCCGTCACGCGCGCCTCGCCACACCTCCTCATGAGGTCGACCCACGCGAGCGTCACTTCCTTGCCGCTCTCCTTCCGCCATATCGACGATTGATAGTCCTCAGCACTCATGGGCCGGACATGTTTCGTCGCATCCAGCAGCAGCCCCGCGTCCGTCGCCGACACCCGCACCCCGCTCACCGTCGCCGACCCCTCGCACGGCCCGTCCGTCACCCGCGCTGCCAGACCAGCCAGCACGGGGTCGTCGGGGTGCACCTTGAGCACCGCGCGAGAGTCGCGCAGGACCATCTCGAGCGCGCCCCAGCACGTCGCCGCGAGGCTTGTCTTGTCGTCGTCCGGCAGCACGTTCAGCACGGGGGCCTCCCGCAGCACGCGGTAGAGCTGGCTGTCCTGCCATGACCTCTCCGCCGGAAACGAGCCGTGCACGGGGTCGCTGCTGGCCGCGCCGGCATGAGCGTCACCAGCCACAGATTGACTCATGTTTCGTCGCAAGCCCTGCGTTGCGAGGGCACAATACGAGCTGGTTGCGTCGCATGGAAGATGTACGGTTGGGCCTGCATTCCCGCCGGATGCCATCGCGCACGGCACGTACGACAGATAATCACGCACGAGCAGTACCACACACACCTGCTGGCAACGCTTAGTTGTGGTTGCGGAGCCGCTCACGACCGCGCTGGGCCACTTGTCGGTGCAACAGAAATCCCTGCCCCTGCTACGTCAAACGCGTATCCCGTACGTATTGGTGGCCCGAAGTAGCCTCACTGATCTATACTGCGCCTACGTGCCGCAGAACCGGCCCTCGAACGGCCGTCCACGCCCTCCCCGTCGGACCCCTGGGGACCTCATGCAACGCACAGGCTGTTCGTCGGGCCGGTGTCGCCCACCACGGAGCACCGAGCGCGTCGCGAGCACCGTATCGTACGACCGCGATGTAAACATGGCCGCTGAGGCGTCAGCGATGCGTCTGCTGCAGGTCCAGCTGCCCACATTGCACGCGACCAGCTATGTTGCTATGCGACGTCCCGAGCAGCGGAGGGACCCCCCGTCGTACAGCGCCCTGACAAGATCCAGCACACCTGCATGCGCTGGCTCCCGCCGAGGGCGCCGCACAACCACAACATCTTACAAATATGCTCCGTAGCTCGCCGCCCCGCCCTCAGTCCCACAGCGCGCTGACCTCCAGCGGCTCCTCCTTCTCGTCCAGCTCCAGCCCGTACCGCGGCAACATCGGCACCAGCACCTTGGCGAACCGCTGCTTGCCCATCGCCGACATCCGCACGTTGCCGCCGATCGACACGGCCTCGAGGCCCCGGAAGCTGCTGAGCACCTCCACGAGCGCCTCGAGCGACGCGTCGGTGAGCTGGTTGCTGCCCAGCATGATGGTGCGCAGCTCCCTGCAGCGCCCGAGCCCGGCGGCGACCATGTCGCACACGCCCTTGTCCGCGATCTCGTTCTCTTCCAGCGACACCTCGCGCATGCGCGGGCCCGCCGCGGCGATCGCCGCCCCCAGCGCCGCAGCGCCCTGGTTCCCGACGCGGTTCATGTCCAAGCACATGTAGCGGAGGCGCGAAGCAGAGCCGGCGAGGGCGCGGCCGATGGCAGCGCTCGCAGCATCGCCCACGCGACACGCGTACAGGTGGAGGTGCGAGAGCTGCGCCCCGCTGGCCTCCAGCGCGCCGGCCAGCGCCTTGCCGTGTCGCTCGAGGTCGCACGACGACAGCACGAGCGTGTCCAGATGCGGGAGGTGCGCCAGCGCGTCGCAGAAGTCCTCGCCTGCACGCACGAGCAGTGAGCGCGCCACGCGCTCAGCACAACGGCACCCGGGCGCATCACGCGCGCAAAGCATGCGTTTTGGGATCGGAGAGAGAAAGAGGCACGGGGGCGCGACGCGCACTCACCGCCGATGCTGGAGAACCGCTGCAGCCCCAGGCGCAGCTCCCGCAGCGTCGTGCACTTCGCGATGCCCGACGTGAACCCCCCCATGGCCTCCCCCACCAGGCGGAACCCCGTGAACGACGCGCTCCGGAGCCTCGCGCACGCCGCCATCCCGTCGAAGATCGCCTCCGCAGCCCCGCGCGTCGGCATCGTGGCCCCCGCGACGGTCACTTCGGTCAGTGCCGGGCAGCACGGCAGCATGCGCTTCCCGAACGCCTCCAGCGTCGCGTTGTCGGCGCCGTACGCGCCGATCTCGAGCTTCTCAAGCGTCGCGCCGCACCCGCGCGCCAGGGCGTCGACGATCGCCGTCGCAGACACCCCCCCTGACAGCACCGAGTACCCCGTGAAGCGCAGCACGCGCAGCCGCGGGCAGCCCCCCCGGCCGATGCCGTCCGCGATGCAGGCGAGCGCTTGGTTGCTGCGCGGCACCGTGCCGTGCAGCTCCAGCTCCTCGAGCGCCCTGCACGTCCGCAGACCGTCCGCCAACCCCAGCGCCCCCTCGCCGGGCCCCGCCTCCTCCCCATACGCCGGCTTGCATCCGATCGCGCTGTTGCTCCGCAGGCTCAGCTTCGTGAGGCTCGGCAGCCGCGCCAGCGCCGCCCCGACGGCAGCGACGCCCACGTCGCTCATCTGGCACCCCGCCATGCGCAGCGTCGTCAGCGCATCGCAGGGACCCTCCGACAGTCCCTGGGCGATAGCGACGGCGCCGGAATCCGAAATCAGCGAGTTCAGCGACAGGTCGAGCTCCTGGAGCCGCCGACAGACCACGAGCGCGCCGCCGATCGCCTTGGCACCCGGCGCACCGATGCCGGTGTCGACGAGACGCAGGACGGTGAGGCGCGCGCCCATGCCGTCTTCGGCCTTCAGCGCAGCCGCAAGGACGAGCGCGCCCCTGTCGCCGAGCGAGCTGTAGCCCAGGTCCAGCCAGCGCAGCGGTACCGGCGGGCAGAGGCGCGCTCGCTCAGTCAGCGCGTTGCACAACGCGGCGGCACCGACCACGGAGGACGGAGCGATGCGGCGCGTCGTGACGAACTCGAGCTCCGGACACTGCGGGATCCCGGAGCAGACGTCGACGAGCGCGTCCATGTCCGCCGCGCAGTTGAGCTTGACGTGCCGCAGGTGCTTGAAGGCAGGGAGAAGCGCGCCGAGCTTTGGTCTGGTGGGGGCCTGAGGTGCAGCCGCGGCGTCCTTTCGTCGGAACGGGGGCTCGACGGCGATTCGACGGACCAGCAGAGCCGTCTCCGGGTCCTGCGCGAGGCTCTGGAGCAGCGCTGCGGTTGCTACGTCGTCTGGAGCGTCGTCCTCGGCCCGCCAGGACTCCTCGAATTCGGCGAGGCGAGGTGCGCACGAAGGATCGACGCAGACGTCCCGACACATGATCTCGCCGGCACATTCCGCGGGGAACTGCGGTGCCAGACCAGCGAGCACGGCCAGCAGGACTGGGCTCGGGCTGCCCGACGGCGAGGTGACGCTGAGAACCACGCGTCGGTGAACCAGGACTGCCACCAGCATCTCACGCGAGCAGGAGGCCAGGAATATCGTCGCCTCGTGCTTCAGGCAGGCCAGAATTTCGGCTCCCAACAAACCAAACACGTCCGTGAAGCATGCCCTCGCTTCGTCGTCCTCGCACGGCTCCGCGGCTGCCCGCTCCGCGCCCGACATTCTCCGACAGACAACAATCTACTGGCGCGAAGCGGACTCCCCTGTCATCCCCACCACCGAGCACGTCGACGCTGCGCTACAACAGACTACGAGGCACCCTGGGGCGACTTCGACGGAAGAGTCGATGCAGCGCGCCAGCGCACGCACCCCGGGGTATGCGCACGCGCGCCGCCTTCCATCCGGGATAATTCCCGACGCCCCTGCTCCGGCAAGTTGCCGCAACACACCCCCACTTGACACCAAGACCCCCCACGCGATTCATGGCGCGCGCGAGACCCAGCCGGCGACCAGCACGTCACAACAACGAGTCACGCGCGACGCCGCACAGCAGCCATCCCCGCGCGGTAAATACAACCCCCCCGACAACAACTGACAACAACATCCATCCCCGGCGCACCAGCCCGCGCCCCGCTACTCGAACCCGGCGTAGTTCCGCAGCCGCGCGTTCTCCTCGAGCATCTCCTGCAGCGCCGCCTGCTGCTCCGCGGCCTTCTTCTGCGCGAGCTGCAGCTGCATCTGCGCCACCTTGGATTCCACCTGCGCCGCCGCAACCGCCTCCTTCCGCGCCCGCTCGCGCGCCACCAGCCGCTTCTTCCGCGCCAACGCGTCCGGCGGCTCCGAGTAGTCCTTCGCGGACGCGTCGCTCCACCCGCCCTTGCCCGTCGCCTTCTTTCTACTCTTCCCCGCCTTGGTCAGCGACGACGGGCCCCCCGCAAGCCGGCTCCGGCTCTTCCCCTGCTGGATGTCCGGCAAGTGCCCGGACCCGTCCGCGCCCTTCCGCGGCTTCGCCTGCCCGTTACCCCGCTGCAGCGACGCGATTGGCACCAACGTTGGTCCCGCGCCCGCGGGCGAGTACCCCTGCGTCGGACCGCGCTCCTCCGCCCCCGCGAGCTGCTGCCACAGCGCCGCCGCCGCCGCGCTGCCCGGCACGACCGCGCCGTTCTCGACGTTGTGCATCGCCACCGTGTCCAGCGCGCTCTGCCGCGGCGCCGCGCCGAGGCCCATCAGCCCGAGCAGATCGTCGCGCTCGCGCGTCAGCAGCGCGACCTCGCGACTCAGCGCGTACACGCGCTTCTTCAGCCGGTCCATCGCCTCGCCCTCCCCGCCCTTGGCGCCGGCGACCTCCTCCTTCGCCCCCGGCGTGTGCGTCACCGCGGACAGCCGCTCCGCGAGCTCCTCGTTCTCCACGGTCAGCTGCCGCGCGCGCTCCTCCGCGTTCCGCGCCCGCCGGATCGCCTGCCGCGCGGCCCGGATCGCCGCCGACCCAAACAGAGTGTGCGGCGCCAGGTCCCCCATCTCCGCAGCCTCCGCGTTCGACGGGTCCCACGGATCGCCCTCGAAGGCCCCCGCGTGCTGCCGGAGCAGGTTGCGGTACTTGTCCACGTCGCGCTCCACCTGCATCAGCTGCGCGCTCATCCGCTCCACCACCTCGACGTACTTCGCCTCGACCTGTTCTGCGAACTTCTGCGACGCCAGGCCCGGCTGGCGGTCCGGGCGCTCCGGGATCCGTGCGCCGTGCCGCCGCGCGACCTCGTCGCGCTGCGCCTCCGCGTGCGCCTTGGCGTCGGACAACGCCGCGAGCTGCTTCTGGGCCTGAATGAGCTGCTGCCGCGCGGGGCGGAGCTCGTCGAGCTCGGCGGACATCGCCGCGCGCTTCTCGTCGGCCTCGGCGAGCATCGCGAGCGTCGCCGCGTTCTGCCGCGCCATGGACGTCATTTCCGACGACATCATCACCGCCGCCTCCACGGCCTCCTGCAGCCGGTCCCCGAGCGTCGGCGGCTTCACCTTGCCGCTCTTCCCGCGCGGCTGCGCGTCGAGCTGCGACCCAACGAGGTTCTCGAGCGTCAGCGTCGCCTCCTCGATCACGTGCTGCGTCGCCAGGACCTTGTCCGCCTGACTCAGGTGCGACCCCTGCTCGCGGAGCGTCGCCTGGGCGCGGGCGAGCTGCCGGCGCAGCTCGTCGCGCTCCGCACGCATCATGCGCACCCATGCCACGACTTCCTGCGGGTCGGCCTCTGCCGCGAAGCCCGTCCCGCCCACCTTGCCAATCTGCGTCACGCGCGCAATGGCAGCGACGCACTCGCGGAGCGTGATCTTGCCCTGCCGCGCGGAGATCTGGGGAAGATCGAGCCCCGGAGGCGTCGCGGGCACCTGCGTGAGGTCGCCGTCGCCGGCAGTCGCGCCCGGCTTGGCGCCGGCGTCGCCGCCGACAGTCGCGACGACCTTCGCGCGCTCGACCTGGAGCTTGAGCGTGTCGTTCTCCTCGGTCAGCTTCTCGACCTGCTTCTTCAGCCGCGTGTTCTCCTCGGCGACCTTGCCCGCCCGGAACTCTCTCAACTGGTTCTGCAGCACCTCGATCATCTTCTGGTATTTCCGGACGTTTCCGGTGGCCTGCTGCCCCTGGGAGAGCTCGTTCACGCGAATGGTGTTCGTGATGTTGGCTGCGCGCGCCGCGAACTTGAGCGTCATCGACGTCTCCTCGCAGTGGTTCATGGAGGTGTCGATGCACGCCACCACCGCCGTGCGCGCGTTGCCGCCGAGCGACGGCTGCAGGATGCGCGTGAGCTTCGAGTTGCGGTACGGAATGAAGTCCTTCGACTTGCCCTCGCTCAGCTTGCTGATCACGTTGCCCAGCATCAACAACGACAGGTTGATGTTGCTCGCCTCCTCCGCCCGCTTCCCCTGCGCCCCGGACTTGGCGAGCCGCTCCGACCCGGCCAGGTCCACGAAGTTCAGGCTCGAGACCCTCACGGGGGACTGGCCGTCGCGGATCTCGAGCGTCAGGCGCGTCAGGACGTGCGAGCGCGACGACTTGTCGTTCATGCGCGTCTGCCCGACGACGCGCCGGGACATGCCCTTGGCGAGCAGCGTCGTCATGCGCATCGGGGACTCCACGGTCTCCTCGATCAGGCCCTGGATGCGGATCCCGAAGAGCGGGTCCTCGACAATCTTCAGTTCCCGTTTCTTCTCCTCTCCAAAGGTGTGGACCGGCTTCGGCGCGAGCAGGTCGTTGATCTCCTCGTTGTAGATCTCGAGGATGCCCATCCTCACGCTCACCACCTTGCCCGCGCGCTCCTCCTGCTGGACCTGCATGAAGAGGTCCTCCGCCGCGATCGGGACCACCCCGGGGGCGTTCGACGTCCCGACAATGGTGTACGTCTTCCCGGAGCCCGTCTGGCCGTACGCGAACAGCGTGCCGTTGATGCCCGCGATCGCCCCGGCCACCACGTGCTTCAGCGCCCCGTTGTACAGGTGGTGCGTGTTGTGCTCGGGCGTGAACACCCCATGCTCAAACACGTAGCGCGCGCCGATGTTCGCCGCGCCGCCGTAGAACGCCGCCTGGTGCTTCAGCGCCACCGTGCCGTCCTGGATCAGCCGGATCTCGCGCCCGTTCTGCCCCGTGATGTCCCACGCCGCCCGCATCCGCCGCCCCTTGGCCGCGTGCATCGGCCGCGCGCGCACCACCACCACCACGCGCTCGCTCTTGCCGACCTGCGGCGGACTGCCCTCGTTCGCGCCGATCTCGTCCTCCGCCATCCGCGCGTAGTCCGCGTCCGTGTAGTCGTCCTCCGGCGGCGCGTCTTCCGCGGCCTCCGTCGTCGAAGACCCCCCCCTGACACCGGCGTCCACCTCGCTCTGCTGCGACGCCAGGGCCGCCGCGGGCACGCCCGAGCTGCTCCTCCGCCGCCTCGACGTCGTTTGCAACGCGGCCTTCGAGGCATCGCCCCCGAGCCGCGACGGCGCGCGGTTGCCGCGCACCGAGTCGCCCGCCGTCGGCGACAGGTCCTGGCGCGACGACGTCGCCGAGGACACCCGCGACACCGACGGCTTCCACGCGCCGCTCTTGACGGCCTCCAGCCCGTCACGCGAGAACGGGTGCTTCCGGTGCGTCAGCTCCAGCCGCCGTCGCCTGCAACACCACAGCACAGAAAGCCGCGCGAGTTGCCGGACCGGCACGACGGCGCCCCGCACGGCCGCGCACGAGCCCCTCAGCGCACGCGTCGCCCGCACCTGAGCAGTTCGAAGAAGAAGGGGTCGAGGGGGTGTTCCGTCTGACGCTCCCCCGCGTCCTTGTTCTCAAACACCGTCTCCCCGTCCGCGTCGGTGACCTCGCGCCACCCGGGCGGCATCGGCGCGTTGATGGCCATCTTCACGACCTCGAGCACGTACGGGTCCTCCCCCGGGTCCACCTCCATGTACTGCCCCATCGCCTGCATCTCCTCGTCGTTGGGCGGGGAAATGTCCTGGTCGTGCTGGAGCTGCCGCCAGCCCCCGCGCTCCATGAACACGGCGCCGCGGTAAAAGTCCAGCAGCGGGTGCTCCCAGACGGACTCGGAGGCGCCTGTCCGGCAGTAGAAGTGCCGCCCCGACTCCGCGTGGAGGTACATCGACCACCCCTGGGGCAGGTTCTCCTCCCGCACCATGTCCTGCGGGGCGAGCGGGGTGACGAGGGGGTGCTGAGCGGGCGAGCGAGGGAGGGCTGCTGGCGGGCCCGTGGGTGAGGCGTGGGCGGTGCGGCGTGGTTGTGAGCTGCCGGGAGGTGAGAGGGCGTGGACGGGCCGGACGCGGCGTGTGGAGTCGGTAGCGAGCAGGTGAAGGCGTGGGGGTGCCCGGGCGAGCACGTCGCGCGTCCGCGGCGACGCGCTGCTCCGGATCTCAGCAGCGGTCTCGTGGCCCGCGGGGCTGCGGCGCGGGCGGGCGCGCGCGGCCAGCACACCCGAGTCGACTCAGACGACCGGTCGCAAGATGGCGGGCCGGTCGGCACCGAAATCCAACGCGCGCTGCGTGGGCGCGCGGCCGGCCATGGCGCCAGCCACGGGACCGAGCAACGCACTCGGCCGGATGCGCGAACGAGGCCATCTGGCGTCCGAGCTCGCGCAGAAAGATCTACGCAGCCACGCGGTCGCACGGGGCGCGCGGACGTCGCGTCTCGGGCCCCACAACGCCCGGACAGCGTGCACTCGGCAGCAACACCAGGAGCATGGAGGGCGCTTTTCCGGCCCCAGCCACGCGTCCTGGGGCACAAAGACGGCCCCCAGTTACTCAGGAAACTTTGAGGACCGTGATTGGGTCGCACCTGGGCCACCCAGACCAGGTCCGAGTCCCTGTCGGGGTCCAACCCAAGCTCGGTGCATGCTGCGATCTCCTGCGCGGAGAGCTGCTGCGACGCAGCCATCTCGCAGCCCGCTCCCGTGCCCCTCCTCTCCTAAGGCTCGCCCACGCGCGCTGTCAGCCGGCCGGCGTGCCGCGGATGCGCGGGGGCGCGCAGCAGCGCTGGCGCTTGCGCTCGTCGCGCGTGCGGGCGCGCTGGGCGCGACACGGCCAGCCAGAGGCCCGTCTGCGCCCGCGGCGCGGCGCTGCTGCACGCGTAGCAGCCGCGCAGACGCCCCCGGGCCCTGCCTAGGCTACGCCGGCGCCCGCGGGCCTGTGCTCAACCCAGCGCAACACACAGCTGCGGTGCCGCAGACGGGGCTCCGATGCCCTTGGCGCTCGGCCTCGGAGTCGCTAGCAAAGATACGAGCAATCTGGCGCGGTCTGGTGGTCGCGGCGGCGCCCCTATTGCGCGTGGCGGGCCTCACGACCGTTGCACGACGGCCCTACAACGCGTTTCGTGCGCCATGCTGGCCTCACGCGGCCTGATGTGTTACTTTCTCGAATGTATGGGTCCAGGCGTGCGCCAGTGGGCGCCGCGCGCGACGGTTCCGGCCCCTGAGCCCCCGTGCGGGCGCCAGGTGCACCATGGGACTGTGTGCGGGGGGGTACGTCGCGTGGCGGGGGGGTGCGGGGGGCCGAGGGCGGCGGGCGGGGCGACGAGGGGGGCGCGCATGTCGCTGGCGGGGCAGTCAGGCGACGGACGTGCGGACCGCGACTCTTTGAACCGACGACGCGTGTGAGCAAACCGGTGTGCTGGGCGTGAGAGGGGTCGAGGCTGGGCGGTTCCTAAGTTGGGGTTTCGACGCGCAGGGTGGTTCATGATCGAGACATCGAGGCTGCGGGCTGAATGCTGGCGCGCGGCGCCCTGACGACGCGCTGCGCGCGGAGGCCTGGACTCTAGAGATGACTGCGGGCGACGGGGGGGCGCACGGGGCCTGCGGGGACCTGGGCGCCCTCAAGCCGGTCGTGCGGAGCGTGTTCGAGGGGCGCGACGAGGGCGCGTCCCTTTCTAGGAAGAAACTGGCGAAGCAGGTGGGAAAGAAAGCCAGGGATGCAGGGATCGCGCCTGCCGTCGAAGACAGAGACAAGTAAGCGCCACATTGTGCCCTGACGCGTTGCTGCCGCACCGGAGACGGCTCTGCTTTGGCCGAAAATGGCGGAAGATCGCGTGTTGCGCAGCTGTACCGTGGGGGCGGGCTGTGGTGCGGCCCGCCGTCGCGCGAGACGGCCCTAAGGCGGCGTTCGCCCGGCGTGCCGCGCGCACAGGTTCACCAAGGAACTGAGGCGGATCCTGGCGGACGCGTCTGCGCTGAAGAAGCTCGGTCTGCGAGATGCTGGTGACGACGCGGTGGCGCTCAGGAAGAAGGGGGACAAGAAACGGGCGCGGGAGGAGAAGGCGGCGGACGGCGGGGCGGAGGAGAAGCAGAAGCGCTCGAAGCGGCAGAAGCGGGAGAAGGTCAAGGTGGTGAAGGATGCAGACGAGTACGTGTTGCCGAAAGTGGACCCGACGAAGATATACAGGTGCACCCCGGCGCGCCATACACCGTGTCGTATTTCAAAGCTCGGGCTGCCGCGCCGAGCGCTGCGTCCTGCGGCCCCAGCGGCCTCCACCGTGGCCTGCAGAATTTCGTTCTCCCCAACTGCCCCGCGCGCAGCATGACGGAGGACGAGATCGAGTCCGCGGTGCGCACGGCGATCCACGCGGTAGACGCCCGCTTCAAGGGCCTCGGGAGCCGCCGCAGCAGCGGAGAAAACCTGTGGAAGGTGCAGGACCAGCGCGACGACTTCAAGACGGGGCCGTACTCGCAGCAGGAGAAGGACATCCTCCGCCTCGCGGTCAAGACGTTCGCGCAGGTCCGCGGGCTCAGCGCGACGGACCCGGCCCCGTGGCTCACGCGCTCCCAGAAGTACCCCGAGGCGCGGTGCTGCCACCACGTCTTCCACGAGGTACTGCCGCACCGCCGCCTGCGGTCGCTGCGGGAGGCCGCGATCCGGATGTTCCACCCGGACAACAACGCGGGCGCGTGGAGCGTCGAGGACGACCGGCGCCTGCTGCAGTTGGTGCGCGAACACGGGCGCCGCTGGAACATGATCGGCGGGCTGCTGGGGCGGTTCCACGCGTCGTGCAAGGACCGCTTCAAGGAGCTCAAGCCCGTCGCGGACACGCCGATCGATGAAGCGCTCGAGGTGCGGCCCTGCGCGGGACGATGTGCGCGTGGTGCTGCGGGGGGGTGTTCGCGCGGGTCTGAGCGCGCGCGCCTGGCGTGCTCGCAGGACGAGGATCCGAAGCAGGGGATGAACAAGGAGAGGTTCAGCGAGGAGGAGATCGAGGCGCTGCGGAGGATCTTGCGGGAGCTGGTGGGCGAGGACGTAGACGTGCCCAAGGTCAGCTGGTCGGCCGTCAGCGACGCGATGGTGCGCGAGGGACACCTCAGGTGCGTCGAGCGACTCAGCACGCGCGCGGAGCGCAGAAGAGAGGCTCGCGCGCCCAGCGCGAGAGCTTCGGGCCCTACGGTGCACTTGGAAGTCGAGTTTCCTTGAGTGCCGAATCGGGAACTTCTCCTCTTACTCTCGTCGCGTCCGGCCGCTCGCAGGAACGCGCGGCAGTGTCAGCGGTTCTACGACTACCACCTGGAGCAGTCGCTGAAGGCGGCGGGCAAGTGGGGGGCGGGGCAGGACGACGCGCTGTTGGACTTTCTGGTGCGCGGCGTGACGAAGAAGGGCTGGCTGTTCGAGTACCAGGTGCCGTGGGACAAGGCGGTGCGGGGGCGGAGCGCGGAGGTGTGCAAGCGGCGGTGGCTCGGCATGAAGCGGGCGATCAAGGGGGGAGTGTCCATGGAGCTGGGAGAGGTGGTCCGGACGCTGGAGCAGCTGAGGGAGCACAAGCGGCGGAAGAAGGAGAGGGCGGAGGGCGGGGGAAAGTCTGGCGAGCAGGAGGGGGCGGGGAGTGATGTCGAGGAGTGAAAGGTGCAGGGGGGTGTGTCGTGGTGGCGAGGGGGGTGTCGTGGTGACGGGGCGCTGAAAGGAAGTGAAAGGGTCGACGAAGAGTTCGTTTACAGCATGCATGTGACGCGCACCGCGACGTTGTCTCGGGCTGTCGAGGATGTGTTCTTCCTGGCCAGCTGCGCTGCGGCGCAGCTGGTCTCTCTCGCGCCCCCGCCGCAATGTCGCCGCCAGCGTCAGTCCAGGTTCGCTAGGACCTGGTCTACGGGCAGGAAGATCTCCCATGCGTCCGGAATCGCCTGGCTGATGTACTCGTCGCGAATGCGCACAGGGTCCTGGTACTCGTCCAGGTACTCTGCGAGCCTGTCCCGGACCGGAGTCTCCCCCTGCTCGAGTCAACGGGGCCGCAAGCCGCCACGCAGATCGGTTGCACGCGAGCAGCGAACACCAGCCCTCGCAAGCTGGAGTGGTTTGCTTGCGAGCTCTTGGGCTTCAGGGGCTCACCCTCGCGATGCGGATGGGGTCCGTGAGTTGCGGCAGCGGGGGCGAGAATGCGAAGGGGCCTGCGTCGCAGCGGCGGCGCGGGGCTAGATGTTGTGTGCGAAAGTGTAACCAGGCAATGCTCGGCTCAATGGGGGGGCGGCATCCACCGACGTGGGCTTTCTCGGGACCCACCGTTGCCCCAGGAGATTGCCTGGGTCGGCAGCCACTTTTGCAGGTTACCGACGTTCAGGAAGCGCTGCTGCAGCTTGCGCCCTCCGCTGTGTGGAGAAGGCGGCAGGGCGACATCTGCGCGGACGGCACGACTCGAAGCCTGTCAGACAAAGCGAGAAGGTACAGGGGAGCCACAACATAGCCTTGTCGGGGCTGAAACGAGCGATCCAAACGAGCTGCGCGATGGATGGTAGCTGTTGCTTTTGCTCCACAGCGCCGCGCGAGGAGAGGCGACGCGGACTCGCCAGCGGGGTTCTCGAGACTGTCAGGTCCGACGTGCGAGCTGAGCGCGACGGAGAAGCACATCGCGAGCACGGCGACCGTCAGAACGACGCTCTTCCTGGTCATTTTTGTTTGATTGGAGAAAAAACCAAACGACAAATGCCGATCGCAAAGTGCACCGTGCACAAAGTCCTCCTCGAGACTGTTGCATTCCAGCACGCCCGCTACAACACCAGCCAGGCACGTAGCTGCGCCGTCCGACTCCCGCGGCCGCAGCGGCGCCCGCCATGTGTGGTCACCGTGCAGCTAACTGGCACGCGCACGCATCACAGGTGGTCCGCGCGTTCACCCTCCTTGTCTTCACGCGCTCGCTTTTCGCCGCTTCTTCGGCTTTTCGCCGCCCGCAGCCCCGCCGGCCAGGTCCAGCCGCGCGCGCTTCGCCGCCAGCGCCCCGACGCCGCCGCGCACCTCCCTCCCCGCCTGGTCCCGCGCCGCCTCCATCTCCTCCTCCTCGCCGCGGTCCTGTGCCCTCTCGAGCACCAAATGGCGCCCGTACAGGTGCGTTCCGGCCAGCGACTGCAGCGCGGCCGTCGCCTCCTGCTTTGTCGAAAACTCCACAAACGCGAAGCCCCGGTGCCCGCCGTCGAACTTCCGCGGCAGCCGGAGGTCCTTCACGGTCCCGAGCGCCGACAGCAGCCCCAGGAGGTCCTTCTTCGTCGCCTGGAACGCCACGTTGCGCACCACCAGCTTGGTCTGACTCAGCCCCTCTTCTACCGCGTTAGACCCCCCGGGCTCCTTCCTCTGCCCGCGGCTCAGCGCCAGCACGAGCTTGTGGCCGTCCAGCGGGTGGCCCTGCAGCTGCCGCACCAGCGCCTTGGCCGCGTCCGCCGTCGCGCACTCGACGAATCCGAACCCCTTGGACAACACCCCCCGCTCCTTGTCCTTGCGCTTCGCGATCGTGGCGCCGCGCAGGGCCTCCTTCGGCAGCCCGAGCTGCTTCACCGCCTTCCGGAAGTGCCGCTCGAACGCCTGGTCCGTCGTCGCGAACGACACGTTCTTGACGTACACGCTCGTCATGGCGCCGCCCGCGTCGCCGTCGACCCCGGCCTCCATCGCGGCGTCGACGCGCGCCGCGCCCTTCGCGCCCTGCGCCTTGGCCTTGGCGCCCACGTCGCCCGCCTGCGCCGGCCGCGTGAACACCCCCCTGGGGGCCCATTCGAGGTACAGCGGCACGTGGTGCAGGCGCTTGTACGCCAGGGCCTTGAACGCCCTGCGCGCGTCCTGCGCGACCTCGTACTCGACGATCGCGAGCGTGCGCGTCTCCGGGAGCACGAGGCGCGCGAGGGGCCCGTGCGCGCCGAACACCCCCTCCAACTCCCCCGCGTCGCAGTCGTACGGCAGGTTCTTCACCAGGAGCGCCGCGGGCTCCCGCGCGACCTGCTTCCGGGTCCCCGCGGACCCCGACGCCGCCGCGGCGCGCTCCAGCGCGCCCGGGTCGCACCCGGCCGCCTCGAGCGCGCGCTTGGTCTGCGCGATGACCCACGTCTCGCCGAGCGCCAGCCGCACGGGGAGGTCCGCGGCGTTGTGCGCGTCGTACAGCTCGGCCTTCGTCACGCCGTAGTGCGCCGCGATCGCCTCCGCGACCGTGTCCTGCCGCATGAACAGCGCGTTCCACGACCGCGCGTTGCCCGCATCGCTCTTCTTTTGCTCCTCGCGCTTCTGTTTGAACGTCGCGGCCTCGTCCTTCTTGCCCGTCGGCTCCGGAGCCGGCGGCGGCTTCCGCGCCGGCAGGACGTGCAGGAGGCGGCCCTGGAAGATCGCGCCGTCGAGGGCCTGCATGGCGGCGACGGCCTCGGCGGGCTCCGCGAAGGACACGTACGCGAAGCCCTTGCTCTTCCGCGTGGCCTTGTCGAGGCAGAGATGGCACTCGGTGACCGTGCCGTGCGCCGCGAACGCCTCGATGAGCTCCTCCTCGGTCGCGGCGTACGGCAGGTTGCGCACAAACACGCGCCCCGTCTGACTGACGTCAGCCTGCTCGTCCGCGTCCACCGCGTCCGCCGGCTCGCCCGCATCCTCCTGACCGCCTCCGAAGAGCGCCTTGGTCGCCCGCTCCGCCTCGAGGTCCTCCTCGTCGTCACTCCCCCCCCCCTGACTCGCTCCCTCCGCCTCACCGTCCGTACCGGCGTCCTCCGCCGCCCACGCGTCGCCGCCGCCGCCTTCGTCCTCATCGAAGTTCTTCGTGCGCGCCTTCAAGTAGTCCAGGTCAGACATGGCCGCCGCGCCAGTACCGCCTTTAGACCCCCCCGCCACGCCCGCCTCCGTCCCCTCCGAGTCCGTCTCCTCCGCGTCCCCGCCGGCCAGGTCCTGGTACTCCCCGTCGTCGTCGCTGCCGTCGTCGTCGAACGCCGGCCGCTCCGCCCCCCTGCCCCCCTCCTTTGCAGGCTCCGGCACACCCGCGATCGCGTCATCGTTGCTCCAGATCTTCGCCTTGCTGCGCGGCGCCATCACGGCCATGAACTCCTGCAGCTTCGGGTCGCTCGCGATCGCGCGCCGCATCTCGTCCACCACCGTGTCGGCCGGTTTCTTGTCCTTGTCCTTTTGGCCGCCGCCGGCGCCCGCACCGGCGGCCTCCTCGTCCGCGTGGAGCTTCTTGAACGCGGACGACCCCTTCGAGTACTTCGACCACGCGCGCGGCAGCTGCTCATCCCCCGCCTGCACCCACAGCGTCGCACATCGCACATACGTACACAGGTTGGACACGGACGGCTCGCGCGCTGCGCTGCGCGGGGCGAGCGCCACGCAGGGCGGGGGCACTGCGCACCTTGTACGCGAAGTCGACCTTCATGCGGGAGGTGTCGAGGAACGAGTTGTGGAAGAACTTTCGCGCGCGTGTTGCCTCCGCCGCGGTCTTGAATCCCACGAACGCCATCTGGCGGGACCGCCCGTCCTTGGTGCGGAGGATCTTGCAGTCCGTCACCTGCGAGGACCGCGCGGGCGTGTCGCGGGAAGCGGTGAGATGGGGGAGAGCAACTAGCTGGTGTTGCGACTGACGGGGGCTGGCGTGCCCGCGGTGAGAACTCTCTGGCGCTGGAAAGGGGAGAGACGCATTGAGAATGCCCGGGGCGGTGAGATGGATGCCGCTGCGGCGTGGTGAGCTGCGGAAAAGCCCGCACGGCTGGGGCCGGAGCGCGCTTGCTTCTCGCGACGAGGACGCGTCGCACCTCCCCCTTTGCCGCGAAGTGCTCGCGGAGACGCTTGTCCTCGACGTGCTTCGGGATGTTCTTCACGCACAGCCGCGACGAAGCCGCGTCATCGCCCGGCGGGGGCGTCGGCCCAGCCGCCGTGCCCGCCGCTGCAGCCTGGGCCCGGGCCATGGCTGGGCCGCGGACCGCGCCTGCCACTGCGACGCCCGGACAGCACCTAGCTCGCTGTGCAAGGGCGCGTGCCGAAGCGCCGATCTACCGCCTTGACGGGTTCGTGATCGCGTGTGAAACAAGGACACGGCGGAACCGACGCCTGGCGCCTGGTTGTGAGGAATTTTCAACGTTCCTCTGAAGGATCGATGGCTCGCGTGCCTGGGTGTGCCAGCGGCGCCGTGTATGCCCGGACATGAGGCCAGAAACGGCCCAGCGGGCACCCCAGACAGCCGCGGCGACTCCTACTAGCCCGACTGCCCGCCAGGCCCCCGCTGGGGCTCGGCACCGCAAGGTTCCGGCGCGAAGGAACGGCCCATCACTTCCCCGAATGGTTTATCTGCAACAGCAGCCTCTCATTGTCTCGACTTGGGCCAACACGCGCGTTGCATTGCTGCGGAAGGCATCGCCAGTCCACAATTCCGCGCCGAGGCATTATTTCGGCCAGTTCTCACTCGAGGTAGATTGTACATATCCGTGTCGCCCTCGGACACGCAGTCTCAGCGCAGGACGTCGCATCGCACGGACGCAACGCCGCACGGGCCCTGCCAGGAGCCTCCGGCGCTCTCTCTCCGGGTGGAGAACGTGCGCTACCCGGACATTGGCAGACTCTGCATCAGTGATCCTAGCTCCGGGCTCTGAGATAGCTCCGTCGCGAGGGGGTAGCTCGGCGCGCGCAGCCGCCGACCCTGCTGCTGTTTGCGTCATCTGGTCGGAGCTGGCGGTGCGGTGAGGAGCGATGGGCAGGGCGAAGAAGACGAGGAAGTTCGCCGAGGTCAAGCGCCTGCTGAACCCCAAGGACCTTCCCTCCAACAAGGCGGCGCAAAAAAAGGTGCGCTGCTCAGGGGTAGCTGTCCGTCTAGCCCAGGAGACGTGGCCGGTCGTGCTGCTGTGCTCGCTGCGGGCAGGCAATTTCGGCGAGGACGCGCGCGGCACACTCTCAGCAGCTGCCTGCAACACACTTCCCGGCCTTCAACGCACGTTTGTTTTTGTACTTCTTTGTTTGCACTTCTAGCAACTTGCCGGTGGCTGCAAGTTGTTGCTGCCGCTGCGTGCATCGCGTCACCTGCAGCTACACTGGTGGTTGTGCTCGCCAGCGACGCTCGCGTGCGCTACGTGACGCGCGAGCGGCTTTGGTGGGTTGTTCCGCTGATGGAGCTGCGGGCGACGTCGCTGGCAGCTCGCCACCGGTGAACGCGGCTTGGAACTCGCGTTTCGCGTGGCGCTTCCGCACCGTTTGTCTCGACCCCCGGCACGTTTCGCAACCCCTCGCCAACCCACGCAGCCCCCACGTCCGGCGTGCCCGCCCCGCAGAAGCAGGAGAAGCAGGGCAAGGACGACGTGCGGCACGTGGAGAAGTACTCGAGCGCGCTCTTCCTCAAGTACAACACCGCGCTGGGTCCGCCGTACCAGGTCCTTGTGGACACGAACTTCATCAACTTTTCCATCCGCAACAAAATCGACCTCGTGCAGGGCATGATGGAGTGCCTCTACGCCAAGTGCATCCCCTGCATCACCGACTGCGTCATGGCCGAGCTGGAAAAACTCGGCGTCAAGTACAGGTGCGCCATAGAAGTGCAGGCGCACTCAGCCCTATTCGCCCGCACACGCGCGGCCGCCTCCCGCCACGCTTCCGCGCGCGCCAACAGAGTGTGATGGGCTTGCGTCCGCGCAGGGTGGCGCTGAAGATCGCGAAGGACCCGCGCTTCGAGCGCATCCCATGCACGCACAAGGGAACGTACGCGGACGACTGCCTGGTGGACCGCGTGCGGCAGCACAAGTGCTACATCGTGGCCACGTGCGACAAGGACCTCAGGCGGCGGATCCGAAAGGTCCCGGGTGTGCCGGTGATGTACATCAAGAGCCACAAGTACTCGATCGAACGCCTCCCGGAGGCAACCATCGGCGGGGCGCCGCGGACGTAGCGGCGTGCGGGTGTGTGAGAGCGGGGGAGAGTGCGGGCGTGGTCGCAGCGTGCGGCCGTGCGTGTTTGCGTGCCGCGGTTCGGACGTGTGTGTGAGTTGCGCTGCGTTGCGGTTGGGGTGCTGAGGGGGGTGCTTGGACGCTGTCGGGTGTCCAGGCGGCTGACGGGTTGGCTGGAGCGAGGACGGAGTGGCGGGCGGGCGATGATTTCGCAGGCCGGCGTCGCTGGAGGCGTGCGCCAACGGCATGTGAGTTCCGCCCGCTGTCTGCACGGGATGCCCGCCGGCGCGTTTATGTGATCCGGCGGAGGGAGTCTCCGCGATAGAAGCGATGCGTTCTGGTCCCTTTCGCGGGCCTCGAAGCGCTGCGCGCACGGCAAAGCACAGCGCCACCGGCGTTGGCGTGTGCGCGTCGACGGCCAAGGTGGGCGGAGAAAGCGACACGAGAGCGATCAGCGCGGCCGTCAACATTTCGGCAAGCGCGCCTGTGGCGCGGAACACTCGCCGGTCCCGACAATATTCGCGAAAAGCAAAAGTGGGGGCTTCAATCAATGAGAACAAGGACTTTTTTTCTCGTCCCCGAGACGGCTTTGAGTCACAGCCGCGCGGCGCGAACTCCCTTTGGCGGTCTCTCCGGAGCATCTCGAGCACGGCTTTGAACTCGTTGTGGGCTGCGACCCCCTCACGACGCGGTGCGGCGAGTTGCTGTGCCCCTGAAGAAGGCTTGCCCCGGCGTTGGCGGCTTGCCCGCGCTCGAAGGAGGATGCCAGTCACAAATTCGCGTCCGTCCAGACGTGGGTCGCCCTGTGCCGCATGTCGCACCTTTTCACTACCTGGTAATGCTCCGTATAAAAAACGTTCTTGGATGTGGATGGCAGCGTCAGGCTTCGACCGTGAACGTGAACGTCGGCATCCGCCCCCGAGCCTCGCAGGCCGACGTCGCAAGCGCAGGGGAGCACCGAGTTGCCGTCCGACCCGCCCGCGACCCGCAACTCCCCGCAACTCGCGTTCTGCCCAATCAGTGCCTCGCCACACGAACACGCCTGCTCAATGATGCGTCGCGGTGCGCCCCACGCCGCCCGCCGCGACCACGACTCCGACGACATCGCACACACGCACATCGTCACCGAACGGAAGGTCACACGCGCAGCGCAACACACGCTGCAGGGCGGCACAGCACCCCTCACACACACCTCCCAAGGGCCCCTCCACCTGCCTCCCGGCGCCGCGACCACGCAGCCGCAGACTCGCAGCGCCGGGACCGGGCATGCGCTTGAACACCAGCCCCGCGGCTGCTCCTCGCGAGGCGTAAAAAATCGAATCGGGGCCATACACAGCACCGCCACGTGCGTCAGCAGTCAGAGCGCCTCGATGCCCTTCGTGCGCTCGATGAAGTCGCGGATCACCTCCCGCGCCGCCTCGGGCGTCCCAGCCTTCTCCAGTTCCGCACCGACCTCGCCGAGCTTTCCGCCCGCGCCCCATCGCATCATCGTCGGCAGCCCCGTCACGCGCAGGTCCGGGTCCATGCGCAGCGGGTGCTTGGGGTTCCGCCACGTGTCGCGGTCCCCGACGAAGACGAGCAGCAGCGTGCCGCCCGCGCCGACGACCTCCTCCTCGGCCGCGTGGAGAGAGCGTGCACAGTCCGGACACCACGGCTGGCCCGAGGCGGGGTCGATGTCGGCCGAGAAGTACACTGCGGGGGCGTGTTCCGCGTTGGGGATGGCGTGTCGATGGCGTTCGGGCGGTGCGCGGGCGGCGCGGACGGGGCGGAGCGCGGGCGCAGGGTGCGGCGGTGGCGCGCTGGGCGGGCGCACCGTACTGCGGGGCCTGGGATTTGGAGAGCGCCTTGAGGGCTTCCGCGTGCTGGTCGAGGTTCGCGCGGAGCACGAGGGCCGCTTTGGGGACGCTGGCGGGGGCGCGCGTGGATCTGCGGGCGCACACACACGGCGAGGTAGGACGCTCCGTCGCGGGGCTCGCGCGGCCTTTCCGGACCGGAATCGATCCGCCGCGTCTCGTCCCTGCAGTCATTGAGCGAAGCGAAGGGCCGAGCGACGCACCTGAGCCGCAGGGCGCCCACTCCGAGCGCGGCAACCACCACCAGCGCCAACAGCTTCGTGCGCGACAGCCTGCGACCCATTTCGCCCACCGCACCACGCACGCGACTGCAGCCGCGCCGTCCACCGCAGACACGTATCCCGCCCGCGGCCCGCCCGGCTACACCCCCCCCTAGCCCGACAACTCGTGCCGTAGGGTACGAGCAGTGTGTCACCGCGCGCCCTCAACGGCCGCGCTCGCGCCGCCGCTCGCCCAGTACTCGCGGATCGACGATCGCCTCGCTCCCCTCGACGCCGAATCCTCGTCCGCCGCCGCGCCTCGTCGTCTCGAGCGCCCGCACCAGCGCGCCCGTAGCATGCAGGTCCTGTCCGCCGCCGCGTCGCGCACCGCCCGGGCCCCCGGCGCCGCCGCCCTCCGCGCCCAGCCCCCGCGCACCGCCCGCGCGTCCCGCTCCCAGCGCGCCCCCCTCGTCGTCCGCGCCATGAAGACAGAGACCGGCCCGCGCGTTGCCATTGTCGGCGTCTCCGGCGCCGTCGGGATGGAATTCCTCAAGGTGCTCAAGCAGAGGGACTTCCCCTACCGCGGCATGAAGATGCTCGCCTCCAAGCGCTCCGCCGGCAAGGAGGTGCGCGCCCCCACCGCCTCCTAGCCCACGGTGGTTGTCCTGCCCCGCGCCTTCCCCCGCGCCCGCGCGCCGCGCGCCGCCGTTCCGCCCTGGTGCGGCCGCGTGCGGCGAGGGCAGGTCCCACCGCGCCGCGTGCGCCGGCGTTTGCGTCGAACCGCGCCGACCTTCGCCGGTAATCGCCGCCCGCCGCCTCATGGTGAGGGCACCGCCTCGGTGGCGTGCAGGTGAAGTTCGATGGCGACACGTACGTGATCGAGGAGCTCACGGAGGCGTCGTTCGACGACGTGGACATCGCTCTGTTCTCCGCCGGTGGCTCGATCTCCAAGAAGTTCGGCCCCCTCGCTGCGGAGAAGGGCGTCGTCGTCGTGGACAACAGCTCGGCTTTCAGGTGCGTCGCGGGCGCAGCGCGCGGCGCCACGTGCGCGGGCGCCCGGCCTGCTCGGTCCGCTAGCTGGTGTGCGAGGTGCTGGGATCGCAGGATGGGAGCGCCGTGCGCGTGCGGGGCCCCGCGGCGCCGTTGTGGCACAGCGGGGCTGCTCTGTCGTGCTTTGTGGCGCTGATGGCGCGGTTGCCGCGGATCCGACGTGGTCTGGGCGAATTTCACTGGATATGCATGCGTGTGGTCCGCATGGTTACACTCGGGGCTCCGTGTGCCGCCTGCGAGGGCCACTCGGGCAGCGAGCAGCACCGCGTGCCCACGTCCGCGCCGCCACGCGCCCCCCGCGTCCGCAGGATGACCGAGGGCGTCCCGCTGGTGATCCCCGAGATCAACCCGGACCACATGGCCCACATCAAGCTCGGCTCGGGCAAGGGCGCCATCATCGCCAACCCCAACTGCTCCACCATCATCGCCCTCATGGCCGTCACGCCCCTCCACCGGTGCGAACACGCCACAGTCAAGCCCGCGCGGTCGCTCCCGCGCCGTCGCGTCCGCGCCGCGTGTCGCCCGCGCGCATCACACACACACGCAAACCCGGGCGCTGACGGCTCCGTCCGCGCCGCCCCCGCGCCGCAGGCACAAGGCTGTGAAGCGCATGGTCGCGTCGACGTACCAGGCGGCGTCGGGCGCGGGCCAGGCCGCGATGGAGGAGCTGGTGCAGCAGACGCGCGAGGTGCTCGACGGCAAGCCCGTGACGCAGGAGATCTTCCCGTTCCAGTACGCGTTCAACTGCTTCTCGCACAACTCGCCGCTGGACGTCGAGCTCGGGTACAACGAGGAGGAGATGAAGCTGACCAAGGAGACGGCCAAGATTTGGGCAGATGACAAGCCGCGCATTTCGGGGATGTGCATCCGCGTGCCCGTGATGCGCGCGCACGCCGAGTCGATCAACCTCGAGTTCTACGAGGACTTCGACTGGCAGGAGGCCAAGGACGTCCTCTCCAAGTGCGGACCCGCGCCCATGCAGTGCACTCGCAGCGCCACGTTGTTGTGGCGACCGTGGGGGCGGCGGTGCCGCGCGCGAGCTGCGCGTGCGCATGGGCTGGAGGGCAGCCGTGGGGCGCGTGCCCGCCTCTCACGGGCGATGTCCGTGACCGAACATCGTCATTACAATGGTCTTCTTTGCTGTTGTTGTGCTCTCTGCAGGGCCCCGGGCATCAAGGTGCTGGACGACCGCGCGAACAACCGGTTCCCGATGCCCCTGGACGCCACGGGCGGCGACGAGGTCTGGGTCGGGCGCATCCGCCAGGACATCTCGCAAGAGGGCAAGCGCGGCCTCGACATCTTCATCGCCGGCGACCAGATCCGCAAGGGCGCCGCGCTCAACGCCGTGCAGGTCGCCGAGCTGCTCGTGAAGTAAACCGGCCGCTCCTTAACTTTCCGAACCACCACGGTGTCTGGGAGGCTCGTCCGCACGCACTGCGGAGCAGCCTTGTATGTGCGCTGCGGGCATTCCGCAGCGGCTGTGACCACAAATCAATGACGTGCAGCGGCAGTTCGAGCCCGTACGCGCGCCGTATGGGGGCCTGCGCGGCGCGTGTCGACTGGCTCGTCGTTTCACATCGCGACTGTGAGCTGCCGGATTTCGTACATGATCGTGGGCACTGCGACGGCGTTGTTCGCAACTGCCTCTCCGTCCGGACCGAGCGACCGCGCCTGCACGCAACATGGGAGCGACGCCGCGGTCATGCACTGCGCAGGTCGGGCCGCACGTGGCCCTGACGTCTGCAGCAATGACGTCGCGCTGCTTCATCGCAAGAGCCAACTCAACGCGTTCACCGTCCGCCCAGAAACAGACCAGCGGAGCCACGAAAGGTCATGCCAGGCAGCTGCTTGCAGGCAGTCAGACAGGCAATGGAACAGGGCGGGGGGGGTCACGCACGTGCTCCAGCACCCTGCTGTACACCACCAGCAGCTCCGACACCACTGCCTTCAGCACCGCGTTTCCGCGCACCAGCGACGGGAACCTCCGCAGCGTCTCTTTCCGCACCTCCGCGAGACCCCCCCGCCAACTCCCCCCAAACGCCTCCAACGCCCCCCGCGCCGCCCCAAGCCCCACCGCGCCCCCAGCCTCCGTCCCCGCCTCCGCCACCTCCCGCCCCACCGCCACCAGCGGCCTGAAGTGCTCCTGCAGCGCCCCGTCCCGGAAGGCTGCTGCAGCATCATCCACCTGCTCCTCAAACCACCGCCGCAGCCCCTCCCCGTACGCGCCGAGCCGCCGCGGCCCGCCCCCGCTCGCGCCGGCGTCGTCCACGTCGTGCCGGTCGCCCGCGCCCGCGGCAGACCCGGCCTCGGCCAGAACCACAGATACCAGATCAAGGTTGTTGATTCGGAAGACGAGGGCGTCCTTCCGGGAGGGGTAGCGGCCCTGGATGCGCGCGAGGAGGTCGAGGTACGCGCTCTTCAGCCGGTCGAGGCTCAGCTCGATCTGCTGGTCCTCGTACGCGGCGCTCAACAGGAGCAGCGACGCCGTGAGCTCCGCGTAGCGGCGCGTGACGAAGTGCGGCTGCGGCTCGGCGGTGTGGAGCTGCGCGTCGGGCGCGTCGTACAGCGACGTGACGTGCTCGTCCAGGAGCGCCTTGAGGCGCGGCCACAGCACCATCTCGCAGCGCAGGAAGTGCGCGTCCAGCACGTCGATGCCGCGCTTCTCCATGCGCTGGCCGTGCTCGAACGACACGCGGATCATGATCAGGACGGCCAGCGTGTCGTGGCACGCCGCCAGCCGCGTCTCGAGCCACCGGTGCACTGTTGTCAGGGCCTCCTGGAACAACTCCCTAAACTCCCCCGCCCCCGCGAACATCACGCGGCAGAACGAGAGCTCCGCGGACGCCGTGTCCATCAGCACGCGCTGCACGCTCCGGAAGATGTTCTCGATCGCGTGCGTCGCGCCGCGCGCCTTCTCGACGTGGGGGATCAACGCGGGTGCGTCGAGGTGCCGCAGCACGTCGCCGCGCGAGCCCAGCGTGAAGGCGCCGGGGCGCACGCCGGGGCCGAGCGCGCCGCCGCTCGCCTGCCCGCTGTGCGCGGCGCCGCCGCCGTACGCCCCGGCGCCCAGCCCGCCCGTTGCCGCCGCGCTGCGCCCGCCAAAGAGACCCTCCATGTAGCTGAATACCCCCCCGTGGACACCCCCCCCCGAGGCCTCGGAGCGCACGGATCCGAGAAGGTCGTTGTGCGTGGCGGAGACGGACTCGATCTTGTCCATCCCGGCGAGATACGCCCGGAAGTGTTGCGACAGTGTGCGCCCCACGGTCGACACGTAGAACGACCGCACCTCCGGGAACGCCTCCGCGCCGTGCTGCCGCAGGAACGACACGAGCCCCTGCGGCGGGAACCGAGCGGCCGGGCGGCGGGCCGGGTGAGCCGTGCGCCGTCAATCGAGGACTCCCAATCGGCGTGCGAGAGTTCGGCTCGGATCGGCCGTCCCCAGCGGGGCGCGCAGCGTACCTTGAGCGGCAGCAGCGTCGACTGCTGCAGGATCTGAATGTTCGTCCGCGGCCTCCGCAGCCCCGCGAACCGCGACAGCAGCACCTCGCGCGCCCGCGCTACGGCGCGCGTCCGCAGCCGCTCCAGCTCCGGCTCCACGTCCTGCCGCGCCGCCGCCTCGCGCCCGCGCGCAGTCCGCACGAACGCCAGCTTCGCGTCGAGCTCCTCGAGCGCCGCCGCGAACGTCAGCGGCCCCCCACCGCTGGGCCCTGCAGGCGCCGGGTGCGCTCCGCCGTCCACGTCGCCGCGCATGATGGCCGTGATGAGGTCCGGGGGTACCACGAGGTCGTGCAGGGCGTCCCCGAGCGCGGCGGCGGCTTTCCGGCGGTTGTCCACGCGATGCGTCAGGGAGGAGGACTGATCTTGCAGGGCGCGGATGTTGGTCGAGAGAGCGCCGAGGCCGGTCTGGAACGCCCCGAGCTCGGCCTCCATCTTCGCGAGGACGCCGTCGCACACGCGGATGCGCCGGTGCAGGTCCGCGAGGTTGCCGGCCTGCGTGACGCTTGCAAACGGTATGTTATGTTCGGTGGTCGGACGGCGCGCGTGGGGCGCGTGCGGACGGGCCGAGGCGCCGGTGATTGACTCATCGTGCTGGCGACGAGGGGCAGCTGCGGCGGCGGGTGCCCGCGAGATGGAGGTGATGGTGTGCGCTCAGCTGTTGAAACGGGGGGGGGTTGTGCTGGATGGGGGGGTGTCTGGAGGCTCGCACCTCGCTGATGTAGTCTTCAATGTTCTGGGCTTCGGCGGCGCCTAGTTTCGCGTCCACCTCCGCGGCGAACGTCCCCACGTCGCAGCCCTGCGCCAGCACTGCCTGCAAGATGGGGTGGTCGCGGAACTCCTCGAGGTCCTGCTTGAGACCTGCAGCCGCGAAACCACGGTTCAGTGATGCGTCATCGCATGGGCAGGCGCGAGGTGTGGATTGAGCCACGGTGCTCGCGCGGCTCGCGACGAACGGTGGTCAGCAAGGGAGCTGTAGCTCGGAACTGGGCGCTCGGGCGCGGAGAAGGGGAGGAATCCGTTCGTGCGGGAGCGTACCGTCGAAGTCATATCCGTGCGGTTCGTCCTCGACGTCGAGCTCCCCCAGCGAGGTGTCTACAGTCGGCAGGGCGCGCACGGTTGGCCTGGGCCCGTCCCGCCTCTCCTGCGCCATCGTTTCGAGCGTATCAACGAGCACCTACACCTTGCAACGATCGAGATCGCCTCAGCCGACCACCGCAGCTCACTGAGGCATGTTGTTCAGCAAGCACACGAAGACAAGGATCCTTGGATGTTTTCTAATCGGCACGCCCTATCTATATATCTGCGCCGTTCACGCTAACGCCCCGACGCCTCCGCAGGCGCACGCTGTCCGGGCTCCGCGCCCACGCGCCCCCATCAGCCGCGCGCTGCGAAGGCGTCAGCCTGACGCCTGACGCCAGAACCTGAGGTTCGCCAGACTGACTCACCGCGTCAGGCTGGCGCCCGGATCGGGGGCCGCGCGTCCCGCGGGCTTCCGGCCGCCCAGGGAAGAACTCGTGCTGGTGCCCGCTGGGCCGGGCGTCGCGCGCTCTTTATCACACCAGGTTGGAACAGAAAGGCTCCCAATCAAGGTAGATGGCCTCGTGTGACGTCGCGAAGGGAAAGGCGACTTGCCCGTCTCACAGCAGCGATTCGAGGTCGCACTCGACTCGGTCCGCGCGGCGACACGGTTGAGAGACGCCGCACCGTCGCTCCACGCAACGTGGGCGCGACTAGAAAGCGCAGAGCCTTTGTTGGAGTCTTCAACGCACACGCCGTGCCCGCACATGCCTCCGGACGACGCCCGAACCTCGCCCACGCTCGGCATACATCCAGCGCCATCCGCCGCAGCGCGTCAGCCCCAAACGCGTCCCCCACGCACCGCGCCAACACTCACCGCGCACACACACACGCACACATCGCGACCGCCGCCGTCACAGCGCACCGTCTCCCCGCGCGCCCGCCAGCTACTCCTCCATCCCCTCTTCCCGCTGCAGCTCCTCCACGGCCTCCCGGAGCCGCTCCTGCTCCTTCTCCGGCTGCGCCGCCCGCACGAGGTGAATCTCGTGCTCGAGCTGCTTGCGGTCCGCCTTGACCTGGATCCCGCGCGCCTTGGCCATCCTCGTCTCGTAGTAGCGCGCCTGCCGCTTCTCGCGGATCTCGTCCACCCGCTGCATCGCGTCAATCGTCTTGCCCACCAGGTCGCGGTCGTACCGCACCGGACGGTTGCGCTTCCGCTCCAGCTCGAACGTCGCGTCCTCCGCGAGCTCCTTCCCTGCGAGCGGAACGATGCGCGCGAAGGATGAGCGCCGGGGGAGTTGCGCGTCGGGCGACGGAGGCTGGTGGAGGGTGGGCTGGAGGCGCTGGCGTCGCGTGGGGCGCGGTCCCGGGGGTGCGGGCGCGTGGGGGTCGGCGCGGTGGAGAGGGCGCGGTGGTGGCGAGCTGGGGCCGGCGTTCGCGGGAGCGGCGTGGCGAGGGGCGTCGCAGGCGGCGGGCCGGCGGGTGCGGTGCTGCCGGCGTGGGCGGCGTGCCTGCCAGCTTCCGGTAGGCCTTGGTCCACTTGACTTTCCGCGGGTTCCGCTTCATCTTGAAGTTCTTGTGGCACTTCGAGCGGCAGAACTTGAACGTCTGCGCGCGAGGAGGCAGGGAGCCGGTCAGAGTCGCAGCAGGGGAATGAGGGCGGCACGGGGCCGGAGAGGGATGAAACGGGAGGTTCGAGGGCCCTCCGAGGACGCAGAGATGCACGCTCACACACGGAGATCGAGAACCGTTCCCCGCGTGGCCCGTGCTGGCAGTGGCGGGCGGCGGGCGGCATGAAGCGACACTTCCTGCTCGCCGCACGGCCCGACAGCGCAATGATGGCCGGGAATTTTCGCCTCGGAGGCTGAGACATAATTCAACGAACGCGCTGCGTCATCGCAGGTACGGCCTCTGCGCTCTGCGTCGCGTAGCGGGCCCTGCATACCTTGCTGTCATTGCGCACGAAGGTGATGCCGCGTCCGGGGTACACCGTGCTCGAGCAAAACCAGCACTTCTCCAACCTCATCCTTCCAGCTACACCCTACTACCGCTCCTCCCGCCAACGCGCCCAGCGCCCCTCTCCACACCCGCTCGGCACCCTCGCTACCGCGCTCCCACAAGACCCGCTCCCTCGATCTCAATTCAATAGCTCAGCCAGCGAACCGACGCGGGACCGACCACCGCACGTACGACGCCGCCCGCGCCGCAGCCCGCGCCCCAATGTCGCGTCGCTCGACGCCGTGCGCCCCACGCCCCGCCTGCGTCGTGGGCGCTGCCAGACCAGCTCTCTGGCGCGCGTCGCACCGTCTGCAGGCCGCCAAGCGGCCCCGCGCCACTCCGCACCGCTTCTCCCGGCTAGCGTGGTTCCGCACCGCACGGCTCCGGTTCCCGTCGCCTCCGCACCGCGTCGCCGCAGCCTTTCGCGCCATCCTGGCAGCGTGCCCAGCACAGCCGCGGACAAGGAGCGTCGAGGGCGGTTCGCACCGCGACGCGCCCCGGGGAGGGCCGCTAGCGAGGCACGATGCTGTGGGTGGACAAGGTGTGCTTCTCGATGCGCACGCGCGACGAAACGCGAACGGAAGACTCTGCGCGGCTCCGTTTGCGCTTGCCCGGCTCTCTGTGCGCTCGAATCCCGCTTTGAGCATGTTTCCGCGCCGTGACACCGAGATATGGATGTGGAGGTGCGGTTGCAGTATCGCCCTGATGCGTTCGAGAGGTTCGCGATCAACCAGGACATCGGGAAGAGGCTGCAGGGCCTCGCCGGGTCCGGGGACTGCCCGCACGTCCTCCTGTACGGTCCGCCGGGCGCAGGGAAGAAAACAATCGTCCTCTCGCTCCTCCGCGAGCTATACGGCGCCGGCGCCAAGAAGGCACGCCACCAGCCCGCCTTCGTCCCATTCTCTCGTGGTCGCTTCGCCCCCCACGCGGCGCCCTGCTTTCCGTCGCACACGCCCGCCCGCGCACCACCGCCCAGCATCGCGAACGCCACGCCCCGTCGCGGCACGGCCCGACCTCGATACATGCATGCATCCCTCACCGCCCGCTCGCCGCCCCGCTCGCCGCAGGTCAAGGTCGAGCACCGGCCGTGGAAGATCGAGCTGCCGTCGCGGAAGCTCGAGCTCGAGCTCACGATGGTCACCTCGAACTACCACGTGGAGATGAACCCGAGCGACGTGGGCAACAACGACCGGTACGTCGTGCAGGAGATCATCAAGGAAATGGCCAAGAGCCGCCCCGTCGACCCCTCGGGCGCCAAGACCTTCAAGGTCCTCGTGCTCAACGAGGTCGACCGCCTCTCCCGCGAGGCGCAGCACAGCCTCCGCAGAACCATGGAGAAGTACTCGTCGGCGTGCCGGCTCGTGCTGATCTGCACGAACGTGTCCAAGGTGAGTGCGCGGGGTGCGTGCGCGCGCGCCGTGCGCTGGCGGGGGGGCGGGTTGCGGCGGCGGCGCGTGACGTGGAATGGAAAGGGGGGTGTTTTTGTCTTGTTGGTGTGTGCAGGTGCTGGATCCTCTGCGGTCGCGCTGCGTGTGCGTGCGCGTGCCGGCGCCGTCGCTGGACGAGATCCAGGGGGTGCTGCAGGAGGTGGCGAAGCGGGAGCAGACCACGCTGCCGCCGCCGCTAGCGGCACGGATCGCGCTGGCTTCGGAGCGCAACCTGCGCAAGGCGCTGCTGTCGCTCGAGTCGTGCCGCGTCCAGGCCGGCACGGGCGCGCTGCCCGAGAACATGGACGTGCAGCTCGCAGATTGGGAATTGTATATCAAAACCATCGCAACCGACATAGTCTCCGAACAGTCCCCCAAACAAGTCTACACGGTGCGCCCCCCTCCGTGTCCGTGCGTGGTCGCGCGCCCCCGCACCGGAGCAACACACCCCCTGGTCCGTGCGGGGCTGCCAGCCCACGCATTGCTCGCTCGCAGCGAGCCGACGTGGCTGGCAAGTCCTGGTCGGTCCGCGCAGGTCCGCGGCAAGCTGTACGAGCTCCTCTCGAACGTGATTCCGCCGGAGCTCATCGCGCGGCGCCTGGTGATGGAGCTGTGTCGGAAGATTCCCGACGACGCGCTCAAGCCTGTGGTGGTCGAGGCCGGGGCGACGTTCGAGCACCGGATGCAGGGCGGGTCGAAGCCGATCTTCCACCTCGAGGCCTTCGTCGCGCGCGTCATGAGTGAGTACAAGAAGTGGGCGATGGACGCTCTTGGCGGATGACGATGATGCAGGGGGCGGGGTCGGGGGAGTCACGACGGCTCCGCGGCAGCGCGCTCGCATCCGCGAGGGCGTACGGCGCGCCGGGCGTCCGCAGCTACCGCGGTCTCCGTGCGAGGTGTGTCTGGGCGCTCGCGCCGTTGGAGGGTGGTTGCTCTGTAGACAGACAGCTCGGATTGGTGGCGCATGTGAGCCGGAGGGGCGCACGCGGTGGGACGGGCCTACGCGAGGGCCGCTGCGTCGTCGCGAGGGAGGGCGGGCTGGCGCACGTGTCATGAGCGTAGCATGTTGCACCTCTGCGGGCCGTGACGTGCGGCTGGCGTTTCCAGGGCCGAAGTGCACGATGCGCGAGAGGGAGAGCATGCGCGAGGGGATGCGCGCTTGGGGATGCTGCGCGGGTGTTTCTGCTTATATATTTCTGCCTCCCCCGCGTGGGGCCTCGAAGTGTGCGCTTACGTCGAGTCGGACGGTGTGCGTGCGACGGGCTAGGTGGGTCGACCGGATGACGACGTGCGCGCATATTTCGAGTGAGGTTTCCGCCCGCTCATTCGCATCTGTCGCGTCGGACTCGGGGGACGCGACGGTAGGCTCCTTTGTCCCGGCCCAGGGCTTGCCTGTAGCCGCGTCGCGGGAGCATCCTAGACCGATTGCGCTGACCGGCCGGCCCGACACGTTTAGCATCGTCGTGCCATCGAAAGGATTGGTCGCGAACGGCGGCGCGCTGGGTGTGCGGGCGACCTGTCAACACAGCACTGCACCTGAGCTCCCATGGCCGGCCTCCTGCGGGCGGGGCGCTCCCGCCTGGCCTCCACGCTTCTGTGCAGCAGGACCGCGCTGACGACGGCGCTCGGGCCCTCCTCGGTCCCCGTGGCCAGCGCTGTGGTCCGTGACACCTCGACCGCAACAAAGGGGCACGTCGCGGCACCCGAGGGCCACCTCTCGACGCGCCATCTCAGCACCGGACCCCCGGACGTCCCCCAGCCGCTTGAGATGCTCACGCCCGAGGACAAGGAGGCCGTGGAGGTCGTGCGGCTCATGCTGAAGCAGGCCGCGATGCACCGGGTGCGCGTTTCCGCGCACCTCCGCGCCCCCGGGTCGACCTGGGGCCTCGCGCCCCGCGTGTGGCATGCTCGTTGCTAGCTCTCTGCCGCTCGGCGGAGGAGCGGCGTCGCGTCGCCGCGATGCCTCGCTGCGGCGTGCGAAAGCAACGCAGAGCACTTGCCGCGTGCCCGACGCCGCGTCCGGACGCCGCGAACGCCCGGCAGCATCGCTCGCCCTTGCTGTGTAGGTGCGTAGGGAGCTGAAGGTCCTCGCAGCCGACAGGCCAGCGATCCCAGAGGCCGAGTTCCGTCGTCTGTTGATTGACAAACAGGTAGCAACGACCCCGGAGGAGTCCGAGGAGATGTTCAAGGCGCTGGTGACGGGTACGGCCACTCGCTGGTGCACGCCCTCGTCGTTCACGCTGGACGGCCTCGTGCGCGGGCGCCGGCGCACCCTCAACCTCTGATGCTGACAAGCGAGACTTGCGCTTCCTGCAGCCGGCGTGGTGCTTCCGTACCACCGCGTGATCTACTTGAAGCCGGACGAGATCATGGGCAAGATGATCGAGATGCTCCCGGACGCCCACGAGACCCCCATGGTGCGCCACGCGCGCGCTGCGTGCCCACCCCACCGCCGCGCCCCCACGCCGCGCATCCACACGACGCGGCGCCCCGTCGCGTCCACGGCGCAGGAGATCGAGGAGCACATCCGCGAGGTCGAGACGGAGTACGTTCCGCTCGCGGAGCAGCGCCAGTCCTTTTCGAATGTCGCGCGGCGGCGAGCCGCGACGCTGTTCGGGCTCGGCGTGGCCGGGCTCGCGGCGTGGGGCGTCGTCATGGTTCGCCTGACGTGGTGGGAGCTCTCCTGGGACGTCATCGAGCCCATCGCGTACTTCTCGGGCCTGGTGGGCAACATCGCCCTGTGGTCCTACTCGATGCGCGCGCGCCACGACCCGACGTACGAAAACATCTTCCAGCGCATGGTCCGGCGATACGAAGACAAGCGGGTGCGCGCACGGCGCCGCGCCTGCCCGCGGCCCGCGCTCTGGCGCCGCGTTGTGTTGCAGCTCTTCGTTGCACGCGTGCTTGGCATGACGTGCGTTGGCGGGAGGCGGGGGGGGGCGGTTGCGTGCTGGGGTGGTGGGCCGGTGCTCCGGCGTGCAAGATGTGTCGACGGCTTCGAAGTCTCTGTGTCTCGATTGGCTGTGTGCAGATGCAATTGGAAGGGTTCGACCTCGAGAGGTACAAGGACATGGAGGCCACGCTGGACCGCCTGCGCGAGCGCCGACGCATGATGCGCCTCGTGAACCAGCCGAGCGGCTGAGTGACTGACGTAGACTCTTGTGAGCACAACCAACTCCCTCGGGGGGTGTCACCAACTACCAGGGGGAGTGCCCGGGCCGCCGGCAACGTACCGCGTGGTCCTTTGCCTGACCGGGCCCCGCAGCGCGCACAGAACGGACCGCTTCGCTCGGAGGAGTCGCGCAACGGAGACGCGGACGCAACAGCTGCTGTCAAACAACAAGGAGACAGGAGCGAACTTGCACTGGCAGCGCAGCCGACGCGGACGCTGGACCGCCCTGCGTGGAACTGGCGTCGGGAGTAGTCCTTCCTAGCGTGGTCGCGGCGCGAGGTTTCGGCGCGGGGCGCCTTGCCTCCCCGCGGGCTGTGGTGGTGGGTGGCGTGGTGGTGCGGGGATGGCGGACATCAGCTGGGGCGTCCAGCAGGACGACAGCCAGGCTGAGAATCTAGCGGATCTGTACGCGATCATCAAGACGACCGAAAAGCTCGAGCAGGCGTACATCAGGCAAGCGCGCTCCTCCCGCTATGCAGCACTCACGTCCGCGGGTCCGGCCACACGGGGTCGCGTTTCTGCACGACCCCGCGTTCACCGCGGTGTAGGCTAGCACGCCTACGATGTGCCGCGCTCCCCGTCTCACCCCGCCCCCGCACCGCGAGGACCGCGCCCACTGTCTCACGCGGGCATCCACGCGTTCGGGGCCGCGCGCAGGGACCTGATAGGCTCGGACACGTACGAGCAGCAGTGCCTGAAGCTCATCGGCCAGTTCAAGACCCTGTGGAGCACGCTCCAGGGCGCCGTGCCTGACGTACGCGCCTTCATGCACCGCTACGGGCTCGAGGCCCCTCTCGCCGTCACACGCCTCGTCCAGTCAGGCAAGTCCCGCGCATTCCACGCACCACGCGCTGTCCAGTCCGCCACGCCGCACCCGCGAGCTCGCGACCCCCCCCGGCCCTCCCAGCCCGCCCCGCGCCCCTCTGCCGCGCTCCCACGCGGCCCGCTGCCGCCGCGCCGCCGACTCCCGCGCCCCCGCCGGTCCCACTCTGCGCAGGAGTCCCGGCCACGCTCGAGCACGGGCGGCCGCAGAAGACCGCGGCGCCCACCGGCGCCCAGGTGGCCGATGCAGTGCAGAACCTCATCACCCTCAAGGACGCCCTAGCGATGGGACTCAAGGCGGTGGACCAGGTCTTTCCGGAGATGCAGGCACGCCGCACCCCCCGCGCCACGCCCCTCGAGCCCGCCCGTCGCCCGGCGCCGATTCCGCCCGTCGCCCTGCGTGCGCATCGTCAGCTGTTGTTGGGCACCTGCGGCGCGGACGCGACGTCGGTGGGCTGCGTGCCTTGCGTGCAGGCTACGACGGAGTCGCTGGCGCGTGTGCGGCAGCTTCCGGCGTCCTCGTCGGTGCGTGAGCGCATGGTGAGGTGGCTGAACAAGCTGCACCAGCTGCCGGCGAGCCACGAGCTCGGCGCGGAGGACCTGCGGCAGCTGGCGCACGATGTGGAGGTGTCGTACCAGGAGTTCATGCAGATTCTGCGCGACGAGAGCGAGGGCGCGTGAGCGCCGCACAGAGGCGTTGTGCGTGTGTGAGACTGCCGCGGATGTCGAACGGGCCCGTGCGCGTCGCGGACAGGCCTGGAGGGCTGCTGATCGTGCAAGCTTGCTGATGCGGGCGGGTGCGGGCCGACTGCGTCGAGTTTCGGCCGTGCCGAGGTGGAGGTTGCTGTGCACGAGGGGGGCGCAGGCGCGTCGTGGTGCGGGGTCGGCAGGCGGATCCGGGCGGCTGGGGGGGTGTCGTCGACGTTGTTTGGTCGCGACGCTCGGTCGAGTGATTTTCGGGGGACTGACGTGGAAGCTGGCGGGCTGAACGAGGCTGACAGCATGGCAGGGTCGTCGGGGCGACAATGCTCGTCGATGCGGCGGTGGCGCGAGCACATCGTTGGGAATCTCTTGAAAGTAACATTATGTCCATCGGGCAGCGGGTCGTGCTCGCGCATCCGCCGGCCGACATGCCGCCTGAGGCGCTGCGGAGGCAAGGCTCCGAGCCTCCCCACGGCGACTCGCCTGCCACCTTCGACGAGTACCGCGAGTACATCAAATCGAAGCTCTCCGGCGTCAAGCAGCTGTACATTCCAAGTAAGCGCCGTGAATCCACGCAGCACGCCGCGACACGCACACGCAGTGGGGCGCCAGCGCTCGCCAGGCAAAGCCAGCGCCGCGCCGCGGACACACACGCTTGACGGTCGCATTTGCGGCCAGCCGCCGCACACCTATCCACTCCACTCGCATCGGCGACGCAAGCCCCAGTAAATGCGTGTGTCGCGTGGACGCGGCCACGCTTCCTGCCCGCACCCATTTCAGGTGCACGTCCGCGTGACGCACACCTGCGCGCGTTTCGCGCCCTTTCCGCCCCGCGTCTGCGCAGCACCGTTCAGTGCGGCGGCGATCGACGCCTGTCGCGTGCGTATCTCATCGCACGCGCGTCGGGCGCGGCGCCCGCTGCACCATGCTCCCGGCCGGGCTCTAGTCGCATCAGCGCGTGGCGACGCGCGCTCCGCAGCGCGGTCCCGCGGTCCGGGCGGGCTCGCGCTGGTCAGACGCCGCGCTGGATCCGTCGCAGCCGCGATCTTTCGCGCACACGGGCCCGCAGAAGGGGCGCGCCCCGACCACCCGCTTTCAGATCACTCGAGACGCGGCCTTTCCAATTCCGCCGCACTGCGCCGCATATGTTCCTCACCTCTCCCCACCTCTCCCCGCGGCCCCGCAGAATGGCAGCGCGCGTCCTACGTCCCGACGAGCATCCTGCATCGCTTCCCCGCCGACGAACAAGCTCGCCGGCAGCCCAGCATCGCGCACGGCTTCGTCGTCACGCAGCCGCGCCGCGAAGCGCGCCCCGCCGCGCCGGTGCAGCCTGCCGCGCCCGCCCCGGCCCCAGCCGCGGCCCGGAGCCCCCAGGACAACCCGGACTCGGCAGTGACGGCGATGCACGACACCGACAGCGACACTTCGTCGATGGGCGAGCTCGTGCGCGCGCGCAGGCGCGCTCTGCTCACCGGCGGCGAAACCGCGGTTCGCTTGTCGGACGTCCACGCGGTGCTGCCCGCCGCGACCCCGCCCGAGGACGCCCTGCTCTCGCCGCGCGCCTCCGCCGCGCCCGCGGAGCCGCCGCGCGCGGCGCGCCGGGCCAACGCCGCCTCACTGGCCGCAGCAGTGCGCGCTGCGCGAGCCCGGGACGCCGACGCGTCGGAGCCTCAGCGGCCGCGTTCTCCGCAGCGGAGACGCGGTGTCTTCGGCCTCTTCAGCCGCGCAGGCAAGCGCGGCGCGGACGCCGCGTGCGCGGCAACGAAGGAGGCAGAGGAGCTGGCGCGTGCCACTGCGCGCGCCACGCGGACGGTGGCGCGGCGCAAGCTCGTCATGGACCCCGCGCTCGGGTACGCCGGGCTGCGGGAGCGGCAGGAGCAGGCGCTGAGCGCGATGCGGCGCCCCGTCGTGCTGAACGTGTCGTCGCAGCCGACAGAGGAAGTCACGATCCCGAACCCGCTCCGGGCGTCCACGGCGCCGGAGGGGCAGCAGAGGCTGGTGGCTGAGGCGCGGGCGGAGGGCGCGCAGTCGCGTGCGCAGACCGCGCAGGCCGGGTGCATGAGCATCGGACACGCGCAGCGGAGTCGGCAGGTGACGGCGACGCGCGGGGGGTCCGGGCGGACGGAGGCGGCGGCGCCGGTGGAGACGGTGTTCCGCTGCGACGACGCGTTCCGCGAGGACGACGGGAAGATGTTCCGGGCGAGGTACGAGGCGGTGAGTGCGCTCAGCGACGCCACCGACTCCATGGAGCAGTCTGCGAGCGCGGCGGTGACGCGCGTCCAGCGGCGCATGCGGCGGCAGGCGATGGTTGCGGGCGGGGAGTTCGACGCCTGCCTGCACCCGGACGCGCCGCTGCGTGCGGCAACCGACCCGCAGTTGTGGCAACGGGCCCACGACAGCCGCATGGGGCCGACGGTGATGCGATCGACCAGCAGCCAGCGGTACGGCTTGGCGAAGGGCACGGCGACGCGGGCGCGGGTTATCGCGCCCGAGAAGGTGCAGGCGCAGGTGTGGCGGACAAAGGAGGAGCTTGGCATGGTGGGGCGGAGAGCTGCGCTGCCGCAGCGGTACGGCGCTGCGCGCGGCACGCGGGCGGCGTGCGCGGATCCGGACGTCACGCAGGGCATCCACGACGTCGTTGGGGGCCTGCTGGGCTGAGGCGGTCGCCCTGACCCGTGAGCGCAAGCAAACTGGCGCGCGCCAGATCACATGCGCGGCTCTCTCGATCGTTGTGACCCTCAGATGTACAGGCCGTTCTTGTCTCCGATCGCCAGCTTGGACACCGTGGTCGTGTGGATCTCGCAGTTGTCGAACGAGCGCCCCGACAGCACCTTCAACACCCCCCAGTGCGCCACCAGCGCGATCGACTTCTCCGGCCGGGCCGCGAGCCAGTCCCGCAGTTGCTCGATCCTCTGCGCAGCACCGTACGACCTCTCCTCAGCGCCACAACAGCAGACGCGATCATGCAAGCATGGAACAGAACAACTCACGCAGCACAACCTCGTGTGCCACTTGAGGCCCAAAGCCCTTGCGGGGCGGCACGCACCCGCACGAACACGCGCTCCGGCTCGTCGACGGGCTTCGAGGGGTTCCCGTCCTTGCCCGTGTACCAAAACACCTCCGGGAGGTCACTCAGGTCGAGGTCGGGGAAGTCCTTCGCGAGCTCCGAGGGACTCCGGCCGAGGTCCGCGCCGTACCACACCTGCGAGCAGGCCGACGAGGGAGCGACAACCGCGGCCGAGGATAGGCTAGCGCCGCGATGGGTCCATACGTCAAACGCTGCGCGCTCAGTTGCTCGTCGTGATCTTCCCGGCCGACGCGGGCGCTCCGCGTGTCGCGCGTGCTGCGTCGGCTGATGTCCGGAGCCGCGGACAGCGGTGTCGTCGCACCTTCTCCGTCGCGAGGGGCGTCACCGTCCGCGGGACGTCGGGCAGGCCCGCGAACGCGAGCTGGCCCGTCTCGATGGCCCGAGAGAGCGGCGAGAAGACGACGAGCTCGGGCCTGCGGTGCACGCGAGGGACTGACGGGCGCGTTGCCGCGAGAGACGCGACGCATGGTCCTCGCTGCAGCTCTGCGCCGCGCGGCGCCCGCTGTGGGCGTGATTTCCGGCAAAGAGGCGGCTGTGCGGGTTCTCCATGGCAAAGGGGGTACCTGGGGTCGAGTTCGAGGACTTCACTCTGCTTGCACCGCGCCTGCTCTTTGCCCTCCGCGGTGAGACGTGTGTCGATCATCATCGGGTCCTCGTGCGGCAGCAGCGCGTGGTTACCGTTTCTGTCGTAGTGCCGCCGCAGGAAGACGTTCATCTCCGTCTGACCGTGCCGCATCAGGTGCAGGACCTGCGCGGCGCGGACCACTCATGACCTAGTGAGTAAAAGCCCGCGCGTGCCCGATCCCGGGCGGGCAGACGAGCGCGCGGAGAGCACTTTGGATCCATGGGTGTACCTTGTCATTGTCGGCCGTTGAAGCCGCCGTGACGGTCATCCCTCGCTTCTCCTGAGGGGTGTAGAGGGTGGAGGAAGCGAGCGGCGCCGCTTGCCGCGCACGGCTGGACACGAGGTGGCTGCCGGCCGGCGTGCAACGCAGCGGACAGCGCAGCATATACTCACGGCGCAGGGGGCTCGTGGGGGCAGATCACGGGGTCACGAGAGGGCCATGCAAAGGTAGGGTGCTGTTCAGCGCTGGTTGCGAGGGTCGCTGCTCGAGAGGGCTACGAAATCCGTATGTCAGAGCCGAGTTGTAGCTCGCGGGCGACACAAACGCGCCATCTTCCCAAGCAGTGGCACGCACAGAACCCCCCCCCCAGAGGCCCAATACACCTCCCGTCACACGCGTCCCAGCGCTGCGCACGCCATCGACCCCCAGCCACCACAGCCTCAGCACCGCACGGAGCTGTCCGTCCACGCGCCACCACGTCACGGCCATCACATCACTTCCGCACACCACGCATCCCTGCACGTCCCAACGCTGCTCCGTCGCGCCCCGCCCCGCGTCACTCCAGCTCCAGCACCTCGCACGCCGGCATCTTCGCTGCCACGGACAGCAGCGGCACGGACGACCCCTCCTGCGACACCAGCACGTGCAGCTGCTCCGGCGGCGCGGCAGGTTCCAAACACTCCACCGACAGCTCGTAGCTCTGCTCGACGGACGGCAGCAGCATCGGGACGTGCAGCGCCTTGGGCGCCACGAGGTAGACCTCCTCGTTGCACAGCACGAGCAGCGTCAGGTTCGTCACGGGCGTCGACCCTGTGTTGCTGACGGCAAGCACGACGCTGAAACGGGGGCCCAGGCCCATGACGTGCGCCGTCATCCAGAGGCTCGCGCCGGCGGCGTAGGACGCCTGGCCCTTGCCGTCGGTGAGCACGCGGTAGTAGGTCTGTGCGGCGGAGAGCCGCAGCTTGCACAGGTCGCGCTGGAACAGGCGGTGCATGTCCGTGGCGGTCTCGCGCTCGCGGTGCGTGAGCTCGATGAACATCTTGGTCTTCTTCGGGACGTCGAGGCGCGGCGGCGGCGCCTCGAGCGACGCGACCGTGCCCTGCGTCAGGGGGTTGTTCCGCGGTATGAACTTGATCTCCAGCGCGCCGCTCTTGCGCACGAGGACCAGCGCGGCCGCCTCGCGCGAGTACGGCCCGAACGTCAGCCCGCGGACCGGCTCGCCCACGTTGTGCACGTTCACCAGCGCCGAGCCCTGCAACGCAACAGGTACGACAACACCGCAAGGTGAATTTCTTCCCTCCTCGCAGCGGAACGTCGCGAGCAGCCCCGCCGCCGCGAGAGAAATGGTCTATCCTTCGCGACCGTGGGCGTTCCGGGCCGGAGGGGGCACTCACGTGGTACACGCGCAGCGTCCCGTCTTGCAGTGCGATGGCGACGGGCGCGGAGCCCTGGTGCCGCAGCATGGTGTCCCGCACGCTCACGCCGCACATCGCCTGCACGGGGCACGGCATCCTGATCGAGTACAGCCGCTCCCCCTTGGCCGAGTAGCAGTACACGTTCTCGTCCATGCACGCGCACACCACGTGCTCCCGCGTAACGACCATCGCGACGAGCGGCGCCTGGAGCGTCGTGGGCATCGGGGGCGACGCGGCCTCGCTCAGCTGGAACAGCCGGCAGTCGCGCGTCGCGACCACGACGCGGTACGCCCCGGCGAGCACGCCGGAGCACTGGACGTCCACGGGCGCCGAGCCGACGACCCAGGCGCGCTTGATGCGCGGGTCCGCCTGGGAGCCCTCGAGGAGGAGGACGCGGCCGTCCTCCGTGCCGAGCACGGGCACGCTGTCGGACCGCGGCGCCGGGGCGGCGACCTGAAGGTCGGTGACGGCGGTGATGGTCGTGGCCGGGAACGTGAGCGCGACGCCGTGCATGCGGTTGACGTACGCGAGCAGTTCCTCGTCGGTGTCGAGCAGGAGGAGCCCGCCGGACTTGGGCGTGATCGGCGTCCGCTGCGACAGCTCAGACAGCGTCTGCGGACAGGAGGGACACTTCGGCGCCGGAGTGAGGGCACAGCGCGCGCGCCTGCACCTCCAGACCACCGCAGAGACGCTCCGCGCCGCCGGGTGCCCGGGGGCAGCGGCGGCCCCCGCGAGCGACGTCGCGGTGAACTTGCAACAAGCAATTATTCAAAGATAGTTCCTTGTTGGATTGCGAGTCAGACGAGGAAACTATCTCGTCGGACGCGAATCCCGATGAAACGAGGGCCGTGGGCTCTTCGCTGACGGCCTCCGCGCCGCTGGCGGCGGTCCGCGGGCGCGTGGCGGTCGTGCGTGGTGCGGCGCACCTTGACGGCCTGTTGCGGGGACAGCGTGCCGTTCTCGAGGCTCTCCCAGAGCGTCTTCTCCTCCGTGGACACCTCCGGGAGCGGCACGACGAACTTGTAGTACGGCCGCATCATCCGGTAGACGTAAAGCGACCCCTCGATAGCTACCGCGACGTGAGGCACGCCCGCGGGAACACCTGCGGGGCGGAGGGTGGGAGCGCGGGGGGGGAGGGCGTGAAGGCTGGAACATGGCCGTGGAAGCGTGCTGCTCGCGCGGCGAGGCGGCGCTCCGTGGCGGCGCTCGCGAGTGTCGACAGGGTGCGCTGGGGGCGGGCGTGTGCGGTGTGGGCCTTGCCTGCGGCCGCCGAGGGCGCGACCTCGCCGAAGAAGGAGTGGACGCACGTCGGGATGCCCGCCATGGGGTGTTCGCCGATCACGGAGGTCCCACGGAAGACACGGAGTTTGGCGTCCATAGAAGCGACCACGAAACGCACGTCTCCGTCGCCGGCGAGATCGCACAGGTGCATCTGCAGCACGGAGAAGTGCAGGAGGTGGATGTCGCGACCGGCTTTGCGCCGGACGCGGCCGGAAACGTGCGCCAACGGAGGAAACGCAGAGGCCATCCCAGGCCCGCTCGCAGGCGCGCACGCGCACGAGCGGCCGGTGAGAGGCGGTTGCGTTGCAGACAAGCGCGTGGTCATTCTTGTGAGGGCCGTGAAGGGCCTATGTGGCGGTCGAGCGGGGCGCTGCGCGCGCACGTAGCTACGGCAGGTGCGAGCGAGAGGACGGCCATTTGGCTCGCGAAACCCCATGGAATCAGCGCGATTTCGCGCCCCGCGGTTCCGGAACTACAGGTCAGAGGTAGCAAGCGACGCGTCCGTCCTTGGAGGTGCCGCGGCGGGCCGCTGCAGGCGCAAGAAGGCATCGCACCATCGGGCTGAACGTCTTGAGGCCCGCCAGGGGGTCGTTGAGCGCGTCCAGCCACAGAGGGTTGTTGCTGATCGCCATGTCCTTCCCGCCCTCCGCGGGCGGGGGCGGCGAGGCGGGGCGCTGCGCGGGCGAGCCCCCATTGGGCGCGTGACCGCTGCTCCCTGCCCCGCCCGGGCTTCCCGCGCCCGCAGACGCGTTGCTATCGCGCGCCCCCTCGTTCCATGTCTGTAGGCCTTGCGGCTGCGGCGCTTCCATCGCGCTCCAGGCCCGCGAGCGCGACGTCACGCCGCGCTCTCTGTGTGTCCTGCGGCAAGCGACCTTCTGCCTGGTACCCCGCACGAATGGCGCCCCAGCGCTGCGTCCGAACTACACAGCACGCAACCTACCTAGTGACAGCCACACCGAGCACCGCACGAGCGACAAACTGCCCCGTCGCACGCGGCACGAGCGCCCACAAGCTACAGCGTGTTCATGTCCCGACACCTCCCTGACTCATTCACACAACGAACCCCGCAAGCCCACGCGCGACTCCCAGCGCACAGGAGCCCCCACCGCGCACACTCCCTGCCCGCGCACGCCCCCCGCGCGACCCACGGACTGCTCCGGCGCCACACGCGCCTCGCGACCCGCCACCCCCCGAACGCGCGCCCTCCGCCGCCGCCTGCCCCGCGCTCCCCTGAACCTTCCCCGCCGCCCCACCTCACAAGCAGCCCGCGACAACGCAACTCTGCGGCGTACTCACATGGCAAAACCCCCCCCTGACGTCAGCCGCCACCGACCGCGTTGTACAGCTGCCAGAGCGTCTCGTTCGACGCGAGCGCCGGGTCCACCTCCTGCTCGCCCTGGTCGTCGAGCTTGACGCACCCGGCGTCGGTGAGGATCTGGGCCAGCGGCGCGACGGTGTTGGGGTCGTCGCTGCTAAGATACGCGCCCACCTTCTCCCACAGCTTCGCGATCGTGGCCTGGTCCATCTCCGGCGCGCCCGCGTTCCGCCCCGCCGACCGCGGCGCCCGCCCGGAGGGGGTGTGTCCGCCAGTGCCCCCGGAGTAGTCCTCGTCGTTGTCGCGCCGCCGCTTCCCGGCCGCGCGCGCCGACCGCGGGCGCGACGCGGGCGTGTCGTCCGCGATGATCACCGACGGCGCCGCGCGGCGCCGCGCGGGCCGCACCGCCGTGGCCAGCCCCGAGCGCGCCCACAGACTCTCAAACGTCTTCTGCCCGTGAACCGCCGCCTTGTAGAACATGCTCTTCTGGTCGTTGAACCGCTTCGCTGCACGCACCACGCAACCGCACAACCCACACGTCAGGCCGCGCACCGACCCGGGGACGCCTCAGCGCAGCGCAGCGCACCCGCGCTCGCACCAAGCTCGTGGCGGTGCGGCCGGCAGGCGCGCGGGGGCGCGATCGAAGGCTCCGCGGGCGGCTGCGAGGGCGGGGGGTGTGTTGGGGGTGTATTGCGTTGGGTCGCACCGTTGTTCCACACACGCTTCATGTCTTCAAGAAACTCCTCGGGACCCGGGTACTTGTTGTTGTTGAGTTTTTCGAGCATGGTGCCCAGGTCCATGGGCTCCTTGATCTTGTCGTAGTACTTGGGCACGATCTGCGTCGCGGGCGGGCCGGGCGGCTCGGTGGGGTGCGGCGAGGGGCGGGACGGGGCGGGGGTGCGCTGCGGGCGAGGTCACGCACGGCGCGGCGTCGTGTGTGCGAGCGGGAGGTACAGCGGGGCGCTGCGCGCCAGGCGGCGCGCGCGGAGGCCGTTCTGCGCCGGCGAGCGTTGTGAGCAGCAGCGCCGTCGGTGGCGCACCTTGGGGTCGACCGGCACCCCGAACGTGCTGCGGTGGTCGCCGATGCCGGGGATCATCGCGAGGGAGTCGAAGACCTGCTGCCGGATCTGCCGGCACTGCTCCTTCCAGTCCCCGGGGATGTTGGCGCTGGGCGTCGCGGCTGCGGGGTCCGTGCCAGGCACCGCCGTGGCTTGCGGGGGCTGCGCGGGCAGAGGGCGGCGCGCCACGCGTTGAGCCGCACGTGCAGGCTATGGGCTCGCGGTTCAGCGGACTATATCGCGCGGAAGCGCAGCGCGCGCGCCCAACGGACGCGTGTGATGCAATGCTGAGGCCTTGAGGGGCCGGAACGCAGCGGGGCGCCCACCAGCTCGCGCACGGGGATGACCGCGTCGAGGATGTTCTCTCTGCGGTACTCCTCGAGGCGTTCCGCCATCGCGAGCCGCTTGATCATGGCCTGGAGCTGCTGCTCATTGGTCTTCCCAAGAGCAACAGCCTTCTCCGGCGGCACCAGAACCGCCTTTCCCGCGTCCTTCTCCCCCTCTGCGCCCAGAAGGCACTTGGCTTCCCCCAGGAGCGACCCGTCGTCCAGGCGCAGCACCACCTTCGCGGCCCGCCCCGTCAGGGGCTGCGGCGCCGGTTCCATCGCTCAGCTCGCCCGCACGCGCAATGCGCCCTGCCAGGGAGAGACGGACGACGTGCTGTGCACGTGCGGCGCGCGGTTGGGGGTCGGGTCGAGAAACGACGCGGATCCGCGGCTCTCTCGCGAGGGACAGCGCTGATTTGCGCGCGATGCGGGCACGCCGCGTCGCTCCGTGCTGCGGGGACGTCCCTTAAGATGCAAATAGACGCAGGGCGGCGAGATCGCTCGCGGGGAGGCACGGCGCGAAGCAGTGTTGCGACAGCCGAGCTTCAAGCTTGCTCCCCGCCCGGGACCCCCCCGGTAGAACTCAGAACCTGACGCAGGCGCGGCGGGCCTCAACGGCCGCTCCCCACGCCCCTTACGCACACAACCGCTCTAGGACGCCCTAACAACCACCGCAACTGGACTCGCAATCCGCCCCTGCCTGCGCACCCAGCCAGCCCCGTCCCGCCACCGCACAGAGGCCGCAACGCCACGATCGTCGCGCCGCCGAACAGCAACGCTCTCTGACACTCGTCCCACCGCTCACAGCCCCGCAGCGGCCCCACGCCGCGCGTTCGTCGCCTAGCACACGCAGTGCGCTTTCGGGTCCCGCCCGCGCACAGGCGCCTAGTTCGGCTTCTCCCAGACGGCGAAGTCCTTTCCGCTGGCGACCATCGTCCAGCCCTGGTCCGCGGGCGGCACGAGGTCGCCCATGTCGGGGCGCGGACCCATCTTGCAAACGAGCTCCCCCTTCTCGCCCGTGGTGTGCGCGACGTACATGTCCGGGTCCGCGCAGTCGATGCGCACCGCGCTGTCCGCGCGCACGCCGTTCCGCTTGCGCGCTGCGGGCGAAGGAGGGGCGCCGCGCGTTGCCGCCAGGCACGCACTCTAGAGCACGAAACGACGGGAACGCGCCGCGGAACGCGCGCAGCTAGCAGCGGGCACGCTCGCTCCAGCGAAGCGCGAGGAAACCGGCGCCGGGCTGCGGCCAGCGCCGCCGGCGCACGAGCAGAAACCACGCGCGCAGCTACGCGACAACCGCAGCACGACAGCGCGCGCTCAGCTGTGAGGCGGTGTCTCACCGGCGACGAGGTCCTTGATCGTCTTCTGCAGCTCCTCGCCCCAGTCGAAGTAGTGCTCCCAGAACACCGTCGGGACCCCCGGGTGCGTCAGGATGTAGGCGTAGCCCGCCCCTACGAGGTCGCCGGGCCACGGCCAGTGCTGCTGCGACGACCCCGTGTCGTGGTTGTCGATGAACGTCACCGCCATCGCCGGCCACCACCCCATCAGCCCCGACGGCTTGCCCTCGCCGTCGCGCAGGCGCCAGTACTCGCAGTTCTTGGCCGCCTCCTGCGCACGGACGTGGCGCAGCGCGCAGCTAAGGCCAGCGATTCCAGCTGCGGGGACGCGTGCGGCTCCGCGTGCGCGCAGGCGCGCCGGGGCCCAAAACAGGTGGCGGCAGCACGCAACCGGACGCGGTGCGGGTGGCTGCGCGCGGGCGCGTGCGTGCGCTGGTGGGTGTGGGCGTGGGTGCGGGCTTGCCTGCACGATGCCCTTGGTGGGGAAGTCGAATGCGTGCGAGTGGGCCTGGCCGGCGTCGAGCCAGTCGCACAGCGCCTGCCGGGCCGCATTCTGGTTCGCGCCGAGCGTCGAGCCCTCCCACTGGAGGTCTGCAGCGCGATCAGACGAGGACGGGACGTTGGGAGTCGAACGAGGGGCCTGGCGCGAGGGATCGTGCGATGATGACGCTAGCGGTGTGGTGTGCAGCGAGGCGGGAGGGGAGGGCGGGGGGGCGCACCGGTCCAGAACTCGCCGACGTTGAACGCCTTGGACGTCACGGTCTCCGCGATGTACTTCTTGATGAACTCCGCGCCGTACCCGCGCGCGAAGTCGAAGCGCCATCCCACGGCGCCAAAGTCGTCGCGCAGCCACGTCAGCCACCGGATGATGGCGTTCTGCAGGTCCTCGTTCAGGTGGTCGAGGTCCGGGGCCGGGCCGTAGTCCTCGCCTGCGATCCCGACGGCACCACCGGAACGGTGAGCTCTGCTTCGCAGCGCGCCCGCGAGGCGACCAGGCGCGCGCGAGAGCAGCAGAGCGCCCACTGCACGAGCCAGGGGCGCGCAGATCGCGCGCTGCTGGCGACACGGTCGGGAACGGGGGGGAGGGGTGTTTCACCTGTGTCAGGGTTGCCCTGTCCGCCAAAGTCGGGGTCGTCGCCGGTGATGGCCCACTTGCCCCAGTTCACCTCCTGGCCCGTCTGCGGACACACGGCGGCACTTCGACTGTTTCGCGCGAGCACCGCGCACGTTCGCGTCCGCGGCCTCCGGCACGGGGCGCCACTCACCCGCGGGTCAATGTCGGAGAACACGGTCCAGGAGCCGTCGTCGTTCTGCTTGTCCGCGCAGCGGTGGTTGATCACGATGTCGATGATCGGCGAGAGCTTCGCGGATCGCAGGGCCTTGACGGCGTTGGCCATGGCCTCAGGCCCGCCGTAGTTGCTCTGGAGGTTGTACAGCTGGCCGGGGAGGTACCCCGCGCGGTCGACGGACTGCGAGGGCGGCGGGAGCCACGCGTGGGTCGCGCCGCTCGCCGCGATGTCCTCGGCGCGGGACGCGATCGTGTCCCACCACGACCCGTTGGCGTTGGACGACTCCCAACCGAACGTCTGCGATTCCGGGGCGGAAAGGCGCGCAGCTTGGCTTCTCAGGGCGGAACACGGCTAGCTGCGGGGGTCCCGGCGGCTGCCACGGGGTGATCGAGGGCGTGGGATGTCATGACAAGTGGCAAGAGCTGTGGTTGATGGGCGGGGCAGGAGTGGGCGAGCCGGCCGCGGGGTGGTCGCTGCGTGGCGGGCTACGTTGTGGCGTGCGACGGGGTGCGAGGGATGCGCGTATTGGGCGGCATCCGAGCACGCGTTTGCGGTGGAGAGGGGCAGCATGGGGCCAGGCGGCGCACCTGGAACAAAACGACGTCGAGGTTGTCGACCTCGGGGACAGGCGCGAAGCCGCCGTCGCTCTTCTCCTCGACGACCTTCTCCTTCGCTGCGGCGGCAGGGGAGCGGGAGGCGAGGCCGTCAGGTGGTGGTGCGGGCCGAGGCATCGAGGCGAAGCACGCGAGCCTGCAGTCCGTATTCGGACGATGCAGCGGCGTGGCGTGTGACTATACGTAGAGACCATACGTTTTGGTGGGGCCTCGACGCTTTGATCGCTACTTGGAGGACTCGAGCCGCCCAGCAACTTATTGGCCAGCTTTTTCCATGCCTCCGTCCTAACGGCGCGTCTTCCGGTCGTTCGAGGCGCCGTACAAAAATGACTGTGTCCTAAACTCGCGCAACAGCGGAAACGATCTGTAAAAAACCCCGCAGGAAGCCCGTGCCGAGCGGGTCAAAACTCTGAGCCAGGTTGCAGCAAGCACGCGACGGCCGGCACAGGCGGCAGCGCGGGCCCTCACCGTTCTCCGCGGCCCTCTTCGCCTCAGGCTGGCTCACTCCGGTCGCCGTATCCGCGCCCTTGCCCTCGGACGCGCCGCGCGGCCTGCAGGGGCAGCAGTTGCAACCAAGCGAGCTGTCCTCCCTCCGCGGCGCGCGTGCGATACACACCACGGCTCGCGCTGCCGCGGTGCGTGCGAGACCGGAGGCGCAAGAAACGTCGCGCCCGCGCACAGCCAGGGTGAGAGCTCGCATGACGACGTGTGGCCCGGAGTGCAGCGTCGCCAGGGGACGCAGGGTGGCCTGCCTGTAGCGCGCCGGGTGGAGGCCCTTGCGGCTGTCGCCCGACAGGCTCGCGCTGTGGGTCCAGCGGGAGACGCGGGGCAGCGCGGAGGCGTGAACGGCGCCACGGGGGGCCGCGCGGGCGGCCGTGGGGGACGCCAAACAAGTCCGCATGGTGCTACGAAACGGTGGGATCCTCGGGGTCACGGACGCTATTGCCCGCGCAGTTATCTATGTAGGTAGCGAGCTAGGGTGGCGTGCCGAGGTCTCGGCGGCTGGAACTGCCGCGCGCCGTCGGGGTTGGCCTTGAGAGCGGCTCCAGGGCGGGCGCGGTTTCGAGGCACGGTCGCTGCGTGTCCGTCACGCAGGCCGCTCCACTAGCACAATCAGCTGCCGACGGCCGCGCCGACGCGGCGCCTTGACCCGCGCGGAGCCTCAAGCCGCCGACGACGGTCGTGGTACCACGAGTCATCCCACACCCCCCGTCTCGCACGGGGGAGTGCTGTGTCCGCCGGCGCGGCTGAGCGGGCCCCGCCAGCGATAGAGCGGGGAGATGCTCACCCGTCGTGCGCCTCGACGCGGCGTGACAGGCGCTTTCGCCGCCCTCATGCCGCAATGCTGCGTGCACGTCAGACGCTAGTCATCCGCATGCACTGCACGCAGGCTGGGATCGAAGCGCGCGCATAGCAGCATCGTACTCCGTGCCACACGCGGGAGGTCACGTCGGCTCTCCCGTGCCGGTGTCTGACCTGAATAGTCCCCCCTGAGCCTGAGGTGGGCATTTGACATCATACCTCCGCAAGCCGCGGGCTAGAGGCCGCGGCGATCGGCGGCGAAGCGCACATCCGTGTCGCAAGAAGTCAGCACGTAGCCATGCCCGGGCGCTTCGTCGAGACGTCCCCCACGGACCCGACCCACGAAGGAGCCTCCCCGAGGAGGAGCAGCTCGGTGCGCCCCCGATTCCGCACCGCGCCAAAAACGGCGCATAGCATGCGATTTAATTGTCAAAATCGTCGCGCGGTCCGCCCGACTCGCCCGGTAAGTCCTCGACGGCGCCGGACCCCGCGACGTTCTGGACCCCGCCAGTCGTGCTCCCCGCAGGCCGCCACCGCGTCGAGCACCCGCGGCAGCAGCCGCCAGACCGATTTTTTGTCGCCCAGTGAGGCCGATGCCACCGACTCGAATCGCGACCGCGCCTTCGCCTACGCCACGCTGCTCACCAGGTAGGGCCACCTGCCAGCGCTCTGGAAGCCACGCCGCTGCCGCGCGCCGCCCCTGCCGCCCGCGCTGGCCGGCCGCCCGCGCGCCTCTCTACTCATATTCCGCCCAGCCCTGCGTCTATCACCCACCGTGCTCGCGATATCGGCCCCGCACACGCCATTTGGGGATGTCGCCGTCATCGCCCGCGTCCCGCGGCCGCCCCGCCCGGCAAGCCGAGTCTCCCGCTCCGCCGCCCCTCCGCAGGGACGGGTATCTTCCGGGCGCGCTGTGCCTGCAGAGGAGCCTGCGACTCGCCAGGTGCCAGCACCCGCTGCTGGTGTTGCACACCGACACACTGAGCGACGCCGCCGTCCGCCAGCTCGAACAGGAGGGCTGCAAGATGGTCCGCGTCGACCGCTACCTCCCCGCAGGTTCGACACTTCAACCCCCGGCCCCCCTTTCCCTCCCTCCTCTCCCCAATTTCAGAGTGCACAGGGCGTGCTTCCCGCGACCACGAGCGCCCGCGCCCGGCCCACCGATGCGCGCAGACATGGACCCCTCGCAGTACAAGCTGTCGCTGTACGCCGAGTGCTGGACGAAGCTGCGGCTGTGGGATCTGGAGCAGTACTCACGCATTGTGTATCTCGATGCGGACATGGCGGTGACCAGGAACATCGACGAGCTCTTCGACCTGCCCCCGGGCTTCTACGCCGTCCCGGACTGCTCCTACGGCCGCCAGTCGCAGGAGGAGCGGGACAAGTGCCCGCTGTTCCACGCAGATGCTGCCGGGGCGTACTTCAACGCCGGGATGTTCGTTATGGCGCCGAGCCGCGCGGAGGCGGCGCGCTTCGAGCGGCTGCTGCGCAGCGGGGAGGTCCGCGTCGGCGGCTTCGCCGAGCAGGACTTTTTGAACGAGATTTACGCGGGGGAGTGGCGCGCGCTGCCCGTCGCCTTCAACGCGCAAAAGTTCATTCGCATGCACCACCCCGACCTGTTCGACGTCGATAGCGTCGCGATCATCCACTACACCGACGCCAAGCCGTGGCACCGCGAGCACCCGGAACACGAGAATTTCCAAGACATCGTCAATCTGTGGTGGAGTATCTACGAAGCCGGGAATGCTGACCGCATGCACGCTGCAGCCGCCGGCGGTGCGAAGGCCGCTGGCGGCCGCGTCGACGGGGCGGGTGCGGCCATCGAGCCGGCAGCGCTGGCGTCGACGGGCACCGTAGGCAGAGCGATCAGCCAGGCAAAACGCGCCCAGGTGCTTGCGGTGCCGCAGCGCGCAGCGTCTGCGTGCCGCGTCATGGTGTCGCCGTCGGCGTGATGGGTGTGAAGGGCGGTGGCGTGTTCGCGGGTGTCTGTGGCGACCCCTGTACACCCCTGAATTCGGTCACCGCGTCTGCTTCAGACTCGCAACATGCGGGGTGCGCAGGGGGTTGTGAGTGTAGTTTGGGGGTGTCGCGTGGTGTGGAGAACACCGCTGTGTCGACCTCGGAGTAACACAACGCACGTCGCAGTGACTATCACGTCTTCTGTGCGGGTTTCTGCCCGGAATGACCCCCCGCCTTGTGCCTCATATCCAGGGCATGTTGCGAGTCGTCGAACTCGTCCTCCTCCTCGTCGAACGCATCCTCATGACCCCAGTGCGAGCTCCCCTCTCCGTGCCCCGCACTGCCCTCGCGATGGCTCGCAGCGGCCGGCGTGCCGCGCGAGGCCCCCTGCGAGGCCCGGCCCCCCTCTGTGTGGCCCGCGCCAAACGGCTGCGAGCCCGCGTCGTCCTGGTCCTCGTCCTGGTCCCCGTCCTGGTCCTCGTCCCACTCCCCGTAATCATCATAATCGTCGTCGTCGTCGTCGGCGGCGGCGGCGTGGCCGATATCAGCTGCGTGGGTTGTCGGGCCTGTCGGGGTCGTATCGGCTCGTGCGCCCGCGTGGTGCCCTCTCGTCAACGCGTCGACGGAGCTGTCTTGGTCGGCGCTGTCGTCGTCCTCTCCGTCGTCGCTGACACGCTCTGTGCCGCCCAGGGGGGGTCCCGTGGAGACTCCCGCACGCCCTGACGTGGCAGTCCGACCCGCCGGCGTCGCGTCGTCCCAAGATCCGGCACGCTGGTCGTCGGCGCTCAGCCGCGGCGCATGCGTGCGGGATCCGGTACTCCCTCCCGACCCGCGCGGAGGGGGAGTGCCAGCAACACCCCCCGCCCCCAACTCCTCTTCCCCGTACGCCCCCTGGCGCGGATCCACCTCGTCCTCAGCCCCGCGCTTCGCCGCCTGCGTGAGGAAGTCGCGCATCCGCCCTGCCTCGCCGGAGCCGCTGTGGCCGCTGTGGCTCCCGCCGTGCGCCACGCCCGCCGCAGCGAAGTGCGGCACCTTCGCGCCAGGCTCCATGAAGTCCTCGATCGACCGCGACGCCGCCTGCGGCGCGTGGCGCCCCCCGCGTCCCGTGTACTCCAACGCGGTGCCGTTGACGCCCCCCCCCGACGCTACGACGGCCTCCACCGCCTCGATCGCCTCCACGAGACCCGCGTCCGCCTCGGACAGGTCCGCGACCAGCCTGTCGTACGCTGCGTCGGACTCGATCGACAGCCCCGCCACTGCCGCGGCCAGGGAACGCAGCCCAGCTTGGAGCCTCACCAGAGCTTGCGCCGACACCGGCACCGCGGCCAGGGCCGCGGACGCAGCCGGACTTGCAGAGAGCCCGCACTGTGCGTCCTCGTCGTCCTCGTCCAGGTCCCCTTCGGTGCCCAAGCGCTCCCGGAGGCAGGTCGCGAGCTCACTAGCAGCCGCAGTAGTGAGGGTGCCGGAGAGCTTGCCGCTCGGGTCCCGCTTGAAGGCGTCGGACACAGCGGCCAGCAGATCGCTGTTCTCGCGCTCCAGCGCGCTCGCTTCTTCGATCTGCGCAGCACCCGGGCCACCACGACACTTCACGTCAGACCCGCGCGTCCCGACTCGTCGCACGCGCGCGTCCGCTGCGCCACGCGTCGTCTCGCCGCGCCGTCCGGCACAGTGCAGCCCCAAGAGTGACGCAAAGAGGGGGGGAGCGTTTATTGTCAGACCCACCTTGGCGTCGTAGTCACTCTCGAGGGCGTCGATCTTGTGCTGGAGCTGGGCGCACCTCGACTCGCACGGCGCGCACGTGCTGCAGGGCGGGCACGTCGCCGCCGGGCGACCCCTGCCACCGCCGTCGGCGCCCGCGGACACGACCCCGTCCTGTTCTTGGCTGGACGCGGCGTACACGTCGGTCTCCCGGTCGCGCCCAGCGCTCTGGCTGCGGAGACCGTCTGGGTGGCGCGAGGAAGCGAAGCCGCGCGTCCGGAAGTACCCGAAGAGCAGGAGCGCGACCATGACGCCCAGGAGCACGCGCTGGATCCCTGGTCCGAGCCGCCTGAAGCCCCGAAACGCCAGCACGATGGAGCGGAACGGACAGAGGAAGATCTTGAAACCTACGGATTCGTCGCACCCTCCCGCCCCGGACCTGCAGGCACCGATCGGGCGCAGTGAGCTCTGGCGCTGGCGGGCAGTGCGGCAGGCTGCGTGACGTGGCGGACAGCCGGCCCCGGGGACGGCATGTGCGACACGTGCATTGTGAGGAGATGCGCATGAGATTGCAATCGTGCGGGAACCGGCCGGGAGGCGCCGGTCAGCGACATCGGAAGAGGCTGCAGATCGGTTGTCGTTCCAGCGCCCGCCACAAAGAGCGCTGGACTTGACGCTCACCGTCGGTCGAAGCGGTCTCTTGGTAGGATGGCTGTCATGTTGTTTTACGGCCCAGAACTGCGGTACAACGGAGCTCCTGCAGCGTTGGCTCGCTGCTCCCCACAGCCGGCTCACCCCCTGTCGTCTGCGACGCCCCGCCCGCAGAGAGACGTCTCGAAGACCGGTCTCCTCGTTGCGCGACCTTCGTCTGCGAACGAGGCGCGTGCGTTCGGACCTCGCAGCGTCTAGGACTAGCAGCTCATCAGAGGACAATGCCTGCGCTCTCGAGGTGCGCTCCGGGCATTGGATGCCTCCGTACGTGTTCCGAACATGCCGTGGTGGCCTCACAGCCTCTCGCATTCGTGGCCCCGCAAGCAGCCGGGTCCTTGACACCCCCAGGTACATCCCCTCAACGAGTTGAGTCAGGTCAGCCTCCCCAGCTCCGTGGCGGACCTGCAGCGGCGCGCCCGGCTACACCGAGGCCGCCTCGTACTCGCCTCGACACTCCGCAGCACTTGCGGATATTCATACCGGGGCAACACCCCCCTGGACCAATTCATCGCTCAGCCATGCCTGCGTGTCCCGGCCCGCAGTCCGCAGGGTCTCGACGCGCGCCCCCCGCCCGCAGCGACGCTCTCGCCGCCCTATGGGCCACACAGCCCTCCCCACAGTGACTCGGCAGGCATTGGCCAACTTTGTTTCACAATCCCAACGAAAGCGCCGCGTCCTCAGATGTGGAACGTGTTGCCGTACCGCCGCCCGCCGGCGTTGCTCTCCCCGGAATACTCGAGCATCACCTTGGTCGGGCTCCCGCTGCTGCTGGTCAGACTCATGCGGAGACTCCCCGTGACGTGGTACGTCAGGCTCAGCTGCGTGTTCATCTCGTTCGCCCGCATCTTCCGGCTCACCGCGGCCTGCAGACTCCGCCCGAACTGCACCTCCACCTCGGCGCCCACCTGCAGGCTCGCCAGCACCTTGCTCGGGTCCGCGGCGGGGTCGAGCGACAGCAGCCCGGACACCGACGGCGCGCTGACGAGCCGCCACCGCGCCTTCCCGAGCCGCCCCTGGCTCTCGATCTTCGGCAGGAGCGACGACACGGTCGACGACGCCAGGTGCGGCAGCGCGAGCTGTCCGTCCTCCAGCAACAACGACGACTGCAGCTGCTCCTCGAAGACAGCGGCGGCCTCCTCCGGGTCGAGCCGACCGGCGTCCGTGGCCTTCGCGCCCGCGGAGGGCCCGCCGTACGCGATCACGAGCCCGTCCTGCCACCGCGAGGCACGTCCCTGGATCGTGTAGCGCAAATTCGCTGCTCCGCCCGACAGGAAGCTGACGTCGACGGAGGGGTCCAGGCCCTGCTCGGGAATGAAGACCACGCGGTTCGGGTGGTCCCGGGACAGCACGAGCGACGTCGCGACCAGGTTGACCTCGCCGCCGTCGAACAGGATGGAGCCTGCGGGACGGAGGGCGTCGGGGTTGGACGCCGGGCCGCTGATGTCGACCTGGCCCTGGAGGCCGAAGGTCATGACGAAGGGGTACGTCGCGCGGAGCTCCGGGCCGAGTTTCACGCGGAGATTGTCCAGGGTGACGTCAGCAGCGGCGGGGCCGGGCTGCGGCGCGGGCTGCGCGCCGTCCTGGCCGCGCATGAGCGCGCGGAGCGTGTTGTGGACGCGGTCCTCCGCGGCGGAGCTGCTGGACGCGGTTTGGGGCGCGGAGGGGTTCGAGGTGGAGGGGGAGTCGGCAACGAGCGCGGGACCCCCCCCCTGCGGGACGAGGTAGATGGTCCCCCGGGAGAGGTTGACGTGGCCGCCGACGCGCGGCGCGAAGAAGGAGCCCTGGACGCGCAGGCGGGAGTCCAGCGAGCCCGTGTACGTGTTTCGGACCTTGAGCTCCAACCCCCTGCAAAGTCAGACACACAGGTGGTTCGAGGGAATGGACAAGGCGCACTCGGTGATCTTCGACTTGCGCAGACTCGCGGACGTCGCTGGACCACGCGACACACGGAAACGCAGAGGGAAAACACCCCCCCCTCTTTCCGAACAGACCGCACCTGGCCTCCACGTCCAGCAGGCCGGGCCCGCCCCGCAGCGGCCCCTGCCCCGGCGCAGGCGGCGGGCCTTGCGGCTGCGCGGCCTCCGCCGCCTGCCCCGACGCCGGCGCGCGCAGCGGCAGCGCGCCCGTCGCGCGGAAGTGTCCGCGCTTGCCCACGCGCGCGTCCAGCATTTCCACTTGCAGGTCCGAGTTGTCCGCGCGGATCACGGCGTTCAGCTGGCTGATCGGGTACCGCGTGTACGGGCAGGACACCGCGCCGCGCGAAATGATCGCCAGCCCGCTCACCGCCGGGTCCTTCATGGTTCCGCGGACCTCAAGCCCGATGTCAGCCGAGCCGTTCTGCCACTTCAGGGGGGGGTTGAACACGGACAGCAGCGTCAGGCCGGAGTCCTTGATCGCGGCGTCGACCGCGACGTCGTCGGGGCCCAGGGGCGCTTCCGCGACGTCGCCGAGCACGTCGGGGGGAGTGAGGGAGGCTGGGTCAGGCACGGGCGCGTCGCCGCGGCCGTCCCCGGCGGGCCCCGCAGACTGCTCGGCCGCGGCCGCGGCCGCGCTCGGTTCGCCTGCGGCGCGCGGCGGGCCGAGCGGCAGCGAGCCGCGTACGTGAGCGCGCCCTGGCAGGTCTCTGGGCTCGAGCTCGATCGTGAAGGTGAGCCGGCGGTCCTGCGTGACCTCCGCGACGGCCTGCGCCTTCTCGAGCGCCGTGGCGCCGACGACGCCGTCCGCGAGGTGCACGACCATCTTGCCCGTCGGTCTCTGGGTAGACCCCCCCAGAGTCCCCCGGAGGTGTATCCGGCCGTCGACGGGCCCGCGCGGCGTCGTGACGCGCTCCTGCGACTTCACGAACGGCAGCGCGCCCACCACGCCCTTCTTGATGCTCGCTGCCTGACTCGAGGACACCCCCGCGTCCGCCGACGCCGCCGACGGGCCCCCGGGGCCGAACGCGCGGAACAGCGGCTGCAGCCACGACGCAGGCAGCTCCTTCACCGTGATCTCCGCGTCCTGCCGCGGGCCCAGCAGCCGCCCGCGCGCCTTGAGCGCGCTCTGCCCCGCCCGCAGCTCCAGGTCGTCCAGCTGCAGGCCCTCGCGGTCCGTCCAGCCGCCGCGGACGACCGCGGAGCCCAGCGAGTACTCGCCCCACACCATGTGCTCCCCGCCGAGGTCGAAGTCGACGGCCACCGCGTTGCTCGAGCCGCCGCCGTACGCCTGGATCACGCCCCTCCAGCGTCCCCGCAGGTCCTGCAGGCCCGGCAGCGCCGGCCGCGGGCCGCTCGGCGCGCTCGCGGCCGCGCCGGTCTTCGCGGCCCTGCGCGCCGCGGCGCCCTTTGCGCCGTCGGCGCCGGAATCGGCCACGTCAGCGCTATCAGGGACGCCTGAGTCGGTGCCAGCAGACCCCCCCATCGCCTCGTCGGCCTCCTTCGCGGCCTCGATCGCGGCCGTGCGGACAGGGTCCGCCGCGCGCGCGGCGTCGCGCGTGCCCCGCCACGCCGACCGTACCACGCCGTCGAGCTGCTGACGCAGGGACTCGGAATGGACCCCTGCTGACGTCAGCGCGTCCAGGAACCGCGCCTTCGCGTCCAAGTACCCCCCGAGCGGCGTGTGCGACGTCGCCCGCGACAGCAAGTTCGCTGCGGGGAGGATCTCGTGCAGCTCGGCCGACGGAACCGACACCTGCCACCGCCACCGCCCCGTATTGCGTCCCGCGCCGGCGCCGCCGAGCGGGCCCAGCGGAGCGCTCGCGCCGTGCGCGCCCGGCGCCGCCTCCTGCAGCGCCGCCGCCATGTCCGAGATCGTCGCCGGGAGCCGCTGGTGTGGCGGAAACATGTACTCCGCCTGCACGTTGTACCGCGAACGGGCCTGCTGGAGCCAGCCGCGCTCCAGACGGACGAGGTCGTCCTCCCAGCGGACGTACCCGCAGACGGACTCGCCCTGCACGCCGGAGAATTTCGGGTTCTGCACATCGATGGCGCCGCGGCCGAGGCGTTCGGTGAAGTTGAGGTCGACAGACAACTCGCGAAGGTTCCCGCGGAGGGACGCGAGCTCGAGCTCGTCGAGCGGGAGGCCCGAGACGTCGAGGCGGGCGTGGCTCCCCGCGGGGTTGACGCTCGCGTTGACGCGCATCGGGCCCTGCGTCAGCTTAAACTCCCCCCCGAGCTGCGGCGCGGCGTCCGGCGCGCGGGCCTGCCGCGCGGGCGCGTCGGCGTCGTCCGTGGACAGCCGGAGCGTGAGCTGCTCGGACGCGGCGACCCCGCGCGAGGACCCCGCCGTGCGGACTTCTACCGCGTCCTGACTCAGGTGGATGTGCCCCTCCTGACTCATGACGAGCGGCAGCTGGTTCGCGCGGATGCCCTGCAGACGCAGCGCGCCCTCGAGCTCGGGCTTCACGCTGCGCTGCCCGGCAACGATCCGCGGGCCCGCCGGGCCCTCGTGCGGCAGAACGACGTTCCCTGCGGGCGCGGCATTGCTGCTGTTGCTGCTGCTCGCGCCCGCAGGCCGCCCCTGCCGCGGCCGCACCGCGTTCGGGATCCCCGGCCCGGCCTTGGACACGCCCTGCGGCATGACCGTCCGCGGCGGCAGCGGCGCAGCCTCCCGGACAGACCAGCGCGCCAGAGGACTCCCGGGGGTGTCCGCCTCCGCCCCCTTGTTCGCCACGCGGCCCTTGAGCGACACCGCCCCGCTCAGCCGCATCCTCACCGGCTGTGGACGGTCGCCTGGCGCCTGGCCTTGCAGCAGCGGCAGCAGATCGGCATTCCGCAACCTCAATTCACCGTCCACGGCCTCAATCAGCGGCTGCCCGGCCCAGAACGCCTCCTCCTGCGTCGCGGCCGCAGCGGCCAGCTCATGCGGCGCGCCCTTGGTGTGCAGCGTCGCGTCCAACATCGCCTCGGGACTCTGCAGCCGGAGGCGCGTGCGGTCCCGAACAAGCTCCACGTCGCCGCGCGCCGACGCCTCCGGCGCCTCCACGCGCGCGGTGATTCGCGGCGCGAGGTGCGACCCCTCCATCGAGCCCTGGCAGTTCACCGCTCCGATGCGCATGCTGGGCGGCAGCGGTCCAGCGCCTGGCGGCAGGTATCGCGGCAGCAGGCGGTCGCCGTCGAGGGCGCTGGCGTCCAGGTGCATCGACACCGCGCTCGGGTGCGCCTCCGCCTCGGGCGCGAGCCACATGCGTCCGGACCCGGAGATCCGTCCGCCGTCCGAGGGCTCCGCGTGGAAGGCGTGCAAGTGGCACATCTCCGTGGAGGTGTCGACGGTGAACACCGCGCTGGCGCGGGAGAACGGGATCTTGTCGTACGCTGCGACGGCGCCCGGCGTGGCCTCCATGACGTCCTGCGCCCACGACGACGGCGCGTGTGCGAGCATGTCGCCGGTTGGGACCACGGCGACGACCGTGCCCGAGAAAATGGGTTTCTCGAGGGGGCCGGTGACGTGGACGATGCCGCGGGCGGCGCCGGAGGCCGGGAACGGGAGGGGCCGGACGCCGAGGGTGCAGCGCAGGGCGTTGAGCTCCACGCCGGGGGACTCGGCGGACAGGCGGTACTGGCCGTAGTCAGGGTTGAGGTCCATGTCGCCTGCGAGACAGCGGCTCGGACACCTTTGGTGAGTTCGCGTACTTGCGTGGACCCGCGTGCACTTGCGTGGATCCGAGTGGCGGCAGCGAGCGATAGATCCGCACACACAAACACACTGGGCCTGCTGGGCGCCCGCGGCGCCGGCTGCTGAGCGCGCGACGCAAGCCGGCGAGCAGGCAGCGCGAGCTGTGGCGGCACGCACCTGTCACGTGCACCGGGATGGCGCCGTAGCACCCCCGTGCATTGTGGAAGTACAGTCGCTTTCCCTCGAATAGCAGGTCCATGTCGCAGGCCACGATGTCGTCCGGCGCGTCCCAGAAGTGGAAGTCCGCGCCGCGCACCTGCACGCGCCCGAACAGCAGCGGGAACGCCCACGACTCCTCGTCGCACGACCGGATCGTCAGCGTGCCGCTAATGGTGCCGCGGTCGATGTCCAGCGGGATCTCGAGGGACCGCTCGAGCATCGGCATGTCCACATTGCGCGCCCCGATCGTCACGGTGAGGTCCGCGGACCGCCCGGGCACCAGGATGTTCGAGCAGCGGACTTTGATGGAGACGTGAGACGGAGGCGCCTGGACCTGCGACCGCAGCTCCTGCTGCCGCCGGCCGACGCGCAGGGACGGCTGCACCGCGAGGGCGTGCGCAGGGTCGTTCGGGGACTGCACGACGACCGCGTCGACCTTGGGGGGGACTGTCGGGGCACTCCCCAAGGTCTGCAGCGCAGCGTCGGTGGGGGCGCTCGGCGCCGCGCCTGCGCTGCTGGACGCGGGCGCAGGGGCCGGCGCCGGCGCAGACCCATCGAACTCGAACTCGAGGCCCGTGTCGTACGGCACCTCAGAGTAGCCAGGGAGCGTGCTGCGCAGGTGCCGCTTCGACGTTGCTGACGGCATCGTCACTTTGCGCTGCGTGGGGTGCCGGACGCCCGGCGTGGCGGACACGTCGACCTCAAGCGTCCTGTACCCCTTCCCGAGGAAGAGCCGCCCGTTCACGGCGTCATACCTCCGGGGGAGTGTTTCGTCCACGGCAAACACGTCGATGCTTCCGTTCGTCAGCGTCAGACCCCCGAACTCCACGTTCGGCGCCGGGAGGTGCCGCGCGAGGTCCACCGCCGCGGCCGCGATGCTCCGCCCGAGCCGCTGCATCGCGATCTCCACCTGCCCCGGTGCGCTCTCCCCCTTGGCCGCCTCATCTGTTCGCGCCGCCGGTGCGGGCGCGCGCGGCGCCGCGGGCGCCCGGTGGTGCGCCGGCAGCCGCGACCGCCCCGTCGTGATCCCGGACGACCCCCGCGCCTCCTTCTCCCCGCGCTGCGCCTCCGCGCGCCCCGCAGCGCCGCCCTGCGTGCGCTCGTCGCCCGCCGCAGAACTCTTCCCGTCCTCCGCGCCCTTCCGCTCGAGCTGCGCCGCCGCCGGCTCCGACGCCGTGCCCGCGCCCTGCGCTGCGTCCGCGCCCGCGCCCTCCGCCGTGCGGGACTTCGCTTGCCGCATGGAGGTCGCCGCCTCCTGTATGGCGCGCACCTTCTGTTCCTGGCGCGTAACTGCTTCCGTGAGATCGCGAATGACCTTCTGGGCGCGTTCCCGGCGGTTGAGCGGCTTGACGGGGCCCGGAACGGGCCTGTCCGACTGCTCCGTGGACCCGGCCGGCGCCGGGGCGGCAGAGGAGGTGTCTTGATCTGTGTGTTGTGTGTCATGGCTAGAGGGCTGCGGCGCAACTCCGGGGCCGCGGGACGCTAGGTCCGGGGCGCTGCCCAGCGCGGTGCGGCGCAGCACCTCCGTGACGATGGCGTCGCGGGACGCGTCGTCGTCGGACGGCGGGGATGGGGGGGAGTCGACAGCGGCGGGGGGAGTGTCGCTGACGTCAGGGGCCTCCTGCGCCGAGGGGAGCGGCTCCTCCGCCGTGGAGGCGGCAGTACCGGGTCCTCCCTGCGCGACCGCGTCCGTCCCGGGCGCGGCGTCGTCGGGAACCTCCTCGGGAGGACTCTCGAAGACACCCCCACCTTCTTGGACAGCCCCCTCCGCGGCTGCAGCAGGCTCAGCCTCCTCGACGGCGTCAGCCTCCTCGACCTTGCGGACCTCGTCCTCGCCCGACGCAGCGGACGCCCGCCACGCGCGACTCGACACCCCCTCCACCAGCTCGGGACGCCCCTCCCTGACCTGAGCCGTCATGCCCTGCGCCCGCGACGCCACCGGCCGCGGCATCCGCACTCCGCGCCCCTGCGTGCCGCTCCCGGCCGCCGCTGCGTCGCTTCCCATCACCGCACGCGCGCTCAGAGACATCGACCCTCCCTGCGCGCCGTCGCCCGCAGGCGGCACAACGACCGCCTGCTCCTGCCCGCTCCCCTCCGCTGCTTCGCTCGCCTGGCCCGTCCGCGCCTCGGCGTTCTTGCTCTGCCGCTGGAACACCCCCGCGAACCACCCGCGCGACGGCCCCGCGTCGGCAGCTCCCTTGGACTCCCCCCCGGGTCTCTGGGGGGCGTCGGCGTCAGCGACGGTCGCAACGAGGTTCCCGGCCGCTCCGCGCGCGAGCGTGATGGACGCGACGGGCCCGCCGCGGTCAGACGGCGGGCCAGCGCGGAACTGCGTCCGCTGGTCCGCGCTGCCGCGAGCGGCCTGCGCACCGCCGTTGCCGCTGCGCTGCGCGTCGCGGCGCTGCTGCTGAGCGTCGCGCACGGGCGTCGCGGGCAGCTGCGGAGGCTCCTTCGGCAGCCCGGGCACCCAGTCTTGCGCAGAACCGTCCTCTGCGCGCACACACCGCGTTGTCGTACTCAGCAACACAAGTACACAAACAACATAGTTTCCTCATCGCGCGAGAGCCCGCGACCGTCGCCGCACGGGCCCGGCCGAACGGCGGGGCGCTGGGGGCAGGGGGGGTCTCGACTGACCTGTGTCGACGGGGTTCCCGAACCAGGAGAAGTTCTGACATTGTACAAGCTCCAAGTGCGGGTTGTCGACGTGCGCGGTGAGCACGACGCGGCCCCGGAGCGCGGTCTGGACCGGGTCGATGCGCACGGTGGCGTGCGGGACCGTCAGGCTGCTGCGTTCGGGCGCTGCGTCTGTGCGCGGTCCGACGTATAGACCCTCGAGCTGGACCGACAGGCCGGTCACGGAGACGCCCTGGACGGACTTGACGGTCACGTCGCGGCAGAGGACGGTGGACGCGGTCCGCGTGATGTTCGGCATCTGGTCGTTGAGCGCGCGCACGCCCCACCGCGACGCCGCGAGGTTGGCGAGCGCGCAGAGGAGGCCCACCACGGCGCCCACGCGCGCAGTGATCCGCACGATCGGGACGGAATCGAGCGTCTCGAGCGCCGCGACGACGAACGCGAAGGCCTTGCGCGCCAGCTGTCGCAGGGCGGCGGCGCAGGCGGTTGTTTGGGCAATGACCTTGTCCCAGGCGGCTCTGGCGTTGCGCTTGAGGGACCGCATGTAGGCTCCGCGCTCCCAGGGTCCGCGCTCGACCGCAGGATCGCTGTCGTCGCCGGGGTCGACGGAGTTCGGCCCTCGCCACGCCGCCCGGCGGGCCCAGGCGAAGCGCTGCACGTTGGGCCCGAAAGCCGCCCGCCGCGGGGGAGCCGTGACGTTGCGGGCCTCGCCCGGCGCAGAAAAGGCTGCGATCTGCGTGGGCGTCGGTTTCGGACTGATGGCCCGGCACCGGCGCGGGGCGAGCGGAATGAGGCCACCTGCATACGCGAACGGGCGGGCTCCGCGTGGTGATTCCGGGCCCGGAACGTCGCGGATGGCGCGAGAAATCAGACCTCCAGTACGTTCTTGAGCGGGAATAACCACGCAGGGAGGGCGGGGTGCGGTGCCACGGCGCGTGTTCGTTCAACCAAGGCCGTGCGGGTGCACTGCGCCGTCGACATGTCGCTTGCATGGGATGGCCCGCCGGATCCACTCACCCGCGGCGACGGTGCGGCCCCGGGACGACTGCATCTTGGCGCCGACGGTCCAGCCGCCGCGGAATCCCGCGCTCAGGCAGCGGCGCGGGCCTAGGTCTGGCTGGGCAGCTCGCAGTCGCCGCAACCGTCGAGTGTGAGCATGTTCTGCGCCGTCCGGCCGCCGACCCAGTGCCTAGGATGTCTGAATGCCGCCCGAGGAGAACACGATCGGATTCCCCGACGGCCGAGCCGGGCGCTACCGGGCCGGATTGCACAAGCACTGCTCTCTCGTGCCACGCGGGGGCACCGGCGGCCGACGACCTGCCAGAGAGTGTGGCGGCGGGCGGGAAGCCGGCGCCGTCGAGCCCGAGCCTCGCGGCGGCGTGGTCCGCCCAGGTCGGACGCGTGGTGGAAGACTGGGCACAGGGCAGTGTACCCCCGGGGCCCCAATGCACCAGAGCGCGTGCTTCACGGGCCACGCGGTCCCCCGGTGCTCTCACAGCGCATCGAGGCCGCCTTGATGCACACTCAGAGTCGAGAAGCGACAAACAGGGACACGCAACTTACTCTCTGGCTCGCCACGTCCGATGCGCAGCGTGTCCGGCCGCGGAACCGCGCGCTGCCACGCGCAGGCGCGCGCTAGCGGCCGCGCGCGCCCGGCGCTGAGGTCGTTCCGCGCCCCTGCGCAGCGGCGACGCAACCTTGTGTGCCATCAGTCCCGCCAGGCAGGAAACGGCCTCCGCGCGACGTCCCTGGACGCTCCCGTCCAGCAGACGCAGCGCGATGCGGTGAGCGAGGAGTGGTTCCGCTGGGACAGGCACTGGTGGCCCGTGGAGCTGCTGTACAACGCCGAGGACGCGGACCCTGCTAGGCCTCTGCGCACGACGCTGCTGGGCGAGGATTTCGTGCTGTGGAAAACAGGTCAGGCGCGCCCCGCGCAGAGACACACATCCCGCGTGCGAGACGCGCGCACCGCGGCCGAGCGCGTTCCGTCCGTCGCTGCGACGCTGCGAGCAAATGGCGGCATCGATCCGTCCTGTCACGCTATCGTACACGCGCACGAGCGAACGCTCGCGCCTCCCCACCCCGCGCCGCATCTCCCGGCGCCGGCCCGCGCTTCCGGCCGTCACCAACGCGCCGCCCCGACCGCGTCGCAGGCGGCCAGTGGCGCGCAGCACGCGACGCGTGCCCACACAGGCTGGCGCCGATGAGCGAGGGGCGCGTGGACGCGGATGGCACGCTCGTGTGCTCCTACCACGGCTGGCGCTTCTCCGAGAGCGGCAACTGCGTCGACATCCCCCAGGCGGACACGGAGGCGGCTTTGCGCACCGCATGCAGCAGCCCCCGCTCGTGCCTGTCGACGGTGCCGGTGCGCGCGTTCGCCGGCGCGCTGTGGCTCTGGCCCGACGGCACGCCCGAGGGCGCCGCGGTGGCCGACGCCACCCCCCCCGTGGTGCCTGTCGGGTTCGACGAGTTTATGGAGTACTCTGGACGAGTCAACCCTGAGTCAACCCGCGGTTATACCAGGCTGCTGCCGTACGGGTGAGTGCGCCTGCCGCAGCGCGCGCCTCGCGCTGCGCCCGCGCGCCCATCGGGCAGGCTGCCGCGATGAAGTGGGCGTTTGTGTTTGCAAGGTGTTGGGGCGTGCGGTGGTGGGGGATGACGTTCGGTGCGGGCGCGTGCTGCGTTGCAGGTACGACGTGCTCGTGGAGAACCTCGCGGACCCGTCGCACATCCCGGTGTCGCACCACAAGGTGATGCCGGGGGTCACGCGCGACAACGCCACGCACCTCCGCATGAGCGAGGACGCGTTCGTGCACGAGTGGGGCTGGGCGACCGCGCAGCGCGACGGCGCGGCGTCCGCCACCGCGGCGCTCGCTCCGCCGATCGGGGCCTTCTCGTTCAACAGCGTGTTCAAGCCGGGCAACCACGGCCACGTGGAGGTGCGCGGGCCGAGCTTGATCGAGTACCGGTACGCGGACTCGGCGGACGTGCGGGAGGAGAAGTGGATTTCGACAGTGCTGATGGCGGTGCCGGTCGCGCCGGGCCGCAGCCGCGCGTTCGTGTTCGGGTGGAACGCAAAGGATCATGCGGCGGCCGTGGCGGCGCGGAGCGAGGCCGGCGGCGAGGAGGGCGGGGGCACGAAGAGCGGGAGCTTCGTGGGGGGCGGGGGGGGCCTGCGTCAGGTGGTGTTTGGGCTTCTACCCAAGTGGATCTTCCATATGCTGTCGCACAAGATCTTCGACAGCGACGGAGTGTTCCTGCACATGCAGGACAAGCAGCTCAGGTGCGTGCGCGCCGCCCGAGCCCGCGGATCGCTCGGACTGTGCGCGCGCGAGCCGAGCAAGGGACGTGCAAATGTTTCGGTGTTGTTTCTTCGGGCGCTTCCACGCTGCCGTGCCGGCGCAGATGAACAAGCCCTCGCGTACATAATCAGTGAACATAAGCGGCGCTGCTAGCGTTTCGATCAGCGCATGCAAGTCGACGCTCCCGCGCACACTCATTGCTCGACGCAGGCACCGCGGTGGGCGCTGGGCTTCGGCGTACTACTGCCCGACGTCTGCGGACAAGGCCATCATCGCGTTCCGCAAGTGGCTCGACGGGCCGGGCGGCGGCGGGCCGCAGTGGGCGCCGGGCACGCCCGCAGCGGACGAACGAGAGATCCCGCGCGAGGTGCTGCTTGACCGGTACACCTCGCACACGAGGGACTGCAAGGTGTGCAAGCGCGGGCTGCGGCAGGTGGAGCGGGTGCGCGCGGTTGCGGCGGCGCTGGCCGGCGCCGCGGCGTTCGCGGTGCTTGCGACGGTGACTGCAGCGGGGGCGCAGGCGGGGGGGGTGTGGGCGATGAAGGGGCGGCTGGTTGCGGGGGCGGCAGTGGCGGCGGCGGCGGTCTGGGTGCACAGGAAGGCGTCGGCGCTGCGGCAGTCCTTCATGTTCGTCGACTGGGTGCACGCCGACGTCAAGTAATTGACCACCCGCGCACGAAACGAAATGCGGGCTGGGATCACATGCGACGCGCGGAGCGTGCGCAGCTGGACGGAACTGTCTGTAACTGTACATCAGGGTTGGGCGATGGAGAGCGGGGCCGGTGCGGTGGTGAATCGTGGGGGTCTGTTGCGAGCGTTGTGGGCAGCGATTGCCGGGGCTGTTCGATCGGCGTGGATCTGAGCAGTGCCAGGCGGTGTACTGTGCGTGCTTAGCAAGTGCGATGTGCGCGGAAAGATCGGTCGAGGGGGGGGGTCTTGTGCTGCCACTGTGATCCGCAGCTCGTCGCATTTGTTCCGTGCGAACGAGGGGGGAGCGGGCAGTCGGCGGCTCGGCGCACGGAGGGCCGCCGCTGGTGCGACGAGCGTGCGCGCCCCTCGTCAGCGCTGCCCTCGCCAGGCAGATACACGACGTTGCATGAAAACGGCCTAGTTCCTTCGTTTCCGCTGCGCACGGCAACAGGCTGGGGTCGGGGAGAAGGCGGGCAGGGAAGGCAGGGGAGCGGGGGGGTTCCGAGTGCGCGTCAGCTACGGGGTCCGTCCTTGACAGGGAGCAACGCCCCAGCCATGAGGCAGTCCTTGTATTTGCCGTAGCCGCGCCGAACCATCACGAAGTGGTAGCGTCCCAGCGGCGCGTCGTCGTCCGCGCGGGCCTCGACCTCGACGACAGCCTCCGAGCCGGGCGGGGGCGCGGGGAGGCCCTCCGCGCCCGCAGCGGCAACGGTCTTGATGTCGTACGAGGCCAACCCGCACAGCTTTCCGACTTCGCCGTTCTGGAACATCCCGAGGAAGTGGTCGAAGTGATACACTGCGAGTACCGTGGCGGAGCCACCGACCATCAGCCGCCAGCGCAACCGAAGACATGGCACACAGCCCGCCTGGCAGGGGCGGTGCGGCGGTGCTGCGCTCAGACAGTGCGGCGCAACGGCGTGGTAGAGAGGCGGTCGCGTCGGCGCGTGCCACTCACGGTCTTTGCTGTATCCGAAGTAGCGCGACCGCTCCATTGCGCCAGCGCCCTCACAGAACTCATACATCACCATGATGCCTGCGCGGCGCGCACGAGGCGAGAGCGGCGGTAGGAGGTGGCCTCGGCGCGGCCGGGAAGGGCGAGGCTGCTCGAGCGCGGGCCATGACGATGCTGGTGAGGGTGGAGAGAGAGCGCAAGCCTGAAAGCTGTTGCTGTTGCTCGCGCCGCTGTGTGGTTCGGCCAGCGGAGACGCCGGCCGGTGCTGCGTGGAATCGTACATTGTGTAGTGTGGCTCACCATGGTTCGTGAAGGGCTCGTGCGGGTCCTTGAGGCTTTCCAGTTGCGTGCGAACGGCTCCCTCGGCGTCGAGATCCGGGCTGGGCTTCACGCTCGGCTCTGGCGTGTTCTGCGGATTAGGCTCCATTCCTTCCGGCAGGCTGAAGACGGCGCCGGCACCAGCCTGCGGCAGGAGAGCGCACGGCGTGCCCGGAGCTGATCGCCAGGTTGGAGAGCACGGGCGGGCACGGCCTGGAGTAGTGGGGCAGGCGACTGCTCCGTGGCTCGCTTCAGCGCGCGGACGAGTGGTCAGGGGGGCGCACCGGCAGAAGGTTCGGGCGGCAGGCGCGCATGAGGCTGGTGCTGGGAACGAGGGTCGGGAGTGGGCTCCGGACCAGCTGATTTCGCGGTCCGCGACGGACACCTGGCTGATTTGGTGAGCGCCCCGGCCGTCGCGTGCCTGCAGTGCGCAAAAGTGGGGCCCAGTGCAGTGTACAGGCGCTCATTGTGCTTCGAGTGCTAGTCCCCAGACACCGCGCGCGGTGAGAGGTGAGAGATAGGCTGCCGGTGTCAGATAGGCTGCCTTCGTCTCGAACGCACAGTTGAGCCGTCGCCTGTAGCGGCCCAAAAGCCCCAGCGCCAGAAGCGCCGCCAGCTCCCCCCTGGGGCCTCTGTGCTCGCGCCGCGGCGCGGGTATCCGCCCGCAACGGCGCTTTGCCGTCCGCACCTGTAGTTTGAGCCGTAGGGATCGAGAATCGTCGAGAATCGTCGTCCGGATCCGAACCTATGGGCTCCAACACGCGGGCAGGGCCCAGGCGAAAGACAGGAGGCCAGGGGCCGCGGGACCACGTGTAGCTGGGCGGGAATCGGCGTAAAGCCCCCGTAGCGGGAATATCGGTGATCGATGATCACCATGGACCCGCTAGATGAGCGCGCATATCGCCCTCCAGGCCAGGGCGTGGCGTTTGCTGAGCCCCGCGTCCTCACGCGTCGTGCGGCGCTGCATCTCGAGGAGAATGGCCGCTGCGCCCACGAGAGCCGGCCTCGGCAGCGTGCGAGTCGTCGGGAACGCGTGCGACTCCCCCGCGCCGTCGCTATGCAGCAAGCAGCAGCACTCCATCTCAGCAGCTAGGGGAAAAGGCGAGTGTGCGCCGGGCTTGTGTACGTCGGGTTTCAGCGCCGTTCGAGCAACACGAGGACAGAGAGTACGGAGGTCCTGCTTCCGCTGTGTCTTGGGGCAACGACGCGCCCCCTTGCGGCAAAGACGCGCTCTGAGCTGAGCAGGATTATACCCTCACCAATGGCCCATAGCAACTCTTTCGGGGCGTCACATCGCACCAACACGTCAGTAGTGACTCGGTTCTGTGTTAGTCGTGCGAAAAGCAGCCTTCGCGTGGTCCAAACGCTCTGCGCGAGAACAAGTCAAGTCAAAAAAGTCAAGACATACATTGTGTACGCAGCAACGAGGGGGAGATGCGCGGATCCAACACATGTCGTTGCAAAACACACCTCCCTCTGCGATGTATCATGCATCCGCGCTGCTCGAAGGATCGAGCGTGCGGCACGCGGCGTCGTCACGGCCCCTCTGGCGCCGCGCGTAGTCGCGGGCGCACCGTGCACACCGCGCACCGGCCGCAGCCGCCTGAGGCACCGCCCGACGCGGCTTCCACGCAGGGAAAGCACCGGTCGCAGCCTGGTGGCCAGCCGCGCGGCGCGTTGTCATGCAGGTCCTTCAACAGCACGCAGGTCAACATCTGCGACCAGGGGCTCGAGACGTGCGATGTCTCGCGTCGGCGTCCGCGTCGCCGACCGTGAGCACCACCGACGCCGCTGCGCGTCGTCGGCCCTGCCCCTGCCGGCACATGCTGCGATGATAGGCTTCTACTTGCGACACACCCCCCTCGTGGAGTCCCCTGGGCGACGGCCACGCGCACGTCTCGCGGCCGCCCTGGGCGGCTTGGTCAGAAGCAGCTGCCGGACTGGAGAGCACCGCGCTGGTAGCTCGCGCGGAGGCATGCTGCGGAGGAGCTGCTGGCAGTTGGCGGGGCGTGCTGGCCACGTGCTCGGCAGCGGTCCCGGCGCGGCTGTTCTCGCGCCTGGCTGCCTCCAGCGTCACGGCGACCTCCTCGGATCGGGCTTCAGTTCGCGCGCCACGGGGCGCGGCAGGCGCAGCAGTCCGCGGAGCAGCACAGGCACGCCCGAGCTTGACGGTGGCCCCCGCGTCGATGGATTGGAGCATCGCGGAGCGTACTTGACCTATAGGGCATCCTCATGCACCTGGCGTTGACGCTGGTTCTTCGCGATTGATGCGCAGAAGTGGCAACGCGAGGGGGCACAGTTCCAGCGAGCAGCGAGGACGAGTGGGCGCCCGTCGTGGACAAGGCGTCCGGGCTGACGTACTGGTGGAACCAGCGAACCAACGAAACCACTGCGCTCGGCGAGCCGAAGCCTGGCCCGGAGGCACGCGCCCGAAACCTTGCGCTCAGGAACCACCACGCCGCACGCGGCCCCGCTCGCCCGAAACGCTTCGCCTCTGCGCTTTCCTCTCAGCTAGGTACCGTGTCATCGTGTGCAGGGGCGGGTCGCTGGCTGGCAGGCCCCGGGGGGACTCCCGCCAGGCACACTTGTCCAGCGCCCCTCTCTCTTGCACATGCTGGGCTACGGCGCTGGCATCGGGCTGGCCTTCGGGATCATCGGCAAGCTCTTCGGCGGGTGAACTACCCCTGCGACCGCCGACCTTGAACATAGACTTCTAGTTCCGCATATAAAACTCGACACACACACCTGGATACAAGTTTGTCTGTCTACTAGAGCGAGAACTGCTGAGGCGAGATGGCGGCGCCGCAGCGGACCTGCCCAGCGCCGCCGCCGCCGCCCTACTGGCCGCCCACGGGCGCCGCGTGGGAGATTCTGACCCCCACAATGGCACCCCCGCCCACTACGGCGCGAGATCTGGCGCCGGGGGTGCCGGACCCGCCGGCGATGGAGCCCGCGGTGGCGCTGCAGATCCTGAACATGTCCGTCGGCGACGCGGCCGCGATCCGCGCCGCGGTGCCGCCGCCGACGGTCGCGACGGGTGCGGTGGCGCAGCCGGCTGCGACGCTGCCAGGCGGCGGGAGCCTGTCGATCGGCGAGGCGCTGGCGGCCCTGACGGACGACCCTGGGCTGGAGCTGCAGGACTGGGCCGCGGACGCACCGGCGGTGAGCAGCCCCCGAGCGCAAACGGATGAATATCTTGTCACGACTGGTCCCTCGTCATGTTTTGCGCTGGCTTCGAAGGCACGCCCGTTCCGACGCCCACGCGGAGCGCGTCACTCCCTGCAGGACGACTACGACGATGACCCCGAGTGGCGCGCGTGGCAGGCAGAGACCCAGCTCAAACGACAGGCGCTCTACGGCGCTGGCGGGATGCACGGGGCCAAGGACGCCGCGCTGCGCAGCGTGCTGCTCGCGCGCGGGGCCCCCGCGGCGGCCCCGAACGCCGGTGCGGCGGGCCCCGGGGACGCGCGGCTGCGGTACACCCCGGCCCAGTTGATGTCCATCCGGGTGCGGGAGATGGGGGAGGGCGGCGGGGCTGGTCGGGGGGCCGCGGCGGTGGCGGCCGCGGTCGAGGGCACTGCTCTCGCGCGGCGGCGGGCGGCGGAGGGAGGCTGGACGTGAGGTGTCGCGCCGCAGCGGGTAGCAAGCAAGCATCGCTTGCGGCTAGGGGGTGTGATGGCTTCCGCGCTCGCATCTTGTTCCGAACGGCAGGGCTGCGAGCGCCGTCGCTTTGTCGCTCAGAGCAGCTGCGGCGCCTGCCACTCGCTCAACGGCGCGCTCGTGGCGCGGTCGTAGGACCCCTTGCTCGAGCGTACATGCTGCGACCCGACGTGCGAGGCAGGCGCCGCTCCTCGCGCTCCACAGCCACGCAGCCCCTCGCAGTCCAGCGAGCCACAGCCCGCCGGCTCGCCCGGCAGCTCCGCACCAACAACCAAGTCCAATAACACACGAACAAAAACATCGGATCTATTACAATGTCTCAACGCAGCACGAAGCACGCAACGCCGAACAGCACAGCCGTGCGTGTCTCCGCGCCGTCCGGGCCCAACATCCATCTATCTATACACTACGGCCCGCACGCCTCCGCAAGGCACGCGAGCTTCTCCGCCTCCGCGCGCAGCGGCTCTAATGTCCTCTCGATCAGCTCGGCCTTCTGCATCTCGTTCTCGTGCTCCGCCCGCAGCGCCTCGAGCCCGCTCTTGCGCTCCACCACCGCCGCCTGCGCGCGCTCGAGCGCCGCCTGCGCCCGGGCGAGTTCCGCGTGTGCGCGCGCGACGCACTCTTCTGCGTCCTCGACGGCCGCGACGCCGCGCGCGACCCTCGGCTCGATCGCGGACGCCTTGTGCAGCGTGTCCTCGAGCTCGTTGGCAAGCACCCTGCAGGAAGGAGTAAGTGGCAACAAAAAGGCAACAACAGATGAGGATTCGTGACTTCTAGTGCCTGGGACCCACACCAGGTGGCTTGTGCGCTGTCCCGCAGCAGGATCGCGGCGCGAACGGCCTCGGCGATCGTCGGCGGCCCGCTCGCTGTTGCTGCGAGGCGTGGTTTGTGTGCCCCCCAAATGCACTCATGTTTGTAAAACGGGGACGTACCGGCACCGGACGAGCACCTGGTCTCTTCGCCGTAGGTACTCGTCGCGGTCTCTGTCGTGCGGGCCGGCCGGCTTCTGCGGCGAGGCCCCGGCGGGCGCCAGTCCCGCTGCCGCAGCGGCGGACGCCAGGTCCCCCGGGGCAGCGCCGCCGCTCGCGCCGACGCCGCCGGGCCACGACACCGCCGCGGGGTCGTCCCCGGCCTCGCGCGCTCGCTCGCGCTTGGCCACGAAGGCTTGAATGAGCTGCTGCAGCGCGATGTTGTGTGCTCGGCTCTGTACTGGCTTCCTGCGCGCGACGCGAGGGACGCGAGGAGAATTTCGTGCCACGCGAGGTGCGAGGGCAGTGTAAGGTACCTGGGGGGGGAACGTGATGGTGCGAGACATTGCGTGAGGAGGCGCGTGCGGGCCGTTGCTGGTGCAGCATGCAGTGCGCGAACGGGCGCGGCGTGCGCGGGCCGCGGGGCTGACCTGCAGAACGGACACGCGTTCTTGCCGTGCACGCGGAGGTGCTGGTCCAGGCACGCCTGGCAGAACGTGTGCCCGCAGGGAAACAACAGCACCGGAGTGCGCTGCGGAGCAACCATCAATTCATAGCACACCGCGCACGTGTGGCTCTCAATCTCCCGCATCAGCACTCCCTGCGAGCAACCACATCCAAGCTTCCCGTTCGGCCACGCCCAGCCCGAGAACGACGCAGCGGCTCTCCGCGCTGGCAGCTATCTCCCTGTGCCGCGCTTCCAGGCAGCGTGCCGGCGAACACAGCGGGCGAGCGGCCGCCAGGCGCGGCATCGCACCTCCAGGACCGTCCTCTCGTTCATCTCCGCGAGCTGCTTCGCCACATGCGCCGCGCGGTGCTCCCGCTCCACCTCGTCGCGGAGCTCCACGCGCAACCGGTCTGTCAACCGCTCCGTGAGACGCGAAATCACCTCCTCAGGATCGAACGCCGCCACGCCGCGGTCCGTGCTCGCCGCCACCTGCACGTGGGCGCGCTCCGTCGGCACGCTGCCCAGCCTGTCCGGCCGTGCGACAGCCGCGGCTTCGACGCGCGCAGGAGCAGGCGCGACGCTCGTCGCAGGCGGCGGCACGCGCTCCCGCGCCATCTCCTGCACGACGCCGCGCTTGTCCGCCTCGGCCTGGCGCTCCCGCATCCACCGCGCCTGCCGCTCGGCGAGCTTTGCCTTGACCTCCGCCGCAGTCCTCTTCTCGCCCTGCGCCATCCTGGCCGCGCCGCGCGAGCTCCGCGGACCGCAACGGCTTCTCTGCCGCCCGAGCGACGCGTGGGCGTCGCGGCTCCGGGCAACGTGCCCGCAACGGCGCGCACCGGGGCACTAATGCGTTCCGGAGGGGGTGTTCCGCGCGCAGCGTCAGGCCGTCTGCAGGTCCCGTAGCGGGCCCCTGATGGCTCCACGGCTGCAGCGGCAGAGCAGCAGTCCCGAGGTGGAGCAGCGTGGTGCGTACGCTGGTGTGTGGGAGGCGATAAAGTAGCCACGCCGTTGTGGCGAAGCTCGCGTTGAAGTTCGCGAACACAGACGAGCTTGTCCCTGCAGGAGAGGGGCAGCAGTACACATCGACTGTCCCAGCTCGGCAGGAGACGGCTTCAGCCCGGTCCGTGTAGGAGCGCCGGTCAAAGAGAACGCCGCGAGTGCGTAGAGGAGGATTCGCGACTGCACGGCCGCCTGGAGACACAGTCGGAGGTCTCCGCAGCATAGCGCAGCGGGAATCGATCAAGCCACTTCGTCAGGCGGGCCACACGACGTGAGATGCCGCTTCTCGCCCGCTAGACACGAGAAAACATACTGTTGACCTGCATCTGTAGCGACCCCCCGAAGCGGCCCAGCCTGGCCCTCGGTCGCGACGATCTCCGGACACGGCGCAGAATCTGGCTTGCACTCACCAACGACGCCCCCTTCTGCGCCCGCAGGCCGCGCGGCACCGAGCGCGGACCACACAAGACACCGTGCGCCACAATTACTAATAATATGAGCAGGTGAGTGCGACCCCGCGAGAGGAACTTCGGAATTCTCATCCCCGGCCAGAGCGCCCGACCTCTACATGCCGCGCCCGTTGAATCCATCCTCGTCTAGCGTCGGCGCGCGCGGTTCGTTTTCTAGCGCGATGGGACACGGTCGCGCGTGCCTGGATGCCCTGACAGCGCGCCGTCGGGCGCCCAGGCCCCGCGCACGCCGGCGCAGCTGTGCCCACAGGCCTGCGCGCTGCGTGCGCGACCGCAGGTCCGAGGCTGAAGGTCCTGAGCCCGGCGACAGCGTCAGGTGAGTCCTCGTCCACGTTGTGCTTGTTGTCGCCGCGTCGTGCGTCCGTGCGGCGCCTCACGCAAGGAACGTGTGCGGTGCACGCCGACGCAGGTCCGCGCAGCAGCAAGCAGACGTCGAGGCCAAGCGAGCAAAGCAACGTGAGAAGAACCGGAGGTATAAGGAAAGGAAAGCCGCGCGGTTGGCACAGGAGCGCGAGGCGGCGAGCCAGGGGACGCCCAATGCAAGCGGGAGGGGCAACGACCCCGGCGCGGTGGTGCCAGGGCAGGCCGGGTCGGCCACCAGCACCCCGCGCGTAGCGTTGCTGCCATTGAAGGCGCGGGGGCACAGCGAGAGCGGGCCCGAACCGCAGGGGACGGGCGGCGTGGCGAAGTCGAAGGCGCAGGAAGCTTCGGGTCTCCAGGCGACGCCTGATGCAAGCCGTAGGGGCGGAAACATCACTGCAGAAGATCAGAAAGGCCTGGCGAGCGACGCGAGGCGCGCCGAGATGACGCTTCGGCAGCCTCCGATGGATCCCCTGGACGGCCGGGAGCCGCAGCAGTGGACGGGCGACGTGTCGGAGGAGGTTGTCGCCAACTGGCGCAACAACGAGGACTGCTTTTGTTGGCATCCGTGTCCTGAGGGGGCGATTGATCGCTCGCGCTGGGTCGACGTCTACTGGGACATGGATAACGTGGCGCTGCCTAGATGCGGATCCCCGCACGACCAGTTCAAGGTGCTTCTGAAGGTGAGTGCGCCAGCGACACCGTCGGGCCGGTCCTGCGACCGACTGGCACGTGCGGGGTTCATCGATGCCGGCCCCGACTGACGCGCCGTCGGGCGTGGCTGCGCGAGCGCAGGTGTTTGGGCAAGGTTTCCCGAAGCGATGCAAGCTGCACGTCTTCGTGTCGGACATCAACTTTCAACGAGATTACAGCTCTAACAGGCGCACAGAGATCCGCAAGTTCTGCCCCGGGGTGTCCGTGCAGCTATGTTTGGGAAAATCCTTCGGGAAAAACGAAGGTGCGCGCACGCCGTGGCGGAAAAACTGCACCTTTGTTTTTCGCACCCAACTGGACCGATTGATGATCGGTCCGGTTGCCTCTCCCACCTGCCTCCGACGCGCGCAAAAGCCTCCCGGGACAAGAAGCGGCCTCGCTTTGATCGCAACGGCGACCCTGAGCCGGATCCGGACGTGGCCGTGACGTGCGCGCAGTGTGCGACACGCAGCTCAAGGACGCATTCGATCGGATGCTCAGTCGGCTGAACAGCAAGGGGAATGTCGTGGTCCTCATCTCAGGCGACGCAGACTTCCACCAGCAGCTAATGTCCGCCCTCCCCCATTCTGCTGCCCTGCCCTGAGCTGAAATGCGCATGCCCGTCCATGACTCAGTCCGACTGCCATGCATGGCTCTGGCCTCACGACTCGGCTCCGGCCCGCGCCCCGAGCCCTGCAGCGACGCGAAGCTCGCGGGTTCCTTGGTGTACGTGCTCCTCCCGAGTAAGCAGCTCGGGAGGAGCAACGGGAAGCTCACATCGGCACACAACAAGGACCTCGCGAAGGAAGCACACTGGGTGCAGGTGCGCCGCTGCCCCGCCCCTCCGAGCCGCCCTCCGCTGCGCAGCACGCGTCCGACCCCCCCGCCTCCTCCCCGATCACGCGCGCAGTACTACGACAACTTCATGCTCTGGCACCTCGCGCGTGCAAAGGGGGGCCACGGGAACCTTTCCTCGGTCGACGTCGCATCGCACGAGGTCCCGGTCGACAGCAGCGACGCCAGGGACTCTCCGACCGCGCGGCGCTCGGATGCGGGGGCGTCTTCAGATGGCAGCGCGGCTGACGAGGAGGGCGCGACGGAGGGTGAGGGGGAGGCGTCGAAGCGCAACGCGTCGACGCTGGAGATGGGGACGCCCGGCGAGGGCGCGAGCGGGCGGGGGTCGCCAGGCAGCCCGGTGCGAGGCGGGCGTGCAAAGGCGCTGCCAGTTGACGCAGACGACGGCATGACGCCGGTGCGCGTGGGCGGAGGGTGTTTCGGTTGCCGGAAGGGCCGTCGGCGGCAGCAGGTCGTTCCTCGCGCCATGGAAGCGATGTGAGTCCGTGGGTTGACATGTGCGACCCAAGGGAGGTGGTTGCGGGCGGTTCCCGCGATGCTGCGTTCTGGACTTGCGGCCCTCGGTGGGCGCGCAGTCCGTGTTCCTGGACAGCCGGTCCCTTCGCGCGGCCCACGCACGCGCGGTTGCATGTGGCCAACCTCTAGGAGCGGCGCACGATATGCGCGACCGGAAACCGTCTGTTGCAAATCTTCACAATAATTCACATTCCAGTCTCCTTCTTCGCCCCTCCGTCTTGCCTGCGGATGCCCCACCGTGCGGCCCTCTGCAGGGTCAGCTCGTATGCAGCTGGCCGTCGCCGGCGGCCCTTGACGAAAGCACCGCCCATACAAGGGCACCGTGGGGATGTCATGTGGCAAGCAGATTTATCCCGCGTCGCATTTTAGTGAACTTTGCGCCCGTTGACGCGGTGCCGTCAGGGGTGGAGCTGGTCCATGTGACGATGGACTGCCCCTCGTGCGTCCACTTGGGCGCTTCGTTGCGGTCGCGACGATCGCAAGTGGCAGACTGTTCGAGGCCACGTCTGCCTGCATTGCAAGCTGTCCGCAAGCGAACGAGACGGGCCCTCCGTCGGGCTGCGAAGCAGCTGAGAGCCACACGCAGACGTGCCCTCCGTTCCGACAGCCGGAGCGGCCGCGACAGCGGCATGCCGAGCGATGGACGTGACGTGCGGGGACCAGGCGTGGGGCCGGCCGCCCTCGCTGACACTGGCACGGCGGGATTCGGCCTGTCCGCGAAGCTGGAGTTCTTAATGGGTGCCGAGGACCGGACGTTCGCTTCAGGTGCGCGCGAGGGGCGTGAGCGCGGCGCGCAGACGTTGCAGCGAGGGAAGCGTGTCGCGCTGGACGTCCCGGCGGCGCCTCACCGCGCTGTCGCTGGGGATGGGGTGGGTGGCTGGGGAGAGTTGGCGCTGCGGGGCGCACTTCGGCTCTTTCTCGCCGCATTTTGTCATCCGCGTTTGACGATGCGCATCCAATTGCCCCGTGGTGCCGACCATCGCTGCGCGGAGGCGTTTCAGGCGCCCCATCGCGCCCTTGATACGATGCGGGGCACAGGCGCGAAGTGCGAGCACGTTACGCCGTGTTCGGGGCTCGCAGGCTTCGACAAGGTCGTGGAGGAGTGCGAACGTCACGTGTCCGGCCGGCACTCGGGTGCATCCTTCCTGGACGACCCGTCCCTGTCGATGAAGGGTTGCAGGGAAGGAGGGTCGCGCCACGAACCCCCCCGGATGCGGATGTCCGACATGGAGCCCTCCGGATCGACGAGGGGCAGCTTGTACGTCCCCCGCCACGACCGTCGCCCCCGCAGTGCGCTCGTGATTGTGCCCAGCCCACAGGACATGGCCTCCGCGAAGTCCTTTCCGGAGATACGGCGGCCTTTCGCGTTGTTGAACATCACGTGATCGTGTATGCGTGAGTTTCCTTCCGCTCACCCGGCTTCCTCCCTCCGACATGACGCGCAGGGCCTCATCGCCGCGCACCACAGCGCACCGCTTTGCGGGGCGCGGGGCGGCAGGCTCCACCCGCTTCTCTGCCGTGGAGCCCGACAGCGCTGCGACCAAGGTGCGCGCCGCGAGCTGCTCCTCGCGTCGTGCCGGGGCCCCCACTGTGCACGCGCGTTCCCTCTGTCGCACCGACGCGTGTCCCCGCGACCCACTGTGCCGCAGAACGCCCACGTGTCGCCCTTGGCGCTTCCGTTCGGGGACCGGTCGGCTCGCACCAACCCCGGGGAACCTGGGGACAGCGATGACGACGCACCCACCACGACCAGGCCTGCCCACAAGTCCGCAACCGAGGCGGTCGGCGGCGCGCCGACCGTGCCGCTATCCTCGATGGACGTCGGCGAAGTGCACAACGGCATCATCAAGTAAGTTCGTAGCCCACACACACACAGACATCACGGCGCAACAAACCCCACATCGCCGCAGCCTACGTCGGCCTTCCGTCCCACGGGAACTCACGCGCCGCGGTGCCTCTGAGCGTACCTCGCTGCAGGGTCTCTGCGCACCCCTTCGCCGTCCTCATGTCGGACCTGGAGACGATTTACGTTGTGTACAAAGATCTCTCGCGGTGCACCAGGGTCGGCGGGAGCGGCGAGATCACCCCGTCGGCGTTCCGTAGGTTCCTGAAGAAGGACGGCGTCGCGGCGATGGAGCGCGGGGCGGCTGTCCAGGCCAGCAAGCCGGGCTACGCTGCCGACACGCTGCGCAAGCAGCGCATGGAGGACGTGCTCACGCACCTCGACAAGCACATGTACGCGAAGCTCGACCGCGACGGCCAGGCGCACGTGACGTTCGAGGACCTGCTCGCCGTGTGGTACCCGGGACTCCCCCCCTCGGACCTGTCGATGCTGGCGGGCAAGGTCAGGCCGGAGACGACGGCGCCACCGATCGACTACCAGCTCGCGGACAGGTAACTGCGCAGCCCCTCGCTCATGCGCGCCCCCGTTGCTCGCAGCGCCACACCACACAGCTGCTTTGCACGACGCGGGACGCGGGACGAGAGACCGCAGCCGAGCTGAGTGTGGTACTCCGCGGCAGCGCAGCCCACGGCCGAGACACGCATGCCCTCCGCAGCCTCATCGCGAACTTCCGCGCGCACCTGGAGGAGATGGGTGCGTCGTCCCCGGAGAACATTCCGAGCTCGGTGATCCTCGTGAGGATCAAGCGCGACCTGACCACGGCGCTGCAGCGCGCGTTCTTGACCTGGGCGATCTCGCTCGCCCAGATCGAGCCCCAGGAGCCGCTCCTTCCGGACCAGCTGGACTCTGTTTTGAAGAAAGCCATTCGACTGTGGTTCGACGGCAAGGCCCCCGACGAGCACGACTTGCTCGACGGGGCCGGCGACAGCAAGTTCAGGTGCGTGCAGACGACGCCGCTTGCTCGAAAGCGGTCACGGCTGCTGCGCGCTGCTGCGCGCCCACGTGGCGGTGGCTCACCTGCGGAATCCCGCCCCCCTGCGCCCTGCAGCATCTCGTCCAAGGTGGATCCAGTCGCGGTGCTGGGCCAGTACTCGCAGCGTCGCGACAAGATCATCAATCGCAAGTACTGAGTCGTTGCGTGCCGGTCACCGGGGCCAGAAGCCCACAGCGACGCTCAGAGGCGAGACTGCGCGCTCCCCAGACATCAGGGGGCGCAGCCCCTTCGCTCTGTGCTCGAGCAGCCGACATGCGGCGGCAGTGCCACGACGCCAGGAGTCAAGGCGAGCGAGACCTCAATTTCGTGATCGAGCTCGAGCCTAGCTTTTGCGCTCTTTTCCAGCTGCGAAACCCCGTCCCTTCCCTCCCCCCCCGCACTTCCCTCCCCTCCTCAAGAAGCCCCACCCCCACCCCTACTCGAAACCACTTCGGGCCCGTGACAACCCCGCTTGGGTATTCATCGGCGCGTGGAAACTGCATGTTTATTTCAGACATGCTGCCTCGTGCGTCGCGCCCTTCCCCCTCCCCTCCAGCTCCCCCGTACTCAGGATTTACGAGCCCGTGACACACCTCCGCTTGGTTTCTCATCGGCGTGCAGAAGCTGCATGTTTCTTTCAGACAGATGCCTCGTGCTTTCACTCTGCACACCACCGCATGCAACGTTCGACGCTCGCTCCCCTTCACAACGGAGCTGCTCGGAGGACACTCGACCGCCGATTCGTTGCAGCAACACAACCGCAGAGGGGGAGACCCGCCCACCCTCTCCCGCGGCGCGTCGGCAACACCCCCAACTTCCCCCCACTCGCGCACGGTGGACGGAGCAACCGCCTGCAACACGCCACTCCCACTCGGCGCACGTCCGCTACCCACCCCATCCCTCACTGCTCGCGGGTGCTCGATCCCTTGCGCGAAAACAACCAGTGCAGGAATTTTGCCTCAAAGGCAGGCACCATGCGCGGCGGAGTCGCCAGGACCACCACCGGCGCCCCACGGCTGCCTGAGGATAGAAACACGCAAAAGGAGCGGCAGACAGCTCTTGGCCCCCGGCGTGCGCAAGTCGACACCTGACCACAGCGCGTGGGGGGGACTATAGCAGCCTCGCGCTCCGCCTGCTTTCGGCGCGGTTCGTATCATGTGACGCATACGTGCTTCTGTGTGTTCCGCGGCCGTCGCGGCGATGAGCGCTCTAGGACGCCGTGTTTCGGCGAACATGAGTCAGGTGCTTTTTCCGGGGGGGGTTGCTGGTAGACACCTCGCCCGCCTCTGTGGGGATGGAGACGCTGCGGCGCAGGCATACGGAGCGAGTGAGCTCGTTTGTGCCAAAGTTCAGCTTCACGGACAGCGGAGACGGTCGCCTGACGTGCCGCCAGGCCACAGGAGGAGGAGGTGCTCGTGCTGCGTCGGTTCGAGACAGTTCCTTCCTGGAAACCCCCTGACAAGGATCTTCGTGATCCAAAGCGTCCGCCTGTTTGCCTTCCGTGGAACGTCTGTCGCGTTGCAAGGCGTGCGGGCCAGGGGTCGCCCCGCTCGCGCGGTGCACTGTGCGCCGCACGCTTCTTAGTCTTGAAGGTAGCGTCGGGGCGACGCAGCTGCTGCTGGGCGTACATGCGTGGAGCACCATGACATCGGACGCAACGTCCGCGGGGGGCGGTCCGCCGCGGAGGGCGAGGACGTGTGTCCGCTGCGAGAGTGCCAAGCCCGTCCTGAAGCGCCCGAAGACGTTCGAGGCCGTTTGCAAGCAGTGCTTCTTCGACACATTCGAGGAGGAGATCCACGAGGTGATCGTAGCCAACAACCTCTTCCGACCAGGCGAGAAGGTCGCTATGGGGGCATCAGGTGGAAAGGACTCCACCGTGCTGGCCCACGTGCTCTGCAAGCTCAACCGAACCAAGGGGTACGGGCTCGAGCTCTTCCTCTTGTCCGTCGACGAAGGAATCGCCGGGTACCGCGACGACTCCCTCGAAACAGTGCATCGGAACGAGAAGCAGTACGGCGTGCCGCTCAAGGTGACACGCAGCCCCCTTCGCCCGCACCGCCCCGCAAGCGACGCTCCTCGGCCTCCCGGACGCCTCCGCGAGAGACTCGCACGCTCCGGCGCCGCCAAGGGGGGGGAAACCAGGCACGGGTGCACTGCGCATGACAGTTCCCGTGTCGCGACGTCGCTTGCGCTCGGGCGGTCCGCAGGTCGTGTCGTACAAGGACCTGTACGGTTGGAGCATGGACGAGATCGTCGCTGCGATCGGCCCGAAGAACAACTGCACGTTTTGCGGCGTGTTGCGGCGGCAGGCCCTCGACCGCGGCGCCACGCTCCTCGGCGCCGACAAGGTCGCCACGGGGCACAACGCGGACGACGTCGCCGAGACAGTCCTCCTCAACATGCTCCGCGGCGACATCGCGCGGCTCGGACGCTGCGCAGGCAAGCCACACCCCCAAAACACCCCCAAAACACCCCCACCTATCCTGCCCGCCCGGCCAGCATCGCACACGACCACGCTCGATCCGTACAGCGATCCCGTCTCCCGTCCGACGCAGACATCATCACGACGGGCAGCTCCCCCATGCCGCGCGTCAAGCCGTTGCAGCTCGCGTACGAGAAGGAGATCGTCATGTACGCGTACTTCAAGCAGCTGGACTACTTCTCCACCGAGTGCGTGTACGCGCCCTTCGCGGCCCGGGGCGCCGTGAGGGACCTTGTCAAGGACCTGGAGGCTGCGCGACCAAGCGCCATCATCGGGCTAGTGCGGTCCGCGCAGCAGTTCCGCGTCGCCCCCGGAGGTACGTCAGGACTCGCTGCGGCACGGCGGCGCGCACCGCGTCGTCTGAGCGGATCCAGATGAGCGGCGGGGGGTCTGCGAAGGATGGAAGTGAAGACTGTGTTTGTTATTTGTTTGTGTGCTGCAGAGACCAAGGGGCAGGAGCTGCAACGGTGCGGCAGGTGCGGCTACATGTCGTCGCAGCGGGTGTGCAAGGCGTGCACGCTGCTGTCCGGGTTGAACAGCAGGAAGGCAGGCAGGCTGTTGGTGTGCGGGGAGGCGCCGTGAGCCGCACCGCAGCGCACGGAGACGCGCATTGTCGCGCTACCGCATCGCTGTGATCCACATACACGCCCACGCGGCTCAATTAGCCGGAGTTGCTCCAAATCATGCGTTTTTGCGCGCTGTTGTTTTTTGCATCATAGCCACTCACGTGACGCCTGGGCTCCAGTCGATCGGTGCGTAGTTCGGCGCGCTGGAGAGCCGCACCCGGCGGCACCATGTGCGTGCGCGCACCCGACGGACGCCGGGAGCGCGCGAGCGGCCACACAATGGCGGACACGGACAGGACGCCTGCCTGCTCCGCCGGGACACGTCCTCAATTTCCACGTCCTCGGCGCTCCGCGACGGCTCCAGGTCGCGCCCTTGCGTGTCTGCCTCGCCGCGGGCAGCACACACCGAGCGGGCCATCGGAGGGGGGTTCAACCCCGGTTGTGTGAGGTGCGTCTGGGCTCGTGTAGGGGCCGGGGAGCGCTGCCAGGACAGAACGGACGCCAACGAGGGTCGTGCGGAGGCCTGGACGGCCACAGAGCATCGATCCGCGACGGCGCGGCGAGCCTTTGCGCCGGGAAGCCGCGATCGCGTGACCCCAGAGCGCGGCAAGCAGCCGCCCGAATTTTCCGCCTCTACGACTGTGTATATGGTGAACATGCGTGCCGACGCGCCTCCAGCGAAGCACGTCGGCAAGGACGATGCGACGGGCCTGTCGGAGAAGCTCGAACTGCTTCTGAGCGCGGACGAGACCCTGTTCACCGAAGGCACGTTGCGATGCCGCGACGCTCGATGGCCGCGACGCTTGATGCGCGCGCTGCGCGATGTCGCTGAATAGATTGCCACGTGGCGCCTCGTCGCGGTCTGTCGTGGCGGCGTCGCACGCCTCCGCGATGCTCGCCACGAATCGGGGCAGTGCGTTCGCGGTGTTCGTTCGAGGGACGAATTGCGCGTATCTGCGCGACTTCGAACTTTCCTGTGTCGAACTATTTGTGTCGTTGAACGGGCACGCGTCGTGACAACCACGGCGACCCGCTGCAGACGCTCAGTGCCGCTGAAAGGCGATCCGGCACTCCGCCCCCGGAGGTGCAGGATTTCACAAGGTCCTGGAACACGTGCAAAGTCCCTCGACCAGAGCTTCGGCTGTGTTGGAAGACGAGCACGACAACAGCGGCAGGCGGCTGGCGGGCAAGCGAGGAGATGCCACCGGGAAGCTGCCGGCCTCATCGCACCGTCGTCCGCCTCGGCTCACGCGCTCCGACATGGAATCCCCCACCGACGACGTCCCGACCCGCACGGGCGACACTCCCACGCCGTGAGTTCCCCGCGCATGCCCCCCGCGCCACTGCTGGTCACTTCGCCGTGACTGGCCCCGCGCACGCCTTGTGGACCCTCTTGGCGCGCTTCTCTCTATGCGCGTACGCGTCAGCCACGTATGTCCAGCACTCTGAGCGACTCGTCTCGTGCAAACACTCCGCAGACGACGCGGTGGGACTCGCTTCAGCCGTGATGGCGCTATGGCGCCGGCGCGGCAGTGCCACTCCGAGCACGCAAGTGTGGTCACGTCGGTGAGTGAACATGCGCACTGACAGGGCCTTTCCCGGCGGCGCCTCGCCGCCAGGAGGTGCGAGCTGTTCGCCTCGCTTCCACTGAATGTGCACCTCGGTGCCCACCCATGCGCAGCCCACCTCGGGGTCGGTGTCCCCGCTGGCGCTCCCGAGCAAGCAGGCGGTCTCGCGCAGCGTCACCGCGGCCGCGCCGCCAGCGACCTGCAAGTCGTTAGCCCCACCACAGAAGATGACGCAAGTGTCCACCATGAAGGTCGGCGAGTGCAGCGGCGGCGTCATCAAGTACGCACCGCCCCCGCCCAGCCTTCGTGTTCCCGACGCCGCGCGCGCTGCCCGCGACTCGTCCCGTGTGGAACGGAGCCGCCATCACCACCCGCGTCAGCCTCTCGGCTCCGGCCCCGTCACTCACTGCCCCGGAGCTGCCCGAACGTTCGCAGGGTGTCGGCTCACCCGCATGGCGTCCTGGTCGCGCACCTGGATCTCCTGTACGACGTGTACCGCGAGGTGCAGTCGTGCGTGCGCAACCCGCTGCAAGTTGGCATCTCGCGGGCGGCGATCCAGCGGTGCATGCGGCGACAGGAGGAGGACGAGCACGAGGGGAGCAGCGAGGGTCACGCCGGGGCTGACGTGGAATCGCAGGAGCGCCGCAAAGAGCAGGCGAGGGAGATTCTCACGCTGCTGGACCAGCACGTCCAGCGCATGAAGCCCGACGTGGACGGCAGGCACGACGTGGTGTTCGAGGACCTCATCGGGGTCTTGTACCCGTTCCTGCCGAAGTCCGACTTGCGGATGCTCGCGAGGCACGTCAGGGGCGAGACTCCCCCGTGCCCAATCTCGTACGAAAAGGCCAAGTGGTGAGCGCCCCCGCCTCCCTGTGGTCTGACACGCCGTTGCCGCGTGACGCCGCGTGCGAGCGGACCGCGCGCTCGCAGCTCCTGTCGAGCGCCACCCGGCCGACGACAGTTTGAGCACTGCGACGCACTCACGCACGACGGTGTGCCAATGTGGCTTGCAGGCTGTGCCAGCGTGTGCCGCGGATCGTGCGCGAAATGGGAGCGAGCACGGAGGAGAGCGTGAAGAGCCGGCTGCTGCTCGTGAAGCTGAAGCGCCTGCTCGAGACGGCGCTGGAGCGCGCCTTCCTGATGTGGTCGGTGTCGCACCTCCAGATCTCCGACACCGAGCCGCTGCTGCTGGACGCCCTGGACGCGGCGCTGGTGCGCGCGATCCGCCTGTGGAACGATGGCAAGGCGCCCGCGGGCAAGGACATGATGGCCGGCTTCTCCGAAGAAGATGCTAGGTGCGTGTGTGTGTGTGTTTTGTGCGGCCTCATCTCAGACCGGTGGCTAATGCGTCGCGGAAGCCGAGCAGCTCGTTTTCCTGTCGGTCTATGCATCTCATTTTCGCTCCCGCCCGTGTTCGTGAGTGTTTGCAGCACTCTGGCAGTGGCGTGCTCGGACCCGGTGGCGGTGCTGTCCTTGTACACACAGCGCCGAGGCAAGCTGCTCAGCGAGGCTCAAATCCTCGCAGCCAGCAAGAGCTGACCAGACGGCGTCTGCCAGAGCTGCACACTCCCCAAGCTCCGCACCTGCATCACCGACAACAACTGTCAGGTCGCTGCTGCCCTCTCAGTGCATATTCAACTCCCCACCCCACCCGTTTGGTTCCACCTGCTGCCGCGTGCGTCCACCTGCACCACGAGATGCAGTGGACCGGCTGCCTGCAGTCGAACAGCAGAGGTCATCGATGGTTGCAATGCAATTTGCAACCATCGTAAAGACACACGTGCTGTTCCCCCTCCCGCCCCCTCCCCTCCCCGCTCGCTTCCACCCCGGTCGCGATCAGAAGCCGTTGAGAGCGACGGCCATAAGGATGACGAGAGAACAAAATATCGCCGAGTGCGCAGTCGGCAACACGCCGCACTTCCCACCTCACTGCTTCGCCATCCCGTTCCTTTGCGGACCTGCCCGCCAGCACCCTGCGCGCCAGCTAACAAAATCGGCTCATGGGCCCCGTGTAACCCAAGTCCCTACGGCTCTCGCTATGTCTCAGATTTGGTGGCGTTGCGATCGCGACGTCGCTCTCTCGTAGTTTCTTGGTGAAGAGAGCTGCGAGTACCTTCCCGAAAGACGCGTTCGCTCGGCGGCTTATAATTACATTCACCCTCGCGCGAACATGCGCAGCGGCTGCAGGCACGTCAGCCGGTGGTCCTGCCGCAACGGCAACGCTTCAAGCTCCGCCAGAATGGCGCGGGCGTCCCGCACGCGCTGAGCGCGCGCCTCGGACGACATCACGTGGTCCCGTCTTCGTGCTCCCGCCTCGTCACCGACATCGGACCCCTCCCCTGACCGCACCACTGATGTCAGGCCAGTCGTGGCCCCCTCCGCGGCCGCCCGCGCAACGAGCGCTAGAACGCCCGCAGCGCACTCGGCACCGAGGACCTCGATGCACGCCCGCGAGACGTGACTGATCTGGCGACAGACGGACACGGCGTACTCGGAGGGCGCAGATGCGTCAGCCACGCCCGCAGCCGGCTGCTCCGCGGCCTGGTCCTGCTTCGATTTCATCGAGTTCGACAGCTGCGCGATCTTGCTCGACAGGATACCGACGAGCTTGGCCTTCAGCTCCTTCCGGTGCAGCTGCGCGCGGCCCGGAGCAACATCACGTTTGTTGGTTGCTTCCACTGTGGCGTGCGAATCGCGTCACGCACAAGCCGAGAGCAGTCTCGAAAAACCTCACCTGAATGTCCTCGCCGATGCGCCGCCATCCGCCGAGCGCCAACTGCTGCTGCGCAGGCGTCAGGCAGCATGTCGCCTCGACACTCATCGGGGTGCGCAGGGCCCCGACCGCCGCCATCGTCTCCTCCGCGACAAGGATGTGCTTTACGGAAATGAACCGCAGCCCCGCCATCTGCACCGCCCCGGCGCCCAGCACCAGCTGACACGCCCGTGAATTGAAACCTTTTAATAGCGCCACCATCAGATGCGAGGCCTCCATGTCCAGGCCCGGGAGCGCCCGCGGCGCCTCGCGGTACCCACCGAGCGCCTTGACCAGCATCAGCAGCGACACCGTTGCCGCGTAGCGCCGCCCGCACACCTCCAGACCCCCGCCAGCGACGCCGCCGCCCTCCCGCGCCCCGGCTGGCTCGCCAGCGCGCTGCTCGGACGCGGCATGTGCCCCGTTGGCGGTGTCCTCGACCATGCCTTCATCGCCTGCGGCGTGACTCGTCGTTTCGCGAGCAGGGGGTGTATTGCTCGTCAGGAGGTCAACACCCTCCTGGAAAGCCGCAGCGACCTCAGTCGGGCGCCACTGCTCTTGGTCGAGGACCTCGATGATCTGGCTGAGGGAGCGCTCGTGGTAGGCTTCGAGCCAGCCGCGGCTCTGCCCGACGACGACACGGTCGAGAGCGGAGGTCCCGTCAGAACACCCCCGGGCAGTCAGTGCCGACGTCAGGGCTGTCACCGCGGCGGCGACGTCCTGCATCTCGTGCAGCGTCACGCGCGCGTGCACGGGCCCGCGCGAGGAGACAAGCTTCGACACCCGCCCGCACGCGACCCCCCCTAGCGCTGTCAGCGCCTTGGCCATCGCTTGCTGCGTGTCTTGCAGCTCCTCGCTGGCGACACCTGCGCGCACGAGAGACACAGCGCTGCTTGCTTCAAACCGCTTCGGACCGGGGGCGCAGGTGCCGGCAGCACAAAAGAACCCCCCCCCGCGTGCTTCGAAGACATCTGTGGGCGGAGTCCCGGGACGGCGCGGCCACTTGCGAGGGGTGCGTACCAGCGGCGGCGAGGACGGCCTCGGCGTGTCCCCGCGTGCGTTCTTCGTGCTCGACCACGAGCATGGTGGCCCTGGTTACGCGGTGCAGCATGCGCACGAAGGCCGCGTGAGGCAGCGCCCGGAGGGACGCCACCAGCTGCGACCCCGCACTCGATAGCCTGCGATCGGTCACGGACGAACGATTCGTCGCCGTGAGAGAAGAAAAGAAAAGAGCAGAGAAGAGAATTTCGGGTTTTGGTATGTACTGCCAACAAAAACGAGACATGACTTCCTGTCTCGGAGCGAACCCCTGCGCCAGTCTCGCTGCCCGTCCCTCAGCGCGCGTTGCTCACCCGGCGTCCCTCAGCTCGTTCTCCACCACCTTCCAGACCGCCTGCTTCAGATCCGCGACAGACTGAGCCTCCCACTCCCCCAGCGCCCGCCCCAACTCCCCACACGGCTGCATCGCCACAACCAGCGGCCCCAGCGACCGCACCCACAGCCCGGCCGTCGCCAGCGGCGACGGCGAGCTACCGTCTTTCCGCAGCGAGTCAGCCCCCCCTTCGTTCGCCCCCTCTTCTTCCTGAACACCCCCCCCCGAGTCCCCGGGGGGACCGCCGCCCGCCTCCACGTCAGCCGCAGCGGCGGCGGCGATGTCCTCGGGGAGCGCGCGCACCGCGCTCAGCAGCTCCGCGCACAGCAGCCGGCAGACCTGTTCGCGGGAGGACGACACGCTGTCGCGGACGTAGCGCAGGCAGTGGATGCGCGCAGCGTTGCCGGCCGTGAGCGCCTCGGACACGGACTCGAGCGCGCTCAGAGCGCCGAGGTGATCGCCTGCAAGCCACAATGAGCTCCACGGCAAGGTTTCCGGGTGCATGGATCGCGTGTGCGACGCCGAAGAAGCAGCACGAACCCCCGCAGGAAAACACACACGCTGCGCGAGCATCGTGCTTGCACGGAGGCATTCGGTGCCCGAACCACCGCGCACGATATGAGCCAGCTGTATGGGCCTGCGACGTCGTCGTTCAACCGCTGTCCGCCGCGCACCTGACGCAATGAGCAGGTCCAGGGACGCTGCGCACTCCTGCGCGTCCGACAGGACTTCGAGCAGCTCTAGCGCCTCCCTCGCCCGCTGCTGCACCTTGCGCAGCTGCGTGATCTCGCCAGCGATGCTCGCGGCGCGCCCCGCGCCCAGCCCCGCCAGCACGCCCCGCAACGCATGCGTTTGCTCCTTGGCGGCCCCAACCGCGTCGGCGACGCGCTGCAGGCCCGGAACTTCCGCGTGCAGGGCCGCAGACCGCAGCGTGATCTCCCGGAGCAGCTTCTCGTCCACGTGCGCCTCCCACGTCTCGAGTCGGGCCAGCGCGCTGTGCCGCGCGGGGGTGTCTCCAGCGTCGCCGCACGCCGCCGCGAACGTGTCGGGCTCCGCGAGGTCGAAGGTCTCCGAGAAGAAGACTTCCGGGATCGAGGCCGGCTCCGCTGCCCGGTCTTCCTGGGCGGGGGGGGGTTTAGCGTTGTGCCCGCCGTCAGGGTCCACGGACAGGACGCTGGTGCGGTCGGGCCGGGCGCTGCTGCGCCGGCGCGTGTTGCGGCGAAGCTCGGGGTAGCCCTCGGCGATGCGGGATAGGTAGGGGGCGAAGTCGCGCAGAGTGACGCGCGGCAGAGATGGTGCGTGCGCCAGGGGGGGGTGTTGCGCGTGTTGGCTCTCTGCGAGGCCGACCGCCTCGAGCACCGTATGCCATGGTGCGCCAGAGCTGCGGGGGGCAGGGAAAGGCGGTTGCCGATCGGCGGGGGGAGGCGGACGTGCGACGTGGTGCAGATGCTTGAGGCTGCTTCCAGCGACTCAGGAGCGGCGCTTCTGATCTCTCTTTGCAAGCCGTAGCATACAGGCAAAGATATCGTCTTCGGAGGCCGGTGGACGCGTCTCGGGGCCGACGCTTGTGCGGCAGCGGGGGTGCATATCAGGGCGCGTGGGGACCGGGACGCGCGCGGCGCACGCACGTGCGCGCGAGGCAGAGCGCCGGGGACGCGAACGCCTCGCTTGATGCATGAGGATGTAGCGGCTACAGGCGGAGCGGGCTCGCGTGTCCCATGCATGCACGGGCGCACCTTGGTCCCTCTCCGGGGTCGTTCAGAATGGACGTGATCGACTGATACGCGTCGTTTCTCATCCTTCAGCACAGCGCCACACCGTTCGCAAGGCGCCGCGGCGTTGGATCCACGTGTCACCGCAGGGACCGGGACCTAAGGCAATTGCGCTTTCTTCGCGTCATGCTCCCACTATCGACCCTCTCACCCTGCGAATGCCATCGCGATGACTCGTCGCCGCACAAATGGTCCAGCAGCGCGGCCAGCGGCGCCCACGACGCCGCTGGGGCTCCCACACGCCCCAGTCTGTCCTGCGTCATGAACTTGCCCCCTGCGGCGCCAGTTGTGTCAGTTTGGGCCCGCAACGTCGCCTGTCCATCCACAAGATCGCGCTTGAACTTTGAATCGTGGTTGCACACCCGTAGTCTCTCGGGCGTGTCCGTTCGGGGCAGCAACCGAGGAGTGCATCTGCTGCCCGCCATCCTGCGGCCCTGACGCCCCCCGGGACATGCTTGGGACGTTCAGGGCTTTCCCCCTCGTCGGCCTCCACCGCACCGCACGCGCAGCACTTCCTCGACGGAGGTGACCTCACGCGACCGCCCCCGCTTCACCGCCAACTGCTTCTCGGCCCGCGGTGTCGCGCCGAGCTCGCATGTTCCGCCGTTCCCCGCTCCTGCGGGCACTGATCGCCGCGATCCTCACAGTCGCACTGTCCAGGTCGGTGAACGCGCGCCGCCGCGCCCCGCACGGGACCTCGTCGCCCTGCAGCCACAAACCCACGCCGCTGCGTCCTCGCCGCAACGCTCAGCCCGACGGACCCACACCGCTATCACATAGCCCCCTCACACGGATCGCCCGTATTCCGTTGCTCGTAACCACGCCTCCCCACGGCGTTCTACACACCCTCTGCCTGCATCAACCTCGCCCCGTCGGAGACTGAATCACAGCACATTGCCGCGGCAGTCCCACCACACACGCCCTCGCTCAACGGCCCACGCTCCCCGCTCCTGCCCGCAGGACGCTGTCCGTGATGGCGGCCGGAAACGGCGACCGCGGCGCCGACGTGGCCTCCACGCCGGCGAAGAACGTCCTCGGGACGCAGCTGCAGGCCTGCGGATTCGACCCCGTCACCGGGTTCTACCGCGACGGCTTCTGCCACACCGGCCCCACCGACACCGGCCGCCACGTGGTCGCCGCCGTGTGCACGCAGGAATTTCTCGAATTCACCGCATCGCGCGGCAACCCCCTCAACCGCCCCGCGCCCGCGTACGGCTTCCCGGGCCTGAAGCCAGGTGCGCCCGCCGCGCCGCGGACCGCCCGCTCGCCTCCCTCCCACTGCGCACGGTCTCGTCCTAGTGCTGACGTGTTGCGCCCTGACGCCTCGCATCATCGGAGTCACAGGACGCTCGCGTCTCCGGACGCGAAGCCACGCAGCGTGCCCGCCGTGCGGCACACGTCGTGTTGCACCGTCGCCCCGTACCGACGTTCGTCACGTCTGTTCTCTTCGCGTCGTGTTGCGCGCGTTGCAGGGGACCGGTGGTGCCTGTGCGCGCTGCGGTGGAAGGAGGCGTACGACGCGGGCGTCGCGCCGCCCGTGGACCTCGCGGCGACGCACGAGGGCGCTCTGCGGTACGTCACCATGGAACAGCTGCAGGAGCACGCGCTGCAGCCCAACGCGGGGGGCGACCTGTGAGGCCGCGCACGCGGGGCGGAAGGTGTTGTGAGCGGACAGGATGAACGGCCGATGCGAAGGGGCCGCGCTGCTGCCCGACTTTGTGTCATGGCAGCGCTGGTTGATGCTATCCGACGGCCTGACGTGATGGATTGCGGGGCGGGGTGACGTGGCGGGGAGGGCGATAGCGGCGGCGAGCTCGATGCGTGCAGTGGGGTGCGGGGCCACGGCGGGGGGTCGATAGATGACGCAGGGGTGTTCAGTGGTCGGGCGCGCGGCAGGGCTACTAGGGCCATCGAAAGAGGCGTGCGGTGCCATGCTGGCCGAGGTACATAGGCTCTTGTGTTAGTTCCAGGCTCTCGGGGACATCACGCGCGGCTCCGCGTGCGTGGAGCGGGCCGTGAGAAGCCCATTCAACCACCGCCGGAACCAGCGGGCGGGGGCGCTTTTCAGCGGGCGCGACCCCCTTGAGAAGGGCGTCTTGGGCTGCACGCGAGGGGCAGGCGCGCAGCCGGCTTGCGTTCAGTGCGGGGTGCTCTGCCGGGGGAAGCTTGCCTAGGTAATCGGAGAAGATCTGTCGCCCGCAAGGCCTGCTTGCGCCCCCCTGGTACTCCTGCGCCCTCAGACCTGATGTTCATGCCACTGAAAAGCCAAAGTAGTGGCGAACAGAGGATATAAATGACCGCACGTGGCGTCAGCGGGGCGCACCCCCTCGCTTGGCATCCTCGCCCAGGCAGCTAGCCTGCCGGGTCTTGCGCTTGAAACAACCAAACGCGATCCCCACCGTGCTACCACACACGCGTAGAAGCCATCAAACACAAACAAGCCCGGTATATTTGTTTAATTATTGCAGGCCGCCGTATCCAACCAAGAAGCAACTCCGTTCCGTTTCTCCACGAAGCCTCGCGCGGCGAGACCGCGGCCCCGCAGCCTCCAGCCACCTGAATGATGCCCGTCAAGTCCGCCGTCGCGCACACCCCGCGCTTCGCGGCCCCAGCGCCCACACAGGCAGCGCTGTGCACCTCCAGCGGGCCCGTGCAGCGACGCGCAGCCCTCGACCCCGCGCACCGGCTCCAGCCGCTCCGCGTCGCAGTGCTGCGGCAGCCCGCAACGACGCTCCACGCCGCAGCGCCGCCCTCCGCGATCGCCGGCGCCGCGGCCGCGGTCAGCGCCGACGACGGCAACACCCCCCTCCCCCTCGACTTCCACCCCGCGCCGCTGCGCCCGGCGCAGTGGGCCGCCACCGCGGCCGCAGGGGTCCTCACGACGGTCCTGGTCTTCGCGGCCACGCAGGCGCTCGCCGCGGCGGTCGCACCCACCGTACCGCCGCCACCGCCGTGGCTGCCCGCGTTCCTCGTCACCGTCGCGCGGGCGCTCGCCGCGGCCGCGCCGCCGACGCTCTCTGGCCTCGCCGGCTGCGGCGCCGTCATACTGGCGTGGGACAGCTTCCTCGAGTCGCAATTCAAGGCCCTGGAAGTCACTCCGAGGGAACTGCAGCGGCGCGGGTTCCTCGGGGAAGGAGCGGGGCTGCTGGCGTGCCGCGGCGCGAGGCGGGCCGGCCCCACGTTCGACGTGCGGTACATCCGCACGGCGCCTGCGGGCGGCGCGTCGCGGCGGCGCGTGCACTGCCTGCATGGCTTCGGCGCCTCAGCCGGGTCGTGGGCGCTGTGCCAGCAGGGGTTGGCGGACGCGCTCGGCGCGGTGGTGACGGCGCACGACATGCCGGGCTTCGGGCTGACCGAGCGCCCGGCGTCGCTGCGCGACTACACGTCAGACTCGAACGCCAGTATAATCATGGACATTGTCAACGCCGTGGACAGGCCTGAGTCAGGGGGGGCGGCGGAGAGCGTCCCGGGCGGCCCGGAGGTCGGCAAGCGGCTCGGCGACAGCGGGCGGGAGGATTCGGCGTCGTCTGTCGCGAACGACGACCCTGACGCGTCGGTGCGGAACTCCCCCACGCGCAGCGGGCGCGACGGGCCGTCGGGCGGCGCGGTGCTGATGGGGCACTCGCTCGGCGCGCTCTCGGTCTCCGAGGCGCTCATCAGCAACCCGCGGGCCGTGTCCGCGGTCGTCCTCATCGCGCCGGCGCTCCTCGCGCCCCCCGGAGGGCCGGTGCCGGCGCCGGGCGGAATCTTCGCGGCGCTGTTCGCGCTGTTCCGGTCGATCGCCGGCTACATCACCGCGACGTTCATCGCGCTCGCGACGCCCTTCTCGGTCATCGCGCTGCGCCGCCTCGTGCGCAACCGCTCGTTCTGGGAGGCGGGCCTCAAACGTGCGTGGTACTGGCCGGCCGCGAAGGGCACGGCGCGCGAGGCCGGGCTGCTGTCGCTCATCGACGACTACCGCATTCCGCAGATCACGCGCGGGTGGGACTACGGGCTGCTGAAGTTCGTGCGATCGCGCATCGGCGGGGGCTCCGCCGGCCCGCTGGCGGTCACGCGCGGCGTGCGCGAGGCGCTGCGGCCCACGCTGGTGCGGCTCGGGCGGGTCCTGCGGGAGACCGGCGTGCCCGTGCTGATCGTGCACGGAGCGCAGGACACGCTCGTCCCGTTGTCAAACAGCAAGAGGCTCGCGGAGCAGATTCCGGGTGCGCGGCTGATGGAGTTTGACAAGTGCGGGCACACGCCGCACGAGGAGTACCCGGAGGAGTTCGTGGCGGCGGTCAGGGAGTGGCTGGAGGAGGCGGAGGCGCGCCGGGGCTGAGTTGTAAGAAGAAGGAAAAAAGAGTCTGTTTTTCGTGTATTCGCGTGTATATATGTGCGGATGTGCGGAGCTGTGAGGCCGAGGCACGAACGGTGCGCTGAGAGGCGTGGTGGGTGCGGACATGGGTGCTGCAGGCTCCGGCGAGTCGCTAGGTTGCCGCACGTGTGTTGTACCTGACGGATGGTGCTGTGACTCAGTCAGACTGTCAGGGCTCCTGGCGCGGTGATTGGCCGCCCGCTGCAGGGGCACGCGACAGACGCATCGCTTGCGCATACCAGGCGGCGCGTTGAGGGGGTGTTTTGGTCTAGGGAGCGCGGCAGGGCGACCCACTGGGAGCTGTTGGGATCGCACTTGAAACACGGTGCCGCTCGCCGCACGGAGCGGTTCTGTCGCGGCCCCGTGATGACGGATAGGCATCGAAGCGCGCATTGACGGGATAATCTGGGTAGATTAGGCCCGAGCGGGCGCGTTTTGTTGCATCCAGGCACCACATGGGTCCGGAAATGGCCAACGCAGGGGGCCGGCCGCGCCGAGCTGGCGCCAGCAGCGTGTCGTGGAACTGCCACGACTGCCAGGTGCGCTTTGAGTGCGACGTCACCGACGACAGCGCCGGACTCGCGACCTCCAAGTTTGACGTCGCACAGTGCTGGTCGCAGAGCGGCCCGTTCCTTGACCGCTTGGCGCACCAACGACGTTCCCTGCAGTCTCTGAATGCTGGAAACATGAACGAGTGCTTCAGCTGCGGCGCACTGCGCGTTCAGGGCGCGCCGGCGTGGCAAGAGTCGCCCCCGCACACTCCCGGCGAGCCCTGGCCCGGCGCCGGCTACGTCGAGGAGGGCTACGAGGTTGAGAGCGACGTCGAGCTTCTCTCTGACTCAGGGGGCCTCGACAGCCCCAGAGGCTCGGAGTCCCTGGGCCCCGGACCCGCAATGCGCGACGTTGATCATCGTCAACACGATGACTTCGGAGAAAGCTCCTACCACGGGCTTCTCGATTCGGGCCTCGAATCGCTCCCCGTGGACCCGAACATCAACGCATCTATCTACAGCGAGCCCGGGAGCGACCCCAGCCTGTCCCCCCGCACCACAGCGGGCGTCCCGTCCAATGCTGCGGGGCGCCTCAGCGTCCCCTCGCGCGCCTCCGCGCGGGTCTCCGACCTCGACATCGCCGACACCGACGGTCGCCCACCTCTCCAGTCCGCCGCCGTGAGCCCGGGCGCCGTTCCGGACTCGAACGACGCCACGGACGCGGAGGGCGAGAGTGAGCGCGGGCGCTTGAACGCGAGCTCACGCCACGACGCGGGCGCAGCGCGCGTGAACTGGCGCGCGGACCCGCGCGGACAGTCGCGGAGCGCGCGCTCGCTGGACGCCGGCGGCGGCGGCGGCGGCCTGGCGCGCCACCAATCAATACAACCTGAGCAATCGGCGTACTACCAATTGATATCTGAGGATCCTCGCGGGGCAGAGCAGGAGCTCGTGTACCGGTCGAGCGCGTCGCTGTCGCCGCAGGAGAGCGCGGCGTCCGGGAGCGGGCTCGGGGAGGGCCCGGGGGGGCTCGGGGACGAGGACGGGGGCGCTGCGGCGGCGACGGACGAGTTGTGGGCGATGCTGGGCGACCGTGTGGTGGTGGAGGGTGCGGAGCGGTCGGTGGCGCACCCGAGTCCGCCGTCGACGGCTCCGCCGGCGACCGCGCGGCCGCAGCGGCCCGTGACGGCACGGGGGCGCGCTGCAGGGGGGGGTGCAACGATGACTGACAGGTAGGCCTGGCGCCCGGGGGCGCGTCCGACGGGGCCGCGGCAGGGCTCAGTCGAGCACGCCGTGATGCCATCTGCCTCGCACCGAAGCAACTGGCACGTGCACAACACGTCGCAGTGGTCCCGCGTTGGCGTGCAACAACGACAGCACGCCCTGCGCACATTTGTTCTCATCCCTTGGGTATTCCGCTCAACGCTGTGCGCAGGGCGGGCCCCTCGTCCGGCGTCACGGTGCTGACGGTGCACGCCGACAGCGACCCCCCCGCGCGGGCGCGGCGGCGGTCCCGCGCCAAAAGCTACGCATCCTCGAAGCCGAGCGAGTACCTCGAGATCGAGGACTCCTTCCACTCCTTCGACCCCGGCGAAGCGTTCCGCAAGTCTCTCGGCAGGCAAGACTACGCCGAGGACTCGGGCGACGACGACGACGACGACGCTGAGGACGATGCTGCAGCCGCCGCCGCCGCCACGGACGAGCTCTACGCGCTCATGGGCGGCCGCGTGATCCAGGAGGGTCGCCGGCACTCCTCGGACCGGTCCGTCTCGTCCGCGTCGCGCTCCGCGTCGCGCGACGGCGACTCCGCCGCTGCCGACGCCGTCGACACGGGCGACGCCGCGGCCGCGACGGAGGAGCTCTGGGCGATGCTGGGCGACCGTGCGATCGTCGAGGGGGACCACGAGCCGCCGCAGAGGCCCCACGGAGCCGAAGACCGGTCGTCCGGCGTTGCAAAGCTGCCAAGCATTCGGCGGCGTGGGCTGCTCGACGGGTTGATGGAGACGCCGTCGATCCGCCGCCGGCTGGACCCCGCGACGCCGCTGGAGCGCGCGACGACGATGGAGTTCGGGGAGGCGCTGAGGGACCGGGGGGATCTGTCGCGGGTGGGGTCGCGGGAGGAGGTGCCGTTTGTAGAGGACCCCGCGCGGAGCAGTGCGTCGCTGGCGGCGGCGGCGGACGCGGCGGTGAAGGCGGCGTCGTCGCGGCGGCGGTTCGATGCGTTCGGGGCTGCGCCGCCGCCGCTGCAGGCGGAGGCGGGCAGTGGGGAGCTGGGGGGGGGGGCTCTCGGCTCGGACTCCGTGGAGGAGTTGGCGGTGTCGGGGACGGGCAGCGGGCGCGCGGGGTTCGAGGAGTCGGTCGAGGCGGCGAGCTCCCCGCGCCAGCCGGGCGAGCGAGGGGGAGGAGGGTTTTCTTCCGAGTCGGTCTCGGACCTGTCCGACGCGTTCGACGTGCTCGAGAGGTCCCGCGGAGAGCGGCGCGCGGACTGGCAGCCGCCGAAGCCGCTGCCGCAGCTGGGGGCCACGTCAGGGCTCTCGAGTCACGACGCGGGGGAGTATTCGACGGATACCGACCACGAGGACGCCGGGGCGACGGCGCGGCGCCGCAGCCGCGCCGCACAGGGCGTGCAGGCCCCGGCGACGGCGCACGCGGGGGCGCAGGCCTGCGGGGTCGCGCCGCGCCGGCGGGACTTTGCGGCGCAGGTAGGGGGGGGGTTAAACCAGCAGGGCGTGCAGTGCGACTTCGACGAGCGCCACGGCCTGCTATGGGACTCGTCGGCTCTCCCGGGCAGGGTACTCCGGCCCGCCACTGCGCAGCCGCAGCCTCCCCCGCCGCCTGCATCGCGGCCCGCAGCACCTCCGACGCTGCCGTGGGCGTTCCCTGGCGCTGCGCCGTGGCAGGGCGCTCCAGCGTTCCTCATCCCCGTCGCTTTTGCGCCTCCTGCGAGCCAGCCCGGCGCGAGCGAGGACCAGCGGGCCAGGGGCGATGCACCAGCGAGCGGCGCACAGCACCCACAGGCGTGGATGCCGTTCCCGATGGCTCCGACGTTCCCCACGGGCTCCGCACTGCCCTGGGCCCACTGGACGGCGCCGTCCACGGCCGCAGGCGCCAGCACGGTGCGGAACGACGAAGACCTGCGATCTGCAGCTGCTCTAGCGCAGAACGAGCAAGACAACGCGCAGGGAGCGAGTCCTGCGGCTCAGGGAGGCGAGCAGGAAGCCGGTGTCGCTGCACCGTCCGTTGCAGGGCCGGCGGCCCCGCGTCCGCGCTGTATGTATCGGTCGGCGACTGCTGGGGACTCGAAGCTGAAGGGCGCGCTGGAGGCGGTGCGGCGGCGGCTGCAGACGCTGTGCGACGAGGGGACGTCGTGGGCGCGCGCGGGGTCCGCGGGCAACAGCGTTGGGCCCGCGCCTGCGCCGGGACGGGTTGGAGCGGACGCGGGTCATAAATATACGACTCTGGAGTCGACGATCGCTTATATTCGAAGCACGTTGCCGCACCCGACGGTGTAGATGCCAGGAGGGAGCGTGTGAGAGGTGGGAGTGGCGAGATGTTGGCCGTCAGGGCACGCCACGGCGGCGATGATCACCATAAACTCTTTTCGTCATGAGTGGCGGCGGGATCGAACGAGAACACCCCTCGGGGCCCGTGCGCGGCGCTCTGGAGTGACCGTGCGGTGCCCTGGGGGATTCAGATGAGCCGGTGCGCGGGGTCGGAAGTGAGGCGCTGCAACATGGTTGCGTACGTATGCATGGGCTGTGAATTTGCAGACGACCCGCGTACTGGTTCGAGATCGGCGGTCCCTGGGCTTGCGAAGGCCATATCAGTGGGGGTGACTGAGCGCGGCCCGCAGGGCCCCGTGCAGGCACGGCGCTGCAGGCCTGACAGCACTGACAGACGCTGGAGGGATCGGGGGCACTCCCCCCCTCCCGGCGGGGCTGGCAGGTAGGCGGATGCGGCGGGCGGATGTGGAGGGCGCGGAACGAGCGGCAGGAGGGAGACACGTGGCTGGCGACGATGTGCGCGATGCACGAGAGACACAACAACACGTCCGGTGCGGCGAGATGATGTGAGGACACGTCCGACGCTGCACGTGCTGCTGGATCTGGACGAGGCGGCAGCGGGCGGCAAGGCGCTCGTACGTCGCGGACATCAACACGTGCTGTCGAAACACAAGTAGAGCCGCGACAGGTTCCTGGCGAAGATGCGAGGCAACGGAGCAGGGCAGGCATCTCCGGCAGTGGCGGTGTTCTCGGTGACCGCGGTGCGTGATTTCACGGCGCGTTCGGTATCGCCAGGGCCCACGAGGCGCCATACAGGACCTGCCTGGTACAATCCGAAGTCGCGTCTGTCGGGCGGAGGAGCCGCGCGCGGGCATCGAGGCCGCCCGCTGCACGCTCACGCACTCTCGCTGCGGTCCCCAACGCATCGTTCTCCCCACTTCGCGTGCTCTTCGCGCCCCACCGGCGAGTGGGGACGCACCAGTCTGGGAGCCGGGCTAACGCCGCGCTGGGACTCGGATCGCCTTCGGGTCCAGTGAGACGCGCTTCTCGCGTTTGTCGTAGGTGTCCGGCGTCAGGGCAACCCGTGAAGCGTCACGCGGGTGCCGTACAGAGCCTTTCGCGCCCAGCAGCAACGAGGCGCGATTCCTCCGGGATACAAGGCTGTCATGCGTCTCCAAGCGCTCGAGCCCGTGGACAGACACCTCTGAAGCTGGTGCGTCGACGATTCGAGTCCCGCCCGAGCTTCGCTGCGGCTGCGCGGGCGCCCCGGCAACTTTCCAGACGCACGCCCCTTTGCAGCGATTTTCGGGCAGACGCGCGGCGACGGCGGTTTCCTCGCTCCGCGACGAGACCTCTACGTGCGCTGGTATCGCTCGCGCACGGCAACTTCCTGTCTTGACGGCTCGAACGGCGAGGACGCGCACGTACGCTTTTTCAGCAGGGCATCCCGCAGAATCAGCGTTTCACGCGGGGACATCGAGCAACCGCGGGACCAGCCCGAATGCGCTCAAGTTGATTCCTTCGTTGGGACCCAGTCCCATCGCGGAGCGCGTTCTCAGCGACAGCACGGCTCTGGCGACTGTTGCTTCCCTGTGGGCTCCGCACGCTCGTATCCGGGATCGCCACACACCGCCAACGGCCTTTCTCGCCATCTGCAGGTCCGCAGCTAGCCTCGCGTACCTCGGCTTCTCGCGCGAGCCCGGCGAGCACCGGTTCGCCCTCAGCACGCACAGCGCCCACAAAGTAGCGCGTGCCCAGGCCCGACGGGCGCCCCCAGCCACGCTCCACGGCCATGTCCTGGAACCCTTGGGCCCTCAACGACACCAGCAACCACCAAGCGCCGGCCAGCACGGACCAGGCGCACGGCAACGGGTCTGCCCACACCATATCGCACGAAGACACCGTCCGACCGCAGCCACGGAGCGCCGCCCCGTCGTCCGACGTCAAGCAGCTCACGCAGCTGTACTGGCCGTGCGATGACGCCCCCGACCGCGTCGTGCTCGGCGAGGCCGCCATTCTGACCCTCATCAGCGACACAGGCCCCAAACACTCCTGCGAGGTCAGCCCGGACGATCTAAAGAACAGGATCCTGCAGCTGGCGTGCGTGGACACGCGGGAGTCGATGTTCTCGAAGCACGCCCGCGACACCGTCGGCCACTACGTGCACGAGGCGATGGTGGTTGGTCCGCGCACCATCCGCGCCCCGAACAGGACGCGGGTCACCTTCTACGCCGTCTTCAACTCCTGCGAGGCCGCCGCGATCGCCGCGCTGTGCTGGCGCACCGTCAAGCACCACGGCGGCGTCTCCCTCGGGCGCCGCGGCCCTGGCGGCGTCACGGTGGGGCCGCGCGAGGCCGAACGCCGCCTGAACGAGCGCCTCAAGGCCGCGCAGGAGGGCCGGACCGCGCCCCCGCCACTGCCGCCGCCGCCGCCGCCGCCGCCGCCGCTGGAGATCGAGCCGCGCGCGGACTTCCCGCCGGAACCGCAGCCGGTGGCGGGCGGGCAGGGCGGGTTTGGTTCGGCGATGGCGCTGGCGACCGCGGCGCCGGCGGCCGACGGGTGGAAGAGGCGGCGGCTGCACCAGGGGAGGTCCCCCGAGGGAGTGCGGTACTGGACGGAGAATATGGAGACCAAGCCGTGGTTTCCGCATGGGCATGTCATCGCCGGGTGGTACGAGGAGTGGAAGGGCCGCGAGCGCGTGGACGTCGAGCGTGCGCTGCGGGGCTTCCACGGCGCGCGCGGCGAGGAGTTCACCGTGGACGACCTGACTCGGCCGGAGGACACGCGGCATTGGTCGTATCTGTCGCAGCAGCGCCTCGCGACGCTGCGGAGCATGCGGCTCGACGCGCTGGTGCCGGAAAGTCGCGTCTCGCCGCAGCCGGCGCAGACCCCGCCGGCCCGGCGTGCGTGGACCGGCCGGCTGCACACGCCGTGGACCAGGGCTGGCGAGGAGCCGTCGTGCTGCTGCACGGAGCTGTTCGGCGTGTGCGACAGCGAGCCGATGCTGCTGGACCCCGTGTACGCGTCGGACGCGCGTCTGCTCAACCACGTCAGCTCTGCCTTGTTGGAGGCTGAGGGACCCAGGAAGGGAACCAAGGCGACACTCAACCCGTCCTTGTTCCCGGGGGCGGGGCCGGTGCTTGCCGCGCAGGACCTTCCGATCCACGAGCACATGCCGCGGGACTTGCACTTCCAGAAGATGCCGGTGTACACGAACGAGACGGTGGACACGGTATGGGCGCGTCTCAGCGGGACGTGGCAGCCCGACCGGGGGCTGCCGTCGGTGCGCGTGCATGGGCTCGATGGATCGGACGGACCTGGCCGGGAGGCGCTGGCGGAGCTGGCGCGGAGGATCGAGGAGCTGCCCACGACCGACAACAGCCCTCCAGTGCTGCACTGCAAAGTCATGTCGCTCGAGGTGCGCTCGCGGGGTGCGGCGGCGCGGGCGGCGCGGATGCTCGCGTGGCGTGGCCGCCGGGCCTCTCGTGGTTCGTGACGGCTGAGGGAACCGACAGTCGAGGATTCCCTTCTTGCGTTGTTTTTTGTTTTTGTTTTTTTTCTTCTTGCCTGACTGCTCCGTGTCCTCTCCGTCCCCCCCGCGACGCAGGGCTCGGCGCGCTTCATGGGCGTCCTCGGCAACAGCGATTCCAACGCCGAGGAGCGCGCGCTCCTGGACGCCCTGCGCGCCCCCACGGAGCGAAAGGCCTGGGTCGACCGTGCGGCGGCCAACAAACAGGCGTCCAAAGTATACGTCCACTTGTTCCTCATGGCCAACACGGAGAGCTCGTGCAAGAGGTTCTCTATGATCGATCCCGCGGCCTCGCTCGCCCCGGACGACGCGCGCCCCCCGCTCCTGCTCGTGCGCGTCCCCGCATGGGCGGGCACCTTCCAGAACCCGGGGGGGGGTCTCGTCGGGAAGCTGGGGCTGAAGCTGTACGGGCACACCGCGGCGCACGCGCTGCCGCTCGCGCTGCACACGGAGACGCAGGTGCCGCTCGAATGGGCTCTGCGTCAACTGCAGAGGGAGGCTCCGGCCAACGGAGAGTTCTTCCTGCAGTTCGCGGACCCCAGTGGGGGGGCAAAAAAGCAGATGGAGGCGTGGCTGAAGGGCAAGCCGGAGTCCCGCGCGTTCGTGGTGTTTTATACCACGCGGGTGAGCCATCGCGACCTCCAGCCGTGTTGCTGTTCGATGCAAAGCTGTTTGACTGTGGACATGCATGCACAGGCGCGTGCGCACAGGAGCGTCTGCGAAGCGTGCGCTGCGTTCCTGCGCTGCGTGCAGTCGCTGAAGCATCCGGAGAAGGACGACGGAAAGAAGTACTGTTGGCAGTGTCCGGCTTGCAAGCAAAAGCATCGGCTGATCAACAGGACCAACTTCTTCCGCCTGCTGATGATCCCCGTCCCCGCGCTGCCGCCCGACAAGCTGAAGCAGTACAAGCTATCGTCGTCGGGCAGCGACGCCTTCGTGTGCCGCATCGACGCCGTCACGGGGAAGGAGATGACTCAGGGGGGGGAGGTTCCGGCGAGGTACCAGTCCATGCCGTCCGACGCGGTCAAGTTCCTCGTCGAGAACACCGCGAAGGCGCTCGAGGGGCGGGCGCTGCTGTACAACGAGTGGCTGTCGGAGAGCGAGACGCCGCGGCAGACGCCCCGCTGGACGCCGACGTACGGGGCGTGACGCTGCGCTGGCAGGGCTGGGGGCGATGGAGGGGAAGGCGCACGGAGGGGGAGATGAGGACGAAGGAACAAACCGCAGTCGAAGGAACAGATAGTCTTACATCGAGACGTATATTATGTGAGAGGGAAGCAGCTTCTGAGTGCTGCTGTCGCCAGCCGCGCCAGCGAGTGCGTGTGGCTCGCACGGGCTCGCGTTCCGTCGCCGGGTGGACTTGGCGCTCGACGCGCGTGCTAGATAATCTTTAGTCGAGTGCTGCTTGCTGGCGCCCGGGCGCGCAGCCGACGAGCACGTGCCGCCGCGAGGACGACTCGGCTGGCAGCTCGACGATCCCGCAGCGCTGCGCGCCGGCCCGAGCCGCCCACAGCAGCCGCGTGGCATTGATGGCCGTTGACGCCGTTTGCGCGGCGTCGCGGGCCCCGTCTGTCTCCGCAAGGCGCGCCACACGCATCCACAGTGCTCCATCAAGGCACGGCTGCTCAGCGTCGCGGTCTCCCGCCGCACCCGCGTCTCCCTCGCCCAGTGGCACGTTGCTTCGAACGTGTGCTGGCAGGTACGCCACGTCTGCACGGAGTTCCGGATTGGACGCAAAACAACACGTACAGACGCAGAACGACGCACGGTGCTTGCACGCCACGTCGACGATCGTGTCGGACAGCCCCCCGCACGCGTGCAGCCCGACCAGGACCCCCCCCCCATCAGCACCCCCCAGAATGTCTTCCCACGCGACCGTCGCGGCGTCGCCCAGCCGGAACGACGCGTTCGCGACCCCGAACTCCGCACAGAAGGTCCGCGCGTGCGCCAGAGACTGCTCGTTCGCATCGATGCCGAACACGCGGCACTGCGGGAACGCTCTCGCGACGTTCGCCACCAGGTCGCCGCGCCCGCAGCCCACGTCGACGACGACGCCGCGCGGCGAGCCAGCGCCGCCCGCGGCTCCGTCTGCGGCTCCGGGCAGCAGCTGCGCCAGCAGCGCCAGCATTGTCCTGACCTGTGGAGCTTTCTTCCTGGTCAGATACTCGCTGCGACGCTGCGCCTCCTCGCCCGTGAGGACGTCGCCGTGCAGGCCCTCCGCGACGCGTGTGTTGAACACGAGGTCGATCGCGGCGCCGCCCTCGCTCGCGCCCGTGCGCAGGACATCCCCGGGGGGGTCGATTCTACGCCATGTGTCTTGCATCGCGTCGCATATGCGTTCCGCCGCCGCGAGCGCAGCCCTGCGCGGCAACGCGCGACGTTCCAGCTTGAGCGGTAGACACAGTGTGATGATCGAAAACCTGAAGAGCTGTTTTTGTGACTGGAAAAAGAAGGTCATGATTAGCTGCACAGCTTGTGGCCGGTGCCACCGCGGGCGCCTCACCGGTCGATCTTCGGCTTCCGTATCCGTCCGCGGCGCGCGTCCAGCCCCGCCAGCGCCCGCGCGGTGTGTGCGCACGCCACGCGCAGCTCCTTTCTTGCCCCCGCGTCACCGCCCTCCGCCGCCCGACGCAGCGCGACGAGGCGCCCGGCGTCCGCGTGTCCCCCGAGACACCGCGCGGCCTCGCCCTCGTCGAACACGCTGGCGTCGCACGCGCCCACCACTCGCAGCACCGCCGCAGTGTCGGGCTTCACTCTATGTATGGCAAGGCTGCGGCACGACAGGGCCGGCGCGCCCGTGCGCGTCCGGCACGGCACGCCCGTGAATTGCGCCTCCGCGCCCGGGGCCAGCAGGGCGACGACCGTGGCGAACCATGCCGCGCTGCGGGAGCCGGCGATGTGCTCATGTTCAAGGAGGACTTGCAGGCCCGAATTACGATTGTTGTGGAGTCTGCTATCTTCGTCGACTGGCTGCGCGCCCTGCTTGGAACAGTCTGCGACCGTGACGAAAGCGAGGCCGCGGCCGTGCGCGCGTGAGCGCGTCACGCAGCCGGCAAGGCTGAGGTTGGCGCCTGCGCTCTCCGCGTACGCGCCCGGCCGCAGGTCGCGTGCAGCCGCCTCGATCCTCTGTGATATGTCCTCCATTCTGAGGTCAATGTGGACGCGCCATTGTGCCCTGGCAGCCGGCAGCGGACGAGAACAGTGGGTCCCAAGAGCAGGCTTATGTCAATGCATCGCAGCGTCCAGAACGGTCGGGGAAGTCGATTCGTTCGCAGGGCAGTTCGGCAGCTCCGTGGGCTACGCAGTCGTGAGTTCAAGCCGCCCAGTGGCCCGAAGCTGGCCCGGCAGGACGGACTGTTATTGCCAAGTATGAAACTGGAATACCGACGCAGGAGAAGGGTCCGCGACGCAGCGCGGCCGCGCCACGCTTCGCCCACTGCCCCAACATCACGCGTGCCCCCTCGTCCGCTCCGTGCACACCGCACACGTGACGCACGCTAGCTGTGTCTCTGCCTCTTGCCTGCTTTCGACATTGGTACAGCGATTCCGCTCGACGACCCCGACAAGCCCCCCTCGCCGAAGAGGATGCGGCCGCCCTCATCGGGCCCGCCGCACTACGCGTCCCGGGATGTGCTAGGCGGGGCGATGGACGCGGAGGGGGAGGAGATGGGCCCCATGCCGGACGACGTGGACTTCGACGACTTCAAGAAGCCGCTGGTTCACGCAACGATGGTACTGAGGATCGTCTGCGGACGACGCGCTGACGTGTCAGCCGCGTTCAACGAGCTGCGGAGCACAAACAGACCTGCCAGTGGCTCTGGCCACGCGCAGCCGCGTATCGCTCCCCCGAGCGGCCGTTTCTCACGTCCCGCCGCCTCACGTGGCGCTGCAGGTCACCGAGCTGCGCCGGTGCGCGCAAGTCAGCAACGACGCGCTGCTGGCCAAGGTGCACGACCGACCCAAGGTCGACGCGATGCTCGAGAACGGCAAGGCCCAGGCACACGCGCAGAGGAACCGCGCCAAGTAAGCCCTTCCCGCGCGCTCATACACGGAACGCCACGTCCCACGACGAGGAAGCGCGAATTGTCCTCACAGTGCATCACCCCGGCCGTGCCGCGAGCGCCTGCCTGCGCGGACACCCTGCAATCCTATCGCGAGCTCCTCGCTGCAGGTCCGGCCGGGACCGCCGCGGGGGCGCAGGACCGTCCACGCCGGGACCGGACTCCCCCGGTCCCTCTCCGATGCAGCTGTAGCCGCGGCACTGCACCGGCCCCGCATGAACGCCGCGCAAACTGGGCCAGCCCACGCCACAGGGCGCCCGCGCCACAGGGCGGTAGCGTCGCGTGTGAGCCACGCGCCTTCAGACATGTTTTGGCGCTTTCCAACAAATACGGATTTCACGACTGAAAAGGGAGCTCACGAGGCGCACGGAGCGCCCTGGCCGCTGCCGCGCGAGCCCAGCTGTCGTCGACACGCGCTCGCAGCGTCACAGGCCTCGTCAGCTGCCCTGGTTGCCGGAACACTACTCCCCCGGTATGACGAAACACCCCACCCCTTGCGGGCCTCTCTAGTCGTACAGGTCGTCGTCCGGGTGCGCCGCGGCCGCCGCCGGCGCCGAACCGCCGCTGGTCTTCCCGACCACCACGCGCACCTCCGCAGCAGCCTCCCTGACGCGATCTTGACACCCCGGGACCCTCTCGGCGTCCTGACAGGCGTCCAGGGCCCCCATGGCCTCAGCCATCACCCGCGCGCCGTCGCTCAGGCCCGCGAACGTCCCCAGCGCGACCAGACCGCGGAACCGCGAGTCCTGGTCGTCCGGCGGGCAGGCATTTAGCAATTCAATAACTGCCGAGATGCCTTGCGACTCGACTTCCGCCGCCGCGGACGCAGAGCCCGCGCCGCTCGAGGCCATCGCGGCCGCGAAGTTGAGCAGCAGCGTCGCGACCGCCAGGCGCAGCGCGGGCTTCGCGTCGGCCGTGGCGCACGCGGCGAAACCGCCCACAAAAGCCCCCTGGTTTCCCACCAACCAGGGGCGCAGGGGGGCGTGGTGGAACATCGCGCAGAGGGCCTTCGCGGCGGTCAGCTTCGCCGCGGTCGCGTCCGAGGCCATCACGGCCGCTATCGCGTCCTGCGCGTCGGAGCACGGAGCGAGCAGTCGGCGCGCTGCTTGCAAGTAAAGAACAATCAGACGAGGAACTCCATCTGGAAAAACGCCGCGTTTCGCGAATGAACCAGCGGCCCGGATCGCGCGCGCGCAGCAAGCACCGCTTCGGTATCACGGTGCATGGCTCCATAGAGCCCGTTACGACCCCAGGGGGGGTGTTCGGTATGAAATGTACGCGCACCTGGATCTGCGGCAACACGTGCGCGACGGCTCCGGCGTTCGCCGGAGGCCGCGCGACGCACCGGAGGAGGTCGAGCGCGGGGAAGACCCGCTGCGGCGGCCACGCCATCGCCGCGCCGAGCGCGCCGGCCTCCTCCGCGGAGAGCGTTTGCCCAGGCGAGGCCGGCGAGGCGACGTACTGCCCCGCACGAGCCGTGAGGTCGGCGAGAGCGGCCTCCTGCGCTGGGCTGACTGTTCCTGGGGACGCTGCGAGGCGTTCGGGGCCGGGGCGCGGGTGGTTTGAGAAACGGGGCGGGTACGGCAGCAGATGGCGTTGCGGTGTGTGTGTGGGGCTTTGGGCGACGCACCGGCGCAGAACTCGCGCAGCTTCTTCTCCATGCCCTCCGCGTTCGGCGCGTTGTCGATGGAGAGGAACGTCCGCATCGGGCAGTACTTGAGTCCCCCCCCTCCGCTGCCGACACCCCCCGCGCCGCCCGGGACGTACGACCCCTTCCCGGTGATCGGGTCCGGGTTCGCCCCGATCGGGTTCGGCATCGCGTCCGTCCCGCCGGTGTTTTGCAGAATGAACCCCACCACCTGCTGTCGGTACGTGTCGGGCAGGTTATACTCCCCCAGGAACCTGTCTGCGACGTCGTACGGGTTGTCCCCGCGGTTCATGCACAGCTTCAGCGGCGGCGCGCCGTCCGCCACGTCCACGTCGAACACGAAGTCCCATTCGCGGCCCCCGTGCACCTTCGTCGATGGAACCATGTTGCTGTCTCCGCCCCCCGGGCCGCCCATCACCTCCCCGACGCACTCCCACGACCCCGCCGCCGCCGACCACACGTACGCCATCAGCACGCCGTCCTGCCGGACGACTTTCGTCGCGCCGTCCTTCGCCCCCGGGGCCTGAAGCGACTCCACCGACTCCACGTTGAGGCCCCCCGGGAGACCCCCCCCGTCCTCGCCACCGCCGCCCTTCGCGGCCTCCTTCCGCTCCGCGATCGCGGCCACGAACGCCGCGCGCACCTCGTCCGCCGCCCGTCGCGAGGGGTCCGTGGACCAAAGGTACGTGTTGCCGTTGCTACACGCCGTCGCGAGGTCGCCGTTGGGCAGGAACGCGGCGTCCCACACGCAGCCTGGGTGCTCGATCGTCTGCACGCACGTCCCGTCCGCCCGCCACACCTTGCACGTGTTGTCCTCGGAGGCTGTCGCCACGAGCCCTGTGGGCGGGTGGACGTCAACGCGGTACACGAGGGCGGAGTGGCCCGCGAAGGTGACGAGGGCTTCGCCCGTGGTGGCGTCCCAGAGCCGCGCGGTCTGGTCGTGCGACGCGGACAGCAGGCCGACGCCGGGCCACACCGCGAGTCCGCGCACGGTGTCGCCGTGCCCCGTGATGGTGCGCACGCACTCGCCGTCGCGGTTCCACACGCGCATCGTCGCGTCCTGCGAGCCGGAGACGAGCTCGCCGGAGTCCAGCACCGCCATCGACAGCACGCTGCCCTGGTGCCCCTGGAGGACTGTCAGACACTCCCCCCCCCGCCAGACGCGGATCTCGCTGTCGAGTCCGCCCGAGCAGACCATGCCGCGCTCCGCCACGGCGAGGCTCGCGACCTGGTACTTGTGGCCGTTGAGAACGGCCGCGGGCGCCGCGCTCCGGGCGTCCCAAATGATGACCGACTTGTCGCGGGACCCTGACACCAGAGTCCCCCGGGGGTACTCCGGAGAGACACCCCCCGGAATGAACGCCAGGGCGCTGACGTAGTCCTCGTGCCCCACCAGCGTGCACGCTGCGACGGTCGGGCGGCCAGGAGGCGGCCGTCAGCGCACGCGGGGAGTGGAAACCGATCGCGGCTCGTGCGTTCGCGACCGCATCGTCGCCGCGGCGGCGCGGATCGCGTGCAGGGCGGTCAGGGAGCGCGTGGGCGACGCGGCGGGCGTGTGCGGCGCGGGCGTGCGCACTTGTGCGGTACCGTCCGCCACCAGACGAGCTGTGATCCTCGTTCCAGATGCGAATGGTGCGATCGCGCGATCCAGTGACGAGGCCGCTGTCGCACACGAGCAGGCAGCGGACCTGCAGAGCGAAGAAACGGCGTGCGTGAGGGCGCGTCGCCTCCCACCAGCACGCGGTGACACTCCGCGCGCGTCGCGGCTGCGGATTCAGCGAGGACCGGACGCGGCGGAGCGGTCTACTGCGGGATGGAGCTATCTTTGGCGATGTGCGGACGGGCCTCTGCCTGCGTCCCTGCGACGTTGCGGGGCCTTCTGGTCTGGCGCCACGCCACGCGCGGGTGCGCGGAGGAGCCGCGCCGAGGTGCGTCACCGAGCGCGTGACCCGGTGCCTCGAGCACGTTGCAGGCGAGGGACCGAGCGTCGCTGCCGTATCAACCCGCACTGCGCCCACAACACGCACGCGAAGTGAGAGGACAGGCAGGACGCGGATGAGCACCGAGGTGCAGCGGGGTCGCTCACGTCCTCCTCGTGGCCGCTGAGCGTGTCGTAGAGCTCGAACTGTGTCCCCGGCTCCATCTCGCAAGCCTGCCCGGAGCAGCAGCGGGTCGCGGCGCGCACTTGCGCTGGTTGCGAGGTGACCCGTTCCCGCAGCGGGCGAGTAGCCTGTGCGGGCACTGCTGCGTCAGTTGCGCGGCACGCTCCGTCTCTGAAGTGCTTTCCCGCAGCGGCGCCAGGGGCTCTCGGGCGCACGGGCAGGGAGAGGGGGTCCTTTTGGGTATGAGTGCCCCGTGCCGTCGCTTCCGGGGATGAAGTGGGCCTGCGGGAGGGGCGCACGTCCTCTTGTGTTGGGCCTACGGCTGGGGGATAGAAAGGTGCGCTCCTGGGGGATAGAAAGGGCGACGGCGAGCGAAGGCGGGCGTGGCGGCCTCGTCGGCCTCCTGCTCACCGCCGCCGGGCCTGCCGTCGGCCGCGTGCCCGAACACCGCATTTTTTCCGCCTGAGCGTGGTCGCCTCGGCCGCGGGGCGCCAGCAGCCGGCGTTGCAGCAGGCAGCGTGGTGCTCGTACCCGTCTTGCGGCGTGCCTGGCGGGCGTGGCTGGCCCGCTCTCGTTTCAACGGGCGGGTCGGATATGTATGCGGCCAGCAGGCCGCACGAACCGGGCCGTGCGCGCGCACACGCGCCGCAAACCCGCACTCTTTGGGCCGAGCACAGCAACAGCCGCTCCCGCGCCCTCCCTGCTCGGTCTGGGCGCTGTTCAGCACCCGGAACCGATGGCCCTGATTGTTGTGCAGAGGAGACACGATGGGCGTGAAGATTGTCAAGAAGACGACGCGGCAGTTCAAGCGCCACCAGTACGACAGGCGCGCTGGGTCCGTGCACAAGTCCTGGAGGCGGCCGAAGGGTATCGACTCGTCGACTCGTCGTAAGTTCAAGGGGCACATCCCCATGCCGAACATCGGCTACGGCTCTGACAAGCGGACTCGCAACATGCTGCCCTCGGGTACGCCTCCCACCCTCCACCCCGCCCTCCCGCGCCCGAATCGTCCACCACATGCAGCTCATGGCTCCTTCGAAGGCGCTCACGCGCGCATTCACGCCCAAACCGCGCTTGCCGCTACGCACGCGTCCACGCACACCACGCCAGCCAGCCCACCGCGGCGCCAGCCGCCCCCTGCGCCCCGCCCCCGGCCGCCAGCCCCCTCCGGCCGTAGCCCACGCACCCCACGCGCACACCGCGGACGCACTCCGCCTCGCGCCGCCCAGCAGCCCCACAACGCCGCCCCTCACTGCACCCCGCCGCCGGTGTCGCCCCCCGCAGGCCTGTACAACGCGGTGGTGAACAACATGACGGATCTGGAGGCCCTGATGATGCACAGCAAGCGGTTCTGCTGCACCATCGGCTCGTCGGTGGGCGCCCGCAGCCGCAAGGCCCTCGTGGAGCGTGCCAAGCAGCTCAACATCACCGTCACCAACGGCAAGGCCCGCCTGACCACGGAGGACCACGAGTAAGCCCCCTGTGTGCGGCGTGCGGCGCCGCTCGCGGGGACGGCCCCGTGTGAGCCCAGCTGAAGCGACTGTCGCCGTCACAGTTGCTGTGTACGTGCATGCTCTGTGGTGCCCACGGGGCACGTGTGGGTGGCTGAGCACCTCCGTATCGAAGACGGAGTACTTCTACTTGGGTTCCTTCGCCCTGCTGTAGGGCGCGACGACACGTAGGGTGCCCTCGCGTACCACAGCAGAACAAGAAACCCAGTGAGAAGTATTCAGTCCAACGCAAGAAGGTGTTCATCAGTCTCCCGCACGCACCGCGTCGAAACCTCACTGAGTGCACGTGCGTAGCGCTGGGCCCCGCGGGCCGGTCGGCCGTCGACCAGAGAGCAGCTGTCAGCACTGCGTCATCTTGTTGCACAGGTCCGTCGTGACGTTCGCCGTGAAGGCCGGGATGTTCTTCCAGCGCTCCACCAGCAGGTCCACGGTCGACTGGTACTTGCGCGACAACGCCGTCTCCACCAGCTCGAACCCCTGCAACGCGCGCCACGCAGAGGGAGTAACAGTCAACGACACGCCCCGGCGCGCGCCCGCGTGCCGCGCAACACCGACCTGCCGGCCGCGCAGAGACCCCTCCGGGCCGGGACCACTCGAAACACACGAAACAAAGTCCACAATGCGTCGAAGTGTGATAGGAAATGTAGGCGCGATGTCGTGAGTGTGTCGGGCAGAGACGGCCGTGCTGGGCGGGGCGGCGTGGGCTGTACTCGCCTCTTTGGATCCGGGCTTGAACCGGAAGAGCAGGAGGTCGTCCTTGCCGTCGCCGTGCCGCGGGCGCAGGGAGACGGTGGTGGGCGCGGCCGCGCCAGTGCCCGCGCCCGCCGGCACCGCCTCGGCGACCATGTCGACCCTGTAGCCGAGCAGGTGGTAGCACGCCTCGCGGAACGCGTGCACGCGCTCCTTGAACACCTGCACCGCCAACAAACGAGCAATTGGAAAATCAGTTCTAAGATGATTGATATCTCATTTGTTAGTACGTGTGATGCCACCGCGTGCTGGCTGCGGCCCCCCGCACACGCATACATCCGATGGCCAACCAGCACGTCAAAGACACACACAAGAAGTCATATGCAAACATATAGACTTGATGACGTGTCATGGATCTCTGTCTGCGGCTCGCACCTCCTTGAGCCGCAGCATCTGCTTCTCGAGCTCCGCAGCGCGCCGCTTCTGCACGATCGCCTCCGCGCCGAGCACCGCCGCCTCGCTCGACGCGCCGCCCGCGCCCGCGCCCCCGCCCGCGACGCGCACCGCCTCCGCCTCCCGCAGCTGCGCCCGCAGCGCCTCGTTCTGCGCCTCCAGCCGCTCCACCTCCTCCCTCCGCTTCGCCTCCCGCGCCGCCGCCTCGGGGTTCCCGCGCAGGTGCAGCACCCGCGTCTGACTCGCGTCAAACTCCCCCCTCCCCAGCCGCGCCTGCAACAACGCGACCTCGCGCCCCAGCGCGTCGTTCTGGCGCTCCAGCGCCCGCACGCGCACGCTCGCCCGCTCCAGCTCCGTCTTCTGCGCCTCCGCCTCCGCCCGCGCCGACGCGCCCGCCGCCGCCGCCTCCGCCACACCCGCCTCCAGCTCCGCCACCCGCGCCCGCAGCGCCTCGGCCGCCCGCTGCAGCTCCTCGCGCTCCACCGCCCACGCAGCCGCCCCGCTCTCCTTCCCGTACGTCTCCACGACCCTGCGCAGCCCCTCGCACTCCCCCCCCAGCATGCGCGCGCGGGCCTCCGCGCGCGCCGCCTCCGCCCGCGCCTCGTCCGTGCGCCCCTCCTCGAGCTTGACGCGGCCCTCCGCCGCCGCCACGCGCCCCCGGAGGTCCTCCGCCTCCACCGCCAGCGCCGCAGCCCTCTCGTCGGCGGCGCCCAGCCGCTCCAGCGCCGCCACCGCGTCCCTGCGCGCGTCCGCCGCCCACGCGGCCATGTCCGCCGGCCGCGCGATCCCGAGCTTGCTCGCGCGGTCCTCCCACGCCCGCGCCGTCGCCGCGGCGGCCGCCGCCTCGCTCGCCGCGCTCTCCGCGGCCTCCAGCCGCGCCTGCAGGTCCGCAGCGCGCCGCGCCTCGCTCTCCGCGCGCTCCCGCAATATCTGCGTCGATTCCCACCGCTCCTTGATCCTCCGAGCCTCCTCCGCCTCCGCGTCCCGCCTCTCCACCTCGGCACGCAGTGCACGCACTACCTCCTCCATCGCCGCGCCGCCGCCGCTGCTCGCCGACTCCGCAACGAGCGCGCGCCGCTCCAGCTCCGCCGCGCGCGCCTCCGCGGCCGCCAGCCGCCGCCGCACCTCCGCGGTCTCAGCCCGGGCCGCCTCCACATCCCGGCGGCACGCCGCCACCTCCCGCGCGTCAACGCCGCGCTTCTCCTCCAGCCACGCGACCTTCCGCTCCAGCGCGCGCCGCGCGTCCACGCCGGCGTCCTTCTCGGCCGCCAGCTCGCCCTCGAGCGCCTGGACGCGGCGTTTCAGTGTCGACACCTCTCCGCGCAGCGCGTCCGCCCGGCCGTCTGCAGCCGCCGCGTCCGCCGCCGCGGCCTCGGCGCGGCGGAGGCGGTCCAGCGCGGCGCGGAGCTCGCCCTCCGCGGCGGCAACGCGCTCTGCTTCGCGCCGCACGCGCCCCGCGACCGACGCCTCCGCCTGCAAGCGCTGCTCGTGCTCCGCGGTGATGCGCTCGACGAGGCGCTGGTTCTCCGCGGCGAGGCCGTCGCGCGCGGCCTCGAGGGACGCGATGGTCCGGTCGCGCGCGGCGCAGCGTTCGCGGGCTTCGCGGAGTTCGAGCTGCGCTTGCTGCGCCTGGGTGGAGCGCTGGGAGAGGTACGCGATGAGGTCGGGGCGCGGCGCGTCGTCGTCGTTGTCTGGCGTCCGTGGAGGGTCTGCGGTGCGGCGACGGCGCGCGCGGCGGTGGGGGGCACGTGCGGGGGGGCGGGGGGCTGAGATGCGCGTGGGCATCGAAACGGTGGCTCGTGTCATGTATGTGGGAGAAGAGTGAGGAGTGTATCTGAAGGCGGTCGTCGCTCGAACGTTCCCGGTGTGTGCGCGGAGAGGCGGCACGTTGTTGAGGATTCGGTGTTGCTCCTCGGGACGGCGCGGAGGCGCGTTTTCACGGCGATATCGACGCACCTTCTCGCTCCTCCGACATCAGGGACGTCCTGGCGCGCTTGCGACGGCCCTCAGTGCCCTCGTTCGACGGGCTAGCGGCCGGGGAGTCCACCCTATGCAGTGCTGGGGTCGCCATGGCGCGGAGAGAGGGGCGTGTGGGGCCCCTTTGTGCGAGAAATGGCCTATGTACGGCGATGATCGTGCCAGGCCGCTTCTGCGGCGCGTTCCGGCTGCCACGCCGCACGCACCGGCGGTTTTCGTGTGCAAGGTGTGCAGGGCCCCTGTCACCGCCGCGAGGGCTCGCGGACGGGTGCTTCGTGCGGCCGCTGCCGTGTCTGGCCTCGTGCGGCAGGGCGGGGCGGCAACCGGGGCGCGCCGGCGTCGCTGGCCTGCGTCAGGCGTGCCGAGAGGGTCCTGAAGTACAAACGTCGGGCGCCGCGCGCAGCCAGGGCGCTCTCAGGGGCTTTGGGGCCCGCGTGCGAGGCAGCGGGCACAGGACGCGCGCTGCGTTGCACTGGCGCCGGCTTTATTTCGCCTGGGAGGCAGCGGCAAGGCTCGGAGTTGGCTCGGACGGGCTTTCTCGCTAGCTGGCGCCGCGAGGCGGCAACGTCGGGGGCCTGGGGGCCCGGTGGTCACAATGACGAGTAAGGGCAGGTTTTTGGGGACGGGCGAGGTCATGTCGGACGAGGCGAAGGCGGCAGCGGGGCTCCAGGACTCGTACGCTTTCGGAATGATCCCGTGGCGCGTGGCCGGCGCCGGGTACGGCCTGATCTTCCACACGACCGTCAACCTGCTGCAGCAGCGTCCTCTCCTCAGGCGGCCCTGGGAGCTCCCGGTCTGGATGGCGCTGTGGGGGTGGGCCTTCCACCATTGGAACAACGACCGGCGCTGGAGCGGCATGACCGTCGGGGTGCGCCCCCCCCGCCCATTCCTCTCGATGTCGACATGCGCGAACGCCCGCGCTCGGGCCGTTCGGTCCACGAGGCGCTGCGCCACCCCACACACGCCACCCACGCACTTGCTGCTCGCTTGCGGCGCACCTGCGGCGGCCCGCGTCCCACCCCACGCCTCACGCGTATCACAGCAGTATATTCCCGCCTCGCCGTGGCGTACACGCCGCCTGCGCGCTTCCGTGCGGGCCTGAGACCCCGCAACAGCAGGGTGCAGCAACGTCCGGGCCCTCTGCGGCGCTGATCCGTCGCGTTCCCGCGCCGCCCGGTCCGCAGGAGGACATCATGTTCCGGTTCTACCGGAAGCACGTCTGGAACGACCAGCTCCTGCGCGACTGGTCCGGGGAGCGGAGGCAGTCGTACCTGGACAGGGTCATGGACGAGGTGGAGGCGCAGTCCGGGGTCGGGAAGAAGGGAGCGAACCGCTGGACGTGACCCGCAGCACGCACCGCGCGCGAGACTGTGACGCAGCAAGACGTGCGACCCGGCAGAGGCCGCAGCCGTTGTGTATGTACAAGCAGCGTAGGACGTGGACCAGCACTTCGGCGTGTCGGCTGGCGGGCGTCGTCCAGTACTCGCGCGGCTCGCCGCGTTGTTGCTGACGACGCCCGCCACTCACTCTTACTGATTGCAGGTCAGAGCCTTCCCTTGGCACATGATGACATGCTCACATGGCATTTCGCGCGAGTACTCCTAGCACGCTGCCGCCTTGATCGGGACGATAGCACACCCGCATTTCGTTTCGTGCGCGGTCAATTAACACTTTGTGTATGTACTTCGCTGACCTAAAAACCGGTTGTGTGTCGCCGGGACGCACGTGGGCGTCCGTGGGTTGCTCGTGGCGCGAACCCTCAGTACGGCCGATGAGGCTCGCGCGGCACAGATGCGCAGCGGGTCGGCACCGCGGCGCAGGCCCGCTAGCACCGGTCGGCGGCATCGTTGCGCGTCGTCACAGGAGCTCCAGCAGCGCGCTCGCCGCGTCGACCGTCTCGTGCTGCGCGTCGTCCGTCTCAGGCACGGTGTACCGCCACACGGCCACGTCCCGCAGGTCGTCCGACATGTTGCACCCCCCCATGACCAGCATCATAGTCCCCCTCCCCGCCGGGTCCGGTATCGCCACCGCCGCGTGCGCGAAGCGGTGCGCGGGCTCCGTCAGCGTCTTCAGCGTGCCGTACTCCGGCTTCGCCCCCGCCCGCCCGTGGAAGTGCGGCACCGGGGGGGGTTTCCCGTCGGCGCCGGCGTTCCCGGGCGGCACGGGCACCGCGAGCTCGATGTGGCCGCTGTCCGGGTCCCACTCCACCAAACTCCCCTCCACGTCCTTCCCCGAGAACCCCCCGTACATCAACACCCCCTGCCCCACCTCCGCCTCCCCCCCGTCACGCACCTCCTCCATGCCCGCCCACGGGTCCGCCGCCCCGGCCACCGGCGTCGCAGCGGGCGTCTCCATCGCGACGTCCGCCGCCCCGGGCGCCCCGGGCTTCGGCGTCGACATCTCCACGTCCTCGGCCGCCTCTGCGTCCGCGGCGCCGGCGCCCTCCGCACCGCTCGGCTTCCCCGCGGCCTTCGCGCCGTGCGCGTCGTCGTGGTCGATCTCCACGTCGAGCAGCACCGCGGTGTGCGAGCACCGCGGGTACGGCGTCAGCCCGCCCGCGACCCACCGCATCATGCCCGCGTCAAGAATGCCGTAGTCCGACAGGATGTCGCCCTTGGCGCCGCGGCCGCCGTGGATCAAGATGCGGTCCCCGCCGAGCACGCACGCCGCGGCCATCTCGCGCGCCGCGGGGGGGTCGCCCGCCGGCGCTGGGCGGGTCCACATTCCTGAGTCAAGGTTGAACACCCAGAGATCGTCGAGGGGGGTCCCCTGGGGGCCCGAGCCGCCGTGGACGACGATGATGCGGTCCTTCGCGAGCGCGGCGGCGACGTGGGAGTGCCGCGGCGGGGGGGAGTCACCGATGACGCGCACTTTAGACCACTCCCACACGTCCGTGTCGAGGCACGTGACGTCGCTGTACACCACGCCGGTCATCGGGTCCTGCCCGCCGTACATGTAGATCCTGCGCGGGCGGGAACCCGGGGCGGGGCGCTGCGCGGTGGGCGCCACGGCGCGTCGCGGCAACGACACGGGGGCGCGGCGCGGCGCGGCGCGCGCGGACGCGGGCCGGGTGTGCGGGGCGGGTGGCGGGGAGGTGCGGGGAGGGTTCGCGGGGCGCGTGTGGCGGCGCCGCGCGGGGGCCTCACTTGTCATTGATGGCGCACATTGTGGCGCCCGTGCGAGGCAGGATGTCGACGCCGTCCTTGAAGGTCGGCGTGATCCGGGTCCACTGGTACACGTCTGCGCGTGGGTGTGCGTGCGGAGGCGTGTGGGTCCGTGCACGCGCGACGCGGGCGGCTTTGTTGCACCTAGGCCACCTGCTGCCCGCTCTCTGTCAGCACGTGGCATCGACGGCGCTGTTTTTCGTGCGCGGCTTGGCGTGGAGAGGCGTGGGACGCACCTGCTTCGCACTCGAGGACCCAGAGGTCCTCGAACGGCGTCGGGGCGCGGTCGGCCCCCCCGAAGAGCACGACCTTCGTGGACAGGGCGGCCAGGCAGTGCCCCCCGCGGCCCGCGGGCCCTATGTCCGACTTGATCTGCAGCGAGAGGGCGCGGGGAGCGGGTGTGCGGGGGGCGCGGGCGCGCTGCGGCGACGCTCAGAGCTAGTGTCCTGCCGGGAGAGGTGGGCGCGCGCAGGCCGCGCGGCCGGCCCGAGCGGGGCGGTTGGCGGCGCCGCTGACAGCGCTGTGGGCGGACGCGCGAGGACGTCGGCCGTGCGGGGCCAGGCGGCGGAGACCGCCGCTGTGCAGCGTCATGAATGCACTCCTGAGAAAAAGCCCCGGGTGTCGCCGCAGCGAGCCATGAGTGGCTATGTCGGGCCTCAGGAGATAAAAGAATACATGAGGGACCAGGGAGTGCCGGAATACGCAGGGTTTGCGCCGTGAAGCGACGGGAGCGGGGTGAAGGCGTCTGCGCTTGAGAGCCGCATTTCGCGGCGCGTGATGCGCAGCCCGGTGGACGCAGCCGCCTTGGAGGCCGCGCACGAGCACGCACGGAGTATTCGCCCGCCGGCGCGCGCGAATGCGGGCCCCGCGACGCCCGGCTGCGGCCGCGCGAGGCGTCCTGGCCCTTCGCAGGCTATTGAAGCTGGAGACTTCGCGCCCGCTGACAGAGCTGAGGGAACGCCCGACGCGGCGGCCGCGGACGCAGAGCGCCCCGCACGGTGCGCGTCCATGCATGCACTGCCCCGGAAATGCAGCGCGGCGGGGACTGCAGGGCGCGCGATGATCCGCTTGGAAGGCCATGGATGGCTCCTCCCGCGGCCCGATGCCAGGCTTCCCGGGCCAAACCGCGCCCCACGGCGCATTGAATAATATATAATACCGAATAGGCGCAGAAAACGGCGCAGCGGGCGCCCAGCGCGCGCGTGCGGCGCGTTGCAGGGTTGGCACAGCTGGCAGCGCGCCACCGCGGTCGCACCTGCGGCAGGAACCAGCTCATCGCGCCCACCCTACGCAACCCTGCAGTCGCCTGCGCCGGCAGCGCCAGCCAGTCCTGATCGGGGCACCGCCAAACGGCCGCCAACTAGAAAGCACTGTGGGTGACACCGCCTGCGCCCCGCACACAGCGCCCCCGTCAACTGCTCTGTTCGAGTCCGCCCGAACGACCCGCGGTGGCGGACGGGGAACGCAAGTGCCCGTCCGCGCGCCGCGGCCGCCCAACGCGCGACGCGCGCGCAGCCGCGGTGCGTGATTTCACCTGTGCTCAGGGGGGGGGTATTGAGCGCGGCACGCGCTGGGCAGCGGATCGGGCGCGCCAGCGCCTGCCCGTGGGCGCAGACGCGAGGCTGCGCTGCGGCACGCGGCCGTCCGGCGCTCGTGGCGCCGCCCGCCTGCGGCACACGTCGCGACGTGCCAAGCCCCGCGTGTTACCGGCAGGCAGCGCACGGCGACAGCGATGGGCAGCAGAAGGCGCGGCGTGGCGCAGGGTGTCGCCGCGAGACGGGCCGTTGCCGCTGCGGTGCCACGTCCGTGGCGGGTCAGACCAGAGTCTGACGTTGCAGCGCAATGGTCGGGCGCGCGGGTGTGGGCGGCACGTTGCCGCTGCTCGCGGCCGCACGGAGCCGTTCGTGACGATCCAAGCCGGTCCCGCGCGTTCCCGCCTTCGCGTCCTCAGGTGCAGCGTGGGTTGTCTTGTTGCAACCTGACTCCTCGTCCTCTGCCCTTGTGGGGACGTCTCTGGACTCGGAACAGCCTCCCGGACACAGCACCGAGCGTATTCTTCTCGGGGCGCGGCCGCGAGGATCGTGAAGGGTTGTGTGCGAGCGTCCCGAAGGCCTGTTTCGCCACTCCGGGCGTGCGCAGGACGCGGCCCCGCACCGCAGCGCGCCTGGTCTTTACTTCCGGAGGCCAGGATCCGCGATGCCGGCGCTTACAGAAGAGCTGATCAAGTCCAAGACGAAGGCGGAGACGTGCGGCCCGCCCCGGCAACGCCCTGGCTCCACACGCACAGCTGCTGCACGCGCCCAGACCGACCCTGCACCCCGCAACCGCACCGCCCACCTCCGCCCACCTCACAAGCAAACTTACAGCGCTTCCGCCCAAGCCAACGCAACCCCTGGCCCGGAACAGCCACCCTCTTTGCACACGCGCGTCCCCGCCACGCTCTCGCGCCGCGCAGGCTCGAGGACGTCACGAAGCTCAACATCTGCGGCCACGAGCTCACTGATGTCAGCATCCTCCGGCAGCTACCGCGCGTCGAGCTCCTGTCTCTCTCCATGAACGCGATCACCACACTTGCTGACTTCTCCCAGTGCACCAATCTTCGAGAGCTCTATCTCCGGAAGAACCAGGTCCCGGACACCGCAGAGCTGCGGCACATCGAGCAGCTCCCGAACCTGCGGCAGCTGTGGCTGTCCGACAACCCGTGCGCGGCCGAGGCGGGGTACCGTGCAGCGGTGGTGCGGCGGATGCCAGGGCTGGTGAAGCTGGACGGCACGGACGTGACGGAGGAGGATCGCAGGGCGGCGTCGCGCGAGGTGTCGCCGCGGCGCGCGGCGGGGGAGGCGGGGCCGGCCAGCGGGCAGGGGACGCCGTCGGGTGCGACGGGGGGGGGTGTGGGCGGGGGACTCAAGCGGGCGTCGGTGGTGAGCTCGGTGGACGGCGCGGGCAAGGCGCAGAGCGGGAGCAACAACGTGCTGTACGCAGGTGCGGGCGCGTGCGTCGAGCGCAGCGGCAAACACATGGCGCCGCGCCACAAGTATTCGAGGATTCTCAACTGAGATTGCCGCGGTCTTTCGCGACCGATCGTGGACGTCATGGACGATCGGGCACGGCGGCGCCGCTCCGGTTGCCCCTGTGTGTGTTTCCGTTCCGCTGCGCAGGGACACCCCCCAATATAACATAACACCCCTGCCTGCTGGCCCTCTCGCTGCCGACCCCGCGCGCCCTCCCCGGTGCCTCCGTGCAGTGATGGCGCTCCTGCGGGACCTGGACGAAGACGCGCTCAAGGTCGTCAAGGCGGAGTGCGAGCACCGCCTTACCCTGAAGTCATAACCCCCCTCCAACCCCACACAGCCCCCCTCTTTGAGGCGGTGCACGTGCATGCAACCCTTGTGCGCGCGCCCTGCTGCGTCCCTGTCGTCAGGGCGCGCGGCCGACCGCGGCGTGAGCCAGCGGACGGCGGCGGTGCGCTTGCGAGCACGCTTGTGAGCCGTCGCACACGGCGCGATCGGGAGCTGCATGTAGAGCTGCGCACACGGCCGGCAGACTGCGTAGGCGCTTCGGGCGCGCGGAGCTCGAGCGCCCCGGGAGAAGGGGAGCCTGAGCTTGCAGTACAAGGGGGGTTGTTCCCTGACGCAGTCCTGCCTCCCCGGCGCCGCTCCGGACAACTCCCGTGCAGCCACAGACGCTACCGTATTTACAGCGCACGGAGTCGAAAAATCCCGTCAAGCCTCGCAAACCGCGGCACGAAACCCTCTCACCCCCCCCGGGGTGTCTCAGTCAGTCGTGCATGGTCTCCAGCTGCTCGAGCTCGGCCTTGAGCTGCTCCATCTTCATGCCCATCGACCGCTGCAGCTTCCCGCGCTCGTCGTCGTCCAGCCGCGACAGCAGGGCGTTGAACATGTCTAGAGCCTCCTGCGTGATTTCCCTCGCCGCCTCGCAGCTCTCGTTGAAGTAGGTCGTCTCCGCGTCCTCCTGCGCGAACTCGATCTCGTCCCGCGCCTCCACGAACTTGTCGTTGATCTCGTCAATCTGCAATGTGGAGGGCGTGTGTGTTTGAGGCAGGTGCGGGCGTATGTGGCGCTCCGCGGGCGGATGCGCTATTGGATGCGGTGGATGATACGGATGTGAAGTGCTTGCAAGTCGAGGACCCGGTCATGGAAGCTGTGCGGCGACGGGGCCGATGCGGAGAGCTGGGGTGAGGTTGAGGGCCCTCGTGCTTCGCATGCGCAGTTTTATCGTGAGCGCAGCGCACCATCTTCTGGATCTCTGCTTCCGTCATCTTGAAGCGCGCGAACCCTGGCCGCGCCGCCGCGCACGGCCCTGAACTGCAGCCTCCCCTCAATGCGCTTTCCACGGCGTTTGACGCTCCCCACAGCCCCGCGCGCCACGAACCGCGCAGCGCACCGAATGAACGAGCACTGAGGCTCGCGCCGGTCGCCGCACGCTGGCCGTACGTCGACGCCAGGCGACCCAGCACCGACACGAGGGACCGCGCGCACCCCTGTGTCATCGTGCGCGAATTTGCTGCCCAACTGCGCCGAAACGGCAGTGCCTGACAGACCTCTGTGTCCGAGCGATCAGTGGGAAGGCAGCGCCGCGGATGTGCTGCGTCGAGCGGCAATCAGGGCGCCGGGGTCGAGCCCGGAGAGTGGCATCCCACACCCCCCCCTGGCGTCTCTTCAAGGGCTCTAGGATGCGGGTGCAGCGACCACGTTGTGTGGCAGTCATCGTAGGGTGCAGCCAGGTGTTGCTTGGAGATCTGTGGGCTGCGAGCAGTGTGCACGCGGCCGGTGAGGGCGGGGACTGGATGTTGTGGCGCACACACGCGCGCTAGTCCGAAAACGCTCGAGACATGAGCAGCGGGGGGCAAGAGCAGCCGGCTGCAGGGGGCGCGGAGGACCCGCAACCGCGGCGGTTCGTGGGGCAGAAAAGTGCAGCAGACGCCGCTAGTGGACAAGCGGGTGCGCACGCCGCCGTGCGTGGCTGCAGCGCACGCATCGCGTCGCGCATGATCGCTGTTGTCCATGAGACACGACTGGTTGCGTTTTCGCGCATGGTGACGCGTGTCCGGGCGCGGGGTCGTTCGTTGCAGGCCCGGTGGTCGTCAAGGGCGCTGCGGCCCCGCGCCGCGTCGTTCGCAACGTCATTCCGCCAGAAATCCTCGAGAACGACGCGCTCAACCGCGCGATCAGCGTCCTGCCGCGGAACTACAACTTCGAGGTCCACAAAACCGTCTGGCGCATCCAGCAGAGCAACGCCAAGCGCGTGGCGCTGCAGTTCCCAGAAGGCCTCCTCCTCTACAGGTCCGGAGCCGCCCGCCCAGCCTCGCTCCACGCCGCCGCGCGGCGCAGCCACCCCTTCGTAGCGACCCTCAGTCCTGTTTTCTCAATTGAAGATGAACCCATGCTCCCATGGTGCTGCCCGCAGCAACGTGATCGCGGACATCGTCGAGACGTTCACCCAGGCCGAGCACGTCTTCGTCATGGGCGACGTCACGTACGGCGCCTGCTGCGTTGACGACTTCTCCGCAGAGGCCCTCGGTGCGGACATCCTGGTGCACTACGGCCACAGCTGCCTCGTGCCCGTGAACGTCACGAGCGTCCCGTGCGTCTACATCTTCGTGGAAATCAAGATGGACGTCGGGCACCTCGTGGCCTCGATTCGGCACAACTTCAAACCTGGGACCAAGATTCTGATTGCCGGAACCATCCAGTTCTCTTCCAGCATCCAGGTGCGCGAACGAAAGCCCGCCTGCACGCCGCAGGCCCCCGTGCAGCACCGCAGGCCCTGCTGTGCGCGTACCGTCGGCCCACGAGAGCCAAACCCCCCCCAATTCGCTTTCTCTCGGCTCTTCGTGTCTGACTGCGCGCAGGCGGCGCGGCGCGAGCTCGAGCAGGACTACCCCTCGGTCGCCATCCCGCAGTGCAAGCCGCTGTCCCCCGGGGAGATCCTCGGGTGCACGTCTCCTGTTGTTGCGGGCGGTGCGGAGGCCCTGATCTTCGTCGCGGACGGCCGCTTCCACCTCGAGTCCTTCATGATCGCGAACCCCTCGATTCCGGCCTACCGCTACGACCCGTACAACCGCAAGATGACCTCGGAGTCGTACGACCAGGCCGGCATGCGCGGCGCGCGGCGCGGCGCGATCGAGGCCGCGCGGCTGGCGGGCCGCTGGGCCGTAGTGTTGGGCACGCTCGGGCGGCAGGGCAACCCCCGGGTGATGGAGACGGTTACTGCGGCGCTGGAGCGCGCGGGGAAGGAGTACGTCGAGGTTTTGTTGAGCGAGGTGACGCCGGACAAGCTGCGGGCGTTCGGCGACGCGTTCGGGGCGTACGTGCAGATCGCGTGTCCGCGGCTGAGCATAGACTGGGGCGAGGGGTTCGCTGCGCCGACGCTGACGCCGTACGAGGCGCTCGTGGCGCTGGGGGAGGTGCCGGAGTGGTGGGGTGACGACGCGCCCAAGGACGAGGCGACGGGGCTGCCGCAGTACCCGATGGACTACTACAGCCGCGAGGGAGGCTCGTGGTCGTCGAGCTACATCCGGGCGGCGGACCGGCCGGCGCGGCGGAGACCGCAGGCGCCGCCAGCGCAGGGGTGCGCGTGCGCCGCGGGGGGGGAGTCAAGAGCGGCGCCGTGCCGCTGACGCACGTCCGTGTAAGCACTACTTAGTCAAGCTGCGCAACCGCACGAATGCTGTCTGTTACACGCCCACACGGCTGCAACGGCGCGCGCACACACGAGGCCGCCCGTTCCGGCTTCACAGCTCCTCGTCGGGCGTGCCGCCCTCCTCGACGGGCAGCTCGCCGGAGTCAGCGATGGTGATGACGCCGCTGGGCTTGCCCGAGGGCGTGCCCTTCTCCTCGACTGTCTTCACCACCGACATGCCCTCGATCACGCGCCCGAATACCACGTGGCGGCCGTCGAGCCACGACGTCTTGACGGTGCAGATGAAGAACTGGCTCCCGTTGGTGTTCGGGCCCGCGTTGGCCATCGAGAGCACGCCCGGGCCCAGGTGCTTGAGCTTGAAGTTCTGCGGGGGGGGGTATTGGTGCGGGGCGGGGGGGAGTGAAGTTGCAATGACGACGACGGAGCGGGGTGAAAGCCCCTTGGCTACGGAGCCCAAGGAGGTCTCAGCGGACGCGATGCCCGTGTGCAACATCGAGATCGGACCGGACCACGTAGCGGCGCGAATCGTGGTCTTGCGGGTGCCGCAGCACGTCGCACATGGACGCGCCCGACTCGATTGCTACGGCGCTCGCCGGCATTCAGAGTCTCTGATCAGCGCTGCGCCGCCTGACGAACACGACTTGACGAACCGATCGACCAGAGCTACTGCAAGACGTGCCTCCACTCGTCGACGACGTGCTTGGTTGTCGACGAGCGGACGCACGCCTCGTAGCAAGTCGGTCCTCATCGTCGACGACGTGTTCGTCCCGCGACGGAGCGTCCCTCAGAGACCGAACGCCAGTGCGTGCCGTAGCAATCGAGTCGACGGAGGCGCGCGGGGGCTCGCGCGGGCCCCTGGGCGCGCGCGCGTCACGCAGCAGGCCGGAGGAGGCGGCTGATGTGCCGCGTCTCGCGTGCGTTGGCTGCGCGGCGCACCTCATCGGGGAACCGCGCGCCGTAGATGGACTCGCCGCCCGTGCCATCGCCTGCGGGGAGTGACGGGATCGGGGTGCGGAGGGCTCCGGGGGCTCCGTCTGAGCAGTGCGGTGCGGCCGGCGTGTTCGGCCGCGACTCGGTGTGCAGGGCAGCTGAGTTGGAGCGTGTGCTAGGGTGTGAAACAAAAAAAAGGGTGCCGTCCCGCGCGGCGCCGCGCAGAACGCGGGAGCGGACGTGTCGGGTGGCGCCGCGGTGCTATGAAACGGCCCCAGAAGAAGCTCCTGGGGCGTTGCCTGGAGGCAGCAACGCACGGATGCGGGCATGAAAGAGGTCAATACGGGGGGCGAGATCACTTGCCGTTCGTGAAGTCTCCGCCCTGGATCATGAAGTTCGGGATCACGCGGTGGAACTTGGAGCCCTTGAAGTGCAGCGGCTTGCCCGCTTTTCCAGTCCCCTTCTCTCCCGTAGCCAGGGCCCTGCAGCGCCACGCACAGGTCGGTACCCGCCTCGCACGACGCTCTCGGGACTAGGATATGGTGCTGAGGAGCGACAGCGGTCTGTTTGGTTGTGACATGGGCCCGTACCGGAAGTTCTCAACAGTCTTGGGTACAACGTTGCCGTACAGGCCCATGACGATGCGTCCGGCGGGCGCGCCGTCGATTTCGATGTCGAAGAACACCTGCGGGCGCCGCGTCCGAGCGAGAGGGGCCGTGGACGATCGAAGCGGAGGAACAGGGGCAGCGCAGTGCGTGGAGTTGCAAAGCGCCGGAAGCTCTGCGGGCGTCCGCGCGCATGCACGATCGTCGGCGTGGATGGCATGGATGCGTGGCGTGCTTGCCGGGGAGGGTGGTTTGCGTCGTCTTTGAGGGGGCTGGTCGCGGCTGAACGAGGTCGGTTGCCCTCTCTCCAGGCACACACAGCGGGACTGAGGGGGGCTATCAAGGAGAGATATGCACGCGAAACGGAGCCTCCTACAATGGATCCCGTGCCACGCCGCCTGACGCGCTCCGTGCAGGCTTTCCCGGTGGCTGCGATGGCAGAGAGCACCGCAGTCGAAACTAGCGGCCCCACACAGCCGGGGCGCACGCACCTTGTGCGTGATGGTCTTGTCGACCTTCTTCTTGGGCGACCCGACCTGGGCGGCCACGCCGACCACCAGCAGCACGGCCAGCAGCGCGCCCAGCGCCACACCCACCCTACGCCTCAATGCCATCTTGCCGCCCCGAATACTCCGAGCTCGACCTTCCTGGCAATCACCAGAAGCACAAACGCACGTGCCCGCTCCGCCCCGGCCGCCCTCGAGCCCGCAGACGCCCGACCTCGCTCGCAGCCACGCCTGTGTCCTCTCCTGGGTCGCCCCCAACACCACCACCGCTCCGCCGCAGCTCTTCCGCGGCTCCGCGCGGCGGCTCCGCCACAGCTACGCTGCGCCCCGCTGCGTGCGCTCGCCCCACGCATCACGGCCCGCGGTTCGGGTACGAGCGCTGCGCGACTGGAGAGCGCAGGGCGCTCACACAGGGCAGGATGACTCAGGGCGAGGCCGGGGACGATGCTTGGATGCAGGAGGCGATCATCGAGTTCCTGCAGGTGCGCGCGCCGCCGCCGTCGCGCCGCCACGCGGACCTGCGGCCCGCAGCGAGGCGACCCGCACTGCAGCGAGCTCAGATCGTGGCAGTGGGTTTTCGGCGCGCCAGAACGCCCCTGGATCGCTGCGAGCGCGTCCGCGATGAAGCTACGCGCGGATCGGCGCGCCGCGCGGCCGGGAGGGAAGTATGTGTCGTCGCGCGCGGCGCAGGCAGCCCACACGCTGTTTTGTGCTTGCATGAAACGTGCCGCGCACGCCCGGCGTGCGGCGCAGAGTCCGTGCTACATCAACCCGCTGATGACCTTCGTGGACGAGAAGTGCGTCGTCTTCCAGGACGAGGAGGAGAACGCCCTCGAGTACACGCAGGCACGCGGCCTCGCCCTTGGGGCACGCTGGTCATGCTGGGCCCGCGCCCGCCGGCCGCCCCCGGCACGTCCTGACCCGCCCCGCGCCCGCCGCGCCCGCAGCTCCACCAAGAGTTCAAGGACGTCGTCGACGGGCTCCTCACCACCTTCCTCGAGGACCTAGGCGTCTCCTTGGAGCAGTTTGCACAGACGGTCTCCACCTCGGGAGACAAGCTGTCGAGGACGGTCGTGGGGTGCCTCCTCGCCGCGGACGACTTCCTCCAGTTCAAGTCCCTCATGGTTCACCGCAACCTGCACCTCCAGCGCCAGGTCCTCGACATGCTCGAGGCGAGAGCGAAGCTCAAGGCCGAAGAAGCACAGGCCGCTGCCGCCGCCGCTGCCGCCGCCGCGGGGCAGGCTGAGGCCGAGCAGAGGGAGATGGAGGCCGAGGCTGCCCGTCTGGATGCCGAGACGGCGGCGATCGAGGCTGCGGAGGCCAGCGCGAGCCTCGGGGTGGCCAACGGCGGCGATGTGGTGTTCGCGGGGGCGCGCGGGCAGGGCGGGGAGGCGCTGGCGGCGATGGTCGGGGAGCAGGAGCCGCAGTACGTGAACGAGGAGGCCGAGGCCGCGGTCGCGGTGGAAGCGGCGGGCCCGGACGAGGACGAGGAGCTGCGACAAGCTATTGAACAGTCGAAAGAGGTGCGGTCCCGGCCTTGGTTTGAAACCTCGTCTTGGCCCCGCGTCTGTCACGCCCCGGCATCGCCTTGGCCGCGTTTCGGCCGCGTTCTGGCTTCATCTTGGTCGCTGTTTCGGCCTCTTTGATTCGCATCGTTGTCGCCTCGCCACGTCGGTGCCGCGGCCCGCGGTCGTCGCGAAGGGTCCGTACGTGGCCAGCGGAGTCGAGGCCCGGCGTCGCGGGACCGGGACTTCGATCTGCGCACCGATGCCGCAACGTCGCGCCGTGTTGGGTGTGCGCGCAAGATGTCCAGCGACGCCGCGTGGAGGTGGCCGCGCGGACCCGAGTGGGACGTGTGCGCAGCACCCGTGTGGGCCGGTCGATCACGAAACCCCGAACAAATCCAACTCGTGATTTCATATCTATCCATCCACTCCTTTGCAGACCTACAAGGACGAGGACAAGCGCACGCACGACTGGAAGGCCCAGGCGGCCTCCTTCGGCGACTCCGAGGAGGCCGCCATCGCCGCGGCCATCGCAGAGTCCCTCAGGCTCCAGAACGAGCTCGATTTCAAGGAAGACGAGATGCTCAAACAAGCTCTAGCCCTATCTCTCGACGAATCGCAGCCCGCGCCGGCCCCCAGCGCCCCTGCCCTGGACGCCAACGGCGCGGGCTCGTCCTCCGCGCCCAGCGCGCCCCCGGCGGAAGACGACACCGCCGCCACGGCGAACGCGCCCGTGGCGGCTCCGGAGCCGAAACTCGAGGCGCCGAAGCTGCCGCCGGTCGCGCGGGGGCCGTCGGGGCACCTGCAGCCGCCTCCGGCGGAGCTCGCGGGCCAGGCGGCGCTCGCGCGGCAGCAGGCGGCGGATGCGGCGGCGGAGCGGGAGGCGGCGAGGTGCGCGGCGGAGGCCGAGGCGAGCAGCGGGCCGCCGGCGCCGGCGGGGGCGACGAGCTCGCGGGCGCTGAAGCTGCCGGTGCCGCCGGCGTTCACGCGGTCGACGTCGTCGGTGACGAACCGCGGCGCGGGGTACGTGTCGGCAGCGGCGGCGAGCGGCGGCGGCGGCGCGAGCGGGGACGCGCGGCAGGCGGCGATGGAGGCGGCGAGGGCGCAGAAGGCAGCGCTGGAGGCGCGGCGGCAGGAGCTGGAGAAGAAGAAGGCGGTGCGTGGGCGCGGCGTGCGAAATGATGTTTTGTTGTTGCGTCGCTGCGGCGTGGATATGCCACTGGTGCCGACGCGCAGGGAAGGCGGCGCGAAGGGCTGCGCACCGCGACGCCAGCGCCGGTCTCGCGTGCTTGCGGCATCGCCGGGCGGCTCTGCCGCATGAGACACCGCCCAAGCGGGCGTCAGCACTCTTCATTTCTCAACTCCCGTCCTCTCGGTTCCCATCGCGGCTGCAGGCGGCGGGGCTCAGCGGAGAGGCCGGGAAGAACATCGCGTCGCTGGCGTCGGGCCGCGCGAAGCTCCTGGAGCTGCAGCGCGCGGAGCGGGAGCGCGAACTCGAGCAGTACATCGCGGCCAAGGAGCAGAAGGGAAGTGCAGCACGCGGGGCCGCGGGGGGCAAGAAGGCCGCGCCGGAGCGCGAGGCCGAGCGGGACCGCATCTTCGGGGACCTGGCGTCGAAGATCCGCGGCGACATGATTGCGAGGATGGCCAGCAACGGCGCGGAGGCGGCGGCGGAGTCGTGACGGACGCGGGGGCGCGTCGGTCGTGGGAACGGTTGATTCTGTGAAGCACAGCCAGCAGAGCAGGCACTGGGGGTCGCTTGGCCGGGAAAGGTGTGGGCGAGAAGCACTATCAACAGAGCACGCGCGGACCATTTCTGGCGCGTGGGGCACGTGGCGCTTTTGGCGCGGGTCCATAGAGGCCGCCGCCCGCGTTCGCCGCCTGTCGGCATTGCAGTCCGGCCAGTCGGGCATGCGGTCGCTGCGGTGGGAAACTTTCAAGCAGGACAGCACAGTATCACGGTTCGTGGTTCGCTGACCTACAAGCACCTCGCCGCGATGATGCTTGAGCGGCCGAAATCGCAGTCGCGCACACCAACTTAGGTCTTGTCGCAGGAAACGATACAGGCGCGCGCGAGAGATTCAGTTGTGTGTCACAGGAATCGCAATGCCCTTCAGCGGCCATCTTCGGGCCGTCTGATGCCCCCACGTGCCCCGAGAGGGCGGGGGGCGTGATGATCTACAGGGTCTTAATGTGTGATGCGTCCGTTTCGACAACGGCGTCTTGTAGGGAGGCTGCAGTCATCGTCGTGCGGCGGCGCGGACCCGTGCCGCTTCAATCACGACCGCGCGCAGCCTCGTACGGCGCGCCATCCGGCGCATCATGCGTCGGGGTGAGCGGGTAGACGTAGTCGCGAAGTTGAATCCAAAGCAGCAGCGGTGTCTAAAAGAGATTACTCTCCAATATTTTGGAATCTGCTGCGTAGGGGAGTCACGGCCGGGCCTGGGCCGGCAGGCCGCAGGCGAGGGATGGCCGTCGTCGCCTGTGGCGGTCTCGCGCGGCGCAGCGCGCGGCTGCGGGACGCGGGGCTCGCAGGGACGCGGGCGATCGGTGCAGAACACCTCGGAAGGGCCACGGGACCCGGAGCGCACGGCTCCCTCGTCATCGTGGATGACGTGGATGATGCGCCAGGTCGGTAGGCATAGTGAATAGTGTATAGTGATAGTGTGGAGTGATCGACGGATGAAGTTGATGAGAACAGGCATCTTGTTTGGCGCGGCGAGGGCGCCGCCACGGGGGCGAAGGCCGCTCGCCAGGTCCTGCGCCGCGTCTACCTGCTGCTCGGTCGCGAGGCAGCGTCGACGCGAACTGCGGCACGCGGGGGGGGGGTAGGGAAGACCCCCCGCGTGCGTGGATTCTTAGGCCGGTCCTGCGCGCGAGCTCAGGGTGCCGGGCCGGATAGGCGTCCGCTCCGGAAAATCACGAGCGCCGCGCGCGGCCAGGGGCCCCTAGGGGCCCGCCGGCGGCGTGGGCGGAGCGCGGAGCTGGAAGGGACGGTCATGGCATGCGCCTACTGTTTTCCTGCTAGGTGGGGACCTCCAGGGTGGGGCGACCGCGTGCGCAGCGAGGGACGTCGTCCCGCGCGCGCGCGTCGGTCACCAGTGGCGTGAAGAGGGTGAGGATGCATGGGGGGGGTGTGGGGGGGGGGTGTTGGGGGAGTGTGAGGGTTCAGGGGCGCGGGCCCGCGCCGATGGGCGCTGTGGTGCCCCTGTGGCTGGCGGAGGGGCTACCGCGGCGATCGTCGGCGCGTGGCACGGCAGTGCCGCTTGCAGCCTCCCGCGACGTCACTGCTGCTGGCTGGCGACGTCCAGGATCTGGCCGCGCTCGAGGCCCATCGCCGCGAGGCCGCGCTCGGCCGGCGTCGCGGGCGCGTCCTTGCGCCACCAACCCTCCACGCTCACCAACTCCCCGTACAGCCCTGCACGTCCACGTGGGCACGGCGCACCGCTTCAGCGCCCCGAATCCAGCGCGAACCTAAGCGGCAGGGCCGCTGGAAAGGCAAACATGCGCGTGTCGTGGCATCACGCGAGTCAGGAGTGCATTGATGACGGTTGGCGCACCCATAAAGCATGACGCGACGCCACACGCGATGGCGACCTTGTCGAGCGCCTGGATGAACGGCATCGGGACGGCGAGGCTGTCCATGTGGAGGAGGACGGAGTTCGTGAGGTTGAACAGGAGCAGCGTCTGCGCCACCGCGTCCACCCCGTCGAGGCCCACGCACGCAGCGAACGCGCGCGCCGCTTCCGGCTTCCCGGCCTCGTTCTCCTGCGGGGCGCGACGTGCGGGCGCGTTGGCGTCTCGAGCTGCGCTGGAGCGCCCTCGTGGGGCCGGATCGCGGCGGCGACGGCCGGGGGCGGGCTGCGGAGTTGACAGGTGGCCCGGGGGCCGCCGCGCGCCTCATCCGCGCTTGTTCGCGGATTCCCGCGGGTAGCGGAGCGAGAGGCGTGAACTCACCGTGCCGATGCGCTGGATGTCCTTGTACCCGAGCTTGAACGCGAGATACACGCCGAAGACTGGGATGCCAATCGCCAGGCGCCGGCTGAGGCGCGAAATGATCCGTTTGTTCACCTGCGGCGCGTGTCGGCGCGAGAGCGGTCGGCGCGGCCCGCACGGAGCGCCGCGGCGCGGGGCGGCGCGCGTGGACGCTTGCCGCGGTGTCACTGCATGCGGTGTGTCAACCGGCCGCGGCCCGCGGTCGCCGCGGCGCGGTTATTCGCGCGGCGATGCAGTCCGGGCGCTGCCGCTGCGGATCGGGAACGCGGCGCCGCCGGCGACGCATCCCGCGCGCCGCACGCGGCGCCAGAACCCTCGGTCGTCGGTTCAACCGAGGCAAGACACCCTGTCCAGGCCAGGGGCGGAAATGCGTCGCGCTGGCGCCGTTTCGCGGGCATCGCCCGCCCAATCTAGACAGTCCGAGATATCAGGAACGTTCCCCGCGGCCTCGTTACGCTCGTACTTGCCTGGCGGAGGAACATGCGGCGGAGGAATCCTGGCCCGAGGAGGGAAGTGCCGACGCGCTTGGAGAGCGTGAGCTTGGCGGCGTCAATGTGCTTGGCGGAGCTGTCCGGCGCCGTGACCGGCGTCTCCACGGCCGCCGCGGCCGCGCGCTGGCTCGCGGCCGCCGCGGAGAGCACGCGGAGGCCCGCCACGGACACCAGCGCCAGCTGTTGGGGCTGGACGAGCGCGGGGAGCGCATGCTGCAGTGCGTTCATAGTTGCGACGCTGCGAAGAGAGAGGGAACGATCGGAGAGAGCCTGCTGTGTCGTTCGAGTGCCGCGCGGGCGCGCGCACGCGCGCACTAGAGGCCCCGAAGAGGGATGTCAATGCTGACAGGCGGGAAGACACCTGATCTCTCGATTACGTGTGGACACGGAACCTCGCAGCGGGGCCGGCTCCGCAGTGCCGCCGCCGGCGGCTCGCTGCGGCGTTCGGGACGCCCGCGCGCGGCGTCGGGCGCCCCGCGAGGCGCCGCGCGCGGTGCTGCGGAGGCTACAGAGGCGCGCGACATGGCAGCAGTATCGCCGGCCGAATCGGTCGCTGCGGCACCGGCGCGCCGCCGAACGGCCTTGCCGGCCAGGAGACGCCCGTGAGAAGTCTGGCTGCGGCGATGCGGCGCGAAGGGCGTGAGCTGCGCACGCCGAATTGCGCACTGGCATCAACCGCCGGCAGTTGGTACAACTTCGCGATCATACCCCCCCTACACCTTGATCTTGATCCCCCCCACCCGCGCGCGGAGGCCCGGTACGCTGCGCGCGGTGGCGCCAGCGGTGGACGGGAACCCGGCCCGGCAAACTGCACAAGACCCCACACCCCTGTTGTATAGAGGGAAAGAGAAGTGACTAACAATCACTCGCAGCAGGTGTACAACAAGCGCCCCCCGCGACCATCGACACGCGCACGGCAGCCCAACCGCGCCGCGACGCGTACGGCGACCAAGCACACCCTCCCAGCCGCCCGGCCCGACGCGGTACGTTTCCGATTTACACACAGCCGGCCGGGCGCGCGCTCGGCCTACTCCGCGGCCTCCGCGGTCCCCTCCGCGGCGCTAATCCGCTGCTTGAACTGCTTGGCCATCTCCTCGGCGCGGTCAAACACCTGCTGCGGGTTGCGGATGAAGTCGCCCGGCGCGGGCTCGAGCTTCCGCGTGGTCACCGCGAAGCGGTTCTTGTCCTTGTCGAAGCCCAGGATCATCACCTTGATCTTGTCGCCCGGCGCGACGACGTTGTTGATGTTGGGGATGAGCTCGGACGACATCTGCGAGATGTGCAGGAGCCCGAAGACGCCGCCCATGTCGATGAACGCGCCGTACGGCTTGACGTTCTGCACGGTGCCGAGCACGACGTCGCCCGGGCTGACGTCGCCCGTGTTCATCATTTCCTCCTGCAGCGCCTTGCGGTTCGACACGACGAGGCGCGTGCGGGACTCGTCGACGTCCATGATGACGACGGGGACCTCCTGGCCCATGATCTCGGCCTTGGAGTATTGCGGCGAGAGCTGGGAGGTGGGGAGGAAGCCCCGCACCCCCATGACGTCCACGAGCAGGCCGCCGCGGTTGCTCGAGATGACCTTCGCGGCCACGATGACCTCCTCCTCCTGCGAGGGCGTCGCGCGCGGGGGGGGCGGTGTGCGGGAGGGCGCGGGGGAGGGCGGCAGAGGCGGGTGCGGGCGCGTGGAGGGAAGGCTGCGGATTCCGGGGCGGTGCGGGGCGGGGCGGTGGCGATGGGCGGCGTGGAGATCGTGGGAGAGGATGGTGGGTGTGGTGGGGGGTCGTTTCGTGCCTGAATCTGACGCAGGCGCTGCCAGACGACCTCCTGCTCGAGCCTCTTGAGAGAGAGGATGAGCGTGCCGTCAGCGAGGTCGTCGCGGACGACGACGAACTCACGGGTCGTGTTGGGCTGCACGATTTCCGAAGCCTGCGCGAACGAGCCGAGAGGGGCACCGGAGCGGCTCAACACGCGGATGAGGCGGGCCGACGGGGCCCGGGCGACGCGGTCGCACGTGACACGCGCAGCGGGCGGTCGCGATGGGGCGTCCCGGGCAAAGCGGTATCGCTGTCGGTGAATGTCCGCGTCGCGTGGCACCGCAGCTCCCGGCCAACTGCCTCGTCAGGCCAGCCACTCTTCGACCCAGGGCCGCAGCGCCCGCGTGCGCGGTCCTCGGCGGGTCGCGGCGCCCACCTCGGTCACGTTCATCATCGAAAGCTCGGCCGTGGGGCAGAACGCGGCGCCCTTGCCCCCCACGTCGACGTGCGCCCCCTTGGCATCGACCCGAAACACTCGCCCCGACACCTTGTCCCCCGCCTTGATGTTGAAGTCGAAGTCGTTCAACAGAGCATCGAATTGCGCGTAGAGCTCCGAGTCCGCCTCCGCGACCGCGCGCACCGGCGCACGCCGCGCCTGCTGCCTGCGGCCAGCCACTACGCGGGCCTGCTTGGCCACGAGGGGCCGGAAAGCCAGAGCACCGTTCATCTCTTGCGCCGGGCCACGGAACGACTGCGTGCGCGCCCACGCGCGCTCCGGCGGCCCCTAGAGCCCCGCGCGCGCAGCTGGACGCGCTCCGCCGTGTGTGGGGAGTAAGCCGCGACGCCCCCGGGGGTCCGAACGGCGCCCTGGGACCCGACGGGCGATCGCGCCGCGTCGCCCGTGAAGAGTGCATGCCATCGCGGACGGCCTCGGGCGCTCTGACCGCACACCGACCGCGTTTCGGGCTCTGAGGTCCTGCGATCACTCATCCAGCGGGCGCCGGGGCGCGGGGGTGGACCGCAGCGAAGCCGCGGGGGCGCCGCTGGCTAGTGGTAGAGTCAAGGAAGCTCGGGCGATCGAATCGGGCACCCGGGCTGCTTCGAGTTCTGCTGTGAGAGGCGTTGGGTGTGTAGAATGCGGGGCGCGCTCGAGAGGCTGGCCCGCATGGCCGGCACGGCGCTCCTGGACGACGCTCCGCGGTCGATGATGGCGCTGAGGGCGTCGGGTCCGCTCGCCACGGCGTGCACGCGCGGCCTCCACTGCACCCCGCCCGCGGGGAATGGCCCCACGGGCGACTGCGGCGCGTACAACTTCGTGGCGCTCAACACCCTCGTGTCCCCGAAAACTACCAAGGAGGTGAGCTGCGTTGCGCGGCCCCAGCGCCGTCGCGGCCCCCTCCGCGCGCGCTCGCACGCGCCACCCAGGTCACTGCTACACCTGCCCGTGTCCCGGCACGCTCGCGGCCCAGACACCCGTCCCGGCGCGCCGCTCCACTGTCTACCCCCCTCTCGAAGCCCACGTCGCTGCCGGCGAGCAGACGGCGGTCCGAGAACGCACGTACGACAGCACCTTGCCACAAGCAATCTGTGTGCGTGTGTCACGGCGTCACGCTTCCCGCGACCCGCGCCCCGCTGTCCGCAGAAGCGACGCCTCGGGCGCGGCTCGTCGTCGGCGCACGGCGAGTCCAGCGGCCGCGGGAACAAGGGGCAGAAGCACCGAGGCCGCATGGGGCTCGTTCCGTTCTTCGAGGGCGGGGCCACGCGCACCGTCGAGCGCCTCCCGCGCTCCTCGAAATACAACACCGACGCGCCGGAGCTCGTGGCCTGCAGGCTGTCGCGGCTCGTGCAGTGGGTGCAGAAGAGCTATGTCGACCCTGCGAAGCCAATCACGATGAAGGTGCGCGCACCGGCCGCCGCCGAACGACACGCCGCTCGCAAAAAATGCCTTCTGTCTTGCCTGGCGCGCGTGCGGTCCCGGGCGCGTCGACGCGGCGGTGCGGGGCGATTCGTGGTTCGATTTCGACTGGTGCGTGCGTGCGGTCGCGGTGCGGCGCAGGTGCTGCGGGACGAGCGCGTGGTGTCGAAGCACGTCAAGGAGGGCGTGATCCTCGTGATGGACGACCCCGCGGAGGTCGGGGACCTCTCGGGCGTGCCCCCGCTGCACATCGAGGTGACGCGTGCCACGGACGCGGCCGCCAGGGCCGTCCGCGCGGCCGGCGGGTCGGTCACGACGGTCTACTACAACAAGCTCGGCCTGTTCGCGATGCTCAAGCCGCACAACCTCGAGCGCAAGGGCCGGAAACTGCCCCAGCCGGCTCGGCCTCCCCCCAAGCTCATCACCAAGTTCGACAAGATCGGCAGCATCCCCGCGCCGGAAACGCTCGACGAATTGCCGCAGCTGCGCGCGGGCGACGGCTGGAAGCTCAGGCTGCCCCCCTCCGCGGAGGTCACGCAGCGCTTCCATAACTACCTCGAGAGGAAAAAGGCGCAGGAGGCCGTCAGCGGCGCGTAGGAGCGCTCCTTTCGGCCGCGAGCGCCGCCGAATATTCTCATTCTCACATACGGCGACGCGCAGGGCGTTACCCGGCCACCGCGGACCCCTCGCCGGCCTCTGTGACCGAGGTGGGGATGCTGAGCGCCCCGCTCGCCGTCGCGTGCACCGCGTTGAGCCCGCGCAGGCTGCTGATCTTCGAAATCGCCCTCCCTTCGATCAACAGCGCGCGCTTCGCCACCTGCAGCGCCCGGTCGTCCTGCCCGCCCACCGCCTGCAGCGCGCGACTCAAGCTGTGCAGCGCCGTCGCGACTTCGCCGTGCGAGCCCCCGTACTTCCCCTCCAGCGCCTCCACGCACCGCTCCCACCGCTCCACCGCCGCGCCGTGCTGCCCCGCGCGCCCCAGCGCCCGCGCGTGGTCTGCCAGCGCAGCTGCAGTCTCCGCATCCGCCAGCCCGAACGCGTCCTCCTTGATCTGCGCCGCCTCCTCGAACAGCCCCAGCGCCCTCGCAACGTCCTCGTCGCCCCCGGCGCTCGCCAGCAGCAGCTCTCCCATGTCCGCCTTCGTCACCGCGCAATCCACGTGCTCGGGGTCCTTCGCCGCCTCCTGGATCCCCAGCGCGCGCTCGTAGCACTCCAGCGCCTTGTCCCTCGCGCCCGCGTCCGCGTAGTACCTCGCGAGCTGCCGCAGCGTCGTCTCGAGGTCCACGTGATCGGGGCCCAGCACGTCGACTTTGAGCGCCAGAACGCGCTCGACCGTCTCGATCGCCGCGTCGTACTCCTTCAGGTCGTGCAGGACCTGCGAGAGCTTGAACAGCGTCGGAGCTGCGACGAGGCCCGCGTCGCCGTCCTCCTCGGCAGCCTCCTGCGCCGCCAGCACCTGGAGGTGGAGGTCCTTGGCGGTGGAGGCGTCGCCGAGCTCGCGGTACGTCTCCGCCGCGTCGGACAGCGCGAGCAGGGTGTGCTCGTGCGCGGGGCCCAGCTCGGCGCCGCGGACCTGCGCGCAGCGCTCGTACGTGCGCACGGCGGCCGCGTGCTGCGCGAGCTCGCACTGCAGGGCCGCCATCTCCGCCAGCGCCGTCGCGAGCGCGAGGCCGACGGGGAGCGCGGGCCGGCGCGCGCCGTCCGGCGGCGCCTGCGCCGCGGCCGCGGCCTCGCCGTAGCGCTTTTCGTACATAGCAACGCCGCGCTGGTACAGCCCGAGGGCGCGCGAGCGCGCGTCGAGGTCCTGCAGGACCGCGGCCATGTCGACCAGGGTCGCTGCGGTGTCCTCGTGATCCGCCGGGAGCAGCCGTTCGCGGATCCCCAGGGCCCGTTCGTACATCTCCAGAGCGCGCTGCACGTTTCCTTGCTCGTGGAGGATCGCCGCCATGTTCGTGAGCGTCGAGGCCGAGTCGAGGTCGTCGGAGACGGGCGCCCGGATGCCGGACGCGCGCTTGGAGAGCTGCCGGCCGATCGAGCGGCGCTTCGACACGGCCTGGTCGTGGAGGGCCGCGCGGCGCTGTTCCGAGGTCGTGCGCTTCATGACGTCGAGCTCGTCCGCCGCGGCGGCGACGCGCTTGAAGGAGTGCTTCGAGGCGAGCGAGCCGTGCGAGATTCCCCGGCTGGGGCGCGGCACCGGCGAGGACGCGGAGTAGAGCGCAGCGCGGACATGGTCGACTAGCTTCTCGGCTCTCTCGCCCGTGATGTCGAATCTGCACGTGCGGGGGGTGGACAGGTGTGAGAGAGAGCGGGAGGCGCTGGTTGGGGCCGCGGAGGGCGCGGCGCCGAGCAGAACGGGCGACTGAGGGCGAGGCAGGGGGATCGCCGGGGTGTGCTGCGCGCGGAGGCTCACTTTGACGCGGCGTTTGGCTCCTTGTCGAACCGCACGAGGTCAGTGCCCTTGCACCCTTGCAGCTTCGCCCTCACGTCGTCGTCCAAGGGCAAACTCGCCAGCCAGGCCTGCAGTGCCATTCGCCGGTCGCCGTGTGAGGCGCGACGCCGAACAACGCGGTACCTCCGCGCCCGGGGATACAGCACATGAAAAGGAAGCAGAAGCGCGCGGCCTGCCCTCGCGCCAAGCCGCCAGGCGCACAGAGCAGTGGTGCATGCAGTGCGGCGAGCCTTACTCACCGCGGTGTCCTGTTCGGTCCAGTCCTCCATTCGCCCTCGCGGCGTCCGCGCCGCCTCTTCTGCGCGCTCCACGCTCGCTACATTCTCCGCAGTCAGCTTCGACGGGCTCTTGTTCGCCGGCGCGGGCACACCAGTCTCCGGCACGGACGCCCCGCACCCCATACGAGCTCACGCACGCCCGCGGACGTGCCCCACGGTCCCTGCGGATCGCTCAGTAGCGATCTCTGTGGACTGGTTCCAGCTCCGCGGTCCCCGCGCGGCGCCGCGCCGGTGCCCAGACAAAGCCCCTGGCGATGCCTCCGCAATGCGCGTAATAGAGCGGGTCTGCACCCCGGTTTGCGCGGAACGAATGTCCTACAAATCTAGATCTGGTGGACGCTGTGCGCCGGCCGCGCGGCGCGGCAGGGCAACGTACGACGCCGGCAGACCCCCGTCATTGACGGTCAATGCACTGTGCTGTCAGCTTTGCTGGTCATGACTCAGTGCAGCCCACCGGCCGGGCGCGAGTGCCCGTTCTTCGGAATCCAGCGGCGCACGCCCCGCCCGTCGCCGGAGACGTCTGTCCGTCAATGCAGGCGCCGCAACAGGCATGCGCCCTGTCGGCAACCTCTGTCGCCATTGTTGGGGCTTCATGCGCGCCGCGTGGGCCACGGACGCCCGACACCCGACGCTCACTCGATTCTCGGTCCACCAGGGAACGCACGAATGCGAGCTCCGTGCGGCTCGCATCCACATCCACTCCCACGCCAGCCCCCACAACCAAAACTTTTGAAGGTCCATTGGCTGACGGAACAACCCAGCACAGAAGAAGAGAAAGCACGACTCGCGCGCGCGGCGATATAGACGCATACGCAAACCTGCGCCGCAGCTCACATCCCGCCACGGCGCCCGACCCCCCCCCCCTACGCTACCGACACCCCCGCGCTGGCAAACGCCTCCTGCAGCGCCCCCTGCGCCTCGCTCCCGAGCCGCTGCATCGCGGGGCCGACCTGCCCCGGCCGCTGCTGCGCGAACGCCGCGAGCGCGGTCGCCGCGTGCTGCGCGAGGCTGGTCACCGACGGGAGCGCGTCTCGCGGCTTGGGCGCCGAGTTCGCCAGCGGGACAAACGACGCTTGGTACCCGAGCCCCGCCATGTCCTCAAGCGGGTCCTCGAACGCCGCGATCGGCGCGGGCGCGTCGACGGCCCCGCGGCCCAGCAACCCGCACAGAGCGTCCAGGTTGTGCACCCACGCGTCTTGCCCCGCCGGCCAGTCCGTGAGGGCCGCGCACGAGGTGAGGAGCGTGACGGTAGCGACGCCGACCAGCTTGACTTCGGCTTTCCCGCGTACTGCGGGCACGGGACAGAACGGCGCGGGCGGCGGTGACGAGACGCGGGCGTGAGGTCGCAGGCCGCGGACGGGCGCAATGCGGGCGCAGAGGCGAAGCCGTGGCCGCGGACGGCGAGGCAGAGCACACGAGCGAGCCGACGCGGCGATGCCGGTGCCCCGCCCTGTGATCCACGTGCAACAACCACAACATTGAAGCAAAAGATGGGTCAGTGGCGCGGGAGGCGCACCCGTCGGCAGCGTCTGCGGCCAGACGTTCCTCGCGATGCCCCCGAAGAGCCCCGGCTGCAGCTTGTCGATCGACGCCTGCAGCGCGTCGAGGCCGTGCTTGTGGACGAGGGTCGAGATGAACCCGAGCAACAGGCGCGGGAACCGCGCGTCCGGGCGCTCCGCCTGGCGCGCCTGCTGCAGCCGCGAGAAGAGCAGCTGCCAGACCGTCGTCAGGTGCTGCTCGTACGCCGCGAGCTCGAGCTCCTCGACGAGAGCCTCGAGGATCATGAAGCCGCCGTGGGCGTGGGCGCGGGTCGCGATGAGGCGTTGGAAGACGCCGAGGACCGGGAGGAGGTGGTTGCCGTCGACGACGGCGGCGCCGCAGCGCCGGAGGTACGCCGTGAGGAGCCGGGCGAGGGCGGGGATGTTGCCGGTGCGCTCCCAGAGCGTCGGCGACAGGAGCGGCGGCAGGAGCTGCATGTAGTAGGCCGGGACGGGCGCGGGGCGGAGCTCGAGCATCTGCGCGAGGACCTGCGGGGACGGGCGGCCCGGGCGGAAGCGGGGTCGGGATTCGAGGTCTTGCAATCGCGGCGCAAAAGGTGGTGGCGTTTTGAGCGGCCGGCGCGCGGGTCGGAGGACGGCTTGCGATCGCACGTGGGCGTGCAGGCGAAGGTCAGCCCGCTGGGGCGATCCGCGACGCCGAAACGCGGCGGCACTGCCGCGGGGAGCGCGAAGACACGGTCGTATGATGCGGCGCGGCGCTGGCGCTTGCCTGGAACACATAGGGCGCGAATTCCTGGACGTCCTCCTGCAGGACGTGGTTGAACGCCGGGTGCAGGCCGGCCTCGAAGCCCTCGATCGCGGCGGCGTTGCTGGCCGCCGTGAAGCGGATCAGCGCCGCCAGCGCCTCAAACAGAAAATGCGAGAACGCCGGGTTCGTGGGGTTCTTGCAGACGTCGAGCAGCGTCTTGCCGAGGTGCTGCAGGCACGCCGGCGCCGCGGGCGCCACGGCGGGCCCCAGGAAGGTGATCACTCGCAGAACGCAGCGCATGACGTGCTCGTTCTGCTCCGAGTCGGGCTGACTCAGGGCGCTGAAGAGCCCCGCCATGAGCGGCTCGAAGAGGCTCGAGAGGTCCGCGGGGGAGTACCGCGGCGGGCCCGCGGCCGCGGCCGCGCCCGGCAGCGCGACTGGCAGGCCCTGGGACCCCCCCTCTTTCACCCCGAGGTGTTTCTCGATGCACGCCGCGGCGTACGAGTGCACGACGTTCGAGTCGCTGCCGAGGAGCTGCACGATGTGCGGGAGGTGCGGCAGGATGTCGGCCTTCACGAGCTGCAGCCGGAACGTCGTCGCGAACTTGAGGGCGGCGGCCGCCAGGATGGGGTGCCGCGGCGGGCCGCCCTGGGCGCGCGGGGCGAGCTCGGGCGCCATGTGGCGCGTCCAGAACTCGCGCACGTCGATGCCCTCGGTGACCTCCGTGGCCCCGAGCGCCGCCGTCTTGCCCCGCACGGCGACCGCGAGCATCAGCGCGACGGCGCAGTCCTTCGCGACGTACTGCGCGGTGGGCGCGGCCTCGTACTCCTGGAGCATGGCGTTGATGTACTGCAGGCAGAGCTGCGTGACCTCGCGCTGGAAGCGGCGCGCGAGGGACCGGACGAGCTCGCAGGCCATCCGGCGCCGCGTGTCGCTGTCCGAGCCCTCCGAGTCGCGCATGATGAAGTCCGCGGGGTTCATGTCGAAGAGCTCCTCGTCCTGCAGCACCGCACCCGCACACGGCGCGTTCCGGCGAGCCGCAGACAAACGCCCATGAAACATAATTGTAAAGCCATAAGCAGAATAAAAACAACAACCATATGGGCTCCGTAGCGGCGAATCGGGGGCCGGAGCGCACCGTATCGCGCAGGCGGATGTTCGGGATCACGATGCTCTCAACCACCTGCCGCAGCACGGCCTCGTTCGCGAACACATGACTGCTGCCGCCACGAACACACTTGTCCAGCACCTTGATCGCCTCCATCACCATCGCGTCCTGCCCCGGCCGCGGCCCGGCCTGCGTCCACAACGCCAGGCAACGCAAAGCGGTTGCCGACTGCCACGCAGCAAGCAAAAGACCACGACAGGGCGGAAAAAGCAGAGGCGCGCGCGCGATGCGTGCGGTGGAGATGGCGAATGCCCAGCGCACCTGCGTGAGCAGCGACCACACGTCCTCGAGGTGCTGCGGAAGGTACGGCGCGACGTCGTCCTCCTCGGTTTCGATCAAGATGTTGAGCGCTGCACACACGGCAGCGCGCACGGCGTCCTGGGGGGACTGCCGCTCCGGGTCCGCCTCGACGAGGTTCGGCGTGTCGAGCCGCAGGTACACGCGGAACTCCTCCATCCAGTCGCGCAGGGCCTCGGCGAAGTACTCGCTCAGCCCGAAATAGTTCAAAGAGTAAAACATGCGGAACGCGAGCCGCACGCAGCGCAGGGGCGGCTCGAGGACGTCGCGCCCGGCGCCCGCCGCGCCCTTGATGACCGCCGTGGCCTCCTGCACGAGCTTCAGTACGAACGGGCCGAACGCCGTTTGGCAGTCCTTGAGTTCGGTGTTGAGCTGCCCTTTGAGCTCCTTGCCGCGGAAGCGCTTGCAGATGGAGTTGGCCGCGTCGAGGACGCCCTGGAGCTTCGTCCAGTCGCCGCTGTTGCTCTGCAGCTCCTGGACGAGGCGCGGAAGGAGGTCCGGCCAGCGCGCAGGCCAGTCATGGAGAGAGACGATCGCGAGGGCCTCGGAGAGCTGCGCCTGGACGAGCGGGGGCGTCGACATCATGAGCGTCACGAGGTGGCCGCGGATCTGCGCCTTCTCGTCGTCCTGCGGGCGCCGAGAGGGGGGGGAGTGTTCGTGTGTTTGATCGCTGCTGTCCGTGCGGCGCAGGCGTTGTGGAGGGGGTGGTTGGGCGTAGGCGATAGGCGGCGGGAAGGGCGTGCTGTGTGGCGCGTGCGGGGTGGGAGCAGGCGGGGAGATGAGATGAGGGCGTGGGGGTTGGCGGTGGGGTTGTGTGGGCGTGCCTGGACGACGGCGGCGGTGTCCTCGTCCTTGGGCGTCCAGCCGGACTTGACGTGGTTCTTGAACGCGATCGACGCGGACTGCCGGACCGTCGCGTCCGTCGTCGGCGCCATCACAACCTGCAAAGACATAGACCCCCACATGACAGATCTCATGTGTGCGGGGGTCGGGGCGGCAGCGGCGGCGGGCGCAGCGCACGGAGGCCGTGCCTGTGGGGAGCTGTGCGGCGAAGAACGAGGCATATATATGCGGCGAGGTGGGTTGTGCGGCTTCTGGTGTTGCTATGCAGCCAAAGCGCGCTCGCGAGCTGCAGGCGCCGCAAACGCCGGCCTGCGCGGGCCGAAAGGCAGCCGCGGGGTACGTCTGCTCGCCCGCGATCAGCTCAGGCGCTCTAGCGCGAGGCAGCGTCAATGTAGCGCCCTGGCGCCGAACAGCGCTGCTGTTGTCTCGCCGTGCGCCCGCACGTGGCGCCGCGGGCCCTCAGCAACGCGCCGCTCGCCTTGTCCGAGGCAATATTGCGGCGAGCGGCGCGCGGGCAGCTGGAATCGACGCGCCCGCGGCCTCAGCGGCTCGCCGCCGAGAGCTGAGCCGAGCCCTGCGGTGAGGTTCTCGCGGCGGGACGAGGAACCGCACCTGCAGCACCGCGATTCCGAACCCGGGCTGCTTCTGCGCCTGTTTCAGGAACTCCTCCGCCTGTTTCCGCGGGCCCTGCGACCGTCATTCGCAGCACGGGGCCGAACGCAGTGGGCGAGGCAACGTCGGCGCCTGCTGCGGCTGCCGCGGCTCCGATGGCGCCGTTCAGGGGCGCCTAGCGCCGTAGGCGATGCCGCAGCAGCATCTCTGAGGCTGTGGCAATGGCAGGCCGCGAAATCCTGGGCCAGGCGCGGAGCCCGCGCGTGTTTTGGGCTGCGGCGAGGCACGGGCGGGGCCCCCCGAACGGCCCGGGCCGCGCGAGCGCTGGAGTCGTCCGGTGCGGGTCGGGCGAGCGTCGGAGGAGGCTGGGGCGCTGCGGCGGCCGCGTGGGGCGCGCGGAGGACGCGGGTACGCGCTGGTTTTTGTGGGGCGTGGAGGTTGTGCCCCCGCGCGCGTGCCAGGGGCGGAGCGCGCCGGCTCGATGCGCGGGGGATCCGCACCGGTTGAGGGTTCGTCGACTGCGCGAACGCATTCGCCAGTGTGGCCTGGTCCATCCTGCTTTGCGGCGCTCCCTCCTGGGCCGTCTCAACGGCGCGCGCTTGCAACCACGGAACACGCGACACACGCCCCCACCAGGCAACGAGGGCCAGCCTGCGACGTCAGCCAGCGACAGGTCGCCCGTGGACCGCACGCAGATGCCGCACGAAGGCTGTGCGGGCGCCCACAGCAGCGCTGCGGACCCTAACGGCGCGAATCCGTCGACTAGACGGCGGGGAATCCGTGCAAGAGTGGCTCGTATGCAAGACCGGTCCGCTGTGGCAGGCGTGGCCGGGGAACCAGCCCTTTCGCGGCCGCAGGGCGCGGCACGACGCTGTCAGTAGAAACCAACACGCGTCAGGGCGTTGTTACGTCGGCCGGACCGCGCGACGTGTCCGAAGTCGTTCGCACGGGGCAGGCACACCCCTCGGTACTCTCACCGACGTCAAACGAAGAGGAGCGGGTTCTAACTTCACCTGCACAGGTGCGTGGATGTGTACGTGTTGCTCAAGGAAGACACGCTGTCCCCGCCGTGACGCGGTGCCCGTCGGCCGCGCCAGGGGGTGTCCGCTGTAGCCCCGCTATAGCGCGCTCCTCGCGCGCGTGATTCGCGGCGCCGCGGCCGGTGAGAGCGGCGTTCGTGAGCTCTAGGTGTGTGCTTGATGACATGCCGAAATTGACCGCGACGCTTCGTCCCCCGCAGCAACAACCATGCCGTTCGACCTCATCACCGGCGACTTCGTCCCCGAGAAGAGCAACATCTGGCGCGACTGCGTGGACGGGTGCGCGCCACGGCACCCTCGAACGCCACAAACCTCGCGCCCCCGCGCAGCCCGGGCGGCGCATCCGCGCCGTGACCGCTCCGGAGCCTCCCGCCATTTATTATCTCTCGCGGAACGCCGCGCATTCGCGATCGTCTCCCGCAGATACCACGACTGGGTCGCGGAGCACCTGAACGAGGGCGCGCCAATCAACGAAGCCGACCACTGCGGCGACCCCCCGCTCATCCTCGCGTGCGGCAACGGCCACCTCACCTGCATCAAGATGCTAGGTACACCCGCCCTCACCACCAACGCGCTCTACCGCCAGCACCCCCACACCTGAGACCCCCCTGGCCGAGCTCGAGACGCTCTCGCGTCACGCGCACGCGCACCGCAGCACGTGTGCACCCCACCTGCGCACATCGCTGCCCAGAAGTGTGGTGTTCTGCGGCGCTGTGCAGTCGAGGAGGGTGCGGACCTTCAACAGCGGAACGTGTACCGCGAGACGCCGCTGATCCGCGCCGCGCACAACGGACACCTCGCGGCCTGCAAGTACCTCCTCGACGAAGGTCCGGAGACGTGCCTCGGCTCAAAAGCAGCAGCAGAAAGCAGACGATGTGGTTGCAATTATCAATTTTCATTATCAACACGGCCACATCGATCTCTTCGGTGGGGATGCTGTCCTGCGCGTGACGGAGCTGCTGCGTGGCGAGGACGTGCGCAGGGGCGGACGTGGACGCGATTGACCTGGGTGACAACACGGCGATGCACTGGGCGGCCATGCGGGGCCACGTGGAGATCGTGCGCCTCCTGCTCGAGCGCGGCGCCGACCGGGGCGCGGTCAACAAGCAGGGCCGCACGCCGGTCGACCTGTGCCAGCCACAGGTGCGCCGCACCCGATCTCATAATACCACTCAATTGATGACTTGATCATGAGAGATCATTACCATGCACGTGAAAGCAACATGCAAGAACCCCCGTTCTCCGCGCGGCACGCGCCGCCTGAGGGCGCCGCGCGACAGCGCAGCGCGGTCGGCGCCGCCGCTTGCGTCACGGTCACGTCGCTGTCACAGCGGGGCGTCCGCCGAACGAAACGTCTACTTTTGATAACACTGGTTCTCGATCCTCGTTGAGTTTCACGCAGTACTCTATGTCCTGGAGGTTCACGCGCGAGGTGCTCGGCGCGAAAGCCTAGGACGTCAGCGCTTGAGGCCGCGTGGTGAGAGTCCGGACCCTGCTGCTGATGCTACATGCTGCCTAGACCAGCAGCTAGCTGCGCAACGCACGCCCCGTTCGACGCAAGCGCCGTGGTCATGCAGCGTTGTCCGCGCAGCCTTGCGGATGGGGTCGGGGGAGGCGGGAAGGGGGTAGAAGGGTCGCCTTGTGTGTGGCAACACTCAGTGTGAGTGCAAGCATCGAGCGACGGCGCGACTCGTTGTCCCGGCACTTTGTCCGGCGAGAAGGCCGGCGGGCGGTGGGGGGGGGGGGGGGGCTGTGAGGGCCAGGTTGCGTGTTGAGGCTGTGCAGCGCAAGGAGAGGGGGGTGCGACTCATCTTCCTTGCCAATCACGCTGCTGCACGGGGCCGCGTGGGCCACGGGCGGTGAGGGCGGCGGGGGCTGTAGTGCCCCCGCGGCCGCCACGTCGCCCCAGCAGCGTGGAACTGCGGCTTCATGACGGCGGGCATGAGCAGGTTGGGGGGGGGGCGGAAACGGAGGTGAGCACAGGTCCTCCCCCGCGCTCGTGCGAGAGCGTGGGTCGGAAACGAAGGGGTCGTGGCAAGGCAGGCTCTGCGCCGCCCGCGCGCGCCTGGACTACAATTTGTGGTGTGATCCGGAAAGAGGGGGTGTCGGGGGGGTGTTGAGGGGGTGTTGGGCAATGTGAGCCGTTTGGGTCGAGAGTGGTGCGCGAGCCGCCAGGGAGGAGGGGGGCTGCGAGGGGGGCTGCGGGGGGTGTACAGAAGGGGGAGGGGGTTTGTGTGCTCGCAACTGCCCAGCACTGACGCGGGCGGGTGGTCGGTGGTCGCGGCCGCGTCGCGTCAGAGCGACATGTCGTCGCCGCCCGAGGACCCCACGACGGGGTCGTTCCCTTTGCCCTCGGCGCCCGCGCACAGCATCTCCATGTAGAGGTTGTTGTTCACGGACGCGCTACGCCGCATGTACTGCCGCGGGCCCTTCCGCGCGGGCCCACTGATGCCGCGCGGGTCGAACGCGCCCAGCCGCCCGCCCTCGGCGTCCTCGCACGCGTGCACGTCGTGTGGCACCTCCATGCTGAACCTGCTGTTGGGCGTGGCCGCAAAGTCCTCGGATTCGCTCGGCCAAGCCCGCCCGCGCTCCGCGGCGTGCGTGGCGCCGAGCACGTCGAGCGCCGCGGTCGAGCCCGTCGCGAGGAGCGTCTCGTTGCACGCCAGCCCCGCGCCGCCGCCGCTGGCGCGTCCGAGGGAGTTGCGCGGCCCCCACGGGTACACGGACCGGTCGGACCGCACGCGCGGGAGGAGCTGGCACGCGGGCGAGCTGCGGCCCGTCCCGGCGAGCGACGTGATCGGCGACGCGGCGCGCGACGCAGGGTCGACGCCGTGCGCGCTGTGACCGAGGTTGCCGGCCGCCGCCTGCGCGAACAGGGCCGTCGGCACCGCGCGGCCAGTGCCGTTGCGGCGGCGCTGGCTCGGCAGCAGCCGCGGGGACGCGTTGACCAGCCCCGCCGCGACGTTGGAGACCCCCCCCCCAAGCACTCCCTCCTCGCTGCAGCGGAAGTCGTCCTGCCGCGTGGCGCGCCGCTGCGCGTCGCCGGGCGAGCCGCTCATGCGCGGGGACTCGCAGCGCCGCACGCTCGGCCAGCCGAGCGTGGGCGTCTGCACCACGGCGGGTCCGAGGGCCTGCAGCGTGCACGAGCGCGGGGTGTCGCTGATGCCGTGCGGCTGCGCGATCGTCGCACGGTTCGCGACGGGCGACTGGCTGCCGCCCTCGACGTCGTCGAAGCACAGCGCGACGGGCCGCGCGCCGCCGCTGCGCCGCCGCGGCGGGTGCGCGTCCGTGGGGGACCCGACATCGTCCCACCCGCGCGCCGGGGGCGCGCTCTTGAGGAGCTCGTCCTCGCCGACGTCGTCGTCGCCCCCGAAGAGCAGCCGCGACGGCCGCAGCGAGTGTTGCCGCTTCAGCGGCCCGTTGGGCGCGGTTGGCGCGACGTCGCACTCCTCGCCCTCCCCGCGGCTGCCGTCGCCCTGCCCGGTCGCCCAGCGCGCGCGCGGCGTCTTCATGGGCGTCAGCGGCGGCGCGACGGGCCGCCGCGGCACCACGCGTGCGGGCGCGGCCGGCGCCGAGGGCCCGACGTCGTCGTCGACGCGTGCCACCGCGCGCCGCCGCGCCAGGTTGGGCGACGGCCCGTCGCCGCTGTGCTGGTCGGCCGTGGGCGCGGTCGGCGGCCCGGCGTCGAGGTTCAGGCTCATCGTCGGCCGCCCCACCACATTACCCCCCCCTAATGACTCACTCAGTGACGTCTTCATCCCCCCCGACGCGCTCCCGCCGCAGATGCGCGTCCCGATCGACACCGCCGTCGCGCTCGTGACGTGCGTCGACTGGAACGACGGCCGCACGCACTCGTGCGGCGACCCCTGCCGAGGCTCGTCGCCGTCGTCCTCGTGCACCGTCGGCAGCGCCGCCTCGGCCGCCGCAACGCCCGCCGCGTGCGCCGCCGCGTCCTCCGGCACGCTGCTGCCGCGCTCGAACAGCCCCTCGAACCCTCCCGGGATCTCGTGGTCCCCCAGCACCTCGAGAGAGAACCCGGGCTCCAGCACCGACATACACAACGCCGACTCCCCCTGGCTGTGCAGGGACAGCGCGCTGGGCGTGCGCGCGCGCGACATCGCGTGCCCCGAGAGCGCCGCGACGCTGCCGTTCCGCGACACCCCCCCGTGCAGGGACGACTCCAGAACGGAGCTGTCGCCCAGGTTGGTCATCGACCCGTGGCCCAGGCCTGCGGCGTAGAGGTGGCGCGGCCGCTGCGGGAGCAGGCGGAGGACGGCCGCGGGCTCCTGCACGGGCATGCTCTCCTGCATGCTCGCGCGCTGCGACGGTCCGCGCGCCGTGGCAGGCCCCCGCAGCCACGGCAGGGCGTCCGTGGGGCTCGCGCGGCCCGTGGGCCCGTCCTCGCGCACGCCCGAGGCCGACGACCGCCCGAACCGCACGATCTTCCGCAGCTTCGACGTGCGCTGCTGCGGCGGCGGCTGCGGCGCGCCCTCGAACGGGTCGGCGGCCATCAGCGCGTCCACGGGGGGGGGAGTCTCGGTCCGGAAGGACCGCTGCCGGGAGCGGTGGACGCCGCCGAAGCCCACGAAGGACCCCACGGGCGACGCGGGCGTCGCGGGGCTGTGCAGGCGGTTCCGCGCGGGCCGCGACGCCGCCCAACCGCGGTCGTGGTGCTCCAGGGACTTGCGGGCGTAGGTGCTGTGGCCGGCGCCGGGGGGCGGCGCGGGGTGCACGGCGTTGCTCGCGCCGCCGGCGCCCCGCCCGCCGCTCCCGACGGTGTGGAACGCCGTGCGCCGGCCGCGCCCGTTGAAGAACGCCCCCAGGTGCATGCGCCGCTCCGCGTTGTTCTGCGAGCCGCCCTCGGACGCGAGCGACATGCAGTCCTCGCTGCCGTCCACGGAGCCGCCCTGGCTCACCCGCCGCGAGCCGTCCGGGGACGCCCCCTGCGCCTGCGCGAGGCCCGAGGTGCGCGGCAGCTGGTCCTCCACGTGGAGCTGCGCGAGGCCGTGGAGGACGTCGCGCGCCGTCGGGCGCGCCTCGGGGTCCGCGCGGAGGAGCTTGGAGACGAGGACGTGGAGCGCGGGGGAGCAGCCCGGGAGCGCGATGCCCTCGCCGGTCCGCAGGGGCCCCGAGCGCGGCAGGCGCGTGCCCGTCGCGCACTCGTAGAGCGAGCAGCCGAGGGAGTACATGTCCGCGGCGGGCGCCGGGACGGTGGCCGTGGAGAGCAGCTCCGGCGCCACGTAGTCTCCGTCGCCCTCCTCCCAGTTGGCCGCGTCGCGACTCACCGCCAGCCCAAAGTCGCCGAGCTTGAACACGCCGTCTGCGGGGAGGAGCGACTCGGGGGTGACGAGGGGCGGTCGGCGCGGCGCTGGAGGGCGCGGGCGTCGCGTCGCGTGGAGGCGAGACGCCCCCGGGGGGTGTGAGGGAACTGAAAACAGGAGGCAGGGGGGGTGTTGCGTCGCGAGGTGGCTGCGGCCGAAGGTGTCTGCACGCGCGCAGCTGCGCTCGCAACAAGCGCTCGCGGCGCTGTGCGGTTCGGAAGGCGGGGGTGTTGGGGGTGTGTTGCGTGCCTGAGATCAGGATGTTGTCAGGCTTCAGGTCCAGATGCAGGATGTTGCGCGAGTGGATGAGTTCGAGCGCGGACGCCATGTCGCGCGCGACCTGCCACACGCGCGGCTCCGGGAGCCCCTGCAGCCCCATGCCCGCCGCGCGCCGCAGGAGGCCCGCGAGGCTGCCCTGGCGGCACAGCTCCATCTGGAGGTGCACCCTGCGCGACTCCTGCCAGCACTTGAGGTACGCCACGACGTTCGGGTGCGGCGGGAGGTCCTGGACGACCTTGACCTCGCGGATGCACGACTCGCGGTGCGCGCGCGACGTGATGCGGCGCGTCAGAACCTTGACGGCGTAGAGCGCGCCCGAGGCCTTGCAGCGGACCTTGAACACCTCGGAGAAGTGCGAGCGCGCGATCACGGAGAGGTGCTCGAAGTAGTCGGCGAACCGGAACGTCTTCGGCGTCGGCGGCATCCCCGCGGGCGTGGTTGCGCCCCCGGGGGCGTTGTTGGCGCCCGCGGCGCGCCGCCGGAAGCTGCGGTACTGCTTGGTCTTGAGCAGGAGCCGGGACTCGTTCAGGGAGGACTGCCGCAGGACGGCGCGGCTGTCGAGGGCGCGGCGGCCCGGCGGCGACGGCGGGCACGACGGCGGGCCATGCGCGGCGGTGGCACTCGGGGTGGCCTGGCCCGCGGGCGTCTGCATGTCGGCGTCCTCGACCGTCGGCGTGCCCGCGCGGTGCGGCGGGACGGGGCCGTCGTCCCAGGAGGCCCGCGGCGGGGCCGCGGCGGGCGACCCGACGTCAACGGTGAGGTCCATACGCCGCACAATGCCGCGGGACGGCCGCTCCTGGCCGGCGGGCGCCTCGTGGGGGTCCTGCTTGGTAGCCCGGGGGTCCTGGGGCGCAGCGCCGGCGAGGGGGCCGTCCCAGCCTTGCAGCGTGAGGGTCCGCGAGAGGTCGCGAGCCAGGTGCGGTCCCAGCGCGGCGTTCCCCGCCGCGCGCCGGGCGTTGCGCGGGTCCGTGGGGATAGAGTCGTTCGAGATGGAGGCCTGGCGGTGCGCGGTGATCGTCGGCGGCGTCGCGCCGACCACGCCGGAGTCCTTCATCTCCACATCAGAGGTGGGCGCGTGCACACGTGTCAAGATGGGCGTGGGTCCCTGGCCCGCGAGGTGCTGCAGGGAGGTGAGGACGCGTCCGACCGGCGGCGTCGCCAGGACGGCGCCGGAGCTGCCCTGCCGCGCGCGCCCGCCATCGCTGGCGTCGCCGTGGGTGTTGCCTAGCATGGCATGCACCTCGGGCCGCCTCCGGGGCGTTGCGGCGCGTCGCGGGGGAGCAGGGAGGGCGAGGTAGCACGCGGCCGCGGGATCGAGCGCTCCCGAGCTGCGCAGCGGGCGGGAGGGAGAGCGTTGCGTGAGTGCGCGGGAAGCGTGCTCGGGCGTGGCGCGCGCGTCTCGCGAGTCGCGGGGCCCGCGACAGGGGAACTTGGATGGACTGATTGCGGGGAGAGGACGGGAGTCGCGTCGGAACCGCGCGGGAGGCGACGGCGACGCGGAGGAGCAGCCTCGTCGGCCCAGGCGAGCGTGGAGGGTGCGGGGGCGGCCGGGCCGGGCTGGCGCCACCAGATGGCGGACAATTCGAAATGTGATTGGCGTGGGTGGATCGAAGCGCGAAGGGCGATCACGGCACGCCGCTGTCGCCCATGACCCGCCATCAGTGCCGTTGCTGTTGCGGGCTCCACGCGCGGCCTACCGCGCGCCGGCGCCGCGGGTTTCGCCGTTCGCACGCACGTGCACCGCCGTACGCGCCGAGCCGCAGCAGCCGCGCCGCGCGCGACGCGTTCTCCGGCTACAGCTGCGACCGCACCGAGCGCGCGAGCTACGCGCGTGGCCTCCACAAACCACGAGTGGCGCTCGCGCACGGAATCCCTCGAATACATTCGCGCCCCCAGCGGCGGAGAGCGGGCGCGCGCACCTGACCGTCCGTGCAGGAGAGGTGCTCTTGGAGCTCAGTTCGCCTCGCAACCAGAGCCCGGCCTACAGAACGGTCCCTGTCCGTTCAGGGAACGCCCAACAACTGCCGTCGCCGCCCCCGCGGGTGCCCCGAAGACCCGGCGGCGAACGACGGCCGGCGCGCCGCGTGTGACCCGGGTCTGTCTCAGGCCTACTTAGGTGCCCTGATCGGACAACACGTCGAATATCGCCGCACAGGGGCCTTGGCCCAGCCGATCGCGCCGCAGATCGACTTGATCTTACCAAGAACATGCGTCTCCGACATTTCAAACATCGAACCGTTCCCTCTTTCGGGCGGAAACAGGGGTACATTCGCATGCCAGGGTGCGCCCGGATACGCACCGGGGGGACTCTCGCGCGCGCCGCACGGCCGCCAGGGGATGTATCCGATGTGTGACACCTCGCGGGACCGAGATTCCCCCGAATGGCCGGGCACGTCTGCGCAGATACCCCGCTGCCGTGCCCACCGGCACGTCACCGGATACAACCGCTGTTTCGCACGTCCGCGGCGGGACGGGCGCCTGGCGCGCCGCACCTGCGGACCGCCCCGGCGCGCGCGCGTCCGGCGAGGTGCCGCTCTGAGACCGGGCAGGCGCGGCAAACTGCGTGCGCCAGTCCTAGCTCCACGTTCCCGGCCCCCAGACGCGGCGCCCGCGGCGCTTCGTGGCCGGTGACGCTCTCCCAGTGTCGCTCGCGACACGGACGAGGCGCTGGGACGCGCGGGGTCGAGATCCGCGGGCATAGGGCCCCCCACGTGGCGGGGATGTGTGTTGTGTGGCGGCGTGCAGGGTTTGGGGCGAATGTGCGCCGGGCGGCGTGGGGGGGCGGGCTTCTCCGGTCCGGCCCGCATGCGACTGTCGAGGGGCGCGGCGTCGGCGATCGTCGGGCGCGTTTTTCCGGAGCGGGGGCCTCGCGCGGTGGCATCAAGGCGTCGCGGCGCGTCGCTGGGCGGGGACGTGCGGCGACGGGCCGACCTGCGGCGGCACCGACGGCGGCCCGCGCGCTGCGTGTGCGCATGCTGGCGGCGCATCGGCGTGCGGCCGGGGAGGTGTCTGTGCGCCGTGAGCCGGCGCGGATGACTGACGGGGCCGTGTTGCCCACGACAGCGGCATGCCGTGGCGGCGGGCTCGTGGGGGCCGGGAATGTTGGCGCATGAGCTACTTTCATTGCACCGAGCGGACTGGCGGCAGTTTCGCGTCGGCGCGCACAGTTGGTTGGTTGCGAGGACTGGCAACGTAGACCCTGCGAGAGGGCAGCGCGCGGCTGCGTGACCCGGCCAACGACGGCGGGCGCGAGAGAGTGGAGGCTCTCCCTCCTCTGGCGGCCTGCAGCGTGAGCCGTTGGTCGGCCCTGTAGCGAGGACTCGGCCGGCTTTGGAGACGGAGAGGGCCTGCTCGCTGTGCTCCTCACCTAGTGGTTGCGCGAGGACCCCACACGCGAACAAAGATGGCGGCGAAGCAGAAGCGTGGGAAGAGCTTCTTCCCGGAGCTGGCGGACGAGAAGGGCGACGACGACAGCAGCTCGTCGTCAAGCGAGGGCGAGGCCCCGAGCCCGGACGAGATCTTTGACGTGAGTCGGCCACACGCCCGTCGCTCTCTGGTCCACGCCAGCTCCCCGTGCCGGCTTGCCGCGCGCTCGCGCTGTCTCGGTGCCGACCTGCTGTTGGTTCGGTCGTGGGCCCCGTGTGGGGCGAACCGCGCCCCTCTCGCGCCCTTGAGCTCGGTCGCGGACTGTTGGACCCGGAGCAGCTGCACGAACGCGCGGTGGCCCACCGGCGAGAGGAGTTTGCGCCCCTTTTCGGCTCTCACCGCCCGTTTTTCGCCTCCCAGGCTCGCCTGCGACGAGCACGCCCGGCCGAACGCGGTTTTACGACGTGTTCGTGCGGTTTCCGCCGCGTCGATCCCCGAGGCCGGCGCGACACGGGCGCAGGCGCCCTCGCTCTGCCCATGCTCGTCCCGCCCGCCCCCCACGCCCGCGGCGGCCCGCGGGGCCGCGCCCGCCCGGCCGCAGAAACAACACGTACTCTCCTCCGCGATCGTTTCGCAGGCTAGCAATATTGTCGACTCGCTGGAGATCTCTCACAAGCGCTGGGCCAAGCTCGCCGCTGAGGGCAAGCGCCACGAGCCCCAGCCAACACGCTTCCGGCCCCAACGGGACAAGAACGAAGGTAACCACACGCTCCGCCACACCTCCCGCACCATCCCGCACCACATCCAGAGCACTCGCCCATGCCATGCCGCCCAGGCAACCTCTCGCCCCGCACGCCCCGTACCTGCCTGCCCAGCGGCCACCAACCCCGCCCTGCATCCGTGCGGCCCTCCTCCGGCACGCGCCACGCCCCGCTCCTCGCTGCCTGCCCGGTGCCGAGCGCTGCGCCGCCCAACAGCTTTCGCACCCCACCCCCCCGGCTGCGCGCGCAGGGAAGAAGGACGCCTTGCACGTCGCGTCGACCGCAAAGTGATAGATATAGCGCGGCACACTGTCGCCGCGCTGCGCCGGACAAGCTCCCGGTCGCGCCGGGATCGCAGCGCCTACCTGGCTGTCTTGTCACCAGCACACGCACTGCCCCTGTGAGCCTCACCGCTCCTGCAACCGCGCGCGTCCAACGTCGCCCGCCGCGCTTCCGGATGGCAGGCCGCGCCGCGGGGCGACCCCGGCTGCCAGCCCACTGCAACGCACCTAGCTACGCTGCGCGCTTGCCTCGCCCCGCTGCCGCTCCGAAGCGCGGGAGACGTCCCGGCACCAGCGCGCCTGCGCGCGGCGCTCCGCGCACGCGACGGCCCAGTCCTCGGCACAGCCCCGCCTCCACCTCGCTCCAGCCAACGCCTTTCTCGCCAACACTCCTCCCCTATTCTGACGGTCTGCGGAAGGCACGGAGGCCCGTCTGCGCCCGCTGGCGCGCGGTGCGGCGCGGGGACGGGCGTGCGCCGCCACGGCCGCACTTGCGCGCGGAAGGGAGCACCCGGACCACCCAGCACGATGCTCGCGAGGCACCTCCAGCCTCGTGCCGCGAGTAACCGGGCCGCGCGAAGACACCGGGACAGCAAGCGGCCGCCCAGCCGCGAGGCGGCGCGGCGCCCCGGCGTCCCAGCGTCCAGACAGCGCCTCTGTCCACATCCCACAGCACCCAAAGTAGTAATTGATCACCCCCTTGAGGGGTTGTGCAGAGCCGCGCACGGTGCCCGCAACGCCCCCACGCGCCGCCCCGCGCGAGGTCCGCCCCCGACAGCCACCGAGTCTCGTTCACAGCGCCCCGCGCGCCGCCCCGCGCGCCGCGCCTCACTTGGGCGGCGGCGGCGGCGGCGCGTCCAGGTCTCGGCAGCGCGGCCCCGGCGGGTCGCCCGTGAGCGTGGTGTGGCCCTGCATGGGCACCCACTTCTCGCCGCGGTTCACGATCGCGCCCGCGGGCTCGGCCTTGGAACGATATTGCGACCCGGTTTTAGGTTTCTCCCCGCGCTTGATCTGGTCGAGGATCTTGCGCATGTCGTCCTGCGTCAGGTCCTCGTAGTACTCGTAGCTGAAGCCCTCGACGCCCTGCGGGGTCGTTGCGGGGGGCAGGGGGCGGGTGTCGCGGGCGGGGTGTGGCGCGGAGAGTTGGGGGGAGTTTGGGGGGTCTATTGTGGCCGGAGGGGTCGGTTGCGGTGCGAGGTGGCCGTGCGAGATCGTGAGTGTCGCGCTCGAGCGTACGGCGGAGTGCACGGCCGCCGGACGCCGGGCACGTGCCCCGCATCAAGGTAACCGCAGGCTGTGCGGGTGCTGTGCGCGCGCGCGCCGATGCGAGGGACAGACAGCGGCCGACGCGCACGCCCTGGCGGTCTCCAAGCTCGGCCGGGCAGGAGGTGCGTCGTCAGGAAGCGGTGAGGGTGCGCGTCCGTGCTCGACAGCGGATATATATATATATATGATATATGATATATGATGTATATATATGTATGTATATGTATATGTATGTGTGCCGTCACCGCCTGCTGGCGACGTCGCTCCCTGCCCGGCCGCGCAGGCAGTTGAGGGGGGGCGGTGTCGCGGCGGGCGTGGCGTGCTGCGTCCCGGCGGGTGCACGGCACGGCGGCGCGAGGCGCGTGACGACGACGCTGCGCGGGCGGGTGCAGGGGAGGGTGGGGCGCACGTTGGAGAAGTCCGCGATGCAGACCATGGGCGCGTTGACGCAGGCGCCCATGCACTCCATCTCCGCGAGCGTGAACATGCCGTCCGACGTCGTCTCGCCCATATTGATGCCGAGGTGTTCAGAGATCGTGTGCTCGATGCTCTGCGCGCCCTGGAGCCGGCAGGGCGTCGTGCCGCACACCATGACGTGGTACTTGCCTCCGGGGGTCCTGCACGCCGCAGCCACGCGCACACCGGGTCAGAGGAGCGCATTGCAGGCCCATACAAGCAGCAAAGCGCCGCGCACGCGCTGCGTGGTGCCGTTCGCGCGGGTTCGGCGGCTTGCGGACCGAGTCCGTCAACGGTTCTGTCGGCGTGGGGCGGTTCGGTGCCGCGGGAGCGCCCCAGCAGCCCGTGGCGGGCGAGAGGAGGGGCGGCGCGCACCGGTTGAACATGGAGTAGAAGGTGGCGACCTCGTAGACGCGGATCTCCGGGACGCCGAGGATCTCGGCGACGCGGTTCATCGCGGAGAGCGGCAGCCAGCCGCCGGACTGCGTGTACGGGGCGCACGGGGCGGAAACGCTGTCTGTGAACACGGTGCGAGGCCACCGCGGAGACGCAGGGCGGCTACGGCGGGGTCCGTGCGACGCGGCGGCGAGAACGAGATGGGGACATGCTGCGGGAGTGCCGTGCGCGGCGGCGTTGCGGCTGGTATGGCGCCAGCGCGGCAGAGTTGTGCATCAGGGCGGCGCGCTGGCGTCCTGAGCGGCGCGCGGGCGGGGGTTTGGGCGGTGGCGCACTTGCTGCTGGGCGATGTCGAGCATGGGGATCATGGCGGACTGGCGCCAGTTCGTGGGGTACTTGGAGAGCATGTTGTCGACGATTTTGCGGTTGGCCTCTGTATAGTCCCATTTCTCGGTCCCGGTGTTCTTTCCGTCGAAGTCCTTGTGGACGTTGAAAGAGTCAATGCTGTTGGACGCGAAGCCGCGCAGCCAGCCCCCCGCGGCCGCCCTCGCGCACGCCTGCCGAGTGACCTCGACCTCGGCACTTGCACCGCCCGTAGCGACCGCCAGGGCCCGCGCAGCCCTCCCGGCCGCAGCGAGACCGCGGCCGAACATTATTCCTCCGCCTATACGCCAAGAACACTCCGCCAGGTGCGGCCACGAGGCGCTGCGGACGCTCCACTCGATGCAAGGCGCCCAGACGACTCGTTGCTTGCTCTCCCTCACGACGCGCTCTTGAACCGCACGCTCCGCGACGCACTGCGGCGGCACGCCGCCACGACGGGCACATGGCGCGCAGGGGGGGCTCCTCGCACGTCAGACACACAGAGAGCCAGTCTGCCGCGCAGCACGACAGGTGTTCGGCCGGGCACGTTCGCGGCGCCCGCACTGCGCGACCAGGCCGAACCGCGCCGCCAGTTCCGGCTCGGCCTGGCCGCGCGGGACGTTCGTGTTCCCAGCCGCTCCACGCGACGTTTGCGGCCTCTCTGTGTGCGGCGTTGACCGTTGGCCCTACGCGCGTGCTGCCGCGGCGGGCGAGGCATGGCGACACTGTCGGCGCGTAGTCCGCGGATCGCTGCTGGCGAGAGCTGACGCGCGGGCGAGTCCATCGCGCGGAGCGCGTCTCTCACACGGGCGTGAGTGCCGTCGCAAGCGCGCCATGCCGCTCGCGTCCGGCGGGCGGCAGCAGTCGCTGCCGGCGGTCGGGGGCTCCGCGCTGTTCCCCGACGGTATCGTGCCGTGGGGCATGGCCGCGTCGGAGGAGGAGCAGGGCCTGCGGAGCCCGGGCGGGAAAGAGAGCGTGCCAGGGGGGGCGCCGGGGACGGGCGCGGGAAGCCCGAAGGGCGGCAAAGGGAGCGTCCACGGCGCGGATAACCTTCGCTTCTTGCAGCCCGTGAACACGATGAAGGGAGTGGGCCCCCGTGACGAGCCTCTGGAGATGACCAAGATATCTCTGCAAGACTTCCGGCTTCCCGAAGACCTCGAGGTTCGATTTTACGCGTTTCCCGTCGCCTGCGCAACGTCAACGCTCCAATCCATCGCGCAGCCGGGTCGAACCGCAGCGGTGCCGCGCACAGCGCTGGTCCCGCAGGCAGCATGTTGCTGCTCCTTGGTGCTCAGCCCGTGCCGCAGCGGGCCGTGACCCGCGCCCGCGTACCGCTTGCGCGAATCTCGCTTTCTCTCCCTGCGTTGCTGCGTCGTAGCGCGCGACATCGTCCGCGGAACGTGCGCCCCAAGCGCCGATTGCGGTGTTGCGTTGCGGCCCGCGCCGCCGTGCGGCGCAAACCCCGTTCCCCGCCCGCTCGCACGTGGCCGCAGCCGGAGCAGCACTCGCCACGCCCGCTCCCGGTCAGGGCCAGCAAGAACCCGGAGCGCCTGTTCAAGCACCCGCAAGCGTCGTCCCACCACGGCACGCGGTCGCCCGCCGGCCGCGCCGTGCACGCGATGGAGCGGGCGGCCACAGCTGACCCGCAGCCGCAGCGCCCCGCGAGGACCGCGAAGACCGCAGACACGCTGCACTGGAAGCCTGCACAGCGCGGAGGTGCGCTGCGCGCTCCGCAGCGCCCGCACGCCGCCGCCGCACCGCTCCGGCGCGCTGGCCGCGGCCGCGACGTCGTGCTACGTGCCTTGAACGCAGAGACGCAGCACGCAGACACATATCCAAAGAAGAAATACGAAAACGTAGTATAATAAAGCACAATAGTGTCCTTTGCTAGTTGGCGATGTTGGCCGGGCCCGGCCGGCACCCCGCGCCAACGGAGTCGCGTCCCGTCCATCGGCCTCCGCAGGGTCCGCGGCGTTCATGCCGCCCGTCAAGCAGCGGCCCGCAGGCGTGACGGCGTCCACACACGCCTTCCTCGAATCGACCGCCCTCGCCGCCGAGTCCAGGTCGGCCTCCCCGCGGCACACGGCCAAGCCGCGCTGTGCGACGGCCGTGATCGAGGAAGCCGAGCGCAGCGCCAAGCCGCGACGGGAGGGGACGCCGCCCCCACCGCCGCGCACCCCGGCAGCGGCGGCGGCGGCCGCCCTGGCGGCCGCGCCGCCGGAAGGCCACATCGAGATGCGGGGGGAGAATGTGCGCAGCCGGCAGGGATCGGCTGGGCCCCTCGAGCCCCAGCCGTTCCCCCCGGCGCCGAAACCGGGCCCTGGCGTCGTGCGCGCCGTTGTGTCGCCGCCGCCCGAAGCGGCCGGGTACGCGCCGCGGCTGTCCGGCGAGGTGCAGTGGCCGCCGAAGCCCGACGCTGCGCACGCGGCTCAGGCCGCGGAGGCCCCCGTGCTGGGGGCCAACGAAGCCGACACAAGGGACGCGGCACCACTGGGGGAGTTTGCGTCCCCCGATGTGTCGCCGCGGCTCAAGCACTCGCTGCCCGGCGCGCGAATTCCGCGGCCCGTCGTCGACGAGGAGGAGGCGCGGCGCACGCTGCCGAGACCCCCCCCCGCGCACCTGCCAGCCTTCAAGTCTGCAGCACCGAGCGCCGCGAGCGGGGCGGGCTGGGGGCAGGCCTCCGCGGGCCCCGTCGTGAGCGTGCCGATCGGCATCTCCACGCTGGGCGTCCGGCGGCTGCCGCGCGGCCACATCGCGAAGACAACGCGGGTGCCCCCGCCGCCACTCACGGCCGAGGCTGCACGGCAGAGGGTGCGCGAGCTGAGCCCGCGGGCCGGGCGCGGGTCGCCGTACGGGAAGGTCACGGTGCGGGCACAGCGCGGGAAGGCCGCGGGTCGCGCGTCTCCGCGGAGGGAGGCGGAGCTGGTGCGTACGGAACGTACGCTAGCGCAACCGGTCGACCTGTCGCCGCGTCGCGAGGACACGGAGCGCAAGAGGGGATCCGTTGTGGAGGCGGTGATGTCGTCGACGTACGTTGCGTCGACGGAGGGCGAGGAGGGCGGTGGGGTGGGGCTGCAGGAGAGGCTGAACAAATCGGTCCGCGACGTGTCGCCGCCGAAGCCGGTTGAGATCGTGATCGCGGTGCCGACGGTGGGTGCGGAGGGGAGCGAGGGGGGCCCGCGGCGCCGGCGGCCGAGCCGCGCGCGGGGCGCCGAGCGGCTGTCGAAGACTGCAGGGCGCGCGACGGCTACCGAGTCGCACGTGGCGGCCGACTGGGAGATCGACCCGCAGACGGCGATGAGCGTCGCTGCGACGGACCATGGCGGGCTCGACTGGGCCGACGACGAGGACGGTACGCAACACAACCGCCAGTGTATATGCATGTACATGTACACTGGCTGGCGGAGTGTCGGTCACGTGCATGGCCAAGTCAGCGCACGCCGCTGCGCCACACTCCGGTCTCAGTTGCACGGCACAGCGAACTCGACGCGTCGTTGCAACTTCCAACATAGCCGCGTCGCACACCTGCCCGTTCGCGCTGCAGGCCAGGGCGGCATGTCCGCGTCGTGGGTCCTCGACCCGCTCTTCCACCCGCACACCGTGCCCCGCGGGCGGCCCCAGGCGGGCTACGACGGCCACGCTGTCTTTGCAGACCTTCGCGCCGTAGGCCTCGTGCGCAGCCCGGGCCACCACCCCGGCCTCGCGGACCGGCAGCCCGGCGGCCCGTCCTCGACCGCGCCGCCGCCGCCAGTCGCCGCGCACCGCGGCAGCTTCCTCGCGCAGAGCGCCCCTGCCCCGGTCCACCGCGGCCTTAGTAGCAAGTTCCTGCCCGCCTTCGACTCCTCCCGCATCTACCTCCGGCAGATGATGGACGGGCAGGTGCCCCCCGGGGGCGTCAAGCCCGGCGCGCCGCTCATGTCGCGGATGCCGGGCGGTGGCTTGAATCCAGTGTTCACCGCCACGCTGTCGCGGAACCCGACGCCGGTGCGCGACCCGGATCCCGTGCCGGAGCAGCGGCGGTCGTTCCAGCGGTACGACCACCACCGCTCGCTGGTGTCGACGCCGAAGGTGTCGGGCGACGGCGCGGCAAAGCCTCTGTTCTTTATGCAAGGGAATGACACGATGGCGCGGCTGTCGGGGCGCGGGGCGTGGGGCGACGGGCTGCGAGAGATATACGAGATACAGGCGGACCCGCGGGCGGCGCGGCGGCTGAAGCATGAGCGGCGGGCGGCGGCGCGGGGGGCGGCGAACGAGGCGGTTGAGGCCCAGGGGGCGAGGAAGGACAGCCGCGGGGCCAGTGCGAACGCGAGGGGGGATGAGGTGTGAATGGTACGGTGCAGAGGAGGTGCTAACTGTTCATCCTGACTGTCACATCCTCGTGTAAATGGAAATGCACAGCTCTTGAATGCGCAGCAACATCGGACGCATTTCGCGTGAAATACTGTCCTGTCCCGCAACGCACGACCGGCTCGCCCGTAGGCTCCGCGACCGCGACCAGCTGAACCACGGCAGGCGCGCTCCCTACGTATCGCCCACACACGCCGTCGCCGTGACACGGCCCAGCTGGCTGCCTCAGTCGGACAGCTCGAGCTGGAAGCTCGAGTTCGCAGCCTGGCGTGGCCCGCCGCTGGCAGGCGCGTCGAGAATGCCTCGGGAGAAGTACTCAGCAACCACGGCAAACCCATCAGGGGCCGAGCGCAGCTCCGACAAGAACCGCTCGTCCTCGCCAGGCGCCGGCCGCAGCGCCCGCCTGCAAGCAGCACCACGCGCGCGGGTTTCCTCGCGTGCCCGCGCCGAGCGCGCGCCACTACAGCAGCATGTGGGGATCATGGCCGCGCATGCCCACGTGAGTGCAGGGGCGGTCGCGGCGCCGCGTGGGCCGTGCCAACGCGAGCACATCGATCCATTTTCGACGCCGTGTGCGCCGGGTACAGGGAGGAACGAGCGAGCGAGCGAGGCGGCTGCGGTGCGCACCTGATGTCCTCGATAGCGCGGTGCTGCGGAGCGCACAGCGGGCAGCTCGACTCGTCCTCGCCCAGCACGCGCACGTTCACCGAGTGCCCGCACAGGAAGTGCACGCTCGGCAGCTCCAGCGGCGCCCCCGAGACAGCACACCGTGTGCTTTGAAACACCACTGGTTGCGTCGCCAGCCGCTCCGCCTCCTCCGAGAACCGCTCCGCCTCCGCGCGCAGCTCCGCGGCGGCCTCGGCGTCGCGCGCGATCGCCGCGCTCTGCGCCTGGATGTGCCCCGACACGTACTCCCGCACGGACGCCAGCGTGAGCGAGGGGGACTTGGCCAGCGTCTCCAACACCAACGCAGGGGGCAGCACGCCCCCCGCCTCGATCCGCGCGAGCACCTTCTGCACCACCGCGTCCGTGTCCGGCCCCGGCGGCTGCTTTCCGAGATATTCAAGCACCTCGCACCACAACGTAGGGTCGCTGCTCTGCGCGCCCGTGCCGAGCCACCGCACCGTCTCGAGCACGCCGCCCGTGTCCCCGCCGGCCATCTGCAGCCGCAGCGCCTCGCGCGGCAGCCGCAACCGCTCGTACAGCCACAGCAACCCCGGACGGTATCCTTGCATGCGACACGTAACAAGAGCGTGGTCCGTCCCGTAGCGTGGCGCGGAGTTCGGCGGCCAGTGGTCCTTGAGCAGGTGCAGGGCGCGGTCGCGCGTGGCCGCGTTGTCCGAGGCCAGGTAGAGCGGCAGCAGCGCGTGCAGGATCCGGCGGAGAGACGGCGCCTCGAGGCGTCGCGGACCAAGGCTATCGAGAAGTGCCTCGCAGTACTCGCGCCGGCAGTCTTCGTGGTCCGTGAAGAGGTCGAGGAGCGAGACGGGGTCGCAGAACCGCGCGGGGCGGTCGTGGAGCGCCGGGTCGCCCAGAGCGCGCGGCCCTGCGCTTGCGGGCGTTGCGGCGCTGGTGTTGTAGCTCTCGCAGGCGAGGCTGATGAGGAGGCGCGTGGTGTCGTTGGGCACCTGCCGCATGAGCTCGTGGCCGTGCGCCTCGAGCGCCTGCGCGGCCTCGGCGAGGCTCAGGCTGCCGACATACGCGATAGCGTCCTTATATCTCGACATGTCACCTAGGAGTATATCCAGAGACCAGGCGGGCTTTCCGCAGGCCTCCGCGACGTACAGCGCGTGCTCGCGGTACCCGGCGCCGCGGAGGACGCGCACCGCGACCTCCGGGTCCAGCCGGCGGACCAGCGACGGGCGTCGTGGCGGTTGTGCGGTGCCCGTGGCGGCCGAGGCGCCCGCCGCGCGCTGGAGGCGCCACTGCAGCGCGCCCTCGGGCTTGCGGCCCTCCCCGCATATGAACGTCGTGATCTTGTCCTGCTCGCGCGCTTGCGTGTAGCAGTTCAGCAGCAGCGTCGTGTGGTCGATCCCAGCGTGTCCGCCGGCGTGGACGAGCTCCAGGAAGCGCATGAGCACGTCGGTGCGCTGCACGTCGAGCAGCTTGCGCAGAACGTACGAGGGCTCGAGGTGCCCGAGCGTCGCGGCGTACTGCTCCACCGCGGCGTCAAGATCGCCCTCAGCAAACAGCGCGTCCGCATACATCTTGCGAAGGTCGGCAACGGTGCTCCCGCACACCCCGAACTGCTCCGACATGTCGAGCGCGACCGCATACATCTTCTTCCGGATCAGCAGCTCGAGGCGCTCCTCGGGCGGGCGCTCCCACGCGCGAATGACCTGCATAGCGCTGGCGGTGGTCGCGCTGGTGGCGGAGGCGGATCCGGCCTTCTCCGCGACGGCGGCGGCGGCGGCGGCCTGGCCGGAGCTGAGCGGGGTCGACACGAGGATGACCTGCCCCCAGGCGTGCAGAACCAGCGCCAGGCCTGGGAGGGAGGTCGAGAACCCTTGAATCTTGTGCCGTGGATCAAACAGCCCGACTGAGACGGTCTGGAGGCGCTCAGGGACGGCGGACGGGCCAGACATGGCGCACACGAGGTACTCCGTCTGCGGCAGGGCCGCCGCGGGCCGTGCCGCGGCCGCCGCGCCGCTGGGCCCGGAGACGCTGGCACCAGGCGTGCTGCCGCTGCCGTCGGCCAGTGGTTTGCGAGTGGGCGGCGAGGCCGGGTCCGCAGACCCGCACGTGACTGCGGCGACGAGGCGCTTCGGTCCGAGCAGGGCGTGGCAGGTGCCTTTGCCCTCTGCGAGCACGCCCACGAGTCGACATCTCCGTATCAGACGTGCGTGCGTGAACAATCAATCCTGGTTGCTCGATTGCGGAATGCTCGCGAACTGAGGCTGGTTTCCGGCGGCGCGAGGGCGGCGGACGGCTCGTGAACCCCCCGGGCAGGTCGCACCTGGAGTGTACCGGTAGACGGCCTCGTGCCGTGCCACGAGCAATCCGCCCAAGCTGTCGACAGCGCAACAGCCCGCCTGCGCGCCCTGGCTCTCGAGCTTGGCCACGCGGCCGGTCGCGACGGAGAGGAAGCCGACTGCGGCCGCGGAGGCCACGTAGACGACGGGCGCGGCCTCGAACTGCGCGGCCTGGACCGAAGTCACTGCGGACGCTGCGGTTGGAAGACACGAATCCTTGATCGTTCTTGCGTGATACGTCTCGAGAGCGACATTGCTGCGAGCAAGTGCTCGGCCGTGGCGTGTGTCGCGGGGACGCGGGATGCTCAAGTCAGGAGATTCGCGGCGAACGGCAATGCAGAATCCCCAACTACAAAAGCACGCCAAGGCACGCGGGTGACCAGAAGAACTCCACCGACGGCCACGTCATGTCTGTCAGCGGCGCCGCGATGGTCGAGAAGCCCGGGACGAAGCTCCGGTAGTAGCCTGCCATCCTGCGGAAGGAGCGTGCTTGCGTTACCTCACGTCGAGCCCCCCAGTTGCGGATGCAGCCGGACAAGGTCGACGCGATCCGCAACTGGGGGGCTCGACGTGAGGTAACGCAAGCACGCTCCTTCCGCAGGATGGCAGGCTACTACCGGAGCTTCATCCCGGGCTTCTCGACCATCGCGGCGCCGCTGACAGACCTTGCGCGGCCGTCGGCGGAGTTCTTCTGGTCACCCGCGTGCCAAGGACACGCTGTGAGGACACCGCGTACCTGCTGCGTCGTCCGTCTGCAGCGGCCCGTGCGTCGACCGCGCAATCAGCACGCCGTCGCGCGCCGTCAGGTCCCCCTGCAGCAGCTGCACCTGCCCGTTGGACAGCCCAACTGCTAAGACGTGCTCCGTTGGCCCCGACGCCAGCAGCGAGGCGCACACGACGTCCGGCACGCCGCTCGTCCCCGCGAACGCTTGCTTCCTGCACGGTCCACGAGTGCAGGCGCGCGGGGCCGTCGGGGCCGCGCGAGACGGGCCGCAAAAGGGAAATATGTATTGAGGAACAAATATGCACGACAGTGTTCGGGAGCACCGGCGTGGTGCTGGCTCGCGCCGTGCTGGACACCTACGCCGAGGGCCGTGCGACGTACCCCTGGAAGATGTCGACCTTGGACAGCGTCGACGGCACCGGCTCCTCGCCTGTGAAGCGCCACGCACGCGCCGCAAACCTCGAATGTGCCGGTGCCGCAGGGCCCTCGTCGCCGACGGTCAGCAGCGTCCGGGTGCCCTCCGGCAAGCCGTCGTCGAACGGCAGCTCCCTGACCAGGATGATCTTCGACTTGTGGGCTCGGAACGCCCGGAAGACTCTGCGGCGGGCAACGTACACACAAACGGGCGCGTCGCGGTTTCTCGACGTGCGCCGAGCCCGAGAGGGTGCCCGCGTGTGTGCCCGAGCGACTGCCTCGGCAGCGGCTGCCCGTTCCGGCAGCCAGGCGCCGGTGTGACGGTCCGGCGGACATGGCGGTGGAGAGTGCAAAGCTCGCTTGCCTGAGATCCTGGTCGAGCATATGCACCATGCCGTCGTCGCACGCGAAGATGACGGCGTCCTCCGCCGAGCAGGCGCACGTGCAGCCCTCCGGGACGTTGTGGTCCTCGACCGTGGCCGATCGAAAAAAGGTGAAGGCTTTCCAGCCGATTGTCGAGGTGCCCGGCATCGCCATCTTGCAACTACCGGCGCGCCCTCGTACACAGAAGCACAGCCACCGGCCTAGGGCGACGCGCGCCCCCGAGACGCCCTGCACCGGGCGCACATGCAGCACACGTCCCAGCTGATCTGTCGCAGGGTCCGCCTCCGGCTTTCTGTGTCTCTATGCTATTGTTCCGCTTCGCGGCCGCTTTCTGATCGTCTAATCTTGCTGAGCGCAGTTCAGCGGTCCTGAGCGCCGTGTATGGGCTCGCGTACGGACGGCAAGGGAGCAACTGAACACTTCTCTCACGCCGTACGTCGCGAATTCCCACAGGCACGCGGGTTTCTGTACGGCTTCACTTCGCGCAGCGACTGCGCGACCCGTGAGCGCCTGCAGCGCATTGCGATCGCGCGCAGCCGGCCGGGCACACCCCGGACTGTCCAGGGCCCTTTCTACCGCCTCCCGTCCGGGCTGTTGGGGCTGTGCCCGCGCGCCCCCGCGCAAACGGCGAGGATCTGTACTGGCAAGATGAAGCGCGTCGCGTTCGTGCTCGTTGCCCTCCTGGCCCTCGTGGCCGGCGTGCTGAGCGCCGGGGAGTTCTCGCACCCTAGCGTCATCGAGCTGAGCTCGAAGAACTTCGACGCCAGCGTCAGCGACGGCAACGTCTGGTTCATCAAGTTCTACGCGCCGGTGAGCCTCCCCCGCGCCCCCCCCGCGCCGCCCGCCCGCGTCAGTTGCCCCAGCCCTTACACCGTTCCTGTCCGCGACACCCGGACAGCACGGCAGCGATCCGCACCGCACGTCGGTACCGCACGATCGATCCATTCCTGCGCGCACCCAGGGCCGGCCACGGCCGGCCCAACACCGGCGTATCCGGCGCTGCTTTGCTCCTCCCTTCTACGGTGCATACGCGGCGGCCCGTGGCCCGGCGCGCCGCATGCTGCCCGCGTACGCGTTCCTCAGATCGACCGCGGCACTCTGCGTCACTGTTATCTCGTTTTCGTCGCCCTTCGCAGTGGTGCGGGCACTGCAAGCGTCTGGCGCCTACATGGGGCGAGCTCGCGGACGCTACCAAGTCCATTCCCGACGTCGGCTCGAAGATCCGCGTCGCGCACCTCGACTGCACGAAGAACCGCGAGGTGAGGCGACGCGTGCCCGCCCAGGGCGGCCACACGCCTGCACAGCCAACCCTAGAACGACCACACCTCGGCCTGGGTGCCGCGAAACGGGTCCCGCGACGCGCTCGTGCAGGTCTGCACGACGTACGAAATCAGGGGCTACCCCACGCTCAAGGTCTTCCACGGCGGCGAGGGCCAGGAGGCGTACCGGTACGTACCGCGCCCGTCGCAACGCGCTCCGCTGTTGAAAAGGCTCAACTCCGCGGCCGAACGCGTCCTCGGCATGCGACACGCGCAGCACGGCATGGCCTGACATTGCCGCGTCGATGTGCTGCGATTTGATGCGACGCGGGGTGCCGGAGCCTGACTTGCAACGTGTTGTGGGTGCTCATGTTTTTCGCAGTCAGGCGCGCAGCTTCGATGCCCTGAAGAAGTACATCACCGGCAAGGCCAAGGACCTGCTCACGGAGACCACCGCGTGAGCGGAGCCGCCACGGCCTCGGACCGTTGCGGGACCCTGTGACGTTGCCTGCACCGATGCCCTTCAAATCTCCGCCGACGGCGCTCCCGCGGTCGCACCGCGCCCCGCTCGCCCTCCCCCGACGCGCCTTGCTAGCGGAAATCGTGCCAGACGCCCTGCGAAACCCTGCGCCGGGCATCCACGGCGGCGCGGCCGCGCAACCCCACCGCATCGGCAACTGACACATGGCCCGTGTTCCGCTCGCTGCGACGTTCCTCGCCGTTCGCGCGCGTGCTGCCTCGCCAGGGGTGCTGGCTGTGCTCCGCGACGGTTCGCGGTGGTCGCTGCGGCATGACGTGGCGCTGACTCCCCCCCGCCAGCGTGACGGCCGCGAATATTGGTGCGCGGGGCGAGAATGCCGGTCCAGAACGGCGCTTGCGCCCTGGTCGATCACCATGCACGCGACGAGCTTCGCCTCCGCGGCCAGGCCCGCCACGGTGAGCCCCAACCGGCGTGTGCACCGCTGGCCTCTTGACCCCCGGCTGTCGCCACCATTCGCCCGACTTTCCTCACAATAACGCGCGGATCTCCTTATCGCGACGCGAAGCTCCGTCTGCGCCGCTTCATGGGGCCAGACACCCCCCCCCGGCCCTGACTGCGCCCGCAGCTCACACACCTGCATCTCGATGCACCCTCCGCAGGTCCTCGGGGGGCGCCCGGCCGTGCGCGCCGCTGTGCCTGCCCCGCAGCTCACAGGTGCGCCCAGCCGCGCCTTCGCGCCCGCATGCCAGAGCCCTCTCGCGCGCTGGCCCCACAGGGCCCTGCCTGGTCCTATCGCACCGCGTCCTCCTCGGAAAAGCCATGAGCCAGGACGCAAACGACCCGGACGGACGCCTAGCGATTTCTACTACGCATCGAAGCCGTTTTCAGCGGCCTAGTGCGCCTGTACGCCTGCGCCGCCGCCCAAACACCCGTGCAAGGAGATTTCGGGTGTCTTCGCAGGCCCATCGCGCGCCGGTGCGGCGCCCAGGACCACGCCGCCGCAGCCCCCGGCCTTCTCCGCCTCCGTGCGGTCCCGGACCTCCGCCCGCGGCGCGCTCGTTGTCGCGGCTGCGGAGCTCAAGGCCCTCGTGTGGGACTGCGACGTACGCGCCCGCCCGCCCGCGCAACGCACCGGGTCGAGATCGCGCCGCCGCCACGCTGCCGCGCTCCTGCTGCAGCGAGCCGCCTTCCCTCGACCAGCGCTGGGTCCGCAGCTCGAAATCGGCGCTTCGGGGGGCGATGCGACCTGCGTCGACGTCAATGCTGTGATGGCGCGCACAGGCGCCGCGGCGGCCGCGCACGCCTCATCGCTGGCCGCACCGATGCGTTGCGTGCAGGGCGTGATCCTGGAGAGCGAGGACCTGCACCGCAGGGCGTACAACGCGGCGTTCGCGCACTTTGATGTGCGCGTCGGCGGCGAGGTGGTGGAGTGGGACGTGGCGTTCTACGACAAGCTGCAGAACACCGTGGGCGGCGGGAAGCCGAAGATGCGCTGGTTCTTCGGGGAGCACAAGAACGAGTGGCCCACCACGTCGATTCTCGACGGCCGCGCGCCCGAGACGGACGGCGAGCGCGTGAAGATCGTCGACGTGCTCCAGGACTGGAAGACGGACAAGTACCAGGCCATGCTCGCGTCCGGTGCGTATCCGCCGCCCCCACTCGGACGGCGTGCTCGTCGCGACGCGGCGCTCCCTGCTCACCGCTCCCCGCTCCGCCCCCGCACCGGTGCGTGCAGGCGAGGTGCCGCCGCGCGCGGGCGTGATCCGTTTGATGGACGCCGCGCGCGACGCGGGGCTCAAGGTCGCGGTGTGTTCGGCGGCGACCAAGTCCTCCGTGATCGCCACGCTCAACGCGCTGATCGGCCCGGAGCGCTTCGAGGCGCTGGACTGCTTCATCGGCGGCGACGACGCACCGAAGAAGAAGCCGGACCCGATCATCTACCACATGGCGGCGGAGCGGCTCCAGCTGGACCCGCAGGAGTGCATGGTGATTGAGGACTCTACGATCGGGCTCGCGGCGGCCAAGGGGGCGAACATGCGGTGCATGATCACGTACACCGACAGCACCAAGTGCGCCCGCGCCCCTCTGTTGATGCGCCGCGCTCCCTGCGCCGTACACGGGGAGAGCGCTGTGCGCGTGTGGCGTGAGGCAGCTGCGCGAGCTGGTGTGCGCAATGGTGCTGCGCACTGGATGGGTCTGTCGGGTTAATTAATTAATTACTGGGTTTTGCGTTGAGGACAAGATTGAGCGGTTGCGACGGAAAGTGAGACGGGATTCGCCGACTCGTGTTGCGCGCAGGTCGCAAGACTTCGACGGCGCGGAGATCATCGTCGGGTCCCTCGGCGACGACGGCGACCCCAAGGCCATCACGATCGACATGCTGCGTGAGAAGGGCGACCTCAGGGACGACCGCGGTGCCGCGAAGCCGAAGAAGAAGCGCAGCAAGAAGAAGAAGCCGGCCGCGAGCGCCACGGAGCTCCTGGCCAAGCCCGTGCGGCCGAACGTGCCCGCGGCGGAGGAAGCGACCGAGGCGGCGGCGCCGCAGAGGCCGAGCGCGGAGGGCGGGGCCGCGCCCAAGCCGAAGCCATCGAACTCGAGCGACGAGTACATTCTGTTCACCGAGGACATGCTGTCGCAGTGACGGCGGAGTTGTAAAACCAGGATCCGTGCGGCGCTCTGTCGTGCTAGATCGGGACGATAGCGCACCCGCATTTCGTTTCGTGCGCGGGTGCTCAGTTACTACTCTGTCGGCTTCGCGGCGCCCGGCGTCGCCCTCGCACGCAACGACCGGCTGCAGCGCGTGCTCGGCCGTTGCCGCGGCGTCTCGGAACGACTCTCGTGGAAACGACGTCTCACATTTAATCCGACCGAGGCGGACCAAAAGCGCTCCATTCTCTCTCTCCGCCTTCAACGCAGCTGCGGCGACCTGCAAGCTCACCAACCGCAGCGCCGGTCCCGGTCAGTTTCCGGCCTCGCAGGCTCCGCGTCGCTCTACACACAGAGGCAGCGTGGATGTGGCGCCGTAGACCAGGGTCGAGCTCGGTGTCGGGAGAGGGGGGGACGTTATCCTGCTGCTTGCACAAGGCCTGGGCGATCGTGGTGGTGTCGCCGTCGACACCGCCTCGAGCGCACACTGATGATTGGGCTGAGTGAGAGGTGCGGGCTGCGCTCGCCTGCACGGCGGAGCAGCACAGCGTCACGACCCAGGCACGGGCGTCAGAGCCGTCACCGGGCAAGTCACCGTCACGACCGCTGGTGCAGCGCCTTGACTTGCCCGGTGAAGCACCCAACGACCGCGCCTGGCTCGCGTGCCCTGCGCTGCCCCGCGGTGTCCGCGAGCGCAGCCCTATGCATGTGATCATCTTATAGAGAGTTGCGACCCGGGAACCGCGAACGAGCCTGCGATGGCGAGGCGCCGCGAACGACCCACGTGCGGCGCGCTGCGGTGGACATGGCCGCCTGGAAAGGACGTCGCCACGTCAGCAGAGAACTGAACAAGCATGTCAGGGGGGTCACCCCGGGTGTTTCCCCTTCGCCACGCGACGTCCGAGCCCCCATCGGGCCGACAAGTGGGCGCGAATCACCCTCCAAGCTTACTCCCTGTGGTATATCGCTGAACCATGTTCGCTCGGCTCTCCGTCAACAAGCTCGCCGCGCAGGTAACCTCGCACAGGCCCTTGCGGCCGTGCCCCCGCCTCCCCACGTGATCTGCCGCGCGACGCACGTGCACGAGGCATTAACAGCTCGCGTGCACGCATGAATCTCGGCGTCCGACGCCACCAGCGCGCCCATCGGGGGAGATGGCTACTGCGCCGGCTCCAATGCTTCATCGCTGCTTCAGCTCACGAATGCCCTTCCACCGACGCTCTCACGGCCACGGAGCAGTCTCTATCTTCCGAACATTCTCTTTGATCGCTCTGAGCCCTGCTCGACCCGCACAGACGCGGCATCAGCCCCGCAACTGACCCTCATTCTCTGTGACCCCGCAGGCCCGCTTCGGCGCCGCATCGGCGCGCGCCCGCCCGGCCCGCATGATGACCTTCAAGGCCGTCGGTGCGCCCACCCTCAAGCCCGCAACACTCCTTCCACATTCTCACCACTCCATCCCATCACGCGCGCCATGGCCCACCGCCGCACACGCCGACCCCCCGCGACCGCGCAGCCCGCCAGGTCGTCCACACGGACAAGGCGCCCCCCGCCGTCGGCCCGTACAGCCAGGCCATCAAGCACGGCAGCACTGTTTACGTGTCGGGACAGATCCCGCTCGTGCCCGGGACCAAGGACTTCGCCGGTGCGCGTCCCGCCGCGCCGCTCCGCAGCGACCGCGAGAGGATCCGGAACGCAACACGGATCGCCTGGCGCGACCCGGCGCGCCTTGCATCGCATCGTTCGTGATCACGGCGCTGTTTCCCGGTGTGCAGGCGACGACATCAAGGTGCAGACGAAGCAGGTGATGGAGAACCTCGGCGCGATCCTCGAGGAGGCCGGGTCGGGCTTCCCGAAGGTCATCAAGACCACGATCCTGCTGGCGGACATTGCGGACTTTGCGGCCGTGAACGAGGTCTATGCGACGTACTTCCCCTCGGAGCCCCCCGCGCGCGCGACGTTCGCGGTCAAGGACCTCCCGCTCGGCGCCAAGGTGGAGATCGACTGCATCGCCGCCCTCGACTAAGCGATGTGAGGTATTGGCGCGACGTGTGCAGTCGTGAAACCTTGAGTGGTCTTCGCACGGACGCGCTCGACTGCTCGCGCCCGCGCCTCGCCACGGCCCGCCGTCACACGCGCCGGCGTGCGACCCGCACGAGCCAATACTCCCCCCGTTCATGCTTGTACCTGCGCGCACTCCTCCTCCTCACGGCTGCAGCGACGCCAGCGCGTGCCCGAGATCCTCCACGCTCGCGTCCACCTGCTTGCGCTGCTGCTCCGGCTTCGTCGCGCCCGCCGCTTTCCGTTGCACTGCAAAACCGACGACAACGACGCGCGCCACGTCATGCAGCATCAAACCCCCCCCCCGGAGTCAGCGGAGCGCGCACAGGCCCCCCAACGCGTACACGGGCGGCAAGGCACTCGGGTTCGGTCTGTGGGCGTACGCAGCGTGTCCCGGAGCCGCTGTGCTCGCTGCAGGAGAGGCTGCAGCTTCAGTGCCGCCGCCGCTATTGCCGCCGCGTCCTCGGCCACGCTCGGCTTCCCCGCCGCCGCCATCGCGACCGCCTCGATCTCCGCGGGGTCCCCGCAGCGCTCCATCTCCTTGTCGAGCAGCGCCGCCTCGCGGCGCATCTCCCGCGTTGCCGCGCGCGACGCAACGATGCGGGCCCGCAGCGCTTCGAGCTCGCGGTCCATGCCGGCGACGGCGTCCTCGGAGACGCCCTGGAGCACGCAGGGGGGCGGGCGGCTCGGTTCGAGGCCGGCGCGGGCACGGGACCGCACAGGAAGAACAATTGGAAACGGAACTGCGCGGCAGATATGGTTTCGAGACTGATACTGATACGTCGTCCGTGGGGCGCGGGCTGCGGCGCGGACGCGCGGCACCGCGCGGCAGGTCGACGCGGAAGCCCTTCGGCGCAGCTCACGCGCCAGAGCGCGCTCCGCGCGAGCCCGTGCCAGCACCACCAGCACCTTCCCACCACCACCGCCACCACAACCCCTCCCCTCGCGCACTGCGCTGCGCGGCTGGTGGGACGCCGCGGGCGTACCTGCGCGCCACCGTCCGCCGCGGGTCCCGCGGCGCTGCCGTCCGTCAGGCCCGGCGGCACGTTGAAACAAGTCCCCAACGCATACAACTCCAACCGATCCATATTTGATTGCACCGCCTCGTACAGGGCCCTGTTGACCCGCTCGCAGGACGCGGTGAGCTGCTGCGGCGAGAAGCCCGCGACCGGCCCTGCGCGGACGCGAGGGCGCGGCGCGGCGCAGCGGTGTGCATCGTTGACGGTGAGGTAGGCATGTTCGCTCGATGTTGCCGCGCGGCCGTCCGTGCGGGAGCGAGGCGGGGCGGGAGCCGGCGTGGGTGTTCTGAGGCGTGCGATGTCGTTGCGGGCGTGCGAGGGGCGGTGGTTGGGGTTGGAGGCGGGAAAAAGAAGATGTGCGCACCTCGTGGGCGGTTCTTGCCGTCTTTGAAGGCCTGCTCCGCGGTGACCTCGAGGCTGTCGATGGCCTCCGCCATGAAGTCGATCGTCTGTACGTGCGGGAGGGCGGGGGGCGGGTGGAGCGGGCGCGTGGCGGTCCCGCGGCGCGTAGCGCGCGTCAGCGTGGCATCGTGCCTCGCCGTGGGCCTCCGATAGGCTCGTTGCGGCTGCGTTTGTCTCGATTTCGGAGTCGCTGTGACGTGGTCGGCGGAGAAGGGCGCAAGGAGCTCGCGGAAACGCAGCAGCCGCGACGTGGACGGCCTGCGTAGCGCGAGAGCGAGTCTTGGGGGCTCGGCCGGGCAGCACTCACGAAGTTCACGATATCCGCCATCAGCTTCGGAGCCTGAAGGTCGAACGGATCGTCCGCGTCGCGCTGCGCCGCCGCGGCGCCGCCCTGCGTGTCCGCCATCGCCCGCCTTCAACTCAAAGCTTCTGCTGCTCAGGGCCACACCACGTCGTCTCGCACGATCCTTGCACCACTTGGACGGCACAATATTGATCCGTTGATGACTCCTATGCCCCGTCTGCTCCCTGGATGACCACCTGCACACTGCTACACCCGCACACACGCACGGTCCCTTCTTAACGGCAGCACGCGCCGAGTGTTGGTCGCGAGGCGAATTCCCTGATCGTGTGCGTAGCCACAGCACTGCAGAAGGCAAGCGCAGCGCCGAGCCCCTGGCTTCAGCAGCAGCCGCGACGTGCGGGCGGTCGGACACTGGTGCCGAGGGGCGTGGCAGCGAGGCGGTCCCGTGCGGCGCCCGACGGCTCTTTTGCCGCGCCGTGCCGGCGTCGGTCTGCACGTGCAGCACTCCAGGAGCTCGCTGCCCGGACGGCAGGAAACGATTGCAGGGCGGAGTCTGCGGGCTGCGGTCGGGGCTCACAGCTGAGTGGCGCGCACTTCGCCTGCGCGTCGCTGCGGTGCCATGGAGGCCGGCGGGTACCAGCCGCGGCTCGGCTATTCGTGGCAGCCGGTTGGCCAGCAGTTGACGACGTACGCGAAGGACATGAGCGAGCCCCAGACCCCGGATGACGTGCGAGAGGTGAGCCCCGACACAGGACAACGTATCCTCGGCTGTTTATAGCACGCGCGGCTCGCCACGGATGTTGGTATGCCGTGCGCGCGCGTTCGCGCGGCGCAGGCCCCGCCACACGCGGCTCTCATCGCTCTTCCTCACGCGAACAACAAGCTTTCGCGCTGTCCCTGCTGACGGCGCCCCGCGGCGCGCTTGGAAATGATCCGATCTGCGCGTTCGTCCTTACGTCCTTCGGGGGCGCCGCGGATCTCGCTCCACGCCCCTCAAACGGCGCATCGCTCACCACACCCTTGCGGAGGCTGCTGCGCCCCCGCGCGCCGTCCCTCTGCCCCCCGACGCCGCACGCGCCACAGCCCCCGACGCATCGTCCGCTTTCCATGCGTGCCGCGGAATCTCAGGCCGCGGCACGCGCGGCGCCGACGCGGAAGCGCCGCGGCAGTTGCGGGCCCAGTGCTGCCGCACCGCTCGCACGCGACGCCGGGCCCGGTGCCAGCGGCCCCACGCAGCACGCTGTACTCGCACCGCCAGCCTCCACGCCGCGCACGCCCGACCCCGCCCTCCCTGCCACCACAGCGGCCCCTCACGCACACCAGCTCCGCGTGCGCGCAGGCACGCGACAACCTGCGGCGCGTGACGGAGAAGGAGCCCGCGTCCGAGGACCTCCGGGACTACCTCGCCTCCTGCGACCGCGACGGCCTCGTCGCGCTCCCCAAGGACTGGCCGCGGCCCCTCCAGTTCGGCGCCCGGAACCTCGCTCCTATTCCCGAGGCCGTCCAGGACCGGTACAACTCCGGACAGGCGCGGGTGTGCTTCTGCGGGCTCTTCCCGGAGATCGGCTACGCGTGGGCGTCCCTGGACTCGAGTTTATACCTCTGGCGCGTCGGTCGGACGGGCGAGAGGCCCATGGAGTATAACAGCGAGGACGCCCCCATCTGCGCGGTCGGGCTCGCGCGGCCGCGCCCGGGCGTGCAGGACGGCTGCTCGCACGTCCTCGTCGTGTGCACCACGCAGGACGTCGCGCTCCTCTTCGTCACCGGCGGCGACGCCACCGGCTCCACTCCACTCGACCTCCAGGGCCTCCCGCTGTACACCACGTCGTCGGACGGCGTCACGATGTGCTCCGTGGGCTCCACGAAGGCCGGCCGCATCTTCCTCGGCGGCGTCGACGGCGCCCTGTACGAGGTCTGGTACCGCGCGCCCAACGGCGAGCTCGAGTGCGGCAAGCGGTGCCACACGGACGGCGTGGTGAAGCGGTTCCTGGGCAAGACGTCGCTGCTGCGGTCGCTGCTGCCGTCCTCGTGGCTCGGGGACACATCGCAGCCCATCATGCAGATTGAGATCGACGAGACGCGCAACACGCTGTTTGCGCGCACCCCGACGGGCGTCAAGGCCTTCTACCTCTCGGTGCGCGCCGCCGCGGCCCTCGTGGTGTTTTCGGACGTTGCGTTGCGGTAGTGCTGGGGTGTGGAGTGCGCGCGCCGCGTGTCGCTGTGCGGTGACGGTCGGTGTGCGTGCGTGCGGGCGTGCGTGCTGTGCAGAGTCCGGACCGGGCGGAGCTGGTCGGGGAGGTGCAGGGCGTCGTGGAGCAGGCCAAACGCCTCGAGGGGGCGGGGCTGTCGCGCGCGGCGCCGTCCAGGACCCTGGCACACATTGCGCCCATCGGGTCGAACGAGTCCTCGCGCATCGGCGTCCTGGCGATCACGGTGCGCACGGGCACACACGACGTCCTGCGCTCCCGCGGAATGCCCGACTCAGACGCACAACGCTCCCCAACACACATAGATTTTCGATATATGTTTCGTCGTCAGGGCGCAATGTGCAATCGGTCGGTCGTCAGGGCGCAAAAATGCGCTCGAAGCTCAGGGCGCGCGGACCGCAACGCGTCTTCCGCCGGCCCAGAGCTCCGCGAAGCGCTCGACATGGATCTACACTTCTCGTGCTCGTGACGAGAAGTGTAGATCCATGTGGAGCGCTTTTCGGAGCTCTGGACCGGCGAAGACTCGTTGCGGTCCCCGTGCCCTGAGCTTCGAGCGCATTTTTGCGCCCTGACGACCGATCGACATATGTTTCTATCTGTGTCTTTCTGCGTATATAATGTCGTCCTGTCTACATTCGGCCCGACCGCTGCCGTCGCCGCCCGCCCGCCGCGCAGGTCGACGGGTTCACGGTCGTGCTCGGCACGCGCCCCAGCCGGGGCCGGCCCACGTGCCTGCACGTGTCGTTCGTGCTGGAGCCTATCGACCACCCGAGCTCTCCGCTGCACCGGGAACAGGTGCCCGCGGAGGCGCTGCTGCGGTCGTCGGGGCGCTCGACGGTCGGCGCGGCGGCGTGGTGCGCCGGCACGCTGCTGGTCGCCAAGGCGGTGGAGCCAAAGGCGGGGGAGGGTCCGGGGGGGAGTGTGGGGGGGTCTGGGGCGTCGGAGCTGTGCCCCGTGCTGATGTGGGGCCGCGCACCGGCGAGCATCCGCGAAGTGCACCACGGCGCAGCGGCGACGCGCGCGCAGGTGCGATCAACCACTACCCAACCAGTCGCAAACCGCAAGCAATCAAATAGGAATCCTCGACTCCTTTTCCCTCATCCCGCCCCCCCCTTCCCCGCCAGCCACGCACCTTCACTCCGCCACCAAGCAACGCTTCATCATCCCCGCGGCAGCAACCCCCCCCAAAAAAACACCCCCATACACCGCGTCAGGCACACACACGCCACAAACCCCCCCCCATCCCTTCCGCCCACGCAGGTCGTCGCGCAGATGGACGCCCCGCTCCAGGGCGTCGCCGTCGCGGCCGCCACGTGCCCCGGACGCGCTCCACTCGACACCCTTGTCCTGGCACGCGCCAAGTCCCCGACTTGGCGCGTCTCCGGCGGGGACCTCGCCGCGCAGTGCCTCCTCTCGCGGCCCAAGTTCCTCGTCATGACCTCGCGCGTCGTCGCCGAGGTCGAGCGCTGGTGGCCCGTGGACATCCTGGAGGGAATCCTGACGGCGTCGCGCGGGGCCTCTCACGGCGAGATCGGCCGCTTCGCGGACAAGTTCGGCCGCGACGAGCTCGCCGCGATGTGCTACCTCCTCGCGGCGAAGGGCGAGTGCTCGTCCGTGACGCTGCGCGCGTGCCGCGAGGTGCTGCTGAATGCCGAGATCGTCGGCCGCCCCGCGATGGTTCTCGAGCCCCCGCGCGCCGCCGCGCCGCAGCCGAACCTCCTCGGCGCCGGCACGCCAGGCGAGCAGGCCCTCGCGGCCGGCGCCGCCGCCGCCGCGGGCCAGGCCGCGCCGCAAGTCACTCCGCAGTTCTCCGCCGTACACGAAGGCTTATGTCTGTACCTCTCGCGGACGCTCGAGCTGCTGTGGGACCAGCCGCTCTTCACGAGCGAGCCCGCGGACCCCGCGCGCCCCAGGGACGAGCAGGTCTTCGTCTGCGCGCCTGAGGTCGTCGCGGCGCTCCCTGCGTTGCACTCGCGGCTCGCAAACCTCGCACGCTTCCTGCGGGAGATGCGCGAACTGCCCGGGGCGCGCCGCCAGCGCGGCGCGGTCGCGACGCCCGACGTGGACGTCCGTGCGGCCGCGAACGGCCTCGGCCTGGGCCGCGACGCCATGGCGCCTGCCGCGAAGCGCATGCGCACGGGCGGGGACGCGTGGCACGCCGAGGACGCGGCGATGCGGTCGCTGATCGCGCTCGTGATGCGCTGTGCCGAGGTCCTGCAGCTCGTCGAGGCCATCGTCGAGTCCAACCTCCTTCGCGAAGCATCAAAGATGGATCTGGCAATCATCGGCGAGGAGATACAGCGCCGGCCGACGCTCGAGGCGCTGGTGTGCGAGCCGGGCGGCGACGAGCTCGTCCGGCGGCTCGCGGTGCAGGCCGTGAACGCCCGCGGGCAGCCCGGCGCGGGCAACGCGCTGCGGCGGCGCCTGCAGCTGAGTGCTCCCTCCTTCTTCGGGGAGGCAGAGCAGCGCTGCTACGACGCGGGCGAGCTGCTGCGGCGCGCGGCGGACATCACGGACGCCGTGGAGCGCGAGAACTACATCCAGAGGGCCCTCGACGAGATGCTGAAGGTGCCTTTGTCAGTCGACCTGAGGAAACAAAGCCAGGAGCTGTTCAAGCTCGGGCACGTGGGGGGCATCATCGAGCTGACCCTGAGCGCCGCGGAGAGCCTCTACCGCGGCGCTGTCGCCAAGGGCGGCGCGGGGGAGGCCTCGGCGGGCGACCAGCAGCTCGGCGACCCCCGGAACGCCTGCTATGAGGTCGTGGCGGCTCTGGTGTGCGACAGGTTCCGCGAGCGGGACCGCCGGGGCTTCCAGAAGCTGCTGCGCGCGATCGCGGACACGCGGAAGCGCGACGCGCGGTTCGCGGACTACGTGTACGGCCGCCTCGTCGAGCGCATGGCCAGCCCGGAGCTGCGCGGCATGGATCAAGAAATCATATCTGCCGGCCCGCCCGTCGACGACTTCCTGCGCCGGGAGGCCCGCCTCGACGACAGCCCCGCGCCGCAGGCCCTCGCGCCGTTCACGCAGCGCCAGGAGGCCTGCGCGCGGCTCCTCGCGGACTACTACGGCCTCCCGCCGCGGTGCGACCACGCGGCGCGGGCCTTCGTGCTGCAGCAGCTCGCCCTGCGGCAGTCCGGCCCGGAGGACATGGGCCTCACCACGATCGCGATCGAGCGCCGCATCGAGCTCCTCCAGCAGGCGATCAACAGCGCGGAGGCGTCGAAGCATGGCTGCCCACGGGAATTCTTGCGCTGGCGGCGACACTTGGACGTCCAGCACGCGATTCTGCGGAAGGTGGACCCTCGCGCCGCGCAGGGGTCGCACTCCGAGGATGGCGGGCGGTCGCCGCGCGCGGCGGCGCGGCAGCTCGCGTCGCCTGTCGACAAGACGCGCTTGCAGGAGCTGCGCACGCAGGTGCTGGACGAGGGGACTCTGTTCAACGACTGGTGCGAGCAGGAGGAGCTCTGGGCCGAGGGGCTGCGGATATTCGCGTTGCGGGACGACTACGATGTCTCGACGGACCTCCCTCAGTTCGCGCAGACGTACTGGGAGAACTTCGTCTTCGCGAGCTGGATGGGGACGGAGCGCGGCGGCGCGACGCCCGGGGAGCGGCTGGCGCAGGTGTGCCGCGAGGTCGCTGCGCTGGGACAGATGCTGGAGCCGGGACACTTCTCGTTCCCCGTGGAACACGTCGCGGCGCTGCTGCTGCACCTGGCGGACGTTGTGCGGGACGCGGTGGACCTGCGGGACGCGACGGCGTCGGTTGCGCGCGGGCTAGTGCGCGCGTGCGAGCGCGGCGGGGAGGGCGGGGAGGTGGCGACGGAGTGCTATGTTCTACAGGTGCTGGAACACCTGCAGGACGCGCGGCCGCGGGACCTGTGCGTGGAGCCGTACGCGGTACTGGTGAGAGCACGCGCCGCCCCGATCTCGCGCTGCTGCGGCGCGGCTGCGTCGTTCTGGAGCGCTTTTTGGTGCTGTTTGTTGATCTACCTCATTGTTTGTTTGTCGACGTTCCTCCTTTGTTTGGCGTTTTGTGGCCGGTGGGGCTTGCTCGGTGCGGACGCTCGAAGGAACTGCGCTGGCCGGTGCTACAAGACCCTGTCTCGATTGATACGCAGTCCGCGGAGTCGGTTTGATGATCGCTGCGCGCTCACACGTGCTCGTTTCGCCCGCGCCGTGCAGCACACGATGAAGCACGTGATCGCGCAGGCGCTCCAGAGCGGGTCGCCCGCCGGCTCGCGGCTGCGGGGGGAGATGGAGGGCTGGTGCCGCCGCTGCCGGGCGCAGGTCAGGAGGCACCTGACGGGGTCGGACGCGGACGATCTGGTCGCGGGGCTGACGGAGCTGGAGCAGGACGCGTCCGGGGTCGCCGCGGGCGGCTTCGGGACGCCGATGCTCCTGTCCAGGCCGTTTCGGAGTTAGATAACGAGGGACTCGGACAGATGCTGTGAGACGTACCTGGCATACTGGAAAGTCCGACTCCCTCGGCCGACGACGCGAAGCATGTGAGACCTCACCTCACCTGTTGCTACCATAACGGTGGGGAGCATGACTCGCCACCTGGTCGAATGATCTTTTCAGGTCCCAAAGCCTTATGGCTGACGACGCGAAGAATGTAACACCTCACCTCACCTCACCTCACCTCACCTAGCGTCATCACCACAACCAGTGTGGGAGCGCGGGTGCGCATGCGAGAATGAGAGACTCAGGCGACCCGCTGGCAGGAATGCCCAGGGGACGATGCCTGACACGCGCGGCCCCGATTCGACATTGAGCGGCCGCTGAATGCCGTCGAGCGGAGCATACGCGCTCACTGAGGGCCGCAGGAAATGACCGAGAAAGGGTGGCCGACTACAGCACTGGAGTACCAGCACGCATGAGCGACACTGGCGCGGCCCACCCCTGGCGGTGACGGGCCGGCACAGCGCATCCTTCGCATCAACTCGTCACACGTCGAGGTCGCCCATTCCGAACCGCGACGCGTTCGCCTCGATCAGCTCCTTGCGCGGCCCCACCTCGCTGCCCATGAGCCGCTCGAGGCACGCAGCCGCCTCCGCCTGGTCCGGCGCCGACATGCGCTTGAGCACGCGCGTCGCTGGGTCCAGCGTCGTCTCCCACAGCTGCTGCGGGTTCATTTCCCCTAGACCCTTGAATCGCTGCACGGAAAGCTTCGCCACATCCACGCCCTGCTGCGCAAAGTGGTCCTGGACCGCCCGGAGCTCCGCGTCGTCGTAGCAGAACCGCGCCGGGCCGTGCCCGCGCCCCGCGTCCACGCGGTACAGCGGTGGCATGCCCACGTAGACATATCCCTTCTCGAACAAGTCGGGCTTGTATTGGAACAGGAAGGCGAGGAGCAGGGTGCGGATGTGCGCGCCGTCGACGTCGGCGTCCGTGAGGACGATCACGCGCTGGTACCGCAGCTGCGATTCGTCGAGCGGCGCGCCCGGCGCGCCGATGCCGAGCGCGACAATGAGAGACGCGATTTCCTCGTTCTTGAGGAGCTGCTCGGGCGTGGCCTTCATGCAGTTGATGATCTTGCCGCGCAGGGGGAGGATCGCCTGGAACTTGCGGTCGCGGCCCTGTTTCGCCGACCCCCCCGCTGAGTCCCCCTCGACGATGAAAATCTCCGTCTCCGCCGGGTCCGTGCTCTGGCAGTCCGCGAGCTTCCCGGGGAGGCGCGTGTGCGACAGCACCGACTTGCGCCGCACGACGTCGCGCGCGCGCCGCGCCGCCTCGTCCTGCCGCTGCGCCTGCAGCGCCTGTCTGACCACGGCCTCAAACACCCCCGGGTTGAGCTCAAACGCCTCCCCGACGCCCTCCGTCACCGCCTGCTGCACCGCGTTGCGCGCCTCCGCGTTGCACAGGCGGTCCTTGGTCTGCCCCTGGAACTCCGGCTCGGCAACGCGCACCGAGACGGCGGCGGTGAGACCGGCGCGGATGTGGTCGCCCTTGAGACGCGCCGCCGAGGCCCCGCCCGGGAGGAGCCCGCGGCGCTCGGCGAGGTCGTTCACGACCTTGGTGACGCCGCGCTGGAGCCCCTCGACGTGAGTGCCCCCGTCTTTGTTCTTGATGTTGTTGGCGAAGCCGACGATGGTGGGCGCCGCGGAGCCGGCCTCGTCGCACCACTGCAGCGCGAGCTCGACGCCGACGCCCTCGACGTCGCGCCGCACGTGCAGCGTCTCGTGCAGCGCGCCCTTGCCTGACGTCAGGTCCGACACGTACGCGCCGAGTCCCCCCGTGTAGCAGAACTCCGTCCACTCCGCGTACGCCGCGCTGCCGTTCGCGCCGCCGACCGCGCGGAAGTGCACGCGCGCGCCGTGGTTCAGGAACGCGAGCTCTCGCAGCCGCGACACCACGCGCTCCGGGTCGAGCTTCGCGCTCGGAATGAAGATCGACTCGTCGTACGTGAACGCGACCTCCGTGCCGGAGCTCGGCGCGTCCGGCGGCGCGGGCCGCGCGGCCAGCTCGTCCTGGGGGTGTCCCAGTTTATACTGCTGCGTGTACTCCGTGCCACCGCGCCAGACGCGGACGTCGAGGACCTCCGACAGCGCGTTCACGACGCTGATGCCGACGCCGTGCAGGCCGCCGGAGACCGCGTAGCCGCCCGTGCCGAACTTGCCGCCGGCGTGCAAGACTGTGAGGACAGTCTCGAGGGCAGTCTTTCCAGTCTTAGAGTGCGTGTCGGTTGGGATGCCGCGGCCGTCGTCGCGGACCGTGACGCGCCGGGCCGCGAGGTCCATCTCGACCCGCACCTCGCTCGCGAAGCCGCCCTGCGCGCAGAGCGCCGTGGGGACAAAACGAGCACGCGTTGGAGAGGAACAGGCTGGTTGGCGCGGGGTGGAGCGAGCGAAGAGAGCAGCGCAGCGATGCGCCGAGTCGATCGGAATTCGACGGAGCATGGGCCTAAGCGAGGTCGCACGAAGACACAAGTGCCCGAGCCATAAGTCAAAGTTGAGCGTTGGTGGCTTCTGAGGTTGGGTAGCTGTGTTTGTTGGTCGGCGCGACCTCACTTGGGCGCGCAGGAAGTGCAGTCTGAAACACGGTCAGGCTTGCGCGCGCCCGGTTCGAGTTCTGCGACCTCGTTCGGGCTTCGAGAGCACCACATTGCTATTGACATGAGAAAAAAATCATTCAGCAGCCGTGGGTCGCCGTGAGGTGCGAGGCAGGGCGTTCGGCAGTACCTGGACCTCATCCATGGAGTTGTCCACGACCTCGAATATGAGATGGTGGAGGCCCTCGACCCCTGTGCTCCCAATGTACATCCCCGGGCGCTTCCGCACGGCCTCGAGGCCCTCCAGGACCTTGATTTGGCCCGCGGAGTAGGCCTCGGTGGCCGGTGCGTCGGCGGAGCTCGTGCGCGAGACGCAGAGGTGCCGCGCGCCTGGCGGGGCCGGACAACTGCTGCTAGGAGGATACAAGGGCGGAGCGCGGACGCCTGCGCGAGGAACGGGGTCGCGGTGGCGCGGTGAGCATGGAGATGGACTCATGGCGGCAGGGGAGCCGCGTGCGGGGCCGGGGGTCGCGGCGCGGGCTGCTGCGGTGCACGGAAGCCACTGGGCCGGCTTGGTGGATGAGCGAAGTTGCAATTACGGCGCGAGGCTGGGTTTTCGCGCCCTGAAAATCGTCGCGCATGAAAGAACCGTGTCGTGTTAGCACGGACATCGCAGGAAACGAGCCATGTATCGGCCGGGGCCGTCGCGAATTCGCGCCGACAAGTGCTGAATGAAGTGCGGACTCAACGCCCGTGCGGCGACTCTGCTGACTCAACCGCCGGTTCCGTGCCGCTCAGCGCGGCTCCACGCCAGTGCGCGCCCCGCGCCGCCCGCACCGCTGGAAAGAACGCGCCATGCGTGGCAGCAGGGCCTTCTTCTCCGGAGTGGGAGCAACGGAAAATGCCCGCCGCCCGCGCAATGCAGCGCGACTGCAGCCTGGCGACAGGCCAGCCACGCGTCTGACGTACCTATCAACGGCGTCCTGCTCACTGCTCGCGCCCGGAGCGCCGCTGCGGGCCGGCAGGAGGTGCTTGGCGACAGAGCCATCCGCAGCGCCCGGCAGCAACCACAGGCGCCGCACCTCAGGGGCTGCATTGCCCCTGTCCCGCTTTCCCCCAAGCAACAGCCCTTCCGCAGTTCCCGACCGAACGGCTTCGGAAGCGAGGGACTTTGCGGAATGAACAACTATGCGCAGTTCTATCTCTGAATGTCAGCCTTGGTCGATGGAATGCGCGTGGCGGCAGAGACGTCCTCGAAGCGGTCTGCGCGGCGCGGGAGCGCCGGCGCGGCGAAGGCCCCCCTCGCGGCGCCAGCGACGCAATTGGGGTCTCATTCAGGGGGGTCGTTGTGCTGTCTCCGCGGCGCGCCATGGGGCGGCGGCGCCGCGGCGGCAGCGAAGCAGTGCGAGGAGGAAATGCCTCGAGCGCGGCAAGAGCAGCAATCGGATGCAGCGTAGCACGTAAGAGGGCAGAAGAGGTCGTGCGCACACGACTCCGGGCAGGTCGCGTGGTCTCCGGGGACACACCGCGGAGTGCTGATTGTGCGCTGGCAGCTCGCCTCAGTGTTAGGCCGCGGCGGGGCACGGCCTGGAGCGATGGCGGAGCAGAGCGCGGCCGATGGGACCCCGCCCTCCCCTCACCAGGTCGCGATGGCGATTCTGTCGCTCCACAACGGTTCGAACGTGCGTCTCCTGCGCATCTGGCGGTGTACTGCGCAACGCTCGCGATGGAAGCAGTCGCGCCGCGCTTGTGTGCGTGCCGCAGGGCCGCACAGTGGCATCCGCCACGTCTGTGCCGCCGTGCGCGCGCATCCCTGGTTCCCGAACTTTCATTCTGCTCTGAGTACATTGAACGATGCGTGCGCTACGTCGGAGGCGTATCCAACCTCGAGGAAACGCGTCTTCCGCTGCGTTTCGGAGAGGAAGGCTTGCTTGGGTCCTTGATTGGCCCCATGCCTCGTTTTCAGACCCTTGAAACGCACAACCCACCTCCCTACGGTCGGCCGCGATTCGAAAGATATCGGCCGCGACGCGGAGTGCGTTGGTTCTTGACAAACCGACCTGTTTGCGTCTACTGCTCTCAACTGTCAATGCCTCCCTCGCCGCTCGCAACACATCACCCACCCGGCCCGAAACCGTCACGAGAGCGGCAGTATATCGCCCGCCATCGAGCGGACCTCGCATTCCGCACCGCACAGCGCCTCCGGCGTCACGGACGCACCCTTTTGCATCACGCGTGCTTCGACGCCCTGCTCTCCGTACACACCTGCCGCGTCCGACGCTTCCCACGCAGGACCCGGCGGGCATGAAGAGCGCGAACGAGTTCCTCAACGAGTTCGCGGAGTCCCAGGCGGCCTGGGGGCACTGCAGTGCCATTCTTGAAGCCTCATACCCTGCAGAGGTGCGCCCGACTCCCCCGCCGCACAACTCACACTCACCCGCGCCGTGCCCGCCTCCCCGTGCCGACGTCCCCTCCCCGCACCCCTCGAGCGCATCACACGCACACACATTGCATCTGTTGCGCATCGAGTCGCGGTCCACACGCGCCCGGTTCGGCCACGAACGCCGCAGGTGCAATACTTCTGCGCGAACATGCTCCTGAACAAGGTCCGCAGCGAGTGGCGGCGCCTCGACGCCGCCACGAAGGCCTCGGTCAGCAACCTGGCGCGGCAGCGCCTCCTCGCGCTCTCGTCCGGCCCGACCGCCTCGAGCATCACCGCGCAGCGCCTCTGCAAGGTCGTCGCCGGCATCGCGATCCAGTCCGGCGCGGAGGCCGTCTCGTCCTTCGCCGAGAGCGCCATCCAGCTGGTGTCCGGTCAGTCTCCGGCGTCCGGAGCAGTGCACACGGCGTGCAACATGCTGCTCGCGATCACGGACGAGAGCATGTACCACTCGGACGCGGTGCGCGAGGCAGCGGTCCACGCCGCGCTTTACCCGTCGCTGCCGCGTGTGTTGGCGCTGGTGGAGGCGGTGGTGGCGACGCGCACGCTCGAGGGGCCCGTCGAGGCGGCGCTGCGGGTGCTCGGGGCGTGGAGCGTCCTGGATCCGCACGGGAGCGGCGACGACGAGCGGCGGTCGTTCGGCCCGGGGGACGTGTTGGTGCACGCACCGGCGCTGCTGCCGGCGCTGCTGTCGGTGATGGGGGACAGCGACGAGGTGTGGGGGGAGGCGCTGATCGATGTGTACATGGGGATCGGCAAGGGGACGGACGTGGGCAAACAGGTACGCGCGTCAAGATATCAGGAAATCGAACACCCCCCCTCTTTATCAACACAAGCACCACCACCCCATCGAACTTGCGTCCAGCTGATTGCGACGGGTTTTGCAGGCGGAGATGTGCGGCCAGCATACGCGTCTGTGCTTGTTTGTGCACACGTGCTGCCCTCAAGAGGGAGTTTGACATGAGCTGACACGAAGCCATGAGCCTCGCCTCGGTGCCGAAGGAGCCTTCGGCACTGGCTTCGTGTCTCATGTCAAACTCCCTCTTGAGGGCAGCTCGTCTGCCCGAACGAGCGCAGACGCGTATGCTGGCCGCACATGGTGGCCGCGTTTCGCATACAAGACACACACAGCACCGCGCTCGTTTTACACGAGCGTATCAACCTTTGGGGAATGACGGACGGCGGCAACGCGAGCCTGTGTGCCGCCGTCCGTCATTCCCAAAAGGTTGGATACGCTCGTGTAAAACGAGCGCGGGGCTGTGTCTGGTGTTGTGTCACTGTGCACGTCGCACCACTTCACCTGCCGTTTCCGCACATCTGTCCAGCTGGTACCGTCGGCTTTGACACCCACGGCACGATCTCGCCCGCCGCATTCAGCGGTATTGAGCCCTTACACACTAACGCTCGACAGCGAGGGCGCGAGGCACGGCCCCCCCCTGAAAACGACGCCGCCGTCCTCCTCTGTCTATGTTCTCGCAGCGGGACTCCGAGGCGGCCGAGGCGGGCCTCGTCGCGGCGCTGCGGCGCGTGGAGGACTCCGGGGGGGTCTCGCAGCTCTCCGAGGGCGCCGCACGCACCATCGCGCGGCTCGCGTCCGCGCTCATGGAGCGCTGCACGCACCTCATCGTCTGCCCCGTCCCCGGCGAGAGCGAGCAGTGGGCCCGCGCGAGCGTCGCCCTCACCACCGTCGTTGCCCAGCTGATGCAACTCGACCAAGCACACGAAGACGAGGGACTCATGGAGGCGTGCGTGGAGTACTTCGTGCGCATCGGAGACACCAGCGTCGCGTCGCGGCGGCCCGAGCTGCAGCGCCCGCTCTACGAGACGCTTCTGCCCGTTGTTGTGCGAATATCTTCGTTCCCCGATGGGTTCACGACGTGGGCGGAGTCGCACCTGGAGCAGTCGTCGTTCGCGACGATGCGCGAGCACGTCATGTCGGACCTCGTCAACATGGTGTACGTGTTCTTCCGGGGGGAGTTTTTGTCGTGGGCGTTGCATCGCCTCGCGGCGATAGGCGCAGTCGGGGACGCCGGCGCGCTCACGGGGCGCTGGCAGGAGGTCGAGGCGATCTGCCACGCCGTGCGGATCGTCGAGGGCGAGGTGCAGGAGGACGCGATTTCGCACCAGAACGCGGCCGAGATCATGCAGCATGTGCATGCGTTGTTCGGAGCGGTGGCCGGGCCCGCAGGGCAGCCCGGGGGCGCGCTCGCTTCGCACCCGATGGTGGTCGCGACGGTGGCGCGGATGATCGGTGCTTTCGTGAAGTATTTCTCGAGAGACGACGCACCCATGGAAGGATGTGTGCGATACGTGTTGCGCGCGTTCGCGGTGCCGGAGGCGTGGGCGTGGGCGACGAAGGCGTTCCGGGGGTTCTGCGCGATGTGCGCGCGTCGGCTCGCGACGGCGCCGGCGATCCAGTCGCTCATGGAGGCCGCGAGGGGGGTGTTGCACCCCGCTGTCGGCGCAGACCCCCAGACGCAGCCGCAACGCGAGGAACGCGCGGCCGTGGCGTGCGGGCTCGCGCGGCTCGTCGCCGCGCTCCCGTACGCCGACGCCGCGCGCTTCGCTCCCGCGCTGTGCGCCCCGTTGCTGGAGAGGGCGCAAGCGATGTTGACAGTGGTGCAAGGGTCGCCTCCGCCGCCCGCCGCGCGCCCAGGCCGGACGAGCCGCGCGGGGCGGAGCGCGCACGAGGCGAAGAGCCCACAGGCGACGCTTGCTGACGAGCTCGGGCTCCTGGGAGACACGATTCGGTATTTAGAAATCAAACCAGACCCGGGGCAGCCACACCCTGTTCTCGACGTCATGCGCGCGGCGTGGCCGACGATGACGGCCGTGGTGGAATCGCCCTCGGCGACCGCGGACGCGCGCGTGACGGACGCGCTCTGCGAGCTCTGCGCCCGGGCGGCCGCGAGCGCAGGTGCTGCCGACAGCGACCTACGCGATGGGGTCGTTGCGGTGTCGCTGACGGTCCTTGAGCGCTTCGCGCGGCCGTGTGCGCTCGAGGTCCTGTCTGCGGCGGTGCAGGCGGCGGCGGCGAGCAAGGCCGCGGAGGGGGGGGGTCTCGGCGAGGCCCTCGCAAGGGCTTGTCAGACATGCATCGCACTTCTACCTGACAGCAATAGCGTGGCGGGGTCCGGGGAGCGGCCGGAGCTCGTCGCGGCGATGTTCGACATGTGCGACAAGTTCGTGCTGTTCGCGCCGGCGCTGGTGTACGGGACGCCGGAGCTGCTGCAGGCGTTGATGGGCGTGGCGGCTCACGCTATGATGCTGTCGGAGCGGGCGCCCGTGTCGGCGACGTGCGCGTTCGTGACGCACGCGCTCGCGCTGCCCCCGCGGCTCAAGGACCACCCGCACCGCCCGCAGTTCCGAAACGGTGCGCGCGCCCCTGGCGACCCTGCCTCTGCTGCTTTGTGCCTTGTGCCCCACGCCTCCATGCTATTTGTTTGTGCTGTTCTGCCGCGAACCGAGACCGAAGAACGAACGAACGTCCCCGCCATTTTTGCGGCGGCCGCTGCGCCTCCCGAGTCTATCATCACCCTTTGCTTCTCAATTCCTCCTACGCACTGTCCTCTCTTCTACTGACCCGGCGTCGCAGCTGCCGCGCCTGACGCCCGCGCCCACGCCCCGCGCCCTCTCTCCGCCCCCGCAGCGCTCTGCTCCGCGGTGGCGACCCACGGCGCGCAGCTCGTGCGCTCGGCCGTCTCTGCACTGGGAACGACCTGTCCGCGTGAGTCCCTACGCGCGCTGGGCGGAGTCTTCGACGCGCTGCTCAGCGACGCGGAGTGGCGCGGCGCCGTCGCGGCGTGTCTGACCGAGGCGATGAGCCCGGGGGTGTTCGCGGCCGCCAAGGAGTCGATAGTGACCCCGGGGGACTGCGAGCTGTTCCTGACGCTCGTGCTGCAGGGCCACCTGACGCGCCCGCGGCTGCTCGCGCTGTACCAGGACTTCGGACAGCTGTGCCGGCGCGAGGCGTCCGCGGACGTCCTCCTCGCCTACCAATCGTAGTCGCAGCACGCACCCACCGATTGGGGGGTTTTTGGTAAAAGGGCCACTCCCACAGAGACAGACTCGACGCGCCGCGCTTCGTTGTAATACTTGCACAGGTGACGTGTGACGGACCTGGTCTCTCGCACCCGACCCCAGCCCGACACGACGATGACACCCCCCCTGAGACAACCCCCGCCATGGCCCCGGAACGTCACACTTCGCGGTCCCTCGCCCTTCCCCTCCCTCTCCGTCACTTCGGGCTCGTCACGCTGCCCAAGAAGCTCGCCAGCAGCCCCTGCAACCCCCCCTGCAGCTTCTCCACAATACCCTTACTCCCCCCCCTCACACTCACCTGCATCTCCACCGCCTTGCCGTTCGAGCCCGGCACGACCACGCACACGCCCTGCCCCTCGCCGTCGCCCCCTTCGTCGCACTGCTCCGCGTCGCCGCCGTCCTCCTCGGGCACAGGCTCCACGACAGCGCCGCACGCAGCTGCAGCGCGCCCGCGCGCGGTGCGCTTGCCGCCTTGCGTGGGCGCGGGCGTGACGATCGAGCCGTTCATGCCCGCGTAGCCTGCGAGGGGGCCGGCGTGGGGACGCGCGCGTGTGTGTTCGTTTGTGCGTGGATGTGTGTGGTGACGTTTGGGTGTTGCTTGGAGGATGTCTGGTGCGAGGGCGAGAGGTCGTTCGGAGCGAAGGGCCGGGGAGCGGCCGCGTGCGCAGGAGGGCGGACTACCCAGTCTGGCGAGTCGAGTCAACGCTGGGCAGAAAATAAAACCAACAAAAGCAAAACAAAGTACATTATTGTGATGATAAGAATGAACAATTGAATCTATCTAGTGCCGGCGCGCGTACCGATCGGAGACCCGTTCTCCGAGTACACCATCTCCCCGGCGCGCGGCATCCGCGACGCAGGCACCAGCGCCAGCCCCCCCAGCGCCGACCCGCACGGCCCGGGCGTCATCAGCGCAGAGGCCGTGCGCTTGCGCGCCGAGGGCGCCGCCGCCGCCTCCATGGCGCGCGCCCCGCGCTTGCGCGTGGTGCGCGTGACGGTTCCGGGGCCCGACGTCGTGGGTTCCTGCGCGAACGCGGACGCAACAGCGTCCTTGCGGCGCTGGAGGTCAGCACGGATGGCGTCGTCGAGCGAGCCGCCGTGCTCGCTGAGGAATTCGACCATCGGCATGGACCGCTTGTCCTTGCCCAGGAGCATCAGCTGCTTCATGAGCTCCTTTTGGATTCTGCGTCGCGGGAGGTGAGCGGTGGGGTGGGAGGGAAGTGGCGAGTGGGCCGGGGCGGGTGCGTGGGGGAGGGGGCGCGCGACGGACCTCATGACTGCGTCCTCGACTTCGTTGCGGATCTGGGCGCGCAGAGTGTCGACTGCGCCGGGGGGCGGGTGGTGCGCGGTGAGATGCGAAACAAACCAACAAAAGCGAGCGATTCCGCCGCACTGGGGACGATTGTGCGCTTTCTCGCTGGCTCAACAAACTCCTCGCGGTATGATCAAGGTACGGCGAAACGAGGAAGCAGAATGGATCCGGTGCGGAGCCGGGAGGACGTTCGTAAGCACCTCGCGCTGTGTCTCGGCGCGTTCCGGCACCTCACCTTCCGCATCCATCGTGCGCATCATGTTCCTGAGGTCCTTCTCAGTCATCTTCTCCGGAACCTCGCCGTCCGCCCCCTCAGACCCGCCCCTCGCCGCGGCGGGACGCTTCGAGCGTGCGCGCGGCATACCGCTGTTGTTGCGCGAGCCCCTGCGCGGCTGGCCCGTCCCTCACGCGGCGATCCGCCGCCACGAACAGACGCTCCTGCTCTGTGCCGCTCTCCAACGCGCCGTCTCGCACCGTGGGCGGACGGCGGCCTTCGCCCTCGCGACGCGAGCCTCAAGGCAGCTGTTGCGGCCCCAACTCGTACTCCACCGCCGCCGTCTCGCGACTTCAGCACCCTCCAACGTTCCACGCAGAGACGCACCCGCGATTGTGAGCCGCACGACGCGGCGACGGCCCCGAGGAGCCGGGAGCGCCCCGGGACGGGGCTCTCAAGCGGACCTCCCTCACAGCACGGAGGGGGTCTTTTCCGTCGCCCGCGCGGGCCGTTGCAGGCCGCGGAGCGGCGCGCAGGCCCAGTCTGGAGCTTGTCTTCCAGGTCGCGCATCGAACGTGGCCGCTCTGGCCCCGGAAACGCGCGGCGGCGAGTGGTTCAACAGGGGCAAGTCATGGTGGCGGTCGACGTCCGCGCGACCCCCTTCGTGGGCCCGCGCGTCGCAGGGCGCGCGGTGGCTGCACGGAGGCTCCGGGCGCGGCGCCTCGTCGTCAGCAACGGACTCTTCGACGGCGTTGGGGTGCGTGTGTCTCCAACGAGCCCGCCTCGCGCAGCGCGACGCTTTCCAGGCCGCCTCGGCGTCGCAACGCAATGATCGCACACGGAACATTCTCGCGCGGGGAGTGGCCCGCGGAGCCGAGGGCCTGCGCGGGCGCGGGCGCGGAAGTAGTAGGCAGGCAGCCAGCACGAATCTCTCGCGCTCTCCCAGCCGCGTCAGACCGCGAGCCGCGTCGCCGCGCGGCGCCGCTGCTCCTTGGTTCATTGCGGACCCGCGGGCGCGTAGCAGCCGCGACGGCACGCGCCACCGCGCGCAAACGGAGGCAAAAACGTCCTGCCAATCGCGCGGCGGTTCAGCTGGACCAGGAGCGCCCGTGGCGTCTCACTGACGCCCGGAACCCCGCTTGCCAATCCGCACCGACGTAGCGCTACGTCCGGGACCTCATCGCGCTGCTCAGAAACGCCGCTTTCCGCCACTTCGAACCGCCACGCCCCTGCTTCGCACCCCAACAGACTGCGAGCAAATCCCGGTCGTCCGGCCGGCTCCGTCGCCGCGACCTTCAGTTTCGCGTCGCGCCCGCATCCTCCGCCCCTTGAGACGTCGCACAGATCCCTGAACCGCCACGTTTCGCCGCGCGCGCGTCGCAGGGGAAGAAGGCGAGCGCTACGGGGGCGGCCACGCGCGCCGAGCGCCGCGTCCAGCGCGGGATCCCGCAGACCACGTCCGGCAGCGGCCGCCGCGAGACCTCCGCGGATCTCCGCAAAAAGGCCGCCGAGGAGCGCGCTGCGCGCGCCGCGGAGCGCAGGCGGCAACAGGAGGAGCGCAGGCAGGCGCAAATGAAGGCGCAGCAGCAGCGCCGCGCGCAGACCGCTTCCGGGCGCCGCGGGAGTGGTTCTTCGTCCGACGAGGAAGAGAAGCCCGCCGGAACGGGGCTGTTCAACTTCCTCGGTGGGACGCAATCGAAGCGGGTGACGAGCGAGGCACCACGCGGCGCTCGGGCGGCGCCGACGAGCGGCGCAGCGCAGGCGCGTCGCGAGGCGCAGCAGCGCGGCGCCGAGGAACGCAAGCGGCAGCAGGAGGAGGCGCGCGCGGCGCGCGCCGCGGCTGCGGAGGAGCGTCGCCGCCAGCAGGAGGAGGCGCGCGCAGCGGCGAGGGCCGCCGCGGAAGAGAAGCAGCGGGCGCGGCTGCAGGCGCAGGAGGAGCGGCGCCGGCAGCTCGAGGAGGCCCGGGCCGCGCGGGCGGCGGCGGCGGAGGAGCGCAAGCGTGCGCAGGAGGAGCGTAGGCAGGCGCAGCGCCGCGCGCAGGAAGAGCGCCGCGCGCGGTCCGCGGCGGGCACGCGTCGCGAGCGGGTCGCCGAAGACGACGCCCCGGTCGGATCCGGCCTGTTCGCGTTCCTGGGGGGGTCGCAGTCAACGCGCGTCGGCACGCAGAGCGGGCGGGCCGCGCCGGCGGCCGACCCGGCGCAGGCGCGGCGCGAGGCGGCGGAGGAGCGCAAGCGCCAGGCCGAGGAGCGCCGCCAGGCGCAGCTGGCCGCGCAGCAGGGACGGCGCCGCCAGCGCAGAGCGCCTCGCCCAGCGCGGCAGGCGGCGGCGGCGGGCCGCAAGCGCGCGCAGGAGGGCGTCCGGGAGGCGCAGCGCGCGCGCGGCGGAGGGCGGCGCGCGCGGACGGCCGCTGGGGCGCGCCGTGGCCGCGTTGCGGAGCCGGAACAGAAGCCGTCTGGCACGGGCCTGTTCGGCGTGCTGGGCGGGACGCAGTCGAAGCGGGTGGCCGCGGGGGGCACGGGCGGCGTGTCTGCGTCCGATGCGGCGCAGGCGCGCCGCGAGGCGCAGCTGCGCGCCGCCGAGGAGCGCCGTAGGAAGCAGGAGGAGGCGGCGGCGGCGCGGGCGGCGGCTGCGGAGGAGCGCAAGCGCCAGCAGGAGGAGGCGCGGGCCGCGGCGAGGGCCGCGGCGGAGGAGCGGCGGCAGGCGCAGCTGGCGGCGGCGGAGGAGCGGCGTCGGCAGCAGGAGGAGGCGCGTGCGGCGCGGGCGGCGGCGCTGGCGGAGCGGCGCGAGGCGCAGCGGCGCGCGCAGGAGGAGGCGCGCACGGTCTCGACGCGGAAAGCCGCGCCGGCCGCCGAGGACGGCGGCACGACGATCCGTGTGGGCACGGGCCTGTTCAGTGTCTTTAGTCGCAAGGACGATGCTGAGGCCGAGGAGGAGCCCGCGGCGGCCGACCCGGCCCAGGCGCGCCGCGAGGCGCAGCTGCGCGCCGCCGAGGAGCGCCGTAGGAAGCAGGAGGAGGCGGCGGCGGCGCGGGCGGCGGCTGCGGAGGAGCGCAAGCGCCAGCAGGAGGAGGCGCGCGCGGCGCGGGCGGCCGCGGTCGAGGAGCGGCGGCGGCAGCAGGCGGCGGCGCGGGGGGCGGAGCCCATGGACGAGGGCGCGCTGCTCCGGGCGCAGATTCGCGAGCAGATGGAGGAGCTGCAGGCGGCGGCGCGGGAGGCTCAGAGCGCGGCGCGGGAGGCCGCACAGGGGGTCAAGGCCGCAGGTGCGGCCGCGCCAGGCTCATATCGAGCGCTTTGCTTGGATCGTGCTGCGCGAGAGCGTCGAAATCGCGACAATTGAGGATTTATATTTCCTTCTTTGTTGTTGTTGTTTGGTCCATCTTGGCTGAGTGGCTGTCCGTTTGCGGTTCGTGCAGAGCGCGGGGGCGCCACTGCGGAGCGCCAGGCGCGGGCGGTGATCCAGCGCATCGGGCTGCTGGAGCAGGAGGAGCAGGAGGCGCAGCGGGCGATTGCGGACCTCGCGGTGGAGCTGCGGTCGGCGGAGACCGACCTCGCGGCGCTCGTGAAGAAGAAGGCTGCGCTGGCCAAGGAGATGACGCGGCCACTGTTCCGCGTGAAGTGAACGCGGCGACGGATCGTTAGGATCTGTGACGCATGATGATAGAAGATGTTTTGTATTTGTATTTGTTTGTTTGTTTGTATCGAAGTGCTGCATGTCTGACTGTTGACTGAGGGATGGTGCGGGGTTTGCTGCTTGGTTGCGTGGTGAGGTGCGCCCGTGCTGGAACGGACGTCGTCCGGCCGTGAGGCCCGGGGGCGGCAGTTGGAGCAAAGGGAGGAAGGGAAGTTGAGGTTTCATGGATCTCGTGACGGATTGCAGCCTGCGATTGATGCGCGGGCTCGCGTGGGGTCGCCCGGCGGTGCAGGCGCCGCGGGACGTCGCAGATGGCCGGCCGCTTGCCCCGTCGCGTCCAGGAGGACCGTGCGTCGGACGTCACATGAGGTAGGGTGGTTCGTGGCCACAAACACCAGCAAGGCTCGACTGAGTCTTACTCCCGCTCCTGACGGCGTCCCAAGGGCTCGCCCTTGCGCGCGGCCGGCGCAGTTCCGTTGACTGCGAAAGGACCTGACCAGAAGAGATCCGCAGAAGGCTCCACGACGTTGGGATTGCGCTCGTGACGCAGAGACAAGGAGTGCCCAGACAGCGAGCTTTCTTGCCACGATGGCGTCGTGCAGCTTTGCAAGCAGCAAGAACGCCGTTCCACAGCTCTCTGTGCGCGTGTCGCGCCCGGCCAAGCCCGCTGCGCCGCACGCAAACCTCGGCGCGCGGCCTCTCCGCACGCCCAGCGCCAGCGCCAGCGCCAGCCCCCAGCGCAGCATCAGGGCCGCTGCCGCGACAGCCGAGGGCCCCGTCGCTGACCCGTTCGCCGCACTCGGCAACCAGACCGTCTTCCGCGTCTCCGACGGACAGGCAAGCCCTGCACCCTCCTGTTGCACGTCCGCCTCCTGGCGCCGCGTCTCAAGTTCCCCGCCGCCTCTCCATCCCCCGACCTCCCCCACGCACCACTCCTTCGTGATCACCCGCTCGTTCTGAAAAAGCCCCGCAACATCAGCCCCAATCGCCCGCCACGTGCAGGAGCTGCCCCTGACCGCTCAGTGGGGCCCCAGCGACACGGCCGTCGTCGTGTTCGGACGCACCTTCGGCTGCCCGTTCTGCCAGGAGCTCGCCACGGAGCTCGCGCGCGACGCCCTCCCTCGCATCCAGGCGTCAGGCGGGAAGTTGTTCTTTGTCGCCATCGGCGTCCCGGAACGCGGCCGCGACTTCGCCGCGCGCACGGGCTTCCCCCAGGAGCTGCTCTTCGCGGACCCGGAGAACGCGTGCTACGACCGGCTCGGGCTCTACAAGAGCGTCCAGCGGGCCTTCTTCTCGCCGTCGACGCCGCTCTCGCTGGCGAAGCGCGCGGTCAAGGACGGGGGCAAGGGGCTGCTGGGGGCGCTGGACGGCTGGGAGCCGTGGCAGCCGCCGAAGGGCGCGGGCCAGGCGCTGAATCAGGGGGGCATGTTTGTATTCGAGGGCGCGCAATGCAAATTCTCCCACTATGACCCAGCGACGAGCGCACACGCCGACATGGACCAGGTGTGGTCGGTGCTCGGCGCGATCGACGCCGCGAAGTCGCGCGTGCGGGAGTGCGAGTGACGCTCCCATCGTGGAGGGAGGCGCGCCTTGTGAGCGCGCGACGGCGTGTGGACGCACTGCGTGGTCGGGCGGGCCGAATATTCACAAATCGCGAGCCTCGCGACGCTCGTGCGCGACTGCGGTGACGCACGCTGGTGTGCTGCAGCGCCTTGCAAGTCGTTCTCTTGCAACTCGTTGTCGTCGTCTGAAACGGCGATGAATCACGAATCAATTTCAACGTCGACGTCGACGTCCTCCGCGCCACGCCGCGTCGCCCGCTACGGCATGCACGCGGTCTGCAACGCCTCCGCCGTCACGCCCTGCGCCGCGGGCACCACCTCCACCTCGTACACCTTGGGCCATAGCTTCCCTGTGAGCCACAGCCGGCCCGTCGCCGCGTCCCACGCGATCCCGTTCAGCACGTCCGCGCCCATCCCGTGGTCATCCAGCACCCTCTGATGCAGCGGGCGCGCATCGATCCACGCGATGACGTTTCCGGAGTCTTTGTCGATTCTAGCGACGCAGTCCCTGTACCACACGTTCGCCCAGACCTCGCCCTGCACGACCTCGAGCTCGTTCAAGCGCGGCACGGGCCGCCCGCGCGACGTGACCTTGACGCTCTTCTCACGCGTCAGGGAGTCGCCCGGGGCCAAGAAGTGGAGCGTGTCGCCGCTGTCGGTCGCGATGAGGCTCTGCCCGTCGTACGCGAGGCCCCAGCCGTCGGACAGCGGGCCCGGGAGGAGTGTTTCGCGCGTGGCGGGCTCCGAGGAGAGGTCCCACAAATACACCTCCCCCGTCTGCCAGATCAGCTGGTACAGCTTGTCGCCCACGCGCGCCGAGCCCTCGCCGAAGTGCTTGCTGTCGAGGTCGCGGCCTGCACGCGGTCCCGCGCCGTGCGGACGAGCGTGAGGGCGTGGTGGGCGCGGCGGCGCGTGGCGGGTTGTTGTTGCGGGCGGGAACGCACTCCAAATGACTTCGCCCGTGCTGAGGCGGACGCGGCGCAGCGTGGACTCCCCGTACAGCCCCGTGGACTCGAGGAAGGTGTCCTCGCATGAGTCAGGCCCCGTGGGGCAGTATTGGTCATACTCGATGCCCTGCGTGAACGCGGCCGGGTCGTGCGGGTACTCCGCGACGACGCGCAGCTCGTACGCCTCGGCGCCCGTCGGCACGCCGCCGCGCGACGCCGGCTCGGGCGCCTGCGTGGCCGTGCTCAGGGGGGGCACTGTCTCGAGGGGGGGGTCCGTTTCGGGGGGCCTCTCGGTCGGGTCGCCGGGCGCCGGCGTCCCGCCGTGCAGGACCGTGCCCTGCTCGGCGTCGGGGTTCTTTTCCGGCACGAGCACGGAGCTGTCGCCACCAAAGTGCAGCATCAACAGAGTGAAGCCGACGACGCCGAGGGCGACGCCGGCCGCGATCTTCGCCCACGCGCGGGCGGAGAGGCGCCGCCTCGAGGCGAAGGTGCGCATGACGAGGCCTGCGGCGGCGGGCGGGGGCGTGGAGAGGCGTTCGCGAGGTCGGGGGCGCCGAACGAGGTTGCGGTCGAATCCGCGCGATACCGGCTCGCGGGCGCATCTGCGCCGTCGAGCACGCCGGAGCAAGCTGTGCGGTGGGCGTCGGGTGCCGGGGCCGGGGTGCGCGAGGCGGCCAATGCCGCAACGCACCTCCACTCCCTCCGCTATGTTCTACGTGCACGCCCTCTTCCACGTCGCGCCCGGGGGCTTCCGCGCCTGGCATCGACGGACGTACTCGCGGCGGGCACGCGAGGGCTCCCCTTGCGCACGCGGCCGGGAACGGGGGGCGACGAGAGGACCCACACCCCGGTTCGACGGGCCAGGGCTCGCGCAGGTGTGCCTTCTTGCGCGACGCGAGCGCGCGCGCGCAGGCTGAGGGACGCAGAGCAGCGCTCGGTGTGACGAACAGGGTTGCCGCACGTGCTACGGTGGCAGAACGCTTCGGTGAGTGCTGGCAAGCAGCACCTCGTGACGTACGGCCTCGTCCCGGGGGTTGCGAGGATCTCCGGCTCGCAGGAGGACGCATCTGCCTCGTGGGACGCCGGAGGCGGCGTATTGACCGCGGTCGTCCTGGCCCGTGCGCACGAGCCTGACTGACGACGAGTTCTCTGACCGACGGTGCGATTCCGCCTCCTTCGAGGCCCCTCGGCTGCGCGCAGGTCGCGCAAATCCTGACTTGCATTACAGGCCAGGAGTTGACGCGTCGACATGGTGCAGGCGTGCGGCAGGCGCCTCGGGGCGCCTTCCAGCAATTGCATGGTAGGCATCCTGCCCTCCCTCGCCCCCACGGCCCTTTGGCCGCACCATATCCCATCACAGCGTCGCTCCAACTTCGTCCCGTGCCACAGATCCGGCAATACCCCCCCCACGCCCCTCTCATGCACTCCTGGGCCTCCTGTTCACCGCCCAAGCCTCCCACGGCTTCGGGGCGCCTCCCCAGCGTCCTGCGATCCGCGCGCCCCCCACACAGCTGCAATACACGCAAGGAAGGTCTCGCGCCCCTCGAGCCTTCGATAGCGACATCGTTCCGAGCTCACGAGCACGCATCTAGCTCCCCGGCATCTGCAGAGCCGGACGTTCGGCCAGGGGCGCCCTCTCCCGCGCAATGTGACGCTCAGGTCGCGGCGTGTGCTGAACAGGTACGCCGCGTGCCGGAACCGCCGATCCGCGGCCCGCTCGTGAGGCAGCGAGGCCGTAGCGCGTGCGGGGCTACCATCGCCCACCGCCCCACGCGTCGCCGACGCGGCCCCCGCGCCCTCGAACCGACCCGCAGGGGCGCCGTCAAGGTCCAGGCGGTCGCGGCGGACAAGGACTCGGAGAAGGTGAGCGACGACCGCGGCGAGCGCGCCCATCACAAACACTGCTCCTCGCTCTCCCCTCCGCCTGCCCGTCGCGGGGCCGCGTTCCCCCGCCCCGCGCGCCGCAGCAGGCGAGGTTCGCTGCCACGCTGCCGGCGCCGCGGGCCGCGGAGGCCGAGCCCCAGACACGCGTCCAGAATCCACGCACGCCGCCAACCGTCCACTCAGGCACTCTGCTACGCCTCGCGCCCACGCCCCGGCCCTGCCCGACGCGCCGTCGCGCCGCGACTCCGCGCATGCTCCCTGCCCAGGCTCCTCGCCTGGAGCGGCCACGCGACCGGAACGGCCTTTCGCGCGCCGTGCGCCCCCACAAAGCGTCCGGCCTCTGGTCTGCTTCGCGCGCCCGGCACCGCGCGGGCCGGGCCGTTTTCCGCCCCGAGCGCGCTCCTCCGCGACCCCCTCGATGCGCAGGACCTCGAGGCGGTCTACAAGGCCAAGGCCGAGCTCGTGCAGCGCCAGAAGGAGGACCCTACCGTCCAGCAGGGCGTAGCCGCGGGCTGGACGTCCCGCTACGGCCCGGACGAGGCCCGCAAGGGCTCGGACATCCTCGTGGAGTGCCTCGAGCGCGAGGGCGTGAAGACGGTCTTCGCTTACCCCGGCGGCGCGTCCATGGAGATCCACCAGGCGCTCACGCGCAGCGACCGCATCCGCAACATCCTGTGCCGGCACGAACAGGGCGAGATCTTCGCGGCCGAGGGGTACGGGAAGGCCACGGGCGAGGTCGGCGTCTGCATCGCGACGTCGGGCCCCGGCGCGACCAACCTGGTGACGGGGCTGGCGGACGCGCTCCTGGACTCGGTGCCTCTTGTGGCGATCACCGGGCAGGTGCCGCGGCGAATGATCGGGACGGACGCGTTCCAGGAGACGCCGATCGTCGAGGTGAGCGGCCGCGGGGCGCGCGCGTGCCGCGCGCGTGGCGGGGCGGGGCGGAGAGCTGAACGTCGCGTGCGCTCTTGGTGGTGTGGTGCGCGCAGGTGACCCGCCAGATCACCAAGCACAACTTCCTCGTCATGGACGTCAAGGACCTCCCGCGCATCATGAAGGAGGCCTTCTTCCTCGCCCGCTCCGGCCGCCCAGGTACAAACACGAATCCAAACACACACCCTACACCCCCCCTGCCGCCCTCCACCGCCCCGGCCCACCCCCTCCGCGCCCCCCCCGCTGTCCCCCGCAGGCCCCGTGCTCGTCGACGTGCCGAAGGACGTCCAGCAGCAGCTCGACGTGCCGGACTTTGACGTGCCGATGATTCTGCGGGGCTACATTTCCCGCCTGCCGGGCCCCCCGGACCAGTCGACGGTCCAGGCGATCAACAACGCGATCCGCAACTCGAAGCGGCCCGTGCTGTACGTCGGCGGCGGCGCCGTCGACGCCTCGGAGGAGATCACCGAGCTGGTGCGCAAGACGGGGATTCCCATCGCCAACACGCTGATGGGCCTCGGGACGTACGACCTGCACGACGACCTCTCTCTCTCGATGCTCGGCATGCACGGCACGGTCTACGCGAACTACGCCGTGGACCAGGCGGACCTCCTGATCGCGCTGGGCGTGCGCTTCGACGACCGCGTCACGGGCAAGCTCGAGAGCTTCGCGGCGCGCGCGAAGATCATTCACGTGGACGTCGACAGCGCGGAGATCCACAAGAACAAGTACGCCGACATCGCGCTGTGCGCGGACGTGCGGCCCACGCTGCGCATGCTCAACGGAATGCTGGACGAGTCGCCGCTGCCGGAGGGGCAGCTGAAGGAGTGGCAGGCCGACGTGCAGAAGGTCAAGACCGAGTACCCGATGGCGTACCCGGACCGCGAGGACCTCATCGTGCCGCAGTGGGCTGTCGAGGTGCTGTCAGGTGCGCCCCGCAACACCCCCCGGGGGGAGTCCGATACATACAATCGCTCCCGCGCGACTGCTTCCGCGCCCAAGGCTCGGGTGTCCTGCTCGCGTGCGTCCGGCTCCGCGCGCCGTGCGCGGGGCAGAGGCGGCCGCAGACGCACTCGCAGCGCCAGCATGCTCCGTTCGCGCCCGCGTGCGGCCTGCCCCGCGGCAGCGCGTCACCGCCCCGCGCCCCGCGTTCCTGACCCCTGCGTCGCAGAGGAGACGAAGGGCGAGGCGATCGTGTCGACGGGCGTGGGCCAGCACCAGATGTGGACGGCGCAGTACTACAAATTCGCCGGGCCGCGACAGTGGGTGACGTCGGGCGGGCTGGGCTCGATGGGCTTCGGGCTGCCGAGCGCGCTGGGCACGGCGGCGGCGTACGACGGGCGCGACGGGCGGCCGAAGAAGACGATCATCGACGTCGACGGCGACGGGTCCTTCATGATGAACTGCCAGGAGCTGGCGACGGCGGCGGTGGAGGGGTTCGACATCAAGATGGTCGTGCTGAACAACCAGCACCTCGGCATGGTCGTGCAGTGGGAGGACCGCTTCTATAAGAAGAACCGCGCGCACACGTACCTGGGCAAGAGGGAGGCGGAGTGGCACGTCACGGGGAAGCAGGAGGACATCTTCCCGGACCTGGTCAAGCTCGCCGAGTCGTGCGGAGTCCGCGCGAAGCGCGTGTTCACCCGTGACGAGTACAGGTGGGGCCGCAGCGCTACAAGCTGTCGCGTGTGTGTGTGCGTGGGTTTGTGCGTTTTGCGTGGCGTTTTCGTTTTCGCGCGTTGCTGAGGGTGCGTGGGTTTGGTGTGTTGCAGGGAGGCTGTCAAGGAGATGCTGGCGACGCCCGGGCCGTACCTGATCGATGCCATGGTCCCGCACGTGGAGCACGTGCTGCCGATGATCCCCGGCGGCGGGTCGTTCAAGGACATCATCACCAAGGGCGACGGCGACGACGTGTACTGAGCGCTCGAGGCGCGGGGCGGCGGGCGCCGCCGCGTGAGGGACGTGTAGGCTGCTTGTGATGGCATGCGCAAGTGTGTGCGAGGGCGGTGTGTCGGTGGGCGTGTGCGCAAGTGCGTGTGCGATGGGCGGTGGCAGCGCGGGGCGGGGGCGATGCGGCGCGGCCGCGGGGCGGCGGGTCGCGGGTGGCGGGCCCCCGCCGGGCGGGCACAGGACAGGGTCCCCTGACGACCCCCTCGGGCGTGCGGGGCGCGTCGCGGGTGGTTGCGGGGCGTTGGTTGGTGGCTCGGGCAGATTGTTGGTGGATGTGCGTACGGGCGATCGGCTGAGAGTACGCTCATTGTACACGGGCTGATCGCGGGACGATGAACGCGGTAGGCATTCGGCCGGTGGCGGTGTCGCGCGTGGCGGCGGGGCGGCGCGCGACGGGCGGCGCGGCGGCGGTGTCGGTGAGCCGCGCGCATGTGGCGGAGGAGGCGCGGAGGACGTTCGCGCCGGCGGTCGGCACGTGCCGGGGGGCCGGGCAGGGGAGGCGCGTCGCCATGACGGTGGCCCACGCGGCCGCGGAGGGAGCAGGTGCGCGAGGCGTGTCGGGGAAGAGGGGAGGAGGGCGGGGCGGGGACAAGAGACGCGTAGGCGTCGCTTCCTTCCGCAGCGCTGACGAAATCTTCTTGTTGGATAGGCATGCAGCAGCCGGCACCAATCCCGGCTCTGCGCGGCAATGAATCGCACAGATGGCTGCCTTCATTGCATTTCGTGCGCCATATGGCTCGGATTTGCGAAGATTTCGCCGATATGGGCCTCAGAGCTGCTCGTGGCGGCCGCAATCGACCCTCATCAACGATGGAGGGCGCTACATGCACCTCCACCGCCAGCCCCGCGCCGCAACTTCAATCTGCTGCTCGAGCTTGCCTCTCAACAACCGCACACCAGCCCACTTCGCTCGACACCGCGGCCGGCTCGCTCCGGAACGCCGCTGCCTCCCCTTTCTGGCGGGGGGCGTCCCGTAGCGCGCGCACCGCGACCGCCTCCCCGCAACGCATCGCTCTTCCGGGGCAAGTTTTCGCGGTGCTCGAATGTGTGTCGCTGTTTCCACTTTATGCGGTTTCAAGACGGCCCGCACGACCTCAGAGAGCATGCGCCGTCCCCCGCCGCCGTCTGCGCAGGTGCCGAGTCCGGCAAGGGCTCGGGCATGTCCAAGGGCGTCGTCGACACGCTCGTCCTCGGCGGCCTCATCGGGATGTGGTACTTCTTCAACATCTTCTTCAACATTTGGAACAAGCAGGTGGAGACACTTTGCACAACAAAACACGCAACGCTGCGCCTCGCTTTGCGGGTCCGCGCGGCATCCCTGCACCCACCATCGCAGCGAGCACCCTCGTGTTCCACGACACGTCGTCTCCGAGGCCGTTGCAGGTGTTCAAGGTGTACCAATTCCCAATGACGATTACTACTCTTCAGTTCCTGATTGGCAGCGTGCTGGCGTGCACGATGTGGCTCCTGCGCCTGCACCCTACCCCGAAGATCAAGTCCTGGAAGGTCCTCCTCCCCATCGTCCCGCTGGCGTGCGTCCACACCATCGGCAACCTCCTGACCAACATGTCGCTGGGCCTCGTCGCGGTGTCCTTCACGCACACCATCAAGGCGATGGAGCCCTTCTTCTCCGTCTTGCTCTCGGCGATCTTCCTCGGGGACATCCCGTCGCTGCCCGTGCTGGCGACGCTGTTCCCGATCATCGGCGGCGTGGCGCTGGCGTCGGCGTCGGAGGCGACGTTCAACTGGCCGGGCTTCATCTCCGCCATGGGCTCCAGCCTGACGATGCAGTCCCGGAACGGTGCGCTCGCCCTCCTTAACGACCGCAACGAGTGTCGCCAGCGAGGCACACGTGTCACATGCTGCTCACGCAACGTCACAGCAGTCGGTCCCGTGCTCCGTTCGCGCAGTGTTCTCGAAGAAGTTCCTCCGCGAGAAGGCCTTCGACAGCATCAACATGTTCTCCATCATCACCATCATGTCGCTGTGCATCCTCGTCGTCCCGGCCATCGCCATGGAGGGTTTCACGTTCACGACGGCCAACATGACCGCCATGGGCATCACCGACCCCGCCGCGGTCATGAAGCGCGCGGCGCTCGCCGGCCTGGCCTTCCACTCGTACCAGCAGGTGTCGTACATGATCCTGCAGCGGGTGTCGCCGGTGACGCACTCGATCTCGAACTGCGTGAAGCGCGTGGTGGTGATCGTGGCGTCGGTCATCTTCTTCCAGAACCCGGTGAGCCAGCAGAACGCGATAGGGACGGCGGTGGCGCTGTTCGGGGTGTTTTTGTACTCCCAGGCGAAGCGGAAGTTCCCCGGCAAGGAAGGGAAGCCCAAGAGTGCGTAGGCGCGCGCTCGGCAGAAACCGAGCCCCTCCAACGCGGGACCGGGTACCCCTTTCGCTGCATACCATACATTCAATTCTTCGAAGGCAGGCGGGCGCGCGGGACACGGAAGGACGCATCCGCGACGCCTGCACCGGGAATAGGTGAGCGTTGTGCGAGCCGTCCGCGAACGATCGCTGCGTACGGCGTGCGCGCGATGTTCGTCCAGCCGTGCGTCCCTGACCGCCGGTTCGATGCTGGCCGCTCGCGTGCAGGTACATGACACACCATCGAAGGGCGGACTGCTGCGTCAACCGTCGCGTCGAATCGTCGGCAAGCTGTTGCTGTTCGCCGGCACAGTGCTCGCCACGAACAGCACGCTACGCGCTCGGTCTGGACCGAACCACGCCGTCTAGACAAGCCGCACTACAAGCCGAGAACGCCGCGGCGGCGCTGGTCCTCCGCTGTAGCGCGCGCCTGACCAGCACGGCGCTCCCACGCCATCCGTCGAGGGCGCACGCCGCAGCAAGCCACCCCGCGGTGAGAAGGAACGGAACACGTCAATCCTCGGATCTCGTCGCGTCGTCATAGCTCACAGCATAATCACTGTGTCTGACTTGGTCAGGGGCGTCCTGTCGCACGCGCCCCGGTGCGGTGGACCGCGACTGGCGCTTCGCGGGAGGTGTGCCGGCAGCGAGGCGACGACGGCGCAGTACAGCGGGCGCCTGGACGTTGCAGTGCGACGTGATGAGGCACACGCCCCCTGCGGATGAGTTCGGGCGGTGCGCCACGCGACGTCGCGCGTGAGGAGAGCGGCGTGAAGGCCGCGTGCGGTGCGTCGAGGCCACGTCGTGGCGACGTCCGGGTGGACGGTCAGAGGCGTGGTCCCGCACGTGGCGCAGGTGCTGCCGGTGATCCCCGGCGGCGGGTCGTTCAAGGACATCATCACCAAGGGCGACGGCGACGACGTGTACTGAGCGCTCGAGGCGCGGGGCGGCGGGCGCCGCCGCGTGAGGGACGTGTAGGCTGCTTGTGATGGCATGCGCAAGTGTCACATGGCATTTCGCGCGAGTACTCCTAGCACGCTGCCGCCTTGATCAGGACGATAGCACACCCGCATTTCGTTTCGTGCGCGGGTGGTCAATTACTACTCTGTGTGTGCGAGGGCGGTGTGTCGGTGAAGTGCGTGTGCGATGGGCGGTGGCAGCGCGGGGCGGGGGCGATGCGGCGCGGCCGCGGGGCGGCGGGTCGCGGGTGGCGGGCCCCCGCCGGGCGGGCACAGGACGGGGGTCCCCTGACGACCCCCTCGGGCGTGCGGGGCGCGTCGCGGGTGGTTGCGGGGCGTTGGTTGGTGGCTCGGGCAGATTGTTGGTGGATGTGCGTACGGGCGATCGGCTGAGAGTACGCTCATTGTACACGGGCTGATCGCGGGACGATGAACGCGGTAGGCATTCGGCCGGTGGCGGTGTCGCGCGTGGCGGCGGGGCGGCGCGCGACGGGCGGCGCGGCGGCGGTGTCGGTGAGCCGCGCGCATGTGGCGGAGGAGGCGCGGAGGACGTTCGCGCCGGCGGTCGGCACGTGCCGGGGGGCCGGGCAGGGGAGGCGCGTCGCCATGACGGTGGCCCACGCGGCCGCGGAGGGAGCAGGTGCGCGGGGCGTGTCGGGGGAGAGGGGAGGAGGGCGGGGCGGGGACAAGAGACGCTTTGGCTGAACCAGAGCGTGGCATTCCGGCATAGCACTCCGGCCAGTAGGGCACGTCGCGTTCGGCCGCAACCACGCGTCGAGCCCCTCGTTTTCGCGGAAATTCGGGCTCCTCAGTTCCCCTCCTAGCCTGGAGAGCGAGGCTTGGGTCCCAGATGTTCAGGGACACACGGCTAGCGGCCGTCGACGCCTGCTCCAACTGTCCTCGGGGCTGTTGGCCCCGTGCAGCGGCATATCTGTGCCTTCCGGACCGCGTTCCCGCCCCCGCTCGCATACACGTTAGCGCACCAGTCTCCTTGTCGCTGCGTTTGGACCATGAAGCACGGATTGTGCTCCGCGGGGCCACGCACCCTGCGCTCCACACCACCACGACATCCCGGCGACGCCGCGGGCCCAAAAGCATCTTTTCGCGGCGTTCCTGCACACTCCCGCCGGGTCCTGTCGCCCGTCGCCGTGCGGCGGTCCCGATGCAGCGCCACGGCGAGTTCGAGCCCCTCAACCACGCCACCTGGTGCCTGGCCTGCGTGCAGGCGCCGAGGCCGGCAAGGGCTCCGGGGGTCTCTCGAAGAGCACGGTCGACACGCTCGTCCTCGGCGGCCTCATCGGCCTGTGGTACTTCTTCAACATTGGCTTCAATATCTGGAACAAGCAGGTCAGAACCAAGAACTCACAACTTCGCGCATTCGAGCGCCGCAACCCCCAGCTCGCCATTCGGCGCCAGCGCCCCGCCACCACCCACTCACCAGCTGTCCCCAGGACCGTCCCCACCCTCGCGCTCTGACATCCACACACCTACATCTCATCTCGCAGGTCCTCAAGGTGTACCAGTTCCCAATGACGTGCACAGTGCTTCAGTTCAGCGCGGGCGCCCTGCTCGCGAGCGCCATGTGGCTCCTGCGCCTGCACCCTACCCCGAAGATCAAGTCCTGGAAGGTCCTCCTCCCCATCGTCCCGCTGGCGTGCGCGCACACACTGGGCAACCTCCTGACCAACACGTCGCTGGGCCTCGTCGCGGTGTCCTTCACGCACACCATCAAGGCGATGGAGCCCTTCTTCTCCGTCCTGCTCTCGGCGATCTTCCTCGGGGACATCCCGTCGCTGCCCGTGCTGGCGACGCTGTTCCCGATCATCGGCGGCGTGGCGCTGGCGTCGGCGTCGGAGGCGACGTTCAACTGGCCGGGCTTCATCTCCGCCATGGGCTCGAACCTCACCTTCCAGGGCCGGAACGGTACGACGCCCGCACGCCACGTGAGTGTACGACGCGCCCACCGCCTGACATCGGTTGGCCGGGCCCTGATTGTTCACCCCCAGGCGCCCTGTGCGCGTCGCTGCAGTGCTCTCGAAGAAGTTCCTCCGCGAGAAGGCCTTCGACAGCGTCAACATGTTCTCAATCATCACCATCATGTCGCTCTGCCTCCTGATTGTGCCGACGCTCCTGGTCGAAGGGTTCACGTTCACGACGGCCAACATGACCGCCATGGGCATCGCGGACCCCGCCGCGGTCATGAAGCGCGCGGCGCTCGCCGGCCTGGCCTTCCACTCGTACCAGCAGGTGTCGTACATGATCCTGCAGCGGGTGTCGCCGGTGACGCACTCGATCTCGAACTGCGTGAAGCGCGTGGTGGTGATCGTGGCGTCGGTCATCTTCTTCCAGAACCCGGTGAGCCAGCAGAACGCGATAGGGACGGCGGTGGCGCTGTTCGGGGTGTTTTTGTACTCCCAGGCGAAGCGGAAGTTCCCCGGCAACCAGCTCAAGCCCAAGGGCGCCTAATCAACCCGCGGCGGACCAGCTCTCGCCGTTCTGAGTGCACCAGCGCACGTGGCGTGCAGGCGATTAGATTTTGTAGGTATTCCCGCCTTGCTGTGCGCGCTGGCGCCCCGCTCGCACGTCTGCGAGCTTTTCCCCGCCGGCTCCGCGAGGCTGTGACGCTGGCAACGCGTGCGAAGAGCGCCGTGCATCACAGGCTCGCGGGAGAGCCACAACTCGCACACAAGAGTTGGTATGCCATCTTGAGATTCGACTCAGCCCTACTGGAACGTCTTGCCGGACTGGAACCACTTCCGGATGGCCTCGCCGGCCTTGCCCATGGCCGGCCCGGCGGTCTCGGCGACCTTGCCCGTCACCGCGCCCACCTCCTTGGGATAGAGCAGGGGCACGGCGACGGACCCCACCAGCCCGGCGCCGAGCAGCAGCTCCACGAACGCCGCGGGCGGCTTGCCCTCCTTGCGCTTCGCGCGCTTCGCCTCGCGCTTGCTCATGTTCGCGTACTTGTCCTGCGACGAGAGACGACACAAGCGCAGTCGTTCAGAAACAGGCGTCATATCGTTTCATCTCCGGAATCAACGACGCAGCAAGCGCGCAAGTCTGCCTGCACATGCACAAACAGCTGCAGGGGCCGCAACGCGTGCAGCGCACCTTGGCCTCCTTGTAGCTCTTCGCCTTTGACGATTCCTTCTTAGGCTCCTCCTTCTTCTTCGGCTCCTCCTTCTTCTTCGGCTCCTCCTTCTTCTTCGGCTCCTCCTTCTTCGCCTCGACCTTCTTGGGCTCCTCCTTCTTCTTCGGCTCCTCCTTCTTCTTCGGCTCCTCCTTCTTGGGCTCCGGCTTGGGCGCCTCAGCCTTGGGCGCAGGCTCGGGCGCTGGCGGGGGCGTCGGCCGCTGGTACCGCGGCTTCGGGGCGGGCTTCGGCTCAGGCTCCGGCGCGGGCTCTGCGGTCACGCTCGGTCCGCGCACGTTTGCGTCGCCTCCGACGCAGGCGTGATGCTTCCAGTCAATTTGCTTTCAATGCCCAGTGCGCGACACGGCCGCAGAAAGCGGGAGCTCCTCAACAGCTATGCGACGCGAACATGGCCCTCCGGGCAGTCGAGGGGGGTCTCACCGGACTTGGCCTCGGGTGCGGGGGCCTCCTCCGGCGCAGGCGCAGGCTCGGAGATCGTCGGCTTCGGCGCCCTCGGAACCTTCGGCGACCTCTGCGTCATCGCGGCGTAGTCGGCCGCGGACAGCTCCGCCAGGGCGTCGGCGGGCACCGCGGCACCGCCGGCAAGCAGCGCCGCGGACAGCAGCACCGCCGCGAGGGCCTGGTTGGGCGCCGCGGCGCGCTCGGAGCGGCGCGTGGCGCGGGCCACGGCGCGGGCGCCGCGGCACTGCGCCGGCCTGCACGTGCGAGGGCGACGACGGCGCGCGTGCGTGTGCATTCAGTCCCAAACGCGCGCAGAGAAGCATCGAAGTGCGCTGTTCGGGGCAACGTGCGCGCTTCCTCGCGGGCCGAGCTGCATTCTCACTCCCTGATTATCACGTGACAGGCTGAAATCAAGCGCCATCGCGCGAGGCAGACCCGCCACAGGGAGGAAACACAGTGCCATCAGCAGGCGACGTTGAGGGGCGTGAAACGCGGCGTCTACGGCAGACAAGCAGGAATCACGCCCACGCACGGCGCACCCGCGATGTCCAATGGCAATCGACGCGGACGCGCGGGCGCCGGCGGCGGGACGTGCGCGTCAGAGCCGGCGCGGGGCTCTCAGCGTGGATATGCAATTATGAGGCGGTCGCGGGCGGTGTATTCTGGAAACGGACCAAATCATGGAACAGGGCGCATCATCAGGTGTCTGATTGGCTCTGTGGCGCCGAATGGTGGCGCGTGGGGCGCTACGTCCGCGGCTGGGCCCTGCGCGCTGCATGCGCTTGCGGGCGCCCGATGTGCGGGCACGGCGCGGCTTTGACGCACCTTGCGGCCTGAACGCTCGCAGGCTTCAAGGAACGCGCGCTTGAGATCATCCTGCCAGGTCTGTGCGCCCCCGCCGCGTCAGAGACCCCTTGGCACCAACCCAGCAACTGATTTGCCCAGGATTCGCCAGACGCAGGCAGCGGGGGCGTGGTTCCGGCCCTTTCCACTTCCGGCACCTCCCTCGCCCGCACTACGAGCCGCGAACGCTACCGCATGGCGGCCCCACGCGCCCCGCGTCTGTACGCTGCGCCCAGCATATCTTAGCGGCTCGCCGATGCGGCGACCGCTGCGTCAACATGCAGCGGCAGTGTGCGAACACAGCTTTGAGGCAGCCAAGTCACAACGGAGCTGCGCTCGCCACGCGTGCTCGGCCCCGGTGCGCTGGATCGAGCGGGGCCGCTGCTGCACGTGTGCGGCACCGTCGGCGCGGGCGCGTGGCGTTGCGGCAGGGAGAGGTAGGGGTGTGTTGTCTGGGTCGTATAGGTTCTACTTCCGCTCCGACTTGTAGATCTTGTCGGGCGAGGAGATGGGCGTCTCGATGTCCTTGCGGGCCTGCGCATCGAACGGCGAAGCGCGTCCCGTCAGCGGCGTCGCGTCGCGGCGCAACGACGGCGCGCAACATGCCACGATGCGCGGCTCCGCGGCAGGCGGGGGCTTGCTGACGCCGCGCAGCGTCCACCGGCGACCAGCGCGTGCGCAGACGCGGCGAATCTAGCACGGCTGGGAGCAGGCGGCGTTGTTGTGTGAGCAATCCGCACCGACTTCGGCACATTCCTGGCCGGGCCCGCGCCCTTGCCGTCCTCCGTCATCTGCGGCGCGCGCGACGTGAAGTTGCTGTACGCGTCCGCGGCCGACAGCTTCTCGGCCTGCGCGGCGGGCGCCAGCGTCATCGCCGCTGCAGTGATCGCCAGCAGAGAGCCCGCCATCGCGTCGCGGCGCGACACGACCGCCGCGGCGCGGACGCTCGAACGCGTCTGCTTCCGGCACACGGCGGACCTGCGCGGAAAAAGCGCACACAAGGCACGACATGCCGATGTGAGTTCCTGCCTCATGTTTGATGCAGCGTGGGCGTCGATGCGGGCTCGTTCCGTCACGACGCAGCCTCGATGCGACACGGAGGAGATTGCCGACATCGACGCGACGTGCGGGCTCGCAAGGTGTCGCGGGTGCGGAGCCAAGGGGCGGCGCTTGTAGCTGTTGGACAGAGGTGAAGGGACCCACCGCGAGACGAGGGGCGAGCTGCAGGCGCTGGCGGCGATCATCGTGGCTAGCCTTGAGCTGTTGCTGCAAAGTGCGGCTGTTGGGAGTCCGCGTCGGGGCAAAGAGCCGCGGCAGGGCGGCCGGGGCTGTGCGGCTCAGGAGACCCCACCAGGCGCCCCTCGGGGGCGTTTGTCGGTGCCGGGTGCGCCGACTTGGGGCTTTGCACGCATGGTCCGGGTCAGAGCGTGACATCGCGCCCCTGTGCTGGAAAGTTCAACCACGAATTGGTGAATCTCGAGTCACGACACAGCACATCCACTTGCGAGCGCCGCACATCGCGAGGAGCGCGGCCACCGCACATATCCGGCCCTCTGTCGATGCTTTGACACATATAGCAAATGTGGGAGAAGCCAGTCCTCGAATTCGAGGGCTGCGGGGCGTGTGCGGCTCGCAGGGGCCTGCCGTGCGCCCTCCGCAGCCCCCGCGCGCGGCCCCTGCAGCACCGACGCTCGCTGAGGGCGCGCGCAGAGCGTGAGAGTGTAGGCAGCAGCGCGTCAGGTGCCCCGGCCGGGGCGTTCGACGAGGGAACGAAGGGACAAGTCAGGTGGCGATGACCCTCTGCAATGACGCGGCGCTGCGCCATCGCAACGCGCAAAGCGGTCGCCAGACCCTACCAACAGATCGAGTCACATCCATTCCACGCCGTGATGCCGTGTTATTGAGCGGGAAACCTCACGGAGCGCGTTTCTCTCTTCACTGCGCACGTACTGTCGCAGGCAAAATCTGTTCAACACGATCGCCCCCGAGTACGACCGCCTGAACGACCTGCTGTCGCTCGGGCAGCACCGCATCTGGAAGCGCATGGCGGTGCAGTGGGCGCGGGCCGCCCCCGGGCACAGAGCACTTGACGTATGCACCGGCAGCGGGGACCTCGCGTTCCTGCTCGCCAAGGTCCGCCCCGCGGCCACCGTGCCCGCGAACGCCCCGACGGCTCGTTCGCGCGTTCCGTCTCCGTCCTGGGCGCCTCCTGACTCAGCGCGTCCACAGTCAGACACATGCACATCGATGAAGTGGGGGTGTCTCGTCAGGCGACCGCATTCCTCGACCGGCCGTCCGCGCACGCAGGCAGTGGGCCGGCAGGGCAGCGTGGACGCGGTGGACTTCGCGCCGAACATCCTCGCGGAGGCTGCGGCGCGCCAGCGAGCGCTGCCGCCGATCAGCCGCCTGAGCACGCCGATGCGGTGGATCGAGGGCGACGCGATGGCGCTGCCGTTCCCGGACGAGACGTTCGACTGCGCCACGATCGGATACGGCCTGCGCAACGTGTCGGACCCGCAGAAGGCGCTGTGCGAGTTGCGGCGCGTGGTGCGCCCGGGGGCGTGGGTGTCGGTGCTGGACTTCAACAACGCGCGGGACAACCCCCCCGTGCAGTCCGTGCAAGCCTTCTTCCTGGAGCGCCTCGTGGTGCCCGCAGGTACGCCCCCCGCACCGCGCCTGCTGCAACCGCCTGTTTTTTCACCCCGTCCCGTCGCCTCGCGTCGCCCTGGCCGCACGGACCGCTACGTCGTTCTCGTCTCCTGCGTGCAGCGACGGCGGTGGGGCTGCGGGCCGAGTACGAGTATCTGAAGCCTTCGATCGACGCGTTCCCAACGGGGCGCGAGCAGGAGGCGATGGCGCGGAGGGCGGGGTTCCGGTCCGCGCGGCACTACCCGATCATGGGCGGGCTGATGGGGTGCCTCGTGGCGCAGCGGTGACGGCGCCCGGCGCGCGTAGGGCGCGTATGTGTTGTTGTGATGTCAGCGCCGACCGCGGCCACGTGCCAGGCGCGAAAAGTCTTGGAATCGACGCCGGTGCTGGGGTGGTGTGCCAGGGGACGGCTGGCGTGAGAGATTGGCGATATTCGAGGTCGTGCGTGCCCGTCACGGGCAGGACTTGTACCTCGTGTCCACGCGTGGCCTGGGCGTCGTGCGGTCCCGGGGCTGAAGGGGCGGCGCTGGAGCGCAAGAGGTGGTACTACCAGGTGGGACTTTGTTCGGAAAAAATTCGGGCCGCAGACGGTCAGGGGAACGATGAAGGCTCTGGGCTTGAAGGATGCGATCGCTGGCGCCGATGAGAAGGCCTGCGGGGGTGCGTCTCGTGCGAGGAGCATGCAGTGTCCCGAGAGACGCGCGCGCGAACCTCTTCTGCGTCCCTTGCCGCCACGCGCGCCTCGACCGTTGAGCTCGCATGAGGAACGCGCTGGTTCCGACCCGTTCGGGGCATAGTTCCGTTCCGTCGTGCGGAGAGGGGATGAATCGGAGCAGTCGCAAGCCCAAAGCGCGTTGCCGGCGCTGGGCCGGGCAGGTGCTCCGCGTGGACCAACAAACCGGTCGACTCACGAACCCGGCCACTGCGTGTCGGTCGGCCTTGTACCTCGGACCCGAGGCAGCGCGTTGGACATCTTGCGAGTCGTTTCTTGGGACGCGGTATCGCATTTTCTCGAACGAGCGCCCAAGACCGAGTTTTGACCACCTTGACCATCCTCTGTCCTAGGCGCCGCTTTCTCGTCGTCGGCGGCCTAGGACGCCGTGTTCCCAATACACTCCAGGACGAGACGATCGTTGGGTCCTAACGCGCCGAGAAAGCGCGTCGCTTCATGCACCGCCCGGCCGGTCCCGCACACGTCCCAGCCTTGACCTGTTCGCCGCGCCCCGCAGGCGGATCCTCGCCCTTCTCCCCCATCGGCCAGGTCGGAGCTTCCATCATGACGCTACGCAAGACCATGCACGACCTCAGGATGCTCGAGAAGCCCATCGACAAGTGCGCCCACCTCTGCCTCGCACTTTCGCCGCCCCGCGACCCCCGAATACGAGCGTCACCCCGACTCGAACCCCCGCGCCCCTCGCAGGTACATGTTCCTGCGCGCGCTGTACGAGCGCTCCCCGGAGCTCCACTTCCAGCTCCTGATGACGAACACCGAAGAGACGCTACCCTTCATCTACACCCCCACCGTGGGCGAGGCGTGCCAGCGCTACGGCGAGCTGGGCATCCAGACGCGCGGCTGCTACATCACGCCCGCGGACCGCGGCAACATGGCCGCCAAGCTCGCCCCGTGGACGTCCCAGAACATCCGCGTGATCGTCGTCACGGACGGAGAGCGCATTCTCGGCCTCGGGGACCTCGGCGCGGGCGGCATGGGCATCTCCGAGGGCAAGATCCTGCTGTACACCGCGGCGGCGTGCGTGAACCCGAACCGGTGCCTGCCCGTCTGCCTGGACGTGGGCACCAACAACGAGGCGCTGCGCAGCGACCCGACGTACCAGGGCGTGCGCGAGCCGCGGCTGCGCGGGGAGGAGTACGACAGCTTCGTGCGCGAGTTCATGGAGACGGTCAAGGACTGGGCGCCGCACTGCCTCATCCAGGCAAGACGAGCCACAACCCTTTCGTGTATGTTGTCGTTACCTATCTTTGCTTATCTAGCGAGAGACGGGTTTCTCATGATTCTCGCATCAGTCTCTTGCGCCTACACGACCCTACGCCCCCGCGCTCACACGCCCACCTGACCCCCCCCTCCCCTCTTCCGACCCCCCCCTGCAGTTTGAGGACTTCGGCAACCAGAACGCCTTCCGCATCCTCGAGATGTTCCAGCCGGACTACTGCTGCTTCAACGACGACATCCAGGGCACGGCCTGCATCGCGCTCGCGGGCTTCCTCGCCGCCCTCCGCGCCTCGGGCGGCCGCCTCGCCGACCAGCGCGTGCTCTTCCTGGGCGCGGGCGAGGCCGGCACCGGCATCGGGGAGCTCATCGCGCAGGAGGTCGCCCGCCAGACGGGCGCGGCCGTCGAGGACGCGCGCCGCGCGTGCTTCTTCCTCGACTCGCGCGGCCTGGTCTGCAAGGACCGCCCCGGGAAGCTGCAGCACCACAAGGTGCCCTTCGCCCACGACGTGCCGTTCCTGCCGGACCTGCTGTCCGCCGTGGAGGAGCTGCGGCCGACCGCGCTCGTCGGCGTGTCGGCGCAGGCGCGCACGTTCACCGAGGCCGTCGTCCGCAAAATGGCCGAACTGAACGAGCGGCCCATCATCTTCCCGCTCTCCAACCCCACGCACCTGGCGGAGTGCACGTTCGCGGAGGCGATGGAGTGGACCGACGGGCGCGTCGTCTTCGCGTCCGGCTCGCCGTTCGCGCCGCTCGAGCGCGACGGCAGGGAGTTTTACCCTGCGCAGGCCAACAACGCGTACGTGTTCCCGGCGGTGGGGCACGCGGCGGTGCTGACGCGCGCGACGAACATTCCGCCGGACGCGTTCCTGATCGCGGCGGAGACGCTGAGCGGGATGTCGGATGCGGAGGACATCGAGGCCGGGTCGTTGTTCCCGCGGTTCACTGAGATCAAGGACGTGAGCGTGGAGATCATGGCGGCGGTGGCGGCGTGGCTGGTGGAGCAGGGCGTGGGCTCGGAGCCGGAGCGGTTCGGTGGGGACTGGAAGGAGGAGGCGCGGAGGGCGATGTGGACGGCGCCGGGCGCGCTGGGCACGCCGAGCATGCGCCTGATGCACATGCACTCGCTCAACCACTCGACGCTGCACGACAGCGACTGCGACCTGCACTCGGTGTCGCGGCGCGACATGATGGCGCTCGCGGGCACCGTGATGGACATGATCGAGCACGGCGCGCTCGAGACGGCGTGAGGCGGTGGCGTGGGGGCGGCGTGGACGCCGTGCATGCTCGCAGGTGGTTCCGAGGGGACGAAATGAACGCAACACAATGCTTGACACAGAACGTAAATGAGACATGCGACTCTTGTGAGACTTTTGCTATAAATCACTCCCGCCATGCAAGTTTCACTCCCCCGTCATGCAAGACACTCGTACGTGGGACAAGTCAGAGTCACTTCCATCCGAACAACCTCTTGATTGCGCCCATGATACCCCCCCCCTGCGCTTGCGCCGGTTGGGACTCCTCCCGGGGGGCCTCCCTCCGCCCCGCCCGCGCCGGGGCGCTCTCGCTACGAGCCTGCACTCCCGCATCCTGCCCCCGCGCCTCCTCCGCCCTGCCCTCGCCCCCCTGCGCCGCAACACCCCCTCCCTTCTTCTCGCTCCGCACTGGCTCTTCCCGCGGCCCCTTGCGCCGCTGCCCCGCCTCCCTCGCACCCCGACCCGCCTCGCTCCGCCCCGCGCTCGCCTTCCGCCCGCCACCGCTCGCACCAGCGCCCTCCTGCCTCTGTTGCCGTGTGCCCGCCGTGCGCTTCGCCGGCTCGCCGCCCGCGGCCGCCTTCCGCGGGGCCTTCGGCGCCGCGACCTCCTCAGTCCGCGGCGCCTTCGGCTTCGCTCGCAGCTTCGGCACGCCCGGTTGCACCGCCCTCATCACCACGCGGCCTTCCGCAGTCTCAACCGGCGCCCCCGGCGTCGGCGGCGGCGCCCCGGGCGGCGCGGGCCCGCGCGCCTTGTTCGCCGCGCTCCTGCGGATGTCCCGCCCGCGCTTCTTGTCCCGTCCCTCCCCGGAAATCAGCCCATTGAAGTCAGCGTACAACTCCGCCACACGCTCCGGCGCAGTCTCGTTCGACGCGGGACTGTACGCGAAGTTGCGCCCCGTGAAGTCCGCGACCTCCTCGCCCACGTCCTCCTCGCGCGCGCCGCCGGCCTCGTACAGCGCAGACAGGACGCTGTCCTCTGGCTGACCTGCCGTCTCGCCCGGGCGGCGCGGCCGCTGCAGGGCCGCCTCGGCGGCGGCGGCCTCCTCGGCGGCGGCCTCCTCCTCGGAGCGCCCGCCGCGGTCCCCGAAGATGTCCTTGCGGTTGCGGTTCTTCGTCAGCAGCTGCTGGCGTTTGCGCGAGAAATCCTCCGCCGTGAGCGGGCGGGCTTCGCGGCGCATGCGGGCGGCGTCGAGCGAAGCCTGGACGGCCTCGCGCGGACCGGACCCGATGTTCTGGTTCCGCTCGAGCTGCTTGCTCCGGCGCAGGCCCGACTGCGCGTAGTCCTGCCCCTGAAGCAACGCATCAAAGTCCGAATACAGGTCCCGCTCGTCCTCGTCCGCGAACTCCCGCATGAACTCGTCCTCCTGCGATTCAACAACCCAGAAAGCGGCCGAGCGGCTGTGTTCGCCGTACACGCGCGCGGCACGCGCCGCGAGACACACGGTGCTTGTGTGGTGTCGATGCGATTGCGCGTGCCCGCGGGCGCTTCCGTGCCGGACTCGCCGCGAAGCACGTCTCCTGTGGATGCGGTAGCGGCGGCGCGCCCACCTTGAGCGTGCCCAGGACGTCCCCCTGCAGGTTGGCCTCTAGCTGCTCTCGCGTCCGGCTAGGCTGCTCGCCCATGGCGCGCCCGAAGTCGACGTATCCGGCGAGCCGCTCGCGGTCCGTCGGGCCGTCGGTGCGCAGCTTGCCCTTGCCCAGGCCGCCCTTGCTTCGCCGCTTGCCTCCGCGATTCCTCTGCGTGTCGAGGCCGAGAGAAGCAGGTCCGAGGTGGGGCGCCGAGCGGGGAGGCGCGGCGCGGGACGCGTACATGGCCGCAAGACGATAGGAACTACGATGAAGAGGCCAGGAAGGCTGCGCGAGGCTGCGGAAAGGGCCGGGAGAGGAGGAACGGGGCGGTAGGGCACGCAATGAAGCATCCCCGTGTTTTGGTCACTCCGCACCTGTCCCTTCTTCCCGAAGCACGCCACGTCGCGCCCCTTGCGCGCGCAGAGCCGCCCGTGGCGCAGCGGGGGCGCCCTGACGGGCACAGCGCACGGCATGGCTCCGGGACCGCGTTGCCAGCACGCTGGCACACGAGCGCGGGGCGGACGGGCTGAGGCGCCGAGGCGGCGGGCTGCGACCCTGGCCGCGAAGGGGAAGTACACGGGACGGCGTCCCGCCTGGCCCTGGACGCGGTTCGCGCGCGGCCGGGCCAGACGCGCCCGACTTTTGCGAGAGGTCCCAGTGGGGGTTTCTCGCAGCCTCGTCTATTCCTGTGAATAAATCGCGCGAAACGGCATCTCTCCGGACACATATGATATTGTGGAACGTATTTCAAGCGTCATACCGTTCTAATTTTCCATGATTCGAACAGCGCAGGGTGTCCCCCTCCACGGCTTGTAACGAGCCCGCCATGACCGGTAGAGTGCTCCAGCGCCTCCCACGCCGGCCCGGACGGCCGCCTCTGCGCACCGTCTCCGCTCCGGACCCGGCCGAGGAGTGCGTCCGGGACGTGGGAACGCTCCACGTCGACGAGGAGCCGTTATTGACCAGCGAAAGCGAGACGCTCCCACGGGACTCCCACGACGACAGCCAGCGCGGTGCGCCCCCCCCCCCTGCAACATCACGCCATGCAATCCTGGCAGTGCCGTTTTCGAGGGATTTCAGCGCTGTTTCGACGCCTGTAACGCCCGGGTTGACCACCACAGGCTCTCCGCGGGAACTGGAGGAGGAGGAGCCGCGCTGCGCGCTTCTGGAGTGCGGCAGCGACATAGTCAAGAGGATCATCAACCAACTAGCGCCCGCGGACGCGCAGCGGTTCGCGTCGTGTTCGCGGGAGACCCTGCGCATGGTGTTGCGCTACAGCACCGCCACGCTGGACGCGGCATCGCTGCTCAACAGCGCTCTGCCCGCCGAGGAAGCCGCGAAGCTCCAGCACAAGACAGACGCCGAGCTCCTCGACGTCCTGGCCCGCTGTATGGGCTACTTGGACTACGAGGCCCAAGGGCGGGTGTCTCTGGCAGGCGCGGGCGTCGGGGTGGTCGTGTGGGAGCTCGGAAAGCTCCGCGAGGCCGCGGACGCGTCCAGGAGACGCTACGGCGTCGTTGCGACGGAGCCCGTGCTGTGGGAGATGGAGTTGCGGGGCACGGCAGACTCGGTCGTGACGCTGCGACTCGTGGACTGCGAACGCACCGCGGGACACTACTGCAGGCTGTCGGAGGGCATGAAGAACCTCGTGGAGCTCGACCTGTCCAGGAGCAATCGCCTCTACCCGGAAGGTGAGCGCTCCGACCCCGCACGCCGAGCCGCGGACGCAACGAGCGGAAGAACAAGTTGTGTCGGCGCGGGGGAACCGCCAACAAGCACACGCACGGACGCGGCGTGTCGGGCATGCGCGTCTGGACCGCGCTCTTTCCGTGCCACGTGGGCCCGCGCCCGCGCCGCCCGCGCGCGTCGGCCGCAGGTGCCTGCACTCAGGCCTGTTCCGCTCCCGCCGTTGCAGGGTTCCTGCCAGCGAGCAGCGCCGGCGCCGTCCGCGTCCTGAAGGCGCCGTTCAGCAACCTCTTCCGCGTCCCGGAGCGAATGGCGGCGCTGCGCGAGCTCAACTTGTGGCGCTGTCTGTCGCTGGACGTAGACCACTTCCTCCCCGCGAGCTCAGCCGCGAACCTCAGCGTACTCAAGCTTGGCCGCAGCACCGTGCAGCGCTTGCCGGGCTGCCTCGAGGCCCTCACGGAGCTGGACGTGACGTCGTGCGACGCCCTCGACGAAGAGGGCTTTCTGCCGGTCAGCAGCGGCCGGAGCCTGCGCGTCCTGCGCGCCAAGGACTCGAACATCGCGCGGCTGCCCCGTGCCATGCTCAGGCTCCGCTGCATCGACGTGGAGGGGTGTAGAAACCTCAAGGAGGACTTTTTGCCGCAATCGAGCGGGAGGGCGGTGCGGTCGATCAAGGCGTTCAACAGCGCGCTGAAGCGCCTTCCGCCGCACATGGCCGCGCTCTCAACGGTCAACGTGCACCTCGTCAAGACCCTGCATCGCGACTGGCTGCCCGGAACCAGCGCCTTCAATCTTCAAACTGTAGATGCCAGGGAATCCAACCTGGCGCACCTGCCGGACGATCTCTGCGCGCTCGAGGACTTGAACGTCGCGGGCTGCGCGGGCCTCGAGCCCGACTTCCTCCCGCAGCGCGTTCCACAGCTGCGGTGGCTGCGCGCGCGCGGCGCCAACGTGTCGAGGCTTCCGCGGGACGTGCCGGCCCTGGAGGAGCTCGACGTGCGCGACTGTCTGCTGCTGCGCGTCGGGCAGCTGCCGAAGGCGCCTGGCGCGAAGTTCCTGCTCTGAGCGGGGGTGTGAAAGCCTGACGTCTTTGTGTGCCCCCAGGGCAAAGCTGGGAGGTGTTCGGGCAGGCGCGCGTGTAGGAGTGGGCAGTGAATGGCTCATGCGAGCGTTCGCGACGCAGTTCAGGACTTGTCGACTCGCTGCGACGTTGAGGTCGCGCCCCCCAGTGCCAAGTGCGCTCTCCGAGCCGCTCCTCCCCGCCGGACGCTCGCTTCCCGCTTGCGCCGAGTTGAGCAGCAGCTCTCCGAAACCTTCAGGTACCCGGCTCGTCCGTGCCATGGCGCGCCGCGAGAAGGCCGCGGCCATCGAGGCGCCTCCAGGGCGTAGGGCCCGAGCGCGCCCGGCGGTCAAGAAGGAGGACGACGGCGGCTGCTGCGACAACGGGTTCGAGAAGAGCCCCAAGCGCGCCCGTGTGGCCGGAAAGAAGGACGAGGGCGACGCCAAAGGTGACGCCAGACCCCTCGCCCCTCGCCTAGGGCATCTTCGGCCTTCCGTTCGCCTACGACCACTCCTGCCACGTGACCTCCCGCACAGTATCCATCTGCGACAAAGCATGCTGTTGATGGAGCGAGAGCACCGAAACGCTGCGTCCAGCGCGGCTTCTTGCGCTGTAAAGCAGGCCCAGGCAGCGCCACATGATTGCGCGCGCGCTCCCCGCTGCGGCCCTCCGCGGCCCGCCCTCCCCGCCTCGACCCCTCCTGGCCTCTACCTTGCTCGCCTGCAGTCGGGTTCGGCGACACGCCCGTCACGGCCCCGCTCGAGCTCGCCGCGACGGAGGCCAAGCCCGCTGCATGGACTGTAGCTGTCAAGTACACCGGTAAGCGCGGTCGTTTCGAGGGGGCCTGCGACGCGGTCGCCACGCGCGCCTGGCGACGGCTGAGCGGTACCTGGCAGCCGCCCCCGAGCGGGCCTGTTCTTGGTATCGAGTCCCGAAGTTGCGAAAACGAGTCTCCGTTGCTTGTTTCACGTTGCAGGCCCGTTCGAGGACTTCTCCGGCCCGTCCGCGGAGGAGTGCGTGGCGGCGACGGCGGCGCTGGTCGACCTGCACGGCGCGCCCGTGCGCCCGGCGGCCAAGCCCGGCGCGTCGACGGACTACCCCCACAACGACGAGGCGGTGGGGAGCAAAACCATCCTCGAGAAGAAATACCCCCCCTCGGAGTCCCCCGTCCTCGACTCGCTCGTGCGTACCATCCTCAGCCAGAACACCACCGACATCAACAGCCTGCGCGCCTTCAAGTACGCGTTCACTCCCCCCCCTGCACGCCGCCAGCCCCGCAACGCTCGCTCGGCGGCCGCCCGAGCGCCCCCGCGCCGCTCTCGTCCGCAGGCAGCTCAAGAAGGACTTCCCGACGTGGGACAAGTTCCTCAATGCCCGGGACAGCGCGTGCGAGGACTCGATTCGCTGCGGCGGGCTGGCCCAGATCAAAGTGGGGCGCATCAAGCACATTCTGCGGACGCTGCAGGCCGAGCGCGGCGCGCTGTCGCTCGAGTACCTGAACGCCATGTCGACCGAGGACGCCCGCGCGGAGCTCGAGCGCTTCCCGGGCGTCGGCCCCAAAACAGTTGCGTGCACTCTCATGTTCGCGCTCAATCGGCCCGAGTTCCCGGTCGACACGCACGTGTGGCGGATCGCGAAGAACCAGGGGTGGGCGCCGAACCGCGCGTCGCGCGAGGAGACGTACGAGCACATGAATTGCAAGGTTCCGGACGAGGTGAAGTTCGACTTGCATGTGTTGCTGGTGGAGCACGGGAAAACGTGCCCGCGGTGCGCGAAGAACGGGAACAACCGGAAGGAGAGCGTGGGGAAGTGCCCGCTCACGCCGGCGTCGCTGGCGAAGTGGCGGGAGGTCGTCGCGGCCGGGGACTCGCGGTACTCCCCCGGGTGCCACCTGTGAGTCAGGGGGGGTGTGTTAACGCCGTGGAGTGATGGGGGGGCGCGGGCGGGGCGCGGCGCGCAGTGTGCGGTGTCGCGAGGGAGTGCGCAGTGGCCGGACGACAGCTGGGAAGATGGTAGCGCGGTCGAGGAGCTATGCGTGCGGACACTAGCCGCGGAGAGCGGCGCAGGAAGCGTGCTGCGAACGTGGAGGTAGAAGCGGCGGAGCGGCCGGAGAAGCTCGCCCGGCGCGAGACCGAGGTAGAAATGGCGCAGGGGGCGGGGAACGGCGCGGCGGAGGCGCGCATGCTCGGAACAAAGGTGCGTGGCTGCAAGGGTCCTTGTGGGCCGGTGCTGCGCGAAGCGCGGGCTCCTGCTGGCGAGAGAAGGTGGCGCAGGGGGCGGAGGAGCACGGTGGACATTGTGCCGGAGGTATTCCGCGCGGGACGGCTGTGTGCGCGGAGCACGAACGCACCAACGACTTGTTGTCTCCGTTGGGCTGTGCGCAGGGGGAGATAGAACGTAGTGAGTACATTCGGCTGCTGCAACAGGCTCTGAAGGATATAGGGTACGAGGAGATCGCCGAGCAGCTGCAGAAACAGTCCGGGATCGCCTGTGAAGCGGACCAGGTGCGGCACCTCTGCACGAGACGCGTCGCCGTCCGCGACGCCGAGCCGGGATCTGAGGGCGTTGGTGGCGCCGAGGATCGCGCGGTTTCAGTGAAACGACGGAGTACTTGCGGCCTGCGCGCGCTCTCGGAGGCACCTGAAGCTGGGCTGGACCCCTCCGCCTTCGTCGCACGATGCATTCGCCCGACATGGACTGCCCCTGTCTTCTGCAGGTACCGGTCCTGCGCAAGGCGATTCAGTCCGGGGACTGGGCCGCGGCCACCGGGGCCCTCGATGGTCTTAGTTTCGCCTCCGAGACCGACCGCACGGACGCGCGTTTCTGGATACTCGAACGGTCCGTGGTAGAACTCATCGAAGACGGCAAGGTGCGGCGCGCAAAAACAGCGGAAATCCCGCGATTCGCGGAGCGCACGAACGAAACGTAACCGCACGCAGGTACTCACGCTCGTCGCTCACGCCCCGCCCGCGCCCCCGTCGTCCCACAGACGGACCAGGCGCTCGAGACGATCCGCAAGCAGGTCGCGCCGCTCGGCGTGCACTCGGAGCGCGTGCACGACATGGCGGCCTCCCTGCTGCTCCCCGGCATCGCCGCGCTTGGCACCTCCGGCGCCGAAACGGACGCCGCGGCCAACGGCCACGACTCCAGCGACCCCAGCCGCCACGATGCTCGCAAGCTCCTGCTCTCCCGCATCGAGGTGCGCGCGGAACGACCCCACACGCCGCGCAACGCGCCACGAACCCCACCCCCGCCACCACGCACACCTTCCGCGGCGCACCCCTTCCCCGCAGAGCATCATGCTGCCCAGCATGATGGTCCCCGAGCGCCGCCTGGAGACGCTCCTCGAGCAGGCGCTCAGCTGGCAGGCGGAGCGCTGCGTGTACCTCAACACCTCAGGCCCGCGCGGACTGATGAGAGATGCGGACGCGACGCGTGACCAGCTGCCCGGACGGCTCGTCCAGGTCCTCGAGAACCACGCCGACGAAGTCTGGCACGTCGCGTTCTCCCCCGACGGCGCCCTGCTCGCCGCGGCCTGCCGGGACGGCAGCGTGAGTGTGTACGATGTGGATCCGGTCGCGCAGTCGGCGGCGCTGCGGACGACGCTGAGCGGCAGGGACGCGGCGACGGCGCTCACCGCTGCGCAGGACGCGGGCGCTACGAGCGGCCACGGGGACGCGGCGGCCCGCAACGGCAACGTGTCGCCGGCGGTGGGCATGGTGGCATGGCAGCCGCCGCCGCGCGGGGGCGGGTGGCACGAGGGGCAGTCGTGCCGGCACGTGCTCCTCACGCACGCGCTGAACGGCCGCGTGACGATCTGGGACGCGGAGACGGGGACCGTCATCCGCGCGTTCGACAGCCGCGCGGAGCTGCGGGTGGAAAACACCCCCGGGGGGAGTGAGCCGCAGGGGGTGTCGACGTGGCACCCGTCCGGCCAGTCCTTCATCTCCTCGTCCGGCCGCACCGTCGGCTGGTTCCGCCTCTCGACGTTCCTGCAGCGCTACCCGTCGCCCGACGTGCACCGCATCGTGCCGCCGGCAATATCGCTGCACCGCGCGAGCCGGCCGGTGAACGACGTGGCCGCGATCCCCGGCACGGACCGCATCGTGATGGTCATGGGCGACCGGCGCCTCGGCATCATGGACCTCGTCAGCGGCGCCGAATCGCACATCACCCTCTCGGAGCCGCCGACGTCGTGCATCGTGTCGAGCGACGCGCGGCGGGTGCTGGCGTCGACGAACAACGCGAAGCTGCTCGCGTGGGAGCTCGACGCGAACGCCGCGACCGTGGAGGACTGTTTGGCGGTCGAGCCGGCCCAGGAATTCAACGGACAACCAGATAGGAAAGTGAGGTTCGTGGTGCGGTCTTGTTTCGGGGGCCTGGAGGAGGCGTTCGTGGCGGCGGGGTGCGAGGACTCGCAGGTGTACGTGTGGCACGCGTCCACGGGGCGGCTGCTGTCGGTGCTGCCGGGGCACTCGGGCACGGTCAACGCGGTGGCGTGGTCGCCAACGGCGCTGCATCTCATGGCGTCGGCGTCGGACGACCGGTCCGTGCACCTCTGGGGCGTGCCGCCGGCGCTCCTCGACCACGGCGCGTGAGCCGCGGGCGCGCTACGGACCGGCGCGCGCGCCGGGGGCTGTGTACAAAGCGGGGGGTGTGTACAATAGATACCAGGCCTGTCCTCCGTGCGGTAGGAATATCTCGCAGGGGGTGTGGGCGGTAGGATCCGCAGCAGGGGAAGCGTGTGAGGTGTCCCGCAGGGGCGAGACGCGGCGAGCTCGGTGCGGCGATGTCAGACGGGCTGGAGAGACTGTGAGTGCTGCTTTCACAATCAAGTGCCTTTGTTGCGAGCTGGCGGCGGCTACGACCCGAGCAGCGGCCCGACGGTCCCGAGGAAGACGCGGCTGAGCGCCTCGCGCACGTCCGCGGGGGCGTCCTCCGTCGCGATCATCTCCGTCATCAGCGGGAAGAAGGCCTTGAGGTTGCGTTTGAATTCCTCGGCTCCCAAAGCAGCCACCGCGTTCAGAACGGACAGCACGATCGGCGCGCGCTGCCGCAGCTCTGCAGGAACGCGCACGACCCGGGCGCGTCAGGCCAAGCCAGCGCCACAGCAACGACACACAGAAAGAGACCTCTGGCAACGCAGGACTCGAGAAAGCTCGATTGGAAAGAGCTCGATGCTGGCAATCGTGCAAGCTTGGGCCCCGCGCCGCACCTTCTTGCGCCGACACCAGCGCCTCGCGCGCGCTCAATCCATCGTTCATGCCCTCGTCGGACTCCATCGCCCGACTGTGGCGCTTTGGCAGCGACGTGAACACCTCCAGCCCCGACACGCACAGCGCGACCATGCGGCCGACCGCGTCGCACTCCCGCAGCTCGTCCCGGCTCAGCTTGGCCGCCCGGCTGCGCATGGGGGTGTTTCCTGCCTGTGCCCCCACCTGGATATGCAGCAGGATGCTGAGGTACTGGCAGGCGGCCTCGCGCTCGAGGGAGAGCAGGGGGGGGTCCTCGATCGCCGCGTCGGACGGCACGCGCGCCGCGTGCTGTGCGCGGGCCAGGCGCAGCCGCAACAGGTAGTCTGCAACAGAGAAACAAAAGGGAACAGCAATAAGGGTCTTAGCGGTTCCTGCAGGTCGAGGCGTCACTCCGAGATGATACCAGCCCGTGCGCGCACGATGGGCCAGCAATGACAAGGCGTGCAAGCGCGCCGTGGCGCGGAAACATCCGCCGGCGGCGCGTGCGTGCGCGCGAACCATTGTGCGCGTGCACAGGGGGGCGTTCGGGCCGCCGCTCACCGCCGTCCGCCTCCGTGGCGTGCAGCACGACGTCGCGCAGGCAGTCGAGCATCGCCTCGAGCGCCGGCAGGCTCAGCGAGTCCACTGTCTTCGCGTACATCTCTCCGAGGACCACCACCGCCAGGTGTAGGACTGCGATCGCCACGCGGCACCGGACGAGCTCCCGCAGCCCGTCCGTCGTCTGCAGCGGGTTCCGCCACGCCCGCACAGTCTCCATCACCACCTCCTCCTGGTCCATCACCACCCGCTCCACCCGTGTCTTCTTCTTCTTCTCCAACACCTCCCCGGACACCCCCCCCTCCGCAGCCCCGCCCTCGCCGGCCTGCTCCGCCACCGGGCCCGCGGGCGGGGGCCCGCCGGCAGCCTCCCCGCCCTCCCTGGCACCGCCCTGCGCGTCACCGCCCTCGTCAACATCGCTGTCCTCCACCTCGACTTCGACGTCCACTTCGACCTGCTTGACTGTCGTGCGCGGCTGCTGCTCGTCGACCTCGGCGGGCAGCAGCTTCGCCAGGTCCGGCCGCAGCGCGCGGACCGCGCCGCAGAGCCGCACGACGAACTCGTCGCGCGTCCCCGGGGGGAGTTCCGGCCCGACGTCGACAAGAAGCTGCGTCAGGAGGCGCAGGCTGACGGACGCGAGCTGCTCGTGCGGCCGCCCGATGAGGTCCGTGAGCACGCCCACGAGCCGCGGCAGCGACGGCTCGACCTTGTCGTGGAACGCGGACGCCAGCGCCGCCAGGTGCGGGAACGTTAGCGTGCACGTGTCGCACAGCCACTGGTCGGCGTCGTACGACGACCCCTCCTCCTCGCGCGGGTCCCCGGTCTCGGGCACGACCCCGCCGCCGTCGTACAGCGGCAGCACGACGCGGTCCATCACGCGCGTCCAGAATGGGCCGGAGAAGGACCCGCCGTGGTAATTAAGGATGTCGAACACGACCTCCAGAGCGGAGCGGCGCACGACGGAGCGCGGGTCGTACGCGAGCTCGCTGAGCCCGACGAGCAGCGGGAACCAGAAGTGCACGTGCGACTCGGAGTCGTCGAACAAGGGGTCCTGTTTCGCCGGTGAGGCCTTGGGCGGCGCCGCGCCCTCCGCGGACGGCCGCGACGACAGGGAGCGGCGCGCGGTCGGGCTGGTGGCGCCCGGCGAGCCCGGCGCGTCTGGCCGCAGCACGGAGCCCTCCGCGAGCTTGATCGCGCAGTAGCGCAGGAAGGCAATGGCGTTGAGGGCCACGTCGGTGGAGTACCGGTTGTTGGCGTACGCGATGAGGCAGTTGACGCAGTCGGTGAAGACGGTGACCTCGGTCGCGGTGATGTGCGCGAAGTGGTCCCGGACGATCGTTTCCATGACCGTGAAGCCCAGGCGCACGACGCTGCTGCGCTCGTCGTGCGCGCCGGCCGTGAACACCATGAACATCGACTTCCAGCCGGACTTGATGTTCCCCACGCGCGACTGCACCATCTGGAGCGTGCACCGCACGACGAGCTCGCGGATCTCGGCCGAGGGGCTGTTGCGCATGACGGTGACGAACGGGCGCAGAAAGTCGTTCTGGAACGTGAAGTTCGAGAGCTCGTCGCGCTCGAGGAACTTCATCGCGAGCTGCCGGAGGGAGTCCACCGCGTACATCGCCACGGGCATCGACGGGTGGCATCCCACGGCCGAGAAGTGGTCCGACAGCACCGCCCAGATCCGCGCCCACACCAGCCGGATGCGGCCCATGTTGAAGTGCGCGAGCTCGACGATCTTCGACAGCGAGAACACGCGCAGCGCGGCCGGGTTCGACAGCTCCTCCTCCGACACCACGCACAGGGCGCGCACAAAGTCGACGATCGCCTCCGCGCCGAGGACCTGGGACCGCACGAAGAGCCGCTGGATGGCCTGCGGGTCCACGGAGCGCAGGGCCTGCAGGGCGGTGTGCGGGAGCTCGCGCACGTCCAGCACAAGGTTCTGCACCATCTTGCTGGAGCTCGCGGGCGCGCCGGCGGGCGCGGCGTCGCCGTGCGGCGTGCTGTCGCCGTTCGCGGAGGGCGCGGTGGCGAGGACGGACTCGGGGTGCGCGGTCGCCGTCGCGGACGTGCCCGACGGCGCGGAACCCTCAGGGGCAGTGGTGGACATCGAGGGTGTCCGGACCGCCGCCGTTGACTTCCGCGCCGCGGGCCCCTCGGTCTTCCGGCCCAGCAGACGGCCCATGGCGGTCTTCGGGGGCGACGAGTGCTCGGCGCGCGGGGCGCTGCCGAACAGGATGGCTTCAGGTGGTGCGCCCGTTGCGAGCAGGTGCAGCGCCTCGAGCTTGCTCACGCAGCGCAGCACGTCGACCCACGACTGCCCGAGCGCGCCGCCGCTCTCCTCGGCCACCCACAGCAGCGTCCGCGCCGCCGCGGCGTGCCGCGCTGCCATCCACTCGGGGTGGTCCAGGCGCGTCGCCTTGACGAGCTCGCGCACGAGCGCGTCCTTGTGCGCAGACATGCCGAGGTGCGCGGCCGCGAGCGCCGACGCCCGCACCCCGGACAGGCACAGGTCCACCAGCGGCGCCGCGCCGTGCCGGTGGAACACCAGGAAGAAGGCCCCGAGGATCGGATGCCACACCGCCTCCATCATCGGCCGCACCGTCCCGGCCTCGTCGATCCGCAGGAACGTCGCCCCGCGCGCCTTGGCGCGCAGGTGCGCGTGCATGGCCTGCACCTCTTCGTCCGTGGGCTCCAGCGCCACCTGCCGCCGCTGCGGGAACAGCGCCCAGATGGCGTCGAGCAGGCCGTTCTGGCCCGTCGCGGCGGCGGCGGTCGCGGCCGCGGCCGCGCCCGGCGCGCCCATCGCGGCGTCGGGCGCGTCCTTCATCTTGATCTCATTGGTAGTGATGCGGTCGTATATCTCGTTCAGGAAGCCCTCGTCGAGGTCCTGGCCGTCGTTGATGCCGCGGTTGTTGTTGATGAAGGCCTGCCGGGTCATCTTGTGCCGCACCATCTTGTTGTGCGCGTCCGTGTTGAGCATGATGACGCTGAAGGCCAGCACGTACGCCACGTCGGCCGTCTTAAACGCGCCCGGGTTGCAGTTGCAGTAGCGCTCCGCGAACTTCTCCTGCGCGCGGCGGGCCGGGCGGGCCGCTGCGGATCAGCGAAACACGCAACCAGAACAAACGAAAGAAAACCAGTCCTCGGTTCCCTTCTGCACTTCCACCGGTCAGCGGGGAAGGAGGCGGCGGCCGTCAGGGGCCGCCAGGGGCCGTCGGCACGCACCATGATGCGGTCGATCTTCTGCGCCTCCCCGGGCAGCCGGAACGTCTCGAGCAGCGCCCGAATCGCGCCATCAAAGTCCATCCCGGCAAAGTCGAACAAGTCGACGAACGCGTGCATCACCTCGACGCACTCCTCCTCGTGCTCGCCCAGGAGCTCCCCGATGGCCGTCTTGTCGAGCCCGGGCGTCTCGAGCAGGAACGTGGCCACCTCGACCGCCGGAGCGCCCACCATGCCCGCCTCCTGCATGCGCTGCAGGCCCTTGCGCGGCTTGCTGTTGAAGAGCGCGATGCCCTCCTGGTACGAGGCCTTGAAGTTGCGCCGCGCCGCGAGCGTGCCCGCGCTCTTCTCGCCGTGCGACTGCGGGCAAGGCCGAGCGGAACGGGACGGAAGATGAGCGGATAGGAGGAACGTGATGGGGAAGTTGAAAGTGTGGAGAAGAACGCAACTGCCGTGTTTCTGGTGTGTCACGCATCACGTGACGAACACAGCAGCGCGCGTTGATGCCGCCGGCCGCTCGGTGTACGCCTCAATAACGCAGGTCTCGCCCACCTCGTTCGCTCAAACAACCACGAGGTGCGCGAGGCCTGTGCGCCATCAAGGTGTACAACAAGCGGCCGGCGGCGTCAGCCGAGGCATCCGTCGGCCCGCAGCAAGGCCGGAACGCGCAGCACGCACCGCCGCATCGCTGCCCCAACACGCACACGCACACGCACACCAGTGAGGGCGGGTTCGCGCACCGAGGGCTCGTTGCTGCCGTCGTCCTCCTGCGCCGCCGCCGCCGCCGCCGACGCCGCCACCGCCGCCGCGCGCGCCGCGTCCGCCTCTGCGTCCGCCGCCGCCGCCTGCACCTTGTACCAGTGCACCAGGCCCTCCTGCACTGACGCCAAGCACTGCAGGCTCTCCATCCGGACGTGCGCCTCCTGCTGCGGCGTGAGCTCCGACTCCCCCGCGACCCTCGGCGCGCCCTTGCCCGCGCCGGCCCTCCCGTTCGCGGCCCCCGCGGCGTCAGCGGCGTGGTGGTGGTGCTCGTGGTGAGCGCCGCGCGCCACCGCGGCGACGCCCGAGACCATGCGCGCGAAGACGTCCGGGCCGTCGAGGTCGCAGTCGTAGTTGACGAAGAGGTCCACGAGGAGCCGGCCGTCCTCGCACATCACGCGCAGGCACCGCAGCACCACGGCCAGGTGGTTGAACGACAGCGTTCCCGCGGCGCCCTGCGACGAGGACACCCCGGCGGGGCCCGACGCCGTCTCGAGGACCTTCAGGAGGATCATCGGGAAGAAGATGCCGACCTGCGCGCACGGGCACGGTGCGTCGGTCGCATGTGACAACTGTGGAGGGTTTTTATTTATGTTCGCGTGCGGCGAGGGCGCGGCGCCCGGGCGTACCTCGGCCTTGAGGTGGTGGCGGTACCGGAGGACGAGCGTCAGGAAGATGGAGCACGACAGGCGGATGGCCTCCGGGATGCCGCTGCTGCCGTTCTTCAGGAGCGCCAGGCACAGGTGTTGCCGGAGGGCCTGGAGGAACGCGTGGCTCGACGTGAACGCCGGCCCGCTGTTCTCGAGGACGATCTTGAGCAGCTCGAGCGAGAGCAGCTTCGCGCGCACCGCGACCGGGTCCACCACCCCGGCCACGTCCGTCGCCTTCGTCGACAGCGCACAGAGCGAACGCAGCAGCAGGTACGCGTCGTGCTTCCACACCGTCTCCAGCCCCGACGCGGACACCGACGACGCCGAGCGGTCCAGGCCCGGACCCGCGTCGGACGCGCGCCCCTCGCCGCCGGAGGCCGCACCGGCACCGCCGTTGCTTGCGCGCTGCGCCGCCGCGTCCTCGTCCGCGCCGGACGCGTGCGCAGACGTGGGCTCGTCCTCGCCGGGGTCCGCAGGCTTGAACGCGTCCGCGAGGCTGGTCACGACCAGCGCGGGCAGCCGCAGCTGCTGACTCCACGCGGACTCGACGTCGCTGACCATGCGGCTGAAGAACCCCCCCACGCCCGACGGCGCGGCGCCCTCCTGCGAGCCGCCGTGCGTGAGGATGGAGGACACCCCGGCGAGGCGGTCCTTGACCACGACGGGCAGCAGGGACACCTCCGCCGACCCCGACTCCATGCGGCGGAACACGACGGTCAGGCTCTGGACCAGCGCCGCGCGCGCGGTGGACTGGTTCTGCTCCGAGCGGCTGCGCACGCGCACGGGCGGCAGAACCCGTTGAGAGCTCCGTACGTTCGATCCAATCGCGAACAACGCACACCAAACACGAAGTCCACAACTCACGCTGGTTGCTGCTCGCATCGCGAGGACGGCGCAGAAGGATGCGCGCCGCGCACGCACGCAACGCAGCAACAGCGCCAGCGACATGCGGCTCAGCACATGCGCCTCCGGGGGCACACACGCACCTGCCAATAGAAATAGCCACAAGGGCTCGGATCGCGTCCAGCAGCGCCTCCCCGTGCGGCTGCAGGTGCGTCGACGTGATCGTGGACAGCAGCCCGCGCACCACCTGCACCTCGACCGCCTCGTCGCCCAGGTCCGCGCACGCGCACATCACCCCCAGCGCCACCGCCGCCGGCGTGACCCCGCTCGCGTCGCCCCCCGGCTCCTTGCCCTTCGCGACCGCCGTCATCGCGGGGCCGGCTGCGCCGGGCGCGCACAGCTTGGCGACGCGGCCCTGGATCACCCCGAGCTGGATGAGCTTTTGCACGCAGTCCACGGCGGGCAAACACGCCTTGGGCAGCCGGGTGTCGGCGGCCATGGCGAGCACGTGCACGACGGACGCGGCCGCGCGCGTGCGGCTGTCGGACGCGCCTGCGGGGCGGTCGCGGGCGCGTTGGGGGGTGAGAGCGCGGCAGGAGGCGGGCGGCGAGGCGGGGGGTGGCGTGGGGGGAATGCGGACCTGGTGCGGCGCCGGCGTGGGGTTTCTGTGCGCCATGGGGAGCTTCGTGGTCGGAAGCGTCGGCGTGGGGCTCCTCGGAGGTGGTGCGCGGCGCGTCGGAGCGGCCGTCGGCCGCGCTGGGCCGCGCACTGGCCGAGCCGTCCGACAGGCGCGCCTGGCGCTTCTCTTCGTCCACCGCGGCGCGGAACAGCGCGTTCAGATCCTTCGCGAGCGACCTGCGTGGCAGTTTCGAAGCGATTCCCGTTGTGCCGGGCGCCGCAGTGCCGTGATGGTGTTCGCCGGGCTTCACGGGGTGCCCGGAAGGCGCCAGGGACGAAGTGTGCGTCGCGGCCCCGGCGCGGGATCGCGCTGCCGCGGGTGTCTTCGCGGGGGCCGGCGGGGCGCGAGGCGGCATCGCGTGTGGGCCGCGTGGCGGGCCGCGGGGGTTCGAGAGGAACAGACTCGAGGCAAGGGCGGCCCTTTTTGCACTGTTCCGGGACTGAGGACTTCGTGGAGTGACGGATTCTCGCCCACGGCGTTGTAAGCGACGTATCGAGGCGGTCGCGGGCGGATGTAAGCCGCGGCAGCCGCGGGAGCGCCGCGGTTCGTACCTGGCAGACTTGATGAGCTCCGCATGCCGCTTCGGGTGGCACGCCGTACAGATTTGCTCCAGGACTGGAGAGACGATGCTTGGGGCAGACAGGCTCATGCTTCCAGCGCCCGTCCAGGGCTCGCAGCGCGCCTGGGGACGGCGAACTCGACTGGGCGCGGGTTTCACCAGCCTCTGTGCGCGCTACCTGCGCGCAAGGATTCGGTGGCGGGCCGTGATGAACGCGCACTGACACACGGTATACAGCGCGCGTCAGCAGGCAGAGCGTTCCGGCTCCGGGCGCCCGCGCTGGCAACGCGGGACCAGGACTGAGTCCGTTCCTCGGCCCGTGGGGCGCAATTTCCATCAATAATTCGTACGCGGCGGGTCGGGCCGCGAGAACACATTTCGTGCCGGCTGCCCGCATTGTCGACGGGCTCACCAGAACGTTCTCGGGCCGGCTCTAGGCGTCGATCAAAGCTCTTGCGGTGTGCCGCTCCGGCGCGGCATCCGCTTCGCGCGGCTCTCGACGTCGCAGTCCGCCAGACGCTTCAGCTCTAGAGCGTCCTTTGCGGACACCCCGGCCGCCGCGCACCCCTTGTCACGCCCGGCACGGGCCGAGAGGGGTTGTCCGCCAAAGAGCCCATGAGGACCCTCGCAACGGCCGTGCAGCTCATGCGGGCGCGCTCCAGCGACGCGCAGGCACACCTGGTGTGTCAAGGTGGCCTCACGCGCGAGAGTGTCCCCCCCCGCGCGCCCCACCTTCCTCGACAGTGCCTGGGAGGAAGGGCCGTGCACTGGCTGACGCGCAGCGGCGTCCGCGCTGCGAGCGTGCTCTCTCCGGGTTGGAATCGATCGCGGGGGTCACGTGCGGCGATGGCTGACTCGTCACAGTCGTCTAGCAACGCAGGTGAGCGGACGGAGCAGTGTCAGCGCCTTGAGCTCTCCGTGGGGCTCCCGCTGCTGAGAGTGAGAGTGTGCGTCCCGGCGACTACGGAGCCAATAGACTCTCCTGTCCAACGTCGACGCGCGCGACGTGCTCGCAGGGCGGACGGTGACTGTAGCGGTCGCACTCGTTGGCGGGTGCCTTGTGCTCGGACTGTGGCTGCTGTCGTCTTTCTTCCCAGAAGGCATTGCACGGGGAGGACGCGACGAGCTGTGACCTACACCTAACCATGTCCCAGGGCTCACCAGCGTGGCAGGGAGCGTCCCAGCGACACTGCGTTCGCCAGGTGGCTCGAGAGCGCGAAACGGGGCGCGCAGTGCCCGAAGGCTGCGCGTGGCGACTTCGGTAGCATGTTCTGAGGCAGCAGGGCGTCGCGCAGCTACGTCCGTTCATACCTGACGCGCGTGGCGTGCCAGCTCAGGGCACCAGGTGATGTGCATCTTTCATTGCCGTGCGTCCGCGGCGATCAACGCAGAGGCGTTGGTCTGCGCCCCGCGGGAGCTGCATGCGTGTGCAAGGCGAGGGCGTGCCCGAACCGCACTGCGTGCGTCGGTCCAGCTGAAGCTAGTCATCGGCTCCGTGGCTTTTCTCGCCTCGGGTAGAGCTAGCCAGGGGCGTTGAAGGCGCATTTCTAGCAGGAATTTCAGTAGCCACGATGTTTAGGCATCAGGCGCAGCGGCTCGCGGTCGGAGCCAAGGTCGCCAGCCTCCAGGGCCTCGTCCAACAGACGTTGGTGGCTCTCCAGCACACAATGCAGTGCAGGCAAGCGGTTTCCCGCGCCCGCCAATGCTGCACGCTGCTCACGAGTGATCCCGAGGTTCCCGGGCATTGCACACATCGCTCCTGGACACGCTCGCAGGGCTATGGCCAGGGCACTGGTGCTGGCGGAACAGACGGGCGGCAAGGTCTCCTCGTCGGCCGCACGCGTCGTCACCGCCGCGCGCGAGATGACCGACGACGCCGAGGTCGACGTCCTGGTCGCGGGCGCGCGCGAGGACGTCGAGCAAGCAGCACAGCAGCTTCGGGTGCGCAACCCACACAGTGCACGCCCCGCGCGCCGTCCGCGCCCCGAACGTCGCGAAAATCCGACCTGAATGTCCGAAGGTGTATCTCCTGTGCAACCCCACCGAATTCCAACTCGGAAACGCAAAGTTCCGCGCGCAGGGCTGTTTCTATCCCAAATGCTCTCTCCTTCCTCGTTGCCGCGCAGAACATCGACGGCGTGCACCGCGTCCGCACGGCCTGTGCGGAGCGCTTCCGCGAGCCCCTCGCGGAGCCCCTCGCCGCCCTGCTCCGCGACCTCGCCGCGCCTGACGCAGGGGAGTACTCTCACTGCGTCACCGCCGCGTCAGACGTGGGGCGCAGCGCCCTCCCGCGCGCCGCCGCGCTCCTCGGCGCCTCGCCCGTCACCGACGTCGTCCGCGTCCTCCGCGACCGCGCCGCGTTCGAGCGCCCCGCGTTCGCCGGCGACATTCTCACCGTCGTGCGCCCGGCACCAGGAACCACGCCCATCTTGGCTACGGTCCGGCCGACGGCGTTCGAGCCGAGCGGCGGGCGGGCCGAGGCCGCGGCGGTCGAGGCGGTCGCGGAGGACGTCGTGCGGCGCGCGGCGGAGACGCCGGGGGCGGCGTTTGTCGCGCGGTGCGCGCCCACGAGCGGGCGCCCGGACCTGGGCTGCGCGAGCGTGGTGGTCGCGGCTGGCAGGGGTCTCAAGAACGCGGGTGAGCCGCCTGCGTCCTGCGCGCGCGCGCCGGGACGCGCCGCACCGCGGTTTCGCCGCGTGACGCTCTGAGTTGGTCTGACTGACTCCGTGGTGCGCTTGCAGAGGGAGTGAAGCTCGCGCAGGAGCTGGCCGACGCGCTCGGAGGCGCGCTCGGTGCGTCGCGGGCGATCGTCGACGCCGGGCTCGCCACCAACGACCTCCAGGTCGGTCAGACAGGAAAGGTGGTTGCGCCCGACCTATATATAGCGGCGGGGATCTCCGGGGCGATTCAGCACGTTGCGGGCATGCGGGCGTCGCGGGTGATCGTGGCGATCAACACCGACGCCGACGCACCGATCACGGGCATCGCGGATTACACGCTGGCGGAGGACGCGGCAACGGCGGTGCCCAAGTTGACGGCGCTGCTGCGCGCGAGGAAGAAGAGCTGACGCGGCGCCGGCGAGGCGTGTGTGAGGGAGAATGAGACGGAGAGGGGAGCGGCGTCCAGGGGGCGAGAGTTGCCGGGATGGTCCGTGGGGGGGTGTTCGTCCGAGAGCATGGGGTGGTGCGGGTCCGTGACGGCCGGCGCGGTGCGGAGCCAAGGTGGCGAGCTTCGCAGGGAACGGATAGGTCCAGACGAACGTAGGAGTGCCTGCCCGCAGCGGGGCTCGTCGCGAGCCGCGCACACTCATGGGGGGGGGCTGTTCCAGGGTTGTTGGACCATCGACACCCGCGCTGAATGCGAGTTTGTCTCAACTCTGTGTTTCGTGCGCCTACTCCACCGCTGTTGCTGGTGCGCGGCCGCCCCTCTTGACGCTGGCCAATCGTGCAACTCACACGCGCGATCATGCCAGCCATCGGAGCCCCCGACCGGCCGCGACATCGCGTCTCGATCCCGCGGGCCGGCTGTCCGGCTGCGATCGATCGCTGGTTAACATGCTACACCTCCGACACCCCGGGAGGGTCTTAAACGTCGGGCACGACATCCCCCGCGGAGTGGAAGCTGTCCTCCCTCTCGGCAGCAGCATCCTTGCCGTTGCCGCTCTTCTCCCTGCCACTCTTGGTCATGCTCCGGACACCGTACTGCATCTTTCTCGACACCGTGCGTCCCGACAGCGCCACGCGCTTCCACTGCGCCGCCGCGCCCTTGATGCGCGTCTCACGGCGCTGCGCGCGCGCGTACGACGCCTTCAGCCGCTCCGTCGCGATCCGCACCGCCATGTCCGCCTCGTCCTCGGTCTTCGCCGTGCCCCCGCCGTTGCCGTCGCTGCCGCCGACCTTGAGCTTACGGCTGGAAGTGAGCCCGCCGAAACGGAACCGCGCCGAGCTGTACAGCCCCACGCGGTGCTGCGCGACCACGCTCTGCCAGTACACCTCCTCCTCGTCGGTCAGCGGGCCCAGCCGCGGCCAGCCCTCCGCCGGCCGCTTCAGCACCGCCAGCATCCAGCGATTGGCGTACTTCTTGCCGAGGAGGTGGTCGCGCTCGGCGCGGGACTCCTCCTCGACGACCTCGCGGACGTCCTCGAGGCGCTTCTCGCGGAGGGAGGTCGAGAAGAGCAAAAAGTCGATGAGTTCCGTCGTGACGTCGTAGATCTGCGAGATGAGGTTGAGGGCGAACCCTGCGAGGAGGAAGATCATGAGGATGTCGCCGAGGGTCTTGGCCGTGTCCGCGCGGTCCGTGGGGTCCGAGATGGTCTCGACCGCGATGATGATGGCCAGGATGAGCCACACCGCGACGTACTCGCACACCGACTGCAGGACGTCGATCAGCTGGTCGAGGTTCGCGGCGTAGGGCTGGAAGGTCACGAGGAGGAGGATGTTGACGCTCATCAGGATGATGAACCCGGCCATCTGCGCGTCGCCCTCCGTCGGGTCGGACACCGACGACACAAGCGCCAGGAGGAACATGAACACCACGCGCAGCGGGGCGTTGAACGCGGTGCCGTACATCATGAACGTGCGGAACGCCGAGTACTTTCCGCCGGGGTACCACGTCTCGAGGTACCCGCGGTTGAACCGCTTGATGTTGGGGTCGAGCTCCCAGGTGCAGTTCTTGCGGACGACGTACGGGCCGTGGTAGTCCTCGAAGATGACGCCGAAGCGCATGAAGACGTTCATCTCGGTCTTGTTCCGCGCGCGCCACTCGCCCTCGGGCGCGCGCCGCCAGATGCCGAGCGACGACCACGGGCCAACCTTGCGGCCCTTCCAGTGCTCCTCCGCCTCCGCCTCGTCGACCTCGTAGAAGATACCGCGGTGGAACGAGTCCAGCGCGACCTGCACGAAAAAGAGAGAGAGAGAGAGAGGCCATGACGATCAGAGCGGAGCGTCCTGCGGCAGTGCAAGGAGGTGCACGGTGCCGTCGGCGACGACGGGAGCGGCACCGACCTGCGTCGAGTACACCATCCAGGCGCAGTACAGGATCATCGGAATCGGCACCAGGAAGATGATGATCCACCCGAGCGCCTGCTGCCCGTCGCGGTCGTCCTTGATGAGCGCGCCGGCCGTCTCGGCGAGCGCGGGGACGAAGAAGTAGAGCGTGTAGATCTGGAGCCGCGGGAAGAGCAGCTGCGCGGGGTACCACGGCTTGCGGCCCGTCCTGGCGTACTTGAGGCCCCAAACCACGGTGGCGAGGATCTGGACCAGCGTCGCCACGCCAAACAGCACGATCATGATGAGGATCTGCTCGCCCGTGGCGAGGAAGAGCCGGTCCACGTCGTCGTCGACGCTCACGTTGGACGCCGCCGCGGCGGCCTCCTGGCCCGACTGCAGCAGCTGGCGGCGGTGTTCCGGAGTCACGCGGTCGCCGGGGAGGACCTGCCACGACAGGTGCCGGACGCCCCACCCGGAGGAGTAGTAGTCCTTGGCCCACGCCTCCACGGCGTACCGCGGCGGGCGGCCGAAGAACTCGGTGTGCACGCGGCCCCAGACCTCGACGAGGATCACGTGCTTGGCCGTCTCCCAGAACCCGCGGTGCTGGTGCCCGTACGGCCGCTCGCCGCTCTCGTACGCCGCGCGGATGTCCAGGCACGGCAGGCCGTCGCGCTCCGCCACCTCCGGGCTGTAGAACATGCACACCGTGTACAGGCCGTGCAGCCCCTCAGCGTGGCGCCGCGGGTTGCGCAGCATGCGGTCCACGTCCGACTGCGTCAGCCCGAGAATGTTCTTCTGGATCTGCCGGCGGCGGTACGAGTCCGCGTGCAGCACGCGCGCCCGCGGGCCGAGGGCGTCGCCGGCGTATGCGGGGTAGCTCAAGTGCAGGTGGCCGCGGCGCGGCATGAGCGAGCCCGCGGGCGTCTTGCCCAGGGCCTGCAGGCGGCGGCCGAGGAGGGACGTGACGGCGCCCGGCACGGGAGTGGCGTTCGCGAGGTCCTCTTCGGGAGGCACGCAGTCCCTCTTCTTGGTGTCGTCGCCAAACACGATGCCCTTGGCCATGAACGGCTCGGCCGAGCACCCGGCGGCGGACAGCATGGCCGGGTTGGACGGCTCCTCGCTGTTCGACACCATCTTGAGCTTCTGGATCGTCCCGAGCATGATGGTGAGGCCCGCGCCGCCGCCGCCGCCGCCGCCGCTGCTGCCGCCCGCGCCGCCGCCCGCCGCGCCGCCGCCTGCTCCGGCCGCGCCGCCACCCGCCGCACCACCCGCCGCAGCGCCCGCTCCGGCCGCCGCGCTGGACGCCGCCGCACCGGCCGCCGCAGCGGCACCGGCACCCGCACCCGCAACGGCCACGGAGGTCGTCGCGTCCTCCGTGGCAGCCCGGCTCACCGTCGCCTCCTTGAATGTCGTCCTCGCGACCGTCGGGTTCGGGCCGTTGGTGTTCCCGGCCGTGTCCGTGAGCGCCCCGGGCGGGATAGTGATGGTGAAGTCCCCCGCGGCCGCGGGCTCGAACAGCACGCGCAGCCGCGTGGGCGAGACCACCGTGACGGCGAGCTGCCTCGTCTGCGCCGTGCCCTCCACGACGATGCGCCCCTCGAACGACGGCGGCACGATGATGGGCCCGCCAGCGATGATGATCTCGAACCGCAGAATGGGGTCCGAGAAGTACGCGGGGACGAGCGCCAGCGACGGCACGGGCGGCGAGCGGTCGACGAGAACGCTGAAGCTCGCGCCGAGGTCGTTCGTGCGCCCGTCCGACGCCCGGAGCGCCCCGGCGGCGAGGTTTAGCGTCGCGGTGCCCTCGAAGGTCTCGTCGATGGTCGCAGTGACCATGTACGCGTTGGTCCCGGCGGGCGTCACGGCCGTCACCGTCAGGCCGTTCGTCGTGAACGAGCTCGTCGTCGGCACCGCGTCGGCGTCCGACTGGATGGTGACCATCACCGAGAAGCTGTCAGACCCGCGCACCCACGCGTACTGCTGGGCCGAGGTCGGCGAGAGCTCGTTCAGGCCCTGGTCGTTGAGCTGGCTCGTCGTCGAGTCGAGCACCCTGGCCAGGCCGTTCACGGGCTGCACGGTGGCCTTGAACTGCCCCGGGTTGCTGGACCGCACCTCGACGGGCGGGCGCGGCTGCGCGGGGATCGCGCTGGCGGGGAAGCCGAGCAGGCTGCTCGAGACGGTGATCGAGTTGAAGAAGACCGTGCCCGCGGGGTTGTAGCCGCTCAGCGGGACGGCGCGCATGGCGTTGCGCAGGCTGGTTGCGAAGGCCGCGACGCCCGCGGCGCCGTTGGCGTACACGGCGGGCCCGCCGACGGAGAACGTGACGAGCGCGCCCGTGACGGCCGAGGTCTGCAGGAGGCCGCGGGCGCGCTTCACGGGGAGCCTGGTGGAGTAATAGGGGAAGACCGCCCTCATGGTGACCGTGGCGCCGCCGTTGGCGGACACGCCGGCGATGCCGTTGACGAGGGCCTGGATCGACGTCCTGAGCGCGGACCCGCGGTCGTTCGGCGCGGACGCGGCCGCGTCGCCGATTGTCGACAGCGGCTGGAACACAACGCCCGTCGCGAAGACCGTGGCGTTGATCGGCGTCCTGAGCACCTGGTCCACGGTGATGTTCGTCGCGGGCGGCGAGCAGAACGTGTCGACGTGCAGGTAGGCCCCGCCCATGCCGCCAGCAATCACCAACGTCTGCAGGTCCAGACCGGCCGAGAACGTGCTGCGCTGCAACGCAGCGCTGCTGCTCGCCGTCATCTTGAGCTGCGTGTACAGCGTGGCGGACCCGAGGCCGCCCGACTCCGCGATCGTGTACCCGTGCAGCGTCGAACGGCTGTACTGGAATCCAGCGGGAACCGACATCATCGCCACCCCGCGCCCTGCCACCATCAGCTCCTGCCCGAAGAGGTCCTCGCCGACGACGGCGGGGATCGTGAGCGTGTTCGCCGACCCGGTCGTCTGCGTGATGTTCTGCACCACGCCCCCGAGGCTCGCAGGCTTCTTGTACACGAGCACGCCGCCCTGGCCGCTGCCGCCGGGCGAGGCGACGGCGATGTAGGGCGAGTTCCGCGCCATGGAGACCCGGAACGTGCGCCGGGTGCCTTCCGAGGAGGACGACAGGACCGACGGCAGGATCCCCTTGGTGTGGATGCCGCTGGCGACGACCGTCGCCTGGATGCCGGTAGCGGTGTTCGAACTGCCCGTCCGCGAGATGGAGATCGTGGCGCAGAGCAGGGTGCCGGTGTGCGTGGCGGTGAGCGAGTTGGCCGTGCGCTGAACCGTCAGGCAGACGTACTTGCCGTCGGTGGCGACGTCGTGCACTCGCACGCTGCTGAAGGCGCTGTTCGAGAAGAACCCGAGAGCGGCGGTGGCGTTCTGCAGGGCGTCGCGGAACCGCGTGAGCTGGAAGGGCCTCGCGCCGCTGCCACGCGTGAGGCCCGCCACGTAAGTGTTGTCGACAGCGCCCGCCCACACGTTCTTGAAGGCGTTGCTGTCGTGGCTGCCGAAGCCGTCGACGGTGGACACGGCCAGCGACGCCGTGCTGTTGCGGCCGATCGACACCTTGGTCATCTCGCCGCCGCGCCCCACGAGGTAGGTCGTCCCAGTGAAGCCTTGCGCGGAGAACTGATGCGGGAGCCGCGTGTCCAGGTCGGTGAAGTTCGAGCTCCACGCCGTGGCAGTGAACAGGAACTGCTCCCACGTGCCCGTCTCGAAGAGCGAGAGCGCGCCGCACGCGTCGTCGCTCTCGCACGCCGCCGACTCCGCACCGGTGTTGGGCGCGGGATGGGTGCCCGTCTGGCGCGCCCTGAGGAACGACTGCACGTCGAAGAGGTAGTACCGCACGCCGCGGCCCCAGATGCCCGACCCGGCGTCACTCTGCCCGGCGATGTCGAAGCCCCGGGTAGAAAACAGCATGTCTGTCACGACAATCTCGTACGCAACCAGATTCTCCGCCGTCTCGGCGCGGCCGTCGTAGAACGGCGTGATCGACACGTCCGTTGCAAACGAGTGCGTCCACGCGTACAGCGGCGGCACGTCCGCGCCGGCCCCGTCCATGTCGCCCACCGCCGTGCCGAGGCCCTGGCTGGGGAGGTCTCCGCCGAACGTGCCGGCGTGCACGCTCACCCACCGGCGCTCGCTCTCGACGTAGACCGTCAGCGTGAGCGACCACGTCGCCGCGAGGAAGCTCGGCGCCTGCACCCGCGCCTCGACAGGGGTGTGGAACGTAAACACCGACACGTGCGCCCCGAACTCGGCGTCCATGAACTGCTGCTGCGGCATGTCGAACCGCCACGTCTTGTTGCCGACGACGTCCACCCACGTGCCGTTCGACCCGTTCACCAGCGTGTTGCCGAACCCGCTCGTGTACGCCTGCCGGTGGTACTGCGCTCGCGAGGCGATGCCGTCCAGCCCGTACGCCTTGAGCCCCCCTGGCTCGCCGGGCAGCGTACCGTTGACCGGGAAGAGGGAGCCGGCTGGGAGCGAGTTCGCGAAGTTGTTGACCACCGCGCCCTGGACCGGACACGTCACCGCGCGGACCCCCGACGGCGTCTGACGGTTGAATATCGGGGGCGCGACGTCCGAGGGCGGCAGCGTCGCGGGCGGCGGCGTGGGGAAGACGATCGGGGCGGTCACCACGGGCACCGTCGCGACGGGCTCCACCAGGCTCGGCGGGGCCGTGGGCGCGAAGCAGTTGAAGGGCGTGATCTGGTACAGGCGCACGGTGGGCTTCGCGCTGGCCGGCAGGGCCATCGTGCTCGCGATCAGGAAGCCGTCGCCGCGCGAGGTGACGTAGAACGCAGCGTCGGCACCGAATCGCACGCCTGCGGAGGCGTCCTGCGACACGCTGAAGAAGTCGGCGACGCCGACGCTCTGCGGCGCGTCGTCGGCAACCATGGCGGTGTCGTACAGGTACCCGTGGATGGCGCCGCCGTTGCCGCGCAGGGAGGACGCGGCCCCGGTGTTGGCGTGCGGCGCCCCGACGACGAAGACGTTGCCGAAGATGGCCACGCTCTGGCCGAACGCGGCGTCCGCGCTCGGGCGGCCGTTCTGCGGCAGGCTCGTTCTGCGCGAGTACGGCGAGTCGATGAAGTTGCTGCCGCCCGGGCCGAGGAGCGTGAAGGGCTTCAGGCCAAAGCTGTCCAGGTTCCCGGTCGTCGGGTTCGCGAACGCCGCCCTGAACGTCAGTACGCCGCCACCGGTGTCTGTCGGGCACCCGATGACAAGCAGGCCGCCCCCGTTCTCGATGTATGCGACGTCCTGTCCGCAGCGCGTCCCGCGCGACGACGGGATGGTGATCGTCGCCGGCGACCCGAAGTTGCCGCTGGGCGGCGGGTAGGGCGAGTAGTTTCCTGCAGCCGGCGCGCCGCCCGGGAGGATCTGAAAGTAGTGGACGCGGCTGACGAGGGGATCGGGCACGACCAGGACGTCGCCAGTGAACATGAGGGTGCGCCCCGCCATGGAGTACGAACCGCCATGCAGGGTCTGCGAGATTGCGCCAATGGCCCCCGTCTCGCCCGTTCGGAAGTCGTACGAGAATAGGGGCGGAATGAACGACGAAAAGAAGGCGCCCAGGCTTTGTTTCGTGTCGAGGAACCCCCTGACGAGCGGCAGGCTCTCGACGGCGGACAGGCGCCGCGCGTGGCGCTTCGTGAGCGTGGCGTTCGCGAGGGCGGCCGAGAGGCTCGCCGGCAGCGGCGGCAGCCAGAGGCTGTGCCGCATGTTCATGAGCCCCTGGGTGCGGTTGCCCCACGTGAACGTGTAGAACGTGTTCACCGCGCCGGCCTGGCGCGACTGCCCCGCGGTACCCGTACTGCGCATCGGGAACGACTGCGTCGCGTTGTTGTACGCGTTGCCGAACCAGGGCACCGCGCCACTGAAGTTCGTTGGCGGCGCTGTGGTGTTCGTGATCGGGGGCGGCGCCGTGGTGTCCTTGCCGACGTACTCCTGCCGGGACTGCAGGTGCGTCAGGGTGATCGCTGCGCAGCCCGCCGGGTCGCCCGGCGTGCACGTCCGAGGGTTGGGGGATCGCGGCATGGTCCCCTGGTAGGGGTACTCAACGCTGGAGACCTCCCCGGTCAAGATGGCATCCGCGAAGGCCCTGAAGTCGAAGTAGAACTGCCGCATGCCCGTGGCGTAGTGCGCGTTGGTGCCGACCGTCGCGTTGCCCGACACCAGCACGTCTGACGCGGTGATGACCCACCCCAGGAGCGTGGTCGCGTCCTGGTTGTTGCCCGTGACGAGGTCGTGCACCGCACGGACCTGCAGGTCCGTGACGTACGCGTGGCGCCACGCGTGCGGCGCCGTCCCTGGAGCGCTCGAGCCGGACAGCGCCAGCTGCTTCGTTGCGCTCTCCATCGGCGAACACACGAACGTGCCGTTCGGGCTGTAGTTGCAGCCCGTGGCGTTGAAGCTCAGGTCGCCGTAGTACGTGCCCGTGGCGCCCGTGCCCCACACCCGGCCCTGATCGTCGCCCATCTGGAACGTCAGCAGCGGGAGCAGGTTGCCGCTCTCGTCCAGAAGATTCAAACTGATCGCGTACGTCGTGGCCGGCTCGGGCCCCTGGAACGCCGGGTTGAGCGCCGGGTTCCGCGTCGCGTCTGCGGGGACCGACCCCGCCGTGACTGACAGCCCGAACCGCCCCTGCGCGGTGAACACCTCCTGCCCGCGGTACGCCGACGAGGCCTGCCCGGGCGGCATCGGGCTGTTGGGGGGCGCGAGCTGCGGCGCGTTGGCGGGCGGCGTGTACGTCGTCGGCGGGTTGGGGCCGTTCCAGGGGAACTCCCCCCCACTTATGATCTGGTAGATGGTGTCGAAGGGGGAGTAACGCTCGACGGACGGACTGAGGGGGTCCGGCGAGGCTGCGACGAAGCCCGGGAAGGAGCACGTCGGGACGGTGGGCGCCGGCGTGGTGGGCGCGACGGCAGTTTGGCACTGCACGTCAAAGGCGAGCATGTAGCGCCGCACTTCCGGGAACCCCGTCGCCAAGAAGTCGGACTTCCGCGACCCCACGTAGAAGCCGGTCAGGCCCGACCTCACGCTGTTCGACCGCGGCGCGGTGAGCGCCACCTCCGTCCCGATGCCGAGCCCGTTGCCATTGTAGTCCACGCTGAAGACGGTGAACGAGTTGAGCCGCCCGGGCGGGTCGTTGGTGGGCCGCTCGCCCGGGTCGATGGATGTGAAGCGCACGCGCGGGAACGATCCGAGCGGGCCGAGTTCCGGGAAGTTCTGGTTGTCGAGCTGCGGCAGGCCGACGAGGAGGCCGCTTGCGTAGAACGAGATGGCGTCGCCGCCGAACTGCGAGCCGAAGTAGAAGAACGAGAGGCCTCCGCCCGGGGTCACGAGCCAGGGGCGGACCGCCGGGTGGGACCACGATTGCGTGCTGAAGTTGAAGCGAGGGCGTGCCAGGAAGGAGTAGGTGCCCAAGCCGCCCTGGCACCCGACGACCATGCCGAGGAACTCCGGGTCCGCGCGGTCCTTCTGGATGACCGAGCAGCCCGACTGCCCGAGTGTGAAGCCCGCGGCGGCATTTGCTGCCGTCAGGTTGAACGCCCCCGCCGAGCGGAAGTTCGTGGGCGGGTAGGGCTCGATGCCAGCGGAGTAGTTCATGGTGAGGATGTTCCACGGCAAGTAGTACACCAGGTCCGTGTAACCGTCCAGCGCGAAGATGTGGTCTCCGTCGGTCTCCAGCGCTGCCCCCCACCCGCTGTCAGGGCCCAAGATGGCCTCCGAAGCCTTGATCAGCGGGCCGTCGAAGGTGTTGAACGCGACTACAAGGTTGTTGAACGTGTTGTTTGCCGTCGGGATCACCCAGAAGGACCCGCGGAAGTTGTCAAAGCTGTTGAGCCGGTCGCCCCAGGACGCGGTGGCGACGACCAGGACCTGCAGCCCCGGGCACCGAAGTGGCGCGTCGGGCGCAGGCGGACGCCCCGAGACGCCGTGCACGCAGGCGCAGAAAGCCCATGGACGGCGAGCAGCGCCACAAGCGGCTCGTGGCAGTGACTTGGGAAAAAAGACATTTAGGTAGGGTCGATCGGACTACGCCCGGGGAGGGAGACGCACCTTCGTGGCGTCCCGCTGGGACTGTCCCCACACGACGCTGCTGCGCAGCGGCCGCGACCCGTCGCTGCCGATGCCGCGTCCGACCCAAGGCACCGTTACGTTGACCAGGGCGTTGGTGGCGCGGGACTCGCCGTCGCGGCCGACGACGGTGTCCTGGAAGATGAAGGGGACGATGGCCTTGGGGAAACAGTCCGCGCGGTTCCCCGCGGTGCAGGACGTGGGGTTGTTCGCGTTCGGGGACCCCGGGGTGGTGTGCCAGGGCGCCTGTGACGCCAGGTTGCCCGTGAGGATGCCGCCCCGGTAGGCCTTGTAGTCCACCCAGAAGATGCGAACGCCAACGCCGTAGATGCCGTCTGCGGTGGCGCCGCGACGTAGCACGTGGTGAGGTGGGCACCGCAGCCAACAGGGTTAGGCGCGCGTCGGCAGGGCGCGACGATCGGCGGGGACGCGACGGATGCCTGCGAGCAGCGAGCAGGGACGGGGACGCACTGGTGCCCGGGTTCGTGCCCCCCATGAGCATCACGTCGCCCACCGAGACAAACCATCCAAGAAGAGCGCTGGGGCTCGTCGACGTGCCGTCGAACACGGCCTCCACGTTCAGGTGCGTGGGGTACACGAAGCGCCACGGCGCCGGACCGCTGCCCCCGTAATTGGGCGGCACAGCCGAATTCGCCCGGGTGAAGTTCGTGAAACTGCAGGGCGGAGGAGAGAGGCGGCGCCGGGGGGGTCGTCGGCCAGGGGGCGCGCGGGCCGCATGCGCAGCGTGTTCAATCGCGCCGGGGGCGTCGGGCCGGACCTGCAGGCCCACGTGGACCCGGACATATCGCACTGCGACGCGGCAGATCCGATCTCCCCGAGGTAGATGTTCCCGGGGGTGCCGGAGCCCCACAGGAAGGCCGCTTGGTCGCCGAGGACCCACTGCGCGGCCGTGAACGTCGGCTGGGACGGGTCCAGCGGGTCCGACAGGTCGAGGGTCAGGCTGTACGCGTGTCCGCCGGCGGCGAAGTTGGGGTTGGCGAAGGGGCGGTTCGGAGGGTTGACCTGGACGGACTGCAGCGTGACCGTGAGGCCGTGCGCCGCGTCGATCAGCACGGGCGTGCCCTCCGGCATGCCCGGAGCCGTGAGGTTGAGAGCCGGCGACGACACGGGCTGCAACACCGAGAAGTTTGCGATGTTGATGACGTCGAAGTTGACCTTGTCCTCAGAAATCACCTTGACGCCGGCGGTCTCGTTCGCCTGGATGATGTACACCGCAGGCGGGGACTGCAGGTTGAAGTCGAACGTGGTGGTGGAGAACAACGCATACTCGTTGAGGCAAACCGGCTGTTGAAGAGACGTGCTGAACGTCGCGGCGGGTGCGGTGCTCGTCGGTCCGTTGGTCGGCACCGCCGTAGGTGCCGGCGTCGGTCCGAGGGTCGGCGCCGCTGTTGCTGCCGGGGTCGTAGGTGGCAGGGTCGCCCCCACGGTCGCCTGCCGGGCGCCGTTGGTGCAGAAGCTGCGCTCCAGCGTGTACAGCGCGGCGCGGGGGCCGCGGTTGTTGAGGGAGGAGGAGAGGGGCTGCGCCGCCGCCTGGACGAAGGGGAGTGTGGAGCTCAAGTTCCCCCCGAGAGAGGACATCGCGACCTTGCGGCCAGTGAGTGTCGACGCCTGAGTCCTGAACGCGAGAACATTCGCTTGGACAGGGTTGCCAAAAAAGGTGCTGACACTCTGAGCGTTGATGCCCCCCGGGGGAGTGTTGCTGGCCAGGAGCGTCGTGTCGATCTCAAAGAAGTGCACGCGGTCTGCGCGGCGGCACGGGCACGCACGGGCGGAGGTCGAGCGTGGGTCGGCTGCGACGGAGCGGCGCATATGGGGAGGCGTGCCAGGAGGGCGCGCAGGGTCGAGTTGACCCCGGGAGACGAGATGCTCACCTAGGTCCCCCACCACGATGTTGTTGTTCGCCATGCTGACGGAGTTGCCAAACTGCGTTGACGCAACGGTACTTTTGACCGGGCCGTGCGCGCCCGTTGTGAAGGTCGACCCGGACGGGATCGCCGTCGCGTTCCAGAAGCGCAGGCCCGGGGCGTCCCACGACGAGCCCAACCAGCTGGCGCGCCGGTACAGGTAGATGCCATCTGCAGCCCCGACGCACGCACGGCGAGGCGCGCGCGTCAGTCGCGCCTGGGCGCGCAGGGAGCGGCGCGTGCGTGCCAGTGTGTGTGGGTTGGCAGAGCGGCGCTCGGGGTTTGGGGGGCGCACCAACGGACACCGTCGGGGTGGTCTGCGCTCGGCAGGCCCAGACCAGGCCCTTCGACGGAGAGTCGCGGTCGATGGCGATGTCGCCGCAAAGCGTGGAGGCAGCCCCCAGCCCCTGGCCCGGCTCCACGACGCCGCCGTTGTTAAGGGTCGCAGTTGGAAAGGCGCCGGTCTCATAAGTCGCCCCAACGACAGAGCCGACGGCCGGAAACACGCTGCGGGGAGGCAGTGCAGGCGTCCAGCAGTGAGCAACCTGATGCGACACGCACACACTGAGTGGCAGGCAGCGCGGCGGGGAGGGGGGGGGCGCGCACTGGTAGTACGCCATCCGTGAGTTGCCGTCGGAGCAGAACACCCAGTCTCCGTCGGTCCGCAGGAACCGGCAGATCTGCACGTTGTTGCGCGTCACGGCCCAATAGGTCCTGAGCTGGCCGCCGGCCGTGGAGCTCGCGAACGCGGTCGTGCCGTCGGCGGGTCCCGTGATGGACGTGGGGGACGTCGGAATGGGCCAGGTGTAGTGGCGAATAGTGTTGGCAGCCCCGGTGAGCAGGCTCGGGTTCCACGCAACGGCGTCCGCGCAGAAGACGCGGGACGGGTCCGAGGCCGCCTGCCCGCAGCTCGCCGACCCGCGCAGCCCGTCGAAGGCCTGCCCGCTCCACGGCGTGCCCAGGTGCGGCCTGCCGTTCGAGAAGGCGGCGAGTGCCGCGGCGGTGTAGTTCACGAGCGACACGCCGGTTGTCGGGGCGACCCCGACGGCGCCGAGCATGACCTCCTTGCTGCTGAGGTGGTAGAACGCCTTGGCCGCGCAGTCCGTGACGTTGCCGGCCGTGCAGGTGCTGGGCGAGTTGTTGTTCACGACGTTGTTGTGGAAGGTGCCGCCGCCGAGGTTGCCCGTGGACAGCCCGGACTTGAACGCCAGGTAGTCGAAGAAGAAGAAGCGCGTCCCCGTGGCCAGGAAGTCACCTGCACCGCCACCGAACAGGGCGTGGCCGTCAGCGCAGCAATACCGCAGGGCAGGCCGCTCTCGGCGCTGCGTTCCGCGGTCCGCAGGTTCGCGCTCCGAGCCGCGAGCCGCTCCGCACATGCACGCGAGCGGGGGTCTCACCGACGCCCGCCGTGGTCTTGCTGGTCGTCAAAATATCCTTCACCACAATGAAGTACCCGACCAGGTTCGACTGCGTTCGCTGCGGCGCGTTGGGGTTCATCACCGCCACGACGTCCACGTCCGTGACGTACGCGCCGACCCACGGCTTCGGGGCGCCGGCCGAGGAAGACACAGCAATCAAGTTGTTTGGGAAGCTGCAGGCGCGTGGAGGACGCAAGGGGGAGGGGCGCGGTCAGACACGTGCGCCCGCCGCCGCGTCGGCAGCTGCACGCAGCGGCTCTTCAGTCACGGGCAATCACGCCAAGCGCTGGATGCGCACCTGCAGCTCCAGGTGATGGACGAGGCGTTGAAGCAGCCCGACGCCGAGTTGTACACGTCGCCCCAGTACTGCCCCGTCGGGACGCCCGTGCGCGCCGCGCCGATGTCGTCGCCGACGTGGTACGTCCCCAGCAGCAGGTTGGCCGCGCCCTGCGGGTCCGTGAGACTCAGGGTCAGTGCCGTCGTCACGTCGTCCAAGTACGGGCCCTTGCTGCTGCGGGGGAACGCCGAGTTGTTCACCGACGCCGCGAGGACCGTCAGGCCAAAGTCCGACGCCACGTAGTTCTCCTGGATCACCGGCGGTGGACCTGCAACGGCGGGGGCGCGGGGCGTTGCGGTCGGCAGCGGGCGTGGCGGTGGTGGACAGGCGCCCGGAGCAGCCGACAGCCACGCAGCGCGGACGTCGCAGGCGAGCGAGCTCGTGCAGCGACCGGGGCGAAGGTCGCGCACTTCCGACGGCGGCCGGCACGTGCACGGCAAACGGCCCTCCGTCGACTCCAAGCCACGTGCTGGGAGGGCTGGGGTTCCCGTGGGTCGGGTGCCAGGGCAAGTCCGTCTGGCCGATGACGCCGTCGGCCCCGTCACTGAACGACGCAGTCCGGATGATCTGCACGTGCGGGGGGACCGGCAAGCACGCAGGTGGGTGCCTGCGCTTCCTGCCGTCAAGGACGGTGCCTCGCCGATCACGCCCGACCGGCACGACGGCCAGAGCTCAAGGGATGCGTTCCAGGCCTGGATGTGCCGCGGCCGCCTGCTGGATCAAGGGTTGCGGAGGGAAGCAAGCAAGCGAGCGATGCAGCTTGGGGGCGCACGTCAGTGGCAGGGAAAGGTGTGGATGAATTGTAGTCCAGCGTCTGGAGAATCGAGTTTCCCAGCGGAGACGGACAGGTGTTCGAGACGAGGTTCGACCCGGCGGGCGCCGCCGTCGCTGACGGCCCGCTCGTTGGGGTCGGCCCGATGGTCGGCGCCGCCGTCGCAGCTGCGGTAGCTGTTGGTGCCGCTGGGGTTGTCCCGGGCGTCGAGATAGTCGCCTGCCGAACACCGTTGGCGCAGAAGCTGCGCTCCAGCGTGTACAGCGCGGCGCGGGGGCCGCGGTTGTTGAGGGAGAAGGAGTTGGGCTGCGCCGCGGCCTGGACGAAGGGGAGTGTGGTGTTCAAGTCCCCCCCGAGAGAGGACATCGCGACCTTGCGGCCAGTGAAGCCGACCGACGCCTGAGTCCTGAACGCGAGAACATTCGCTATGACGGTAGAGAAGCCAAACGAGGTGCCGAGACCTTGAGTGTTGATGCCCCCCGGGGGAGTGTTGTTGGCCAGGAGCGTCGTGTCGATCTCAAAGAAGTGCACGCGGTCTGCGCGGCGGCACGGGCACGCACGGGCGGAGGTCGAGCGTGGGTCGGCTGCGACGGAGCGGCGCATATGGGGAGGCGTGCCAGGAGTGCGCGCAGGCTCGCGTCGACCCCAGGAGGCGAGATGCTCACCTAGGTCCCCCACCATGATGTTGTTGTTCGCCATGCTGACAGAGTTGCCAAACTGCGTTGACGCAAGGGTACTTTTGACCGGGCCGTGCGGGCCCGCCGTGAAGGTCGACCCGGACGGGATCGCCGTCGCGTTCCAGAAGCGCAGGCCCGGGGCGTCCCACGACGAGCCCGTCCAGTTGGCGCGCCGGTACAGGTAGATGCCATCTGCAGCCCCAACGCAAGCACGGCGAGGTGCGCGCGTCAGTCGCGCCTGGGCGCGCAGGGAGCGGCGCGTGCGTGCCTGTGCGCGCGGGTTGGCAGAGCGGCGCTCGGGGTTTGGGGGGCGCACCAACAGACACCGTCGGGGTGGTCTGCGCTCGGCAGGCCCAGACCAGGCCCTTCGACGGAGAGTCGCGGTCGATGGCGATGTCGCCGCAAAGCGTTGAGGCAGCCCCCAGCCCCTGGCCCGGCTCCACGACGCCGCCGTTGCCCGCGCTCACGGGGAAGGCGCCAGCGTTGGTGATGTACGATCCCGACGGGAACCCTAGAGCCGGCAATAGGCTGCGGGAAGGCAGTGCGGGTGCGCAGGTGAGTGGACTTGTTGCGGCGTGCCCAGACGCGTGGCATGCGGCGCAGCGCGGAGGGGAAGGGGTGGGGAGGGCGCGCACAAGAAGTACGCCATCCGTGAGTTGCCGTCGGAGCAGAACACCCAGTCTCCGTCGGTCCGCAGGAACCGGCAGATCTGCACGTTGTTGCGCGTCGTTCCCCAGTAGGTCCTGATCTGCCCGCCGACGAAGGAGGATATGAACGCGCCTGTGAGGTCGGCGGGTCCCGAAATAGACGTGGGCGACGTGGGAATGGGCCAGCTGTAGACGCGGAGAGTGTTGACGGCCGCGGTGAGCAGGCTCGCGTTCCACGCCACGCCGGTCGCGCAGACGACGCGGGACGCGTCCTGGGTCGACTGCCCGCAGCTCGCCGACCCGCGCAGCCCGTCGAAGGCCTGCCCGCTCCACGGCGTGCCCAGGTGCGGCCTGCCGTTCGAGGCGGCGAGTGCCGCGGCGGTGTAGTTCACGAGCGACACGCCGGTTGTCGGGGCGACCCCGACGGCGCCGAGCATCCTCTCTCTGCTGCTGAGGTGGTAGAACGACTTGGCCGCGCAGTCCGTGACGTTGCCGGCCGTGCAGGTGCTGGGCGAGTTGTTGCCCGCGATGTTGTTGTGGAAGGTGCCGCCGCCGAGGTTGCCCGTGGACAGCCCGGACTTGAACGCCAGGTAGTCGAAGAAGAAGACGCGCGTCCCCGTGGCCAGGAAGTCGCCTGCAACAGGGCGTGACGTGCGCCTGTGTGGTGCAAAGACGAATGAGTGGTGCAGGGGCTGCGGCCCGCGGGCCGCAGGTTCGCGCTCCGAGCCGCGAGCCGCTCCGCGCATGCACGCGAGCGGGGGTCTCACCGACGCCCGCCGTGGTCTTGCTGGTCGTCAAAATATCCTTCACCACAATGAAGTACCCGACCAGGTTCGACTGCGCGCGCGCCGGCGCGGCCGTCACCGGGTTCATCACCGCCACGACGTCCACGTCCGTGACGTACGCGCCGACCCACGGCTTCGGGGCGCCGGCCCCGGAGGACACGACCGCGTTGTCCTCAAAGCTGCAGGCAGGCACCGCGTGGAGGGGGCGCGGTCGGACACGTGCGCCCGCCGTCGCGTCGGCAGCTGCACGCAGCGGCTCTTCAGTCACGGGCAATCACGCCAAGCGCTGGATGCGCACCTGCACGCCCAGAAGGCGGACGAGGCGTTGAAGCAGCCCGACGCCGAGTTGTACACGTCGCCCCAGTACTGCCCCGTCGGGACGCCCGTGCGCGCCGCGCCGATGTCGTCGCCGACGTGGTACGTCCCCAGCAGCAGGTTGGCCGCGCCCTGCGGGTCCGTGAGACTCAGGGTCAGTGCCGTCGTCACGTCGTCCAAGTACGGGCCCTTGCTGCTGCGGGGGAACGCCGAGTTGTTCACCGACGCCGCGAGGACCGTCAGGCCAAAGTCCGACGCCACGTAGTTCTCCTGGATCACCGGCGGTGGACCTGCAACGGCGGGGGCGCGGGGCGTCCCAGTCGGCAGCGGGCGTGGTGGTGGTGGACAGGCGCCCGGAGCAGCCGCCAGCCACGCAGCGCGGACGTCGCAGGCGAGCGAGCTCGTACAGCGACCGGGGGCGAAGGTCGCGCACTTCCGACGGCGGCCGGCACGTGCACGGCAAACGGCCCTCCGTCGACTCCAAGCCACGTGCTGGGAGGGCTGGGGTTCCCGTGGGTCGGGTGCCAGGGCAAGTCCGTCTGGCCGATGACGCCGTCGGCTCCGTCACTGAACGACGCAGTCCGGATGATCTGCACGTGCGGGGGGACCGGCAAGCACGCAGGTGGGCGCCTGCGTTTCCTGCCGTCAAGGACGGTGCCTCGCCGATCACGCCTGACCGGCACGACGGCCAGAGCTCAAGGGATGCGTTCCAGGCCTGGATGTGCCGCGGCCGCCTGCTGGATCAAGGGTTGCGGAGGGAAGCAAGCAAGCGAGCGATGCAGCTTGGGGGCGCACGTCAGTGGCAGGGAAGGGTGTGAATGATTGGTAGTCCAGCGTCTGGAGAATCGAGCTTCCCAGCGGAGACGGACAGGTGTTCGAGACGAGGGTCACCGCACGCGCCGCGGGCGCGAGCACCGCCAAGGCCAGCAAGAGCAGCAACGACCCGCGAGTCATCGCGCTCCCGCCGCTGCGAGCCCCCGCCGTGGCCGTGCGCGCGGCGTCCGAGGTGTCTCGCGCGTCTGCGCGCGCGGGCGTCGCTCGCGCGGTTCTGCAACGTGCGGGGAAGGGGAGAGGAGGCCGTCACTAGCTCAGCGACAGAATGCCTCTGCGTGCGCCCGGATGCGGCTTCTGGCAGCGCCGCGGTTCACTCGCATCTAGGATCAGGGCAGGGCCGCACGGAAGGCGGGGACGAGCGCTGGTGTGCACGGTGCCGGGGACCCCTGCATACAACTGCCTCTCTCGTCTTGCGCGAGGCCGCGATCTGACAGCGCACGAAAGACGCACGTCCGGAATGTGGATCAACTGGACGTTGCGTCGGGCGCGGTCCTACGCCAAGAGACGGCGATGTGCCGCTTCCGCGGCGCAGGAGTGCAGGCGGGAAGGAAGCGAGGCTTTGCGATGAGTGTGTTCCGGCCTCGGGGTTGTACAGACGATGTACCGCATGATGGGATGGGTCTGAGGCAACGAGAGGTGGTTGAATGGCGATGCAGGCCCGGGGAAAGACCATAGAGAGAAAGATGGACGGGACGGTGGCTGCCCGAGCACGCCCGGCTCGCGCCAGGGTTTCGCGCCCGTGCCACGCGTCGGATGAACTCATGCGACGAAACACCGACACGATGCGTTTGAGATCACGCAGCAACCGCGGCTAGTCGAGCAGCTCACCGGGCCGGCCGAACAGCGCAACGCCTCGCCTGTAGGTCCTCCAGAGAGCCGCAACGAACAGCTTCCTGCGTAATTTACGTTATGCGCGAGGAAAGCGCCCGTTGTAACCGCCCCGGCACTCCGCCGCGGGACGTGCCAGCCACTCCCCTATGTATTGAACATGCAGTGTGACAAACGTGTCGTTGACAAACGATCGTTGACAACGTCGCGGCCGCGGTGGACCGACTGCGAGACCCGTCAGCTCTGTCGGCCTTCACGGAGCACCTCCGCGCCCTCAATGGGCCGCACCCCCTGGCTCTGGACCCCAGGGTGCAATTAACCCTACTGGGTAACTTCCTCCTCGCGCCCCTCCGGTCCGCGTCCGCAGGCCCTCCTCCTCCGCCGCCGCCGCCGCCGCCCGCGCCCACCTCCGAGCTCCACGCCCCTCCGTCGTCGTCGACTCCTGAGGTAACACCCCGTGGGGAACAAGCAGCCCCCACGCAGGCGCCGCCCCCGCCCGCTCCGGCCCATGGCCCGTACCTGTCGACACCGCTGTCGTACGCCCAGACACTGGCCGGCAGCCAGGGCCCTCCGAGGAGGACGCTGCCACAGGAGCGCGCTCGCGTGCAACCCTCGCCTCGCGGACGACGCGTGCGGAGCCCGTCGACGCTGCGCTTCGACTTGCAGCGGGAAGGGCACCAACGCCGACACCTCGAGAACTTCACCACCCTGCGGCTGCGGATCCGCGCCCCCAGGGGCACGAAGGAAGAGGACCTGTGTCGATATGCGACTGACCGCGTGCGATCAGCGCTCAGCTCGACAACATGCTCCCTGCCATCGGACCCCGCGATCATCGACGCCCCGGCCCCCGCCGACGGCCCGGGCGCGTACGGCCGCCTGGCCGCCCACAGCATCACGCTCGCACTTCGCCCCCACGGCCCGAACGGGGAACCGGTCCGCACGGGGGACTTCCTCGCCGCGAGCGGCGCGGCTGTGCGTGACGCCTTCAGGAAGGCTGCGCCAGCCGACCTCACGACGGACGCGGCGGGGCCCTCCAACCCGCTACACACCTCGCTCATCGTAGACGCCGTGGAGTTCGATGACCTGCTCACGGACGTTGAGCAGGAGTGCCGGGAGGCCTCGGACCGTGCGTTCCGGGAGGCGCGCCGCGCGTACCGCCACGTCGACGGGTGGTCGGTGCTCTGGCGTCGGGGCCGCATCTTGATGCGCTACCGGCCGGTACAGGGCGGAGGGCCGCCACGCCAGGAGGTACTACCGGCGGGCATCGATGTGGATGAGGTCCATGCCGCGGCGGACCGGCTGCTCGCGCGATCGGGGACGGGGGCGTCGTCGCCCGCCACGCGGTCCCCCCCGCGTGGCACCGCTGACGATTCCCGTGCCCCACCTGCGACCCCGTCGGAGCGCCATGAGTGACCTCCTTCGGGTCGCGACGTGGAACGCGTCAGGAGCGCAACATTATCGAACCAACCTTGCTCACAACCATGCACTCAAACTCAAGGTGGTCCTGGATGACCTTGAGACCGACGACGACAACGCACCATCTGTGCTATGCATTCAGGAGACATGGGCGCGACAGGGAGACCCCATCTGCGCGGTCGACCCCGACCCTAACCGCCCCCCGCGCTACATGACACTTGCATGGAACTACGTCGAGGACGCTGACCAACAGCAAGGCGGAGGACGACTCAAGCGCGGCCTGGCGTTCGCGGTGCGCAACGAGCTCGTCCCGCTCTTGGCTGAACGCCCACCGCACCACGACACTGACCACGTGGGCAAGGAACACCAGCCACACGGGCTGGTGTACTACGCATCTCGCTCCATGGACGTCGCCGCCATCGTACTGCGGCGGCCGGACTCTCGCGCCACGGGACCTCCGGCGATCGGGATCATCAACGCGTACTTCCCCCCCCCGACGTCGCGTGAGGCCCCCGGCGCTGCGGCAGGGGCCGTGTCACACGCGCAGGCCCACGCCGTCTACCAGGCTCAGCTGAAGGTCATCGAGACGGTCGCCGACGCCATCCGCACCGACTTCTGCTCGGAAGACGGGGACCCTCTGATCGCCGTCCTTGGAGACTTCAACGTGCATGTCAACACCCGGACCGAGCTCGACGCTGCCGCAGCACAGTCGTACCCGCACCACTCGATGCGCACGATCCACCCGTGGCACGCAGAGCCCCGCGTCCACCGGCATGAACGCGATCAGAACCGCGTGACCAATGTCTTCTTGGACTTCGCCTTCTGCCAGGGCCTCGCCATGGTTAACGGTCGCGGACCAACGCCGCACCTGTCCGGCGACTTCACGAACATCGGCGCGCGCGGCAACTCCATCGTGGACTACATCCTGGCGTGCCCCGCAACCTTCGAGCGCCTTGTCGGCGCACGCGTACACACAACCGCCAAGGGGCACCTGCAGGGCGCCGGGGACCTCCACCCGCACCTGCCAGTGTCAATGACCCTGCGCTGGACACGCGCGCCGGACCCCGCGCCCGAGGACGACACGCCTGCTGGACCACGACCACCGGGGACGCCGTACAGCTTCCGCTTTGCTAACATCCCGCGCTGGTGCACGGAGCTCCAACGCGATGAGACAGCGGCCCGCCTGCGGGACATCGAGGCGCGGGCTGACGCGACGGCAGGGGTTCCGGAGGCGCTCGACGAGGTCATCAAGGCCTTCCACACACTGCTCCTCGACGTGGCGAGCGAGGCGTACCCACTTGGCCGCGCACGACGCACGCACGGCAACCCGTGGTGGAAGTTCGGGCCCTGTGCGACGGCGCGTCGCGACCGCAACCGGGCCCGCCGCGCACGGGAAGCTGCAGAGCGCTCGGGAACGACGCCCGCGCAGCAACTCCAGGAGCTCCGAGCGGCGGAACGTGCGGCGCACCGGAGCTTCAGGTCGGCGGTTCGACGGGCCCGCAGGGAGTACGCAACGTATCGCATGGCCCGCCAGGCGATAGATCGAACCCGGGAGCACGGCCGTCCGCTGTGGAACCAGCTGAAGGCCGCTGGCACGAACAGGAGCCGATGCACGGCCCCCCCCGAGGCCCAGCGCGAGCACTTCTACAAGCTCCTCTCCCCCGCTGTCCCCGACTACGGCGCGTTCCAACCGCAACCCCTCCCAGACCTTTCCCCCCCCCCAGCCGCCCCCGCACCCACCATGACCATTTCCGAAGCGGACGTCGCCCCGGCCCTGAAACGCCTGAACAATCGAACGTCGTCAGGCCCGGGGGGGATCATCCCCGAGCTCTTGAAGTACAGTACACCCCCAACCCCCCCCGACCACCCCCCCCATCTCGACAAACCCCCCAACCTCCTTCTTGCAACCCTCACGGCCATCTTGCGCGCTGTCGCGCGTTGCCCGCGCCTGCCTCCCAGCATGGCAGTCTCGTACCTCCGCGTGCTGCCGAAGACGAACAACGTCAACGACCACGCTGACCCCGCAAAAACGCGAGGCATTAGTGTCGCCCCTACGCTGACGCGCCTGTACGCCAAGGTCCTTGTAGCCAAGGTCGAACGCGCGGTGGCCCACAGCCGCGACGACTCCCAAATGGGATTCCGCCCCAAGCGCAACACGATCCTGGCCGCGTTTAACGTGCAGACCGCTATTGACGTTGCAACGCGGAAGCGCCTATCGGGCCTCCCAGAGGACTACCCCCGGTCCCTGTACGTTGCGCTCCTCGACATCGCCAAGGCGTACGATTCGGTGCCCCACGAGGTGCTGTGGAAGTGCCTTGAGGCCGCGGGCGTCCCCCCCGACGTGCTTTCCGCCCTGCAGGCGTACTACGCGTGCACCGAACTGCAACTCACCATCGATGGGCAGCCTTCCGGCGCCCCCATTCCACAGACCATCGGGGTCAAACAAGGCTGCCCAGCGTCCTGTACCCTGTTCACCCTCGTTATGGACGATCTAGCCCGATACCTTCATGCAAAACACCCAAACCAGGGCTTTCCCCTCCCGACCACTCCCCGCCCATCGGGCTCTGACACCTGCGGAGCCGCGACACGCAACCTCTTGATGTCCCTGTTCGCAGACGATGCGGCCCTTATCGAACGCACGGCAGAAGGCCTCCAACGACTGCTCACCAGCACTTGCCGCTGGGCGTGCTCGGCAGGCCTCCGCCTGGCCCCCAAAAAGTCCACCTTTCTCTCGTTCGGGGACACCCCCCGTACCACGACCCTGACCATGTTCACCCGTATCGACCCCGCCACCGGCCTCGTTGCCAAGCAGCACAACATTGCCCCCTGCAAAAGCAGCAAGTATCTGGGCATCACCCTTGGCCAAGACAAGGGCCGACCACCGGGTGTATCGTCGCACATGTCCACCGCGGGCGACAAGTCCCGGAAGGCAATGTACAGCCTGTCGAAACGCTGCTGGCAGACGGGAATCTTTGACCCCCTCCTGCAATCTGCCCTCTTCAAGACATACGTCACACCGGTGTCGACGTACGGCTGCGAACTCTGGTCACCACGCCTCGGCCTCAAGCCGCTGCGGGACCTTGACGGCCGCCTGACACGCATCCCGTCCCAACACCCCGCGCGCGCCCAGCGTGCATTTCTCGCCTCCCTCATATCCACCGCCAACCAGCGGATCACTTCCTGCTACAAGACGCCGCCCGAGCTGCTCTTCCGCGAGTTCGGGGCGCTTCCCCTCGAAGCGACGTTGTGGGCCCGTAACTTCGACTTTTGGGACTCGTTGACGAAGCTGCTGTACACAGCGCGAACGAACCCGACCTTGCCCCCCGACTTCCCGCACATGACGGTCCGGGCGTTCACCGCGCAGCTACTGCTCGCGGCGGAGCCCGATTCCGACGCGTTCGTCACCCACCCTCCAGCAGGAGACACGGCGGAGGGCGACGCGACATCGTCGAGCGCCGCACGGATGGGCCGCCCCCGTGCGGCTCAGCCGGACCCGTCGGACGACACGGACGACGACGACGGAGCTGCACCGCCGGGCCAACAGCGGCGACTACGACAACTTCAACTCCCCCCGCACATGCAGCCGGGCCGGCGCGACGCAGGAGCACGGACCGCCGCGCGCCGAGACCACGCAGCTCGTACCACCCGAGGCAGGGGACGTGCAGCACGGGACGGCCGCACACCACCTCGATCGCGGCCCTCGCTACCACCGGCATCCCGCAGCACTGAATCGAACCGCTTGACTGTTCGCACGCTGGACCGGACCACGCGAGGGGGATCCCGCGCTACACCGAGGCCGAACTACTGCGAGAACTCCTCGGCTGCCACTGGCGACGACAGCGAATCAGAGTATGAGGGGTCGCACAACGCTACTGCGTCTTCAACGACCTCCCTAACGGACTCGGATGAGCCGGGCCAGCGGTCCCAGCCACGGAGCACCCGGGGACGGGGGCGAGGCGGACGATCACGGGGTCGCGGGCGGCGCGGGGGAGGCAGGAGCGGCGCGGGCCGACGGGGACTACGCACGACGTCGACAACTCGTACGAGCACAAGGCGCGCCGAACCCGCAGCCCACCGCCTCCGCAAACGCGAGCTACCGTGGGCAGCGCACATCGCGGCGGCCATCACTCAGATAGGCGGCACGCCAGGGACCCCGCAGCAGCCACACCCTGCACCTGCTATGGGCAGGGTACGAAAGATCGCTCAGGTCGTGCTGCCGGACCACGAGCCCGCGGCAACCCCGGATCCCCGGACCGAGGTCACTCAGCACGGGCTTGGCCGCACACGGGCCAGGTACGCCTGGTGGTGCCAGCCACCACCGCGCACCATCCCTCCACATCTGCTCGACACCGCGATCTACCACGCGGACCGCCGTGCCCTGTCCCGCCTGCGTGTGGGAGCTACGAGGCTGCGCACCTCCACGATGGCCATGGCGGACCAGGAGCAGCAGTGGCAACACACACCGCTGTCGCACCCGTCGAAAGTCTGCCGCTTCTGCGCGGACGTGGCGGCATCGCCCGCCCCGGAGGACCTCCGCCACCTGCTGCTGGACTGCTGCGCCCCAGCGGTACGCTCTCTCCGGGAACGAGCGGGCCTGGCCATGGACTCGTCTGGGCAGCTCACGCTGCCACCCCCGCCTGCTGCCGATGCGCCCCTGTCGTCCACGGCAACTGTTGGACAGCGCCGCCGCTTCGCTCTCAACCGCCGGCTACGCCAGCACCTCGAGGACCTGTACGGCGCTGCAACACTCGACTCGGAAGCCGCTGCCAACGCTGCAGTGCGTTATCTCCTGAACCTGCCGAATCAGCGAGGCATGGCGATCTTTGCTCGTGGCATCGAGGATCTGCTCCAGGCCGACTCTGTCACAGCTGCCGAACCTGTTGCTACCATAACGGTGGGGGGTTAGCATGACTCGCCACCTAGTCGAATGATCTTTTCAGGTCCCAAAGCCTTATGGCTGACGACGCGAAGAATGTGACACCTCACCTCACCTCACCGGAGGTCACGTTAACCAGGAAAGGGGGTGGCCGAGAGCAACGACGCGGTGGAGTACCCGCACGCAAGATGAGCAAGCTGCAGCAACAGGTGTCGGGGTCCCAGCACCTGCGCACGCAGCTCGAGTGAAGTCTTCGATGAGTGACGAGTCCCGCGGGCGTGCGGGTACTCGTCGGCAAGCCCCACCACGCGTCCCGATGTCGTCGGCCGGCGACCCTGCCCAGGCAAGACATACGCAAGACATCACGCATGTCAGGTGACAGCCCCTCACGTCACCCGCTATTCGGGCCGCTCCTGGAAGCACACGTTGAGCAGCGGGTCCGCGTGGTGGTTGTCAGGGGTGGGGGTGCAGCGCCATGGGTGCTCCTGCGTGTGGTCCGTACTGCAGCATGCCAATGATGTTGTCACTGGGGCTCCAGGGCCGCGGAACACCCGCACGGCCTATCCAGCTGGCCCCGGAGCCACCGGGACATCGGCACCGGGCGTTGACGGGTCGGCAGTCCTTGCTTCCACATAGGCTTGCATGCACCCCCGCGTGCGGGCTCTCACCGGCCGTTGGGAATACGGAGCCTATGTCAGACGTTCACGCGACTCTCGGAGCGATTCTTGTGCCCAGGCCAAACACGCGGCACTGCGCCCGGCAACGCTTCCTCGCGGAACCGCACATGCACCGCGGCTCCGACGCCCCGCACCGGTCGATCCACGTCATCACACCCCAGGGCTGTTCTTGCGGTCGCGCCGTGCGGGGACCGGCGTCGCCCCCGGCCCGCTGGGCTCCGGCTCCTCCTCCGTCACGGTGACCAGGCCCTGGCGGGAGCCGACGGCCTGCAGCCCCTGCCTGCATTGACACAAGAGACCCCAGTGCATTGCCGCGTTTCGATGGGGCCACACGGGCGGCGCAGGGCGGGGTGCGGCGGCAGGGGCGTCGGGGCACGTACGCTGAACCTCGTCGGTACTGGCCGATGGACAGCCGCGCGGAGCCCGCGACGGTGACGCCGGGCGTGGGCGTGGGCGGCGGTGTTTGGGCCTTCATGCTGTTGCGCTGCATCATGTGGTGGAACAGGCTGCTCGCCTTCCTCCGGTAGAACGCCTGCAACGCAGTTCGAGCGGGCGAGCCGGTCGCGCGGGGCCCCCGGCGGCGTCCATGTCCACACGGGTGCAGCACACATGACACCCCGCATACGTCTGCACGGCCGCCCGCCTCACCTGGTGCGAGCTGAACCGCCCCACCCGAGCCTTCCCGCTGCCCGCCGGCCCGCTCCCGCCCGCGTCCAGGTTCGCGCTGAACGTCCGCCGCGCCCGGTGCGCCTCCTGCAGCGCCCCGACCGCCTGCCGCAGGCGCAGGAGCCGCTGCTCGCACTGCACGAGCTCCTGCGCGCGCTCGCTCTTGTGCCGCGACGCGTCCTTCTCCAGGTGCTCCGCGTACCTCTTCTGCCACGCCACGCGGTTCTGCAACAAGTTCACCGCCTCCAGATCCAGGTCCGGGAGCAGGCTGACGATGGCGAGGAAGAACGGCGTGACGATGAAGTCGATGAACGATATCTGCGTCTGCGACAGCACTGTCTTGTCGCGGTCCATCATCGCCGCCACCTGCAGCCCCATCTCCTTCTCGCGATCGCCCTGCCGCCAGAATTCCTGCGTGACGCGCTGCGCCCACTTCTCCGCGAGCTCCGCGGGCTTCAGCGGGTTCGAGAGATCCGCGAGGTGCAATATCGCGCGCAGGATCGCGGCGCGGTCCGCGGCGGGGAAGGCCGTGGTGGGCTCCAGGGGGCTGATGTCGTTCTCCGCCGCGATCTGCTCGAGCTGCGCGGTCATGGCGAAGTGGTGCTTCATGTCCGTGTGCATGATCGACGCGCAGATCAGCGACCGCGCCTCGTCCCACTGGTCCCGCGAGAAGTTGCCGAACACGTCCAGGTCGGTGTCTTGCATCACCTCGAACAGCGTGGCCGCGTGCATGTTCTCCAGGATCGACTGGTCGTTGTACCGCAGCGCGATCGGGTCGCGCGTGGCCGCGAGGAACGCGTTGTTCACGCCCGGGTGCCCCACGTCGTGCGCCAGCGCCGCCAGCATCAGCGCCGCGACCTCCACCTCCGTGAGCGCGAGCTGCGCCTCCGTCCGCAGGATGTACATCGCGACCGAGTGCGTCACGTCCACCGCGTGCTGGCACCCGTGGTACGGCACGTCCTGGTACCGCCGCAGCAGCTCCTGCACAAGCCGCCACAGCTTCTCGTGCGGGATCAGGCCGCTGGAGAGCAGCCCGACGGCCTCGAAGATGGCCATCACGTACCACGCGAGCTCCTCGCGCGTGTACCGCGACGCGTCCCACGCCGCCGTGCCGAGCGCGGTCACGTCGAGGGGCTCCAGGCCGGTGATGCGCCGCATCTTGTCGACCAGCGATTCGCGGCTGGTCGGACTGGAGGCGTCGCGGTCGGCCGGGCGCCAGGACGGCATGCGCAGCGCGCTCACGGCCGCCGACGCCGAGCCCTCGGAGGGCATCGAGCGCTTGTGTCCCGAGCCCGCGATGTTGGAGCTGCTGCCGTGGCTCAGGTGCGAGCTGCGGACGGTCGAGACGCCGCCCATGGCGGTGACCCACTGGGAGCCCTCGGAGAATATCGTGTCCGCGGTCTCGTCGGCGCTCGTCAGCGCCAGCACGTGCTCCGTCAGGCGGCGGATGCGGATGATTGCCTCCTCGATCGCGGGCTGCTTGGAGCCGAAGCAGCCGCCGCGCTTGTCCGTCAGCTCGCCCTCCTCGCCCTGGAGGCCGCCTGCCAGCGCCAAGCTCTGCGGGCACGGCAGATGGAGAAACGCACCGTTGTTTGGTTTCAGAGGTTTTGACATGTGCTTGCGTCGCGGGCGTGGCAGGGCGCGGCGTGGGCGACGTGCCTTGGCGAGCCCGAGCACGGGCGAGAGGAGCATTCTGAGCTCTTCCAGGAACAGGCCCCGCAGCACCACCGCCAACACAACGAAGACCACCGCCGTCACTGCATTGACGACGAGCGTGAGGGCGGCGGCGCGCTGCACCGCGTCCGACGTCTCAGCGATCAGCACGACGTCCTCCAGCTTGTCGTCTCCCACCGCGGCCCCCACGTCGAACACCGCGGCCGGCGGGCCCCTGCTGTGCCACACCACGCGCGCGCCGGGCCACTGCGGTGCCTGCCGGAACGTCACCGCCGTCACCACTCCACCGCGCACCTCCGCGAACGCCACGGCCTGCGATGTCGCGCCCTTGTCCTCCCCCATCGAGGCCGCCACGCGCGCAGCCACGCCGCCAAAGGCGGCGCTGTCCACGGCGAGCAACGGCCACGCCATCGCGACGGCCGCGGCGCCCGACGCGTCCGCCGTGCGGAACGCCACTTGTGGCAGCACCATCGCCAGCACAACGAGCGCGAACGCCATCGCCACCATCACGTCCGTCGCCATGCGCAAGGCCATCCCAGCCCGTCCGCTCCGCCGCCGGCTCACGTGCCACCACCGCCGCTTCGTGCTCCCGGCACCGCTCTGCAGCGACCGCTGCACCTCGTTCCGCAGCCGCGCCGCCTCGAGCGGCGCGCTCGCGACAAACGCGGTGCCGAATTGGCCCGCGGCAGTCATCTGCTCCGCGACGCCGTTGGCGCTCGGCTCGTCGTCATCGTCGTCGTCCTCGTCCGCGCCGAAGCAGCCCCCGCGCGGCAGCGGCCGCAGGAGCAGCGGCACCACTTTCGCGGTGATGCAGACCCCGCAGGACGTGAGGATGAAGGCGATGCGGCGGTCGTACGCCTCGGCGTCGCTTGCGGGGTCCGCGACGTTGACCAGGAAGCCGTGGACGTGGTCGTCTTGCCCGCCGAGGATGACCGCGGCGTCGGACGGGTGCGTGATGTGCCGCGACACGGCGTCCATGCACAGGATGCAGCACGCGGCGGGAACGGCGTCGCAGATGAGGAACATGAAGACGCGGAGGCGACGCTGCGAGAGGAGCGCGATGACGCCGTCGAGCAGGAAGAGCGCCGCGGCGACCGCGTAGACCGCGTCCACGGGGGTGACGTCGCGGTCGGCCGCGAGCAGTGCCGGGCGCAGGAACATCGCGACGAGCGCGAGGATCCCGACCACGCCCCTCCAGACCAAGGACTCGTGCACCTGCGGCGGCTCGGGCGGGGACACGCGTAAGAACGTGGACAGAACATCCATGTTTTCATATTCGAATCAACATCCATGTTTTCATATTCGAATCAACATCGTATCGGAAGCCTGTCACGGGGGGCTCAGGCACGTTGCTTCAGGTGTGACGGGTGCGCCGGAGCGTCGGGGCGCGCGCTGCCCGCGACGACGCGTGGCGCTGCAGCAGGCGGGCGGCGCACCAGTCTGCCTAGCGCGCGTGCGCCGCGACACGACGCGACCGTGACGGGCGGCAGGTCGGCGCCTCCGTCGACGTGGAGCGGGAAGTCCCCATCGTCGCCGTCCCACTTGCTGACGTCCAGCGCCGTCGTCAGCGTGTGTCGCCGCGTGGACCCGTTGAACGAAGGACGCTGGCTGGTGTGCGCCTCCTCGCCGCCGCCGAGGCGCATGCCCTCCTTGAGCTGCGACTTCCGCCGGAACACCTGCAGCGACTTCCGCGGGTCCGTGAGCGATCCGACGCTCTCGCGGTGAGCCGCGAAGCTGTCGCGTCCCTGCATACGTTGTCCACCGCTTGTCCGCTCCGCCGTGGCGCGGCTCGAGTCCCCCGCGAAGCGCACCATCTCCCCGGGGCGCGTGCTCGTCGAGTAGGACCGCTTCGTGCGGGTCGCCGCCGCGGCGGCCGGCAGCAGCATGGACGGACCGCCGCTCGCATTGCTGTGCGAGCCGCTGCGGACGGTCCGGTGGGTCGGGGTCGCCGGGTCGCCGTGGCCGGGGCTGTGCATTCCGCTCAAGGCCGACGACGGGGGCTGCATGCGCACAATGCCGTGGCTCCCGCGCCGGTGCGGGTCGCCGGCGTGGTGGCCAGCCATGTGGATCGCGACAGCCCCTGGGTCCACGTTGTGCGCCGCGGCGCTGCTCGCGAGCGAGAGAGAGCGCCGGTACTCCTTTTTCGACGTGTCGGACTGGCGCGAGCTGTCCTGCTCGTCCAGGACGGCCATGGCCTCCATCGTGCTCCTGCCGGGCGCGCCCGTTCAGCGCCCTGCGCGGCCCTGCGAGGCACGGTGCGTTCCGGAGCCGTCAGTTCCGCGCGGGGCCTCAGGGGGCGCAGGACGCGGAAAGCGAGCCTGCGGGCGCCGAACGGACGCTCTTCGATGACAAATGGCCGCTGGTCAAGTGCAGACCTGCGGGGGCGACCGGCGGCTTCGAGGCCGGGATCCGGTGCCTGCAGCACGCCTCACGTGCCTACGAGTCTCGGGCGGGAAGATTCTCGCGCGAGCGGCCCTCAGTGCGCCGCAAGCGCCCGTCGAGCTTGCCAACCGGTCGAGCCCGCTGTGTCGCTCAGCGCGGCCAAAATGTGAGCGGCGCACGCTCCGGCATGATGTGCAGATCAGTGATCCGCGAGCATGCTCCCAAGTGGGCACAAATGCGCGCAGCAGCGAACGCACGCAGCTTTCTTCCCCCCACAGCAGGCGCTCAGCCCGCGACAACCGTGGTCGAGTCCGTCGCGTCTGTGCAATCCCTTGCTCCTCACGGGCAGCGATGTGCACAGCACCCCGCGAGCGGCCCCCATTGTCCCGCCCAGCGCCGCACCCCGCGCCTGCGGCCGCGCTCGACAAAGGCCCCGGACCGCGCAGCGCAGCGCTGGCGGCCCGCGAGGTGCATTGGGGCCAGGTGCACGCCTGCCCGGGGGAAGTTCGGGGGCCTGCCGGGCTGGACGATGCTGCGTCGCATGCTGACAATGTCTGCGTTCACACAGTCGGCTCTCAGGGGCAGCATGCAGAGCTGGACGTCGCGCTGTTCGCTGGGCCGCGCAGGAGCGAGGGGCGCGGTGGCCGCGAGATCCTTCTCGTACCTGGCGTCGAGGGGCGCCGTTGTGACGGCGCGCGACCCCGCAGGTGCGCGGCCCGCGCGCGCTCTCTGCCAGAGCAAGACTAGCTGTGTTCTTCCCGCTCGTGGGTTGCTTTTCAAGGACCTCGCGGCGGCCGCGGCTGTCACGTGCCGGTGCTGCGCTGCTGCAGCTGCGAGGCGCGCAGCTCGGCTGTACGTGCCGGCGCGACCTCTTCCCTCGATTGCAACCGCTTGTCTCGCGCAGGGCCCAGGCTGGGGGCGCGCCATGTCGCGAGCAGCAGCGCCGACTACGACACTGGGACGGAGAGCTGGACCGAGGACCAAAGTGAGCCACACGCCGCCCCGGGCGCCAGAGAGCCCGCAACCCACCGCTGCGCTGCATTCCGCCGCCGCATAGCGTTGACGGGCGCTCCGCAGCGCGCCTCGCCCGCTTTCCAGGCGCAACTCCTCAGGAGAAGACAAAATCACCTGATTTGCGCGGCCGCTGCGCCGCTGCTGCGCACTCGGCCATCCTCGCCCACCGGACCTGCGCTCCCGTCCGCCCGTGCAGCGCGGTCCGGCCTCATCACGACGATCTCGTACCAGCAGAGCCTCAAGAACAGCGTGTTCCTCATCGGGCGGATCGGCGCGGAGATGCAGAAGTACAAGGAGTTCCCCACTGGAAAGTGCGTGGGGGAGCTGTCGCTTGCCATCAAGTGCGCGCCCCGCCCGCCCGCGCGCGCGCGCGCCCACGCAACGCTGCGCAGAACCCGCCATCGACCCAGGCCGCCCCACGCGCGCAAAATCACACCGCGTCGTTGCGATTCCGACAAATTGGATGCCAATCAATCAACTATGAACATGAACATGAATATCAATATCAATCGACGTGCGCGGAAGATCCGGGCCTCACGCGCCGCGCGGCGCCGGACCTGCGCGCAGCTCGAGCAAGGACGACGGACCGGGCCAGTGGGTCGACCTCGTGCTGTGGGACGACCTCTGCCGCGCCGCACGCGAGGAGGTCCACAAGGGTGCGAACACCCCCCCCCTGCGCCGTCCGACGCCCCGAGCCGGCCGCGCACGCACGTCGACGTCGCGGGCGCTCACGGCGCCGTCGCCCGCGTTCTGTTCGCTGCAGGGGCCAGCGTTGCGGTGCGCGGGAGGCTCACGATCAACTCTTGGACCCCCCCTGAGGGGGGTTACAACCGCAAGACGTACCGCATCGTCGTCGACGCCATCTCGTTCGTCGAGTCCGCGGGCGAGATGGGCGCCGCGAACGGCGAGGCCTACGACGCCGCGCCTGCGGGCGCGGGCGCGACGACGTCGTACGGGGACGGGTGGCAGGGCTCTGGCGGCGCCGCGCGGCAAGCGGACCCCAGCCCGCCCCCCGCGGGCGCACCCGCCGCGGACCCCGGTCCCCCGCCGCCCCCGCGGGCTGGTGGCTGGTACGTCGTCCGCACCCCCCCGCTCTGCTGCCCCCCTGAGTGCCGCGCCCGGCCGGACCGGGATTTTCTCTAGCATCGGCACGCGCACGCGAAGTGTGCGGATACTCCTAAGTCGCCGAGCTAGGCGTCGAGTGCCACATCGCCCCAAAGCCCGCGCCTTGTGCTGTTGTGGAGTGCAGGCAGGGTGGCGCCGGGGGCGCGGCCGCGGCGGGCGGCGGCGCGGACAGGCTGTGGGCCGAGTACTTTGAGAACCCGGCGGCGTGGTGGGACAACCGGAACGACAAGCAGGGCAACCCGAAGCGGCCAGACTTCAAGCACAAGGACGACCGCTCCAAGGCGCTGTGGCTCAGCTCCCGCGACACCCCCGCGTGGGTCCACGAGCGGCTGGGCCAGGCGGGCGGCGCGGGCGGCGCGGGCGGCGCGGACGACTCCCCGCCGTGGGCGTGAGCGCCGGGGGGGGTGTGTTCGCGTCGCCTGAGAGGCGCGTCGCGCGGCGACCTGAGCCCCGCAGGACGCAGGCTGTGCGGTGGCGCTAGACTTGCGTGGACAGCGCGCGTGACGCGCTCAGCGGCGTGGATGCAGGCCTGCTTCTCACGACGGATCTCCACGCGACGACGCACGCACGGTGCCTGATGCGCGTGCGCGGTCGTTGTGAGCACGCCGAGCAGGGCGTCTGCGGAGGTCACAGTCCATTACAGCGTCTGCGGCCGACCTAGTAGGCCTTGGCGAAGAGCGCAACGGGCGCGGGCTCCCCCGTCACGACGCACTTGCCCTGCTCCGCGGGCTGCTCGAGCGGGAAGCACCGCAGCGTCGCGCCCGTCTCCTCCTGCACCTTGGCCTCCGCGTCGTCGTCCGCGCCCCACGGCACCCGCGCCCACTTCCCGCCCTCCACCGTCGCCACCAGATCCTCGTACGTCGCGCAGTCCACCACGTTCTCGTCCCGGAACGCCCGCGCCTCCGCCAGCATGCCCTCCTGCACCGACTCCAGCACCCCGCGCACGTGCGCAATGAACTCCGTGGGGGCCTGCGGCACGCCAAACTCCTTTCCGTCCTTCCCAGGCACGTCGCGGCGCGCGACGACGCACGCGTTCTTCTCCACGTCCTTCGGGCCGACCTCCACGCGCACGGGCACGCCGCGCTGCTCCCAGTGCGCGAACTTGAACCCGGGGCTCTTGTCGTAACGCGTGTCGATCTTGCAGCGGATGCCCGCGTCCTCGCAGGCGCGCTCGAGGCCCGCGCACGCCTCCTCCACCGCGGCGCGGTCCTCCTCCTTCTTCACCGCGACCGGCACGATCACCACCTGGATCGGCGCGAGGTTCGGCGGCAGTTTCAGGCCCTGGTCGTCGCCGTGTGCCATGATCAGCCCGCCGATGAAGCGCGTCGAGACGCCCCAGCACGACTGCCACGCGAACTCCTGCGTCCCGTCCCCGGCCTCGGTCAGGTACTTGATCCCGAACGCCTTGGAGAAATGCTGCCCCAAGTTGTGCGACGTCCCCGCCTGCAACGCCTTCCCGTCGCCCATCATCGCCTCGATCGTGTACGTGTGGTCCGCGCCCGCGAACGTCTCGCGCGGGCTCTTCCGCCCCACGAACACCGGGATCGCCGCCTGAGTCAGCGCGAACTCCTCGTATACGCGAATCATCTGCAGCGCCTGCTCCTCCGCCTCCTCCGGCGTGGCGTGCGCCGTGTGGCCCTCCTGCCAGAGGAACTCGAGCGTGCGGAGGAAGGGCCGCGTGCGCATCTCCCAGCGGTGGACGTTGACCCACTGGTTGACGCGGATGGGGAGGTCGCGGTAGGAGCGCACCCACTTGGCGAGTTCGTGGTTGACGATGGTCTCCGAGGTCGGGCGGACGACGAGGGGCTCCTCGAGGTCCTTCCCGCCGCCCTTGGTGACGATCGCGAGCTCCGGCGCGAAGCCCTCGACGTGGTCGGCCTCCTTGGCGATGAAGGACATGGGGATGAGCTGCGGGAAATAGCAGTTCTCGACTCCCAGCTTCTTGAAGCGCCTGTCTAGCCAGGACTGCACGCCCTCCCACAGCGCGTACCTGCGCGCGCACGCCCGGGCACTGAAAGGTTGGTGGAACGCCGCGCATCCGAGCAACGGCGAGGAAACAAACACGGTCCTTCTTTATTATCGTTACGATTGATGTCATCACTGCTTGTTATCATTGCATCAACAGATAGTAGTAGTGGGGGTTGCGTACCCGTAGGGCTTGATCACCATGGTTCCGCGGACCGGTCCGTAGTCGCACAGGTCGCACACCTTGATCACGTCGAGGTACCACTGCGAGTGGTCGACGGAGCGCGGCGTGATCGCCCCATCCCCTCCCTTGCCCTTCCCGCCCTTGTTCTGCCCCTTCTGGTTCTGCGAACACCGCGCACCGCACCGCGAGGTAATGGACATGCCCGTACGCGTGCGGGAGCACAGTAAGATGACGAAACGGGAAAGAGAGGTTGACGTACTTGCTGCTTCTTCTTCTGCTTAGTCTCGGTGACGTCCGCCGCGGCCCGCGCCCGCACCGCCTGCCGGATGCGTCTGCCTTCGACGACGCATCGAGGGGGCCTGCATCTCGCGCGAGGCCGGAGGACGGGCACGTCGGCGCCGGCGCGGCAGTTCGGCGCCCGGGAACGCGCTGGGCTTCCTGGGACGTCGTCGACGCTGCCGGGCGCAACATACAGGATAGCTGGAGGCCTGAGCACTGCCACAACAGCTAGCCTATATTGGTCGAAGTCTGCTCGAGTGGTCAAATTGGTCTGAGGGATCGGAGAAAGTGCGGAACGGGAGGATGCCAGTCATCAGCCAAGCATCGCGCCCACCCCGCTGCGCCGCGCCCCAACGGACCGCCACACCCTGGCGCGGCGCGGAGCGCCTCCGATCGAGCAGCGGAGCGCGAACGGCCGACGACACGTGCGATCGAAGGAGCCGGGGGGCGGGGGAGCGGCCACGGAGCCTGCCGTGCAGCGCTGAAGCGACGCAAGCGCGAGGGCGACGCAACGGGGTGGCTCGAAAGGCGCTTGTGTGGACGGGGGAGGATGTGAGGATCGTGGCGCGGAGCTCTCACCTCTGGGGACCGCGCAGCGACCCGAGCGGAACCCTCGCGAGGAGCTGTGAGCGCATCGTGGGCCGAGTGTGCGTCCCTGGCAGCATGTACGGGCACCACTGTCGCCTACACGAACAGGTGTGTAGCTGCAGAGCCTGCCTGTGAAGCATTGAGCCCATGGCGGCCCCAGGTGCGGCGCTGGGGCCCTTGTGATTTCACACCCCCTGATGGATGGTTTCTGCGCAGGTCTTTGGGTCTTGACGGGCCGCGACGATGCCACACGGCGTGGGGACACGTGCGGTTGTCGCGCACCTCGCAATCGTTCCGTTCCGGCCGGCAGTGAGACCACCTGGAGCTCCCAGACTCGTTCACGTCGGCATCGTGCCTCGCATAGGCGTCGCATCCCGCCCATCCACTGCCGAAGACGAATTTTGACGAATTCTTGCTCGCTGTGTTTGGGTGACCGCGTCCTAGGCGGCACGAATCTGCCGCAAGCGCGATTTCGCTGCTTTTGGTTCCGTCTGCAGCTCGCCTCCGCCAATAGGGGGGGCCAGCGGGCCACTTCGGGGCCGCGCATCGCCCTACAAGGTCCTCCCACTCTAGCCACAGCCGGCACACCATGGTGCAGCAAGGCAGCAATACAATCTGGCTAGACAATGCCATAGAGAGTGAGCGCCCTCGCGCCCCTCGCGGCCCACGCGGCCCCACCCTCGCCCGCCCGCCCCCACAACACGCCCCATGCCTCTCTCCACCCGCCCCGCGCCGCCTCACCCGCGCCCCCCGCCCCCCCGCTCCGCAGCGTGCTCGACCCTCCCCCCAGACATCCTGCGCGCCCTCAACACCATCGCCGCGCTCGACCGCAAGTCCCAGGAGCTCCGCGAGGACCTCGAGCGCGCCCACCAGCGCTGCCTCGACCTCGGCCCCGTCGCCAACGCCGAGGAGCACCGCCCCCTGCGCGACGACATTGAGCGCATGCACGGCCTGCTCCTCCAGTGGGCCGAGGAGCGCCTCCAGCTGGCCATCGTCGCGCACGAGCAGGTCGAGCGCCACGTCCGCATGGTCGACGAGGACCTCCAGGGCTTCGAAGAGGATCTGATCGACCGCGGGGCCTTCCAGGACGTCGGCGACGACATGGAGCCGTACGAACGCATGCCCTCGTCGACGCGCCGCGGGGCCGGCGGGCTGGGCGGCGCGCTGAGCGGGGGCGTCGGGGGCGCGCTGGGGGGCCCGACGGCGTCGGAGTACACGGGGGGGACTTCCGCGCAGGATGATGGGGGGGGTGCGGGGCAGATGGGGCCCGGGCAGGGGAACCCGCCGCCGGCGCTGCGCGCGAGCAGGCGCGGCGGTGGGCCGCCGATGCAGCGGATGGCGATGGGGATGGACGGCGGGCACGGCGGCGACGGGATGGGGTACGGCGGCGACGGCGTGTACGCGCCGGTGGGCGTGGGGCAAATGGGGTTCATCAACCCCCCGCCGCCGAACCTGAAGGACAAGGCGCGGCGGCTGCAGACGCGCGCGAAGTTCTTGGAGTACAAGGACGTGAACGAGGCGCTCGTGGGGAAGCACGCAGAGATGTACTGGCCACATGACGACCACTGGTGAGTCAGGGGGGTGTTGTGCTGAGGGTGTTTGGCTTGTGTGTGCGTGCGCGTGTGTGCGGGGCGGGGCCGTGCGTGGTAGTGTGCGGCCGTGAGACTTGGTTTTGTGTCTCGTGTTGGCGCGCAGGTATCTGATTGAGATCCAGGCGGTGGACAGCGGGACGCGGCGGGCGACGATCATGTACCTGACGGGGGAGACGGAGGAGCTGGAGCTCGACGAGATCATTCGCGAACGCCACATGGTCGTGATCGGCCTCTGAGGTCTGCGGTGGCATCGTGGCGTATATATGCCAGCTCCGACGGCCCTTTGGCGCCACTGCAGCTCTGGGGAGCAACGCTGCGCGCGTCAGCTACGGCGGCAGTCCAAGACGCAGGTGGTAGTTTGCCTTGACTGTTAAATATGGCTCGTTGGCTGCAATCTCACAACGTCGAGTCGTGCCCGCGTGATCGACCGGGCCCGTTTCACGTCGGCGTCGTGACAGGTCGATGTGGTGATTTTTTGCGGCTCATACCGCGCGTGGGCGCCTGCATGCGCGACACCTCGGCTGCAACCACCCCAGCAGAGTGCCCCCACTGAGCCAAGTCGGCCCCCCGCAGCGGAGCGCCGCCTGCCTTCGGGGCGGCGCAGGCCCGCGACAGACACGCTCGCACGCCACATCGCACAGACGAAGGCACAGAGAGCGATACGGCGCACGCCATTCCCACGAACGACCACGATTTCTGAATCATGCTTGAGGCGACGCTTTCTCGCGCGCTCGAGGCCACGCTCCGTGTGTGCGCGGTGGTTCGGGATCATCGGCAGCTGCAGGTACGAGCGCGGCCCGCCTAGTCGCAAGATCGTCGCCTCTGTGCAGGTTTCGCCTCGAAATCATTATTTCAGACTCCCAACCATGGCCAATACGGCCACGTACTGCCCGCAGGAGGCGTTACCATGGCTCACACCGCGTGTGGCGCGAATGAGGGCCGTTTTATGTCAGGCTATGAGCGATCAGACCCGCCTGCGCGACCCTGAGGCCATCGAGGCCCGGCTGCGCACAGAGCTCCTGCCGGCTCTGGAGGAGCTCGAACGCGCCATACCGAAGCGACGCCGCAAGGAGAGGGCCGCTGCATGTTTCGCCAGCGGCGCGTGGCAGAGCCGCGTCCTGGCCCTCACGTCACGCGTCACGGACTTGCTTGTGGCCATCACGGGCAACAACACTCCCGCAGACACCGCGGCATTGGACCAGGACCAGAACGCCCGCACGCAGCAGCACGCGGCGATTCAGGTCGACCAGGCGGCGGCGGACCCCGCGCCGTTCGCGTCTGCGGAGTACGAGTGCGGCATTTGTTTGCGTAGCGTTCGGGACCCGGTGGTGCTGCTGGACAGCGGCCAGACGTACTGCCGGACGTGCATCGAGGTGTGGGTGTCCAGCAGGGTGGCGGCCGGCCAGGAACCGACGGACCCGCTCACGCGGGTGCGGCTGAATGTGCCGCTGCAGCACGTCGAGAACTGGGCGCTGGTGAGCAGCGCCGCGAGGGGGGCTGGACCGTCGACGGAGAGGGCGACGCCACAGGGCGCGATCAGGACAGTGGAGCAGCTGCGCGCGGCGATCCATGCCGGGCGCGGGACGGTGAGCGAGCGTTTGTGGGTGCTGAGAACAGGACTGAATGGCTTGCTCGCTGCGGTTCCGTGTCGCCGCGGGGGTCGATGTGCAGGTGTGCTCTGGACGGTGCTTGAGAGCGTTGTTTTCGATCCGTGCTTTGACCGCGCAGGTGATCGACCTGCAGGGGCACGAAGTGCGCGGGAGTGGCTGGGATACTGTCGCGGTGACCCGCCCCGGCGTAACCCTGCGCAACGGCAGGCTGACGGGCGTGCAGCTCGTGATCGAGCCGTCCGCGAGGCGCACGTGTCTGGACAGCCTCTGCGTCAGCGGGTGCACCGGAGACCGCAGCGGTGAGCACCCCGACAAGCGCACACTTCGCGCGACGCCATTGCGAGGAGGAACCGCCGCAGGGTGACATGGCAACGACCAGTCACGGGCGTTGTCGAGCACAGGTTGAATGAGCCGACGCCATGCAATGATGACGTGGCGCCAGACGCGAGTTGGAACATATAACGAGACAAGGTTTGAAATATTGTGGCACAGCTTTGGTGTTCGAGACTCTGAAGGCAGCACGATTCGGCGGCTGATCCTGCAGTTGCCGGTGCTCGGAGCGCAGTCCGTGTCAAGGCCGCGGGCGAGGTCGTGATTGTGGGGTGCTGCATCAACGACAACGGGGACCGTGGATTGTCCGTCGATGGCGGTGCACAGGTGCCGGTGCCGGTCTGCCAGCCTCGCCGCCAGCATCGCACAGTTGTTGTGCGCTGAGCGAGCAGCTCGCGGGCACGATCACGTGATCCGCAGAAGCAATGGATGCAGGTGACGGTGGAGGGCGGCGAGTTCTCCGGCAACGGCGGCAGCGGCTTGTGGGTGAGCGACAGCAGGACGGAAGTGACGATGCGCGGCGCGAAGTGCAACGCGAACATGTTGTACCATGGCATCGTGGCGCAGGGGGGGGCGAAGGCACGTGCCTGTATGTCTCCTGTGTGCGCGAATCGTGTTGGAGGGCGGCGCTGCGTCGCGGTGCGCGAACACGGCTGCGGAGGCGTGGCACAATGCATGCAGGTGAGGGTGGAGGACGGCGAGTGCTCCGGCAACCGCGATTCTGGTGTGCGGGCGGACGGCATTGGGACGAAGGTGACGGTGCGCGGCACGTCGTGCAACGCGAACAAGCAGAACGACGGCGTCGCTGCATTTTGGGGAGCGCAGGTGCGTGCCCATCATGCACAATTCACAACTCATGCGGTGCGAGGTGGCGCTATGTGGCGACGTGCACACCCGTTTGCGGGAACACGTGAGGGCGCAGGTGACGGTGGAGGGCGGCGAGTGCTCAGGCAACGGCAGGCACGGTGTGTGGGCGTACGGCAGAGGGACGAAGGTGACGGTGCGCTGCACAAAGTGCAACGCGAACACGGGGTTCGGCGGCGTCGTGGCGCACGAGGGAGCGCAGGTGCGTGCCCATCATGCACAATTCACAACTCATGCGGTGCGAGGTGGCGCTGTGTGGCGACGTGCACACCCGTTTGCGGGAACACGTGTGGGCGCAGGTGACGGTGGAGGGCGGCGAGTGCTCAGGCAACGGCAGGAGCGGTGTGTGGGCGAGCGGCAGAGGGACGAAGGTATCGGTGCACGGCGTGAAGTGCTGCAACAATCGGAATGGCCAAGGCGTCGAGGCGAGGGAACGAGCGAAGGTACGCAAATAGGATAGAAAGACTGAAGAAGAAAGTACCTTTCGAGGCACCATGCTGGACTCCGCGCGCAAGGCCGTGGAGCAGCACCCATCGCAGAAATATTCTCACGAGATCGCGCGCACGCAGGTCGTGGTGCACGGGCTGTTCATGAGCGGGAACAGGCACGGCGACATCGGCAGCTTCTCAGAAGGCACCGTGGAAGTGCTGTGACGGCAAACGCACGCGTCATGCACGCGCTGCGACACCAGCGGCTGTGCATCTCGGACCCACGTCTCCATGTCCGCCTCGGAGAGACGCCGGAGATTCCCTCGCCGCCACACACACACACGAACACACGCTGCGCTGCCAGATGTGGCACCGTTGGGCGGTCCCGGAGCGCGCTGCACCGGTCGGCCCGGAGAACAAGCGCCCCGCGGTGGACTAACACCACAGAGCGCGCTGGACTAACACCACAGCCGCCTCCACGGCTGTGGAGACGGGCGGCCTGCATCGAGTCACATCGACAACACTCACCCAGCCACGTAGGCCCCCCGCAGCGGAGCACCGCCTGCCTTCGGGGCGGCGCAGGCCCGCGACAGACACACTCACACGCCATATCGCACAGACGAAGGCACAGAGAGCGATACGGCGCACCCCGTTCCCACGAACGACCACGATTTCCGAAATCATGCTTGAGGCGACGCTTTCTCGCGCGCTCGAGGCCACGCTCCGTGTGTGCGCGGTGGTTCGGGATCATCGACAGCTACAGGTACGAGCGCGGCCCGCCTAGTCGCAAGATCGTCGCCTCTGTGCGCGCGCAAGGTGCGCTCCTTGCTCTGGTGAGATGCTAAGCCTCGTCGCGAATACGGCCACGTACTGCGCGCAGGAGGCGGCGCCGTGGCTTCTGTCGCGTATAACGCGAGCCAGGGCCGTCTTGTGTCGCGTCATGGGCGCCCAGGCCCGCCTGCGCGACCCTGAGGCCATCGAGGCCCGCCTGCGCACAGAGCTCCTGCCGGCTCTGGAGGAGCTCGAACGCGCCGTACCGAAGCAGTCGGACAGGGCCGCTGCGTGCAGCGCCAGCGGCGCGTGGCAGAGCCGCGTCAAGAAGCTCACGGACGTGCTTGTGTCCATCACAGGGCACAGTTCCCTCGACACCGAGCCCTTGGACCGGGACGACAACGCCAGCACGCAGCAGCACGCGGCGATCCAGCGGAAGGATGCGGCGACGGACCCCGCGCCGTTCGCGTCTGCGGAGTACGATTGCGGCATTTGTCTGCGTAGCGTTCGGGACCCGGTGCGAGGCCCTGCGCGCGTTGACCTTGGTTCTCGTCCGATCGTGTACCCGGAGGGTCCTTCGCGACGATACTGCGCCGGCAACGCCCGTTGGGGAGTGCAGGTGATGCTGCTGGACAGCGGTCATACGTACTGTCGGGCGTGCATCGAGATGTGGGTCTCCGGCAGGTTGGCGGCCAACCACGAGCCGACGGACCCGCGCACGGGTATGCGGCTGAATCTGCCGGTGCGGTCTGTTGAGAACTGGGCGCTGAAGAGCGTGCTGGGGCCGGAGGTTGAGCTGTCTGGAGAGGCGGAGAGGGTGCCGTTCACGATCAACACTGTGGCGAAGCTGCGCGCGGCGATCGATGCCGGATTCAGGAAGGTGAGCGGGCGTTTGTGGCTCCCAGAGCCGTGTGTTCAGGACTACAGATGCTGGACTACAGAGCTGAATTGCGTGCTCACTGCGCTTCGATTTCGCCGTGGAGGACGCGGCTAGGATACAAGAGCGGGGTCTGCGAGGAGACCCCCGGGCCGCGCCTTGGACCACGCAGGTGATCGACCTCGAGGGGCGCACGTTGAAAGGCAGCGGCGACGATGCGGTTGTTTTGCCCCACCCCGGAGTGACCCTGCGCAACGGCAAGCTGGCGGGCGTGAAGCTGGTGATCAAGCCGACCGCCAAGAACACTCGTCTAGCCGGGCTCACTGTCAGCGGGAGCAATGGCGGCCCCAGCGGTGAGCTCCCTTGAAATTATGGCGCCCGCCGCGGCGTCGTCGCGAGGTCATGAGTGAAGGCTGGCGGAGCGTGACTTGTCCACCACCGCACGATTCAGGCCGCTCGCGACTTCAGCTTGCGCACGTCGACGCTGTGCAATGTGCGCGAGACACGACTTAGTATCAACTTACGAAGTTTGTTGAGTTCGGTTGGCACAGCTTTCGTGCGTGAGCGACTCGCTGGACATAACGCAAGTAGTCGCACGTTTCTGCAGGCACCGGTGCACGGAACGCAGTCATCGTCGAGGCGGCGCGCGGGGTCAAAATTGTGGGGTGCACATTGAATGGCGCGAAACGGGGGTTGGCCGTCTTGGACGGGGCGCAGGTGCCGGCTCCAGTGCACCCAGCGCATCGCTGTGCGGTCGTCGCAGCGCCAGGCGAGCCGCTCGCGCGCAAGATCACGTCATCCGTTCGAACTGTGGTGTGCAGGTGACGGTGCGGGGCGGCGAGTGCTCAGGCAACGGTCAGTGCGGCGTGTGGGCGGGCGGCAGCGGCACGACGGTGACGATGCACGGCGTGAAGTGCTGCGCGAACAAGGAGGCCAACGGCGTCGTGGCGCAGGAGGGAGCGAAGGCGCGTGCCCATGCCATGCGCGATTCGAACGCTGCAGGGCAGCGATGGATAAGTGGGCGCACAACTTCGCGCGGGCGTGTCTGGCGTGATGTGTGTAGGTGACGGTGGAGGGCGGCGAGTGCTCCAGCAACGGCGCGAGCGGCTTGTTGGCGAGCGGCACTGGGACGGAGCTGACGGTGCGCGGGACGGAGTGCAGCGAGAACAGCAAGTTCGGTGGTATCGTGGCGCAGCTGGGAGCGAAGGCGCGTGCCCTTGCTGTGTACGATGTGCGGTGGGTGCGGCGGAGGCTGATGCGCGATGACGCACGGACACGTGTGCTGGGGCGTGAGCGTGGCCGCAGGTGACGGTGGAGGACGCGAAGTGCTCCCGCAACGGCGGAAGCGGCGTGCTGGCTCTCAGTGGAACAGAGGTGGCGGTGCGTGGCACGGGGTGCTGGTCGAACAAGACGGGCCACGGCATTCAGGCGGCTATGGGAGCAAAGGCACGTGCCCGTGCATGTCAAGCACAGTGCGTGATCACGAATGTGGCTCACAACTACGTTGCGGAGCGGAGGCATGCTTACCGACGTGTGGCGGCACGCAGGTGACGGTGGAGGGCGGCGTTTGCTCAGGCAATGGTCAGTGCGGCGTGTGGGCGGGCGGGACAGGCACGACGGTGACGGTGCGCTTCACGATGTGCTTGTCGAACAAAAGCCACGGCATTCAGGCGACCATGGGGGCGCAGGTGCGTGTCATGTGGGATGTTCCGTCTCATGAGAGATATCACTCGGCTCGACGCACACCGATATGCGCTGTGGTGAAGGGCACTGCGTGGCCATGCATGGGCCCACCGTTGCGGGGGCCTTTGCGAGTCACGTGATCGCAGGTGACGGTGCAGGGCGGCGGTAGCTCCCACAACGAGATGTGCGGTGTGTGGGCCGGCGGGACAGGCACGATGGTGACGATGCGCGACACAACGTGCTCGTGGAACAACAGCCACGGCATTCAGGCGACCGAGGGGACGACGGTGCGTGCCTGTGCACGTCATGTGGGATGAAGGGCGCTGCGTGGCTGTGCACGGGCCCACCGTTGCGGGGGCGTTTGCGTATCACGCGATCGCAGGTGACGGTGAGACACGGAGATTGCTCCACAAACGACATGTGCGGCGTGCATGCGATCGGCGGTGAGACATTCGTTTCAATGGAAGGCGTGGGTTGCTGCGACAACAAGAAGTACCACGGCGTTGTGGCGGGGGGGGAGCCAAGGTAGGAACGCAGGCCACACTGACCAAGCACAAGACAGACCGCCTGTCGCATCATGCTGGGCTGCGTGCTGACGGCATCGATGCATACATGATCGCACGCCAATGCTGTTTCCCGGAGGTTGCAAGCGTGCTTGCAGGTCGCGGCGCGCGGCTACTGCATGTGGCGTGGGAACACGTGCGGTGACATCTGCACGTACGAGGAAGGCACGGTGGACACGTTGGAACTTACTTACGTTTACGTTTAAAACGCATTTTCGGGAGACCGGGGGCTTCGATCGGGGGGAGACCGGGGGCCTCGATCAGGGGGGGACCGAGAGCACCGATCAGGAGGGGGTCGGGGGCTCCGATCTTTGGTAGACCGGGGGCTTCGATCCCTACCGCGCCGTGTTCGAGGCCGGCGCGGGAGGCTCCAACGCTGCCTCGTGCGCCGTGCTGCCGGGCATGCCGTCACTGACCGCGCCGGACGGCATTGCACCGGCCGAGCCGATGGGCACGCACGGGGGCGGCGCGGTGGATCCCTCGGCCGCGACTGTGCAGCGGGGCGCCGTCTCTCATGCACAGTCCCTGTGAAGCACTGCATGACCATCGAACATGTGCCGCCGCGCCAAACGGTCCCACGCGCCGCTCGCGGACGAAGCCACGGCGCCCGCGATTGCGACAACAGTCGTCACGGGCGAACTGTGACCGTCGCAAGTGACGGCGAGCAGCTCGATGGGGCGACGAGGAACAACGGGGCCGGGAACGGCACGCTGCAGGCCCCAGTGCAGCGGGCGAACCCTACGCACGTCGCCCAGGCAGCTTCCAGCAGGGACGCGATGCGTTGCCTACATGATTGCCTCATGTGGCATTAGGTAGTGACTTGTGCGCCGCGCGAGGTGGGTTTTTGGCGCTGAAATCAACCACACGGACGCACAGAGCTCTGATTCTGCTATCAACGCGGCGTATCTGTCCGCAGCGGCGCTTGGAGCGCCGTGCGGGGGGGTAGGAGATGTGTAACCTGGTCAACACGTTTCATGTCTCGTGAGGCCCCGTCCAGGCGTCGTCCCAGCACGACGGGCCTCGCGCGCGGCCGGGCCGGGTATTTCCATTTCCGTCCTCTCGCTGCGCGTCGGGAAAACTGTCTAGGCACCGCCGACGGAGCCCGCCGCGGCCCTCTGCGAGCGAGCCATGGCCGTGCGGCGAGCCCTGGGCCGCCTGCTTGGCAACCCGCTGAGCGAGCGCTCCTGCGCGAGCCCAGCCGCCGTCGAGTGCCTGCACCGCGCCGTCGAGCCCCAGGGCGCCGCCCAGCCTCTGTGGCAGCACGCTGCCACCCCGCCCGTCCACGCCTCAGCTGCGCCCCCCGCGGCCTCCGCAGCGCTCCGCACGGGGCCGACGCTGCCTCCCCGGCAGCTCTTCACCTCCTCGACGCCCCTCAACCCCGTTCCGGGCACCCCCGCCCGCGAGCGGCTCGCGGAGCCGGCCTTGACCGAGCCGGCAGCCGAGGCTGAAGGCGCGTTCCCGTACGTGATCCACGTCCACACTGGGGACCAGCGAGGAGCGGGAACGCACGCCGGAGTCGTCATCGGCATCGTGGGCGAGCTCGGGTGCTCCAGCAACCTCAGCATTCAGCACAGCCCGGGTGAGGACGAGGACGCGGTGCTCCTGGAGCGTGGCACGACGCGCACGTTCACCGTGCACAGCAGCGAGGACCTGGGCAAGCTGCAGACCGTCTACGTGAAGCGGCAGAAGGTGAGAACCGCGCGCAAAGGGCGCTGCTGGGGACGCGGCGGCGAAGGAAGTGCGTGGTCCAGGCTGACTCATGAACGTGCGGGAATCTGCGCGCGGGGCTGCGCGAGACCCCTCGACGCGTCGTGTGCTGCGCCAGCGCTCGAGCGAGGAGCCGGCGGCCCGCCGCGGCCGCGCGCGCCGCGCTGCGCCGCCGGAGATGCGACCGCGTGCGCCGGTGCGTCTTTCGCAGGTGGGCGTGTCCTGCTCGCTCGGAGCCGGCTGGTTCCTGGACAAGATCGACGTCGTGGACCCCAAAGGTGCGGGGCCCGCCGTCAGATGCCGCGACCGACCGCGTCGCGGCCTCAGCGCGGCGGGCTGCTCTGTGCTCCTCCCGAGCCCCCGTGCGGCCGCTCGGGGCAGCCGTCCGACCACGCAGCGCGCCCCGCAACCGCATGTACGTGCAGGGAAGGTCTGGACGTTCCCGTGTGAGGCGTGGTTCGGCCTCGACAACGCGTCGGGCGCGGAAGGGTCCCTAGAGCGCAACCTGCTTCCCCTCATCGACGAGCCGCAGTTCGACGACGGCAGCTTCATGGAGACCGACGTCGACGAGATGGCCATGGAGGGCGACAACACCTTCTCGGGGATCGCCAAGGCGCGCCTCCCGCCCGGCCCCCACCTCGCCACCTCCTATGCCGCCCGCCGCCGCCGCAGCCCGCCCGACCGCGCTCCCGCCACTCGTCCGCGCAGGGGAAGCCGGCGCCGGAGCCGATCTCCGTCGCGATCTCCGCGCTGGCCATCCCCGACCGCTCGAAGGTCGCGCAGGGCACACGCGCCATCAACCGCAAGGGGTTCGGCTACGGCGGCGAGGACTCCTACTTCTTCTGCGAGACGGAGAAGACCATCGGCATCGGCGTCGCAGGCACGCCGCCCCGCCCGCCGCCGCGCGCCAACGCCCGCGCACGCACACCGCGCGCCTTGCATCTCAAAGTGGCGCTCCCGTGCGTGCGTGCGTGGTCGCAGACGGCGTGTACGCGTGGCGCGACCAGGGGATCGACCCGGGGGAGATGTCGCGGTCCCTGACGGGCCACGCGCGCGAGGCGGTGCTGTCAGGCCTGACAGACCCCCTCCTGATCCTGTCGAACGCGTGGTACAAGGCGTTCCACGAGGGGGCGCGCGGGAGCTCCACCGCGACGGTCGCGACGATCAACAAGCACCGCGGCTCGCTCTCCTCGGCGCTCCTGGGGGACTCTGGGTTCATCGTTGTCGGGACTACCCCGGGGAGGCCCTTCCGCCACGTCAAGTACCGCTCCCCGCACCACGAGCACTCCTTCGGCCACCCGTTCCAGCTCGGCCACCACGAGCACTCGGACAGGCCCGAGGACGCGCTCATTGCCCGCGTCCCCGTCGGGGCGGGGGACGTCATCATCATGGGCTCGGACGGGCTGTTCGACAACGTGCACGACGAAGACATCCTCCGGGTGCGTCGTGCGGCAGCTCGGGGCTTGCTCGGGGCGTTCCTGATGCCCGCGCGGCGCGTTGGCGCCGCCTGCGTGGTGGTGCGCGTGGCCGGCGGGTTGTGCGAGCGGCGCTGCTGCGCCCGCGTGGCGCGCTACTTCGGTAGTACCGGCACCGTGCGTCGTGTCGGCGGCCACGAGTCGGGCTTCTCGAGCGGAATCTGCTTCGGTTTTTGACGATGTTGTTTGGCTGCTCGCTGCGTGTCTGCAGGAGGTGGACGGGACGCTGGATGTCGCGGAGAGCAAGGGGCGCGCGGCGAGCTCCAGCGCGATCGCTCAGCGCCTCGCGAAGCTCGCGTTCGAGGCCAGCATGGACCGCCGCGCCCAGACTCCCTACGCCATAGCGGCCACCGAGGCCTTCGACCTCGTGTTCAGCGGCGGGAAGCCGGACGACATTACCGTGCTCTGCGCCATCCTCTCGTGACTCCGCGCCGCACCCACGCACCAGTCGTGACTCCCCAATCGAGATTTCCCAACTGCCTGTGCCGCGCCACGCAGAACCGCGCAGCAGCCCCGCCGCGACGCTCGCGGCGCCAGACCGCCGCGCTGCGCGCCGCGCGTGACCCCTGTGACGCCGCCGTGCGCCGACGCCGCACCCTCACGCTCACACGCCCCCGCAACTGACCCACCGCCACCCCCGCGCCTCACCCCTCCCGCGGCGGCGCGCCTCCGCCGCGCACGGCCGCGCGGATCAGCGCCAGCGGCGAGTCCACGTGCGCCAGGTGCGCGAACGCCGCCCCGCGTAGCTCCGACTGCATCAGCGCGCACGCCCGCTCCGCCTGCGTCGCGAGACCCTCCGCACCGTCCACCAGCGCCGCCAACGCGTCGACCTGCAGCGACAGCTTCCGCAGCGCGTCCCCCAGCGCCTCGTCGAGCTTCCCCGCCACCGACCTCGCCCGGGCGCGCTCCAGGGCGGCGTCGACCGCCGCTTTCAGCTCGGGGCCCGCCGCGAGAGATGTTGGGCGGGGGGCGCCGCCGACGGCGCCCTGGGCCGCGGCGGCGGCCTTCAGGCTCTGCCACTCGCGCTCCTCGTTGAGGAGGCGGTCCCTGAGGCCGACGAGCATCGCGCGGCGGCTCTCGGCGTCTCCGAGCGCCACGTCGCTGCCAGCCTCGATGTCGCCCGGCATCAGGATCTGCTCGTCTGCGGCGAGCTGCTCGACCTTCGCGAGCCATGCGTCGAGGACCGTGTTGTACGCTTGCTTCACCTGCGGGCGCGGCGGGCTCCGGGCGGCTCGGGTGCGCGTAGCGCAGTGAAGGCGGGATGCGCTGTGGTGCGTGAGCGCGGCGTACCGTCGCGTAGTACTCGTCTGGCAGCTGTGCTTCGTACTGGAGGACGTCTTGCCGGACTTTGGCCGCCAGGGACTTGCAGAGGTGCACCACGCGGGCAGCGCCCTGTGCGTCGTCCGGCACGGCCCGCAACGCCTCGCGGTACGCCTCCGGTACGTCCGCTAGATCCGCCGCCTGTGGAAAGCGCGGAGGGCTGCGAACGTGACGATCTCGCGGCGGGAGCAGCGCTGCGCGGGCTGCGGCGGGCCGAAAAGAGACGCACAAGGCCACGAGGACGTTTCGTTCCACGGGCCCTCCGTCACGGGCTGAGTTGTACCTCCGCGCCGACGCAACGCATCAACATCGTCGGAGGAACACGGCGCAGGCGCAGCATTTCGAATCAGCGCGTCAGCGCGCGGGAACAAGAGCAACGTTCCATGTCGTGCAGTCCTCCTTGCCTGCTCTCCGCCCGCAGGGTCCCGTGCGCCCGCGCGGGCCGCGGATCCGCCAGCCGCAGCTGCATCAGGCGCCGCCGCGCCAGCGGCGGCCCGCCGGAACACGAACCCGCCGTCGTCTACTAGCTCCTCATTGCCCACAGCCCGCACCACGCGCTGTTCCTCCCCAGCGTCCTTCCTGCGCAGCGCATTTCCAGGACATTGCACTTCGGAGCGCGTTGGCGCGCTCAGACCCCGCGAGCAGCCGCAGAAGCGTCAGGAGAGAGCGTCCGGCATATGAATGCGCGGTGGCGCGCACTCGCCGTCCCGCCCGCGGCAGGCCCCGCGCTGCCCCGAAAAGCCCAGCGCTCGCTCACCTCGATTGCCCCATCGTGCCACGGGCCGCAGCGACGGCGAAGCGGTCCCCGCTGCCGAGCGTTGGCACGCGAGCACGTCTAGCGCTGGTCTTTCCGCCTCCAGGCGACGTTGCGGTGACGGTGTGACGTCCACTACAGTTGCACGGCAGCGGCTTTCACCGCCGCTCGCAGCCCGGCCTCCGCCATCACCCCGGACGGCCATCGTCACGCCCCCCGCCCGCGCGGGACTTCCCAGGGTGTGCCCGCCTCAGGCGCCGCCCTGCCGTGGCGCCCCCGGGCCACAAATCAGGCGCGCGGCGGCCCCCGGCCACGCTCGACGCAAGCACCGAGCTCGTGACGCGTCCTGTCCCGAGTGGGGAGGTTCCTTGGCTGCGTCCTGGGTCCCCAAGTTGGCACATCACTGCTTTCGGTGTTTCGCGAATTCAGCGTGCCATGCCGGCTGCCACGATGCATATCGGGGAGGACGTGATGCGTAACCTCGACGTGTGGCGTCAGGGGCACCGGCACGCGCTGCACGTCGCGGGATGCGCCCTCGCGGGCGTCGTCTCCGGTGCAACCGCGGCGGGCGTTGTGCAGCCGTTCGACGTCGTGCGGACGCGCTTGCAGGCAGACTGCGCGCAGGGAATGAAGAGGGGCGCCTTTGCTACGCTCGGAGTGGTCGTGCGCGAGGCCGAGGCCAAGGGCCGCAGCGTGCAGCGCGCATTGTGGCAGGTGGGCACCCTACCTCAACGACAGCACGTTTCCGCGAGCGTCATCGTTTCCACGCCCGTGCAACGCATCACCAGCGTTGTACGCGACCTCCCCGGCCCGTTTCGGTCCGATTCCGCCAGAACGCCGCGGACCCCGCGGCGCTACGGGCGCCCCAAGGGTCCAAGGGTGGACACGCCAGCCTGAGACTTCGTTGACCGAACCCACTTCCCTGGCACGTGTGGGTGTCCGCAGGGGGCGCGGCCGGGGATGGTGCGCCTGGGCGTCGGCAGCGGGACGTACTTCCTCATGCTGCAGTACTGGAAGCGCTTCTTCGAGAAGCAGATGCCCGACGGCACGAAACGGATGGCCCCAATGGGGGCGCTGTGCGCGGGGGGCTTGTCAGGGCTGTGCACCTCCGTCGTGCTGACGCCGCTGTCCGTCGTGAAGACGCGGGCCGAGTTCGGGTGCGCCCCGGTGTCCGGACCCGGCCCCAGCGGGCCCCCTCAGCCCCTGGCACCGAGACGAGAGTTCGAAAGCAGCAACCATTCGCGAAACCGTATTTGACGGGATCTTCTGCCCTGGCGATCGCACGAGGCCCTGCGCGCGCCGTGTCTGAGCCGCCGCCGCCCTCTGCTTGCAGGTCCGGCGTCGCCGCGGGCGCGTCAGGGCGGGTGCCGGGTCCGCTGCGGCAGCTGGTGGGCATCGCGCGGACGGAGGGTCTGCGGGGGTGTTTCAAGGGCCTGGTGCCGACGATGGGGACGACCGCGCCGTTCTCCGCCCTGTACCTCACGATTTACCAGAACACGCGCCGGCGGCTCATGCCCGCGCTCGGCGAGGACAAGGCGGCGGTCGTGAACTTCACTAGCGGGCTGCTGGCGGCGACGGGCGCGGCGACGATCACGCAGCCGATGGACGTGCTGCGCACGCGCACGCAGCTCGGCCTCGCGGACGCGTCGGGCCTCCGCGGCGTGGCGAGGACGCTGAGCCAGGTGGTGCGCACGCAGGGCCCCAAGGCGCTGTTCACGGGGCTCGGGCCGCGGGCGGCGCGGCGGGGCGTGCAGACGGCGATCGTGTGGGCGCTGTACGAGGAGCTGGCGCCCCGGCTCAGCGCGGCGCTCACCGGGTCGGGCGGCGTCGGCACGTTCCATTGAGGGGTGCGGCGATGATTGTTGGCCGACGGCCGTGAAGACTGTGACTCTGATGCAGGCAAGCGAGAGTGGTGCGATCGAACCGGAGACGCGGGACGCCGTGTGAGGTTCTTGTTGTTGTTGGGGGCCTCGTGAAGGCCCCCGCGGCCCATATTGTGAACGACGCTTCACACTGTGAGTCACGCAGGCCCCCACGCGCTCAGAGGCTCATCTCTGCGCGGCGGGGCGGGGCCGCTGCGCGTCGTCGGCGCGGCGGGGCGAGGCACACACTATCGGCGCGGCAGGGTCATCGGCCGATGCTGCGCGCGTCGATGGGGTCCGGCTTGCTCTTGTCGTACGGCCCGACGAAGGACTTCTGCTTGAGCTCTATCACGCCCTCGTCCAGCACGCTGGGGAACTTCAGCTGGCCGGTCGTCGTGTCAACCTCGAGCGGGGCGTTCGGGGGCATGAGGCCCGCCTCGGACGGGAAGCCCGTCACGAGGCCCCACTGCTTCGTCGGCACCGTCATCAGGTCCTGCGTCTGGCCGATGTACCGCCGCGCGATCTTGCCTTCGCGGGTCGGGTAGATTGCGTACATCGAACCGTTCCGCGTGGCGGCCACGAACCCCGCGTTCGTGCCCGTGTCCATGTACGCCGTGCCGGAGACGACGTCGACCATCCACTGCCTGCGCAGCGGGCGCGGCGCGGAGGCAGCGGCGTGGGTTGAGGGTCTGCGTGCGAGGCTTGTGCGGGGATTTGCGGCGGCGCAGGGGCGCTTGCCTGTCGAGCTTGTCGCGGAAGAGCTGGTAGACCATGCCGTTGTCGCCCTTGACGAAAGTCGTGCCGTTCGGGCCGCGGTAGGTGTCGAACGGGAGGAGGGCGTTGGTGCCAGCCCAGTAGACGAAGCCGCCTCCCATGATGATGAGGAACAGGTCGCGGCGCGACGGACGCCATTCGCGCAACGAGGACACGTCCGGCGGCGGTGGCGGCGGCGGCACGCTGGTCCCGAGGCCTGCGGCAGAGCCGGGAGACACCGCAGGTTGCACCACAGGCGCAGCGGGGCCGGAACGAGCGCGAAGAGCGCTTTCTGCGGATTCACGGGCGTCAGTGTCGCGGAGCAGAGGCGGTGTTCGCGCAAGACAAGGGCCTCGGAGGCAAACGGCCGTGTCCCGGGCTCTAGGCTGCAGGCAAGCCCCCTCAAGCGGCGGACGCTGGGAGCGAGGCAGCGTTGATGGTGGCGCTCACGACTCACCGGGTGGAGGTGCGTCCGGCATGGTCTCCCGGCGGCGCGAATCAACCGAGGGACGCTGCGCGCGGGCAATGCCGAGTTGCCGCTGGGCGTGTGACGGCCGGGGCCGCAGCACGTCGCTCGACACGATCGACCCGCAACGACAGGCGCGCATCCCTCCCTCGTACGTAAACTTCAGCGCTGAAGGTTATTCTACCTAGTTGGAGCTATGTGTGGAGTCCGGCGGCTCCACTTGTGCAGCGGTGGATGTTGCGAGGCCGTACCACGCCGCTGGGTTCGCACGGCCACCGGCGCTGGACGGTATACGCGGCAAACGATCTGAGCAGCAGCTGCAGCCGCCAACGTCGACGACCAGCCTTCCCCACGCCCTGCCTGGTGGAGGGGCGTTTGTTGATTGATCTGATGTCCTCTCCGCGCTGGTTTGAAGGCGAGAACTCGGAGATACCGAACACGGGTCGATCACTAGTGCGCACCCGCACCCGCCAGCCGCGCGCATGCGCCCAGAAGCCCCGTCCGACACGTTCGTGGATGCGTTTCATACCGTCGAGGTGACCTGACAGCAGGCGTTGGGTCGTCGGGACGCGGCGCGGCGCGCAGGCGCGTGCGGCGGGTCGCGATCCCCTGCGGCCGCCGCTACGGAGTGCGAGTCAGCTCACACGATTCGGCACTGCTATGATTCTGGGCACGCGTTTGTGCCCTTTGTCTATCAATTCCGTCATTGCGTCGCGCGCGCGGCCGGCTTGCGCGGACGAAGGGTCCGGGCGGCTCAAGAGCAGAGCGGACATGTGTCCCGCGCATCAGGGCCGACTGCCACGTGGCCAGGGGTGCCAGGTCGACAGGCGAGGCAGGGGGGAGCGGCGGAAGGCCGTGTGCTTGGCGACGTCGCTGACGATGCGGCTGCGCGTCAGCGCCGTAGCGCTGGCCTGGACTGCTCCATGCAGAGGCGGTTAGGCGGGGGGTGGTTGAATTGTGTGCAGCGACCAGATGCATGGTCGCGAGCGCGCGTTGAGGGAAAAACGCGCAGCGCAGCGGGCAGTGATTGAGCTCTGCAACGCGTCAGTGCGCGTCGTGGCCCCCGTGCCCCGCGTGCGAGTGCTCCGCCAGGTTCGTCAGCGCGATCGCCAGGAAGCCCAGGCAGAACATCGCCAGCGCCACGAACCGCCCGCGCCGCCCCGTCAGGAACGACTCCTTGCGCGCGTCGCCGTGGTCGCAGCACTGGTCGTTGATGTGGTGGTGCGGCGTCGCCAGCTGGCCCTTGTACGCCCCGGACGGCACGGTGGCGTCCGGCGGGAGCGTGCGCCCCTCGCTCGCGTCCAGTTCGGCGTCAGCCTTCAGCGGCGCGAGGGCGCCGGCCGGGACCACGTCCGGCGTGGCCTGGATCTGCACGCCGAGCTCGCTCCCGGCGATCTCCACCGCGCCCACGTAGATGAAGGTGCCCGCCGACAGACCCTGGAGCACGACGTCCGTCAGCGCCGACCTGCCCGACGACAGCATGCCCGCGATGATGCCGAGCGGGGTCATGAGCGCGAAGGGGATGAGCCAGATCGCGGTCTCGACCGCGGGCGTGCCCTCCATGAGGAAGTGCGAGCCGAGGGACAGCGAAGACACCCACTTGTGGGAGCCGATGGCAATCAGCATCTTGTATACCCCTGTCTCGGTCGCCTGGAGGCCGAGCGTGAGGCCCTCGAGGACGCTGTGGACCGAGAGCGCCGCGAGCAGGACCAGCGCGCTGCGGCGCGCGACGAAGAAGTTGCCGACGCGCTCCCACAGGGTGGCGTTGGGGTGCGACACGACGACGTGCTTGGGGTCTGCGCTGGCGATGGCCCCGCAGTCGTGGACGTCGAAGAACACGCGCTCCACCGCCAGCACGACGATGAAGCCGATCACCGCGCACGTCCCCGCCAGCGGGTACGACTCGTTCGGCCCCGAGATGTTGACCCCCTCCTGGGCGTGCACCGCCTCCGGGAGAATGTGCGTCAGCCCGGACGACAGGAACACGCCGCCCGCCAGCGCGTTGAGCAGGTGCAGGTACTTGAAGTACTTCCGCGACGACGCGATCAGGACCGGCACCAGGCCGCCGACGATGGCCTCGGCAAAGATGGCCGCGGCGAGGCCGCCCTTGAGGCCCGCGTGCTCCGCGCCGTCGAGGTCTCCGTGGTGCTCATGGTCATCGTGGTCGTGGTGCTCCTCGTCGTGGTGGTCCTCCTCCGCGAGGGCTGCGCAGCAACAGGTGCACATGCAGGGTTGGCAACGCGGCGCGGGGGGGGCGGAGAGAATCTGCGCTCGGCGCGCGGATGAGCTGGGCGGAGCTATGCGGTTGCGCGTTCATCGTGGCGCGGCTCACCTCTGGCGGCGGTAGTAGGGGCCGGGAGGATGCACAGCACAAAGAAGGCCGCGACGAGGAGCCAGGAGGCGAGGAGTTTCAGCGCGTGCCGCGGCATGGGGGCGTGCAGCTTCGGTGCTTGCAGGGACCTGCGACGACGCGGGGAAAATCACAATGTGGGAGCCAGTGCGAGGCCTGAGGGCTTCAGGGGGGATGTCGACATGCCGGCGCTGACGCGTCCGCGCGATGGCGGCGGGCAAATCGCATGAAATTAACGAGGAATGGCGAAATGTGCGCAGGTGCGGGCGTTCTGGATAGCGTGCGGTCCGGCACGAGAGCCGTCGTACCTAGTCGACCTACAATGCGCGTCTGTGTTGATGCGCCACGCGCACTCTCTGGCTGCAAGCAAATGCCAGAGGTCAGAACAATATCGCCGTGCCGCGGGAGTGGCTTTGGACCTCGGAAGGCGACGGCAGTGAGGCGGTAGGCGGCCTGCCAAACCATGTCGACACCAGCAGTCGCGCAGTCCCTCCCCTGACAGGAGCCGTCGACCCGCGCCCGCGCAGTCCGCGTCAGTAAAAACGACCATTTCCTGCAAATTTCCGCGACCAGCCTTCCTCCGGCGCGCGCAATCGCCCGCGCTCGGGCGCGATCGTCCCAAGGCCAGCACGGCCCCGAGACGCAGCTTTTCGGGTCCCTTTCGAGGCCAGGTACAGAGCGAGCCTCCGCGGAACAGATCCAACTGCTCGGCCGTTCACGTGCCATCCACGTTCGGCACTCCGCGCGGGCCCAGCGGCTTGATTCTCGACAGTGTGCAATCAGATCTTTGGTGCTACGGCCACCGCCGCACGCGCGCTCCCGTAGGGGCGCCGCTCCGGGCAGCAGGTGCCGGGGGTAAGGCAGCGGTGATGCTGGCGTTCGTTTGTCACAGGCTGGCGGTGCGTCCGCCCTGGCCTCCCAGCGACGCACTACACAACAGACACAAGCTGCGCGACTCCCTGTCGCCGCTGGGGCTGCAATGGCCGAGCGCACATGACGAGACGATCGCAGCGGCGGGCGCGGATCGGGACACGGCGCGGCGCGGCCACGTGCGGCGGGGCGCGACCCACTACGCTTGAGTCAGATCACACGATTCGGGACTGCTGTGATTCTGGGCATGCACTTGCGCTGCCACTAGTCCTTCAACTCCGTCATCGCGTCGCGCGCGGCCGGCTGGCGCGCAGAAGGAGGACCACGGCGGCCCAAAAGCTTGCCGAGCGTGTCCCGGGGAGCAGGGCCGCGAGCCTACCGTCCGGATGGCCGCGGAAGCGTGATCGAGAAAAGAGGCGGTAGGGGGGAGCGGTGCGAGGCCGTGTGCTTGGCGACGCCGCTGGCAATGCGGCTGCACGATCATCACCGATGCGCAGACTGGGTCGCTGAATGCAGGAGCGGGAAGGGGGAGGGGGGAGAGGGGAGTCATGGGACGCAACAACAACCATAGGCGGGAGCAAGAGCGCGCGGGGGAAAAACGCGCAGCGCAGCGGGCAGTGATTGAGAGCTCTGCAGCGCATCAGTGCGCGTCGTGCCCCCCGTGCCCCGCGTGCGAGTGCTCCGCCAGGTTCGTCAGCGCGATCGCCAGGAAGCCCAGGCAGAACATCGCCAGCGCCACGAACCGCCCGCGCCGCCCCGTCAGGAACGACTCCTTGCGCGCGTCGCCGTGGTCGCAGCACTGGTCGTTGATGTGGTGGTGCGGCGTCGCCAGCTGGCCCTTGTACGCCCCGGACGGCACGGTGGCGTCCGGCGGGAGCGTGTGCCCCTCGCTCGCGTCCTTGACGGCTCCCAGCTTCTCCGAGTCGTACTCCGGCGCCACGAGCTTCGCGGGGGCGGCGTCGTGCGAGGTCGTCTGCACGCCGAGCTCGCTCCCGGCGATCTCCACCGCGCCCACGTAGATGAAGGTGCCCGCCGACAGACCCTGGAGCACGACGTCCGTCAGCGCCGACCTGCCCGACGACAGCATGCCCGCGATGATGCCGAGCGGGGTCATGAGCGCGAAGGGGATGAGCCAGATCGCGGTCTCGACCGCGGGCGTGCCCTCCATGAGGAAGTGCGAGCCGAGGGACAGCGAGGCCACCCACTTGTGCGCGGCAATGGCGACCAGCATCTTGATGACCCCCGACCGGGTCGCCTGGAGGCCGAGCGTGAGGCCCGCGAGGACGCTGTGGACCGAGAGCGCCGCGAGCAGGACCAGCGCGCTGCGGCGCGCGACGAAGAAGTTGCCGACGCGCTCCCACAGGGTGGCGTTGGGGTTGCTCGAGACGATGCGCTTGGGGTCGCCGCCGGCGGTGGCGGCCGGGACGTCGAAGAACACGCGCTCCACCGCCAGCACGATGATGAAGCCGATCACCGCGCACGTCCCCGCCAGCGGGTACGACTCGTTCGGCCCCGAGATGTTGACCCCCTCCTGGGCGTGCACGGCCTCCGGGAGAATGTGCGTCAGCCCGGACGACAGGAACACGCCGCCCGCCAGCGCGTTGAGCAGGTGCAGGTACTTGAAGTACTTCCGCGACGACGCGATCAGGACCGGCACCAGGCCGCCGACGATGGCCTCGGCAAAGATGGCCGCGGCGAGGCCGCCCTTGAGGCCCGCGTGCGCCATGCCGTCGAAGTCCCCGTCATGGTGCTCCTCGTCGTGGTGCTCCTCGTCGTGGTGCTCCTCGTCGTGGTGGTCCTGCGCGAGAGCTGCATGACACGCACACCTTGCAGGGTTGGACGCGGAGCTTGAACGGAGCGGAGAGGAGCGTATTGGACGGCGCTCAGGCACCGTGTATGCTGTATAGGGCGGGCGCGGCTCACTGGGCGCGCGCCAGTGCGCGGCTCACCTCTGGCGGCGGTAGTAGGGGCCGGGAGGATGCACAGCACAAAGAAGGCCGCGACGAGGAGCCAGGAGGCGAGGATTTTCAGCGCGTGCCGCGGCATGGGGGCGTGCAGCTTCGGTGCTTGCAGGGACCTGCGACGACGCGGGGAAACAAGCCGTGTTCGGGCCGCCGCGAGGCCTGAGGGCTCCAGAGCGGTATGTCGACATGCCGGCGCTGACGCGTCCGCGCGATGGCGGCGGGCGGATCCCATGCAAGTATTGAACTGTGGCGAGTGCGCGCAGGTGCGGGCGCTCGGGCTGGCTCGCGGGGCGGCATTGACCACTCTCACCTGGTCGAGCTCGCTCCGCGTCTGCGAGTGTGTGCTAGGTGCACTCTGTGGCGCGAACGGATGCCTGAGATGTAGTCGGTACAGCGCTGCTGCGGGAATGGACTCGGAGCTCGCGACGCGACGGGCAATGAGGTGGTGGGGGGCTCGGCGAGCAGTGTCGACATCGCGGCGGCGCGAACTCCCCCCGAGATCGGCCGCCGGCCCGGGCCCGCGCGGTCCGCGCGAGCACAACCGATTCGTCGCGCCAATTCAGGGGGCCTCCGGCGCGCCGAAGGGACGATTTCCGCGCGCATTCGGCCAAGACCAGTAAGCGCCGACACCCGGCTGCCTGGGTCCCTGACGCAGACGAATATGGACCAGACGCCGGGAAAAAGCACAAACGATTTCGACGTGCATACATACCACTCAAGTGCCGCTCGCGACGCGCGGCCAGCCGCTCGTGTCCTCGGGGTGAAATCGCACCTTCCGCGCCTCGCACGCCGCCCGCCCGGTCCCCAACGCGACCCTGCGCCCTCCAACCTCTTCGGTGGAGCGCACGCTGAATTCTCACCGTAAGACAGCTGCATCCCGCACTGCCCGGCGGAGCGCTGACACGAGTCAGCCTCAACCCTGGGTGCACCCCACCGGGCGCCCCCGCGCACAGCCGGGCGCCGCCGAGGCCGCGCGCGGCACTCCCAGCGCCCGCCCCTCGCGCGCCCCGCCGTTCCCAGTCCCACCGCGCCGCACTTTAGGGGTACATAGCTCGTCGCAGGTCAGTGCCGGCCCTCGCCGCGGCATAGGCGCCGAGATGATGGAGGACCTCGACCCCCTCACGGCCTCCAAGGTGAGACGCGTCGCACCGCGCAGCCGCACGCCGCGCTGCGTCGCTCCTGGGCGCCTGTGCGGGCCTCGATGGCACAGTGCGCGTTTCGTTGCGCGCACCGCCGCGCACGATGGGTCTCGCCCGCAGCGACGGTTCGGGCTCGGCGCGAGGCGGTATCGTCCGTGTCGTCCGCGCCCTGCGCCCGCGAGGCGCCCAAGCGCGCGGCGGAGCGCGGTAGCTGACCGCTGCGTGTCCCAGGGCGGCTCCACGCCGCGCTGATCGGACGAGGCACGCAGTTCGCGTCGCCCGTAGCACCAACATAGTAGGCTCCACCCAAAGCGGTGCGGGTCGGGGCCTGGGAAGCCCTACGTGCGCACGCGGCCCTCCCTTTTGCCCGCTGCTCACCTTGTCACTGTCGGGAACCTGCCGCAGATGAGTGCCTCGATGGGGCCGAACGACGCGAACGGAGCGGACTCCAACGGCGGACACAGCTCGCCGTCTCCCGGAACGCCGCCCCCCGCCGCGGTGCCGGAGCGCGAGGCTCCACCCCCCCCTTCGCCGCCTGGCGCTCCGCCGGGTGCGCCCTCGGCGGGCAACGACGCGCTCCCTCCGCCTCCGCCGTACGACTCCGTCATGATGGACACGGGGGCGCGGGACCACGGCGTCGCGGACCCCACGGAGTCGATATTCGCGGCTCGGAACGACATTGAGATCGCCGTGTCAGGTGCGCCGCCGCTCACAGCCGACCCCTGCCGTGGGGGCGCACGCCCGCACGAGACGCGATGCAACTCGACGTCGGGAACCACACCACAGCATTCAACGCGCCGCTTGGTGCACGGGGGCTGCGAATCTCGCGGCCAAACAGACCTAGTTGTTGCCGGGCTGGGGGCTCGCGTGGGAGGTTCCAGGAGCCCTTCTGTCGCGGGACGCATGTTCACTGCCCGTGCGTTGCGGCCGCGTCGCTTGCAGACCCGGTGAAGCAGGGCGACGGCGTGGGCGCGTTCATGAGCTACAAGGTCACGACGAAAACGTCGCTCCCGGGCTTCCGGCAGCCGCAGACGACCGTCATTCGCCGCTTCCGCGACTTCGACTACCTCGAGGCCCAGCTCCAGCGCGCCTTCCGCGGCATCGTCATCCCCGCGCTGCCCGAAAAGTCGGCTGTGCAAAAGTTCCAGATGCAAGACGAGTTTGTGGAAGACCGACGCAGGGCCCTGCAGGTGAGACGACGCCACGCAGTGCGGCGGCAATGCGAGGAACCCGCGGCGTCGCGTGCGGGCCGGGAACTCGCGCGCTCCGCCGCTTCGCGTCCTCATCACCCCGGGGGTGTTCGCCGTCGCCGCGCAGGTGTTCCTGTGCCGTGTGGCGTTCCACCCGATCCTCGGGTCCTCTGCGGAGCTGCGGCAGTTTCTGGAGCAGCCCGAGGACGAGTGGGCGTACACGGTGGCGCGTGAGAGGGCAGAGGAGGGGGGAGCTGCGCAGAAGGTCAGCAAAGTCCTCGACATGTTCCGCGGGTGGGGCCACTCGGCGTCGAACCTCGTGCACGGGAAGAGCGACGACTCGAGCGAGGATCCGGACTACCTGCGCTTCCGAGAGTGAGTGCCCGGCCCTGCTGTGTCTCGCACCGCACACGGTGGTTTCGGTGCCGCTGCGGAGGTCGGCGCTGTCCAGCTGACGACCACGGGGCAGCTGGCCGTGTACGTCGCACGGACAGGCCGCGATGTCGGCCACGCGAGCGCCTCGCGTCCGTCCACAAATCCCCTTTTCCAAAACCCCCCCTGCGCTCCCGCTCGGCGCAGGTACGTCAACATCCTCGAGGGCCACACCTCGGAGTGCCACCGCCAGGCCGCGCGCATCGTCCGCAAGCGCGGCAAGCTCCAGGCTGCCATGCGGGACCTGGGTCAGGCCAGCCAGGGCCTCGGCCAGTTCGAGCGCGAGCCTTTGAAGCAGTGCTTCGGCGTCCTCTCCGCGCGCTGCGACCACGTCTCCGGCGTCCTCGAGGCCGCGGACGCCCGCCTCGCCGCGGCCTTCGAGGCCCCCCTGAAGGAGGCCAGCAGGACGATCAAGTCGGTGAAGTTCACCATGGCGGACCGGTCAGCGGCGCTGTCGGCGTTCGCGCAGGCGCAGGCGGACACCGAGCTGCGGCGGGCGCGCCTGACGAAGCTCCGCGGCACGCCCGGGATCCGCCAGGACCGGGTGATCGAGGCGGAGCGGGACCTGTCCATCGCGACGCAGCGGCAGCAGGAAGCGCGGACGACGTACGACACGGTGGTGGAGCGGATGGGGTCGGAGCTGCAGAGGTTCCAGCGGGACAGGAGCGCCGAGCTCGCGAAGACGCTGCAGTCGTTCGTAGGTGCGTTGTTGTCAGTTGTTGTCAGTTGTTGACAGTTGTTGTGCGCCGCCGTGAATGCTGCTGCAGGGTGTGCGGCGGTCCGGGAGGCGTGGCTGCGGTCGTGCACTGCGCGCTGCGTCCGTCTGCGCGCCCTCTGCGCCCGCGCCGGCTCTCGAACAGGCCTCGGACACTCGTGAATCCTCGACTGGTTTTGACTCGCTGCAGAGATGCAAGTGGAGGAGGCGCGGGAGCTCCTGACGGCGTGGGAGGGGGCGCTGAACGAGATCCGCCCGCTCGTGGCGCAGCAGCAGGACATGGCGCGCTCGCAGATGCTCTGACGGCCTGCGCGGGGCGCGGCAGCTGTCGACGCTTCGGTTGCAGGATGGTCACACTCACGCACTGATCCTTTCCAGCAGTGGCGCCGCGCTGCAGCGCAGACGCGCTCACGTGTGATGCGTCGTCGTGCGCCGGTGCTGCTTGTCGCGGGGTCAGCATCCTGCCAGACCGACCCGGGCCGCCGGCCTGCGTGGGCGTGTTTGCGCGACGCAGGCGGGCGATGCGTCCTGCTATCGATGCTCGAGGCTGGAACGGGCAGAGTGTCCGAAATCAATGCTCCCGTGAGGCGTGTCGAGCGGGGGTGATTGGTGACCTAGCAACGTCGTAGCGGGCGGACACCGCGCCGGCTGGCTGCGCGGTACTGAGCATTGACTGGAAATTGCTCTGACAGGGGTGGCTATGCGCCGGTTTGCAGCGCTGGCGCTGCGTGCGGCGCGCGAGGGGCAGGCTACAGTGGAGGTGGGGCAGTGGGGGGCGCTGGCGGCGCGGGAGGCCGGGATGGAGGGGTTGCGAGGCGTTTACACCACTCCTCACGTTCAGAAGAAGATGCGCGTGCTCAAGGATCCAACGCAAGACCTCCTCTACAAGTACGCTGGCGCGCCCTGGTTCGCTGCTCCCTCAGGCCGCTATTGACGCCAAATCCGACCACTTCTGGCACGCATCGAGTCGGCGGTTTCTTGCCACTGATCCTCTCCCTCATGCGGTCCCGCATCGACCGCCTGTTCGACTCGCACCGCGCATGGGAGCGCACCCTGCTCATTGACGCAACAGCCTGAGCGCGATCGACGACGACCGCGGCCGCGACCTCGCAGGCGACGAGCCGTGTCGTTCTTCACGTACGAGAAGATCATAGAGGAGTACGTCCCCGCCGAAGCCCTGGTGGACTCCCTGCGGTATACGTTCATGAACTTCATGGACACCGTCAGCCTGGTCCTCAAGGCGTGGTGAGTCCCCGCGCCCCCCAACGCACGCGCCGCACTTCGACCTAGCGTGTCTCCCGGAACGCGGGCCCTGGGGCCGCGAACGCCTCGCCCACGAGGACCTTTGTCAGTCAGACACAACGGTGCGCACGGGCCCGGTCGCCGCGGCGCCGCAGGTCTCTGGGCCCCGACGTGGCGTACAATCCGAGGAGTTTCGCAGCGGGCGCGGCGTCGACGTACCGGCAGCTGCTCACGGGGCTCAAGACGGGGGAGTTGGGCGCTGTCAAGTGGACCTGCGGACACGCCCTCGCCGACGACTTCAAACACCTCCTCGAGCCAAAACACGACCAGAAGGCACGCAGCGCACCTCCCGTCCAGCTCCCACGACGACCGACCGCTAACACCCCCCCCCGACACCCTCCCTCGCTACTCACACCTTTCCCCCCCGCCGCCCCGCAGGCCGACCGCCGGAAACCCCAGTCCGGCCGACGCGCCCCCGCGCCGTCCGTGCAGGCGCGCCGGGGCGCCGGCGTCGACTTCCTGGACGGCCCGCACGTGGAGATTTTGTTGCGCACCAGCAAGGACGTGCCGTCGAAAGAGATAGGGATGTCGGGACAGGAGACGCTGGTGCAGCAGGTGACGGCGCGCGTCACGTGCCGCGTGCGCGTGCAGCGGTCCGGGGACGAGGAGGACCGCAGCGACGTGATTGTGTTTGAGCGCATCGTGCCTCAGAAGGAGTGGCGGGCCATCGCGATGTACGGGTACTAGCGGGGGACGTGGGTGTATGTGTGAGAGCGGGCGGTGTGTGTGGTGAGGTGCGGCGGGGGAGGGGTTGTTTTGGAGAGGTGTCAGGGGGGGTGTTGACGTGCGGGGGGGCGTGCGGGGGCCTAGGGCGGTGGTGCGGGGCGCGTGGTTGGAGTGCTCTGTGTGTGGGAAGTGTGGTTGTAGAGCGTGAGTGCGTGGAAGCTGCGTGGTGTTGGCCGGAACGGGTGCTGAGGTGGCTGTGCGGGCGTCATGGACCAGGAGTATGATGCAATCGTGCTGGGGACGGGGCTGAAGGAGTGCATCATTTCCGGCATCCTGTCCGTCGAGGGACACAAGGTGAGGCGGCGCCCCCGGCACGGAACGCGCATGCGGAGTTGCAGCAAGCACGGGCGTATGCCTCTTCGCTCGGGGCAGTGCTGGCCGCCGGGAGGCTCGATCTCCGCTGTGCGTGGGCGGGAGAGATCCGCGCACTGCGGACGCGAGGCGCAGCGATCGCGACGGAACGGTGCGCCGCGCTGGAACCTGCGTGCAGGTTTTGCACATTGACCGCAACAGCTACTACGGGGGCGCTTCGGCCTCGCTGAATCTGAATCAGCTGTTCGAGAGGTTCCTGGGCAAGGATGCCAAGCCGCCAGAGAGCCTCGGCGCGTCCAGGTACAGCGCTCCGTGCACCCTAAGCACTCCCCGCGGCCCAGCCGTCCATCATCGCCGCCTGCCATCCGCGCGAGGGAGCCGCATGACAGCTCCGGAGTGATCCTCGGCGCACCGCGCGAACCCAGCGGCCGACACGCGCCGTGGGCGTCGTCGCGAGCCGCTCCTGTTGGCCACGTTGGACGTCCCTCGCACGGCGGCATGCGGGATTTTCCGCGCCTCATTTTCATCCCAAGACGCTGCACTTGCGCTGAATATCCGCGAACGCGACCCGCGGCCCGCACGACCGCCCGGCAGGAGCCCCACACGCCCACGAGCCCCCTTTGCCGCTGTGTTCGACCGCGCTCCGGGGGTGTAGACCGCGCGCGACGACCCCCGGCCTCCGCAGAGACTACAACATCGACATGGCGCCCAAGTTCATCATGGCGAACGGCAACCTCGTGCGCACGCTGGTCCACACGGACGTCACCAAGTACCTCGACTTCAAAGCAGTCGACGGGTCCTTCGTCTACGTGTTCCAGCAGGCCGGCTTCTTCTCCTCGGGCGGCGGGAAGATCCACAAGGTCCCCGCGACCGACATGGAGGCCCTCAAGTCCCCCCTGATGGGCCTCCTCGAAAAGCGCCGCGCAAAGAACTTCTTCGTCTTCGTCCAGAACTACGACGCGGACGACCCGCGCACGCACAACGGCCTCGACCTCACGCGCATGTCCATGGCCGAGCTCTTCGCGCACTTCGCCCTCGACCAGGCCACGGTCGATTTCGTCGGCCACTCCATTGCGCTGTGGCAGGACGAACGCTACCTGCGCCAGCCGGCGATCCAGACCGTGCCGCGCATCAAGCTGTACCACGACAGCCTCCTGCGGTTCGAGGGCCTCAAGTCGCCGTACATCTACCCGCTGTACGGCCTCGGGGAGCTTCCGCAGGGCTTCGCGCGGCTGTCGGCGGTGTTCGGCGGCACGTACATGCTGGACCGGCCGGACGCGGAGGTGGTGTTCGAGGCGGGCAAGGCGGTGGGCGTCAAGGTGGAGGGGGAGGTGGCGAGGTGCAAGTTCGTGGTGGGCGACCCGACGTACTTTCCTGACAAGGTGCAGACGGTGTCGCGGGTGGTGCGGTGCATGTGCATCATGTCGCACCCGGTGCCCAACACGGACGACGCGCACAGCTGCCAGGTCATCATCCCGCAGCGGCAGGTCAACCGCCAGTCGGACATCTACATCTTCGCCTGCAGGTATGAACATCAACGTCAATCATTATCCATACACCCCCCGCCCCTGCGCCTTTCGCGGACGAGGCGTGCGCCGATTCGGCCACGTTGCTCGACTCGTCCGCGAAAGCGCTCCTGCTCCTACCGCGCGCCAGCATCCGCCACGGCGGCGGCCCCCGGCAACGCTGCGCTCCCCGCTGCCGACGTCGATCCACGCGCGTGTTTGCCCCGTGAGCCTCGTGCAGCTACGCGCACCACGTGGCCCCGCAAGGCAAGTGGCTGGCGTTCGTCTCGACGACCGTGGAGACGTCAAACCCCGAGCAGGAGCTCGCGCCCGGTCTGGCGCTGCTGGGGCCCGTGGACTGCAAGTTCGTGGAGGTGACCGAGGTGAAGGAGCCGACGAACGTGGCGCAGGACGACGGGTGCTACATCAGCAAGGGGTACGACGCGACGTCGCACTTCGAGAGCACGATCAACGACGTGCTCGACATGTACAAGCGCATCACCGGGAAGGAGCTGGACCTGCACGCCGACAAACCGATGGTGCAGCAGTCGGAGATGTAGCGCCGCAGCTGTGACGCGATCCACGCCGCTGCCGGCGACGTCGCTGAGCAAGGTCGCCCGTGGCAGCGCTTCAGCTGCGCGTGCTTGTTTGACGGCGTGCGCGCACCGGCACCTCCGACATGGCGCCCTTCCTGTCTAGCACGGTCGAACGAGTATGTCTCCTCCGTGTGGTGTCATTGTTACGTCCTTCCAGGGCGTTGAATCACGTCAGGACATCCCTCCACGGCAACAGCCATCACACGGCGCCCGCGACAGAGCCTGGCGCACCCCGCCCCGATCACGGATACCGCTTGAAGCGCGAGAAGTCCGGGCGCCGGCCCTCGACGTACGCGTCGCGCCCCTCGGACCCCTCCTCGCTCTGGTAGAAGAGCAGCGTCGCGTCGCCGCCCAACTGCTGCAGCCCCGCCTGCCCGTCCTCGACGGCGTTCAGCGCCGACTTCAGCACCCGCACGGCCGTCGGGCTGTTCCGGATCATCTCGCGGCACCACTGCACCGTCTCCCGCTCGAGCTCGTCCAGCGGCACGACGGTGTTGATCAGGCCCATCTCCAGCGCCTGCTGCGCACTGTACAGCCGCGCCAAAAACCACATCTCCCGCGCCTTCTTCTGCCCGATCAGGCGCGCCATCTGCGAAACGCCGTACCCGGCGTCGAAGGACCCCACCTTGGGCCCAGTCTGCCCGAACACGGCGTTGTCAGCGGCGATGGTCAAATCGCACATCATGTGCAGGATGTGCCCGCCGCCGACCGCGTAGCCGGCGACCATTGCGACGACGGGCTTCGGCATGCGGCGGATCTGGATCTGCAGGTCGAGCACGTTCAGGCGGGGGATGTTGTCCGCTCCAACGTAGCCGCCGCGCCCACGGGCGGCCTGGTCGCCGCCGCTGCAGAAGGCCTCGCCGCCCTCGCCCGTCAGGATAACCGCGCCGATCTTCGGGTCGTCGCGCGCGTCTGCGGGCGCGCGGGGCGATCGTTTCGACGCTCAATCGCGCGCAAGACACACATCAAACGAGGGGGGGAGTAATGCAATGCGAGCCGCGGGGAAGTGCGTCGATGCCGCACGGACGAAGGCGCAGTGTCGAGCTGGCCCGCGGCGCTGCGTGTCCGCACCCGACATGCACCACGAGATCTCCTGGATGGTCCGGGGAGTGAATGCGTTGCGCCGCTGTGGCCGGTTGATGGAAATCTTCGCGATCCCGTCGCCCTTGCTGTATATCACGTCCGTCAGGGTCTCCTTGGCCACCACAGGGATGCGCTCCCACGCGGGCGGCTCCCTGGACACCTCACCTGCGTGACACAACCGAGGCACAAGGGAAGACGGTGGTTGCTGGCGTCTACTGTGGCCCGTCAAGCCCATCTCTGCCCATGAACGGCACGGAACAGCATCTGCAGTGTAGAAGAGGTGTCATTGGCGCAGTATGGGCTGCAAGAGTACGAAATACGAGGAAGCGCAGACCATACCATGGACCCTCTCATAGCTGCTTGGTTTGCCGTCTATGCTGGCATACGTGGCTCTCACGCGCCCCTTGCTACTCGATCCCTGCGCGAAGTGTCCGGCGAGGACCCCGAGACGCCGACTCGCGGCTTCCTGGTCGCTCATCGCGGCTCGCAGCCTTGGATTTGGGCCCACCCGGCGATGAGCCCGACTCGAGCGCTACACACCCCCAATCGCGGCGTCCTGGCTCAAGCCGCGATCTCCACTGCCCGATGAAGCTCTCCGACGCAGCAACGTGAGCCCCCGTCCGGCCCACGACGCCCTGACGCAGCTCCATCCATCATAGTTCTTCCTGACGTCAAGTCGTGGCGCGGTCGGAGCGAGGTATGAAGTGAAGCCGCGCGCCGCGGAATGCACAGCATCCGCCCCGGTGCGTCGGGCATCGAACCGCGTCTTTCACGCACTACGCTCTTCCGCCCGCTGACAGACGTGCTCGGCGGGCAGGCACCCGCCGCTCTCCTCGACCTGCGCTCCCGACGGCCGACCCAGACTGCGCGTGTTGACCCAGCAGTCGGCTACTATGTCGTGCGGGGCCAGGCGGTCCATGACGCGGGCCGCTGAGCTCGCACCGGCCCTCCTGAGACGATGCACAGGAGCCATTGACACTGCCGCGTCCGCGGGACACGCTGCCGGCCACGACGTGCTGTCTGCCGCGGCGCCCAGCGTGGCACGCATCAGCACGTTGCAGAGACGCCCCGACAACGCGCACTCGGCAATCATGCAAGACGGGGTGCCGTCTGCGCGCTTAGGGCTGCGACGGAAGTCGACAGGAGGCGGGCCTGGCGACCTGCGGGCGTCCCTGCTGCACTGCGTCGACATTGTGCGGAACAACGACCTCGAGAACTGGCTCTGGGTTGGAAGCCTGCCGAAGGACATGCAGCCGCAGGTGTGGCACGCCCCCGACCCCTAACGCACCTCCGGCAACGCCCGTGACGTCGCTTGCCGCGCGCCGCGCGTTCGCGGCCCTCCCGGACGCAACCCCGAACGCCGGCACGCACTCGAGAACGCCGGCACCTGCCTGAAGACGGCAAGAACGCTTTCGCTTGCTGCGTCGCGTGCGTGCAGGTCGTGACGCTACGCGCGCTCGCCACGGAGATCGCCCGCATCGTCGATACCGTCACCGAGCCGGGGCTCGCGTCGCTGCGCTTCCAGTGGTGGCGCGAGCGCATCGCCGCCGCGCTAGACCCCCCCGGCGCCGAATCCAACACCCCCGGGGGCGCGCACCCCGTCCTGACCGCCCTGGCCGCGGTCCACGCCAAGCACCCGCTCACGCAGATGTGGCTGCAGCGCATCGTGCGCACGCGCGAAGCCGAGGCCGCGGATCCACGCCCCCCAGCGGACATGGACACCCTGCAAGCTTTCGCACAGGGCGCGCACGCGTCGCTGCTGACGCTGCAACTGGAGGCGTGCGGAGAGGCGAGCCACGAGGCGGAGCACGCCGCGAGCCACATCGGGACGGCGGTCGGCATGTCGCTGCTGCTGCGCGGCACGCTCGCGCACGCAAAGGCTCGCCGGTGCTACCTGCCGTCGGACGTGTGTGCCAACTTGGGGCTGTCGACGGAGGACATCTACAGGTGCGTTTGCGCGGTCCGGGTCTCAAGGGGGACGCCGTGGTCGATCCGCGAAAGCGCGCGGTCGCACGGGGGCGTGACACGCTGTCGAAAGTACAGACCTTGTTTTCCGACGTGCTGAGAATCGAGATTTCGCGATCCTCGATGCGTCTCGGTCTCGATGTGCGTGTCGATGTGTTCGCGCTGCAGGGGACGGGCGAACCCGGAGTTGCTGGCGAGCGCGGCGTTCGAGGTGTCCAAGGTGGCGCACGCGCACCTGAACGAGGGCCTGGGCATCGCCAGGGCGCTGCCGAAGCGGGCGCGGCTGCTGCTGTTGCCTGCGGTGCCTGCGCGGCTGGCTCTGGCCAAGCTCGAGAAGGTGAACTTCGACGTGACGTCGCCGGAGCTGCAGCGGGGCATGGGCGGCATCAACCCGCTCAGCCTGCAGGCGAAGCTGACGTGGGCGCGGCTCACGGGCAGCTTGTGACGCTGAGATATCGTTTCGTGTCTGGTCTTGACGTCGAAAGATGCCTTGCGGAGCCGCGCCGCACGGCTGGTTCCGCGCGCTGACGCATGCGGCGGCGCAGGGCGTGCGTCGCGGCCGCCGCGCGAGCCCAGCAGCGTCGGCGCCACCCCGTCAGCGCGCTGCCAGTCGGTCTGTCTGGCCCATGACCGTCAGGGACGTGGCAGTGCACAGCGCGGGCAGCTAACCATGTCTCACGCCCAGTAGTTCGGCACTTGCTCCGTGCAACAGGTCGCTGGCCCGAGAACAAGCGAGCTGGGCGACCAGCCATCGCGCTCTGCGCCCGCCCGCCCATAGATACTCCACCAGGGTGATGCCGATGATGGCTGAAATGGTGGCTCGAAGGGCCCTTGGGGGTCCTCACCGCCCTCTTCATTCTACGGCCGTTGCGACGCGTGCACGTGTTGGACGGTCGGGGCAGCTGTGCTCGCGAACACAGCGCAGGTTGCTGCGGCCTACCAGATGTGCCGCGGCCGGCGACTGCGAGGGCGATGTCGCGCTTGCGAGCGGCGAAATGGGTCGGAGGAATCTAGCAGCGTCGTTTGGCGCCGCGGTGATCGCCTCGCTTGCCGTGTCAGCGCCTGCGGTGGCGGAGGGTGAGGGTCAGCAGCGTCTGATGCTGCGGGAAGGCACGCAGGTGTTCCTGGAGTTCTCCATCGACGGGACGGACGCAGGGCGGGTCGTCATCGAGCTGTTCCCGGACGTCAAGGTGCGGCCCCTCAGCGCTGCACTTCACAGCACACGCGACGTCCAGTGCGTCGTTGCGACGCGCCGCGGTCCGCTCTGGCGGCCGTGTCTCACCTGACAGACAAGCACCCCTGCTGAGAGGGGCCCGCACGCCTCGTCTCGGACCCGTCTCGTCCACGCGTCCCTCTCAGCGGGGGTGTTTGTGTGTCGGTCGAGACGCGATTGCCAGCCGAGCGCCAGCCATCGTGCCCGCGCGCGCGGCTGACTGCGGCGCGTGCTGGACGTCGCATGCTCGTCGCGCCCGCCGCTCGAGGCACTGCGCGCGCCCCGCCCCTGCGGCGCTGCACTTGGCGCCGGGCACATCTTTCATGCCCTCACTGCGGGCCGCACCGATCGCCGGTACGGCCTCGCGGCGCGCCACGCCCTCTGCAGGTCGGTGCGCAGCGGTTCCTGGACCTCGCGGTCGGCCTCGGCGGGGTGCGGTACCGCAACAACAAGGTGCAGGAGTGCGCGGCGGACCACGTCCTGGTCGAGCCGGTGCGCACGCTGCGGTACGGGCAGAGCGAGAGCCCGATCGCGGGGGGCGAGACCACGCTCGACCTGGACCGCGAGCTCGCGGCCTCGTCGCGAAAGCACGATGCGGCGGGGCTGGTGTCCTTGGTGGTGAAGGACAGTAGGGACCGAGAGGTGACGTCGCGGCTGATGGCCGTGAAGGGGCGGCTCGTGAGCGTGGAGGAGGACTCCGGGGGCGAGCGGCCGAACGGGACGGCGTTCGAGATCACGACCGCCGCGGCGCCGTCGCTCGACGGCGTGAACCTGGTCATCGGCCGCGTGGTGGCGGGGCAGGACGTCGTGGAGAAGATCCGGGCGCTGCCGGTGGTGAAGGACAATTCGGGGTCGCCGTTCTTGCAAGCCGGGTGCGAGAGTCGGGCGCCCTGGAGCCACTCGTGCATCATGTTGATGTTTGTCATAAGTCTGTCGATCAATTCATTCATTCATGCGCGGGAGCAAGGGCGCCGGTGCGAGCTTTTCGTTCTGGTCCTTCTGCGCACGCGTGTGCTCAGACGTCGAGGCGCGTCCCGCGTGTCTGCAGGAAGCGGATTGGCGACAAGCGCGCCAATGTTGCCGAGCGCGTGTTCAACAGGCCCTTCGCGAAGGTCCTGGTCAAGAAGGCGGGGGTAGTATCGAATTGAGACGTTTCCGACTATCTAAGACGTGTTAGACTGACACCGCACACTCCAACAAGACTCGTGCTCGACTTCACACATCCTTGCAGCGCATCAATCAGCAGGAAGCCCGTCGAAGGGCTCCCGAGCAAGCCTGTCGCTCAGCACGTTAGCGTTATGTTTTTGGGGAGGGGGGGGTCGGGGGGTGGTGAAGGAGGAGGGCGTGGGGGCACAGAACAGCTGTCATAGATGATCTAGCTATGTGGACAGTCGGGCCCGGTCTGAGTCGAGGCCGGCCGGAAGAAAACCCGGTCTCGGAGACTGTATGTACACGTGTGGGATTCAGAGGCGAGCGGCGGCTGCCGCGTGTCGAAAACGCGGGGCAACGGGCAGGAAGGGCAGGACATCATCTTTGGCGGATGCTACCATGCGGGTGGCATCTCTTGGTTGAGGAAATCATCGCTCGCCGGGCAGACTCGCTCCAGGCGCAGCGCGGGCGCACGTCCACGGACGCCGCCGCGCGGGACGTGACATGCAGTGGCAACCTTACTGCTGTGTGTTCGGGTGCCGCGCGACGGCCGGAGGGACGCCCCCGGGCGTCCCAGGCGCGCGCTGCCGGCTCACCGTCGTGTCGTGCACGTCCACCGTCGTCGGCGTCATCGGCACCGGCCGCGGGTCACCCGAGGACAGGTTGGGGGGCGTCGAAGGGTGTGCGTTCGTCTCGGCAGACAGCTTCGCCATCGCCGCCTGCGCCGCAGCCGCCTGCCACGCCCAGGGCAGGTACGACGCCATGTTCAGACCGAACGCCGCCGGCGGAAGCCCCTGTGGCGGCATCTGGTGCTGTGGCGCAAGTGCTGCGCGGACCTGCTCCACCATCGCGGCCTGCGCGTCGGGGACCGCCTCGCCCGACACGGGCGGACGCTGGCCCGTGCGGCCCCACTGCGGCAGCGGGCCCGCGTTGCGCGCCGGCGCCGGGACTTCCGGCGAGTGCGGCTTGCTGGCTGCGGCTTCCAAGTGCTGCGGGGGGGTCCTGTCGCCGCCGGGCTTCGCGACGCCGGCGTGCACGCCGAGCTTCCTGCGCGACGCAACGACACAGATCGACGCAACGGTCAAACAAGAGCCCTGCGTGCAGCAGGCGCGGTCTGACGACCCTTGTGCGTTGGCAAGATCATGTTGCGGGGGGCACTCACGCTGCTGGCTCCGCCGGACGCCTCCCACGCGTGGCCTTGCGGCCCCTGTGCCGCGGCGTCGGCGCGCCCTGCGCCATCGCCACCTCCGCGAGTTCCAGCAGCGCTTCGACGCCACCCGCCGCCGCCGCGTCCGCGTCCGCATGCGGCGTCGCCCCGCGCCGCTCCTTGGTCTTCTTCGCCTTTCCGGCCGGCTTCACGTCCACGACCGGCACCGGCGCCACCTCGGGCTGCGCGGCACCACCCCCCTCGTACACCGCGGGGGGAGTCGCGGCCATCCCGGCCTCGTTCTCCTCGCCGATGTCGATGCCCTCGTTGTCCCGGAGCGCCTTCAGCTCCTCGACGTGGTCCCACGGGAAGTTCAGCGGCTTCAGGTGCCGGGACTTGCGCTCCTGAACTCTGTGCTTCAAAATGTATGCATCCACGGCGCGGGCCGCCTCGACCTCGGTGTCGCACACCGCGATGCCGACTTGGCGGTCCGGAAGGTACGTGTACGCGCGCCAGCCCGCCCCTCCGGCCTTCGCGCAGACCCCGTGGTAGCGCGAGGTTGCCGCGCGACGCGTCGGCGCGACGCTGGCCGCGTCCTCCGCCTTCGACTTCCGTCCGCGGGCCGGAGCCTCCGCAGCCTTGGGGGCCGCGCGCTCGGGGGGGCTCGCGGCCGCGGCGGCGGGCTTGGCGCCCCTCGCGGCGCCGGCACGCTCCGCATCGCAGCACTCGCAACCAGGGAGCCCGCACCCACCGCTACACCGCGCGCCGGCGCTCTCGCGCAGGCTCATGTCCTCCTCCGCCGACCCACGCGGCGAACTGCGCGCCTCGCTCTTGTTGCCGATGTCGGGGCTCGCGCCCACCCCTCCGCTGCCGCTGCTAACCCCCTGCATCGTCGTCGGGGCGGTAAACGGCCTGCTGCGCGACGAGGACGACGCCTGAGGCGTGCTCGGTGTGCCGCCGGCGGTCTTGGGGCCTTCGGCGGTCGCCAGAGCCGCGGCGTTCAAGCCTCCAATGTCCACGCCCTGCGCCGCGAGGGCGCGCAGGGCCGTCTCGCTGCGCGCGGGGAAGTGCAGCGGCCTGAGCCCGCCGGTCGCCTCGTCGCAGACGCGGTTCGCCACGACCCAGTCGTCCCAGGCCTGCGCAGCCACGAGCGCCACTTCGCCTGCAAGCACTTGGGGTGATGGGGCCCGTGGGAGGCGCTGCTTTTGGCGAGTGGACGCGGGGGCGCGTCGCGGCGCGCTCAAGCGCGGCGGCGCCGCGCGCACGGCCCCGCTGCGTCGGCCACGCGCCAGACATGCGCCCGCGCCGCTCCGGCCGGCGCCGCGCGCGGCGAATTGCGCGCGAGCTGCGGGTGAAGCTTGATGCGAGGACAAAAGTGGTGCTCGGCATCAGGCCGGCTGCAGGCGCTCGGCTGGGCGCGAGGGGCCCTCGTTCGCGGGCCAGCTCGCCCGGGGACGCCCGTGCGCGCCGGGAACGACGGGCGCCGGCTGTTTGTGTGCGCGGGCGGGCGCGGCGCCGGGCCCTGGTAGTGGCTTCTGGACGGTAGCGAGAGAGGCAAGAGGGCTCGTTCGCGGCGCGCTCGCTCGATCTAGGCGGCGCGCGAGGCTCGCTTTGCCCCAGAACGCGACAGAGGGTCCCGGAAAATCAGGATTCGGCGCGCGAGGGGGCGCCCCGGCGGCGCGCGCGCGGTCGCTGGGGGAGGCGCTGGGCGCAGCAGGTGCGGGCGGGGCGCGGCGCGTGCGGCGCCGGGAGCGGCGTCGGAGCGCGCGGGGCGCATGGAGCTACACGGACGTCCCGCTGGGCGCGCGCGCGGGGCATTCTGCGCCCGCTGCGGCCCGCTGCGCCCGCCGCGGCTCGCCCAGAGGACATGCGAAAATGGACGGGGCCAGCGGGCGCACCGTGGGGCGCGTGTCGCCGCGCGGAGGCGGGGCCGACGCTCTTGAGCTGGGCGGGCTTCCTGGCGGCGAGCGGCGAGGGCGCTCGGGCGTTGCGCCGCGAGCGCGTCGCGCGCCGTGCCGGTGCTCCCTGCACAGCAGCGCAGCAACAGTCGGGGGGTGAGCGCCCGTCGGGGCGGCCTCGAGGCGCGGCCGCGCGCGGGTTCCGCGCGGCCCAGATACGCATCGTTCGAGTCGGGGGCGTGTCGCGGGAAACGAGGCTGCGGGGCGGGCAGGCTACCTCGGGAGAGCTGTGCGTGTGCGCTGCTAGTGCTGGGGCGGTGGCGGCCTTTTCCGGACTGCACGGCTGTTCCATCATGCCATGAGGCATGGAGCTAGGGAGGTCGTTCGCCCGGCTGCTGTCCGTGCTCCCTGGAGCGCGTGCCCGCCCGTGCGATGCCGTGAGAGCCTCTGCTAAGGTCGGCGGTTGCGCGCGCGCTTCGCCGTGCGTGCGTGTGTGTGTCGCGAGGCGATTTGTCAGGCGATATTCCGTCGGAAATTCCCCGTCACTGCCGCGCGAGGGCGCCAGCGGGCGCCCTCGAGCCCGGACCGGTCGGAGCTGACGAGGCCTCGGACAGAAGCCTTCTACCCGCTGCCGGACTCCTGTCAGCGTGGTGTGAGGCCGCCGCGGCCCGCGCACGACGCCACGGCCTCCGACATGCGGGGTCTACACGCGGGACCGCCCGACGCGGCGCGAGCGGCTCTCTGTCGCTGCCAACAGCTCATGGCCACACCGCCTTCTCGAAGCATCCGGCCCGCGAGCGCGTCTGCGTCGAGGCGCGCGTGCCGCGCGCGCTACATGCGGGCATGCGCACGGCCGGTGGCGGCCGTCCCCGGCGCCGCGTCGCCGCGCCGACATTGGCCCGTGGGCGCCGTGCCGTTCCAACGGCCGGGGCGCGGGAGAATTCGACGTGAGCAACTGCCGATGGAGGTCGCGCCGTGGAGGTGACTGCCGGTGACGGCCGCCGCGGTCGTCGAGGTCACGAGGCGCGCCGCGGGACCGGCGCGCGAGCGTTGTAAAGCGTCAGCGGCGCAACGGTGGCGGGGTTTGTCCGCGTTTGCGACGTATTTCTCGGCGTATTTCCACCGAAACAACATACTCGCGGCTGAATTCGTCCGGGTTCGTTGTAAAACAGGAAGAAAATGGCCCTCCAAGTTCCCGCTCTGCACCGGAACCTCAACAGCTGTGTTCGCACCGCGCTTCAGCGCCGCAGCAGCGAAGGTCGCTCCCGCGACGTGAGCGGGCAGGCTGTCGACGGCTTGTGCCGTCGCGACGCCCGTGTCCCGCCAGCGGCGCGCACTCCGCACCCGCACATCTACGACGCTCGCAAGACGGTCGGGGCCCGCGCGTGGCCCTGCTCGAAGCGACGGCGGCGCCGGCCACCCCGCCCGCCTCGCGACCGCGCAGCCCCACACCCCGTCCCCCCCTGCTCCGTGGAGGACACCCGGGGCGCTGTCACAGCAACACCATGGGGGCCAACATCCCTCATGGGGACCCGTTGGCACCGTGCTGCCGCTTCAGGCGCCCCCTGGCGTCGCGTATCCAGTCCGAAGAGTGCTTGCCGTCGCCTGCGAGGCCCCGAACCGGTCGTCGAATCTGATTTCATGTCTTCGGAAGCGTGCGTGCGTGGGCTGCAAGGGCGCTCACACGGCAGCGGCTGGCTCTGCAGCGTACCTGACGATCTCCGCCGTGCCTGGCGGCGCCTTGCGGCGGCGGCGGACGCACGCGCGCGCAGCAGGGTGACGCCGACGATCGCCACGATTGCCGCTCCGAGCGCCGCAGACGCCAGCATCGTCCACGCGACGTTTGGCCGCGAACATGTGAGCCCGAACGGCAGGTGTGCAGCGCTGGCGGGCCCTGCAGGGTGCGCGTCCCCTGCTGCGCGTACCGCGTGCGTCAGACGCATACGCTGCAGCACGGCCTCCGGGCATCCTCCCTCCAGCATGACGCCGAGATCGACTTCGATCACGCGGCGCCCCGAGGTGGAAACGGCTGTCCACGCGCAGGCCGGGACGGCGGAAGCGGCAACCGCGCGCCCGGAGCAGGACGCGGCACGTTCGGCCGACATCGGCGGCGAGACGGCCGTGACGACCAGCGGATCGCGAGGCCTTGCGTCATCCTCGTGTCTTGCGTCCAAGATCATGCGGAAAGTCAGCGATGCGTCGGCGGGACTCCATCCTGAGTTCAAGGCCTCGATTCGCTCCGCCGCGCCCTCGAGGGGCGATGAGGAGCTGCTCCAGCCGCCGCGCGGCTCCGCCAGGACCTCGATGCAGTGGATCGCGTCCCCGTTGGGCGGCGGGCCGGCGACCGTCCTGCGGGCACAAGAGCGGACGACTTGAAATGACAACGGAGTGCCACGTCTCCGTGGGTCCCGCGCTCGACGCAAGACACACGGTGCTGGAGCTCTCACCCTATCAGCAGCGTATCGTCGTTGACGCGCACTTCAGGCTGAGCGCGTGTGGGCGCCCAAGCCGCAGCAACACAGGCAGCTATTGTCCACGAGACGCTGCGCTGCATGGGGCTCGCGGACATCTCGAGCGTGTGGCTGCTCCTGGTGTGTGCGGAGCGGCGTCTGGGCGCCGCATTGGCGCGACGGCGCCCGGCGCGAGGGGTCGTGGGTGCAACACATGACAGTCCGACACCGCGTGCGCGCCACCGTCGCGGTTTTGCGCGACTTTGGACGGGCGCGCTGGTAGAACACGCGATAGCCTACCGTTTCGTGGGCACATCCGCGTCGCACAGTGCGAGGCACAGCCGACCTCGAGCCCCCCGCTGAGTTGCGTCCCAGCGGCCCTCACCCCGCGGCTCGCGGCCGGTGGCCGGCGGCCCGAGGTTGTAGTGTATCATGGTGCAGCACTCGCGTTCGCTCTGGGTGGTCTTCAAGAACACAGGCAAGCTCGCGCTGCTCTCAACAGCGGCACCCTAACCCCTCGCGTTCCTGCGGGCGGCCCCGCCCAGGACGGAAGGGCTGACGCTGACGTGATGTTGTTGCAGGCGGCCGTCTGTGGAACAAGCCCTGGGGACGCAAGCGGCGAACGCAGTCGCAGAAAGACACTCAGCGGCAGGAGCAGACCGTCCAGGCCGTCAACCGCGCGATCCTGAAGGCGCTGGAAGCGCCGAACGCGGAAGAAGCTGCATCCAAGGTACGCATCGGCGCCCTGACTGTCGCGGCCCCGCGCTGTTCCAGGGCGTGAGCCCGCAGCCAAGCAACGCAAGCCTCGACGCTCCCCCCGGCGCACGTGCAGCTACGAACCGAGCGATTTTTGCCCAGTGCGCTACGTGACAAGATCCTCGCGTCGTGCCACGTCGTGAGCGGATCGGGAGGGTCTTCGGGAGCGGGCACGGCCAGTAAGAGCAGCTAGCACACATAGAGCGCGATGGCGGGGAAGTCCGCGTTCGTCACAGTCGGGACGACCAAGTTCGACGGGCTCGTCGAGGCCGTCGACACGCCGTCGTTCGCAGGGGCGCTGATGCAGCAAGGATTCACCAAGCTCACCGTTCAAGCTGGGCGTGGCCTCTACGAGCCGCGCCGCCTCCTCACCGCGGCCTCAACCCCCGGCCCAGTCCGCGACAACAGTGATTCTCAGGACGTTGACCGCCGCGAGGCCATCCTGCTCCCGGCCGACGTCGAGGATGGCAGTAATTTGGCCCCGAAGGACCACGTGGAGTCCTTGCATGTCGTGTTCTTCGCCTACAGCCCGAACCTGGCGGCGCACGTCGCGGAGGCGGACCTCGTCGTCAGCCACGCGGGCGCCGGGAGCGCGTTCGAGGCGCTGTCCGCTGGGAAACCTCTAATTGTGGTTCCGAATCCAACGCTAATGCACAACCATCAAGTGGAGCTCGCCGAGGAGCTGCAGCGGCGCGGACACGCGGTGGCGACGACCGCGGAGGACCTCGTCGGCGCGCTCGAGCGCCTGGCGGCCACGAAGCTCGTGCCGTACGCGGGGGGCGACGTCAGCGGCCTAGCGCGAGTTGTGGCAGGCGCGGTCTCCCCTGGTAAGGGCCACAGGGCCGCGGAGGGGCTGCTCGCCGCTGCGGTGTACTGCTTCGGTGCTGTCATAGCGGGCCTGATCGCGCACGAGCTCGTGCGGGGCATCCGGTGACCCCAGGCACGGTCGAGCCAACGGAAAAACCTCGGCGTGACGCTGTAAGTCTTGTTTCGGTATCTTCGGGCGCGCCGGTCAACTCGACGCCCCCACGGACGGTCGTGAGCCCCGCATCACAGGCCCCGCGGGCACGCGGGCGCCCCGCGCGGCCCCACCGCGCCCTCACTGTTGCACAGCCCGCTGGACCGCCTGCTGCTGCAGCGGCGTCATTTGCGCGCCGATCTCGTGCAAGAGCCCCGCGCTGTGCTGCAGGAAGTCCCGGAAGAACGCCGTGGTCGTCCCGAGCAGGTCCACCGCCTCCACAGGGTCCCCTTCTTGCCGCCCCGACAGATAAATAGGCTTGAGCAACTCGTCGTCGTCGTCCCCGTCCCCGTCCATCAGCCCCGACAAGTCCACGCCAGGCCCGCCCAGGCCGAACAGGCCCGACACTGTCCGCGACGGCTCGTACGGCCGCCCCTGCACCCCCAGCACATCCCCCAGGTCCTCAAACTCCCCCCCCTCGTCGTCGTCGTCGTCGTCATCGTCGTCGTCGTCGTCGTCCGGCCCCTCCGTGACGCGCCCAGGCGCCTGCGCCATGGCCTCGTGCTGCTCCGCGAGCGTGTCGGCCAGCAACATGGTCAGCTTGACCTTCAGGGGCACCTCCGTCCACCGCTCCGGCGCGGCCTTGGCGCGCGACCGCGTCATGATGCGCCCCGAGTCCGTCTCGATCGGCTTCCCGCGCACCGTGACGCCGTCGAGCGCGGGGTGCTGGCACTGGATGACTTGCGCCATGGCAGACACCGAGAGCTTGATGTTGTAGGAGCCCTGGATCTCGCCCTGGTGGTCGACCCACTTGCGCATGGCGAGCTGGAGGCCGGTCGCGCAGTTGTGCTTGTTGGCGTACGCGTCGGACAGGCGGATGCCGTCCAGGCACGACACGAGGTCGTCGCGGTGCAGGTGAATGAGGCGGCAGATGACCAGGACGAGCGAGCAGACGACGAAGGGGATGCTGACGGTCTCGAGCTTCGAGACCACGAGGTGCACGACCTGCGCCGCGGCAGCATCACGCACAAACACCGACTTGTTCCAGGTGCGAATGTGAACACGTCTGCGACGACGCGAGCGCATACGAACGGTCTCGAAAAGCACGGTCTGGTGCACTGGGACCATAAGAGCGTGCAGGCCGCGCTCGGCAGGGTGTGTAGCGACACGGCACACCGTTGCGCGCACCTCTGCCAGCACCGGCGCGACGTGTCCGTGGATCGATGAGAGCATCTGCGCCAGCAGCTGCGCGACGTACATCGCGGCCCGCTCGTCCACCTCCGGGTGCTGCAGCGCGTGCGCGACCACGGAGAGCACCGCGTGCACCGCTGAGCGCCCGTCGGGGAGCCCAGGCCAGTTGGAGATGTCGTCTCCCGCCGCGCGAATGATGCCGCGCAGGACCTCGCAGACGTTCTGGATGATGGCTGCGTCGTCCTGCGAGAGCGCGAGGTGCACGAGCGGCGCGAAGAGCGGCCCGTGCACCAGCGACGCCTCCGCGGGCCCCAGCTTGCTCACCACGGTCGCTAGGAGGTCGATCATGGCGCCAACGACGACCTCAGGGTCCGTCCCTGCGCGACACACGCGAGGCGATCGGGCTGGTGGGCGGGAGGCGAAACTCCCGCTACGATCGGGCGAGCAAACGGATACGAAACAGAGTATGTTTTTTGCGTTTGAAGAGGAGGCCAAGAGTCTCGCGGCCGACGGCGCCGCTCGTGCAGTATCGTCACCACACAGCGCCGCATTTGCGGGCGCACGGCGAGCGGTTTAGAGCAGATGCGGGGGGCCGCGCGTCGCACCACGTGGCAGCTCTCGCCCCTCGAGGACGGCGCGGGCGGCGGCGACGACGCGCGAGGTGAGCGCGACGCGGCACTCCGGCACGCCCGCGAGGCTCTCGATGATGTCCTGCGCGTCCCCGCCCAGCACGGGGTCGTTCGCGAACTCCAAAAATAGATCAAGCACTGCAGGCCCGACATGCTCCTCCATACGGCCCGCCGCGCCCGGATCCGCCCGCACGACCTCGCGGAGCGTCTGCAGCGCCAGGTCCATCATGTCTTCGCCCTGCGTGCGCGACGCCGCCACCAGCGCCGCAACGCGAGGGTACAGGGCAGGCAGCGCAGCGATGATGTCTTCCTTCGACGCGTGCTTGCACATCGCGGCGAGCGCGCGACATGCGCCGACTTGCACCTGTGCAGCGCGAGGGCGGGCGCAGCTGTCACGCGCGACGACGACACATCGATCATGACGCACGCGGTTGTTCAAACCACACACGGTCTTTCAGTCGTGCGAATGAGCGTGTCGTGCCAGGGAGGGGCCGTGGGCGTACCGGCGGGACGTCAGTCTCGGCGAGGCTCTCGCAGGCGGCGCCGAGGACCATGCGGTTCAGTTCCGGTGGGACCAGGCTGGCGAGACGCGCGGCGGTCCACAGGGCGCGGCCTTGCAGGAAGGGCGTCTTGCGGCTTGACGTCAGGTCTACCTCGAGGAGGTTCCGCATGAGGCCCGGGACGTCGAGGATGAGCGGCTCCTTGTTCGAGTGTCTGCGTGAGCATCGCCACGAGCGAAACACGACATAACGATGCAATGCGCAGCCGTCCGGGGTCCGGCACGAAGCACGCAGCGTGAGGGCGCGCACGCTACGTGCGCAGAGGGCACCGACCTGTCGACGAGCTGGTCCGCGACGCTGCCGACCGCAAACAGAGCCGCCTCCCGCGCCTTCCACCACGCTCCGTCGCCGCGCGCAAACGCCTCCTCGCCCTCGCGCATGCGGTCGTGCACAGCGGCCACGAGCGCCTCGATCATGTTCCCGCCGTACATCGCGGTCAGTTCGTCCAGCAGCTGGTCCCCCACGAAGCGCACCGACAGCGCCCCGCAGTCCGCCTCGTCCGCAACATACTGCCCGATGTCGTCCCGCCACGTCTCCTCCTGCGAGCACGGCACCGCACGGCCGCGTCAGCGCGCCTGCACGCGCAGGAAACGGAGCGAACGAGCCAGAAGAAGAACCGTACTGCACGTTCCCGATTCAGGCAACAGTGCGCGTTGGGAGCGGGCGCAACCTGTCGCACAGTCATGCCCATGATCCGGATCGTCACGTAGCACAGCTCCCGGAGCCGCCCGGCCACCACTGCCTTGTAGCGTTTGTTGGTGGCGACTGCAAGAATGACGTCCAGCACCTGCGCCACGACCGCCTCGAAGGACGACTCCTCCCCGTCCGACTGCGCCTCGGAGTCCGACAGCTCCGCGGCGCCGCGCACGACGGCCTCCTCGTACAGCGGCGCGCTGGCGGAGAGGCAGCCCCAGACCGCCGCCAGAAGCGGGGCCATGTGCGGGGCTGCGGCCTTGCTGAGCGAGGACACGACCTGGATGGTGCATCGCAGCGCCTCGAGGACGAGCGTCCAGTGCGCGCTGTTGTGCAGGCTGAGCTGCGTGGACAGCGCGGCGGTTAGGGCAGAGATCCAGCTGGGGAGGGACTCCATCAAAACATCCCTCAGGGGCTTCTGGATGTGCTTCTCGAAGTTGACGTACGCGGCCAGGCAGTGCCGGTACACGCTGAAGGCCTGCAGGACCACGGAACGCGGAAACCCCCTCAGAGGACCGAGACCACATGGATGAGACTGACATAGCAACACCGGCGAACTCCAACGGCAGCGGCCACGCACTGGCCGGCCGGGAGCGCGCGCCGCGACAGGCACGCGGCCGTCGGCGGCCTCACCTTTCGCCGAGCGACCTCGCCGAACTCCGGGGCCTGCGCGACCGCCAGCATCTCCGGCAGCACATGTTGGCACACGTGGCCCAGCTGCTCGTCGTCGATGTCCTCCACGACCATCGCGATGCACGTGATGCCGCCGTCGACGGCCGGGGACGCGGCGCCGGCGCTCGCGCGGCCCTCCTGGACCGCCCGCACCAGCGTCGGCATGAGCTCGGGCCACTGGTCGGGCCAGTCCCAGAACGCGACCGTGCACACGACCATGCTCGCTGCGGTGCGCAGGCGGTGCACGGGGTCGCCGAGGCACCCGAGGATGGCCTGCTTGATCGCGGCCTTCTCGTCGGGAGACACCTCCGGGGGTGTGAAACGCTTGTGGTCCCGACTCCAGTGCTCCTGCGGCGTGTGCCGGGGGCGCGGGCGCGGGCGTGGCGGCGGGGGTCTTGCCGGGGGCGGGGGGGTGGCAGACTGTGGCTTGCGATGGGCAAGGAGTCGAGAACGGCCGAGTTACCTTGACATACTTCTTCAGCATCACGCCGGCCATCTGCCTGACGCCGTACGGGAGGCTCTGGGCCTGCAGGACCTGGATGAGGGCCAGCCCGAACCCCTCCTGCTTGGAGACGCCCGCGAGGGCCTCCTCCGCGGAGTGGCGCTGGGCTGCGTCGCTCTCCAGCGTTGCCATGAGGATGTTGACGAGCTGCTCAGCCATCTTGCCTGCCTGCCTGCTACTTCAGGGGCTCAGAGTAACAGCTGCCGGTGCAGGCTGCCGCAGTCGGCCGAGCGCTTCGCGTCAGGAGTCCTGGACAGCTGCTCGATGCACCTCCGTGCGAATGCACGCTCCCCGCGCACTTCTGCAGAGGGCACAGGATCGGAATCGGCCCCTTCATAGCCTCGCTGTGCCGCTGCGCAGTCGTCGAACCCGAGCCGCACAACGGGCCCGCGAGGCCCGATCGCTTCCCAACAGGCAGCGCGGGCGCCCCCCGCAGACGCGCTTACGGCTCCACGGTGCCTCAATTACCAGCCGCGGGCAAGCTCCACGCATGCTCTCGACACTGCCGTCTCGTGCGGGCTTCCACCCCCCCCATGCGCCCCTCGGAGCAGCCTGGCGCCGCAGCGTGCAGCGGAGCACAGGTTCAGCGCGGGACCACAGCTCGCGCGCCCCCTGGGCAGCGCTCCCATGAAGTATGGGAGCTGGTGCTTCTCTGAGGCGGCAGGAATCCCGGCAGCGGCTCTGCGGGGCCCCGGCCGGCCGTGCGCGTACGTACCAGCCACTCTCTCCGTAGCTGCCTGCTTCGCCCCGCGTACGCTGCGTGCGGCACCGGACCCGCCCGACCGACACCGCGCTGGCTTCTTCGCGCCGGCCACGACCCCCGGGCGGCCAAGAGACCGCGTGGGGGTGACCCGTTGCGCCTCGTCACGACCGTCAGCAGCTGACTAATGCATCGTACCGCAGAAAGACAGAAAGCAAACTCACGTCACCGTCTGGCTTGGTTGCAACGGCGCCGTGCGTCCGCGGAAGAGGGGCGCAACGCCGCTCGCGCGCACGCACTGGGCCGCGCCGCAGCAGCCCATGGAGTCCACATTATGACAAATCTCAGAAACGTTCCTTCGTCCGAATTGAGGCATTTTCGTTCCAAGAGCAGAGGTGTCTGCGCGCGCCCCCTACATGCAGCGCCTTCTCCCACCACGCTCCGCTGCCTGGCGGGCACCTAGCGGCACACCTCGCGGCCGCTCGGTGCCATTAAATAATATAATATTATTTTTATATCAACGACGCACAACAGCCGCCAGCCCGCCACACATCCGAGCGTCTCACATATATCGCCGGCCCCGCGCCCATCCGCGCGCCACATCACACGTCTCCCCCTCGTCCCACGGCCACCCCCGCCACACACACACCCCCCCTCAAACCGAGCCGACCGCCCGCAGCGCGCTCTGGATCCGCAGGTCCGCATGCTGCGCCGCGTTCCGTGCGTCCTTCGCGACCTCGCCGCTCCCCTGCGTCCCCAGCGCCTTGCACTGCTGCACCAGCGGCGCCCACGCCTGCGCACTGGCCTGGAACAGCTGTCCGACGTTCCCAATGGCCTGCGCGATGTCCCCGAGGAGGTTCGCCGCCGCGATCGTCACCTGCTCGCCCTTCCGGTCGTCGCTCGCGACCAGCCCGATGAACTGCAGCACCTGCGGGAGGTGCGGGCCCATGGCGGCGGTTGCGTGCGACGGGTCGAGGCCGTGAATGATGCCCGCGTACGCCTCGAAGAGTCCCGAACGCAGCTCGTCGTTGTACTCCGCCATGTCCTCGTCGTTGACGGCCTGCGCCGCGATCGTCCCGGACAGCTGCGCGGCGGAGCCGAGCATCCGCAGCACCTCTGGAAGATACCGTTCAAAGTCGTTCTGCACGCAACGGACCCGGATGCGCACGGTGAGGCTCCGCGACACGCCCTATGACAGACAGCGAGGCCGCGCAGGGGGGGCGCTCGGGCGCTCGGCCGCACAGCGACAACATGCGCGCGTGCAGCGTGCACAACAACGGCCTGAGGCGTGCGACGCACCTCGATCGACATGGCGATGTCGCCGAAGGTCGACAGGATGATGGGCTTGATCCCGCGGTGCACGTCGCGCCGCTGCAGCGCCGTGAGCATCGACGTCATGATCTGATCGCACGACGTCATGATGTTGCTCTTCAGCTCCATCGCCAGGTGCCCCGCGGTGTTGATCGCGACCTTCAGCGTGTCGCTCTCCGTGTAGCTCTCCAGCGCGCGCAGCAGCCACGGCATGAAGTGCGGCATGTACTTGTCGAACCCGTGTTTGACCAAGTCCAGGAGCTGCGTCGCCGCCAGCAGCGCCTCGTAGTGCACGCTGTCGCCGTGGCACTGGAACACGCGCAGGAGGTTCTCCATCACCGTGTCCGCGGCCATCTCGAACTCCTTCCGCTGCGGGTCGTCCTCGCTCTCCAGGCACACGCGCGCGACGATCGACTGCAGCGTCCCGCACACCATGCCCTGCAGCTCCACCTGCCGCTCCCGCGCGTCGGGCGTGTTCGTCGGCATCGCGAAGGTCGCCTGGAGCTTGGCGATCATGTCCTGGTGGAGGACCTTGAGCAGGTCGAGGCACTCGCGCGGCACCGCGTCCACCACCTCGTTGACGCTCTCAAAGGCGTCCACGACGAGGTTCGAGCCGACGTCGCTCCGGGAGATGACGCCGAGGAGCGCCTCGAGGAGGTCCTTGAGGCACGCGGCGACGGGCGTCCCGGACTCCCCCTCGTACCCCGCCACGAACTTGGCCGCCGCGTAGCAGCAGCGCTTCGCCAGCGACTCCTCGGCGGCGAGGTTCGCGCGCAGGACGTGCACGATCTGCGGGACGAGCTCCGGCGTCACGACGTTCGAGCGCGGGCTGTGCACGAGGTCGAAGATGCGCCCGATCGCCCAGCAGGTGGTGTCCTTGACCAGCGGGTGCGGGTCGGCGGTGGCGGCGTTGAGCAGAAACGGCAGCGCGGACTGCACGAGCCCGCGGAGCGTCTGCTCGCCCGGGCCGTCGAGCACGGACCCGAACGCGAGCGTCGCGGCCTCGCGGAACCGCCAGTCCTCGGGCCCCGCGTTTTTCCCAATGTTGGCCTGGATGAAGGGCATCACCATCTCCACGATCGGGTCGCCGACGACGGGCGACATGCTCCACAGGCACACCGCGGCCGCGACGGAGAGGTTCCACGCCGTCTCGGACATCTGCTCGCCCTCGTCCTGCTTCAGGAGCTGCTCGAGGAACATCGGCACCAGCTCCGGCGCCGCCTTCTTCACGAAGTCGTGGCTCTCCATCGCGTCGTCGTCGATCGCGTCCGCCTCCGTCTCCGCGATGTTGCACCACAGCTCCAGCGCCTGGAGCGCCACGTCCTCCTCGTCCTCCCGCACCGCCTTCACCGACAGGCTGCGCGGGGTGTTTTGGACGAAGGGGGGGGGTGTTGGCGGCCCGCCGGCGCGCGGGCGGCCGGCGCGGAGCGCGGCGCGGCGGCGGCGTGCGAGCGTCAGAACAAGGATGACAAAATGTCTGTTTTCATGGCGCCGGGGCGCCTCAAGGTTAGCATGGAATGTTTTGTGCTCATCGTTCGCTCACGGGGCCGCCGGGGCGGCGCGCGTCGCTGGCGGGCGGCGCGCGCGCGCACCTGTACATGGCCTGGATGTAGGACGGCATCCACTTGTAGTAGAAGTCCGCGATGGTGGAAAGGCACTCGAACGAGTTCCGCCGGACCTCCTCGTGCGGGGAGGTGCAGCCGTTGCACACGACCGACATGATGAAGTCGCGCTCGTTCTGCCGCTCGAAGTTCGCCTTGGCGAACGGCGCGCTGTTCTGCAGCGCCGCGATGGCCGCGCTGGCCACCTCGGGGTTGTCGCTGCTGGTGCTCCCGCACATCGCCTGGAGCAGCTTGTCCACCTCCTCCTGCGCGGGCCGACGCGGGGCGTCGAGGTGACGGCGCCGGGGAAGGGCGGGCGCGCGAAACCCGCCCCGCGCCGCGCCGGGGCGCCGCGGCCTACCGGCAAGAGGGGCGGGTCCGCCCAGGCGGCGTGGGGCCGCCGGCTGCCGCGGGCGCGCGGTGCAGCGGGCGGCAGGGAGCTCACCGGGCTGGGCACGTCGCCGGTGTCCTCGAGCTGGTCGAGCTCCTCGAACAAAAAGCCGACTGTGTGCAGCGCGGCGATGCGCGTCTGCAGGTCGTTGGCGTTGCACCCCTCCAGGAGCATCGGGATGAGCTCCGGCCATTGTCGCTGCGAGAGCTCGATCGCGGCGATCAGCGCGATGGCCTGCCCCGCCACACGTCGCGTGGTTCGAGGAGACGTGGGTGCGCCGAGCGTCTGTAGGAGCCCCGCTTTGACCTGTGAGCGGACCTCGGGCTGCAGCTCCTTCCACCGCTGCCATTTGCCGTCCTGCGTGGGGAGGGGCCGCCGCGGGGCGTTTTCGGGGCGCCGGTGCGCGTGCGGGGGGCCATGGCGGGGGAAGCAACACGAAACACGGGGAGGGCGGTCGCTCGCGCGCAAAGCATGCGCCACCGTAGCGGAAAAGGCCGGGTCTGAATCGGAGCTTTGCGAACGCGGCGACGCGCTGTCGCCTCGGGCCGCGAAAGCGCGCGAGTCGCGCCCTGAAGTCGCTGCTGCTTCAGCGGCAACGGCTGGGCGCAGACGCTCGCATGCGGCTCGAGGCAATGCCGGGCGGCGGAGGCAAAATAACGAGCGACGGGTGGTGCGCTCCGCTCCATTGCTCGGCCGCGCACGGCGCGCAGGGCGGCCTGGGACGCAGTTGGCGCCCTGGGCCCGAAAGTCGCGCCTTCCGGGCCTGCTGGCGCGCTTGCGCGTGCGAGCTGATCTCCAAATATGAAGAGCCAGCGGCGGGTCGCGTCCCTGCCGCAAGCCACCCCTCCCCGAAAGCGGGGTCGCGCAGGGAGCTGCTCTCCCGCACGCTGCCGTCCCTGCTGCGCCCATTCCGCGGCCGCTCGGGCCACCATCGCGCGCGCTCACCTTCTCCGCCTGATCCCTGGCATCCAAGCTGTTCTTCAGCAGCAGCCCAGCCGCCTGCCGGCTCGCCTCGGGCCGCGCGTCCAGCGAGAGCTCCGCTGCGGAGCTTAGGACGAACGAGGCGAAGTCGCTCTCGCGGAACTGCGCGAGATACGCCTCCGCCTGCTGCCGTTCCTGCTGGTTGACGCTCTGCGAGGCGGCGAGGGCCGCGCTCAGGTCCTGTACCGCCGCCATCGCCCCCGCGCCTCCCCTCCCGCGACCACTACACACGAAACGCGCCCGCCAGCGACTCAGTCACGCACGTCCACGACCGCGATCTACGACGACCGTCCCCGCGCAGCACGCCCGGCAACCATCACCACGCATCAGCCCCGCGCCGCCAGCCCCGCGCCCCTTTAAGCACCGGCGCCCCCACAATGACTCATGACCAGTCTGACACCGCCGTGGCGGCGAAGGGGCGCCGCTGGGGCCCCGGAAACAGCGCCCGCAGCGGCCCCCAGCTCACGCGCACTAGCCGCGCAGCGCGACGCACGCGGCCCACCCGCGCGTGCCGGACCACAGCGCGACGCGGAAACGAACGTGCCTGCAGACCGGGAGACGTCGCCTGGCGCCACGCATCGGCGGCAGGCACCGCCTCCGCGCCCGTCACGCCGCGCAGCGTCACACGTGCGCCTGCTGCGCGCTCTGCCGCACCACTGCGGCGATCTCTGCTGCGGCGTCACGCACGCCTTCGGGCCGCCGGCACCGCAGGCCGTTGATCTGGACGACCCACAGCCCCATGCGCCGCAGCGCGAGGACCTGCCACATCGTCCGCCCGACCGTCAGCTCCGCGTCGTTGCGGAAGAACTTCTGAGGGGGGTTGAACACGATCGCGGTGCCAGCGCCGCCCGCGAGGTGCCCGTCCGCGCCCGCCGCGCCGGACGCCGGCGCGAGGAAGCCGTCCGCGAGCGTGAGGTTGTGCGCGCGTGGAGGGTCGGGGTGCTGCGCCTCCGGGGGCGTCCCACTTCGAATTGCGGTGCGTACCGCCTCGCTGGCCAGCACGGCGCCCGACCGCCGGAACGCGGCCACCGCCGCCTGCACGAGCCACGCCGGAAGCGCGTTCTCCATGCCGGCGGCGAGCACGAACGACTTGGCGATCGCGACGAGCGCGTCCTTGCAGAAGGAGTCTTGCGACGTTTGTGCGAAGCGCGCCGCGATGGTGTGGAGGCCCGCGCGCGCGGCGGGCGTGATCTCGTCGCTGCAGCACAGCGAGAGCGCGATGCTCGCGAGCCGCGAGGTCCACCGCTGGTCCCACTGGACGTCAGGCGGGGGAGTGTCGAGCCGTGCGATCAAGTCCTCCACCGACACCCCCACGCGCGCGAACGGGACGCGGAGGTGGCTCAGCGCGTAGCTCAGCTTCATGAGATCGTGCTCGCCGAGCTCCGACAGCTGCGTCAGCCCCCCCGCGGCGCCGATCGCGTCAACCACCCCCACCCCGGGGCGGAACCGCAGGCGCGCGTACGCCTGCAGGAGCTCCACGGACGCCACGGGGCGCGCGAGGTACGCACGCAGATGCTCGCTGCGCCGCCGGTCCGCGGCCGCGCGCGCAAGCTCCTCGTCGATGACCGTCACGAGCTCCGAGTGGAAGTAATCGGCGCGCGCGAACGACAGCAGCGCCCCCGCGGCCGTCTCGGGGTGCTCGGCGCCCCACACGTGGAACGTGTCGAGCAGCAGGTCCCCCGCGGCGCGGAACGTCCCGGCGTCGCGACCCACGGGGTATGTTAGAGAGCTGGTGCATAAGAAGCGCAGGACCGACGGCGCGGAGAGAGCGGCGGCGTCGTCTTCGCTGGGGGCCTGCGCAGCGGCGTGGAGAAGCTGCCGGGCGCGCACGTGCATCCTGGCGAGCACCGACGGGAGCAGAGCCGCCCCTTGCCCGCCCTTTGGAAGCGAGCGGCGCGGCGAGCTGCTGGTGGCGGACAGGGCCTCGGAGAGCCCGCAGACGTCCTGCCAGGAGGCTCCGTCGAGCGCGCGAGCTGCGGGGCAAGCGGACGCGGGCGGGATGTCTCGTGCCGGGTCGGACTGACGCGACACAGAACATGGTTGGGTGGGGGGGGTTCGGGAGCCGTGGCCGTGCGTGGCGGCGCACCTACGGCGTTGAGAAGCGGGCAGATGATGTCGTCCTTCCGCCACGGCACCCGCGACAGCGCCTCCAGCGCCGCGGAGGCCTGAGGAACGGACACCCCCCCCTCTTCGCACGCCCGCGCCAGTCGGTGGCAAACGCTCGCGATCGCGGCCGCGTCCGCGTCGACGCGCTGCCGCCGAGCCAGGTGCACTATCTGCGTCAGCTCCTGCACCAGCTGCCCCGCCTCGTCGTCTATACTCCCCCTGCGCGTGTGTCCGGGCAAAATCGGCGCCTGCGCTGCGCGCGCGTCGACGCTGCCAGGCAAGATGCCGTCCCGCTTGATGAGGCCCTGCATGCTGGCGCGCAGCGAGGGCATTTTGGAGTACCCCATGGCTGTCAGGGCGTCATGAGTCAGCTTGACCTCCCCCGGGTCCATGTCCTTGCGGTGCCGCCGGGCCTTGTTGATGAGCGATAGGACCTGCGGCCAGGCGCCCAGGGGACCCGCCCGTGAGCGCCAACCGACGTCAGAGCCGTGAAAAGAGCCCTTGGGATGAACCAATGAGCAGTATTGTCAATGCGTAGCTCGGCTGTCCGCAGGTCACTCACGCGAGACGCACGCGCGGCGCCGGACGCCCCGCCGCAGCGGCTCGATCGAGCTGTGTGGCGCAGGGCCGCAGCGGCGGCGGCCAGGAGCGGCGGCGGAGACATCGACAGCAGGACGAGGAAGCGCGCGACGGAAGAGCGGCACGCACCAGCCTGTCTGGGTCCAGCTCGTCGAGTTTGCCCGCGTCGTACTCCTCCGGAAGCAGCACGGTCGAGCCCGCGAATGTGACCCCCGCCTTGGCCAGCTTGTGGAGCGCGAGGGCGACGTGGGACGGGGCCAACGACGTCATGCTTGGGCGTACGGTCTCGAGGATCTGTGGAGCGGGAGGGGGCGATCGAGATCGCGGCGCGCGAGGTGCGGTGCGCGCGGCAGTCACCGGGTGTACGTGCGTCGGGCAGACGTCTCGCCGCGAGCGTCGCGCTAGCTTCTTCGGGGATCATCGTCAGCGCGCCGGGACTGCGACGACTGGCAGAGTCGGGCTGGAGGCAAGATACGGCGTTCGTCGGACTGGCGAGCGAGGGATGGCGAGAAGCAGTGTGCGGTGATGCAGCCTCGGCCCGGTGCGTGCTGGCCCCGAGCGGCCCTGGAACGTGCGGCGCGTGTTCTGATATGAAGCAGACTGGCGTGAGAGTGCCGAGCCAGGTCCACTGCTCGCCCGGTCCGCCCCCTCTCACGCGCCGCAGACTTGCTCCGTGCGGAATGTCACTGCCGGGCCGCCGCTCACCTGCGCCGACGTTCGACAGCGCACAAGCGCCTCCCTCGTGTCCAACCTACGCCTCCCCGCACCTCCCCACCGCGCCTCCCCGCCTTCCCGCGCCACCCCGCCGCCCCCTCGGCTGCTACGCCACCCAACACCGGCCCCGCCCTCCGCCCCCGCGGCACCACCGCGCCGCGCATTCGGCGGACTCGATGTCGAGAGCGCCCTGAACCCCGCCACGACCCCGCACCACGCCGCGTGTGCCGCCCCGACCGCCCCGGCGTCACCGCTCCCCCACACACCAGCTGCACTGCGGCACAGCGCTCTCCCCTGGCCTCGCATCGCGCTGCGGCGCTCGCACCGCACAGCCACTGCCCTCGCCCCTCTCCCGCGCCGCCCTTTGCCTCCCCCGACACCCCCCCGGCCACCGCATGAGAAACACCCCACCTGACACTGCATCACGCACTCGCCCCCGCGCTCACGCCGCCGCGCGCCGGCGCACGCCGCGCAGAGCAGCAGCGCCGGCACGCCGGCAGAGCGAGCGGCCGAGATGACCTCCGGCGCGGCGCAGGCGCCCACTGTGGTGTGCATCGGCGACCCCGTGATGGATTTGATCCTCCGGGTGAGTCCCGAGACGCTGGCGGAGCTGGGATGCGCGCCGGGGGGCTGCGTGTCGGTCGAGGGGGATGAAATGAGCAGCATTACGGCGCGGGCGAGCGCGGACGGCGCGCCGGAGAGGATCCCTGGAGGTGAGAGCGTGCTTTCCGCGGCGCCTGAATTGGCGTGACGTGATATGGGCAGCTTACGGCCTTACAGGTCATCATTGCGTGCGCTGGGCGGGGTTTCCGGTGTTTTCGAGCCGTGGCCGCCGCGCAGCCCCGCGGTTGATTCGGCGTCAGGTCTTTCGGCCGCGGCGGCGGGTCTGCGGCCCCGTGTCTGCGCGCGCCTGCGCTCGCAGTGTCGAGGCCGGTGCGCTCTGCTGCACGCGAGCCGTTGCTGCGCGCGAACGGCGCGCATGCGTGAGCGCCGTCGCCCGCACCGCTTTTCGCCAGTCGTGCGATCTGGCGCGTTGCGCGACGCGAGGCCGCGCTCCCTCCCTCCGTTCCGCCTCGCTGCGCAACCGACAGACACTGTTCGTCCCTGCGCGCATCAGCCGCCTTCACCTGGCGCCCCCACAGCGTCCAGCGGCGGCGTGCTACGCCCAGCGCGCCCCTCGACCTCTCGCGCGCCCCGGGGCCTCGTCATTCCGCCTCCGAGCTGCACCGACCCCTGCCTACTCAACCGCCTGCGCCTCCAGGATCGTCCGCCAACGTGGCGAAGGGGCTGGCGTCGCTGGCGGGCGACTCTCTGCGCGTCCGCTTCGTGGGGATGGTCGGCAACGACGACGTGGGAACCTCCTACCGCTCGAAGCTCGAGGCCGCGGGCGTCGACCCCGTGCTGCTCACGACCACGGGCCCGGAGACCACCGCCAGGTAAGCACGCAATTATCCGTCTATGTATTGCATGGTGTTTTTAGAGGTTGGTTGCGCCGACTGCTCTGCGCCGCCCGCGCTCTTCTTCTGGGACACGAACCGAGCGCGGAAGAGCTAGATACGGGCGTGCATTTCACAGCAATGCGTTGCGCGTTTCGGCCGCAGGTGTCTCTGCCTTGTGACGCCAGATGGGCAGCGCACGATGCGCACGCACCTGGGCGCCGCGCTCGGGCTGACGTCCCTGGACACGCTCCCCGAGGACTGGCTCCCGCCGGGCACCGCCGTGCTGCACCTCGAGGGCTACGCGCTGTACAAGCCGGACTACAGCGTCAACGCGATGCGGGCAGCCAAGAGGGCCGGGGCGCTGGTGTCGCTCGACCTCGCGAGCTTCGAGACGGTCCTCAACTGCGCAGATACCCTCAAGTCTGTCCTCGAGGTGAGCCCGCCCCGTGCGTCGCGTCAAGGCGGGATGTGAGTGCGCGACGCCCCGGGGGGTGATCTTGACGCTTTGCTGCCGCTCCCGGTGCGGTGCTTCGCAGGAGGGGCTCGTGGATATTCTGCTTGCCAACCAGGACGAGGCCGAGACCATCGCTCGCGCCGAGCTGGGCTACAACGGGGAAAGCGCGCTCCCGGCGGGACGCAAAGCGCCGTGGGAGGGCGAGGCGGTGGAGATGGCGATGACGCACCTGCTCACGTTCTGCGACACGTGCGTCGTCAGCATGGGCCCCAAGGGCTGCGTCGCCCGCTCCCGCGGCGGCGGCAGGGGCGTGTCTGCTGCGTGTCGGGTCGACGCCGTCGACACCACGGGCGCGGGGGACTCCTTCACCGCGGGCTTCCTGCACGCGCACCTGATGGGCGCGGGCCTGCAGGAGGCGGCGGCGTGCGGGTGCAGCGCGGGGACGGCGAGCGTGCAGGTGGCGGGCGCGGAGCTCCCGCAGGCGTCGTGGGCGCAGCTGCGGCAACAGTCGCTCGAGATCATCGCGACGGCGGGCCCGGGGCGCGTCCGCGTGCCGTCGTAGCGCAGGGGGCGGCGCGCGGCATCGCGGCGCGCAGCGTGCGTGCGCGACGCCGTCGTTGATGACGCGGCGGGAATGGCGCCGGGCGGGAGTTGTGATCGTGGCGTGGCGGTGGAGCGCGTGGGCGAGCGCTGGCTCACAGGTCCTGGCAGGCGCCGCCGGTGTCGCGCTATTCGGGTGGTTGTGCGGGGTCGGGGAGCTGCAGGGGGGCTGAAACGGCCTTGACGATGGCTTGGAGGGCCGCAACGGACTGGTTGGTCTCCCGCGTGAGTCCCAGGCTGACGAGCACCTGGCGGGGCCCGAGCGCTGCGCACACGCGCTCCGCGAGGGCCCGCGCGGCGACCTCCAGGCCTGGGTCCTCTCTCGAGCCGAGGAGCGTGGCTACACGCAGGCCGCGGCTCCCAACGGGCGTCTGCGAGCAAGGACAGTTCATAACGGGGTTGTGGGCTTCGAGAGAGCGAGTGGTTTGCGGCCAGACGGACGGGAGGGCGGTGTTTAGGGATGCGGGCGTGAAAGCAGTGCGGTGTCTCGCCTTCTCCGGGGTCGCCAGCATGAGCGTGCCCAGCGCCCCGGTCTGCGTGACGGTAATCTGCGTCATCTTGTCGAAGTGGACGATCGCCGTCTCCGTACGGGAGCCCTGCAGGGGCACCTGGGAGCGGTACAGTGAGCGGGTGGTGCCGCGGCAGGAAGGAACGCAACGTGTGACGGTCGCCAAGTCATGCACGGTGTGACAGGAGCGCACCGCGACATCGAACGAATACTTTTCGATGTTCAGGGGCCCGGGCGCAGCAGCTGGTGGTTGTGCGGCATCCATTGTGGCCAGCGACACGCCGCGTTCACGGCCAGGCACCGTCCTCTGGACACCTCCGCAGTGACTCAAGCGCCAAGGCAGGAACCCGTCCGCGAAAGCGCTCCTCGAGCGCCACTTGCGGAAGACAGCCTGCACAACACAGTCGTCCCGTCTATTGCCGAGCGCCGTCCACGATCCCGTGCGAGCTCCTTCGCACACGTGTGCTAGGCACAGCGACGCCCTCCCCCGAAATGCCGCGTCGCTCCAGCGTCCGTGCAGCCGCGGTGAGACGCGGTGCTGACACCCTCCCCGGACTGTGACGAAGCGATCGTCCCTGGCCGCGGAGTGCTCCGTGGCCTCGCGAGGGCGCGAGGTCCAGTCTTGACGGCGCTGGAGAAAGCATCGCTCGTGAGGTTTAGGGCGGAGATCTGACGGGGCGCCGGGTCGAAGCTGCTGTTGCCGTGAAGAGTCGCTTCCTCTGCACGCGTCTCTCACTGCATCTTGGCTGTGCATCATCCTGGACAGAGGATTACGTGGATCGATCAGTCAGAAAATTCCCAAGGAATACGCGCGTTGTTGCCCAGGATAGGCGCACGCCCACCGTCTCTCCCTTCTGACCAAGAACGCCCATCATGAGCGACGCCGGCGCGCAGGTGCGTGCGGACGCGACGCCCGCGACGTCGTCCACGTGTTTCTCCCACGGACCCGCCGCAATGCCATTTCACGGCCCACGCGCCGGCGCGGAGGCCCGACACTTGACCCACATCCCGGCTTTTTCCGCGCCGTACCCGGCATCGCTACCACAACTAACCGCATCAACCCCTTCCATATCATCCATCATTTCCGGCGCCCGCGGCCCCCCCCCGTGCAGAACGCCCCCAGCACGGCGGCCCTGTTTCACCACTTCCTACAAGAGGTACCGACCTTCGTGACGCAACTGCCCATCAACACCCTCGTCAGCCTCGCGGCCACGTCCCCCGCCGCACTCAACGCCGTCCTCAAGTTCCGCACCGGCAGCCTTCTCGTGCAGCGTCACGCTCCGATCCTGCGCGTTCTCGCAAATGCCCTGATCCTGGGGGAGCGTAGCTTTTTCGTCGCAGCTACGGACCCTGTGTCGCTAGCTACGCATATTGTCTACGGCGGGCTGCGCTGCAGCTGCACTGCGATGCTGCAGGCGCGAGAGCGTTTCGCAACGCATTTAGCTGTCTAGCAACTCCCACTTGCTCTTTGAATATGAATTTCATATGTGTGGGCTCGTTCAGTCGTTGGCTCTGCACACCAGCCACAGAGGACCTTCAGCCGCAAGCATGTGTGGCGAAGACGCAAATATCTCCCTTCTGCCGCTATCAACAACCCATAAAGCACCCCGGGACATGAGGCTGAAGGCGCTTTCGTGGCCACAGACGACGGCACAGCAGCTGAGCTCTTACACCTGGGATGCATGCGCCCGCCAAGGGCCTCTGCTGTCGATTTCGTACCACCTGCCACGCGTAGCGCCCCTTTGTCGCTCAATGCTTCTCTCAGCCAGGCGGAAGGCCTGAAAGGCACCCACAACGCACGGTTTCGGCGCACCTGTGTTGTCGCGCTGCACCAAGGCCTGGTCCCGGGCGTCCTGGGCGCAGAAGAGCAGCCTCGGCGCATTGCAGCGTCCACCATCGGGTCCAAGTTGACGAAACTGGTCGCACGGGCAGCACCGCGGCCCCTTGAGCGCCGTCGTCGCGGCATTCTTTCAAAGGCCCCACACCCCCGGGGCCGCGGCCCACTCAAGTCGGGCTGACGAACGCCGCTTGAAGCGAACAACACGATGCACCTGGCAAAGGGCGTCTACTTCAGCGAGACGTGTCATGTAGAGTAGTAATTGACCACCCGCGCACGAAACGAAATGCGGGTGTGCTATCGTCCTGATCAAGGCGGCAGCGTGCTAGGAGTACTCGCGCGAAATGCCATGTGAGCGTGCCATCATGTGCCAAGGGAAGGCTCTGACCTGCAATCAGTTAGAGTGAGTGGCGGGCGTCGTCAGCAACAACGCGGCGAGCCGCGCGAGTACTGGACGACGCCCGCCAGCCGACGCGCCGAAGTGCTGGTCCACGTCCTAGGCTGCTTGTACCAGGGGGTGTCGGCAGCCGGCTGGGTGACAGCGGTGACTGAGTCTGCGGCATTGTCCGCGTTGTGTGGCGACGCGCCGACGGCTACTCAGCTCTCCTCGTCATCGCCGTCCCCCGCGCGTGGCCTGTCATGCGAAAAGGGATCATACCTCGGTCTAGCGGCCACGGAATACGCGCATGGCCAACATGTCAACATCGGGGGGGTAACAGAGTGCGTCATGTGTGCGGGCATGGCTGGATAGTTCCGAGCCAGCTTCGCAGCGCCGGGATCATGTATGAGGGTGACGAGTTGCAGGGCGCCGGGCACGCCCTGTCAGCAGGTTGGCCAGTATGGTCTGCAAACTGCACGTGGCGACGCACGAGGTCAGCCAGGCCCGCCGGCGTGGCAGGGCCAAAATGCGGGCTCGGGTGCGTCCGGCAGGCGGCGCGGTGGATCGCCAGGACCTGTCGCATGCAGTAACCTCGATGCGTACGCATGTAGCGCATCATGGCCGACATCTTGGCTACGTAGCTGTCGCGGTCAGTCACCTCGCTGGACACGCGGATGTGTTCGGTGCGGACGATGTTGTAAAGGTGTCGTCGCAGCAGCGCACACGAAGCGTGGGGGTACTGTATGAGGTGAATGTTCTCAGGAAACAGACCGCGTTTGTCATAGTGCGAGATCAGGAGGAAGCCCTGATATTCGGGATGCGGACGCACGCGGAGGTCTAGGAAGGAGACACCGTCGAGCGGGTTCGCTGGGGCGTCAAATTCGACCTCAAGACAGGGGGGGTACATGTTATGTATACCAGAGATGAGATCTACGATCGACGACGGGGTTTCGGGGGGCGGGGTGGGGGGGCGGGGGTGGGTGTTGAAGTAGCGGTACAGTGCGTTCGCGAGAGAGAAATTGTCGTCGATGTAGCGCCTGGAATAACGGAAAGACCCCAAGACCTTCAGCCAAGCGACGTCGCCAGTGCTCAACCAGCGGTCGCGAAACTGGCAGAGGAACGCGAGCTCATGCCGGAACATGTAGCAGTTCGCGAGGTGGGGGGAGGCCGAGAGCCCCATGGGCACACCGCAGGTCTGGTGATATACGACGCCCCCGAACACCACGTAGGCGCGTTTGACGAGGATGTGCACGAGACCATGAAGTTGCTCGATGCTCGGTGCCCATTTCCCAACCATGCCGTCCGCGTCCGGCAGCTGCGCCACCCACCACCACGTCTCCCTCGCGTCAAACGCGGGTTGCAAGTCGATCAGGAGGTGTTGCCCTGGATGCAGTGCAAAAACAGCGTCGATGTGTTCGATGACGCAGTCGATGAGGCCGGTCCCGTGGTCCGCGCTCGTCTCGTGCCGGATGTGCGTGTAGAGCCGCTTGATGTCGGCGCCCAGCAGCAGAGGTGGTTGTTGAGCATGTATCGCTGAGCGTGGTGGGTTGTCATGTAGATACGCGGTCACCATGTCACGCATGCCGCGGCTGGAGTCCACCAAGAAGGGCGCGAAGCTGCTGCAGAGGTCCTCCGGGACGCCGTCGAAGATGGAGCTCCAGACCTCCACGAGGGTGGCGTGGCACATGAGCGCGCCGAGGGCCTTCGTCAGCAGCTGCGCTGCGGGGCGCGTGATGTCGCTCGAGCAGTCCGAGATGTACCGCACGTCCACCTTGGCCTTGTGAAGCTTCATCGTCCCGTAGTAGTGCGGTAGACCACCGCACTCGCGTTCGGTGCGTATTCCTGGTAGCTGCAGGTTGTCCAACATAGCCTCCGTCGTGTTAGCGACGTTCACCACGTGCCTGGCATGCGTGATGTTGGCATTTGCCGGCTCGTTGACAGCGAAAGCGTCGTTGCTGTGCAGGTCGTGCAGGAGGACCTCGATGTAGGCGCGCCGACACACGAAAACCAAATTCCCGGCGTTCTTGTCCATGGTCGTGATGGTGAGGCGTGTCGCGTCTCGCCGCAGAGCCACGCGATCGTCGGGCTGAATGTCCGCCAGCGGCGGGGGCCATGGAAGGCGGAACCCGGGTTGAAGAGCGGGTTGGAGTGCCGTTTGCGTAGCAGCAAGTATAGCATCAATGTACGGCATGCACGCTGCCGCGTCCATGTCGGCGGCCTTGCTGACGCGTTTCGTCCACCCGAGCAGCGGCTTCTGGTAGGCTTCAACGATGCTAGCTACGGTCGCGCTCGTGGCTTGGTGCAGCTCCGGGACGTGTCGGTGCTTGGCACCGCCGACGGCGAACAAACGGCGGTACGCGGTGCTCTGGATGCCCGCCGCAGCAGGGTCCAGCGTGCAGAGGTGCCGCACAGGCTCGCCGTCGATCTGCCAGTAGGGGTCCTCGAGCGTGAAGTGGCGTCGTAGGTCCGGTCCTTGGTGTTGCGCACAGTCGCACTGCGTCGCCATGATGTCGTACAGGCGACTGCGTGCAAACTTGGCAACTCCGCTGTGCGTGCACACCGAGCGCGACAGCGGTGGAAACCTGACCGAATAGCGCGGGGCCACCAGAAACAAGCCATCCATACCTTCGCGGATACGCTCAGGTAAGAGGTTGAGAAAGTCATCATTATTGACGAGGGTTTCGAGGGGGGCGAGGCTAGCCAGGGGGGTAGGGAAGTCGTGGATCATGAGGGTACGGCTCCCGAGGTCGATGTCTGCGACGGGAGGGTAGTGGTGGTTGATGGCGGCCTGCAAAACGGTGCGGGCACTGTCCAACATCTGCTGTGTGTAAAAGGGCTCGTCGAGACCCAGGTTAAGCGCATCGGGATGCATGTGCGACACGCAGTGATGGAGGGAGAAGAGGTATTTTCCGATGTTCGCTGCCGTGCAATGGTTCACCGCGCGTCTCCAATGATCGTGCTCTGTGTCGCCGGCGCGGCGGAAAAAAACAACGTCAAGAAGGAGGCGAGTCTGGTAGATATACTCGCGTGTACCGAGGCGCGGAGACATGCCTGCGATAGCGGGGGGCAGGGACAACGCTGGTGCCGTAGTTGTGAGGCAGTTGTCAGCGTCGAGGTGGATGGTACGTTGATGCGTGGAGGAGATGGCAAACGTTGGCTGGAAGAGGGTCGCCAGCGCTGGGAGCCCACTCGGGCCGGGCGGGACGGGGAAGTCGTTGTGGGGGATCGCTACGGGGTGGGGGTCAGCGGCGATTTGGAACGCCAGGGGGGATAGAGGCCATGGGGCAGCATCAGAGTGGCCAGCTCCGTAGCCGAAATTCCACATGCCCTTGCAGTAATTGAGGCCGCCGGGGTATGTGGAGCCCAGACAGCGTATCATGGTCTGCTCCCAGGCCAGGGAGTAGGTGCGGAACTTGTGGAACCAGGCCTTCAAAGCGTCCGGGCTAGTCGCCGGCGGGATGGGCACCTGGCGTGCGAAATTGATGCGAAAGAGGGGCACGATGGTGAAGTCGCGCCACGGGACATGGCCGTTCGGCGACTGCGCCCACACTCGTCGCATAAACTCGTAAAGCGGGGTGTGCACGGCGTTCGGATGGTGCGTGAATGCTGCATCAAAGTGCTCCTGCAGTCGTTCGATCGCTGTGCGGTATGTCTCCCCGACATAGTAAAAGAAGGGGTATTTCCGGCACAAGAGGACATAGACAACCCCGCGCGCCGCAAGCGGGGGGTTTGCCGTGACCGATGGTAGCGCGGCGAGGTCCGAGAGCGCCGGCGGGGGCGGTGGGAAAGGAGCGCTCGGTGGGGGGCACGGGTGCGGGTATGCGGGCGCCCGTTCGTCGCGGGGCACGTAGTCCCAGTAGGGTCGAGGGGCTAGTGCGGAGGCGGGGTGGGAGGGTGTGTGGTGGGGGCTAGGAGGGGGCCAGGCACGGGGAGATGCCTGCGGAGCAATAGCGGCCGCGATGCGGCGTGCGTGCGTGATGCTGGGTCGAAAGTTCGGGTCGTGGTCATTTAGATTTGCGACATGGTGGAACAGGGTGCCATTCGAAAGGTGGCCACGCAGCGTGCGCGCCTCGGCGGTGCCGGCCTGGTCGCTGAGACGCAACGCTGCTTGGAGCCGTTTCCTCCGTCGGCGACCGATTGGAGTGCGCATGGTGAGAGGTTTTGGGGGTGAAAAGAGGGTGGTGTGCGGAACTAGACCGAGGATGCAGTAATCAAGCCACGACGGGAGGGCGACGATGACGGGGAGAGCTCTACCTAAGTTGCGCGTTCCTAGCACGCCGGGCGGTGAGCCACGGACGTGAGACGGCGGAGTCAGTTAGCCGGAGGCAGGCTCGTCTACGCCGACGGTTGAAGGCCGGAGTAGGGAGGTAGCTCTCAGCTGGCACTGCGCCAAAGCCCCATGTTCGAGGCCCGGCGCAGCACAACACGACACACAGAGTAGTACTTGACCACCCGCGCACGAAACGAAATGCGGGTGTGCTATCGTCCTGATCAAGGCGGCAGCGTGCTAGGAGTACTCGCGCGAAATGCCATGTGAGCGTGCCATCATGTGCCAAGGGAAGGCTCTGACCTGCAATCAGTTAGAGTGAGTGGCGGGCGTCGTCAGCAACAACGCGGCGAGCCGCGCGAGTACTGGACGACGCCCGCCAGCCGACGCGCCGAAGTGCTGGTCCACGTCCTAGGCTGCTTGTACCAGGGGGTGTCGGCAGCCGGCTGGGTGACAGCGGTGACTGAGTCTGCGGCATTGTCCGCGTTGTGTGGCGACGCGCCGACGGCTACTCAGCTCTCCTCGTCATCGCCGTCCCCCGCGCGTGGCCTGTCATGCGAAAAGGGATCATACCACAGCGACGCTGTCATGTCACAGCGACGCCCGTCGTGTTCATGTCACATCATCTTCACCTTGGGCATCGGCGCGCCTCCGGCAGCTACATGGTGGCTACGTATCCGTAGCCATGGCGTAGATCTCGCGTAGATGTGCGCGTATCTGCTACGGATACATAGCTGCTACGCTCCCCCAGGATTAGGGCAAAGCACGTCCAGCTCGGATCGGACCCGGAGCCGCACAAGCTGACCGTCGCGTACGAGCCAGGCACGCTCAACTTCGACGTCCGCCAGGCCGCCGCGCTCCTCGAGGCGGAGCGGCGCCGCGGGACGAGCCCGCCGTTCGACGACGTCACGCCGTGTCAGCAGGCCCTGGAGGCGCTGCGCCTGCTCGGCGCGGCGCGGGACGCGCCGCTCGGCCCGCCCAAGGTGTGCAAGCTGAGCCTGCTCCCGGAGAACCAGCAACCCCCGGGACAGATGATCGGGCACTTCCAAGTGCGCCCTCCTGTCCACGTGGAGCGGGCCGCGCAGCACTCCGAAGCGGTCAGCCAGCTCGTCGCGCACCCCGCGCTCGGTGCCAGCCTCCGCACAGTCTTCGCCTGCTACAACGGGGGCGCCGAGCCGGCCCTTCGGCCGCTATTCCATGGCATGTCCGCCACGCTCACGTCCGTGACGACCGTGCAGCTGGTGCACGTGCCGCTGCGCGGCCTCGAGAGCGAGCTCGCGCGCGGTCTGCGTGCACTGGCCGTGCAGCAGCTGTACCTGGCGGAGTGCGGGCTCGATGGCGCCGGCATCGCAGTCATCTTGGGGGCGCTCGGGCGCCCGCTGCTGGAGCTCAACCTCGCGAACAACCCGCTCGGGGACGCCGGCGCGCGCGCGATCGCGGGCGCGCTCGGGACGTTCCCGCGGCTCCGCCAGCTGGTGGCGGGGAGGTGCGCGATGCAGCCAGCGGGCGTGCAGGCGCTGGGGGCTGCGCTCGCGGCCCACGACTCCCTCGCAACGGTCGTCCTGAGCGGAAACCACGTGGGGCGCCTCGGCATGGTCGCGCTCAGCCAGGCGATCAAGCTCACGAGCGTCCGGCTCGACGCGGCGTACATTGGCGACGACGCCGCGCCGCTCGTTGCGAGTCTGCTGCAGCCGGGGTCCTCGGTGCAGCACCTGTCCCTGCGCCACAACGCCATCCGGGACGCTGGCGGGCAGGTGATCGCGCGGGCGCTGGTGCGCAACCGGTCGCTCCGGACCCTCGAGCTTGCGGAGACGGCGGTGGGCAACAGGACGCTGCAGCAGATGGTCGAGGTGGTCAAGGTGCATCCGCGGCTCGCGGAGCTCGACATGGGCGTCACCGCGACGACGAACGGCGGTGCCGTCGCCTTCGCCCGCGCGCTCGCGCAGCTCCCTGCAGTGCGCCTCCGCTCGCTGAGCATCAACCTCGAAAACGTCGCCGGCGGCAAACAGGTCGAGGCCATCATGGGCCAGTGCAAGTTTCCGTCGAAGGACTTCAAGCTGCAGGTCACGATCCCTAGACCCCCCCCCGGGGACCTGCCGACCGCCTTTGCGCAGACGCACCTGTGAGTGAATGAATGCTGCGCCCGCGTGTGTGAGTGCGTGTCCTCGGGGCCGTCGGTCGTAGGGGAAAGAGGCTGCCTCTCTTGCGCTGTGGTGCTGCGACGCCGAGCCCGCGGCATCGCGTCAATTGTTTCACTTGAGAGTTGTGAGTGGTGCGCGGGCGCGTGTGCGAGGGTCGCGGGCACTCCGCTTGCCCGCCAGCCCGCGTTGGTGCTGGAGCGGCCGTGAACGACACGCAGAAGGTCCCTCGCGCGCGGTATGTGGCCAGTTCGGCGCCGCTTGACTCAGGCGCCAGCGTGGAGCTGCCACGGCGTCGTGATTAGGGATCCATGCCGCAACTATCTGGAATTTCTGGACTCTCGTGAAGCAAGGTCAGCCACGCTGCTTGTTGAGCGTTTCATCCGCAAACACCCGCAATTGGAGTGCTGAAAGCCTCTGAATCCGACCGTTCGCAATACAGCCGCTCCCGTCTTTTCTGACGCAGATATCCCCCGGGCCACCTGCGTCCTTCGGTTCTCATCCTCCTCTTTACCATGTCCAAGCGCAAGAACAAACAACGCGCCAAGCAACGCGCACAAACCCAGGCCAGCGCAGTGAGGAACTTCGGCGCTCCCACGATCAGGGAGGTCGACCACCCCGACGAGGCGCCGCCGAAGGTACGACATCACCTCGGGTCTGCATATGCGCGTGTCCGCGCAGCCCTGGCGCGCCACCAGGCGCCCCCTGAGCGGGGCCTAAGGGGGAATCCACGGTGCCCCGAGCATCCGCACAGCGTGCTGTCTGCGGCACGTGACGCTCTGAACGGCGTATTCTGCCTTTGATTTGGCGGTACAGCCGTAAATGGCGGGCAGTCAGTGCGTTTGAGCACCGAGACGCTCCACAATGGACAGGAGATACACAACGCCGGCGCTGTCCTTCGCAGGTGCCCACGGACGCTCCCGCGCTGTTCCTCGAGGTGTTGACGAGCGTCGCGCGGGTGTTCGACTTCCTCCCGACCGCCGCCCGCAGGAGCCTCCTGCGGGCCTCGCCCCCTTCGATGTGCGCGGTCCTGCGCCACTGCCCCGTGCGCGTCCACATCCAGAGCAAGGCGCGGCTCCTCCGGCTCCTCGGAAAGTACATCGAGCCAACGAGCGGCCCGCACAAGGCCATCCTGTTCTACGACGACCTCCTCCTGACCCCGTACGCCACCCACGCGCGCGCGCTGTACGAGGCCGATCGCGAGGTGAACTTGCCGCCGGAGATCGTCGACGACATCTCGTTCAACTCGTCGCTGAAGCGGGGCCTCGCGGTCCTCGACGCGTCCAAGACGACGGACGCCGGGATCGTCCCCGTCGCGATGCTCAAGTTCTGTGCCAAGGGCGACGAATGCGTGGACTGCGGGCGTGCCGCGCACATGCACGTCGCCCCAGCGGAGCTCAACGAGAACGCGCGCCTCCTGAAGCGCGTCCTGAAGCACCAGTGCGTCGCGGAGCACGTGCGCGTGCTGCAAGTCTGCCACCACCTGGAGACTCCGGCGATGCGCGTCCTGGTCGAGATCCTCGCGGACGCCGCGCCGAACCTGACCAAGGTCGCGATGCAGCTGTGCGACCTCGGCGACGCCGGCGTCGCCAAGCTGGCTGCGCAGCTCGCGCGCCTGTCCCGCCTGCGTCACGTCGACCTGTCCGGCACCTGTGGCGGGCCGCGCTCCGCTGCAGTCGTCGTCGACGCCCTGCGCAAGAAACGCGCGCTCGAGTCGCTCAGCCTCAACTTCTGCAGGCTCGGCGCCACCGTCGCGCCTCTCGCCAAGCTCGTGTCGTCCGCGACGCACCTCGCCGGCCTGGCGTTGCACGACTGCGGGCTGACCGCGGGCGACGCGAGGACGCTCGTGAACGCGGTGGTCGCCGGCGGGAGCCTGACGCTGCTCGACCTCGGAGCCAACCCGATCGGCGACGACGCGGCGCGCTACGCGGGGGAGTCTCTCCTGACTCAGCACTCCCCCATGGAGGAGCTCCGGCTGGCGAACTGCTCGATTCGCGACGACGGAGCCGCGGCGCTGGCGGGGTGCTTGGCAACGGGGACGCGCCTGCGCAAGCTCGACCTGTCGGACAACTTGTTCGGCGACGCGGGTGCGCATGCGCTGGCAACGGGCCTGCGCGAGTTGCCGCGGACGCGCGCGATGGACACGGTGGACGTGTCCGGGAACAGGATTTCGATGGCGGCGGCGATGAAGCTCGGGCAGGCGTGCGGGGCGAACCCGCTGTTGAGGAACATGGAGCTGGTCATTGACTGAGAGACACGAAAACCTATGTAGAGGAGAACCCGAGTGTGGAGGTTCCGGGCGCTGTGCGCATGTACCACCGCAGGCCGCCTCCGCTGTCCCGAGCGTCACGAACGACTGCATCTGCCCCGTAACTCACGAACGACTGCGGAATGGCGCACGCCGTGCAGAGCGCGTGTCAACGCTAGAGGGGCAGCAGCAGCGACCGCGAACCACGTCAGACGGACCGCTTGCCCTGCTCTGGTGCCATAGTCGTGCGTAGTGGGCGCGGCTGGCCCGTCACGGTCATCAACAGCGACGGAGGCCCCCCTGACGCGGCTCGACTCGGCGGGACCGAGCGCGGTGCTACGACTCGCGGTTTCGGCACGATGGGCGCGGTTCGTGACGTCTCACGTACTCTTCCGGCTTCTCTCTGACCGTTGCTGTCCGGAGTGTCAGCATCGGGGGGCAGCATCGGTCTCGCAGCCCCGCACCGGAAACGCGACCCTTCAGGTGACAGACCCTTCAGGCGATCCCGTCTCTTCTGAACCGACATCGCGGCTCTATCTGGCACGTAACGGTCGCCAGCTTCCTGTCCGCCATGTCGAAGGGCAAGAACAAGCAGGCCAAGCGCCACAACGCCAAATATCGCGCCCAGACCCACCTCACTCTCCCTGCTCCCGCGGCCATGGAGGTCGACCATCCCGCCGAGGCGCAGCCGGAGGTACTATTCTGTCTAGGAGTTCACACTGCGATGACTTGTCATGCTGGAAGTGCCGCAGCAGCAGCCCTCGGTGTCATCATGCCTCACGATGCTCCTCGCGCACTCTGGTCCTCGCTATGTCCCTTCACCTCGGCACTCATTGCTTGATCTCGCCTATGAATTGACAGCAAGCCCTTGAACGCGCCATATACGTGACGTGTGCGTCCCCCACCGACCATGATCTCTCTCTCTGTCTCTCGGCTACAGGCGCCCACGGAAGCCGGCCCCGCGCCGTCGAACACCCCCGCGCCAGCGGCCACCCCCGCGCCCGTCAGCCTCGCGGCTCTGTTCACGCAGGTCGCCACCGACGTCCCGCGGCTACACGACCTCCTCGCGCCCGCCACGCGCCGGACGCTCCTCGGCACGTCCCGTGCCCTGATGGTCGCCGCCCTGCGCCACTTCCCCATCACCGTCAACGTTCCGCGGCGCAGCACCATGCTCCGCGTCCTCGCGAAGCTCGTCGGGCCGCAGGACACCCCCTTCAAGGCGGTATTATACTACGAGGGGGCGGAGGGCCCGCTGCGCCCGACGGCGGACCAGGCACGCGCGCTCTACGAGGCGGATCGCGTCCGCGCGGACGTGGTGCCGGTCGACTACGAGTGGTACTTCAACCTTGCGCTCCAGAGCGGCCTCGCCACGCTCGACGCGTCCGCCAGCACGCCCGCCGGCCTCCTCCGCGTCGCCGGGCTGCGCATCTGTGCGCAGGTGGACTCGTGCGACTGCGCCAACTGCGCCCCCATTGGCGCCTCGCCAACGGAACAGAAGGACAACGCACGCCTCGTCCGTCAGCTCCTCGAGCACCCGGGCGTGTCCGCGCACCTCCGCGAGGTGCGCGTCTGTCACCACAAAGACTCCCCCGCCCTGCGCAAGCTCGTCGGCGTGCTGGGGACGGCCGCGCCGAACGTCACCAAGCTCGAGATGATGATGTGCGACCTCGGCGACGACGGCGCGGTCAAGCTCGCGTCGCAGCTCAAGCGGATGCCGCACCTGGAGCATCTCGACGTGTCGCAGACGGGGCTCGGTGAGGCCGGCGCCGAGGCGATCTTTCTGGCCCTCGAGTCCAGCGCGTCGCTGCGGACCGTCATCGCCGGCGGCAACGCGCTCGGCGACGGGGTATACAGTCTGGCGCTGCTGTTCGGGAAGTGCCCGAAGATCACGACGCTCGGGCTGGCCGGTTGCGGTCTGCTGGCGGCGCCTGCCTCGACGGTGATGCTCGATGTGGTGCCGTCAGGCAAGGCGGAGTGCCTGGACTTCTCGCACAACCCCCTGGGGGACTCCGGGGTCAAGGAAGTGGCCGTCATGATGGGGGGAGACTCCTCTCTCGTCGAGCTCAGGGTCGCGGGCTGCGGAGCCAAGGACGGGGCGATCAAGGCGCTGGCGGAGGATCTCACCAACCCGAAGTCGCGCCTGCGCACGCTCGACCTGTCTCGCAACGCCATCACGGACGCCGGGGCCAAGCGCCTCGCGCAGTGCCTCGAGACTACGCCGCACGCGCTGAGGCGGATCGACCTGTCTCGCAACGCCATCACCGCCGCGGGGGCGGTCAGGCTCGGGCAGGCGTGCGGCCGCAACGCCGCGCTGAAGGACCTGGTGCTCGTCACGTAGCGCGGGCGAGGGCTGCGGCGGCGCACTCCCCCCGCGCAGGACACGTGGGGGGGGGAGTGCGCGCGTGAGGGGGGGCTGGTGGGACGGGCAACCAGCTGCCCGGGCTGCGAGGGGGCAGGCGGCTTCGCACAGCAGCGGGCGCGGCAGCCGCGGGCGCGGCTCCGTCCCTCGAAGCACGGGTGCGGACAGCGCAGGTGGAGAATGCATGTAACGATGAACGGTGTCGCGGCGCGCGGTGTGCTCTGACGTACGTGGGCCCGGGCCGCAAGCTGGCGTGGCTGGGTGCCGGCCGTGGAGCATCGAGTGTGCGGTCGCCACCCGGTTGCAGCCACGCTGTTGGAGTCGAGGAATGGAGTGCGCTAGCAGCGTTTCCGTCCACCCTCGGATGTCAAGGCTGGTCGCTAAGATGTCCTTAGAGTGATCCGCTGACGGAAGACAGCAGGCATCGGAATGGCACGACGTGCGCTTGCGGCCCGCCCGACTCCCGCCGCGGTGCGGTACCACTCAGGCCCCTCGCGATCCGTTCAGGCAGACCCCGCTCTCTTTCGGCGCAATGTCTGGGCGTGTTGGCCACAAACAACGCGTGGACGTCCGAGACGGCTCCATATATCGGCTGTCGGGCGCACTCGGCCGTCCTTGCCCTGGTTTGGTACGGGTCTGCCCGGGGAGCTCGTAACGAGACGTTTGCACCACAAATGCGCATGGACGTGCAAGTGACCACGCTGAGCAGCTGGATCGAATTGACGCACGCCCATGCTGAGTGCCACCTGAGGCCCCGCGAGGCGCCCACTGGTGAAAGGTCGTTTTGGCTTTTGCGTGCAGATCTGTCGCGGTCCTGCACCGTTCTTGGGACTCACGACATCTTTGATAGCTACGACGTCCTGAGCGTCCGAGAAAGCTCGCTTAGCGGAAGCCGTAAACCGGCGCGCCCCGATCCTTTCAGCCAGCCCTTGCAGCGCTTCGCGAGCATGAGCGACGGCGACAAGCAGGTAATCAGTCCCTCGCCGTGCGTGATCAATCACAGCTGAGCTGACTTCGCGACATTTGTTCGCAAGTTCGCGCGTGATGCGGAGAATCGAGCCGCCCTTGGTTGTCGTTGCGCACACACCGCAGAAGAACCGCGACCCGGTCTTTCGCAAGCCGCCGCAATCGCTCATCCCCGCACCCACGCTTCGGCCCTTCGCCGACGTCGCTGTCGCCCGACGGTGCCCGCGCAGGATCGTGGTGCGGGCGCGGACCTGTTCCACCGCGTCTTGCGGGAGGTGCCGTCCGTCATCGCGGGCCTCGACATCGGCAGCGTGCGCAGCCTGGCAGCCGCGTCGCCAGCCGCGCTGAACTCCGTCCTCAGGCTCCGCAAGGGCATCGTCGTCATCAGTCACTGCGCCCCTCTGCTCGAGGTGTTGGCCAGGCACGTCGCGCGCGACAAGGCGCCGGAGCCGCACCAGTGCACAATGATATACGAGCCGGGGACTCTCGAACTGGACCCGAGACAGGCTCGAGCGCTTCTTGTGGCGGAGCGCCTTCACTTTGGCAACGCGCGCAGGGAGCCGGCCGACCACTTGTCGCCGCACGGGCGCGCTCTCGACGCGATGTTCCTCGTCATGGCCTCGGAGCGCGCGGGGGAGCCGCTCGAAATACGCGGGATGAGGCTACGGGGCAACCTCGACGTGGCGCAGGACGGTCGGCAGTCCCCGCCCCTGCCGCCCGACTCCGCCGCGGCCGCGCACAAGTGGGCTCTTGGCAACCTGCTCGCGCGTCCCGCGCTGCTGAAGAACCTGCGCCTGTTCCGGGCCACCGATTTCCAACACACCGCAGCGTACCTCGACCACATCTTCAACGCGCCCGGCAGCAGCTTCGCGAACCTGACGACGATGAGCTTCATGAGATGCCAGCTCCGCGGCCGCGAGAGCGACCTCGCGCGCGTGCTCCGCGGCACCAGGCTGACGGACCTCAACGCGGCCGAGTGTGGGCTGACTCAGGGCGGCGCCTGCGAGATCCTCGGCGCGCTGAGCGGCTCCCTCAAGCACCTGAACATCTCGCACAACGCCGTTGGTGACGCCGGGGCCGCCGCGCTCGCAAGCGCCATGGGCTCGCTGCCGCGCCTCGAGACGCTGCGCGCGATCAAGTGCGAGATCAGGCCTGCCGGCATGCGGACTCTGGCCGCGGCGGTGCGGACGCACCGGTCGCTCGCACGGCTCGTCCTCACGGAGAACACCGCGGGACCAGCCGGGATGGTGGCTCTCAGCGACGCAGTCTGCGCCTGCAAGACGATGGCGTCCCTGGAGCTGGACAACGTCGCGATCGGCAACGGCGGGGCCGAGGCGGTCGCGAAGCTGCTGCGCGAGTCGTCGCTGCAGCTGCTCTCGCTCCGCGACAACGCCCTCACCGACCCAGGGCTGCAGGTGATCATGCACGGGCTGCGGGCGAACAAATCGCTCGAGCGCCTCGACCTTTTCGCCAACGACGCAGAGGACGGGACCTTCCGCGTCCTGTGCGACGCGATCGAGGTGCACCCTCGGCTGCGGCACGTCGACGTGTCTGGGCCGTTCAACGGCCTGGGAGGCGCGGCGATCGAGCGCTTCGCTCGGTTCTCCGAGAGCCTGCAGCGGAAGCCGCCGCTGAGGACCCTGATGTTCAGCGTTGACAGCAACGCCGTGGCGGACAGGGTCAATTCGATTCAGCGCCTCGAGGTGTGGAGCGGCGCGGAACTGAGCGTCCTGGTCGCTCTGCCGAAGGAGGGCTTCGTCATCCAGAGGGTCCCCGGGAACGACGACGTGTGGGAGGTCGTCATGCCCTGAAGCCGAGTCGGACCCCGGCACGCCCGCGACATCGTCGCAGCGCAACAACAGGGTGTGAGCCATGACGCGCAACTGTCCCCTGCCCGCCTCTCGCAACGCAAGTGGGGCCGTCGTCGCGAGCCTTGGCGACGCTTGGCTGCCGGCGCGCGCATCATGACCGCGCGAAGCCAGCCCGCAGCGCCCCCGTGTCTCGCTCCTTGTGTGGCGCCGCATCTGTGCTGGCGACGTCAGCCCGTGGCTGTCTTGAGGGGGGCGGGGTGTTGGTTGACACGGGGGGGTGTGTAAAGGGGGGGTCAGGCTGGCGTCCGCCGGTGCGCGGCCGCCGGGGGGCGAGGGCGCTGCTCGCTCGCCCCTGCGCGACAGAACCGACGCGCCTGTCCAGGGGCAGGGCGGTTTCGCAGCTCTGCATGTGAGGTGCATTGCGTCGCTCGTGAGAGCGAGGCCGTGCGGGTCGCGCAGAACCGCGCGCCCGGTACGCTGGCCGGAACGACGAGATGCGTATCAAGGGAGCACGTTCGCGGGGCGAACATGGCGCCGTTGGTGCTCAGGGGGGCCCGGACGGCGCCCCTCGTGCAGGGGCGGCGACAGCATGGTGAGCGCTTCGAGACGATCAGACGCCGCAGTGAAGCCTATCACAGAGCTTGCGAGACTTCGAACAGTGGATTGCATTGTGCACGCGCGCGAACACGAGCCCCGCGAGGTGGCACGGTGGCCTTTTTTTGGCCCGCAGCCGGGAGCTGCCCGCCCTCTGGTCGCCGCCGCCTCCCCTGGCCTCTCACTCACACGCTCTCACCTCGTTCTATGCAGCTGTAGCAAGCCAGTGGGCCATCAAACGGGGTCCTTCGGCGGTCCGCATGGCTGATCTCGAAACGACGAGGCCACCTTGCATCTCGCGACGGTCCCTCACAGCTGGTCGCGCGCCATCCGTCCTCTCGTGTTCCTCGGGAGTGCTGGAGATGCCTCTCGCGCACGGGTGAGAGGCATCACCATCCGACGCACGGATGGCGCCCTCCCACGTACGCGGTGTGTGTTTTCGGCACTCGAGGGATGTGTGTCGAAGACGGGTAGCGCGCTGCGAGCCGCCCGGAATCTTCGCGTCGTCTGCTGGACGCGACACGCCGGACCTCTTCGCCCGACCCGGCGTTGCTCCTATGCGCCGCGCAACACACGGTCGCTGCTTCTCGCGGGTGAGGGTTTGACAGGCACGCGCGGCCCCCGGAGCGGCGTCGGCAACGGCAGCGGGCGCGACTGCACTCTCAGGCCAGCCAACCTCCGCGCCTGCAAGTCCGCGGTGGCGTGTTCCGGGGCTTGCCAGGGCGTCAACATGCGCAGCTGCGTGACGGACACCGTCTGGCGCCGCGAGCCTCCACGTCCCGACACCAGGCAAGCACCATGCGAACCATCGTCCTGACCCATGCGACGCGGCCCCAGCGCGCCCACGCTGCACGATCGACGACCAACAGCTCAACGTCGCTGCGCGCAACGGCCGTCCAGGGTCGCGGCGGTGTGCGCGCACGACATGATCCACGTGTTCCGGTTTGAATGCCTCAGCACCAGGAGTGCGTGTTTCGCGAGTGCCTGACAGGGCGTGGGGGGTATGATCACAACCCCCCCGCCCGAGTATTGACGTCCGCAGGTTGAAGTGGGGCCGGCGTGCGCACGCTGGTCGGACTTCTCGCGTCCTCTGCACTCGCTTGGTGCGGCTTCGCGACGACGCAGGCCTGGTCAGCGTGCGATCGGCGGTCAAGATGATCGCTTCGAAGGCTGCTGCTCCGAGGAGCGACGCACCGGTGCGCAACCCGCTGCGATCGCGACGCACGCCGACAGCTTGACGCCCTTCGCGACTGCGAAGCCGCGCCGCGCGCTCGGAGCCTCGCTCAGGCGCCCGCGAGATCTCTGAGGCTTCCCTGCATGGACGTTGTACCGGCCGCTCACAGCCACGTCCGCGCGCCCGTGCCGATCGCCGCACTGGTGCTGTCATCCACGAGCTCGACCCGTCCCCGCGAGTGCCAGCGCACCCGCGAGGCTGCAATCTCAGCACCAACCACGCCTGTTTGTGGGTCGAATCCGTTGTCCGCAGAACGCCGCCACGGCGGCCTTATTCCACCGCGTGCTCCGCGAGACCCCCTTGATCGTCGCGGGCCTCGGCAAGCGCGACCTCCTCAGCCTCGCGGCGTCCTCTCCGCCCGCGCTAGAGACGGTCCTCAAACACCGCGTCTGCTGCCTCGAAGTCACCCGTTTCGGGCCGCTCCTGAAGCTCCTGGCCAAGCACGCGGACCCCGACGGCGACTACCGGTCCCTGCTCTGCTACGAGCCCACCGGGCTCATGTACGTCGCCCCGAGCGAGGCACGCCGGCTCCTGCTTGCCGAGGCTCGCCGAGCCCTCAAGTCGAGGTTCTACAACGAGAGCGTCCTGCCTGCGCGCGTCGTGGAGACGCTCAGCCTGCTCAACGCGAGCCTCGAGACCCCGCGGCCGCTGCGCGTCACCAGGATCAAGCTCTGCAGCGGCACCTACTTCTGCACTGCGTCGACGCGCGAGGTCGCGGGCACCGCGGCGGCGGTGCGGCAGCTCATGGCGCACCCGACGGTCAAGGACAGCCTGACCATGGTCCGCGCGTGCTGCTTCCGGTCCAACCTGCGGGCGCTGGACCCGTTCGGCGGCGCCTTTACTCCCCCCCTCGACACGTTCGAATTCGACGAGTGCTGCCTCGCGGGGCAGGAAGCGTGGCTCGCGGACAGCCTCCGCTCCTTCGCGGTCAAGAGCCTCGTCCTGGGTTCGTGCTCGCTGTACGGCAACGGCGTCGGCGTCGTCCTGCAGGCTCTCCGCACGACGGCGCGACACATGGTCGTCCTGGATCTGGATTGCAACCCGTTCGGGGACGTCGGGGCGCGCGAACTCGCCAGCGCGCTCGGAGCGCTCGAGCGCCTGGAGCGCCTGCAAGTCGGCAGCTGCCACATCCGGCCGGAGGGCGTGCGTGTGTTGGCGGCGGCGGTGAAGGCGCACCCGGCGCTGCAGCGGCTGGCGGTGTCGCACAACCACGTGGGCCACGCCGGTGTCGTTGCGCTGCGGACGGCCGTCGTGGGCTGCGGGACGCTGTCGAACCTGGAGCTCAACGACGCGCAGATCGGCGAGGGGGAGTCTTTGATGCTGACAGGCATTCTACTGCAGGGGTCGCTGAAACAGCTCAGCCTGGCATTCAACCATCTCGGGGACGTCGGTGCCGCGGCCGTCGCGAAGGCTCTGGTTCGGAACACGTCGCTGGAGCGCCTCAACCTGACGAAGACGGGCGTCGGCGACGACGCGGCATGCCTGTTTGGTGACGCGATCCAGGCGCACCCGCGGCTGCAGGAGCTCGACCTGAAGGCCAACGAGATCACGGACCGCGGCGCGAAGGGCCTGGCGGCGGGCCTGGCCGGAGCGCGTCCGTCCACGTGCCTGCGCCTGCTACAGCTGGACGTGAACGACATCGGGGGCGACGGCATGTCTGCGATCCAAGACGCGCACCGCAAGAACCCTGCGCTTCGCCACCTCGAGGTGTCTCGGTCCACGATGACGATCGTCGAGCAGGTGGCCGCCATGGCGTGGTGACTGACCCCGGGGGGTGTTTCGGTGCTGCCCCGTCGGTGGGGGCGCGTGCAGCAGCGCCGGTTTGCATACCTGTAACCTTCCGCAGCTCCTTTTCGGGGCCGAGGCGGACGCGGGCTCACTGGGGCGGGGCAGCGACGTGCAGGGCGCGCCGCCCAGATGCGCCCTGTGGGGGTTGCGATGGATGCAAGGCGCTTGCGCGTGACGGACCGCGAGGCGACGCGTCCGCTCGAGAATGCTGAGGGCTGGGATCCTCGGATGTGGGCAATGCGATCTGCGTCCACGGTGGGCGGTGAGGCTGGGCCCTGAGTCTGCGTCGATGCCGCGGGATGGAGCTCGCTCGCCAGCGTAACGGAAGGCTCAGGTGCCGATTTGTCTGTCCCTCGACACGCTGACGGCATAGACCGTGCACGGCGCGATCGGTCTCGGCGACGCCTGCCCGGCCCTGCGCCTGCGGGGCGTTTGCCCCCCAGCGGGGAACGCCCCCTCGGGACCCCCCGCAGGGCGTCTGAACGCCGTCGCGCCCTAGTTCAGGGCGCGCCAACGCCCCTCACGAGTATAAAGCGTCTTTCGGGCACCATATACGACTCCGCGAAGCCACGCCCGTGCGTCTCTGCGCTGTCCTCCCCACAGGTATAGAACGTGGCTGCGCGTGCCCTCAACGCAAGATCTGATTTGTCTGTTGGTCCTTCGCTTCATATTGAGCACGATACTCGACAAGTGTGCTCGAAATGTGTGAACATGCACGTAAGTCGAAGTCCTGGAGCGCCGCTGACCACCGCCGGGGCTCAAGCCAAGAGTCGCTCATGCATTTTCGCGCAGGTCCTGCACAAGCGCCGTTCATCCCGTCTCAGGCATCAACGCGTCTCTACCTACCTTTACCCTCGTCGGGTCAAGACACCGCAGCTTAGTGCGCCGGATCAGCCACGCGCGCGCCTGTTCTCCCCCCAGAACAAAGAAGCGCCGGAACACCATGACCGACCAGTCCAAGCAGGTGAGCGCGCCCCCCTGCAACCCCTCACTCGCTGCGGAGGACGGCGCGTTCCCGTCGACCTCCTGAAACGCTCCAGACAGACGGCAGGCTCAGCTGTACAACCTCGAGGTTCCATCGCCCTCGCACGCGCGCCTGTCGCTCACCAGTGACAAGCCCCCGTCAAACCGAAAAATACCACGAATCCTCACTCCCCCTCGAAATCCCGCGAATCGCCGCGCAGGCCCAAGCAAGCCCCGTGTTGCTCCTTGCTGTCCTCATCGAGGCTCCCCGGGTCGTCGAGCTGCTCAGCGACGCCGACGCCAGGAGCCTCGCGGCCTCCTCGCCGGCTGCCCTCAACGCCGTGCTTCGCGCCAGGCGTTGCGAGCTGCAAGTCGACGCAGGCACGCGGCTGCTGCGGGTGCTCGCGAGGCACGTCACGCCCGGCAAGGAGCCCGCGGCCGCCTGGCTGGGCTTCCGCAGCGTGAGCATGGCCACGAGCGCGGACGAGGCGCGCGCCTTGTTCGAGGCAGCAAAGCGGCGTTTCGGCACTTCGGACCCAGTGAAGTGGAACCCCCACTTCACTACTCCCCTCGCCCGCACGAGCGAGACGCTCCTGCTCCTCGACGCCTCGCGCGAGACCGCCGCCGGGCCGATCCACGCCCGGAAGCTCCACCTGTGCGGCTGCGTCAACACCAAGGGCGGGGCGTGCGAGGCGGCCCAGGAACTCCCCGCGGCAGCAGCTAACATGCGCAAGCTGCTCAACCACGACGGAGTGCGGGCCTCCCTGCGGAAGCTCGAGGTCTGCTGCCTCGACAACAACCTAGACAGCATCCTCGGCGCCCTGCCGTCCGTCCGCGGCATCAAGGAGCTCGAGCTGGAGGGCAGCGCCGTCGGGGGGCACGAGGCGCTGCTGGCGGCGGGGCTCGAGCAGCTGTCGCTGCAGGCCTTCACGCTGGTGGAGTGCGGGATCGGGGAGGCGGGGCTCGAGGTCGTGCTGCGCGGGCTCGTCGCCTCGCAGCACCTCGTCCACATGGACGTGTCGTCGAATCGGATCTGCGACGGGGGCGCGGGCGCGCTGGCGGCGGCGCTCGGGTCGCTGCCGCACCTGCAGCGGCTGAGCGTCGCGCGCTGCGAGATGTTCCCCGGGGGCGTGCGCGCGCTGGCCGCGGCCGTGGAGCGGCACGGCGCGCTGGAGGTCGTCAACGTGTCCGGGAACTGCGTCGGGGCCGAGGGGCTGCGCGGGCTGTGCGCGGCGGTGGAGGGCTGCGCGACGCTGCGGGAGCTGGGTCTCGTCAAGACGTGCATCGGGGGGCCAGGCGAGGATGCCAAGCTCGTTGCGCGCATGGTGCGCGCTGGGCGCCTCCAGACGCTGCGGCTCGGGATGAACCACTTCACGGACGGCAACGGCCGCGTCATCGCGGCGGCCGTCCTGCGCGACACGGCGCTCCGTACGCTGGGCCTCGAGGGCAGCGATCTCGCAGATGACGCGGCGGCGGTGCTTGCGGACGTCATCCGAGTGCACCCGCGGCTGGAGGCGCTGTCTCTGGCCGGCGGCAAGATCACCGACGTGGGCGCGCGCGCCTTCGCGGATGCGTTCGGGGAGATGAAATCGACCCCCCTGCGGAGGTTTGCGCTGTTTGCGAACCCGCTGTCCATGTCGGCGGCTGTGCAGCTCGGGCGCGCCCACGGCGCGAACCCGGCGCTGGAGGACATGGAGCTGGCGATGGAGTGTCCCGCGGACTCTGACCACGAGGACAGCGACTCGGAGGTCTCGAGCGAGGATTCTTCGTCGTACGATGACAGTGAGGACGAGGGCGTGTGAGGGGGGGGGGGGCGCGTGAGGGTCGGGGAGCCCGCCTGTGAGCACCTGCGTAGCGATGTGGACGCTCCCGTCTGGCGGACGGCAGCCTCTGATCTGCCCCTGCGCATCCCTGACACGCCCCCATGAGACCCCCTAGGAGCGTGTCCGGGGCGTATCGTGCGCTGGTTCGGGCACGTTGCGCCAGTTCCGGTCCGTGACAGGCAGTCGGGCGTGTCGAACACGTCCAAACTGCGCGCGAGCCTCTCAGGATCGCCGCGGAAGTTGCTGGTCCAACGCCAAGGGTCGCTGTCGGATTCCGCGCAGGACAGAAGGCGCGAGAGCGAGCGTGTGCCTCACCTACCGAGAGCACATCTTGTGGGAGGCTCATCGTCTGCCTCGTGGCACAACGGCCGACGGACCCTTCCGCCCTCGGCGCTTCCCCACGCAGCTCCCAAGCCCCCCCCCGACCATGAGCGTCCGGAGCGATGCGGTGAGCACGCACCGCGCTCACGCACATTCATCCCATCCGCATCGGTCTCCGCGCTGTTGTCGACGGACGACGCGCGAAACGGCCGAGAACGTCCCCCAACAGACTCACACCAGGCCACGTCCCATCACCGCGCACATCGCCCCGACCACGAGCCAACCTGCCCGCCAACAACAACCATCACCCGGTCCGCGCACAGTCACCGCCACCTCACGCCACCGTCCCGTCGCTCGCGTGCAGGCCCCGCCCGCCACACCGGACTTGTTCCTGCAGGCGCTCCTCGAGACGCCCGCCATCGTCCTGCGGCTGGAGAAGACGGACGTCCCGAACCTCGCGGCGGCGTCCTCCGGCACGCTGAACGCCGTCCTCAAGGCCGCGCGCGCAAAGTTCGAAGTCCAGGTGGCACATGGCCCCACGGACGCAATGCTGGGGTTGCTCGCGGAGCACGTGGCGCCCGGCAGCAGCGCCTACGCGTCGCGCATCGAAGTCACGGGCCTCCTCGAGGTCGGCGCCCACCAGGCGCGCGCGCTGCGCGACGCCACCGTGCTTCGACAGGACGCGGAGGCGACGATTGAGCTCGACTTCGCGACGCCCCTGCACCGCATCTTCGAGACGGCAGTCCTCCTGGAGCTGTCGAAGGAGACCGAGCGCGGGCTCCTCCTCGCCGACACGCTGCACATGTGCGGCAACACCGGCAGTGACGCCGCGAAAGCCCGCGCCGCCATGGAGGGGGAGTCCACGGGGAAGGCAACGCGCGAGCTGCTCGGACACGACGGCGCGCGCGCCCTCCGCCGGCTCGAAATCTGCTGCTGGGACGACCTGACGCACATCGCCGCCGGGCTGAAGGCCGTGCCCACCATGAAGGAGTTTTCGCTGCTGAGGTGTGGCGGGGGGTGCGAGGCGCAGCTGGCGGCCGGGCTGGAGCACCTGTCGCTGCAGGGCTTCTTCATGGAGGCGTGCAACGTTGACGGGCGCGGCATGGAGCTCCTCGCGGGCGGCCTGCGCTCCTCGCAGCACATGACTCATCTGCTTCTGAATACCAACCCGCTCGGCGACAGAGGCGCGCGTGCGCTCGCGGGGGCGCTCGGGGCGCTCCCGCACCTGTACTCCCTGGAGGCGACGCACTGCGACATGTGTCCGGAGGGGGTATCTGAGCTGGCGGGGGCCGTCGCGCGTCACAAGACGCTTGTGTCCCTCTCCCTCGGACTGAACTGCTTCGGCACGGAGGGCCTGCGCGCCGTGTGCACAGCCGTCGAGCGGTGCAAGACGCTCAAGCACCTGTTCATCGGCAAGGCCTGCATCGGGAGCAGGGAACACGCCAGCATCATGGCGCGCATCGTCAACGCTGGGAACCTTCGGTCGCTGGCGTTTTATCTCAACCCGTTCAACGACGACAGCAGCAACGTCATCGCCAAGGCCGTCCTCAAGAACCGCACGCTCACCATGCTGGACATCCCCGGCACCGGAGTCGGCGACAAGACAGCCGCGGAGTACGCCCAGGTCATCCGGACTCATCCCGCGCTGGAGACCCTCTCTCTGATGGGCAACGCCATCACCGACGTGGGCGCACGCGCGCTGGCTGCGGGGCTCAAGCAGGTCGGGTCCACGCGGCTGCGGAAACTGGTGCTGACGCAGAACCCGGTGACGATTGCGGGGGCCGTCGCACTTGGGCGGGCGCAGGGCGAGAACCCGGCGCTGGCGGACATGGAGGTGAGCATGTCGGGGCCGGACGAGGCGGGGGGCGGCGGCGAGTGAGAGGGTCGTGGCGGTGACGACGCGGGGAGGAGCGTGCGCGCGGTTGCACGATCGCGTGGCAGCGGGGCGTCGAGGCGGTGCGGTGGCGTTCGTTCGCCGGTGGTGTCCCCGGCCGGGGGTGTATTTGAGACACCCCCCCTGCGTGTGCTTTGTGCATGATTGGCGGTGGCGTGGTGCGGCTGGCTCCATGTCCGTGTGAGGCCATCGGAACAGGTCCGGCCCTGTCGGTACGTCTGCGTCGTGCGTCAGGTGCGCGCTGCACGGATGTGCACTGGCTCGCTGGTTGGGGAGGCCCAACACGGCCTTCGCAGGCGTTCCATACAGCATGGGCCCTCTTGACATCGTATTCATAGTTCAAGGAAGAGCACACACTGCGCTGTTAGCCGCACACCTCGACCAGCGGCCCACGCACACCGCATCATTGCCCGTGCTCCCTGCAGCAAGTCTCCGCACTGTACCTGGGCTGTCACGGGAGCAGACCCCCCCACACGGACGTTCTTGTACTCATCAAGGCCGGGAGCGCACCAGAAATCCAGAAGTCGTCACACTAGCACCGGCAGGAGGATGGCAGCAGCAGCGCGGGCGGTGGGTCGTCTGACCCCGAAGACGTCGGCGCTCTTCGTCTGCGACGTCCAGGAGCGCTTCCGCGCCACCATCCACCAGAGCGGCGCCCTGATCGACGCCTCTGCGCGCATGGTGCGCCGCCCGCCCGTCTCAGTTCGCCCTCCTGCCCAGCGTCTCGCTCGCGCTACCCCTCGGATGCACTCCTAACGTGCCGAGCGGCCGTCCGGCGCCCTCGCGGTGCAGGTCCGCGGCTGCAAGGAGCTCAGCGTCCCCGTCGTGGTCACGGAGCAGTATCCGAAGGCTCTCGGGCGCACTGTCGACGAGCTACAGCAAGTGCTGCCTGCGGGGGTCGAAGCAGTGCCCAAGACGCTGTTCAGCATGCTCGTCCCGGACGTCGAGAACCAGCTCCAGAGCATGAAGGACGTGAACCAGGTCCGCGGCCACGCCCGCCCGTGCTCCCGCGCCCCAACATACACGCACGCGCGCGCGAGCTGTGCGCGGTCCCCGTGCGACGAAACGGCACCGGAGCAGCCGGGGCGGCTCGCCGCTGCGCGGAGCATGGCTGGGCTCGTCGCTCACGGTCGCGGCGGCGCCTCCGCGCGTCGCAGGTGATGTTGTGCGGGCTGGAGACGCACGTGTGCATTTTGCAGACGGCGCAGGACCTGATCGAGCGCGGGTACGAGGTGCACGTCCTGGTCGACGCGGTGTCGTCAGCGCGCGTGCAGGACCGCGACGTCGCGCTGCGGCGGTTCGCGAGCGGAGTCCACCCGGGGTGTTTCCTGACCACCACTGAGTCGGCTCTGCTGCAGCTGTGCGGGGACGCCAAGCACCCGAACTTCAAGGCCATCAGCGCCATGATCAAGGAGCAGCGCGAGGCCGTCCTCGGCTTCACCTCCGCCCTGTAACGCGCCACGCAGACGAGTCCACACTGGTGTCGTCGCCGCTGTCTTCGGGGGGGTCGCGTGCCGTCGGACGCTCGCTGCAGGCGCGACGATTCACACGCGCCGTTCGGCGCAGCCGAACCCTGTGCGGCACGAGCGCGGCGCCGCATTCGGACTGCGTATTCAAGCACTGATAATCATTTCCATAAATGTCCACAACGAATTGGTCGACATCACTTCTCTACATCATAACTAGTCATATCTGTCTACATGTACTTTTCTATCCGCGCTGCGCGGCGCGGACGCACGCGCTCCGCGTGCGGTCAGGACCGGCTGCCCGCCACCGCGGCCGCCAGCGCCGCCGCCGAGTGCATCTGCCCCCACGGCTGGCCCGAGTCGGGGAGCCCGAACCGCTCGAGCTCGACCGGGACGGGCACGAGCCGCCCCGTGTCGCTCTCGCACGCGCCCGCGAGCGTCGCGGCGAGCTCCCGCATCGCCTCCGCGTCCCCGGGCGGCCCGCCGCCCAGGTGTTTGGAGTTGGGCCCCAAGAGCGATATTTCTACCACAACACCCCTCCACTCCCAGTCCGACCTGACGAGGACCTCGACGGAGCCCACGCGCACGAGGCAGCCGCAGACGACCATCTGCTTGCCCGTCACGGTGGTCGAGTGCACCGGCCTGCAACGATGGACACTAAAGCGCGACTGACGGTCCACAGGACGATCGCGACGCGCCCGGCCCGTCCAGCGCGATATGTGCATGCCGCTCCCGGAGCGTCTGCGCGGGGGCGCCGGAACACGGGCAGCGCAGCTTGGAAGGGGCGCGTGAACGCCGTGCGCACCTGTAGGCCTTGAGCGCGGCGAGGATCGTCTCTATCGTGTGCGTGCCCTGCATGACGGTCTCGTGGCCCTCCTGGAGCACCACGAGCGTGGAGTCCCGCGCCGTGGTGGCGGGGGCGCGCTCGTCCTGGCAGGGCGCCACCACCCATACCGAGCGCACCAGCTTCGCCGCCTGCTCCTTGTCCTCGTTTTCGGTCACGACGTTGAACACGTGGGGCTGGAACGCGCGCAGCCGCATCGACCAGGGCTTCGCAGGGCCCGCACCGGCGTCCCTGCGCGGCAGAACCAACAGGTGCAATTGGCCGCGCTCTGCGCGCACAGCCGCCGCCCGGGAGCCCCGGCCGCCAGCGCGACCGCATGCGCGACACACGTACACGACGGCAACGCATCCTCATGCCCGACACGCCGCGACTGCCTTCACGGGCGCTGCCAGTGCGCTGCGGAGCTGGTGGACTGTTTTCGTGGGATTCCGGGGTAGCGCGTGCCCTGACGCTGCCAGCGGTGGCGTACCTGCATGCGTCCAGTACCTCCCCGAGCACGTCGTGGCTGTCGGCGGCGCCCTGCCACATCAGCACCATGCCAGCCTCGCTCCCCATGGCCCTGGACTGCGCCCCCGGGCAGGCGGACACGGGCTATTTCTCGCACTCAGCCCCCAGGAGCCGATTCACCGCATCTGCGACATCACAGCCGCGGGGAATCCTGGACGGCACCCGCCCGGCACACGCCGTGATGGGGCCAGTCCGTGCGCGTCGAGGTGCCTCCCCAGAGCGGCTCCCGTGGCGCGTGGGCGTCGATCGAGGCGATCCGGATGGGGAGTCGTGCGGGGCACGAGGCCCGGGGCGGCCCGTCGACCGCCCGTGCCCGCGCGTGCCGCCGGGGGTCCTTACGTGGCAAGGCTGTGAGGAGACTCGCCGAGCTTTAGGGCCCGATAGCGCGGTCGTCGTGGCCACAGATTGCGTGCAACTGGACAAGATGGCTGCCTCGGTAAGTGACCTGTCCCCACGCGCCGCGTCGAGTCCTCCCAACGCGCCTACGGCCTCCGGGGGAGGCACGAAGTCGGCACCGACCCGAGCAGCCCATCGTGCGGCGTTCGAGGCCGATGCCGGGCCAGCGGCGCGACGCACGCGCTCATCGCACGCGATGCTCATTGGCGGTCCCCGTTTCGCCGCGCGACATCGCACATCTTGCGCGCGCGAGCGCCCCTTGCCCCGTTGGTCCTCTCGTGCCGACCCGACCCGGCCCGTGCGATGCGTTCGCAGGCTCTGTTCTCCACCCCCGTCGCCACCCGCGTGGGCTCGGCCCGTGTGGCCCGCCGCGGCCGCGCCCAGGTCAAGGTCCAGGCCGCGACGAAGATCTCGAAGACGCCGGTTAAGGCGCCCGAGCTCGAGAAGATGAACAACACGGTGAGCGCCCCGCGCGGCCCCCACATGATGAAGTCCTCGCGGACGCTCCCGTGCGTTATTGGCCGCGCTGCCCGCGCGCCGGGCGCAGGAGCAGCCTGCCCAGGGCTGCCTGCGATGGCCGGCCTCCCCGCGAGTGGCCGGCGCGCTTTCGCGTTGCGGCATCGTCGATGGTGAGGGATTTATCGGTTCTGCACGTGCACGCACCGCTGATGTCGTCCCCGCCACCATGCGGACCGCTGGGCGCTTCATCGCCTTCTTCCGAAGCCCCCGATAGCTCCTCTCCTCCCGTCGCGCCTCCACCCAACAGATACACCGACCGCCCCAACTTCCCTCTATCTTCCCGATCCGCCCGGCCCGCTCGATCCTCGCGTCGCGACCCCGTAGCCACGGCCACGCACCCTCTTCCCTCTCAGCACCAAGCACACCCCGTCCGCGCGCATCCCGCGCGCTGCTGCCGCGTCGCGCGGCCCCGACGCCCGTACCCGCCACGCTCCGCACGCTCCGCGCCCCATCGTCGGCGCCACGCGCCCCGCCCGCCTCGCCGCCCCGGCCGGCCAACTGCTTCGCCCATAGTGAGGACCCGCCCCCGCGTCGTCGCAGGACAACCTCCCCATGAACACCTTCTCGCCGAAGAAGCCCTTCAAGGCCACGATCAAGTCGGTGGAGAGGATCGTCGGCCCCAACGCCCCGGGCGAGGTGTGCAACATCATCATCGAGACCAACGGTGACATCCCCTTCGTCGAGGGCCAGTCCTACGGCGTCATCCCCCCGGGCACCAAGGTCAACTCGCGCGGCAAGGAGGTGAGCCCCCCGCGCCCGTCTCTCCGCCGGAACCGCCTCCCACGCCTCCCCCGGGGCGCCTGTCTGCTGGCATGCTCCTCGCGCGCTCCCGGCGCCCCCGCCGCTCCGCCGCCGCGCCCCGCCGGGAACCTCCCTCTTCAGTTCACGGGCATCCCTCACCGCGCAGCCCCGCGTGTTGGTTCGCCGCGCAGATGCCGCACGGCACCCGCCTGTACTCGATCGCCTCGACGCGCTACGGCGACTCGTTCGACGGCCAGACGACGACGCTCTGCGTGCGCCGCGCGCTGTACTACGACCCCGAGACGGGCAAGGAGGACCCCGCGAAGAAGGGCATCTGCTCCAACTTCCTGTGCGACGCTGCGCCGGGCACGGAGGTGGTCATGACCGGCCCGACGGGCAAGGTCCTGCTGATGCCGGACGACCCGAACGCGGTGTGCATCATGGTCGCGACGGGCACGGGCATCGCGCCGTTCCGCGCGTTCTGGCGCCGCATGTTCTTCGAGGAGGTCCCCGAGTACAAGTATACGGGCCTGGCCTGGCTCTTCATGGGCGTGGCGGTGTCGGACGCGAAGCTGTACGACGACGAGCTGCAGCAGGCGCTCGCGACGCACCCGGACCAGTTCCGCGTGGACTACGCCATCTCGCGCGAGATGAACAACAAGAAGGGCGGCAAGATGTACATCCAGGACAAGATGGAGGAGTACAGCGACGAGATCTTCGACCTCCTCAGCAACGGCGCGCACATCTACTTCTGCGGCCTCAAGGGCATGATGCCCGGCATCCAGGAGATGCTCGAGCGCGTCGCGGGCGAGAAGGGCCTCGACGCCGGCGAGTTCTTCGAGAAGCTCAAGCACGAGAACCGCTGGCACGTCGAGGTGTACTAGGCGCGCGGGGGGGCCGGACGCGCGCCGGTGTAACCGTTGAACAACGCACAGACAGAGAGGGGCACGTGGGTCGAGTTGCAGTTTGTGTCTTGAGCTTTGGTGTGGTGTGGCTTGTGGTGTTGTGGGGCTGCGAGGGGTGCGTGTGGGGTCCTGGTCGCGGTGGGCGTGTTGCGCGGGCGGCGGAGAGGGGTGTGGGGCGGGTGTCGGTGGTTTGAGAGCCCCGTGCTGAGGTGGCTGGGGGGGGTTGATGTCGGTGGGTGGTGGGCGCGGCCGGCGGTATGGGGGTGCGCGGGGGGCGTGGGCGGGCAGACACGTGCAGCGCGAGCGCGTTCGGAAGCGCCTGAGTCCACACGTCGAGCGACGGGGCGTGCACGCGTGGTGGGCAGCGCAGGGTCGCTTGGCCCGCTGGGGCGGCGAGGAGGGCACTGGGGATGACGATGAAGCTGCTGACGTACGCTGAAGGATGGGAGGAGCCCGAGGTGTTCTCGGAGATGGCGGCGTGCGTTCCGTGCGAGAGGAAGGAGCCGGCGGGTGAGCCCGCCGCTGTCCTGGACTTCTGTGCCGCGCCGAGACCTCTGACGGACACCACAGACGGTCCCCGCGCGCCCCCGCGTCGAACATGTCATTGTGCGATCGGAACGCATGAGAAGATCCGACGTGGCCGGCCCTAGTGCGCTTCGCGGCCCCCGGCGTGCTGTGCGCATCACTGACGGCGGCGTGGCGTGGCTGCCAGGCGGTCACCGCCACCAGAACGGCCGCGTCCGCGTCGAACGCCCCTCAAAGACCATTTTCGGGCATCGAATTCTCCGGGAGTCGCGCCTGCAACCTGCGGCGGCGGGCCCCTCACTTTGCCGCGTACGGTCGTGTTGCCTGTGTGGTGGACGCCCGCGCACTCAGGTTGTCGCCGCAGCCGGCCTCTGGCGTGTCCGGTCCAGCCGCCGCACGCGGCGGTCGCGGGAGGCTCTACGCCCCCCTGGCAGGCCGTGCCCGCCACCGCGTAGCCGTGTGCTCAGTTCCCGGTCCTTACCGCTCCGCGCAGGCCACGGGTTCCTCCGCGCGTGTCTCCGGCAGCTCGGGCTCGAGCCGTACAAGGACGACGGCGCCGGGGACTCTCGCCGCGGCGGCGCGTCGTCCGGCGCGTCGAGCTCGAGCGAGGCGGGGGAGGACGACGGGGCGGACGACAGCGGCGTGGACGTCGAGGGCCTCAAGGCCAAGGCGCAGTTCAAGGGCAAGGGCAAGAAGAAGGAGAAGAAGAAGGACGAGGACTTCTACGCGCTCCTGGGGCTCGGAGCGGAGCGCTGGATTGCCAGCGAGAAGCAGATTCGCGACGCGTACCGCAAGGCCGCGCTGACGATGCACCCGGACAAGGCCGCGCAGAACGGCCTGACCCACGACGAGGCCGACGCCCGCTTCAAGGTCCTCCAGGACGCGTACAACACTCTGTCGGACCCGAAGAAGCGCCGCGAGTACGACTCGACGCTCGAGTTCGACGACTTCCTGCCGTCCAGCGCCGAGTCCGACCAGGACTTCTACCGCGTGTTCGGCGCGGCGTTCGCGCGGCAGGCCCGCTGGAGCGAGCGCAAGCCCGTCCCGAAGCTCGGAGACGACTCCACGCCGTACGACTACGTATTGCGGTTTTACGAGTTCTGGTTCAAGTTCAAGAGCTGGCGGGTGTTCCCGCACCCGGACGAGGAGGACGAGGAGAGCGCGGAGGGGCGCGACCACCGGCGGTGGATCCGGCGCAACAACGAGAAGCTGCGGGCCAAGGAGAAGAAGAAGGAGGGCGCGCGGCTGCGGGAGTTCGTGGACAACGCGTACAGCTGCGACCCGCGCGTGCAGGCGCGCGTCGCGGCGGAGAAGGAGAAGCGCGAGGCGCGGAAGAAGGAGAAGGTGCGGTCGCGTGCGGGCCCTGGCTGCGCAGTGTGCACTGCTGCGGTGTTTGGGGGGGCGTTGCGGGCTGTCGTGGCCCGCGGGGGGTCGCTGGGGCTGTGCGCGAGTGCTGCAAATTTTCGAGTTGGAGAGCGGGAGGGGGCGTGAGTCGAGGATTCATGACTTCTGAGGTGCCGGCGTGTGGTTGATGCGTTGCAGGCGGAGGAGCGGGCGCGCAGGGAGGCGGAGGAGAAGGCGGCGGCGGCGGCGGCGGCGAAGGCGGCGGAGGAGGAGGAGGAGCGGCGGCGGGCGGAGGAGGAGGCGCGGCGGCGTGCAGAACAAGTTGAGAAAAAGGCTCTGCGGAAGGAACGAGCGCGGCTATCTAAGCTGCTCGCGTCCGGCGCGGGGGGCGCGGACATCGAGGGCGCGGACGTCGACGCGCTGTGCCAGGACCTGGGCCTCGCGGAGATGTCGGAGCTGTGCCGCGCGGTGGAGGAGGGCGGAGACGCGGCGCCGCGGGCCGTGCAGGACGCGCTGGGCAGCGTGCGGGCGAAGCGGGCGGCCGCGGAGGAGGCGCGGCAGCGCGAGCTCGCGGAGATGGAGGCGCGCAAGGAGAGGGAGGCGGCGGAGGCAGAGGCAGCGAAGGTGCGCGGCAACCACATGCACACGCACGCGAGCCCCGCAGAACTGCGCTGCCGCGCTCGCCGGCCACGCGCGCACGCGAGGCCACGCAGACGCTCGCTCCTCCGCCCCCCAGCCGCGCTCGGACGGACGCAGTCGACCACACACCCCCCGCGCGCCTGCCCAACGTCCCCCCGGCGCCCCCGCTCGTGCCCCGCAGGCGCGCGCGATGACGGAGTGGTCCGCGGAGGAGCTGCGGCTGCTCGACAAGGCGGTGAACGAGAAGTTCCCGCCCGGGTCTCAGCGGAGGTGGGAGAACATCGCGGCGTACGTGCGCACGCGGACCGTCGACGAGGTGCTCGTGATGGTCAAGCAGCGCCTGAGCAAGGGCCACGTCCCGCAGGCCATGCGGCACGACAAGTACGAGATCCCGGAGAAGCGGACGGGGAACCTGGTGATTACGTCGGAGGCGTCGGTGCGGGACAGGGCGTTCACGGACGTGGCCGTGGCGGGTGGCGGGAAGGCTGCGGCGGAGGGGAAGGCTGCGGCGGGCGGGGCGGCGGGCGGGGCGGTCGGGCGCGACCTAAAGGGGGATGCGTCGGTGGCGACGCCGAAGAGCGCGGCCAAGGTGGTGAGTGCGGCGAGCGGGGCGTGGACGGACGTGCAGGAGAAGGCGCTCGTGAAGGCGATGAAGGCGTTCGGGAAGGACGTGCCGGACCGCTGGGCGCGCGTGGCGGAGGCCGTGCCGGGCAAGTCGGAGGCCGAGTGCAAGCTGCGGTTCAAGGAGCTGACCGCGGCGTTCAAGGCGAAGAAGGAGGCCGCGAAGGCGGGGAAGTGAGGCCCGGTGCGGGCTGCGGTGGCGTCGCGGTGACGGCGGCGGGCCTGGACGCATCACACGAGGGGGGCAATGCTGCGACGCGCCCGGCCGTGTGAAGGGGCGTCGCGCCCGGCCGCGAGACGGGTCCGGAGGAAAACTGTGGCTGCTGGGCCTGGGTATATATGCTTTGGGAGTTTGTCGTTCGCTCTGGAAGATATGACTGCGGATGTGTGTGGGGGGCCGTGGAGGGGCGGCTAGGTCGACCGGACGGTCTGGAGGCGCTCGGCGTGGCTGCGCACGGCCTTGAGGTTCGCCTCGATCTCCCCGGCGATGCGCCCCTGCACGAGCGCGACCGGGAGCCAGAGCTGCGGCGTGACGGTCACGGCGTAGCTGAGCCGCGAGGTGCCCGGCATGCGCCCGTTCTGGATGTTCCACATGCCCTTGAAGACGCGGAAGTCCCCCTCGATCATCTTGAACGTGATGTCGCTCGACTTGCGCCCCCACACGGTGCCGCGCGGCTGCGGGAACCCCAGGCGCGCGCCGTCGCCGCGCAGGCCCGCGGGGTACTCGCGGCACTCCACCAGAGCCTTGGCACGGAACTTAGCGCCGAGGGCGACGTCCTGTGCGCCCACCTGCGCGACGGAAAACGCGGAAACAGGCTCGGATGCATTCCCTGCCACTAGCACGACCCACGGCGTGTCGCGCGCCGCGACGCGCGTACGTGGGGGTTTGAGCCGCTCGCACGCATGGATAGGCGAAGGACACGGCAGCGGCGGAGAGCTGGCGTCGCGAGCGGCGCGGTGGGCCGCGCGCGCCCGTGGGATGGACCAGCAGCAAGGTCGCGCAGTGGGGAGGCCGGGGGCGCACCTGGTACAGTTTGCAGCCTCCCGGGAAGCGCTCCATGAGCTTGTTGGTCTCGAGCGAGGGGATGAAGTCCGCGAGGTTCTCGTAGTCGGTCAGGCAGTCCCAGATGAGGTCGGGTGGGGCCGCAATCGTGATGCTCGCGAACAGCTCGCGCGTGTTCGGGCCCTTCGGGTCCACGTTCACGTCCACGTCCCTGCACGGAACACCGCGAACGGCGCGCAGGACCGTCGCACGCGGCGCTGGCCCGCCTCTCCCCCTGTCGGTGGTGGGTACCTCGGAGTCGGCCGTGCGTCGCCGGGGGGCGCGGGGACCGGCTCCGGCGGGGCGTCCCGGGCGGACAGAGGACGGAGAGCGGCGACAAGGACAGCAACAGCCCGCTGCGAGGCGCAGAGACGCCACGCAGCTGCGCTGGGCTGCGGGAGCCACGAGTGCATAACCGGCCCGAAACGGCGGGGTCCGGCGCTCATTTCCGCGGAACGGGCCGTCGAGGGGGTCGTTTTACTCACCAGGACACAGCAGCCGCGTTCGCGGGGCCGCCTCGCGCCGCGCGCCGCGGGGCAGGCCGCGCCCCTGCCAGGCCGCAGTGGGAGGTTGTAGAGGCGGGCGCGGGCGCGGGGGCGCGCGCCGCGGGAGACGCGCGCGCTGCGGCGGCGCGGTGGAGGCTGGTGGCGCGAGCGGGCGTGCTGGCGGCCGCGCGCGCCGCGGACATCGTGCCGGCCGAGCACGTCATAGGCGCGGGGCTAGGAGGTCAGCGGACGGCCTGCTGCGCGGTCAGACGGGCGTTTCGGCGGCGCGGAGGCAACCGGGTCAAAGGTCGAATCCTCCTTGTGGCGAACGCCGGCTCTGGCCCGCGACTGGGAGGTAGGGAGGGCCGAGGGAGAGAGCACGCAGGCGGTGGTGGACGCGTTCGGTGCGGGTGCGTGGAGTCGTGTGTGCTCTGCCGGGGCAACGGATTCTCCTTGTCTGCGAGTGCGCGCGGGGCGCGAGTCCGAGCCTGGTTGGGCCCCGGAGTGCGCGGATTTCGCCCCCCGGGACTGCCGCGTTGCTCCGGGGGGGTGCGCGGCCGGGCGGGGCGGCGCGTGGGCTGGTTGGGGCGAGACGCGGCGCGGCGGGGCAGCTTGCTGCGGAGGATCGCTGGGGGGGGCTGGACGCGCGTCAGACGGCGTAGGTGCGCAGGTCGTGTGCAGCATGGCCTCGGCAAGCGACCTGGCTGTCCTGCGGGAGCTGCAGAAGCGGCCTGAGAACAAGGTGCGCGAGTGGGAGTGCGGGGTGCGCGGAGCGGGCTCGCGCGGCGCTGTGGGGAATGGTGACGCGCGGGGGCGTGGGCGGGCCGCGACGCTCAAGAGCTCGGGCAAGGGCCGGGCGCCGGAGGCTCACGGGGCCGCTTGCTGTCGTTTGCGCGCAGGTCTGCGTAGATTGCTATTCTAAGAACCCGCAGTGGGCGTCGGTGAGCTACGGGATATTCATGTGCATCGAGTGCAGCGGGAAACACCGGGGCCTCGGCGTGCACATCAGCTTCGTAAGGTGCGGCCCGCGACGCGTCTCCAGCCTCGCGGCCCCGCGACAGCATCTCGCGCGAATCGAATCGCGTCGCTTCGATCCGCGCTCGGCGGCTCTGCGGGCCGAGAGCGCGGTGCTATGTACCAGCTGCGCGAGAGCGCTCCCCGCCGCGGCGCGCGCCCTGGCGGGCTGCGCGCAGCGCCCGCCGGGCCACACAGACACGAACAGTCCACCTGCCATTGAGCGGAGCCGCGAGAGGCCAGCCGCGCCGCGCAGGCGCTGCCTGGGTCGTCCAACTCTCTGCTTGCCAGCACGGCAGCGCGCAGCTCCTTCCGCCCGCGGGCCGCCTGCCTCCCCCGCACCGGCGATCCAGCGCGCCCCCCCGCCGTGCGCGACACGTCGCTCCTCGAACCCGGCGCGGCCCTCGCCCCCGCGACCTCGTCCGCCAGCGACCGCTGCTGTTCCCGCTCGCTGGGGGCGCCGCGAGCCGTCTAGGTCCGCGTCAAGCCGGCCCGACGCGTGGCATACCGACAGGACCCGCGAGTACGCGCGCGCAGGTCGGTATCGATGGACGCGTGGAAGCCGGAGGAGCTGCGCAAGATGCAATTAGGGGGCAACGAGCGTTTCAACGCGTTCCTGAAGAAATACGGCGTGGACAAACACACCGACATCCTCAAGAAGTACCACTGCACGTCCGCAGGGGTGCGTGTCGCCGCCTCCCTCGATCTCGCTCCCCTGGGCGCCAGTCCTGGAACGCCGCCGCGCAGTCTCATCGCCCTGCCTCGCGCTCCGGCCCGCAGTACTTCCGCGACATGCTCCGCGCGGAGGCCGCGGGGCAGCCGTACACCCCCCCGGCGCCCGGGCCGAACAACATGGGCGCGTCCCCCGCGGCGCCCCCCGGGGGGATGCACTCGTCGAGCCAGCCGAACTTCGCGCACCTCGCGAACAGCGGGCCGCGGGTGGGCGCCGGCGGCGGGTGGGACTCGTGGGGCGACTTCGACAAGGCCGGCACCGCGGGAGGCGGCGGGCTCGGCGGCGGGCCGAAGCGGTATGGCGTGGGCGCGAGCGCGGGCGGCGCGGGGGCGGCCGTGAGCTCCGACACGTACTTCGCGTCGCAGGGGGGCGGGACGGCGCCGGCGCGCGGCGCCGCGGACGACGATCAGGTGCGTCGGGCTCCTCGCGCCCACACCCCCCTCCGCCGCAACAGCACGCAGCGCCACGCCAGGCGTCCTGTGTGCGGCACGCCGGGCCACGCGCGCTCGCAGGTACACCCAGCAGCAGTTCGACAGCACGCGTTGCGGCTCGGAGCGTCCGCGACGTCCCGGTGCGCGTGCGCTGTGTCGGTGCAGGTGGCGCAGGTGCTGTCGCGCGTGGGGACGGCGTTTCGGCAGGGCACGAACGCGGCGCGCGCGGCCGCGAAGGAGCACCACCTGGACGAGCGCGCCGCGGCGGCGCTCGCGGCGTCGCGCACCGCGGCGCAGCAGGGGTGGACAGCAGCGCAGGGATGGTTCAAGAGCGCCATCGGGGCGGTGCAGGACTTCGCGGAGCGGCGGTCGGGCGGGAACGCGCTCAAGGGGCTTGCGCAGCAGAACCTGGCGTCGGGCGGGCCGCGGGGGGGCGTGGCGGGGGGTATGACGACGTGGGAGCAGTCGGCGGGGCCGGCGGGCGGGGGAGTGACGAGCAGCGGGATCGACGACCTGTTGTCGGGCGGCGGCGGCGCGCGCGCGAGCAACACGTCGTCGCCTGCGCGCTTGGGCGCGCCGCGGCACGGCCCGGACTCGCAGACCGGCAACATACTCACGTCGGACTCGTTCGGGGGGTTCGAGCAGGGGGGGAGTCCGGCGGGGCCGCGGTCGGCGGCGCCCGCGCGGGCGGCGAAGACGTCGGCGTCGAGCATGGGCGCGCGGTCCGCGGGCGGCGGGCAGGCGCGGCTGGGGGCGTCGAAGCTGGGGCAGGGGGCGGCGCAGGGCAACGGGTGGGACGGGGCGGGCGAGGGCGACGACGACTGGGGGAAGTGGTGAGCGGGCGCGCGAGGCGTGATGTCCCTGTGAGCCGCGAGCCAAGGGACGTGCGTGCGCAGCTGTGTGCGGCGGGTGGCGTCGCGTGCACTCAGAGACGTGCTGCGTGGGTTCGCGGGGCGTCGCGCAGGCGAGCCCGTGCGTCGTGCGGCGCGCGGCGCGTGTGGGCGCGCGCGGCGGATGCGGCGGCGGGCGCCACGGCATCCTCGTGCCATCGCGCGTGTCAGGCTGCGGCAGCCTCGTGCCATCGCAGGGGAGGCGCGCGGTGACAGGACGAGGCTGTCTGGCGTGGCCCCTCGCGCCGGGCGGCCGGCGAGCGGGTGCGACGCCGCGGTGGTCGGTGAACGCGATGTCCGACTCCCCCCCGCTGACACCGCTGCTCACCTGGCGTGGCTGGCCTGCTCGCCTGGGCCCGTGAGGGCGCGCGGCCGGCTCGCGCGCCGCACTGTGCGCTGTTCGTTCGACGGGGGCGCCACCTTCGCGCGAAGAGATCCGTTCGCTGCGTGCCGCGCCGTCTGCGCCCGCCCGTGCCCCTTGGGCTGCGGTGACCCTTACGGCTGGCAGCCGCAGTAGCGTCGCGGCGCGGGCTGGCCGGCGTTGACCTGGGCCTGGGCGGCGAGCGACTCGTTCCTTGCCGGGTTCTCGGGCAGCTGCGCCAAGGGGGCGAGCGGGCCGCGCTGGGCGGGCGGGCGGGAGAGCTGCATACACACCTGCGAGGCGGGATGACGGATCGACCGGCTCCGGGGCGGGCGCCGTCCCTCATGGACCGGCTGCAGGCGATGCAGAGCGAGCTCAACGAGGCGGGCGGCTCGCAAGGTGCGTGTGCGCGCAGCTACATCGCTGAACGGACTTGCTCACCCGCCGCGCCGCGCCGCGGCGGGGCGAGCTCCGCCCGCGTCGGCGGGAAACGCGAGCCAACGCGAAATGCTGCGACCGCCTTCGTTGCGACGTGGGCGCGGGGAAGGCCGCGCTTCCCACGATGCCTGGGTCCTGGCACTCCGCACGGAGCGCCGCGGTCCCGCCAGCTGCACCGGCGCGTCCCTTCCGACAGTCCCATACGAAGCAGCACCGCACGCCGCGGTCGCAACGGGCGTCCCTCGCGGGCTCCGCGACGCCCCAGCAGACTGCACCCTCCCTCAGACGACCATCGCTCTCTCACGCCGCGCAGTGTCGTACAACGACGTGTTGAAGCGCATGGACACGAAGCTCTCGATGAAGCTCGAAGCGGAGTCGGCAGCGGAGGAGGAGAAGAAGCTGGACGCGGCCGAGGCCAGGCCGTCCCCACCGGCCAAGACGGGCACACGGAGAAAGTACGCCCGCGACGCCGCCCGCCGCCCAGCTGCGCCCCGCGCGCGCGCCCCGCCAGCGCCCTCCTCCTGCCCAAACGCCCGCAGCGCCCGGACGCCCCACGGCGCCGCGCTCCGCCACAGAGACCGCACTGCCGCGCACACACCAGCGCTCGCGCTCGCCCTCTGCGGCGCCGAGCCCCGCCGCCCGCGCCCGCGTGCCGCGCAGGATGCCAAGCACGCTGGAGGCGCTGCCGGAGAAGACCACGTCGTTCCGCGGCGCCCCGCTGCGCACGAGCACCATGAGGCACCTGAGCGGGAAATCCGAGCTGTCCTCGGGCCCGTCGAAGCGCGGGAGCCTCTCGCGCATGCACTCGAGCATCACCCCGGGCGGCTTCGTGCGCACGGGCAACAACGAGACGTTCTCGCGCGCCCTCGTGGACTCGCTCGAGCTCGGGCAGGTCTACGGCGGCCGCATCCGCGTCGCGACGCCGCCGTACATGGTCAAGCTCGAGGACGTCGACCACGTGTACCAGATCTTCCTCGACATGCAGCGCTCGAGCGGCGGCGCGATCACGAAGCCCGCCTTCAAGCGCTTCATGACGCAGCCCAAGGACGCGCGCTACTTCAACCCGACGATGCTGTCGCCGGAGCTGCAGAAGACGCTCGTCGCGGACATGTACCACCGCCTCGACAGCGAGCACAAGCAGCACGTCGGCCTGGAGGACCTCCTCAAGGTCTTCCACCGCGACCTCCCCATGTCCGACATCCACGTGCTGGCCAACCACGTGCGGCCGTTCCACTTCGAGGACCTGCTCGACGAGGCGGACCTCGCCAAGGCGCGGCAGGTGGTGCAGGAGAAGATGATCAAGACGGGCGAGGACGAGCTGGCGGTGTACCAGGTGACGGGGATCCTGGGCGGCGCGCTGGTGGACTGGAAGCGGGACTTCGTGGCCTGGGCGCTCAAGCACGACGGGCTGCTCGAGCGGGACCAGGTGACGATGGACGTGGTGTTCGAGGCCGTCGACCGCGGGCTCAAGCACGTCAAGAACACGCTCAAGGACGGGAACGAGGCGGAGCTGGTCGACGAGTGCGTGCCCGTGTGCGCGCGGGTGCATGGTGCCGCTGCGGCTCGCGTGCGGGGTGTTGCGTGCAGGGGGGTGTGTTTGTGTTTGTTGTCTTGGCCTGACTGTGGTGTGGTGTCGTTTGCTGCGTGCAGCGTGCCGGCGAACGTGCTGGAGAAGGTTCTGGGACCGGGGGGGATGGAGGCGGTGCAGGGGCAGGACGCGCTGCGGGTGCTCAATAGCTACATAGGAAAGCGCACCTCCCTGCCGCCAGGGAGCCTCGGGTAGCGCCCGCGTCGCGCGGGCCGCCGCCGATCAGCATAATACGTTGTTACGGCCCGGGCGCTGTCTGCGTCGCGGGTGCTGAGCAGAAGCCCTCTATTTCAGTTCTGGCGCACAACCGTCGGAGCCCGGACGTGTCCTTCATTGTTGCGCGCGGGTCGCCGACTGCGGGCGCGCGCCCGTCCCAGTCGCATGTGAGACCTACCCCGGCTCGCTGGCGTCACAGGCCCATCACGCGGTGCTCGAAGATGCGCGCCAGGACCGCCGTTGCGGCGTGCGCTACGCTCAGACTCTCCGCGATGCCGCCGCACGGTATGCTGCACGCCACGTCGCACGCCGCGAGCTCCTCCGCGGACAGCCCGTCCTTCTCCTGCCCGAAGACCAGCGCGATGCGGCCCCGCTGCCCCGCAACGCTCGGCACCAGCGCCGCCGCCGCGTCCTCGCCGGGGAGGAACAGCGCTCCGAGCCCGAGCACGGCGGGAGTCGCGCTCGCGCGCTCGCCGTCGGCGATCCAGCGGTGGAACGCGATCGCGAGGTCGCAGTCGCTCAGCGCGTCGTCGATGCTCCCGCGCTGTGCGCACCTACGCAAGATGAACTGCCCGCCCTTGGCGGTCTTGAGGCCGGCGCGCTTCGTGACGTCGCAGAGCGGCGCGACCATCCTGAGGTCCGCGCACTCGAAGGCCGCCATCGAGCGAGCGACGCTCCCGGCGCTCGACGGGACGCGCGTCCGACACAGCACCACGCAGATGTCGCGCAGGGCGAGCGGGCCGAGCGGGGCGCCGGCGTCGCTGGCCAGCTCGTCCTGGCTGCGCGCCTGCGCCTGCCACGCGCGGCGGTCCGTGAAGTGCGCTGGCGGCCGGCGCTCACGGCCTGCGGAGCGCCGCGGAGAGGAGTGCGGGCTACTAGGAGGTCGCTGGTGCGCGGATGACGTGCAACGGATGCGCTGACTGATACGTACCTGGTGTGTCTGCCGGTGGTTGCGTCGCAAGGTCCCTCGCGTCCCCGCTAGAGCTCGCGCGCACGGCCCAGGCACCTCGCCGCGCGCCCTCCGGCCTGTGCCGTCGCGTACAGCCCCGCATCGACACATGCCGCTCTGTCATTCTGCTGAACGTACACAGTGGCGCCATTGCGAGCGTTGTCGCGCCGCAACACGCCCGGAACGTGCCATGAGGCGCCGGATGTGTCACGGGAAGACCAGTGTCCTTCCGAGACGCTGTCGGCGGCGTGCGGCCCGGCGAACGGAGCGGACGCATGGCGCTGACTGCTGCCTGCCGCAAGTGCGCCCGCCGGACCCACTCAGCGCCCTCTTCCGGCCAGCAAGACGCCGTCTGTCACTGACACAACACTGGACCCGACTCCCCCCCGGCGGTGCGGCCCCACGCCGCCTGCGCGAGCCAGCCCCCAGACACGATAGCGCGATCGTCCGTCGAGTCACACGCGCCGTCCGACCGCGCGCGCCGCACCAGCGGCCCTCAATGCATTGTGCCGGGCCCTCAATGCATTGTGCCACTCGCGGACCCCACGAGCGGGGCCTCCGGGTTGCCCATGTGCGCCCGCGCGGCCGCCTCGCGCTCGCGGTTCCACGACAGGTACGCCAGGTCCCCGGCCTTGCGCGGGTGCACCATCGCGACGGCAAAGTACACCACGGCAAACAACAGGCTGCAACACCCCACGACGAGCAGGCTGACGCCGAGGAAGTCGTTCTTGCCGCCGAGCCACGACGCGGTGGCCAGGACGATCGCCTTCTTGCCGTCGAACCGGTACGTGTTGTACCTGTTCTGGATCCGGAGGTGCAGGGTTGTGCCCGCGGGGATGTCCTGGTCGATACGCCCCCAGAGCTTGCGGAACCGCGGGAGCGTGGCCACGCGCATCCACACCGCGAGCCGCTCCTGGTCCGCGAGCGCCACGGCCGGGTCGAGCGTCCCGCCGCCGCGCGTGGGGGGGTCCTGGTTGAAGTTGACCGGGAACACATCCCCCCCGAAGCGGTTCTGGACGTCCGTGGGCCACGCGATGCCGTCGGCCGAGACGGCGATCTCCTGCGTGCGGTCCGCGTCCGTGAAGACGGAGAACGTGTCGTTGAAGAGCGACCACGCGATCAGGCCGCACGGCGTCACGGCGTTCGCCTCGCTCTCCGCGCTGCCGATGCGGTACCGCCGGGGCTCGCACGCGTCGAGCGTGGACTTGACGTCGCCGCCGCGGAGCTGCGAGGAACAGCGGGGGAGCGGGGCGCGCTGTGCGGGGCGTGGCGTGGCGCGCCGGAGCTGCGCGGCGGTGTGGCTGCGCGGGCGGGCTCTCGGGGCCTCGTGGCCGTCGCTGTATCGATGGGCAAAGCGCAGCTCACGTTGCGGGGCGGTTTTGAGGCACAGGTGGCGCGCGGGGCTGCGGAGGAGCCGGAGTTGGGCGGTCGAGGTCTGGGACGCACCTGAGGGTCTGAGCGCGAGGTGACGTATCTCCGGTGGTTCTGGTGGTAGTTATCGAGCTCATAGTACAGGTAGACGGGCGCTTCCATCTTCTCCGTGATGTCAAAGGTCACCGCGTCGCACTGATTGCCCTCACCTGCCAAGGTCATCAGGGCCGCCTCCCTCGCCGCGTTGCCGTCGCCCGGCATGCAAGAGTCATCGTAGCGGGCCGAGTACTGCACCACGGTCGGACCCGCGCGCCGGGAAGTCAGCGCCAGCGCGCACACGGGCAGCCAAGCGCTTGCGACACATCCTGCGAGCCCGCTCTCGGCCCGTTCTGCGCGGTGGCGCCCCCCGGCGCCGCGAGGCCTCGCGCGCGTCATGGACATGGAGCGGGTGTGGCTCACCTCGACCGTGGACCGCGAGGCGGCGAGGCACGCCGCCCCGAGAGGCACAAAGACCACGGCAATCACCATGAAGGCCGTGATGACCGAGAACGGCGTCGGGATGGGCCGCGCAGCCCACATTTCCTGCTGCGTGAACTTCGAGTACCTTGGTTCCCTGCAGGAAGAGCGCGCCGCGCGCGCGTTCAGGCCACGCAGCGTTCGCCGCGGCCTCCTCGGCACAGCGGAACCAGGCCAAGCCGCGGACGCGCCCCCGCGGGCCCGTGGCGGGCGCTGCGGCGCCGGGAACGCACTTGCTCTTCGCATCCTTCCCTCCTGCCTTCGCGGACCCGTGGCCCGAGGCCCCCGCGCCCGTCATCTCGCCGCGCGGACCCTCACTCTGCGCCGCGCCCCACTCACTATCGCCGCTCGCACGCGCGCAGCGAAGCGATCGAAGCCGCGCCCGCGCCCACGCGCCGCCTCAGCCGCCTCCCGCTGCGGCGCCGCTGCGCTTCTCGCCGCGCCCGGTCGCTGCGGCCCCGCGCGCGATCGTGCAGGCTGCGCTGGACTGTCGTCTCGGTCGGGGCGTGCAGTCAGCCTGGTATGCAGGGTTCGGTGCTCGCGCGAGTGCAGCCGCGGGCCCCGACCGCCGCACATGGCCCGCGGCGCGCCCGGGGCCGGCCACAGGAGGGGGGTGTTTGTTGTACGAAAAAGTCAAGGTATGACACCCCGGGAGCCGCCGGGGGGCGACGGGAGCGCGTCCGCGCGGCGGGCGACGTGCGAGGGCGGGCCTGCGTGTGCTCCGGCGGTTTGAGGCCGCGGCGGGCGCGTTGCGTGCACCGGTCTGCGAGAGGTGTGCAGCGCGGCGGAGGTGTCGTGCGGACCCGTCGTCGCGGCCTGGGAGCCGAGGGCTGGTGCGCCGACGGCGCGGCGACGATTGCGGCTCGTTCCGCGTGTTTGGCGACCGCCGGGCCTTGTGGGGCGAGGGGCGCCCCTGTGTCAGGCGGGGCCTTCCGGGGGTCGATTGCGGCGCCTCTGCGGGCCGTGAGCGCGAGGCGGCGCCCTCGCTGGCCAAAATCGGTGCGCAAGATCGTTCTTTTGGGCAACTCCGCGGCCGGAGCGTCGCCGATAGTGCGTGCGACGCCGTTGACGACTCCCTGCGTTTCGTCCCATCGTGGCGCATCCCGCATCGCAGCGCCGGCCCTCCGCGCTCGCTCCGGATCGACTTTCCCTCTCCATCACGCTCCCGCACGAAGCAGCGAATCCCGCCGCGGCGCGAAGCCGTTCATTCTGAACCCTGGCGGAATCGCACGCCCTTGCGGCGCCTCTGAGGAGCGAGATGGCGGGGTGCGCAATGCTGGATAAATGAGAGATGGAGAACGGAACTAGGGGCGTCCAGCCGCCCCCAGGGGTAAGCCCCACGCGCCGCCACACACCTGCGCCTGCTCGCTCTGCTTGCGCCCTCATCAAGCACAGCCCGCACGGCCCCCCCGGCGCCGCTTGCGCGCACACCCGCCGCCAGGGACGCAGTCCGCACGCCGAAATACCCGTCAAGCGCGCGGGCGGCCTGTTTCACGCGCGGAATCCCCTGCCATCGACCTCTGTGTACGTCCTGCGCCACATGAGCTGCAAGCCCCGGTGCCGGCGCGGTCCTGCAGGGGACGGAGGCGCAGGAGCTCGCGACGGGCGACCAGGCGCGCGTCAAGTACGCGGTGGTCGCGCGCAGCTCCGACGGTCTCGTCCTCTCCTCGTGGGCTGCGCGCGGAGAAACAACAAGCGGCCTCTCAGACCAGGTGCGCTCCACGCGGCACCGCGACGCGTTCCCGCCCGCAGCGCCCCGAGCGAGCGCTCAGCTGTCCGTGCGGAGCCCGCGCATCGCCTGGTGTCCGTCCACCGCGCCTCAAGGCGCGGCACTCGCCTGGGCAGCCTCTCCGGCGCGCGCGCCCGCGTTCCGCCGCCCACGCGCCCCGCACGGCCCCGCGCCGCGCCGCAGAGAACGAAGCTGGTGTCCGCGATCCTCCAGAAGCTCGCGGAGCAGCGGTCGGCCCGCCAGCGCCCCCCACGGCACGCCTCTTTTCCGCACCGGACCAATCCGGCCTTCGGCACCGTGCACGTCACGTCCAACTCGGACTACGCGGTCGCCGTGGTCACGTCCCAGGACTACCCGCGCCACGTCGCGCAGCAGATGATCACGCAGATACAGGCAAGCGGCGCCTCCCGCTCCACAAACAGTTGGTTCGATGGCGCGTGCGCGCGCCGGCCGTTTCCCGCGCCCGCACGCGCCGCCACGGCGCCCCGCGACTGCACGAGCGATCTCCGACGCCGCGCGGCCGCGCTCCTGCCCCGCAGTCCTCTGTCGACACGGTTCCGATCCAGCCGCTGATCGCACAAGCCAGGCGGCCCGGGGAGCTGGCGACGCAATGCTACCCGCGGCTGCGGCAGGTGTGCATCCAGTACTCGGACCTGGAGCTCATGCAGCAGGCGCAGAGCGTCGCGGCGCGCGTCCGGGACGTGAAGGTCGTCATGGAGGGCAACATCGACCGCGTCGTGAGCAACATCCAGCGCCTCGAAGACGTGGACTCGCGCGCGCAAACCGCGCGCGTCGACGTCCAGGACTTCCTCGTGCAAGCCCGAGATACTCAGCAGCGGGTCAGCGCCCCCGCGCCGCTCCGTTGCCCACCCTTCGCGTCGCCCACCCCCCACGCGCCGCCCCGCGCCCTCCCGGCCCGCCCCTCACCGCCGCGACCCGCCCGCCGCCCCCGCAGGCCTGGTACACCCGCACGAAGGTCTGGATCATCGTCGCCCTCGTCGTCGTGCTGCTTCTCGCTGGAATCATACCTGCCGCGGTCCTCGCGCGATGACACCTGCGTGCTCCAGCCCGCGCACGCTGAACCCCCCCCCCGACCCCCGCCCCCCGACCCCGGCCCCCCCTGCGTATCCTGCGTACCACGTCCCTCGTTGATGCTGCCTCCCACAAGGAAGGCGGCTCCGCTCGCGCATAGGCGCGAGTCGCGGCGACGAACCCGCAGGCGACCACGCTCCGCGCCGTGCTGGTGCACTGCCCGAGCCCCGTCCTCTGCGTGACCTGCATGTCTCCACCACCCACCACCATCACCCCTTCGTCATGTGCGAACAAACATCATTCCTCAAACAGCCGTGAGTCCTCACTCTCAGTCTGTGCGCACCCGCCGGCCGCCGCGGCCACGAGACCCCGATCCCCGCGAGACGCCGCGGCGCACCTTGGGTCGGATCCGTGTCCGCGTCACAGGCTCAGACACACAGACTCAAACGCACCAGGGAGGAGCGAGACTGGCGCCCACCCCCGGTACTCGCACGCAGCTGAATGTTGACGGCAGCGATGCCGAGCTCCGCAGCGTAGATGTGAACTGCCTTGAACCTCGCCGTCGAGCTCCGCTGCGCGCTGGTGCGGTGCTGCAGCGGACGTCGATGATGACCTCCGGCGGTCGACTGCTGGGAACGGGACCGTCAGCGGGCCCGAGCCGGCCGCCCCGACCGCACGCTGCGCGCGCTTCCGGCGCGCCGAACGGGACCTCGCAGCGCGTGGGCCGCGCCGCGGATGCTGACAGCGGTGGGGGGGGGACAATGGCGCCCGTCCGACGCGCTGACTCCGGGCTGCACGCGGCGTCTTCGACCGGGCTCGTCGCGCGCGGGGCGTACATGCGAGCGTGTTTCCGAGCTGCGCGTCCTTGTCGTTCCGTACGTGGTGAAAAGGAGGCCGCTGATCGATCTGAACAGAGGAGTCCCCGCACGAGGAGAAGGGGCGGGCGATAGGTCGGCTTAGCGCGCCGTATCGATAGGAATTAGGCCAAAGGGTCCACCCGCGGCAGGAGGTGGCGTGAGAGTGCGCACAGCGCTAGCACTGGCCGGTTGTGCAGCGAAGGCAGTACAGGGTCGCGCGCGTGGCGGGGAGCGCGGGGACTGCCCCGCAGCTAGACGTGCAGGATGGGACAGACGATAGGGAAGCTGCTCGACAGGCTGTTTGGTAACCTGCAGTGCCGGGTGAGGCCCCGTCCCCCGAGGGAGGGCAGCACTGCGCAAGCCCGCGGCGCGTGCCTGGCCGCCCCGACGCGACAGATCGGCGATCGGGGCGGCCGGCTCGTCGCACAGCAGCGCACTGGTCCTGCACGCGTCCTGACTCACCCGGCCCGGCGTCGTGGTGCCCCGCATCCCCGCGCGGGCCTCCCGCACCCCCCTCGCGGCCATTTCCGTCGCGACGGTGCCTCCTGGCCCCGGTTTTCGCCGTAGAGCGCACGCTTACTTCCTTAGTGTCGACGGAGGGGGAGTTTCGTGCGCGCTGGCGCTCCTCCGGCGCGCGGAGCAGCGTGAACACAACCCACGGGGCACTTGTTTCGCACTCCGCACGCCACCGGCGCGGATCGCGCGTCGCCGGCTGGTGGCCAAGCTCCGCTGCATGGGTCCCGAGGAGCCTGCCGCGGGGCCTCGCCCGCATCGCGCGTCGTTCGGCGGCTCTCGTGCACTGTGTGCGCGGCCCCTCTCAGGCGACACAGCCTTCCCTGGGCGGCTCGAGCACGGGCGTGCTGGGTCCCACGGACTTCGTTCGTGATGGCATCGGTCGTGAGGGCTGCGCGCAGGTGGTGATGCTGGGCTTGGACGCGGCGGGCAAAACAACCATCCTGTACAAGCTGCACATCGGCGAGGTGCTGAGCACGGTCCCGACGATCGGATTCAACGTCGAGAAGGTGGCGTACAAGAAAGCAGAATTCACAGGTGCGGTTCTCCGGCCCTCGGACCGCTGCGCCGCCGCGCACGGCCACATGTTGTGGCCCGTGTGTCACCGGGACGCTCGCGCCGCGCCGCCCCCGCAGTGTGGGACGTCGGCGGGCAGGAGAAGCTGCGTCCGCTGTGGCGGCATTATTTCAGCAACACGGACGCGCTCATCTACGTCGTCGACAGCGCGGACCGGGAACGTATAAAACGCGCGGCGGAGGAGTTCTCCTCCATCATCAACGACCCCCTCATGAAGGTATAACAACACGCGAGCGGATTAACCGACGCACCAGCGACCTGCGCGCCTGCCAGCGGCCCGCGGCACCCCTCGGCGCAGTTCGCGCACGTTTACACACCATCATATATGATATGATGGTCATCATCTAAATAGATGACTGACGATCTGTGCGTCTTGTGTGTGCGCTGCCGCGCGGTGCAGAACGCCGTGATCCTCGTGTTCGCGAACAAGCAAGACCAGCGGGGCGCGGTGCCCCCGATGGGCGTGTGCCAGGCGCTGGGGCTACCGGAGCTGAGGGGGCGCGTGTGGCATGTGCAGGGGTCCGTGGCGATCAACGGCGAGGGGCTGTACGAGGGACTGGACTGGATGGCTGGGACGATGACGAAGCTCCGGAGAGCGGGCGTGCGGACCTCCGTGGGCGTGTGACGCGGCGCCGCTGTCTGACAGTGCGACTGTAGCTTGTGACGCGGCGCCGCTGTCTGACAGCGCAGCAACCACGCGCGGTCGCCGCACGAAGGCACGTGCCGACTGTGGCGTGCAGGGGGCCGCGCACCGGCTCACCGGTCCTGCGCCAGGCCATTTCTGGCGGCCGGCAGCAAGCATGTTCGCTTTGCTGCTACTGGTGTTTCAGCTGCTACTTTTTCAGACTGCCAGGTGTCCTCCGCAGCCGTGGACAACTACACAACACGCCTCGCCCCCGAGTCGCAGCGCTCCTCGCCTCCTCCCGCCCCTTGGGATGCTTGCGTAGCTCCCCCACAATCGCCACACACGCCGTTAACCGCATGCTGCACACACACGCATACACACGCTCCGCTGCTGTCGGCCACCGATTCCCAGGCCGACGCGGCCCCAGGCAGCCACGTGCGTCCGTCACGTCCCCGTCGTCACACGCCCATCTTCGCCATCCCCTCCGCGAGCTCGTCCGCGTCCTCGTCGTCGTCCGCCATGTCCGCGTCGTTCTCGTCCATGCTCCCCAGCACGTCGCCGCTCGCGCCCGCCGCCAGCACCGCCCGCACCTTCGCCACCACCTCGTCCTCGATCCAGTTCCCGTCCAGCTCCAGCCGCTCGAACCCTGCGCGCCCCGCCACCAGCGCCGCCGCGTCCTCCGCCCCCGGGCCCCGGATCTGGTTCTCCGACAAATCCAGCACCTTGAGCGTCTCGTTGCTCTTCAGCGCCCGGCACACCTGCGCCGTGCCCTTGTCGCCCAGCTCGTTCTCGCGCAGAATCAACCGCAGCAGCGACGGCTTCCCCATCAGGCACATCGCCACCGCCTGGCTCCCGCCCGCCGTGATCTCGTTCAGGGAGAGGTCGAGCTCCTCGAGGTACGGCGCGGTGCGGGCCAGCGAGCGGCACACGTGCGCCACGCCCTCGTCCTCCAACAACGTGTCCTGCAGCCGCAGCACGCGGAGGTCCTGCTGGTGCGACAGCGCGCTCGCGAGCGCCGGCGCCATCGACGGCCCCATCGGGTTGCCGTGGAGGTCGACGTGGGTGAGGCTGGAGCCGGCGGCGAGGCCCTTGGACAACGCGATGCCTGCAGGGGGGGGGGGGTTGCGGGGCCGGGTCGGGCGGGCGACGGTGGGGACGGATGATGCAGAAAATGATCGGATGCGCGCGCAGGTGCCGTGCTCGGGCCGTGGGCCCCCGCAGCGAGAGAGAATCAGGCGCAACAAGCGTAGCAGGACACCAGTTGTGCCGACTGCGACCCCGCGACGGCGCTTGAGTGTCGCGCATCGCGGCGGCGCGCGCCGCACAGCGTTATCCACGCGTATGCGCGGGCTGCCTCACCTCCGGCGCCCCCCACGCGGCAGTACACCATTTTGAAGTCCTGCATATGCGGCGCGCGCGACAGCAGGTTCCCGATGGCCTCGGCGCCCTCGTCCCCGCTCATGTTGTTGTGCAAGTGGATCTTCTTCAGCGACTGCGCGCGCGGGCCCACGAGCTCGTCCAGGGCGCGGCACGCGTACACCGACAACCCTACGTTCTCCAGCGTGATCGCCTCGAGCGCCTCCTGCTTCGTAAACACGTCTGCGACGCGCCGGATGCCCTTCTCGCCAAGGGCGTTGTCCGAGAGGTTCACGGACCGCAGCCGGCACTCCGCGAGGCCCTCAGCCATTGCCGCGAGCGTGTTGAGGGCCTCTGCCTCGGGGCGGCCCGCGATGACGTCGGAGAGGTTCGCGTCGACGAGGGACGCGCGGGCGTTGTGCAGAGCCTCCTTGGCGACGGCCGCGGCCTCGGCGCCGAACGACTTGGTCGAGAAACACACGCTGGTGATGTTGGTGTGGGGCGTGAGGAGCGGGGCGAGGGCCGCGCGGGCGCCCGCGGCGTCGTAGAACTCGCGCTCGCCCTGGGAGAGGTCGAGGATCTCGCCCGCCGCGCTGACCTGGACGCCCGCGGCCCCGCTGGCGGCGGGGAGGGATGCGCCCTGCGGAGAAGGGCGGCGTGTGCTTCGCGGATCGCGCGGCGCTGGACGCGGCCGGGCGGGCCGGTTTCTGTGGCTGGAGGGAGCGGTTTCGTCGGGGAATGCGGCGCGGAAGGATTGCAGGCGCGTGCGAGCCGCGTGGTGCAACGAGGCAGCGCAGGGGGCCGCGCACCTGCGTGATGGCCTCGACGACGAGCTGGCCGACCTTCTTCGAGTAGAGCGAGACTACCTCGTGCTTCGGACGCTCGCCCGTGGTCGTGCTCGACGACACCTGCGCCGTGCGGACGGAGCACCCACCGACGGATGAGCTCCACGTCGGGCGCGGCTGTGACACGCAGGGAGGGGCCCGGCTGACCGGTACGGGACACGGGGACATAGATACGAGTTGTCGGCGCCAGCTGCGGGCGTGCCGCGCACGGGACGCCGCCTGGGCAGCGGGGCACGGCGCTGAACAGGGCCGCTGCGGCGGTGGGCGCGACGTCCGTGGCGGGCGGCAGGCTGCGCGCTGCACGCTGCGGCCCCGACGCCTGGCGAGAGACCACGCGTTCCAACAATCTGCCGGGAAATTCCGGGACCGTTCGCGCAGGACCAGGCGCACAGCGCCACGGGCAACCCAGTGTGCACTCGAGCCGCGGACCGCCCCGCCGGGGGCGCACCTCGGCGGCCGCGTACGCCTTCTTCTCAATCGTCGCCGCGAGGTCCCGCGCTACATCTTCGGACACGATCTTCTGCCCTTCCCGGAAGAAAGCGATGCTGTAGAGGCTCTCCGCGAGACGCCGGACCGTCTCATCGCGCTCGCTCTGGCAGATCGCGGTCGACATGGCTGCCGCCCTCGCACGCAGGCACAGCGAACATGCCGGGGCCGCCGCGTGCGGCGCGCCCGAAAGCCGCACCGCGGCGCACGCCGACACGGCAGCTTGGGGCGTCCGCGCCGCAACCCCCCCGACACCTCCTGGCGCGTCCCGCGTCGTTGTCGGCCCCTCGCACGCGGCGCAGCGAGTCGTGAGAGGTGGTACGAGCAGAGGCAGCGCAGGAGGAGGTCTCGCGGCTGTCGAGTGGGCTGCACACGAGGTCTTCTTTCGGTGAGAGCATCCGATGTCGCTGCTGCCTCACGCCGCCGCGATGCGGTCAGCGGCGCTTGCGCCCGCCCGCTGCATTTGCGCAAGGGCGGCGCGCGGGCCGGCGCCGCGAATGGGCGTCCGGGCGCGCTCGCAGGGCCCGTTCAAGGACCAGGCGCCAAACGAGGAGCAGCTGGCGCAGATGAAGGCACAGGTGCGTCGAATCAATGCGTTCTGTGCGCGCTTGGCGACGACAGAGGTCGGGAGTGCGCGTGCGCCGCGCGTTGTGCGCGTCTGTGTGCGCTACGCGGAGATATTGCTTGGTGTCTAGGCTTTGTGGCGGAACAGACTCTGAAGGGGATGAGTGTGGCGATAAAGCGCCGCGCTGCGCTCCGTGTCCGGTGAACATCCGATCACGACCACGAAGAGTGCATGTCACGCGCGTGAGGTCCCGGACGGGCCACCGCGCTGCCCGGCGCCCCCGCAGCGCGCAGCCTCCGACCGCGCGGCCCGCCGGCGCGCTCCGTGCAGTACGAGGAGGCTATGAAGGACCCTACGATCAGGGACAAGATGGCGCAGGTGCAGGAAATGATGAAGAATCCGGGGGTTCTGAAAGAGATGCAGGCCATGCAGGCCGCGATGTCGACGCCGGGGTTCCAGGAGAAGGTCGCGGCGCTCAAGGACGACCCTGAGTTCAAGGAGATGTTCGACGACATCAAGAGCAACGGCATGGGCGCCATCATGAAGTACTATAACGACCCTAAGTGGTGCGTCTCGCAAACGCTGCGATTCCCAGCCCGCCCGCGCCGCCGCAGACCGAGCGCGCCCCGCGCCGCACGATGCCCTCAGATGCGCTGCGATGCGCGCTTCGCCGCGCCGCTCGAGCCGGTCGTCTCCCTGCGGCGCAACATAGCGTGCGTGCGCATGACCGGGCGCGCACTGGCGACGCTCGCTGACGGGCGGGCCGTTGCTGTCGCGGGCGCTTTCGCGCGTGCAGGGTGGCGAAGATCGCCGCGGCGGTCGGCTCGCCCGGCGCCGCTCCGGAGGCCGCGGCCGCAGCTCCCGCCGCCGCCGCTGCTGCTCCCGAGGTGGACAACCTGATCGACGCGGCCAAGGTCGGGGACATGGAGGCGGTCGAGGATTTCATCGCCGTCGGCAAGGACCTCAACATGACGGACGCCGAGGTGCGGGCCGGCGCGCCATTGTCGTTGTTGTTCGCCAACGGCTCTTGCTTGCAACGCGTCGCGGGGACGTTCCCGCGCGTGACGGTGCGCGCGTTCCCGTGTCTGCAGGGCCGCACGCCGCTGCACTTCGCGTGCGCGTACAACCGGCTGCAGGTGGTGTCGGAGCTGCTGACAGCAGGGGCCGAGCTGGAGATCTCCGACAGCAAGAATAACACCCCCCTGCACTACGCGGCGGGGTACGGCCGCGCGGAGGCGGTGCGGATGCTCCTCGAGGCCGGCGCGAGCACCGCCGCGCAGAACGCCACCGGGAAGACCCCCCTGGACTTGGTCAAGCTGTCTGACCAGAACCCGCTGAACGCCGACGAGGACCTCTGCTTCCAGCTCGAGCCAAAAACGGCGTGAATGTGAACCCGCTCGCAGCCCCCGCCGGCCAGCGCCAGTCCTCCTGCTTTCATGGAGATGCAACGGCCTCTGTGTGTGTGTGTGTGTGCTGATGTGGCGGCACAGAGCGACGCGGCCGCGCCGTCGACCGTGCGTGCCGGTGCGTTGAGGTGCGAGGTAGGGCGCGGGGCGACGGGGTGTTGGGGGTGTTGCGCGGGGCAGTGTTGAGTCAGGCTGAGTCTGACGGCGCTGGGGAGTTCATGGTGCGCGCGGCCTGCGCGTGGTGGCCAGGGTGGGTTGTGGCCGTGTGTGTCGAGGTGTGGAGCATGGCGTCGCGGGGCGCGCGAGCGGGCAACTCTCTCTAGAGTGGCGCCAGCAGTGCGCTTGGCCGAGAACGTCTGCCGCGGCAAACGGGGGCACGATCAGCCCCTGTATTCTTCTCGTCTGAGGTGAGTCGAATACGTCCCATAGCTGTTCCGCCGCTTCGTGGCGCGCCAACGCTCGCAAAACGGCGGCATCAACTGTGCGGTTGACGGGGGACGCAGAAGCGGCCGTTTGCGCGGCGTCCAGGGCCGTTACGCGTGCTTTCGTCACACAGATACTCCCATCGCTGAGGGTGATTGGCCGCGCTCGGGAAATCCGCGCTTAGCGACGCCAGGCGGACGGAACGACCTCGCTGCTGCTGTGTGTGCTTTGCTCCGCGCAGGAGCGCTCAGAACGTCTGGTGGCCGGGTCTGGCAGCGGAACGCGATGGGCCGACGTCGGAATGCCAAGGAGCCCGAGTCTTCCGACAGCGACGTCATCATCATCTCGGACTCGGATGACGAGCGCCCAGGGCCCGTGGCAACACAGTCGCAGCGCTCGCGCGACTCGTGGATCGCGCCGTCGCAGAGGACCGGCGCGGCCCCGGCAAACAAACGTCGGAGACAGCCCGAAGCGAGGTCCCAGGGCGGCGCACGGGGCTCTGGCGTCGCGCAGTTGGCATTTCAGAAGCCCGTCGCAAGCAGCAGTCCAGGGAACGCCCCGTTCCGCACCCAGGTGGGGCGCAAGCGGCCGGCTCCGACCTCGACTCGCACGACGGATACGTCCGGCGCAGTGCTGGCGTCGCAGGCCCCCCACGGCGGCGACAAAGGGCGTCCGTGGCACGAACGTTTTGCGCCAACGTCAGTCAGCGACCTCGTCGTGTTCTCAAAGACGGTGGCGAACGTGCGGGCCTGGCTCAGCAAGGTGAGTGCGCGGCCCTGGGCCACGAAAAATGCCACGAACGGAGCGCCGATCGCCCTGCAGCGGGTGACAATTGACGCATATCGCATTATCGCGTGACATGCCGGGCTCAAGGCAGCACCGCGGTCTCCGACCGGAACGCGTTCTCGCTCACACTCAGCACGTGCGGTGCGTTGCGTTCCCGCGCGCAGGCATGTCAGGCCGGTCCCACACCACTGGCGAGCCGCTTCTTGCTCGTTACCGGGCCGCCCGGGTGCGGCAAGGTCTCGACGCTGCGGCTCCTGGCAGCCGAGCGGGGGCTCGAGGTCGTGGAGTACATCCCCTCCACGCCGACGGCGTGGAACGAGCACAAACACATCACGGGCCCACTCGCTGACGGCGCCGCAGTCCAGTACCGGAACGCCGTGGACGACTTCGAGTCCTTCGTGCTGCGGAGCTCGCGGTTCCAGTCGCTCGCGCTCGGCGCGCCGGGCGCGGGCGGGGCCGGGGGGGGCGGTCATTTGCTCCTGATTCGAGAGCTCCCCCACGTGGCCTCCGCGGAGGCCCGCACGCGGCTTGCAGGGGTCCTGCGCGAGCTCGCTCGCACCTCGCGGTTCCCCGTCGCGCTTGTGCTGACCGACGCGAGCGGCTCGAGCGGCCAGGACCGTGGCATGAGCGCGGCGCTGCAGGCGGGCGGGGGGCTCCATGCCGAGCTGCTCGAGGCGATCGGGGTGGGCGGCGACGGCCAGGGCATGGCCGGGCAGCCGCTGGCGTTCAATGCGATCACCGAGTTGAAGGTCGCGAAGGCGCTGCGGGGCGTTGCGGAGCGTGCCGGGTACACCGTGCCGGAGGGGGTGCTGACCGCGCTGTCTGACAGGTCGGGGGGGGACTTGAGGTCGGCGGTGTCGGCGCTGCAGTTCCATCTCACGGGGACGGCGCCGGTGCGGCCCGATGCGGACGCGAAGAAGAAGCCGCCGAAGCGGCCGCGCAAGGCGGACGCCACAGCGAGCGTGCAGCAACGACAGGTGGCGCAAGCGCTGGGGCGCGACAAGGCGGTCACGATATTCAGCGCGCTGGGCAAGGTGCTGCACGGGAAGCGCGAGCGCGCGAAGGACGACGTGCCGGCGCCGCGGCCCGCGGGGAGGCTGTTTGCGGCGATGGCGGGGGAGGACACTCAGGTGCCAGTCAGACAGGAGCTGCGGCGGCCCCCGCTCGAGTTCGACCCCGAGGTCAGTCGCACGATCGCTGCTGGCGAGCGCTGCTGCGTTTCGACGGACGTCGCGGCGCCTGACCTTGTTCAACTGTGCTGTACGGCGACGCTTCGCAGGGGGTGGTGGAGCGCGCCGGGCTGGAGGTGCCGCAGTGCGTGGCATTTCTGCACCAGAACTACTGCGACTTCGTGCAAGAGGACTACGTGGAGGAGTGCAGCGAGGTGGCGCGGGGACTCAGCGACGCAGCGGTCCTGGTGCGTCACCGCCCGCCGCACCGACCGTGCTGTCTGCTCGCGGCGTGCGTGCTCAGCTGCTGTCCTCTGGACCGATGGGCCGACCACGGCGCTCTCTTGTCCTCGAGATTCCGTGCGAATCAAGTACATATGTGTCTCGTTTGCGTTCAAATTGGAGTTTCCTGTCTGTCTTTGCGCAGCTCGACGGTCTCGGCAGGGGCGGTGCGGCTGGCGGCGGCGCGGGCTACACCGTCGGCGAGGGCGACGGCCTCGGGTGGTCGCTGCAGCAGATCGCGGCGTGCGCGGTCGCCGCGCGCAGCACGCTCTTCTCCCTGCAGCACCGGCCGCCCTCCCGCCGCGCACCGCTGCGCGGGCCCGTCTCGACGCACGTGGCGCAGGCCGCGGCAGCCAACGCCGCGCAGCTCGCCGGCGTGGCCGTCCGCGGCGCCAGACGGTCGGGCCACTTGTACGGGGGGTCTCTGCGGGTCGCGGGGGAGCTGGAGCCGTACGCGCGCGGCATCCGCGCGGCGCTGGGGCCGCGCAACGTCGGCGGGGCGAGGGTGCCGCTGGGTCCGCAGCGGTGGACGCGTGTCGACTCGCACGGCAAGGCGCGGGAGTTGGTGATGTGGGAGGGGGGTGTCGAAGGTGGTCAGGGGGGGGAGTGGGACGTTGAGGATGAGGGCGGCGCCGGGGACGATGTCGAGGAGTGCTGAGGGCGTGCGTTGCGCGCATGGCACGGGACGGACTGTTACAGATGTGCCTCGGGCAGTTGGAACTCACGCAGGGAGTCGGGAGCAACAGAGACTTGTGGCTGAGCTTCTGCCGGGCCGCAGGCATCCTCGCGGTTAGGGTGCTTGTAGGTCAGCGAAGTACAAGCAGATCGGGCACGTGCAAGCCCCTTGACTGCCCACTCGTACTCCATCGTCAACTCCTGGCCGATCGTCCCGTACAGACGCGCAGGGGCGCTCGCCAGGCAGCGTCCAGGCATGCAGGATCCCTCGCCTGCCTGTCGCGGCGGCGACCCGCCGAACACAGTGTCACGGGGCCCCACGCGGGGTGTGCCAGCTCCTACCCTGATCGACCACGTGGCCGCGTCCCCCCGGCGCCAACGGGGCGGCCGCCCGCACCTCACCTGCACTTCCTGTTGCAGAGGAACCGCGCAGCATCCCGCCTCATCGCCTGCGTGCACGGCTATTTGAACGCGCGCTGAAACAGTCTTGCGTGGCAAGTCCCACGGCGTGCAGACTGCGCCGCACGTCTCCGCACTCGACACTAGGCCCCGCAGGTTCACTGAGGCGCACAGTCGCTGTTTGTCGCGGCACGACACCTTCGCGCGGTCGCAGCCGGCCTTGCGGGCCAGACTTGGTCGCCAGTGCAGACGTCGCACGCGTCTCAACGCTCCGGTGGCCGCCATGGACCTCGACGCGCTGCGCGCGCGCGACTCCGAGCTGCAGCGCAAGGCCGACGAGCTGGTCGCGCAGGCGGAGCGCGCGCTGAAGGAGGAGGAGGGCCGCGCTGCTGAGGCCCCGCACGACGATGATCTCTCCGCGCCCGACCAGGTGCGAGATACAGCCCACGCGCACGCGGGAGGCGCGAAACGAACTCGAGATGCCCGAGCCGCAGCGGTAGCCAGTCCACGCGCGGCACAGAGGCCGCTACGGGCGGGACGCGGGCTCCAGAAGCGCCGTGCCAGCAGACGCGCTCACTGGCCGCAGCGAGGTCGGTTTTCCTTGCAGGTGCTCATGGGGACCCTGAGCAGCTCGCTCGGCGACGTTCCGACGCCGACGGCGGACGCGCACCCCTCGGAGCCCGCGCACACGGACCCCGAGCCGTCCACGGCACAAAGCACGCCGGCCGCCCCGGCGCGCACCGCGTCGCGCAACGCCGGCGCCAGCCGCGGAGAGACGGCCATCCCCAAGCCACGGTACGCCGCCCGCCCCCTCAGTCACACCCGGTCCGCAAAAACGACAAAAGGCTTTTGATGTTGTTCGTGTCGACGCTTTCTGAGACACACGCGCCCGGGTCGGCCCTTGCGTCGCCGCGTGCAGGACGAGCGGCTCGGCGGCGGCCCCCCGCGCGCCCCCCGCGCGCACGACCAGTCAGACCCGCGCCGGCGCTGACTCAGCGGCGCACCCGGAGCTCGAGGTGCCCGGGAACGACCACGCGACGCTGCGGCTGTACCGCGCGAAGGTCGCGGCGCTGGAGAGCGAGCTCGCGCAGGCCAAGGCCGCCGCGCTCGACGAGAGGAAGCGCGCGAACGACGCGGTGAGGGAGGCGAAGGCGCTCAAAGCAGAGGTGGCATCTTTTGAACAGGCGAAACGCGCGCTCGAGGCGCAGATCGCGCGGGCGAACAAGGCCGCGAGCGAGGCGCGCAAGGAGGCCGAGGATCGCGGGCGGCAGCTCGTCGAGGCGGCGCGCGAGGGCCAGCTGGCGGACCAGAGCAAGCGGGCGGTCGAGGCCGAGGCGCGCGGGCGCGACGTGCGGCTGAACAGGGCGCTCGAGGAGGTCGAGCGGCTGCGCGCGGCGCTGGAGAGCGTGCAGAGCCAGGGGAAGGCGCAGAAGGACGTCACGCGGGCCGAATACAACCGCGTGGTTGCCGAGAACAAGAAAGTCGAACGGCAGAAGCAGGAGCTGCTGGTGGCGTTCCGGAAGCAGATGGCGCTGATCGACATACTGAAGAGGCAGAAGGTGCACCTGGAGGCGGCGCGGCTGCTGGCGTTCACCGAGGAGGAGTTCGTGCGCGCCCTGGACGGCGGCGCTGCGTCGATGGCGGCGGTGGCGGGCGGGCCGGCGGCCGGGAGGGGCCGCGTGTGAGGGTGAGGGCGCGTTCACATGCGGACGGCTTGCGTCGGCGTGGGAGCGCGCGCGTGGGCATGCAGAGGCCGGATGCGTGGCTGCGGTGGTGGCGTGAGACATTCGTGGCGCATCAGCAGGTGCAGTCGAAGCAGTCGAGGGCGCCGCAGGAGTCGACGCAGCCGCGGACGTCGCCGATGCCGAACTGGTCGAAGCACTTCTGTTCCTCGCGGATGCACCGGTCGGCGTCAGGGCGACCGGCGAGGCACCCGTACGACTCCTGCTTGCACCTGCGGGCGGCGCGCGAAGACGTGGTCGGTTATGCGTTGCGACGTCTGTGAATTGATTCATACAGGATCGTTCGGGGACGGCGCCGCTCACCTGCCCGGCACCGGGCCGCCGGACGCATCGGGGTGCATGATGAGGGTGTGCGTCTGGCCGCAAGGGATCGACTCGATGTACCCCGGGGTCTTGCCCATGAGGATGACGGGGTTCAAGGCGAGCACAACCTGCATGCGGGGGCGGCGGGGACGTCGCTGGAGCGCACGGCGCGGCCCTGTGCTCCCGCTATGACAACATGGGCGCTTCCGTTGCGGTGCGTGCCGGATCGCCGAACCTGGGCCGCCTGGATGACCGCGAGGCACGCGACAAGGAAGGCCGTGGCGGAACGAGAGCGAGTGAGCGGCATCGTGCGCGAGGCCGGCATGGGTTCTGTAAAAGAAGAATTGTTGTCCGTCGTTGCCGCTCGACAGATGGAAAGCCAACCCGCAAGGACGCAGATCGAAACAAGCTCAACGCGTCCGTACCGATCCCCAAGAAGCGGCCAGGCCCGCGAGCTGCGGGGCTGCCAGCTCACAGCCTGACAACAAGCGCAGCACCCACATCACTGTCAACGCTCCCCTTCCGCCCGCCCTCCGCCTCCCCCGGCCGACAACACCGCTCCCACCTCGCGCATCGCTCGGATCACATCACCGCTTCGCCAGCGCCCCCTCGTGCGTCGCGCCCCTGCCCTGCCACACTCGCAGCTCCTCAGGCAACGCCCCGGGGTCGCGATCCAGCACCGCCTGCGCCAGCCACTTCCCCAGGATCGCATGGTACAGGAACCCCCGCGCCCCGAGCCCCGTCACCGCCCACACCTCGGTCCCGCCCGCAACCTGCCCCACGCGCCCCGCCATGGGCAGCGTTCCCAGGTGCGTCTTGGGCGACAGCGCGCGGACGCCCGATCGCAGCAGCGCGACGTCCCAGTCCGCCAGGTCCGACCAGATGCCCTCGGCCTTGCCGCGCAACACCCCCACCGCCGCCGCCTCCGGCCCCTGCGCGGAGTCGGGTGGGGGGGGTCGGCCGAGACCCCCCCCGAGCTCTCGGACCGCGTCGGCCGCGGTCGCGTCGTTGTCCTTCGTCGCCCCGACGACCACGCGGTCGCGGTCGTGCTCGGCGACGTAGTATGACCCTAGAACGCTCGGAGAGCCCCCCGGGTACTCGCGGCCTGCGCCAGCGCGCCCCGCGCCGGCCAGCTCGATCGAGAACCCCTGGCAGAACCGCAGCGGGAAGGCCCCCCTCGCCTCCGCCACGGAGCCCATCGCCGCCCCAGCCGCCACCACCACCGCGTCATACTCCCCCCCCATCTCAGCAACAGACCCCACCTCTGCCTCAACGAGCCGCACCGCCGCGCCCGCACCGCCCGCGAGCGCCACGCACGCCTCCCACAGCCCCGCCATGTACACCTGCGGCGACACCACCAGTCCGTCTGGCACCAAAAGACCCCCCACCTCCTCCGCGCACGTGGGCGCCGGGAGCCGCAGCGCGGCACCGACCGTCGCGCCCCCGCTCGGCATCAGCGCCGCCAGCTGCTCGAGCGACACGCACCGCGCCGCCCGCGCCTCGCCCACCCCGTCGCCGCCGTCCACCGGCACGCCCAAGTTCCGCCACAGCTGCTCCGCATTCCGCCGCCCCGACGCCGGACGCACGAGCCCGTGGCGCGCACGCACAGGGTCCTCTCCGTGCGCACCGGCGGCGCGCAGCAGCGTCCGTGCCGCGTCGAACGCCTCCGGTCCGCGCCAGAGCACTTTGCCTCTTGGGCCGTACGCGTGCAGCAGGCCCGCTGCGGCGCCGCTTGCGCCCGCGCCGATGCCCTTGGCGTCGTAGAGGTCGACTGTGACGGCGTTGAGGCCGCGTTTCGACGCGACGTCCACCAAATGCCACGTGGTGGCAAGCCCCGCCAGCCCGGCGCCGATGACTGCGAGGCGCGTGGGCGGGCTCGCGCTCGGAGCTTCGTCTGTGCGGGCGCGAGTGCTGAAGGTCCGTCTCGGGGTGCCGCGCGAAGAGGGCCGCGACCGCAGGGGCCGGCGCGCTGGGCGCAGCGGACGCGCTGCTGCGTCGCGCGCACACGACGCCCCTGCGGCCGCAATGCGGCCAAACGGGCACGTGCAGACGGACATGACCAGAGAGCATCCACCGGCGTGCTCGGGGCGCTCCATCAAGTCCGATGGAGGTCTCAGAGACCGGGGAGGCCCCCAAAGAGGCCTCATGCTTGGTTCAGAATCGAGTCCGTCTATTTGCGACAGTGTGGGGGCCCGCTGGTCGACTTTTTCGCGGTTCTGGGACGACACCGACCACGAAAGTCTCGGGGTACTGCGCCAGGACTCGCATCAATGTCGTGCGCTCTGCAGCACTGCGACGCTGGTCCTCGCGGGGCGCAACAAGCGCATTCCGCGCGGCCCCTCGGCGCGCGGTGCCGCGGCCAGCAGGGCAGGAGGACCGTCACCTCAGCCGTCCATCGGTCCAGCGAGGCGCCCGTCTCGCGCCGCGGGCTCCTCGGGGGCGCGTGCTTTGTCCTCCTCTCAGCAAGCACTACAGCCAGCCCGGCTCGCGCCGTCGAGGGGCCCTCAGCGAACGAGGTCCGTCCCGCCTTGGATGCAGCGATCAAGACGCGCTGCCCCGTGGCCGCATCGCCCCGGACCGCGTCGCCTACATGTCCTGCACGGCCGCTTCCAGGCGTGCTTCCAACATCCTCCCGCGCGCTCCCTGCGCATTCCATCGCTCGTCCGCGAGCACGCCTGCATCGTCGCACTCCAGGCCTCCCCGGTAGCGCCAGACCGCGCCTTCATTTCCCTCCTCACCGCCCCGGCGCGCGCGCTGTGTCCCGCCGACGCAGGTCGACCTGGTCGAGGCCGAGGTGTACAACGCGTACGCGTCGCGCGACTTCAACACCGCGATCAAGGGCCTCGACTACCTCGTGTCCGTCCAGCCAGGCGACCCGCGGTGGCGCGAGTTCCGCGGCGCCGTCCTGATTGATGCCAAGCGCTTCACCGAGGGCCTCGCGGACTACAACGCGGCGCTCGAGCTCGTGCGCGACCTCGCGGGCCCCGCGCAGGCGCAGGCGGACGCGACGGGCAAGGTGAACGGCCGGGACGCGCCGGCGGAGCTCGTGCGGGAGAAGTTTGGGTCGACGGAGGCGCGGCTGCTCAGCGGGCGCGCGCTGGCGTACGAGGGGCTCGGGGAGTGGAAGGCCGCGCTGGACGACTACAACGCGGCGCTCGAGGTGGCCGGGCGCGCCGGGTTGCGGCCGGACCCGTTCGTGGTAAACTCGCGCGGGAACGTGAACGCCAGCCTGGAGCGGTGGCAGGACGCCAGGGACGACTACCTGGCCAGCGCGAGGGTGAGCGCTTGGCGCGGCGCGACGCGCCGTGCCGGCTCATCTGTGCTTGCGGAATCGGGCGAGCGGGTCTGTGTTTGCATCTCGAGAGTGAGTGTGTCCTGTTTGTTCTTGTTGCGAGCCGCAGGGGTTCCAGATGGCCAAGGGGTTCCGGAGTCCGACGGGGAGCACGACGCAGCGTCTCGACGGCGCCATCTTCGCCTCGAGCAACGCCGCGCTCATGCTCGCACAACTCGGGGACGAAGCCGGGGCCACCAAGGAGATGGAACGCATCGCACGCCGCGCGCCCGGGTCCTCCGACATGAAGGTGAGGGCCATGGCTCTCTCGCGCGGTCGGACGGGCGCGGTGGGGGTGTGTTGGTGCGTGGCTCGTGCTGAGGGGGTGCGTTGACTGCGGTGCGTTGCAGATCGCGCTGTCGGCGCTGTACTGGTCCCAGGGGCGCGAGCAGGAGGCGGAGGACCTGTGGCGGTTCGCGTGCGAGGAGATCGTGGTCGGGTGCGAGCAGTACCGCGACAAGCGGTGGCTGCGAGAGGTGCGCCGGTGGCCGCCGCGCATGGTCGAGCGGATGAGCGACTTCCTCTCGATCCGCGGCCCGAAGCCCGGGTCGGGCGCGGCCTCGGGGGCCGGCGCGTGACGTGTTCCGACCGCCCACGAGCCGCGGGCGTGTTAGAGACCCCCCGCGCCACTTGTCAGTCTGACGGATCACACTGCGTCAGGGCGCGCGCGCCCGTCGCCGCGAGGAGCAGCGATGCGCGCTGCCGTGCGGGCGCCCCGTCGCGCATTTTCGTGAGTTGTGACTTGCATCAAGTGTCATCGGGCATCATGAACGGTATAATCGCGGCCACGGCGCCCCGACGGCAGCCGACCCTACGTCGACGGCTCGCGCGGCCACCCACGGACCTTCCCGCGCCGCCCGCGCCGCGTCCCCGCGCCCACCGTCTCCTCGGCGTCAGTCCCCCGTTGTACCACACCCCGGGATGGGTGTGTTCAGACCGCGGCGCCCGCCTTCTTCGCGTCGCGGACCATCTTCACGAAGAGGTCGAAGCACACGTCCGAGTCGTGCGGCCCGGGCGAGGCCTCCGGGTGGTACTGGATCGACACGGCCTGCTTGGCCTCGCAGAACATGCCCGCGCAGGTGCCGTCGTTGAGGTTCACGTGCGTCACCTTGACGTCCGCGGGGAGCGTCTCCGGGTCCACCGCGAAGTTGTGGTTCTGCGCGCTGATCTCGATCGTCTTGCCCATCTCGTTCCGGATCGGGTGGTTCCCGCCGTGGTGCCCGAACTTGAGCTTGAAGGTCTTCCCGCCCATCGCCTGCCCCATCACCTGGTGGCCCATGCAGATGCCGAACGCCGGCTTCTTCCCCAGCAGCTTCGCGCACTCCTCCACCGCGTACGGCACCGCGGACGGGTCCCCGGGCCCGTTGGAGAAGAAGATGCCGTCGGGGTTCATCGCCAGGACGTCGTCGGCCTTGAACGACGCCGGGACGACGGTGATGCGGCAGTTGTACGACGCGAGGCGGCGCAGGATGTTGCGCTTGATGCCGAAGTCGTACGCGACGATGTGCAGCTGGTCGTCCTCGCGCGCCTTGGCGGCGGCGGGCGAGAACTCCCACTCCTCGATGGTGCCGTTGTTCCAGTCGTACACCTTGTCCGTCGTCACCGTCGCGATGAGGTCCTTCCCGACGATGTCGAACTCCTTGGCCATCGCGACGAGCTCCTCGTCGCTCTTCGAGAGGTCGGTCGTGATCACGCCGTTCAGGCAACCGTAGTTGCGCACCACGCGCGTCAGCGCGCGCGTGTCCACGTCCGCGATGCCCAGCACGCCCTGCTCCTCGAGGTACTCCGGGAGCGACTTCGTCGCGCGGTAGTTCGACACCTGCGGGGCGTCAGGGCGGGCGTGCGGTGTCGACACGAGCTGCCAGGGGTCGCGGAGGGCGCTCGGGCGCGGCGCGGGCGGGGGCTCACGATCGGGGAGTTGTCGCGGACGATCACGCCGCCGAGGTGGCACTTGGTGGACTCCTCGTCGTCCTCGTTGATGCCCACGTTGCCGATGTGAGGGTGCGTGAAGCACACAAACTGCCCGGCGTACGACGGGTCCGTCATGATCTCCTGGTACCCCGTGATCGACGTGTTGAACACCACCTGCGCGCGCGCGACCGGCACCGGGCGGTTTCAGGCGCCCGCCGCGGCCGGAACCCCGCGAGCGGCACACACCCACCGTGGGTGGTTGCGCGGGCCTGGCAGCGGGCAACGGGGGCCCGCTGCGGCGGCAGACCGCGCAATTGGCCCCCGCCGCGGGCCCGGAGCGTCGCCATGGAGCGCTGGGGGCTCTGGCGGGGCCGTGCGCGGCGGGGCCGCCCCGCGGGGGCGCGCGGGGGGCAGGGCCGGACGGCTGTGGCAGAGGGGGCGGCCGTGGGCGCGGCGGCGGGGGTCGCGGGTGCGCGGGCGGCGGCGTGGCCTAGCCGGGGCGGGTGCGGCGCGGGAACGGCGCGTCGGAGCGCGAACGGCGCCGCGGGGACGGTGCGCGGGAGTCCTGGCGGTGGGCTGTAGGGTCTCACCTCGCCGACCGCAGTTCCCTTCGCGCCGAAGCTGCGGCCCTTGAAGACGGATCCGTCCGAGAGCACGAGCTTGCAGTCCTTCTCGGTCCATGGCCGGGGGTCCGCGCGGGCGACGTGCGCCGCGCGGCGGGCCGGAGCTGCTACTGGGGGGAAGCGCGTGCGAGGGGCCGCCTGCGGTGCGCTGGGTGGGGATCAAGCCGGTGTGATCGCGAGAACGCAGAGAGGGTATGCTGGGGGGCTGGCAGGGCGGGCTAGTGCGGGCCGAAGCGGGACGGGCGCGCGGCGACGACCAGGCGGAGCGGCCGGCGGTTTGCGGCGCGACCGGGGCGGCGCGGGGTCGAGCGGCGCTGGAAGCGGCACTTGCGGACAGGCACATGTTGTTTGCGCGTAGGGAACGGAGAGGTTACGGCGCTGCGCGCGAGGCCGTCCGGCTGCGGGGGTGCCAGGGCGAACCCGCAGATGGCATGCTGTGCGGCGCGCTGGGGGCAGATGGTGGCGCGGGAGCGCGGCATCGCGAATGTCGTGTGCGAGGAGGGTGCGGAGCGGGGAGAATAAACCCGGTTGACGGCCGGGGAGAGCACGCACGCATTGCCTGCCCGGGCAACCGACCAAGCTCGGGTCGCCCGCACGCACTCGCGGTCCGCCGTTCGCGCACTTTACCGCGCGCGCCGGAGCAGACACAATGCGCACCTGGAAACGCGCCGCCCCGAACGCGGAGACAGGCCGGCACGGGGCGCGGGCGGCACCCGGCGCCTTGGCCTGGACCCTTGCGCACGCAACGCTGGCCTGAATCGCCTGCATCTTGACCTGCTTCTGCTCTACAGACCCACGTCTGGCCACCCCCCGCCGCGCGCCGCCCCCAACGAGCTCGCGGACCGCGCAGCCACGCGCCACGCCCCCGCTCCAGCGCGCGGTATGAAGCTAGGAGGCGCGGAGCCTGACGCCGTGGCTGCAATATGGCCGCCGCGCGGGCCTGTCGCCGCTCACACGCTGCGTGGACTTCCTGGAGAGCCCGATAGATCGAGTGGTCGGACTCCACAGGCGCGTCAGGGTTCGAAGGGAGCGCTTGCTGGGAGGCTGTGACGTCGCGGAGGAGGCGGCGGGACCCAGGGATCGCACACGCCGAGCGGGGCGCATCTTTGGATCGCAGGTGAGGCGCCGGCCGCCCGGAACGTCGGTCTCGCGCGCTAGGGACCGGAAGAGCGCTGCTGAGGTGACACTGAGGGCTTCGAGCAGCCGTTAGGGCCGCATCCGCGTCAGCGGGAGACCTGCGGCTCGCCAGGAGTCCTCGATGTGCTGTGTAGCACAGCGGCGGCGAGGGGCGTCGATTCCGCCGCGTTTCCGCGGCGTCGCGGCGCTCCTGTGCGCTCGCACCCACCCTGGGCGAAACGCGGCCGTGTGGGCGCGGTGCCGCGGGGCGCGCGCGTGATTCGGGCGCGTTCTCGCCCCGCTCTAGCCCCAGTAGCGCCACGCGTCCTTCCCGTGGCCTCACGCGCCCTGGGCACTGCCACGTCAATTGAACGCAGAGCACAACAGCCCGCGGTCCGAGGCGCGGAGGAGGCGGCGAGGCGGAGCGTTCGCGCGACTACAGGGCTCTGTGTGTCGATATCCATCATGTGGGGCGCCGACCTGCCGTCGCGGGGCCCCCAGAACCGCCAGAGCCTGCACAGCCTCAGCACGCTTATCCCAGTGGGCGACTCCGCGCCGGTGCCGCAGGGTGCCGGCGGCGCGGGGCCCTGGGGGGGCGCTGCGAAGGGTTGCATACCGGGAGCCGCGCCCGGGGACCGCAACAGGCTCGCGGCGTCCTTCGCAGCGCCAGGCGCACGGCCCGCGCCGCTGGACGTCAGCCGGGCCTCGCCGAAAACGCTCGTGAACGACGCGAGCGGGCCGGAGCCGAGCCCCGTGGAGTCGACGCCGTCGGTGTTCGGCGGGCGCGCCACGCCGTCCGGAGGGCGGCTCGGAGGGCCTCGCGCGAAGCCGCTACCTTCGGCGCATCTCCCGGGCCGCCGGGCGCTGCAGTCGATCAACAACACCCTCCAGGCCCCAGCGCTGCCCGCGCACGCCCCGGACAGCAAGCCCGCGGCGCCGCCGAGCCGCGCCGCGGCCCCGAGGGAGGACCGCGGGGCGGCGTCGCGGGGACGCGCGGCCGCACAGCGCGCGGGCCCGGAGGGCGGCGCGAAGAAGCGGCCCGCGCGGCCGTCGCGGGCGGCGTCGACGGCGATCGACGCCGGGACGCTCCAGCAGCCGCCGTGGCGCGGGGCCGTCCCCCGCGGCGCGCCCGCAGCAGGGCGCGCTGGACCCGCCCGGCGACGTGCCGCAGCGGACGCTGCGCGGGCGCGCAGTCTCCGCGGAGCCGTACGGGAGCGCGGCGTGCGAGCGGCCGCACCGATCGAACAGCGACGCGTCCGGGCGGGCGGGGCGCCCGGCGCTGCGAGGCCCGTCGGCGGCGCGCGGGCGGCCGCGCACGGAGCCCACGCAGCAGGAGCTGCCGCTGATGGCGGCGGCGAAGGGCCGGCGGGGCCCCGCGGGGCAGGGCGTGGCGGCGCTGCGGGCGCAGGCACAGGCGCGGCGCATCGGAGCGGTGTTCCAGCAGCGCGTAGCGGACGCGGACGCGGAGGCGAAGAGCGCGTGGCGCACGCCCGCGAAGCAGGCGGCGTCGCCAGCGCGGCGGCGCGGGTCGGGGGGCGCGTCACCCGGGCGGGTGCGGTCCGGGAGGGTGGGGGGGGGGTCCGGGGAGGAGTCGGCGGCGCTTGCGTCAGTGCCGTCGGCGCGGCCGCTGCAAGACCGCCTGCAGGTGTGCGCGGACACGCTGGGGAAGCTCGCAACGATCGACCAGACCTCGGGACCCACGCTGACGATGGTGCGCAACCCTCGACACATGCATCTATTTCTCTCAACAAGACCCCCCCCCTCTCGCGCCACGTTATGACGATCGCAGCTGCGCGCAGCTGCACGATCCTGCCCGCCCATGTCTGGCCCGCCAGGCAAAGTTCCGGGCTTGTTGCGGGACTCTCTGGCATTCGGTGGCGCAGCAAGCGACACTCCGCCGGGGGTTTTTGCAAGCACTGGCCGCCCCGGCCGCGCACCGACCCGCACCACGCCGCGTCCGCGCAGGTCTCGGACGAGGTCAGCAAGCTGCAGCGCCTGTGGGCGTCCTGGGAGGCGCGCGCGACGGGGCAGATCCGGCAGCTCAAGGCGGCGGCGGGCTCGGAGCGGTACCGCGTGCGGCAGGCCGAGGACGCGCGCGGCGCCGCGGAGACGCGCGCGGCGGCCGCGGACGCGACGGTCGCGCGGCTCGAGACGGCCGTGCGCGCGGCGAACGACCGCGCAGAGGAGCAGGCGCAGGCGGCGGACCGCGCGCTCGCGGAGGAGCACCGCCGCGGCGCGGAGCTGCAGGGGCTGCTCGAGGAGTACGAGGCGCTCGTGACGCAGCGCGAGGACGAGGTCGTGCACCTCGGGCGGCTGCTGCAAGCCGTGTGGGAGGGCGCCGTGTCGCCGCGGGACCTCCCGAAACACGTGGACTTCTCCGTGCTGCAGCAGATGTCGCTCGGGCTGACGCAGGCGGTGCGGAAGGCGGCGCCGACGCCGAGGAACGGCGCGGCCACGCCCGCGGGCGCGCCGGCCCCGTCGCCGCTGAAAGGGGGCGTGGTGCATCTCACCGCGCGCGGGTCCGTCGCGGCGTCCAACCTTAACCCGCTGGACGCGTCCGACTGGGGCATCACGCTCAGCGCGCGCTCGGAGAAGAAGGCGCCCGTCGGCGTCCCGAAGTTGCGCCTCAGCAACCTTGTTGTTGTGGCAAAGCCCCTGCGCGCCCCCGCGGGCGCGCCTCCGGCGCCACAGCCCGCGCAGACACCCGGGGCGATGCCCGCGGAGTACCTCTCCGACACCGAGTACGACAGCGACGCCAGCGACGGCGACGGCAGCGCGATGCCAAGCGCCCGCACGTTCGACCACGGCGCGGAGGCGCGGGCGCTCGCCGCGGCGCCGGACCAGGCGGGCCCGGCGCTGGACAAGGAGCAGCTGCTCCTGCCGCGCAACGCGCCGCCCCTGACGGCGATCCGCGAGCACGACACCTGCGGCGAAGGCGCGCTGGATGACGACGCGAGTCCGCCGATACCGCCTCCGGCGGGGCTGGGCGACACGCCGGAGTCCACGCGGGACAGCTGCGCGGCGCCCGGCGGGGCGCGGGCGGCGCGCAGGTGCGCGGACGGCTCGTCGGGCGTCGGTGTCGCGGAGTCTGACGCGCACCCGCTGATGGGGTCCGTCCGGCTGGGCAGCCCGGTTCTGCCGGCGGCGCCGGGGTGCGCGGGTCCGCCGACGGAGCGCAAGCTTGAGCGGTCGTTCGCCGCGGCGCCGGAGATGACCGACCTGGAGGGGAGCGTGATGGGGCAGGTGGCGGCGTCGGGGGGGCTGGTGGTGCGCGGGTCGGCGCCGTCGCCGCCGTTCCCGCGCCGGTCGAGCGCCGGGATGACCGAGGGGGCCGCGAGCTGCAGTCCCGGGGTGTCGGGCGCGACAGGCGTATCTCCTGTGCGCGCGAGCGACAGTGTTGTGTCGGGGAGGTCCGGTGCGCGGAGCGCTGCTGGGAGCGGTGCGCGGAGCCACCGGTCGGCGGTCGGCGCGCGTGGGCGAGCGTAGGGGCGGCAGCGATGGGGGGGACTGTCGCTGACACCCTCAGCCTGTGTCCCTGGTTTGGGATCGGCGGTGGGCGCGTGCTCGGACGTGGCGGTGCGGCGATCGGCGGAGGCCGCGTGATTGTAGAGCTGCAGGTGTGACCGGTGATCAGGGTCGAAACGTGCGTGGCTGACGTCGGCGGCGCGGTGACCTGTCACGCCTGTCTGCCCCACTCGCATCGCGGCGCCGAGCACAGGGCCGCGAGGCATACAGATGGGTGTCGGCGACGACGTATGACGTATGCTAGACGGCCTGCAGCGGTGCCCACAACGCGTGCCGATGACCGGCCTGGTGGTGGTGGGCGATGACAATCGAGAGAGCCCTACCACAGCCCTGCCGGTGTGTGGGCCGGGCGGCACGCGTCGCCGGCGGCACAGTGCAACACGGCATGGCCACGCACGTCTTGGTCCGGCAGTGGTGCTGCGAGAGACGTCGCGGGTGCAGCCACGCTTCGGCGGCGATCCACCCTCCGCGCTAGTGAGTAGTCACTGCTCCGTTCGCGGAATTGCGAGGGATCCTTCCAGTGGGTGAACCGCTGATGGCCTGTTCGGCTGCTCACGCGGCGTGCTGGCATGCGCGGGCCGCGGCCCGTCCTCTCCCGGAGCGCCACGTAGCAAGGGGAGTGGGCCCTGGGAGGTGTGTCCGTGCGAGGCGGCGGGCGAGGTTTTGAGGTCGCCGGCGCGCCGCTGCGATGCACTGTGCAGTGCTGACACCGGGTTCGCAGCGAACGTCCCAGGACAAACCCAAGCCATCTCGGTGACGTTGCCTGAAGAGCAGTTGACCGCTGCCAGGTCAGGCCGGTCGCTGCGGGTCCCTGAGACCGATCGTCAGGCGTTCGATTGACATCGGAGGTCCCGAGGACCGACGCATACTCGCCAGGTGAGACAGTGCGGATGTTGACGCGCTCCAGTCGCGCTGCGGCGCCATGCTCCAACATGCCTCCAACACACCTGGCTGCGCTGCCTCAGCGCGACGCGCTGCACCCCACGAAGCATACGCGGTGGCTGTTGATGATATGCATGCCGCGGCGACGTGGCACGGACGTCGGAAACACCGCTACGCTCGCTGCCTCGCGACGACACGTGGCAAAGGGCACAGCCCTTGCGACACGTTGCCATGGCCTGGCGCGCCCGCCCCGATGTTTGACGCGCCCCGCCGCCTCCCCGACACTATCGCTGCAGGTGCATCGCGCAGCCATGACCACCGTCATGCATGCGCGCCGCCGGGTGCGCGCCACGTTGGCACTTCTTCTCCTGGCGACTATCGTGTGCGCGGCGGCCGCGAAGCAGCCGTCGCACAACCGCTTCATCGTCGTGTGCGATGACGAGAACGTGAGGCGCCCGCCGCGCTCCTCCGCGGCGCCCGCCATCGCCTCTCCCGCCCCTGAGGCACACACAAACACACACACAAACAGTATCTCATCATGATCGCGCGGCGCCGCTTTCGCGTGCAGGACCACCCCGGCGCCGGCAACGCCTGCCGCCGCGCCGCCGTCCGCGGCCAGGGCGTCATCGTCAACGACGCGCTCCCGGGCCACCGTGCGTTCGCCGCCGAGTTCCCGGGCTCACCCACCGCGGCAGCCAAGGTCGCCGAGAACCTCATGAAAGCCCAGGGCAACGGCGTGCGTCGAGTAGAGCCCGACGGCGTCCACTGGCTCATCGAGGACGACCTCGAGGAGGGCATCGACGCTGACACCCCCCCCTTGCGCTCCCGCAAGCTCCTGGAGCAGCACCGCCGCAACCTCGCGCAGACCATGCCGCCCGGCGTGCCCATGGCCGACGTCGACCCCTCCCTGTGGCCCGTCGCGGCCGGCGGCAAGAAGGTCTGCATCATCGACTCGGGCTACATGCTGTCGCACGTGGACCTGCCGGGCACGGAGACGACGACGGGGTCGGCGAACGGCGGCGCGGGCGTGTGGTACGAGGACACCATGGGCCACGGCACGCACGTCGCCGGCACGGTCGCCGCCGTCCACAACGACCAGGGCGTCGTGGGCGTGGCGCCGTCCGTGGGGCTGCACATCGTGCGGGTGTTTGACGCGCAGCGCTGGGCGTACTCGTCGAGCCTGGTCGCCGCGCTGACGGAGTGCCTGACGACGGGCGGCGCGCAGATCGTCTCGATGTCGCTCGGGCGGTCGTCTTACTCGTCGTGGGAGGACGCACAGTTCACCAGCCTGGCGGAGGAGTACGGCGCGCTGTTCGTGGCGGCGGCGGGCAACGGCGGCAGCTCCGCCTACCACTGGCCGGCGTCATACCCGAGCGTGGTGAGCGTGGGGTCGGTGACGGCCTCGGAGGTGCGCAGCAGCTTCTCGCAGTACAACGACCGCGTGGAGCTGGCCGCGCACGGGTCGTCGGTGCTGTCGACGTACAAGAACGGCGGCTATGCCCGCATGTCGGGCACGTCCATGGCCACCCCGCACGTGTCGGGCGTGGCGGCGCTGGTGTGGAACAGGCACCCCACCTGCACCAGCGTGGAGATCAGGACGGCGCTGCAGATGTCCGCGCGGGACAAGGGGCCCGCGGGGTACGACAACGAGTACGGCTGGGGCATCGTGCAGGGGGGCGCGGCGATCGACCTGATCAGCGCCTGCGGCTGCGACGTGGTGGAGTGCCCGGGCAACAGCACCCCGGCGCCGCCGACTGAGGCGCCCCCGACGCAGGCGCCGCCGACTGAGGCGCCGCCGACCGAGGCGCCGCCGACTGAGGCCCCGCCGACTGAGGCGCCGCCGACTGAGGCGCCGCCGACGCAGGCCCCGCCCACCGAGGCGCCCCCGACGCAGCCGCCCACCGAGCTGGTCGACGTGCAGTTCGGCGTCACGGGCCCCATCGCCATCCCGGACAACGACCGTCGCGGCGCGCGTTCTTCCGCGGTCAACAACCTCCCGGCCGGCTACACGTCGTGCTCCGTGGAGTCCCTGACGGTGGCGGTCGACGTGACGCACGCGTCGATCAACCACGTGATCCTTGTACTCGAGCACCAGAACGGCGCGTGGGTGCGTCTCATCAACAAGCGCGGCGGGAGCGGCGACAACATGGTCGGCACGGTGTTCGACGACGGCGCGTCGCGCAGCATCCGCAAGGGCAGGGCGCCGTTCACGGGGTCGTACGTGCCGGAGATGGAGCTCGCGACGTTTGTCGGGCTTGACGCTGAGGGCACTTGGACGCTGGTCGCCCAGGACAGGCGGCGCGGGACGACCGGGACGCTGGACAGCTGGACGGTCGACATGACGATGGAGTGCTCGTGAGGCGCCCGCGCGTTCCAGGTGGACACACAGATACAACATACAACAAACAACATAATATCACTTCACCATGCCACTCGTGACCGCAGCTCTAGGAGCTAGCAGCGTTGCCCGCCTTTTTCTGCCCTTCACACACAAGCGCAGGCTCTCCCCCCAGTCCGTGTTCCTCAACACAGACGCTGCCCCTTGCCCTCCCTGCCGCGTGCCCAGCGCACTGAGCTCCGCCGATGACGTGTGACTCACTCTCTGCAATCCGAGTCGCGATCCACCCGACACGCACTCGGCCGCACCCCGTCGCACCCATCCGCCCCCTCGCCCCTGCCAAGAGCTGTCAACCATTGCATGCAAAGTATTCCAGGCGCCGCCCAGCCTACGTCGTCGCCGATCGTCGCCTCGCTGTGGTTTGCGATGCTGCTGGACTCTCCGGGCTCGCCGTCGACCCCGTAGAGCTCTGCCCTGTCCCCTGAGACTCTGACGGGCCATCCTCGTGCTTGTGCAGCATGGAGTGTGGGAGCGGCAAGCTGCGCGTGACCTGACAGCTTCGTGCGCTGCGGCGATACGAGGAGGCTGCCTCACAGTATGTGTGTCGCTGTGATGAAAACACAACGGTCGAAACGTCCGTCCCTGACCCCGCCGGCGCGGTGACCTGTCACCTGCCCCCGGCAAACGAACGTGCATCGCGGCGGCGCGCACAACGGCGCGAGAGCACGCGGCGTGACCGTCTGCGCGTATGCATGTGCTGGCAAGCGTAGCGGGACAGTCGCCGCGCGTCCCGGCCCCGCGAACCTGCCTGTTGCGCCGTTTGCTGCAGGCGGCCCTTCGAGGCACCCCGACGGTGCAGGCGGCGCGCGCTGGCGACAGTGTGGTCCAGCACGGCATGTCCACGATGGCCACAGTCGAGCGGCGGGTGCCGGAAGAGACTCTGTCCGCCAACACCAAGGATTCGTCGCATCTCTATGATGCGGCCGCCATGGTTAGTCACTGCTCGATGGACGGCTGTGCGGGACTGACACCGACTTTGCGGCGCGGCGATGGCCTGTTCGACTGCTCACGTGGCGTGCCGGCATACGCGGGCCGCGGCCCGTCCTCTCCCGGAGCGCCACGTAGCAAGGGGAGTGGGCCCTGGGAGGTGTGTCCGTGCGAGGCGGCGGGCGAGGTTTTGAGGTCGCCGGCGCGCCGCTGCGATGCACTGTGCAGTGCTGACACCGGGTTCGCAGCGAACGTCCCAGGACAAACCCAAGCCATCTCGGTGACGTTGCCTGAAGAGCAGTTGACCGCTGCCAGGTCAGGCCGGTCGCTGCGGGTCCCTGCGACCGATCGTCAGGCGTTCGATTGACATCGGAGGTCCCGAGGACCGACACATACTCGCCAGGTGAGACAGCGCGGATGTTGACGCGCTACAGTCGCGCTGCGGCGCCATGCTCCAACATGCCTCCAACACACCTGGCTGCGCTGCCTCAGCGCGACGCGCTGCACCCCACGAAGCATACGCGGTGGCTGTTGATGATATGCATGCCGCGGCGACGTGGCACGGACGTCGGAAACACCGCTACGCTCGCTGCCTCGCGACGACACGTGTCAAAGGGCACAGCCCTTGCGACACGTTGCCATGGCCTGGCGCGCCCGCCCCGATGTTTGACGCGCCCCGCCGCCTCCCCGACACTATCGCTGCAGGTGCATCGCGCAGCCATGACCACCGTCATGCATGCGCGCCGCCGGGTGCGCGCCACGTTGGCACTTCTTCTCCTGGCGACTATCGTGTGCGCGGCGGCCGCGAAGCAGCCGTCGCACAACCGCTTCATCGTCGTGTGCGATGACGAGAACGTGAGGCGCCCGCCGCGCTCCTCCGTGACGCCCGCCATCGCCTCTCCCGCCCCATACGCACACACAAACGTACACACACTAGTGAGTGCTCATCATGATCGCGCGGCGCCGCTTTCGCGTGCAGGACCACCCCGGCGCCGGCAACGCCTGCCGCGCCGCCGCCCGTGCCAAGGGCGCCGCCATCGTCAACGACGCGCTCCCGGGCCACCGTGCGTTTGCGGCCGAGTTCCCCGACACCTTTTCGCCCGCGGGCGTACAGCAGACCGCGGACGACCTGCTGAAGACCCAGGGCAACGGCGTGCGCTTCATGGAGCCCGACGGCGTCCACTGGCTCATCGAGGACGACCTCGAGGAGGTCATCGACGCTGACACCCCCCCCTCGCGCTCCCGCAAGCTCCTGGAGCAGCACCGCCGCAACCTCGCGCAGACCATGCCGCCCGGCGTGCCCATGGCCGACGTCGACCCCTCCCTGTGGCCCGTCGCGGCCGGCGGCAAGAAGGTCTGCATCATCGACTCGGGCTACATGCTGTCGCACGTGGACCTGCCGGGCACGGAGACGACGACGGGGTCGGCGAACGGCGGCGCGGGCGTGTGGTACGAGGACACCATGGGCCACGGCACGCACGTCGCCGGCACGGTCGCCGCCGTCCACAACGACCAGGGCGTCGTGGGCGTGGCGCCGTCCGTGGGGCTGCACATCGTGCGGGTGTTTGACGCGCAGCGCTGGGCGTACTCGTCGAGTCTGTATAGGGCGATAGTGGAGTGCCTGACGACGGGCGGCGCGCAGATCGTCTCGATGTCGCTCGGGCGGTCGTCTTACTCGTCGTGGGAGGACGCACAGTTCACTAGGCTGGCGGAGGAGTACGACGCGCTGTTCGTGGCGGCGGCGGGCAACGGCGGCAGCTCCGCCTACCACTGGCCGGCGTCATACCCGAGCGTGGTGAGCGTGGGGTCGGTGACGGCCTCGGAGGTCCGAAGCCGCTTCTCGCAGTACAACGACCGCGTGGAGCTGGCCGCGCACGGGTCGTCGGTGCTGTCGACGTACAAGAACGGCGGCTATGCCCGCAAGTCCGGCACGTCCATGGCGACGCCGCACGTGTCGGGCGTGGCGGCGCTGGTGTGGAACAGGCACCCCACCTGCACCAGCGTGGAGATCAGGACGGCGCTGCAGATGTCCGCGCGGGACAAGGGGCCCGCGGGGTACGACAACGAGTACGGCTGGGGCATCGTGCAGGGGGGCGCGGCGATCGACCTGATCAGCGCCTGCGGCTGCGACGTGGTGGAGTGCCCGGGCAACAGCACCCCGGCGCCCCCGACTGAGGCGCCGCCGACCGAGGCGCCCCCGACGCAGGCGCCGCCGACTGAGGCACCGCCCACCGAGGCCCCGCCGACTGAGGCCCCGCCGACCGAGGCGCCGCCGACTGAGGCGCCCCCGACGCAGGCGCCGCCGACTGAGGTGCCGCCGACTGAGGCTCCGCCGACTGAGGCGCCGCCGACTGAGGCGCCGCCGACTGAGGCGCCCCCGACTGAGGCGCCCCCGACTGAGGCGCCCCCGACTGAGGCGCCGCCGACGCAGGCCCCGCCCACTGAGGCGCCGCCCACCGAGGCGCCGCCGACTGAGGCGCCGCCCACCGAGGCCCCCCCCGACCGAGGCGCCCCGACTGAGGCGCCGCCGACTGAGGCGCCGCCGACTGAGGCTCCGCCCACTGAGGCGCCCCCCACGCAGGCCCCGCCCACCGAGGCGCCCCCGACGCAGCCGCCCACCGAGCTGGTCGACGTGCAGTTCGGCGCCACGGGCCCCGTCGCCATCCCGGACGCCCGTCGCGCCGCGCGGTCCCCCGCGGTCAACAACCTCCCCGCCGGCTACACGTCGTGCTCCGTGGCGTCCCTGACGGTGGCGGTCGACGTGACGCACGCGAACATCGGCGACGTGGTTCTGGTCCTCAGGCACCCGACCGGCGGGTCGGTGCGGCTCATCAGGCGGCGCGGCGGGAGCGGCGACAACCTGGTCGGCACGGTGTTCGACGACGACGCGGCCGTCCGCATTCGCGACGGCTCGGCGCCGTTCACGGGGGCGTTCCGCCCGGAGAACGCGCTGGCGAGGTTCGTTGGCCTCGACGCCACGGGCCGGTGGAGGCTGATTGCCAGGGACAGGAGCGCCGGGACGACCGGGACGCTCGACAGCTGGACGGTCAACATAACCATGGAGTGCTCGCGGACGGACGCCCAGCCGACCGAGGCGCCGCCGACTGAGGCCCCGCCGACCGAGGCCCCGCCGACGCAGGCCCCGCCCACCGAGGCGCCCCCGACGCAGCCGCCCACCGAGCTGGTCGACGTGCAGTTCGGCGTCACGGGCCCCATCGCCATCCCGGACAACGACCGTCGCGGCGTGCGCCCCGAAGTCGTCAACAACCTCCCCGCCGGCTACACGTCGTGCTCCGTGGAGTCCCTGACGGTGGCGGTCGACGTGACGCACGCGAACATCGGCGACGTGCTTCTGAACCTCAGGGGCCCCACCGGCGCGTGGGTGCGTCTCATCAACAAGCGCGGCGGGAGCGGCGACAACATGGTCGGCACGGTGTTCGACGACGACGCGTCGCGCAGCATCCGCAAGGGCTCGGCGCCGTTCACGGGGTCGTACGTGCCGGAGAGGGGGCTTGCGAGGTTTGACGGGCTCAACGCTGAGGGCACTTGGACGCTAATTGCCAAGGACAGGCGGCGCGGGACGACCGGGACGCTGGACAGCTGGACGGTCGACATGACGATGGAGTGCTCGTGAGGCGCCCGCGCGTTCCAGGTGGACACACAAATACAAGAAGCATTGCATATATACCACATCACTTTACCATGGCACTCGTGACCGCAGCTCTAGGAGCTAGCAGCGTTGCCCCCCTTTTTGCGCCCACACCCACAAGCGCAGGCTCTCTCCCCAGTCCGTGTTCCTCAACACAGACGCTGCCCCTTGCCCTCTCACCCTGCCCGCACCGCGTGCCCAGCGCACTGAGCTCCGCCGATGATGTGTGACTCACTCTCTGCAATCCGAGTCGCGATCCACCCGACACGCACTCGGCCGCACCCCGTCGCAGCCATCCGCCCCCTCGCCCCTGCCAAGAGCTGTCAGCCACAGCCTGCACTGGCAGTGCAGGCTTTACTTTGGCAAAGTTTTCCAGGCGCCGCCCAGCCTACACCTCGTCTGCGCTGCTGCTGGACTCTCCGGGCTCGCCGTCGACCCCGTAGAGCTCTGCCCTGTCCCCTGAGACTCTGACGGGCCATCATCGTGCTTGCCCAGCAGTGAGTGTGGAAGCGGCAAGCTGCGCGTGACCTGACAGCTTCGTGCGCTGCGGCGATACGAGGAGGCTGCCTCACAGTATGTGTGTCGCTGTGATGAAAACACAACGGTCGAAACGTCCGTTCCTGACCCCGCCGGCGCGGTGACCTGTCACCTGCCCCCGGCAAACGAACGTGCATCGCGGCGGCGCGCACAACGGCGCGAGAGCACGCGGCGTGACCGTCTGCGCGTATGCATGTGCTGGCAAGCGTAGCGGGACAGTCACCGCGCGTCCCGGCGCCGCGAACCGGCCTGTTGCGCCGTTTGCTGCAGGCGGCCCTTCGAGGCACCCCGACGGTGCAGGCGGCGCGCGCTGGCGACAGTGTGGTCCAGCACGGCATGTCCACGATCGCCACAGTCGAGCGGCGGGTGCCGGAAGAGACTCTGTCCGCCAACACCAAGGATTCGTCGCATCTCTATGCAGCGGCCGCCATGGTTAGTCACTGCTCGATGCACGGCTGTGCGGGACTGACACCGACTTTGCGGCGCGGCGATGGCCTGTTCGGCTGCTCACATGGCGTGCTGGCATATGCGGGCCGCGGCCCGTCCTCTCCCGGAGCGCCACGTAGCAAGGGGAGTGGGCCCTGGGAGGTGTGTCCGTGCGAGGCGGCGGGCGAGGTTTTGAGGTCGCCGGCGCGCCGCTGCGATGCACTGTGCAGTGCTGACACCGGGTTCGCAGCGAACGTCCCAGGACAAACCCAGGCCATCTCGGTGACGTTGCCTGAAGAGCAGTTGACCGCTGCCAGGTCAGGCCGGTCGCTGCGGGTCCCTGCGACCGATCGTCAGGCGTTCGATTGATATCGAAGGTCTGCACGCATAAAGCATACTCAACAGGTGAGAAAATGGAGACAGCGGGGCGTCGAACCGGAGTGTCGGGAGGCATCCTATCGAGTTACCGGCCGCGCTGCCTCGGCACGACATGCTGCGGCTCTCAATCGAACGCATGCCTCATGAATCATTTCGTTCGCCGCAGCGAAGCACATTGAGCGTGCAATCGAACTGCCCTACGACGACACGTGTCGAGGATGCATCATTGCTGCACACGTGTCACGGCCTGGCGCGCCCGCTCCGATGTCTCACACGTCCCGCCGCCTCCCCGACACTACCGCTGCAGGTGCATCGCGCAGCCATGACCATCGTCATGCATGCGCGCCGCCGGGTGCGTGCCACGATGGCACTTCTTCTCCTGGCGACTGTCGTGTGCGCGGCGGCCGCGAAGCAGCCGTCGCACAACCGCTTCATCGTCGTGTGCGATGAAGAGAACGTGAGACGCCCGCCGCGCCCCTCCGTGACGCGCGCCCCCCAGGCACCGAGCACACACAACACTAGTTACTTACCATCATCGCGCGGCGCCGCTTTCGCGTGCAGGACCACCCCGGCGCCGGCAACGCCTGCCGCGCCGCCGCCCGTGCCAAGGGCGCCGCCATCGTCAACGACGCGCTCCCGGGCCACCGTGCGTTTGCGGCCGAGTTCCCCGACACCTTTTCGCCCGCGGGCGTACAACAGACCGCGGACGACCTGCTGAAGACCCAGGGCAACGGCGTGCGCTTCATGGAGCCCGACGGCGTCCACTGGCTCATCGAGGACGACCTCGAGGAGGTCATCGACGCTGACACCCCCCCCTTGCGCTCCCGCAAGCTCCTGGAGCAGCACCGCCGCAACCTCGCGCAGACCATGCCGCCCGGCGTGCCCATGGCCGACGTCGACCCCTCCCTGTGGCCCGTCGCGGCCGGCGGCAAGAAGGTCTGCATCATCGACTCGGGCTACATGCTGTCGCACGTGGACCTGCCGGGCACGGAGACGACGACGGGGTCGGCGAACGGCGGCGCGGGCGTGTGGTACGAGGACACCATGGGCCACGGCACGCACGTCGCCGGCACGGTCGCCGCCGTCCACAACGACCAGGGCGTCGTGGGCGTGGCGCCGTCCGTGGGGCTGCACATCGTGCGGGTGTTTGACGCGCAGCGCTGGGCGTACTCGTCGAGCCTGGTCGCCGCGCTGACGGAGTGCCTGACGACGGGCGGCGCGCAGATCGTCTCGATGTCGCTCGGGCGGTCGTCTTACTCGTCGTGGGAGGACGCACAGTTCACCAGCCTGGCGGAGGAGTACGGCGCGCTGTTCGTGGCGGCGGCGGGCAACGGCGGCAGCTCCGCCTACCACTGGCCGGCGTCATACCCGAGCGTGGTGAGCGTGGGGTCGGTGACGGCCTCGGAGGTGCGCAGCAGCTTCTCGCAGTACAACGACCGCGTGGAGCTGGCCGCGCACGGGTCGTCGGTGCTGTCGACGTACAAGAACGGCGGCTATGCCCGCATGTCGGGCACGTCCATGGCCACCCCGCACGTGTCGGGCGTGGCGGCGCTGGTGTGGAACAGGCACCCCACCTGCACCAGCGTGGAGATCAGGACGGCGCTGCAGATGTCCGCGCGGGACAAGGGGCCCGCGGGGTACGACAACGAGTACGGCTGGGGCATCGTGCAGGGGGGCGCGGCGATCGACCTGATCAGCGCCTGCGGCTGCGACGTGGTGGAGTGCCCGGGCAACAGCACCCCGGCGCCCCCGACAGAGGCGCCCCCGACTGAGGCGCCGCCGACTGAGGCGCCGCCGACCGAGGCCCCGCCCACTGAGGCTCCGCCGACGCAGGCGCCCCCGACAGAGGCGCCGCCCACCGAGGCGCCGCCCACCGAGGCGCCCCCGACCGAGGCGCCGCCGACTGAGGCTCCGCCGACTGAGGCTCCGCCGACTGAGGCGCCCCCGACTGAGGCGCCCCCGACTGAGGCCCCGCCGACTGAGGCGCCCCCGACTGAGGCTCCGCCGACTGAGGCGCCCCCGACTGAGGCGCCCCCGACTGAGGCTCCGCCGACTGAGGCTCCGCCGACTGAGGCTCCGCCGACTGAGGCTCCCCCGACCGAGGCGCCGCCGACTGAGGCTCCGCCGACCGAGGCTCCGCCCACCGAGGCGCCGCCGACCGAGGCGCCCCCAACCGAGGCGCCCCCGACTGGGGCCCCGCCGACTGAGGCCCCGCCGACGCAGGCGCCGCCCACTGAGGCTCCGCCGACTGAGGCGCCCCCGACTGAGGCGCCCCCGACTGGGGCCCCCCCGACTGAGGCCCCGCCGACGCAGGCGCCGCCCACTGAGGCTCCGCCGACTGAGGCGCCCCCGACTGAGGCGCCCCCGACTGAGGCGCCCCCGACTGAGGCGCCCCCGACTGAGGCGCCGCCCACTGAGGCCCCGCCCACTGCGGCCCCCCCGACTGAGGCGCCGCCGACTGAGGCTCCGCCCACTGAGGCCCCCCCGACGCAGGCCCCGCCCACCGAGGCGCCCCCGACGCAGCCGCCCACCGAGCTGGTCGACGTGCAGTTCGGCGCCACGGGCCCCGTCGCCATCCCGGACGCCCGTCGCGCCGCGCGTTCCCCCGCGGTCAACAACCTCCCCGCCGGCTACACGTCGTGCTCCGTGGCGTCCCTGACGGTGGCGGTCGACGTGACGCACGCGAACATCGGCGACGTGGTTCTGGTCCTCAGGCACCCGACCGGCGGGTCGGTGCGGCTCATCAGGCGGCGCGGCGGGAGCGGCGACAACCTGGTCGGCACGGTGTTCGACGACGACGCGGCCGTCCGCATTCGCGACGGCGCGGCGCCGTTCACGGGGGCGTTCCGCCCGGAGAACGCGCTGGCGAGGTTCGTTGGCCTCGACGCCACGGGCCGTTGGAGGCTGATTGCCAGGGACAGGAGCGCCGGGACGACCGGGACGCTCGACAGCTGGACGGTCAACATGACCATGGAGTGCTGGTGAAGCGCCCGCGCGTCCAAGGTCGCCGGTCTGCGCAAATTACGGAAAGATACTCGAGATATGCCATCAATCGTGATATGCGACTACTTGAGTTGCAACTTCGACCCCCCCGCCCTCACCCTGCATGCACAAGCGCTCTTCCTCCCGGCAGTTCGTGTGTTTCTCAACACAGACGGCGCCCCTGCTTCCACGTGCGTTGATCCTGACCTCCAGACATCCAGGACTGCCTCGATGCAATCCAGGCCTGCAGCGCACGGCCCCAGACACGGCGCCAAACGGCCGCCAGCGGCCTCAACGCGACAGCAATCGAGCTACAATGCGCAGCACCGTACCTCACGCGCAGCCCGCCCGCCCCCCCCCCGACCCCTTGTCATCAAGTGTGGTCTCTGCCGACGATGTGACTCGATCTCTGCAATCAAGAGCGATCCACCCGACACGCACTCGCCCTCGCTTCAACGAATCACTGCCCGTCCTGGCCGAGAGCGGCGAACAACACCCCCCGCCACGCACCACGATCCCGCGCGCCCCCAGCCTACAAATCGTCGCCACTCTCCAGCCCGCTGTCGTCGCCGTTCCCACCAGACTCCCCGAGCCCGCCGTCGAACCCGTAGAACTCCGCCCCGTCCCCCGACAGCCCGTAGTTGTACTCGTACATCCCCCCCCCGTACTCATCCAGCGGCTCCTCGTCCAAACTGAACCGCTCCGCCGCCGACCCCCCCGCGCCCTCCTCGTACCGCACGCCCCCCACCGACAGCCCCGTCCCCTCCAGGTTCGACTCCAGCAACTCCTCCCCCTCCACGTCCCCACTCGGAGGCGCGTCGTCGACGTCGTCCCCCGCGCCGTCCCCATCGAACCGTTCCAGCGCCGGTGGCGAGTCCGCGCCGCCCCCGCCGTCCTCGCTCGGCGTCAGCTCCTCCACGGACTCCTCGATCTCCTCCACGCTGCTCGCGCTGTCGCTGTTGTTGCTGTGCGACGCACGTGCCCACGGGGCCGCTGCGTCCTTGGAGCCGCCCTCGCTGCCGCCGTCGGACCGCTGCGCGCTGCCCGAGGACGCCGGGAGGAGCCCCGCCGCGAGCAGGTCCCCGCGCACCGCGTCGCTGCCGCCGAGAGGCCGGGCGCCCGGGGACGCCACCGAGGCGGACGCATCCGACTTGGGCGACCCGGCGCCGCCGAGCGGCGGCAGCGGGCCGAGCGGCCGGCGTTTCTCGAGCGGGGGGAGCGTAGGGGGCGGGAGTTGCGGCTTCGCAGGGGACTGTTGCGATGTCGGGCGCACAGGCGGGGATGTGACCTCCTTCTCGGCGACGAAGTCGTCGTCGCTGTACGCCTCGCTCCCGCTGCTCCCCCGCCGCCCCGCGGGCTCCCCCACCTCGACCACCGGCGCCGGCACCGCGTGCACGGCCTCTGGCGAGCGCGCGTGCGCGGCCGTCTCCGCCGCCGAGTACTTCTCCACGGGATCGAGCAGCTGGATCGGCCCGTCGTCGAAGCCGTGCGACAGGTCCATCCGGGGGCTGCGGCCCGTCGGGGAGAGCGGCGCCGGCGGCGTGCGCGCCGTTTCTTCCGCGCTGTACATCTCGACGGGCGCCGTGAGCTCGACGGGGGCGTCGGAGGCGCCGCCGTGGCCGTGGAGGGCGTTGCGCACGATCTGGAGGAGCAGCGGCGGGCGGTCGGGGCCCGCGCGGGCCGTGACGCCGAGCCGGGTTGCCGCAGCGATGGCGGGGTCGCCGGACGTCGTGCGGGCCTCGGGCTCGAAGACGCCGCGCGTGAACTGCAGCCCGGCGTGCACGAGGAAGTCGTGCACCAGCGCGAGCGCGAGCTTGCCGTCCTGCAATGTCAGCGCAGCCAGTGAACGTCAGTGCGCTCTCATGGCTTCTCACGCGGCGAGAACGCGCGGGGGGCAAGCGCCGAGGCGCTGTGGCGGGGCGTGGCCGTGCGCGGAGACACGGAGTCGCTTTCGTGCGTGCGGGGCAGCGGGAGGGGCGTGCCTCTGAGGCTTGCAGGGACGCTAGCTGGGCATTGGAGGAGCGCGCCGAGAGGCCTTCGAGTCCCTCGCTGCGGTCATTCTCGTCGATGGCGAGGAACACCTGCGGCGCGGCAGCCGGCGGGCGCGGTCAGCGGCGCGCGGGCGCGTGCTGTGTCGCACACGCGGGCGCGGTGGGTGCGAGTACGGGCGCGAGTGGGCCGTATGGGGGGTCGCACCTCCTGTCGGAGCTGGGCACGGATCTGAGGGAGCGTGCCGCGCTTGTCCAGAGCGGTGAGGACGGCCTGCGGGGCGGGGCGAGGCGAGGCGCGCGCGCTTGAACGCTGGCCCAACGCCCGAGGGGCGCGAGACCCCCCCCTGGGAGGGGCGTGCGAGGCGTCCTGGCGGATAGCCTTCGAGGATACGTGCAGGACGGTCCAGAGGCGGTGCGTTGCCGCGGGTGCATGGCACGGGATGGCCGTGGGAGCGGGGCGTTGTAGCAGGAGACAAGCGGGGCTGTCGCCGCGCGAGTTTCCAGGTTTGAGTGATCGAATTCATCGCGTTCTGATAGAACGTGTGAGGGATGATCGAGGGGGGTGGAGCGGGGGGGTCGGGAGCGGTCAGGGAGCGCGCGAGGCGGGCTGGGAGGTCGGGAACCATCGTCTCGAGTGCACGCACCTGCTTCAGCTCGTCCTGGGGCTCCATGATGCTACAGTCGCGTCCAGGCGGCGGTGGGCAGCGCCACGTTCGCGTGTGTGCTCGCGCGGCCGGACGAGCGGCCCTGATGGCCTCCGGAGGGGACGGGGGGACCTAGGGGGGCACTGCAACCGACGGAAAGGGGCGCTCATTGCGCGGGACCGGCGTCCTGGCGGGTCCTCTTCCGCAATCTCGGTTCACAGCACCCGAAGATATCGTCCCTCAGTGACAGGCTCGTGCAGAGTGTCTGACTCGGGGACAAGAGCTTCCAGCTTCCCAGCCTAGGTCTCGTACGCAACTCTCAGGTGCGCAACGGGCACGCATCCACGCGACACGCACGTGTCTTAATGTATTCGCGCGCCCGTCCGCAGATGGGCGCCCGAGGGGCTTCGGCGAAGCCTACGCGAGCCTGCATGACAGAGGACGTGCTTGCTCGCGCCTCTCCCTGCCGCGCGCGCCCCCTCGACGCTCCCATCCCGATCCTCCCCAATATCCTCGCCACATCCCGCGGCGGCTCGGCTCCCAGCCCCCCCCACCGCGTCCCGCTCGGCAGCCGCCCACAATCCTCCGCCTCACGCCACGCGCCCCCGGGCCACGCCGCCGCCCGCGGCCCCCCCCACAGCTCCTCCGCACCACCAACACCACACACGCGCCGCCCGCCCCCGCCTCCGCAGCCAGGATGTCGAAGCCGATGAAGGCCCAGGGCGAGGCCCCGGACATGAACCGCATCCGCATGACCCTGACGTCCAAGAACGTCAAGGCCGTGGAGAAGGCGTGCTCGGACCTCATCCGCGGCACCAAGGACCGCGCCGGCGTCGACCGCGTCAAGGGCCCCGTGCGCATGCCCACCAAGACGCTCCTCGTCGTCACGCGCAAGTCCCCCTGCGGCAACGGTACCAACACCTTCGACAGGTGCGCCGCCCGGCGCGCAACGACCCTCCCGCCCCCGGAACCACGCGCGGACGGCGCCTGCGGGACCCCGTGCGGCGAGGCCGGCCGCCTGCACCCCCGCGCCCAGGGCGCTGCTGCCGCCGCGAGCCGCCGCGAGACGCGGCGTGCCGGGCCGCCGTGCGATGGCGTGGCCGTCTGGGTCGGTCTGAGCTCTCGTGCATTGGTGGTTCGTTCGTGCAGGTACGAGATGCGTCTGCACAAGCGCCTCATCGACCTCCACTGCACGATGGACATCTTCAACCAGATCATCGGCGGGTTCTCGTTCGAGCCGGGAGTCGACGTGGAGGTCACGCTGCAGGCCTAAGGCCCGGGAAGCGACGGCGCCGCGGCCGTGGTGCGCCGCCTGCCTCGTTGGCGGGCGCCGCGGTCGCCGGCGGGCCGCGCGGGCGCCGCGGGTCGGCGGGGGCGGTCGTGCGCGCGCGGCGACGTACGCTGCTGCGCCGCGCGGCCGACCCCCGCTCACGTGCGGCTGTTTGCGCGTCCCGCTGAGGAGAATCGCTCTGGAGGGCCTGCGCCGCCAGACGTGTGAGTCCTGACGCCGTACACACGTGCCCACGGATCCCTGCGAGCCACCTGGACAGCGTGTCGCGGGAGGCCGCCGACGGCGCCCTCGCGGCTGTCGCACCAGTGTCATCCAAGGGGGGTGTCCACGTCCGCCGGCTCCCGGCTGAACGCCGTGCATTCAGGAGGCGCAGACGCAAGAGTGTGAAGTTGTCTCTTCGTGGGAGATCGCTTCTGTGTCGTGGGTTCTTCGGGCGTCTCGGAAGCAGCTCACCAAGCATGGTCAAGGCCCCCCACGCGGCCTGCTCGGCGACGGCCGGCGCGCGGGTCCTCCGGTGCCGCGGGCCGCTCTCTAGCTCCTTCTCCACGACGTCGTCATTGGCGCGCCCCGCGAGTCGCCCTGTGGGGCCCGTAGGCCGGAACCCTTTGAGGGAGGCGATGGAGGGCGCCCCGCGGGCCGCGTCCGAGGCGACAGGTACGTCACACGCGCGCTTGCCTGAACCTCCGTCCTTTCAGCATCACGGTGCTCAAAGATGAAGCGGCGACGCCGTCGGACGCGTCCGTTCATACCGGAGTGAGAGTTCATGGCTCCAGAGCCTCGCAGCGGCCGGCAGCCCTCTGTCGTGCCTCCCGCTCTGTGTTTATTCGCTGAGATGCGTGGCACGTATGAGCTCTTTCTCATCTCCGCCATGAACGGGGCAAAAACTCCACGAGCGCGAACTGCGCCACTGCCCTGGGCAAGAGCAGCCAGGAGTGCCCTAGGCGCCGCAGCTCACCGCGGGCCCCGGGAGACCGATGTCCGTGCACGGCGCGCCGTTCACGCCAGTCCAACAAAGCGCGCCCGCCTCGCAGTCCATCCCGCGGCGAGCGCGGCCGCGCGAGCTCTCGCCCTCACTGCGCACACACCGCAACTTGTCGCATGCTTCGCAGCGATGGCAACGGACGCCGAGGCGCGGCCAGGACCGGCAGTGCTCGTGGTGGGCGGCGGGCCGTCGGGGCTGGGCACGGCGTCCATGCTCGCGCAGCGCGGGTACAAAAACATCACCCTCCTGGAAAAGCGGGACGTGGCGGACTTCTACGAACCGAACAAGTCGTTCTCGTACAGCATCGACTCCAGGTGCGACGGCCACGGTCGCGCAGCCGCCTAGACGGAGCCGCGAACCGCCTGTGCGCGCGTCGCACAGCGCGGCTGCTGCGTGCGTGCGCGCAGGGGGCAGCACACGCTGGAGGCGATCGGGGCGCTGGACCGCGTCGTGGAGCAGTCCGTGCCGAGCACGGAGTTCCGGCTGCGGTACTTCTTCGCGGACAAGACCACGAAGGAGGTGAATTCGAACCTGCGCGCGCAAAAGAACGTCAAGACCAATTACTGGCTTCCGCGGCGGAGGTTCAACCGGGCGCTGTTCGACCACGTCACCGGGGACGCGGCGCGGCACCCCGAGGGCGCGATCGACGTCAGGCTCGGCTGGTCCTGCTCGCGCCTGGCGCCCACGGGGCCGGGCGGCGCGCTGGAAGGTACGTACACGCGCTCACCACCACGCCGGCGTTCGACGTCGTAGTAGCCCGTCTGTCTCGCAAGCACGCGTGTACGAGTACGTGCGCTGGCGCGGCGTGGGTTTCGATCGCGACCCCGGCCCCTAACTGTGCACCGGTGCACGATCGTCAACGACGCTGCAGCGGTGCTGGAGGGGCCCGACGGGGAGCAGGAGCGCGTGGTGCCGGCGATGGTGGTGGCGTGCGACGGGCTGGGGTCGGGCGTGAGGGACAGCATGGCGGAGACGTACCCGGGGGAGTTCGAGGTCAAGCAACTCCCGTCGCCCAGCTCAGGTGCGTGGCGCAACCGGTCGACCGCGCCGGGTCTGGTCGTGCGTGGAGTGCATTGAGCGAGAGTGGCTCAGACTGATGGTGGCGTCGCGGTCTGTCGTTCTGCGGTGCGGCGCTGCAGGGTTGAGGTTCAAGGTGTTGTCGGTGCCGTCGAACTTCGCGCTGCGGAACTTCGGCGTGGAGGAGACGAGCCCCGAGGAGGCCATCGTGCTTCCCGGCACGGGCAAGGGGCGCAACGCCGTGCGGCTGGGGTTCCTTCCGCAGAAGGACCGCGAAGGTGCGCGCACACACTCACGGAGACCCGGGAGACCGGAGCGCGCCACCGAGGCAGATGAGCGTGTCGTTCTGGCCCGGAACGCGCCCACGAGGTGTCCGCCCGTGCGCCGGGAGCGCCAGTCCCACCCGTGGCGTCGACCTTGGTCCGTGCAGGCCCGCGGACGTGCAACATCGTGGCGAAGCCGGACTGCAACGTCTTCAACTGCAAGACGGGCGAGGAGGCCTTTGCATTCTTCGAGCAGCACGTCCCGCAGTTCCCGGCGCGCGACGTCGTGGACCCAGACGTCATGGACGCGTTCGCGCGCAGCGACGGCGGGCGCTTCCCGACGCCCCAGGTGCGTGCCGCGAATCGACCGCAGCGTGCACGTGCGTGCCGGCGATGGTCTGCGCCGCGCACCTCACGTCCGAGGCGCCTGTCGCTCTGTGCAGTACTGCGAGACCATTGGGAAGGTGCACCGCGTGGGCTCTGGCGCGGACGCGAGCCGCCCCGCGCAGGCGGTGTTCCTGCTCGGCGACGCCGCGCACGCGTTTCCGCCGGACATCGGGCAGGGCGTGAACGCGGCGCTGGACGACGTCGGCGCGCTGGCCGCCGCGCTGGACACGGCGAAAGACGACCTCGCCCGCGCTGCGGAGATCTACCAGGAGCGCCACGCGCCGAACGCCAAGGCGCTGGTCCACATAGCGCAGATCGGCGCGCCGTACCAGTACCGGCAGAGCAAGGCGGGGTACAACTTGTGGCTTATGAGGGTTGTGCTGCGGATGCTGCTACACAAGGTGCTGCCGTTCCTGGTGTCGGCGCCGGCGATGTACATCTTGCAGGGGCCGCGGAAGTCGTACCGGGAGATCTGGGAGGAGGCGGAGCGGGGCACGCGGGCCATGAAGGCCATGGGTGTGGCGCTGGCGGTGGCGGCTCTGGCCGTCGCGTGGCGCGTGCTGCGGCCGGCGGCGGGCCTCGCGCCCGCGTGAGGTGCCAGGCGGCCGAGCGGCGGCCGTGTGATGCATGCGGAGCTCGCTGCGTGCGGCGTTCGCTTGACGACGTGGTTTACGTTTACAGCTTCAAACAAATCGCGCGTAATGTTGTGTTGTGCGATCGTGTTTGTCATGGGTACTTGTCTGGTGGGAACGGCGCGGTGTCGCGGAAGCACTCCGGGAACACCGCGCTCACGGCGTCGCGCGCCCGGGCGCCCCGGCAGTGCGGCTTCATGGACACAGAGAGCTCCGCGCGCCGCCGCAAACACTTCTGAAAGTGCCCGCCGTTCCCGACGACGCCCAGCCCCGACAGCTTCCCCCGCAAGAACTCGAACTTCCACCTGCGCACCACGCGCACGCGCCTTGCGTCACGACGCGCGCCGGAGAGCATGCCAGGCGTGCGTGCGCCGCGGTCGAGGTGCAGGGCGCGCGGCTGCGGGGGCGCACTGGCAGTCGCCCGAGAGCGCGGCGGCGCGGATCTCGGAGCACGCTTGCATCTCGCAGTCGGACCAGTCCAGGTTCTTTGCGCGGCAGTGATCGTAGGCGTGGATGAGCTCGTGCTGCAGCGTGTTCTTCACTTCCGACCGCGTCTGTAGGCGGTTCTTGCACAGGACGATCTGCGCGGACAAGAAGGGACGCGCGGTCGGGACGGCCGCGACGGCGCGCGGGCATGATGCAGCCCAGGGCTTCGGCGCCGAGCAAGGGCCCGTGACGGAGGGAAGGAATGCGGCCGGGGCGGGGAAGGACGTACCCCGTCTGGAGGTCGGAAGCCGCCGCCGACCTTCTCGTCGCAGTCCTCGACGTGCACGAACCGGCGGTCGACCTTGCACCCCATCAAACTCATTTCATTCAGAATGAACTGGATGTGAGGGTGCTTCATCGCGTCGAACACGATCCCTCGGAACTCGCTGTCCGACATGTTCGCGAACGTGCCCGACATGGCGGCCGCCTGCGCCCCGCGGAGCGATCTGTGCCTGATGGGCAAACGGGCCGCCCAGGCCACGAGCGGGCGGGTGGGCTGCGCGCGTGCGAGCCGCTGCGCTCACAGGAGCTGTCGCGGTGCGTTCGCAGCAGGGGGAGACACGGCGCGCGGTTTCCGCGTGCAAAGCAGCGTGGTGGTCTTCCGGCGGTCTGGGCGGCCGAATCACGGGACGATCACTGCGTCGCGACGTGCCGCTACGTTCTCTGGGATGAGATGAGGCAGCGCTGCACCGCCAGCGCAGCTCTTGACGGCGGTTGGAGGCGGGGGGGGTGTGGTTGCGCCGGGGACAAAAGGCCCCGGGCCGTTCAACCGCAGCCTGCATTGCTGCGCGGAGCCGGCGCGCCCGCGCATGAAGTGCTCCGGTGTTCTAGGAAGCGTTGCGAGCTCGAACCAGTGCGTTTGCGTCGCAACCGTTGCGCGGCAGCCTGTCCAGGACCTAGCACTCGCCCACGTTGCGCGTATCGTAGGGCCCTCTGAGCACCACCTGGAGGCCCCAGGGAGGCACTGACGAGGCGTACTGTAGCGGTAGATGACGCACGCCGCCGCAGAGTACCGCATCAAGCCCTCCATCACCGAGAAGTGAGCTCCCATGTTGTCTGTGCATAGCGCAGGCCGCGCCCGCAGCGCACGCGCCCTGCCGGCCTCGAACGCGGCCGCAGGCTGCGTTGTGGAAGCGAGCCGCCGTTAACGCAGCGACGGGCGGTTGAGCGGCTGCTGCTCGAGCGACGCGCGAGCCCCGGGAGCGCCACCGAGCCCCCGCGTGCAAACAGCCCACCTGCTGGGCCCCCACGGCAGCGCCGTCCGCGCTTCATTTCACATTTCATCAGCCTCCAGCGTGTCTCTGATAGCCAGAGACATGTGCGGGGTGCTCTCGTGGCGCGGTCCTCTCGCGCGCGGCGCCACGCACCGGTCTGCTACGCCCTCGAGAGCAGCGTCGCTCCGCCACCGGCGCTCGCCGGCGCACCACGCACGATTCCTCACACCTCAGCACACCAGAACGACCAGCCAGCGCTGCCCGCGGCGGCCTCGCGCGGACTGCCGAGCCCCCCCCGCTCTGATGACGCGGCGCAGGTGGAAGGAGTCGCGGGCGCGGGAGATCATGCGCGACGTCATGGGCGAGAAGCTGCAGGGCGTGACGTACGACCCGGACAACACCAGCACGCTCGCCCGCGAAATCGCCGACGAAATCAAGCGCCGCCTCGCAGAGGTGCGCACCGCGGGCGCGGGACCCGCTCCCCACCCCGCGTGCCGCGCGACACGTGCGACCTGCCTGCGCCCCACGCAGCGGTCCGGCTGCCGCAGCGGCCGCGCAGGCGGCGCCGGAACGCGTCGCGGCGTCCGCGGGGGGTTGTGTTGCTGACGGTGGCGTGTTTTGTTGTGGGTGTGGCCGCGGCGCAGGAGGGTTGGCCGCGGTTCAAGCACGTGGTGCAGGTGGTGCTGGGGGAGCAGCGCGGGCAGGGGCTCAAGATGGGCAGTCGGTGCTTCTGGGACGCGGACACGGACTCGCACGCGCAGGAGACCTTTACCAGCGAGTCCCTCTTCTGCGTCGCGGGGGCGTGGGGAATCTATTACTACTAGGCCGGCGCGAGTGTGAGCCGACGCGATGCGGCGCGGGTCCCGCGAGCGCGGCGGTGCGCGCGGTGCGCGCAGGGGTGCGGCGACAAGGTGGGTGTGGAGTCCCTCTGTGTTGGTGAGCGGCGGCGGTGGGGGGCCGGGACGCTGGGCGCGCTCGAGTGCGTGGTTGTGGCTGTGCGGGCGCGGGTGGTCTGGCCTGCGGCGACGCGGAAGGGGGTTGTCTGGGGTATAACTCTTTGGGTGCTGCGGCGTGGTTGCGGGGCCGATGGCGCGGGGGCGCTGGCCGCGCGCGCACACATTTTCCTCGGCCTGCGGTGATCGTTGAGGGGCAGGAGATCGGCCGGTCTTGTTTTGCGAATCGAGCCATCTGTGCGCCACTAGGCAGGAGGCGGGTGCGGCTGTCCTGTGCGGGCGCGCCCCGGCACGATAGGCGCTGGTGGCGCTCCGCGCAGCTGCGGCATTGCGGTACCCTCGAGCAGAGCTGGGCCGCTGCTGCCCGTATTTCACAGCCGCGGCGGCTGAGCGGGGGGCGTCGCAGGCAGCGGCCGTGTCTGCCGCAGGGCGCGGCGCCGCAGAGAGGCGATGAAGGTGCTTGTGGTCTTTCTCCATCGCCTCCTGGACTTCAGAACTCTCGAGTTCCGGTCGCTGGCGGAGTATGTGGGCGTCAAGGACGCGCGGCTCGAGGAGCCGTTCGGCGGCTCCCTCATGAGCCCGTTCTGGTGCGAATGCCGCGCCGCTCGATCGTGTTGCCGCTCGTTCTTCGTCGTTCTGCGCAGTATGATACCTGTCTGTCACCGCGCGCGAATGTCGCTCAGCTTTTGCGGCAAGAGCAATGCGTTGGCGGGCTGAGGACACGCGCAAGATGACAGTGCGGTCCTGTGCGCCGGGCGCGGCCGGTTCATCGCAGGTACGTCCACCTCCCGGACGAGCGCGCGCAGGAGCTATCGCGGACGATATGCGACCGCGCGGCCCTCGTCAAGTCCATGATTCAAGTCTGGGCCGAAGGGGCCACGCTCGACGAACTGGTGGAGGACGTCCGCAGGCAGCCGCCGGTGAGCGCCGTGCGCCGAGACGCTGCTTGCCAGCGCCGCTGCGGCCCGCTCCGGAGAGACCCTGCGCCCCCGCGATGGTTTGCCGTGACGTTGAGCGCGCCGCCGGCCCGCTGTGGTCGCAGGAGACGTTCGAGCGGTACATCTCGCAGCAGGAGTCGTTCAAGGTCATCGTGGACTACTTCGGCCGCAGAGTGTCCACCCGCGATCAGCAGGACGTGTTCGACAAGCTGGCCTTCCTCCGGCTCGGCGGCAAGGTGTCGCTCACGAACCCAGAACAGCTCTACATCGTCATCCGAGCCGATCCCGACGGCCTCCCGAACCGATCAGGGCTCCCTGAGGGCGTCCCCACGCGATGGTGCGCCGCCCTGATACATACGTGCTTACAGCTTGTTGTTGTTGTTCCCTAGCTCGCCTCATGCGCACCGCGCATCCGTCCGGCGCGCGACACGTGTGCTCAGCAGCGGCGGGCGTGTTCGCGCGGCCGCAGGTACTTCGGGCGCGTGCTGGCCGACCACCGCAAGCGCAAGGAGAGCACGTCCAAGTTCGCGCTCCCGGACCGGCCGTACATCGGCCCGACGTCGATGGACCCCACCGTCGCGCAGGTCATGTGCAACGTCGGCGGGGTGGGCCCCGGGCGGATCTGTTTCGACCCGTTCGTGGGCACCGGATCCATCCTCGTGACGGCGGCGTACCTGGGGGGCTACACCTTCGGGAGCGACATCGACATTCGCGTGGTACGCGACGGCATGTACAAGACGGACAAGGACGGCCGCAAGCTCACGCTCTGGCGCAACTTCCAACACTACGGGTGCGCAAAACCCCCCACCCCCTGCGCGTCCCTGACACTGACACACACAGCACCTGGCGCAGGACCGCCCGCCGCCGACGCCGGCGCACGTGCGTGGCGCGCCGTGCAGGCTGCCGAGCCCCGTGGGGTTCCTCGCCACGGACGTCCACCGCACGAGTTTCCGCATGCAAGTCCTCGAGGGTCTGGTGGACAGCATCGTGTGCGACCCGCCGTACGGCGTGCGCGCGGGCGGGCGCAAGAGCGTCCCGCGGGACCTGCCGGCGACCATGACCGCGGAGCAGCGCAAGGCGCACGTGCCGCACACCGGCACCTTCACCATGGTGGAGTGCCTCGCGGATCTGCTCGACCTGGCCTCGCGGGCGCTGCGCGTGGTGCGTCTGCCCCCTGTTTATGCGCGGAGGACCGCCGGCCGCCGCCTGGCCCGAGCGGCGCCTGGTTGACCGCGATGTTTCGAATCGGTGTCGTTTTGTATTTGTTTGCTCGGTTGCGTGGCCTGAGCAGGTCTGTTGCGTGCTGACCCTGGCTGCGGTCGGTGTCCGTGCGGTCTGCCTCTGCAGGGCGGGCGCGTGGTGTTTTTCCTGCCGTGGCCGCACCTGCACGCGGACGCAAAGGAGCACGAGGAGATTCGAATTCTGGCGTCGCACCCCGTGCTGCGGCTGACCGGCATGGGCATCCAGCACCTCACCACGCGCTACACGCGGCTGCTCGTGGTGTTCGAGAAGCGGCGCGCGTGCGGCGCGGACGACGCGGAGCTGGCGGCAGCGTCGCGGGCGATGCGGGCGGCCGACCTGGTGTTCGACCGCATGGCGGAAATCATCTACACGCCCGCGAGCGAGCTGCCGCCGGAGGACGCCGAGCGCCTCAAGAAACGCAAGTTCCGCGGGAAAATGCACTGACGTGCTTGTGATGACACACACACAATGTGCCCCCCGTCCAGTCTGACGAACGTGTCTGTCTGTGTCCTGGAGGTGAGGCCGGCAGGCACGTGGCAGGTGCTCGGCGCTCCGAGCTGCAGGACGCAGGCGCGGCGGTTCCCCGCACACCACCCGCGCTTCAGTGCAACGCCAGTGTCAGTGATGCGCCTCGAGCAGTGCGGCGCCGAGCTAGGGGTCGACCGCTCGCTAGGAACGCGCCATGCACGTGGCCCGCGCGAAGCGCACGCTGCCGCACTGAAACACCCTGCCGCGCGTGGTCGGCGCAGACCGCTGGCGGGGTTGCTGCGTCATACCAAGCGGGGGCGGCTCGCTGCGCCCGTGGCGCGAGTCCGCAGCTGCACGGCGAGTCACAGCGCGCCCGTCGCCCCCCCTGACGTCAGGTCAGTCCTCGATCAGGCCCTTCCTCCGCGCCACACGGATCCAGACCGGCTCCGACGCGCCCTCCGCGAGCGGCACGGGGTTCGCGAGGGCGTCCTTGATGCGCTGCTCGATGTTGTCCATCGTGATCCTGCGCCCGCGCGTTGCGTTCCTGGATGAGAGGCGGCGCGGGCGCGGTTGACGCAGGGGCGCGGAGAGCGTGGGGGCCTGCGGGCGTACCAGTCGCGGGAGGCCTCGAGTACGGCCTCGTGGGCGTCGTTCTTGGCGAGCTCGAGCTCGGTCTCGGTCACGAGTCGCCGGATGGCGCCCACCGCGCGCTTCTGGAGGGCCGCCTGCTGCTTGCGCAGAGCCTCCTGGCGCCGGAGGCTCGCGCGGAGCTCCGAGTCCGTCCACGCCTTGATCGACGCGCGACGGAGCAGTCTGCTCATGCCGTGCCGCGCGTGGTCGTCCTCCTCCAGGACGCGCCGCTTCCACGCCTGTGCCTTCCCGTGCTGCAAACATGCCGTGCGGGATGGTGCCGGGGTTCAGGGACAGACAGCTGACGTGTACATAGAGGGTACGTCGTGAGCATGTCGGCGAGCATCGCGCACAGCCGCGGGCCCGGCGGAGCTGCACGCATCCGCAGGGGGCCTCGGTGCGCAAGAAGGAGCCCGCCAGGGAGCAGGATGCGCTGAAACCACCAAAAGGGCGCCGCCGTGTGGGGTCGTGATCAAAAGGAACGCATCGGTGCGCGGGCGCGCTTCGGTCGCGCGCCGGAGCCGCGAGGGCGCCGCACCTCTCCGCGCCACTCTCTCAGGAAGGCCGCCCTGACGCGCTTGAAGCGCTTCCTGTCGCGATTGAAGCGCTCGGCGTCCTCCTGACCCTGCTGCACCTTCATGGCGCTCCACGCGCCCTGCGGCGCCGCGCTTGGCTGGCGCTGCGGGGAGCCCGTGGCAACGCTGCCCTCTGCCGCCGCGGCCGCGCAGCTCGTGTGCACCGCCGCGGCCTCCCACGTGGCGGCCCTCGACGCGTTGAAGCCGCGGTGGCAGCGGAGACCCGCCCGCAGCGCCTCGGGACCGCTGCGCTGCATGCTGCAGTCCCCAAACCCGAATCGCAGCCCGCGGCAGCACCTCGAACACTTCGCCGTGATCCTGAAGACTGCACTGCTCCCGCCATGCAGTCGCGCCATCAGGTGCGCCGTACAGACGAGCGAGAGGCGCCCGTCGGGCAGGCCAGTGGCTGTCGAGCTACGCCAGACGGGGCCGCGGCGCCGCCGCGGCTGGGGAGCGCGCGTCAAGGGCAGGCCGCCGACCTCCTCTCCGACGCTTTCGTGACGCCTAGCAGCTAGGCGTCACTTGCCACAACCTCGTGCTCCGCGGTCCGCCGAGCGTCGTGGGCGGTGCAGTTGCCTCGAGGCTTGCACCGCAGTTCGTGCGAATCCCACGGCTTCGCGCGGAACAGACCGCTCCATCGGGACCACACCCGTGTGTGGCCCGTGTACCTCAGACCGAGAGGCGGGTAGAGAGCACACGCGCTCCACCACGGCTCCAGGTCTTCTTGCATTTTAACGATGAAATAGCGGACACGGAGCGACGATCCCCGTTCCATTCCATAGCACATAGATCATTGAGCTCTCGGCGGGCAAGAAACGCTCTCTCTGTCAGCTGTCGAAAGAGAACGACGCGGTCGAAGGCTCAATGGCGTGGGCGAACAGCAGCGGCCTCTCCTTCGCGGAGGCGCTGCGCAGGTCGACCATGCAGCTCACCGACGAGGAGATCATCTCTCAGGCGGTCGGCAAGGCCATCGAGAAGGTCGTCGCGGCGTTGGATGGTCCGTCTTCTACGACCACGGCTTCGCGGCCCGTTCGCGTCGAGTCCGCGCAGCAGGCGATCACCAAGTCGACGTCCTCCACGGAAACGATCGGCTCGTCGCGCTCAGCTGGCTCGTCGCACGGCTTCGGCTCGGCCATCGACACCTGGGTCGCTGCTGGGTTCGTGGTCCGCAAGGCGCCGCCCAAGGCCCCTGCCGCGCCCGCCGCTCCGCCCGCGACCACCGTCGAGGACCCCGTGACCACGCGCGCCGGCCCTTCGCTGCCTCCCGCGCCCGTGGAGCCCGACACCGTTGCTGGCAAGGAGCCCACCTTGGGTCCGCTGTGCGACGCGGACGAAGCCGCAGACGCCGACCTGGCCGCCGCGCTCGAGGCCTCCTGCGCCGCTGAGCCCGAAGAGTCCCCCGCGGGCGACCTCTGGCAGTGCCAGGACGACTGGCAGTGCGCGATTTGCCTCGACGCCATCACCATCGCAGGTGCGCGCCCCCCCCGGCCTCCCCGCCGCACCCCGACGGCGCGCCCGCTCCACTCCACGCCCAGCCTCCACGCCCGCAGCGCTCCGCGACCTCCCCGCCCGCCACCGCGCCAGCAGCGCGCCCAGCATGTAGCGCTGTGCTCCACTCGGTGCGTGCGCGGCCGCTCTCTGCGACAATCCAGGGTCCCATCCGGACCCTTTCGTTCCTCGACCGATCCGTGCAGACTCCGCGGCGATCCCGACGTGCGGGCACACGTACTGCGCCGCGTGCATCGTCAACTGGGCGGCCAAGTCCCAGCCGCAGCGCGCCGCGCACGCCCGGCGCGGCCTCGCGGCGGGCGCGCTCGACGGGCTGCCTCCTGCGCTCTGCCCGCACTGCAAGGCGCCGTTCACGCGCCTCATGGTCTACCGCTCTCTCGACGGGCCCCTGAGCGACTTCCCGCGCGAGGAGCACGTCGTGCTCCTCCAGCGCGCGCCCTGGGTCCGCGAGCGCCTCGGCGAGCGCGGCTGGCTCGACGAGGAGCGCGTGCACGGCGCGGACGACGCCGGCCACGGCGACCACTACGACGACTACGCGGGCGCGGAGTGGGACGACGAGGAGGACGACATCCTGCTGGGCCGCACCCCGCACCGGCTCATCCTGGGGAACAGACCGTTCGGCCGCAGCGGGTACGTGGCGAGCGGGCGCCTGCAGGGCCGCCCGCGGCCGCCGACGGGGAAGAAGCGCAGCCGGAAGCGCAAGGGCGCGCAGGGGGACGCCGCGCCGGAGCAGGCCGGGGGCGCGGCGGCGAGCAGCAGCGGGTGCGCGGCGCCTGCTGTGTGCGACGAGGCGTGACGCCCGGGGGTCGCAGGCGCTGGGTCGAGAGAGAGAGAGTAGAGCAGCGGTGTGCGTGTTCGTGTTCGTCGACGCACGAAGCCGCCCGCAGCTGTGAGTGCGCGCCAGTTGTGTACTGGATGTCAGTGTTGCTGCGCGGGGCGGTCGGGCGATACGATCAGGACGAAAGCACGCCCGCATTTCGTTTATTGCGCGGGTGGTCAACGACGTCTCCTGGGCCGGGGGGGTTGCTCGCGGGTGGAGCGGAAGGGTGGACGCGCCGTTGCCGGGCGTCCTTCGCGGGTGTACTGCGCTTTACAGGGCGTGACAGCTCGGCGCGCAACCTGCCCCAGGGGTGCGTGGCCGCCGTGCAGCAGGGCACACGGACCGCGAGCGCGCTGCGCTGACGCGGCGGATCGCCAGTCAGTCCGCAACAAAGTCCTCGATCTTCACGTGCCGCGATATCTGCGCCGGCATCTGCGCAGCACCACGCAGGCCACACGTCCACGTCAGACACCCCCACGCAAACACACGCACAACACTCCCCCCCTGACGCAACTGCGCGGCCGCCGACGCCCACGGCGCAGCCCCAGCCCTCGACGCGGCGTCCGGGCGCCCGCGCGCACCTTGAGCATGGAGATCATGCCCGCGGGGGTCCCTTTGAAGATAGTCTTCAGTTTGTCGTCCAACACGACTTTCCGGCGGTCCTTCGGGTACTGCAGGTCCTTCTCCTTGATGTACTCCCAGATCTTCTTCGTCACCGTCCGCTTGTCCATCCGCTCCACGCCCAGGAACTCCTGCATCTCCGGCGACAGCAGCGACCCAAAGCGCGTGTCCTTGCCCCCGCCCCACCCGCGCCGCTTCTTCGCGGGCGGCTCCGCGGCCTCGTCCTGCGCGCGGTGCGGGCTCGCTCGGCTCAGGGCCGCGGCGCGGGGTGCCGGCGGCGGGGACAGGGAGAGAGGGCGCGTGCGGGTGCGGGGGCGGGTGCGGGTGTTTGCTGTGACGGTGACGGGCGGCGTGCGGTGGCGGCTGGGCGGGCGCGCGAGTTGGTGACGGTCGCGGCTCGCGACTGGCGGGGTGGGTGTGCGTCGCGCGTGCCTGGTCGTCGTCGTTGCCTGCCTGTTCGGCGACGAACCGGTCGATTTCGGCGCTGATGATCTTCTTCTTGGGCTTCAGGTCCACGCCGAAGTGCTCCGAGAGCTTGTTTCTCAACTGCTTCGCGGTCATTTCGTCGAGGTTAGCCTCCGACAGGATGTGCCTCGCCTGGGCGCAAATGTCCTCGTCTGCGGAAGCACCGGCGCGTGGGCGGTCGGAGATAAGACAGAGGCGGTCGGGAGCAGGCGGAGCCCCCACGCGGCCCGCGTGGACGCACCTGACGGCATTGCAGAAGCGCTGTCATCCTTGTCCCCGGCGGGCTCCGTCCGCTGACCGTCGGGCTTCTCCTCAGGCTCGACTGCAGTTTGACATGCGAGCTACGTGTTCGCGCTCACGTGGTCGCGGGGCGGGCCGGACAACGACGCAGCGAGCGCGAACACACTCGCAAGCCAGTCCCGGCTCATGCAGCCCGGGGTAGGGACGAGGGAGCGTGTCTCAATGGACGGACGGATCACCTGGTGTCGTCTTCTCAGGAGCCGCATCCTGCTTGACTTCGGGCGTCGCAGGCGCGCCGGGCGGGCTCGCCACACCTCCAGCAGGCCCGTCCCCTGCAGGGCCGCTCGCAGCCTCCGCCCCCGTCGACGACATGGCGAACGGGATGACAGAGATACACGAAGCCTGGTGCGTCGATGAGGAGGGCGCGCGCGCCACGGAGACGCCGCGATGTGCAGCGCCCTGGTGCAGCAGATAGCCTCGGCGTCAGGCCCCCGTCGCAGCTGCGGTTTCCGTGGCCCGCGATGGAGCGGCGCGGAAGTCCTGATGGCGCGCAGCCCAGCCGGCACCAAGTGCGCCCGTGCCGCGCGGCGTGCACGCCCCGGGACGGTCCCTGAATCAGCGCCCGACAACACCCGCGCTCGATTGCGGCCGCGAGGTTATCAGCCCGCACGTCCGCGAGCCGCGTACACATCCGTCCGCTGCCCGCCAGCCCGGTCGCTGTGTCATCAGGCCAAGAGGCCGTCTCGTGCGTCGCACATTCGCCGCGAGCCTGTCGCGGAAGTGCATCTGTTGCGTCTCTGGCGCCGCTGACGTGGATCCGCGCGACGTGGGGGCTTGTGGGCATCGGACGCTTGCGTCTGAGTCCTCCGCATCGCCGAGTCCGCGGCCCCGAGGCGGGTCTGCGACACGGTAGGCGCAGGGATGTCGCGCCCAGGCACGGCCGAGACCGGGGGCTCCCAGAAGCGCTGGGGCGAGGATGCCGAGCGCGCGCGTGACGTCGAGCGGGAGAACGCCGCAGGGATGATCTACCCAGAGACCCCACCGTCTACCGCGCCAAAACCAGGTGCGCTTCACCGCTCCGCGCTCCCGCCCTCTGTCCGCGCGCACGGCCCGCAGCTGGCCGCGCTCCCGACCTTTCTCCCTCCTGCTGGTGGTACATGGATCGGAGGGCTCAGAAGCGACATCGAAATCCGCAGTGGATGCTTGAGCGCCGCGCACGCGGCGTGAAACGTCTGCGGTGCATGCCATGCTTCGAGACGTGCGAGCGTGCGCAGCTGGCGGGGAATGGCGCGACCCGAACGCCACGGCTGCCTCGTTGGCGGTGTTTGCAGGCTCCCGCGGGGGTGAGGATGTCCAGCAGGGCGTCGAGGAGGGGGCGCTGGGCCTCACACCGGGCGTGTCGGAGCGGGACGTGAGCTTCGCGCCCGACGTGGAGGAGCCCGTGCACACCACGCTGCCGCACCAGCCGTTTCCGATCCAGAAACAGGAGTCCGTGCCTCCCTCGCGGCACACGAGCGACCTGGCGAGCCCCCGCGGCGCCAACATTGCGCGTGCCACCACGGCGGGCGGACCGCAGACCCAGGAGGTCGCGGAGGAAGTGATCCGGGCGTTCCAGGAGCTCAACGCCGTGCACAGGGAGTCCGCCGTGACCGAGGGCTCCCCCCCGATCGACTCTCAAGTCAGTTTCAAGGCCGACGGAGGCGCGGACGCCGCGTCCCAGGAGTCCGACGCGAGCCGAGACGAACGTGAGCGCCGCGCTGCCCCCTGATTTCCCCCCGCTCCCCGCACGCCGCCGCGCCTCGGGGCGGCAACGCGAGCCCCTCGCGCCACGCCACACGCATACACAAGCAGCGCCCGGGCCCCCGCACCGCCCGTCACCGCGCCCCGGTACCGCGCCGTGCGTCGCAGGCATCCGTGCGGCGGTCGCGCGCGACCAGGCGGCCGTGATGCGCAAGACGATGGAGCGGATGGAGCAGCAGATGCTGCAGGCCGGGCTGCGGGGGAAGCAGTCGCACCAGTCGCTCGGGGACGCGCTCGGGCGGTGGGAGGAGGTGCAGAAGGACGTGATCGAGCGGTGGAACGGCGACAACGACTTCGCGAAGGTGGACATCATGCTGGGCGCGTTGCTGCGGCAGGGGGCCTTCGGGGACGCGTACCGGTACCTGCGGAAGGTCGCGTCGGTCGTGGCGGCGATCCTGAAGAAGCTGCACCGGAAGGTACGCGCCCGCGGCGCGTGCGGGCTCGGCTGCGTGGGCGCCGCGAGGGGCTGTTGTGGACACGCGCGGTGTTGTTTCGCGGGGTCGCGGTGCAGGGCGTGGAGACGGGCGCGCTGGATCCGTCGGAGCCGGAGCCCGTGGGGATTCTCGGGAGCATGGGGGGCGGGGGCGCGACGGCGGGGGCCACGGGGCGCGGGGCGACCAGCGGCGCCATGACGAGCCAGGCGCACACGCACCGGCGGCAGGCCGAGGCGAACTCGCAGAAGATCCAGGAGATGAAGAACCAGCTCGAGCTGCTGGAGCTGTCGATGGAGAAGCTGCGGCAGGAGAACGCGGCGCTGAAGATCCTCAACCACAGCGACCGGCAGACGGTCAAGGAGAAGGAGGCGGAAATGAGCACGCTGCTGAGCAGGCTGACGACCAAGGGCGCGGAGCTGCAGACGGAGGCCATGCGGAGCGAGCACATCAAGGTGCGCGGCGGCGGAGGGCTCGCTCATCCCTGTGCGCTGGCGTGTGCGTCAGCGGGGGCGTTCCGCGAGTTGCGTGCGCTGCGCGCGCGAGCGCACCGGCTGCTTGTTTTTTGCCTGTGCGCAGAGGACGTTGGCGGCCGCGAACGACCAGGTCCGGAAGCTGGTCGAGGCGTTGAAGCAGTCGCAGGCCGAGACGCGCCTGGCGAACCAGCACGCCTCGCAGCTGCGTTCCAAGGTCCTCGTTGCGCGCGAGGAGACGCGAATGAAGGGCGGGGACGAGGACATGCTCCGCGTGATGCTGACGGACTCGGAGGACAAGATTTTGGAGCTGAAGAAGGTCGTGGCGTCGCGGAACGCGGCGCTCGCGGCCGGGAAGCGCGCCCACGACGAAGCGAAGGCCAAGCTGCAGGACAGGATCTCCGCGCTGGAGGCGCAGCTGGCGGAGCGCGACGCCCTGCTGGCGAAGAGCGGCGTTGCAGTGCCGGGCGCGCGCGGCGAGGCCGGTGCGGGGGACGGGGACGGCGCTGCGGACGAGGGCGGCGAGGAGGCGGAGGAGGAGAAGGGCAAGGAGGGGAAGGCGGGGGTGCTGTTCCCGGCGCCGCCAGGGCGGAAGAAGCGCATGAAGCAGGTGGCGGGGGTGTACGCGGCGGGGCCGGTGGGGAGGCGGAAGGACGGGAGCCCGAAGAAGGGGCGCGGGCGGCCGGCGCCAGCTGCGTCGGAGTCGCAGAAGCAGGTCGGGGAGGTGGAAGCGTAGCGCAGGGGATGCGGTGGTGAACGACGCGGGCGGTGGACAGACGGCCGCCCGCCGCGCTTTGAGCCTCGCCGCCTGCGACCCCGAACGAGCCTCATAGTATCCACCGATCACATACAATTAGACGCGGGCGCACCACCGTGTCCTGACGACCGTGTCGCCCACACGCACCACAACTGCGCTCAAGCTCGTGTGCTTTGCTGGACAGTTGTTCACTCATATATGCCACTGTGTCCTTGAAGACTACCCGCGCAACGCCGCGCAGTCGTGGCACGCCCAGCAACACACAGCTGCGCGACCCTGCCAGCGCTGCGGCCCAGCTGCGACCCGCAGCTGGGCCACCACCTGCGTCACCTTTTCGCGTGCCGCTTCTGTTTGTCGAGCCCGATCACCCGGTGCGCGTCCGCCTTGCGCACGGGGAAGAAGTTCAGCTCGTTGTCCTGCACGTCGAGCACCTTCAGCGCCTTGTTCGTGCCCAGCGACATCGCCACGGGCTTCAACATCTCGTCCTGGATGGCGCTCTCGCGCAGGTATATCGTCTCCAGGCCCGGCTGCAGGCTCTCGTCCTCCTCCGACAGCACCGTCGCCAGCTTCCCCAGCGGCCGCGACGTTCGGATGATGTTCGCGGACAGGTCGAGCATCTTCAGCGACTTGTTACCCTTCAGCCCCTGCGACCGCACCGGAGGACGCCACGCCGCGCCGCTCGGCTGCGAATCGGCCCGCGCCGTGCGCGGCAGCAGCACGGCCATGCAGGGGGCGTCCTGTGGGCGCAGGGTCGCGGCGGGGCGGGGCGCGGGCGCACCTGGATGAGGGCCTCGAGCCCGTCGTCCATGATGGCGTTGTAGGCGAGGAGGAGCGTGGCGAGGCTGCTGTTCTCCTGCAGCGCTTTCCCAAAGTAAATGCCGCTCTGGTCGCTCAGGCGGTTGCCGCTCAAGTTGATGTAATTGACCGTCGAGTTCTTCTGCAGCCCGCGCGTGAGGTACTGGATCGCGTAGTCCGACACCTCGTTCGCCTGCAGCGCGGAACACGAAGCAGGGCGCGTCATGTTCTCTCTCTCGCTCGCTCGTCCACAAACGGTCCCGCGTCGGCACCACGGCGCGGCGTCGCTCACCCCCGCGTCGAGGTACTCCAGCGCCGTGTCCTTGCCCATGTTGTCCCCGAGGCCCACCAGCAGGGAGTCGCCGATGGGGTTGGTGCTGACTTTGAGCGTTCGGAGGCGCGTGCTCTGCCCCACGGCCTCGCCGAACTCCCTGCAGTCCCCGTCGGCCTGGTTGTCCGCCAGCGACAGCTTCTGGAGCGGCGCGCCGGCCAGCAGGGGCTTCGCGAAGGCGTTCACCCCGCGCGTGCGAATCGCGTTGCGGGAAATGTCGATCACCGCGAGCTTCGGGTGCCCCGCCGCGCCCTCCGCGATGCACGTGCACCCGATCGGCCCGATCTGCACGCAGCGCGCGAGGCGGCCGAGCGGTCACGTGCTGACTAACACGACGCCCACACACTGCGCGCGCGTTGGGTTGGGCCGCGGTCGGGAGCGCCGCCGCACCTTGTTCTCGCTTATGAAGAGCTTCTCGAGGGTCTTGTTGCCCTTGACGAAGTTCCCGAGCTCCGTCCCGCCCTTGTCGTCGATGTCGCACGCGTCCAGCCGCAGCTCCGCCAGCTTGCACTGGTCGTTGCTCATCAGCGCGTGCGCGAGCTCCGACGCGCCGTCCCCGCCGAGCGGGTTCATGGACAGGTTCAGGAGCGTCACGTTGTCGATCTGCGCCAGCGCCCCGGCGAGCGGCTTGAGCTCCTTGAACGACAGGTACGAGGAGATCACCTCCAGCTTCTTCAGGTCCGGCAGAAGCTGGAGCCAGTCTGACAGCACGCCAATGCTATCCTGCAAGCAAGCACCGAGCCGAAGACGTGAGCGCGCGGCGCCCGGACGCTCTTCCGGCCCCACCGGGGGCAAACGCCGCGATGTGGGTAGCAGTGAGACGGCTCTGCGTCACGGGCGCTACCTGCGCGTCGACCTTGGGGTCGCAGCAGCCCTTGAGCGTCAGGTGGGCCGTGCCAGCGCGTTTCATCGCGCGGAAGAGCAGCCGCAGGTCCGACGTGGACGCGCTGGCGACCTCCATGTGCCGATCGACGGGGGCAGTGCGGCCGCCGATCGTGATGAGCTCGCGACCCTGCGTGGGCGGCGTCGCGGGGATGTGCCGCGTACGGTGAGGCGGTGGCGCGACGCCAGACTGAATAGGAGCGGCCGCGCAACGCGATTCGAGGATCGGTGACTACGACGGAAACAGCCAGTTGGGGTGGGTGAGGCGGGGGCGTGCGCGTGCGCCCGGGGGGTCGGCGTGCGGCTGCAGTGTGATGGCGGCGAAAGCGCGCAGTCTGGGGTCCGCGTGCCTGTCCGTCGAGCTGGTGGCGCGTGGTCGTCTTGGCCTTCAGGAGCTGTCTCGCCGCCTCGCTCTGCTTCAGCTTCTCTATCTCTTTCGTTTTCGCGGTCGCAAGACCTGAGAAGGCGCTGCCGAGGCCTGCGACAAGGCACCAGGACGGCAACCGGCGTGGACTGGCGAGATGCACCATCCACCGCCAGTGGACGCAGCCCGCGATCCGCAGCTGTCCGCGAAATTCCGCGAAACGTCATCGCACGCGACGCAGCACATCTCGAAGGTCCTCGAAACGCCGAAGAAGCCTCTGCCCTTCGCGGCCGGGGCGCAACAAGGGCGCCAACGACAACGCTGGCGAGTGCGGGCGAGCTCCGCCACGGCTGCCGCGGCGCGTGGTCGCGGGCGCACTTTGCAACCGATCCGACTGCGACTTGGCCTTCTTCTCCTTGTCCATCCGCCTCTGGTCCTTGGCCTGCTTCTCCCGCACCGCAGCCTTGATGTCCAAATACTTCTTCACTGTCTGCGCATCCTTCTCGTCCTCGCTGCGCCGCCGCGGCGCAGCTCCGCCCGCGCCGCTCATGGCCCGCCCTCTCGCGCCGGGCCCTCCACAAGACGCGCGCGTGGCCCCTTCGGCCTCCCCCGGCAATACTGGCAACGGCTTTCGTGCACACTACCGTCTGCGCGCACGCACGCCGCGCCCAAGACGCACCGCTCGCTTCTCTGACGCGCGGCGTCGCGCGCAGGAGCCCTCGTGGCCTGCCGCGGACGGGCCCCGCCGGTACAACCACGCGGTCAGTCACCGCCTGACTCAATCAACTCACGTGTGTTATACACCCCCCCCTCTGCGCGGTCGCGTTGCGGCGTGGATCGCAGGCTACGGTCCACGGCCTTGCGCGATGCGCATCATCGGCCTGCACCGTTTCAAGCTCCCACCCCCGCCCGTGGCACCGCCGCCGTAGCACTGCTCCGTGTCCAGAAATGGGCATCGCGGCCCGGTCGCAGGCCCGGAGAGCGCCCACGGCGCTTGCGCGATGCAGACGGCGCACGCCGTGAGGCGTGGGGCGTGGGCTGGTGGGCGCGGGGCGGGCGGGCTAAGACCTGACCACACCGACAACCCCCCGACGCGCGCCGCGGCGTGCTCGCAGAAGCGCCGGCCTGGCGGCGCGATGGGCGCAGAGATCGGCCGCGGTGACGGACTGCGCGTTTTGCTGACGGCGCCGGCGAAGTCGCGTGCTGCGCGCCACCGAGGCTTCCAGCTGCGTCCGGGGCGACCGCGGTGGTTCGCCGGTTCGTTCGTTTCGGTGCACAGCAGCGCAAGATGGTGTCGCGGATGGAAGTGTTCACCCACTGGTTCCAGCTCGCCGACTCGGGTGCGCGTTCCCTGCGCGAGGTTCTGCAGCCCGCCCACGCACCGCAGATCGACGCACGGGGGGCCGTTCGCCCGGCTCCCGTGCACCACGCTGTATGACGTTCGCGATCGAGCGAACTCGGGATCGGTGGTCCTCCGTGCCGCTCTCCAGCGCCAGATGCCCCCACCCTGCTTGCCTTCAATGTACCCCCGTACGCGCGTGAGAGCGTCCGTTTCCGGTCGTTCGCCGGCCCGCCGGTATGTCTGTGTCGCGTTCCACACCTGAGGCACGCTCGGACGATCGGTCATGCGGAAACGACGGCGCGAAGAGGCCCGGAGGGATCTGCTCGCAGCGCCTGGGAGCCCGAATGCCTCCCAGCGGCGCTTTCCTCGGATTTGGCCCGGTCCGACGAGGCCTCATAGACTGATCCAACTGGCGGCGGAGCTCACGTGCACCGACGGCCCGCCGAACGACCCTGCGTTCCGTGCCCCTGTCCGTGCAACCTCCATGCCACGCAAGGCGTCGTGGGGGCCTCTGCCCCGCCGCGGCCGGCGGTTCTCGAGCCCTGAGTTCTTCCACACTCACCACCTGGGCGCGGGGCTCCGTTCGTGCGGTGCAGACAGGGACGGGCGGCTGACTGGTCCAGATGCAGTACAGTTCTTCAACCGAAGCGGCCTGCCGCGGCACGTCCTGTCGCGGGTGTGGGCGCTCGCTGACTCGCAGCGGCAGGGCTTCCTGGACATGACTGGCTTCGAGAAGGCCATGGACCTCATCACGCTGGCCCAGAGCGGCGCTGTGCTGTCCGCGGAGCTCTACGGAAACGCCAAGCAGTCCGGTGCGCCGCACGGCCGACGAGCGCCCGCTTGCGCGCGCGGCAGCGGCGTGGTCGAGCCCTGGACGCGGTCGACGCGCCCGCGCCGGCGTGGGTTCGCGCGGCGTGTTGAATAGTGCTTGTGGTGGTTTGTGCTGACGCAGGCGAGCTGGAGGGCAAGTTTCCGATGCTGGAGGGAGTGCACATTCCGGGGCAGGAGCCGAGCGAGTACGACGTGGAGCGGCCGGACGGCGGCCCGAACCTGCAGCCGGGGCCGCCGCAACAGAACCTGAACAACAACAACTCGGTGCCGGGGTGGGGCATGCAGCCGCAGCAGGTGCGACGCGGTCTCGCAGACCGCAGCGAAGTCCTCCCTCGCTCGGCTGCGGTCGGTCCGACCCGGAGTCGCGACGCGGTGGTGTTTGTTGCCGTGCTGCTGTGCAGAGCTGGGGCCGGAAGCCGCCGCCGCCCGGGAGCCAAATGCCGGCGCCGGCGGGCGTGAATACGCGGGACTTCATGGCCGACGTGCACGACGTGTTCCGGAAGCGCGGGAAGAAGCGGCCGGTGCCGCAGGCCACGTGCACCTCGATCATCGACGGGCTCAAACAGATCTACTTCAAGAAGATCAGACCCATCGAAGAAGCCTTTAAATTCGGCAACTTCTTCTCTCCCTACCTCACCGAAGGTGCGCCCCTCGCCGCGATGACTCACCACGAAGATCCTGCAACACAAAACCCCCCCCTTTCCCCCTCCCGTTCCGGCAGCTGCTCCTCCACCACGTCGCCCGCTTACTCGGTCTCTCGCGCACACCCTCGCGCTCGGACGACGCCCGCGCGCAGGCGACTTCGTGGCCAAGCCGTCGGTGCTTCTCCTGGGCCAGTACTCCACGGGCAAGACCACGTTCGTCAAGCACCTGCTGGGCAAGGAGTACCCCGGGTGTCACATCGGGCCGGAGCCGACGACGGACCGCTTCGTGGTCGTGATGCACGGCCCCGAGGACCGCACGACCCCCGGCAACACGCTGGCGGTGATGCCTGACAAGCCGTACCAGGGGCTGAGCATGTTCGGGACGGGGTTCCTGGGGCGGTTCATGGGCGCGGAGACGGAGGCGAAGCTGCTCGAGGAGGTCACGATCGTGGACACCCCCGGGGTGCTGTCTGGCGAGAAGCAGCGCATTGAGCGGCAGTACGACTTCATCCGCGTGAACGAGTGGTTCGCGACGCGCTGCGACATCATCCTCCTCCTCTTCGACCCCTACAAGCTCGACATCAGCGACGAGTTCAAGGCCGTCATCCAGGTCAGACAACCCGCAGCTACACCCCCCCGCACAGCGCGTGCACCCGCCGCAGCGCCCCGTCCGCCTCCGCCGCGACCGCAACCCTCCCTCCGCGTCCGCGCTGCGTGCAGCGGCTGCGCGGGCACGACGACAAGGTCCGCGTGGTCCTCAACAAGGCGGACCAGGTCGACGCGCAGCAGCTCATGCGGGTGTACGGCGCGCTGATGTGGTCGCTGGGCAAGGTGTTCAAGTCCCCCGAGGTCTGCCGCGTGTACATGGGGTCGTTCAACGCGGGGAAGGAGATCGACGACTCGGTGCAGCTGAAGAGCCTGTTCGAGGCGGAACAAAAGGACCTGTTCGCGGACCTGCTGCAGATCCCGCAGCGCAGCTGCGACCGCAAGGTGAACGAGTTCGTGAAGCGCATGCGCGCGGCGAAGATCCACGTCGCGATCATGGGCCACCTCCGCAAGATGGTGCCCATGTTTGGCAAGGCCAAGTGGCAGGAGAAGGTGCTGCAGACGCTGGACCAGGAGTTCGTCAAGGTGCAGCGCGAGCACCAGCTGCCGCCGGGGGACTTCCCGGACGTCAACCGGTACCGCGACATCCTCGCTGCGTTCGACATCGCGTCCTTCCCAAAGCTCGATCACTACCGGTCGCTGTCGGCGATCGACGACGCGCTCACCAACGACGTGCCCGCGCTGCTCAAGGCCTTCGATAATCCGTTCTAGGCCCGCGCCGCCGCGCGCTCCCCGGCCGCGCACGAGCGCCTGCGTGTGACGCCCTCGTTGTCACAACGGCCGCCGCGCTGGCGGGTCTGCGCTGCGCGGGGCCTGGCTAGAGCTTGTCCACGATGCTGTGCATGGCGCGCTTCAGGTAGCGCAGCCGCACCACCTCGGTCTGCACCTGGGCGAGGTCGCCGGCCTTGAACGCTGCAGACACCGCAGCGACGCGCTCGTCCACGCGCGCCTGCGTGTCCTCGCGCATCTTCTCCAGCTCGTCCGCGCTCGCGTCCTCGACCGCCTCGCGCCTGCGCGTGCGAGGACCACGCCGCCAGGCGTGGGCGCGTCGCCTTGCGGCACTAGCACAAGCTGTTCGCACGTTCAGAGGGAAGGGGGAGGGGCGCACAGTTCCATCGCCCACATGAGGAGCTCCGGGTCCCTGGTGGTGGCCTCCTCGTCGTGGTCGTGGTCCACGTCAGGCTGGAGGAGTCGGAGGAGGTGTTTTGCGCGCAGGAGGGGGCACTTCAGCACGTGGTACGCCTCGTTGAGCGCGCTCGACAGGTCCGCGGAGACCTCCTGCTCCGCGCTCGACGCGCCGCCGAAGCGGTCCGGATGCAGTTGGAACTGCACCGCACGTCAGACCAGAAGCAACCGTACGTCAGCCACGCGCACGCAGTTGTGGTTTCACGCAGGCTCGCCCGGTGACGCGGGCTGCCGGCGAGCCGGTGCGACGGCTGGTGGAGGGACGCCGGCCGTCGGCGTTCCGGGGGCGGGCGCGGGCGGTGGAGGCTGACGTGCGTGGCGGGTACCTGGGCGGCCTTGAACGCCTTCTCGAGGGCGGCGAGGTCGATGTCGTAGCACGGCTCGTCGATGCCCATCAGCTTGAAGTAGTCGTGTTCGGTGTGCAGCGGCTGCACGGCGTTGCAGCGCCCGCAGAAGAACGAGGGAGCGCTGGGGGTGCCTGCGCTGGTGTCCGGACCCTCCGGCTCGCCCCCGTCCCCGCGACCCGCACCGCACCGCCAGCACGAAGCCTCGTCGCGGCCTCTTCTGCTATCCCCGTGACCGTCGTGCTGGAACGCACGCTGTGACGTGGAAACGCCGCGGGTCCAACTATGCGCGCCGCTGCTTCCCGGTCCCGCTAGGCGAGCCAGGCTGCCGCGAAACCACCTGATACCGGACGGCACTGGCAGTGTATGCGACGCCACGGCATCCGCGCAGCATTGCAGCGACTGACGGTCAGTCACGCTTCCAACCCGGGCTGCGCTGCGCACAAGGCCTCGGGCCCCACGCAGCCGCATTGGCGCCGAACCACCGCCAGTCGATGCGTGGGCTCCCTCGTACGAACGAGCAGGTGGAACGCAGCGTACCAGGCTAGGCTGATAGCGTTCAATTTCGCGACTCGGCTTCAACAACCTACGTTTGCGAGGATCCGACGCACTGCACGGACCTCACCGATTCGACGCGGCCCGCGGAACAACTGCCCAGACGGCCAGCTAGCCTCGGGCCTTTTGCCAGCGAGACCGTCTCCCGTCAGGACACGGTCCTGCCACAGAACCCCCACCCCCCCTCCAACACCCCCGGCAGTCACTCCATCCGCCCCACCCGACCGCTCCCGCGGCCCACAATGTGGCGCACGCACCAAGCACACCCTGCGCACGCGCCCACCCCCTGGCTCAGCCATCACTGTGCCGATGCCACCGCGACACCCCCCGTCGTCGCAATCCTCACAGGTTCCACTCGTCCGCCTCCCCGCCCGCGCCCCACTCCCCCTGGTACTCCCCCTGCTCGTACCCCGCGTAGTCCCCCTGCCCGCCCTGGCTGTACGCCCCCTCCCCGTCGATCGCCGACGCTGGCCCCATGTCGCCCTCGTACACCTCCAACCGCTGCTGCAGGTCCGCCACCTGCTCCTGCAGCCGCGCCCGCTCCTCCTGCAGCTGCGCGAGATCCGCCCCCTGCCCGGCGTCCCCGCCGCTCTGCGCCGCCTGCAGCTGCGCGCGCAGCGACTGCACCTCTGCACGCGCAGCGTCCGCCTCCGCCTGCTGCGCACGCAGCGCCCTGACCTCGTCCTGCGCGGCGAGCGTGCGGTGGATGGCGTGGGCGCACTGACAAAGGCGGGAACGGTGCCGTCTCGGCCTGACTCGAGCGCTCGCGGCCGTTGTTCCGCAGTTGCGGCGGTTGCGGTGTTGTGCCCACGGCCGCGAGAGAGACGGGCGCGAACGCGCGGTCCCTGCTGCGCCCCTGCACCGCTACACATCGCCCCGTGCGCGCCGGCCCGGCCCGGTCGCTGGCGGACCTGGGACGCACCTGGAGCTGCTTGTGCGCGGCGGCGAGCTCCCCGGAGTCCTGCGGCGCGTCGGCCTCGGGCTGCTGGAGCTTGGAGAGCCGCGCGAAGATGGCCGCGGCGGCGTCGCGGTCGTAGTCGCCCAGCACGGACTGCACCTGCGCCACAGGCGCGCACACCGCCATCCGCGGCTCCCCGTTCTCGGGGCCCGCTGCGGCAGGAAGCTGCTCCGCTGGCTCCTGCGGGTGTCAGCGGTGACGGGGGGGGCTTGCTTGGGCGAGGGACCGGGGCGGCGTGGCGTGGGGGCGCCGTGCGACCTTGCGGGAGGGCGGGAGGGGTTGGTTCTGCACCTGGTAGGCCTGGGCGGCGGGATCCTGTGCCTGGTAGGCGTCGTATGTCTCTTGTGAGTTCTGCGCCTGTCCGTAGTTGTCGTACGACTGGCCGTACGTCTCGTGGCCGCTGTATCCAGCCACGCCCTGGTAGCCGCTCCCCGTCGCCTGTCCGTACGGGGCAGCCACGGCCGGAGCACCGCCGTAGACTTGCTGCTGCTGGTAGTACGACATCGCTGCGAAAAATCCGCGCCTCGGGTCACGGGTGAGAAGACAGGGGCTTTGGCCGCAACGAAAGTGCCCGCGTGGGCTGGAAACGAGGATGTTTTGTGGGGTGGTCGCTGCGCTTGGATGCTCGAAGCGGCGTCGTCGCGGTGTGCGCATGCGCGCGGGCGCGGACCCATTGTGCCGCGCTGTTGACCCACGCGGGGCCTCTGGCGGGACAGTCTCCCCTGCGTCAGCGCGCGCTGCGGAGGAAGTAAGCTTCGAGAACATTACCAGGCCGCTCCCTGCCGGACTGGCCAGTGTGCGAGCGCCGAATGGCGCCGTGGGGCGCGCCTGGTGCGATGTCCATCTGGTGAAGCCAGTCCCGCAGAGGCTCTTGGGGACACGAGAAAGAACGAACGCGCGAACATGGGGTGATAATCGCCGTTCCAAACATTGAATCAGCCGGGGGCGGGCGAAAATCGAGCAGCAGGCCACCATGACGGTCCCGCTGAGGGCCCAAAGCGCCGGTGGAATGGAGTTCGGAGTGCGCATCGTGAGCATCGACTACTACATGGCGAGGTACGTCGGTGGCCCCGTCAAGATCTGATGTCCCGTACCGCGTATGCTCTGTGAGAATTGAAGTCCCATAGTCCACGCGACGGCGCCTTTTTGTTGCGATGCACACCGAGGGGGACATCGTGCCGGGCGCCGCGGTGTCACCGCTTCAGCGCACCTCCCCTCGTTCCCGCAGACCCATCAGAGACATCGACGTCCTCCTCACCCAGAGCGGCGAGCAGATCCGCCAGGTGCGCTCCCGCGCCTCCCACACCGCACACACACAACCTCGCCCCGCGCCGCCGTCGGCCGAGCTCCCCAGTCACGCGACCCGTTGCGCGCGCAGGTCCCGATCGTGCGCATCTTCGGCGCGACCCCGGCCGGCCAGAAGTGCTGCCTCCACGTCCACAGAGCGTTCCCGTACCTCTACGTACCCCTGCCAGACAGCGTCCCGCAGGACCCGCAGCACGTGCAGGCGTACCTGCGCCGGCTGACCGCCGCGATCGACCGAGCAGGTGCGCGTGCTGCGCGGGCCCGCACGTCCCGTCCGCCTCAGCGACGCTGTGCCGATCAAGCACAACGTACGTGTACGTGTGCGTTCGACATTGATCGACCGCGACGCACGCTGCGCGTGTTCCTGCAGCGGAGATCGCGCGTGTTGCGCGGCAGAAGGAGCGCGAGGAGAAGGAGCAGCGGCAGCGGCCGCAGCAACAGCAGCAGGGTGCGGCGCAGGGGAGTGCCCGCGGAGGCAGAGCGCCGGCGGGACGAGCGGCGGAACCGAGGGCGCACGTGCTGGCGGCCTCGCTGGTCCGAGCGCGCAGTGTCTACGGGTTCGAGCCGGACGACACGCTCTTCGTGAAGATTCAGTTGCTGGACCCGCGGCAGATGACCCATGTCACCACCCTCCTCCAGGTGTGTGTGTCATTGCGACGCTTGCAAGTGCTGCTGGCGTGCCGTGGAGTGCGTGCATCGCAGCGGTGGAGCGACTAGGTGTTCGGCAGCTCGGGACCCTCGGCAAATATCAATTCGTGGTGTTTCGTTTTTTCTTCGGCGCAGTCTGGCGCGATCCTCGGGCAGCGGTTCCAGCCGTTCGAGTCGCACGTCCCGTACCTGCTCCAGTTCAAGATCTCGTACAACCTCGTCGGCATGGGCGTCCTCCGCCTCTCCCACGTGCGCTTCCGGGGGTCCCTCCCCGACGGCGCACAGTGCCGACGTCTGCGCTTCCTCGACGGACTCGCCGACCACGACCCGAGCGGCGGCGCGCCGGGCCAGTCCGCGTCCCCGCCTCCTCCGGCGTCCCTCGGGAGCGCCGGAACGGCCGGCGGCGCGGCGGCGCGCACGTGGCTGGCCGACTCATGCCCCGACACGTGGAGGTGGGGGTCGCGGCGACTCCCCCGGCGCAGCAGCACGTGCGAGCTCGAGTGCGACGGGTCCGCGGAGGACATTCTGAACGTGCTCGACGCCGTCCGGATGGACCTGGCTGACGCCAGCCCTGACGATCGTCTAGTTGAGTCTCTGATCAATATCTGGGAAGACGAGAAGGCCAGGACTGGCCGGACGCCGCCGCCGCCGCCGCCGGACCTCGAGCGCGAGCCGGAGACGCTGTGCACGTACGTGGAGGACATCCGCGCCGCCTTTGTTCGAAGCAACGAGACATATAGGAAACTCAATCCCGAGCTGTTTCCCACGGAGCCTGAGAGGGCGCACGGCGCCCCCTCGCAGACGCCGGCGAGCCAGGCGCCGTCGCAGCTGCTCGGTGCAACTCAGGCTGCGAACCGCGCGCGGGAAGCGGTGGACGTCGCCTCGCCTGCCGCGCTGGCAAGCGGAGACGGCGTGCGGCCGGACGACCCCGGTTCCGCGGTCGACACGGCGACGCCCCGCGGACCGCCCAGGGAGGGCGACTTGGACGAGAACCTCGCGCGGAGCTGCTTCGGCGCCGCGGAGCGCCCCGCGGCTCCGGCGAGCGTGCGCCGTCAGCTTCTGGACGTGCTCACGCAGGCGGGGGATGTTCGCGACGACGGGGGGGGTCCCGACGCCGGGGACCGCGAGGCCCAGCGCGATCGCGAGGACGGCGACGAGGACCACGTCGGGGACGTGAGCGAGCTCATCGCGCTGCTGGAGAGCAGCCAGCGGCGAAGACAGCAGTCGCAGGTGCGCGCGGCTCCTTTGGCCGCACGCCGCGACCGCGCTGGCATGCGCGACGCGCTGCGTCGCTTCCTCGCTGATCGAACCCCGTGTCGGCGACCGTGTGCAGGCTGGCAACCATGGCGCGGCTGTATCTCAACCGTTTGTTGGATGTACGCCTGCTAGGATTCTGGAGGGACCTGAGGCTGGAACACCGTCCTGCTCGGACGACGACAGCGACATCGATGTTGCCGACACGGGCCCCGACGGTCTCGACGTCCTGGCGCAGGAGCTCGCGAAGAGTCAGGATCCAAGGTCTCCTGGCGAACAGGAACAACCACAGGCTGCCGGGGCTGACGGCGCGACGCCGAGCCAGATTGCGCCGAGCCAGCGCGACCTCAGCCAGGTCATGGCGTCCGTCGGACCCTCCGCACGGGCGCGTCGCGGCGCCAGGGAGTCGATGGACATTTTGGCATGCTCGCAGGCCGACGAGTACAACGAGTGGCTCTCGCTCTCCGCCCCACGGGACGATACCGACCGTGAAGCTCCTGCCGCAGGGCCTGGTGTTGACGGGGACGCGACCCGCGCTCCCTGGCGCGAGCCGCCAGCAGCGCCGCCGCCAACGCCGGCAAAGGATTGGGTGCGGCCTGCGATGCCGCTCGATGGCCGAGCGCATCGTTTGGACGACGGCCGAGCTGGCACTGCCGGCGGCGACGGTGGAGGCGGGTCCGGGGAAGGAGACATGGATTTAGATGCACATTCAGATATAGAAATGGAGAGTGAACGCAGCGCGGAAGAAGACGAGCTCTTGAGGCTTCGTGGCGGAGGAAACGACGGCGAGGAGCCGGCGCGTCGACAGGTGCGGCGATTCAAGCCGCCGAGGAGGGTCCAGGGCAACGCTGCGCGCCAGGAGGACGCCGCCCGTGCGCGTGACAACAGGTCGGGGGAGTCGCCGGACGATGCATCGCAGGACAGCGACTCGAGCGACGCGGGCCAGTCCGCGGGCGGCTCGTCGCGGTTCGCGGCGCTGACGATGGAATGGCGGCGGAACCAGAGGGTGCGCGGCCGGGGCGGCAGTCGCCCTGCGACGAAAGCTGTGCGTCTGCAACTACCGCTCACACCGCCGCCAGGGCCAGCGAAGGAGCAGGAGACGTCGCGGTCGCCGAAAGGAATCGGTCTATTGACGCCTCCACGGTCGGCGGCGGCGACGCCGAAGCAGCCACACGACGCGCGGCTGCCCGCAAGACCTGAAATGATATCTTCTGATCCTTCGCCGTTCCGAGGACAAGCGGCGCTGCAACACGGCGCAGACGCCGACGCTTCGCTGGACGTGGGCCTTGAATATCGGCCGGACGTGGCGGGCACCGAGCCGGCCCAGCTTCCCAGCACCAACAGATCAGAGACCACACCACCCCACGGCAGGCGACGACTGCGGTTTTCCCCCCGCGAGTCCCAGGCGCTGCTGGACGTCCTCGCGCCGGTCGTCGAGATGGGGACCACAGGCGACGCGGAGGGGCCAGGAACGGCTGCGCAGCATGCGAGCGCCGTCGTGTCGCCCGTGGTCGGGGTCGCTGCGACGCCGCGCGGGTCGGAGGGGACGCGATCCCCGTCTGTGCTGCTCAGCGGCGACGAGATGGCGCTCGACGTGCCGGTCGTCCCGGGAACCCCACCGGACGCGGGCGACGATGCCCCAGGGGGGGGTGTTGACGACGTCAGCAACTCGCTGGATGACGGGCCCGGGGTGGTTGTCGTGACACCTTCGGACCAGCAAGCATCGCCCGAGGAGACCGTCGAGGACACGCAGTCGGACAGCTCTTGGGGGGGGTTTCAAGCTCCGGTCAGACCTGCTGTGCCGTTGATTGGCTCGCAGGCGTCTCCCGCAAGGGCGCTGCCGCTGCAGCCGTCCGGCGCCTCACAGCGGTCGCGCGGCACCGCGATGCGCATTGACTCGCCGCCTGTGCCGGAGACGCAGTCGTTGCATGAGGCATCGCAGCCTGACTCAATTGTCAGGGGGGGGTCGCAGCCGGGACAAGATGACGCCGACCGAGAAGCAAACCGACCGCGGAGCGAGCCGTCTCCTCAGCACGGACAGGCTGCGTCACTTCCGGACCCTCCGCTGCAACACACCCCCAGCGCAGGGGGAGTGTCGCCACTTGGGGCCAGTCAGGGCCGCTCCGACCGCGGCTCCGGACCGTCGCAACCGGACCCGCCCGCGGGGGAGACCGCGCATGCGAAGCCCGCGTCGCAGCTGAGCTCCGGACAGCATGCCACGCCCTCTGACGCGCCGCAGCCCCAGCTCCCAGGTGCACTCACCTCCGCGACGCGCCCACGTGGCGCACTCGCGCGGCAAGCGGGCAACGAGCCCTCGCAGGGCGATCCATCGATTCCCAGACGCGCCGCTCAGCGGCAGGGCTGGATCCGGCCCGCTGTTGAGCCCCCCACAGAAGAGCAGGTCGTTCAGGATATTGTCGAGTCAGGGGGGGATGTTATCGTGTACCAGGAGCCGTTCTACTCGCGCCGCGCGGACGGCCCGCGCAACGGCATCGCGACTATCGGCGGGCTGCAGTTCCGCGCGCGTTTCAACGACCTCCAGTCCCTCCGCGGCTTTAACGAAACAAGCGGCGAGCCGACCTTCCTCGAAGCGGCCATCGCGCGGGAACGGCGCAGGGAAACAGCCGAACGGGACGAATCCACCCGAGCAAACGCTCCCCCGGCGCCAGCCGGGCCTCCAGCGGCCGATGCGGCGTTTCGACCGACCATTGTCTTCGGGCAACGCGCGGGGCCGACGTGCTCCGGCTGGAGGGTGGTGCGGGTCGCCGCGGCGCCGCCGACGTACGCCGAGGCCCAGCGGTGGCTGCGGGAGGGCGGGCACGGGCGCGGGACGGCGCGCTCGTCGCGTGCGCCCGTGGATGGCATGGACGAGAACACTGGCAAGCTCGTGGTCGGTGCTGACACGGCAGGAGAAATGCTCGGGACCCCGTCCGGCGTGTCGGGCCTCGGGGCGGACCTGACGCAGGTCTCCCTGACCCAGGGCCGCTCTGGAAAGCGCGCGCGGTCGCGTGCGGCGTCCCAGGCGACGCAGAGTGAGCGGCAGCCGGAGCGGGACGATGGAGCGGCGTCCGGTGACAGCGAGGACTCGTTCAAGCCTCCGTCGCCCAAGTACGACCAGGGGACCGACTTCTTCTTCCGCACGCCCGCGCTGCCCTCCGCGTACCGCGCGCGAGCGAGCACCAAGCGTCGACGCCACACAACGGAGAAGGGGGAGCGAGCGTCGGCCTCCGCGGACGCAGCGCGCGACGGCTCGCACGCCACGGGCGCCGCCACCCCCCCGTCCGTCACGGCGCCGCGGGCCGGGACGACGCCGTCGCCGCACCGCAAGACGAACCGCCCTGGCGCGCTCGGGCACGCGAACCCGACTGTCAGTCAGCTGGACGGTCCCCCGGGGGGCACTGGCGCCACGACGCCGACGCCGACCAGCCAGGTGGGGTTCCGCAGGTCGAGGCTTGCCGGAAAGGGCCTCGGAATGAGCGCGATGTGCATCGAGGTGCTTGCCGAGTGCCGCGGGGGGCTTTTGCCGGATCCGCGCTTCGACGCCATCCAGGCGGTGGCGCTGTCGTGCTACGAGGACTGCGAGGACGTCGACGGCGGCAAGTACCTCACGCACGTCGTCCTTACCGGGCCGGAGGCCGAGGTGCAAGCGACAGTCCCCTCCGCTGACAATGTCACTCCCCCCCGGTCGGGTCCCACGCCTGAGGGAGCGGGCAGCCGGCCTGAAGCGTCGCCGGGAGCGTTGCCTGCGCGGGGACTGGCCGCGGAGGGCGCGAGCGGCCTCGGACCGAGCGGGGCGACGGCGGCAACCTTCCGGGACCTGTTTCGCGGCGCCGCGGCGGCCGGCGCGGCGATGCGCGAGCAGGACGACGATTCTCCCGACGACGACGACGCCGCGGGGGACGCACGCGACGAGGCTGCGCAGGACCTCTTCCCGGGGGAGGACTGGGCCGACGGAGTCAGGGAGGTGGTGTCTGACGGCATCTCGGGGCCTGCGTCAGGCGTGGTGGTCCTGGAGGCCGCGGGCGAGGTCGGCGTGCTGCGGTACCTCGTGTCGTGCGTCCGCGCGATGGACCCCGACGTCCTCATGGGGTTCGAGATCCAAGGAGGCAGTCTCGGGTATCTGATTGATCGAGCTGCAGCCCTCGAACTCCCCCTGGTCCGGGAGCTCAGCCGGGTGCCCCGCGGGCCCGCGTCGCCCGCCGAGGCCGCGGGCGCGGAGGCCGACGAGTACGGCCGGCTGCACCAGAGCGGCCTGCACTGCACGGGGCGGGTGATCCTCAACCTATGGCGCGTGCTGAGACACGAGCTGAAGCTCACGTCCTACTCGTACGAGTCCTGCGCGGCCGCGGTGCTGCGGCGGCGCGTGCCGCGTCCGCCGCGGACCGAGCTGCACCGGTGGTTCTGCGGGGGCCCCGCGGGGGGCCGCTGGCGGGCGCTGACGCACCTGGTGAACCGAGCACGGGGGGGGCTCGAGATGTCTGACGCGCTGGACCTGCTCGGGCGGACCGCGGAGCTGGCGAAGACGTTCGGGATCGACTTCTTCTCCGTGCTGTCGCGCGGCAGCCAGTACCGCGTCGAGAGCATGATGCTGCGGCTCGCGCACACGCAGAACTACGTGGCTCCGTCGCCGTCGCGCGACCAGGTCGCAAACCAGCCCGCGATGGAAGCGATCCCGCTCGTGATGGAGCCCGAGTCGCGGATGTACTCCTCCCCCGTCGTGGTCCTCGACTTCCAGTCTCTTTACCCTTCCATGATCATCGCGTACAATCTGTGCTTCTCGACTTGCCTCGGACGCCCCGCGCACTACCGCGAGGGCGACGGCGCGCGGCTCGGGATCCTGCAGAACATGAAGCTGCGCGAGGGGCTCCTGCAGGGCGACCTGGACCCCGCAAAGCTGAACGTTGCGCCCAACGGCGTGGCCTTTGCGCCGCCTGCGGCGCGGCCGGGGGTCCTGCCGCGGCTGCTGAAGGAGATCCTCGACACGCGCGTGATGGTGAAGGCGGCGATGTCGCGGCTGACGAAGGACGAGCAGGCCGCGGCGGCCGAGGGCAGGCCCGGGGCGGCGTCGACGCGCGTGCTGCAGCGGTGCATGAACGCGCGGCAGTTCGCGCTGAAACTGATCGCGAACGTGACGTACGGGTACACCGCGGCGGGGTTCTCCGGGCGGATGCCGATGGCGGAGCTCGCGGACGCGATCGTGCAGTCGGGGCGCGAGACATTGGAGAACGCTATTCGGAAAGTGAACAATCATCCGAAGTGGAGGGCGCGGGTGGTGTACGGGGACACGGACTCGATGTTCGTGCTGCTGCCGGGGCGGAGCAAGGAAGAGGCGTTCGCGATCGGGCGGGAGATCGCGGAGGAGGTCTCGCGCGCGAACCCGCCGCCCGTGCGCCTCAAGTTGGAGAAGGTCTATCTGCCGTGCATCCTCCAGACCAAGAAACGGTATGTGGGGATGGCCTTCGAGTCCCCCACGCAGAAGCGCCCGCGGTTCGACGCCAAGGGCATCGAGACCGTCCGCCGCGACGCCTGCCCCGCCGTCGTGAAGATGCTCGAGCAGACCCTGCGCATCCTGTTCGCGACGAAGGACCTGTCGCTCGTGCGGAGCTACGTCGTCAAGCAATGGCAGCGCATCCTCGCGGGGCGCGTCGGGGTGCCGGATTTTGTGTTCTGCAAGGAGGTCCGCCTCGGGTCCTACTCCGCGCGTGCCTCGGCGCCGCCCCCGGCGGCGGTGGTGGCGGCGAAGGCGATGGTGGCGGACCCGCGCGCGGAGCCGCGGTACGCGGAGCGCGTGCCGTACGTCGTGGTGTACGGCGAGCCCGGCGCGCGGCTCGTCGATCTTGTCGTGCCCCCCGAGGCCCTCGTCGAGTCCAAGGTACGCTCGGACGCAACCACACATCAATTCCGTTGCTTTTTCTATATTTGGTGTCTCCATGCAGGCACAGCGCGCTACGAGCGCAAGGTGTGGCCTCACGGCCAGCGTCATCGTGCAACCCAATGGCGTCGATCGAGTAAAGGGCTTTTGAATGATTGCAGGGTCGTCTCCGCCTCCATGCGATGTACTACATCACCAAGCAGATCCTCCCTGCGCTGGAGCGCGTCCTGACGCTCGTAGGCGCCGACATCAACACGTGGCTCGCGGCCATGCCGCGCCCCATGCGGCTCATGCCGCACAAGCGCCCCCCGCAGCACCTCCCGATCTCCACCGCGCCCGACACGCAACCGCGGCCGCGGCAGGGCGGTTCGAGCGCCGTGCACGTCGCGGCGAGCGCGGCGACCGAGGGCTGGACCGCGGCAGCGCAGGGACTCGTGTCGGGGGCGGCTGCGGGGATCGTCGGGGCACAGAGGACGGCGCGTGCGCCGACGATCGACCAGTACTATCTGTCGCGGCACTGCGCTGCCTGCGACGGGCTGACGCACGCGGCGCGGGCGCTGTGCGACGGTTGCCGGGCCGATCCGCAGAGCAGCGCTCTCACGCTCGGCACGCGCGCCGCCCGCCTCGACGCGCAGCTCGCGCGCATCGTGCGCATTTGCCTCATGTGCGGCGGGGGCACTGTTCACGCGAGCGACATCGAGGACGCGGGCGCGCGGCGCGACAGCAGCGCCGCGACGAGCGCGGGGATCAGCTGCGTCAGCCTGGACTGTCCGGTGTACTACGAGCGCAACAAGCTCGCGCACGAGGCGCACCAGGCCAGCGCGCTTCTGGACACGGGGCTGGCGCTGCTGGAATCGGACGTGCGGAGCTGGCGCGAGTCCGGCAGCTGATCGAGGACGGGCATCGATGCGTACGAGTGCTGGTGGAGCGCGCGAGTCACTGCGTGTGGTCCGGTCCGCGAGGCAACAACAACGTAGTTGTCTTGGGCTGAGACGTCAGGTCTCTGCCGCTGCGCAGCGCGGGCATCGGCAGCGCGGCGCATTGGAGCTTCGGCGAGGCTGTGAGGCGCGTCGTGCCGCATCGGAGGTTCCGGGGCGCTCCGAGTGGCGTCAGGTTCCCAAGACTCCCCTAGCTGGCAGTTGGACGGTCCTGGCCTCATCACGGTCCCACGAGGGCCGCGAGGCAACTGCGCGGAGTCGTGCACCCACCGAACCTCGCAGTCGGACACGATGTCGGCGTCGCGGGTGGCAATGCGGCGCGCCACGCACGCGGGCTCGCATGCCAACATAAACATCGGCTGGATCCCACCCACGCCCGAAACAGCCTTCATGGGCATGCTCCCCGCGACGCCGGAGTACCACGATCCGAACTTCTTGCGCTCGATCTCGTCGATGCCGGTGAGCGGCCCCGTCGCGACGTGCTCGAGCGTGGTTCAGTTGCAAGTTGCAACTCCCGTCATCATATGCCGATTCCTCACTCGAAGCGGCGTCGGCGCCGGTCGAGACTGTCTGCCTCGGCGCTCGCGGTCTGACGAGAACGAGAGCGCCCGCCTCGATGGCGTGTCCGTCCCGATCGGTGGCCGTCCTAGCCCGAGTTTCTCAACTGAAACAGGTGTCATTGATGCTGCTCTCCGCTGCAGGTCAACTCGCCGTTCGACCTGTCGGGCGGAGACCCCGACACTACAGCCACGCTCGAGCGCCTGCGCGACCAGCGCGCGCGAACCGACCAGCGCAGCGAGCTACAGATCCAGCGCGCACTGTCATCGTCTCTACAAGCGGCCAGCGACCACGGCTCGCGCGCCCGGCACGCCCGGCACCGCAGGTCCATGTCGACCGCTGCCGGCGGAGTCGAGGCAGCGCAGCAGTGGTGGACCGGGTACCCAGTGTCCGCCGACACGTTCGCCGCGCTCTCCGAAGCAGCGTCCGGGGGGTTCGGCGGAAAGCTCAAGGTGCCGCGGATCTTCGCCAAGAGCATGCGCGGCGTGTCGTTCACGTGGGAGTACCTCGCGAAGGACAACGTCCACATCCTGGTGCCGGACTCCTTCGAGGCGGCGGCTGTCGTGGTCTTCGGCCCGCCGCGCTCCCTCGTGCAGCAGCTGTCCAACACAGGAGCAGACCTCTCCAGCGTCGTGGTCCCGTCCGGCTCCGTCACGGTGCGCAGCACCACGGGCCGGCACGTCCAGATCGACCAGAAGTACGCGCAGCACGCGCTGACGGTGCTGAACGACATCAGGGGGCACGTGCCCCGGGGGGCCATGTGCGCGTTCTGCGGACACGGGATCGGCGGCGGCGTCGCGATCGCCGCGGCGGTCCTCGGGGCGGGGTCCGGGTTCTGTCTGGACGTGGACCTGATCACGTTCGGGGCGCCCCCTGTCGGGAACGGGGCGTTCTCGCGCGCGGCGCACGCGCTGATTCCGATGCAGCTGCACGTGGTGCTGGACACGGACCCCGTCGTGAACCGCTTCGCGGACGAGGGCAGGGCGCCGATGCCAGGGCGCATTACGATCGGCGGGGTGATGGCGGGGTGCATGCCGTCGGGGGGCGGCAGGGCGTCGCCGAAGACGTACAGGAAGGCGATGCGGCGCGACAAGATGCTGTCGTGGTCGGGCGACACGGACGCAAGCGGGTCGGAGTTCGAGTGACACGACTCAACGCTCTGCAACATGTGAGGTACAAACAACAGATCCAGCGCATAATTTGTGGTCATTGATGGACGCGCGCTACGCACGGAACGCAAGCGCGCTGTCGGTCATACTCAGCGATATCGCGTGCGAGGAGCGTTCGCGCGAAATAAGACGTTTGTCGTTGTGCGATGCCGTTTGCGGTAATACGCTAGCACATGTCGCCTATCGACCCGCACAGCTCGCCCATGCACTCGAAGATCTCCCCGCAGCAGTCCCCGCAGCAGTCCACCATGTCCCCCCCGAGCTCCCCCACCGCCTCCGCCGCGGTCCCGATCCCCTCCCCGGCCGCCTCCGCCAGGTCCGCCGCGCCCTCCGCGAGCCCCGAGAACGCGTCCGGCACCCACTCCACCACGTCCCCGCCCACGCTCATCATCACGTTGCCCACCGCCATCCCGGCCGCGCTCATGTCGACGTCGCCCAGCGTCAGCACCGCCACGCCGATCAGCCCCACCGCCGCCGCGCCGCCGATCGCGATCCCGGCGACCGCGCCGCCGCTGAGCCCCTTCTTCGAGCTCTTCGCCTTCTCCCACTCCTTCATCTTCGACTTGGGAATCTCGAACCCCACCAGCCCCGTGTGCACGCACGGGATGTTGTTCTTGACGCTCATCTCGATCGCGCGCGCCTGGAGCCGCTCGTCCTCGTGCAGCCACGCGCGTCCGATGGTCAGGTCCAGCTGCTGCTTCGCGAACACCTTGTCCAGCGGGATGTGCGCCGTGCGCCACGACGGCACCTCCAGCTCGAACTTCGTGCCGTTCGGCAGCACGCCCGTGAGCTTGATCTTCTCGGGCCAGTGCCCGCCGAACTTCCCGGAGACCACGAGCGGGCGGTTGACGTACAGGTCGGGCACGGGGAAGGGGTACAACTCGCAGTCGGTCAGGCCCTCGATGCTGAGCGCCACGTCGCCGAGCACGGGCAGCGCCGAGGCCTTCATGAGGCCCTCGATCTGGTGCTGGATGCTGTACGCGCGCAGCGCGACGTCCGCGAACCCGCGGCCGGCCTCGGCGAGGATCTTCAGGAAGTAATGGTTGCAGAAGGGTCCGATGCCCATGGTGTGGATGCGGGGGATGGCGAGGCCCGTGTAGGCCGGGTCGGACTTGAGGGAGAGGGCCCACTTGCAGATGTCGCGCTCGTTCTGGACCGCGCCGTCGGTGAGCAGGAAGATGTAGGGGATGCCGTAGCTGGCGTCGGGGCTGCGGAGCATGTCGGCGGCCTGGCGGAGCGGAGTCAGGATGTCCGTCATGCCCTGCTCGACCAGGTTCTGCTCGCACCACCGCGTGGCCTCGCGCACGGCTTTCTGCGTGGCCTGTACCACGCCCTGCGAGCACAAGACAAGTCGAGTGGTTGTGTCTGGTGCGCTCCCGGTGCGAGTGTGCGTAAGGCGCGAGGCCGCGGCGCTCGGAACCGCATGGTCCGGATCTATACCGCCGCAGCGTCCACGGGCCGGCTGGCGTGCCGCGCGAGAGCTGGTGCGCGGTCCGGGCGCGTCGAAGTGGGCGGCGCCAGTGCGAGGCGCGTCGCTGGCGTGCAGGGGCGGGGCTCACCGGCTGGAAGCACTTCTGGCGGTGGTCGTACGCGATCACGTTGAAGTAGTCCCTGTCCGACAGCTGACTCAGCGCCGCGACCACCCCCGCGCGCGCCAGCTTCATGGGCTCGCCGTACATGCTCCCCGAGCAGTCCACCGCGAACACGATCGACCGCGGGAACGGCTGCGCGAACTGCTCCTCCGGCGGCGCCACCGCCAGGCAGAACGTCCCCCGCGGATCGTCGCCCGTCGGGTCCTGCACGTTGAGCGTGGCGCGTATCTGCTGCGCCCACACGCTGTACGCCAGCACCATCTCGGTCCCGCCCGGCCCGTCCGCGCCGGGCACCTGCCGCAGCCGCACGTGCCCGCCGAGGCTCTCCGACCCCGCGTCCGGCTGCAGCTTGTGCGTGTGGCAGCGCCACTTCACCGCGGCCTGGTCGCCGCTGTTGATCGTCGCCGTGATCGTCTGCTGCAGCTGCGCCTTCTCCAGCCGCGCCTCCGCCGGCACGCGCGTCGGCAGCCGCGCCTCGTACGAGCCCATGCGGAACTCCCCCGGTTGGAAGAAAGACAGGTGCAGGCGGAGGACGTCCTTGGGGCGCAGGGCCGGGACCTGCATCCGGAACAGCTCGGGGTCCCCGCGGAAGGCCTCGTCGACGGCCTCGTACGCGGCGTCGGCCTTGTCCTGCTTCTTGTTCTTCTTCGCTGACTTCTGCGCGTTGCGCTCGACGTCCTGCTTGGAGAGCACCGCGGTGAGGAAGACGTTGTTGGTCGTGGCGTTCTCGAGGCGGACGCCCGTGATGACGCCGTCGCGGTGCTTCGGCAGGATGAAGAGCCCCGGCCCCTTCTTGGCGTCGCTCGGAACGATGTAGTCCACGATGGCGTCCGCGAAGCACGTGCCGATGTGGAAGTCCGCGTGCAGGTTGTACGTCGTGATCTGGCACGGCTTCCTGCGCGGAGGGGGCGTGCGGCGCGGGTCGGCGCGGCGCGTCGCGACACGTGCCGTGCGGGGGCGTAGCGCGGGCGAGCCGATCGGCGTACCACGAGCGCCCAGTGGCGTCCTGGGCGACGTAGATCATCGGGCAGGTGGGCTCGGGAATGCCGATCGAGGAGAGGCCGCCGACGCCCTCCGCGCCGGGCCCCGCCGGCTTGGTCGCCTGCTGCACTGGCGCCTGCATCATGGGGGGGGCGCTGGGCTGGCCGACGGCTGGCACCGCGCTGCCGTACGCCGGGTACCCCTGCACAGGCTGGCTGCCCTGGAGGTAGCCCTGGGAGTTCCCGGCGCCCAGCGGCACGTTGTGCATCGGCGGGTAGGCGCCTTGGTTGGTCTGGGGAGGGTACCCCGCGGGGGGGTAGGGGTTGCCCTGCGGGGGCGGGTAGCCCGACATTGCCTGCGATCGTGACGGGCTTTCGGTGGGCGGTGAGTGCCGGCGTCGGCGGGCTGCGTGCGCGCGGGGCGGGGGAGGGTCGTTGGGTGGTGCATGGGAGCAGCGCGTGCGGCGGTGTCGGTCCGGAGATTCGGGTTTCGGGGTGGAATTATGGATAGCGGGGTAGTGGTGGCGGTAGCGGTCGGATGGGTACGCGCAGTGGCCCCCTTGAGAGGCCGCGGAGACGCGGTGAAGAGCATCGAAGAGAGATGGAGTCAGATCTGGGACCGATGGGGCGGAACTAGACGCGCGCAACGCACCAGGGAGTTGACAGATTCCTCAGTGAAGCTACCGCTCGTCTGAGACGCGCCCTCGCGGCGGGCCTGTTTGCAGGTGGCCGCGGTCTGTAGAGACGGGACGTAGCGCCGCGTTCCGCACACGCGACACGGCCGCTGCTGTTTTATACCAGTGCGCCTGCAGGAACAGCCGAGTGCGGGGCCCTGCGGCGCTCGTGCACGCCATGGACCCCACGCGGCGGGCCGCGCTCGCGTCAGTGCTGGGATGGACTCCGGGGGGGGCTGCTCTGGGGACCGACACGGACGACGCCGCCGAGCGCCGCCCGCGCGGGTCCTCGTTGGGGCTCGTGCGGCTCGCGCGGCGCCATTCCCGCGGTCACTCTGTCCCTGGCTGTTCGCCCCGGAGACGCTGAGGCCTCTCTTTCGAGTCACGCGCCCCGCCACGTCACTGCCAGGGAGCCGCGACGCGGGGCTGCGGGCGTGCGAGATAGCCCGGCCGTTCTCCACTCGCCGCGGCGGTTCGCGGGCGGGTGCGGCGTCGGAATCGGCGACGGCGGGCAGCGACCTCGCCTGCGTTTGAGCAGTGCTGCGCGATGCATCTGCGGCGCTGGGGCGATGCGTCCGCGGCGGGATCCGGGCCCGGCGGCAACTCTAGGCCTCGCGCGAGGCGGCACGTCATCGCGCGAGCCTCCAGCGGCGGGGGCGCCGGCGGGGCGTCGTCGGGCTTGTCCAAACAGCAGGTGTGTGTGCAGTTCATCGCCATTCGTACTTCCCTGACTCAGCGGGGAAGGTGCTCTGCGATTTCGCATGGAGACAGGGCGAGGCATCGCCGGGGAGCGGCGCTCCGCGATTCATAGCGTTCCTGGCCCTGGCGAGCGATCAGGCGCCACAGAGGCACCACGCTGCGTGCACGCTGCTCTCCCGCAGGTCGTGCTGCTGTCCGCGGGGGCCGTGGCGGGGTCCGTCGTCGTCGGAGCGTTCTTCCTCGGCAGGTCCGCCGGCCACACCGACAACATGACGGCCCTGGAGAAGGACCACGCGTCGAATAGGTGCGGGCCCCCTCCCACGGCGACCCGCGACGTCTCTCGGGCCGCTCCGCTCCGGCGACGAGTCGCGACGCAGCGTTTCGATCGATTGCCATCCGCCCGGCGCGCCCATTCCACACGCCACGCGGTGCGGCGCCGCAGACCGCCACCGCCCGCCCGCGTGCACCTACAGGTTCGACATCGACACTCTGAAGCGGCTCCAGCAGGACGCCTTCCAGGACATCCTCAAGCTGAAGCAGCGCGGCTCCGGCAGCGCGTTCCGCGCGCGCTCCGTGTCCTCCGTCGGCGGCGCGGACGCCGGCGGGGGCACCTTCACGGGATCGCTCACCATGCGATACGGCATGTTCCCGTCGACGACCGCGGCGGAGACGACGCGGTTCGCGGTGCTCGAGGACGCCGGCCCGGCCTGCGAGGTCCGGATCAAGGCGGACACCCGGGGGGGGTCTGAGGCGCCCCTGTACGCCTCGTTCGAGCTGGCGTCCGACTGGTTCGACCCCGACGTGCAGCTGCGGAAGGCGCTGGTGAAGCGCCGGACCGACCCGCACTTCGAGTTCACGTTCGCGCCGTTCCACGGCACGGCAGGTGAGCTTCCGGGGCGTTGCTCGCTGTTGTGCGTTGCGTCGACCCTCCGTCTGCGCCGCGTGGACGCTCGCTGACCGCTCGCGCCGCCGCGTGCCCGGTGCGCGCAGCCGACATCATGCCGACGCTGAACGCGAACGACGGCGCGGGTCTCACGTCGCTCGTCAAGCGCGGGTGCCCTCTGCACCACATGGCGGCGGGAACCGGGCTCGGGTTCGGGGCGGGCGTCGGGGACACCGTGCACCTGTCGCTCGGGTTCCTGCAGCGGCAGGAGGAGAAGGACGACTACCTGACCGCGCCCGCGGACGCCGCGGGCTCCGACGAGGCGGGCGTGGTGTCGTCGCTGTTTGGGCAGGCGGCGTGCTTCCCGACGTCGTGGCTGGCGCTGTCCGTGGTCGGACTGACGCAGCAGATCTCGGAGAACTACAAGGACACCATGTCGGCGTCGTTCGTCCGTCGCGGCGTCGCCGAGCTCCTGCGGGCGGTGCGCAGGACCCCCCCCGCTGACGCGGGGGCGCTGGGGGGGATGCTGCGGTCCAAGCTGGGGATCTGCGCGGCCGTGCGGTCGGGGAACGCGAGCCTGTCCGGGTGGGGCGCGATCGGGGGCGCGTACAGCCCGGACGGGACGCTGCTGTCGGACGGAATCAACGGCAAGCCGGAATTCGGACTCAAGTTTTCAGGTCTGAATCCCGCAACGGGCGGAGGGTTCCAGGTCGGGGTCGGGATGCGGCGGCCACCGCACGAGGAGATGTTCCGCGACGACAAGGTGCGCACGCCGCGCCAACTGCACCGACCCCTGCACGACCACGGTGGTGACGCGCCGTGACGACGACGCTCCCGCGCGTTGCGTGCGTGCTGGTTTCTCTCCGTCCGCCGTGGGTCTGAAGCGGCGACGGCCTGGGTGCGGCTGCAGACGTTGGAGAGCTGTCCGAAGCTGGTGGGCGAGGCGAGCATGACGTTCCCGGTGCCGGGGGCCGGGGCGGACGTGACGATGACGCCGGGGCTGGTGTTCTTCGTGGACGACGACACGCCGCGGTCGATCATGGTGCTCCAGAGCACGTGGGCGTTCTAGGCGAGGTGTGCGTCGACGCGGGACGTGGAGCAACGCCACCGTGCGGCTCCAGGGCACGGCGGGGGCATGCCGCCCGCGACCGTGACTTCCCGTGTGATACTGAGATCTCTCTGTCAAATCCCCAACCCCTCCCATCGACGTGGAGTCCATATGCATCGATGCTGTCTGACTGGGGTGACGAGGCCTTTCCTGGAGCCCGGCGCCGGCGGGTTACAGGTGCGTTTCAGGCCGCAGTGCGCGCCACGAAGCAACCTCGCGATGTCCAGCGCCCCCTCTGTCACCCCTCACGCAGCAACATTGCGCACCCGTTCCCCAGCGCCCGGACATGCACGCTTGCGGGCTCCACGCCCCGCAACCGTACGCAAACCGCGTCAGGCTCGCACGCGCGTGACGGCCCCGAGCTCGCCAGGGCCACTGCCGCTCTCGACACAGGCAGCATGCCCGGGACCTGCATCGTGGTCCGACGCGCGCGCCACGTGCGACAGCGTGCGGCCACGGGCGCGTGCGCGGGCCGGTTCACACGCCCGCGCAGACGCGGGCGTCCGCGTCCCCCGGAGACCTGGATTCTCGACTTGAGAGTCAGAAATCAATCATGGCCTTGTTCTCCTTGAGAGTCAGAAGTCAATCATGGCCTTGTTCTCCTTGGCGCGCTCGAGGTTCTCCTCGGCCTGCGCCTTGAGCGCGGCCTCCGCGATGCGCTCGCTGCGCCCGCCCGTCATCCGCTCCGCGTCGTGCCCCGTCTGCCCCGTGCGGATGCGCACCATGTCGGCCACGGGCGACACAAAGATCTTCCCGTCGCCAATCTCGCCCGTGTGCGCGCTCACGGCGATGACGCGCGCCGCGTCGTTGACCTGGTCCCGCGAGCACACGACCTCGATGCGGGACTTCTGGACCAGCTTGGAAATGCCGAACTCCGAGCCGCGGTAGCGCTCGATCGACCCGCGCTGGACGCCCATGCCGACCACGTCCGACACCGTCACGCCCTGGATGCCCTCCTCGACGAGGGCGCCGAGGACCTTCTCGAGCATGCACGGCCGCACCAGCGCGTCGAGCTGCGGCGGGTGTGCGGCGCGGGGGCGCCCGTTGAGGGCAGGCAGTTGCCCGGGAGCCCTGCCCGCAGGGAGTGCGGCGCTTCTGAGCCCGGAACGTGCGCGCGGTGTGGCAATCGTGGTCGCGTGTGATGGGAGCGAGGTGGTGGCGGGGGGGGAGCGCGGGTCAGGGCCCGGGGCGCGGCGTGCGGGGGCCCACCTTGAAGAAGGGATAGTCGGGGTGGTTGCCAATCGTGAGTTCGAGACTCTCCAGCGTCTTGTAGACATCCGACTCCGAGTGGCCAGCGGCGACCCTGCAGTGCGGCGGCAGCGGCGTGGCGCGTCGAGCGCAGAGCGGAGATCTAGTGGCAGGGGGCGCAGTGCAGCTGGCCGGGGGGGGGCGAACGGTCAGGGCCGAAGCGCTCCCGGCCTCGCTGCGATACGTGGCGGGTTCGCTTGGCCCGCAGGCCGGCGCATACAGGTGGAGGAGCGTTCCCGTGGCGGTCGCGGACTGCTGGGAGCCAGGTGTGGGTTGCCTCGCGCGCGCACGTCGCGGGTGCCGCGCGGAGCGGAGCATTCGTCGAGCGGGAAGCGAGATGGTGCTCTCGCGAACCGTGCGCAGCGAGGTATCAAGCGGCGCAGGATGACGGGCACCGAACGACAGCACGGTGTGCGGCCGAACTCGCTCGTGCTGCGGGTTCCACGACCGTGCCGGCCGTAGCCGACTGAACGTCGAACTCCGTTCCCGACAAACGACGTCGAGCGATACCGAACGCGCCGCGATTACTGCGAACCGCGCGTCATAGCTTCCAGTGGTCGTTGGGTCCGCCCGCACCTGTGCGAGGCAGCTGCGCGACGGTTGACGCGGGCGGGAGCATGTCCGAAGCCCGACCGTCCCCGTCGCACGGTTGCCCTGGCCGGCAGCGCCGTCACGCGGGCGGAAATCGCAGGCATTGCAATCAGCGTTGTTGGTCCCCGGTCAAGCGAGCTCCCTCGAGTCCCGTTCCGCACTTCAATCACCCGAATATCCCGCCAGCCGCAAGACGCACGCGTGCACCGAGTCCGCGACGCCCGCGTGCCGCGACGCCAACGTTCCGGCCGCACCCTCGCCCTCGCACACGCTGTCAGCTGCAGCAGGTACAACCGGCCTGAAACACCCCCAGGCGCGGCCCACGCCTGCACAGCGACGCGCAGCACGGCCGCCCACCGCGCCCGCGCCGCCAACGCATCCCGACCCGCACCCCTCCCGCGAGCGACCTCCCATTCACCGCCAGACATAATGCACAGTTGCGCGCTCGCGTCACATCCGCACCGGTCAGAACGGCCCCCACTTGTTCCCGATGAGGTCCATGTACACCTTGTCCGGGTCGTCCCGCACGCCCTGCCGCCGCACCTCGGCCTGAATCGTCTCGAACACCGCGCCCGACGACGGGGACCCCGTCGACGCCATCGACTGCACCGTGCACCCGTGCCGGAAGCAGAACGCGCGCAGCTTCGGCCACGTGAACGCCCGGCACGCCAGCGCCACGCTCACGTCCGGCATGTTGATCCTGTTGAGCTCCAAGCACCGCAGCTGCGTCAGGGTCGCCAACACCCCCACCGTCGCGGCGTCCACCATCGCGCCCTCGAGGTGCAGGTTGCACAGCCGCGGGGCGTCCCGCAGCGCCTCGAGCCCCAGCACGCGCACCGTCGCCCGCCCCGGGCCGTCCGCCTCCTTCATGCCGTCGTGCACCAGCGCCATGTGGCGCAGGCGCGGCAGCGGCATCACGGGCGCGAGGGACACGGCGCCCTGGTGCGCGTCCGGGGCCGGGAGCGGCGCGCCCTCGTCGTCGAGGTCGCCCGGGTTGGCCCCCGGCGCGCGGGTGTGGATGTCCAGGGACTCGATCGCCGTCATCGTCTTGAGGAACGCGAGGCGGGGGAGTTCCGGGAGCGGGACGTACTGCGGAGGGCGGCGCGGGGGCGGCGCGTGTCGGGCGGCGCAAGCGGGTGTGCGAGTTTGTAAGGGGGGGGGGGTGTTGGGGGGGTGTTACCTGGACTGCGAGGTAGCGGAGGTTGGTGAGGGCCGTGATGGCGGAGACGTCCTGCCAGATGTCGCTCATGACGGTGAGGTGGAGGTTGCGCAGGCCTGTGACGGCGGCCACGGGGCGGAAGACGTGCTCGTCGACGGACCCGGCGCAGAACTGAGTCAGGCGGGTGAGCGCGGTGACGAACGACATGGAGCCGCCCGGAACCACGTCCTGCGAAAACAGGTGCAGCTGCTGCAGCTGCGTCAAGCTCCCCAGACCTGCACACACACACAGATGAACATTGTCATCACCAGCGTCAGTCAGCCAATACACCCACACGCACACAGACGCACACACGTCCACACACACGCGCGGGCCCGAGCGCCCGCACGCACGCACCGCTCAGGTCCGGCGGCCCGCCGCCCTCGACCGCCACCGCGTCGTCCTCAAGCACCACATGCTCGATGCTCGCCGTGAGAAACGCCCCGGTCGCCTTCAGCGACGTCAGGCCCGTGAGCCGCATGAGGTCGCTCGGCCGCACGGGCTCCATGAGGTCGACCTTGAGGTCCTTGAGCGCCGGCATGCACTCCACGACTTGCAACAGGGAGGGGTCTTGGCAGAAGCTGCCGAGCTCGAGGCGGCGCAGCGTGGGGATGCCCTGCGCGGCCGTGACGAGGCCGACGAGCTTGTCGCACGGGATCTGGCAGTTGGGCAGCGGCGAGATGGCGGCGAACGTCGAGATGTCGTACGGCGCGTCGTCCGCGGGGTCGCCCGCGGCGGCCGGGTCGGGGGGGTCCGCGGCGCCGATGGTGAGGCTCTGCGCAGACGCGGGAAGCTGTCGGTGGTGCTGGGCGGGCGCGCGGCGCCGGGGACGGCGGCTGTGGGGGGCGCGGCAGACGACGAAGGTGGTGGGACGCGGGGCGGGGCGGTGGGTGCGCGGTGGGCGACGCTACGTGCGTGTGCTCGCGTGTGCGGCGCTGTTCCCAGGCACTTGGGGCGGGTGGCGGTGTTGCAAGTGGCGGGTGCGAGTGGCGGGGTGCGCACCTCGAGGGCGTTGCAGACCATGATCATGTTGCGCACTTCGAGGATCGTGGCGCCGAAGAGCTTGTTGTGCGGCATCAGCCACGGCGCGCGCCCGTGCGGCTCCCAGAACCGCAGCGTCAAGTTGCGCAGGCCCGACAGGGCCGTCGCCGCCCCCGCCGGCGCCCGCAAGCACTGCACGCACCGGAACACGCCCAGCGCCGCCCGTCAGCGCGGCCCGCGACGGCGCGGCATGAGGCGGGCACGCCGCGTCGTGCGCGTCAGGTTTGCGCGCGTTTGTTTGCGTTTGTTTGTGTTTGTGGACGTACCGTGTCGTGTATCCGTGCGAGCAGCGGCGGCACGCAGTCGACGTCGAGATACGTGAGGTTCGCGCCCGCGTGCGTGAAGACCAACTCGAGCGCGCGCGCCAGCTGCGCTCCGGCGACGCCCGCGGCCGCGCGCTCCTGGGCGATGCGGTCCGCGGCAGGGCGCCCGGGCGGCACGTTCGGGTTCCAGTCGCAGTCCCACAGCGCCGCCATGTGGCCGCTGCGCAGCGAGATCGCGAAGCGGCGCGGTGGGGCGGTGCGTGCGCGCGAGATGCTGCGTCGTGGGTGTGCGATGGCCCTGTGGCGCCGCGGGGCGTGTGCGGGGCGCGGCGCGGAGTATTCGGAGCGAGAAGGGACTTGGGGAGGCGTCGTGCCTTTTCGGGCGGCTCCACGCGGCCTCTCGGTCCGCAGCGGTGCGGCACGAGGCCACCCAGCGAAGTCCTGCCAGCGCTGGGTCGCCGCGGTCGTGCATGGCGACGAGCTCCTTCGCGGTGGCCGCGGAGAGGACGAGCTTCCACTGGCACGTCGTGGCGCAGGCGTCCATGCCTCGCAACGCGTCCGCGCCCAGGCAGCTGAAGGCCCGGAGCAGCCTGGGGGTGATGCGCAGCGCGTCGTGCTCGGCCCCCGCGCGAATCGTGCGCAGGACGGCCTTGTTTATGAGGAGGAGGTTCTCGACGTCACGCCCGTCGAGATGGCGGAGGACGCGCGGGCACAGGTCCACGCTCTCGAGCACCGCCGCAGCCAGGTGGTGCGCGTCCGCGGCGCCCCCCGTCGCTCCCCTGCGACGCGACATCGCGCCCTTCGAAGTTCGTGGCTCAGTCTATTGTACGTTGGGTCGCGCTGGGTCCCTACAGCGCGCACGACGGCACAGCGCCCGCTGCTTTGGTGCTGTGGAGAGAGCGTCGCTGTCGACGGCGTGGCGCCGTGTTCCGGCTGCCCTAGCTGCGAGGAGGCGGGTGGTGCATCTGCGCGGGGCCTCGTCGGCCAATGTGCGCGAAACGGACCCGCTGGTGGGACCTGATGCCAGTCTGCCGTCCAAGCCCTGGCCCCCCCGCGCTCGACGTCAGTCCCAGGCGCCTTTTGCCATTGCGCGCCGCTCTCTCTCGCGACATTGGCGCGGAAGGTCCGACCCAGCAGTCAGCGAGTTCACGCTGCGGCCCGGCGCTCCGCACCGACCTGGACCTGCCCTCCGCTTCGCTCGCTGACGCCTACCCGGCCCTTCCTCAGGTCCAACCTAGGCTACAATGCTCCGTTCGGCGCTCAGCCGTACGGCGGTGGCGCTTCAGGGGGTTAGGCAGTACGCTCAGGAGGCCGCGAAGGGTGCGGCGTCGCAGGCAGAGAGCATCGAGAAGTTCGTGGAGGAGTTCCGGAAGGCACGCAACCAGCCACGCCGCGCTCCGCATCGCTCTCCTCGACGCGGTTCCGTCGCCGCGCTGCAGCGGCCCCCGCCGCACAGCCCGGCCGCCGCGATTCAGCCTTCCGCAACCATCGCCCGATAGCGCGCGGGCGGGTGGCCGAACCGCCTCGAACTGCGTGGTTCGCGCATGGCCTTGCGCGGCTGGTCGCTGGCGCGGTCGCAGATCTGGCGCCAAGGTCCCGGGCTCCGCGGAACCGGGGCGGGAAGCTGCTGGCTCAACCTCCGCCGCGAAACGCCCCCGCTTCGCCCCCCCGCCGCCCGTGCAGCACGCGCCCTCGTACCTCGACGCGCCAGCGTTCGCGAGCTCGCACATCACGCCGCCTGCGGCCGAGGAGGCGGAGGGAACGCCCGAGGAGCTCACCCTCACTTTTGCCCTGCCCGACCGAACGGCGTTCAAGGTGCGCCTCCGCGGCCCCGCGGCCCACGCCCGCGCGTCGATCATCGCACCGACATGCGAGCGGCCCGCCCCGGCGCCGCGTCCGGGCCCGGCCCCGCCCGTCACGCCCGCAGCAAGGATCGCCGGCCACTACAGCCGCCGCAGCACGCGCGCGCGAGCCTCTCCGCACGGATCCGACCCTTTCCCACCTCGCTCGCTTCCCAGCCGTCGCCGCGCACGCGTCGCCGCGCCGGACCCCCCGCGCACCGCCCCGGCGCACGCCCCGTCTGCCCCCTCAGCGCTCTTTCCGGTCCGCTCCGCCGCGCAGGGCAAGGCCAAGTCCGTCTCGATCCCGGCGCAGAACGGTGACTTCACCGCGTGCCCCGGCCACGTCCCGGTGATCGCCCAGATGCGGCCCGGCGTCGTCAAGGTCGCGGACGGCCCCTCCTACTTTGTGGCGGGGGGCTACGCATTCGTCCACCCCGACTCCACCGCGGACGTGTGCGCCGTCGAGGCCGTCTCCCTCGACGACCTCGACCCCGAGGCCGTCAACGCGGGCCTCGCGGAGGCCCAGGCGCAGCTCTCGGCCGCTGCTGGTAAGTCTGCGCTCGAGGAGTGCATGGCGCGGATCAAGCTCGACGCCTTCTCGGCGATGCAGAGCGCGCTGCAGGCCAAGTGAGGGCCGGCGCGGCAGACTGTGATTGGGATGGAAGCGCTTTTTACAGTTGGGAGTTCTCGATTGCTGGGAACTACCAGCGAAGGCCCTGCGCGAGGAGGTCCGCGGCGACGCCGACGCGCAGGCGCGGCATGTCGGCCTGCGCGAACGAATCCACGAGCTCGCGCGCGTCCAGCCCCGCGGCTAGTCGCTCAGCGAACACGCAGGCGAACACTCCGCAGGACCCCCCGTCGCGCTGCTGCGGCAGCGGCGCGACGACCTCGAAGCGCCAGGGCTCCGGCGGCGCGGGGAGGTCCTTGTCGCGCGCCTCGTCCTCGACCCACCGCAGCAGCGCCCGCTCGACGCGGTGCGGCGCGGCGGCGCCGCTGAGACCCCCCCCCTGCATGCTGTCGAGGTACAACACGCGGCCCTCGCGCGGCAGGACCGCCGCGAGCGTCCAGTGCAGGTTGTTGTGGTTGATCGGGATGAGAATCAGATCCCGCGCGAGCGGCGCGGGCCCGGCGACGCGCAGCGTCCATCGCTTCACGGCTGCGTAGTCGTAGCCGCGCTTGCCGCACGCGAGCTGCGTGTAGAAGAAGCTCGACATCACGTGCACGCGCCGCCGCGCCGCCGCCTTCGTCCGGTTCTTCCGGCGCCGCCGGCCGCTGTGTGGCCGCCCGCCGTCGCCGTCGCCGCTAGCACCGCGCCGCTGCGGGGACCCCGCGCGCTCCCACTCCTCGTCGTTGCGCCGCTGCACGAGGTACAGGTAGAAGTTCACCACCTCGTCCGTCAGCCACTCCTCCCCCCTCAGGGCGCGGAAGTCCACCCGCCGCAGCTCCGCCGCCGGGCACCGCAACAGCACCTCCGTGCCCGCTCCCCTGCACGCGCGATGCACCCGCTCGCACCGTTCTGCCACGGAACGCCACACTCCGCCGCACGGGCGGGCCGCTGCGCGGCGTCGCAACGAGTTGTTGTTGTTGCGCATGTGTGATGAATGCGGGGGGCGTACTTGCTGTGGAGCTGCCGTTTCGCTTCGACCTCCTCGTCGGTCTCTGGCCCGATGCGCAGGCTCGCCGGCGCGCGGGGCCGCGCGGTGCTCGGCCGCGACGCTTCTCTGGCGCGCGACGAAGTGCGGAGGTGTTGCAACCGCTGCGTCAGGTCGCCCAGGAGGTCCGCGGGGGCCGCGGGCGCGTCGTCCTCGTCGTCGCTGATCACCACGACCTGCTGCGGCGCGGGCTGCCTCGCGGCGGGCGCGTCGTGGCTGCGTTCACGGGGGAATCGTCGCGGCACTATGTTGATGCGTGGGCCGTCGCGGCCGCCCTGTGCGACGGCGGCGCAGGCACGGAGCGCGTCGGCGCGGCGTGTGCGGAGCCGCGAGCGCGAGGCGTGCGCTCCGGCGACGGCCTGGAGGCGTCGGCGGGTGCATGACGCGCGTCACTGCACGGGCGCTCAGAGAGCGCCGCGCGGGATCGCATGCGCCGTTCCGTGCTTGCCTCGGGGACCTTGATCCGGAGTGATCGCGCCGCGCGAGCTGCGCGGGCCCCTCGTCCGCGTCCGAGCTCGTGTCGGAGGCACTGTCCTGCGCGTCTCTGCGTTCAATCTCGTGCCGCGCAGCCTGCGGTGCCACGCGGTCGGCCGCCGCGTTCCGCCGCCTGAACATGACGATGTCTGGGAGGACGAAGGCCGGGTGGGTTCGGAGTTGACGGAACCAGCGCGGGAAGTCCAGCGTTGGCCGCCCTCTCCTGGCGCGAAGGACAGAGAGGTGGTGGCGGCTCCTGGGCATCCGTGGCCCACTTGTTCCACGTCGCGGCCGCCCGCGCCGGCATGCGTGCGCGGCTGTGGACGCGGCGCGCGACCCGCGCGGCGCGTGAGGCGCTCAGGGCGGCGCCGGGGCGGTCAGACACCGGCAGCAATACCCTCCGCGCGCTCCGGGACGCGGCTGGACGGGCCGGCTTCGTGCGCTTCGGCTCCGCGGGGTGCGGTGCAGATGCGCGGAGGGGTTCAAGCGTGGGTTGAGGCTTGGTTGCGCAGACAGACGTGTACAGGGCCTCTAGTGGCCTTGCAAGGCGAAGCACGGCGGGCGAGTCCAGCTGGAGACGCTGCGGCGCGAGAACCTCGGTGTTGATATCGAGGTGAGGCTCATACGTCGCAGAGGCCCCGATATCTGCGCCCGACAACGCGCACGCGAGTGACAGCACCACGCACCAGGCAACGCCCGGTGTGCACCGCTGCGTTGCGTCCGAGCACTGAGCAGCAGTGCCGCGGGCGCAGAGATAGCTGCTGGTTTATCTGGCTGCCGCAATCACGCGTCCCGTGCATTTCTCGCTCCCTGAGAGCCGGGCAAAGCGTGGCAGGTGCTCGTGAGGCCAAACGCCCGCACACCAGCCCCGTGGAGCCGCGTCTGGCTGACCGCTACGCGCCACAGAGTCGCAAATAGCCTTTAGTATGGTTTCTGAGTGTTGATTCGCCCATGACGTCCCCACATGCTTCAGCGTCGCTCCGAGTCTTGCCTCAAGCATGCTTCCGGGGTTGTGCGCTCACCCGGGCCGCGCCCTCGCACAATCGCAGCCTGCGGACGCGCACATCGGTGGAGAGGAGGCGGCGGGTCCGGTGCGGTTCGAAGCCGTCCCGCCGCTGCGGCGCCAGGGCGGGTTGAGCAGGCAGGGCGTCTGTCGCGGGCGCGTGTGGCTGGAGGAGGGCCGCGGGTGCAGGGCGTGTCCGCCGCGGCCCCGAGGCAGCAAGGATGGAGCTGCAGCAGCACGATGTGCTTAGGACGGGGCCCAGCAACAACAACTGTCTGCGGGTGCTCCCGCTGGGCAAGAACAAGACCCAGAAGGTCGCGGTGGGCGAGATCAGCGGCGTGCTGCACTGCTGGAGCATGAAGAAGATGGTCCTCGACACCTCCTTCAAGAGCATGTCCGGCGACCCCGTCCACACCCTCACTCTCGGCCTCCAAGGTACCCCCACCCTCCCCCGCCCGCTCCGCCGCCCCAGCCCGCCAAAACGCCCGCCCGCCCACCCACCCGCTCGTCCCTTCTCTCTCCTCTTCGCTCCTGCAGCGGAACAGGACGGGAGGATCTTCGTCGGGCGCGGGCGGACGCTGCAGGGCATCACGAAGAAAGGCAAGGAGTTCTTTTCGTACGAGACGGGCCTCCAGGAGGACGTCCGGGCCCTGCGCGTGGACGGCTCCGACATCCACGTCCTCCTGAGCCAGTCCACGATCCGCATGCACCAGTCAGACCGCGGGCGGATGGAGGAGGAGGAGTACCTGGGCGCGCAGCGGCTCACCGCGTTCGACGTCGCGCCCGTCGTGGCCGGGCAGCCGCGCTGGACGGTCGCCGGGACGACCACGGGGCAGATCAAGGTGCTGCGGGCGGGCGACGTGTACTACGAGACGGACGTTGAGGGCCCCGTGACGGCGGTGGCGCACAACCACGCGTCGATCGACACGCTGAGCGGCAACCGGTACGCCGGGTCGCAGGAGATGGTGTACGGGTGCGAGAACGGCGCCGTCGGGCAGCTGCTGCTCAGCCAGCAGGCGATGAAGCACGGGTGGGCCGTCACGCCCAAGAACGCGCGCCCCGCGGCGGTGACGCACGTGGACCCGTGCCCGGACGTGAACAGGTGCGCACCGCCGCCCCCTGAGGAGCGCAACCGCGAGATCGCGCCCCCCTGCTGGCGCTTGTCCTGCTTCCCGGCGGCGGCGGCGTACCAGGGGGAGTGTTGACGGTGGCGTTGTGTGCAGGGACGGCATGCCGGAGGTGGTGGTGGCGCGCGAGAACGGTCTGCTCGAGGTGTACGCGAAGGACGACATGGAGGGGATGGAGTGTATCTTCCAGGGGAGCCTGAACGAGGGCGCGGCGGCGATCGACCACGGCCGCGTGACGACGCACCGCACGGAGGAGATCGTGGTGCACACGTCGTCCGGGCGCATCGTCGCGATGGGCGTGGAGACGATGGGCGACCGGTTCGCGGGCGCCGGCGACCGCCTCGGGAAGATGGCGGCGGGCGTCGCCGCGATGCGTGCCGCCGCGTTTGGCGTGGCCAGCGCCAGCGTGGACGAGACGCGCGGGCTCGACGAGCAGGGCTTCGCGGTCGACGAGCAGGAGATCGCGATCCGGGAGGTCCGCGACGAGGTCTCCGCGCTCACGAAGCAGCTCAACGAGGCCCGGGAGGAGCTGGAGGCATTTTCGAGTCAGGGGGGGGGTCCCGGGGGGCCGGCCGAGGTGGCGGACTCGAGCTCGTCGCTCGCGCTCGACCCCGAGGAGGGCGTGCAGGTCCTGAGCGTGCAGTGCGTGGCCGGCATCGAGATGCTCATGCTGCACTGCACGTGTCCCGCGGAGCTCTCGGACTGCGAGGGCGGCGACGGCATCCTGAGCCGGTGCCCGCACCCGCCGGGGATCACGGGCCTGCAGGAGTGCATCTTCACGTACCGGTGCCGGGAGAACTCGACGCGCGTGCAGCTCGTCGTGGACGTGCGCGAGGGCCGCTCCGGAACGCTGACGGTGTTCACAGTGCCCAAGCAGCAGCCCAAGGCCGCGCGGGTGCAGCGGCACCGCATCGCGCCGCTGTCGCTGCACCAGCACGCCGACGAGCTCGAGGAGGCGCGGCCGTACAGCGAGCTCCGCATTCTCGGCCACTTCAGCGCGGCGGACGCGCACGCGTGGTGCGCGCAGCTCGCGGCCGCGCCGGACACCGCCGCGGCGCAGCCCGGCGTGATCATGCTGCGCCACTGCATGCTCAGCACGGGCCTGCGCATGGCGTACGCCAACGGGGTGCTCACGTTCCACTCGGACAACCTGACCACGCTGGCGGTGGCGCGGGACTTCATCACCGGGCTCGTGACGGACCAGAAGCAGCGCGTGCAGATCTCGATCGAGGTCCACCCGCAGGCCGTGCCGCACCTCTGCGCGCTCATCTGGCCGCGCTTCGAGATGGTTCAGGCGCTGCAGGCCAACGCCGCGCTCGTGGAGGCGCTCCAGGAGATCCGGGCGATGGACGGCACGGCCGCGAACTTCCACCCGGACCACCTGGACGTGCTGGAGCACGCCGACGCGATCAAGCGGCAGCTGGAGCGCATGCCGGCGGTGAAGGGCGGCATGGTAGATATGCTGCGGGATCTGCACGTGTCGTATCATAGATTCATGGGGAGCGGGGCGCCGGCGGGGCGGCAGCGGCTGCTGCAGGAGCTGCTCAACTCCGGGAAGGTCACGCGCGAGACGCTCGTGAACGCCGTGATGGACGAGTAGGGGGGGGGTTGTTGGGGGTGTGTGACTCGTGCAGACGGACGCGTGCGAGGCGGCGGCGAGCGCGTATCGCCTGTGCCTGAGGGATCGTGGACACGGCGTGTACGTGCCGCTCGTGTGCGTCCTTACACGCTCTTGAGGGACAGGAACGCCGACAGGTCCCGCGTGACGCTGGGCGGCCACTTCCGGAACCGCGTGAGCCAGTCCACGTCCTTGTACCGCGGGTCGTCCACGCGGCTCCACTCCGCCTCCGCCTGCCCCTCCAGCCCGTCGCGCCACAGCGCCGCCACCAGCGCCGCACGCATGTCTGTGAACTCCGGGAACCGCCGCAGGAGCGCCCGCATCTGCTTCACGGCCTGGTTGCGCCGGCCCGTCTCGTACGTCGCCAGCGCGAGGTTCGCGGACGCGAACGCGAAGTCCGCGGGCCCCGTCAGCGCCACCGCCTTGCCGTAAAAGTCAACGGCGCTCTCGTAGTCGCCCGACGCGAGGCTGACGTTGCCGAGGTTGTTCCAGGCCGCGGGATCGTTCGGACTGACCGCCACGACCGCGCGGTAGTCGCGCTCCGCCTCGCTGAACCGCCCGAGCGTCTCCAGCGCCACGCCGCGGTTCAGCACCGGATCGGGGCTCCACGGACACAGCTTGATCGCCTCCGCGTAGTCCACGAGCGCGTCCTTCAGTTTCCCCTGCCGCGAACGCGCGTTCCCGCGGTTCCCCGTCGCCCTGCGGACGCCACAACACAAATAGCACTCATGTTCCTGCCGCCGTTGCGTCACGGGGCTTCCCGCGCACGCCGGGCCCGGCGCGCGCGCGCCGCGTTCGCGAGGGGCGTCGGTGTGGCAGCGCGCGCGCCGTTCTCACCGTCCGAGCAGGTCGTTCTTCCACGGCCGGTCGTCACCGATCTTTGAGAAGCGGTTGATGATGGCGGTCCACTCGGCCTCCTCGGACTCCACGTCGGGGGCGCTGAGGGCCGCCTCGACGTCGAGCGCGGCCTGGCGGAGGTCCGGGTCTTGAGGGTCGTATTTGGATTGGTCCGGCGCAAGACCTGGTTGGATGGTTACCGCCTGAACGGGGAACTTGAGGGCCTCCTGGACCTGGGGCGACTGCGGGAGCGTGCTCTGGAACTGCTCTGCGTCCACGGGCTGCTGCGCGCGCGCCGACGGCGCCGGGCCCGCGGCGGGCAGCGCCGCGGAGAGCAGCAGAGCTACTGCGCCCTGCAGCGTGCCGCGGCGGCCTGACGAGGCAATCTTGGGCGTTTCCCGACTGCTGGACGTGTCGTGGATGCTTCTTCGCGGGTCTTCCGCGCTATGGACGACAGAGCGCGTCGCTTTCGCGGACACAGCGCGTGGGTGGCCGTGGGGCGCCGGTGTGGCCGTGGGGCCTGTCGGTGCGCGCGGAGCCGTGCTCCGGCGCGCGGGCGGGGCGTTGGAGATCGTCCTCATCGCACGCGCAACAGGAGGGAGCACTGTGCTCGTTGACGCAGGCCAGGTGAGGCGCTCTCTGCAACTGCAGCAACTTTGATGTCGAATTGCGGAGATACCACGCAATGATGCTGGCGATGTTGTCGCGCGATGCGTCGCCTAAAGGATCAGTGCGCGACATCACGCACGCGCCGCGCGTCTTGTGTCCCGGGCAGGCGTCGTCGCGGGTCAGACGGGTGGCGCAGCAACTACCCTCGGGACTCCCCCACGATCGCGACGACGCGCGCCCGGCGCGCGGGAGCAGATGGCCCGCCCACGCGAGGCGCGCCTGGCCAGACATTCGCAGGTGGTCCGCGGGAGTGGGAGCACCTAGGCGCCATGGCAGCGGGGGGTGCGGCTGTGCGCGCCCCTCCGGAGGACGAGGTGGACGCGGACGACGCCGCCGTGGCGGCGCTGTTCGAGAAGGACGGCAGGGGCGCGCCGGCGTGGTTCAAGCCCGAGGTGTTTGACCAGGAGGACTTCTCTGCTGACGAGTATGTGGGAGAGATCAAGCGCTACGTGCCGCTGGACCTCCTGCAGGGCCAGCTAGAGCGGTACCTCGCGGACCTGCGCGTCAAGGTGCGGGCCGGAGAGCCTGGTGCGCGAGCTGTGGCCGACAGCCGGGCGCAAGGCTCGCGGAACGCACAGGGGCTCCGTAGCCTGCGAGAAAGGCTTCTCACGGCAGATTCGCCACTCACGCCGAATGGTGTTGCTCTATGGATCTCGCTCGACCCCACCTGGCCTTGCGATGTCGGATGCGTACGCGCCACGCCGCTTCGCCCCTCCCGGCATGCAGTCCCGGGGCAGACCCGCGCCGCACGCGCCTTCTTGCCGCCCCGCAGCTCAACGAAGCGATCAACAAGGACTACAACGACTTCGTCGCGCTCCCGTCCACGCTCTCGGGCGTCGGAGACGCCGTCACAGCCATGCGAGCCCCCCTCTCACAGCTCCGGGTACGCACACCCCTCAAACACCCCCGCGCGAACCCCCCACGCCCCAGCACCATGCACCCAGCGCCGCACGACACGACGCCCGCTCCATCGCGCCTCCACTCGCGCTACACACAAATCCACTTCTGCAGGACACAGTGTCGGAGGTCCGCGGCGCCATCGAGGGCGAGCTCGGGGTGCTCAAACGCGGCCTCGAGGGCCGCGCGAGGGCCGCGGAGGCCCGGAAGACGCTCGAGCTCATGCAGGAGGCCGGGGCGCTGTCGAATAAAGTCAAGAAGCTACTTGCCGAAATTCGCAGCGCACCGGACGGCGCAGCGCCGGCCACGCCCGCGGCGCCGTCCGCTGCAGGCACGCCCGCGCGGGCGCACCACCGCCGCGGATCTTCCGCCGCGGCGCCGCTCGGGGCGGAGGGGGAGCTGGAGGAGCACGCGCGGTCGCTGGAGCGCGCTGCGGGCGAGCTGTCGAAGCTCGGGTATCTGCTGGCGTCCGGGCCAGCGCTGCCGTCGTTGCGGGAAGCGCAGCGGAGCCTCGAGCCGATGCACGACGAGGCGGTGGCGATGATGGACGCGGCGTTCGCGCGTGCGCTGGCGGCGGGGAGCCAGCCGGCGCTGCACGCGCTGCTGGGGGCGTACCTTGCGCTGGGGGAGCCGCACGCCGCGGAGGCGGTGGTCCGGAAGGCGGTCGTGGAGCCCCTCGTGGCGCGATGCATCAGCGATGCGCAGGGCGGCGGGGAGGTTGTCGGGGCGCCGTCGTCGCCGGAGGCGCTCCGGAGGTTCCTGCAGGACGTGTTCCGCGGGTACCGGGAGCACCACGTGCGCCTGGTCGGCGCCGGGAGCCACAGCGCGGCGCCCACGGCGCCAACGAGCACTGGGGCGCCTGGCGCTCCGCAGTTCCTGGCCGCCGCGGTCGTGCCGGCGGTCGCGGACGCGATCCGCACGCGGATGCCCGCCGTGCTCTCTCCGGGGATCCCCGCGGCCTTTCTGGCGTCGTTCCGCGCGGGCGCGACCTTCTTGGCCGAGCTGGAGAGCCTCTGCGAGACGGCCGCGGATGTGCGGGCGCTGCGGGGCTCCGCGGCGGTTGCGGAGTTCCAGGGGCAGTGGAACCTGTCGGTGTACGTGTCGCTGCGGTTTCAGGACGTGGCGGGGACCGTGGAGCGGGCGCTTGCAGCGGGGCGGCTGGCGGGGGTCTCGCAGGCGACGCGGCCGGCGGCCGGGGAGCTGCGGTGGGGTCCGCTGCGCGAGGTGTGGGACGGAATGACGCGGTGCTTCTCGGAGGGCGTCTGGCTCACGGAGGCCGCGGACCGGCTGCTCAAGATAGCCCTGCAGGTCGTGGCGCGTGCGACGACGTGGGTGGCAGAGGGCGTCGAGCGCGCCGAGGCGGCCCCGAAGGCCGCCGACCGTGCGCGAGACGGGCAGGAAGCGGACGGGGGTGCCGGTGCGGCCGAGCAGACGGCCGACAAGGGCGCCTCGGGCGGGTGGGAGACGGACGCGGGGCCACGCGACTTTGCGGTGCTGGCGCGGGACCTGGCGACGTTCTCGGAGCTGATGGGGTTCGACCTGGAGGCCACGGTTGCGGAGAAGCTGCAGGGCCTGCCGACTGACGCCGCCCGGGCTGCGAGCGGTGCGTGCCACGGCGGCGAGTGCGTGCGTGTGTTGGATGAACGAAAGAGGTTGTGTGTTGCTGAGTGACGGAGGTGGTGGTTGGTTTGTGTGCAGGAGCTCTGGTGAAGCCGCGGAAGGCGATTGCGGCGCTGGCTCCGCGGGCGGTGGCGCTGGTGGGGCGGGCGCTGGCGGGGGACTGTGGGGAGGTGTTGAGTCAGGTGCGGGGGGTGTCTGCGGCGTACCGCGTGGGGTCGCGCGGGATGCCGACGTCTGCGTCGCCGTACGCGTCGACGATCCTCGACGCGCTGCGGGCGTTCCTGGCGTCGCACGAGGGGGGGGAGTTGGAGGAGGGGTCCCGGGGGGGTCTCGTGGACGACGTGGCAGGGACCGTGGCGGAGCGCTTCGCGACGGTCGCGGGCGACATGCTCAGCGCGATCCGCAAGACGGAGTCCTCGCTCAAGGTGAGACACGCCGCCCGCGCGTACTGTTCCGCCTTGACCAGCGTTGCAGCGCAGCACGCCGCCGACGTGCGATCCACCGCCGCCGACGCGCTGGTGCTGACGATATGCGTGCTTGCAGAGGCTCAAGCGCGGCAAGGGCGGCGGGGAGGAGGGTGCTGAGTCAGGGGGTCCGTCTGACGCTGACAAGGTGGCGGCGCAGATGTTGCTGGACGTGGGGGTGTTCGGGCGGGACTGGCGGGACGCGGGCGGGTCGCCGCTCGATAGCCGGGCCTTCACGGCGCTGTGGGATGCCGTCGCTCCGCCGGACAAGCGAGGCAAGCCGGAGTTGTGAACAGTCCCTGAAAACAGACTGCCATGCGCTCGCAGTCTGCCGAGTATTCCTCGCCGGGGTGAGCGCGAGGGGAGACGCGTGGCGCGGACGAACCGTGGTCGCCGCGATGCAATGGACCCCCTCCCAGCTCAGGGAGGGGGCGTGCGGCCTCTGTCCTCCGCAGCGCCCGAATCGCCCCAGGTCCATGGCCCTGGCGGGCCAGCACGCGGACCCAGATACCTTCCTTTCCCTTGCGCCCCAAACACAGCGAAGAAGTCGGTCCCTCGCCCTCCAGCCCGTCGGTTGCAGTAGCTCGCCACCATGCACTCCGCTCTCGCTCACGCGGCCCGCCGGACGCCCTGCGCGGCCCGGACCGCGCCCGCCGCGGCCCGTGCGCGCGCTGCTCCCCGCCTGGTCAAGGCGCAAGCGTTCCAGAAATTCTTCAAGTGAGTAACGCGCCGATCCGGTCGACGCCGCAACACAGATAGCCGAGCGGCGCCGCGAGGGCCGCCTGCGCGCCGAGCGCGGCGCCCGCCCTGCGCCTCGCTGATCGATGGCCGCGAGGAGCAGCGACGCGCTGGCGAACTGCGCGCCCGTGCGCTGCGCTGCGCCCCGCGGATGGATGCCACCAGGCGCTAGTGCCCTCAGATGCGGCGCTCCACAAAGACAGGGGTGTTTCCGGGCCTCTCTCCGCCCGCGATGGCAAACTCGAGCGTGCAAGTGTTGCGAACGATTCGTGCACGCGCGTTTTGCGGTTCGAACGCGGCTGTACGCGGAGAGCTAGGCCTCTGTGCGCGCGACGCCTGCTGGGGCCGCCTGCCAGACCACAGGACGGCCGTCTTGCGGCTTTTGCGGACATGATTGTGCCCCTTGTGCTGTACTCGTCAGTTCAAGTTGCATCTCGAACCTCGTTCGCCTTTCTACGACGAGTCCTGGCCCCTTGTATGGGCTGCAGCCCGTCGCCCGCGCGAGGCGCTCCTGATGCCTCTCGCTCCCTTTCGACACAAGTACCACGCTTTTGATAGTTCACTCCTTTCTGTGTTGGCCGCAAGTTCCAACTCCGCCGTTCGTCTCGTGCGCAGGCTCGGGGGGACCAACGCCAAGGAGGGTGGCATCTACGGGGCGCAGACGCGCGACCAGTACGAGAACATGGACGCGGAGCACTACTTCAACTACATCGGGGCGCTGGCGGACGAGGGCACGTACGACCGCCTCGAGGCGTACCTCGCGGACACGCACCCCGTTGACGTCATCCTCCTCCTCGCCGCCGGTACGCACCCGCCGCACGCGACGCCGACGCCACGCGCCGCGATGGTCTCCTTTGTGCCGGAAGCGAGCTGGCGGGACCGGGCGCGGCGGTCTTCGCGCCTCCGCACCCTCCTGCGTGTGTCGTCTCTGAATGTATCTATGGATGATGATTGGCTGACCGCGGTTCGGTGACGGCGGTGCGTTTGCTCGTTGCAGAGAACGGCGACGACCCGAAGATCGAGGAGGTGTTGGAGGCCGGCGCGGACGTGACGGCGAAGAACCCGGACGGGAAGACGGCGCTGGAGCTGGCGATGGAGGCCAAGGAGAAGAAGGACGAGGTGATCGCGATGCTCAAGGAGGCCGAGGCGAAGGCGAAGAGCGCCTGAGCGGCGGCGGGGTCGGTGAGGGGGCAGGAGGGGGGTGCGGGGGTCTTGGGGGGTCTGTGTGAGGATGGAACACTGTTTGAAGAGGGGGGTGTGGTCGAGGAGCTGTCGAGCTCGGTCGGGCGCGCGAGCGATGACGCTGTGGTTCGGTGGCGCTCTGTGGGACGGCGGTGGGGCGGGTAGAGGGGGGGTTGTTTCAGGGGGGTGTGGGAAAACACACCCCGGGCGTTGACGAGGTTGCGTCGGGACGAGGCGCGAGGTCGGATCCGCACAATCGAGGCTTGGACGTCGCCGTGCGCAGATCGCAGCTTTGGCCTGGGGCCGACACTCCGAGGCGAGAGCTATACACCACCCTCGTCGTACTAGAAAGGGACGTGCTCTCTCGCAGCGGGTAGAACTCTCGTTCCCTAGCGTCGCACATCCTCGTAACCTCAGACTCCACTTTTTCATCGTAGCCGCGTAGCCGCACTGGCCCCGTCCGGCCCGGCAGCCCCGGGTCTTGGTAGCTCTCCGCGCGGCCCGTGCATCATGGGGCCGGTGCGGTCGCGATAGCGCTTTCCAGGCTGCCTGGCCAGCAATGAAGTGACAGAGTCAACACCACTGGATAGGATTCGGGGACCAGGATGTCCGCTGGGAGGCAGGGCAAGCGACGGACCTGTGCATCTGGCGGGCAGCTGGTGCGCGTGGCCTTGGTGGCGTCCGCCTCGAGGCTCGCGATCCTCGCTCTCATGCTCCTCGCAGGCTGGCTGGTCTCGGAGTACGACGACTCAGGTGCCCACCTGCGCCCCTCGCCCCCTGTCGCGGCTCTGCCACACGTCAAGCTCAATCGACGCAGCAACACACGGACGGGATCCAATGCTCGTATTTGCGAGCCTGAGCATCGAGAGCGCGCCTCCGATTCCTGCGACGCAGCTCCGCTACCGCACGAGTGTCCGGGCTCGGAGCTGCACGACCCTGTTGTTGCTGATCGATGGCCGGTGGCCGACGTGCTGGAAAAGGCTCTCGTGTGGGACTCGGTGCACATGGCCCACGCCGCCCGCTGCGGATACAGCTACGAGAACCAGGCGAGCCCGTCCCATCACCTCTGCCCGGCGCGATCCTATAATTATTTACATCATCTCAGTATCTCCTATCTCGATCACGACACCCGCCCCTCGCCGCGATCCGCGTTCCCTCCTGCTTCCGCCCTCCCGCAGTACGCGTTCTTCCCGTTGCTCCCGTGGGCGCTGCGGACCCTCACGAGGACCCTCCTGGCACCCGTCGCGCCACACCTGGGGCACCTGGCGAGCATGGCTCTCGCGGGCCTCCTCCTCTCCAACGCCGCGTTCGTCGCAGCTGCGGTCTACCTATACAGGCGAGCGCCCGACACCGCTCTCCCTCGCATCCACGATCTCATCAACACCCCCATTGCATCGGGGGGGTGTCCGACCGCCCAAGACCCCCCGCGTCGCGCAGGCTGACTCTGCTGGTCCTGGGCGACGAGCGGCACGCGGCGCTGGCCGCGGTGCTGTACTGCATCAACCCCGCGTCCGTGCACCACTCCGCCGTGTACACCGAGGGGCTCTTCGGGCTGCTCAGCATCGCGGGCATGTTCTACTCGACGCGCTCGGAAGGCACGCGCGTCCTCGACGTCGCGAAGGGTGCGTCTTCCGCCAGTTAGTCGGCCTCGCTGAGATCCTTCTCAACATGGTTCCTTGTCTCTTGCTTCGTTGGTGATATTGAGGCGGAGCTGGCGCTGCCCACTACTGAGCCAGCCTGTGCAGGATCCCCGTGCAACATTCCGCGCACTCTCTTCACGCCGCCGCCCCCACTCGTGCTCCCATCGCAGCGGCGGGGCTCTTCGCGCTCGCAACGGCGCTGCGTTCGAACGGCATCCTCAACGCGGGTTTCCTGGTGTACTGGGCAGCGCACGCCGCGTGCGCCTCCGCGCTTCGTCGTCCGGCCCGTGCGGCCCTCGCTGCCGCCCTCGGGCTGTGCGCGAGCGCTGCGTGCCTGGCCCCGTTCGTGTGGTTCCAGATGCGCGGACACCAGGCGTTCTGCGTCCACCTCGAGACCACCGGGGCGCCGCGCAGGGCGTGGTGCGCGAGCGCGCTGCCCTACATATACGGTTGGGTTCAAAAACACTATTGGGAAGTAGGCTTTCTTCGTTTCTATCGGATATCGAAGATCCCAAACATCCTCCAGGGCGCCCCGTCGCTAGCGCTCGCGGCGTGGGGCGTGCGCGCGTACGTCCGACACGACCCCGGCCGCGCCGCGTCCCTCGCGCTCCCTCTCCCGGCATCGTTGCGGCGCGGTCTGCAGCCCCTGGCGCGAACCACCGCGCGGCTGGTTGGGGGAGCGACGGCCGCCGGGAGCAGCAAGAAGGACGACGACACGGACGAGCGGGCGCCGGCGAACGCGTTCCTCGAGTCCGACCGCGCATTCCCGTTCGTTGTGCAGTGGGCCGCGATGGCGCTTCTAGGTGCGTACGGTGCACGCGGCGCGGGGGCGTCGTGCGCGTCGTTGCAGCGCAGCGTGTGGCTCATGTACGTGAGTGTGCTGCTTGGTTTGCAGGCGCGCTGGTGATGCACGTGGAGGTGTCGACGCGGTTTTTGTCCACGGTGCCGCCGATGTACTGGGCGGTGGCTGGGGCGTCCCCGCGGCTGCAGAAGCGGATCGTGGCGTTCTTCCTCGTATACGCGGTGCTCGGGTGCGTGTTGTTTGTCAACTTCTACCCCTGGACGTGAGCTGCGGGGTCGGTTGCTGGCGGATGTTTGCGTGTCGTGTTTCTCCAAGCACCGAGAACGCGCTTGTTTTCGAGCAACAGATCGGATCGAGAGTGGTCCGATCCGAGGAGTTGTGGGCTGGCCGTGCGTTTTGTGGAGTCGGGGCCGTGGCTGACGTCTATTCAGGACTTATTGCAGTATGACTGTCGTGTGATGCCCTTTCTGAGGATGGCCCGGCCCCACCGGCTCGTGTACGGCACATCGAGCTGATTCCGGGCACATTCCGCGGCCACGCGGGGCAGAACAGCTGTCGCTGCTGTGCTGGTCGACGTCGCACAACATGGCATTCAGAGCAATGTTCACTGCACTGCTGTGCGTGGCGCTGGCGTGGGCGGCGCTTGTCGGCGAGGCCACAGGTACCGGACCCCCTTGGATCTCGTTCTCGACCGCGTCCACGCCATGCATGAGCCGTCACGGTCTGCGAGGACGCTCGCAGGCGTGTGCAGTTTGCACATTGTGTGTCTCCCGCTCGCACCCTACACCAAGCTCTGCCACGAACGCTGGCTTGCTAGATACAGCCCACTTCCCTGTACGTGCGACTTCACGCGGTGCCGTCGGTACATGATGGTCGGAGGCCGCGCGTCCCGTCCATGTGTGTTGCACATGCAGTGACTACGTGACCATGTGGTGCTGCACGTCGCAGGTCGGGAGCTCTCCGACTACAATGCGTTCAAGCCCCCGATCTACAAGTACCCGCCGTACACGCTGCCGCCGTACACGCTGCCGCCGTATACGCTGCCGCCGTATACGAAGCCGCCGAAGACGCCTCCGTACACGTGGCCGCCGTATACGAAGCCGCCGAAGACGCCGCCGTACACGTGGCCTCCGTACACGTGGCCTCCGTACACGAAGCCGCCGAAGACAACGCCACCAACGACAACGAAGCCGCCAAAGACGACGCCGCCCACGACGACGAAGCCCCCGAAGACGACGAAGCCGCCGAAGACGACGCCTCCGAAGACGAAGCCGCCGAAGACGAAGCCTCCGAAGACGAGGCCCACGTACCCTCCGCCGCCAACGTTCCCCCCTCCGCCTACATTCCCGCCCCCGCCGAGGTTCCCCAAGGGGGTCAAGGACAAGAACGGATGGGGCCGCTGAGCAGGACCCCGGCCGACCGCCCTGACGCAGCCACGCGGACGGGCCCGGCGCCGGGCGCGCGTGCAGACGCGTCCTGTTGCGCGCTGAGAAGGTCCTCCCTGCACGTGTGGCGGGAAAGTGTGAGCGCGGCGCCGAGGTGTCTCCGTCGAAGTCCGCAAGATAATATAATCATATTACATGCGTCGTCGCGCTCGGCGCCGCCACGACGAGAAGTAGTACCACGCGCCCGCTGCCACCGCCACTGCCACCACCGCCCCAGCCACGTACGTCGTGCCCCACCCCGCGTCGCCGCCCTCGCTGCCGCCCGCACCGCCGCTCGCGAGCCCCGCGGGCGGCTGCAGGTCCTGCCCCGCCAGCGACACGAGGGTGTGCGCCCGGCAGTAGGCGGCAAGGAAGGCGTCGTTGTCATTCGCGAACTCCTCGCAGATAGCCCTGATCTGGCTGTCCTCGAGGATCGGCCTGGATGCAAACGCGGAGAGGCGGGCGCGAGGGCGTCTGTTGGGCAGCTGGGAGTCGGAAAGAAGGAGAGCGAATTTGAGTTGTAACTTGGTGTCTGAACATTGTTGATCGAGGTGCGCGGTTGGGTGTCGCTGTCCTGTAACGGCACGGTGGGCGTGTCGGGCGCTGCAGCGGCCCGGGTCGGGGCGGCAACAGCATCGTCCACTGGCCTGACTATGGACATGCGTCAGTCTCGCAGGGTGTCTGCCCGCGCAGCGACGGACTCGCGACGGCCGCCGTGGGGCGGCCGCGCGCGCTGCACGGGTAATTATCCCCGCCTAGGCAAGTCAGCACCGCGCTCAACGGCGTCCAGAGAGCCGCGCGTGCTGGCACAAACGAGGTGGCGGCGTGGACCTACCTGTGGGCTTTCAGGTCCGCGACGGCCTCCTCGAGCAGCGCCGCGAAGTACATGTTGTTGATCGCGTACGGGCTCGCCTCTCCGACGCTCGACTCCGCGGCCGCGGACTGTCCCAAAGACACCCCGAAGGGATGCACGCCGAGGAGGGCGACCCCGAGGCGCAGGGGGAGTCCGAGGCGCAGGAGCTTCTTCTTGACCTTGTCCGCGCTGGCCAGGTCGTCCGCGGAGACGAGGCGGCCCTCGGGGAGGCACACCCGGCTGTCGCGCCGCCCGGGCACGAAGCTCACGTCAGCCGCGCCGGCGAGCTGCGCCGCGACGACGCCGGCGAGGTGGAAGACGTCCGCGTGCGTCACCGCGCTGTGCTTGTTCTTGATCGCCGTCAGGGCTCCGATCACCGGCTGCGAGCACGGGCGTCAGCAGGGGGTGTGGTCACTACGCGCTGCCCGCGACGACAGTGCTCACTAGGAGCGTCATCGCGACTAAGAACCTCGGCGACGGTCCGGCTCCCGGCCACGCTGCGGAGGTCCACAAGCGGCGCGTCCCGGGCGGTCACTACGACTGCTGGCAGGTGCAGCTAGTTCTGACCCATGTGAGGACCTCGGCAGGCGTCGCGCGGAGCGACACCCCTCCCGCGTGGGTCTGGTGCGAGATGCGCCGCTCAGCAGTGTTCCACTGCACGCGCCGCTGGAGTTTCGTGGCGCAATCGCCGAAAACCGCATTGGCGTCGAGATTTGCAACGGCGTGCTTGACAGGAGGGTGGAGGACCGCAGGGTGCGAGTTCCGCGAAATCAGGCGCACGCGAAGTTGCCAGATAGCCTCTCATCACGATCGAGGGATGCCAGGGCGTCGCGATCCCGACTGAGGCCGCGTGGCGGAGGCAGTGGGCGGTGCGTACCTCGAGGCCCGCGTTCGCCGTCTGAGACAGCTCTCGGTCGACCCTGATGCTGCCGTTCGCACCGCCTGTCCGCGTGCCCTCGTCGTAGGTCATCGCGTCGTGCAGGGCGACGCGCAGGCACATCGGCACGCGTGAGGGCGACTCCTGCAGCCAGCGCAGCACGCAGCAACGATCGAAGCAGCGACGCACGCGCGCGATGGCATGGAAAACCGCGCGAGAATCCGTCCCTGGCCGCGACCGGCGCGTCAAGCGCTCTGTGCGGCGCACGCGCCGGGTTGCTGTTTGCCGGTGGTGGTCCGCCGCACCTTTATGTAGCCGGTGACGTCCTTCGCGACGGCCTCAATGGCCTGACGGTACGCATCGTCGACGACGGGCGGCTTCGCCATCTTGCCGCTGTTCCTGGGGTCCCGGCCTGCGGTCGCACGAGCCGGAGAGCGGATGGGGTGAAGGGGGCCCGTCCGGCGCCGGGGGTGCGGACAGGGGAGAATGCCTCCGGCTGTCGAGCGGATGATTCGAGGAGCTGCCGCGGTGCTGGCCAGGAGCCGCGACTCGGCGCGAGGCGCGGGCCACGGCGGTGCTGACCTGGCAGAGAACACCGCACAGAAACGACGCCACGTCAGTCGTGGGAAGCAGCTACCGGACACCAGCCTCCGTACAGTACACGGTAGTCGTTCCGCCGCGCAGACCGCGCTCCCCACGCTGTCGACGCGGTGCGAGGGCCTCGGGTGGATCAGCCCAACGGTCCCCCCCTCGTACTCGCGAACGCGGGGTCGACGATAGCAGACACGCGACGAAGACGGCAGTGGACCGCACAGTCTGCCGCTGCGCGCGCCCACGACGCGCCCAGATGCCCACGCGCCGCGTGGCACGCCCCCGAGTGCCTGAGAGCGGGCCCGCACGACACCCCGGGGCCCTCGCGTTCGAATATCCGCGCCCGCACGCCCCCCGCGAACATTCCCCTGCGCGCTCCGCCTCGCGAGGAGCGTAACGCGCCGGCTGGACCCGCGTAACCCAGCTCAACAGCAGCGCGAACCCACCGCACAGACCCACGTAGGAGAGGGCCGCGGGGCCTCTCGCCGCGACCGCGCACCGCTGCGGGCGGACAGGCCTCTGAGGTCCTCGCGCGGACATCTCCCGGCGTCCCGGGCGCGCTCGCCGGCCCTTTCGGGCGCCCGCGTGGCCAGCGCGAGCCGCACGGGCGCTATGGCAACGCGCATCACAAAACAGTCCGCGGTGGCCGACCTGATCATGGGCGCCGGGCTGGTGTCGTCCGGCGGCGCCAAGGTGAAGGACGAGCGCCCCAAGAGCGCGCGCGGGGACGCAAACGCCGCCCAGCGAGCCGGGTCAGCCCGTCGGCCCGTCCCACGGCGCGCCGCAAGCGCTCGGAACCCCGCGCGGCCGTCGTCGTCGCGAACAGGCGCGGCGCCGGTGTTCCCAGGGGAGTTCCTGCCCGAGGGCGACGCAGCCGCGCCGGACACGCAGCCCCGCGCGGCGTCCGCGAGCCGGGGCGCGCGTGCAGGCAGCGCGGGGCTGGCGCGGCCACCTGCGGGCGCGCGGGCGCCGCAGAGCGGCCCGCTGCTGTACGAGCTCGCGCGCGGGGGCCACGGAGGCCAGTCCGGGTCGACACACAGCCATATCGAAGTCGAGGACTACGAGGACGAGTTCAGCGACGGTGCGCGGGACGCGCCACCGCCCAAGCCGCGCTACGGCCCGCAGACGTCCGTTTCCTTCCGAGACACCCCCCCTCCGGTCCCAACGCCGCCCCGGCTGTACTCCGGCGCGAACGACACGTCGGGGCCCGCGGAGGTACCGTCGCCGAGCCTCGCGACGGGCAGCGCGGCGGTGCAGGCACAGGTGGTGGTGCCGAAGCCGCCGCGGCTGCCGACGGCCGCGGACGCGGACCCCGAGGAGCGTTCCGGGCACGAGGGGGGGCACCGCAGGCAGGCGAGCGTCGCGTTCGCGGACCCCCCCGCGCTGCCGGAGCGCCCTGCCCCGGAGGCGACGCCACCGCATGAGGGGAGCGTGCTCGGCGGGGGGGGTGTTGGTGTTGGGGACGCGGCGTCGGAGGGGTCCGAGCCGGCGCTGAACGCGGTCGGCGCGATCGGGGACAAGTCGCGGCACACGACGCCGCGGCGGTCGCGGCGTGTCTCGGAGGCCAGCACGGTGGCCAGCCGGGCGGAGTCGCGGTCGCCCGGGCGGCACGGGGCGCCGCCGCCGCGCGTGCGGAACGCGTTCGGCGGCGCGGGGGGCACGATGGACATCCGGGAGCTCGCGCGGAGCATGGGCATGGACCCGTCGTCGGAGGTGGTGCGGCAGGCGGCGGCGCAGGCGGCGGCGGCGAGGGCGGGCTCGGTGCAGGAGGCCGAGGTGCGGGCGCGGCGGCGTGCCTGTTGCTGCGTGCGTGGCGAGGCGTGTGTGTTTGTGTATTGGCAGAGATGTGTGGTTGTTGTGTCGCGTGGTGTTTGCAGGAGGTGGACGCGGAGGCGTCGGAGGCGGTGGTGCTGCCGCAGACGTCGCCGGCGAAGAAGCGGCGGCTGATCGAGCTGGAGAAGGAGGTCAAGGCGCTGACGAAGGCGCTGGACGAGGCCCACATGGAGACGCGCAAGCAGAAGATCGAGCTGGGGGAGGAGTTCAAGAAGAAGGTGAGTCAGGGGGGGGGGGGTGTTGGCCAGCGCGGCTGCGAGGCGCCCTCGACCAGGCCCGCTCGCTTTCCGCGCCGCGCCACGCACAGTGTGTTGCCTTCGCGTCGTGTTGTTCTTGGTGGCGACCGGGGACGTCTCGGCTGCGTGCGGCGCAGTTGGCCGACGGGCTCAAGGACAAGGAGCGCGAGATCAAGACGCTCCGGAAGCGGCTCGCGGACTCGGAGCGGCGGCGCGACATGGGGGAGAACCGGATCCGGTCGCTGGAGGGCGACGTGGCCAAGCTGCGCAAGGACCTGCGGGAGCACAAGGTGGCGCTGGAGGCCGGGAAGGAGGACATGCGCGCGATGAAGGGCGACGTGGACCGCGCGCGGCTGGAGGTGGCGCAGGCGCGGCGGCAGGTGGAGAAGGAGAAGGGGCTGCGGCAGACGGCGGTGGAGAAAGTGCGCGGCGAGGCGGAGAAGGCGCTCGCGCGCGCGAAGCAGGACTTCGACCTGCAGGTCTCGCAGGAACAGGACCGCGTGACGTACCTCCGCGAGAAGGTGCGCCCGGGCAGGCATGACGCTGCCGGCGACGCACTGCGCCGCTGCGCTGTCGGGCACGGACGCACGGGGCTGCGAGCTGCACGAGAGTACTTTCGCGGCGACCGTTTCCTCGCCCCTGGTCCGCGCGAGAGACCCCCTTCACTCCCCCCCCCTGACGCATTTTTGCAGGAGGAGAAGCTGTCCATGGAGCTGGCGGGGATGCGGGGGATGTGCGAGAACCTCGAGCAGGAGGCCGAGCGCGCGCGGGACCGTCTCCTCGAGGCCACGAAGCACCAGAAGGACGCGTCGAAGGGCGCCGAGCAGCTGCGCAAGGCGCTGGTGGACGCGCGCGGGGAGAACGAGCGCCTCAGGGGGCTGGCGCAGCGCGCGGCGGAGGAGGCCGAGGCGCAGCGGCGGAACGTGGAGCGGCTGATGGACACGCGGGAGCGCATGGAGAAGACGGCGCGGACGCGGGAGACGCAGTGGCAGCTGCAGGTCGAGACGTGGGACGCCAAGCTGGCCGAGGCGCGCGCGGAGAGCGCGGGACAGGTCGAGCACCTGTCCGGCGTGGTCGAGGTGCTCGAGGAGCGCCTCGCGCGCGTGCTGGCCGCGGATGCGGCGTTCCACGCCATGAGCGGCAACGCGGGGCTGTTCGCGGACGCGCTCAAGGGCAACACGACCACGGGGCACCTGAACTCCATGATCCGACAGTGAGCGCCCACGTTACGACGATGACGATGCTCTTGTGCGCTGCGGGGCTGCGCCGTTGCGGTCGCAAAACAACTTCTTTTGCGGTTTGTGTGGTGCGCAGCCTGTCCAGGGAGAACGCGCGGCTGAACAAGGAGATCGCCGTGGTGCGGGCGCGCCACGAGGACCGCCTGTACAAGCGGCCCGCGGACCATCAGACCCCCCCCGAGGGCCTGCCAGACTCGGAGGAGGACACAGACCCCTCGAAACACCTCCTAGAGTCCCCCTCCGCGCCGGCGTTCCTCAAGGACGGCGGCGCGGCGCTCCCGCCCGCCCACCTCTCGTCGCGCGCGCTCTCCGTGCCCCCCCCGGGGGAGTCCGTCGCGGAGACCGACTCCTACCGGGACCTCCCCCCCAAGGACCGCCCCAGCAGCGCCACCACGCGCGGCGGCTCGCGGCCCCGGTCGTCCCGCGCGACGACCGTCCTCCCGCAGTTCTCCGCCGTCGACACCGAGCCCTCGGCCGCCGCGTTCTCCGTCGCGTCCGACGCCACCCGCCGCTCCGCCGCCCCGCCCTGCGCGTGGGTCGCCATGGAGAAGGCCACCGCCGCGGAGCTCCGCCTCGCGCTCGTGCAGCTCGAGGGCGAGTCCCGCGCCATGCGCGCCGAGCACGCCACGTGGAAGGGCCGCGTCGAGGACCTGGAGGGCCTTTTGAAGCACGCCAACGACAAGGTGGACAGGGCGATGCAGGACCGGGACGCGGCGCTGCGGGAGGCGCGCGACGCGAACGACCGCGTGCGCGAGGTGAAGGCGCAGTACGTGGACGCCGGGGTGGTGCGGACGGCGCAGTTCCGCACGATGGAGGCGCAGGAGGAGGCGCGCGGGGCGCGCAAGGTGCTGGCGCGGCAGAAGAACGACTTGCTGGTGGCGTCGCGGGTGGAGCGGGAGCTGGAGGAGAAGGTCGAGGAGCTGCAGCGGGAGCTGGTGGACGCGCAGAGCGCGCGCGGCGCGGCGACGGAGACGGCGGTGCAGCTGCGTGCGGAGAACGCGTCGCTGCAGCGGCGGCTCGCGGGGCTCGAGGCGGACGTGGCGCCCGCGAAGCAGCAGATGGCGGCGCTGAAGGTCGCGGGGAGCGTGCCGCGGGAGAGCCTCGAGGCGGCCGAGCGCGAGGCGAGTGCTGCGCGGGAGCAGCTGCGCGCCGTGGGGCGCGACCGCGACAGCGTGCGGTACGAGCTGAGTCAGGTCAAGGCGCGGGAGGCGCGGCAGCGGAAGGCGCACGAGAAGGAGCGCGGGGAGCTCGAGGCCGTCGTGCGCGCGCTCCGGGAGGAGCTGTACCGGTCGCAGACCATCACCAGCGCGCAGGTGGCAGAGACGGAGCAGTCCGCGATGCTGGTCACGCGACAGCTGCGGGAGGAGCGCGAGCGGTGCGGGGAGCTCGACGACCTCGTCCGGGAGCTCACGGAGGAGCTCGAGAAGGCTCGGCTGGAGGCGGTGTACCATCAGACGCGGGCGCGGACGTTGGCGGAGCAGGGGGCCGGCGGCGCGCCGGTGGCGGGCGTGGTGGTGGGCGGCGGGGACGGGCCGCCGCGCGGGGTCGTGGTCGGGCTGAATCTGCGGGAGATGCCGGTGTTGACGGCGTGCTCGGGACCTGTGGCGGAAATAGGGTAACTGCGCGGTTCTGTGAGGTGCGCGGTGGTGCTGCCCGCAGCTTGGGGTGAGGGGGCTGTGGGTGATCAGGGGCTTTGTTCGCGTGCGGTAGCTGCGGCCTGGGTCGCGCGAGGCCGCACGGAAACGCCGCGGGTGTGTTGTTCGTGTGCATCATGCGTCGGAGGGGAGGTCGCGCGGAGGTGCCGTGGCCTCGGCCGCGCGGCACGGTGGGCCCACGCGGTGCGAGTCCTGGAGGCCGCGGTGCAGTGCGGGGAGGCCGGTGCGCGCCCCACGGCGACGGTTCCGCCAAGTTGGAATGCACCAGTGCCCGTCGTTCGTGTCCTGGCACGTGACGGAGGCCTGGCTGCGGTACGGGCGGCCACGCAGCGGGCGAGCAGCGCGCGTGGGTGCCCCGGGGGCCGCCTGAGAGACGTCGGATTCGAGAAAGTCCTACTTGTGTTGAATCTGTTGGGTACGACGGAAGAAGGCGTCCAGTCCGGCGCCACGCGGGCCGTCGGGCGGGCGTTCCGGCCTGTTGGGCCTTCCCCGCAACGACAGCAGGCACTTGATGCGTGCCAGGCGCACTCAGGCCGCAGGGCCCGCGATTTCCGGCGCTGAACCTTCGCATGAAGACACCGCAGGCGAGTCAAGGCCTCACACGCGGCGCATCTGCGTTGAACCTCCCGTCAGAACGTGACACCGATGGCCTTGTGCCGTGCCGTCGCTGGAAGGCGACGTGGTTTTCCGGGACGTGGCCGTATTCGGCGCTCGCCTGCTGCGCTGTGTACGACGCGATTCAAGGCCCCGCAGCTGCCGGCGCCGGCGGCGGAATCTGCGAACCGACGCGCCTCCCGGGCTCCACGCTTGATGATGAATCCGCGGCGTGGCCTGCGCGCGCTGCACAGTCGCGAAATTCGCGCGCGGAAATTCGCGCTTGTTTTGCTTGCTGCGTGCGGTCCCGGCCGGGGAGCACCGCCCCGGGCGCCACCCGCGGTCGAACTTCCTTCCACGCCCTGCGACGAAGCCGCCGCGGCCTTCCCGTGGCGGCTCCGTGCCCGTTCTCAGCGCCCACGCCGCGAATTCAAGCGCAGCCACCCAGGCAGCCCGCGCCGCGAGCGCCGCACGGCGGGAACCTCGCACCGACGCCGCAACCGCTCCCCATGCACGCGCAGATCGAAACGGCGCGCTCTCCTGCGGCTGAAAGCGGCGGAGTCCGCGGCGTCAGCACCCACCGTTTCACTGAGGAATGATTCGAGGGGCTCTCGCTCCGCGCCAGCCCAGCGTTTCCCGCGACCGCCCGGCCACGTCCGGCAGGGACTCTCTGAAGGACGGCCCGGGCGCGCCGGACGACGCCATGGGCGCCGAGAACCGCCCCCCTGCGCCCGGTCGCCCGGCGAGCGACGCGCCCAACGCCGTCTCGCGGCCCCCCGCCCCCGCCTTCTCCACCGGCGCGGGGCGCTCGCAGCTCTCCTTCGGCGGCGCCCGCTCGTCCGCGCACGTCCCGGCCGCCTCGGCGCCCGCGCGCGCCGGCAGCATCGCACGCAGCGCGGGCAGCCAGGGCGCGTCGATGAACACGATGCCGCTGCTGGGACGCGTGCAGAAGCACACGATCCGCGGCCCTGCGGCGCTGGACCCGCGCCGCCACAGCCGCGGCCGGAAGTCCTTCGGGCAAGCACCACATGGACTCGCGCACGGGTTGTCCTCGGTGCGCGCCGCCGGCCACGGCCTCTACGCGCGCCCGCTGCCGCGCCCGCACTCCACGGTGGCCGCCCGGCGCAAGGCCAGCCCGGGGAGCCTCGCGGCGGCCCTGCAGCACGATCGCATCACGGGACCGGCGCCGGCAAAGAACAAGCCGCGGCCGCTGATCGCGAAGGTGCCTGCGAAGCACGTCGCGGCCGCGGAGGCCCCACGTGCGGGGCGTGGGGAGGGCGGGGACGCGGCGGGGCCGGGCCGCGTGCGCGACGGGGAGGGGGGGGGTCGCGTGAGTGACGCGCTGACGTTTGCCGCGCGGCTGGCGGAGGTGGCGAGCGAGAACGACGCGTTCGAGACCGCGGCGGACGCGATCGCCGCCGCGCAGGGGCCGGAGCGGCGCGTCGAGGACGCGGCGGCGGCGGTGGCGGGGGGAGTCAAGACGGAGCACGGGTCGGCCCTCGACACCCGCGGAGACGCGCCCGCCGCCAATGTCGCCGAGCCGACGGGCGCGGACGAGCCGCCTGCGGTTATCAACGGTGGCGCGGGCGTCGGTGCGGCTGCGACCGAGGCAGGCGCCGGGGCCCAGCCAGCAGCGCTGCGCGGCAACAACGCCGGCGACGGAGCGCCCGCCACGGAGCGTCCTGCAGCCGTCGAGGGCGCGGGTGCGCAGCGGACGCCCCCGCGGGCCACGGCGGACGCCCTGCGGTCGCCACGCAAGCGCGGCCGCGGCGCCGCGAGCCCCCCCGCGCAGGCGGGCAGCGCGGGCGCGGACGGCGGGGCCGAGGTCCCGGCAGCGGGCCCGCGCAGGCCGAAGAAGACGAAGGCGGAGCGGGCGCTGGAGCAGCTGCAGCCGTGGCACCACGACAAGCGGCGTTTCCAATACCCCCCCAACCCTGCCAAGTATGACAAAAGCGGGGACGAGCGGGGCGCGAAGCGGGCGGCGCGGCAGTACGGCATGCTGGGCATCACGCTCGCGGAGGCGATCGAGCACGCCGAGGTGGAGCGGGCGCAGCAGGGCGGCGGAGTCAGGCCCGCGTCTGACGCCGCGGTCGCTGCCGCGCCGGGCCGGGGCGCGGCACCGGGCGACCGCGGCTTCGCGGCGGACGACGACAAGCAGCACGCGGAGGGCAGCGGCCGGCCGGCCCCGCGCACGGTGGAGGACTCGACCTGCGACGGGGCGCCGGGGATGTTGGTCGACGTGGACGCGGGCGCGGTGACGTCGCCGGGCGTTCGCGCGCCGGACGCCGACGTGCAGGCGCAGGGCGAGTCCCCCGCGCCGCCCGAAGCCGCCGAGCGCACGGACGTCGCGCGCCCCCCGGAGCCGGCGGGCGTGGTAGCAGCGCAGGGCGTTGCCGGGCCCACGCAGCGCGCGTCGCCGGGAGCCGCTGAGGAGGCTGCGCAGGAGGAGGCCGGGCACGCGGTGCGTGGCGCCGAGGGCGCCGGTCCCGCGGCGGAGCGCGGCGGCGGCGGTGGCGTGGCGCCGTGTGGGGGCTCTCGCCGGGCGGTGCGCCCGCCGCGCGGCCCGAGTCGCCGCACACCCCGCGCGCGGCGTCGCCCGCGCGCACGTCGTCGGCGGTCCACCACGGCACGCCCACGCGGCCCCCGCCCCTCGACACCCCCAGCAGGCGCGCCATCACCTCCGCCCGACGCGAGTCCTGCGGGCCGGGCCCCGACCCGAGCAAGCGGCGCTTCTCCGTCCCGGATTCGTCCTCCGAGGGCGAGGAGGACCTCTGCGCGCAGCCGCCGCCCCCGGCCGTCCCCCCGCGTGACGCGCCCGGGGCGCCGGCCTGCGCACAGCGGCCCGCCCCGCCCCCGGCGACGAGCCCGGCTCCGGAGCCCGCGCCGGCGCGGCGGCGCAAGGCGCGCGCGAACCGCGAGCTCGAGGCGCTGAAGCCGTTCCACTACGACAAGCAGCGGCGGAAACACCCCCCCAACATGAGTCAGTTCGTGCACGACGGCGACGGCGAGCGGGAGTCCAAGGCCGAGGCGCGGCGGCTCGGGCAGCTCGGCATCACGCGCGCGGACGCCGCGGAGCACGCGGCCGTCGAGAAGCTGCACGGTGGCCGCGCAGACCCCGCCGCGCTGCCCCCCCACCCGGCCGCCCCGAACGACGCAGACGCCCCGCGCGAGGAGGCGCCGCCGGCGGACAGCAAGGCCGAGGGAGGGGCGCACGCGGAGGACGCGGACGCGGAGCCCGAGGGCGTGCGGCCGGGGCGGTGCGCCAAGTGCAGCGGCGCGGACGAGCGGTGCATCCGGTGTCTGAAGAAGGCGGTGGTCGCGGACGAGCGCGACGGCGGCCCGCTGTCGGACGCGCTCGTCGCGGAGTGGTCCGACCGCGTGATCGCGACCAAGCCGTCCGCGCTGGTCAAGTACAAGTTCCGGGAGTGGTGGGGGGGCCGGGCGCTGCGGGAGGACGCCGCGGAGCGCGTGCGGGCGGCGTACGAGGCCGCAGCGCAGCGCGCGGCGGCCCGGGCGGAAGAAGGGGAGCCGGAGGTGAAGCGCGAGACCTCGAAGAAGGTCTCGAAGTCCGCCGGCGGTATCAAGTCGCCGCGGAAGGCCGCTGCGCGGTCGCCCGCGAAGCACGTGGCCGTGGAGACGCCTGCGCAGCGGGCCTCGGCGGTCGCGGAGCGTCCGCGTGCGCCGGCGTCGGCGCCGACGGTGCCGAAGGCCCCGCGCAGCAGCGCGGCGGGGCTGGCGGCGGCGGCGGAGGCGGCGCCGGGGACGGAGCAGGGGCGCTCGCGGCCCCGGCGCGGCGCGGCGGCGGCGGCGGCGGAGCGGATCGCGAGCACGCTGTTCGCGGACGGCGGCGACGGGCACGTGCTGGTCGACGTGGCGAAATACACCCCCGCGGACGCCCCCTTCGTGCTCGAGGTCAGCCCCGCGGCGGACGCGCTCATGGACTGCCACGCGCACCTGTCGCCGAAGGAGATCATCGGCCTCCTCGGCGGCACCATCGCCGCGCCCGCCGGCGCCGACGCGGACTCCCCCCCGGGCCCCGTCGTCCTGCGCGTCCTCCGGGCCTTCCCCGTGAAGGAGGTCGTCGGGGCGGCCCTGGGCGCCACGGGCGACATCGACGTCGAGATGGACTCGGTCGACGAGCTCCGCGTGCGCGCGGAGATCCAGGCGGCGGGCATGCAGGTGGTGGGGTGGTACCACAGCCACCCGGACTTCGACGCGCAGCCGTCGGTGATCGACGTGTCGAACCAGCTGCGGCACCAGCACTACCAGGGCCGGGGCAACCTCGCCGCGCTGAACGAGGCGCGTGCGGCGGCGGCGCTCCCGGAGGTGGCGGTGCGCGGGCCGCACAGCGCGGGCGAGCTGTACGCGGCGGCGATCGTGTCGCCGTTCGGCGCGGAGGTCAAGGGGGACCTCCGGACGTCGATACGGTGGTTCCACGTGCAGCACGGCAAGGCCGGGAGCGCGCACGTGGAGGCGGCGAACCCCATGGAGCTGGGGTGCGCGCCGCGGGAGCTGCGGCCGACGGTGGCGCCGTTCGAGCCGGGGAGCTTCGACGGCGCGCAGGACTCGGCGGTGGCGCTCGCGCAGGAGTACAAGGAGCGCCGGGAGTGCCTGGCGCACATGCTGGGGCCGTGGCGGGGGCTGCGGCAGCGGCTGGGGAAGCTCGAGCGGTCGCTGGGGGCGCAGGCGCAGGCGTGGGGGAGGGCGTGGGGCGATGGGGACGCGCAGGAGGCGCAGGAGGCGCAGTTCTGCGCCGCGGAGCTCGCGCGGGCGGTGGCGTTCCAGGTGGACGACAGCGCGGCGTTCGGGGACTGCGACCAGTGAGGCAGCGGCGCGGGAGGCCGAACGCGGGCGCCGACGAGGTGGGAGTGTGCGGGTGTCTGGGGGGTGTGGCGGTGCGGAGGGAGATCGAGCAGGTTGGGGGGACGTGAGGACATGATTTCATGTTGTTTCCTGCACGTGATGAACCTCTGGGGAGGAATGTGCACTGCGGGAACGCGGGGATGTGTGATGGATCGCAGCGTCGGCGAGAGCGGTGCCGTGAGGGCGGCGCCGTCGTTGCCAGCAGCAGGCGCAGCCCTCCCCAGCTCAGCGTCACTTGCACTGCACGAGCTGCAGTGCAGCTCGTCGGGGGCCACGCGGCGCCCGCGCGCTGTCGCCCCGGCCACGCTGCGATCCTCTCCGCGCGGCACACCACGGCGGTGGCGCCCGGCGCGAACACGGCGGCTCGTGTGCGCGTCGGCAGGATCATAGCCAGCCACGCGTGCGTCCCAACGCCCGGTCGTTGCCGCGCAGCACTGTCAGATGAAGCGGCCGGCGTCTTCGGCGGCATTCAGCGCGGCGCTGAGATTCGTGGGAAACGTGTTGAGTGAGCAGGCATGGCGAGAGAGAGGCCTGGACAGGGTCGTAGATGACCGGTCGTACGTGACCAGTCCGGTTCAGAGGGCACGTGTTAGATCGACAGGGAGCACTGGCGCCGCGGAGAGCTCCTGAGGGGCCCATCGTGGAGCGGTCGCCGCTGCGCTGGCGCGCCATGGGAGGCTTGGCCTGGCGGGGGCGAGCCAGACTGAATGTGGGGCTCTGGATATCACAAAGTGGGGGTGATGCGATGAGTGATCGTCTACCTCGTCGCGTAAAGGTATAGTTCGGGCTAAGTATTCGCCAAAAACAGATGTAGGAGGCAATGCATGAAGCAATGCCGACCGGCTTCGTGCTGATCCAGCCCTGAGAAGCACGCCGGTCGAGTCTCCGGTCAATTCTCGGCATCTACGACGTACTCAAGCCCGTCGCGGGCGTTGTGCCACCTCGCAGGCGCCTGTGGATGGTGCAGGGGCGCAGCGAGAGGACGTGCGCCTGCACGCGCGACCTGCGGGCCCGTCCAGCCCGCCCGGACATCCGACTCTTGCCACTTGGAGGCATCCTGCATGGCGCACTAGCGCGGCCTCGGCGCGGCGCTGGGCAGCCGGGCCTCACTGCACAAGTGCGCTATGTGAGTTTGGGGTGGCTGCAGTGGTGCGAGAGATCAATGCTGCAACTGAGCGCGCTTCCGGTGTCCGACTGTATGTCCAGGGGGGCGTGTGGCGCCCTGTTGACTCCCTTGGGCGCCGGCGTCGGTGCTGACTGCCTGAAGTTGCGTCGGTGGGGTTCTCTACGACGCAGGCGCTGGTGGCGCCGGACGGCCGGGACCGCAGCAGGGCGGCTCCGCGAGGCTTCGGGACAGTAGTGCGGGTGGCTGCGAGGTCGCCGCGCACGGTTCGATAGAATTCGAGGGGCCGAGCAGCGGCCTTATCCTGCAGGTGGTCTGGCGAACTTCAGCGTCCAACCTGGTACGTTGTGCAGCTTTAAGTGCTCACAGCCGCTTGTTTCGAGCAGCAACTTGGCATCTATGGCAAATGCATCGTTGACGAGGGCGGCTTTCGCGTCCTCTGCCAGGAGAAAGACTCCAAGGGACTCCAACAGCTGCACGCCACCGTGACAACTTAAGACGCGCTTTGATTGACTTTTCTGAAATGATGTGTATCCATACGTGCAAGTGCGATACTGAACGACCTGATAAAAGGCTCCGTAGCGCCGGGCCGTCACTTGGACAGCTGGCCAGTCGCACTACCCTTCTCGCAGCGGAAACCGCTTCGACGCGAACATGCACGCGCCTGCCGGGACACTTATCGTCGATCATCGGCGCTGTCACCGCCATGTTTGAGCGATCGTCCGCCTTCAGCGATCCCACGCGCACATGCCTGTTGCGAGGCGGTGTGCTGAACTGCGGAAAATACGACGCCGACACGGGCACTTGTGGAACACCAATACCTCTTGTGCGAAGACCATGCGATACATGATACGAAATCGTCATAGAACTCACGGGTGAATCGCCTGGTGCGACGCAGGTGCCTACCATGGAGGTGGCGGTGAACACGTGCGTCGCTCTGACGCGGGCGGTCCTGACGCGCCTGGACAACTGCGCGTGGATCCGCAACACGTGCGCGACGCTGCGGCCGCACGTGCTCCAGGTCGAGCAGGTCCTCAACGAGCTGAGGGCCACGGAGTCGGCCAAAGTACCGCTGCTCGCAGATGCCCTCGGGGCGATCGAGCGGGCGCTGTCGGTGATGGACACGGAGATATCGACGTGGGAGAGCGACAGCAAGTTCAAGGGTTTTGCGTCAGCCAATAAGCGCAAAGAGGCGCTTCAGGAAGCGGCGCGGGCGCTGGGGGACGCGATGGGCCTGCTCCCGGCGGCCAACGTGCAGCTGACGGACAAGGTCCGCGCGGGGGTGCAGCGCGTGGAGGGTGAACTGGGCAACCTACAGGTGACGTTCGACGCGGGCGTGGAGCGGCTCGAGGCCTACGAGCGGGACATTCTGGCCAATGTGCTTTCCCAGGGGGAGGACATCGGGGAGATGAAGGCGATGCTCAAGTTTCTCGTGAGCACGTTCGCGAGCCCGAGCGTGGACGCCGCGCAGGAGCAGCGCATTCTGGAGAAGGTGCTGACGGACAAGAAGTGCTTCAAGCCCGGGCACGAGAAGGAGGGCATAACCATAGCGGGGAACATGGCCGCGGAGATCCGTCGGATGAAGGAGCAGGAGCAGAAGCAAAGTCTGGCCGAGGCTCTGGTACGTTCGTGCGACCGACGTAGCGCGCTTGACGTTGCCGTGGCGCCTGACATCATGCGTGAACCTGACGAGAGTGACGTTGCCGACGTTCTGGTGACCAATCAGCTGAGCGCGACGCTCGCCCTCTGATGCAGGAGAACCTCACTATTCAGCCCGACTGCGTCAAGCTGGGCCACCCGATCTCGCACGAGGGCGGAAGCACCGTGTACGGCGGCGTGTGGGACCGCGACGGCACGGGCACGGACCTGCGCAACGTCGCGGTGAAGGTCGTCAAAGTCGAGAGTGGCCAGATCTCCGCGGAGGATGTCGCGCGCATCAAGAAGGAGGCGGAGCGGGTCGTCAAAGCCTCGCACGGCTCTGACCACGTGTGCACCCTGCACGGGTATGCGGTGGACACGGCGCAGTCGCAGGTGATGCTGGTGATGCGGCGGTACCCGAGCTCCGTCAGCCAGCGCTTGCGCGGGCAGGGCCGTTTCGGGCCGCTGTCCGCCGCCAACAAGCTGCAGATCTGCTGCAACATCTTCCAGGGGCTCGCGGACCTGCACGCCATGGGCATGTGCCACTACGACATGAAGCCTGCCAACGTGCTGCTGACGGAGCACGGCACCGCGGTCCTCACGGACTTCCAGCTGTCGCGCGAGGCCAACGAAACTCTTGGCAAGACCCTTGAGAACGAGTTTGGCACCCTCAGGTACGCGCCGCCGGAGCAGATGGACCGCGACTCGTACGACAAGCCTGGCACGCACAGCGACATGTGGTCGGCAGCCGCCACGGTGTGCGAGATTCTGTCGGGGGAGAAGCCGTATCATGGCATGGACTTGCCGGGGGTGCTGGGGGCCCTGCTGACGCACAAGCAACCGCCGAAGATTCCAGCGAGCGTTCCGGCGGCGCTGCGGCCGCTGCTGCAACGGTGCTTCAGCCGAGACGCGCAGAACAGGCCCACGGCGCTCGAGGCCCTGGAGACGTTCGTCAAGCTGTCGGCCAAGGATGTCGAGGAGGGCGGCACCGCAGCGGGAGAGGCGAGCGAGACCGGCACGATGTCGGTCGGAGCTGTGCAGGCCGGGCGCAGGGACGCCTCCGTCACGACGTCCAACGGCGACGGGAGGGTCAGGACGATACAGGTGGTGCGTAAGATGCTCGCGGACAAGACGAGGAAGGTCGTCGACTTGGACGGAGCCGTGGTGACCGTCTCGCCCGCCAAGACCATCGTCTTCGCCGAGGAGGAGTACTTCTCGGACGAGGAGTACTACGACACCGAGGTGCGTCTCGTCGAGGGCAAGAAGAAGCTGTTCGGGGGGCGGAAGATGGTGGAGACGCGCGTCGAGGTGAAGAAGACACGCAAGATCCCGAAGACGCGATGGTCGGAGCTCGCCGCAGAGGTCCCCGCGGGCACTCGCAGGACCAGGAAGGTGCGGTGGTGTTGGCGTTTCGTTGCATGCGAACGCGCGTCCTGTGCCGGTGTCTCCTCACGACATCGCCCTAGGCACACTGGTGTGGGCGTGCGTGTTCTCACGACGCACCTGTCGTGGACGATGACCTTGCGGCGCAGGTTGTTGAGTTTGGCGACGGGCTCAAGCTCGACAGGCCTGGCGTCACGTTCCGGAACGCATCGATCGAAATCGACGTGCCCGCGGCGGACGAGTACCGATGCGCCTCCCCGGAGCTCGTGGTCGTGACTGCCGCCAACGTGGAGCTCGAGAACATCTCCGTCACGGTGCGCGGCGGCGGTGCAGGTGCGATCGCGACGATGCAGACGAGGCTCTGCTCTGTCACACAATGACCGCTTTCCCAGTGCGTGCGGCATGCCGCGGACTTCGGTGCAGCCGCGTTCCCTCCAACCCTGCGCGTCACGCCCCCCATGCACGTGCAGAAGCCTGGCTGACCGCAATGGCAGTGCGCATGGGCGGCAGTGTGGCGCTGTCGAACTGCGAAATCGCTGTGCGAGGCGAGACAGGTGGGTGCTCCGGTGTCGCGTGGCACTCTGACTCGCTGTCTGTGCAGCAGCGGCGCGAGGCCGTTCGCTGCTCGCCTGATGCACACATGGGCAGCCGTGCTGATTGCTCATCGATGGAGCTTGCGCGTGATCGCAGGGGCGGCGAAGTACTGTCTGTCGGTCGACGGTGGTGGCCGCGCTTCTCTCGCGAACTGCACGATCACCTGCGACCGTGCCTGCACGGGGCTCATCGCGGGCACTGGCAGCCGCCTCGACCTGACGCAGTGCCGCGTCAGCGGCGCGGACCTCGTGGCCGCCGACGGCGGCATGCTGCAGCTGAGCGACGGTGCTCTGAGCGGCGCGCAGGTGTGCGTTGCGGCTCGCGGCGCCGGCAGCGTTGCGGAAGTCAGCGGCTGCAACATCCGACACGGAGGCATCGCCGGTCAGGTGTCGCAGGGCGGCGCGATGGAGCTCCGGGACTGCACGGTGTTTGCTGCGCGCAGCGGCTCGACCAGCCTGCAGGTGGACGGGCCCGGCAGCGTGCTGTCGGTGCGCGGGGGCTGCGTGGAGGGCGGGCAGCACGCGATGGTGGCGTCGGGCGGGGCGCTGCTGCTGGCGTCGGCGTGCACGCTGAAGGATTCGATTTCCGAGGAGGCGATCGTCACCAGGGGCGGGGGCACACGGGCGGAGCTGACCGAGAGCATCACGTACGAGTGCCTGCTGCGCACCGATGAGGGACCGGGGAGCGAGATCGCGATCGTGGACGAGACGGCGAGGTGCGGAACGAGTTGCCCGCTACTATTATTATTCCTGAGGTGTGTGGCACGCTGTGCAGGCAAAAGCGGATCTGGTTTCGAGGCTAAGCTCCATGTACCGCGTCATGCTTGCAGCTTGAAGCAAGTGCTGGAGCTCCGGGCGGCGGAGCGCCGTGAGGCTGAGCGCCGTGAGGTTGAGCGCCGGGAGGCCGAGCGCCGGGAGGCCGAGCGCCGGGAGGCCGAGCGCATTGCAGCAGAGCGCAGGGAACTGGATCGTATCGCAGCAGAGCGTATTGCAGCAGCGCGCAGGGAGGCGGAGCGCAGGGAGGCGGAGCGCAGGGAGGCGGAGCGCAGGGAGGCGGAGCGCCGGGAAGCGGAGCGCAAGGAGGCGGAGCGCCGTGAGGCGGAGCGTCGGCTCAGCACCGTGGACGGCCTGCGCGAGGCGCTCAACGCCGGCTCCGACAAGGTGCGGCGCCGCTCGCTGCTGCATCACGTCAACGATGCCGCGGGCGGCACGGACGGCGACGGCAGTCCCCCGTTTCGCACCCGCCGGTTTTGCACGTGCACTGTCTGCAGGTGATCTGTGACCTCAAGGGGCGCGAGGTGCGCGGGGGGGGCCTGGACGAGATCGAGGTGACGCGCGCCGGGGTCACGCTGCGCAACGGCACGCTGCGGGGTGTGCGGCTGGTCGTCAGGGAGTCCGCGCAGGGCTTCCGCCTCGAGAGCGTCACCGTGACCGGGTACCGCTTCGAGAGCGACAGTGAGCGCCCCGGTCCCCCGCTGTCGCGCCTTGCAACGCGCTGCTCCTCGCTCCACGTCGACTGCGGTGCGCGGCTGCGGCGCTCACGACCCGCGCGCTGTCCGGGCGAGCGCATGCAGAGACCATCCACGGTGCAGTCCACGTCGTCGGGGCGAGCGGGGTCGTGATCCGGGCGTGCAAGCTCAGCGACAACCCGGGAACCAGCGCCGTCGGACTAATGGCGATGAGCGGTGCGAAGGTGCGGTCTGTTGGCTGCGCGCGCTGCGGCGGGGCGCCCGAGGGGTGCAGCTGGCAGCGCGGGACGTGGCACTGCGGGGCGCGTGGCGGTCGCGGAACGACGCGAGCGGCGGAGCGGCGTGCGTGCGTGCAGGTGACGGTGGAGGACTCGCAGTGCTGCGGGAACGGTCGGAGCGGCGTGGTTGCGTACCACAGCGGCACGGAGGTGACGGTGCGCAACACCACCTGCAGCAACAACGTGAAGCTCCACGGCGTGGTGGCGCAGAACGGAGCGAAGGTGAGCGTGCGGGGACGGTATGCGTGCGCGCGCGTGTGCTCGTACACGTCGGTGGCCGCGCGGCACGCCCCCCGCGTCCCCGCCCCCGCCCGCTGCGTGCGCGGGTGCAGCTGCGGTGCGACGTGGCGGTGCGGGGCGACGCGAGCGACGGTGCGCGCGCGTGCAGGTGACGGTGGAGGACTCGCAGTGCTGCGGGAACGGTCTGAGCGGCGTGTTTGCGTTCGACAGCGGCACGGAGGTGACGGTGCGCAACACCACCTGCAGCAACAACAAGCACTACGGTGTGGCGGCATGGTACGGAGCGAAGGTGAGCGTGCGGGGACGTGTGCAGCGGACGTGTGGGCGCGGGGGCGGTGTGCGTGCGGCGCTGCGTGTGCGGGGGTGCGGTGCTGTGTGTGCGGCGGTGTGCGGTGCTGAGCGCGTGTGTGTGTGTGGGTGCAGGTGGTGGGACGTGGACTGAAGATGAGCGGGAACAAGGACGGGAACACGGGAACCTACGAGGGAGGCGTGGTGGACGTGCAGTGAGGAGGGGGTGGGCGCGGTGCGGGCGCGGCGCGGGGCGGCGGCGAGCGCGCGCGGAGGATGGTGGGTGCGGTGCGGGTGGTGGGGCGCAGCTGGGGGCGTGCGCGGCGGTCGGGGTGCGGAGCGGCGCGGAGAGCGCGGAGCGAGGATCGGGCGACCGGATGCGGGCGTCGGTGGGTGCCATGCGGCGCGGGACGCGAAGCAAACGCGACGCGCTCGGGTGCGCACAACCTGCGTGACGCCCTGACGCGGATTCCGGCGTCCGTTGTGCAAGACGCGACGCGGCACTGCCCAGATCGAATTGCCCTTGTGACGTCCACCGGATACGGCACGCAACGTGCCAGGCAGCCTGTGCAGGGCGCGGAGATACAACGCGGGTTTGACTGGCCGTTCGTCCAACGTCGCTCTCAGCCGCTTTTTGGCGCCGTGGCTGCATATCTGGTCTGTTTCTGCAGCGCCGGCTGCTGCACAGAACGTGAACTAGGTCTCCCGCGAGCGCCATGCGCCGCGAGCACGCGCACGCGGTGCTGCGGACGAGCCATCAACTGCGCGGATTCAAACGCGACAAACAAGGGCGGGTTCCGCCGCGTGCTTGAGCGCCACAGCCGCGTTACACCGCGCAGCCTCGTCCGTGATCCCTGAACAGCGCTTCCAGGCACCGGCAGCGCTGGAAGCGGGCAGCGCTACGCACTACGACGCCTCGAGGACCTCGGCAGCACCATACAGCAACGCACGCTCCCGGGGGAAGAAGTCACGGGGGCACGGGAGCACGCACGCGGACCAGCGCAACGCTGAGCAGGACCTCGGTCCTCTGTGCGCCGGCATGGAGCGCGTGTGTGTCCGCAGCGATGCGTTCCACCTCTGACACTGCACATCAATCAACCAACCCGCGGTCGACGGCGACGCAGTGCGCGCCCGCACCGGTCCACGGCCAGGCGGCAGGCGATCGCTTCCCGACCGCCCCTCGCGTTCGCTCCTCGCCCAGCGCGTCTCACACCACACACACACACTCGCCCCTGTTACGACCGCTGCCGCTTCGCGCCGAGCGACGTCGTCTGCCGGTTCAGCGCCCGGTTGAGCGACTTGAGCCCCGCCCCGAGCGGGCACCGCTCGTCGCGGTCCGCCCGCTTCCCGCACGCGCCCAGGATGCCCACCAGCTTGGGTGCGTCCGCCGCGCCCGCCGGCGCCGACGCCCCGGACAGCCGCTGCCCGATCCCCGCGAACGACGACGGCCCCGCGCGCGCCCCCGCGGGCGCCGACGCCGCCGCGCCCGGCTTGCTCGCGCCGCCCTTGCTGGCGTCGCGCTCAAACACAAACGGGCCCGCGCGCTGCCCGACGGGCGCCGCGCGCGACGTCACCGGCGCCGCGATCGTGCGCCCGAGGAACGACGTCTTCGACCCGCCCAGGTCCCCGAACAGCGACCGCGACCCCTCGTACCCCGCCACCGCCACGCTCAGCCGCCCGCGCACGTTGCCCGGCGCCGACCCGCCGCCCGCGCGCCGCGCACCGCCGCCGCTGGCGCTCCCGAAGTGCGCGAAGGGCCGCGGGTGGCTCGTCTGCTTGTTGATCATCGAGAGGACGTCCTTGGACGTCGACGAGCGCAGGGGGTCGTAGCGCTCGTTGCCGGCGGCGGCGCTCTCGAGGGCCTTCTCCTCCGCGCGCCGCTGCACGCGCGCGAGCACGCCCGCGCTCACGTCGTCCCCGGCGCCCGCGCCCCCGAAGTGCACGCCCGCGAACGCGTCGAGCTCCCCGCCCAGCACGTCGTCGCCCAGCCCGCGGCGGCGGCGCGCCTGCGCGTCGGTGCCGAGGTCCTCCTCCTCCTCGAGCAGCCCGAAGCCCGCGCGCGGACGGTTCGAGCGGAACCCCTGCTTGATCCCCCTGCGCAACAACAAACACACCGCGATCGCCGCGGTGGGACACAAACACACACACAGCGACTGGCCGCTGGCCCGAGCCAGTCGTCGGAGAACAATAGGTCAGGCGGAGACTGGCGGGTTTCCCGGCGCGATCTGGCCGGAGCGGCGCGGTCCGCGCGGTCGCGTGCGTCGTCGCGACACTTTTACGTCTACTGTGGTACTGTTATACTCACGTCGCGCGAGCACGCACACGCACAGCCAGCGCGGCACTCCAACCGCCCCGTCAGCCTGCAGCGCCGTCCTACGCCCCACCAGACCCCTTGTCCACCATCACGACACCCCCCTTCCAAGTGCCCGTCGTTTGGCCGCCCCCCTCCCCGGCGAGCACGCCGCACCGCTCCAGCTCCACCACGCCGTCGATCTGCGCCCACGCCCCCGCCTTGCGGTTCCCGGACAGCTCGACGCTCTTGGCAACCACGCGCGAGCCCCTGCCCGACGCGGCCACGCCGCCATGCGCGTTGCCCGACGAACAGCCCCGCTCCATCGCCACCAGCCCGCCGTGATCCGCGAGCACGCCGTGGGAGCCCTTGGCGCCCGTGCACCGGGTGTCGCGCACCTCGATGGTGGCCGCCGCGCCGTTCGCTTCCATGCAGTTCCATCCGCAGCGTGCGACCTCGCAGCCCTCCACCACGACGCGGCACCCGGCAATCGCCATCACGCCATTCCGCGCGCTGTGCGTGATGCTGCACCCGCGCACCGTCACCTCCTTCGCCTCCCCGTGCGCATACACGCCATGCCCGGGCCCGCCCACGATTCGGAGCGACTCGAGCACCGCGCCCGCGGCTCCGCGACCGAGATGCACCGCAGCCGTCTGCCCCCCGACCTTGCTCCCGAGCCCGATCAGCAGCCCGTTACGCAGCACAACAGGGCGGTTGATCACCAGACCCTCCGCGTTGCCGACGCAGCGCACTGCGCGCCCCTCGAGGTCGACGACGGGGACGGTGGGATCGTTCAGGACCTGCCGCAGCCCCGCCACCGAGAGCGCGGAGCCACGGCGCGCCGTTGAGGCGGACGGCGGCGCTTGGGCAGCGGCCGCGTGCAGGGCCGGGATCGCGCGGTGTGCCTGCAGTCTCGACACCCCGCAGGACCGCAGGGCCCGCTCAGTGAGCGCCGTGACGTCCTGGGCGTCGGACAACGCCCCGAACGGCAGGGCGGCGCGCACTTGTTCCGCGGTGTCGTCCCCGAGCTGTAGCTCTCGCATGACGCGGTCCACGAGCGCCTCGCCCTCCCCGCAGCCGTCGGGGAGCGGCGGAGGCACGGGGTACGACGGCTCGGGGCGCGCCGGCTCGGGTTCCTTGTGGTACGCCTGCGTGGCGCCGGGCGTCGCCACCGGTGCGACGGGGAAAGTCCTGGCGGTGCCCGCCGAGGGCGATGACTGCTCGGGGCGGTGGCGCGCGGCCGGCGGAACGAGGCACGTGCGATCGACGGTGTCCCCGAGGCGCTGCAGCTCTCCCTCGAGGACGTCCAGGACGTACCGCGCAGTCGGGCGGCGGTTGAAGTCGTACGTGAAGCACGCGGCGATGGCGGACGCCACGGGGCCTGGGAGCCCGCTCGGAATGTCCGGGGCCTCGCGGTCGTGAACCACGAGGCTGTAGATGTCCTCACGGTTCCAGCCCTTGAACGGCAGCACGCCGGACGCGAGGTGCACGGCCACTGCGGCCGCGCCCCACACGTCCGTGTGCGGGCCGCGGTCGGCCCGGCGGCGCGCCTGGAGCTGCTCTGGCGCCGCGTAGTTGCGCGAGCATGCGTCCTTGGCCTCGGTCGCGACGCTCGCCACCGACGACGATGCGGTCACGCGCGAGAGCCCAAAGTCCGCGAGCACCGCGCACCCGGAGCCGTCGAGGAGCACGTTCCGCGGCGTCACGTCGCAGTGTGTGATGCCCACGCGGTGCAGCGAGTCGAGGGCGCGGAAGACGTCGGCCATGGCGGGCAGCCACGCGCCCAGCGGGATGGGCTTGCCGTCGTGCAGGTCCAGTGCGTCCGACAGCGACCCGGCGTAGCGCCGCATGACGAGCATCGCCTGGCCGCCGCTGTCGTCGCCGTCGACGAACCCGTACAGCTGGCAGACGTGCGGGCTCGCCGCGAGGGCGCGCGACAGCACTTGCGCCTCGCGCAGCAGCGCGTTCCGCTCCTTGGGCTTCGTGCCGTGCAGGCGGATCACCTTGATGGCCGCCGGAAGCGGCACCTGGTTCGGGGCACGCCACACGCCCTCGTGCACGTCGCCGAAGCCGCCAGCGGACAGAGACTGCCCTAGCACCACCTCGCCCGCCGGGATGCGCCAGGCCTCGAGCGACTTCTGCACGCCGCCGCCGGCGCACATGTCGATTCTGCGCGTGCTCTCCCATGCGAGCCGCTGCACCTTCTCCTTGAGCTCATTCACCTGCGCAGCGACATGGCGACGGCGTCTGCCGCGTCAGAGAGAGTCGCACAAGCACGCAGACCTACCAGCGAGCCGCTGATGCAGTGCGCTGCACGACAGTCACGCACGCTGTACCACGCGGCCGCAGCTCACCTCGCTGCGCACGCCCTGCCCGGCACCGATCCGCATTGCGTCAATCTCCCGCACCAGCATCTGTTCGGTGCGCTCCACGTGCGCCTTCGCGCGAACCGACGCCTTCTCTTCAATCATGCGCACCGCCTCTCCCAGCTGCTCCTGCACCAGCCCCCCCATGCGTGCGAACACCTCCTCGATCACCCTGTCTGCCGCCACCGTCACGTCCTGCGACACAGACGCCTTGACGTCGCGGAAGCCCCGCTCGCCCGCCGCCCTCAGCTCCTCGAACTCCCGCCGCTGCTCCTCGCGGTGCCGCTCCGCCGCCGCGGCGATCGCGCCCGTCAGCGACCGCTCCATGCGCGCCATCGTCGCCTCCTGCGCCTCCGCGTTCGCCCGCCCCCCGGCGAGGATCTCGTCCCTCACCGCCCGCAGCTGCTCCGGTCTGATCGACCGCATCTGGAGCTCGGCCATGTGGCGCGCCAGCACCGCGTCGACCTGCTGGGGCGTGATGTTGGCCTTGCGCGCTTGCTTGTGCGCGGCGTCGATGAGGTCCTTCATGTCCGACTGCGCGCGGAGGAGCTCCACGCACAGCCCGCGGACGTCCTCGACCGCGACGTTCAACTTGCCCGCGCTCGCGGTCGCGACCAGCTGCAGCCCGAGGGAGATGCCCCCGCAGGCATCGGCCAGCTTGCGCGCCCACTTGTCGGGCATGGCGCTGCGCCGGACCTTCTTCGTGCTCCACTCGAATAAGAGCTCGTGGGCCTTGGTCAGGTTGGCGTCGAGGAGCTCCAGCGCGTCGAGGAGCCCGCGATCGGAGGCGGTGCGCGCAGCCTTGCCGTCGGCCAGGAAGCCCTCCATCACGACCGTCACCACCTCCGCGCAGCGTGCGAGCTCCTTGACCTCCCGCTTGTTCTCCTTGTTCTGCTGGACCATCCTGACCACCTTGGCCGCGATGTCCAGCACCGCTTTCACTGCGTCGACATGCAAGATACGAGACGCGGGCCGCCGTGCGACTTCCACGCACCTGCAGAGGCGAGTGCGGTGGAGGTCCGCAGTGCGACCGGCGTGACCATCAGGACGTGCAACATCAAGCGCAACTCCAGCTCCGGCCTGCGCGCTCTGGCCGGCGCAGAGGTGCGCCGCTCGACACCGCAACGGCGGGAACGTTCCGGAAGATCTGCGTGCTGCTCGCGTGTTCATTTGGGATGACTCCGCGGCCAGCGTCGAGCTGTGCGATTGTACGTGACTTGACTTGACTTGTTCACACCCCGAAGAACGGGTCGCACCGTGCAGGTGACGGTGAAGGGCGGCGAGTTCAGCGAGAACGGCAAGAGCGGGATCGACGCGTCCGGCAGCGGCACGCACGTGACACTGCACAACGTCGACTGCAGCAGCAACAAGGAGAGCGGCGTCCGTTGCCAGGATGGCGCAGAGGCAAGTGCGGACGACGTCCTGACCCGTGCGTCGGAGCTCACGTGGCATGCGACGCGGGGCCGGCACGTGCGCACGAGAACCTTGCCGCTCTGTGCTTGCACAATGGACGACTCTGCGCGTTCGGGCGTGCAGGTGGTGGGAACCAAGGTCCTCGCGAATGGAAACGTTGCGGGGAACGTCGTCACGCGCGGCGGAAAGCTCGGCGGGGAGCTCGTCGACCCGGAGGAGGCGGAGCGTCGGCTCGGCACCGTGGACGGCCTGCGCGAGGCACTCAACGCCGGCTCCGACAAGGTGCGGCGCCGCTCGCTGCTGCATCACGCGAACGACGCCGCGGGCGGCGCGGACGGCGACGGCAGTGCCCCGTTTCGCACCCCCCGGTTTTGAATGTGCACTGCAGGTGATCGACCTCAAGGGGTGCGAGGTGCGCGGGGGGGGGCTGGACGAGATCGAGGTGACGCGCGCCGGGGTCACGCTGCGCAACGGCACGCTGCGGGGCATGCGGCTGCTCGTCCAGGCGTCCGCGCAGGGCTTCCGCCTGGAGAGCGTCACCGTGACCGGGTACCGCTACGAGAGCGACAGTGAGCGCCCCGGTCCCCCGCTGTCGCGCCTTGCAACGCGCTGCTCCTCGCTCCACGTCGACTGCGGTGCGCGGCTGCGCGTGGCTGCGGCGCCCACGACCCGCGCGCTGTCCGGGCGAGCGCGTGCAGGGAGCACAAGAGGTGCAGTGGAGGTCGTCGGGGCGAGCGGAGTCGTGATCCGGGCGTGCAAGCTCAGCGACAACCCGGGAACCAGCGCCGAGGGACTCAAGGCGTCGAGCGGTGCGAAGGTGCGGTCTGTTGGCTGCGCGCGCTGCGGCGGGGCGCCCGAGGGGTGCAGCTGGCAGCGCGGGACGTGGCACTGCGGGGCGCGTGGCGGTCGCGGAACGACGCGAGCGGCGGCGCGGCGTGCGCGCGTGCGTGCAGGTGACGGTGGAGGACTCGCAGTGCTGCGGGAACGGTGGGGGCGGCGTGCTTGCGTCCCACAGCGGCACGGAGGTGACGGTGCGCAACACCACCTGCAGCAACAACGTGAAGTTCCACGGCGTGTGCGCACAGTTGGGAGCGAAGGTGAGCGTGCGGGGACGGTATGCGTGCGCGCGCGTGTGCTCGTACACGTCGGTGGCCGCGCGGCACGCCCCCCGCGTCCCCGCCCCCGCCCGCTGCGTGCGCGGGTGCAGCTGCGGTGCGACGTGGCGGTGCGGGGCGACGCGAGCGACGGTGCGCGCGCGTGCAGGTGACGGTGGAGGACTCGCAGTGCTGCGGGAACGGTCTGAGCGGCGTGTTTGCGTTCGACAGCGGCACGGAGGTGACGGTGCGCAACACCACCTGCAGCAACAACAAGCACAACGGTGTGCGCGCACAGCAGGGAGCGAAGGTGAGCGTGCGGGGACGTGTGCAGCGGACGTGTGGGCGCGGGGGCGGTGTGCGTGCGGTGCTGCGTGTGCGGGGGTGCGGTGCTGTGTGTGCGGCGGTGTGCGGTGCTGAGCGCGTGTGTGTGTGTGTGTGTGCAGGTGGTGGGACGTGGACTGAAGATGAGCGGGAACGAGAGGGGGAACACGGGAACTGCGACGGAAGGCGTGGTGGACGTGCAGTGAGGAGGCGGTGGGCGCGGTGCGGGGCGGCGGCGAGCGCGCGCGGAGGATGGTGGGCACGGTGCGGGCGGTGGTGGGGCGCAGCTGGGGGCGTGCGCGGCGGTCGGGGTGCGGAGCGGCGCGGAGAGCGCGGCGCGGGGATCGGGCGACCGGGCGCGGGCGTCGGTGGGTGCCGTCCGGCGCGGGACGCGAAGCAAACGCGACGCGCTCGGGTGCGCACCACCTGCGTGACGCTCTGACGCGGATTCCGGCGTCCGTGGTGCAAGACGCGACGCGGCGCTGCTCAGATCGAATGATCCTTGTGATGTCCACCGGATACGGCACGCAACGTGCCACACAGCCCGTGCAGGGCGCGGAGATACGACGCAGGTTTGACTGGCAGTTCCTCCAACGTCACTCTCAGCCGCTTCTTGGCGCCGTGGCTGCATATCCGGTCCGTTTGTGCAGCGCCAGCTGCTGCACAGAACGTGAACTAGGTCTCCCGGGAGCGCCATGCGCAGCGAGCACGCGCACACGGAGCTGCGGACGAGCCACCGCCTGCGTGGATTCAAACGCGACAAACAAGGGCGACTTCCGCCGCGTGCTTGCGCGCTAGAGCCGCGTTACACCGCCCAGCCTCGTCCGTGATACCTGAACAGCGCTCCCAGGCACCCGCGGCTCTGGAAGCGGGCAGCGCCACGCACCACGACGCCTCGAGGACGGCAGCGCCATACAGCAACGCACGCTCCCGGGGGAAGAAGTCACGGGGGCACGTAAGCACGCATGCGGACCACCGCAACGCTGAGCAGGACCTCGGTCCTCTGTGCGCCGGCATGGAGCGCGTGTGCGTCCGCTGGGTGCGTTCCACCTCTGACACTGCACATGAATCAATCAATCAACCCGCGGTCGACGGCGACGCAGTGCGCGCCCGCATCGGTCCACGGCCAGGCGGCAGGCCATCGCTTCCCGACCCCCCCGCGTTCGCTCCTCGCCCAGCGCAGCGTCTCACACCACACGCACGCTCCTGCCTGTCACGACCGCTGCCGCTTCGCGCCGAGCGACGTCGTCTGCCGGTTCAGCGCCCGGTTGAGCGACTTGAGCCCCGCCCCGAGCGGGCACCGCTCGTCGCGGTCCGCCCGCTTCCCGCACGCGCCCAGGATGCCCACCAGCTTGGGCGCGTCCGCCGCGCCCGCCGGCGCCGACGCCCCGGACAGCCGCTGCCCGATCCCCGCGAACGACGACGGCCCCGCGCGCGCCCCCGCGGGCGCCGACGCCGCCGCGCCCGGCTTGCTCGCGCCGCCCTTGCTGGCTTCGCGCTCAAACACAAACGGGCCCGCGCGCTGCCCGACGGGCGCCGCGCGCGACGTCACCGGCGCCGCGATCGTGCGCCCGAGGAACGACGTCTTCGACCCGCCCAGGTCCCCGAACAGCGACCGCGACCCCTCGTACCCCGCCACCGCCACGCTCAGCCGCCCGCGCACGTTGCCCGGCGCCGACCCGCCGCCCGCGCGCCGCGCACCGCCGCCGCTGGCGCTCCCGAAGTGCGCGAAGGGCCGCGGGTGGCTCGTCTGCTTGTTGATCATCGAGAGGACGTCCTTGGACGTCGACGAGCGCAGGGGGTCGTAGCGCTCGTTGCCGGCGGCGGCGCTCTCGAGGGCCTTCTCCTCCGCGCGCCGCTGCACGCGCGCGAGCACGCCCGCGCTCACGTCGTCCCCGGCGCCCGCGCCCCCGAAGTTCACGCCCGCGAACGCGTCGAGCTCCCCGCCCAGCACGTCGTCGCCCAGCCCGCGGCGGCGGCGCGCCTGCGCGTCGGTGCCGAGGTCCTCCTCCTCCTCGAGCAGCCCGAAGCCCGCGCGCGGACGGTTCGAGCGGAACCCCTGCTTGATGCCCCTGCGCAACAACAAACACACCGCGATCGCTGCGGTGGGACACAAACACACACACAGCGACTGGCCTCTGGCCCGAGCCAGTCGTCGGAGAACAACAGGCCAGGCGGAGACAGGCGGGTCTCCCGGCGCGATCTGGCCGGGGCGGCGCGGTCCGCGCGGCCGCGTGCGTCGTCGCGACCACTTCTACTGTTGTACTGTTATACTCACTTGAGGACTTGGTTGAGTTCCTTCTGGTCCTGCTGCGCGAGGTACTGCTTGTCGAGGAGCTGCCGGATCTTCGCGTCCTTCTTCTTCTCGCGCACGCGGCCCGTCTCGACCAGCTCCGCCAGGTTCCCGTCCAGGTCCGCGTCCTCCGCGCCCTCGTCGTTGTGCTCCGCCTCGTCGCCCGACATCTCCGCCTCGTCCTCGTGCAGCCGCCGCACCACCTCCGCGCCCGCCGCCGCCTGCGCCGCGCCCTCGCGCTCCCGCCGGAACGCCCGCGCGAACGTGCGCACCGGGTCCGCGCCCGCGTCGCCCGCGTCGCCCGCGTTCCGCGCCTCCGCCTCCAACACCGCGTCGTCGTCGCCGTCGTCCTCGTCGTCGTCGTCGTCGCTGCTCGCGCCCCCCGCGTCCTCGCGCTCGCTCTGCCCGCCCGACGCCCCGCCGGCCACGTTGTCGTGGTCGTCGAGCCGCACCGCCACCTCCTGCTCCTCCTCGTCGTACTCCATCTGCACCAGCTCCTCCTCGTCGTTGAACGCCGCGCCGTCGAACTCGTCCTCCTCCGCAGCCCCCCCGCCCCGCTCCTGCTCCCCACCCCCCAGCCGCGCACGCAGCTCCTCCAACGTCAGCACCGGCGCCGCAGCCTTCCGCGCAGCCTTCGGCCCAGACGCCTTCGCAGCGCGCGGGGCCGCCGCGCCGTCCGCGACGGGAACGCGCTCGTCCGCGCCCCCGTCGCCGTCGTCGCCGGCCGCCTCCTGCGCACCTCCCGCGTCCCCCTCCTCCGCCGCCGCCTGGGCGTCGTCCGCGATCTCGAGGTCCGGGTTCAGCACCGCGTCGACCTCCGGGTCCCCGCACCCTGCGCAGAGAGCGGCCCGCACCGCCCGTTCGAACCACGCCCCGGCGCAAGGGGGGGGGTGTCATGACACATCCGCTGGGGGGTCTATGCGGGCGCGGACGGACCTGTGAGCATCTCCGCGACGATGCACGTCCGGAGCGCGCGCGCCTGCTCCGCGCGCGCCGCCCGCGCCTGCTTGAGCTTCGACGCGAGTCCCCCGAACCCCCGGGGGATGTCTGGGTTGTACCCCTTGCCCAGACGGTCGTTCGCGGCGGCCTCGCGGAGCAGCCGCTGCGTGTCCAGGTTGACCTGCTCCCTGACCTTCTGCTCCCGCGCCTCCTCCTGCTTCGCGAGCCGCTCCTGCGCCGTCAGCTTCCTGCGCTTCTTCCCGCCCGCGTCCTCGTCGTCCTCGTCGCCGTCCGACGCGCCCGCGGCGTCGTCGTCCGCGTCCGGCGCGTACTCCTCCTGTGAGGGACGGAAGGGGGGCGCTGGGGCGCGTCGGGGGGGAGAGGCGGCGGCGCGGGGCCGGGAGCGGGGTCCGCGCGCTGAGGGATCCAAACGGGGGCTCCAGGACAGGTCGGGCGCTGGAGCGGTGCCGGGGGGCTTTCTCGAACAGATCGACAAATGAGACGCTTCAGATGTGGAGATGCGATCGAACGATGGACGCGAGGCGCGGCGGGAGGCGCGTGAGGCCGAGGGCGGGCGCAGAGAGGAGCCCAACTGCTGCTGGGGCGCACCTCGTCGCTGTCGGCGGGTTTCTCGACCGCTCCGCCGGCGTGGTCCTCGTCCGCAGGGTCCTGAGCCTCCTCGGCCTCGTCGCGGGCCGGACCGCGCGCCGCGTTGCCCTTGCGCGGCGATGTGGCCCCGCCCGCAGGCGACCCGGGCCCTGCGGACGCGGACCCGGCGCGACGCGACTGTTCCGCGGACGCAGGGGGTCCCTCGTCGTCGAAGGTGTCCCGCTGGGTCGCGCCGCCCAGGACCTTGGGCCCGGGCGCGTCCCCGCCGTCGCTCTCGTCCGAGGTCACTGCAGCCAACACGTCGTCGTCGTCGTCGAGGTCCGGCGCCGTGGCGGGGACGCGCTGCATGCTGGTGTCCATGGAGAGCGCCCCGACCGACACGCCGACCGATGCCTGGGCCATGGTGTCCCGATTCAAGTTGGAATTTCAGGCCAAAATGAAGGCAGGCACCGGGAGCCGAAATGCACCCTCGTGCGGACCCCACGTACTGAGAAAACGAGCACGCTGGCTTGCACGTGCCAAGTCCTTCACGGCGCGGCTTCGTATGAGGCGGGAGAAGTCCGTATGTGTCTCTGGCGCGCGCAGCAAGCGAGCCCGGGCGTTCAACGTGCGCCGCGCCCCGGGACCTGTGTACTGCAGTGCTGTCCGAGGCGAGCCCGTGGTCGCGAGAACGGGTCTTCAACGGCAGTGTGCGCTCACAACGAGGCGTCGAGGCGGTGTGTCCGCGCCGCGTTCGCGGTCAAAACCCTGGACAGACACGAACGGAAAGTACAACGCGACGTGCACCCACGGCCCGACTTCCACGCTGCGACGCCCCGCGCGGGATCCTCACTCTCGCGTCCACCCACCGCCGAGCCGTATCCCCGCATTCGACGGTGTCGCGCGACTGGGCGAGCGCACTTGGTTGTCTGCGAAGCGGGGCTGGTGGCGACGGGGCGAGATGGCGCAGGGGGGGAAGTCCGGGCGGCTGCTGGCCGGCCGGATCAAGAAGATCATGCAGCAGGACGAGGAGGTCGGGAAGGTCGCCGCGACCACCCCTGTCCTCATGGTGCGACCGGCCTCCCTGCTTCACCGGACCGGATGCAACCCCCCGCACGCACTGTCCGGGACCTGCACGGCCCGCTCCCCGCACTTTCTGATTCCGCGTATCTCTGAGCGGCGCGGTGGCGATCAACAGCCGCGGCTCGGCCCTGCGGGGGCAGATGGACTCTGCAACCAAGTTTCGTCGTACCGTCGCTCACACGCCCCCTGTCAGCGTTTTTGTGGTCTCCGTCTGACGGTATCGCATGCATCACGCCGTGGACTAAATATACGGGAAAGAGCGACGCTGTGCGTGGCACCCTCGCCGCCAGGCCTCTGACGCTTCCCCCGAGTCCGAGCGCCGCGGCCCATCGCGCGTTCCGTCGTACCCGTGCTCGCGCAGGGTGCTCTGGTCGAGAAGCTCGTCGAGGGGCTCGTCACGGGCGCGGCGGCCCTCGCGAAGGACCGCGGCGTGGCCACGGTCGGCGCGGCCCACCTCAAGGCACACGTGCTCTCGCAGCCGCACCTCGACTTCCTCAAAGACCACGTCGAGGGCCTCCCCGAACTCACAGGTACACCGCCGCGCCGCACGCCGCGCCCAGCCCCCGCGCGACTCCAACCCCACGTGCACAACACCATGCGCCATCAACCGTACGCGCGCGCGCGAGTTGCCCCCCGCCGCCTCCCGGAAGCCCCGCACGGCGCGAGCGTGACTGTGCCGCTGCAGATAAGAAGGAGAAGAAGCCGCGCAAGCGGAAGGCTGCGGACGCAGACGGCGGCGAGGGGACTGACGCGGCGGGGAGTGCGAAAGTGCAGCGGGGGGACGACGGCGGGGGTGCCGCGCCCGCAGACGCGCCCGAGGACAAGCCCGACGCCGGGCCCGGCACGGACGCGGAGGCCCCGGCCGCTGCGCCCGCGGACGGCGAGGGGGGGGGTGCGGACGGTGCGCCCGCGCAGGGCGGTGCGGAGGAGGGGGGCGTGGGGCCCGCGGACGACCTGCCGGCCGCGGCAGCAGCGCCGGCGAACATCCCAGGGGCGGAGTTCGCCGAGGACGACGACTACGACGACTGACGTGTGAGTCTGCCACACACAAGAGAGAGAGGGGGGGTTTGTTGCCATCATTGCGACAGAGTGCGCGAAACAGCGTCGGCCCAGAGTCGGATTCGCGCGCCTCATTCTCACATACTCGTGGCGCTCGTGTGCATCCTCTCTCTCTCTCTCGCGACCCCCCCCTGTGGTCCCGGCACAGGCCCACCGTCCCGCCCGCCCCCCCCGTCGCGGCGCCCGCCCTGCCCGCGCGCGCCCTACGCGCCCCCCGCTGCGTCGTGCTGCTCGTCCTCCTGCAGGAACTGGATGGCGTCCTCGCGCGTCACCAGGTCGACGGTAGAGATCCGTTTCGCGTGACTGACGCCGTACACCTGGTCCGACACCTGGACCAGCTGCGGGTTGAAGGTCGTCACGATGAACTGCGCGGGGTTCCGGTCGTCCTCGGCCTGCTTCCGGATCATCGCCGCCACCGACGTCCGGTACTGCGGGTCCAGCGCCGCGTCGATCTCGTCAAAGAGGTAGAACGGCCCCGGGTCGCACCGCTGGATCGCGAAGATCAGCGTGAGCGCCACGAGGGTCTTCTGCCCGCCCGAGAGCTGCTTCATCGCCTGCACCTCGCCCGCCCCGAACGACACGCGGACCTTGACGCCCGAGAACTGGTCCACGCTGGTCGCGGGGGCGCCCGCGGCGTCGCCGTCGTCGTCCGCGTCCTCGGCCGCGCGCCGCTTGACCATGACGAGCTCGCCGCGCCCGCCCGCGACCAGCTCCGCGAAGATGTCGCGGAAGTTCTTGGCGACCTGTTTGAAGGTGCGCAGGATGGCCTCCTCCTTGCGCTGGTCGAGCGTCGCGATGAGCTCCGCGAGCTTCGCCGCGGACTGGTTGCACTCCTTCAGCCGCTCGCGCACCTCGTCGTGCTGCTCCATGAACGACACGTACTGGTCGAGGGCCTTCTGGTTCACGCTGCCAAACCGCTCGAGGTCTGCGGGGGGTGGGTTGGGGGGCGCAGGAGCGGTGTGGGGGGTGCGGACAAGGGTGTCGCGGGTGCGGCTGGGCGGCTGTGCGCGTTCGCGGGCCTTTGGGGGTGTGTTGTGTGGTCAAAACACACGGGGGGGTGTTCGTGCCTTTGTTGATCTTCTTGAGGGTCTCGCGCAGCTGCTTGGCGTGCTTGCTGCGGTGCTGCTCGACCGCGTCCGTCGGGAGCGCGCCGAGCTCGCGCACGCGCCGCGCGGCGTCGTCCCGGCGCACCAGCAGCGCGGCCCGCTCCCGCATCAGCCCGTCGAGCTTCTCGCGGTACACGCGCTCCTGGTCCTCCTCGTCGGCCTCCCGCGCGTCGATCTCCTCCAGCCGCGCCTGCACGCACCGCCACGACGCGCACGATCAAACAACAACGGAGCACTCGCGCACGATTCGTCGTTGTTATGGTCCCCGCCGCGCGCGCCGCCGCACCTGGACCGCCGCGATCTTCTTCGCGACCTCCGCCGCGGCCTTGTTCGCCTTGCGCTCCTCCTCCTCCGCGCCCCGCACCTCCGCCGCGCTCTCCTTGACCGCCGCCCGCAGCGCCTCGAGCTCCGCGCTGGCCTCCCCGACGTCCGCCTCGGCCACCTGCTGCTCCACCTCGCGCAGCCGCCGCTCCAGGTTCCGCTCCAGCTCGTCCCGCAGCGCCTCCGCGCCCTGCGCCGCCTCCCGCGCCGCGATCGCCACGTCCACCGCCTGCCGCGCCAGGTCCTCCTTCCGTGGCTGCAGCTCCGCGAGCTCCTTCCGCTCGCGCGCCGACAGCTGCGACCGCAGCTCCGTGCCGAGCTCCGCCTCGAGCGCCGCCACGCCGCTCCGCACGTCCACCACCTGCGCGCGCAGCGCCACGCACCGCCGCTCGAGTTCGCGGATCGCCTTCTGCAGCTCGCCGCCGCGCGCGCGCTCGCGCTCGACGTCGCGCGCCACCGCCGCGCCGGCCGCCTGGTCGCGCTCCACGCGCACGCGCAGCTTCTGCAGCTCGCCCATGGTGTCGGCGATGGTCTGGTCGACGGCGAGGACCTGGTCGCGGCGCTCGCGCTGCTGCGCCTCGAGCTGCGCGACGGCGTCCTCGGCCTCGCGCATGCGCGCCATCGCGGCCATCTTGCTGTGCCGCACGTCGCGGTGCCCGCCCGTCAGCGCGCCGCGCTTGCTCGCGGTGTCACCGTCGAGCGTCACGCAGTTGAACGAGGCCTCACGCGCGACGCGCGACGCGAGGTCGAGCGTCTTGCAGATCAGCGTCTTCCCGAACACCTGCCGCATCGCCCCCTCGTACTCCTTGTCGTACTTGAGCACTTTCAGGATCGGCACCACGGAGTCGCCGTACTGCGTGGGGTACTGCGTGGGCGGCGGGTTGACGCGGCTGAGCGGGAGGAAGGTCACGCGGCCGCCGCGGCACTCGTTCAGCAGCCGCACCACGCGCGCCGCCACCGCGTCGTCGTCCACCACGACGTGCATCAGCGAGTTGCCCGCCGCGGCCTCCACCGCGGTGTGGAACGTCGCCTGGCAGTCGAGGAGCTCGACGAGGACGCCGCGGACGCCGCGCAGGTTGTGCTCCTTGACGAGGCGCTTCACGCTGTTCAGGCCCTGACTCAGGTCGCGGTTGACGGACTTTTCCAGCGCAAAGGCCGCGCGCGCCAGCGTGTCGTCCGCGTCCGCGCGCGCCTTCTCCGCCTCCTCGGACTCGCGCCACAGCTTGTTCTTCGTGTTCTGCAGCCCGTCGCGGTCGCGCTCGAGCCGCGCCACGTCGGCCTTGAACCCCTCCACCGACGCACTATACTCCCCCCCCTTGGCCTCCAGGTCGCGCAGGTGGCCCTCGGACGCCCCCAGCTCCGCGCGCTTCGCGCCCACCTCCTCCTCCAGCGACGCCAGCGCGCGCTCGTGCTTCCGCAGCGTCTCCGTCATCGCGGCCACCTCCGCGCGGATCCACGCGTCGCGCTCCTTGGCGCTCCCGAACTGCTCCCCGCGCCCCTGCTTCCCGTACAGCGCGTCCAGCCGCCGCGACACCTCCGCGAGCTCCTCCCGGCACGCCGCCTCCTCGCCCTCGCGCTCCCCCGCCGCGCGCTCGGCCTCCGCCAGCGCGGCGCGCTTGGCCGCCACCGCCGCCGCGAGCTCCGCCCGCTCCGCCCGCGCGCTCTCCGCGTCCCCGGCCCGCTCCGCCAGCCGCGCCTCCATGTCCTGCACCTCCAGCTCCTTCCGCGCCCGCGCCTCCACCGCGTCCGTCCGTCGCGCCGCCGCCGCCGTCGCCGCCTGCCGCGCGTCCTCGCGCCTCGCCTCGAGCCCCGCGAGCTCCCGCTTCGCCTCCCTCACGTCCGAGTGCGCGCGCGTGGCCTCCTGCTCGTGCCGCACCGACTCCGCCGCCAGGTCCGCGCGCCGTTTGTCCACCGCCTCCAGCGCCGCCCGCGCCTCGCGCAGCTCCGCGTCGTGGAGCAGGTACTGCACCGCGCGGCGCTGTTTGTCGGCCTTCTGATATGCTGCGAGCTCCTTGCGCTCCTCGTCCAGCTCCTTGAGCTTCGCGTCGAGCGAGGACACGATCTCCTCGATTTGGCTCTTCCGCGCCTCCGTCTCGTGCATGATCTTCTGCGACTCCAGCCGCCGCTCCTCGTACAGCCGCGTGCCCCCGATCTCCTTGAGCAGGTCCAGCCGCTCGGCGTCCTTCATCAGCGCCATCTTCGTGATCTGCGCGCCAATCAAAGAGACGGAGGGTTGCGGCACTCAGATTTGAACGACGCGGCGGCGTCGCGCGGGAAACCCGGTCGCGACCGACGGAACGGAAAGAACTTATTTGAATCGGCTCGGTTTCGGTCTGCGTTGCGTCCGCGCGCACCTTGCCCTGCTGCACGACGTAGTAGGGGTTGGATCGGGAGAAGCCCGCGCTCTCGAGGAGGTTGAGCACCTCGGCCTTGGTCGCGTGCTTGCGGTCGAGGTGGAATTCGTCCTTGCGCGGCCCGATCGTCCGCCGGACCCGGACCTCGTCGCGGTCCACCGGGAGCCGACCGTCGCTGTTGTCAAACACGATCTCCACGTACGCAGACTGCACCGCGTGGCCCGCGCCCTCCTGCACGCAACGGTGGCGAAATGTTCAGGCGAGGTCGGGCCGCGCGTCCGACCGAGCGTGCCGGTGCGGGGACGCGGCGGGGCGTTGTGCAAGTCGCTGGTGAGGGGAACGCCGCGTGGGCGTCCGAGGGCGGGCGCGCACGTGCAGCAGCTGCTGCCGCTCCTCCTGTCGCATGGAGCTGAAGCTGTCCGCCAGCACGAACCGGATCGCTGCGGTTGGGATAGGACAAGAATCGCTTCCGAGTCAATTTCGATTCTGCAAACCAGGCCGTGGCTGCCCGCAAGTGCGGTACGCGGTGCGACCGAACGGCGTCGCGAGCGGTGATATAACCGGCTTCGTCCGCGGGCGCTCGCTCGACGTCTCGTGCGGCCGGCAGCTCCGCGCGCGCACTTGTGGGCAATCAACGAGAAAGTGTGCGCGGGAACGCGGGCGGGGGCGACGGGGCGAGATACGCACCGCTGAAGAAATTCGACTTCCCAGATCCATTAGCTCCGACTGCACGAACGCCGGACAACGCCACCGGTGACGCGGGGGCGGAGCTCGAACTGTGTTGTTCGGCGTGTGGGACACCGCGCTGTCGCCCCGCGACGGACCAGCGCGTCGGCAGGCACGCATTCGCGAAGCTTCGAGCAGGGCGCGGCGCGTCGGCGGGCGAGCCTCGCCACGCCGGCACCGCAAGACACATCAACCAAAAGTTCGGTGGTGGGCGTCGCGCTCACCGATGACGTTGATTTTCGGACTGAAGGGGTCCAGCGCCGTCATCTCCTTGTACGACTTGAACCCCTGGATGATAATCTGCACCGTCTCGCACAGCGGCCGCGACATGAGTGCTCCACCTGCCCCGCGCAAGAGCCAACGTGGCCCGTGACGCACAACCAGGGCCTGCCCCGCCACGCACCTGCTTGATATACATCTTGCTGTATCTCACGGGCCATCAGAGGCCGTCGCCGGCGTCTATCCCGCACGCACGCGGCCAGGACAGCGCCACGTAGCGCTCTCAGCGCACACTCCCGGACTCGCCCTGTCGCCACGCGGGCAGGCCCGCTTCCGTGACGCGCTGGACGCTGCCGCCCGCGCCGCGTCCGCCCAGGCCGGAGACGCGTCTTTGTCGCGCAGACGCGCTCCGCTGCGGACGAGCGCTCTTGGCGCTGGTGTGTGCTTCAGCGGGGGCGTGACGCTCGGACAGGTGCCTCGCGCGACCTGAGGCGCTACGAGGAGGCGGACAAGTGTGGGGACGGCCCGTGGAGCGCGGTGTGATGTGGCCGGGCGCCCCGCCGGCGTCATACCGTCTGAAACGGACCATGGAGTACAAAACGCGCGGGAGTTCCCGCCAACGCGTCTCGCGGGCTCGACAGGACGGCACGACGCACGCAGACGGACAGTGCGGCCGTCCGCGAATCTCTGCTGCGAGTTCCGCGCGTAGCCGGCCACCGTGAGGCTCTGAGCGACCCGCGCAACGGAAGACAAACAGCCGTCTGCTGTCCTCGTCGGCTGCCCAGGGCGTCAGTCCCGCAGGACAAGGCAGCCTCCGCGCGCGCGACAGGTCCCTCCCGCCGACGGTGGCGGACGGGGCGCTCGAAAGAAGCGGAAACCGCCGGTGAGTGCGCGGTGAGCGGGGCGATGAGGGCGGAGACGCTGCAGGTGATGTGGCACGCGCAGAAGCCGGTGAACTCGGTGGACTTCCACCCGTCGGGGATGCTCGCGACCTCGGGCGAGGACGACACCATCCGGGTGAGCACCGCGCGCACCAACAACTGCAGCCACGCCGCCGCGCCGAGCGCCTCGTAGCGCACTGCTCGGGTTCGCCCTCCGCGTCCCTACGATTCGTTGCGCGCACCAAAACACCCTGAGCGTTATCTACAGCCCAATAAGCGACCCGCGCTGCCAACTGCGTCCTCGCGGGAGCACGCAGATTGCCGGCCGCCCCCCCGCAAGCGTTTCGTGGCGCTGCTGCGCCCGCAGTTTTCACGCACGGGGTCCACCACGCGCTCTGGCCGCCCCGACACCTCGCAACATCCGCGGCCTCCCTATTCTGCGCGGGAGCACCGCCTCTCTGCCCGCGCGCCTCCAGACCGCGCCCCACAGCAGCGCCACGCCTGCTGCGGGCCCGGACGCTCACTCGCTGCCCCCCCGGCGCCCGTGCAGCTGTGGCACGTCGACGCGGGCGACGCGGACGCCTCCCCGACGGTGACGTACCTGTCCAGCATCACGAACCCCACCGGGGGAGTCAACGTGGTGCGGTTCTCCCCCTCGGGCGAGATGCTGGCGTCCGGCGGGAGCGCGGGCGAGCTCATCGTGTTCAAAGCGGCGCCCGGGCAGCGCGCCGCCGTCGATCAGAGCGACGAGGGCTTCCCCGAGTTCTACTGGAAGATGGTGAGTCGAGAATTCATAGTTCCTCATGGCTCCGTTTTCCATGGTCCGTTCCCGCTCGAACCCGGCGGTAACGAACAGTCCCCGCCCCGCCGCGCGCGCCCCGCAGACCTCGTCGCTCAAGGCCGGCCAGGCGGACATCAGCGACCTGTCGTGGTCGCCGGACAACAGCGCCCTCCTGACGGGGTCGGTGGACAGCAAGGCGACCGTGTGGGACGTGGCGCGCAACCGCCTCGTCAACACCCTCCAGGACCACCGCCACTGGATCCAGGGGGTGTGTTGGGACCCCCTGGGGCAGTATTTGGTGACGCAGGGGGTCGACGCCGCCGTGCGGTGCTACCGGGTGAAGCAGGCGGGCGCGAAGGGCGCGGCGGACGACGCCGCGAAGGCCTCCAACCTCACGCTCGCGTACTCGCTGCGCAGCCGTGCGTTCCCCGGCAAGGATGCCGCGGCGGCGGAGGGTGGCGGCGACGCAGGGACGAGCGCCGCGAAGCCGCAGGAGGCGTCGCACCGGCTGTTCCACGACGAGCGCGGCGCGGCGACGATGTTCCGCAGGCTCGCGTGGGCGCCGGACGGGTCCTTCCTCGTCACCCCCTCAGGTGCGGGGTGTTCCCTCAGATTACAAGTGTGCAATTGCAGAACTCCCCCCCCCGCCTTCGGATCGCCACCCGGCAAGCGCATGTGCCAGCGCCGCGCTCCCCAGCCGCGTCGACCGGCAAGAATGAGTGACGGCGCGGCGGACCTGCGTGTCCTGACAACAGTCCATACCCCCCCCCGCAACCCGCCTCCCCGCAGGCCTCTTCAAGGCGCACCCGGAGGACGACGCGCGCAACGCGTCGTACCTTTTCCCGCGCGGCGCACTGTCGAAGCCCGCGGCCGTCCTGCACGGCACCGCGCAGCCCTCCGTCGCCGTGCGCTTCTGCCCGGTGGTGTTCCGCGCCGCGCCCGGCGACGGAGAGGCCGCCGCGGACCTCCCCTACCGCCTCGTGTACGCCGTCGCCTCCTCGGACTCCGTGGCGCTGTACCACACCGACGCCGCGCAGCCCTTTGCTCTCGCGGGGGCGCTGCACCCCTTCGCGTCGATCAGCGACCTCGCGTGGGACCGCGACGGGTCCCGCCTCGCCGTGTCGTCGCGCGACGGCTTCGTCAGCCTCATCACCTTCGCGCCAGGTGCGTGATTACTCCGCCACAGCCGTCCTCTCCCTGCGTGTGTGGGTTCGCCTTGTGCCGGTTCGTCGCGCGCTCACGGCTCGCGCTCCACCGCCGCGCGTGCAGGCGAGCTCGGGGAGCCCCTGCCGCGCTCCGAGCTCGAGCAGGCCGGTCTCCCGGCGGCACTGCTGTCAGTGTTGTACCCCGAATACCCCCCCGAGATGCTCAAGCTCGAGGTGCCCAAGACGGCCGCGGCGCCGGTGAGCCCCGCCGAGGACGAGCCGAAGCCTGCCGCCAAGTCGGTGCTCGGCGGCGCGAGGTACGTCGGGCCGACGGCGCACGCGCACACGCATGCTGGCGGCGCGGGGCCCAGCACCGGCGGCCAGCGCGCACGCATCACGCCGGTTCCGGTCGGAGGTCCCGCGGCGGCGCCGCAGCAGCTGATCGACCTGACGAAGGAAGCCGGCGGCGCGGGGGCCCCTGCGGCGGGCGCGCAGGGCAAGCGGCGCTTGGTGCCGATCGCGATCGATGTTGCGGCGTCGCCGGCCGCGCCCGCGGCGACGCCGCCCAAGGCCGACGGCGAGCCGCCGAAGAAGCGCCGCCTGACGCCGGAGAAGGTCCCGGAGAGTGCCCCGGGGGGAGTCCCAGCGCAGACCCCCCCCGCCGGCAGCGCACAGGGCACTCCCGCGCAGGCAGGGCAGGGCTTCGCCGCTGCGGCCGTGCGCGCGGCTGCCGCGGCCGCGCGGGCGGCGGAGGCTCAGCAGTGAGTGAGCTGCAGCGGCGAGCCGTGGCGGGGCGCGTCGCGCGACGCATTGTGGACGTCGGCGCAGCGGCGGGGCCGCGCTGGCGCGTGTGACGGCGCGCTGCGTTCCGGCCTCCTGCCCGCGGTGCGTCCCTGAGTCACGCACCGGACCGCTGTCGGTCAGTCTGGGGGCCTCGCGGTCGCTGCTCGCGGCACCTGGGGGGTCGTGTGGGGGCGGGGCGCCTCCCCTGCGCACTGTTCTTGCGCTCGGTGGGCGCTGCAGGCGCCGCGGTCCGTGGCGGGTCTAGTCGGGCGGTCAACTAGTTGGGAGGTTGCTGGTCGGGGATCCGCGGTCGGTGCGCGGGCCGCGGGGGGCGTTGCGGGGGGCGAGGGGGGCGCGTGCGCGTGCGCACGATCGAGGGGAGCTGTGGGTGTGGAGGGTGCGCCGCTCATCGCGTCGTGGTGAGCGGTAGAGATGCACGCGAGGGGCGGGGCGCCGCGTGGTGCTGGCGCGGGCCGGTGCGCCGGTGCGCGGCCGCGCGTGGGCCGGGTGGTCGGGGGAGGGCGCGTGCGGGGGGTACCTGTGCTCGGCAGGCGCGTAGTCGGGGGAGCGGAGGCGTGCGTTGCGAGAAATTGCGTATCGAAGCGCTGCGGGAGCCAGACTGGATCTGTCGAGTGCGCCGCGCACAGAAATGCATGTCTGTGTTCAGGTGGCGGAGCGGGGAGGTCAGGTAGTGGTGGTGGGCGGGCGACAGGTGGGAGCGGGCGCGGGCCGCTCCACAGTGGGGGTCGGACGGGGGTAGGCGCAGGCTCGCCGACGGGACTGGGAGGGCCCGGGTTGCCGCTCCGCGGGCGCCGGCGGTGCGGTGCGGTGCCCGCGCCCGAGCCCCGGGGTCCGGCTGAGACATGGGAGAGCGAGGACGACGACGAAGGGCCGGAAGAGGCGGAGGGGACGGACGGGTGGGCCAGGATGGAGGAGGCCGAGAGCAACGGCAGCAACGGGAACGGCGTGTACGAGCCCTCCGAGGCGCGGCACCGGCAGAGGCCCGAGAGCTCCGCGGAAGCTTTCCGCGACTTGGCGCTGTGGGTCGCGGGGGGCCTCGGGGACCTCCGGCGCCGCGACCGCAAGGGGGCGGACCAACACACGTCGAGGACGGCGCGGGTGAAGCCGCCCCCGCGCGGGGAGAGGATCGTGGTGTCGCTCGCCGCGCTGATCGAGATCGCCTGGACGCCGCTGCAGCTCCTGGGCAGCGTGACGTTCCTCGTGCTGTACGTGCAGAGCACGTACGCGCCGGCGCCGCCCTTCGGCTGGCGGCACCTCACCGAGGTGTTCCTCTGCGTGATCTTCGCGATGGACGCCTTCCTCCGCCTCGGCATCTCCCGCAACTGGCTCAAGTGCGCCGCCCCGCCCCGCCGCTCGTGACGCACGTGCGACGCGACGTGTACCTGCGTAGCGCGACGCCGCGCGCGCGCGTGGTTGCCGTGCAGGAGGCTGCTGACGCCGCTGTTCCTGATCGACGTCCTGACGTGGGCGCCGTCGCTCGTGGAGCTCGTCGTGATGCTGGTCCGCGGCGCGCCGGCAGTGGCGCCCACGCTGGCGCTGGGGTGGTTCGACCTGCGCTGGCTGCGGATGTTCCGCGCGCTCGCGGTGCTCCGACGACTCACGCTCGCGGGCGAGCTGCGCACCGTGCACCTCGCCAGCGTCGGGCAGTTCAACGCCTTCCTCGCCAAGGTATAAACCTGCACACAAAACAAAACACCCCCTGTCCCCCGCAACACACCCCCGCGCTTGCCACACGCACAGCGCACCGCCAGCCCGCCCGCTCCGTCCCCGCAGGTGGCCCAAGCGCGTCTGGTGCAGCTCGCGGGCACCATCCTGGTGCTGCTGTTCACCTCAGCGTGCGTCGTGCAGGCGATCGAGGGCATCCCCTGGGTCGACGCGCTGTACTTCTGCACGACCACCCTGACGACCGTCGGCTTCGGCGACCTCGCGCCCGTCACCCCGCTCGGCAAGGCCGCCGTCATGGGCATCATGGCCGTCGGCGTCGTGCTCATCCCCGTGCAGGCCTCGCAGCTCTACGCGACGTGGTCGAGCCGCCGGATGCGCCTCGGGACGCTCCCGCGGTCCGGCGAGCCGCGCGTGATCGTGTCGACGCGCCTCTCGGACGTCCGCGGCTTCTCGGACTTTTTCACGGAGTTCTTCCACGAGATTCAGGCGGGGCGCAGGTTCCACGCGCGGGACAAGCGGTACGACATGTCGGACCTGTCCGGGATGATTCCGCGGCTCGCGGAGGCCGGGCTGGACCTGGGCCGCGCGCTGCGGCTGGTGGTGGTGTGCAACAAGCCCACGCAGTTCGAGTTCCGGGCGTTCCAGGAGCTGCATGCGCGGCGGCTGTCGTTCGTCGAGGGCAGCGTGCTGAGCGAGGCGGACCTCGACATGCTGCAGGTGCAGAGCGCGACGGCGGTGCTGCTGCTCGCCGACCGCTTCGCCAGCAACCCGACAGTCGAGGACCAGAGTCTGCTCTTCCAAGTCTGGGCCATCAAACAGTACACCAGCGAGGTCCCCGTGTTCGTCCAGACCATGGAGCAGCGCACGTGCGACCAGATCCGCCAGTTCCTCGACCCCGAGCGCGACACCGCCGTCTCCTTCCAGGAGCTCCGTTTCATCCTCCTGTCCCTCACGACCCTCTGTCCGGGCGCCAGCACCCTCCTCGGGAACCTCTGCCGCTCCAACGAGCCCTCGAACCCGCTGCACAAGGTCAAGCAGCGCTCCGGGCGCCTCTCGGGCCTCCGGTGGCTGCGCGAGTACGCGGACGGCGCCAAGCAACGGCTACTCACCGCGCCGCTCAACGAGTCGTACAACGGCGTGCAGTTCGTCGAGATGGCCGAGTTCATCCTGCGCGAGCGCGGCGTCCAGGTCATCGGGATCGCGTCCGCGCCGCCGCTCGACGCCGTCCTCCTCAACCCCGCACAGCTGACCCTGCGCGGCGACGAGTTCGCAATCCTGATCGCGCGCAGCGAGGACGACGCGCTCGCGGCGTGCAGCCTGCCGTTCGTGAAGAAGGAGAAGCCGAAGGGCGACAAGGACGGCAAGGCGGACGACAAGGCGATGGAGCGGGAGCGGGAGCGGGAGCGGGAGCGGCGGCGCAGGGCGCGGGCGAGGAGGAGCGAGGAGGGGGACGAGGACGAGAAGCCGACGATGATCGTCGCGCCGCCCGTGTCGATCGCGGGGCTCACGGACGACCCGCTGCCGGCCACGCCCGAGGAGGAGGAGACGTCGATGCAGGCAAGGCTGGGCGTGACGCTGGCAGATATGGTTTGATGGTTGACGTTGCGCGTGTCTCGTTTTGCGACGTTGCGGCTTTGTTTGTGGTGGCGTGTGCAGCAGCAGGACCGCGAGAAGGCGATCCGGACGCTCCGGCGGCTGTCGCTGGAGACGGAGACGGGGCAGAAGGCGGTGTTAGGCACGGAGGACTCGGCCGACCTGACGGTGGCCGAGGAGGTCAAGCAGCTGAAGAAGGACCTCGCGGGGGCGCAGATCGACCCGATCATCGTCGACGCGCTGCTCGAGGACATCGAGGAGGACCAGAGCATGCGCCGCGCCGCCGTGCGCAGCAAAGTGGGGCTCACCGACCACGTGATCGTCGCGGGGCACGTCGAGTCGATCCTGCCGTTCGCGCGCACGCTGCGCGAGTGCTCGCCCGCGGGCGAGCCGCACATCCTCGTTCTGGCCCCGGCGCTCCCGGCAGACATCGTCGCGGGCCTCGAGGACCTCGGCAACGTGACGGTGCTGCGCGGGCACCCGACGAAGCCGTCCGACCTGACGCGCGCGAGCGTGTCGAAGGCGCGCGGCACGATCTTCCTCTCCGCGACCCGCCGCGTCACGACGGGGTCGTCGTCCACGTTTGGCAACACAGCGTGGCGGCAGACGGTGCTCGCCGACGGTGACGCGCTGCTCACGTGCTACGGCGTCGGGCGCGCCATGGTCAAGGCGAACGCCGTCGCGGAGCTGTGCTACACCTCGTCCGTGCGCTTCCTGCAGCCCGGGACGCTCCTGTCGGTCCGCGAGGAGTCCTTCGAGCCGTACGACCCCGCGGACCCGGCCGTCGGCGGCGCGAGGAGGCGCCGGGACGAGGGCGAGAAGCCGCGCGTGTCGTGGCGCGTGAAGCAGGCGATGGAGCGCGGCGGCGCCCAGGAGGGCCTGGCGTCGTGGCAGGTGAACCCGTTCTTCGTGTCGGGGCGCGTGACGGTGCCGGCGGTGCTGGACGCGATCTGCGTGCAGGCCGCGTTCAACCAGGGCATGGTGATGGACGTGATGGAGGAGCTCGCGGGGTCCGGTCCGGAGTTCGGCGGCAGTTTGTTGCGCTGCGTGGAGGTCCCTGAGGCGCAGGTCGGGAAGACGTACGGGGAGCTGGCGGCCTACATGCTGCTCCGGCGGCGCATGGTGCCGCTGGGGCTGTACCGCAAGAAGCTCGAGAACACGGAGTGGGTCCTCCCGTACGTGTGCACCAACCCCCCCACCGACACCGTCGTCGTGGAGTCGGACCGCGTGTTCGTGCTGCGCGAGCGCCGCGGAGCCTGGATCTTCTGACCCCACACCGCGATGTGACACCTTTATCTCGACCCCGCATCCCCCGGAAAAGCCTCAACCGGAATCATCAACAAACACGCACTCATGAACTATCAATCAACGCCCTGCGACCAGCCAGGCCCGCCGGCCCCCGCACACCCCACTCCGTGACCCCAGCCGCAGCCAGGCCTCACACCCCCCCCGCTACCCCTGCGCCTCCCCGAGCTTCTCGTCCACCAGCGCCTTGAGGTCGGCCAGCACCTGCTCCTCCTTCGCCTTCTTCTCCTCGAAGTTGATCATCGCCAGCGCCGCCTTCTCCTCCGCCGTGTACACTTGGTTCTCCTTCCGGATCCGGATCGCGTTCATCCGCGCGTGCCTGTTCCCCGACATGACGTACCCCGCCGCCTCGTACTTCGCGATGCTGTCCGCGTCCAACCCGACCTCGCCGCGCCGCGGAATGCGCTTCCCGCTCTGCACGTAGCTCGCCATCGCCTGGCCCTCGCCCGGCCGCAGGTACAGCCCGTAGCCCCCCGCGCCGCCGCCGGTGTCGCCCGCCGTGCCTGGCAGGGTGGGGCCCACGACGTCCTCTTGCGGCTCCTCGACCTCCGCGGCCTTCTTGATCTCCATGAGCTCCTCGCGGTGGCCCTGCGCGCGGGCGGGAGCGCGTCGGGGGCGTGAAGGGGGAGGGAAACTTTTGGAGGCGAGGGTTTGGAAGCGACCGACGTCAGGCGGTGTGGCGGCGTACCTCGATGAACTTGCGGAACAGGTCGGCCTCCTCTTCGTCCGCGCTACACACCGCGTCGTCCTCCTCCTCGTTCTCCTGGTGGTGCTTCGCGTGCCGCTGTTCCCACTCCGCCCTGCACAACCACGACGCACGGCGCAACACACGCAAACTTGGACGCGCGCTCGCACGCAACGGGCCCCGATGACGCGGCGATCCACGAACGATCGCGTGCAAGGCAGCCGGCGCTCCGGGGCGGCGGTGCGGCGCGCGGCGTGCAGTGTCGGGGCGCGCACTTCATTTTGCTGAGGGCGGCCTCGTTCTCTTCGACGATGCGCTTCCGGGTCGGGTCCTCCGGCTCCGGGGACGGCGTGAACTGCCACATGAGCGCGCGCCGCTTCTCGAGCAGCATGCGCCGCTTCAGCGTCCGGAACGACTTGAAGTCCTGCACGCCAACACAAGGGCCGCGCGTGCGATCATATTGCGTTGCGGCTGATACGGTGGGCGTATCCAGTCTGGGCAAGACATGTGCTACGCTGTGGAGGTGGTTGCGCCGCACCTGCGCCTCCTTGGACAACATCTCGTCGCCGCTGTCAGGGGGGCCGTTGGGGTCGGCGTTCGGGCGCGGGGGGGGGCCGCGGCCGCGCTCCCAGCGGTCGGCTGGTGGCGGCCCGGGGTACCGCCGCCCGCGTTCGTCCCTGTCCGAATCTGCAGAGGCGCGGGAAAGCATGGCGAGGCTGAATGAGGGGCGCCCTGACGCCCAGGGCATGCGCGCGGTGGTATTAGAGCGTCGAACGGGATGATATTCTCGCATTTACTCAGGATTTTTGGCAGAATTCGAGCCGTTCGCCCCGGACTGGCAGCCTGAGGTGCTTGGAGGGAGCCCAAAGACAACTCACGTCTGCTACCGCCGCGCTCCCTGCGGCCCCGCTCGCGCGAGTCCCGCCCCCGCCTCGGGCTCCTCGATCTTCGCCTCTCATGCCGCGACCTCTCACCGCCGTTCCTGTCGTCCCTCCGTGCGTCACGCCCCCTGGGCCTCTCGCGCCCTCCCTCACTGCCCCGTTGCTCGCGCTCCCGAGATCGTGACCGACTCCTGTCGCGGCTCCCCATCACTCACTGTTATATCTCTAATTCCGGGTGGTTGCCGGCTACGTGAACGACCCCACCAGGCGGGGGACCTGATCCCAGACAGCCATCGCTCGCCAAACAGCTTCTGTCGTACGACTAGGAACGAAATCGTGCCAACACGCCAGCAGTTGGCGCGAGGGGTGTAGCGCATGCAGTGGCGCGCGCGGCCAACAGCGCCACAGGGGGGCAAAGTACAACAGCAACAGCAAGTGTGTGTCTGCCCAGGCCCACTCGTCCGTCCAGCCACTGGGGTGCACGATTCGTCTCGTATACGGTAGTTTGAGCAAGCAACGTCCACTTTATGGCGCGCACCCAGACAACAAAGACCAACATTGGTAGTGAGGCCCACATCCCAGATGGAGGTGAAATCGCTCACCATCGACGAAGCAATCCACTGAATCGGCTGTTTCTCGCACGCGACGCAGCACGGTATCAGAGTGCGTCATCAGCAACCCTGTTCCAACCGCGACCGGCGGACATGGACGCAACGGAGAACCCTGTAGCAACCTCGTGTGGGCGCGTCGCGTCGCGAGCACGGCACGTCCGAATCGACGACGAAGCGATCACCAGCGTGAGCTCCCATCATGCGCGACACAGTGCGCGCGTTCGTGCGGACAATGCCCTTCGGTTCGTGAGACGCTGCGAGCCCCACTGTCCTGTGCAGTTGGTCGCGGCCGCGGACGACGAGGAGCTGCTGGAACGCATGCGCGCCGGAAGTCCGGGATCGTTCGATCGTTCCATTCACTACTTCGACCCGAACGACGAGGAACTGACCGCGCGATGCTGCATTGTCGTCGACGCACTTAACTTCTGCTTCTGGCCCGCTGGTGCGCACCGACCGGCCCGACGCGCTCGTCCTCGCCCGCCCTCACCGCGTCGATGGTATGGGGGCTGCTGCCGCGAGCGCGCATCGGTTAGGACCGCGAATTGTCGGCGCTGGGACTTCATGAAGCTGCTGCGTGTGTGTTGCGTGCGTGCAGAGGGGCTGCAGTACGAGCACCTGTCCGAGGGCGTCAGGGACGCCGCGCGGAGAGACCCGGCGTGCGTGTCCCCCGACCGCCTCGCCGCAGCCACCCCGTCGGACGTGCGCGGCCTCTTCAACTGGGACGGCGACATCCCCCAGCTCGAGGAACGCACGAGGCTGGTGCGACGACCCGAACGCGCCGCCCGCAGCCGCTCACGTGTGCGCATCACCAGCGCCGCCCACGACCTGGGGTTCGCCGCGTTGGTGCGTTGCAGGTGCGCGAGGTGGGGGGTGTCTTGCGGGACGCGTTCGGCGGGCAGGTGGCGTCGCTCGTGCGGTCGGCGGGCGGGTGCGGGGTGCGGCTGTCCCTGCTGACGGCGCAGCACTTCCCCGGGTTCCGCGACAGCGCGGTGCACGACGGCGCGCAGGTGTTCTTCCACAAGCGGGCGCAGATCTTTGCGGGAGACCTCTGGGGGGTGTTCCGCGGGGAGGGCCTCGGGAAGCTCGACGTGAGCGGGCTGACGGCGTTCGCGGACTATCGGGTTCCGGTGGTGCTGCGGCAGAAGGGGATCCTCAAGTACGAGCGCAGCGTGGCACAGGCGGTGGACCAGGGGGCGTTGATCGTGCCAGGAACGCCCCAGGTGCGGCCCCGTGAGCTACGCGATGCAGATCTGAGGCTACTCGACGTCAGAGCGGCGCTCGTGCCGTGGCTTGGCACCGAGCTGCCTTGTCCTGACTTGAAATGAGAACACATTAACCTTGCACCGAGTGCAGGAAGTCGAGATTCGCGCATGTACCGTCGAGGCGGTGCAGCGCCTGCGGGCCGAGTGGGAGCGGAGCAAGGGAGGGTCGCGTCCGTGCTCGGTGTGCCTCGACTGGTGGCTCTGGGAGGTCGGCGAGCGCACCAGGGACGCCGACAGACATCACAAGTGCTTGACTATTTTCTACTGATGTGGAGAGGCGCGCGACGGCCCCTCACGGCGCGTGTCGTCGCCGCCCGCCGCCCTCGACGCCGCTGCGCAAACGCACCGTCGACCCGTCGTCCTCCCCGCGGGGGACCGACCTGTACCCTCGCCGCACCCTCAGCGCCCGCACAACCACCACGAGGATCCCGACGGCGCCCAGCAACACGACGATCTGCGTGACGTTGAACCCTGGCGCGCCCTTCTGTGACATCCACGCGAACGACGACGCGGCTGCGCCGCTGTTGGCGCTGCTGAGCGCAGCACCCCACTCGTCGCTCCCTGACGCGGCCTGGCCCGAGGAGGAGCTGACAGGCCCCGCGGTCGCGTGTGCCTGTACTTGCGGCGTGGTGGCGGGCGCCGCCGTCGTTTTGGGGAGCGCCGTCGTGGCTGGCGCCGCTGTTGTTTCGGGGAGCGCCGTCGTGGCTGGCGCCGCCGTGGTGCCCTGCGGCGTCGTGGTCGCGGGCTCGGTCGTGGTGGCGATGGTCGTTTCCGGCGCCTCTGTCCCGGAAGCCAGCGCGCTCTCCGTTTCGGTGACGTTCGCCGCGCCCGCGTCTGCAGGCAGCGTGCCCGCGGCCCCCTCCATCGCGCCCGGCTCCTCGGCCGTGGCGTTGCCAGCCATCGCGCCGGCCTCCTCGGCTGTGACGTCGCCAGCCGGGGCGGTCGCGACGTCGGCCGCGACCGTTTCGCTGCCCGTCGCGGCGGTTGTGTTGCCGTCACTCGCGGCAGGGGGCGCTGTGCCGTCCACCTCCTCAATCCCACCATCCGAAGCGCTCCCGTTCACCGCCGCCAGCGTCGCGCTGCCGCTCCGCGCCTCCACCGCAGCAGTCGCCGCGCCGTCCTCCCCCGCAGGCTGGAACGACCACCCACTGCTGCGGTGGCAGAAGTTCCGTTGCAGATCCTTCTTCCAGTTCTCGAGCAGCGAAGCCGGCAGCTCTGGCTCCGGGGGGCGCGCAATCACCACCTCATGCGCGCCCATGTCCGAAGCGATCTTCCGGCCGCGCGCCGCGAGCCCCGTGTCGCTCCCGACCGCCTCCTTGATCATCTTGACCACCAGACCCATGCCGTCCAGCGCCCTGTAGTCCCCGTCGACGCTGCTCGTGTCCGCGTACAGCACCACGCGGCCCTGCCCCACGTCCGTCATCGACAGCACCGTCATCTCCGCGACGCTCGGCAGCGGCGCCGTCCCCGGCGTCTTCGCGAGCCCCTCCGCCTCGAACACCACCGTCCCCGCCGGCGCCTTGGCGACGGGCGCCCCGCTGCGGATCCGCGTCGTGCCGTCAATGTGGATCGTGCCGTCGAGCACCGTGTCGCCGAACGCGAGCCCGAACGGCTTGAGCAGCTCGTTCAGCGCGGGGACGTTCGCGCCGCCCGTCGCGGCGTCCCAGGAGGAGCGCGTGTTGTCGTCGAAGAACTTGGCCTCGCGGATCTTGTCGAGGTTGTACCACTCGCCGAGGACGACCAGCCCGAGGCCCGCGCGGACCGCGGCCTCGACCGCCTCGACCTCGCCCTCGAGGAACTCCCCCTCGGTGTCGGCGAGGATCAGCGCGCCGTACTGGGACAGGTCCACGCACGTCGCCGGCGACGTCAGCTGCTCCACCTCGAACCCCTCCTGCGCAGCGTGGGCGCCGTGCGCGGAACGTCACGCGCGGTGGACGCAGCCAGCGCCGGCGGGTGCGTGCGCGCGTGCGTGCGCGTTCTTGTAGACGTGGAGGCACTTACCGATTGCAGGGTGTCGAAGAGGGCCTTGAAGTTGGTGTGCGGGTGGTCGCCGTGCCAGTCCAGGAGCTCGAACGTGTCGTCGAGCGCGTCCCGCGGGATGTACGCGGGCGGGTACTTGACCGAGTGGTACACGTCGAACAGCACGCGCTTCTCGCGCGGCGGCGGCACCTTCACGTGCACCTCCAGCGGCACCTCCACCTCGCTCTCCTGCATCGCCGTGCCCCCGGGGCCCGGCGGGCTCCGCACCGTGAACGCGATCGTCCCCCGCGCAGTCCCCGTGTAGTCCTTCCCGCTGGCCTTTACGGCGATAAACACCGCGAGGTAGCCCGACCACGGCCACAGGCGCTCGCTGTGCTCGAAGCGCACGTCGAGGTGCTCGCCGCCGGCGTCCGTCGGCGTGAACGTCGGCCCGTCCACCACCGTGCCCGTCACGGCCATCCCGTTGAGGATGGTGGCGTTCACCACGACGGGGGAGCGGCCGTAAAAGGGCGACGTGCGCGAGTAGGGCCACATCTGCGGCTCCGTGAGCTTCAGGCTCGCCGGCTGCAGGCTGGCGCGCGGCTTGTAGTCCTTCAGGATCGCCGCGGACATCTCGAGATCGACGACGCCCTGGCCCACCTCGTGGACAGTCCACGAGTCGAGGCGCCGGGCGCCCTCGACCAGGGCCTGCTTCAGCGCGCCCGGGTTGAGCACGGCCGCGCGCTGCGCCTCCGGCACCGTGCTCGCGACGAGGCAGAGCGCCCCCGCGGCGACGGGCGCCGCCACGGAGGTGCCCGACAGCCCGCGACACCCCCCCTCGATGGCCGAGCCCATCACGCCGGAGCCGTACGCGACGACGTCGGGCTTCATGCGCCCGTACCCCTCGGGCAGCTCCCAGACGGTCATGCCGCGCGAGGAGAACCCCGCGAGGTCGTCGTTCCAGTCCACCCCGCCAACCCCGATGACGTTGTTCTGATCCGCGGGGTTGTTCATCGTGCCCCACAGGTCGCCGTCGTTCCCGATGGCGGACACCATCGTGATGCCCGCCGCGGTCACCTCGTTGACCTTGTCCGTGAAGGGCAGGTCCATGTAGTCGGGCCCGCCGATGGAGAGGTTCACGACGTGCAGCTTCAGGTAGATCGCGTAGTTGAACGAGTCCATGAACCACGACGTGAACGAGACCTGGTCGTCCGTGAACACCTTGAACGCGTACAGGTCCACCTCGGGCGCGAACCCGGGGCAGGAGGAGTCGGAGCTGGCCACCACGCCGGCAACGAACGTGCCGTGCCCGAGCCCGTCGTCGGCGCTCTTGTCCGTCGTCCAGTTCGTCCGCTCCTTGATGTTCCTGCGGCGCACGGCGAGGCGCGTGCCGGGCCCGGTTACATCCAGAAACATGCCAGGGGGGCGGGTCCATGTTACGCAACAACTGAGCAATGCGGGGGGGTGTGGCGCACTTGAGGTGCGGGTGGTCGCCGCGGAACGCCGTATCGAAGACGCCCATCTTGATGCCCTTGCCCTTGAACCCCTTGGCCCACAGCGCGCTCGCGCCCATGCGCAGCGTCACCTTGGTGTTCGCGGCGGTGCGCAGCATCTTCCGGCCCCCGCGCAGCCGCGCCGCGTCCGCCATGGCCGCGGGGTCCTCCCACGAGAAGGCCGTGCGCTTGCGCCCGGCGTACCGCTCCGCGCGGCCCGTCACGGGGTCGCGCAGCACCCAGTTGAGCTTGCGCGTCATCCGGGAGTCGAGGTGCACCGAACGGAAGCCGGGCGCCGCGGAGAGCCTGCGCACAGCGTTGTGGCGGGGGTCGCGCGGGCGGTCGGGCGCCGGCGGGACACCCACGGCGTAGTTTGGGGGCTGCGTGAGGGGTGGGGCGGAGGGCGCGGGCGGTGCGTACCTGCTGGAGAGCGCGCGCGTGGTGGTTCGCGGCGCTGTGATGACGGCGAAGTCCGTGGGGACGTGTTTCGGCCCGGGGCGCTCGACCCACGCCCAGGACGTGCGCGGGGAGCGTTCGCCTGCGTCGAGGCTGCCGTGCGACGGAGGCGGGGCAGTCTCCGGGCCCAGGACGCCCGTCAGTCGTTCCCTGAGCTCGTCGTGCGACGTGTAGCCATTGAACCTCACGATGAACTGCGCGGGGGCGCGACGGTGGTGCTCGATGTGTGCCATGAAGCGAACTGGCGCGGTTTGGCGCTCCAAACCATGCCAACGAGGTGGTTCCGGCACGCTCTCGACACAGGTACTGGCGGCTCGCGCCCTGCGTGGCCCATCGCTGGCGCAGCAGCGCGGGATCGCCGCCCAGGAGCGCTGCCCTGGGAAAGCGCGCGCACCTGCTCCTCCATCGGCTGCCGCTTCGTTTCTATGTCCGGCACGACTCCTTCCTGGTCCTCGATGCCCCCCACGCAAACCGCGTCCCCCAGCCAGCCCCCCCCCGACAGGTATCGCTCCATGTGCCACTCCCGCCACCCTCCAGAGCTCAACGTGGCGCCGCGGCACTCCGCGACGCCCCGCTCCGCCCTCACCGACAGCAGCACCGCCGCCGCGACGAGCAGGAGCAACCGCCACCACGTCGTCCGCATGGTCCCCGCCTCGTCCGGGCAGCGGCGGACGCCGCGGTCAAGCTCTGGTCTCTCACGAGCCCGCACTACCGGACCGCCCTTCCGTGCCACGGACCGGCCACCCAGATCTCACGGACTGGCGAGAGAGTTACCACTGGTGGTCGTTCTGGGTCGTTTCGTGCCGCACCTCGGCCTAGCTGCTTCGACTGAGTGCCCGAGCAGGAGGAGGGCCGAGCGACGCGCGCACACGCGCCTGGCCGCAGTCGAGGTCGGGTGGGCGGAGTTCGGCGCGCCCCGACGTCGCATCCGGCCAAGGAGCGCCCCTGCGCCCATGCGCGGGCGCGCGGCGGAATCAGTCCTCCGGTGCGTCTCCGTTGGCACCGCGGCGCGCCCCCGCGACGCCCTCGCGCGCCTTCGGGCGCCCCCGGCCGGTCTGCGCGCACTTCGCCTCGAGCGTCATCGCCTAGCGACCGCCGGAACCGGCAGACCCGCAGGAACGTGCTCGCGAGGGCCTGCTGTGCATAGCGTCTTCCAGATGTCGCTGCCAGGGCGGTGCTTGGCGCTCCTGGCGGCGCTCGCGCTGCTGCTGGGCCCCGTGTCCGCCCTCTACAAGCCCGGGGGCGTCGTTGAGATGCTGGAGCCCCGCAACTTCAAGAAGTACATCAAAGGTGCGCAGGGACCCTAGCAGCGGCTCCCCCGGCCGATGCCGCGCGGAACGCCGCGCGTTCGCCCCGCCGTGCGCCCCGCGGCGATGCTCATCGACTGCGCGAGCCCGCGGAGGCATGCGCTGCTCGCCGTGCGCCGCGCGTGCGCCCACGGTGGTTTGTTGGGCGGCGCGCGTGCAGAGAGCAAGGGCGTGTGGCTGGTCGAGTTCTACGCGCCGTGGTGCGGGCACTGCCAGAACCTGGTCCCTGAGTACGAGAAGGCCGCGCGGGCGCTGCTCGGCGTCGTCAACGTCGGCGCCGTCGACGCGGACGCCCACAGGTGCGCCCTGGGCGACGCACACGGGCCGGGCCTTCCGGCGGCGTGCGGAACCACCACCGCACCGGCGCGCGCTGTGGCCCCCGCAACTCAGCGGGCTCCTTCACGGAACCGCAACAGGGCCGTCGGCTGCCTGAGGCGCCACGACAACATCAACGCTCGCCCATGATGGTGTCTCGTCCGAGCGCGAGGGCCCCGTTGCGGTCTGCGTGAAGAACCTCGCTGCACCCGGGAAGCCACGTCGTCCACACGCCACCGCGCCGCACGCCACCCCCGCCCCTGCCCCACGCAACACGTGCTGCAGCGCCGCCCCGGCGCGCCCGGCCCCGCTCCCCGCCCACGCCGCCCGCCTTGCACCGCCGCCCGCCCTCGCAGGGAGCTGGCGGCGCCGTACGACGTGAGGGGGTTCCCGACGATCAAGTTGTTGTACACCAACAAGAAGGGGGAGATCAAGTCCATCGACTACAACGGCGGACGCACCGCGAAGGACATGGTCGCGTGGGCGATGGGCAAGGCCACCTCGCTCGTGCAGAAGCGGCTATCGGGCGGGTCCGGGTCCGGGTCCGGGTCCGCGGGGGGGTCTGGCGGCGACGGCGGGGGCTCCGGGTTCTACTCCGGGACGGACGTCGTGGAGCTGACGCCGCAGAAGTACGCCAAGGCTGTCGAGTCGTCGGATCCGTGGTTCATCGAGTTCTACGCGCCGGTGAGTCCGACCGACGCAGCCTAGCGCGCTGGTGTTGTGCTCTGGTGACGCCGGGCCAGGGGGCGCGGCGGAGTGCGCGCGGTCGCCGTGCGCCAGGCGCGACACGGGCGCGCTGGCGCTCCGAGCGAGCGCGGGCGAAACCCAGTCGTGCCGTGGCTGGTCGGCGAAGTGGTTTGCACGCACCGGACTGCCACCGAAGCGATTCCGCGGTTCGTGACGTTCGTTTCCTCGCAGTGGTGCGGGCACTGCAAGGCGCTGAAGCCGGCGTGGACGGAGGCGGCGCGCGCGCTCAAGGGCCGCGTGAAGGTCGGCGCGCTGAACTGCGACGAGCACAAGGCGGCGTGCGACATCGCGGGGGTCCAGGGGTTCCCGACGATCAAGTTCTACGGACAGAACAAGGACGTGCCGGAGGACTACAACGGCGCGCGGGACGCCCCGGCCATCATCGAGTTCGCAGGCACGTTCCACTCCCCCGAGCAACGCATGCATGCCCGCACTTGCCCGTCTCCGGCGGCCGCGACCTCAGCCCCGTGCGTGTGCGCGCGTGCTTGCAGAGACCAGGGCGGCCGCGCTCGTGAAGCCGCCGGAGCCGACGGAGCTCACGTCGCAGGCGGTGTTTGACGAGACGTGCGGCGGGCAGCACCCGCAGGGGGAGCGGCAGCTGTGCTTCATCGCGTTCCTGCCCAACATCCTCGACACGCGCGCGGACGGGCGGTACGGGTACATCGAGATGCTCAAGGAGGTCGCGCGGCGGCACCCCACGCGGCCCTACGCGCTGCTGTGGGCCGAGGGCGCCAAGCAGCCCGCGGTGGAGCAGTCGCTCGAGGTCGGGGGCTTCGGGTACCCGGCGCTCGTGGCGTACTCGCCGAAGCGCAAGGCCTTCGCGATCCACAAGGGCGCGGTGGACCCCCCCGGGGTGCTGGAGTTCGTGGACCGGGTCAGCAAGGGGTTCGCGCAGGTGGTGCCGCTGTCGGGGCGGGGCCTGGGGAGCGTCGCGGACGTGGCGCCCTGGGACGGCGGGGACGGCGAGGAGGTGCTGGACGAGGAGATTCCGCTCGAGGAGCTCTTCGGCGACGAGTGAGCAGCGCTGCGGGCCAGGGGGCACGTGCGGGTGTCGCGGGCGGCCGCGGGCGATACAGGGCCTCGCGGCGCCCCCGCTGCACGGCACTGTGACGCGCGTGCTCGGGACGTGCTGCCCGCGGACCGAGGTTGCGGTTCCCCGCCGCGCCGGACGGAAGGCAGCCACAGGGCTGCCTCCCTCGGTCCGAGGCATGCGGGCGTGTTTCACGGTCTGTTTGCGATTAACACGGCCATCGTACCGTATCGCGTCTGAATCTCGAAACAAACACGCAAACCATGCCCGGGGCACGCCGCAATGCGGTGCGCTACGTGCCTCCCCGCACCTGCGTCGCACGCGACGAGGTTCCTTCCAGACACGCACCACGCGCCTCTCAGAGCGCATGCACGGCGCCATCGCCCCACCCGCCCCTCGACAAGCCCCATCACCGGAGCGCCAGGGGCGGCCCATGCCGCAGCTGTTGTGGGGAAGCGCCCCCCACACCTCAACGCCCCGTCAGGGCCCAGCGCGGCTGAGAGCGGGCCGGCTGCGTCGTCGGGGGGCGCTGCGAGGTGCACCCGGCAGAGTAGTCCGACCATACACGCGTAGTCGCCGCCCTTCGCCGCACCACACAGCGAGGCGCCTGTGCGCTGGCCCCAAGAGCTAGGGAGCGCTACGCACGCATTCGGGGGTACCGCGATCCTCGTCGGGCGGCCTTCGGCGCCATGACGACCTGAATGTTGCAGCCGCCGCCGCCGCAGCCTCGTTCGAGCCGCGCACGCCCCGTTGGAGTCGGCGGAAGGGCAGGGAATCAGCGTCAGTGACTGCCCTCGCCGCGACGTTCACCATGCAGCTATTTTCGGAGTTCCGGCCCAGCGATGCGGGCTCGGGGAGAGCCACGTTACAGTATCCGTCCGATTTCGGGATCGGTGGCCTCGAGGTGTTCACGGAGGGCAAGGCCTGTGCGGAGGGCCACTTTCACGTCCAGGTGCGGGTCCAGCCCCGCGTGGCGCCGAGACGTCTCGCACGCCGCTCCCCCGGCATTCTCCCACCTGATCGCGCGAAGCGCCACTTCCGCCGCGCGTCTACTCGCGGTGAACACGGAGCACGGCTGGAGCATGGGTCTCTGTGTACCAGCAGCAGTTTCGTGCACGGCCGGGGATCTCCGCGCCTCGGATGGTCGTGCGTGGGACCTCCATGAACTGAACCGCCCAGCGAGGGAGCGCGCCGCGCGTTTCCACCAGCTCGCTGCCGCTGCGGTCTGCGTGTGTCCCGAGCCTAGCTTGCCGCCGTCGCGCCGCATGCTGGCCCGGCGACCGGCAGCAGGCTGCGCCGCGGGCTCGCTCTCGAAGTAGGCGAGAGGAATAACCGGTCGCTGGCGCGGATCCCCCGTCCGCAGGTGCTAGGGAGCCCCTACTGGATTTCAGTTCAGATCCTGTGCGCGACGCTGGTGACGTTCGTCGACCTGATCGCGTTCGCCGCCTCGGAAGACGAGACCGCCGCCCGTCTCTGGCTGCTGCTCGCGGTCCCGCCGCTCGTCCTCATGGCGGTCGACCTCGGCGGCCGGTGGGCGCGTGCGAAGGCTGCGCCGGCCCCTGCCGCCCCCAACCGGCAGCCGAGCGCCCGGCCGAAGAACTCGCTGCAGCACATCAGCAGGACATCCGACGCGGGGATCAGCGCGCACCAGCGGACAGACAGCAACATGCCGCCGTGCCTCCCTTCCGTCGCCCCCGTCGCCGACGTCCTGCAGTCCATCGACCGCCACCGCGCGGCCGTCCTGCACCAGCCGCGGTCCAGCGTGAACCACGCGGCGATCCACCGCGACCCGCCCGCCAGCTGCACTGGGCGGCGCGTCACGGACAGCGCCCTCGTCGAGTCGCAGCACGCGCTCTCTGCGCACAACGCTCCAGGCCTGTCGGTGGCCTGGGACACTGGAGGCACGAACCGGTTCTCCGGTCCGTCGGACAAGGGGGATTGCGCGGTGCGCGCGCCCCCGGCTCCGGCGGGCAGGGAGCTGCGCGGCCTGTCGCCGACGACGGCGCTCGCGGCGGACACGCTCTCGGTGTGCGGGCCTGCGGTGGGCGTGGCGCTGCTGGCGTGGATACGGGGGTTCGCCGCGGAGCACGGCGGGGGCGACGTGGGGGATCTGCGGGCCGCGCTCGAGACGGTCCACCGGGTGTGGCTGCTGGCGGGGGCGCTGCTCCTTCCGCTGGCGGCGCTCAAGGTGCTGGTGGTGTACTGGCACGGGCGCGTAGTGCGCGCGCAGGGGCCGTCGATGAGCATGCAGATGCGCGTCGTGGTCATGCGCACGGCGCAGGTGCGTCGCCCAACCCCCGCACTCTTCGCTGGCCGACTGGACACGCGGCTGACGATCGCAACCTCAGCGACGACCCGGCGCCTTGCGTCCGTAGGGGATCGGACGGCGCGTCGTTGCGCGCTGCCCCCGTTCGCGCAGGACCTGACCTGACGTCGGCACTCCCCCCCCCACTTTGCTGCTGCACGCAGGGGTCTCTTTGGACCGGCCTGGCCTCCGTCCTCGCCGTCCTCGTGCTCCTGCAGGCGGTTTTTCAGGGCTTGAGCGACGCCCGCTACGTGGCAGACAACGCCAACGGCCTCCTGGCCTCTCTCGCACGCGCCGCCCCCGCGGACCTGGAACGGTTCGCGGCCGCGTCGGCGCCGTCGTGGCGCGACCGCACGGGCGACGCGATCGGCGCGGTGTGGTCCGGCGCGCGTGTGCTGTGGTTGGCGGACCCAGCGAGCAACGCCCCGTTCCCGACGACGACGCTCCCCGGCACTGCGCCCTCGCTGGCGGCCGCGATCGACTGGGACGGCGCGTTCGCGTACCACCTCGAGCGCAGCGTGCACGTGCGGCTCGTGGCGTTCGTCGCGGCCGCGTCCCTCGTGGCGCTCTCCACGGTCGCCGCGGCCAACGTGGTGTGCGCGCCCTTCCAGTCGCTGGTCGCGCGGTTCCTGGAGGCCGCGCGCAGCGTCGACAGCGAGACGCGGCGGTCCGAGGTGGCGTGCAGCGACCCGAACGCCGTGCTGGACCGCGCGCTGCAGACGATGGTGGCGCTGTCGCACCAGCAGCAGGGCGGCGCGGCGGTCATCGGGCGGCTCAAGGAGTCCCTGCCGCGCCCCGGCGACGTGAGCGAGTGGGCCACGGTCCTCGTCGGCCGCGAGCAGGCCATGCTCCCGCCCCCCTCGCGCGGCCGGCCCGCTCGCGGCAGCCTGCTTGGGCAACACTCGCGCATCATCGCGGGGCTCGCCGGGGCTGCGCCGGCGGCCAGCAAGGCGCCGCACCTGGTCAAGATCGACAGCGTCGACTGGGACCCGCTCGAGCTCGACGCCGACTCGCTGCGCGAGAGCGTCGTCGAGATGTTCCGCCGCCTGCGTCTGCTGTACCCGGAGCGCGACGGCGCGGGCGCGCAGGAGACGGCGGAGCGCATGGCTGCGAGCGGGCTGATCAGTGTCGTGCGCCTCGAGGCGCTGATCGACCACCTCGCGCCGCTGTACGACACCGGGAACGACTACCACAACTGGCGGCACGCGGTGGACGTGACGCACACGCTGTTCACCATCATCCTCACGACGCCCGTGCTGCAGCGGCGCCTGACGCGCCTCGACCGCCTCGCGCTGATGGTGGCCGCGCTCGGGCACGACGTGTGCCACTCGGGCACCAACAACCAGTTCCTGATCGACACCAACGCGCCCGTGGCGCTGGCGTACAACGACCGCTCCGTGCAGGAGAACATGCACGCCGCGACGCTCTTCCAGCTCATGGCCAACAACCCCGAGGCCAACGTCTTCGCCGACCTCCCGCGGAAGACGGCGGCCGCGGTGCGCCGCACCGTCGTCGGGGCCATCCTCGCCACCGACATGGCGCGGCACTTCGACCTCGTCGCGCGGCTCGAGGCCGCGGTGGAGACCCGCCGCCGCGGCGCGCGCTCCGCGGAGCACGAGGCGCAGGAGCACGCCCTGATCATAGAGTCGCTGATGCACCTCGCGGACCTGGGGCACTCGTTCAAGCCGTTCGACGACACCTGCGAGTGGACGCAGCGCCTCATGCAGGAGTTCTTCAGACAGGTGGGCCCCCCGGACGCCCCGCCGGCGCCGCGACCGCGACGCGGTCTGCCGCGCGAGTGCACGGTTGGTTGCCCGCTCTGACGCCGCGTGCACGGCACTTGCGCGCAGGGCGACATGGAGCGCGAGATCGGCATGCAGCCCTCGCCGCTGATGCAGCGCGAGTCGCTGTACGTCCCGGCGGCGCAGCTGGACTTTTATCAGGTGGTGCTGCTGCCGTACACCGCGGCCATGGTGCGCCTGGTTCCCGGCCTGAGCCGGCTCCTGCACGTCCTGCAGCGCAACTTCGAGCTCTGGGCGGGCATCGTGGAGCACGACCAGCGCGCCGCGCGGGCCGCCCAGGAGCAGGGCATCAGCCGCATCGAGTGCGACTCGGTGCTCGGCTCGCCCTCGGGCTCGGAGCGCGTCTTCGCGGGCAACATGGCGATGACCTCCCAGTACTTCACGCCCGCTGCGATCAACGGTGCGCGCCCCGCCCGCCCCCGCGAGGCACCTCTGCGTGGCAGCTGGCACGCACGCGTTGCGAGGCGGTGACCGGTGCTGACGCTCACCCCGCGTGCACGCCGCGGCTCCCTCATCGCGTCGCAGATAACGTGGCAGAGGAGGTCCAGAAAATCGACGTCGAGAATCGCAAGGCGCACGTCAGGCGCGTCGTGGAGGACTGCCTTGGAATCACCTCGTGATCGCAGCCGAGGCCTTGCGAGCCAACGGACAAACACGGCCTTCTCCCAAACAACGCACAATTACCCCCCCACCGCCGACCTCGCGACTCTTCCATTTTGTTTCGCCACCGGCACGTGTGCCTGTGGAGCTGTGTGGCCCAGAGACGCTGCTGCCCGCGCCTCTCGCACGTCGCATGCCAGCTCATTGTCTTCCGCCGGGGCCGACCGCCGGGCCGACGTACAGACGTCCTCCCGCGAGGCCCCGCAGCGAGTTGCCCCCCGCTTTATAGACCAACACACTGTCGTCCCATGCACTCGTCCAAACACAGGCGCTTGACGCCGTCTTAGACACCCCCCCGTTGTTCCCACCCAGACTCGCACGACCCACAGCGGAGAAGCCCCCACGCCAGAAGTCCCCCCCCCCTTGAGATGAATCGCAACTTGCCCCTGCGCACCGCATGGGGACCTGCGGTTTGAAAGCCGCGCTGCCGTCCACGTTGCCGTCCGGACAGCAGCAGCAGAGCCAGCCATCCACGCGCCGGCGAGCGACCCGCTCCGACACGGTGCGGCAACACCGAGCGCCCGGGAGGGACGCACGCACCGGACCGTGCAGCCCGCGCACCTGGGCCACGCGCCCCGCCTCCGCACCGTGCGCTCGATGTGACGCCGCACGCAACCACCGCGAGCGCGCCGTCACGCTGACTCGCACGCCTGCATGTCCAGGCGTCGCTGTTGCTGTTGCGTCGGACCTCATCCTCGGGAACGTGCGACCCCGCGAGGGAAAGGTGGCGCGCGCGAGCGGCACGTGCGCCGCGCGCGACCGCCGCGGCACGCCCGCGCCCCACGGGCCCCTGTCGCGACGTGTTGCTGTGCTGGGTGGAGGTTGGAGGGCCCGAGGCGCTGCGGTGATTCCTCGCTGGATCTGAGCGGATCGACGGCGTCGTACGGGCACAAGGCATGTGGTCGCGGTCGCGGCGAGCGCGTCCGGCGCTGCCGGCGCTCCCTGTGCCCTCCAACACAAGGGGCACACCCTCTGAGCCGCCGTGCTGGGGCCCTGCGGGGGAGCGCGGGGAGCGGATGGGCGACTCGCATGCAGATCGTCGCTCCGCGTCCCGCCGATGGCCGCAGATACCCCCCACGCGCTTGCTCGGCGCTCCTGGAGTCAACCGCCGAGGCTGCTTCCGTTCGGCCGCGTGGGGGCGCAGCCGGGGCGAGGCGCGCGGAATTCGCAGTCCGCCGTGATCTCCGACCCGCATGCGGCGGCACACGCGTCGGAGCGAGGGCCCAGCGACACGCCTGGCCGGTAAACGTCCTCGCTCCGAAAGGCTACCGCGTCGGATGCTCGGGGAGGCGGTCACGAGGGGGCCGGGCTCGGTAGTGCGCCACGCGGCGAGGTCACGTCGGCGCGTCGAATGCGCGAGGCAATCCTCTTTGTTTCGGGCCGCGGCGCGCGCTCACACGCACGGGGCGTGTCTTTCCTCGTGGCCTCCGGTCAGCGCCGAGAGGCCCCGCCGCGGCCCGCGGCAATCATGTTCGCGAGGTGCTGGCATCACCGGTCAGAAGATGCGACCGACTGCCGTTCCATAGTGCAGACGCATACCACGAACGCGTCGCGCTTGGAGCGTAGGAGGACCGTCCGCATTTCTCACCCGTTGACGCCGAGAAGACCGCTGCTCAGCGACACAGACCTGCATTCACCCATTTTCTCCCCAGTCCGAGCGCGCTTTTGTGCCCTCGCGCAGCCGTCGAGGCCCGGTCATCGGCTCCTCGTAGCATCTCCACGGCGCTCATCGCGCGCTCGCACGGACACCTCGCGGCATCGGCCTGGCACCACCGGCGTTTTTGTCCACCGTCGGGCCCGTGAGGCTACCGGCAGCCCCCGCGCTGCGCGTTCGAGGGTCAACCAGCACGGTCCAGCTGGCCGGTCCGGCCTCGTCGCGCCACGGAGCCTCGATCCGCGCTCTGCGCCCCACCACCTGCTCAGCAACCCCCACTCCGCCCCCCGCCACCGGCCCGTCTCGCGCGGCCCCAGCAGGCGCTCCAGGTGGCGTGGCTGTTGCTGGCGCGCAACCTCTTTCCGGGCGGCCGCGCTCCCCCCGCTCCCCTGGGACGTCGCATGCGCCGCGAGGTCCTCGAACACCGAGCGTAGCACCACGATAGCGTGCCAGATCACCCGCGGAGCCCCCCCCGAGGGCCAGCGCTGAGCTGCACCCTCCACACTGCACCCAGCATGTCGAGCCGCTGCGCCGTCATGTCGCCCGAGGAACCCGCCCAGGCGACGGCGCCAGCCGTCCAAGCACAGCCCGACGCGTCCGTCAGCAACGCCCTCGCCAAGCTCGCCATCGCCGAGCGCCCGGACGACGCGTGGGACCTGTCGCCCACTGCACCGCCCGGCACCCGCGTCCAGGTCCGCGCCCGCGCCCGCGCGCCCCCGCCGACCGCCGCGCACGCCCGACCGCGCCCCGCCCGCACGGAGAACGCCCCGCGCGCCCGCGTCGCGCCCGCCCGCGCCCCGCGCGCCCTGGCCCCCAGACAGTTCCACGCTGCTTCTCAGAAGCTGCCCGCGCCGCGCCGCGACCGCCCCGCCCGCGCCGCCCCGCCCGCAGAGGAACTTCTCGATGGACCTGGTCGACCGCTCCCAGGAGGTGACGGTCATCATGTCGGTGCCCATCCCCGGCACCGACCGCGAGCGGCGCATCAGCATCAACGCCTTCGCGAACGAGCGCATCGCCGACATCAAGGCGCGCGTCTCCAACCTCGAGGCCTTCCCCGTCGCGTCCGGCCCCGCGAACCTCCTCCTCCTGAACGACCGCGAGCTGCACGACTCGGAGTATGTCCAGCAGGTGCTCGAGTCGGTGCGCGGGCAGCCCGAGGGCGAGAACGGCGAGCTGCACATCATCGTGCGCCTCAGGGACCTCGAGGAGCTCTCCATCAACACGGACGTCCGCGAGGTCCGCATGAACGGCCACGTCGGGCGCGGGCTGCTGCCGGGGCCCCCCGCGCCGCAGCCGCAGCCGGCGGGGCCCGAGGCGATCGTGCCGCGCGCGCGCGCGGCGTCGGCGATCCCGCAGCCGCCGTCGATGACGTCGCTGCTCACCGCGGCCGAGCGCACCGCGGGCGGGTCCCCGCGCACGTCGGCCACGGGCCTCGCGCGCCCGCTGCCGCCCGCGCTGCCCGACGGGTCGCTCAGCGAGCGCGCGTCGCGGCCCGAGGCGCTCAGCCTCACGGGCGGCGCGTTCACCGCGCCGAACGCGCTCGCGATGCGGCGCGTGAACACCGTCGGCGAGGGCCTCCACCGCGCCAACCTGCGCATGTCGGAGGACACGCTGGTGCACCTGGTGATGAAGCGGTCGGTGAACAAGGAGCTGGAGCCGCGCGAGGACGGCGCGGGGACGTTCATCATCACCGCGAGCGACACGCGCGAGGACATCAGCGAGAAGATCCGCAACGCCGCGCGGCACACGGTGATGATGAACAGCGAGCTCGGGCGGCCCGGGTGCAAGCGCGAGAGCCGCGTGTCGACCGCGGACGCGCTGAACCGGACGAGCTCGGACGCGGGCGAGGAGTTCGCGCCGCTCGACGCGGACGCCGCGGCGTTCGCCGGGCGCGGGAGCCTGAGCGCCAAGTACGGCATCGAGGACGTGGTCGAGGCGGTGGAGTCCGGGCCGGTGTCGCCGCCGCCGCACGTGGAGAGCGCGGCGGACCTGCTCGTCGCGGACGTGACGGACGACGAGGGCCACGTGGTCGACGCCCCCGTGCACCCCGCGTCGTGCCCGCTGCCCATCTCGCCCGCGACCGGCGGCGCGGGGCAGCGCACGACGCTCGCGGCGCACGCGGGCCGCTCGAACGGGTCCGACCAGATCCTCCCCGTCGTCCCGGAGTCGTTCCGCCAGTCGGGCGCGGCCGGCACGACCCCCCCCCTCGACACCACCCTCCACCCGCTCAACCGCGCGTGGCGCGAGGCGCAGATGGGCCTCGACTCCGGCTGGCGCCCCGAGCTCACGCCCGCGGGCACGGGCGGGACGTACTTCCTCTCGAACGCGTCGGGGCAGCGCGTGGCGGTGTTCAAGCCCATGGACGAGGAGCCCAACGCGGAGGCCAACCCCAAGGGCTGGTCGATGGTGCCGGCGGGCGAGGGCGGCTCCGGGAGCCCGACGCAGGCGCTCCGGCTGGGCCTGGAGGTCGGGCAGGGGGCGCTGCGCGAGGTGGCCGCCTACCTGCTGGACCACAACACGTTCAGCGACGTCCCGGCGACGCACATGGTGGAGTACGTGAGCCGCGCGAACGGCGGCGGCGGCGGCGGCGCGCTGGTGCGGAAGGTCGGGTCGCTGCAGGAGTACGCGGAGCACGACGGGGACTGCGAGGAGTGGGGCAGCGGCGCGGTGTCGACCGCCGAGGTGCACAAGATCGCGGTGCTGGACATGCGCCTCGCGAACACGGACCGCAACGCCAGCAACGTCCTCATCCGCCGCCTCCCCTCGGGGCAGCAGGAGCTCATCCCGATCGACCACGGGTACTGCCTCCCCGCGTGCTTCCAGGACATCAACTTCGAGTGGGTGTGGTGGCCGCAGGCCGAGCAGCCGTTCGACGACGTGACGCGCGCGTTCGTGGCGACGCTCGACGCGGAGAAGGACCTCCAGCTGCTCAAGGAGGCGCTCGACTGGGACGTCGCCAAGACGCGCCCCGGCGTGGCGCGCGTGATGCGCGTGTGCACGCACGCGCTGCGCGCCGGCGCCGCCGCGGGGCTCCCGCCCGCCACGATCGGCGGGTTCATGTGCCGCGGGTACGCGCGGTCGTCGGAGCTCCCGTCCGACCTGGAGACGCTCCACGTCCAGGCCCTCGAGGCGTGCGGGTTCCGCGCCCCGCCGGCGAAGGGCGACGAGGCCTGCGACATGGGCCTCGTGGTGCCGGAGCCGGAGTACCTCGCGGCGATGCTCCCGCTGGTGGACCGGTGGATGCAGGAGTGCGCGGACGCCTCGATGAGCACCTCGACCGAGTCGTCGCCCAGCGACCCCAGCCGCACGTGCGTGTTCGGCCCCGAGTGACAGCGACGGGACGGGACGAAGCCCCTGCATGTTGCACGGAGACCAGGGGGCGCGCTGCGGCGTCCGCGCCGCCCGCGCGCCCCGTCTGACTCCCCATGTTTATACCGCCACGATGCCAGCAACACCGTAGAACACCAACAACACTGCCTCGCAACAGAGGGCGCGCTACACGCGCCGTGCTCGCACGGACGCGGACGCCCAGCGAAACAAGGCAGCTCGAACAAGACGCGCGCCGCACTGAGCTGCCGCCGCAACAACGCTGCTGCGCAAGCAGCGCCCCTGTGATCCACCCGAACCAACGGCGACGCCGCCTCACCCGTGCCTGCCGTACTATTTCGGTCGCTCAAGCGTCCTCGCGGCGAGGGTGCTTGTAGGTCAGCGAAGAACTACTGTCCCGCAGTCGCGCTGCCCCACCCCACCGCGACGCCTCTCTGTTGCGAGGCGGCAGCCGGGCCTGATGGACTGCCAGGCGAGGTGCCAATAGGTCAGCCAACCAAGGCACGCCTGTCGCGACACAAGTGCCGCGGTTGCAACGCGCTGGGCGCCGTGCGATCAGGGAAACCATAGTTGCGCGGGATATTCATCGAGCAGCCTGCTGCGCTGCGCGGGGCATCCCCGGCAGCATGTCACGCCGCAGGGCAGGCGTGGGGCACGGCATCGCCGCCCGCCCACGTCCTCCACCCCTCCGCTGTGCGGTTCTCATGCAAATACCTCGCGGTGTGCGAGCTCGCGTCGTGCGCGCGTCACAACGCCCCGCTGCCGCACCTCTCTGCTACTGTGTGCCACGTGCGTCCACCACCCTGTCTCGCCACGCGCTCGATCCGACCGCCAGCCCCAACAGGCCGCCAGGATGCCCGCCGACACCGCGGTGCATGTGCCACCTCAACCGCCGCCGCACACCGCCGCGAGTCGGGCCGCGCGCCCCACGACAGACCCCCGGTCCGGCCGCGAGCCCCCCCTCACTCGATGTTCCACTTGATGCTGCGCTTCGCCGCGCCCTGCGCGAGGTCCGAGTCCCCGTTCACCTGGTACGCCACCGCGACCTCCATCAGGCGCTGGTTGTCCTTCCGGCGCACCACCTCGATGTCGCAGTCGATGCGGTCCCCCATCATCGCCTTGATCGGCGGGTGGCACAGGAACACCTGCTGCCCCCAGTGCGTCGCGCCCGTCGCGTCCGGCGCCGTGGTGAGCTCCACCGTCTGGTACGCCGGCCGCTGCGCGCTCCCGGCGAACTTGCAGTCGAAGTACCCGCACAGCGCCTCCACGGGGCCGTCGCAGTCGAGCGGCATCGAGAACTGCGCCTTGAGCGGCGCCTTGAGCTCCTCGATCGTCACCTCCTTCAAGTCGTACTCCTTGACCACCACGGGCGGGCCCATCATGCTCTGCGGGTGCACGTCCTGCCAGAGGCTGGTCCGCAGGAAGTACTGCCGCTGCTCCTCCTCGTACGGCGTGTCCATCACGCCCAGGTCCACGCCGTACGTCTGCCGCATGTCCGACGCGAAGTCGTCCCACCCGCGGATGCTGTCGTGGTACTCGTTGAGGCGCTTGTGGTTGGCCGACGACCGGATCGGGCACATGAGGATGCGCGCGTGCGACGGGTACATCGCGCCCTCGGGCTTCAGGAAGCGGTCGCGCGCGCACAGGACCGAGTCCAGCATCGACTCGCGCAGCAAAAAGTAGCCCATCCACTCCGAAATGATGATGTCCACCTTGTCCGGGATCTCCACCGTCTCGATCGTGCCCTGGATGACCTCGATCGTCGCGCTGTACCCGTTGTGCTCGATGATCTCGCGGGCCTTGCGCGCCATGTCCGTCGCCTCCACCGCGTACACCTTGGCCGCGCCCGCCATCGCTGCAACGCACGACCAGGGGGCGCGCGCGTCGGACACAGAGCGGCGCAGGGGGCGGGGCCGCGCACATTGCGTGCGTGCGTGCGTGCCCGCATGCGTGTCTCGAGTGTGGCAACGTGTGCACGAGCGAGCGAGCGAGCGAGCGAGCGCCTCGGGTCTCAAAGAACGTCGTCCTAGGCCGGGGCGGGCCGCGACCCGCCCCTACAAGCCTGCGTTGGTTGATCCTGATGAGACTGATGTTTCGTCATCGGCGCCCCCCGCAACACCACACAGGCTGGGAGGCGGGCCAGCACGGCGCCCGCCTCGCGCGGCCGGCCGCGCAGGCGCCGCACCTGCGAAGAGCGCGAGGATGCCGGAGCCCGTCCCCACGTCGAGCACGACCTTCCCCTCGAAGCACTTTTTGTTGTTCATCACCGCGCGGTAGTACGCGCCCGTCCGCTTGTGGTCCTCGAGCATGTCCTTCTGGTGGTACAGGTACCCGTACGTGCAGAAGTAGTTCGCGAAGTCCGTCGACTCGGGCGCCTGCCCGTCCAGGTGCGACAGCTTGCCATTCTTGTCCACCCCGTTGGCCGCCATGGTGCTGCCCGGGTCTGCCTGCGGCTGTGCGCGGTCTGCGGCCGCCTGGAACGCGGCGCGGGCCCGCGGCGCAACTGGACGCGCGAAGACTGGCCGCGGGAGCGCTGCGCGAACGAGTATCTTGTCCCGCTGCGCCGGCCGCTGCCGGTGGCTGCTCGCGGCAGGAGGGGGGCCGGAGACAGAGAGCCTGCGCGCGCGGACGGGGGCAGGTGCCGATCGTCTCGAGGTCCTGATGCGCGTACCTCGCGGGTGGCGCGCGGGAGATTCCGCGCAGACGCGGCCACGCGCGGCCGCGCGGCTGTGCACTGGGCGCGCGGCAACTGGGCGTTGCTGGGAATCACCGCCGACCGGGGCGTCGAGCGGGGGCGCCGCGGGGCAGGGGGCATCTGTGGCGCAGTCCCCGCAGTTCCGCGTGGCGGAACGGGCCGCCCACGGGCGTCCCGGGAGGCGGGAGGAGGCAGGCGGCCCAGGCATCGCAGGGGTTTCGCTCGGTGCGCGGCGGGAGCGCGAGCGCGGAAGCGAGCGGGCGGCCCCCGCGCCTCGCATGACGAAAACATCGGCGCCGCGGCACAAGGGAGGGTCGGCGTCCCCGCGACGCCCGGCGCGACGAGCACCTCGCCGAGCAGGGAACTGCGACTCGTGGGGCGCGCACCTGGCAGAGGGGCGCGAACGGAACGACCTGGCCGGATGTCCACGATGTGAGGGCGCTCCACCAGGCACCGCACCCATGTCACCCGCACGCAGCGAGCGCGCAAGCCAGTCAGACCACCAGGCTCCCCCAACCCCCCCGCAGCCCCAGCCCGACCTTCGTGGGGCCGTCCGCGCAGCCGAACGCGCGCAGGATGCACTCCTTAGCGCGAGCGCATCCGTCCGGACCGCCCACGATGGTCCACGCGGGCGCGGCCACCATGCCTGCACCGCCACGCGCGGCGCTGAGAGCCGGGGGCGATTCTTACGCGGCACGTCCCCGCGCGACGCATTCCGTGCCGCGGCAGGACGTCCGCGCTGCTAGGCCCGCGTCCTGCGGCGCGCCGAGTCGCGGGCGCGCGGTCGTGGCTGCGGCCCAGGCGACGGGCGCCACTACCCAGCGGACCAAGACCGAGGAGATGTTCGAGCGGATGGGGGCGTCCGACAAGCAAGTCGGTGCGTCGATGACCGAGCGCCGAGCTTCTGTCTTGTCTGGCGGCCAATAGGCGGCAGCGACGCCGCTGCCGCGGCAGGGCTGCCTCGTGCTCTGGTGCTAGGCATCGCGGCCAGCCCGCGCGCCTGCTGATTCCAGCCGGCTTTCATTGCGCCCTCTACGTCGCCACATTCCAGCACGTTCGATTCGACGCACAGCGCGCTCTGTATCTGCCGGCGTGGACGAGAATTCCGCCGTCATGCTCTACCACGCTCCGCTCGCCTGCCCCGCACCGTCAGGCGCCCGCGGGACACATCCGCTCCCCCACATGAAATCTCACCACACGAAGTGCGCGCGGGACCGGAGTTGGACGTTCGTCGCGCGGTCCAGCGGCCGCGACACGGGTGAGTGAACCTCCACCCACGGATCCCTCATCGCGCGCGCAGGGGGCGCTGGCGGCACGACCACCTTCAAGGGCCTCCTCGCCGCCGATCAGGTCTGGGAGAAGGTCCGCAACGGACCGTACGGCGCCGCAGCGGGCCCTGCCCCGAGGTTCGTCCAGGACCGCCCTGCGCACGCAGCGCTGCAGGTGCGGCCCCGGCGCACGATGTCACCTCGACGCAGGGGCCCGTTGGACCCCCGCCGCGCGTTCACGGGGCCACCCCGTGCCGCCCGCTCGCAGGGCGCGCGCACGGACTACGACGTGGTGGTGTGCGGGGGCACGCTGGGCATCTTCATTGCGTGCGCGCTGCAGCTGCGGGGGCTGCGCGTGGCGGTGCTGGAGCGCGGGCAGCTCGCGGGGCGCGCGCAGGAGTGGAACATCAGCCGGTCGGAGCTGGCCGAGCTCGTCGAGCAGGGCGTCCTGACGCAGGACGAGGTAGAAGAAGCCATCAGGATCGAATTCAACCCCAACCGCTGCGCCTTCCACGGAGACAGGGTGCGCGCCCGCGCCGCTGCAGCCGCAGGAGTATGCCGCGGCCCGCGCGACCTCGTCCGGCCCCCGCCAGGCGCTCATGCGCGTTCCTTGCATTGAGTTTGGGTTGGTGTGTCGTGGCCGCTGCAGGGCGCGGAGCTGTTCACGGAGGGTATTTTGAACCTCGGCGTGTCGCCCGCGATGCTCGTGGCGGCGGCGCGCGCGCGCTTCGAGGCCGCGGGGGGCGTCACGATGGAGAAGACCGCGCTGGAGGGCGTGACGGTGCACAGCGACTGCGCGCTGCTGTCCGTGCCGGACGCGGACGCCGTGGAGGGCGGGCGCATCGCCGCGGGGCTCGTGCTCGACTGCATGGGCCACGCGAGCCCGATCGTGCGGCAGGACCGCTGGGGCCAGCGCCCGGACGGCATCTGCCTGGTGGTGGGCACGGTGGCGAGCGGCTTCCCGGAGGTGAGCGCCTTCCCACCTCCTCACCGGGCCCGACGCGCTCGCTCAGCCGCACGACGCCCACGAACCCGCGCTCGCCCGCGAGACGCAGGAGCGCAACAAGACCAGCGACGTGATCGCGACGGTCTCGGACATCCAGGGCGCGAGTCCCGCGACGCGCGGGTCCCGGGTGACGGACGCGCAGTACTTCTGGGAGGCCTTTCCGGCGGGGTCGGGCCCCACGGACCGCACGACCTACATGTTTGCGTACCTGGACGCGGACCCGGGGCGCCCGCGGCTGCTCGACATGTTCGAGGACTACTGGGAGCTGATGCCGGCGTACCAGGGCGTGGACCTGGACGCGCTGGCGGTGCAGCGGGCGCTGTTCGGCTTCTTCCCGACGTACCGGGACTCCCCCCTGACTCCGGGCCACGACAGGATCCTGCAGGTCGGCGACGCCAGCGGCATCCAGTCGCCGCTGTCGTTCGGCGGCTTCGGCGCCCTCACGCGGCACCTCCCGCGCATCACCAACGCCATCGTGGTACGCACCGCCCGCGCTGTTGCTACACCCGTGGCCCTCGCCGCGACACCGCCGCCGTTCGCTCGACGGTCCGACGCCGCTGGTGCCCGCAGGAGGCGCACGAGGCCGGCGCGCTGGACAAGGAGTCCCTCGCGCGCATCAACGCGTACAACCCGGGCCTGTCGGCGGCATGGCTGTTCCAGCGCGCAATGTCGGTCCGCGTCGGGCAGCGCGTGGACCCGGAGTTCGTCAACCGCCTCATGGGCGGCAGCTTCCAGGTCCTGCGGGAGCTGGGCGACCCCGCGACGAAGCCCTTCCTCCAGGACGTACTACAGATGGAGGGCCTGCTCAAGATGCTGGCGGGGCAGATGGCCAAGGACCCGGCGGGCATTCCCGGGATCATGGCGCACCTCGGGCCGGCGCCGCTGGCCGACTGGCTGGGCCACATGGGCGCGCTGGGCGCGTACACGGCGCTGCACAAGTCGCTGGGGGGGCCGCTGAGGGACTATGCCGTCGGGCTGCCGCCGAAGCAGCGGTTCGAGCTGAGGCGCATGCTGGACGCGTGGGAGTACGGCAGCGGACTGGACTACCGCGGGTGAGGCGCTCCGGACCGCCCGCGAGGCCGGCGCCGTATATGTGACATAGTAGTGCGGCCGGGGGCGTCGCGGAGCGTTCGTTCGGGCGATGTGTGCGCCGGCGGATCGGGCTGGTCGTCGGGGAAGCGTCGGCGTGGTTTGCGTCGAGTGCGCAGCGGCGCGGCGAAACACGTGGTCGGTCGGGGGCCTGAGCTCTCCGTCGCCCGGACGGGCCCGTGCGCGGATCGTTGCCCGCGGCGGGCGGCGCCGGCGGCTACTTGATTGGAATCGCGCCGGTTTCCCCCGTCGAACTGCGTCCGGGTCCCTCATCGAGCCGCGCGGCGGGTGGGGTGCCCTCGAGACACGCACAGCCGCAACGGGCGCGCCCCAGGGCGCTGCGAGCCGGCTGGCGGCGGCCACTAGCAGGCCAAGATGGCGGAGGACGAGCTGACGGGCGGCCCCGACGGTGCCGTGGAGGAGCCTGCGCAGGAGCTGGAGGCCACTGAGGCGCCTGCTGCTCCGGCCGAGGCTGCCGAGGCCAGCGACGCGGACCCGCCGCCGGCGGAGGATCAGGTGCGCGGAGGCACTAGACACGGCACGCTGCGTTGCGTGCAGGCCGTCACCGCGCGGCTGCGTGCGCTCGGACGCCCCGTAGGCCTGCCCCATGCACCAGACAGGGGGAAAACACGCACGTTTCGTCTCTCTGGGGCGAGACTGCGCACCTCCAGCGGCAGCGACGTCCGCAGTGCGTCGCTTGTACCGGTCGCATCGCGTCGATAGTCCTTGGCCCGCTATTTTCGCCTCTGTGGCGCCCGACATGCTGCCCACGCGAGCACCACCACGGCCACACGGGCCGGCACGTCCACGGCCCTGTCGTGAGCGGTCGCCCGGGGTTCCGCACGAGTCTCCGTAGCAGCGCGCCGGGCCGAGCGGCGTGCGGTCCCGTCGCCTGCGCGACCGGGCGAGGCTTGCAGGCCAACCACCCCCGGCGCAGCTAGCGCGTCTGTGTTGGCGGGGGCGATCTTCCGATGATCATGCTGGCTTAAGGAGGGTCGTTTCATCACGGCGCGCGGCGCGTCTGACCGTATGCGGCGACAGCGGCGCTGTTGGTGGCGCCTCTCATGCATGGCTCCTGGCACGGCTGGATCGTGCCGGGGGAAGGCGTGCGTGAGCCCTCCTGCGTTCCCGCCCGCTCTGTCGCCTGGTCTGATCCGTTTGGGCGGCTTTCGTGCCGCTGTGTCGCGCGCAGGGAGCCGCTCCAGGTGAGCCGGGTGATGGGGAGGCTGTCCCGCCGGAAGGCGAGGCTCAGAACGGCGAGGCGTTCGCGTACGACGACCCTGAGAAGGTAGAGAGTGCGGTGGTGCGCATCCAGAGCCAGTTCCGCGGCAACAAGGCGCGCGAGCAGGTCGCTGCCATGAAGGCAGCCCCTGCACAGGACGACACCGCGGGGGCCGCGGACGGGCCCGCCGAGCCGCAAGAGGGCGACGCTGCACCGGCTGCGAGCGCGGCCGAGCAGCCGGAGGAGAACTTCGAGTACGACGACCCCGCCCAGGTGGAGAGTGCCGTCGTGCGCATCCAGAGCCAGTTCCGCGGCAACAAGGCGCGCGAGCAGGTCGCTGCGCTCAAGGCGGCGAAGGACACCGGCGACGCCGAGGCAGCCCCGGCGGAGGAGGAGAACTTCGAGTACGACGACCCCGCCCAGGTGGAGAGTGCCGTCGTGCGCATCCAGAGCCAGTTCCGCGGCAACAAGGCGCGCGAGCAGGTCGCGAAGATGCGCGCCGGTGGGGACGCGACGGAGGCGGCTCCGGCGGAGGAGGAGAACTTCGAGTACGACGACCCTGCCCAGGTGGAGAGCGCTGTTGTGCGCATCCAGAGCCAGTTCCGCGGTAACAAGGCGCGCGAGCAGGTCGCGAAGATGCGCGCCGGTGCGGATGCGACGGAGGCGGCTCCGGCGGAGGAGGAGGACGACGAGGATGGCGAGGGCGGGCTGCTCCCCGCGGAGGAGGGGATGGTGTTGGTGCGGGACAACGACACGGGCAAGGTGCAGCTGGTGCACGGGGTGTCGCGGCGCGGGCTGCTCATCGCGGACGACGTCGATGTCCCGCAGCAGTCGCCGGGGATGCCCGCGGTGCCGGAGGAGGGCCGCGAGCTCGCGCACGTGGCCACGTCGATCGTAGTGAACGAGGAGGGGGGGGTGTCTCTGAGCATCGCTCCGGCGCCGGCGGCCGCGCCGCCCGCGCAGGAGGAGGAGGAGGAGGAGGACGACGACGACGGCCCGCCGCTCGTGAGCGCGGACGACGGCGTGGCGATCTACCGCGACGGCGAGAACGTGAGCATCGTGCAGGGCGTGACCAAGGGCGGCAAGGTCATCTCGAAGCCGTTCGATAGCAAGAGCCTCAGGCAGCGCGCGGAGTCCGAGATGTCCGGCGCGGCGGCGGCGCCGAGCGCCCCCGGCGAGCCGGAGCCCGCGGCGGACGCGCAGGCGGCGGCCGAGGAGCTGCTGGCGCTCGTGCGCGGCGAGGGGCCGTCCTCCGGCGCGGAGGTCGCGGCGGAGACGTCTGCGCCCGCGGCGGAGGAGGACGCGGCGGCCCCCGCGGACAGCCCGGCGGCGGGCGGCGAGGCCCCGGAGGCGGTGTCGGAGGAGCGGCAGGCTGCGGTGGAGAAGCGGCTGGCGTCGCTGGTGCTGTCGCTGGAGGTGGGGAAGATCGGGGAGGCGCTGCACACGGCGGCGCGCGCGGGGCTGCCGGCGGACAACCCGTTCGTGGCTGCGGCGCGCGGCGTGATGCACGTCAACAAGCTGTCGCACGAGGCCTCCGCGGCGTGCCAGATCCGCTCGCTGGACGCCGTGGAGGGCATACTGGAGCAGATCGCCGCGGCGGTGCCCCTGGGGGGGGAGTCGCAGGAGGCGTTCGCGGCGCGCCCGGAGTTTGAGCGGGCGCGGCGGCAGTGCGGGCTGATCGCGCTGGACCAGCGGGCGCTCGCGGCGGTGGAGCTGGGCGACGAGGCCGAGATGGAGCGCGTGGGCGAGGAGGCCGCGGAGCTCGGCGCGACGAACGTGTCGCGGCGGCTGCAGCTCGCGCAGCAGCTGGAGACGACGCGCGTGTCGGTGGAGGACTGGATGCGCAGCAAGGAGCGCACGGCGCGGCGGGAGCGCGCGGCGGCGAAGCGCTCGAAGCGCGCGACGCAGCGGCGGGAGCGCAAGGCCAGGGAGGCCAAGCAGCAGGCGGCGCAGGACGTGTACCAGGGCTGGCTGGCGTCGAAGAAGGACGAGGAGCGCGGGCGGAAGGCGGAGAGCGAGGAGCTCCAGGCGTTCGTGCAGGCGGAGCGGGAGGCGCGGGAGAAGAACGAGGCCGCGTTCCGGGAGTGGCAGCGCCGCAAGGCGCAGCAGCAGGCGCGCGAGGACGCGCAGGAGCGCAAGCGGCGCTCGCGCGTGGGGCGGCTGCGCGCGGCCGTGAACGCGAGCCGGCAGCTCGAGCAGCGCGCGCTGCGCGTCATGGAGCGCACGTGGGACAAGAGCTTCCACGTGGCCACTGTGTGGTCGCCGCCGGACAAGCGCGGGGAGCTCTCCGAGGCGGAGGCGCGGGCGGCGCGCGTGACGGCGCTGAGCTGATCGAGCGGCGACGACGTGTGACGCGCGCGGCGAGCGGGACGGTGCGGGCGGTCTTACAAGTCTCTCACGGGCGATGTGCCTGTGATGGGTCTCAGGGAGCAATGTAGGGGGGGTCGCTGCGGCAGGGGAAATAGAGTCAGAGCGCCGGCTGGGGGGGGGCGGCGGGGCCCGCCGCGCGCCGGTCGCTGGGCGGCGCGGTTTGTGGGGAGTCGCGGCCACACATGGCGCGTGAATTGGTGGCGGTGCCGCGGTGGGGGCACCCGGGCGTATGTGGAGCCGGGGACAGGACGGTGGCGGGCGTCGAGGGGGCGGAGGACGGCGCGGGGAAAACGTGGCGGGCGGCGCGAGTGGGGGATGAGGTGGCAGTTGGCAGGGCAGCTGCGCCGCGCGGTGCGGGCGCCGTCCTCACGCGTCGCCCGTCTGCACGAGGAACGACGTCTGTTCGCACTGTCGCAGCGTGTCGTACGCCGTGATCCGCACCGCGTGCCCCGGGAAGCTCCGCGCGCACGTTTGGGCCTCGGCCATGAGCGACGCTGCACTCGAGGCGGCCGGGAGCTGCCAGAGGGACCACGCCGCGCCCTTGTGCTCCTTCCGCTGCGAGATGTGCTCGACCACGAAGACGGAGCCCTCCTCGAGCATCCGCTCGGCCACCTGGACGACCTGCGCGCCGAGGCGGGGTCAGAGCCGGCTCCATTGGGCAGGTGGCTTGGGGGGCGCGGGGGCGCGCGCGTGGGCCGCGCGGGCGCAATGCGCGCGCCGCGTTCCGGCGTCGTGCTCCAGGGGGTCGGGGAAATCCACCTGCTGGGCGTCGGCGACCTCGAGGTGCGCGTCCGCCGCCCTGCTGCGGGCGCGGGCCAGGCGCACGGCCGCGCGCGCGGCGCTCTTGCGCATCGACTTGGCCTCGCCCGGCCGCCCGCGGCGCAGGCCGAGCTCGTTGACCTGCACGTTCGCCGCGTGCTTCATCTTGCGCAGCCCCGGGCACGTCCGCCACCGGTTGGGCTGCCAGTCCAGATCCAAAAGCTGGCCCACCGCCGCGGGGCCGCCGAGGAGCTTGATGGCCTGGCACAGGTCCGCGCGGCCGTTGCCGCGCAGGAACTCCCGCGTCGGGACGCGCCCGTTGAGCTCGTGCTCGTGCCGCTGGACGAAGGCCTGGAGCTCCGCCACGGCGGCGTCGCGGTCGAGGCGCCGCGGCTGCCGGGGCGAGCTGGCGGTCGTGCTGCGCTCCGCGACCTGCCGGGAGGGGTGCTGGTGCAGGCGGTGCCGCGCGGGCACCGTGGAGCCCACCTCGCGCGGGAAGGACCACGTTGGGTCGGCGGGCGCGTCGCTCCACTGCAGGTGGCCCACCCACGCCGCGCTCCCGGAGTGGTGCGCCGCGGAGGCGTGGCGGTAGGGCATCGCGAGGGGCGCCGCCTGGGCGCGCCGGACGTGCGCGCGGGGGCCGGCCAGGGCGGCTGGCGCGCTCGCCCGCGCCTGCCCTGTGAGCGCGGCCTGGGGGTTCATGATGCGCGTCGCTCCTGCGCTCGCGACACCCGCACGGGCTGCACACTAATTGATGCGCCCGGTTCCGCGCGATCAGTCCGCAGCTCGCCTGCGCGGGGGCGCGGAGACGAACAAGTCCTGCCGATGTTGCTCAGGCACGCCGTGCCGCGTTGGGACCGCTGTGTCTGGGACGTGAGGGGCGCCGATGGGGATCTATGAACTGGTCGCGCGTCTGCCCGGTGCGCGATCCATCGCGCGGCCACGTAGCGCGCCGGACCACCCTGCCTGGACTGATTCCCCCGGTCAGTCCCGGGGGGCGCTCCGGCTGCGCGGCCTAGACGGGGCACGGGCGGCGAGGCCGAACGAGTACTTCGCGGTCTGCTGGCCCGGCTACGAATCCGGATCCGTCGCCGCCGCATTTGACAGCGAGGCGGCCGTTGTGTCCGAACGGAAGACCCGGGGCTGCGCGCTGCCTGGCTCGCGCCGAGTAGGAACGCGCGTCGCGAGGGGCCAGTTCGCCGCCTCCCTCGCTCCCCGTGCCCGAATTTCGAAGCCTAGCCAGCGGTGAGCGCTGCGCGGGGGTCACATCGCCTCAACCGTGATCGGTCCGCCGCGCCTCTCGGTGGCGGCGCAGCTCCGAGTTCGCGGCGTATATTCCGAGGCTGACTTTTTGAGACCGGATTCCGGGCCGTGGCCTCCTCGAGCGGCGCCATGAGCCCCCCGAGGGGCGGTGCTAGGACGCAGGCGGGGGAATCTGCCGGCGGTCGCCCGGCAGACATGGCCGCGGAGGCGCCCAGGCAGCACCACGCGGGCGAGGTGCGAGCGCGCGGGCGACTGTCGCGTCCGGTCCGCTCGCTGTGCCCGTCCCCTGCATCTCGCCGCCATTGCCGGCGCCCTCACTGCAGCGGCCATGCCACCGGCCGGCACGTGCAGGTGGAGCCCGAGGCTGGCGGGGCCGGCGGGACGCTGCCGAAGCGCAGGCGGATCGGTGCGCGCCCGAACCCTGCCAGCCTGCCTTGCATGCGCGCGGGAGGCGCCGGTGCGGGGCGATGCGGAGCCAACGCCGCGGCACCCGCGCCCGACGCTCTCGCAGGAACGCGCAAGGCCACGGCCGACGCCCAGAACGACGCGTTCGAGGGCGGCGCAGCGCCAGCACGACGGGTGAGCCCGGGCGACGATCGCCCCGCCTCTGCGCGGCCCCCCCCGCCGCTGAGACCGCCGTCCGCCCGCCCTGCCTCCTGCGACTCCGAGCCGTCGCGTCCACGCCGGTTTCCGCCCCGCTGCCGCGCAGGAGCCGGAGAACGAGGCCGTGGCCGCTCTGTACGATCTGGCGCAGATCGCTGCGTCCGGCGCCGCGATCAACACCCCCGTCAAGGTGCGCGGAGCGCCCCGTGCGGCGGCCGAGCGTGCAGACATGCTCCGCGGCGCACCGGCGCGCCGCGCGGCCGCCCCAGAGGCCCGCTCGCGCGCAGGTCTGCGGCGGCGAGGTGCTCCGTGGGGGCGCCGCGCGCCGTCCGCCGCTCCACAGCCATCGCGACCCGCATACCCTGGCGTGCAGGAGCCCAAGGGACGGCGCGGGCGCGGAACCAAGGCCACCGCGGGCGCGTCTGCGTCGCAGCGCGCGGGGGCTTCCGTCCCCGTCAGCGCCATCGGGCACCCCGTCGGCGTCCCGGCGTTGCCGGGCGCCGGCGTCCCTCCAGGGCCGCTGACCTACCTCGCCGCGCCAGGGAACGTCGTGCTCGCCCCAATGGCCCTCCTGCCGGCCCCGCCCGCGACGGAGAACTCCGCGGCCAAGCGCCACGTCTACATCGCCAAGTTCATCGCGAGCCGGTCCCACAGCGGGCCCGGGGCCGCGCACATGGCGTCCGTGCTCGGCGGCGGCGCCGGGAGCGTGCCGCCGGCGCCCCTGCTGCTCCCCGCCAATGCTCCGGGGGCGCCGGCGACCGCGGCCGCGCTGGATGCGAAGTCCGCGAGCCTGCCCGCGCCGAGCATAGCGGTGCCTGCGAGGGCCGGCGGCGCGGCTCCGGCGCCGAGCGTCGGGGCGGCGGCGACCGCGCCGGTCGGCGCAGTGGACGCGCCCGTTGCGGGCGACACGCCCACGGCCGCGGTGGGCGCTGGCGGTGGGAAGGGCGGCGGGGGAGGGAAGGCGGGAGGGGCCGGGGGCGCCGAGCGCGCAGGGGGCGGCGGGGTGCGCGGCACGCGAGTGAGCGCCCGAAAAGCGGGGCAGGCGAAAGCAGGGACCGGCGTCGCGACAAAGGGGCAGCACGCCAGCGTTGTCGCGACATGAAACGCGCAGCCGCGCCCAGCGACCCCGCCGCTCGCGGAGGCGTGGCCGCGTGGCGCGCTGACCAACCAGCAGCTGTTGTTGTTGCATGATGATGATGCGTGCACGGCCGGGGCGCGGGCCAACGCACCCCACGGCCGCGCAGAAAGGAGCCTGTCTGTCACGCCCAGCTAAGATTGCACGCCGGCGCGCGCACCGCCCTTGTACCCGGCCCCAGGGCGTGCCGCAACGACCACCAAGGATTTTGGACGGCAGGATCCGTCGGTCCCCAGTGTGACAGGCTCGCGTCGTACAGAGCGCTGAGGTGTCGCGCCGACAGCCGCGGACTCAGGACGCGCCCACCGCACCCTGACGTCAGCCCGCACTTGCCTGACCGCGTCAGAGACCCAGTCCCCCCGAATGGGCGATGCGCTCCGCTGGGCGTCGCCGCGGCCGCCGCGCAGCAGTCTATGCCTCTCTGACGGCCGCGCGCGTTTGGCTCGCAGCGTCCCCCCTTTGGCTCGCGCTGGCCCTGTGCGACTGCGGTGTGTTGTAGCAGGAGACTCTGCCGCTCCCTGGTCGCTCGGAGGTCCCAGCGAGCGCGCACGTCCGAGGCAGAGCGACATGTCCTCTCTGCGCACGTTCGGGCGGGGCCTCGCTCCGCTGGAGCAGCTCGCCGGAGCCGCGCGCCAGGCGGGTGTGGTAGGCCAGCGTCTCTTTGCCTCCCAGCCAGCCCCGGACGCGGCCAGCAGCGCCAACAACGGCGCCGACGCGCGTCCCCCTCCGCCCGGTACGTCGACCTCGATCACCGCGCGCGAACCTACGGGCACCACCGCCCGTGGCAGCCAGCACGCGCCAGCTGCGTGCACCTCCACCCAGGCCCCGTCCTCGCCCCGCCCGCGCGCTGGGGCCGCCCGACACGGCCGCCCCGACCGTCTCGATGCGCGAGCTCCGCGTCCGGGCGCCGCCGCGACGCAGCCTGCGCTCCGCGCCCTCCCACGCGGCATACCCTCGGCTGCGCACCAGCCCCTCTCAGCCACGCAGCGGACCCGCGCCCGCGCGCCCCCGCACGGCCATCCAGCGCGCTCCCCCGGTTGTTCATCGCCGAAACGACCCCTGTCGACCGGACGCGCGCCCTCCCCCGCGCGCAGGCTCCCTGGCGGGCCCGGATGCCCTCAGCAGGCTGCGCGCCCAGCTCGAGGGCGGCCCGGACCTGGCGGACTTCATCCGCGGGACGCCCGTGGGCACGGCGGGCGCGTACAGCACGGAGGCGCCCGGCTGGAAGGACCGCCGCCGGAAGCCCGACTGGCTGAAGCGCGAGATCATGCCGGGCGGCGACAACTACACGCGGATCAAGGCGAAGCTGCGGTCGCTGAAGCTCTCCACGGTGTGCGAGGAGGCGCGCTGCCCGAACATCGGGGAGTGCTGGGGCGGCGCGGAGGGCACGGCGACGGCGACGATCATGCTGATGGGCGACACGTGCACGCGCGGGTGCCGGTTCTGCGCGGTGAAGACGTCGCGCGCGCCGCCGCCGCTGGACGAGAACGAGCCCGAGAGCGTCTCCGAGGCCGTCGCGGAGTGGGGGCTCGGGTACGTGGTGCTCACGTCGGTGGACCGCGACGACCTCCCCGACGGGGGCTCGCGGCACATCGCGCGCACGATCTCGCTGCTCAAGTCGAAGACGGACGACAAGCTGCTCGTCGAGGCGCTCGTGCCGGACTTCTCCGGCAGCGCGGAGGACGTCGAGCGCGTCGCGCGGTCGGGCCTGGACGTGTTTGCGCACAACGTGGAGACGGTCCCGCGGCTGCAGGGCGCGGTGCGGGACCGCCGCGCGAACTGGGAGCAGTCCGTGCGCGTGCTGCGGATGGCGAAGGAGTTCGGCGCGCCGCTCACCAAGACGTCCATCATGCTGGGCTGCGGGGAGTCCCCCGGGGAGGTCCTCGACGCGATGCGGCTGCTGCGCGACGCCGGCGTCGACGTCGTGACGCTCGGGCAGTACATGCGCCCCACGAAGCGCCACATGGAGGTGGCGGAGTACGTGTCGCCCGAGGCCTTCAAGGGGTACGAGGACGCCGCCATGGAGATGGGCTTCGTGTACGCCGCCGCGGGGCCGATGGTGCGGTCGAGCTACAAGGCGGGCGAGCTCTACCTCGAGGAGTACCTCAAGAAGCAGCGCGGCGAGGCCGCGACCGCGTGAGGCCGCGCGGGGGCGCTGTGTGACGCTGATCGCCGCCGTGCGTCGCTTCGGAGGTGTGGCGTGCGGCCGACGGCGGGCGGTGCCGGCGGGCGGAGCTGGGGCGGTGTTGCGGGGGTCGATTCTCCGGCGCGGGGCGGGGGGCGGTGTTTGTGTGGGGGTGTGAAAACTGTTACGTCGTGCGGGGGCGGGAAGACGTGCGGTGGGTGTGGTGCGCGGAGCGGGCTCGGGCGGGCCGGCGCTGGCACGGGTGCGCGTGGGCGGGGTGCCGGGGTCGATTGGGGGCGCGAGCGGCGGGGGTGTGGGACCTGAGGGGGCCCGCTGCCGGACGCGGGCGCTCACGGGGACGGCTGCCCCCGCACGCCGCCGCATTCCGCTAATCCGTCAAGTATACTGCCAGTCAGGCAGCCGAAGCGGGCGAGCGTGTCCCGTCGACTGCCGTTTCCCGGCAGGGAGCAGCGAGGCCGCTTGCGCGCAGCCCTGGAGGCGCACGCGCGGCCATGCAGACGCTAGGGGGGTCGTGCCATGACCTCATGGTTCTGGCGAGCGGGCAGGGCCCACAGGCGGGGAGTTCGATGCCGGCTGGGAAGACCTTCGGCCTACGCCGGACCAAGCATGAGAGAACCCGGCTCTCCGGCGCCACGCCGCCGCAGGGACCGGGCGCGCCGCGGGCCCGCGCGGACCCGGGCAAAATGATCTTCGTCAGCAACCAGCTCCCGATCCGCATGCGGCAAGCCGGTGAGCCGACTCCTGGACCAACTGCAACGTGCCGCGGGGCCAACAGCGGGCGCCGGGGCGGGCGGGGGCGCGCCCACACAGCGCCCCGAGGCCCACCCCACCCTCTGCGACGAGTTGCTCACGCCGCGCCCGCCCTGCGATGATGCCACGCGCCAGGCCCGCGCCCGTCGCCGGAGCTGCAAGCGCCGCCCCCCCTGCGCCCAACCGGCGCCGCAGCCGGCGCTACAGGCCCCAGCTGGGCGCGCTTTCCTGCCGTCTATGCATCGCGGCGTGCGTTTCCGGCTTCGAGGGCGCGGGGCGCGGCCGGTGACGGGCGGTTCCGGCCCCTGTGGTGCAGGCGAGGAGGAGAGCGGGGCGGTGTGCGGGTGGGTGTTCGAGTGGGACGAGGACGCCGTGCTCGCCCAGGCGAAGACCGCGCTCGACGACGAGAACCTGCAGGACCTCGAGCCCGTCTACGTCGGCGCGCTCGCTGTGGAGCTGGATATCGAGTGCCAGGTGAGCCCAGCCACGACCGGCCGCGCACCGCCGACGCCGGCGCCGATCGGCGCGCCGTGCGGCCGGCGGGGCGCGGGAGCTCGACTGACCCGCTCCCTGGCGCGCCTCCGTCCCGGTTCCGGCCCGCGTCGAGCGGGAATTCCGCAGCCGCTGCGCGGTGTGCGCACGGTGTTTTCCGCACCGGCCCCCGCCCGACGGGGGCGCCGCGTCCGAGTCTGCGCGCAGGAGGCGGTGTCGCGGCACCTGTACGACCGGTATCGGTGTCTGGCGGTGTTCATCGGCGACGAGCTCCGGCACCGGCACTACAACCAGCTGTGCAAGCTCCAGCTGTGGCCGATGCTGCACTACGTCCTCCCCATGAACCCCCACGGCGCAGGCCGCTTCGACGCCTCCCTCTGGCAGGTGCGCGGCCGGCCCAGCAACACCCCACCTGCCCCCCCCGCGCGCGAACGACACAGCGGTGTCGCGGGCGCCGCGTCACGCTCGCCACCGCGCCCCGCGTCGCAGGCCTGCATCAAGGCGAACAAGATGTACGGCGACCGGCTGATGGAGGTGCTGAACGTCGAGACGGACTTCGTGTGGATCCACGACTACCACCTGATGGTGCTGCCCGCGCTCCTGCGCAAGCGCTTCCACCGCGTCAAGTGCGGGTTCTTCCTCCACTCCCCCTTCCCCTCGAGCGAGATCTTCCGCGTCTTCCCGCGCCGCGACGACCTCCTCCGGTGCCTCCTCTCCGCGGACGTCGTCGGGTTCCACACGTTTGACTACGCGCGCCACTTCCTGTCGTGCTGCTCGCGCCTCCTCGGGCTCGAGCACCGCGCGCACCGCGGGTCCATCATCGTCGAGTACTACGGCCGCTCCGTCTCCGTCAAGATCCTGCCCATCGGCATCCAGCCCGCGCGGCTGCTGGCCGCCATGCGCACCGAGGGGTGCCGCGCGCGCGCCGAGACGCTGCGGCGCAGCTTCGGCGACGAGGTCAAGGTCATGCTCGGCGTCGACGACACGGACGTGTTCAAGGGCATCGAGCTCAAGCTGCAGGCCTTTGAGTGCCTCCTGCAAGCACACAGCGAGTGGATCGGCCGCGTGACGCTGCTCCAGGTGACCGCCCGACGAGCCCGCGCGCGCGCGCCCCGCCTGCTCTGCGCCGCCCTGCAGCGCCGCGCGCAGCGACAGGAGGGCGACGGCAGGCCGTGGGCTGCCCGTCAGGGCACTGACCGCGTCCGTTGGTTCGTCCGCCCACGCTGTGCCGCGGGTTCGGTGCGTCGCAGGTGCTGTACCCGGCGCGGTCGGCGAGCAAGGACGTGGACGACGTGGCGCAGCTGGTGGACGACATCGCGGCGCGCATCAACGACAAGCACGGGTCGGAGTCGTACACGCCCGTGGTGCTCCTGAAGCGCAAGCTGCCGCTGGAGGAGAAGCTCGCGATGTACAGCATCGCGGACGTGGCCGTCGTGACCGCCACGCGCGACGGCATGAACCTGCTGCCCTACGAGTACCTCACGGCGCGGGAGGGCATGGGGCGCGCGCTCGCGGAGGAGAACCGCGGCGCGGAGGGCGAGGGCCCGACGCGGAACCCGGACGACTCGCACGCGGAGGGCCACTCGCAGGCGGAGCAGAACCTGCCGCCGATCGAGTCGACGCTGGTGGTGTCGGAGTTCGTGGGGTGCTCGCCGAGCCTGTCCGGGGCGATCCGCGTGAACCCGTGGTCCGTGGAGGCGGTGGCGGAGGGCATGTTCAACGCGCTGAAGCTCCCCGAGCGCGAGCGGCGGCTGCGGCACGCCAAGCACTGGAAGTACGTCAGCAACCACACGGTGACGTTCTGGGCGCGGAACTACATCGACGAGCTGCGGCGGTTCACCGCGGGGCACGGCACGATGCGCTGCTACGGCCTCGGGCTCGGCCTCGACACCTTCCGCATGATCGCGCTGTCGGACAAGTTCCAGCGCCTCGACACGCAGATGGTGTACAACAGCTACCACCAGGCGGCGAAGCGGCTCATCCTGCTCGACTACGACGGCACGCTCGTCTCGCACAACGCCATCAACCCCGCGCCGAACGACGAGCTGCTGCACGTGCTGCGCGAGCTCTGCCAGGACGAGCGCAACAGCATCTACATCGTGTCCGGGCGGCGCCGCGCGCACCTCGCGGCGTGGTTCCAGAAGGTCCCGCGGCTCGGGATCGCGGCGGAGCACGGCTACTGGCTGCGCGTCGCGGGGCAGCCGGAGTTCGAGTGCCGCGCGCCCGACCTGGACCTGACGTGGCAGGAGGCGGTCGGGCCGATCATCCGGTCGTACACCGAGTCCACGGACGGGTCGCACATGGAGCGCAAGGAGAGCGCGATCGTGTGGAACTACCGCAACGCGGACCCCGACTTTGGGTCGTGGCAGGCCAAGGAGCTGACCGACCACCTGGAGAGCGTGCTGTCGAACCAGGCGGTGCAGGTCGTGAGCGGGAGCTGCATCGTCGAGGTGAAGCCCGTGGGGATGAGCAAGGGGCAGGTCGCGGAGCTGCTGCTCGGCGCCGGGAAGGGCGCGGACTTCGTCATGTGCTGCGGGGACGACCGGAGCGACGAGGAGATGTTCTCCGCCATGGAGCACGTGAGGACCCCGCCCGCGACGCGCCACCGCGCGGACGCGTGCTGCGTGCGCTCCGGGAGCGTTCGATGTGCTGCGTGTGTGTTTGTGCATGGAGGGTTGACTGGCGGGTGGTTTGTGTTCGTTGGATGCAGATACCGGGCCTGGACGCGGAGATCATTGCATGCACGGTGGGGCAGAAGCCGTCGAAGGCGCCGTACTACGTCGAGGACCCCGCGGAGGTGGTGGACGTGCTGCGCCGCTGCCTGGAGGCGCCGGGGGCGGACGTGCACTGACGCCCGCCGAGCAGCGGCGCGGACGACGTGTGAGGCACTCGGGCGCGCGGTCGCGCGGACGGGCGCGCGAGTCTGTCACTCTCTACCCCTGTGTCCCGCCCCAGGCTGACGGGGCAGTCGGGGGCCTCACAGGGACGTCCCGGGTCGGAGTCCGCGGCTGCGCGCGGGGCCAGGGCCAGGGGGTGATGCGAGCAGGTGTGCGGGGTCAGTGTGCGTGTTTCGAGGTCGTTGGTCGCCCGTGCGCCGCGTTCGAGCGAGAGGTTCATCCGAGCAAGCAAGAGAGGAGAAATGCAGGCCACCGCGCACCCCCTGTGCGGCGCGCGCTGCCAGCTCCGGGCGCGTGCGGCGGGCAGCACTGCCCCGGCCGCTCTGCGCGTCGGAGACGCACGGGTAAGCGAGCTCCCGGGCTCCCTGCGACCGACGTGGGACGGCTCCTTCAGTGGCCCTGACGCCCCGAGCCGTCTGTCGTCCCTTGCGCGATCGTTGTAGGCGAGATTCGCGCATCACTGGAGTGTTCCCCACTGTATGCGCACGGTGGGATGCGAAACGGTTACACGACACCCCCCAGTGTCCACCACTCCGGCCTCACACACCCAAGAAGCACGCCCGCTTCCGTTCCCGTCGCGATTCCGCGTGACGTCCCAGCGCCCACGTGCCCGCGGACCGACCATCGATCAGACACGTCGGCGCGGTGCCCCGCTGCTCCGCAGGTCACCGCGCGCGGACGTCCGGCGCGCCTCCCGCTCCCTTTGGCGCCGTTCTCGCCCGCGCAGGTGCGCCCCTCGCGCCGCCCGCGTCCGCTCGCGCACCCCCGCACGCACACCACACGGGGGCTCCAACACCGACGCTGCACCTTGCTCGCTCCGCAGCTCCCCACCGCCGCGCCCACGGTGCGTCGCGCGCCGCTGTGCCGGGCGGCCAACGGCGACGCGGGCCCGAACGACACGGGCCTGCTCGCGACGGTCGGCGTGCTCGCCATGTGGGGCGTCCTGGGCTGGTACGTGTTCAACGTCGCGCCGAACCTGACCCCCCTGCGCGACAGCTACTTCATCGAGAAGCTCGTCGGGATCGCGGGGGACGACGGCGTGACGCTGTGCCCCGTGTACACCGGCATCTTCAACATCATGGGCATCTGGCCGGCCATCTACGCCAGCCTCCTCGTGCCGTCGGGTCGCTCCTCGAACAACGTGCCCGCGTGGCCCTTCATCACCCTCTCGTTCGGCCTCGGTGCGCGGCCCCCGCACGACCCCGCTCGCGGCGCCGAACAGCGTGCTCCGCGGCTGCGCGCATTCGTGCGGTTCGTTTTGGTTCGGCGAGCTGCGATCGAAACAAACCACAAGTTGGTGTTTGTGTGTTGCCGCGCAGGGATGTTTGCGCTGATGCCGTACTTCGCGTTCTGGCGGCCACAGCCGCCGGGGGCGCAGGAGCTCGGCCCGCCGTCGAAGGAGAGCCTGACGCTGGGCCAGAAGGCCCTCGAGTCCCCCATCACGCCCTGGGTGCTGACCGCGGGCGCCGTGGCGTGCTGCGGCATCATCGCGTCGTCGACGGGGAAGCAGTGGATCGAGTTCAGCCACCTGATCGACGAGAGCCGCCTCGTGCACGTCACCACGCTCGACTTCTGCCTGTGCACGCTGCTGGCCCCCTACTGGATGGGCATCGACGCCGACGCGCGGCAGTGGGACAAGCGGGACTCCCTGCTCCCCGTCCTGACCTTCATCCCGCTCTTCGGGCCCCTCGCGTACCTCATCATGAGGCCCAAGGCCGGCGACGCCACGGAGGCGTAGGCCTGCCACCACGCGCTGTAAAAAACACGCGCACCCTCGCTCGAAAGGCACCGCCGCGCTACCCCGAGACGCTTCTCCGCCCTCCCCGGGGACCGAGCCGTGCAGCTGCGTGCGTTGCGCACCGCGGCGCTCGACTCGACGAACCGCTTCGCCCTCTGTATCATAATTTTCTGTCAACCGGCTCAAAACCGGCTGGACCTGATCCGGGGCATCCGTGCTGTCGAGCTGTCATCCGTCGCCGTGGATCGTGCGCTGCACTGAGATCTGGTCCGGAAGGGCGGAACCTGCCGCGGAGCCCCGGAACCCGCAGTGTTGTTGCATGTACTCAATGGGGCGACGGTTGGCGGCGCGACGGTTCGGAGTTGTGGACCGTTTGCGGCCCGGGTCGAGGCCTCGCCACGACATTCCGAGCAGGCGGGCGCGCTGCTAGGGGCCAGCAGCGACGCGCGGGCCCCGTGGTCGCGCCACACTGGGACTACATCAAAAACGCTCTTACACCGGCACCCCGAGGCTCTGGGGCGCAGCGACGGCCTGTCTTATGTACACGGGGCTTTGTGCGCCCAGGGCGACGCGGCGGCTGGTAGGGGATCCGCGCAGCGTGCCACCGGGGTCGTCGTATACATCGAAACCCCCTCCTTGCATGACCCGCGCCCAGAACCCGCGAACGCTGCTGCGAACTCGCCCGCTGTTGCCGTTGCTGAGCTCCTCTGCGATCGGCGCGAACACCGTCGCAGGCGTCCGCGCTGGTCTTAGGCCTGTTCTGTCCAGCGAGGGACGCGGGCGCACCGCCGCGCGGGAGCGCACTGCTCGAGCGGTCGCGTCCGCGAGATCGCACGGCGCGTGCAGGGGCTGGCGCCCGCAACGGCGGGGTCCGCCGCGGCGCAGCCAGGACCGCTCTCAGGCGCGCAGTCGCAATGTACGACCGACAGGAAGCCGCCCGAGGCAGACTGCGCCGGCTCAGTCGCTTGCGTAGATCCGCGCCCGCTTCGTGCAGCCCGCGCCCGCGTAGATTCGTCGCGCGCAGCTCCCGTCGCTGTTCTGTGCTGCATGCATCACACCCCCTCACCCCATGGCCGACTTGAACAGGCTCTCCCCCAGCGCCGCGTACTCGTCCTGGTCGCTGTCCACATCGGCCGCCCTGCTCGGGCCCACATCTGGCGGCGCAACGCCGCCCTGCGAGCAACACACCCCCAAACGGTTTGGTTGGTTGACTCACGGTCGCGGTCGTGGCAGCGCGCGCCCGCACCCGCACCGGGCGCGTCGACGCCCGCGAGCAATCGCGCTCTCTGTTCCGGCACACGCGGCGTGCGGCAGGGCGCGCACCCCCCCGAGCGCGGGCGCCTCGTTCTGGACCTTCTTCTTGGCGACGGCCGGGACGTAGCGGCCGAGGCCGTCGTCCCACTCCTCCTCTACGTCCACGATCGTGCACCCCACGGGCGCGCCCCCGTCGATCAGGCGCACCAGGTCGTTCTCGACGCTCTTGACCACGCTCCTGCGCGCGGGGGGGGGTGGGGGCGCGGTCGCGGTCGCGCGGGGCGGGCGCGGGGGCGGGGCGAGGTCGCGGCGCATCGGGCGGGCGGCGCACGGGTCGGCCTTGGGGTCCGGGCGGAAGCGGTTGGCGGCGGCGCTGCGCATGGCGGGGGTGAGGCCGTCGGCGAGCTCGCCCTTGGGCGGGTGCGGGAAGGGGTCGTCGGGGTCCTGCACGACGAGGATGTCGCCGATCTCGCCGATCTTGACCAGGTCGATGTCGTTGCGCGTCTTGTAGGACTCCACGACGGTGGGGAGCTTGCGCGCGAAGACGACGCGCTGCTCCGAGTTGAACGACAGCTTGCCCGAGCTGGGGTCGCCCGTGCCCGTGAAGAACGACGCCGCCTCGTCGAACTGTAGCCGCACCTCCGGGGTCGACCTCTGGGAGGGCACGGGGCGCAGTGTTTGTTGGTGCGGTGCCGGCGCGCGTGGGGGCGCTGCGCCGCGGGAACGGGACCGCGGATACACGGGAGATCTACGTGTGGGGCGCGGGCGCTCTCGGAAGGGCCTCGCGCGGCACGGAGCGGGTGCGGGAGGCCCGCGCAGGCAGTGCGGTGCCCCGTGGAGGGCGCCTCACCTGGTCGTCATCCCGCAGGGACTTCCTGAGCCGCTCCGCGAGCGCTACGTCGTAGCATCGCAGAATGTACTGCTGGTAGTCGTCCTTGCGCAGCTTGCTGGAGCCCGTGCCCGGTCCCATGGTGCTTCCGACGCGCTCCCTCCCAGCACGCGCGCAGCCCGCCGTAGCTCGGGCCGCGACCGATCGGAGGCCGGACCGAGCGGGGCGTCACACGCGGCCAAGCACTCCGCCAGCCCGGTCGTGCGCGGGGGCTGGCGCCTCTGCCCGGCAGGCTGCACCGTGGGCACCTCTCGCGGCTCGGTTTCGGGCCGTGACCGATCGGGACGGGCCTCCGAGGTGTCCTCGATCGCTCCACGCGGTTCCGGCGCTCCACGCCGCTCCGAGACCGAGCCCGGCGCCGCGGAGGCGAGACGGGCGGCGCCGCGGGCTGTTGACGTTCGGTCCCGCGGGGGCTCCTCGACACGCCTTCCAGACAGACGGCAGCGCGCGGACCGCGTCGGTGTGCGCGCCCGCCCCAGCCCGCTGCCCCCCAACTAGGCCGAGCCGTCGCGTATCTGACGGTCAGAGCGCGAGGGGGGGTCAGCTTGCGCGGCGCGTGGCCGCGCGCGTGCGCGGCGCGAAGGGACGGCGCCCGCGCCGGCGGCGTCGCAAATCCGTTTACCCTCCGCCAGGCTCGTTGCATTCGGGGCGACCGCCTGCGCACTCCTTCCCGGCACTCGAAGCAGAGACTCTCCGACATGCTTGGTTCGCTCAACGTGGTCGCGGGGTCGGCGGTCCGCCCCACGCGGAGCACGGCCCCGCGTCGCGCCCGCGGCGTCGCCGTCCGCGCCGGCAAGGTGCGTGCCGCACCGGCGCCGGGGGTCGCCACTATCCCTAGCCCGGCATCGCCCCCGCGCCGCGTCCCAAAGCGGCCTGCTTTGCATTCTCGCGCACGATACGCGCCAGTCATTCCGGCTCTCGGCATCCGTGCGGCCTCGCGGGCCCTCCGGCCACGATCGACGGCCAATTCCGCGGGCGCCGTGGACCGGCTGCCCCGCGAGGGCGCGAACGCCCATGTGGCGCCCTGACTCTCCGCTCAAGCCCCCATAATTTATCGTCGCGTCGTCGAGCGACGTCCGCGCGCCCCCAGCGGCGCCCAGGGCCATGTCCCCGCGACGATTGCACCCACTGTGTACCTGGTGACGGACGCGCCGCAGGAGGAGGAAATCTACATCGGCAAGGGCAAGAAGATCACCGACGACCCTTCCAAGTACCCCGAGAAGAACGAGTTCGTCGGCGGCTGGGCTGGCGGCGAGGTGCGCGATGTTGTGCGCGACGCCGGGACCCCCCGCCTCGCGGGGCCCCGCCGCGGCCCCGCGGCGCCCGCCCGCCGCGCCTGCGTCTCCCTCGCTGCCGTCGGAGCGCCGACGCCGCACGACCGCCCCGGAGCGCGCGCAGGTGGGCCTGTGGTCGTTCCGCGATGAGGCCAAGGCAGGGGCGACGGCCGCGCCGGCCGAGGAGGAGCCGGCCGAGCCCGCCGAGCCCTCGGAGGGCGTGGCGGAGGCCAAGTGGGTCGACGGGCGCTCCGTGAAGGTGGTTCCCCGCGCGCGCCAGCGCCTCGATCGCCTGCCCGCGGCGACCCTCATCCGCGCCCCTGCGCGCCCCCGCGACCCCCGTCCGCCGCGCCTGGTCCCCGGCCGCAGGCGAGGGTGGTCAAGCAGGGCGGCGACACGCTGTACATCGGCAACGGGCGCTTCATCACGGACGCGAGCTACAAGTACGGCGGCAAGGAGGACGTGGGCGCCTTCCCGGGCGCGACGGGCGGGTTCGCGGGCGGCGAGCGGGGCCTGCAGCAGTTCCTGGAGACGGGCGACATCGAGTTCACCGACGGGCGGCCCACGCAGGGGCAGTCGCCGCTCGCGGGCGGGTTTTTGATCGCAGGCATGGGCGCGGGGCTGTACGCGCTGTCCGACTCGGTGGACGTCGTGGGCAAGGAGGCCACGGGCGCGACGGCGCAGATCCCGGGCGTCGAGATCGGCATCGCGGTCTTCGGCGTGGGCTTCCTCGTCGTGCTGGTCAGCGTGCTGGCCAAGCGGGCCGCGTCGGCGGCGGCCGAGGGCATCGAGAAGGGCGTCAAGGTCGCGGCGCTGATCACCACCGTCGCGATCGTCGCCAAGTACATCATCGACAACTAAGCCGCCGGACGCGGACGCTTGGCCGGCGCGCCGGCCCCCGCAAGCACGCACGTTGTCACAGATCGCGCCGGGGCGATGCGGGTGCCCCGCTGTCGCCAGGCGCTCGCGGAGCTACCATGGGAAATAATGTACTCGGTGTGTAACTGCTCCTCGCAAGACCCCCCCCCCTCCCGACACCCGCCCTCCGCCCTTCCTACATCATCAGCTGGACCACGCCGTTCGCCTCCGCCGCGATCCCGCGGTCCACCAGCCCCTGCAGCGCGTACTCGAACCTCTCCGCGCCGTGCTCCGCGCCCAGGCCCGCCTCCAGCTCCCGCCGCGCCACCCCGCGCTCCCCCGCCCCCTCGAGCGTGGTCATCAGCAGCGCCTCCACCTCCGCGGGGGCGCCGTCGCCCGCGAGCTGCGCCGCCGCGCCCGTCTCCGCGGCCGAGGACCCCCGCCACACCCCCTCGTGGTACTGCGCGGGGGAGTTTTCCCCGATCGGGTGCAGAGGCTCCCCGGGTATGAGCAGGGAGCCCAGGATGTCGGGCTGCGGCGGGCGGGGCCGGCTGCTCGCAAACCAGCTCGTGGCGACCATGAACAGGCTGACGATCGCCAGGCTGATGACCACGACGACCACCATGAAGGCCAGCGCCGACGCAAGGCCATAGAACGCGTCCTCCCCTGCACGCCAGCGCGGCAACGCGCAACGCTTCCCTTCGCACGAACGAGAGAGAACGCGGATGGCGGAGAGCGGGGACGTGCTGTGCAGCAGGGGCCGCGGGGGAGCTCTGAACAGCAAGGCAGCATCAAGCCGCACACATGCGTTGATGTGGCGGATGGAAACGTGGTTTTTGGGGGTAGTGGGGGGTATGGATGGTCTGTCTCACCGGCGTGGTGGTGTCGTCGTCGGTCCTCGTCGGGGTCCCCGAGCCAGAGCGTGCACTCGTCCTCCCCGCGCGAGGGGTCGCAGTCCATGCACCGCGCGAGGCTGATGTCGTCGACGAACCCCCCGGACGCCAGCGCGTTCTCGTAGCAGAAGTCCGGCGCGCTCCGCACGAACGCCTTCTCGAGGGAGCAGAACTTGCGCCACGTGTCGCCGTCGTCCGGGTACTGGCCGGCCTCGGGCTCCCAGGTGTACCGGTGCGCCGACACGTCCCGCGCGTCGTACGCCGCGTTCTGCAGCTTGACCTTGACGCCCGAGTGCTCCCCGAAGATGTCCGTGTCCTGGTCGCCGACGCTCATCACGAACCGCACGTTCCGGTGCTCCTCCAGCCAGGCGCGCGCCAGGTCCTTGATCGCGGTGTGCTCCCACGAGTGGCACCCCATGAGCGACCCGACGAACAGGAGGCGCTCCTTGAGCCACTCCTGCGTCATGCCGTCGCCGACGGCGTCCTGGAGGTTCTTCGCGAGCGCGCGCCCCACGCCCTCGCCGCACGTGCGCGCCGTGACCAGGTAGCACTCGTACTGCGCGGGGTCGCCGCCCTCGTCGGGGAGGCACCGCCGCACCAGGAAGTCGATCGTCGCCTGGATGGGCTGCGCGTCGCCGTACGGGTCCTCGGCCGCGTCGTGCCGGATCCAGAAGACCAGCGTGTTGTCCACGTCCAGCATGATGGCGGGCCGGCGGCCCTCGGTGGCCACGCCGGCCAGGATCCCGCTGCGGTCGATCGTGTCGAGCACGCGGTCCATGTCGGCCACGTCGTCGCGGACGCTGCGGTAGAAGTCCGAGCTCCGCGCGAACGTGTCGTAGCACTGGTGCCCCGCGTCGCCGCTCGTGCAGTACGCGTCGCGCTTCAGCCCGTAGTACGCGGACACATCTGCGCGGCATCACGGAACAGACGGACAGGACGGTCAGATGATCAGCGGTCGCGCGCGGGCGCGCGTGTGAGCTGCGGCACGCGACAGACTGCGTTGGCGTCGCGAGCGGGCGCGCCTGACTTCTCCGCGATCGCGTCGCGGCACTGCTGCACGTTCAGCGCCATGATGTGCGACCGCCCGATGTGCGGCTCCAGCACGTAGCGCGTGTGCGAGACCAGCGCCCAATACAGGTCCAGCGCCGCCCTGCCATCCCCGACCACACGCGCCCCGACGTCCTCCGCCCGCGCAGCCGCGCCGCGCGACCGCCGCGACGAGCGTCCGCCGCGCCCCGCCAGCGCCGATATGTCCAGCTTGCAGCCCCCGCGGCCCCACGGCAGCTCCTCTGGCTCCTCACACTGCAAGCAACACGCGCCGCCCATGTCAGACACCTGGCGCCGCGGGGTTCGAACAGCGCGGGGCAGTGCGCGGCGGGCGTACCTCGCTGCAGTGCGCGAGCCGCGCGGCCTCGAACACGTCGTCGCTGGCCAGCGCGGCATCGTAGCAGGCGTCGTCGGCGATGCGCGGCGCCGCGATGTGCGGGTCGCACTTCTCGCCCCAGTCGCGGCGCCGGTACTGCTGCTTCCACGGGAGGTCGGACGAGGGCCACTCGGGCACCTTGTTCGTGGCGGCGAAGCTGTTGACCAGGTGGACCTTCATGCCGGAGTGCGCGCCGTAGAAGTCGCTCTGGGAGTCCCCCACGGACATGACGAAGCGCACGCCGCGGTTGTCCTCGAGCCACGCGCGCAGCACGTCCTTGTACGCCGTCGACCAACTCCCGCACCCCGTCAGGCCGCCCGACAGCAGCACGTGGCCGTCGATCCAGTCGTCCGAGGCGTACGGGAAGGCCGCGCGCACGAACCTGCGCGTGGCGAACGCCTTGCTCTTCGAGCACCCGCGCGCCGTGATGAAGTAGCACGTGAACTGGCCCGCGTGCGGCCCGTACCCCGACGGACCCAGGCCGGCGCAGTTGCGCTGCGCGAAGGCCGCCGTCTCCCTGCACGCATGGCACGCGCGCATGCACGGTGACGGTCGCGGCCGACGGCGCCGGCACGGGGTCCGCGTCGCACACACACGCAAGGAGAGTGGGGGCGCACCGGATGGCGGGCGCCAGGCCGAACCAGTCCGTGTCGTTCTGCGCGGTGAACTGCAGCGTGTTGTCGATGTCGAACATGATCGCCGGCGCCAGGCCGTCGTCGTCCAGCGCCTGCAGCGCCCCGGACGTGAGCAGCAGCGACAACGCCAACTCCATGCCGTTCACCTGCGGGGGGCAGGGGGTGCTGGGCACGGGCGTGTCGTGCGCGAGCGGGCAGTGCGGGGCGACGCGGGCGTGCGCGGTGGCGTGCCCCGCGGCGTGCGCGGGTGCGTCCGGGGCGCTGCGTGCCTGTGCGCGGAGGGTTTCGCCGTAGGTGGAGCCCTCGGTGTAGTCGTAGTAGCACACGGTCAGCGGCTCCTCCTCGCTCCCGGGCAGCGTGTCCGTGTGGCAGAAGGTCTTCCGCGCGTCCAGGCCGTAGAAGGCCGCCACATCCGATTGCGCAGCTACTGCATCCGCACACGCCTGCGACGGACGCGCGGGGGCTCGGGGTCGCACGGACGTGACGGTCGCACAGGTGACGTGATGCTGTGCGCCGGAGAAGCGCGTTCGGGGTCCACGGGCGCCCGGTGGGGCCGGGCGCGTGCAGGCAGTTGACAGAGGGGCCCCCTGGAGTGCAGCGCGTTGCGGCGAGGGGCCGGACCTGGACGTTGCGCTGCATGAAGTACGTCCGGCCGATATGTGGGTTGATGGCGAACCGCAGCTGCGACGTGAGTCTCACGAAGAGGTCGAGCGGGCGCGTGCCCGAGTGCCTCTGTTCCCGGCGGGCCAACGCGTCCGGCGCGGCCGCGCACATCGATATCAGCGCCAACGTGGCCATAAAGAGTGTCAGAAGAAGCCCGGGACGACATCTTCTGTCCGTCATCGTCCCCCTGCGCGCCGCGGCGCAGCAGCACTGGGCCAGCATGAAGCGCGGCAGCGGGCGCCGCACGGGTCACGACCGCCGCGCGTGCATCACTCGATCGAGGTCAGAATGGCAGCACTCTCGTGGGGGCGCGAAATCGATCGAGTATGATCCGTCGACTCGCACGAAAACCCCGATCGCAATCCGCACTGCACGCGGCGCTGGTCCCACCCGCTACGTCTCGGCTGGCTGCCTGCGCGCGACGTTCGCACTCCCGCCACAACTGCCCTTGGCCCCGCCCGGCACACGCACCAGGCGCCCGGTCACGCGGCCCCCACGTCCACGTCGGACACACCCCGGGGGTGTCTCAATGGGCCCCCCGGTTGCGGACCAGCCGTGCCGACACGCGCGGCCGGCCTACAAGCGCGCACGCGACGGCGGGGCGCGCCGCTTGTCGCGGTCCGAGCGTCGTCGTGCTCGCAGGTGTCGGTGCAGGGTTCCTGACGCGCGCGGAGGTCACCAGGCGTCGTCTCGCGAGGGGCTTGGCGGCGACACACCCCGAGTGTGTCGCCACGATGGAGCGCACGATGATGGCGTCGCCGTCGCGGGTGGGGGCCAGGGGGGACGTGCGTCGCGGTCGTGGCGTCGCGCCGGGCCCGGGGGGGCGCGCACCTGCGCACAGGGCGCCCCGGTTGTCGCGGCATGGGGCGGACCGGGGGTGCAGGCACCGGGCTCGGTCGGTGCTGACGGAGCGGATGATGGAGCTGACGAAGGACGCCGGCGTGCGGTACCCCACGCCGGCAGAGGTCGTGCGATCGCGGTCTCAGGTCAATCTCGTGGCAGTGATCGAGGGCGGGGCGCGCAGCCCGTACGGCCCGGACTGGAAGGACGTCCTCGGCCACGTCGCCATGAACGTCGGCTTCCTCGACGACAAAATCAAGCTCGACATCGTCGAGGGTACGTCAACGGCCGGGCAAACCCAGCAGGCGTCTCCTGCCCGCGCGCGGTCGCGCTCCGCCTCGTGACGCGCTGAATGTACCGCTGCCACGCAACCACGATGACAAATAAGGTCTAAGGCGTGCGAGACATGCATATAAGCGTCGGAACGGGAAGAAACCGGCCCTCGCCCCTTGCCCGCCCCGGGAGCTCCGCGCGCCGCGAATCCGCGTCACCTCACGCTCCGCGCCGCGCGTGACCGCCCGCAGTGAACGATCTGGTGAATCCGGACCGGAAGGGGGCGGCGAGCGAGGCCATCCGGTCCGCGGACGCCGTCGTGGCGGTAGCGCTGCAGGGCCCCTCCCCCGCGCACGCCAAGCTCCTGGAAATCGCGCAGGGCGTCACGGAGCGCATCGCCGTCGACTGCAGCAGCGACCTCGAGCGCAAGCTCACCAGCGTCGGCGGCTTCCAGCCCACCTTCGAAGGTCCGCACACCGCCACAGCAACATCAACTGCACACGAGCTGCCACCGCGCGTGCGGGCACCATCCGCCCCCTGCCCCGCCTCAGGCCGCCACGGTGCCCGCCTGCGCCGGTCCCCCGAACAGCAGGGCGGGGCGCACCCGCCTGTTGTCGCCCCGCGCGCTCCAACACACCACCGCCACGCGCACCGCCGACCGCCCCCGCAGGCCCCGCGCACCACATCTACGACGCGCCGCTGCGGCAGTCCGTCCTGAGCCGCGTCCCCGTCGTGGGCCGCACGACGGCGCGTCGGCTGCAGGGCGCGAAGGTGTTCGAGACCATGCAGGAGCTGTGGTCGCGGCGCAACTCGGACGACATGGTCTTCGCGATGCTCCTGCTCACGGACGAGCTGATCCGCCCCGTGGACGTCCTCCCGCGGCAGGACCCCGGCCTGATGGGCGTGTACAAGATGCTGCGGTGGTGCAGCGGGCCGGTGCTGGCGTGCGTGCGTGACCCCGAGTGCAAGGCCGGGCTCGACGCGCTGACGGCGGTGGGGATCAACGACCAGGTGGCGTCGTACCGCACGATCGTGAGCTACGAGACGAAGGAGTTCGAGGAGTTCTCGCTGTGCGTCCTCCAGAAACACAACTGCCTGGGGAACACCGCGCTGCTGCCGTCGATGCCGGACCCGCCGCCGATGGAGCGGTGGCGCGGGCAGGAGCTCACGTGGGAGCTCGCGGAGCGCATCCTGTTCGGGTGGCTCGTGGCCGACGAGGCCACGGGCGGCGAGAGCGACGACTCGTCGTGGATGGTCGTTGGGGGCAAGAACGCCGCGTACGACCAGTTCCCGTGCCAGGTGCGGACGGACGCGGACCATGCGGCGCGCCTGCCGCGCTCCCGCATCACGACATGATATGACATGCTGATATGAGGCCCTGGCTCTCTTGGTTTCTCGAGTGCAGTTCCAGCTGTTCTACCGCGGCAAGGGCAAGCACGTGTTGTGGTACGACCCGGTCTTCAAGGTCACGAAGCTCGACGGCGAGCAGGTCTGGCGGCGGCGGCACTACCGCGTCAGGCGCGGGAGTACCCCGGGGCGGTTCTTCTTCTCCGTGCTCGACAACGGCGTCACCAGCAACGAGTACTGGCGCATCATCGACGCCGCGGACGACCTCTCCTTCGCCGTCTTCTACTACTCCGGCGCCGCCAGCGCCGCCGGGATCTCGTACCAGGGCTCGGTGGTGGCGACGCGCGACGGCACGTGGCCGGGCAAGGAAGGGCGCGACCGGATCGACGCGGCGCTGCGGGCCGCCGGGATCGAGCCGTGGGAGCTGTCGACCGTCGACAACAGCAGCTGCACCGGGTGCGCGGAGCTCCTGGCGTCGCGCGAGGGTATCTGATCCCGCCCCGTGCGGGCGGGCGCGTTGTGAGGCGAACGCGCAGGCCGCGGGCGCTGCCGGCGCTGCAGTCACACGTGCGGCGGCCGCGAGGGGCCTCGGCGGCGCGGCCCTCGCGTCAGACTCAGACCAACACACCCCCGCCCTTGCCCTCGCCCTCCTTCTGCTGCGGGCCGTCGTCCTGGCCCTTGATGCGGATCTTGTGCTTCGTCTGGAACGCCGCGATCTCCTGCGCAGCACCGCGGCCCGCGCCCGCAGGTCAGCGCGCGCACGGGCCCGCGCGCCACCACCAACTGCGCACACGCGTCGCGGGGCGCGCCGCACCTTCCGCTTGGCGTCGAGCTGCTCCTTGAACTTGGCCACCGCGCCCTGGATCATGTCGTGGTTCTTCTGCACCGCGGGCATCACCTCGCCCACTGTCCGCTCCACCAACACCCCTGCACGCAACAACCCGAAACGCGCGGCCGCCCTCTCGCACCACCTCGACGCCGGCGCGCGCTGCAGCGGGGGACACAGCGCGCCACGCACAGCGTCGGGCGTGCGCGGGGCCGCACCGGACACCAGGCGGCAGCACTTGCGCTCCTTGTCCATCGGTGCGAGCACCTTGAGCACCTGCGGGGACGACGGGGGGCGCCGGGGGCGGCCCGAGTCGGACGACGCCGCGTGCGGGACGCGGGGATCGCGGGCGCCGCGGGAGAGGCGCGGGGGCGCCGGCGGGCGGCACCGCACGCCGCGGTGCAGCTTTCGCGGGCGGTGGTGCGCCGGGTGCGGCGTGGGGGCGCCGGGGACGGCGCGGCACCGCGAGGTGGTGGTGTGTGCTCCACGCAGGGCAATGCGGCGCGCTGTATCGGCGCCCTGTGCGGCAGGCGCGGGGGGGCGCCAACTGGGCCGCTCCACATGCAGCCCGCGGCCCTCGCCCATGGCCGGGTGCCGCGACGGGGCGGCCGGCGGGCGGCGGCCGGGTGCGACGCGGGCAGGCATGCGAGGGGGGCGCGCGTGGTGCGGCGCGGGCGCCCCTGGGGCGCGGGGAGCGGCGGCGCGGGAGGGGCGCGCTCGCGGCGGGTTTTGGAGGGGCGCGCCTGGCCGTGCTCCTGGAGGTCGGCCTCCATCTCGTTGAGCTTCTGCGCTAGCGTCTGGAAGTTCTGGTTCATCTGCTGGAACTGCTGGATGATTTCCTGCGCCTTGTCCGACATCTTGAACGGGGCGCACACAAAGCGCGGGGCGCCGCTCCGGGGGTGCGGGCTTCGCGGGGGCCGAGGGGCGTCCGGGGGCCACGAGGCGCGCCTGAGACCTGCGCCCGCCGCAGTCGCTCGGAATTCCGCCGGGAGACGGAGCACGCGCGGCAGAGAGCTGCGGGAGGGCGGGTCGACGCGGGCGTGCTGCGGTGCGGCTGGGGACGGTCTTCCGATCGCGACGGGTTGCCAGTGGGCGGAGGGCGCGCCGGCGGGGCGCCATACCGGGCCGCGGCGGCGCGGCGGGATCGGGGTGGGACCTCTGCTGGGCGGAGCAGCCCACATCCCCAGGGCGGCCCAACCGACTTGGGCGCGCGCGCTCGCGACGCAAGTTACTTCGCAAGTCGGCTCTCGGATCTCTCCCTCTCCATTTCTCCTCACGCCAACACGATGCAGGCTATCCAGGCTTCTCTGCGCGCCCCTGTGGCTGCCTGCCAGAAGGGTGAGCCCCCGTCCTCGCCCCCGCGGGACGCAACCGCTGCGTTTCTGCGCTCGCATCGCCCCCTGTATCTGAATCTTCCTGCATCCGGGCGCGCACGCGCATGCCGGCCGCGGACGAGCGTGCCCTGGCCCAGGATGGCATCGCCCTTTGCCGAGTGCGCCTCGCGTCGATCCGCCGGCTGCCGCGGCGCCCCGCACCCGGAGCGCCCCCTCTGCGTTTTTGGCTCCGCGATGCGCCGCTGCAAGTGCCGGCCCGCATTCGGTGTACGTCAACTCCCGGACAATCGCGCCTCGCTACTAGCCTCGGTCGCCGGGACCCGTTCCCCGCTGAACCGGCGGCCATTCGCGCCGCTGTGCGATCCACAGTAATCGAGTCCCGCATGGCGGCTCCATATCGGCCGCGCGAGGCGCCCACCCGACAGATTTGCGGGCCTAGAATCACGGCCGATCTCCTGGCTTTCCCGCCTCGTCCCCGCGCGCAGCGCCCCCGGATCCCGCCGGGTCGTCCCCACCGCCCCCGCCTCTATTTCACCGCCCGCCTCACGCCGTTCGTCCCCCTCCCCACCGCGCGCTGCAGCGACCTCGGCCCCCAAGGCCAAGGCTGCCCCCGTGGCGACCTTCCGCAAGCAGTTCCTGGCCGCGGGCGCGTCGGTCGGCGCCATGATCGCGTCGAACCCCGCCATGGCGCTCGTGGACGACCGTCTGGCCGGTGAGGGCACGGGCAAGATCCTGGGCGTGGACTCGTCGGCGGAGGCCTTTGCCGGGCTCACCGTCTTCGGCCTCGTCTACACCGCGTACTACCTCTCGACGCGCGAGCTCGGCGGCGACGAGGGCGACGAGTCCGGCATGTCTCTCTAAGCGCGTTGGACGCGGGGGGAGGGGGGCGCACGCGGTGAGGACGGTGCGCGGGTGGTGTTAGACTCTGTGGGGGCGGTGTGCGGCGGACGGCGGCGCCGCGCGCGCCCCCGCGACTGCGAAGAAGCTAGGCGCGCGTGTCGAGCGGGCCGATATCGCCGGGCGCCCGGACGGGCGGCGGCGACGCCTGTGCTGTGATTTCAGGCACCAACCCTCGCACGGCGCGATCGCACCGCACACGCGCCCGCACGCGACGCCCGCCGCCCGCACGCGACGCCCGCCGTCCGCGGCCAGCCTGGACGGCACTCCGTCGCTCCCCCGCGACTACGAGTCATGCGTGCTCGGCTGTTGTTGCTGCGTGCAGGTGCACCGCTGTCTGTTCAATGCCGTCGTGGCGAGTGCGCCCCGCACCGCGCCTCACCGTGCCCGTGCCGCTCCGGCCGCAACGCCGTCGGCTGGGGCGAGGTTTGGATCGGCTCTAGATACCTCTAGGTGACGTCAGGTCTGACGGCAGTTGCACCTCCGCTGCGAGGGAGTCTCACAGGTCCGCGGCGCGGTTCGGCTGCGGCTGCGGTCGTTCACCTGCACCCGACGTCGATCTTGGCCTCGGCGCTGAGCGTGGGGTTGGTGCAGAGCCGCTTGGCGTCGTTCCCGCTGATCAGGGCATCCTCGAACGAGGCGCCGGTGAGGTCGACCTTGTCGAACGTCGTGCCCGTGATGACGGCGTTCTGGAAGTTGACGTTCTTCATCGACGAGCCCGTGAAGTTCGTGCGGTCGATCACCGCGTTGGTCAGGTTGGCGCCGTCAAAGTTGGCGTCCAGCGCGTAGGCCTTGGTCAGCGTGGCCTCCGTCATGTCCGCGTTCGTAAACTTCGCGTTCGACATGAACGCCGCGGACAGCGTCTTCGACTTGAGGTCCGCGCCCGTGTAGTCGCAGAACCGCAGGTCCAGCGCCGTGTTGCTCAGACCGTTGGCCTGCGCGCGCGCGGGCGGGGCACGCGGTCGGGCGGCGGGCGGGCGGGCAGGCGCGCGTGCGGGGCGCTGCGGGGGCGCGGGGCGCGGCCGGCCGTCCGCGTCGCGGGGCGGTGCCGTGCTGGGGGCGCTGTGAGGGACACGGCGGGGGGCGGGACGCGGCGCACCATGCCGAGGGTGTTGCCGATGTAGCCCTTGGCGCAGCGCTCCGGGTCGTTGGAGATGGGCGGCAGCTTGACGGTGCCGTCCGCGAGCGCGGGCGAGGCGCCCAGCACCGCCAGCGCGGCGAGGCCGCCCGCCACGACGCTCCCGAGGGTCGACGACGGCGGGGCGTCCTGCGGCCGGGCGCGCACTGCACGGGGCGGCGAAGGGGCGCGCAAGAGATGAGGCCCTGGCGGCGGAGCGAGGCGCTCGCGACGGATGCCTGGCGCAACTGTGCAGGGTCGACGGGGGCGCGCGGGGGCGGGCGTGGCGCGCAGGGCCGCTGGGCCGGATGAACGGATGGAGCTGTCGGCGCGCGGGCGTCGCATCGCGACTGCGGAGGCGCGCGGCGCGGGGTCCGGGAGCGCAGGCGGGGCGCCCCGAGGCCTCTGGACAAGGCAATTGCGGGCGGGGCGGGGGGTCGAGCGGCGCGGATGGGGGCGAGGGCGATCCGCACGCGTCGCTCAGTACGGCTGCGAGAGACGGGGCCGCGGGCGGGGGCGTGCGGGGCCCCGGGCCCGCAGCGGGCGGCGGTGGAGGTGCTGGGGCGCCGCGTCAACGCACCAGCGACCGCCCGCGTCTCCCTGCGGCCCGCCTGCGCCTTCAGAGCCACCCGGGACGAGATCATCCTGCCAGTTCCTCGGTGTGGTGGCCGCCGGCGCGGCCCCGGCGCCTCGGGGGCGCGGCGTGGCCGGGGGGGAGGTGGAAGACGGGCGCGGGTGACTCAAGTTCCGCCCGGGGGGCGAACGGGCGCGGGCGCACGCGCCGCGGCGCAGTTTCTGGAGACGCCGGCGAGAGCCCTGCATCGAGAGTCTGCGTTTCGAGAGCCCTGGCACGTCGCGCGGCGCCCGGGGAGCACTCCGCAGGGACATTGGGAGCCCGCGCGGGGCGCGAGCGGCGTTGGCGGGCCGGTTGACGCGGGGAACGAATAGGTTAGGAGAGGGACTCGCGCGCGATGTCGGCAGAGGCCAGCCAGGAGGCCCTGGGGTCGGCCCCGTCGGCGGAGCACCCCAAGGACGAGTTCGTCGAGACGCAGGAGCCCGACCTGGCGCCGCTGCTCGAGCCCGAGAGGAAGCGGGGCGAACGCTACTACACCCCGGAAGAGGTGCGGCCGCCCGCGCCCGACCGAGCGGGCCTCGCGCCGCCGCGCGCCGCTCCCGTGAGGCCCACGCCCGCGCGGGGCATGGCGCTGCCCCGCGCGGCGCCGGACGGGCCGCGGCTGCCGCGAACTCGCCCCCCGGACGACCGTGCGCTCGCGAGGAACGAACGCGTCGCGCCCGCGCGCGCCAGCGTGCCCCCCCCGCGCGCCCCGGGAACGCATCGCCCCGCGGCGCTGCACACGCCCACCTCGCCCCGGCCTGCGGTCCGCACACCCCGCGTGGGGCCCCGCACCGCGCCCTCGCGCCCCGCCGACCCCTCGCCGACGCTCTCCGCGCCGCTCACCCCCCCGCTGCTCACCCTCCCGGTGCTCACCCCCCCCGCAGGTGGCCCGGCACAACCACCCGGACGACTGCTGGGTGTCGATCCGCGGGCGCGTCCTGAACGTCACGCGGCTGGTCCAGCTGCGCGACGGCCCGCTCGCGGAGCCGATCCTGCGCGCGGCCGGCACGGACATTTCGCACTGGTTTGACAAGCGGGGGCGCGTGCGGACGTTCGTGCACCCGGTGTCCAACCTGCGCGTGCCGTACCACCCGCAGGGGCGGTTCCTCGACGTGAACTCGGGGCACTTCCCGCGCACGGACTTCAACTGCGACGCCGCGCAGGACGCGCCGTGGTGGATCGACCCCGAGTGGCACGTGGGCTTCCTCTCGGAGCGCCTCATCCGCGTGCGCCTCAAGAACGTCCTCACGAGCCAGGAGCACGAGATGTTCGTGCCCTGCGAGGAGACCCTCGCGCAGATCCGCGAGCGCTACCTCCCCCGGAACTGGCACGCCGCCTCGTACCAGTGGAAGGCGCTGCTCACCCGCCACGGTGCGCCGCCGACACGCACGCGCGCGCGCCCGGACCCCGCCCGCCCTGTGCCAGGCGCGCCGACCGACCGCGCTGCGTTGCGTGCCTGGGGGTGTGTTGCAGGGCACGTGGACTTCTACCCGGTCGACATGACGCAGACGCTCGAGGAGAACGGGGTGGTGGACGGCGCGCCGGAGTTCGACGCGCTGGACGTCCCGCGCGCCCTGCACTGCCCGGCCATCCACCTGTACTGGGCGGACGACCTCACCGTGGCGTGACCTGCCGCGACGCAAGGTCGCTGTGAGCGCGGGGTCACGACGACGCGCGGGAGGGGGATGCGCGGTGCGGTGGTGGGCTCGCGGGGGCTGTAGGGACGGTGCGCCGCGCGCTCCTGCCCGGCGGCGGTTGTCCTCCGCGCACGGAGCAGTGTTGGAGATGTTTTCTTCCAGCTGTCACCTAGGGGGGCGCGGGGGGCGCTGCATTGCCCCCGGCGAGCGTTGCCGCGCGCTAGTTCGCGCGGAGACATCGTGAAATATCTCGTCCGTACGGTCCAACTGCATCGTGGCAGCCGTCGACGCGCGCACGACCTACCGTGTGGCCCTCGAAGCGTTGTCCTCCGCGTCACGAGCGCCCCGCGCCCCCAGACGCCCAGTCACGCGGGCCCTTCCGTAGAGGCGGCACTCAACCGTAGTTCGGGGACGCAATGAGGCCGGCTCGCACCCTCGCGACGCAGGGCTCCCTCGTCAGGGCCGGCAGTGGAGGAATCAGCTCGCCCAAGACCCGCGGGTCGCAACTGGCGCGATCTGTCGCAGGTGAGGCGCCGCTGCAGCACCCCACGCAGCCATCCCGCGCGCCCGGCGCGCCCACCCTGCGCGGCCGCCCGGCCCAACCCCTGCGAGTGCCGCATGCTGCCACCGGTGTGCGGCACCGGGCCCCCGGGCGCACCAGCGCGCGCCGCTCTGGCCTCGGCGGGCGCATGGGGTCCTCAATTGCGCGCCGCCGCGAGCCCTGAGGCCCGCCGCCGCGCCGCGCGCCCCCGCCCCCGCCCCTGGCACCCATTGGCGGGGCAGCTGGGAATGTCCGGCGCCGCCTGCGTGCAGCCGCGGGGACGCCGTCGCGGGCGGACCAACGCGCTCGTTAGTTCCGTGTCTTACTATGTTCGCCGCACGCCGCACGCCGCGAAACACGCAGCGCCGCGCCGTCGCCGCTCCCGTCCAGCCGCAGCACTATCCTCCCGCGCGCGGGGCGCCGGCGGGCTATCCGCGCTCGATGAAGCCGTCACCGCGGCCTCCGTCGTGTCCGTCGCTCGCAGGGCCCGTGCAGTCCCAGCGCCAGCCGGACGCCAACCCCTCTGCCATCGAGGTCAAGATGCCGCCACCACGACCTTCGCTCGCGCCCCCGGAGCCCGTCCCCGTGGAGCACTCGTCCGCCTACCTCGTCGAGGAGCGCCGTAAGGTCCGCTCCCGTGCCCGCACACTGCCGGCCCGCCCCCCGCGGCCACGCACGCGCCCGCACCTGCAACACGCGCACCTGCGCCACCCACCGACCCGCGCCCGCAACGACGACACCCACCCGCAGGAGAAGGCCGAGGAGCGCAGCGCGGAGCTGGCGTCGGCCCGCGCGCCGGCGCACGACGACGAGGGCTTCACGGGCAACGCGGTGCAGTTTTTGCTGCGCAAGGGCGACAGCGTGCTGGACAGCATGGAGGAGGAGTCGGACGACAACAAGAGCGTCCCCGTCGTGATCGAGCGCGTCCTGGGCGCGCCCGCCGCGCGCGTGACCAGCAACGTCGCGCGGGCCGGCGCCGAGCTCACCGCGTCGGCGGTGAAGGAGGTGCTGGAGATCGGGGCGCCCGTGGCGCGCAGGGCCGCGGTGCAGGGGCTGTCGTTCGTGGGGAAGGTGCTGCAGCGCGCGATCGCGGAGGGCGAGGCGAAGCCGCAGGCCGCGGTGCAGAAGGTGGAGCGGCGGGCCGACCGCGAGGCGTGACGCGGCCGGGGGCGCGTGGAGCGTAGATAGGCGCGGCGGACGGGACGAGGCGTTGTATTGAACATGCAGTGTGACAAACGTGTCACACCGGAGGTCACGATAACCAAGGAAAGGGGTGGCCGAGCAACGACGTGGTGGAGTTGTGAGCCAGGCGCGCGAGAGCGACGGGCGCGTCCCCGCGGTCGTCTGCCCCTCGTGGTGCGCCGTGCCGCCGAGCGAGCGACCCTACAAAGAAAAACGAGCTTGCGGAGGGCCGCGGAGGTGAATCGGGCATTCGCTCGAGCCTGCGCGCGAGCGACGCCCTGCGACGCGCGACTGCCTGACCCTTCATTCACACATCCGCCCACATGCCGCGCCACGAGGACCGACCCCTGCGCATCCCCCATCCCCCCCGTCCCGCGTCACTCCCCCCCCTCCCCGGATCACCGCGGGCGCGCGGTGTTGCACGCGCCGCACGTCTGCACGTCCGGCTCGTTCATGAAGGTGCACACCGTGCAGGCCCAGATCCCGGTGGCCGCCTCCACGGACCGCGACACCTCCGGGTCCACCGCGCTGGCCGCCCCCGCCCCGCCGGCCGCCCCCGCCGCGCCCTCCGCGGCCCCGGACGGCCCCGCGCCGCCGTAGTCCTCCGCGGCCCGGTCGAACCCGCGCTCGAGCTCCGTGATGAGGTTGTGGAAGCTCTTCTCCGTCACCTGGCAGCGCGACATGAGGTCCGCGCGCCACGCGCTCCACTCCTCCGCGATCTTCCCCTGGATCTCCCGGTCCGACAGGTCCGGGTGCTCCCGCCGCGCCCGCGCCGCCGTCTGCCCCTCGAACCGCTCGAGCCCGTCCTTGAGCGTCTGGTACAGCTTCTCGCACAGGAGCTCCGCGAACCCCTGGTTGAACTCGAAGAACGCGCGCCGCTGCTGGAGCGCCTCGGGCACCGCGCCCTCCTCGGGGTCCTGCACGCCCCACGTCCAGTACCCGTAGCAGTACGTCCACTTCAGCACGCGCTTGCACTCGGCCAGCATCGCGCCCACCTCCTGCGAACCAGCGCGGACCGGGCGGGGGCGCCGCTCGGGACGGCGCGTACGGGGGCGCGCGTGGATCTGCGTGCGTGTCGATCTGTGCGCGCGTGTGTCTGTGTGTGTCTGCGTGTGACGCACGGCTTTGAACTTGAGCTGCGACTCCGGGGTCGCCGTGTTCTCCGAGATCTTCCGCATGCTCCGCTTCGCCAGCTCCTCCTGCCACGACCGGCTCCCCCGCGTGTGGAAGTCGTACCTGCGACGCCACCCGACACACACACGTCAGCACCACCCCAAACACCCCCCACCTACGACAGCGTGCGTGCGCGCGGGGCCGCTCACCGCTCGAAGTAGTGCACCCAGCGGTCCAGCGCCCGCTGCGCCCCCTTCTTCATCCGCTCCTCCTTCGAGAACTCCCCCTGACGCCGCCGCTCCTCATACATGTTGCAGTTGTAAAACCCCCCCGTGCCCTCGCCGTGCTTGCTCCAGTCCTGGAGACACAGCCAGCAGAACTCGTACCGACACTGCGCGCACGGGCACCGCGGGGCGCGTCAGGGCCGCCGCGCCGGGAGGTGCACATGATGGGGAGGGGTTGGTGTGCATTGGCAGGTCGGCCGGGCGGGGCGGCGCGCACCTGTGAGCAGTTCATGTGCATGCACCCCGCGTTCTTCTCGATCGGCCTCTGGCACTTCGGGCACGGCTTCGTGTTCGCCAGGATCCACTGCGAGCACCATCACCCACACGCGCGGCACGAAGTGGGTCGCTCGCAGCCCCACGCGGCGTCGCGCGCGGCAGCACGCGCGTCGCGCGTCCGCACGACGAGCGCACCTGCATGTTGGCTGCCTCGGCGCTGCTCTTCGCGAGCCACTTCTGCACCATGTGGCACGACGAGGGGCGGTGCGGCTCCTCGCTGCAGTCGAAACAGAACCGCGTGCCGCACGAACACGTCACCTCCTGCGGAACGGAACACGCGGGCTGCGGGACGTCGGGACCTCGGGCGCGCGCTGCTAGAGGTGGTCGCTGCACTGGCGCAGGTGGTTGGGTGCAGCTCGCCTGTGCGGCCTGCGACGGGCGCAGCGTGTGCACGCACGCGGCGCAGTCGGCGGCGGGACAGTGCCGCACGGCCCGCGACGCCTCCACGAAGTCCTCCAGCTCGTGCCTGCGCGCGGAGCGGACGCATGTGTTCACAAAACAGCCGCAGCGGGGGCCAGAGCGCCACCGGCTGGACAGGCCGCCCGGCGCCGCGCGGGCCGCCGTCGTTCCGGTCGCCGTGCGGCCCGGCGCCGGCGCGGGCGCGCAGCGTTGGGTGCAGCGGCACACCTGCGGTACTTCTCGGCGAACGCGTCGTCGACGACGTGGCGGTACGTCTCGAGGGAGATGGCGCAGCCGCAGCCTGGCTGCATGCACCGCATGCTCAGGAGCGCGTTCTTCGCGTCCTTCATCTCGAGCTGCGCCGCGAGGTGGTGCCGCCAGCAATCCGCGCAGAACGGGTGCCCGCACGGCCCGCTGGTCATCTCTGCGCAGCGTTGGGCGAACTTCGAGGATCATTCGAGGCTGCTGGCGGAAAACGAGCGCCGGAAGGCGCGCCTCGACGGCGCTGCAGTGCTGGACTCGCCGAGCATAGCCGTGGCGCCCCCGCCCAGGCCCGCGCGGTGCTGACGTGCTCGGCGCGCGGTCGCAGGACGAGGAGAACTGTACAGAGCACGCGGCGGCGCGCTCGGGGAATCTGCGTGCGCCTCGCCAGGCAAGGACCGCCCCGGTCTCATGGTCGCCTCGTTGTGACGCAGAACCCGCACCTGACGCGGGCTTATCTGTCCAGCAGATCCCGCACGTCGCCTCCTTCTGGTCTGGCGGCGCAGGCACGGGCTCGCGCGCGATTCCCAGCTCCTCCTGCAGCTCGGCCTGCCGCGAGAACCACTCTTCCTGGCCTCGCTCAGTGTTCCACTCGAACTTGCGCAGAAGTCGCGCGGCGTCGCTCCGCCCGAGAGTCGTGATGTCGGAGACCTGGCGGAGAATGCTCTCGAGCCGCTTCGCGACCTCCTCCACGTCCCAGACCTCGAATGGTTCCTGCTTCGTTTGGGTCAGGACGACCTCGTTCTCGTCGTCGTCCGCGTACATCGAGGCGTCCTCCGAGTCGGACACATCGCTGTGGAGCTCCCCGGAGGCGTCGCTCCATTCCTCGTCCGACATGGCGCCCAGCCACGGCCCCGAAGGCCACTGCTGTGCAGGGAGGTCGTTACGGCGCCGCTGCGCCCCCTGATCGCCTTCTCCCGGGACGCCGGACGTCTTCGCCAGCTATGCCGAGCCTGTGGCGTCGGAATCACCTCGGCGGCCCCGATGTGCCGGGCCATGACGCCCGCTGTCGCTGCTCGCCCCGAGCTCGGTCCTGGCGGGGGGGGTCAAGCAGCGCCGTCGGAAGCCCCGCGGCTCTTGACCGCGCGCGCAGCGTGGCACGCAAGCACGTTGAAGAGAGCGGCACCCGCATCCAGCCGTAATTAAGCGTATCCGGCACTCACGACCGCCTCGAACTGCCAGCACTGCATCATTCCTGTCGCGTCAGGACGCGCGATTCTAGATTGAAAGCAACACGCGGACGTGTTTCTCCTGCTCTTGCGATCATCCCGTTGATTGAATCGAGTAGGTGAGGCGTGCCAGGGGTGGGCACGGCGGCATGAAGGTGGTGCTGGAGTTCAGCGGCGGGCTGGAGCTCCTGTTCGGCGGTGAGAAGGAGATATGCTGCGACGTCGAACCCCAGGTGAGAACGACACGCGCGAGCCGACCAGGACTGCCTCGGAGTCCTCCCGTGCTCCGTGACCCCCGTAGGTCGTGCCCGGACGCCGCGTGCCGTACGAGGCCGCCCACGCGGTCTCCGCCCGAGATCCCCGCGCAGAGCGAGGGTGCGCCCGTGACGGTGCGTTCCGTGATGTTCCACGCGCGGGACAAGCTGCTCCAGGACCGCCCAGAGCTCTTCATGAAGGGCGACACCGTGCGACCAGGCAAGCCGCCTCCCGGCGCGACGCGCGCGCTGCCCGTCGCGCGGGCCGACGGTGCGGGGGCGCTCGCGGCGCCGAACGCCCGTGCGTCGCGCGAGGTGCTGTGCAGGCGTGTTGGTGGTGGTGAACGACTGCGACTGGGAGCTCACGGGCAAGGACGAGACGCCCGTCGAGGACGGCGACCGCATCTCCTTCATCAGCACGCTGCACGGCGGGTAGCGCGCCCCGCGTGTCCCGGGGGCCGGCCGAGCCCGACGCGGTGACGCTGGGGCGCAGCGTGGGGCGCAGCTGGACGTGGTGAGCACAGCCGGGGCCGCCAGAGGCCTCGTCGATGGCAAAGGATCACAGGGGGGCCTTGCCGTGATCACGGCTGGGCGCGGTGATGGGATCTAGTGCAACTGTAAGTCATCTATGTGAAAATGAGTCTTGTTGTGGCGGCTGCTGGTGCCCCTCGAGTGGCGAGGAGTGCTGCCTGAGGTAGACGTATATGCCGCCGCCCTGCGCCGTTGGCGGTGGGGCGGGCGCCGTGTGCCGCCCGCCGCGCAGCGCAGGTCACCCAGCGAGTCTGATGTGGGATGCAAAGGGCACGGAACGTCCCGCGGTGGCAGCGGGTGCTCGTGCGCACCGAGGCGAGCAGTACTGATTGAATCGTGCGCCGGGATGACGAGGTAGGAACCTCGTGTGCCGGCTGGCTCCGCATGAGTCGGAGAACAGAACAATCTCAGGGGGGCCGGGGGATGATCCCACGGCCAGAAATTGTGCTCGGAGCCCATCTGATCGATCCAGACAAGGCATCGAACAGGTGCTTGTTGCAAGCGTGCGTCGTAGGGAGGGGGGGGGAGCGTTGCTTGAGTTAACGACCGAAACGGACTAACTGAGGGGGGGGGCGGGGAGTGTCCGCGACAGCAGGGGTCCGAGATCGTTCCCCAGGATCGCCCTGTCGTTGCGTCGTTCGAGCACGGGGTGCTCCGGTCGAGCCCTGCGTCCGCGATCAGATCGCGGACTTCTGCGGCACGTATCCGGGGTTGTTCAGGTCCCGGAGCTGCTTGGCGATCATGTTCTCGTCCTTGGCGGCCTTGCGCAGGCTCACGAGCTCCTTGCTGTGCCCGGCTTCCGGCGCCAGCTCCGCCATCCTCGCCAGCACCTGCACGCAAGAGTAAGAACAGCACGCGTACACCAGTTGGCGGTGCCCGAGACGCAGGGCGCACAACTCGTCCGGACCGGCCCAGTGCCGCGTGACTGCGGTTCCCCCCGCGCACCTTGGCGCACATGGTGCTGCCAGGCCGGCAGAAGTCCTCCAGCTGGTCGAACGTCACGGGCTGCTCCGCCAGCCGGTTGATGTTGCACCACCAGTCCGCAATGCCCTCGATGCGGAGCAGCCCGCCCGGGTGCCGCTCGCCGAGCGCCGCGAGCCGCCGCGTGAGCACGTTCTGGTTGACGGAGTCCACGCCGTTGACGGCCATGCTGAAGATGCCCAGGCGGAAGGGCACGACGCCGCCCTTGCCGCCCAGGATGGACAGCAGCCGCAGCAGCGTCTTGTGCTCCATCGGCGTGAGGCCGCCGGGGACCTGCTCGCCGGAGCTGATGGCCTCGCCCATGACCAGCGTCATCTCGTCGGGCTGCGCGAACGGGAACGCGCACTCGATCATCTCCATCAGCGTCGTGGTCGGGCGCTTCTTCGACAGCCGGCTCATCCTCTCCGTCATCGTCGTCAGCACGCCCTCGCCCGTCATGTTGAGCCCGAGCGGCCCCAGCTGGTTGGCCACCTTCATCAGGTCCTGCCGCAGCACGTGCCCCTGCAAACAACGCGAAACGCCGCGACGGTCTCGACCCCGCGCGCCGACACGCGGGCAGGCTGGTGCGGGGCTCGCAGGCGCCGCGCCGCCGCACCTGCATGCCATAGCGCGACGCTGCCTCGGCCCACAGGAGCGCGAGGCCGGCGACGTCCGCCAGGTAGATCTTGCGCTTGCACGCCGTCTTGAAGTGCGCCCCCTTGACCTTGTAGCTCCCGGCCCCCGACCCGAGCGCGACCTCCGGCCCGGTCCCCAGCGAGGGCGCGGCCGGCTGCTGCTTGGCGGTGCCCGCCACGTCGTCGCTCTGCAGCGCCGCCCGGCGCGCCGCGTCCGCGTGCGCGTCCGCCGCCACGTCGCTCACCCACCGGATCTTTTCCTCGCGCGACTGCGTCTCCGCCGGCGTGTCTGCCGCCCTGATGGCCGCTGCGCGCTTCTCGATCCCCCGCTGCCGCATGCCCTTCAGCATGTCGATCACGCCCATCTTGCCCCCCGCGCCCTTCGCGACCCGCTCGCGCTCGCACTCGCTGCCGGCCGCGTCGCTGGACAGCCCCGACGCGTGCAAGCGTTCCTGCGCGACCGCTGTATCGGGGCGCGCCAGGGCGGCCTGCACGCGCAGCTTCAGGTCGGTGCCCCCGCCGGAGATCGTCTTGAACGGCAGCGACGGCCGGCTCTCCAGCACCGTGAACGACTTCGTCTCGTCGCGCCGTTCGACCATCTGCGCCGCGAAGTCCTTCAGCTCCTCCTCCTCCGCGCGGCGCGCGTCGTCCGGGACCGCGAACGTCGCGCGCCGCGCGCGACCTCCCCGGACGGCCGTGCTGTCGGCGCGCGCGCCCACCGCCGCGGCCCCGGCATCCTTCAGCGCCGACGCAGGCAGCGCCGCGCTCGCCCGCCGCGACTTGGGGACCTCGAACGGCCTCAGGCCCGCGAGCCCGTCCTCGGCGAGCGCCTGGATGACGTCCGCGCCGGCCGGCACCGCCAGCGACGACCTCCTCCTCCTCCTGCCCTCCTCGGACTTGGACGGCGGCCGCGCACCTGCCGCGGCCGCGCCCCGCACCGCGCCGCGGTCGCCGTCGCCGACCTGGGAGCTCCCCAGGCTGCGGTCCCCCGGGATCGTGTGCGCGCTGTCCCCGGCGAGCTTGCCCCCCGCGGTCACGGGGCGCGGCCCGAAGGCCACGGGAGCCTTGCTGGCCAGCCGCGGCTGGGGCCTCGCGAGCGCCGCGTTGCTGGCGGCGCGCGGCTCCGGCGTGACGTCGCTGTCGGTCCCGCCCTTCTGCGCCGCGAGGACGTGCGAGGACCGCCGGCCGCCCCTCGCCGCGGCGGTTGCCTTTTCGTTTGCCTTGCCCAGCACCGACGACAGGGAGATGCCGGGCGCCTGCGAGCCAGCCTGCGCGGGGGTGCTCGGCGCCGCCTTCTTCGCGCTGCCGCCGAGGTCCTCGAGCGCTTTCGAGCGCGAGTACGTGGTCCCTGCGCCGTGCGGCAGGGAGGGCGGCAAGTGAGGGGGGGGGCGGGCGGGCCTGATCGCGAGAATGACGGATCGCGGTGGCGCAGGGAGGCGGTGCGGTGGTGGGACGGTGGCGCGCGCGGGCCAGGGCGGGCCGCGCGGGCTCGCTCCGCCAGATCCGCGCAGTCTGGAGCAGTTGCAGTTTGCAGGGGTGCGCTGCAGTCACCTGCGGACGTGGTGATCTCGCCCTTGGTCGCCGACGCGTTGGAGGCCTGAGAAACGCCGACTCGTCCCCTCGTGGTGGGCCTGCAAGGCGTCGGATCGCTCCGGCGGGCAGGTCTAGGGCTGCGCTTCAGATCGGTGCCGCGTGGGCGGGCGGCACGCGAGCGGCCCGCTAGGGAAGCGGAACATGGAGGAAACGGACACGTGGCCCCGCGAGACTGTCTTCGGAGGGGCATTTTCAGGGTACACGTGGCAAGACCGGCGCTGCTAGTCTTGGTGATTCCGTGGGGCGCCAAGCGTGATTTCCGCGCACCTCACGCCCCCAGCGAAGACATCGGCGGACGGCATTGCGTCCCTCGTGTGAAACGTAACCTTGGAACCAGAATACGGCCGTGGGCCGGCACGTGCTCGCGCGCAGCGCCCGTGGCACTGGGGTGCAGGGCAAGAGCGTCCGTGGGTCCTGCAGGGACGATGTAGACGGCACTGGCGGGCTCGGTCGATCCCTGACTGCCCTCGACACTTGGAAGGCGCGCGGCAATCGCTTTCCCGGTCCCTGTGCTGCTCACCGGGGGCGTGGGGGGGGAAGTGCATCGGGGCGGCCACCGCGGCGGTCGAACTGCACGCGCCGCCGATACAGGGGGCGGAGCCTGCGCGCGGCCACAGCCGGGCGTGTGTGTCGCGAGGGCGTGGGCTTCGCGTTCGTACGGCGCCACCGCAGATGCGAGGTTTGTTACCGCTGGCAACAGTCGCTCAGTTCCACCGCGCGGGGGGTGACCAGGGCCTGGCTGCCTGGCGCACACCGACGACCGTCGGGTTCACCCCTGCGTACTGGTCGGGTCTGTGACCCGCTCCGCGCAGCTAGCGGGGCCGTGGGCGGGGCGCTTGTGCTTGCAGCGAGCACGCCGCACCACAGCAGGTGAGGGTGTTCCGATGCTGCCAGCGCACGCATGAAATCAATGTTCAGATACACGTCATCAGCAGAGCCGCGTATCTTGCGGTGAGACGGCGCCAGCGGGCTTGCGTGGGGGGCGACACCTACAAGGGCGCTGCAACCGAACTGATCGGGCCCGCCGCGACTCATGGACGCCGCCAGGCCTCGCATTCCGCGTCGGTCGGCTTGCGGATCGCGCTGTGCGAGCGAGCGCCGCGAGCGCGCCCCTCCCAGCCGTTCCCGACCCTGCACGTTCCCGGCCGGCGGCGCGCCCCTGCAGGAGCGAGCCGCGCGGACCTGCGCGCGGACCCGACGCGTGACGACCGTGACCGTGGGGCCGTCGAAGTCAGAGAGATGAACGGGGCGCCCGTGGATGCCCCCCTCGTCCTGCGGGTCCACCCGGAGGTGCGCGCAACGCTCGCCGAGCAGTGCGCAGGGGCCGGGGCGGCGCCACGCGGCCGCGCAGCGCCGCTCGCCCCTTCTCGCAGCGCCCTGCCCGCCCGCCCACGCCCGTTCTTCCCCCGCACGCCGCAGGTGGCGTCGGACCTCACGCGCGACATGCAGCAGACGCCCGAGACGCAGGCCGCGGCGTGCACGGTGATCAGCGAGCCGTGCCCCTACTCGGGCTTCGTGCGGCTCGAGATCCGCGGCGACCCCGCGGCCCGCCTGGCCGCCCGCCGCACCGTGATGAACGACCTCCTCCCGCGCCGCATGCCCGACGAGCACGACAGACGCGGGTACTCGTGGGCCGAGAGCGGCGAGGCGCCCGACCCCGAGCGCGGCCCCGCGGTCGCGCTGCGGCGGCTGATGTTCGTCCCCGCCGACTGGGCCGCGGCGACCTTTGGCCAGGAGGAGTTTGACAAGGCCGAGGGGGTGTTGAAGATCGAGGCGGACACGGGGACGGCCCTGCGCCTCGCGTCGGGGACCAGCGCGCTGCGGGACGGCACCGTGCCCGTCCTCGTGCAGCCCAAGGACCCCCCGGGGACCGCGGAGGGCGTGACGCGCGCCTGCGACATGTTCCAGGCGCTGCTGGCCGAGGGCGCGGAGGCGTACGCGGCGGAGGAGGCGCCGGCGCGGCGCGTGGTGTACACGGAGGAGGACGCGCCGCCGGAGCCGCGGACGGAGTTCGAGCTGCCGCACAGCCTGGTGGGCTGTCTCCTGGGCAAGAGCCACTCGAACCGGAAGCGCATCGAGAGCGAGGCGGGCGTGCGCGTGTGGGTCGAGAACCCGAACCCGCGGGGCGTGCAGCGGGTGCGGCTCCAGCCCGGGCAGGGCCGCGGGGACGTGCGCCTGGCGTGGAGCATGGTCCAGGCGCTCCTGTGGCGGCCGTTCGCGGACCGGCTGGGGGCGCTGGTGGAGCAGTCGGCGGGGCGGCTCGGGGCGCGCGTGGCGGAGAGGACGAGCGAGATCAGCGAGGCGGTGCACGCGGTCATCAACGAGCTGGGCTACGTGGCGGCGTGGGAGGCGCTGAACGACGAGCAGCTGGGGCCGCTGCTGCGGCGCACGGGCGTCGTCGCGAGCTGGGAGGACCTCCTGCTGCACCGGCTGCGCGGGTGAGACCCGCGCCCGCGTGCAGCCCCCGCGCCCGTGCGATGCATGAAGTGTGCTCCACCCACCTGCTCGCGCTGCCTCGCCGCAGGTTGCTGGGCCTGGACCTCAACGGGCAGCCGAAGCCCATGCCGCGGTGGATGGCGCTCGCGTGGGAGGAGCTGAGAGCCGAGGTTGAGCGACACCCCCACATGCGCAAGCTGGAGCCCAGGGACCAGGTCCTCGTGGCGCAGAAGCTCGAGGACATGTCGGACGTGCGGGCGCTCGCGGTGCTGCTCAACGTCGTGAAGGAGGTCGAGCGGCTGGACCCGCAGGACCGCCGCGCGCGCCTCGAGCACGTCCTGGGCGACTGCGTAACCAAGTACAGGAGCCTGCACAAGGAGACGGAGCTCCTGATGCTGCGGCGCGCGCGCCACCTGCTCGGACTGCCCGCCGACGACGACGCGCCGCCGGACGCGGGCGCACGGGCGAGGTGCGCGCGTCGCGGCGTGCTGCTGCGCCCCCGGGGGCATAAAACGATGGTTGCGTGGGCGGGAGGCACTTGCTCACGCGGTGCTGCTGATGTGTGCGCTGCTGTGCAGGGACGCGGGCCCTCCGCGCCGCGACGCTCGTGCGCGCTCCCCCGAGCGGTCGCCTCGCCGCCGCGCCTCGCCGCCGCGCCGCCGCTCGCCTGAGCCACGCCGCCGGTCGCCGGAGCCACGCCGGTGGACCCCGCCGCCCCACAAGCGCTCCCCGCAGTCGCGGCACGGGTCGCCCCCCCCGCCGTCGGGACGTTCCCCGGCGCGCAAGCGTGGTGCGTCGCCGCACAAGGAGCCCGCGAAGGTGGCGCGCGCCCGCAGCCGGTCGCCCCCGCGACCAGCGCGGCAGGCCGGGGCGGAGGACAAGGGCGCGCGGGAGTCGAAGCGGAAGGCGCACGGCGCGAAGCAGCCGGGCGAGGCCAGCCCGGCCACGCTGGAGGCCCACGTGGCGCGCGGGGAGTCGGTGACGTGCGTGGAGCGCAGCGACGGGCCGCACGCGGGGGGCGCGGGGGCGGCGCAGGTGCCGGGCGGGATCATCGAGGGGCTGACGCGGCACGAGCGGTGGGTGATGGAGCGGGAGCGGGGGGCGTGGAAGGGGGTGTTGGCTCTCGAGGACGGGGGCAGCATGCTGGCGCGGAACCTCAAGGAGGTGAAGAAGTCGATGCGGCTCGCGCGGGCGTTCGCGCGCCGCGGGGCGTCGGGGGACCTCAGCGGGGCGCTGGCGGCCCTGAGCAGCGCGCTGGTCGTGTTGACGGACGAGGCGGAGGTGGTGCACCTGGACGGGAGCGGGGTGACGGAGAAGGACGTGGAGGAGCTGGAGGGCATGCGCGCGGACGTGGACGGGTGGAGCTGACAGGGGGTGCCGGTGAGGGGGGGTTGCACCGACACCTGGTGTGAGCCAGGGGGGTCGCGCCGAACAGGGTGAGGTGTCGTCCGGGGTCGCACGTGAAGGGTCTGGGAGATTACAGGGCGCTGGTATCGGGGGGTGCGGGCACGGACACACCGTGGTCGGCACTCGAGCCCTGACGGAGCACCCATGGGCAACACCATTCCCGGCAAGGGACCAGGAACGCCGGCGAACGGCGCGCGCGAGACGTTCGAGCAGGTCGGTCGTTGTTGTTTGCGTGTCGCGAGCCCTGAGTCGAGGGACCAGAGGACGCACATCGACGAGCCAAAATCAAAGCGAGGGACTCGAGACGGCGTGCCGAACCTCGGCCATCTCGAGCGGCCCCTCCCGCACGCAGCTTGGCGAGCTACAGCGATGCACAGACTGCTGCGTCCGTCTCCATCCTCCGCAGGGCGACACAACGCTCGTAGAAGTCCCCCTCCTGCGGAGGCAGTACAGCAGCGCGCGTGGCCCGGATCAAGGCGCCGTTTTCGGCGCGATCGACACGCTCTTGGCCGTCCACGACCAAACTCTGCGCCAGCGAGACGCCAGCGCTCGGGACGGAGGCACGCGTCGAAAGCGGGAGTTGGTTGAAAGCGGCCAAGTGGCGCGCGAGCCGTCCTCCTTGTTTCCGCAGGTCTGTTCCACGCAGTTTGACCGCATCGACCCGACGTTCCTCTCATGAAGCAGCCTTCACACGCGAGACCCCGGACGAGCGCCCGTGTCTCTGGAACGCGGCTGCCTCAGAGCAACTCGCAACACGTCCCCATCGCAGCAACGCACTCTCTCCCGTTCCACGCAGCCCGCCGCGACGGTCGAATTCATCTCCGTGAGGCCCCCCTTCGTCCCGACGCCCAGGCGTCTGGTCGACGACGGAACGGCTGCATTGTCAGCATGCTTCGAAACCGCAGGTAAGCGCACCAGCGCGCGCGCGCGCCCGTGAGATCATCCCCCAGGTATGCGGCGGGCGACAAGCGTGCGCGCGCAGCGCCACCAGTTCCCTACGACGACGCTCCGCTCTCTCTCTCCCTGCAGGGGAGCATAGGGAGCCGCCCAAAGCGCGACCCATCCATCCGCGGCGGGCGGTGTCGGACATCTGGTCGCTTTCCGTGGCGAAGAACGCGAGAATGTCGCGGACGAAGCCCTTCGCGCCCGTCCCTGTTCCGGAGCTGCCGTCCTTCTCTCCCACCATGGGGTCGCTGCTCATTCAGAACGGCCTGAAGGACGTCTTCTCCGTGAGCCACCTCCGCGACCCCTTCCAGCGCGGCCTCCAGAGCATCACGTCGACCCAGGAGGTCGCGCGACTGGGCCGGCGACTGCGCGCGATGCTGTCATGCGCCACCGGTGCACCGAGAGACGCGCGGCGCGCTGGTCCAGGTGGACCGGGAGAAGCCCGTCGCGACGCGGATGGCCCAAAGTGCGCGGATGACACTGGCGACCTCGGCGGCATCGTCCACGGGCGCGCGCAGCGTCTGCAGCGCGTCTGTCTGCGGCAACCGCCGTACACGTCGTCGAGCCGGTTCCCCATCGCCGACACCCTGCGGCGCGAGCTAGGAGTCGATCGATGCGAAGACCCCTCCGACGGTGCCCAGGACCTCGACGACGCGGCGCCGCGGCCGCAAGCGCAGGCCGAGGGGCCCGTGCGCGACGCGCGTGACGGACCCGCCCACGAGGCGCCGACCGTCATCGTCATCGACGACTCGCCTCGCCCTGGACATGCAGTCGCTGGTGCGAGCAAGGACGCGCAAGGGCGCGAGCACGACACGCCTGCAGGACCGCCGCAACAGCCAACAACACACCTGACGGACCAGCACCTCGAGGTGCGCTCGCAACGCTGCTGCGTTGATCCGCTGCTTCGCTGCAAGCGCGCACGTCGCCGGGCGTGGCAACGCTCTTCCTGATGCGAGCCGCCCCGCTGAACCGCCCTGCAGGTCCTCGGGGCGGCCGCTGCTGATCTGAACGCGCTGTCGGGGCTCGCTGCGGGTCCCCACGGCCGGTCGTGGACGGCCGAGGCCCTGCTCGCGGTCCAACCGACTGACGAATCCGTGCGGTCCGCGGGCGCGTCCGGGGGGCTCCGCGACCGAACAGCCTGTGCGGTGCTGCTGCAGGCGGCCGCGGTCGTGCGCGAGTACGGTCTCCACTGCGGACTGAGCTACGTGGCACACACGGGAGCCGCAGGTACGTCGGCCACCCTCACACGTCCGAGCGTGATCTCCTCGTTCCGATGATTGACGGTGATTGTCATACTGGTCCAGCGTCCACGCGTGTGTTCCCTGCGCTCCTGCGCGCAGCACCGAAGATCTCGCGGCACGTGCAGCGAACCGTGGCGGCGCTCCGGACCGCGTGCATGCGGGTGCGGCGTCTCTCCGATGCGGACCACCCCTGCCTGCCCCAACTGCAACGGGCATTGACGACAGCGGTCGCAGCCAGCGCCGCAGCGGCTCCATCGCAGGCCACCACCGGGGCAGAACGCTCGGCCGCGGTCGGCATCGTCGCGGATGCCATCGCGTTCCCGGTCCTGCGCGACGTGGTGCGGGAGGTGTGCAGTGGGCAGGCGCCCGTCATCCTGGGGCGAGCGGTCGCCGCGCACCTGGCCCAGGGGCGCTCGTCGCGAGCAGCGACCGTGCGGGAGCAGGTCTCGAGGTGAGGCGTCTCGACCACAGCGCCGCGAACATTGATCCCGTGTTTGCCTGCCCTGGCGATGACGCAGCTGCCACGCACTGCGTTCCCTGCGCTGCAGGCTCACCGACGACGCACGACCCGCGGTGTTCCTGGTCCCCACGTGGCTGTTCGACGCCGCGTTCCCCGTGTCGTCGTTCCACACCCTCATCATCTTCTCCAAATCGCCACTGCGGGGCCTCGAGCAGGGCTTCCGGGCCACCCTGCGCTCTCGGACATCTCCTCGAGTCGTGGAGCTGTGCTACACGGTCCGGGCCGCGCCCACGCACCCGCAGATGCCTGATCACTCGCCAGGCACGAGTGCAGGTGGCGCAGCTGGCACGAAGCGCGCGCGTGCGGGGACGAACGACGCGGTGCCGGTGGCCGACGTGACGGAGGCACCGCCGCCCGCCGCACTCCATGAAGGCGCGGTTCGCCGGACCACAGCGCCACGCGGGGGGCCACCGGGCAGGAGCAGTGCGGGGGGCGGCGCCAAACGGCTGGCCGCACGCGGACCCGCAACGGTCCCGGACGTGGCGGAGGAGCGCGCGGTTCCAGTGCGAACGCCCGAGCCGCAAGCGCTGCCGGAGCAGCGCGTGTCCAACGCTGCCAAGCGCCAGCGCACAACCGCGCCAGCGCAAGTCGCGGACAAGACGGTCACGCCCGTCAACGAGGCAGCGCTGCGTCACAGTGCGCCGCCCGGATGGGAGGCGGACGGGGCCGGGGCGCGCGACCAACCGCTCCAGCGCGCCGTGGTAGAGCGCCACCACCACGCGCGGGATGACGCATGCGGCGCCGCCGCCCCAGGGAGCGCCGAGCTGGCACCGGACCGACGCGGTGCCCGCTACACCGTGGTGTTGAACGCGCGCCGCAGTCCGTTCACGGAGCGCGAGCTGTCCCTGCTGCGGTCGAGGCTGGCGCCGCTGGACACGAGCATCGCAGAGCTGAGGATGGACGCGCCCGAGCTGTTCTGCATGTCGCAGGTGCGCACAGCATGCCATCAGGGTGGTTCCTAGTGCCGCACCGGCTCGCATCGGCAGCGAGGCTGGGCCTTCGCAGCGATGCGGACGTGACACGAGGTATGACACGAAACCTGACGCGGCATGCGGCGCCCCCGCTGTCTGCAGCGTGCGTGCGTCCTGCACATCCAGTGCCAGGACGTGGCGTCGGCCGTGGACGAGGCCAGGCGCGCTCTCGGCCCGCTGTCGGCCCGCTACTCGAAGTGCATCGTGCTGGTCGAGGTGGGCGGCCAACTGCCGGGGCAGGTCGCGGACGTGTCGTCGTGGGTGCAGCACACGCTGCAGAGCGACGTGGATCCGGCCGTCCTCGGAGTCACGTCCGTGGTCGCGCAGGCAAGGCCGCCCGCGGATCTAACGTCGCATCGCTGCCCTGGCACGCGCGTGGCAGCGCGCACCGACGACGCAGCTAGCGCCCGCGCCGACCTGCACGCCGCCTGTGCGCATGCTCTGTCGCGCAGGATCGGGCCGAGGTCATCGACGCGGTGACGGACGTGCTCATCTGCGCCCCGCGCGCGCAGTCGGAGGAGCTCGCACAGCGCGGAGCGATGCCCGCGATCGCCGTCGTCGGGGTGCAGAGCTTCCTCGCGCGGTTCCCGTCCCTGAACCCCCTGGTCTGCGCCCGTCTCCAGAGCGCGGGATGTCCCCCGGGGGTGGTGATGGACAGCACCGTGGAGTGGCTGCGCTCCGTGGCGCCGGACGCGCCGGTGCGGTCCCTGGCGCTCTTCTCCCGGGCGGCGCGCGCCCTCGTGCGCAGGAACCGCCTCAACGCGTCGTCGGCGGCGCCGGCGACCACCCCGCCCAGGCGGCTCTCTGCACCCGCGTCGCGACGCTTCACGACGTTCGCCACGCAGCCTCAGGGCCGGTTCGAGGCCGGATACGCAGCGTACGCCGATCCGAACGACTCCTCCTACGCGCACGAGCAGGCGGCGGTCGGCCGCGCGGACACGGGGGACACGTTCGTGGGGCCGACGTCAGTCGGGTACAACCCCCCGGGGGAGTGGCGCACGCCGCCACTCGACCACGCCCTGGAGTACCGCCAGCAGCGCGACGATGCGGATGACCTCCTGCCGCTGGAGGCGTACGAGGACGCGGTCGTTGACGACGGATTTTCCGGTCAGGAGCGGTGCTACGTCAACGCCGCCGCCAACTACGCACCGTGGGGGGGCGAGTACGCTGGCGGCGCGGACCCCTACGACCAGGACGGCGGGTACGAGATGCAGCCGTACATGCAGCCGGCGGAGAACGGGGGCTGGGCGCCGCCGGAGGACTCAGCGCAGGCGGGGTGGGGCGCGTGCGACCCCCCCTGGAGGGCTCCGCCCGCCGGTGCGTTCGCGGGTCAGTACGTGCCGGCGCCGGAGTCCGACTGGCGGTACGGGCGCTCCGCGCCCGATCCTCGCGGCGGCTACCAGGCGGGCCAGGGCGGGTATCAGTGGCAGGGCGGGTGGGAGCGATGAGGGCGTGGCGGTCGGGGTGGGGTTCGGGTGGCCGACGTGCGCGTGGCGGGCACGGTGTGAGTGTGGGTCTCGTCCTCGCGTGGTTCTCGCTCACAGGCCTTGCGCCCCGGCAGGGGGCAGGGTGGTGTCGAGTTGCAGGCCTCAGCAAACACTAGGGGCCTGGGCGCGGCGGGTCAACGGGGCCGCGCCGGGCAGCTCGACTGCGGGATGGTCGACGAGGGGCGGGGCGCGCGTTCGTCGTTCGTCGTTCGTCGTTCGTCGGTGTGGGGTGGGCAGCCGGGGGAGCTGGAGGTACAAAATTGGGTGTGCGTTGTTGTTGTTGGCACGGGGGGGGTCCGCGCGAGGGCGGCGTGCTGTGTCCTGCGTCGGCGCTCGCGCGGCCGGGGCGGTCGCGCGGGGTGCGCTCAGAGGTGGTTGCTGACGAGCTCCTTGAGCTTGTCGACCTTGGCGCCGGTCATCTCGTCGACGAGCTCGCCGTTGCGGTAGAGCTTGAAGGTGGGGAGGGAGCGGATGCCGAGGGACTTGGCCTTGGTCTTGTTCTCCTGGTTGCAGTCGAACTTGACGACGACCATCTTGTCCTCGTGCGTCTGCGCCAGCTTGATCACCTCGGGGTAGATCAGCTTGCACGGGCCGCACCACGCCGCGAAGAAGTCCACCAGCACCAGCTTCCCGTCCTCGCGGTTCACCGCCTCGTCGTACGTCTCCGCGTCGACCAGCAGGATCGGGTCGTCCGCCACCTGCGCCGCCATCACCTGCTGGGAAGGAAACACGCCGCGCAGCGCAGGCCGTGGGCACGCGGACACGGGCGCGCGGCGGGCGACGCACGCGCGCGGCGGGGTCGTGGCCGGCGGGGCTGACCTTGGCGCCCGCCTGGCGCGCCTCCTCCTTCCAGTGCTCCTCCTTGGCCGACAGGTGCGCCGACATGCGCGACTTCATCGCCTCCATCTCCGCCAGCGCCGCGCGCTTCTCCGGGGTGGAGTGCGCCGCGACCACCCGTGGGGACTGCGTGCGGGGCGGCGGGGGGTGCTGCGGGGTGGGGGACTGGGCAGGGTGCGGCCTGGGGCGGGGGCGCGCGGCGGGCGCTGCGACGTGGGGGGACGACGGGGGGAGCGCGGCGTGCGGCGTGCGCCCGGGTGCCGTCGGCGGGCCGGTGCGAGGAGTGCGGCGCCGCGCGCAGTGATACTGGCTGGTCAGCAGCAGCCCGCGTCGCGAGCGAGCGGGGCCGCCCGGGGCGGGTGCGTCGCGCGGGGGGCGGGCGGGCGCCCGTGCAGCGCGTGTCCGGCGGGCGGAGCGCGGGGGGGTGCGCGTGGCGCCGCGCAGGGGCGGTGGGCCCAACCGTCGGACAGCAGGCATATCAGGGGGGCGCGGCGCAGGCGGGGGGCTGGTGCGGGCGCGGCGCGCGGGGCCCAGGGCGCGGGCAGGACGCGCTTGGACGGGGCGGGCGGCCGAGGTGGAAATCGCCCCCACAGGCAGCGGGCAGCCCTCGGTCCAGGTGGCTACGAGCAATCGGTTGCCGGATCCACGCGCAGGCCCGCCCGGGCGCGGGCTCGGGCTCGGCGCGCGGTCGCCGGCTGCGTAAAACGCAAGCTACGCGTGCGGGCGGCGGGCGGGACTCACGTTGGCCGGCGTCCCCGTGCCAGGAGCCCTCGCCTTGGAGAGGTTCCTGCGCGTGGTCGAGGGGCGCGAGGACGGGCGTCGGCGGGCGCGGAGGCGCGAGGCAACTCGGAGAGGCGGGGCGTCGTGGCGCGAGGCGCGCACCCGCACCGGGCCCGGGCGGCCAGGGGCGTCTTCATTCCGTTCATAGTCGTCGTCAACCTCTCCACGGATGCAGGGGCGTAGGGGGCGGGGGGCAATGCGAGGAGCGAGCGGCCGCTGTGTCTGATGACTGGGCGCGGCGCGCGGCCCCCGAGGCCCCGGGTGGGGCGCGGAGGCCGGCGTCACCGCGGGGGCTCCCGCGTCAGACGGCACCGTCCGCGCGAAATCGGGCTCACGGGCGCCGCGCGCGCGCCCTCCGGCCCACTCCCGCCCAGGACACGGTCTCACGCTTCCGCCCGGCTCGAGTCCGTGCTTCCCACGCGTCCCGCCCGCCCCCCGCGCCCGTATCTGCACCGCGCCCGAGGCGCCCAGCCCGTCAGCGGCCCGCACCGCGCGATGATGAGGTCCGCCGCGGCGTCGTCCGTCCCGGCCGCCCCGGCGTGCCCGGTCGTAGCTCGCCGGCCGCCCCAGGCCCGCGTCGTGGCGGTCGCGCCCTCTGCGGCGCCCGCTCTGGCCGCGAGGACATCCAGGGCGCGGTCCGTCGTCGTCCGGACCTACCCGGACCCCTGCATCCCCGAGACGGAGAAGGAGCGATCCACGGTCGACATTCCGCAGGCGAGCGACCCCCCCCGCCGCGTGTGCGACGCCCCGGCCGCGCACGGAGCAGGGCATCTGGATGGAGCTGCCGTCGCACGGCCCGCCGACCGGGCGCCGAGACGCCGTGCCCCCCGCTGCGGGGAGCTGCAAACATCGGACGCGCGGACGGCGCGCGCCCCGCGCGGTGGCGCCTGGCCCCGCGACGCTCTCCGGGGGCGAGTGGCCCGCTGGCCGGGCCCTGCAGACGTCGCGGCGGCGGTGAGGCTGCGGGCGTCGCGTGCGCGCGGTGGGCCGCGCGCCGGGCCGCGTGCGTCTCGAGCCCGCAATGGGCCGGCCGTCCTGCGTCACACGCGCGCGGAACGCGGCAGCGGGGGGCGCCATCCAACCCATGTCCCCGCTCGCGCCCCGTGCGACCTCGGGCGCCGGACACGCCGGGCCCCGGACGTCGTCCGCGAGCCCCGCGCTGACCCGCGAGGCCTCCGCCCCCGCCCGGCGCGCAGGAGTGGCTGACCCCGCAGCCGTCGCGGCGACCAGACATCTTCCCGGAGTTCGAGCGCCTCCAGACGCCCGACCCGAAGCCGATGCCGGGCGACCCCGAGATGCCCGACGAGGAGGAGCTCGAGGAGGAGGACCGCAAGCGCAAGGTGCGCGCCCCGCCGCGCCGCGCCGTCTCACACGTGCGCGCTCGTGCGGCAGCGCGCCCCCGCGGCGCCCGTCTCACGGCGGCGCCACCGCGCACGTGTTCGCAGGAGCCGGAGGAGGACCCGGAGCAGGAGGGCGAGGAGGAGGAGAAGGAGGAGGACGGGGAGGAGGAGGACAAGCGAAAGCGCAAGCGCAAGGGGCCCGGGCAGCCCGAGGTGCCGAACTAGGGGGCGGCGCGGGGCGGGCGCGCGCGGAGCGACGCCGGCGCCGTGTGAGCCCGAGCGGCGACGACGCGGGGCAGTCAGAACTCGGGCAGGGGAGGCGGGGCAGACGCGCAGAGTGCGGGGCGCGGCGGGAGCGCAGCGACGTGCGTGGCGCGCGAAATGGGCCGCGCTGCAGAGAGAGAGCGAGTTGGGGGAGGCACGGGGGGGAGCGCCGCGCGCGGCGGCGCGCCGACGGCCTGGTGCGCGAGGGGCGCGCCACCAGCCCCCCGGCAGCAACAGGGCGGCCGCAGCAAGAAGGACGTGAGCCCCCAGGGAGATTCGAACTCCCGTTACCGGCTTCAAAGGCCGGGGTGATGACCAGGCTACACCATAGGGGCGAATCGAGAGGTCTCGCGTAGATGCGTACTTCCCGTCCACGCTTCAAAAGTGGAAATTCGTCGGGTATATATAGCGCTAGTGCCTGTAGGACAGCTGACCGTGGTTGATCTTGGAAGGCGCCCTATCGGACTGAATGTTGCGTGAAGAGCGCTTCAATACGTCCCATTGTCGTCTAAATATCACGAAAAATCCAAATGACGATGCATTACACGTGCCTGGACGGACGGACCGCGCGATGCGTGGAGCAGGAGCAGGTCTGCCTCTCCCTCCACGTCGCGGTGCTCCGGGCGTCGGTCCCGGCGCTGGTGTCGAGGTGCGGACTTCAGTCACCAAGTTCGCCCGCGGTTCTGTCGCGACGGTCCTCTGCGGCGCCCCGCCTCCCCTGCGCACGTCGACGTCGGCGGCAGGGACCACGTGCGGCGCAGAGCTCGCCGCCCGCGACGACGGGCGGCTCGGGACTGTCGCCCCGCGTTTCGGCGCCCGCCGCGGAGGCGGTGCGCACGGCGGCAGCAGCAGGAGGTTCTCTTTGCATCACAGCCGGCTCTCCAGGCGCGTGGGACGCTAGAGCTGGGACATGCGTTTGCGAACAACGCCGCCAGGCCATGGGGGCCCGCGGCGTCGTGACTCCTGCTGCTGGCGGGCGCGTGGGGCGGGCCCCCACGGGGGCGCGCCCGCCTGGTCTGACCACGCCTGTGTCTCGCGCGGCGTGCATCTTTTTATGGCGCGGTAGGGGAGCACGATGGTGGCTAGGCGTGGCTAGGCGCCGCGAACGGCGCGTCATGCATGGGTCGGGCCGCTGGGCCCGCCGCGCCGCAGGCGAGAGGCCGTCCTGCGGGACGACGACGCGCGACGAGACGACGACGCGGGCGGCGGGCCGAGCGTTTCCCGGTGACGGAATCGGGCCGGGGCGGTGGAGGTGCGACCAGCTAAGGGGAGGGAGGGGGGTCGGTACTTGCAAGTGGGGGGTGTGGTGGCGGTAGTGGTGGGGAAATCCAGCAGCCCGCAGCCCGCGGACGGCAGCGCAGGCGGGCCGCGCGCTGCGGGCCGCGTCGTCGTCGCTCGCTCACGCGGCCGTGAGGTCCACTTCTACGCTGTCTTCGCCGCGCGTCATCGACGACGCCTTGCTCTGATGCTGGTACATCTTGTGGAGGGCGTCTGCGGCCGAGGCGGGCGGGGCGCGAGCCGAGGTGGGCGCGGGGCGACGTGGCCGCGACTGCGCGGCGCGGCGCGGCGGGCACATCGGCATGCGCGTTGGGTTTGGGCTTGGGCATGGGGCGGCGCGCGCACCGATGAAGCTGGTGGTCTTGACCTTGAGGACCTCGGTGAGGAGCGTGGTGTCCATGGAGATGTCCGCGGGGCTCTTGTACGGGCGGTCGACGGCGGCGGCCGAGCACTCCTTGATCGGGGCGGGGTCGAGCCCCGCGGCCTCGGCGACGAGGCGCGCCATGTCGACGCGCGAGAGCTTGTCCGGGCCGCCCATGTTGATGGTCTGCGGCATGTCGAGCGGGATCTGGCACTCCTTCGGCCGCTCGGGCGCGTGGTTGACGATCATGGCCCGCGCGAGGACGCGCGCGATGGTGGAGCAGATGTCGTCGATGAAGATCGGGCAGCGCCACTCGTCCGCGAAGAACTGCGTCTCCTTCCCGCTCCGGAGCGCGTCCTCGATGAACTGGAGGAACAGCCCGCGCCCCACGGGCACCGTCGGCGGCGGGCCGTAGATGATGCTCGAGCGCAGGATGACGTGGTTGCTCCAGTGCGCGCGGATGTACTCCTCCGCGAGGAGCTTGCTCCGCCCGTACTCGTTCACCGGCTCGCACGCGTCGCCCTCGCCGTACCCGCCGCGCGCCCCGTCGTACACCTGGTCCGTCGAGAGGTGGATCAGCAGCGGCGCCTCGCCCGTCTTGTCGAGCTGCCGCTGCATGCACGCCACCAGCCGCGACGGCACGTTCACCGCGCGGCACCCCGCCGGGTCGCGCTCGCACGCCCCCGGCTGGCTCACCGCCGCGCAGTTCACCACCACCGACACCGCCCACCCGAGCTTCTCGAACACGCGCTCCAGGCCCTCCCCCGTCACCAGGTCCGCGGGGTACCCCTTCATCGGGAAGTCCGCCGACCCCAGGTGCACCTCGTTGCGGCTCCACAGGTACCGGACCTGCGCGCACACGCACACGCACGGCGACGAGATGAGGAGGGGTGGCGGGTGGCGGGGTCGCGCGAAGACGACGCGCAGTCGCGCGGGCCCGGACGCAGCGCGCGTCAGGGAGCGCGCCGCCCACGCTCCCCGAAGCGCACTTCGCGGAGCGCGGCAGCGAGGACGGCAAGGCGCTCGCCGCCGCTCCGCGGTCGGCCGCGCTGCCCCGCGGAGCTGGGCGTCCGCCGCGGCGAAGCGATGCCGCCTGGGGCGTCGGCGAGCGACGCGTGCGCGTTGCGGGCGCGCGCGGCGGCGGTGCGACGCCCGCGCGCGCGCGAGTGGCCCGGAAGCAACGGGCGG